CCCACGCGAGCGGATACCTTGAGGCGTGCGATCTTTCCACCTCGCCGTCCTCTCCCTGCCTTCTACGCGCTGCTGCTGCTTGCAGCATGGTTCTATTCTCTTCTCCAGGCTTCTCAGAGTCCTCGCTCATCAGAATTCCACTATATCATAATCGGATGCTCGAAGAGCAGGCACTCCACGCGAGCGGATACCTTGAGGCGTGCGATCTTTCCACCTCGCCGTCCTCTCCCTGCCTTCTACGCGCTGCTGCTGCTTGCAGCATGGTTCTATTCTCTTCTCCAGGCTTCTCAGAGTCCTCGCTCATCAGAATTCCACTATATCATAATCGGATGCTCGAAGAGCAGGCACTCCACGCGAGCGGATACCTTGAGGCGTGCGATCTTTCCACCTCGCCGTCCTCTCCCTGCCTTCTACGCGCTGCTGCTGCTTGCAGCATGGTTCTATTCTCTTCTCCAGGCTTCTCAGAGTCCTCGCTCATCAGAATTCCACTATATCATAATCGGATGCTCGAAGAGCAGGCACTCCACGCGAGCGGATACCTTGAGGCGTGCGATCTTTCCACCTCGCCGTCCTCTCCCTGCCTTCTACGCGCTGCTGCTGCTTGCAGCATGGTTCTATTCTCTTCTCCAGGCTTCTCAGAGTCCTCGCTCATCAGAATTCCACTATATCATAATCGGATGCTCGAAGAGCAGGCACTCCACGCGAGCGGATACCTTGAGGCGTGCGATCTTTCCACCTCGCCGTCCTCTCCCTGCCTTCTACGCGCTGCTGCTGCTTGCAGCATGGTTCTATTCTCTTCTCCAGGCTTCTCAGAGTCCTCGCTCATCAGAATTCCACTATATCATAATCGGATGCTCGAAGAGCAGGCACTCCACGCGAGCGGATACCTTGAGGCGTGCGATCTTTCCACCTCGCCGTCCTCTCCCTGCCTTCTACGCGCTGCTGCTGCTTGCAGCATGGTTCTATTCTCTTCTCCAGGCTTCTCAGAGTCCTCGCTCATCAGAATTCCACTATATCATAATCGGATGCTCGAAGAGCAGGCACTCCACGCGAGCGGATACCTTGAGGCGTGCGATCTTTCCACCTCGCCGTCCTCTCCCTGCCTTCTACGCGCAGCTGCTGCTTGCAGCATGGTTCTATTCTCTTCTCCAGGCTTCTCAGAGTCCTCGCTCATCAGAATTCCACTATATCATAATCGGATGCTCGAAGAGCAGGCACTCCACGCGAGCGGATACCTTGAGGCGTGCGATCTTTCCACCTCGCCGTCCTCTCCCTGCCTTCTACGCGCAGCTGCTGCTTGCAGCATGGTGCTATTCTCTTCTCCAGGCTTCTCAGAGTCCTCGCTCATCAGAATTCCACTATATCATAATCGGATGCTCGAAGAGCAGGCACTCCACGCGAGCGGATACCTTGAGGCGTGCGATCTTTCCACCTCGCCGTCCTCTCCCTGCCTTCTACGCGCTGCTGCTGCTTGCAGCATGGTTCTATTCTCTTCTCCAGGCTTCTCAGAGTCCTCGCTCATCAGAATTCCACTATATCATAATCGGATGCTCGAAGAGCAGGCACTCCACGCGAGCGGATACCTTGAGGCGTGCGATCTTTCCACCTCGCCGTCCTCTCCCTGCCTTCTACGCGCTGCTGCTGCTTGCAGCATGGTTCTATTCTCTTCTCCAGGCTTCTCAGAGTCCTCGCTCATCAGAATTCCACTATATCATAATCGGATGCTCGAAGAGCAGGCACTCCACGCGAGCGGATACCTTGAGGCGTGCGATCTTTCCACCTCGCCGTCCTCTCCCTGCCTTCTACGCGCTGCTGCTGCTTGCAGCATGGTTCTATTCTCTTCTCCAGGCTTCTCAGAGTCCTCGCTCATCAGAATTCCACTATATCATAATCGGATGCTCGAAGAGCAGGCACTCCACGCGAGCGGATACCTTGAGGCGTGCGATCTTTCCACCTCGCCGTCCTCTCCCTGCCTTCTACGCGCTGCTGCTGCTTGCAGCATGGTTCTATTCTCTTCTCCAGGCTTCTCAGAGTCCTCGCTCATCAGAATTCCACTATATCATAATCGGATGCTCGAAGAGCAGGCACTCCACGCGAGCGGATACCTTGAGGCGTGCGATCTTTCCACCTCGCCGTCCTCTCCCTGCCTTCTACGCGCTGCTGCTGCTTGCAGCATGGTTCTATTCTCTTCTCCAGGCTTCTCAGAGTCCTCGCTCATCAGAATTCCACTATATCATAATCGGATGCTCGAAGAGCAGGCACTCCACGCGAGCGGATACCTTGAGGCGTGCGATCTTTCCACCTCGCCGTCCTCTCCCTGCCTTCTACGCGCAGCTGCTGCTTGCAGCATGGTTCTATTCTCTTCTCCAGGCTTCTCAGAGTCCTCGCTCATCAGAATTCCACTATATCATAATCGGATGCTCGAAGAGCAGGCACTCCACGCGAGCGGATACCTTGAGGCGTGCGATCTTTCCACCTCGCCGTCCTCTCCCTGCCTTCTACGCGCTGCTGCTGCTTGCAGCATGGTTCTATTCTCTTCTCCAGGCTTCTCAGAGTCCTCGCTCATCAGAATTCCACTATATCATAATCGGATGCTCGAAGAGCAGGCACTCCACGCGAGCGGATACCTTGAGGCGTGCGATCTTTCCACCTCGCCGTCCTCTCCCTGCCTTCTACGCGCTGCTGCTGCTTGCAGCATGGTTCTATTCTCTTCTCCAGGCTTCTCAGAGTCCTCGCTCATCAGAATTCCACTATATCATAATCGGATGCTCGAAGAGCAGGCACTCCACGCGAGCGGATACCTTGAGGCGTGCGATCTTTCCACCTCGCCGTCCTCTCCCTGCCTTCTACGCGCTGCTGCTGCTTGCAGCATGGTTCTATTCTCTTCTCCAGGCTTCTCAGAGTCCTCGCTCATCAGAATTCCACTATATCATAATCGGATGCTCGAAGAGCAGGCACTCCACGCGAGCGGATACCTTGAGGCGTGCGATCTTTCCACCTCGCCGTCCTCTCCCTGCCTTCTACGCGCTGCTGCTGCTTGCAGCATGGTTCTATTCTCTTCTCCAGGCTTCTCAGAGTCCTCGCTCATCAGAATTCCACTATATCATAATCGGATGCTCGAAGAGCAGGCACTCCACGCGAGCGGATACCTTGAGGCGTGCGATCTTTCCACCTCGCCGTCCTCTCCCTGCCTTCTACGCGCAGCTGCTGCTTGCAGCATGGTGCTATTCTCTTCTCCAGGCTTCTCAGAGTCCTCGCTCATCAGAATTCCACTATATCATAATCGGATGCTCGAAGAGCAGGCACTCCACGCGAGCGGATACCTTGAGGCGTGCGATCTTTCCACCTCGCCGTCCTCTCCCTGCCTTCTACGCGCAGCTGCTGCTTGCAGCATGGTTCTATTCTCTTCTCCAGGCTTCTCAGAGTCCTCGCTCATCAGAATTCCACTATATCATAATCGGATGCTCGAAGAGCAGGCACTCCACGCGAGCGGATACCTTGAGGCGTGCGATCTTTCCACCTCGCCGTCCTCTCCCTGCCTTCTACGCGCTGCTGCTGCTTGCAGCATGGTTCTATTCTCTTCTCCAGGCTTCTCAGAGTCCTCGCTCATCAGAATTCCACTATATCATAATCGGATGCTCGAAGAGCAGGCACTCCACGCGAGCGGATACCTTGAGGCGTGCGATCTTTCCACCTCGCCGTCCTCTCCCTGCCTTCTACGCGCTGCTGCTGCTTGCAGCATGGTTCTATTCTCTTCTCCAGGCTTCTCAGAGTCCTCGCTCATCAGAATTCCACTATATCATAATCGGATGCTCGAAGAGCAGGCACTCCACGCGAGCGGATACCTTGAGGCGTGCGATCTTTCCACCTCGCCGTCCTCTCCCTGCCTTCTACGCGCTGCTGCTGCTTGCAGCATGGTTCTATTCTCTTCTCCAGGCTTCTCAGAGTCCCTCGCTCATCAGAATTCCACTATATCATAATCGGATGCTCGAAGAGCAGGCACTCCACGCGAGCGGATACCTTGAGGCGTGCGATCTTTCCACCTCGCCGTCCTCTCCCTGCCTTCTACGCGCTGCTGCTGCTTGCAGCATGGTTCTATTCTCTTCTCCAGGCTTCTCAGAGTCCTCGCTCATCAGAATTCCACTATATCATAATCGGATGCTCGAAGAGCAGGCACTCCACGCGAGCGGATACCTTGAGGCGTGCGATCTTTCCACCTCGCCGTCCTCTCCCTGCCTTCTACGCGCTGCTGCTGCTTGCAGCATGGTTCTATTCTCTTCTCCAGGCTTCTCAGAGTCCTCGCTCATCAGAATTCCACTATATCATAATCGGATGCTCGAAGAGCAGGCACTCCACGCGAGCGGATACCTTGAGGCGTGCGATCTTTCCACCTCGCCGTCCTCTCCCTGCCTTCTACGCGCTGCTGCTGCTTGCAGCATGGTTCTATTCTCTTCTCCAGGCTTCTCAGAGTCCTCGCTCATCAGAATTCCACTATATCATAATCGGATGCTCGAAGAGCAGGCACTCCACGCGAGCGGATACCTTGAGGCGTGCGATCTTTCCACCTCGCCGTCCTCTCCCTGCCTTCTACGCGCTGCTGCTGCTTGCAGCATGGTTCTATTCTCTTCTCCAGGCTTCTCAGAGTCCTCGCTCATCAGAATTCCACTATATCATAATCGGATGCTCGAAGAGCAGGCACTCCACGCGAGCGGATACCTTGAGGCGTGCGATCTTTCCACCTCGCCGTCCTCTCCCTGCCTTCTACGCGCTGCTGCTGCTTGCAGCATGGTTCTATTCTCTTCTCCAGGCTTCTCAGAGTCCTCGCTCATCAGAATTCCACTATATCATAATCGGATGCTCGAAGAGCAGGCACTCCACGCGAGCGGATACCTTGAGGCGTGCGATCTTTCCACCTCGCCGTCCTCTCCCTGCCTTCTACGCGCAGCTGCTGCTTGCAGCATGGTGCTATTCTCTTCTCCAGGCTTCTCAGAGTCCTCGCTCATCAGAATTCCACTATATCATAATCGGATGCTCGAAGAGCAGGCACTCCACGCGAGCGGATACCTTGAGGCGTGCGATCTTTCCACCTCGCCGTCCTCTCCCTGCCTTCTACGCGCTGCTGCTGCTTGCAGCATGGTTCTATTCTCTTCTCCAGGCTTCTCAGAGTCCTCGCTCATCAGAATTCCACTATATCATAATCGGATGCTCGAAGAGCAGGCACTCCACGCGAGCGGATACCTTGAGGCGTGCGATCTTTCCACCTCGCCGTCCTCTCCCTGCCTTCTACGCGCTGCTGCTGCTTGCAGCATGGTTCTATTCTCTTCTCCAGGCTTCTCAGAGTCCTCGCTCATCAGAATTCCACTATATCATAATCGGATGCTCGAAGAGCAGGCACTCCACGCGAGCGGATACCTTGAGGCGTGCGATCTTTCCACCTCGCCGTCCTCTCCCTGCCTTCTACGCGCAGCTGCTGCTTGCAGCATGGTGCTATTCTCTTCTCCAGGCTTCTCAGAGTCCTCGCTCATCAGAATTCCACTATATCATAATCGGATGCTCGAAGAGCAGGCACTCCACGCGAGCGGATACCTTGAGGCGTGCGATCTTTCCACCTCGCCGTCCTCTCCCTGCCTTCTACGCGCAGCTGCTGCTTGCAGCATGGTGCTATTCTCTTCTCCAGGCTTCTCAGAGTCCTCGCTCATCAGAATTCCACTATATCATAATCGGATGCTCGAAGAGCAGGCACTCCACGCGAGCGGATACCTTGAGGCGTGCGATCTTTCCACCTCGCCGTCCTCTCCCTGCCTTCTACGCGCTGCTGCTGCTTGCAGCATGGTTCTATTCTCTTCTCCAGGCTTCTCAGAGTCCTCGCTCATCAGAATTCCACTATATCATAATCGGATGCTCGAAGAGCAGGCACTCCACGCGAGCGGATACCTTGAGGCGTGCGATCTTTCCACCTCGCCGTCCTCTCCCTGCCTTCTACGCGCAGCTGCTGCTTGCAGCATGGTGCTATTCTCTTCTCCAGGCTTCTCAGAGTCCTCGCTCATCAGAATTCCACTATATCATAATCGGATGCTCGAAGAGCAGGCACTCCACGCGAGCGGATACCTTATTCTCTTCTCCAGGCTTCTCAGAGTCCTCGCTCATCAGAATTCCACTATATCATAATCGGATGCTCGAAGAGCAGGCACTCCACGCGAGCGGATACCTTGAGGCGTGCGATCTTTCCACCTCGCCGTCCTCTCCCTGCCTTCTACGCGCAGCTGCTGCTTGCAGCATGGTGCTATTCTCTTCTCCAGGCTTCTCAGAGTCCTCGCTCATCAGAATTCCACTATATCATAATCGGATGCTCGAAGAGCAGGCACTCCACGCGAGCGGATACCTTGAGGCGTGCGATCTTTCCACCTCGCCGTCCTCTCCCTGCCTTCTACGCGCTGCTGCTGCTTGCAGCATGGTTCTATTCTCTTCTCCAGGCTTCTCAGAGTCCTCGCTCATCAGAATTCCACTATATCATAATCGGATGCTCGAAGAGCAGGCACTCCACGCGAGCGGATACCTTGAGGCGTGCGATCTTTCCACCTCGCCGTCCTCTCCCTGCCTTCTACGCGCAGCTGCTGCTTGCAGCATGGTGCTATTCTCTTCTCCAGGCTTCTCAGAGTCCTCGCTCATCAGAATTCCACTATATCATAATCGGATGCTCGAAGAGCAGGCACTCCACGCGAGCGGATACCTTATTCTCTTCTCCAGGCTTCTCAGAGTCCTCGCTCATCAGAATTCCACTATATCATAATCGGATGCTCGAAGAGCAGGCACTCCACGCGAGCGGATACCAAACGTGTATTTTGACGAGTTTCACAGAAACCGCGCCAGAAAGGGAGTGCTTGTTGTGTATAACACTCTCCGATACACACAAACTCTTGTTTTTCCTCTCACAGCTTTGTTCTCTCTGCGCACGCACTGTCTCGGTGCCGCAAACATCATAGTTTACGACAATTAGCTTTCCGTGTGTTAGCTGAGTTCCTGCTACTCGGATTATTTTGTCTTGTTTTTTTCTTCTACACGGTCTCCAGAGCTGGCAATACGGGCCTGGCCTCGGCCAAATGGCGTTTTCATGAATTGAGCATGTTTTCTCTTATTTTTGTGGTCAACGGCGATGAAAAATGATTGTTTGACATGAAAACACACTAATTCTCAGAATTAATGACGTTTTGGCACATTTTTCGCGGACTTTGCTTTTTCGCCTTCGCCGCCGATCGCCGCCTAAAAACCGCACTTCTCATTTTGCGCTTTCTTGACCGTTTTCCGACAGTATTGGTTTTGATAATAATAAATCACGTAAATACAAGCATTTTGAGCGCTCGAACCGCGAAAACTACCGAAAAGCAACTGAAATTCATGCAGTTTTAGCCAAAAACCTTCAAACTTGACCAAATTTAACGCTCTTGCGCTTAAAAAATTCGTAATAGCCTATACAATCGGTCTATCAAGAGACAAATGAGAAATTATCGGTTTTTCGTGGCTCATTTGGCAAAAAACACATAATTTGCTGTTAAAATTTGAATTTCGCGCCAATGTATCGCTCTATTGGGCGGGGCACACTTGCGCCCATTGTCAGCTCTGGAGACCGTGTTCTACCTTTATTCAATCTGAATAAACGTGTCTTTGCGATACGCTCGTCTTCCGTCTTTTCCACCTCCTTGGTTCAATAACCTGCGAACATATCAGCGCTCTAGTGAAAAAGTCTGAGATTTCCACGCGTTCCGACCGCACAGACCTTGCAATCAGTACCACTTTTGAGTCAGCTTCAACGCGAACAGCCCTCATATCGATATTGAATCGCGTTTTGTTAAACGATCCGTGATGGCTCCCAAGATTCCCAAAGTAAGCTTTGCCGTACGCTCTCGTTTGACCAACAAATTGTCCCGTTCAGGAAGCTCTCGAGACGGCTCGCATGGTCCAGAAGCAACTGATCGAAGAATGGTTTCCGGCCGACTGGAGCACAATTCTCACCACCAAAACAATGTTGATCCTGGCCGACGCAGCCAAGGACATCTTGCTTTCGAGTCGGCAAATGTTGGAAGAAGTGTCCGGTCCGGTGAAGATCTTCGGAGACTTCCATGGCCAATTCGAAGATCTTCGCGCCGTCATGAAGCTCATCGGACTGCCCACCGACCCCAACAACTGCTACACGTAAGTGGAAAACGATATTATACTTCTCCACCCGCTGTATTTCAGCTACGTCTTCATGGGCGATTATGTGGACCGTGGACCGTTCCAACTCGAGGTCGTCGCTCTTCTCTTCTCGTTCTTCATCACTCACCCTGACCGCATCGTTCTTCTGCGTGGCAACCATGAGTGTCGCGCGGTCAATTTGATCTATGGGTTCTACAAGGAATGCTGCGTGCGGTTCGGGCCAACCGTCTATTCGGCCTGCCAGACCGCCTTCGACTGCCTGCCCGTCGCTGCACGAGTCAACTTCCGTGTCTTGTGCATGCACGGTGGGATTTCGAAAGACATCCTCCAATTGGAAAACCTGAACCTCATCCCCCGGCCGTGCGCTATCGGGACCAAAGGGCTCCTCTGTGATCTACTGTGGTCAGACCCGACTGATCAGGCGCCCGCTGGAACCGACAAGGACAACCAAGGATACCTCCCGTCGGAAAGGGGCGCAGGACACCTGTTTACCGAACAAGCCGTCACCAAGTTCCTGGCGAGACATCGGCTGGAGCTCGTCGTCCGCGCGCATCAAGTTGTGGATGACGGGTACGAATTCTTCGCCAACAACCAGCTTGTGACCATCTTCTCGGCTCCAATGTACTGCGCCACGTATGACAACAAGGGCGCAGTCCTCACAATTGACGAACACGGGGTGAGTCTCCTCTTCATTTTCGGTTTATTTCACTCGAATTATTGCAGAATTGTCAAATCGAGATATATATTCCGGAGCAGTTCGAGTTCAATGAAGATCGTCAGAAGCCCGGCCAACACTAGCAGCTCGTCGCTCCCGGTCCTCCTGATCACCCAACGTTTATTTAAATTTATATAAATCTACAGCGTAAATAAAACTAGAAAAAAAGTGAGCATTTAGGCGAGTCTCTTGTTGTTTTTCGGCAGTTACGTGGCAAACTTCGGCGCGGACGCCATGCTTCGCGAAGAATGCGAGCCAGAGTCGTTGTTTCGTGGACAGACGGTCGCCGGGTCCTTTCACTTCGACCACCTGCACAAAATGTATTATCATTTCTCGAAACTTTCGATAGGCGAACCGCCACTTGTTTCGTTTCCCGGTTCCAAAGTGTCAAATCGGGAAATCCGGATCGGCAATTTCGATAGTTTTCGGCCAAACGACGGAAGATTGCGATTAGGGCCTGGCGGGGAGTGCAGTGGAACAGATCCTGCGAAAAACTGAAGTTTCAAGAAAGTTTTTCGAATTGCAAATTATTATATTTTTGAACGTCTCAATCCGATTGGATCATCTGTAGTGACCAATCGGGCTGAAACTTTTGAGACTGCTAATATAGCTTCACATTTTTCGACAGATGCTTGAATTTCATTATGTTTCGTCGTTTTTCCCAAAAAAACTGACCACACACTCGTCGACTCCGCCCGGGAACAGTTTCCACGAGCACTCTCGGTTCGTTTCCTCCTTCTTGAGGTCCCAAATTCTGCGGATTTTCTCCTCGATTCGCTCGTTTTCCGTCTCTTCCAACCACTCGAATCGGTCGTCGAATTTTGCCGCCCGTTTCGAGTACAACGAGTTGCTCAGATCGATCGGACTGTCTTGCACTTCGCTCAACCACGTCGACGATGGCGTCTCGGGGCTTCCGTCGGGGAAGATGACTTCATAGAAGAGGATTCCGAACAAGGTGTGCCACGTGGCACCTTCATCGTGTAGGCCTGCAAAAATCCTCTAGAACTCTCAATTTTTCGCGATTTCTTACCGTTTCTAAATCCTTCGTCGTCCAGATACCGTATCCTGGCGACTTCCTCCACCGACACCTCGACATCTTCCTCCTTGTCGACGTCCCGAATCACGAAACGATTGACACGCCTGTCGCCCAGATTTTTCGTGATCGTCGGCGCCGAAATCGTCCGTGTTTCGGGTTGTCCAATCAAGATTTTCGGTCGGAAGTCCTCGTCGACCCCCTTCAATTTCAGCGCGCGGTCCTGGATCAAGAGGAGCTCTTTTTCGAGCACCGACGGGTCTTCCATCGCCAATTTTATCATTTTCGCGCATTCGTTGCGCTCCTGAAATTAAGGGAGGTTAGGCTTCTGAAGAAGAGCAAAAAGATCGTCACTTTTAGATGCGAGTCCAAATTAAGCAAAAGTCGATCCCACCAGGTGCCGCGCGAGTCCAGACAGTAGTGCTTGAAGTCTGAAATTCAATTTTCATGTGTTTTGTGAGAATGTTGAAGTTTCGTCGTAAAATTCTAAAATTTCACTCATATTCCGGTAATTTTCACAGTCCGTGTTTCTCAAACTGCTCATGATCTATCAGATATTGTTCTGTGACCGGAATGATCGGAACAATGCATCGAAATTTGTGCATTTTTCTTCTTGTACCTTCGGAAAGCAATAGATCTTTGTGCCACTCGACGGCCATTCCCCACTTTTTCTGCTTCTCCAGAATTGTGGCTCCGTGTGCGAAACACCGCGTCAGCACCCAAATCGCCGTGAATTTCCGCTCGTGCACCTCCAAACTCTCATAGTAGGCTTTCTGCTCGGCAGACATGGATTTGATGAAATCTTTGGCGTCGATGGCCAGGTCGAGAGCTGTTCCAAGTGCTCCGCCCGCCATTATCGTCACCAGCATAGTTTCCATCGACTTTGCCGTTGTGTAACTGCAAAAGAAGGGGCATGGCTTGCAATTTTAGGGCTACAATTTGAATTTTCAGTTTAGCAGCGAACTAATTTTCTAAAAACAAAAAAATTAAAACCAACTCCATCAACATTTCGCGACTTTTGTAAAAACTGACAATATTCGGACACGGATTGGGAGCTGGAAATCTAACGGAGCCGTTATCGATTGAGAGCATCATGTACCTGCAGAAAGCGTTTTCGAGAAAAGAAAAAAGAAAAAGACAGACAATAGTTCTTGATGAACATTCGAAGCCGACGGGTTTTCGATGGCATGCACCGAGTTGGTGGTGTACGGGCAATAGATTGTGAAAAAAGCCTGAAAATCACTAATTTTTTCCAAGTTTATGGAACTATTTCACCAAAACCTTGAGCAAATCGATGATATCATTCTGAATTCGAACACAAGTACCCAATTCCTGTTTCAGAGTCCGCAAAAGAGACTGTTCGACGCTTCCGACGCCACCGAATATGGATCTCTGCGATTGACCGAATTTCCGAATCGATTGCACCAGTTCCACTCGATTCTGAGTTCGAATTCATTATTGTTAGAGTATTTTCTATTAAAAATACCTGGCAACTGTCGATTTTGAACTTTTTCGCCACGTTTTTCAAGACGGACAGGTCGGCGAGAGCGATGGCGTCGTCCAGAGACTTCAGAGAAGAATCTGCAAGCGTTTTGTCGATGTTTGCGAAATTATTACAACAAACTCACCATCCTCAATGAATTTCCATCGGGCCAGCTCCACGGCCGCTTGAGAAATGTCTGGAATTTCGGGATATCTGAAAATAATGGAATTTTTTCGAATAGTTCAAGTTTCCGCCTACTTTTGTCGCAATTTCTCCAGATTGTGCCAGGCGGGTTTTCTGATGAAAAGACGGCAAAGAAGACATTTGGCAGCTTCGGAGACTTGATCAACGAATCGGAAAAGTGTGGTTATGTCGTCGGGCGTCCAGAAATCGTCCGCGTAGAATGTTCCGTCGGATTTCTGTGTCGAAAGTACTCTTTTTATGATTTTCAGAGTATACTTCATGTAGTACGGCCACACATGCTCCACTCCTTCGATTCTGCTGTCGAAATTCTGAAAATTTCCAATTTTTGATTTGAAAACGGGGGATTTGACGTATGGTATAATGCAAAGTACGAATGCATCGCTTGCCTCAGACTTGACATCAGAATCTACAGCTTTCATTAGAAAATCGTAAAAATGATTGTTGTTTGGGCGGAACGAAAAGATTCCTTCATGTAAATAACTGAAAATCGTACACGTGCTCACCTGAATCGCAGTCAAAACTTCTCGAACAGTGGCTGTCTCTTTTTTCACAACGGTTCCTGCACTTTTCGAATTTTCTCCAGCTTTTTGTGCTTCTTTCGCTAGTCCTGCGGATCTTCGACGATTTTCCCACAACGGAGACTCTTTGATCACATTTTCACAGACCGGATCCTTGGAAGTTGACGGAATTGGAGCGGGCGTGCTGAAAAATTGTGAAATACTTCAGAAGTAGTGTTTTTTCAGACAGCTCACTTTTCCTTCTCTTTCTGTTCTTCTGTTCGTCGCCGTTTGACAGAATTTCCAGGAGCTTCGGGGGTTTTTGAAATTTCTTCCGGAATTCGAGCAGAATCTTTGGAATATCCTGATTTCTCGTTCAGACTCTCTTCGCCGAGCACGATTTCAGGGCCGGCTCGCATGAGAACTGCTTCTTCACGACTGTACGAGGCGATAACCTGAAAAAAGGCATTTTCTTGCGTTTGTCTAATTTTTCAGCGAACTACCGCGATTTCCTCATCGTTTTCGGCCACCGAACAACCGTTCATGTGAGTTTTGTAAGCGGCCAACGAGAATTTCACCTTACACAACGGACAAGTCTGGAACTGACAAATTTGGAGAATGTTCACTCAAAAAACTAACTTTTCCGTTAATTTGCTTTTCAAACGCAGCCATTATCGATCGATTGTAGCTGACCGGCTCTTCTGCCTTCAACGCCGTGTCTTTTTTCTCTTTTTTCGCTTTTTTCATCTTGAAATCTACTGAAAATGGCGAAATTCACATGAAAATTAGACAGACGGACAAGGATTTTGAATTGTGTGAAAGTCCGGCCATGTAGCATGTTTCTCGGCCAGCGATGAGTTTCTCGGGAATGTCTCGCAGAAACTAACAGTATCTGACATAAATGTGCAAAATGATACCAAACACATTTTCAAATAAATTTTAAGCATCTGAGAACTTGAATTGACCTCACTACTTTTATTAAATAAAAATAACAATAACAATAGAAATTGTATTGCCTACTCCTTTTTCTCCGATTGATCGGTGGCGCTCTTCATCTTCTTGATGTTGTCCGGGTTGCGCGGATTCTTAACCCCCACGACGAACTGTTTCTTTTCGAAGAAATTGGCCGTGCTTGGAAGTTGCTTCCTGTAATCCACATATCGTTCGCTGGAGCAGACTTGGTTAACTCACTTGTCGTACACGCTCAACACCGTTGTCTTGGGGAGAATCCATTTGAGCGTGGGCTTCACCGGATTCGCAACATTTTTTTCCATCTGTTTGCGGAACGCCTGAAAAAATTAGATATGAAACAGTTTTGCCGTCTCATTCGTGGTTACTTCGCTGCTTCTCAGAACGTCTTCAGCGGCGTTAAACGCATCGAGACACGCCGGTGCGCTTCCCTCATTCAATGCAGTTTTGTAGAGGAGGGCCTCCGAAGAGGTGAGTGTCGGATGCGCCTCGTTCATCAATTTAATGTCCGATTCGGATTTTGAGACTGACTTTGAATCGGTCGTCGAAGCGGAAATGGTCGGCGGCGACGGCCCGACGAGCATTCTGTGTTTCCCAGATTTCGATCGGCCGCACTCTTCCTCCGCATCAGCCTGCCAGAGGAGCACACCGTCGCTTGACAGCGCCTGCTTGTCCTTCGCCGTGTACTGCTTTCTTGGGTTGTAATTCCGCGGGTCGTTCCTGAAATACTCGGCCACGACGAACTTCGGAGTGATCAGAGTGGTCCTGCAAACTTTTTCGTAAATAATTGAAACGATTCATGGGTTGTGCTAAACTCACGATTCGAGCGAAGCGTCCTTTTTGATGACGGGCGAGACAGAGGAAGGCGACGACGACGGCGAGGCCGGATTCGGCGAGGGCGTGGACGTACGTGGTGTGGTCGTACGACGCTTCGACGACGGAGAAGGCGACGGGGAAGGCGACGGGGAAGACGACGGACGACGCTTCGTCGAAGGGGAAGACGACGGGGAAAGCGACGGGGAAGACGACGGACGACGCTTCGTCGACGGGGAAGCCGACGGGGAAGGCGACGGAGAAGGCGACGAACTTTTGGCCCGTCTCCCTTGGCGGTTCATTGTCGGATGTCGAGATGCAGATGTCCGTCTGAAATTTCTGGATTTTTTTCCGAAAACCCGAAATTTCATCGGAAAATGAGAAAAATGAAGTAAAACAGAGAATTTCAGGATTGTTAGTGACAGCTGTAACCTTAAATTAGCGTTTTGCCCACAAGAAAGCGCGCATTATTACACTTTTCTGTGAATTTCAGTCCGGATCCTCAAAAACTGAAATTTCTCAGTCATTTTTGCATTTTATGGACCGTCTCTGTGCTCAAAATGACCGCCTTTGTCTGCTGAACAATCTTGAGGCGACTGTTTTTTGATTCTGTCAACTGTTTTCTCAAATCTTCCGAAAGTTCGTTTTTTCAAGCTAACTTTAAAAAACGAAATTACTCTTCACAGGTGAAATGCGGTTTAGCAATTATACAATTGCGCCAATTCTAGACAAATCCCGAACAAATATTTGGGAATTTTTGTTTAGATTTGCCGAGAACTTGTCTAGAATTAGCGCAATTGTATAATTGCAAAACCGCATTTCACCTGTGTTCGAATTTACACTTTTACACGAGCACTCTGTGATCATTTTGTAGCTATCGGTCATATGAACAAACGTGAGGCAAAAGTTTTGAAGGAAAACTGTGCATAATCCCAAAAACTCGGGAAAACATCATTTTCAGTTGAAAAACCGTATCCCGTAAATCGACACTGAGGGCTGCACGCAAAAAAGCGCGCGAAAATTTTTTTCGCCGAATGGGAGATAGTGCGCCACGTTCACCGAGTCCGTGACAAAAGGTCGGAAAATCAAAAAGGGCGGAAGACAAAAGGTCGGAAAAAGTGCGGAAAGGTCGGAAAAAAATGCCAAAAAGGTCGGAAGAAAATGACAAAAGATCAGAAAAGGGAGAAAGCGCGCCACACTGTGCAACACCGTCACGCAAAATTGCACAATTGTTTGTTCGAAGGCAGATAAACAGTTTTAGAAGCTTCAATTTGGGGAGAAACAATGAAAACAAAAAATTAATGTTTTCATCGATTGACTTGACTTTCAGAGATTCGCCGCTCCAATCGAGCGTAAATTTCGAAATCCGGTTTTGCAAACTTCACTCTTTCCTTCTTTGTCCTTCGATTTTGGCGTCAGAAGATACTTTAGAGGTTGTAACTCAATGAAAGTCAATGAAAAAGTTGTTGATGTTTAGGGTCCGACAAGCAGAGATACGCCATGCGAAACCCTGTGAATCCGAATACAACAGGACGAATTCTTGCTTTCGTTGATATAACCGATAAACCGGGAGATGAATTTCAAGAGCCCGTCGTAGCTGCTCCAGAATTTTGTTCGCGTGAGCATGACGTGATGGATTTCGTACTATCAGAAAGTTCCGGCGGAGAAGAGGGATCCGTAAACGAAGGTAGTTATCACGCAAAATCACAGAAACTTCGCTGTTTACAGGCAATTCGCGACGTCTCAAGGGCAGCGGCTTTCCATTTGCAACAAAATGCCGCACCGTTCGTCATCCCGACGACTGTTGCGGCGATTCTTTGCCCACTTCCACTTCTTCTCGCGTCGGAGATGCGAAACGCAAGAGTCGCCGCACATTTGAACGTTCAGAGCAATCCATCGTTCATGGAGATCATCAAAAATGTTAGACCACGTTTTCAGTGGAAAATTACTTCGCGGCCTAGAAATTCGGCCAGATTGCGAACAGCGCGCCCTTTCTGTCCGGTGCCCCTATAATAGTTTGATTGACCTTTCCGTGGCACCCTTCTCTAATCGTCCAAGTTTCCGGAACTTTCTTCAGTTCCTCCTATAAGAAAATCAGTGTTCAATTCACTGTTCGGCGAGCAAGTGCAACAAAAGAAGAGTTAATTTGACACTAAGGTGAGCCCCGGGTTGTTTCAGAGACAAATTCAGCGCATTTTCAGACGTACTGTTCAAGCCATGCGTCTGTTCGCCGTTCTAGGCCTCATCACCTTGTGTCGTGGATGGGATGTTCGGAACGAGCCGTTGAGATTCGCGAGACGGCTCAATCCTGGAGGAATCAGCTCGACCGCCACTTCCGATCCGACTCCAAATTCTACTTCGACTTCTGATCCTACTCCGGCTCCGACTCCTGCCCCCGCTCCCCCGAAGACACCAGTTCCGATTCTGAAAAGTTAGTTTTCCAGCACTTCGTGGTCCTTTCTAGAACATCCATTATTCAAACAGTGTGATTTTATTGTTGATTTCAGCGAATACTTCGCTCCGCCAAATCTCCGACGACTTCTCTATCCTTGGACGGATCGTGAACACGATTGCCATCCAGGAGGGACTCTCCAACGATTCCATCCGACTCGTGGATCTTCTCGCCGAACTGTACGACTTGGAATCAGGGAATGGACTGATGAGACTGAAGGAAATGAAGGTGGATCCTAGAACTGTGTCCGGTGAGTTGGACAAGATCTTGGGTATTGTCGGAAATCTGAAGAAAGATGCGATAAATGATCCGACGAATGTGAAAAACGGCATTGTGACACTCATGGAAATAAAGCACAAACTCCCTGATTTCGAGGCGGGACTCAACGAAACAGCCACGGAGGACTTGGTCGCAAAGTTTGAGAACGTATCCGGGATTCAATTCATCAATGGAGACTTCTTGGACACTTCTAAATTTGAAAGTGTAGTAGAGCAAATAACTACTATAAAAAAGAATCAAGAAATAAGTAATACAGGTGTACTCACCCTTCTCGATGGTGCATTGAAGCAGATATTGCATCTCACGGCCCCTCTCTTGGATCGGTTCCAATCGTTCAAAGATTACAAGTCAAAGTTGAGCAATGTGATGGCTGTGAAAGATCTGCACAAGGTGATTGAACCGGTCCTCGTGATCTCCCAAGCAGTCCGAGAATACAGCCAAAACTCGGAGGCGTTTATTTCTCTTCCGTCCAAGTTGTCTGAATTGAAAGCTGAATTAGACATCTTCATTCCAATCGCCGCGAAACATCAATCATTCTCGGCAGTCAATGCTGCCCTCAAGATCGCTCATCCGTTCGTGATTGAGCTGATATCTCCGAGGACTTCCGGACGTATTCTGACCAGAGCGTTCCCGAACGGAGCCAAGGACTATGCTCGGTTCCCGAAAGACATCCGAAGCGAGTGGTTCAAGGAGACGATCGCCTGCGGAAAGGACGTGAAACGATTAGAAGACGCTCTCGACCACTCAAGACACTTCAGCGAGCAGGTGTCGGAGTTGGATGCGAGCTGGCAGAAGTTCCGGAACATTTCCCACGTCGCCAACTTCACTGATCGGCTAGTGAACTCGACAAGCAGTTTGGCAAAGGATGGAGAGGAATTGGCTGGAATCAAGGACTTGAAACCTTCGATTGAAACGGTTGCGAATGCGGTCCAATCTCTGAAGAATATCACATGTGCTCCACCATTTGATGATATTCAAAAAGTCAATGATTATGTGAAAAACATCAATGAGCTCATTGTGCGAATGGAACAAGCGATTGAAAGTGTCATGCAAAACACAACTCAAAATGTGACAGCAAGTATGACAACAATTGCCAAAGTAGCTAATAAAATTACGAATAATCCTGCAAATATAGCTGCCATGATTAAAGATTTCATAGAACTTCCTGAAATCCAAATGGTCGTCGATCATATGAACTTCGTCAATGCCACTCTCAGTCCCTTCTCAGCAGTCAAACTTGAAGCGGCCTTTAGCAACGTTCCTGACTTTAGTTCGATCAAATCAATACAGTCCTGTCTTAAGGAAACTGGACTAGTTGGCACTCTGAAGCTTCTTCAATCCGGCAACTATAACTCGGACGGAGTCGGAAGGGTCTTCCGCTTCGAAAGCGCTATTCAAGAATTGACAACTTCCGATGTCACAACAGCCAAAGTTCTGTTCGACACGATGGACAAGATGAAAGAGGCGGTCGTGGGCGTGATCGGAAAATCAGGAACGTCGATGAGAAGACGTCGGGCACTCGACGACAAGCTGGCGCTGAGCAACTTGGAGAAGTCGGAGGAAGTGGCGACGAGCGTTGCGAGAGGAGTAGACACACTCCGGATGATGTCCGACGTGCTCGACAAGAAGAAACAGGTGCTGGCGGCGGCCGATGCTCCACCAGAAGTGAATGCAGTCATCGGAGCACTTCCGACGGTCAACGCGTCCTGGACGAGCATCACGAAAGAATCCATGAGGAAGCTGATCAAGGATCTGGTGAATGTGGACAGCTACGCGAAGGATCTGGCGGAAGAGACCGATCTTCTGAAGATCGGAACTGTGTTCGACAAGGCTGGAACAGTGGCAGGAGTCAAACTGAATACTCGACTTCTTGCGGACTCTATATCTGAAACTCTGCAGAACTCCACCAGTCAGAAAGCCAAGAACCTTGAGCCGACTTTCCACGAACTCGGACGGCTCGAACTGGACTTCGCCAGCCACAAGGACGATTTCACGGCGGCCTCTCTCGCTCTGACCCGACTCCGCACCTTCTTCGACGACTTTTTCGGCATCGATCGGGCGACTTCGTTGGTGACGGGGACGGAGGATTCGACGCCGACCGTCGCCTGGTACCACATCGTCATTGGCGGCAGCGCCCTCGTCGTCTTGATCATTCTGATCTTTGTGGTTAGAAAGGCGCGGAAGATGTTGAAGAGAAGGCGAGACTATATTAGTGAGTTTCTTCCGTAATCCCGTGCAAACACTCTGAAATTTCAGGAATCGACGACAGGAGAGAACGTCCCGACAGGCGCCGCAACGCTGTCACCAACGACAATATGCATCGAACTTTGGGACACACCGACTTGCATCTGGCCCTAAAGCAGGCGAAATGGAACGAAGTCTTCCGTCTGGTCCATGAAGGCAACTGTTTCATCAACGGATACAGTAAGCATCATCCGGAGAGGTGCCGAGTAAACTTTGCAATTGCAGTGTACGATTGGCCGAACGCTTGGACACCACTCCAGTACGCTTTCAAGAAAAGGGCGCCCGACTGGGTCGTCGAGGCGATGCTTGAACACGGCGCCGATCTGTTCCAGAGAGACACTGAGAACAACACGGCCATGGACTATCTACTGAAAATCCACCCGAAGATTGACGATAAAACGTACTCGAAAGGATGGAGAGGTTGGTACGAATGGATCCGAAATGAAGAAGAGTATCCGCTTCGGTCGATAATCCGCCACAAAAAGTTCTACAAGTACCAGATGAGTGAGTGTCTGTTTTTGTCTTCCAACTCGCTTCCGATCGACGATTTGCAGAACCGCCGATCATTCTCCACCCCGAAAACTTTTGCGTTCACTTTGACTTATATATCGGAACATATAAAATTGATAAATTCGCGAAACTTTTCAGAGGACGGGTCAGTTTGAAGTGGGGGGGAAAGCACACAGATCTTCGGTTTTGTTTTCAGTGCAATCCCGAAAGCTTCTACGAGCCGAACAGAATGGCCACTCACTTTGTGGTGAGCGACGAAGGCACCGGCACAGTGGACCTAGACACGAGATGGGATTTGCTTCCGCGACTGTTCAGTCCGACGATCCTGATGACGGAAGCGTGGCTGGAAATGGTGACTTACAATGGATTGAATAGCTTGGAAGGATGGACCAACGACTACGATTACCGGATCACGAAGGCCAAGTACAAAGACCGTATCTACACGACTGTCGAGCTGATCAACTCTATGTATCATCAGATGGTTTGTCGTTTCGCATTGATCTCCTCGATTAGACCCACTTTCAGAGCATTCCCTACTTGATTGGAGCCAAGGTTCTGCCTCTTGATAACACCAAAATCAGATCAAATCAAACCACCTTCGTTCTCAACGTGGTTCCCTTGTTAGGCGGATTGAACCGGGACGATCTGGCAAAAGACGACTACCGAGAAACCTGGTTCTACAATGACCATGTGTCGGCAGAGTTGCATTTCGGCGTCGAGGAAGAGCGAGCAGCATTCATGGAAGTTAAGGAACGAGTCTACGATCTTCATTCGGATTCCGCATACTTTGCGTTCACCACAGAGAGTGAGCTCTTGTCGAAAATACTCGCCATGAGTGTTGTGACGAACAAAAAGGTGAAGTTGCTCTACTGTGATCCAGCTGACTACGCGTACAGCGAACCGACAAACTTTTGGAATCCGCTGAATTGGGTGCGAAGACCGAAGGACCCGAAGATTGAATTGTGGAAGAAGGAGGAGGCGGAGGCGAGAGCGAGATGGATTGAGTCGCTCGAAGATTTGAAAGATCCGCGAAAGAAGAAGAAGGCAAAAGTCGCGAAACCTGTGAAAGGCGGATCCCACTCGACAAAGCCGATTCTCGACACGAGAGAGCCGTCCAACTCGCAAAAGAAAATGGTGACGCAGAAAAAGCCGACTCCGGCGGCGTCGACCTAAAGCAAACTTGATATAATTGATCCTATTTTACTCGTCTCGATTTCATCTTAATAAAATCGTTTCGAAGTTTATATTTTTGCTCGCAATTTTCGCGAACGAGCACTATTGCGGAGAGAGCGCAGAGAAATAGAGAGTAGCGAGCGGGATGGGCAATTTATCGGCCGCCACCTGCCTGCTTGCACTTTTTCTGTGTTTTCGCTCGTGCGAGAATGTTCTATTCTTTTTTTTTTGGCTGAAAACTTAAGTACTCGGAATCACTGCTTTTCTCTGCTTTTTCGGTTCGAATCGCTTGACGAAATTCGTTCAAGCCGAGAGAAAGATTGTCTGGCGCGATCGCGATCGGCAAATCGAAAGTTTTCCGAGTGATAACGAAAGAAAGAGAGCGTGATAACGGCCGATTGATTATCACCTCGTGACTTAAACAACGATCAAGCGATCAAGTTGCGAACGTAGTTTTTGGCTGGGGGTTTTGCGAATTTGGACCAGTGGGCCGGACTATTTATTTAGGAATTACAGGGTGGTCCACCGTTACCCGTACAAAAGTTTTACGCGGCGCGCGTAGGTACTGACGCAATTCTGGTGTGGCCCTAATTCAAAATTTTGTATATTATCATGTTCTTAACTATTTGGCCAAGTCTCAGACCAAACTGATTTGTTTCAGCCGAATAGCACCGATTAGTCTGCACCCCGTTCCCATAGTACGCTTTTTCACTGAGGGGTGAGCAGACAAACCATCATGAAATGTGATGTGGAAATGAGTCCAATATCCGTGTAAATCACTCTAAAATGCAAGCTGAGTCCGTGCCATGATTTCTTGTCCCATCAGCTGAACACGCCAATCTCAACGCGTTTTCATCGATCATGGTGACAAAATCAGAAAAGTACGTTATGTAGATGAGACGTCAACAAAGAAACGTTTTCTTCGGTCTCACAAATACTTTGGAGAACAACATTGGGTGTTAGATTAGGATAATACGCCTGCTCACACGGACAAGATCATTTAGCAGTGGTTCCAGGCCAATTTGGCAGCGTTCATCAAGAAGGAAAAATGGTCCGATTTCTCGCCGGACCATTTTTTGTTGGACTATTCGTTGTTGGGGTCTTACAGGCCAATATAAAGGCTAAACCCCAGACAAGTAGGGGAGTGATAAAAAAATTCCTTGCCAGGTAGGGGCTCAATCTGTCCACGGACTTCCCGCGTGCCGCGGCAAACTGTTACTTCGGAAGTCTTCGGGCTGTCATTGTTAGGAAAGGAGGTCGGGTGCAACACTATTAGCTTATAAATATTGTCAAACATCTTAGTAAACGTTTTGTTAAGTCTCATGTCTTTCTGACTTCTAGTTTTGGAATTACACAACTTTTATTTTGTACGGGTAACGGTGGACCACCCTGTATGTGGATGGCCGTAAAAGAGACCGAAAGGGCTTTTTTGCTCGCATCCACACTTTGCACACTTCTTGGACAGTCGGGGAATAGGATATCCGGTTTCTCACAGCCTCAAACTAATATGTGCCGCATCGAATCGACAAGTAACATGCATTCTAGTAAAGAACTCTAAACAAAGTTGGATAAATTTAAAAAAAGCAACAGCAGAAACATTTTGTGCGAGAACCGAATGAAAAATCGGATGCGAACAATGCTTTACATCATTCTATTTCGAGAACAGTGGGTCTAGACAAGTCGTTTTTCGCGCAGTTCCATTTCGAAATCGCACCAACAATAACCGTTTTTCAGGTAAAAAATCCGGAAGCGCGAAAGACGGGCGACAAAATCGAAGTGTTCTATTCACGCAAGACGACAGTCGTCTCGCCGACCAATTCAGATGATGAGGAGGCGGACTTTTGCTCCGACTCGGAACTTCTTCCCTCGTCGCAAGAGGGACATCGCTCCAGAGCCACGTCGTTCCACGGAAGGGTTCGAGCTGGCAGCGACGACGAGACGGCCAACCCGAAGCACACTGTTCTCAGGTTCGGCAGGCTACGACTTGGTCCAAAAAGTTCCCATTTTTAGCAACTTTACCGCACTCTTTAGAGGAGTCTTGCAGTAACTCTTCGTATTTAACATTCCGTTTTCAGATATCGCCGCAAAAAGGGCGGTCAGTGGCGAGAGGTGAACGCGCAAGGGACGCCCGACAAGCGGAAAGACGATGAGGACGAACTGGAGGTGGATGTGAAGGAGGACCGGTCCGAGCAGACGGGCGTCGTCACGAAGACGTACGAGGCACGGTGGAAGGTGCTCAAGTACGAGCATCTGCCCGAGTGGCTGCAGGATAACGAGTTTCTAAGGTGAATTCGGACACTTCACTCATTTTCGAACACTTCTCAACGTGTTTCGTTCAGACACGGCCACCGTCCGCCACTCCCCTCGTTCTCCGAATGCTTCAAAGTATTCTGTCGCTGCACACGGAAACTGGCAACATTTGGACGCATCTCATCGGATGCGTCGCCTTCTTTCTTCTCGCCTGCTGGTTCTTCACGAGACCCGACAATCACATTCAGTTCCAGGAGAAGGTATCGCGCTTTTCTGCCACCAAGCATTCTATCGAAACAGATTTTGCAAAAGACGATAAAATTGAAGTCTTCTTTCAGGTCGTCTTCTCGTTCTTCTTCGTCGGCGCCGTCCTCTGTCTCGGTCTCTCGTTCGCATTCCACACGCTCTCATGCCACTCGGTGAACGTCGTCAAACTGTTCTGCAAACTAGACTACATGGGCATATCGCTGCTCATCATCGGCTCCTTCATTCCCTGGATCTACTACGGCTTCTACTGTCGTCGCGAGCCCAAAATCACGTACATCGCAATGGTTTGCGTGCTCGGCATCGGCGCGATCGTCGTCTCGTTGTGGGACACGCAACTGATCGAGGAATGGTTCCCGGCCGACTGGAGCACAATTCTCATCACCAAAACAATGTTGATCCTGGCCGACACAGCCAAGGACATCTTGCTTTCGAGTCGGAAAATGTTGGAAGAAGTGTCCGGTCCGGTGAAGATCTTCGGAGACTTCCATGGCCAATTCGAAGAGATAGAGATCTTTGAAACGCCTTTTAGTCTTTTTGTTTGTCCGCTCGAAACACGGTTGTGATTTCATGAAAATCTTCCCGATAACGTTGTGCAAATCAGAAAACGGTTGGTGGTAGTTTGTTTGACCTTTCCGTGGCACCCTTCTCTAATCGTCCAAGTTTCCGGAACTTTCTTCAGTTCCTCCAATAAGAAAATCAGTGTTCAATTCACTGTTCGGCGAGCAAGTGCAACAAAAGAAGAGTTAATTTGACACTAAGGTGAGCCCCGGGTTGTTTCAGAGACAAATTCAGCGCATTTTCAGACGTACTGTTCCAGCCATGCGTCTGTTCGCCGTTCTAGGCCTCATCACCTTGTGTTGTGGATGGGATGTTCGGAACGAGCCGATGAGATTCGCGAGACGGCTCAATCCTGGAGGAATCAGCTCGACCACCACTTCCGATCCGACTCCAAATTCTACTTCGACTTCTGATCCTACTCCGGCTCCGACTCCTGCCCCCGCTCCCCCGAAGACACCAGTTCCGATTCTGAAAAGTTAGTTTTCCAGCACTTCGTGGTCCTTTCTAGAACATCCATTATTCCAACAGTGTGATTTTATTGTTGATTTCAGCGAATACTTCGCTCCGCCAAATCTCCGACGACTTCTCTATCCTTGGACGGATCGTGAACACGATTGCCATCCAGGAGGGACTCTCCAACAATTCCATCCGACTCGTGGATCTTCTCGCCGAACTGTACGACTTGGAATCAGGGAAAGGACTGATGAGGCTGAAGGAAATGAAGGTGGATCCTAGAACTGTGTCCGGTGAGTTGGACAAGATCTTGGGTATTGTCGGAAATCTGAAGAAAGATGCGATAAATGATCCGACGAATGTGAAAAACGGCATTGTGACACTCATGGAAATGAAGGACAAACTCCCTGATCTCGAGGCGGGACTCAACGAAACAGCCACGGAGGACTTGGTCACTAAGTTTAAGATAGTATCCGGGCCTCTATTCATCAATGGAGACTTCTTGGACACTTCTAAATTTGAAAGTGTAGTGGAGCAAATAACTACTATAAAAAAGAATCAAGAAATAAGTGATACAGAAGTAATCGCCCTTCTCGATGGTGCATTGAAGCAGATATTGCAACTCACGGTCCCTCTCTTGGATCGGTTCCAATCGTTCAAAGATTACAAGTCAAAGTTGAGCAATGTGATGGCTGTGAAAGATCTGCACAAGGTGATTGAACCGGTCCTCGTGATCTCCCAAGCAGTCCGAGAATACAGCCAAAACTCGGAGGCGTTTATTTCTCTTCCGTCCAAGTTGTCTGAATTGAAAGCTGAATTAGACATCTTCATTCCAATCGCCGCGAAACATCAATCATTCTCGGCAGTCAGTGCGGCCCTCAAGATCGCTCATCCGTTCGTGATTGAGCTGATATCTCCGAGGACTTCCGGACGTATTCTCACCAGAGCGTTCCCGAACGGAGCCAAGGACTATGCTCGGTTCCCGAAAAGACATCCGAAGCGAGTGGTTCAAGGAGAAGATCGCCTGCGGAAAGGACGTGAAACGATTAGAAGACGCTCTCGACCACTCAAGACACTTCAGCGAGCAGGTGTCGGAGTTGGATGCGAGCTGGCAGAAATTCCGAAACATTTCCCACGTCGCCAACTTCACTGATCGCCTAGTGAACTCGACAAGCAGTTTGGCAAAGGATGGAGAGGAATTGGCTGGAATCAAGGACTTGAAACCTTCGATTGAAACGGTTGCGAATGCGGTCCAATCTCTCAAGAATATCACATGTGCTCCACCATTTGATGATATTCAAAAAGTCAATGATTATGTGAAAAACATCAATGAGCTCATTGTGCGAATGGAACAAGCGATTGAAAGTGTCATGCAAAACACAACTCAAAATGTGACAGCAAGTATGACAACAATTGCCGAAGTAGCTAAAAAAATTAAGAAAAATCCTGCAAATATAACTGCCATGATTAAAGATTTCATCGAACTTCCTGAAATCCAAATGGTCGTCGATCATATGAACTTCGTCAATGCCACTCTCAGTCCCTTCTCAGCAGTCAAACTTGAAGCGGTCTTTAGCAACGTTCCTGACTTTAGTTCGATCAAATCAATACAGTCCTGTCTTAAGGAAACTGGACTAGTTGGCACTCTGAAGCTTCTTCAATCCAGCAAATATGACTCGGACGGAGTCGGAAGGGTCTTCCGCTTCGGAAGAGCTATTCAAGAATTGACAACTTCGGATGTGAGAACAGCCAAAGTTCTGTTCGACACGATGGACAAGATGAAAGAGGCGGTCGTGGGCGTGATCGGAAAATCAGGAACGTCGATGAGAAGACGTCGGGCACTCGACGACAAGCTGGCGCTGAGCAACCTGGAGAAGTCGGAGGAAGTGGCGACGAGCGTTGCGAGAGGAGTAGACACACTCCGGATGATGTCCGACGTGCTCGACAAGAAGAAACAGGTGCTGGCGGCGGCCGATGCTCCACCAGAAGTGAATGCAGTCATCGGAGCACTTCCGACGGTCAACGCGTCCTGGACGAGCATCACGAAAGAATCCATGAGGAAGCTGATCAAGGATCTGGTGAATGTGGACAGCTACGCGAAGGATCTGGCGGAAGAGACCGATCTTCTGAAGATCGGAACTGTGTTCGACAAGGCTGGAACAGTGGCAGGAGTCAAACTGAATACTCGACTTCTTGCGGACTCTATATCTGAAACTCTGCAGAACTCCACCAGTCAGAAAGCCAAGAACCTTGAGCCGACTTTCCACGAACTCGGACGGCTCGAACTGGACTTCGCCAGCCACAAGGACGATTTCACGGCGGCCACTCTCGCTCTGACCCGACTCCGCACCTTCTTCGACGACTTTTTCGGCATCGATCGGGCGACTTCGTTGGTGACGGGGACGGAGGATTCGACGCCGAACGTCGCCTGGTACTACATCGTCATTGGCGTCGGCGCCCTCGTCGCCTTGATCATTCTGATCTTTGTGGTTAGAAAGGCGTGGAAGGTGTTGAAGAGAAGGCGAGACTATATTAGTGAGTTTCTTCCGTAATCCCGTGCGAACACTCTGAAATTTCAGGAATCGACGAGTACCTGAAAGATCCTCTCAACTGGCGCCACAACGCATTCACCAACGACAATATGCATCGAACTTTGGGACACACCGACTTGCATCTGGCCCTAAAGCAGGCGAAATGGAACGAAGTCTTCCGTCTGGTCCATGAAGGCAACTGTTTCATCAACGGATACAGTAAGCATCATCCGGAGAGGTGCCGAGTAAACTTTGCAATTGCAGTGTACGATTGGCCGAACGCTTGGACACCACTCCAGTACGCTTTCAAGAAAAGGGCGCCCGACTGGGTCGTCGTGGCGATGCTTGAACACGGCGCCGATCTGTTCCAGAGAGACACTGAGAACAACACGGCCATGGACTATCTACTGAAAATCCACCCGAAGATTGACGATAAAACGTACTCGAAAGGATGGAGAGGTTGGTACGAATGGATCCGAAATGAAGAAGAGTATCCGCTTCGGTCGATAATCCGCCACAAAAAGTTCTACAAGTACCAGATGAGTGAGTGTCTGTTTTTGTCTTCCAACTCGCTTCCGATCGACGATTTGCAGAACCGCCGATCATTCTCCACCCCGAAAACTTTTGCGTTCACTTTGACTTATATATCGGAACATATAAAATTGATAAATTCGCGAAACTTTTCAGAGGACGGGTCAGTTTGAAGTGGGGGGGAAAGCACACAGATCTTCGGTTTTGTTTTCAGTGCAATCCCGAAAGCTTCTACGAGCCGAACAGAATGGCCACTCACTTTGTGGTGAGCGACGAAGGCACCGGCACAGTGGACCTAGACACGAGATGGGATTTGCTTCCGCGACTGTTCAGTCCGACGATCCTGATGACGGAAGCGTGGCTGGAAATGGTGACTTACAATGGATTGAATAGCTTGGAAGGATGGACCAACGACTACGATTACCGGATCACGAAGGCCAAGTACAAAGACCGTATCTACACGACTGTCGAGCTGATCAACTCTATGTATCATCAGATGGTTTGTCGTTTCGCATTGATCTCCTCGATTAGACCCACTTTCAGAGCATTCCCTACTTGATTGGAGCCAAGGTTCTGCCTCTTAATAACACCAAAATCAGATCAAATCAAACCACCTTCGTTCTCAACGTGGTTCCCTTGTTAGGCGGATTGAACCGGGACGATCTGGCAAAAGACGACTACCGAGAAACCTGGTTCTACAATGACCATGTGTCGGCAGAGTTGCATTTCGGCGTCGAGGAAGAGCGAGCAGCATTCATGGAAGTTAAGGAACGAGTCTACGATCTTCATTCGGATTCCGCATACTTTGCGTTCACCACAGAGAGTGAGCTCTTGTCGAAAATACTCGCCATGAGTGTTGTGACGAACAAAAAGGTGAAGTTGCTCTACTGTGATCCAGCTGACTACGCGTACAGCGAACCGACAAACTTTTGGAATCCGCTGAATTGGGTGCGAAGACCGAAGGACCCGAAGATTGAATTGTGGAAGAAGGAGGAGGCGGAGGCGAGAGCGAGATGGATTGAGTGGCTCGAAGATTTGAAAAATCCGCGAAAGAAGAAGAAGCCAAAAGTCGCGAAACCTGTGAAAGGCGGATCCCACTCGACAAATTCGATTCTCGACACGAGAGAGCCGTCCAAATCGCAAAACAAGATGGTGACGCAGAAAAAGCCGGCACCGGCGGCGTCGACCTAAAGTAAACTTGATATAATTGATCCTATTTTAACCGTCTCGATTTCATCTTAATAAAATCGTTTCGAAGTTTATATTTTTTGCTCGCAACTTTCGCGAGCGAACACTATTGCGGAGAGAGCGCAGAGAAATAGAGAGTAGCGAGCGGGATGGGCAATTTATCGGCCGCCACCTGCCTGCTTGCACTTTTTCTGTGTTTTCGCTCGTGCGAGAATGTTCTATTCTTTTTTTTTTTGGCTGAAAACTTAAGTACTCGGAATCGCTGCTTTTCTCTGCTTTTTCGGTTCGAATCGCTTGACGAAATTCGTTCAAGCCGAGAGAAAGATTGTCTGGCGCGATCGCGATCGGCAAATCGAAAGTTTTTCGAGTGATAACGAAAGAAAGAGAGCGTGATAACGGCCGATTGATTATCACCTCGTGACTTAAACAACGATCAAGCGATCAAGTTGCGAACGTAGTTTTTGGCTGGGGGTTTGCGAATTTGGACCAGTGGGCCGGACTATTTATTTAGGAATTATGTGGATGGCTGAAAAGAGACCGAAAGGGTTTTTTTTGCTCGAATCCACACTTTGCACACTTCTTGGACAGTCGGGGAATAGGGTATCCGGTTTCTCACAGCCTCAAACTAATATGTGCCGCATCGAATCGACAAGTAAAATGTATTCTAGTAAAGAACTCTAAACAAAGTTGGATAAATTTAAAAAAAAGCAACAGCAGAAACATTTTGTGCGAGAACCGAATGAAAAATCGGATGCGAACAATGCTTTACATCATTCTATTTCGAGAACAGTGGGTCTAGACAAGTCCTTTTTCGCGCAGTTCCATTTCGAAATCGCACCAACAATAACCGTTTTTCAGGTAAAAAATCCGGAAGCGCGAAAGACGGGCGACAAAATCGAAGTGTTCTATTCACGCAAGACGACAGTCGTCTCGCCGACCAATTCAGATGATGAGGAGGCGGACTTTTGCTCCGACACGGAACTTCTTCCCTCGTCGCAAGAGGGACATCGCTCCAGAGCCACGTCGTTCCACGGAAGGGTTCGAGCTGGCAGCGACGACGAGACGGCCAACCCGAAGCACACTGTTCTCAGGTTCGGCAGGCTACGACTTGGTCCAAAAAAAGTTCCCATTTTTTTAGCAACTTTACCGCACTCTTTAGAGGAGTCTTGCAGTAACTCTTCGTATTTAACATTCCGTTTTTCAGATATCGCCGCAAAAAAAGGGCGGTCAGTGGCGAGAGGTGAACGCGCAAAGGGACGCCCGACAAGCGGAAAGACGATGAGGACGAACTGGAGGTGGATGTGAAGGAGGACCGGTCCGAGCAGACGGGCGTCGTCACGAAGACGTACGAGGCACGGTGGAAGGTGCTCAAGTACGAGCATCTGCCCGAGTGGCTGCAGGATAACGAGTTTCTAAGGTGAATTCGGACACTTCACTCATTTTCGAACACTTCTCAACGTGTTTCGTTCAGACACGGCCACCGTCCGCCACTCCCCTCGTTCTCCGAATGCTTCAAAAGTATTCTGTCGCTGCACACGGAAACTGGCAACATTTGGACGCATCTCATCGGATGCGTCGCCTTCTTTCTTCTCGCCTGCTGGTTCTTCACGAGACCCGACAATCACATTCAGTTCCAGGAGAAGGTATCGCGCTTTTCTGCCACCAAGCATTCTATCGAAACAGATTTTGCAAAAGACGATAAAATTGAAGTCTTCTTTCAGGTCGTCTTCTCGTTCTTCTTCGTCGGCGCCGTCCTCTGTCTCGGTCTCTCGTTCGCATTCCACACGCTCTCATGCCACTCGGTGAACGTCGTCAAACTGTTCTGCAAACTAGACTACATGGGCATATCGCTGCTCATCATCGGCTCCTTCATTCCCTGGATCTACTACGGCTTCTACTGTCGTCGCGAGCCCAAAATCACGTACATCGCAATGGTTTGCGTGCTCGGCATCGGCGCGATCGTCGTCTCGTTGTGGGACACGCAACTGATCGAGGAATGGTTCCCGGCCGACTGGAGCACAATTCTCATCACCAAAACAATGTTGATCCTGGCCGACACAGCCAAGGACATCTTGCTTTCGAGTCGGAAAATGTTGGAAGAAGTGTCCGGTCCGGTGAAGATCTTCGGAGACTTCCATGGCCAATTCGAAGAGATAGAGATCTTTGAAAAACGCCTTTTAGTCTTTTTGTTTGTCCGCTCGAAACACGGTTGTGATTTCATGAAAATCTTCCCGATAACGTTGTGCAAATCAGAAAACGGTTGGTGGTAGTTTGTTTGACCTTTCCGTGGCACCCTTCTCTAATCGTCCAAGTTTCCGGAACTTTCTTCAGTTCCTCCAATAAGAAAATCAGTGTTCAATTCACTGTTCGGCGAGCAAGTGCAACAAAAGAAGAGTTAATTTGACACTAAGGTGAGCCCCGGGTTGTTTCAGAGACAAATTCAGCGCATTTTCAGACGTACTGTTCCAGCCATGCGTCTGTTCGCCGTTCTAGGCCTCATCACCTTGTGTTGTGGATGGGATGTTCGGAACGAGCCGATGAGATTCGCGAGACGGCTCAATCCTGGAGGAATCAGCTCGACCACCACTTCCGATCCGACTCCAAATTCTACTTCGACTTCTGATCCTACTCCGGCTCCGACTCCTGCCCCCTGCTCCCCCGAAGACACCAGTTCCGATTCTGAAAAGTTAGTTTTCCAGCACTTCGTGGTCCTTTCTAGAACATCCATTATTCCAACAGTGTGATTTTATTGTTGATTTCAGCGAATACTTCGCTCCGCCAAATCTCCGACGACTTCTCTATCCTTGGACGGATCGTGAACACGATTGCCATCCAGGAGGGACTCTCCAACAATTCCATCCGACTCGTGGATCTTCTCGCCGAACTGTACGACTTGGAATCAGGGAAAGGACTGATGAGGCTGAAGGAAATGAAGGTGGATCCTAGAACTGTGTCCGGTGAGTTGGACAAGATCTTGGGTATTGTCGGAAATCTGAAGAAAGATGCGATAAATGATCCGACGAATGTGAAAAACGGCATTGTGACACTCATGGAAATGAAGGACAAACTCCCTGATCTCGAGGCGGGACTCAACGAAACAGCCACGGAGGACTTGGTCACTAAGTTTAAGATAGTATCCGGGCCTCTATTCATCAATGGAGACTTCTTGGACACTTCTAAATTTGAAAGTGTAGTGGAGCAAATAACTACTATAAAAAAGAATCAAGAAATAAGTGATACAGAAGTAATCGCCCTTCTCGATGGTGCATTGAAGCAGATATTGCAACTCACGGTCCCTCTCTTGGATCGGTTCCAATCGTTCAAAGATTACAAGTCAAAGTTGAGCAATGTGATGGCTGTGAAAGATCTGCACAAGGTGATTGAACCGGTCCTCGTGATCTCCCAAGCAGTCCGAGAATACAGCCAAAACTCGGAGGCGTTTATTTCTCTTCCGTCCAAGTTGTCTGAATTGAAAGCTGAATTAGACATCTTCATTCCAATCGCCGCGAAACATCAATCATTCTCGGCAGTCAGTGCGGCCCTCAAGATCGCTCATCCGTTCGTGATTGAGCTGATATCTCCGAGGACTTCCGGACGTATTCTCACCAGAGCGTTCCCGAACGGAGCCAAGGACTATGCTCGGTTCCCGAAAGACATCCGAAGCGAGTGGTTCAAGGAGAAGATCGCCTGCGGAAAGGACGTGAAACGATTAGAAGACGCTCTCGACCACTCAAGACACTTCAGCGAGCAGGTGTCGGAGTTGGATGCGAGCTGGCAGAAATTCCGAAACATTTCCCACGTCGCCAACTTCACTGATCGCCTAGTGAACTCGACAAGCAGTTTGGCAAAGGATGGAGAGGAATTGGCTGGAATCAAGGACTTGAAACCTTCGATTGAAACGGTTGCGAATGCGGTCCAATCTCTCAAGAATATCACATGTGCTCCACCATTTGATGATATTCAAAAAGTCAATGATTATGTGAAAAACATCAATGAGCTCATTGTGCGAATGGAACAAGCGATTGAAAGTGTCATGCAAAAACACAACTCAAAAATGTGACAGCAAGTATGACAACAATTGCCGAAGTAGCTAAAAAAATTAAGAAAAATCCTGCAAATATAACTGCCATGATTAAAGATTTCATCGAACTTCCTGAAATCCAAATGGTCGTCGATCATATGAACTTCGTCAATGCCACTCTCAGTCCCTTCTCAGCAGTCAAACTTGAAGCGGTCTTTAGCAACGTTCCTGACTTTAGTTCGATCAAATCAATACAGTCCTGTCTTAAGGAAACTGGACTAGTTGGCACTCTGAAGCTTCTTCAATCCAGCAAATATGACTCGGACGGAGTCGGAAGGGTCTTCCGCTTCGGAAGAGCTATTCAAGAATTGACAACTTCGGATGTGAGAACAGCCAAAGTTCTGTTCGACACGATGGACAAGATGAAAAGAGGCGGTCGTGGGCGTGATCGGAAAATCAGGAACGTCGATGAGAAGACGTCGGGCACTCGACGACAAGCTGGCGCTGAGCAACCTGGAGAAGTCGGAGGAAGTGGCGACGAGCGTTGCGAGAGGAGTAGACACACTCCGGATGATGTCCGACGTGCTCGACAAGAAGAAACAGGTGCTGGCGGCGGCCGATGCTCCACCAGAAGTGAATGCAGTCATCGGAGCACTTCCGACGGTCAACGCGTCCTGGACGAGCATCACGAAAGAATCCATGAGGAAGCTGATCAAGGATCTGGTGAATGTGGACAGCTACGCGAAGGATCTGGCGGAAGAGACCGATCTTCTGAAGATCGGAACTGTGTTCGACAAGGCTGGAACAGTGGCAGGAGTCAAACTGAATACTCGACTTCTTGCGGACTCTATATCTGAAACTCTGCAGAACTCCACCAGTCAGAAAGCCAAGAACCTTGAGCCGACTTTCCACGAACTCGGACGGCTCGAACTGGACTTCGCCAGCCACAAGGACGATTTCACGGCGGCCACTCTCGCTCTGACCCGACTCCGCACCTTCTTCGACGACTTTTTCGGCATCGATCGGGCGACTTCGTTGGTGACGGGGACGGAGGATTCGACGCCGAACGTCGCCTGGTACTACATCGTCATTGGCGTCGGCGCCCTCGTCGCCTTGATCATTCTGATCTTTGTGGTTAGAAAGGCGTGGAAGGTGTTGAAGAGAAGGCGAGACTATATTAGTGAGTTTCTTCCGTAATCCCGTGCGAACACTCTGAAATTTCAGGAATCGACGAGTACCTGAAAGATCCTCTCAACTGGCGCCACAACGCATTCACCAACGACAATATGCATCGAACTTTGGGACACACCGACTTGCATCTGGCCCTAAAGCAGGCGAAATGGAACGAAGTCTTCCGTCTGGTCCATGAAGGCAACTGTTTCATCAACGGATACAGTGAGCATCATCCGGAGAGGTGCCGAGTAAACTTTGCAATTGCAGTGTACGATTGGCCGAACGCTTGGACACCACTCCAGTACGCTTTCAAGAAAAGGGCGCCCGACTGGGTCGTCGTGGCGATGCTTGAACACGGCGCCGATCTGTTCCAGAGAGACACTGAGAACAACACGGCCATGGACTATCTACTGAAAATCCACCCGAAGATTGACGATAAAACGTACTCGAAAGGATGGAGAGGTTGGTACGAATGGATCCGAAATGAAGAAGAGTATCCGCTTCGGTCGATAATCCGCCACAAAAAGTTCTACAAGTACCAGATGAGTGAGTGTCTGTTTTTGTCTTCCAACTCGCTTCCGATCGACGATTTGCAGAACCGCCGATCATTCTCCACCCCGAAAACTTTTGCGTTCACTTTGACTTATATATCGGAACATATAAAATTGATAAATTCGCGAAACTTTTCAGAGGACGGGTCAGTTTGAAGTGGGGGGGAAAGCACACAGATCTTCGGTTTTGTTTTCAGTGCAATCCCGAAAGCTTCTACGAGCCGAACAGAATGGCCACTCACTTTGTGGTGAGCGACGAAGGCACCGGCACAGTGGACCTAGACACGAGATGGGATTTGCTTCCGCGACTGTTCAGTCCGACGATCCTGATGACGGAAGCGTGGCTGGAAATGGTGACTTACAATGGATTGAATAGCTTGGAAGGATGGACCAACGACTACGATTACCGGATCACGAAGGCCAAGTACAAAGACCGTATCTACACGACTGTCGAGCTGATCAACTCTATGTATCATCAGATGGTTTGTCGTTTCGCATTGATCTCCTCGATTAGACCCACTTTCAGAGCATTCCCTACTTGATTGGAGCCAAGGTTCTGCCTCTTAATAACACCAAAAATCAGATCAAATCAAACCACCTTCGTTCTCAACGTGGTTCCCTTGTTAGGCGGATTGAACCGGGACGATCTGGCAAAAGACGACTACCGAGAAACCTGGTTCTACAATGACCATGTGTCGGCAGAGTTGCATTTCGGCGTCGAGGAAGAGCGAGCAGCATTCATGGAAGTTAAGGAACGAGTCTACGATCTTCATTCGGATTCCGCATACTTTGCGTTCACCACAGAGAGTGAGCTCTTGTCGAAAATACTCGCCATGAGTGTTGTGACGAACAAAAAGGTGAAGTTGCTCTACTGTGATCCAGCTGACTACGCGTACAGCGAACCGACAAACTTTTGGAATCCGCTGAATTGGGTGCGAAGACCGAAGGACCCGAAGATTGAATTGTGGAAGAAGGAGGAGGCGGAGGCGAGAGCGAGATGGATTGAGTGGCTCGAAGATTTGAAAAATCCGCGAAAGAAGAAGAAGCCAAAAGTCGCGAAACCTGTGAAAGGCGGATCCCACTCGACAAATTCGATTCTCGAAACGAGAGAGCCGTCCAAATCGCAAAACAAGATGGTGACGCAGAAAAAGCCGGCACCGGCGGCGTCGACCTAAAGTAAACTTGATATAATTGATCCTATTTTAACCGTCTCGATTTCATCTTAATAAAATCGTTTCGAAGTTTATATTTTTTGCTCGCAACTTTCGCGAGCGAACACTATTGCGGAGAGAGCGCAGAGAAATAGAGAGTAGCGAGCGGGATGGGCAATTTATCGGCCGCCACCTGCCTGCTTGCACTTTTTCTGTGTTTTGACTCGTGCGAGAATGTTCTATTCTTTTTTTTTTGGCTGAAAATTTAAGTACTCGGAATCGCTGCTTTTCTCTGCTTTTTCGGTTCGAATCGCCGAAAATTTCGCGCAGACGGCTCATTCGCAATAGAGCGCACTTGCATCGCCGAGCCGTAAATGGCATTTTCGTTGCGAAATTCGTGGAATTTTCGTTCGTTCGTCATCGAAACACCGCGGCCGGAAAAAATGTTGCCAACGTGACGATTCCATTGAGTTTCAGACTGATTTTCCATAAAACTGTGCATGTGATCTCTATTCGCTTCTTCAATTCGCCCAGAAACCACGTGCGTCGTCCCTGTCACGTGGTTTGATAAATAAAAGAGACTGGCGAGGAATCGCAGTGATTTTTCAACAAAAAACTCTTCTTGTAGCATTGTTTGTAGCTTTGTGCGACCGATAAAAATCTCGACCTTCGCCCCGCCGTCTCGCCGTTTTTTTCCTCAATTTCCACTTTCTTTCCAACCTGAAATTTGCGTGAATTTTTAGGCCAGAATGGATCCGGAAGAGGTCAATCGAGCGCTTGGGCACTACCTCAACGATGCCGATTCGGGCGAGTTGGTCGTCGAGGACAGCACAACTGTGCAAGTGAGTTTTTTTCCGTTCCGCGATCGGATTTCATCGCTTGACGAAATTCGTTCAAGCCGAGAGAAAGATTGTCTGGCGCGATCGCGATCGGCAAATCGAAAGTTTTTCGAGTGATAACGAAAGAAAGAGAGCGTGATAACGGCCGATTGATTATCACCTCGTGACTTAAACAACGATCAAGCGATCAAGTTGCGAACGTAGTTTTTGGCTGGGGGTTTTGCGAATTTGGACCAGTGGGCCGGACTATTTATTTAGGAATTATGTGGATGGCTGAAAAGAGACCGAAAGGGTTTTTTTTGCTCGAATCCACACTGCACACTTCTTGGACAGTCGGGGAATAGGGTATCCGGTTTCTCACAGCCTCAAACTAATATGTACCGCATCGAATCGACAAGTAGCATGTATTCTAGTAAAGAACTCTAAACAAAGTTGGATGAATTAAAAAAAAAAGCATCAGCAGAAACATTTTGTGCGAGAACGGAATGAAAAATCGGATGCGAACAATGCTTTACATCATTCTATTTCGAGAACAGTGGGGCTAGACAAGTCCTTTTTCGCGCAGTTCCATTTCGAAATCGCACCAACAATAACCGTTTTTCAGGTAAAAAATCCGGAAGCGCGAAAGACGGGCGACAAAATCGAAGTGTTCTATTCACGCAAGACGACAGTCGTCTCGCCGACCAATTCAGATGATGAGGAGGCGGACTTTTGCTCCGACTCGGAACTTCTTCCCTCGTCGCAAGAGGGACATCGCTCCAGAGCCACGTCGTTCCACGGAAGGGTTCGAGCTGGCAGCGACGACGAGACGGCCAACCCGAAGCACACTGTTCTCAGGTTCGGCAGGCTACGACTTCGTTCAAAAAGTTCCCATTTTTAGCAACTTTACCGCACTCTTTAGAGGAGTCTTGCAGTAACTCTTCGTATTTAACATTCCGTTTTCAGATATCGCCGCAAAAAGGGCGGTCAGTGGCGAGAGGTGAACGTGCAAGGGACGCCCGACAAGCGGAAAGACGATGAGGATGAACTGGAGGTGGATGTGAAGGAGGACCGGTCCGAGCAGACGGGCGTCGTCACGAAGACGTACGAGGCACGGTGGAAGGTGCTCAAGTACGAGCATCTGCCCGAGTGGCTGCAGGATAACGAGTTTCTAAGGTGAATTCGGACACTTCACTCATTTTCGAACAATTCTCAACGTGTATCGTTCAGACACGGCCACCGTCCGCCACTCCCCTCGTTCTCCGAATGCTTCAAAAGTATTCTGTCGCTGCACACGGAAACTGGAAACATTTGGACGCATCTCATCGGATGCGTCGCCTTCTTTCTTCTCGCCTGCTGGTTCCTCACGAGACCCGACAATCACATTCAGTTCCAGGAGAAGGTATCGCGCTTTTTCTGCCACCGAGCATTCTATCGAAACGGCTTTTTTTCAAAAGATTAAAGAAAAAAATAAAAATAAATATATATATTATAAAAAAAATAAAAAAAAATTGAAGTCTTCTTTTTTTCGATAAAATTGAAGTCTTCTTTCAGGTCGTCTTCTCGTTCTTCTTCGTCGGCGCCGTCCTCTGTCTCGGTCTCTCGTTCGCATTCCACACGCTCTCATGCCACTCGGTGAACGTCGTCAAACTGTTCTGCAAACTAGACTACATGGGCATATCGCTGCTCATCATCGGCTCCTTCATTCCCTGGATCTACTACGGCTTCTACTGTCGTCGCGAGCCCAAAATCACGTACATCGCAATGGTTTGCGTGCTCGGCATCGGCGCTATCGTCGTCTCGTTGTGGGACAAATTCAGCGAATCCAAGTTCCGGCCGATCCGCGCGGCCGTCTTCGTCGGAATGGGATGCAGTGGTCAGTGAAATTCATTTATCCGATAGCTTGTCCCATTTCAAAGCGCACATGAGAGCCAGATTTTTGATTTCACGTCTTCATTTTTAGAAACAAGCCGGGACTAGAAAAAAACAGTCTGTGGACGTGGAGTTTTCTAGTCCCGTAGAAAAACAAGCCGTGCCACGTATTCATTAATTTCAGGCATCGTGCCGACGGTGCACTACATCATAACAGACGGCGTCCGTTCGCTTTTCGAGGACAACTCGTTCCACTGGCTCCTGCTGATGGCGTTTCTCTACTTGCTCGGCGCCCTGCTCTACGCCACGCGCACGCCCGAACGCTTCTTCCCCGGAAAGTGCGATATTTGGGTGAGTTGGAGGGAACCGCACGTGAGACGATTTCATTCGCATCTTTTTAGTTCCAATCTCATCAGCTGTTCCACACGTGCGTCGTCGTCGCCGCCTTCGTCCACTACTACGGAATTTCCGAAATGGCGTTTGCTCGCCTCAACGAGCAGTGTCCGGCGTGATGAAGCCTTTCGATTCTTGGATAAAGTTGTCGCAAAACTCACAAGCCTCTTCCAATTCCGCTGTTTTTTTTCCATCAAAATCCCCGCTACTAGTCTGTACAAAATCGACCCGATAAGCTCGTATTTTGGTGTCCTGCCCTCCCAGTATTTGCCCCTCTAAATAATATCGAAATTGCACGGCGCTGAGCAGCTGAAAAAAAGTCGCTTTTTTTGAAAGTAATAAAGAGAAGAAAACAGTGCACGCGTTGCGTTTTTTTCCCCCATTTTTTGACATCGCTGAATAACAAATTTCGATCTGCAAGATTCCGAGAAGGAATTCGTGAACGCCACTTTGCAAAAAGAGAAGAAATGAAAGGAGTGGAGCGGAGAGAGACTAGAACGAAACTTGTATTGCCTTTTCTTCCAGTGATGCGATAAAGTGTAGTTTGTGGATTTTCTGAAAGAAAGCTTCACGGTCTCCAGAGCTGACAATGGGCGCAAATGCGCCCCGCCCAATAGAGCGATACATTGGCGCGAAATTCAAATTTTAACAGCAAAATGCGTGTTTTTTGCCAGATTAGCCACGAAAAACCGATAATTTCTGATTTGTCTCTCGATAGACCGATTGTATAGGCTATTACGAATTTTTTAAGCGCAAGAGCGTTAAATTTGGTCAAGTCGCAAATCACATTTATCCGTTTGAAGGTTTTTGGCTAAAACTGCGTGAATTTCAGTTGCTTTTCGGTAATTTTCGCGGTTCGAGCGCTCAAAATGCTTGTATTTACGTGATTTATCATTCTCAAAACCAATTCTCTCTGAAAACTTTCAAGAAAGCGCAAAATGAGAAGCGCGGTTTTTAGGCGGCGATCGGCGGCGAAGGCGAAAAAGCAAAGTCCACGAAAAATGCGTCAAAACGTCAATAATTCTGAGAATTAATGTGTTTTCATGTCGAACAATCATTTTTCATCGCCGTTGACCACAAAAATCAGAGAAAACCTGCTGAATTCATGAAAACGCCATTTGGCAGCCGAGGCCACGCCCATATTGTCAGCTCTGGAGACCGTGGCGCTAGCTTGACGCCTTCCAAACACAAAAATGTGAAATTGGAATGAGAAGAACACACGCCTGTACATACATTTGCATGTCTGTTACCTTATCTCTTCTCTGCATACATACATATTTGCCCACTTTATTATCAGTTCCTAGTGTCGCTGCCCCGCTTCTATCGATTGTTTTGTGATGAACTCAAAGTGCTCACTTGTTCTTCCGCTCCTTCTCCACCTTGTCAATTCGTTAAACTTTTGCGAGAACTCGTATTCGGCTTCGGCCTCCTCCATTTTCAGTTTTCGAATTGTCGGCGGAGTTCCTGTCGATAAGTTGGTGCCAACGTTCAATACATTTTAAGAGTAACGAAAGACAGTTTCAGTGGAGTGAATTGGATGGCCAAACTGATATCTGTGGGTGAGGATGGTGAAGGCATTCTGTGCGGAGCTACCGTAGTCGACGACTTTTGGCTCGTCACCGCTGCTCATTGTGCATTGTGAGCTTCAAATATTGTGCTTTCGAAATAAGTATCACTCATCAGACAAATGAAAACTCGGTCGTACGTGACTCTCCGAAAGCCTTCGAACAATCGCGAGACGACAATAACTGTCAGGGAGGCGTACGTGCATCCAAAGTACAATAACCAGAGCGCCGACAATGATATTGCACTTCTCAAAGTTTGTTTCTTCTTCTCAGACTTGCAACGGCCCGGCCCGGTCGGCCCGGGAGGATGCACCTAAAAATTCAAGTTGACCGCCGTTTTCTTCAAGCACTTTGTCTTCGTCCATTTTTACCCACCAAACTTTGAAAACGGCCTACGTTATCGTCGTTTTGCTTCAATTTCGAAGATTCATTGTAAAAACCAGCAGAAATAGAAAAAAAGACGAAAAAGGCAATGTTATAGCATAAAAACCTGTTAAAAAATAGAAATTGCTGTTTAAAGTCGCAAAATTTTCACAAAAATTACGAAAATTTTCTCAAGAGTGGGCGGAGCGATTGATTGCAACTCTGGCACGCCATTTCAGCAATTTTGCCGCACGCGTTTTCCTCTTCCTTCATATTTTTTTTGCATATTTTTTTTGAGGTCTAACTTCCGGGCCGACCGGGCCGGGCCGGGCCGACGATTTGCTGGCCCGGCCCGGGATTTGGCAAGTCTGCTTCTTCTCAACCAACAATTTTTCCTTCTAGGTCTCTTCTGACCTTTTTCGAAAGTACGGAATCAGACCGGTTTGTCTGGTCGAAGACGACTCGAGATTACTGAAAAAGTACAAGAATGGTTTGGTGATAGGCTATGGTCTGACTTTGGGTGAGTACTAGGTACACTAGCCCTTCCTCTCTACCGCAATCCTTTTAGACGCCGATTCCAGCAGCCTGCGGAACAGTGACACCTTGCAGAACACGACGGTCCCGATCATTCCGGGACCGGAATGCGTCCGAACTTGGCGCATTCTGTCGTTGAGATCTGTGGCGATCACTGCAAATCAGTTGTGTGCCGGTGCTTATTTGCATGGCACTGCTCCGGTCAGCAACTTTTTGTGATCAAGAAATACCGACTTTGAGGGGTCGTATTACAGTTCGGAAACATTCTATTGAGCTAGAGTAGTCCAAACTCCATTCAAAGTTGGTATTTTTCGCGTTCAGCTGAAGCCGTTAAGACAAACGGCTAACCAACTTTCAGGGTGACTCTGGCGGACCACTTTTGATCCGAAAATCGAACGGAGAGTACGTACAAGTGGGAATCACCAGTTACGGAGCCGATGGATTGGACGGAATTGTGGATCAAGGCAAATTTCCAGGTGAGCATTCCTGATCGATGCTGCCATTATCGATTTGTCGAGCAACACCCGAAAAACATTTGGTTTTTCGCAGTTGTGGATCATAAAATGAGCATTCACACGACGATATTAATAGCTTTTTGTCCAGGAGTCTACACGCGGATCTCCAAGTACATTCCATGGATGCAACGTGTCATTTCGAATCTCTCCTCCACCACCGCCGCCGCCAACTTTTTCACACCTCTTCACCTCATTCTCCTCATTTCGACGGCGTTTTGGTGTTAAAAACGGGTTTTCATCGCATTCTGCAACCATAAAATTGTCTGTTGTTTCTCGCGTGAATTCGTCCATCACTTGCCACGTCTCAATCCGCTGCCAATCTGTTATTTTCCGCCGCCGCCGCCGCCGCACTTTTTCTCAGGATTCTCCGATTGCAGCCTTCAACGCAGCCCAAGTGAGCCATTGTTTTGAGCGCGTTTGAAATTTTTTTTTTTGAATTTCGCGGGAGCAAGTCGAGCAAGCACGCCAAAAGTAAATCCATTCCCTCCCGAAACTTGTCAAAAATGTAGCCGCCCCGGCCCACTATTTGCACACTTTTTTCGTGTCCTTGATTGATATGATAGATACGCCCGCACTCTTTCTCTTGTTTCATCATTGAAAACTTGAGAGGGTCACTACTTGAGGCATCGCTTCTTTTTCTGCTTTTTTGACACGTACATTTCATGTTTAGCTCACTGGGGCGAACCGTTTTATGTGCGTCGAACAGACCGCCTTTAATCTTTTGGGAAAACTTTGCGAAAACTTGTGAATCACAGTCACTTTTGAGCGTTTACTTACTCACTTTTCCTATAATGCCGCGTCCAAAGTCTCGGAAACGCCGCAAATCTCGCGGATTTTGCAGTCCAAAGTCGGCAGCAATTTGCGGAAAATCCGGGGTGCGCACAGCTGAACGAGTGTTATCGTACACTATAAAACTACGGTACTTTTTGAAAATTTCAAATATTCTCGAGAAATTTAAATTTTTTCAAAAAATACCGTTGAAAATTTACCCAAGAAATTTGAAAAATTGCCAATATCCTCGAGAAATTTAAATTTTTTCAAAAAATACCGTTGAAAATTTACCCAAGAAATTTGAAAAATTTCAAATATTCTCGAGAAATTTAAATTTTTTCAAAAAATACCGTAGTTTTATGGTGTACGGTAACACTCGTTCAGCTGTGCGACTTTTGATTGCAAAATTCGCGAGATTTGCGGGTTTTTCGAGACTTTGGACGCGACTGCTTAACCGATATTATCAATCACCGATTTTGACGGCTTTTATCTCGAGAACCAATGATTGTACCGAAAAGTTGTTGCGAATTTCATGCTCTCTACAACTTTGTACTTGACAATTTTCCCTCAAAATGTTTGCTTTTCAAGTTGCGGAGCTTTCAGAATGACCATCTCCTACTCTGGCAACTTTTTCCGGCTTCTTCTACGATGGAAAGGTTTGGAAAATTGAAAAGGGACGTGTGGCAATACACTTTTTCGCTGCAGGCTCAATCTGGCGTTCGGTGTGGCGCGAGCTCTTCCTCTTTCTCATTCTGTTCTACTCGATCCGCTTCACGTCTCCCTACTTTTTCGACTGGGCCGATCCGAACGACACAAAAGGCTATCGGAAGATCTACAAAGTGATGTGCAACGAGTTCCACGAGTACACCAAAATGATACCGCTCACTTTTCTGCTCGGCTTCTACGTTTCGAACGTCGTCTCGCGGTGGTGGCGGCAGTTTGAATGTTTGAAATGGCCCGAGGACTTTCTCTCCGTTCTCTGTCTTTTGTTGCCGTCGAAAGAGTCACGTCCGGCGCGTCATCAGATCGCCAGGTACATGAATTTGACGTCGGCGCTCGCGTGGCGTGACGTTTCCACGAAGATTCGCCTACGCTTTCCGTGTCTTCGCAACATCATCGACGCCGGATTGTTGACGGAACGGGAATACGACAAGTTGCAGGACATCAATGTGAGTTTCTACTAGATTCCAGACATGTCTCTAAAGCAACGGGAACCAGGGGTGTGCGGAAAATTTTTTTCGGAAAATTTCGGAAAAATCGGAAAAATCGGAAAACTCACTTGTTCATTGGTTCAATAAAGTGTTTAAACAACGTTCTAATACAAAAAAATGCTTATTATGATTTGAAATCACTTGCATGAGTGGGCGGAAGCTAAGCAATGGAATATTTTTTTGCAAAAAAATTAGCCGAGAGAAGCTCTCCGGGTCCAGTGTTTTCCGATTGTCAGTGAGAATGAGACGCGCGGTTGAAAAGAGTCGCTCCGTTTCTGCAGTCGTTGCGGGAGTACAGAAACATTTTAAATTTTTAAAAAGACGATCGCTGCTAGACCCTTCCAAAAATTTTGTGATGCGCCTTTAAAAAGCATACGGTGGTTTCGGACAAATTGACCTTGAATCCACACTAATTTGCCGAAAATTTCTCGGAAAATCGGAAAATTTCGGAAAATCGAAATATTTTCCGCACACCCCTGACGGGAACCTTCAGGAACCGTCCCCGGGGATCCGATGGCTGACTCCTCTTCACTGGGTCCAACAACTGATCGACGCGGAGATGGCGGCCGGCAGAGGGTCTGTCAACTACATTTCGGTGGCGATGAACGAGTTGAAGGCGTTCCGAGTCTCTTTCCGACGGCTCTACTGCCATGATTGGGTCTGTGTACCATTAGTTTACACGCAGGTGAGCATTCTGGACCCTAGCTCTGATACCATTCCATGTCATTTGAGGTCGCCGCACTCGCCACCTACTCCTACTTCTTCTTCTGTCTGTTCGGGCGTCAGGATCTGAACAGTGAGGACTTCTACTCACTCGACGCCTTCTTTCCACTCTTCACCGTTGTTCAATTCTTGTTCTTCGTCGGATGGTTCAAAGTTTTTAGCTTCTTATCTCGATACGTAGTGCTGATTTTGTAGGTCGGTCAAGATTTGATGCGTCCGTTCGGATTGGACGACGACGACTTTGAGTTGTCGTACATTCTCGACAGAAACATTGTCACTTCGTTCACTATCGTCGACTCACTTCAGGACGATGAACCACGTAAGTTCAAGACGTTATATCTCAATTGTCTTTAAAGATATCAAAAAGTTGTCAACTGATAAAATGTTCGTTGAAAAGTGTTGTAAATTTTATTAGTTGACATATTTTTGATATCTCCACCGGCAGCTGAGATATATCGGTTTGAATGAACGGTACTCATAGACGAGAAACTTGAAACTGATACTATGGATTCAAACTTTGAGTGGACTGTAATCCTAGACCATTTGACGATTTTTACGGTTAACATTTTAAAACTTGAAACTTTCAGCCGAATTCGAAGAAGACGTCTTCTGGAAACATCACAACGAACAGCACCTTTACGCGCCGAAAGTTGCGAGCTCTCTAAAGTGGGGACGGATCGATTTGAGCCGGAATGCTCATAAACACCCGCCGAAATTGCACACCTATCTGGAGATGAAGGATCAGGATCCGGAAGAGTACAAGAATCGAAAGAAGAACAAGTTTATCGCTTGGTAGACACTGTTTAGAAGCAGAGAATTCGGGTCGCTAGACATTATTTATTGTTGTTTTTCGTGTAATAAACAGTTTTCGAATATGAATTACTAGCACAATATTTTAAAAGTCTCAAGTTCTTTGAGCAAGTAGTACTAGGCACGAAGACGACTGAAGTTACGCGTTTATTATGCTGTTGTACGACCGAATATGATTAGATCACAGGTATAAATGAAAGAAATAATAATGATAATAATTTAGTTAGTTAGTCACATGACGACATCGAATCACATCTCCATTCGATTCAAAATATAGTTGTTTCCCTTATTGGAATCCCAATACTCGCCGTCGTTGGTCTTGAAGCAAATGCAGAACTCGACCTGGAAAAGAACGCGAACATCTCTTTGGAAAAGCAAAATATTTACCTGTTCTCCGTCGCCGGGAATCTCAAAATCGAACGTCGAAGTGTTTCGGACTCTCGCGTTTTCGACGGCACTCTTGTCCAGATAACTCGCCCATCCGTTGGTGGTGTACCTCACAAACACCGACTTCTCGCCGTTCTCGGCCTCCGATTCCATGTTGGCCACTTTGACGGTGCCGAGCACGTCCGTCCCGTTCACCACCACATTCTCGAGGGCCACTTTGTTCTGCAGAAGGGTCCGAAGGAAGCGGGTAAAGTCGGCGGCCGGCTGAGGGAACGATGGAATCCACACGAACTTGTGCTCCTCTTCGGATCCGTCGGTGCGATAGCGCTCGAGCACCGAAGGATCGAGCGTGGGCGGACAGTCGCTGGACTCGGCGGCAACTCGGATTTCGCAAAGCTCTCGTCCGCACGTGTCGGCGAATCGGACCGTTTTGCGCGTTTTCCTCGGCTTCCAGTCGAAAAAGAACAAATTTTTGAATTGCTCGGAGACAGTCGCGAGGATTGCGGTGGCCATGGGGTCGACGGAGACGAGTGTGGTGAGAGTGCGCAACGCAAGAGAATGGTGCGGTTGGCGAGGGGACGACGTCATTTACACCGGTCAATAAAACCATGTGAAGACACTGATACTCACATTATTGCTCTACCGCTACGGTTCTGTGAGGACTTACGTTTATTTGCGACAACGTATCTCAATTTGAGATATTAGAAAAGTTGTCATGATGATGAAATGTGTAAAATTTCCAAGTGAACATTTGTTCAGTTGACAACTTTTTGAAATCTTCACAGGGCACCTGAGAAGCATCAGAGGTAGCCAGGATTTTCGGGAAAAGTTTGGCTTTTCAGATAGTCCAATCGGGCTGAAACTGTTAAGGTAGACACTGCAAACAAAGACTGAAAATTGAGCAAAGTTTTTGTCTCATATCTGATCTACAATTTTGGCGGGAATACAACGCTCCGTTGCTCCGCGGCGCCTTGTTTAGTCGGCCGTCTGTTTTCCGTATCTTCCAGAATATGCACTCCATTTCTCCTATTTTTAGCCGATTTCTGTCATTTTTCAAACAACAGCTAGCGTAAATTGAAAGATTCACCATGTTTTCACATTTTTTCACTCGAAAACACGATTTTCCGCATATTTTCAGCGAAAATGGCTCCAAGCGACGAGTCAATGTCAAAAATCGTCGAAGACGTGCGTCTGGAGGCGGCGAGGCAGATAAAATCGAACGTCAAACGTCTGGTTCTTCTCGTGAGTGCTAACTATAAGTAAACCGCTTCAATTTTCTGGAAAATTGATTTGGCAGGGCGGACCTGGCACCGGGAAGACGTGGTTTCTCATGCGAGCGCTCATCCACACGTTCGAGACGCAGGAGAGTGCGAAGATGAAGAAAGCGTATTGTTTCTTTCGGAACGAGGAGGACTACCAGTCTTTCGATTGGGAGTTTCAGAGGAACGAGTACAAACTGTTCCGCGAGACTTACGCCAAAAAGGGGCAGATTTTGAGGCCGTCGGAGGTTGTGCAAGCGTTGAGGGAAGAGAATGGCAGCAATCCGCCCGCCGAGTTCAAATGCCCAAAGGTATTTTTTAATATATTTTTCTAGTTTTACAAACGGTTTTTCAGCTATTCGATGAGTGCAAGATTATGTTCATAATTGTGGGCATGAGAGACGCTCAGCTTTGGAGTTATTTGGTCAATGAGAAATTCAGATTGGATGTGAACAAAATCTTTCTCGCCGGTCAGTTGTTGACAAGTTTCAAAGCTTTTTGAGTCGAGTTTGACCGCAAAAATCAGGAGAAAAGCGCTAAATGGATCGCTTTGCAGAGGATGTGAACGCGTGGGACAATCTCTCGTTCAGCTGGCTGTTCGACACCAACATCCAAGTGACGAAGGCGATTTTCACGGTCGACGAAGCCGCCGGATTCACCGACGCCCATAAGATTCTATTGAAGCGCATCAAGGACAAGGCGGAGGCGGGAAGCCTACAGTTGTGCAATCTGCCGGCGTCGGATCGATGCGAAGAGGTGTTGCGATGGAGTTCGCTCTACATTTACAATACTCCCGGGTTCGGAGTCTGCGGATACAGCTGGTTTCCACGAACCGCCAAGAATCCGGCAGTATGCACACAGGAAGAGAGGCGGTGCGTCTGACAATAGTGCAAAAAGTAGGAAATGTTTCAGAGAAATCATGTCGAGCCATGCGATCGACATTTTCGAGTTCATCGACACGGGAAACGTGTACGGTCAGAGCGGCACGACTAAAGAGGACATTGTGAATGTGGAGGAGGCGAAACGCGTCGTGAAGGAAGTGATTGCGTTGCAAGAAGCCAAGAACGTGGAGCCCTGGCAGATTTATGTAATTGCCGATTTTCCCAAACAGGTTGAAAAACTCAAAGAGTTGCTGGCAGCGGCGGCGAAGAAACACAAGAAAGACGAGCGATTGAGCAAGTTGAACGAGATTCCGGTCAACTCTCCGGCCTATTTCCGTCGTCAGGCCCGCGCCAAATACGTCTTCTTCTCGATGACGCTCGCCAATCGCGACAGTCAGTTTCCGCGTACATGTTCTATGGCAAATCGTGGTTTTGCAGATAATTTTGGCGCCCTTTTCCCGCCTCACGTCGTACATGTCGTACTGACACAGGATCCGTTCGAGAGGGCAATTTGGGTGGGGAAAAAGAGCATGCTCGCCGAGAATCCGCTCAAGATCTACCAGAATGTTCTGCGGTGTGCCGGTTTTCCCCCGATCTTTCGTTAATGTGCCTTTTTCAGGGCACTCCAGAATGAGCCGATCTCTGACGATTCGCTGCAGAAGGACGCGCTGGCCACGTGGCTTTACAAAATGGAAACGGACGGGCGTGGCAGAACGGATGGGTAGGAATTAGGCTGACGATCGCTTGCATTTCAAAGGGAATGCGCCGTGTTTTTGCATTCTGATCTCCGGCGCAATCGGAACAATAGAAACACTGAAATTTGTTTTGCGGCTGATAAACTAGGCTCCGGAGATCACAAGATTCTCGACAGAGCGCATTTACTTCGAAATGTCCCGCAAGTATTTGAGAGCCGAAATCAACTCGTTTCAGAGAGTTGCCGGCTAATGGAATAGCCGTGTACAACGAACGGATTCCGTGGATTGGCAAATTCCGGGTACAGCAGATCGAGGCGGGCCCACCACCCCCACCAGCGGGACCTGCTGACGCACCTAGTTTATTGACTCCAGATGCTCAGCCGAGAAAGAAGCGTGGCGCCGGAGTTGCCGCTGCGAAACCCGCAGGACCTACCACGCGGAAGCAAAGGTGAAGAATCTCTTTTTCTTGTGTTTTCTGAATGAAAAATCGGTCAGAACGGTTCAAACTGCTACTCAACAAGAGTCGGAGCACGAAGAAGAGCTTGAAGATGATGCAACAGAAGCTGCGGATGCCGATTCTGCCGAACCATCATCCTCTGATCCGTCCGGTCCAGCAGAAGCTGCTGGCTCTCCCGATGCTCCGCCGAAAAAAAAGCGCGGTGCCGGAGCTACCACGCGAAAGCAGAAGTAACGAAGATTCTGTGCGCTGTTTCCTATGAAAATGTTTTCAGAGCGGTCCAAGCTGCTGCTGAACAAGAGTCAGACGGTGATGAAACCGCTGTGGAGGGGCCCGACGCCGCCAAACCATCGGCCACTGATCCTCCGCGCCCGGCGATTCCAGCAGATGCTGCTGCGAAGAAAAAGCGAGGAGCTGCTGCAAGAACTGCCCAAACTACCACGCGCAAGCAAAAGTAACCAAGGCTTTGCTCCCATTTCCCAAGAAAAACTTTCAGAACGGCCCTAGCCGCTGCTGAACACAAGTCGGAGAATGAGGAGATGGAGGAAGAAGTTGCGGAACCGTCCACTTCCGGAATTCCCCGTCCAGTGTCCGCCGGTGCTCTGCGCTCTCCGTCTCCGGACGTTCCCGCCAAAAAGAAGCGAGGTGCCGCTGCAAAGAATGCCGGCGTTTCGACGCGATTGCGAAAGTAACCAAAGTTTCGGTCCCATTTCTCAATGAAAGCTTTCAGAACGGCCCTAGCCGCTGCTGCTGAACACGATTCGGAAAATGAAGTGGAGGAAGAATCTGCGGAACCGTCCGCTTCAGACCTCCCCTGTCCAGCGCCCGCCGGTGCTAAACGGGGCGCCGGAGGCGCTGTTGCAAAAACTTCTGGAACCGCCACGCGAAAGCAGAGGTAACCGAGGCATTGCGTGCTTTTCACTATTGAAAATCAATTCAGAACCGCTCAAGCACAAACTGCGGCCGAGCAAGAGCCAGAGACCGAGGAAGCCGTTGCGGATGAGCCGGCCGAACCGTCCACTTCTGCGGCTCCCCGTTATCCAAAACGCGGACGCAATGCCAAATAATACCCTTGTTCTCAATTTTTACCCTATCTCATTTACGATTAACTTGCTCTTTGTGAAATTTCTATCAATTGTAAATTATTTGTGATAACTGCGTGCTAGAGCACGAAAAACGAACATAAAAAGTTTTCGTTTCTACTATTTTTTGTAATGAGTTACGGTATTTTACGCCGGTCTTATTTTCCAAACTGCGTGAGAGATCGCTTTCTGAACTGCAGAAATTCCCGAAATTACACAACTTTTGGTCTACAATTTGGGCTCGTAGTACAACGCTCCGCTATCCCGCGGCACGTTGGATTTCATGAACGACGCGCGAGCGCCAAAAATTTTCCTCTTTCGTTTTTTGGCGTTGTTGTTCCACTTCTCTCATCTCATTTCACTACCGACACGGTTTTTTCTACTAAACTGAGAAATTCCACGTCCACGGCTTCACCACGTCCCCCCCCGCCCCGTCCATCAACTGGTTTTCCAGTCCTCTGCTTTAAATTGAATTTTCTGTCGATTGAAGAAAAGTTGTCTTTCGATCGTTTTTCGTTCAGTGGAAGATGGCTCAACCGGCACCGAAACACATGGAGTACATGCGGCTACAGGCGGCACAACTGATCAGGGATGACGTGTCGCGGCTAGTTGTTTTCGTGAGTCCTCTCCTGTCTTTTTGCAAGTTTCAGGCCGTTCCGGGCTTTTCCAAGACCTGGACCACATCCTTGGATCCGATCGGACCCACACTTTGCAGGCTCCTTGGACATGGATCGAGGTACTTTGGGGCCAAGTTTCAGACTGATTCGAACATCTGGTCTCGAGTTATGTGGATCCGCTGTTTTCGCAACAAAATCGGCCTTTTCGGCCTCAAGTATATCTCGGGACCAGACCATCGGATCGGCCTGAAACTTGGACCCATCGTGCACCAGTCCAGAAGCCTGCACAGTTTGGGTCCGATTAGATTATTGCAAGTGGGTCAAAAGTCCAGGCTTTGTTGTTAATGAAGCACATTTGCCTGAAAATTCGTAAAAAAAACGATATTCCAGGGCGGTCCGGGCACCGGCAAAACGTGGTTTCTGATGCGAGCGCTCGTGCACGCATTGGAGGAATCCGAAGCGAGCCAAGTGGTGTGCATTTTCCGAGACGAAGTCGACTACGGCGCGTTCGCCCGCGAATTCAACAGGGAGGAATACGAGGCGTTGCGGAGCGACTACAAAGATGAGGGACTGATTTTGAATCCGTATCGCGTGGACGAGATTTTGGGAAGAAACAAGAAGAGATCGGCTGCATTTGTTTATCCCGAAGTAAGGAGTAATGCACTGTCTCCAGAACTTTCACGCTCCGGAGACCGTGAGTAGCCGCCTATCTGAATGACTGCCATTTTCTCTAATCTTGCAGGAATTTGAGAAATCAAAGATCATGATTCTGATCTTAGACGAGAACAACGTTGCCATGTGGAGGTTTCTGAATGATGACAAGTTCAAGAAGAATGAGAACGTCACTGTTCTTGCCGGTTAGTTTGTTCTGGAAAAGGTGGAAATGCGTTACTGAGAGATGAGAAATGTTTCCAATTGCAAAAACTACGAAACACTTTGAAAATCTGTTTTTAGCGTTTGACAATTGGGAACATTCCTGTTTTTTCAGAGAACATGTCAAAAGTGTGCACTTGCAGAAACCGTGAACATGTGGCCGTTCGGTCCGTTCAACATGATGTTCAAGGACGTCGACTTCCGGGTCGGACGGATGGTGAGCACGGTCGACGAAGCCCTCTCGGCCGGAACGCCCGTACACCAACGATTTCAATTGGCGACGATCGCCAATAAAGAGCGACTCGGAACTATTACGACGTGCTGTCTGCCGTGGTCGAATCGCTTCGAGGAGGCGTTGCAGTGGAGTGCGCTCTACTGCTACAAGTCCCACGGCGGCGTCTCGGGTCCCGCATGGCTGCCGGAGGACCTCGAAGATGAGGAGGAGCCGACGAGAGCACGAATCAGAGAACTCATGGGCGAACATCCAGTCGAAGTTTTCAAGTTTATCGGCGCGTCGTACAAAACGTGCACTCAGTCGGGAACGAGTCTGGCGGATATAAAGAACGTGGGCGAGGCGGAGCGCCTCGTCAGTTACGTGAAGGGAATGCTGGAAGACGCGAGAAGATCAGAAAGACCGTTGCATCCCCAAGAGTTCCACATCATGTCCACCTTCCCAGCACAGGTATTGTGTGGCTGCCGTTCAACACTTTTCATCATTTCAGATCGCCGAAATCAAACGATTGTTGCTGGTGGAGTCGGAAACTCACCCGGAAGACGACGTGTTCGGCAGAATGAACCAGATTCCCGTGAACACGCCGGCCTTTTTCCGTGGCGAGGGTCGCGCCAAATACGTCTTCTTCTCGATGACGCTCACCAATCGACGACGTCGGTGTTCATCGGAAGGAACTCACTGAAGTGACTTTGCGATTTTGCAGAAAACTTCAACCGCCTCTTCCCTCGTGACGTCATCCATCTCGCGTTGACGCAGAATCCGTCGGTGAAAACGTATTGGGTGGGAAACAAGAGCATTCTCGAGGAGAACGAATCCAAAATGTACCAAAACGTGCTGAGGTATTCGCATTTCCCGTTGTATGTGTCGTTTCAATCCACTGTTTTTCCAGAACTCTCGAGCATGAACCAATAGTCGATGTGGAAGAGACGAGGAGCGACAAGCGGGCTGTGAGCGAAATGACGCGATGGATGTACCGTTTGGAAAGGAGCACGGGAGGCCGCCAACAACCAGAACCACAGGTTCACATTGATCCGGAAGACAGGCAAGAACAACTCTCGGACGGCCCGGATGTGTCTGAAATCGATCATTTTCAGTGTGGTGTACGAACGAGACATTGCGTACATAGTCAGTCCGCCGGCCCGCAGCGACAGGCCGAGAAGAGATGGCCGTGATTGGGCAGCGATCGAAAGGCATGCTGTATCCAATGTGGCGAACATCTCCGGTCCACATCCGCGATTGCCTCTGCCCGGATCTCGGACGACATCTTCAGGAGCAGACGAGGAAGACATGGAGACGGAGGACGATGATCAACCGTCCACTTCCACCGCTCCCACGTCCCGTTACCCGATTCGCGGCAGACCCGTCACAGAAACGGAACTGTAAAGACCGCCCCGAATCCATGTATCTAGTTTATTCATGTATCTCTAATTCTATGTAACATGATCATTGATTTTATTTTGAATTACCGACCAATTTGTCTTCGGTTTTTTTTGTTGCTATATTCGGGTTTCAAGACTCCCAGAAGTTCCTTTTTTACGAAATTTTGAGCGCGGTTTCTAACCCAATTTCAGCAGAAATGGTCTGCGCCGGTCCCGGAAGTGACAAGTGCGCCCCGCTGGGCGTCATCGACCAAGAACCCGCGACGGCGATCAATGGAGAAGATGGCGCCGGGGAGCACAACGGTTCGTGCATTTGTCGCAATTATTTGTGGCACGAATTTCGAATTTTCCATTATTTCCCTTGGGAAATACGATTTTTAGCGGTTCTTTTGGGAGAATCCCGGGAAACTTGTCCGGTTTCTGGCCTAAAGTTCCGTACCAATGAAAGGAAACAAGCTCCGACCCCCTTTTCCCTACCGAATTTGCCGATTCGGCTGGAAATGCGATTTTCGTGATAATTTCGCTGATTTCCGACAAAACAACTTGAATTCGAGCGCCAGGCATCATTTTTGACAAAAAACTCGTGTCTGTTAGCCAAATCTGAAGGCCTGGGAGAGCTTGGCGGTTACAATTGACAACATGAGTTTCTGCATCTTCAGATTCACATGAACAGGTATTTTGCAGAACCGAATTGCTCTGCGCCACCTCCAGAACGCGTGAAACTGTCGGAGCAGCAGAAAATGGCGATGAAAGTGGTAGAAGAGGCCACGTTTCAGCGACTTTTCATCTACGTTAGTGATGTGCCCAGTTTTCCTAATATTTGAACTTTTCAGGGCGGCCCGGGTACCGGCAAGACGTTTTTTCTGCATAGAACACTGGAATACTTGGCCGTGAAGAAGGAGCGCCGAGTGTTGTGTTTGTTCCGAACTCCGGCCGAATACGAGGAGTTCGAATGTCAACTCGATGAAAATTTGAGTCTGAGAATTGGCGGAAACATCCTTTTACACAAAGATGTTGTCGAGAAACTATTCAAAAATGGCAAGAAGGTCGATGGAAAATGGATTTTTACAGATGTTTGTGACATTGATCTTCTTTCCTGTAAATTCCGTTGATTTTTCTCTGTAGGACGTATTCGAACCGTTCGGAATCATGATGATCTGCGTCTGGGACATGATCACCCGCCATTTTGTTCTCGACAAGCGATTTATGCCCCTTTTTGATGTACTTATAGCTGGTATTCATTTAAAATGTTCGCAAAAACTTATCAGTGTTTCTAGAAAACGTCGCCTCGTGGAGACTGCATCGTCTGAAGTTGTTTATGGAGAAACCGATGATCGTTTCGTTCAAACCGTCGGACGAGCGAATGAGGGAGACACTGGAGTGCGTGAGTGGACTGGATTTCAACGGCCCCCAGAATCAGATTACGAATTTCGACGATGCGCACACATTTTTTGTGAGAAAATTCACAAAGTTTTCATCAACAAAAAACAACACAATTTCAGGCGGACTTCAAGATGAAACTTATCGAATTGGAGAAGAGCGAAAGTGTTAACAGACGGAAGAATTATGTAAAAATGGCCGAAGAGTATAGAATTGCGCATAAACTTACAATGTCGCTGGTGACCTGGAGAGCCGACACTGATCCTATTTATGTGATCGCCGATGAGCAGAGACAGGTACTCAAGTTTGAGCCCAAACTTTGCAGGCTTTGAATTGAAGTACTTTAGGCCCGAGTTTTAGACCAATCATTCCAAGTCTAAAAAGTCTGCGAAGTTTTAATCAAATCGGAAAATTGCACTTGTTCAAAGTTCAAAAGTTCAGACCTCAAAAAGGCCGTTCCATTTTTCAGATCGAACGAATTCGTACTTGTATGAAAGAGCGCACTGGTCTCCTTTCGATCCCCTTCAGTTTACACCGCATCGATGCGCCCTTATTCTTCCGATCACTGCCCCCGAACACGTGTTACACTGTTTATATGTTGACAAAAGAAACGACTTATCATGAACGTTCGTTTTGTTCTCATTTTTGTCCATAAAAATAGATAATTCAGGTGATTTCGACCTGCTAACACGCGAATCCGCTCATTTCGTACTCGCTCGAGCTGAACTGACTTGGCCGGAGGACTAGACCCATTTCACAGACATAATCATCATCTCATTCATGTGCAATTTCTGATCTCACTGCAAGTTATGTGATAATTTGAATCAATCAATCAGTAATAATAACAATAACTATTTTCTAATAAAGTGATTCGCTCATTATATTGTCCTCCTGGGACAATCAATATTCTTACGAGACCCATTACCCTCCAGTCATCCTTCTATTCTCATTCATTACAATGCTCTTCTTGTACTACCCCCTGTCCCTTCTTCTCCTGTCCCTTTCCCCCATTATCGATTGCTCTGGTTACCTGGAAATTCATCTCAAAACCGCGTTTTCCCTGAACATGACAGTGGAAGTGGCGGATGAGGTGTATTTCCCTGAAAACAAGCACGTCTACACCTTCGAACTGGAACCGGACACTCTGAAAGTGATCACGGACATTCGGGCCAAGTTCGGAAGGCCCGGACTCGTGTTTGTCCACAGCGGACCGATCGAGAGACTGGGAGTGGCGGATGCGATGATAAAAGTGGTCCGATGGAACACCGAACGGAATATCATTGCGCCCAAGGAGGTCTACCTTCCGTTCACTGGATTCAAGATTGAGATCAAGTGCGATCGGTGAGTTTTTTTTAAATCTGTTTCAAACATTCCTTATCGAGAAAGTTAAAGGATCATAATCGATAATTATGCGCGGAAATATAACTTGAAATTCTCAACTTTTTGTCGGCAGATTGATCGATTTCTCGTTAAAGTACATATATCATCAGAAAGTCACGATGAAAACTTCAATTAAGACAAATTTTCACTGTAAAAACTTGAGATCATACTGTAGTGCAACAATTTCAGCAACTGGTACGGGCCGCAATGCAACCGACCGTGCGACGGACACATGGCCGGCCTGCTGGGCCTCCGCTGCAACGAACAAGGATTTCCGGGATGTTTGGAAGGATGGCACGGAGAGAACTGCGAGAAGAAGATCTCGAATCGGCTGCCCGAGTGCAGATGCGAGAACCGAGGAGTGTGTGCGTCGACGAGAACGATGAGTGGGAGGAGCGAGCTGATCTGCGAGTGTCCGATCGGATTCGAGGGACGGAAGTGCGAGACGGAGGGCTTCGACTACGTGGACGAGATCGAGTACCCGATGAAAGAGATTCAGGGCAAGCGGGCGCTTTTCGAGGAGTTCTTCAATGGTACCGCTAGCAAGCTGCTCAACGAACTTGCCTAGCCTTGAAGATCTGAACACCTAACTTGACTTGTTTTTCGAATGCTTTTATGATTACTTATGGGGTTATTCGGCGATGTCGAATAAAGGAACGAAACGCAACGCACGATCGCCGAACAACCCCATTGGTGAAAATCCAAACAGTACGGAAAAACCCGATTGACACTTCTTTATTTCTTTTATTACAACTAAACATATTTGTTCTATACTGATGAGTTCTGTCTTGGTGAAAATGCTGCGGAATGAGCCGACTAACGACTTGGATAACGCGAGGAGAAGCGAAGGATGGTGAGAGCTATGGAGACGCAGACAGCAGGCTTTCCATATCCGGCGGGCGCGCGTGTTTTTTCGACGTGACTGAGCAGACTGCAAGCAACAATGCACCATAAATGACAGTCCGGAGATTCTTCTCACTAGAGAACTTTGTGGAGAATCCGTAACTGGCCTTCATTTTTGACGACCACTTGTTAGTGTCTTTGAAGCAGAAAAAACCATGAAACCAACGACGACAGCGACCAGCACACGGTCTCCCAGGGCGCTCGTAAATTGCGGAGTGTCGTTGCAACTTTTGAAAATTTGCAGGTCTAAAAATGCAGTTCAATTCGAGTTTACGACCATTATTTCTTTCTTTTTGACTTGAAAAAACGTCTAGAAAACAATATTTTACTGATTGGAAACCGTTCTTTACAGAATTTAGAGTTTTTCATGTTTTTAGCGTCTTTTTCGCATTTCGTCAAAACTTCAAACCTTTATATTTCAGCTCATTTTGCGTTTCATGAGCCCAACGAACGAGAAAAATGTTCGCTGAATCTTTCTTCACAAAATTCAGGTTCCGGCGGTTAGTTTTCTTGAGCAGTTTTCGAAAACTATTCGAAAAACATCAAAATCCAGGCCAAAACCTTCAAATCGAAATAACTCGGCTAATTCTCAACGATATGCGAGATTTCTGTTACCAAAACGTAGCTAGTGCGCTAATTGTTCGAATCCAGGTTCCAAGCGTACAAAAAAATAGGTGTATTCTACAGAAAACATGGAAAGAACGCGAACTCCCGTTGAAAATTAATTAATCGGCCGCCGTGTAAATCGACACAGCCCGCCTGTTGCAAGTGCGCCCCATTGAAATCATTCGCGCCATGGGAGACCGTGCGGCATGATGTATCCAACACGCGCTGCCGGAAACTGTAAATGACGTCAAGGGTGAACTCGAATTTGAGACACAGTCCGGAGGAGTTTTGTGGAATGCGGAACGCGGAACGATTTTTCGATCCATGTGTTTCAGAGGATTTTGTCTTTTTCGTCGGATTTCTAAAAACAAATAGACGTATTGTTATAATAAGTTTACTGCTCATTTAATGCTTATAGCGAAACTGAAAATTTTACGGAACACGGAAAAAGTGCTTCAAAATGTGGAATAAAACATTTTGTTCCGCTTCATAATCGCAGCAAAAAGTGAAGTCACTTTCTTACTTTATTTATTACCAAAAATTGAATACGAAAATTACATAGGACAAATAGCGCACAAGGTATGTCTTTTTAAAAAAAATGTGAGGAGGACAAAAACAAAATAGTAAGGCGGTTACGTGTAATGGATCAAAGTGATTGGGACGAGAGTTTTCAAAGAAAGTGATTTTCAGAAAAATCTTGAATTCAGTGTGCGAACACTGAAACTCGTGAATTAATTGAATGGCGGGAGAACTACTACTGATCGGCTAATTTTTGGTCGAACGAGAGTGACTAGAACTAGAAGATGTTTCAGAGAGATTTTAAAATTAAAGTGAGATCGAGATTCGAAAGTTATTGACGAATGATGAAGAAGATTGCCTTATGGCTCGAGAATGTTCGCAGGGAAGTCCAGCTCGTTCTCGTGGAGCTGAAACCAGATGGCTGATTCTAAAAGAAGCGGGGCTTCTTCACTCACCTGAGCAGTATACTTGATCGGCTTCTCCTCCTCCTCGAGTATATTAATGGTGTTAATGTCGCAAATGTACGTCGGTGCGTGCATGGAACTGACCGAAGACGACGAGGAAGAGCTCGACGAGCAAACCGACGAGTCCAGTCGGACCATCTCCGTCTGCCCGCCGATTCCGCAGTGATCTTGCTCCGTGCTCAGAGTCGGCACCATCGAATCGTCATGCGAATCGTGACCTCTGCGGCGGGCGTTCATGAAAAAGTTGGCGACAGTCGTCGGATCGAGGTTGAGTTGCTGCGAAATGGTGACTTGCATCTCGCGCGACGGTCGCTTCGTCTCTTTGAATATCGCCTGAAGGGTCCGTCTCTGGATGTCTGTGAACACGAGACGCGTCTTTTTCGGCGCCGGCGGTTGCACGACTGCCGGAGAGCCGCTCGTCGTTTGCTCTTCTTTTCGTTTGCACGCTGGAACATTGAAGGTCTCTTTTGGGGCTATTCAGCGTATGTTAGTTTTCCGTTTTTTCTCGTTTTTTTACACCGCTGAATTGGGTTTTTTGACGTAAAAAAACGAAAAAAAAACGGAAAAAAAATCTTTTTTTTTTCCCAGCCTGAATAACCCCATTTGACTGCACGCTGTTCCGCTTATGTATAGAAATTTTTCAGAGCTACGTAGAGTGAAACGTCTCGAGTACCAACAAAAGATCTAGACGCTTTGAAACAGAAATTTCCATCAATTCACCTGCCAAGCGGAGTGCGGACATTCTCTGGAACTCGGGCTCCTGCAGCCATTTCGCCATTCTCCGGAACGTTTCCCGTCCACTTTTGAGTTTCGACCACGGTTTCGGGTTGCGAAGCAGGTCCGAAAGCGTTCCCTGGGATCTATAATTTCTGCAAGTATTGCGCGTTTACTTTTAACCGAAACTGACCTGCAAAGGACGCGTTCGGCGAAAATCGCCTGTGGAATCGAGTATCGTTTGAGCTCGCCGGCGATCTGCAGCGCGAGCTCCTTCGTGTTCAACTCCTCGCCTTCTTCGACCTCCCCGCCCTCTTCTTCACTACTTCCACGCATTAGAGCGGCCGGCGAGGCGCGTTTCGGCGATTTTGTCGTCTGAAATATCGTCGTCTTACTTTTTCAGTTTCACCTTCTCACTAATGTTCTATGAATACGTCCCGTCAACTCACACTATCCGCCTCGGAGATCATTGGTGCCACGTAGCGAGCTTCGTGATGTTCCTCCGTCTTGATGTCGAACGAATCGAACGTGGAAGTGGCGGAGAAGGCGTGATGGAGGTCCGTTCCGTGGTTACTGTAGTCCGAGGGCGACGAGGACGAATCTTCCTCCTCCTCCTCTTCCTCCTCCTCATACTTTAAGTCGTATGAAGAGCTCGACGAGGTCGGGAAGTAATAACTGCAAAGTTTGACGTGCAAAGTTCGTTCTTGGAGTCTTTGAACGAATCCAACTCACTTGAGCGACTGGGAATTTGGCGATGGAGAGTGTCTCGTGTAGCGCGACTCCTTTGAAGTCAAACTTGAGATCGGTGGCAGCGGTTGGAGGTTGGTGAGTGTTGCGTAGTTGCTGGAATTGCTATTGTGGGCTTCAGAGTTGAGCGGAAGAACACGGAAGAATTTTTATCTTTTTTAGAAAATTTTTTCATGGAATGTGATCAACTGACGAAATGTATAGCAAAGTGAACTGTGCTCATAGAAAAATAATTGTAAATTTAGCGTTTCATACAAAAAAGTTATTCGAGTTGTTCCTTCCGTTAGCCCCCTTTTTCACGGAACAACTCGAATAACTTTTTTGTATGAATAGCTAAATTTACAATTATTTTTCTATGAGCACAGTTTACTTTGCTATACATTTCGTCAGTTGATGACATTCCATGAAAAAATTTTCTAAAAAAGATAAAAATTCTTCCGTGAGTTCTTCCGTTGAGTTCTTCCGCCTACTGGGCTTCTTCAACACGTTTCGAGAGATTATGGACTGGAAAAGTTCCGCTAACGTCCGAGAGTACACATTGAAAATGTCAAGACTGAAACAGACATTCTAGTTCTTTTTTCTACTCTGCTTTTTGATCTTTTTCTCCGATCTCCCTCGTTCAATTATGTACGTGTCATGTCATGAACACTTTAGCTTTAGCTTTGGCCATCTGTCCCCCCGCTCGTTAATCATAGACGACTCACTCGAAAATCGGTCCGCTGCGATCCTCGTCGGCAAAGTCGATGAAATGATCGTCGTTGTGGTGGCGGCTCAACGGCGACTCCACATCATCGCCGCTTTCAACGTCGTCGTCCATCGAGAGAAGCGGATGACGGCGGTGCTGCGGAGAGCTGAGCGCTGCCGAGAGCAGCGGATCCGAGCCCGAATCGGTGAGCGCTTCCATTTGTCTGGAGAGTTCGATAAAAGTGTTTTTAGAGTAACTTGAAGCAGAAATAGTTTTGGTGTGAAGCGTCAAAGTTAGAATAATATTGCTGCTTATTCAAAACGATGTATCTCAGCTGAATGTAGAGATATCAAATCGTTGTCAACTGCAAAAATGTACAGAATTTCTTTATAAACATTTCATCTGTTGACAATTTGTTGATATCTCCTCAAACAGCAGGGATACATCGTCTTAAATACAAACAGAACTGAGACGAAATGTGCAAAATAAAAAAGGACGGCCGCCGCATCCGTCCGGCTGTTGTTGTGATAACAAAGCTTCCTCGTAGAGGTTGTCATGGCCTCCCCCACGTTTTTTTTTCCAATTTCCTCTAAAATGGCCACCAGCCAGACTATACTAGATGACGTGGCAAAATGGGTGATTTATGGGCGCGACAAATGGGCAAATGAAATGAGATGAGGAGAGCAGCCCAATTTTTGTATGTTTTTGGAGTCTCTCTTCGAGAAATTGTGAAAGAAAATGTTGTTCGGAAAGTTGATGAATCATCCGAACCCTGTTTACATCTTTTTCCGACAAAAAATTGTGAAACAAATCCAAGTGTGTTCGGAAAACGAATTTGTTTGAGGAAAAAGCAAAAAGTAATGAAAAGGGCATTTGTGGGATAAAGTGATCAACTACAAAGTTGTACAGCACAAAATTTTCAACAATTTTCGTGTTGACCACTTTTTCGAAAAGTGCTTGGTTCTCGAAATATGCACGTTCAAAGATAAGGGTGTAAACTTTGAGACCTTGGATCAAGTCCTAAATGGCATTTTCGTTGAAAACTGCCGTGTTATTTAACTTTTTACGCTCTATCTAATAGTATAACACGCGAGGATATGGAACGGAGAAATAGAGAAATCAATGGTCTGGATCTGACTAGCTATGAGTCATCCAGACCCAATTTTGAGATGATGTTTCGATCAAAGCACACATAAAGGACCATATTACTATCAGACAACTGAAGTCGTGAATGTTGTCTCTCTCTCTCTCTCTCTCTCTCTATATGCAATGGAAAGAGGAGAAGTAGGAGGGGGGCAAAGAGGGACACACAGGGTGGTGCGGACCGAGAGGAGCTGTGTCGACCACGACGCCTTCGACTCCGTCTCTCTCCGTCGCCCCGCACTCTCTTTCCCCCCCGCTCTTCTTCTCTCGCCTGTTGTGTGTGCGCGTGTGCTTGCTCCGGGAGGGCTCTCCGGAGCCGCGAAGGCAGTGCGAGAAGCGGCGGAGACGCCGAGACGTACCACCCGAATAAGGGGCGGTCCCATTTGTCTGAACCTCTTTCTCTCTCTCTCTCTCTCTCCGTAGGTCCCCGGCAGCTTCTATGTAGCTTTTCAAAGGGTGGCAGATGGTGGCGGGAAGCGAAGGGAAAGACGAAGATGGAAACGAAACGAAATGGGTGCGTGCAAATTGAACGACGCGTTCTCCCCTCTCCTCATATTCATTCGTTCTATTCGGTTACACTTCACACAAAGTTTCAATTATCGACTCGGCGAGGCCGTTGAGATCCTTTTGCGTTTCGTCGACGTGCTTCCGCGCCTCTGCCTCAGTGGTCGTTTTCAGACGGATGCTACGAATTAGACGAATTATGAGCTGTAATAATGGAAAATTGAGGTGTACCAACTTGTGGACACTTTTCTCACCTGTATCAGCTTTCGTATCGAAATAATCGAGATGATTTTGCCGAAAAGATCCACGTGCGAACTTTGCGGCGACCAGAAACTGCCTACGAACCCGATCAACGGACAATCCAGCTCCACTTCGCTCTGATTTCGCTGCAAATTTCAAACGTCTCGATTTTGCGGTGTCGTACACTAAAAACAATGTCTAGTTTTTAGAAAAAGATCAATAGCGTCCCAAATTCTGAGAAAACTTCTCCGAATTTTGCTGGCCTTTCACGGCAGGCGGAGTTTTCTAGTCCCCCGGCCGCCAAATTTGAAACAGTTCAAAATTGTTGGCATTCGGGGAAATGTTGCCTCACTACACACGGTCTCCAGAACTGACAATGGGCGCAAGTGCGCTCCGCCGCACACGGCAGCATTTCGGTGGGAAATTCAAATTTTAATTGCAAAATATGGCTTTTGTGCGAAATAAACCGTGAAAATGTGTTTTTGTTCAGTTGTCTCTCGATAGAGCGATTGTGGGCGCCAATAATAATTTTTTAAGCGCAAGATATGTTAAAATATGTAATTTTTATGGTGCATGACAATTTTTCGAATTAAATTCACCTTCCTAGTCCTCACATATCGCTCATCGTACACACCCAAATGCTCGGTGAGCTCCAGATGCTCCGACCAGCATCCAATTGAGACGACGGTGAAAGCGAGCAAGAATACGCACACAAATATCATCGCGACGATTTTTGCAAGTGCTAAAATGTGCAAATTTGTGAAAGTGATCGCGGAAATTCGCGCAAATACTTCTTTTGTAGCCGACTCGTTTGTACTCGGTCAGCGCGTCCAGGAGTATCTTCTCTTTGTCGGAAAGGTATCGAGAGTGTATGAGCCGCGCGAAGTCTTGTCCGCCTTGCGAATGATTCGTTTCATCCTGAAAATTGCAAATTATTGGTTTGGCGCCAGCTCGAGATAATTGACTAATCGCGCGCTGTCTTCAGCGCCCTCCGAGGGGTTAACGCGAACACCGACGAATCCAGACTTCTCTGGTAAAATTGAAAAATTTCCTCAGCCATTTTCAAACTTTTCTAAACTTTCTCAAGACAAAAAACTTTTCTAAGAAATTCTTAAACTTTTTCAAGCGGTCAAAACTTTTTCAAGCCTTTCTCAAACTTTCCTTATTTCTAAAGTGGCGCCTCGAAAAGTTTAAAAAAGTTTGAAAATGGCTGAGGAAAGTTTTTTTTTAACCAGACTTGCCAAATCCCGGGCCAGCAAATCGTCGGCACGGCCCGGCCCGGTCGGCCCGGCTCCGCCCACTCTTGAGAAAATTTTCGTAATTTTTGTGAAAATTTTGCGACTTTAAACAGCAATTTCTATTTTTTAACAGGTTTTTATGCTATAACATTGCCTTTTTAAGTCTATAAAATTTTAAGTCTATAAAATTATGTTCGTTTCGAAGTTCTAGTTCGCTTTGAATTTTTAGGTGCATCCTCCCGGGCCGACCGGGCCGAGCCGGGCCGGGCCGGAAAATTTGCAATTTTGGCCCGGCCCGGCCCGTTGCAAGTCTGGAAGAATCACTGAAGGATAAGATACGCTAACCACTGAGCGTGGAACAATCGGCAACTAAGCTTTTTTCAAGGCTCTCTCAGGCCTTACCAGATAAGATTATCCTGTTCAGGAAAACCTTCCGGGCCTTTTTCAGGGCTCTCTCAGGCCTTACCAGCCTTATATACCTTTGTGGGCGTGGCTTTCCGCCAGGGCAGTTCCGAACTTGTGGGCGTGGCCAACTGTTTGGGATCACCGTCAGGGCGGGGCGTCGTAAAATTTTTTTGTTAACGGATCCGTAAAAACGCAAATTTACGGTATCAAAAAGCCGTAAAATCCGTAAATTCCGTAAAATCCGTAAAATCCGTGAAATCCATGAAGCGTCCTGTTTTTGTCATGATCTCACGGAAAAAATTAAAACTACTTGTTCTCAATTTTCCGATAATTTTTATTTGAACCATCACATCGACGTACTTTTTTACCCTTGGTTCAAGTGAAACTCGAGTAAAACGGGGGAACGGGAAGAACATGATGAAAACGCGGGGAAGTGAGGAATCACTGAGTAATCAGTAATCGGCGAAACGGGATTTCAGTTACCAATTGTTCCACGCTCAGTGGTTAGCGTATCTAATCCTTCAGTGATTCTTCACTGTTCACGTGTTCCCAGTGGATGTGTGCGTGGCCGAGTGGCTAACCCTTTTGCCTGCCACCCGGTTGGTCCGCAGGTTCGAGCGCACCCACCCGCATTCGATTTTTGCTCGCTCACCTGCCAATTGCCAAGAAATCCCGCGGCTCCGGAAGCGGTCCCCGATGACTTTGTCCCTTTGCCAATCTCTTTTTTGGGCGACGGAGTGATAAGCGGAGATCTGACAGCCTGATTACTGGTCGAAGTTGACGGCTTCATGCCGAAAGAAAGTCAACAAAGGGTGCTCTAAGAGCCCCCCGGATGAGGGCGAGAGGGGAAAACAGAAAAAAAGAAGAAGAAGAAGAAGAAGAAGAAGCGGAGAAGAAGAAGTATCGGAGGGAGCTGAATTTTGAGGAGAAACGCGAGAGAGCGGGTGAAAAACGGAGACGCAGGGGGCTAGAAGCTGGCTCCTAGCAGCTCGTTTCGTTTTTCAGTGTGCAAAATTGACAAATCTATTTATTACTCATTCCGTCGATTTCGAAACTCTGTTTTCTGAACGAAGCTGATCGCATTTCACTTGGATACATTTGTTGGGAATGTGAAACGTAGAACTGAAGAATGCTTGATTATAAGAAGGAAATTTCCACGTTTCAAGTTTGGTTTAAACCCAAAGAGTGTGAAAATTTGGTTTGTGGAGATGATTTGAGTCAAAGTTTGTCAAAGTACTGTTGAGAAAAAACAACTATGCAGCATATGCTTTTTCAAACCTTGATATCTCAGCTGTCTGTGAAGATATCAAAAAGTTGTCAACTGGTAAAATGTTCAAAATTGTTTGATAAACATTTTATCTGTTGACAATTTTTGCATAGCTCCACTGACAGCTGAGATCAATCGGCCTAACTGAACGGTATACCGATTTTGAACTCTGCTCACATGAAACATGTTTTGAGACTTTGCTGAAACATTATCAGTTTCACAATTTGCACTAAATCAACTCAGGCTTCAAGTTTTTGCTCATACTCTTGTAAGAACTTAATTGTATCTATTAATCAAATGAGTTTCGACACAATCAAGGTTAAAGTTGCTGTTAAAACAGTAGAAAGTCTTGGCTGCCAGTTTTTATCGATTTTGAAGTTGCAATTGATATTATATGTTTCTCTTCTAGTACATGCATCTGAGCCTTTAGAATTCGATACCAAGACACAGTTATGGCCTTCTGAAAAGAAACGTTTTCCGTCGCAAAAGTATAACTCACAGCTGCACGCACGGCGACCAAAAGTGTAGAAAGGGGCGTGGCTTAATCTGAGACGCGTTTTCTGAAAATTGCGGCAATTCCAGCACTTTTCCGATATTTTTGTGTTTGATATCGACGAAAGAAGAGACACTAAAGAGAGAGAACATTGAAATTTTCGTGAAAACGCCGCGTTTGAGACGTTTTTCGCATATTTCGCAATACGCGCTCCGCGGCCAATCGCCGCCGCAATTTCGGAATTTTCATACCGGCCGATATGGATAGTTTTGAGACGAAGTGAGTGTCGGAAGTGATTAAGCACGTTAATACAAGTATTTTAAGCGTTCAAACGGCAAAAAGTATCGGCGAATGACTGAAATTCGCGCATTTTCAGCACAAAATTTGAAAATCGATTCAATCGATTCTTTTCTGAATGAAACCTGCTCGTTTTAAGCTCAAAAAGTGCGCGATGATTAGTTTAACAAAGTTATTATGCAATTACATCGTCGAAACCCGTACAAAATTTGGGTAATTTTTGACGAAAAACATGAAAAATTGGGTTAAATTTCGAATTTCGCGCCAAAATGGTGATAAACCGTGCACGTTTTTGGTCGCCGTGTGCACAGCAATGTTGTGTACCTGTTTTTCCCGCCAAAACTCTCGCATTGTCTGCAATACAATAGAAATCGAACACTTTTTGCGTACTTTTTTCAGTTTTACCAAGTGTTTTAGTTGATTGTCGGGCGTTCAAAGGTGTTTCACTGTGTGTAGGCTGAACATTTATGGATACATTTATCGTTATCGATACAAAAAATTACCTCAAAACAACCGTCACGAGTAGAATATTCTGCAGAAACTTTTCTCGATGGATTATCGATAAATGCCAACCTTACCCGAGCCCAGAGCGAAGAAATTCAGAGATAATAGAAAAAATAAGCGAAATTGCGTCATGATATCTGACAATGTGAAAAAAAAAGTGAAAGCGTGTCAAAAGCCAAACGATTTTCCGGTGAAATTTGCATTTTTCGGTTCACAACATCAAAAATCTCCGTTCAACACGGTACCCGATCGGTCGGACGAATTAAAAATGCGCAAATTTCGTCTAGAACAGTCGGAAAAGCACAGAAACGACGAGACAAATGGACATTTTTGAGAATCCGCCCGAATTGCAATAGTGTCGATCGTTGCAGCAGCAGAGAGTTCCCTTCATCCCGAGAAGATCCGTTTCCATGCAGCGATTGCGGATTCCCTGGCAAAAAATCGACTTTTCTCGGTTCCCAGTCAGCCGATCGGGACCAAACTTGGCGGGTGGACCCTTTCGGATCTAGGGACCAGGTCCGTGAAGTTTGGCACCGATCGGTGAAGGTTGAAGCGTTGAAACAAACGAACATTACAAAAAAAACTGGAGCATCCCATTTTGACGACCTCATTCAGCTGCGTTTCCTCCATAAACTTGTAGCAATACGATTCGCCCATCCCTAGGATCGCATCGCAGTTCTCTGAAACGTCTAGGCCATGGCCGTGAGAAAGCTAGGCCACCGACCAGTGTCCTGCAGCACTTCCTGACCGACGACGTACTTGAGGCCCGCGTAGCAACGAATTTCCACCGAATTTGAGGGCGATGGGACGAAATATGAGGTGAACAGGGTGAAAATTACTAACCTAATCGAGGACATCTGAAACATTTATGTATTGTTGTAGGCCTGAAGCTTCAAAGTTTGAAAAAGACGTATAACTTGAAAATGATGCATTTTGGAGTAAAATGCTCAACTACAAAGTTATTAGGCACAGAATTTCCAACAACTTTTCAGTTGACCATTTTGCAAAATGAATATTGGTTCTCAAGATATGAAGCTCCAAAGAACAGGGATGTTAGATGTCAGTCCCAATACAGTTTATTCAAATCAATATGTCTCAACTGTCAGTAGAGATATCAAAAAGTCGTCAACTAATGAAATGTACACTAACAAATTCTGTACATTTTTGCAGTTGACAACTTTTTGATATTTCCGATGGTCGCTGAGATATCGGACCTTGAAAAGTCATCGTTTTTAAAACAACTACTTTTGACTCGCAATGACGCAAATCATCTCCGGACTACGGTAATCTTAAATTCGATCCAATTTTATTGAAAAATTGGCAAGTTTTTCACAAAAAAATTGTCGTTTTAAAATACGCACTTAAAATTTTAGATGACTTCCCACATCTCTGCTACACGGTCTCCAGAGCTGAGAATGGGCGCAAGTGCGCCCCGCCAAATAGAGCGATACATTGGCGCGAAATTCAAATTTTAACAGCAAAATTTGTGTTTTTTGCCAGATTAGCCACAAAAAACAGATAATTTCTCATTTGTCTCTCGATGGACCGATTGTATAGGCTGTTACGAATTTTTTAAGCGCATGAGCGTTAAATTTGGTCAAGTCGCAAATCACATTTATCCGTTTGAAGGTTTTTGGCCAAAAATGCGTGAATTTCAGTTGCTTTTCGGTAGTTTTCGCGGTTCGAGCGCTCAAAATGCTTGTATTTACGTGATTTATCATTCTCAAAACCAATTCTGTCTGAAAACGGCCAAGAAAGCGCTAAATGAGAAGTGCGGGTTTTTAGGCGGCGATCGGCGGCGAAGGCGAAAAAGCAAAGTCCGCGAAAAATGCGCCAAAACGTCATTAATTCCGAGAATTAATGTATTTTCATGTCGAACAATCATTTTCATCGCCTTTGACGACAAAAATCAGAGAAAACCTGCTCAATTCATGAAAACGCCATTTGGCCGAGGCCACGCCCATATTGTCAGCTCTGGAGACCGTGATGCTAATCAAAATATAAACGAATAAAGAGACAAGGTGAAACCGCAATAAATCTTATTCAATTGGAAACAAGACAACAAATTGACGGAATCGAAGGGAAATCATGTGTTACACACCCTCTTTTCTGTTTTTTTTTATCGAAGACAGAGAGAAAGTGATTGAATGAAGAGACGCAGTGGGCAAATCAGAGGAAAGACCGATGAATCATCGTTTCGAAAGAAGAGAGAAAAGTAAAATGAGAAAATTGTTGGACTAATAGTGAATAATTTAGGAAAATGTGTGAGAAGAAGCGGGTAAAATTTGTACATCTTGCTGCCTGGATTACCCTAACATTTTAATCAGAAAACATATCCGAAAATGTTGTTCTAAATTCACTTTCCGTAACTGTCCCAACAACAAAAAGATGAGTGCCGACTGCTCGTGAAGAATTCCAAGTTGAACGCCTTTTTTCCGGCCTAATAAACGTTTTCTGCTCTAAGGCTGTGAAAAAAATGATTGTTTTCCGTTTTTTTTTTCGTTTTTTTACGTCAAAAAATCCAATTCAGCGATGTAAAAAAAACGAAAAAAGCGGAAAACAAACATACGCTGAATAGCCCCTAAAATTAAAATTCCCACCAAGATTTTGCACAACGACACTCCGAAATTACGCCGATGCGCGTTGTTTAGCCAGGTGTTCATTCTTCCATTTTTTCATGAATTCTCAGAAATCTCACGTCGTTTCCATAAAAATGTATAATTTTCAGCAGTTTTCAGTCAATTTTTCTCGATTTTAGGTAATTTTGGCCTCGAATGGTCGTTGACAAATCATTGATAGGCGATCCGGAGCCGTTGGAGCGAAATGAAAATTTGTGGGTTCTCATTCAAATATTTCGCATTTATCGACTGAAGAAAGCAAGATTTTCTGTGAAAATTGAGTTTTTACGTGACAAAACAGCGCTAAAATGACCTCTGACACGTTTTCCACGTTGCAAAACTGATGATAAACTTGGCCTTCTGAAAACTGATAGATTTATTTAAACTTGCGAAACGAGTAAAGTGCAACGTGCAACTACAACATGTCTTTGTCGTACGTTTTGCTTCAATTCTTTGCAAATGCTCTGTAAATTTCAGGAATTCGTTGCACGCGAAAGCGGCTTCTCACCATCTGGAACGTATCGGAAAAAGTTTGCTGGTGAAGCGGAATGCCAGAGATTTTAGGTAGCATTTGTCTAAAATTTCTGAACATTTCTGAACATTTTTCCAGCACGTGCGACATCAAAGTGCTGATGCAAACCGACTACGACATGGTGCACTCGTCGGTCGTTTGTGCTCACTCGGCGCAGTTGGCTCACGATTTCGAAAATCAGCGCGGTCCGTATCCGCCCGTCGATTTGACCGCTTTTCATCCGGCCAGTGTGAAAAGAGTCATGGATTGGATGTATTCGGGAGAGGTATACAATTTTGCCGAATTTTCTTCGAAATTCTCGATAAATTGTGTCGAAAAGTTTCAGATTAGCATTCCGGAGAGCGCGATCGCTCAGGACCTGGCCGTCGCCGCTCACCTTCGGGTTTGTCGATTTATTATTTTAAAAAAATACGACTTTTTGTGCAGGTTACGATGCTCCAGCGGCAGCTCGAACAGACGATTCTGCGGTTCACCGGCTCGCCGATAATCGCGCTTAACGTCGCGTCGGAGCGCGCTTTTTCGGTAATTTTTTAGGATAATTGCAAACTTGATCCACAGTTCCACATTTTCTCGCCAAAAAAAGCGCATAAATTCGATTCTAGCATGTTCTCTCTCTCTCTCTCTCTCTCAAACAGTGCTCCGCCTAGGTGAAGCCGCAAAGAACGTTCCGTCCCAACGTGACTCTATTGCATGTGACGGACGAAACGATGCTGCGGCTGGTGCGGGACCTGCACGCGTGCATCGACAAGCTCACCGAGGAGGACGTCGCCAAACTCACACTCAACTCGGTCGTCGCCGCGATGGCCGTCGTGTTGCCGATGGCAGAGAAGGTGCCGCTCATCAACATGGCCGTCCATTGGTCAGTTTTTTTGTCCTCAACAAATTGTGTAAATGTCTAGGTGTTTCCCAATGCTTTGCCAATTTTTGCAGCGGACCAGCCAACCACCAACCACCCAAATTTTTTCTAGGATCATGACGAAAAAGCCGGAAAAAGAGATAATCCACTCGATTCTGAAGAGCATCGTCATAAGCGACGTCTCGTTCAACACTCTGTACACTCTTCGCTACTCGCTCAACCAGGTACGTCTCTTGGTTTTCTTCAACATGGTCCAAATTGTTTGATGCTCTAAAACTTGAAAGTCGGTTTCCTTGCAGTACTTGACCGATCCGATCATCTGCGGCAACTCGCAACTCTCGATCTGTCCGTCCGGCTCGATAGGTCTCCGCATCGCCACGAAAAACGACATTCCGCTCCAGAAGAAGGCCCCGCCTCCGCCATCGCCCGTCGAGCGGAAGCCGTTCCGGACTCGTTCGGAACTCTCGGAAATTGCCAAACTGCCCGATTATTTTGAAAAGTACACTTCGTCCCACCTTTTGTTAGTTTTCAGACGAAAATTTTCAGAAAGGACGCCATCACCCCTCCCTATCAAGACCTGGCGACGCTCCGCCGTGACACCACCGACGGATTTCCGAAATATTTCACTCGCAGCGAAGTGGAACACTTGCAGACGATGACCGATCCGTTTGGAAGGTTCGGCGCGCGTTGATCACTTCTAAAAAAGTTGAATTTAGCGAATCGACTCGCGAGATAATAGACAAACCGGTGAATAAAAAGATGGGATTCGCCGGAGCCTCGTTTGCCAAATACCCGTAAAATTTATTGAAAATAGCATTTTTTTAAAAATAATATTTGCAGGGAATGGGATCCGACAACGTCGCACCAGAAAGCGGCGGCCGAGAAGGCGAAACAGGCGGAGTTTCGTGCGAAATACTCGGAATCGCACATTGCCCAAGTGCGCAGCATGCCTGATCCGTTTGCGTGCGTGGTCCCGAATGGTGGAGGTGGAATATCAACTGTCCTATTTTCAGATCGAAACGGACCCGATCGCCGGTGGTGATGAGACCGGTGAACGGCAGCTCGGCGAGCAACACGAATGTGAGAAGCCAGCCGAGAGAGGTGGCGCTTCCGGAGTGCTACGGAAGCTATGGCATATCGAGAGCAGACAAGTGGGATCAAATTGAGGTCACTTTCAGACAGCAAACCACTTGCAGAGCGCTCTTTGGAAACGACACTTCGGTGAAGACGGCCAAATCGGCGACCCCCCACAACAACAACGGCAAGCAGAGCTGGTCGAGAGCCGAGGCGGAGCGCATGGCCAGAAACCGTCAGCCCAGTTGGTTTTTTGTCTTTTCTTTTTCGGGACTCCCGTAAACCAGACATTTCGAAACTAGGAACTGAAAAACACGAAGAAAGACGCAAGCTTTTTTCATTTTCAGATGGATCTGATTTTGTGGTGACGCCGTCGACGAAATCGCCGAGAAGCGCCCGTTCGGTGACGTCCAATCCGCCGGTGATCAATCCGCGGAGGACGGATTCGGAGATCCTCGAGATCAACGCCTACCCGTCGCTCCGCTCGAACATTTCCACCTCCAATTCTTCGGGAATCAATGGCAAGAAGGAGCAGCCGAAGAACAACTTCCGTTAGTTTATAAATTTAAATTTTCAAAGCGTTATACGTCTTGTTGCAGAAAAATCCGACTACTTGTACCCGAAGTGATTGCGGTCGGCAACAAGAACGACGACACGCAACCATCTATCCAAAACCCTCAACAACCAACTCATGTCCCATTTGATAACCCCCGGTGATAAATCGCCCCCAAACATTGCCATTGCATTTTATTGTATTTTATTGTATTGACTGAGATTAGATTGAAAAGAAGAAGATAGATAGATAGTTAGAAGGTGGTTGTAATAAAAGTAATATTGAATGAAGAGAGGAGAAGTTTATTCCCATTTCTAGACCACCCTGCTAAGTTCGCACATCACCACTCTGCCTGTCGGCCTCCTCTCGTTTTACTGTTCTATCTCTCTTTTGGCCCGAGTGCCGTCTCTTATCATTTAATTATTGTGATAAGCGGTTTCCCTCTCTTTTCATTTTTTCCTAGCTCACTTGTTTTTCGCCTTTCCTCTTACCACATGCCACTTTTCAATTCGACAGGAGTATTGGGCGTTTTCGGGCAAATTTGGATCATTTGCGTTGTTAAGCTCTTTGCAAATTACTCTGATTTTCTAAATCAGATCTTCTGAATTGCCCACACTTCCTGTCCATATTGCCAAGAACTTGGCAGGAAAGAACGTTCACAGTCCAATTTTCTAGGCCACAATTTCTACCGCGCTGTATCGTTCACGACAGTTGGGAGGGTTCTTTCCAATTTTCGAGGCTTCGTTGACGGTCCTAATTAGCTCTCTCTAGCCACCTGATAATCTGCCGCCAACCCCGTCGAATAACGTCAGAAACGCATGTGCCGCCTCATAAGACCGCCGTCTCTCGCCGTCTTTCGCCTCTCCCGGTGGCTCTTTGAGCAGGGCGATTGGGGTGGTGGAGAGGAATAGCCGATTGAAAAGTCCAATATCACACTGCTTTTGTTTTCGCATGTTCGTTGTTCGAAAAAGAACCGCTACGCACACAAAACTAAATGCGTGTGTGAGTGGTCTGTTGACGTGTCGACGATGTGTCTCACATCAAACGCACACTTTGTTCTGTGCGACGGGCGTGACATTTTCGAACGGTCATAAATGTTCGCACTAGAGGCGCACGCCGGCTGTCACTTGCCTACTCTTCTCGGCCAATCCTCTCGGCAGAACGGTCCTCCAGCCGGTGTTTCGAAAGACAAGCCAACTCTTCGCGCACACTAACCAAACTATCGGTTTATTCAATTCATATATCCAGAAATCGATCATCGACTTCTCTGTTTCTTAATGGGGCTATATGTTTGTTTTCCGTTTTTTTTTCGTTTTTTTTGAATTGGGTTTTTTGACGTAAAAAAACGAAAAAAAAACGGAAAAAAAATCATTTTTTTCACAGCCTGAATGTTTTCGGTTGCATGCTACAATCTAGCTGCCAAGAGTGATAAGCCCCGCTCACACACCCTTCTACTTAACTAATACGAGAAATGCAAGTGGTTGCTCTGCCCATTCATCTCTCTCGCCGTCTTTTCCCTCTCCCGGTGGCGCAGGAAATGCATGTGCATGTGTGTGTGCGTTTCAATGACAACATATTGTGATTTTGCTAATGGGGTTATTTAGGCTGTGAAAAAAAATGATTTCTTTTCCGTTTTTTTCGTTTTTTTACGTCAAAAAAACCCAATTCAGCGGTGTAAAAAAACGAAAAAAAAACGGAAAACAAACATACGAATCTGAATAGCCCCATAATCTCACACGATGAAGTACGTGAAACTTCTTCATCTTGACTGAAAACTTTCCTTTTCTGTTCATCTTGCGCGGACGTTTCACACAGAATTGTGTTCCGTTTCAAAGCCGTTACTTGTGCACCACGAGTTGTTTTCAATAGTTTCATGGACCTTTAAAAAAATATACCTGGTAAATATACACTAAATTTCATTTTTTGTCGCATGATGCCCTATTTATTACCGCACACCGCACAGAAATGGCGCTCTGTTGAGAAACTCTTTTTGCAGTGCAAATTGAGCGACCTCGGGGCCGAGTTTGAAAAGTTAGGCCACATTTTCAGTGGAAAATTACTTCGCGGCCTAGAAATTCGGCCAGATTGCGAACAGCGCGCCCTTTCTGTCCGGTGCCCCTATAATATGTTCACGTTTCAAAGTTATCATGCCCGAAAAGCTTTTTCGTGATTTTACGGTTTTACGAATCCGTAATAGGGGGCTGTGAAAGGCTGTGAAAAAAATGATTGTTTTCCGTTTTTTTTCGTTTTTTTACGTCAAAAAATTCAATTCAGCGATGCAAAAAAAAAAGAAAAAAACGGAAAACAAACATACGCTGAATAGCCCCATAAAGAGAAACGTTTTTCGCCAAGCTTTTCATTTTCCTGTATTTCAAGCTTCTCGCAAAATCTCCAATTATTCACAAAGTTTTGACAAGACATTACAGTCATTCTGATGGGTTTCCTAGAAGAGAAATGGGTTTTTCTGTGAAACTGAGAGGCTAGAATGTAACAAGATTTCGGTGGAAAAAAATCAAATTACAATTCAATGCCTTGAATCGTTCACATTTGTGACCAAAAATAGGCCTTGGTTTGACTTCTCAAGACACCAATTCCATACGGTACATCATCATTTTCCAGCCAGTCAAAACATCAAAATTTGGAATGTTATCGGCTCTTCTTTTCCTGTTTTCATACTCAAAAAAAAAACCATCGTTGTGTTGCAAAGTGATTGATTACAGGTGTCAAACAAAGATGAGAACTCGGAAGAGAAAGCACGGAAGTGAGGATGGAGAACCCGAACGCGCTGAGGTGCCGAGAATGATCGCGACGAGGAGTTTTGACGCCTATGAGATTGAAGATGATGATGATGATGAAGAGGAGATGGAGGTTGAGGAAGTGCCAGAACAAGCGGAATGGGAGAAAAGTCAACCGATGGGACCGGAAGAGCAGTTTGAAGATGAAGATGAAGAAGAAGAAGAAGACGAAGAAGAGGAGGAAGAGGAGGAGATAATCAAAAAGCCGAAAAAGAAGGTCGCACCTGAATTTGATGTTTCTGACGAAGAGCCGGTGGAGCAGCAAGACGAGGATACTGAATTTGATGACGGCATTAATTTGGATGGTTATTCATCGGACAGTACTGAAGGATCTGGTGATGACACTGATTATGTGGTTGATGAGAGGGAACTTGATGAGGAAGACGTTGAAGTGGAAGAAGTGGAGGAGAAGAAAGAGAAGACGAAGACGAAGAAGAAGAAGAAGGAGAAGAAGATGGTGGAGCCACCAGAAGAGCAAGAAAAAGTCGATGTTCAAGTCGAAGCTCCGGATGATTCATTGGACCTGGAAAAAGTATTCGATATCTTTACTAAGCGAAACAATCCGACCACCTCGACACCTCCGGACACTTCGAACCCGGTCCCCGATGAGGGCCGGGTACCCATCAGAACCCGAGGTGGACATCTGCTAGACATTGTTCAGAAGCTACGAAAGGATCTTCTTGGGCGAACAATTTTCGAGGCCATCGAGAATGATCCGCGACCGGTGCCGTTTCGAATGAAGAGATTTGCGAAGAAAAGTGACCGGAAGGAGAAAAATAATCGAGTGACGAAAACGATAATCTTGGAGCCGGTGCAGCTCTTGCACAACGTCACCGAAAGCACACCGTACGAGCAGGTCGAGGTGCTTCCGCTCGTCGAGATCGTCGCGGATTTCATAATGCGGGCGGAGCACTTGATGCAGCCGAGCCAGGGATTCCAGGATGATCTTGTGCCGACGGCGGTCGATTTGCAGGGCCATATCAAGCTGTTCCACTTCTTCGAGCCGTCGATAAAGTTGTCCTCGATTCAGAAGCAAGAGTGGGTTCAGTCGAAGTGGTGGAGGCGGGAGAAGAACGCGGACGGACCGAAGACGAAGAACTTGTCGGGGTATTTGGAGCCGCCGGAAGAGCCGGTGCTCAATGTGCACGATGATCCGGTGCTCTATGAGCAACATGCGCACAACGGTCGGAACATGAAGTCACACCTTCAGATGATCAGCCATTTAATTCGACGTCGCTTGAACCGGGTTAGTTCACAAGGATTTGGGCCCAGAAACCTACCAGATGCTTGCAGAGAAGAAATGACAACGCGATGATCCGTGACTCGACCTACTTCTGCCGCGATTTCTTCCTCAAAAAGGCGTCGATATCGTTGAGAATCGTGATTGCTCGCGACATTCCCGAAGTGTTCGTCCCGCCGTTTCTGAAATGCGGTACTAAATCTCGACATTCATCGTTCACTTTTGAATCTTCCAGGATACTATCCCGTCATGGCGGATACCATCGGCCTCAAAAAGGACTACTTGATGGGCAGATTCGAAGAGGCACAAATCGAATATGTAAACTTGACATAGTAAGGCGAACGCGCGTAGTTCTTCCACTGACTCGCCTCTATTTCCAGTCGAGACCTTTCGCCGCCTGCCGAGTTCACAGTGTCCTACATCACCGGCCAGGAACTTTATGACTTCCATACAATCGGAAGACACATTCACGGATTCTTTGTGGTTTGGGAGCTGAACGACGAGACGTACCTGGATTGGAATGGAAGTTCGAAGAGGAAGAGATATCTGGTGGATGTGTTTAACTTGATCCGTTTTCCGCTTTACGTGGAGTATGAAAGGTCTGTTCGGGGATACGATATCTTAAAGGATCGTTGAATTCTCCGAGTTTATGTGACACGCGCAGGCAAATACACACTTTTGTGAATGTTTGGCATCGTCTGATTGTGAAAGAGATCTTAGCCACGGTCACCAATTCAGAGGGTCCCTTGGTCCTTTAAGGTCCCATGCCGCATCCAAATTCTCGGAAACCCAGCAAATCTCGCGGACTTTGCAATCCAAAACTTTGCAACAACAATCCAATCCAGAAATTTGCGGGAAATCCGGGGTGCGCACAGCTGAACGAGTGTTACCGTACACCATAAAACTACGGTATTTTTTGAAAATTTACCCAAGAAAAAAATATATTCTCGCAAATATTCTCGAGAAATTTAATGGGGTTATTCAGGCTGTGAAAAAAATGATTTTTTTCCGTTCTTTCCGTTTTTTTACGTCAAAAAACCCAATTCAGCGGTGTAAAAAAACGAAAAAAAACTGAAAACAAACATACGCTGAATATCCCCATAAATTTTTTTCAAAAAAAATACCGTTGAAAAATTTACACAAGAAATTTGGAAAAAAATTGCAAATATTCTCGAGAAATTTAAATTTTTCTCAAAAAAATACCGTTGAAAAATTTACCCAAGAAATTTGAAAAAAATTGCAAATATTCTCGAGAAATTTAATTTTTTTCAACAAATACCGTTGAAAATTTACCCATGAAATTTGGAAATATTGCAAATATTCTCGAGAAATTAAAAAAATTTTCAAAAAAATACAGTTGAAAAATTTACCCACGAAATTTGGAAAAAAATTGCAAATATTCTCGAGAAATCTAAATTTAAAAAAAATACCGTTGAAAAATTTACCCAAGAAATTTGAAAAATTTTTCAAAAAAATTCTCGAGAAATTAAAAGTTTTCAAAAATTACCGTTGAAAATTTACCCACGAAATTTGGAAAAAAATTGCAAATATTCTCGATAAATTTAAATTTTTTTCAAAAAAATACCGTTGAAAAATATACCCAAGAAATTTGAAAAAAATTGCAAATATTCTCTAGAAATTAAAAAAATTTTTCAAAAAAATACCGTTGAAAATTTACCCACGAAATTTGGAAAAAAATTGCAAATATTCTCGAGAAATCTAAATTTAAAAAAATACCGTTAAAAAAATTTACCCAAGAAATTTGAAAATTTTTCAAAAATTCTCGAGAAATTAAAAAGTTTTCAAAAAAATACCGTTAAAAAAATTTACCCAAGAAATTTGAAAAATTTCAAATATTCTCGAGAAATTTAAATTTTTTTCAAAAAAATACCGTTGAAAATTTATCCAAGAAATTTGAAAAATTTAAATTTTTTCAAAAAAAATACCGTTGAAAAATTTACCCAAGAAATTTGGAAAAAAATTGCAAATATTCTCGAGAAATTAAAAAAATTTTTTTCAAAAAAAATACCGTAGTTTTATGGTGTACGGTAACACTCGTTCAGCTGTGCGCACCCCGGATTTCCCGCAAATTTCTGCCGACTTTGGACTGCAAAATCCGCGAGATTTGCGGGTTTTCCGAGACTTTGGACGCTGCATAAAGTTGCATCTGTTTCAGATGGGAAACGCGTCTGAGAGTGGCGTTCGATCGTCTCTCCGCTTACAATCTCCACCTCGCCGAGATCCTCCGATGCAACCGTCCGGTCTTCGACGTGCTCGCTCAGACCAGTTCCCTAATACAGCCGTTGTCTCTGAAAGAGGTTTGTATGAAGGTACGTCTTGAAGTTTTCCCTAGTTTCCCCCCAGTAAGTATTGTTGTAGCTGGTAGAGCAGGAACTGATACCGAAGCACTATTGCGACACTTTGGGCCCCAGATACTTTTATGAGGTGAGTGAGAATCTTGTCACTCAAAAACAATACTACAACAGGGCGTTCGAAACATTGCCAACCACGACTATCTGTCCGCGTACGCGTTGATTTGCGGAGGGACGAAACTGCTGAAGAAGGAGAAGAAGGATCCGAAACGGGCGACAGTAGTCTATGCGGCCGATCATAAGGATGTGGTCGTCGGACATCGTGACGGCACACGAAGCAGACTGGCGACCGATGAACCGATCAATGAGGTTTTCGTGCTTTCTGCAACGTTCCCTTTGCTACAACGAAGCACGGCAAAAGAGGTCGAGGAGGGGAAACGGGTAGTGTTGGAACCGCCGATCTATCGGACCATCGTCCGACCGCCGAACCTGCCGATTGAGACCATCAAGACGCATGTCGTTTGTGAAAAAAGTGCGGATGTGAAAAAGGAAAAAGTTGCAACGATACCCGCGACAAGGGACTTTGCGAATTCGTTGTCAAGAAAGCAGCTGATACAAGTGCGGAGGAAGATGTATGGACTTCCACCGCCGCCGCCACCTGAACCCAAGCCGCCAGTTGTTCGGGTGAGGCAGAAGCCGGGACGGAAAGTGAAGACGAAAGCGGAAGAAGGCATCGAGACGTTCGACTTTGATCCGATTCTTCAGGCTTCAGAGTGAGTGAGCATGTTTGATAGCGCGTGGCCTCGGCCAAATGGCGTTTTCATGAATTGAGCAGGTTTTTTCTGATTTTTTTGGTCAAAGGCGATGAAAAATGATTGTTCGACATGAAAACACACTAATTCTCAGAATTAATTACGTTTTGACGCATTTTTCGCTGATTTCGCTTTTTCGCCTTCGTCGCCGATGGCCGCCTAAAAACCGCACATCTCATTTTGCGCTTTCTTGACCGTTTTCAGACAGAACTGATTTTGAAAAATGAGAAATCACATAAGTACAAGAATTTTGAGCGCTCGAACCGCGAAAACTACCGAAAAGCAACTGAAATTCACGCAGTTTTAGCCAAAAACCTTCAAACTTGACCAAATTTAACGCTCTTGCGCTTAAAAAATTCGTAATAGCCTATACAATCGGTCGATCGCAAGAAAAATGAGAAATTATCGTTTTTTCGTGGCTAATCTGGCTAAAAACACTAATTTTGCTGTTAAAATTTGAATTTCGCGCCAATGTATCGATCTATTGGGCGGGGCGCACTTGCACCCATTGTAAGCTATGGAGAGGGAGAGAAATGAACTCTAACTTGAAACGTTTCGCAACTGAAAACTCTTTTCAGCATCGAATCCGAGTCGGGCGGCTACGAAAGCGGCGACGACGAGCAAAGCGAACATTCTCGACCGGTGCTCCGTCGGACCACCTCGTGCGAGTCGTTCTTCCTTCACCACCGACATCTGGAGTACATGCTCGACATGGTCTCCCTGTTCCATCAGAAGAAGTACACGCGTCCGGTGCCCAAGACGAAGGAGAAGAAGCGTCGGAAGATGAAGTTGATGCATCAGAAGCACATGCTCCGTTTTCGACAAGTCGCATTCAATAACTACGCGCTGTCCGAGACGTTGAACTGCTACATGGGCGAGTATGCGGCCCTGGACAAGCACATAAAAAATACCAAAAGTGAGGATGAGCAGACGAATCATTTAATACATTTGTGGGTTTACAGGCGCGATGAGGGCTCCGCGACACTTTCAATTATTCAATCTACCTCGAGTCTACGCCAGAACAGATACACAGCTGATCAACGACGTGACCGATCTGCTAAAGCTTACCGTGAATCGTGTGGCCCTCAAAGAGGTATGTTTTCTGCTTATCAGTCAACACTATCATCCTTTTTTGTTTTTCCAGACAATGTCAATGGTCTGCGCCAACGGAATAAGCACGTCGTTCCAGAAGATTCTGACGGAACGGCATGCGATGCTCGATGCTCTTCCGCTGAAAGGAGGTTGTCCGCCCAACGAGCTGCAGTACATCTCCATCCAAATGCTGACTCTGAAGCGAATTCTCGGACGGTCCGAACTGGCGAGGGCCAAGGCGGAATTGATGAAGGAGGTCGAGGATAATGTTAGAATTATTTGTGACCGAACCGCGGTAGTTTACTAAAATTGCCATGCATGTCAGATTTTTCTAATAAAACGATTGTAACTCGTCACTGATCGAATACAGTTCCCCACAAGAACATTCCTCAAAAACCGTTCATGTCCTCTTTCAAAAGCAGTTCTAATTCTGTTGTTGCGAAACGCCCTTCTTCTCCTTTTGCTTCTTCTTCGCCAGTTTGCCGAGAAACGACGTGTTCGAGCGGGGAGCGTCGTTGGAAATGCGCGACGGATCCTGGCACTGACTCGCCGCATTCTTCTTCCGGTTCTTCGTCATCACCACACTCTTCACATTGGTGTTTCCGGCGGCCAACGAGGAGCTTCGCATGCCCGAAATGTTGTTCGGAGCCCTCGATCCCGGCGTTCCCTGACGCACCGGCTTACGCGGTTTTTTCCTGCAGGAAATCTTTAGTGGTCCATTTTCGCAGTTGACAACTTCTTTGTACTACTATTCCTAAGCCTACTGTAGCTCTTGAAAGTAGGGGCCAGCAAAAATGGATCCCAACTTCCACAAGCTCTAGTACTCTTCAAAGTGGTCACACCCAAAAGTTGTCAACTGCAAAAAAATCAACTAGACGTGAAAATTTTAAAAATTCAAAAATAGGGTCCACAGATGCTCGCTCAAGGCTACAAAACCCGTTGAAACTCACACTTCTCCATCTCCACTAGTGGACGCCGATTTCTTGATCGGCTCTTCGGGACGAACCGGCATCGCAGGGATCGTGGCTGCATTTGTAGGCGGTTGGGTCGGTTGGGACATGTGCGGAAGGATGTTGATGATCGGCGACGGCCTGGGCGGTTCGGGAACATCCATCACTGGCGGGGGAGCCGGCGGACGGGGTGGCGGAGGGGCGGTCGGGGAGGCGGCCTTCTGTCCGGGCACGTCAAAGTAGCCGCCGTCGGACAGAGAGGGCTTCTTCTGCAGTACCACCGTCGGCTCGGAGAATCCTTCGATTCCGGGCAGATCTCGAACCACTTCACTCATCGCCACTCGTTCCCACTCGGTACCGGCGCACACACGTTCCTAAATGAAATATTTAATTACAAAGTTGATCATTTCAATCAGTTTTGCCAAATCCCGGGCCGGGCCAGCAAATCGTCGGCCCGGAAGTTAGACCTCAAAAAAAATATGCAAAAAATATAAAGGAAGAGGAAAACGCGTGCGGCAAAATTGCTAAAATGGCGTGCCAGAGTTGCAATCAATCGCTCCGCCCACTCTTGAGAAAATTTTCGTAATTTTTGTGAAAATTTTGCGACTTTAAACAGCAATTTCTATTTTTTAACAGGTTTTTATGCTATAACATTGCCTTTTTCGTCTTTTTTTCTATTTCTGCTGGTTTTTACAATGAATCTTCGAAATTGAAGCAAAACTAGTTCGCTTTGAATTTTTAGGTGCATCCTCCCGGGCCAACCGGGCCGGGCCGGGCTGGGCCGGGCCGGAAAATTTCCAATTTTGGCGTTGCAAGTCTGATTTCAATTGATAGTTTTTGAAAAAACCATTTGTTCTCGAGATATGGGCTTTTCCGTTTCAGCAAGTTCCAAAAAACAATTGCCTTTTTTACAATCCGCACTAACCGTAATGTATTTGCCAATCTTGTCAGGCACCTGTGGCCCAAAGTCCATGCGATATCCGTCCTGGACACGTGGCAACACCTCGGCGACCGACATGCCCGGATAGGGTTCGGTGCCGTCGTGGTACACTTCCCAGCACATGATTCCGTAGGCGAACACGTCCGATTTCTGAGTGTAGAAGCCGGTCCGGGGCACTTCTGGCGCCAGCCATCTGATCGGGACCCTGAGCGAATAGGTTCCGTTTCAATTCGTTCGAAAGCTATGAAAAATTGACCGACTTTTTATGCGGATTGAGTCGATAGTTGGCGCCCTCCCGCGAGAGTCCAAAGTCCGAAATCTTGACTTGTCCGTTGCCGTAGAGGCAGTTACGCGAGGCGATGTCTCTGTGGATGACGTTCAGTGAGTGGAGGTACTCGAGGCCACGGGCCGCCTGCAGAATCATGTCGTTCTTCGTCCACACCGTCAAGTGTCCAATGTTCTTCTTCAGGTACGAGTCCAGCGCGCCGTTTTCTGCCTGCAAATCGAAACCTGCATTCAGTTCAATGTCGGGAAGTTCTTTTGAAAAGATGGGTAAAAAGATGGGCTTTCAAAAGTACTTTCCTAGTAAAGTCCGACTGACCAACTCCATAATGACCATGAGGGGTTCCATTCCGGCGGCGACGCCGTAGAAAGTGACGACGTTCGGGTGCTTGAACTTGCGCATGAGCCTCGCTTCGTGCATGATCTCCTTGATCTGCTCCTTCGTCAGACTCTCCAGCTTCGCCAGCTTGATCGCCGCCTTCTTTACCGTCATTCCGATGCGGATCTCGCCCAGCTGCACCTCTCCGAACGCGCCTTCGCCCAGTTTCTTGATGAGCGTCACGTCCGAGTGCTGCTTCTCCCATGGCTCACGACCGATCGGACGGACGAGCACCGAATCGAAGCACTGCAAACAAATCGAGACGATTCCTCAGAAAAACAATCGATCGACTGACTCCGGTGGCGACGGGCTCCTTGGTGCGGTGGTAGTAGTTGAGCATGTCGGCGATGCTCACAAACCACTTCGCGTCCACCGCAAACTTGTTCTCCGCTTCTTTTATCACATAGTGACGGATCTGCAAATACTTTTTTGTTCTGTTTCAGGCGTGGACAAGTTGAGAGGCGTTACATCGTCGGCAGAGACGGCAAAGATGGAGAGGACGAATTTGCGCGGCTCGCCGACCTTCGGATCGGTGAATCGGACGAGGAAGTCGCCCCTCTGCGTCAGAAGCACCTTCATGTCTTCCCGGGGAAGAAGTCCGTGGTACCAGGGCTCTGTGGACAGCAACTGCTCCTGTGTTTTCCGCGCCGTTACGTTCATCGCTCTGAAAACATTCAAAAGGTTTAAGGTTAAAGTTTAAAGGTGACGTGCACTAAAAAGGAAGCATTTTTTCAAGGTGAAGGTCAAATTGGTTGGATTTATGCTCCGAAAGTCCAGAATTTTCGAAAAAAGCAAAGGAGTCCACGAGAAGCGCGCACGGACATCGATTTTTGTGCGAAATTCGACATTTTTGTGTCGTTGCCCTCGAAAATACCGGGAAAAAAAAGTTTCATCTTAATTCTCCGCACTCACAATTCTCAGAAGCGCTTTTCAGTGTCAATTTTGCAGCCTTTTTCCGTTTCAGAATTGTTTGCTCCTTCTCTTTTTGTAAAATAATTTTTCTTCTCACTGTTGCTCGTGGTTCACAGAAAAGTTCACGTCAAATCAATTTCGCCCAAAAAAAAAAGTCTATCGCATTTATCTGATAAAAATGATTTTACAAAAAGAGAAGGTGCAAACAATTGCGAAACGAAGAAAAACTGCAAAATTGAGACAAAAAGGCGCTTCTGAGAATTGTGAGTGCAGCAAAATAATTGAGCCGTTTCAAAAATGTGTCCGTCTTAAAAAAACAAGTTTTTAAATACTGTGCCCAGAGCGATGAACGTACCGGCGCGGAAGACGCAGGAACAGTTGCTGTCCACAGAGCCCTGGTACCACGGACTTCTTCCCCGGGAGGACATGAAGGTGCTTCTGACGCAGAGGGGCGACTTCCTCGTCCGATGCACCGTCGGCGAACCGCGCAAATTCGTCCTGTCCATCTTTGCCGTCCAGGCCGACGATGTATGTTCTCGACTTTTCTGAAAATCATGCCCAGAACAAAAAAGTATTTGCAGATCCGTCACTACGTGATAAAAGAAGCGGAGAACAAGTTTGCAGTGAGCGCGAAGTGGTTTGTGAGCATCGCCGACATGCTCAACTACTACCACCGCACCGAGGAGCCCATCAGCAAAAAGGTCTGTCGATCGATTGTTTTTCTGAGGAATTGTCTCGATTTGTTTGCAGTGCTTCGACTCGGTGCTCGTGCATCCGATCGGTCGTGAACCGTGGGAGAAGCAGCACTCGGACGTGACGCTCATCAAGAAACTGGGCGAAGGCGCATTCGGAGAGGTGCAGTTGGGCGAGATCCGCATCGGAACGACGGTAAAGAAGGCGGCAATCAAGCTGGCGAAGCTGGAGAACCTGACGAAGGAGCAGATCGATGAGATCATGCACGAGGCGAGGCTCATGCGCAAGTTCAAGCACCCGAACGTCGTCACTTTCTACGGAGTCGCCGCCGGAATGGAACCCTTCATGGTCATCATGGAGCTGGTCAGTCGGATTTTACAACATCGATCTGAATGCAAGTTTCGGTTTGCAGGCAGAAAACGGCGCGCTGGACTCGTACCTGAAGAAGAACATTGGACACTTGACGGTCTGGACGAAGAACGACATGATCCTGCAGGCGGCCCGTGGCCTCGAGTACCTCCACTCACTGAACGTCATCCACAGAGACATCGCCTCGCGTAACTGCCTCTACGGCAACGGACAAGTCAAGATTTCGGACTTTGGACTCTCGCGGGAGGGCGCCAACTATCGACTCAATCCGCATAAAAAGTCGGTTAATTTTTCAAAACGCTGGAACGAATTATTATAGGGACATCTCACAGAAATGGCGCGCTGTTCGCAATCTGGCCGAATTTCTAGGCCGCGAAGTAGATTTCCACTGAAAACGTGGCCTAACTTTTCAAACTCGGCCCCGAGGTCGCTCAATTTGCACTGCAAAAAGAGTTTCTCAACAGAGCGCCATTTCTGTGCGGTGCCCCTATAATAAAATGGAACCTATTCGCTCAGGGTCCCGATCAGATGGCTGGCGCCAGAAGTGCCCCTGACCGGATTCTACACTCAGAAATCGGACGTGTTCGCCTACGGAATCATGTGCTGGGAAGTGTACCACGACGGCACCGAACCCTATCCGGGCATGTCGGTCGCCGAGGTGTTGCCACGTGTCCAGGACGGATTTCGCATGGACTTTGGGCCACAGGTGCCTGACAAAATTTCCAAATACATTACGGTTAGTGCGGATAGGCTCATTAAAAGTAGGCGGCGCAACAAAGGGCCGAATTTGCCGATTTTTCTCCCCGGTCGCGCCCGCGCATGTTTGAGGGCCTGTACCGAGTTCCCCAAACCAAGTACCATACTCAAAAAGTGTTACTTTATGCGAATTTTGATAATAGAGCGAGAGCAACTGTTTTTTGTGACTTACAAAGCTTATGCAAGAGTTGAAACTGAAAAGTTTATTTCGGAAAATGATCAACTGAAAACTTGTTAGAAATCTTGTCAAACCGAATTTAGGAACTCGTGTGCTCCGGTACCGAGTGGGAACGGGTGACGATGAGTGAAGTGGTTCGAGATCTGCCCGGAATCGAAGGATTCTCCCAGTCGACGGTTTTAAAGCGAAAGGTCTATCGGGCCGACGGCGGCTGGTCGGCGATCGACGTGTCCGGAAAGATGGCCGCCCCTCCGCCGCCCCGTCCACCGGCTCCCCCACCGCCGATGAATGTCCCCGAGCTGCCGAGGCCCTCGCCGATCGTCAACATCCTTCCGCACATGTCTCAACCGACCCAACCGCCTGCAAGTGCAGCCATCAAGAAATCGGCGTCGACAAGTGCGGAGGGCGAAGTGTGAGTTTTAACGGGTATTGTAGCCTTGCGGGAGTTCGTACTTTGCAGTAGAAAGCCGGAGCGTCAGGGAACGCCGGGATCGAGGGCTCCGAACAACATGGCCGCCGGAAACATCAATGTGAAGAGTGTGGTGATGACGAAGAATCCGTCGCGCATTCCCAACGACGCTCCCCGCTCGAACACGTCGCTTCTCGGAAAACTGACGAAGAAGAAGCAGAAGGAGAAGGATTAGAAACTGCTTTTGAAAGAGGCCATGAACGGTTTTTGAGGAATATTCTTCTAAGGGACTGTATCCGATCAGTGACGAGTTTTATAAGGAAAATCTGACATGCATAGCAATTTTAGTAAACTATTGAGGTTCGGCTACAAATAATTCTAACTTTGGATGGAAGCATACATTGCAAAAAATCTATCGCATTTATCTGAATCTTTAAAACAATAAAACAGTTAAGTGAAAATGTAATCGGGCGGCGGCTGATCAATTCACAACACATTTCGACAGGGAAACAGTATTGCTCTTCTAGGAAAATAGATGAAAAATGTTGGGAATTATCCTCATCTGACTGGGTGGTATCTATCACAAAATCCGAGTAAATCATGGAATGTGTTGGTGGTTGACGAACAAAAAAGGCGATAAAATTATAAGTGGCGGTTAAAGTTTGACAGAGAAAAGAGACGGGAAAAAGAGAATATACATAATTTCGGCTACTAAAGACAAAAAGGTGCAAGTAAAGAGGTGGAAAATGACGTCATCTGATGGATTTGAGGCTTCTGAAGACGTCAAATTCCGGAGAGAAACTTCAGGAGTGGTGGCGACGGACGATGGGATTCAGAAGACGTCGGAATCTAGTCGAAGAAGGCGCGGTTCGGGTTCGGGCCAAACAGCGCTGTTCTCACTTGCGGAACAATCTGCGAATTTTGAAATACAATTTTTTAAAGCATTTTCCATGTTTTCTACGAAGCATTTGAGAAAATATGCGTTTTTCGAGGTGAAGCGCACAATTCTGGCTCAAATTTTATGAAATATTCAATTCCGATCTTAAAAAACATACCTGGTTAGCAATAAGGTCGAGACGGCTCTCAAGAGTCGAATGGACCTTGATCTTTCCGGCGCGAGACGCCAATTCGACTCCTCCGGCCGATTCGGACGGCAGGAAGTTCTTCTTGTCGATGACGACCTGAAAAATACTGAACTTTAGGAAAATTGCTTTGAAAATCGTAAAAAAATTCCAGAAAAATCTACCGTACCTTGGTGGCGGCTCCCCACTCCTTCTGGAGTCCGTCGAGGCACTCTGGAATGAGTTGTTCCACAAGACGCAGATCCTTTTCGCGGCATCGGAGGACGACCTCCTTCTCGAGCAGCTGCAGCAGTCCCTGCATGATGAGTCCCTTCAGGATGGCCGGGTAACGGGCCGCGTCGCCCGAAATACGGGAGAGATTCGAGCGCGCCTCGTCCAAAACCGCTCCAATATGGTCTTCACGGGCCTGGAATTGGAAAATATTGAAAATTTACGTCAAAAATCGACAAAAAGCACTGGAAAAAGCGCAGAAATTTGCAATTTTTGTGAAAAACGCGTACAGACCTTCAAGCAACGAAGACGTCCGGCGTTCAGCGAGTTGGAGGCCTGGATCTTGCGCTGAAGGTCGACTTGCTTCTCCTTCTTCTCGAAAAACTCCATAATCTTTTGTCTTTGCTGTTGGACAAGACGTCCCTGAAAAGCGGAAAAGTCATTTTGCATAAAAATCGCAAAAAGGCGCGAACCTTCTCAATGTTGAACTCCTCCTCGGCTTTGGCGTCGATCTCCTCGGCCTTCTCGTTAGCCTCCTGCTCGATGAAGGCCATCATGTGACGGAGCTGCTTCTGAACGTCGTTGTCGCTGATTCCCATGGCGTTCGGCGGTGGTGGTTTTTCCTGCAAAACTTGGCGAAAATGTTATGAAATCCAGGCAAGAACGCATGAACAATGAGCAAAATGCTTCGATTTTCTGTGAAAATTGAGAAAATCCACGCAAATTTGGGATATTTATATACAAACAGTCATTGAAAAGTTGGTCATTGTTGATTTTTCGCTCTCCACACTTTGGTTTTACGCGCTGTGTCTGGCGGAGGCCAATAATCAGCCGACCCTCCGACCGATTCCGACGCTCTTCGCGGCGAGACCCGTCGCGCGAGTGCCGTGGGGCACGTTTGCATCCATGACCCTCTTTCTCACCGCGGTCACTCGAGAGATTTGTTTGGATAAAAATATAAAACGAATAGAGAAAGAGAAAGAGGAGAATTCTGGTCGTCAGATGGACCTAATTTACTAGCCGAGGCCAGCGGATTTTCATCCAATCGATTTGTGAGAGACCACATTGGTCCTTGAAGTTTGTGCCCTTTATAAAACCCGCAAATTCTCTAAGGACTTTACAAAAACTGTTTTTTCGCGGATTTTGAACAGCTTACTGAAACGTTAACTATTTACGCTAAAAAATGGCTAAAACTTTATTCCTTCAACTATTTTAAACACAAAAAATGCGAACAACTCACCAAGTTCTCAGCTTTTTGGAATTTTTTGGACAAAAATTCGAACATTCTCGCTAGACAGTTTACTGTAGCTTGTTAAAGGCGCAGCACTAATTTTAAACGGGTCTCGCCACGATTTTATCGTAGACTCCTCGAGGACAATTTTGAATGATTTTCACCCGGGTTTTTGTCGATTTTTGAAGTGAAATAGAACATTTTGAAGACTTTGAACGTATTTGCAGTAGAAAACAGTGCGCAAACACCGTTATTATATTGAAAATTGCGAGCTTACTAATTCTTACATCAAATCCTCCAAATTTCAGGCCCAGAATGAGTGCCTCACTGACGTGGCGCACATTTGTGCGCCGAATAGAAAATATGGAATTTGAGAGCAAATTACGGCTGATTCGAAGGTATCCGAAGCGAAGATTGGCCATTATCGCGGCCGTTTGCCTCTTTTTCATTTTCGTCTTCTCGCGGAGCACTCAAACGGGCGGCACGGCCACCAAGGAGCAGCAGTGTTCGGCGGAGAAGCTGAAATTGTGGGAAAAAGAGATTGAGGTGAGTTTTCTTTCCCCGAAAAAACCCGCTAAAATTCACCCAGTTTTCAGGAATTCGACACCGGAATTCACAACGATAGTGTCGAGTTCGTCGGCAACGGCTTCTTCGGCGTGGATTCACTGGGCCAACTGCGAATTCAGGAGAAAAATCGGGTTCTGGACGTGGAAACAAATTTTTATCCGGCTCTCTCTGTTGAAATCGACGGAAATCAGCCGGTGGAGGTGACGAAAATGACGGATTTCAAGAACGGACTCTTCAAAATCATGCGCTGCTTTTCTATTGTAAGAATTGATTGAATGAGATATTGGGAAAAACATCGAAAAATGAAATTCTTTTGCAGGACGGAGAATGCGCTTGCGTAATTTCTCAATTATACGCTCACAGGACACGAACCAATTATTTTGTGCAAATTGTGCAAATTTCCAATCCCACGGTAGGTGTTTCAGCATTTTTTCAAAAAATCCCCAAATATTCCAGAAATCGACAGTCCGTCTCAATTTGTCCCGGCTGAGCTCCAACTGGTGGTCCCACTCGAAATCCGGCGAATTGGCAGTGAGCCAACGACAAATCGGCGGAACGTCCTATGCGATCGTTTGTACGGATCCGCCCGGAAAAGTTACCGTTTCTCAGAAAAGGTTGGCGAAATTTTTTCGTCTAAAATAGATGAAGAGTGGCGGAAATTGCAGAGAAGAATCGCTGCGCTTCACGTGCTCGATCGCGTCGAAACCGACGTCCGAAGAGGCTTCTCGTGATGCGATCCGCCTATTTCAGTCGGGAAAAGACGCGAAAACGCTGGATTCGGAGCACTTCGAGGGCTGGTCGAAAATGCATTTGAGCGGGTTCTCGGTGGCTCCGTCGAAGGCGCCGAACACGTTGAACGGAGACCGGATCAACGCGACCAAGTACATTTTGATGAGCAATTTGAGGGCGCCGACCATCGAGTACGGGACCACCATTGAGACGGTCAAGGTTTGCCATTTTACGGATTTTCTGGATCTAAATAACACAATTTGATGAAACGGGCTCAATCAAATGCCTTGCACTCTGCGTTTTTCTATCAATTTCCACTGAAACCGGGAAAATTCATGTGAAATTAAATTGAAATGCTTCCAATGAAATGCTTCAGACTCTGGAAACGACGGCGCGAAAGAGTGAACTGTGCTACACGGGCCACTCGAACCTTCTCTTCCCGTCCCGATTGTGGTCCGACTGGGATACGCCGTCGAAATTGATCGAACTGATGAACACGTGGATGGTGACGTTCCAGAAGCGGGGATGCTCCAATCTCGTGAGCACCGGAGCTCTCGGCGCCTCACAGGTACCGTTTTTGATTCAAGAGAAATAGCTCAAAAATGGTGTTTGTGCTTGTTCAGGCATTTGTGCAGTCGCTGACCGCCTCGAGTTACCATGATTCGCATCTGGAAGTGGCCCTCGACGCACACGATTTGCACAGGGAAATGAGTTTTCACGGAATTCCCGTCCATTCTAATATGGGAACGGTCGGGACGATTCGAGTGGACATCCGCCTCGACAAAGAGAATCGACCCTATTTCATGGTGAATTTTTGAACAAAGTGTGAATTGAGATTCAGTGGAAAAATCACAAAAATCCAATTCGATTTATCAACAAACAATGTTTTTTTTACAGTTTCAAAAAATGCTAAAAAATTTTGGGTTTCTTGTACTTTCCAGTTTCGTTTTTATTAGATTTTCAGAAACAATTGTTCAGGTTTCCTCGTCGAATCAATTGTTCGCCTGTGATGGAGGATGTCTCGACAACCCGGTCTCGCTTGGAAAAACGCCCACGGAATTGCCGGTCAAGGTAAAATTGTCGGGATTATTTGACATGCTCCCTGCGAAATTGCATACATTTTCACAAATTTGTCAGGTAACGAAGCCGGCGACGTCGCTTCTCTACATTGCCCCGTCGCGACGTCATCTGGAGCTGCTCAAGTCGGCGATCCACGTGTCGGAAGTGGGATCGGCGCCCGCGCACGAGGACGACGTCATCGAAATGCACAGATCGGGCGACAAGACGAGCGGAGGCCTTCCGACCGTCTTCTGGGTCATTATTGTCATTATTATCATCGCTTTCCACCTATTTCTGGCCAAGATCTTCTGGAGCGAGTGGCGGAAAGGCGACATGACGCCCTATAATCCGTACCTGAGAAATCGGTACTCCTCTCTGAGACCCCATTAGAAAATTGTGCATTTTCCCGATATTTCCCGTGTACATATAGGTAACCTGACCTGTTTTTATCCATAATTTATGCTATTTTTTGCCGTTTTTCTTATGTAAACAATATTGCAAATACAGGTAGAGTAACGCTTTTTTAGTCTCGAAAAGAATTGATACGGTTTGTGTGGCGCCTCTTCTTTATATTCCTTGTGATGGGTCATTTTTTCGATAAACAATTTTTCCCCATTTTTTCGATCAATGTCTAGTTGATTACGGTACGTTTGGTCCGGAATTGATACTGTGCAATTGTTGTGATACTATTCTTTTTTTCGGTTTCAAAAAAGGCACATTTCATTTTTAACGTTTCAAATAGTGTTTTTCCATATTGAACGTAGTTTTTTGGCGTTCTTCATCTCAATCGGTGATATTGATGTTTTAAAAATGACACGGAGAGGCCACGTTCTACCTCAAAACGGTAAAAGTTAGGGTCGACATGCAAATGACTCATTTCTCTGTCTGTTTTCGATCATCGCCGGCTCCTATCTCATTTTGCGTCCCTTTCCATCATTTCCTCCCTTTATTTCGTCGGCGCCGCTCAAAAGCACTCTCTTGTGGACGAGAGAGAGAGAGTGTCGGAAATCGAGAGACGGCGAGAAATTGTGGGGCGCCGGGACGCGAGGGACCGTCTGTTCGTCTGCGTTCAATGAATGTCCGAGGAATTTCGCAATAGAACTATGTTTAGGCTCTTTTCATTTTTTTTTTTTTTTTTGGAATCTATTGGAATAATCAGATTTTGGCTAAAAAATTTAAAACCATTGGCTCAAGGCATCGGCGCTCCACCGCTCTCACTCGAATCTTTCATTTTTCGCGCCGAAAGAGCGTTAAGCGAGGGAAACAGTTCAGTGTGTGAGTGTCTGCGTCTCTCGACCTCCGAGTACTCTCTCGTTCTGATCCGGCGGCAAGGTCTCTATTGTAAATACTTTCGGGCCTTTTCTCCGTTCTCTTTCTCTCTCGCTTACTCGGCTAAAGAGTTCCCCCCACTACATTTATCATCTTTCTCTCTCTTTCTCTCTCTTTTGACTAGAGAGAGAGAGAGAGAGAGAGAGAGAGAGGAAAACAGTTAGTACAAATACATAGACCTCCTGCCCATGTTCCCCTCCAGTTGTACACATTTCAAAAGATACTCAAATTAATTTTTGAAAAAAATGGCCATCCTCCTTCTTTTTTTGGCTAAAATCACGCTCCTATTCACCATTCCCTTCATTTTTTACCACAAAAAAGAGGCGATGTTTCATGGCGATGTCCTTCACAGATATAACCTTTTCCATCTGTTTCAACATCATCCACACAAACTTTTTCCGTTTCAAAATGACTATGGAAGTTGTTGTTTTTCGAAAAATGTCATCCATAACCAAGCTCTTTCTAATTTTCGAGCTAGCCACAAACATTTGTCCAACCTTTGTCGATTGTGACTTTGTTGAATTTTCCCCACACTTTTTCAATGAAATGAATTTCAAATTGCAGTATGGCGGCCGAACAGAGACGTCTCGAAATCGAGCGAAAGAAGCAGAAGCTGGCGGAGCTTCGGTCGCAACGAGGCCGAAACGAGGAGGCGCGTGTGCAACAACTGCTCGGACCGGCCGCCGGATCGGAAAATGGACACGTGAACGGCGGAGCGGCACACAGACAGACACTCACCTCCAATCAGGTCAGAGCGCATTCGAATCGGACAGAAATGGTGCAAATTTGGGGGAAATCGGTCGACGGCCTGGTCTCTTGACACACAATTGAAGTATATTGGGACCAAGTTTGAGACCGATCGGATCATCCGGTCCCGAGAAGGCCGCAATTTCCGCAGAAACCCGGTCTTTGTGGCCATAGATCCACATATCTCGGGACCAGATGATCCAATCGGTCTGAAACTTGGACCCAACATACTTACGTTCAACTCCAAAAGGCCAGCAAAGTTTCGGTCCGTTCGAACAATTGCAAGTGGGTGAAGAGTATTTGCCCAGCCTTGAAAACCTCCCAAAAAATGCAAAACGAGCTCATTTCCAGGTGGAGGAGATTCTACGCGAAGTGGGCATCGACGCGGAGCCGACAGTGCGCGCGGAGCCGCCGGAAGTGCGTGCGAACCACGCGGAAAACCACGTGGACGGTCCATCGCTGACGGCGAGCATGTCCGCGAGTGTTTCCGCGCGGATGGCCGCCGAGTTGGAGTTCTCTGCGGTTCAGACGGCCACCACTGACAACAAGGACTCGGTGAGTTGCGGAAGTCTGAAGACAGTAGGCTTGGAAATTGTCCTTAAAACTGTTGGATTTTTTCCCCGTTTTGCTTTGAAACTGTAATTTTTAATGTAAGAAACGTATTTTTCGAAGGCAATCTACTCAAAAGGCACACAAACAGACGACGAGCGCATTTCGGTGGGCGAATTCTCGTTAGGCAGCCAGGAATTCGACTATGACGACGATTTGGGCATGATGGAGCACGGTCAGTTCAGAGGTTCGTGCATGCTCTCTTCTTTTTCAAAAAATGGGATTTTACTTGATGTTTGGGACCTTAGTCGCACTCGATTTGATAGGAAGAATCGATCCGAAATTCTGAATAATACATTTAAAAAATGCATTGTAAAATTGTAATAAATGTCTTGGCACTTTTTGAAACTTTAATTTATTGAAACAAAAACAATGCATCAGTTTCAGTTCCGACTCGAGTTTTAAATCATTAAAATAATTAACGTTGCTCCACTTTTTCCAGGCCGCGCGTTCTCGCACGACCAAGAATCGCCGTTGCCGGCCGAGGAGATTGCAAAATTGCTGGCACAAGCGAGACAAACGGACAAACCGCTGCAGAGGGCCGATTCGGAAGAGCACACGATCGGAGGGACGAAGAAATCGCAGGCGGTGCAGGCAGTTCCGCCGCTTTCCGACGAGGAGAAGAGCCGATTGACTCTCGATCCCGAGTTCCTGGTTGGTTTGGGATTTTTTATGCTAATGTCTAGAGATATTTCTTTTGCCCTTCATTGACTGGAGTTGGAATGATGTGTCTCACTATGTAAGTTCAATGAAACAGTGAGAACATATTTACCAAAAAAAAGGTTAACGAGTTTCAAAAACTCTTTTTGACTGTCGGCTTTATTTGGATAGAAAGTGAGTAGCATTGAAGAATACTGTTCCACATTTTGGGGAAGTTTCTGATATGTGCAGGGAACGACGTAAATCGTAAGTATCGTTTATTAAAGACTATATAACTCAGCTGCCGGTAGGGATATCAGAATACTAAGGTGGACAGTTTGCCGACAAAATTAGTGTCGGAAACGATGAAAAATAGGGCTAAAAATGCGCCTCTTTTCCAGGACTCGTTCCACCGTTCGTGCCGAGTGATCGGACGGGCCCTCAACGAGGACATTGACATTTTCATAAACTACACGAAGGATCCGTACGAGAAGGCGGTCGCCTCGGACGATTTGCTCCACCTGGCACAGGTCTACACCGACGAGATGTGGACTGCCAAGCGGCTCGTCACCGGAATGGCCTTCTCCGAACACTATCCCGATCTCCTCGCCGTCTCCTATGGGGTACGCGATTTTTGAGGATTTTTAAACGACTGCAAATCGAATAATTTTTGAAGAATTACTGTTTCACTTTAAAAACTTTGATGATCAAATTCAGAGTCCAGCATCATCAATTTAAAAATAAGTGATTTTGCAGCCATGCGACGTTCCGAATGAGCCGCCAGGAGTGATTGTCGTCTGGAATACCAAATCGAAGCGCATCACTGCGGAGTACGTTTTCACCTCTATAAGGGAGCTAAGAATCTTGATAATAATTGCATTTTATGCAGATTCATCGTCTACTGCCAATCGGAAATACAATCGGTCGCGTTCGCCCGTTTCCACGCGCATCTCCTGTTGGCCGGATGCGAATCCGGACAGATTTGTGTGTGGGACAACCGGTTGACGAGCAGAAAATTGCCTATTAACAGGGTAAGCGTTTGAATGAGTTTTTCTGAGAAGAAGTATGCATTTATTTAGCGCTATTTACCGAATTTGAGTTTGTAACTTGAGTAATTTAATTTAAAAAAAAAACAACAACATTTGAAAAAATATTACATGAAACGGGAAACATTGTTGAAAAATCAACAGATTTATTTGATTGAAGGACCACATCTTCTTAGACAATAACACAAGAAAAACGGGTTAAAATTTCAAAATTTGCAGAGTCCCCTGTCGACGCAGGCCCACACACAGCCAGTCTCGTGTCTGGCGGTGGTCGGCACCCGCAACGCGCACAATTTCGTCTCTCTGAGCAGAGACGGAAAGATTTGCAGCTGGAATGTGGACAATTTGACGCAGCCTGTCGACGGAAAAGATTTGGTCACGAAGGAGGGCAAAACTGTGCGTTTTTTTTCGAATTTTTTCGCTCGGAAATGTTTTTGAATTGAAGTGTTGTTTATTTGCGCAAAAGATGATAAGTCGGATCATTAATAGGTAAAACAGGCAAATGAACGATAAAATTATCAATTGGGCCTGCAATAGTCCAGTAGATCAAGTAGGGGAACGGTAGACAGTTAAAGGCGCATATCATCAAATTTATTTCTAGGCTCTCTCTCTCTTGTACCGCGCAAATGGTATTTCTCACGTCCCCAGATTTTTGCTCCGCTTCAATTTTCAAATGTCTGATAGTAAAACCCCATATGGGCCCATTTTTAAGCACGAAGATTAATATTTCAGTGGAAAATCACTATTGTTTTCTTCGCAGAATCTGCACTTTTTAAAGCATTAAACCGATTTTTTGTAGGCCTCAGCCACGCGAATGTCGTTCCCAATCGGCGAAATGCAGACATTTGTGGTCGGAACAGACACTGGCGAGATCCTGGCCGCGTCGAGGAACGGAGCCGATCCGGCGGTTATCAAGACGGACGTCTGCTACAAAGGTTCGTCGGTTCGAAGTCTTGTAAATTCAGTAAAAAGCTTGGCAAAGAAACGGAACTGTAGCTAGTGGTATGAACTTTACGAAAAAGATGTTCAACAAAATGTGAATAAATGGAGCTGTAACCTATGACACGGTGGTAATATTAATTGTTGCAGGACACAGCGGCACCTTGACGGGCATCGAGTTCCACCGCGCGTCGGGCGTCGTCGACTTCTCGCACCTCTTCATCTCCTCTTCTCACGACTGGACGATCAAATTGTGGAGCACAAAGGACGCGAACCTCAAATTCTCGTTCGAATCGCATCCGGATCTCGTGCTCGACGTCGCCTGGTCTCCAGTCCATCCGGCCGTCTTCGCGTCCATAGATGCCGACGGAAATGTGAGAAACTTGAACTTATTGCAAAAATGAAAAATGTATTGAAGGGCTCCATAAATCATGGTGAAGTACAAAGATTTTTGAAACTGCAACTCTTTTGAATCAATTTGTTACATTTTTTTTAGCTGTTCGTCTGGAACCTGAACGAGGACGTCGAGGGTCCGGTGGCCCGTCTGCGAGCCGGAAACGAGGGAGAGACTGTCTACATGAATCGGTTGATTTGGTCCCCCGATGGTACGTTTTTCAAAATTTAAAAAAAAAAACAGGGCTGGGTTTCGGCCCAGGCTTTTTGAAGGCCTGGACTTTTGACCCACTTGCAAAATTCCTTAGACTTGAATTAATGTACCGATCCGATCGCCTGGTCCCGAGATACGTGGATCGGATGCCGAACAGGTCGGGTTTTTTGCGAAAATTGCGGTCCTTTCTGCCTCTGGTCCACATATCTCGGGGCCAGACTGGTCTGAAACTTGAACCCAGAAGAATCCTGCAAAGTTTGGTCCCGATCGGATAATTGCAAGTGGGTCAAAAGTCCAGGCCTCCAAAAAGCCTGGGCCGGCCTTTTGCGCCCAGTCCTGGCTTTTTATGAGTTTTTGTGCATTCCCACTGTTTCGCTGAACCAACATCTTTTTTTTTCCTGCTTTTGCAATGTCAATCTGTAGACTGATCGGGAATTTTCAGGAAAACACGTGTTTGTGGGCGACGACGAGGGCCGCGTGCACATGTACGACGTGCGGGAGAGTTTGTACGTGTTGAAGAGCGAAGAATGGAATCGCTTTGCCAGGTTCGCCATTCGTTTTTCGAGTTTATGCGATTTATAGACAATCTCTCTTTAAAGGATCAGGCAACCCTCAGATTTTTCTGAATTGCCTCTTATTGCCACCTAGACTGTCCGTGTGTCAACTCTCGGAAATGCTGATAAACGGAACAGCGCGCAGTTAAACTTGTTGCCATGGCCTAGAAAACTCTGGTGTGATTTTCCTAGGCCACGGCCACAATTTCAACTGCGCGCTGTTCCGTTTATGGTGAATGTGGCAAACTCGCACGGTTCCGTGGTCCTTTAAACTTCTCCGAATTGCTAGAATTTCTGTAATTGTAATATTCAAGCTCTATATTTTCAGGGTGCTATCGGACATGAAAGAATCGAACGAGGAGGCTGAAAAATATAACTTGTAGAAACGTGTTTAACAAAAATTCAATTTCTATTATAGGTACTCGTTTTTTCCCCTCCCGCACGCATATTTTCCCACATTTTTTTGTGAATTTTTCATCGAAAAATGTGGCTCGCTTTTTTGTTGTTAAATCTATTTTCGCCCCGAGAAACATGTCCATCTGGAATTTTTTGTGATTTTCCTCTCAAAAAACGCCCATTTTTTGCTCTGTTCTTCAGTTATATCCCTAAATTAATTTGATTCTTCCACCCGATTCGTCTATTATCCGACAGCTACCCCCCACCAGAAATCGTGCTAATTTATTGATTATTTTCAGCTTTCCCCCTTCCTTTTCGTTTTCAAAGGGTTGTCCGCGAAAAAGAAGAGTTTATTGTAAAAATTGAGCACAATTTGTTTCCTAGGTGAAAAACTGTTCAAAACCATCAAATTTCCACGAAAACCGGCATTTTTGACTCGATGTCACACAAATCGCGATTTCTGGCCATCCGGAAGAAACCGTTTTCGCCGAAACTCGGGCTCCACGAGTTTTTGGCGATCCAGAAGTCGTGGCCGTTTTTGTCGGTACCGTATCCGACTACAGTCACCGAGTGCCAACCGATCTGCAATGTGTTGAAGTGAGTTTAGACATTTTGAAAATGGGCTTCACTCACAAAATGCTCTGATTTATCGCAATCGTTCGCCGTAAAAACTCCGGATTTGTAGTGGCGGAACGAGTTGGAAACTTTGAATCCGACGCCGATCGGACCCGTTTTCAGAAGAGTTTTTTGGATTTGAGTGGCAGTTGCCGGTCGGACGAACTGATAATCGGAGACAGCGATCTGGAGTTGGACAGGCATTTTTAGTGAGTTGTGATTCATGCGATATCTCAGCTGTGGGTAGAGGTATCAAAAAGTAGTCAACTGATAAAAAGTACAGAATTTCCCAATGAACATTTTGTCAGTTGACAACTTTTTGATATCTCTGGCGGCAGCCGAGATAACAAGCAGTACAACTGACCCTGTCGTTGCGGTCGGCGCAAAAGTCCTCCTGCTGCTCCTGCACATTTCTCTGATAGTTCGCCTCGGTCGTCATCCCGTTTCTCTTCACGTACTCCAATCCGTCAAGTACACTTCCTCCGGAACACCCCGCATTTCCGCCTTGAGCACAGTCGCACAATTGCTGCTCCGACGCCTTCACGCTTTTCGAATTCTTGATCGCAAACGCCGATTCGACGACCGAAGCCACTGTGAAGCCCCACGAACAGCCACAGTAGCCTGCAAAAAGTTTTAAAGGACCGCTGGCAAGTTTAGGATGTGGCCGTGGCCTAGAAAACTCTGGTGTCAAAACTCTTCCCGCGCGCACTTTGACAATCGTCTGCGGATTGTGAAAAGATCCGATGGCCTAGGAGTTTTCTAGGCCACAACTTTGACCAAATTCTTTTAACCCCCCGTACCTTGATTGCTGACTCCGCTCACAGTATCCTTCCTTTCTCGCCAATCGAAATTTGTCGGAGATTGAATTTCCGTCAAATTTTCCGACGTTTCCAGAGAATTTCCGACTTCCGGAACAGTGTCCACGTGGAGATTAGCGACTTTTTCGCTAAACTCCAAATCGCTGAAATCCGTGTAATAGTTGATGCCGAATCGGAGCGACTCGTTCGAATATTGTCGGTTTAGGCTGGAAATTTAAAAGAATTGGTAAAAAAATGCGTGAAAAATGGAAACTTACTCGATAATTTTCAGCAAATTATCCTGGAATATTGCTCGAGCTTTCGCTTGCTCCAAAGGCGAACGGTACGCTTTTTGGTAGCTGAAAGTTGAGAAAAAATGCGTTTTTTTTTCAAAATGCCAACTCACACTTCTTCGAATTGAATGAAAAGTTGGACGACAGTGGTCGGATCGAGGTCATCCACAGTATCCGGAATATCGAAATCACTGAAAACCGGGTTTGGGATTTCGGTGACCAGTGGAAATCCAGAGCTCAAAGAGCACAAAACGAAGGCCAGGAGGAATTTCATCTCTTTTCCAATGTTTTCAGAGCTACAGGTGCTCTTTTATGCACATTTTTTGCACTTTTCCTTGTGGTCAACCAGATAAGGAAGGTGTACTCGTGAGGACATGTCACATGAACATTGAACACTGTTTTTCTGGTTTTAGTGTTCAAAAAATGCGGAAATAAGAGAGAGTGACGTGATTTGAAAGCAAAAAAACAATATTACTGTTTTCGAACTTTATGTGCTCATTGACACGGAACCCCAGCATTCCAATGCGCAAGCGAGTTGTTCGGAGTTTCTTTTTTCAATTGAAAACCAGAATTCTTTCGTTTTTCTCTTAATAAACACTCAAATTTTGTTTTTTGCGAACCGTAGGGCGATTGTCTGAGTTAAAAGCATCGATTTAAGCGCGAAACGGAGCAGATTCGTTCAGAATTGACCAAATTGAGGGATTTTGTCGAAAACTACCGAAAAAAAACGGAGTTTTAACGATTATTTGCCGAATCGAGTTCGGACACTGGCATTCGAACCGTCCAGTCAACAAGGAGTTTATTGCGCATCTTTTAAGCGCTCAACCGTCGAAAAATATAAAGAATTGAGATAATTGAGGCAAATTTTCGATTCCAAAAGGAAAAAATTCTGTAATTTTCACATAAAACGTTTCGAAATTGATGACGAGGCAGTTAAAATTTTATTTTTTATTCATTTCCAATCATTATCATAAGTTTTGACACTGATTGGTTCTGAAAAGATGGAGATAATGCAAAAAAAGGGAAAATTGAAATGAGAAACTCTATAACGAAGCTCCGGAATTACGCGTTACGCGCCTTGTTTAGCGCACGTGAATTGCGCCTAGGGAATTTTTTATTGGAGGGGGCTGGGGTTCCGTGTAACGTTGTTCCCATCCATTTTTTTCTTTCGTTTCCTTCTCATGCATCTCGTTATCATTAATTCTGTCGTTCTCTTTTATTTTTCTCTTCACTTCTGCTAATTTTCGAAATTTGTCAGCTTTCATTTCATCGAAATTTAACTCACTTACTTTCTTTTCACCGTTTTTCTACTTTCAAGCATGTTTTCTTCTCTTTTTAAAATAATTTCTTCGATTTTATCGTCATTTAATTCCATTTGTGTGCAAACACCGCTCAGTGAACCGAATTGCTTGGCGGCCAAAGCCTTGAGGCGGATGGATGACTTTTTTTGGAAAAGATGGTGTAGAAGTCACGTAACGTGAACTCAAAAGCGAGATAAAGATCTGTTCTCTGCTATAAAAGGATGAACATCAGTTAGTTCCGATCAATTCGTGACAATCGACACTCCTCTGAAGTGCGACAATGAAGGCGCTTCTCATCGCCATCTTCCTCTTCCTCCACGGTACGCATTTCACTGTTTGAACCTGTTTGGACTTCTGCTTTCAGCTCCACTCATTTTCTCTTCGAACAGAGGTTTGATAACATCGGAGAATGTGAAATATTTAAATCAACAACGGAGGGACGCTGCTCTCAGCCTTCGTATCGCGAACATGCACGAGCTCACTTGGCACGAAGGACTCGTCGAGAAAGCAAAGGCGATGCCGAAAAATTGTAATGAATGGCGAGCCGGCGCCGACTATCGCTTCGTTCCACTTGCTGATATTGATGATAAGATAGCAATAGGTCACAGGCGGCTCGTTGATGCGGTTACCGGAAAAGAACACGCCGAAATTTCGGATTTAAATGTGGACAACATTAAAGAGGCGGTTCGGGCCCACGGACAAAAACTCCCGACGATCTTAAATGCTGAATATTATTATCCGCTGCAGACGAAAATCGGATGTGCTGAAATTAAATGCGAATTGGCGCTTACTGGAACTTGGGGAAAATTACTCTCAACGGACCCCACTGCTCCGCCTTCAGAAAAGACTCCGTTGATTGGAGTTTGTTTGTTGGGACCCATGTAAGCCAATCCGACATTTGACGCGAGTCAATCATAATTGCTATTCATTCTTTTCAGTGGAGCTTTCAAAACGGAAGACATCAAAGGAGGACTCCCCGGATCGGCTTGCCCGAACAAGAAGAATACCAGAGGACTGTGTTCAGTTTTACCAAAGTCAGTTGGAGGATTGCGAATGACCTTGTTAGCTGATGGTTTCCAGACGCGAAAATCAGAATGGTGGCGCCGCCACTGGCGCGGTCAAACCGGAGACGACTACCTCCTCCTCATCTCGTCTTTTCATCGCCTTCAACATTCTGTCGTACTTGCTGCTTGTGTGCATTCTCTGAACGTCTTCTGGTCGAATAAATTGAGAATGTAAACAATGATTTTCTGATTGTATTTTGCAGGCAAGCGCTTTAGAAACCTCAACAGTTTTGTGAAGAAACTTTCCTCTTCGTCACGGCGACCAAAAGTGTAGAAAGGGGCGTGGCTTAATCTGAGACGCGTTTTCTGAAAATTGGCCGCAATTCCAGCACTTTTCCGATATTTTTGTGTTTGATATCGGCGAAAGAAGAGATATTAAAAAGAGAAAACATTGAAATTTTCGTGAAAACACCGCGTTTGAGTCATTTTTGGCATATTTCGCAATACGCGCTCCGCGGCCAATCGCCGCCGCAATTTCGGAATTTTCATAACGGCCGAAGTGAGTGTCGGAAGTGATTAAGCACGTTAATACAAGTATTTTAAGCGTTCAAACGGAAAAAAGTATCGGCGAATGACTGAAATTCGCGCATTTTCAGCACAAAACTTGAAAATCGATTCAATTGATTCATTCTCTGAATGAAACCTGTCGTTTTAAGCTCAAAAAGTGCGCGATGATTATCTTAAAAAAGTTATTATGCAATTACATCGTCGAAATCGTACAAAATTTGGGTAATTTTTGACGAAGTTTTTCTGTGAAAAACATGAAAAATTGGGTTAAATTTCGAATTTCGCGCCAAAATGGTGATAAACCGTGCACGCTCGGCCCCACGCCCCTTTCTATGTTTTTGATTGTGAAAAGGTTTCTGAAATTCGTACCCAAATGTTTGTAAAATTTTTTGGTTTTTTTTTGAGGTAAAGAGGGACGTCGGAATATCGAAAAACGACGTTCATCTAATACAAGATTCTTCGGAACTTTTCAAAATAAATGTGTTATTTGATTGATTTTCTCGTGTCCTCTCCTCAAATGACAATGAGAATACAGCTTCATTACCCGATTATTTGAAAACAAAACATGCGACTTCTTGTGGCACTGATTCTCTGCGCCCTCGTACTGTTCGGTACGGTTTACGGTCCGAACTATAAAGGACCAACAACATTTCAGTGGTCCCTGATCGATTGCCCGTCTACTCGTCCCCTCCGCCGTTGCCAAGTCCTCCGCCACACAGAATTCGGGAAAAGTCTCGCGAAATGTTCGTGGAAAACTCGAAAGTCTCCTGGGCGGATACGATTTCCCGATTCATCCGATCTTTTTGAATAAACCGTTAAAAAATCGTGTCGGAAGAGCATCTCGAAATTGTCGGTTTTGTCGAAGATCGGATTGGACATTCTAAATTTTTAAAAAATCGTTCGAATAACAGCAAACGTGTTTTTATTCTCACACACAATCCAATCAAATCACACAAAAACGAAATCAAGTCGGTTCGGGAGACGGATCCTCACATCTTGAGTCCCATGAGCATGCGTCTGAACGCGTTGAACACCGAAGAGTCCATTCGGGACGGCTCCGGGTCGTCTAGAGTCGGCTGGGCTCTCTGAACCTTCGAGTCTCCAACTTCTGGTTCCGCCTCGTCCGCCTCATCCTAAAATCCTCGTCATTTCTTGGCATTTGCTCCGCGAGCCTGTCAAATTCATCCAAACTAGATCAATAAGAGGCTCAAAGCCTTTCAAATCAAGCAGAGAATCCGAAAATCTGCCTACCATTGACTCGAACGATTTCACAGAGCACAACGACAGGCGCGATCCGTTCAATTTCGCGTTTTTCGCCTGTCTGAAGCTGTGCCAACTCCTAAAATTACAGTTTTTTTGTTGGGAACAATCCGAAAATTGGCCTACTCGGATTCGGTGGAAGAGTCCTCGACGTTGTTCACGTGATATTTGAGGTCCAGCCAGTTGTTGCGCAGTTTCACGTGACGAATGTACTCGCCCGAGTACCGCTTCTCACTGAAAACACAATTTCGCCATTCTCCTCCTCGAACTTCTGCGTGTTTTGAGTCCGAGTTCACCTTCCAATTTGCGCGTCGGCAAAATTGCTCCACACCGGCTTCGGCTCATCGAGAATCGTTTGCATAAAGTTCAAGAGGCTGGTTCGATTGTAGTTCATTCTGAAATTCTTTCTCGTTTTTCGCCATTCAAAACTGCTCCCAAACTCTGCCGGATTGCCGCCTCTCGCCAAATCGACAATGGCGCCAATCACTCGGTATCCGCACGAGAAGTTGTCTCTCTGCAGCAAAAAACCCGGTTAGTGTGTGGGCTGTACGGAGGCTACCGTAACCTGAATCTCGTACTCTTGGTCGAATTTGATGTCGATGAGGTCGCCGAAAAGATGTCCGAATAGGTGACGGATCATATCCGCAATTTCTGCGCTCAGCTGAAAGGGGGGAGTCAGGGGTGTGCGGAAAATATTTCGATTTTCCGAAATTTTCCGATTTTCCGAGAAATTTTCGGAAAATTTTCCGAAAATGTTCGGCAAAATTTTCGGAAAATTAGTGTGGATTCAAGGTCAATTTGTCCGAAACCACCGTATGCTTTTTAAAGGCGCATCAAAAAATTTTTTTTTTCTGTACTCCCGCAACGACTGCAGAAACGGAGCGACTCTTTTCAACCGCGCGTCTCATTCTCACTGACAATCGGAAAACACTGGACCCGGAGAGCTTCTCTCGGCTAATTTTTTTGCAAAAAAATATTCCATTGCTTGGCTTCCGCCCACTCAAGTGATTTCAAATCATAATAAGCATTTTTTTGTATTAGAACGTTGTTTAAACACTTTATTGAACCAATGAACAAGTGAGTTTTCCGATTTTTCCGATTTTTCCGAAATTTTCCGAAAAATTCGGAAAACCCGATTTTCCAAAATTTTCCGAAAAAAAAAATTCGGAAAAACCGATTTTCCGAAATTTTCCGAAAAAAATTTTCCGCACACCCCTGGGGGGGAGGGCTATTTGGAATTCTAGACCATTCGTGGCCTAGTTTTGGTTTTCTCGGCCACGCACTCACCAGCGGTCCCTGCGTCTGTCGATCCCACATTTGAAGACTGTCGTACACGTAGACGCACTGCTCACGCGGATTGTAGCTGCGAAAAAGTTCAAATTTTTTCCGATATTATAGGGGCACCGCACAGAAATAGCGCTCTGTTGAGAAACCCTTTTTTCAGTGCAAATTGAACGACCTCGGGGCCGAGTTTGAAAAGTTAGGCCACATTTTCAGTAAAACATTTCTTCGCGGCCTAGAAATTCGGCCAGATTGCGAACAGCGCGCCCGCCCTTTCTGTCCGGTGCCCCTATAATAACTCTCGAAAAAAAACTGACTGCACAAGGAGGTAGTGTGCGCGCACTCGATCGAAGAGCACCTGAAGGGCGTCCCGCTCGCCCGACACGTGTTTTTTGATGTCTTCCGGAGCGCTCTGCAACGAAATTGGCCGAGCATTGCGGATTTGCAGCGGAAAAACCGACAATGATCAGGAATTGAATGGCGAGAAGCGCCTCGATTCGCGTCGGACACACCGCCTGAAGCTTGTCGCAGAACGAGTTGATCAGGTCGTCCTGCAGTTGCTCTCCGAATTTTAGCTGCAAAATTTCAGCGTTTTCAGAGCGCTCTTATCACTGCCCTTCGGCGTGCTGCTTGCAGTCGGTCGTTTAGCTCAGCTGATTAGCGTTTTGCAGGCGAATCTCTCGGCGGGTGTTCGATTCGCGGTGGCCGCAAAAGCCTTTTGTCTACCTCTTCCATCTTGGATCCATTCGATCCGGTGCTCATTTTGTGCTCGTCCGTCAGGAAGTCGCCGTCGCCCGCCTCGTACTTTCCGCCGTGTGTGTCCACTTCGTCCATTCGACAAGTTTTACTGCATACTTCAAATTGCCTTCTTTCTTTTTTTTGCTTTAAAAACTCACCAACTCTTGGTCAGAGTCAAAAGGAAATGCCGAAACAGTTCGTGGATTGCTGTTGGCAATTTGTTAAAAAGTTACGCGGCCAAGTTTCACGTGTATACACAAATAAATTTACAAAAAAAAATAAAACTGTGGGGAGAGGGGGGGTGTTCAAAATTCACAATAGACAAAATGGGTCTTTTTTTTTGATTGATTGTATGAGAGAAATGGAGTAAAAGCGAGAGGGGAAATTCGTTGAAAATTAGAGATTTTTTGGCGGGTTAATGTTGCAATAGAAAAGACTGTAAGAAGAGAGTTAGGCGAGAGAATTATTTGTGTTCAGTTGAATTTCATGAGCATCGCGTATATACTGTGGAACTTTTCCGGTGGGCCCATCACAATCGGCGGCTTCAGATGCTCGCCTTTGAACGCGTCGTACCGGACCGAGGCGAACTGCAAAAAATTTAATTTTTTTTTCAGGGCTCGGAAAAAGGCCGGTCTGGACTATTGACCCACTTGCAGTTATCTGATTGGACACAAACTTTGCAGGCTTCATAGAATTGGATTGATGTACATTGAGGCCGAGTTTCAGATCGATCTGATTATCCGGTCCCGAGATATGTGGATCGAAGGTCGAAAAGGCCGGGTTTTTGCGAAAATTGTGGTCTTCTCGACCTCAAAAATCTCGGGACCAAATTATCCGATCGATCAGAAACTTGGACCCAATACACTTCAATCCAAGTTCAAAAGGCCTGCAAAGTTTGGTCCCGATCAGGGGTGTGCGGAAAATATTTCGATTTTCCGAAATTTTCCGATTTTCCGAGAAATTTTCGGAAAATTTTCCGAAAATTTTCGGCAAAATTTTCGGAAAATTAGTGTGGATTCAAGGTCAATTTGTCCGAAACCACCGTATGCTTTTTAAAGGCGCATCACAAAATTTTTGGAAGGGTCTAGCAGCGAGCGTCTTTTTAAATTTGATTTTTAAATTTTACGCAATTTCTTTCGTTTTTCTCATTCTAATGAACCGATTGTTGCGATTTGTGTTGTTTTTTCAGAAAAGCTGACGTAATGGGAAAGTGGGACGTATATTTAACTGGGCGGAAAACGGTGAGAAAGCGTGTTTTTGCGGCCACAAGTTCAACGCTCAAAAACAAGGATCTACTTACGCATATGTCTATCACTCTATCAGTTTTCCGATTTTTCCGATTTTTCCGAAATTTTCCGAAAAAAAAAATTCGGAAAACCCGATTTTCCGAAATTTTCCGAAAAAAAAATTCGGAAAAACCGATTTTCCGAAATTTTCCGAAAAAAATTTTCCGCACACCCCTGGTCCCGATCGGATCCTTGCAAGTGCGCCAGGGCCAAAAGTTAAAAAGCCTGTGAAAAGCCTGGGCATAAAAATTGCTTGACTTTTTCCAGCTCTAAAAAAACCAACATCAAGGTTCAAATATTTGGTCATCAAATTGTGTCCGCGATGGTTGCTGCACAAACTGATCAATCCGTCGGCGTTGTCAGTGCGAGCCGTTTTTTGGCTGCAAAAAAAAAAACTCATTTTCATTTGGAAATGTTCAATAAAAATGACTTACACATGATTCATGAGAGCAGTGCCGATTCCCTGATTCCAGACCTCTTTTCGAACACACACAACCGCGGCGAAGACCTTAAAAAAAACAATTGATGCGATTCGCGTGCAAACATTTCGTGCTGCGCCTTTAAACGACAACGGTAGTTTTAAAAATGTCTAAAAATTAAACACTCCTTGTCCTGTCCGTGCGGCGGTCCAACATAATAGAACTGCGCAAAATAGAACCGCGACATAATAGAACCAGCCACAATATAACTGTTTGGAACGCCTTTTAAACCTTTCTGTAGAATAATTGTTTTGTAGAAAAAGATAATTTTTGAATCTCGTGATCGATTTATTGCATTCATTAACTTCACTTCCGTCGTGATCACTCTTCTCTACGGTAACGAAAACCCACAGAAAATAATTTTATCGTACTATCATAAACGAAAGGAAACCAATTTTCTAGGTTTAAAGTCTGCTTAATTGTTCGAGAGACGAAAAATTTTGCGAAAGTTAATTGAAAGGAACGGACAAAATGCTTATATGAATACATAAAAACAGTTCTATTATGACGCGGTTCTATTCTGCCCGGTTCTATTATGACGCGGTTCTATTCTGCCCGGTTCTATTATGACGCGATTCTATTCTGCCCAGTTCTATTATGTTGGACCGCCGTACGTGCGCAACTGTCGATTTTCAGTGCTAATTACTGAAAGTGTAAATAGTTTGTCAATTCCGAACGAATCTGTTCCATTCCTCTGGCATTTCGTTATTAATCTAACGGCGGCCTAATAAGATTGATAGATTGTCTAGCTAGATTAATAAATCTTCTAGCTAGATTAATAAGTGCTCAAATCAAGTTTCACGCCAACCGTCTGCTGGCTCAAATCTCGATTGCGCCAAGAAAAAAACAGTCGAATCTAATTAGGTCGCGTTTGGATCAGTAACTTTCTAATTAGATTAATATCGAATTGCCAGAGTCAGCGCTCGACTCTCGACGAACGAAATATCAAAGTTTAAGGACAGACGATTGAAAACGCGATCTATTTAGAACTCGCTTGCGTATTGGAGAGAAGGGGCATTGTTATTCAATTCAAATTCAAAGTCTCACCGGTTTGTAGACGCGATGCTCTCCGAGATAGTAGGTGACGTCGAGTTTGTTGAACACGTACTTGAGAAATTCCTGCGCGTCCCTCACTTTTTGCGAGTCGAAACGGTAATTGTAGAGGCGGTCGAGCTGCTTCTCGAAGATCGAATGGCGGCTCGTCAGGGCGATTCCGTCGATTTTCTTCGTGATGACGTCACGCACGAGGCACGACGACGGACACGACAGACTGTCGAGCACCAGGTCGCGCAGCATCGTCGTCAGTTCGCTGATGCACAATCTGCAGCAATTTTTGGAATCCTTCGAGAGTTCTTAGCCAAGTGTTTGAAAAACTCACGGATCCTCAATCTTCAAACTGGCCAAAATCGCCTCTGTCTGTGCGAAATTGTCGAGAAGAAATTGGACAATCTGAAAAAGACATTTTCGTGAGGAAAACGGAAATTTCTTTAATTTCCGTTGGAAAAGCTAAATTTAACTCGAAACTCGCGAAAACATTCGAAATAATCGGTTTACCTCCTCGAGATCGTTTCCTTTCACCGGCTCAACATTAAATTGTTGCCTAGTCGCCGTCATACCTGCAAAAAAAGGTGTTTAACTTGTTCGCCCGAGAAATCTGGATAAAAACATGGTTTTGCACAATTTTTGGTGAAAAAAGCGAGGCGTGCTGTTTACGATTGTCTTTTGTTTTCATAATTTTCGGAATCACACGATTATCAACAAAATGGAGGGCCGAGAGAAGGCAGAGAACATTTGCGAGGGTGAAAATGCGAAGAATTGAACTTTTCGAGTTACGCGTTAGTCTCTTGGGACGCTTTCGTTCGCCGAAAAGATGTTTTGCATTTTTTGGGTTAAAAGAGAGAGAGATTTCAGGCGGAAAAGCTTGTTTTGAGGAGATGGACGAGTTTTTCGAGCATTTAACATTTTATCAAGTGAAACAAAGTTTTATCAGCGAAAAAAGTTTGAAGAAAGTGCAATTTTGCAGTTTTTTGAGCACTCGGCCATTTGAGCGGAATTCTAGGCCAGCAATCTGAAAAACTTCGGCCGCCACAACAAAACTGCTCGAAGACGCCGAAAAATGAGGTCTTTCGATGTTCTAATCGGATTTGAGGACGAAGAATGGAGAGAAGCGCACAATTTCTGGCCGAAAATGGGAAAACTCTTCACTTGCAAGCGCGAAAAGTTACTTTTCTTCTCTTATTTCTCTTCAATTGGGGACGCGAAAATTAAGTTGAATCGGTGTTTTCCACACATATTTTGTGCATTCGCTGAGCTTTTGGAAATCGTTCGAAACTGCTGATATTGCTCATTTTGAAAACAATTTCGAAAAAGAGTTGTTGCCAAGTGCCAAAAACAGACAAGTGGCCGGGCGGTTTGGGCTCTATTTGCAGAGAGGAAAGGCCTCTGAAATTCGATCTGTTTGAAGAGAGCGAAAACGAAAAAAGACCAATTACACACATTTTTAAACGAAATGTAAGACAGTTTGTCGTTTTGTTTGTTTAACGGGCTCCGCGTGAGCTCACCGCCGTCTTTCTGCTCGCCAAAAAGAAAAACATTCGGGAAAAGGGCAAAAAGTGATGACGTGGCACGTTCGCGTGTCAGACACCCATTATTCTGGGACCTATTATTAATTTTTGAGCGGCGGGGATGATCTTTTTTGCACGAAAAGGTGGGAGACTGTTATTTTCAGTTTCAAAGTTAAAGTAAAAATTTCAAAAACTACTTTATTTCCACTTCACGGTCTCCAGAGTTGACAATATGGGCGTGGCCTCGGTCAAATGGTGGTTTCATGAATTGAGCAGGTTTTCGCTGATTTTTGTGGTCAACGGCGATGAAAAATGATTGTTCGGCATGAAAACACACTAATTCTCAGAATTAATGACGTTTTGGAGCATTTTTCGCGGACTTTGCGTTTTCGCCTTCGCCGCCGATCGCCGCCTAAAACCCGCACTTCTCATTTTGCGCTTTCTTGACCGTTTTCAGACAGAATTGGTTTTGAAAATGATAAATCACGTAAATACAAGCATTTGAGCGCTCTAACCGCGAAAATTACCGAAAAGCAACTGTAATTCGCGCAGTTTTAGCCAAAAACCTTTAAACGAATAAATGTGATTTGTGACTTGACCAAATTTAACGCTCTTGCGCTTAAAAAATTCGTAATAGCCTATACAATCGGTCTATCGAGAGAAAAATGAGAAATTATCGGTTTTTCGTGGCTAATCTGACAAAAAACACTAATTTTGCTGTTAAAATTTGAATTTCGCGCCAATGTATCGCTCTATTGGGCGGGGCGCACTTGCGCCCATTGTAGGCTCGGGAGACCGTGGCACTTGAATAATCTTGAATGAATCAAACGAAAAAGTGGTTTACAGTTTCAAAAACTGCCTATCATTTTGTGATATTATTCATCGAATCGCTTTTGCGACAAATGAATCGCTGAGTAATAATTGAGCATATTCATTCATCTATTCATCATACTAATCCCCTAGACAGATTGGATTCGGATAATAGTTTCACCCAAAAAATGTGTTTTTTCAGTTTCAAAATGTTCAAAAAATGCAGAGTAGACAGTCTAAATTCGTTGAGTATCGAGGAACCTCAGAAAAAAAAACATTTTAAAACTGTCTCTAGGCTCCGCTAATCCTTTCCACCTCCCACATTTCTTATGCTCGCCGTCCTTATCCCCCCCTTTTGAAGCACTTTTTCCGAGAAAACAAACCTTTTGGTTGGTAATTCGGTGAAGGGACAATGTGATTTGGAATTAACGCAATTGCCTATAAAATGTCAATGAAACTGCAATTTTGTCCAGAAAAAAGAGCAAAAGATGGTGCTCCCCATTCGAAATGTTTGTTTTGGCGGAAATGGCTCTTTCTTCTTCTCTCAACCCTTCATCGGACTCGAATTGATTAGAAAACGAGTGAGAATGAGCGTTTCGGATGCGAAAATGGAAGGAATTGAAAGCGCTTCGCATTTCGGGGACCAATTCGGGGGAATTTCATCGAATTTCAGGTGAAACACACAGATGAGTACTTGCAACGCCGAAAATATAATTCTCGAAGAGATTTCCAGAAAAATGCTGGAAAAACAAGGAGGAGAAGAAAAAGAAGATGAAGAAGGGGAATGTGGAAATGAATAGAGCGAAATGAGCTGGAAATGAGCGGAGAAGGGGCGAATAATTGGTTGGATTATCAGTAATACCTTCTCTTTCTCTCCCTCTTCTTCTTCTTCTTCAACTCTCTGCGAGCCCGTTTGACGCCATTCAAGGGGCCGCGGGGATCAGGGTGGACGAAGAATGGAATAACATGACTGTTTCAGTGTTCACAAATAATGTGCAATCTATTTACGGAAAAATTAATCGATGGAATCTGTATCGATTTGAAAAATTTGAGTGGCTTCTGCTCGGAATGTGCAAAATATTTCGCCAAAGTTTAAAACTATTTTACACTGAAAACGACCCATTCGGACTCGTTGTTCCCCGGGTTTTATGAGCTCAACGGCTTTTGTTTTAACTTTAAGATGTATTCTATAAAACCGAATGAAATAAAAACTGAGAATCAGAGAACAAGAAGACTTTCTTCTGACTTTCTGACTTTCTGACTTGAACGTACTTTTCGGCGAGTCAGATGTTCTTCTGATGCTCGAGTTGGTTGATTTCACGCTGCGTGAGTCATCGTTGCTGCTTCCTGAATTTTTTTCGCTAAATTTTCGTGACTTTCAGCTCTCTTTTCGACTTGTCGTAAAATGTTGTGCTTTGTACGCTTGCACAGATGGCATCAGATTCTCACGGTGATTCTTTGCGAGGGTGACGAGGAAAATTCTAGTCCATTTGGCCCGGGGTCGCAGGCCGTGGTACTAGGCCACGGTTTCCGCCGAGTCCCCCGGCTGAACAAGAAATTATTAGGCCACGCCAGAAGTTAGGCCAGGAGGCCGAACCGAAGAAACTCGGCCATGGGGAATTTTTCACGAATTTCGCGCTTGTTTCATATTTTAGCGCTTGTTCTCTGTCAATTAATGCTTGTTTTCGGCTGAGTTTTGTATTTTTTCATCTCAAACATGAAAGAACGCAGTTTATAGAAGCTTTATTATTTTTTAGTAATTGTTATCGACAGAGAAAAATTGCCAACAGCAAAAACCAATAACAGCGCTGTGTAATATTCCTGAAAAGCAGTAAGAACGTCTTCAAAATGCTGTCGGAAACAATTGCGGCTAAACAGAAAGCGCGCGCGCCAAACTTGCAAAATTGCGTGCGGCAATTGCGCAAGACCACGCCCCTTCTTTGAATGGTGGCCGAGTTCGCGGCGCGTTTCTCACTACACCCTCGCAAAGAATCACCGTGATTCTACGAGATTTTCGAGTTTCCGCTCAAATTCTTCAATTTTCTTTAAAAAAACCAACCTTCCAGGCCTGACTCGTCCTTCTGTGTCCCGCTGACAGAAGCCATGAACGCAGAAACGCCGCGAGACAACAATCCGAACATTTTCTTTTGATTCTCCGAAACTTTCACAAGTTCTACCTGAAAAATGATCTTTTTCAGATTTACAGCATTTGAGTGTGGAAAACGATGCGAAATCTCGAAGAGAAAACTAAAAGATACGTAAGATACGTCGTTTTTGTCGGAGAAGAATAAAAGTCAGAAAAACGGATTTTGTATTGGATTCTGACGACATTGGGCACGAACTGATAGTGAGTTTAATCCCGAGAAATCACATGAATAATGGGGGGAAAACATTAGAAGAACAGGTGCAAAACTATAATTTGTGTATTTTTTTCTCGATTTTGTGCGCAAAATGTCAACTCTTCCTCATCAATCATCCCGAAAATATTCCATTTTCATGCTAAAAAGGTCGTCATTTTCGAGGAATATTCAAGTAGGCTTCCCACCAACTTTCCCGTCTATTTTTCAGCGTAAACATGTAATTTGTTCGTGGAAAACAAACTTTCCGGAAAAGTGATGAATTTTAGTGAAACGTCACAAAATCACCTGGAAAATGAATTTGATTTGCAGCTGTTTCCGGAAAAAATGTTTTTTTTTAAACTGTTCTATAGGTAGGGGCCACAAAGTGGAGGGGGCGGGGCGTCGAAATTTTTCAGTGGATTTCATTTTTCCGTCTTTCTGAGCCTGTGGCGCGGACTCAGAATGATAAATGATTGTACTAACAACATTACTTTATGCAATCAACCACGTAGAATCCATTGGTCAAGTCAGTTTGAGCCTAACTGTCATGGTTTTTGCGAACAAGCGCGAAAACAGCAAAATATTCGGACAGTGTCAGTTCGAGGAACTTTTTGGGGTCAATATAAGTCCGGCACCGGGGTTCCCAATGTGCATTCCGATAGTTCTTGACATGCTGAATCCGTTTTTGAAGTCAGAATTGAAGATTTACTTGGCGAAACATCAATTTCAGACAGTTCAATTGCCACTTAAAACTGAAAAAAATTTTCAGCGGTGACCCCCGATTTTTATTTTTGGAATGTGTTAAGAAACTCGTATAGTATCCCTGTACAAAATTTCAGATCATTTGGACACCTATAAGATACTTTTTAACTTCGTCAAACATACCGTGTTCGCCCGAAAAATCAGTTTTTTGGAGTTTTCGGGTTGACACTGGTCCGGCACCGGGATTTTGACGGCAGAATCGGATTCAGCACAAAAAACTACACCAGATTTCTTTTAGGGAACATCCGTTTTACTTGGCGAAATGTCACAAATTACAGTTTCCTGCGCATTTTCAGTAACTTTTTCATGCTAGAAAGTGACTGCGAACACCGCGCACATCAACTGAACGGAGCGGCGGCCGCGCTCGCGCCCGGGTGGTAAAGTGGCAAGTGCTGAAACCACTAATCGAGAGGTCGCGGGTTCGAACCCACTTCCAAAATTTTTCGTTGTTTACTTTTGGATTCGATAAAGACAACATTTTTACTGAAAAAAAGTTATTTTTTGTGATAAAACTGTCCGCGCTCTCCATTTTTGTTCCCCGAGTGGGAGCGCGCCGCCGCCACCAAATAGACTCCGCCCCTTTCGCTCACTGAATTTTCAGTGCAAACGCGCAAACTAAAAACGTTCATAACTCGAGAAGTACCGAACATTTTTCAAAAAAAAATTGGGAATGTACTATTTTTAAGCACTAGAACACATTCCGATAAGTGTTTTCCCGAAATTCACAAGTTTGTTAATCACTTTGTGGCCCCTATCTATAGGTAGGTACCGCAACGGGTTTCGCAAAACTCCGAATTTCCATAAAATTCTTGTTGGAATGTGTTCCCCTACTCTATATGAGTACACTCCCAATTTTTTTTTCAAAAATTTTCGGTACATCCCGAGTTATACCCCTTCAAAGTTGCCCTGTTTTCTCCCCGGTCGGCGGTCGAGGAGACGGCGGAGTCTCGCTGGCGGGCGATTCGTGTCGCAGTTTGTTGGAAAACACCAAAGAGGCAACATATTAAGTGGTCAGAATTGATGTTTTAAGAAAGCAAAACAACTTTCGAGATCAAAAGTTTCGAACCCAACACCTCCAGACTGCCGAGTGAGCACTCTGCCACTGCGCCAACCGGGCGGAGGCGCGGCGAACGCCAATCGCAATGAGAAGCTCGGTGTTCGCCATTAATTTTTGATACGACTTTTGCGGAATTTCAGCGCAAAAATGTGAAAATTTGAAGATGTTTGCCGGGCTGAAATTTTGAATAAATAGATGGATTTTGTAGAGAATTTCACGCTGAATCCGATTCCGGGGAGAAAAGCCGCGTGTTGGCTGTTTCCGACCTTCAAATTATCGAAAAACAAGAAATTCTTCCGAATGTGGTCTACTCAATCGAACACAAAATTTCTCCTAGGGGGTCTAGAGCTCTGAAATTTTATATTTGGGTTCTCAGAGAGTTTATCTATGCATTCCAAACATAAAAAAGTGGGGTCATCGCTGAAAATTTTTCGCTAACTTTTTTGGCACTTTGACGGTCTGAAAAACAATGTTTGCCGGAACGAAATTTGAATTTTATTTCAAAAACGGATTCCCCATCCCTTAAACTGTCAGAATCACTTCACAGAAGCCGCGTGTTGCACAAACTCCGGCCACAGTGGCTCTCAGACTAACTTCCATTTTCGTTTTCTCCTTTTTTTGAAAAAACTGTGCGTTTTCATGGAAAACGGAGCTGCTCATTTGATTCAGCATGGCCGATTACATAAAGTAAACCTTTTTGAATATGGTACTTGGTTTGGGGACCTCGGTACAGGCCCTCAAACATGCGCGGGCGCGACCGGGGAGAAAATTCGGCAGGCCACGCCCCCTTTGTTGCGCCCCCTATCTATAGGCTGGTCGAACAGGCGGCTGAAAAAAACAGGCGCCTGCTTTTCAGGGTTTGTACTGCCACATTCCCCACAAACGGAACTGGGCGCAGTTAAAGTTGTGGCCGTGGCCTAGAAAACCCCTAGGCCATGGCATTTTTTCACACAAATTAACAGATTGTCAAAGTTCGAGGCAAGAGTTTCGACACCACAGTTTAACTGCGCGCTGTTCCGTTTTTTGCGCATTTCTGAGAGGGCTCCCTGTGGTGCTTTAAAAAAAAAACAAATATTTTCAGCAAAATTTTCAGAAAAGGAAGTGGAAAAATACGAGAAATCAGTGGGGGGAAAATTGGTGAAAAACAAGGGGAAATTGGCGGGCGGGCGCGAGGGGCGCTGGTGACAAACAATCAGAGAACAGTAGTTAACGGAAAGTGAGAAAAATGGCAGGCGTTTGAGCGGCAAGAAGCTAGGCGAAAAGTATTATAATAATATTAATTTAGTGAATGAGTAACTGGTAACTCTCTCTCTCTCTCTCTCTCTCTTTCTCTCTCATCGATTGCCACCGCTCTGCTTCTTCTGCTCCGAGAGCCACGAGACCCGAGACGAGAGACGCAGACGGACAGAAAGAAGAAGAAGAGCCGCTCTCATTGAACAGGGAGAAAGAGAGAGAGAGAGAGAGAGAGAGAGAGAGAGAGAGAGAGAAGGTAAGTAACTCCCCTTCTTATTTACATACGAAGCAAATGTGAAAAGAGCGGAGTGAAAGGAACAAAACTGATTCTGACTCTGAGACTAATAAGCAATGCTACACAACTCTACTGAAAAACCTTTATGAAATTTTGAAACTGAAAAAAAAGTCTCCAAAAATCTCATGTCTAGACTATTTATTTCTATCGAGTTTTTCAGTATTTATGCATACATATTAAGAATGATTCAATTTCTTCTCCCCTGTTTTCTCGACGTTTCATTTCCTTTTCAATTTCCCTAATTGCAACTGGGCACAACACACGGAGGAGAAAATTGAATGGAAGAAAAGGGATGTGAGGAGGAGGACGTCACAATTCAGAATAGATTAAAGCGTTTATTTCTGGCATTGACACTATTTTTTTTTCGGCTTTTTCTCAGTCTGGGGGATAGGCGAGCATGCGCTTTTAAACAATTCAAATGTCCGCCAAAATTGAGTGCATTTTTTTGGAGGACATTTAAACTGTTTGATGCCTCACAATTCGTTTTTTCGGTTAAAAAAAGCTGTCGAGTTGCCAGAGTTATAAAATTAAAGGGGAAAAAAATTTGCCAAAAAAAAATTGAATGCCGAAATTTGACACTTTTAACACCGGTGTCGGAAAATGAAATGGGCACATTTTTTCGTTTTTCTTTTTGGTAAACAGACGCTCGCTGCAATCGCATTGTTTGTTCACTTTTTCAATAATTTTTGAGGGACGGAACACATTCAAAGACATGGCAATAAATATTTAGGAAATTTTGAAACTGGAAAAAATGTTTCCAAAAAGCCCAACTTTATAGTCTAGACACTACTTTCATCGACTTTTCAGTTGAATAGAGGGTGCGAATGTATGCATTGATATTGAACATTTCATAAAAACGGCTAAAAATCGTCATCGTCCGTATCGATCGATTCGTCGTTGTGTTCGGCGCGTCCACGTCGTCTGCCACGTTGCAGAATTTCCTCTTCCGAATCGGATTCTTCTGCAAACATTGCAATGATTTTTGATTATTTCAATAATTCCCACCAATTTTGTGCTCATTCCGCACGTCCTCCTCCACCTCCTTCTCCCGATGTTCATCGTAATTTTTCGATGCAGATGAGCTCATTTCAATATTCGCCTCGTTTTGCTCAATTTGTCCGTATAGATGTTTGGCCAGTTGGTTTCTGCTAATCGGATAGTGTAGAATTCGGTTTTCTGCGCACACAAAATGCGCGAATCCGTGCGAATCTTTGACGTTTTCGTCGGAGTGCGTCGAAATCGAGTTGGCCACCATTATATGCTCGTAATTCTCAGGATCGTGCACAAATTCCGGAGCGGTCCTCAGCAGCGCCAGAATATGAATGAGATCGTCGTCGGTGGGATTCTGGAGCACTTCTTCCAGAAGATTACGGTAGGCCGCCTGCCAGACGGTTCGCACGTACCCGACCGCACGGTTCTCCAGCTCCGTATCGCCTTCTGCAATAATTTTTTCCAACAAATAAACGGATGATGTCTAAAACAATTTTACCTAAATGCTGATAGAGTGACATAATCGGCACGATCATTTCCTTCGACGTCGCCGCCGTTTTCCCGAGATTCCCGAGTATTTTATGACTGTCTTTGATCTCCATCAACTGCAAACATTTCTTTTCTTTCAAAAATAAGCTTCCAAGTTCTTACGAAATGAATTTTCGAGAGGCACGCCAAGAAGAGATCGTTGATGGGCATCGGTTTGGTTATGTCTGAAAAATTGTACGAAATTGCATACTTGCCCGACTGATAACTCGCTTCAAAATCAACGTTGTGCGTATCTCGATGAGTTCTACACAAATGTGACAACATGCGGGCCGCCAAAAACACTTTCTAGCTCATCGAGATCTACAATCGGATACGTTGTGCGTAACTTTGCAGTTTGAAGCGAGCATGCAAAGTTGTATTTAGAAAAATTTCGAAAACCTCGATTCGCAAATTTGTTATAAATCGCGGCCAGGCTCTGGGTTCCTTGATCGAACGGAATTGTCGCGTGGATGGCTCTTGTGTGGAAATACACACTTTCCAGCCATTTGGCACTGAAAAAATGACTATTTTTGGATACATTTATCGATACATCGTGTTGTGTCTAAAGCCTGGGTCTTTTTTTTTTCAAAATTTTTTTTAATAACATTGCAATCAGACGACGAAATTGCACTTTTTTATATCAATTTCCTTTACACCGTTTGCCATTCGTTTTATGCGAACCCAATCATCAAGATATCATCCGTTTTCAGGCGTTTAGAATGTTTTTGCGCGTACCTCATGGCCGCGCAAATTCCGAGTTGGTTCCAGACGGCGCCGTCGGCCGGGTTGATTCGCGCCGAGATTTCGTAGTATTCACGGGCTTTTCGGATGTCGTTCTGCAGAAAAATTGAAAATTGTTTACGCGTTTCAGAAAAGAACCCGAACCTTGTATCGAGTGATATCGCCCAGCCTAAGCATGAAATAGGCGAGGAAAACCCGGGAATTCTTCCTCGATTTCACGGGTTTCCGTTGTCCGAAAACGGCGGGAATCGTGACGAAATCGGGCAGTGCGTACTCGTGAAGCGCGTAGTTCTGCTGGACGAGATGGCCGAGATCGAGCACGAATCCGACGGCCAAATTGAAGACGTTCGTCTCGACGAGACGGTCGTTCTCCGACGCCTTTCGCATTTCGTCGATCAGCGTTTTCAGTTTTTTCCAGAACTTCACGTCCAGTCTTTTCGACATGGACTGCTCGAAATCCGCGACGAATAGACGCATTATGTGCTGCAAAATTTTAGAAAAATCTACGGTTTCACGCTCCCGCCGAATAAACCTAATAACAACAAATGTTTTAAGCGCAAGAGCGTCAAATTTGGTCAACTCGCAAATCAGAACGGTCAAGAATGCAAAGTACGATTTTTCGGCGGCGGTGTCGAAAGTTATTGTGGCGAACTCACTCTTAAATATTGCGGAGCACTGTCCGATCCTCTTGGAATCTTTCTGAGCTCCGTGAGCAACGACTCCCATTCTTCGCTCATTTTCTCACTGAATTTTTCCAACAATTAAATGCATTTCTATCCGAAAAGTATTCAAATGACCACACAACACTCCCGCCAGAATGCGCTGAAATTGAGAGAACAACGTTCATCACTTTGGTATTCTCTGGTTTTTCCGGGATTAAAGAGACCGGAAAACATCGAGAAAAGTCAATAATCAATCGATAATTGAAAATGGGCCGTTGTTTCGGGAGGGGAAAAAGTCGAGAAAATATGGAAGAGGGGAGGAAAAGAATCATAATATTTGGTGGGTTACCCGGCAAAATGTGGAATGATAAATTTCAAAAGTCTGAATTTTTAAGCTTAAAAAATTCAAATAATTCGGGGTGGAAACGGTGTGTGGGGGGAATATAATTCTACAATTTTCTATACATACAGAGAAACATTTCCGGGCGGGGGTGGGGGAACAATTGCAGAAACATACATTTTTTTCTACCAGTCGGGACCGAAATGACATTTATCACAATTTCAGCAGGGGGGGACTAAATTTAGGGAATTTTTAGGGAAAAAATTCCATTGAAATCGGGTGAATACGAGGTTAAAAATACTAATAATACAACAGGATTTTGATGAGATAAGCGAAAAGTGGGGGGAATTAGTAGCACAGGAGAGGGCGAAAATAACATAGTTCAAGAAAAAATTCGGCGGGAAAAGCATCGGGACAAATCCATGTTTTCTTCTTCTCTCTAAATCAGGCCGTAGACGTTGTAATAGGCCTTTTTGTTGGCCGCCGCCGCCGCCGCCGCCGATTGCGGCGTTTTCGCGTTGGCCGGCGGGATGTACGTCGAGGAGACCATGTGGCTGCGGATGACCGCGTCCATCACCGAGTACTGCGAATCGTAGTGAAGCACGTTCGGCGCCGACTGCGAGCGCGTCAGTTTCGGCAGGATTATGCAGCGGAGCCGCTCGAGCACCTGCAAAAATAGAGCGTTTTGGCGGAACTTTTTTTGACGCAATTCTCGATGGCACCGCTCTCGCACTCGTTGGTAAATGTAGAAACGGAGTGTCGTAACGCGCTTGGTTTAATCAACTTTAATAAAAACCAAGCGCGTTACGACACTCCGTTCATGCAAACTCTCGGATCCGATAAGGATCGATTTATTATAGGGGCACCGCGCAGAAATGGCGCTCTGTTGATAAACTCCTTTTGCAGTGCAAATTGAGCGACCTCGGGGCCGAGTTTGAAAAGTTAGGCCACATTTTCAGTGGAAAATTACTTCGCGGCCTAGAAATTCGGCCAGATTGCGAACAGCGCGCCCTTTCTGTCCGGTGCCCCAATAATACATTTACCAAATTCGATCTCAATTTTCTTGAAAATTTTTGAGGAGAAAATTGAACAAAAAACCGGTACAAACCTCTCCGAAAACGGGTCGTTCGTCGCGGTCGAACGTGATGCAGTGCTCGTACAACTTCATCATGCTCTTCGGCGTGTCGTGGCGTATTTTCGATTTGTCCGGCCGCAGGTAGCCCCGTCCGACCATGAACAGTATCTGGTCGCGGTTGTTGATGTTCGAGTAGGGCAGGTGCGACGAGAGGATCTCGTACATGCACACGCCGAACGAGTAGACGTCCGACTGAGGCGTGTACGGGTTCGCGTCCTGCATTCGGATCACTTCCGGCGCCTGCAATCTCGCACGTGTTAATGACACCGCTGAATACTTTTGGGTAATCATGAACAATTCATTTGATCGGTGAAACTGGAAACATTTTTCGGAAAAATTGTTCTGAGGACACATTTTCTGGTGTCTAGTGTTTCGCTTTTCCCAGTGGGAAATTTAGTTACTCTATTGAACTAAATGCTCAGTATTTTTCAAGGCTTGAGCAAAAACACGGCCCAAGCTTTTCAGTGATCTGATCGGGCCCAAACTTTGCAGGCTTTTTGGACTTGGATTGATGTATTTCGTGTCCACGGCCTCAAACCAGTTAATCTCGGGATCAGATGATCACCCTATATACTTCAACCCATATCCTAAAAGTCTGCAAAGTTTGGTCCCGATCGGATCATTGCGATCGGGTCAAAAGTCCAGGCTTCAAAAAGCCTGGGCCGAAATTTGTCGAGTCCTGGTATTCTTTTCAGAAATTGGCTAAAAACCGACCATCCAGAGGATGGATCCGGTCGGCTGCTGCTGCTGCTGTCCGCCGTTCACCGTCCACTTCGTTTTGACGGTCGCCAGTCCGAAATCGCCGATTTTCACTGTCGACATGTCGTCCATCAGAAAAATATTGTTCGTTTTCAGGTCTCTGCAATATTTGAATTTTATTCGAGGCAACCTTTCTTGGAAGTTCAAATTTTAGTTTTCGATGTACGAGGTACACCCGCGCGTTCTAACATGGAACAACAATAAATCAGCATTTTTGAGCCATTCTTGGAACAGTAAAAAATATTGCAAAAAGTGGCTCACCGATGAATTATGTTTTTCGAGTGCAAATAGTTCATTCCGAGTGACACCTGCTTCAGAATATCGATAATAGCGCCCATTTCGAATTCGACTCGTGGCTCTGCAAATTTTTAGTTAACTAATCACCAAAAAAATTGCATATTATCGATGCAAATCCTACCCTGTACATGAATATGCCTATAAAGACTGGATCCTTCGCACCATTGCGTGATGATTGCAATTTCGGGCTCACGGACCCATCCCATGAAGAGCAACACGTTCAGATGACGCGTCTTTTTCAGCACCGCCACCTGCAAATGAGAAATCGTTAGGAAAATCCAAAAAAAAAATGCGCGTACCTCATTTTTGAAGGCGGCCAATTGCGAGGGCGTCGGATCGACCACATTCAGCTTTTTTATGGCGACCGTTCCGAAAAATTCGCCACGGAAGACGGTTCCGAACGAGCCGGAGCCCACTTTGTAGTGAATCTGAAAACGAATAGGAAATTGTTTGGAAAGTGATGGAAAAATTCATATTTTCGGTGAAACTGTAAAACTACTGCACGGCCCGGCTTTTCATACATGCGAAAAACACAGAGACATCTGATTGATTGACAAATTGTGTTTGTGCTTTTAAAAATGAGCCAGGTTAGAGGTAAATGTGAGGTTTCTGTGCAAAGTTACAGCTTCACAACTTCCATCGAACATTTTTGAAGGGTGGAGAATAGGACCCTTTGCAAACCGGCCCCGGCTGATAACTCGCTTCAAACCCCGTTTGCAAGTATGCCAAAAGCATCGGAAAAGTTCTAAAAATTGTGCAAACGTACCACAAACTCGTTGGGCAATATTTCCCAGTCCTCGTGGTGCGGTTTCTGCGGCGGACGGGACCGTTGCGCGTCGATTCGTTCCCCGGGCGATCGGCTTCGGTTACGGAAGAATCCCGGCGAGATCTGAGAGTTTTCGAATGGAAAATTGACATTTTTGAAAACTTGCTGATTTTTGTGATACGATCCAGTTTTCATCTCGTTTCTCAACAGACCGCATTCACATTCAAATGCCCCGATAGTAGTACAAACCTTTTGCGGCGGAGCGGATTGCGGCGGCGTCAACGGAAGAGTGTGAAGATGGGCGGCTACAAGGGACGAACTGCCCGACACGTTGGGGCTCTGAGCACCTGCGAGCGTGTGGTTCGATGCTCCGATGAGGCCGCCGGGGGGCGAGGAGCACGTGGAGGTGGGTGAGTTGGAGCCGAGCGGCGAGCAGTCGACGAGCGGGTGCAGTCGGTTCATGCGGGCGCCCGCCACCGACAGAATGTGGCCGGATTGGAAGTGCGGCCGGTGGCGGCATTGCGTCGAGAGCAGCGAGCCCGTCTTGTCTCTCGACTCCTCCTCCAGTCTCTGCGCTTCCAGCGCGTCCAGGATTCGTTGCTGAAAACACGTGAATTCGTTTAAAGTGTTGAAAACGTGATTTTTCAACGCCGTTGGCCCAAAAACTCACATTGTGCTGTACGGTCGTCTCGTCGTTGATCGCATTAATGTTGGGCGCCGAGGAGGAGCGGTCCCGCGGGTAGGGGCCTGCGGGCGAGAGTTGGGAGGTCTCCTGCTGCGGCGAAACGGCCATCGGATGCCTTTTCACGCCGCCCGTCCGTTTGATGCTCGTCAGATCCGGATGGCTGCTGTCGGGCGTGGCGGCGGGCGACTGGCCCGAAGTCGGTGCGAGACCCGCCAGCACGATTTCCGCCACCGAACGGTCCGGTCCTTCCACTTCCGACGCGATCCCGAACAACTGCTTCACCAGCTGAAACACGCATTTTAAGACAATTTTGTTGAGGAACAAACGGAAATTCAGTTTTGTCTTCGAACTTGTTTTTTACGGTTTCTCTGAATTCCCATAAATTTTTTCATGCTGACTCCTTTCGAAAATTCGAAAAAACACGAATATTTCTCACTCACATCCTCATTTTTCGGCACCGATTGCAGCAGGTCACAGTAGAGCGGTGCGAACGACGAACATCTCTGGTGGAATTTGAACTGACAGAATTCACACCGAAACCCCTGCAAATAATCAACAGTTTCAATGTACTGCATGAAATCCCTTCCGACAGCTGAATAAAATTTTTTTGAAACAGTAAAGAGTGTATCTGTTTTTCAGACTTTTTTTGTATTTTTTTCCCCAAAGTGGCTGAAAAAAACGCTTGTTAGGCTAGAAAAAGCGAAATTTTACCATCATCCATATGGGATTATTGCAGACATCGCACGATTTGGGCGGAATGAACGTCCTCCGCACGATGGCGTGTTTGATCGAGGAAACAGTGTTCAGGTACTCGGAATGTACCCACAATTCGTTGCCCGACAGCCTCGCCGCGATCGACTCCATCGTTTCCTTTAAAAAAAACAGATTTCCGGCAACAGACTTTCAGAAAAAAAAGAGAAAATGTCAAAATTCTTACGGATAAGTCGATAATCTCCTGTTTCGGGTCTGATGAGCTGCTGACGTGACACAATTGTGGCGTTATATTTCGCTTTTTCAGCAATTTCGAGATGGCGTCACGTGCGGTTTCTCCGGGTCGCACCTGCAAAAATTAGCAGTGGAAAATTGAAAAAAAAAAATTACTTTTAGACCAAAATTTTTTTAACTCAAAACTTACAGATTTTCGGTGAAACTGAACATTTCTGGCTTAAAGGCTTTTCGAAGCCTGGACTTTTGAGCCACTTTGCAATGATCTGATCGGAACCAAACTTTGCAGGCTTCTAGGACACGGATTGAAGTATATTGATTCCAAGTTTCAAGTCCATCCCATCATCTGGTCCCGAGAGGGGCGCAATTTTCGCAATTCCCGTGTTATCGGTCTCAAACCAGTATATCTAGGGACCAGATGATCGGGACGGTCTGAAACTTGGACCCAATATATTCCAATCCATTTCCAAGGAAGTCTGCAAAGTTTGGCCCGATCGGATAATTGCAAATCGGTCAAAAGTCCTGGCCTTCGAAAAGCGTCGGCCGAAATTTGCCCAGCAAATTTATCGTGATTTTTCCGGTTTACCTCAACACGAGAGTGCTGATCGAACGGCAAATGCACCATGATCATTTTGTACTTGAATTTCGGCGGTTCCCGTTCGCTCGTCGTATTGCCCGACAGAGAGTGCAGACTGTCGCTGTGCTTCGGATATTGTGGAGTTGACGGAGAAGCCATCGGCGACGCTTGGTCCTGAAAACGGAAAATTTGAGCGTTTTCGGGTGGAACGGGTGGTAAAAATGAGAAAAAAAAAATGTGGAACACTAATGAAGGTAATGAAATTTTTTTCTATTGAAAATTTACATATTTTCAGTGAAACAGAAAATGTTAGGATAAACAGTGGTTTTCAGGTTTTTTTTTAAATGCATATCAATTCTACTCAATTTTTCCGCAATTTCAGACAAAAAACATGAAAAGTTAGTGAAAACGAGGACATTTCTGGGTGTTAGTCTCACCTTCCGATCGATTGACGACGAGGCGCATCTCGGCAGGGAAATGAGTCGGGGCGACGGGAACTGCGGACTCGTCGGAGTCGTCGCCGCCGACTTTTTCCAATTTATTCGGCTCATTCCGGACGGTTTCTGCGACGAAAATGTTGGGAAAACACAAAAATAGGAGGACAATGGAACGGACAATAGACGGGCACACATTTCGGTGAGAACGTTGGGAAAATTGGGTTGATTTTGGGATTTTTTTGATGTGAATTATTATTGAACTTTAAATTGAGAAAAGCTATTCTTAGAAAATGATGATACATTCCAAAAGAAGCATGATATTATTGAAAACAGTTAATTGACGGAAAGATGAAAACTTTTTGAAACCGCAAAATTTTTTAAGGAAACATTGCTAACAACTGAAGCTTTTCGATATTATCAAGTAAAAATCTCCCATTTTTCGCTTCTCCACGATTTTTCTGTGAAATTTTCGCAGCGCTTTGCAATTCCGACTATTTAAAACGGAAAACATACCATTTTTACGAGTTTTTAGTGCTTGGCAGCGAAAAAATCAATAATCTAGTCGATTGTCAACAAAAGAGACAAAAAAAGAGGAGGAGGAGAAGTGGTTTTGGCGCAAAGAAACGTCCGACCCAACGGCGATTCTTTTCTGCGATTGTCCGACGGGAGTACACCGCCGCCGCGGACTAGCTTTCTCTTTTTATCTTTTCTCTTCCACGACAGAGTTTGCACGGGGAGAAACTCGGATTCTCCGATGTTTTCAGCAAAATTTCAGTTATTCTCAAGTGTTTTAGTGAGCTTTTAACGCTTTAAAGTGTATTGACATATTTTGTTAAAACATTGTACTCCTAGAAACCTGTAAGAATGTTAGGAAAAATCTAAATTTCAGAGTTTTCCAGGTTTTAGAGTGTTACAAATATCTTCGCTATTTTCCAATCGCTTGGTGCTTAAAAATGAGAAAAACATGCGTACAAATAATATTTTCACACACTTTCCATTTAAAAAAGTCCGCTTACCGGTGCGGATTTCCTGCGGTGCCATCCGCCGTGAAAGTGGCAAACCGAGTACAAAACCGCCATCGCCGACATGATTCGTGCCAGTTTTCAGTGACAAAAATAACAGAAATGCTCTCGAAACAGGTGGCTCCGTGTGAAAAAGTGAGAGAAACGGCAGACTTTTCCCATTCAAAAGTGGGCGGAGTTTGTTTTTCGGCGGCTCATCAGCTCCAGGCCGAAAATCAGAAAGGATGAGAGGACACGTGCGGGCCGCGACTGACTGGCAATTGTTTTCGCAGGCCCCGTTATTTATTTTGGGTCCCTAGGACGTGTAAATATGGCAAAATGTGCACTTGCGACGTGGAAAAGTCGAGGAAACATTTCTTCGAAAATTGTAATGGAATGAGGAAGCTCTGTTTATGACACTCAGACAAATGCCCTTGCAAAACTTTTGAAACTGCAAATTTTTAGCGAAAAAAGGCCATTCAGACCGCCGTTTTCGCCGTGAAATCCACTTGAAAGAGGGTGTGAAAAGTACTTGATTTTCGATTGAAGACATCAAAATTCATCGAAAAGTGTGGAAAAGTGGGAAGGAAAAAAAAATTCAGACTAGGTTTTGTGAATGTTTTAAAGTATTGATTTGTGTGCACAAAGTGTAACAACTTTACAAAAAACGCTCTGTTTTGCTACTCGCAAAAGTTTCGCGACAAACAAACGCAAATCCCATTTGCTCTCTGTATAGTTTGCTCGCCGATCTCTTTTTTGTGCTCTTTTGCTCCTGGTCACCTATTTCTTCTTCTTTTTCTTCTTTTTCTTCTCTCTCTCTCTCCTTCTGATCGTTGATTTTCTCTCTCATTTCTCTGCACCTTCCCGCCGAGCCGTCGACCAAATTTTCAGTGATCTCAAATCGAATCGACGAGAGAAAAATGGAAGCGATGTACCAGAAAATTGATGAGTGATCCGAAAAGAAATGGAAAATTTTGCATGACTGTTTTCGGTTCGAAAAACCGAAAATCATAGGAAAATTACAATTTCGAAGCGGATTTCTAAGAGCACAACATTTTTCTTTAAACAGAGATAGGGAAGTGAGAGTTCGTCGAGGTTACAGAATTTAAAACGCATTCTGGAATCAGTGAATTAATGTAGATTCGGCAAAGTTTTGAAACAGCAAAACTTGAAAACTGAAGGGCGCAATTACATCAAATTTTAGCCAGCCTCTCAGTTTAAAGGCGCACTGATCTATTTGTTGCATCCGTTCGTTTTGACCTACGCGCGCAACTCAAAACTATAGGTTTTCGGGTGTTTTTCTCGGTTTTCGCGTGTGCCAAAGCCTTGTTTTCACCAATTTTTATTTCCGAAATGCCCTTTTTTCGCCAGGTAAATTTACAGTTTCATTGAATCGGAAAACAAAAAAAACATTGTGCCGTTTCAATTCTCGCTGCGCGCTCTGTTCACTGCCCCCGCTTTTTGATGAAGAACACACGTTTCTCAAAACACGTTTTCAATATACTTTTTCGTTATTTTTCTCTCAAATAGATCATCAGGTGACCCGGATTTACGTCATTCTTTCGGGGCTCTTTGGAGCACACAGAGCCGACCCGATGAGCTTCTTCTTTTTTAGTGTAAAATGGATTTCACGAGCAAAAACGAAGTGATTGCATTTCTGAGAGAGAAATTGCGAAAATCATGGAGCGTTTAGGTGTTTTCACTAATGTTCTAGTAATTTACGTGCCCCTACTAAAAAGTTGAGGAGGAAACTGTAAATCGATAAATGGTTTCGTTTTCAAAGTACTTACCGTTTCAGTGAAACTGTAAATTTGCGAAAAAAAAGGGAGCCAATAAAACGAGCGGACAAATACTGTTTCAAAATAAGCACAAATTTTCTATAATAACTCATTTATTCACTTCTAGTAGGTTCAATTTGAACAATAAGCTTTAAGGGTCTTTTTGAATTGCTGAATTTTGCAAAAAAGCAAAGGAGACCACGAGAAGTACATGCGGGTATCGATTTTTCGAGGATACCGACACGAAGTCAGAAATCTCGATCTTTTTTCAAAATTGGCGGCCGGGGGAGGTCTCTTTTGCTGCTCTTTTGCAAAATTTTCAGTTTCAAACAGCGAATTTTATTAAAAATGAATTCACGGACTAAATTGTAAGAGAAAAAGAGCAAGGAATGTTGATTTGTTTGGAAAAAGAGAAAACTGGCACGAATGCCCGTCTCTTCTCTTCATTTTTCGCTGAGAAATGGGTGTAATAATGGAAAACGAGCACGAATAGATATATTTTTATTTCCTTTTCACAGCTTTTTCGCCATATTATTACGGTGGAAGTGGTTTTGATGAAAACGTACAGAAAAAGTTGAGCTATCACCAAAAGTGCGATGAGTAATCACTGATAAGTGGGTCGAAAAATTAGATGACTAACAATGTATGTGTTTTGTTGAAACACGATTATTTTAATTGGTCTTTAAAAAAAAACAAATGACCGCTGGTCTTGAAACGAAAAAGGAAATTAGCGAAACTGTTCCCTAATATGATAAAGAACGAAGAAACGGAGAAACTTTTTCTCGCCATCCTCCGATTTCACTTTTTCTTATCAAATAACCTTTCTTCGGTGTTTCTCCTACAAGCACCCGAGATTTTTGCTCTTTATTCGGGCGGTGGGAACCTGATACCCACTACGTTTCCATTTTCTCACTACCTAGTTATTTCTGGATTTTTCCCATCTATTTTTAGGCCGTTTTGGCTATTTTTGGACCACAACCCACGTCCGATCAAAAATTACCGAATGTGTTGGGTACATCCGAAAAAATCCGCGGGGAAATGATGCTTTCAAAGGATTTTGAGCCATTTTTTGCTGCTCCGAGATTTTTGAAAAGTGCTGCGCCTTTAAATTTTACTACGGTAGCCACACATTTTGTGTTGCGCCTTTAAGAAATTGCAGCTGGAAAAGAAGCAAAAATTTACATTTTTTTTTCAGAAAAATTTTCTCAGACACAAAAAAGTCCCATAAAAAGATCATAAAATAGACATGAATGAGGCGGAAGATGAAAAGATGGAGTGGAAATTATAAAACGCGAGTGAATGATGAGCTCATCGTCGCGAGAGCCAACGAGAGCTGACCCGGAAGGGGAAAAAGGAAGGAAAGGAGGCATTCGCGCCACGAAAAGAAATTTGTCGGCGGCGGCAGACTCCAGAGCTCTACGGAAATGGAAATGGCAATATAAATGGGAGGGAGAGTGAGAGCCGACGAGAGCCCGCCGAAAGAAAGGAGCTCCGAGCCGCGGTGCTCTGTGTGCTCCGCGAGCCCCTCTGCGTCTCCTCCCGCTTTTTTTCCGCTTTTTTCCCCCCGCTTTCTCTCTGCTTCCCCGTCCGTTTTGCTCCGTTTTTCCTTTTTTGGTGCCCTCTCGTCGTCTGCACACCCGTCTGCCCTCCTATTCTCTTAATTCTCCCCCCCTTTTCTCGTTTCGACACACTTTTTCCGCGGTTCGCATGTTTTTGTGGCGGAAAAACGGGAAAAAGGAAAACGCGTGCGGCGTCATAGCAAAATCGCGCGCCGCAGATTGCGCTTTGTGACGCGCCTCGTGACTCCGCCCACTTTTCAATCTTTTGGAGATTTTTCGACTTTTGCGCGCTTCTCGGGGTCCTCACCGCGGAAAGTCGATATCGGCGGATTCAGCGGAATTTCGTGCACCGCCCGGGATCAAAATCAATCAATTCTCGCAAAAGATCCAACACTTACGGCCGTATTTCTGCACGTTTGCCTAAATTTTGTTTTCCCCGAAAATCACCGGATGTTCTCCAGATTTTTTCGAGTTTCAGAATCTTAACAGCTTCCTGAAATGTCTTAGCATCAGAAAACCGGAAAAAGAAGCCAGTAATCCCGGATTTGCCGGAATTATCGAGTAAAATCCGGAAAATGATGACAAATCTCCAGATCCGCTGAAAAGTTCAATTTTCGCCCGGTTTTTTGGTCTTCAACTGATTAAATGACTAGAAAATATGTAACGAACTTTAATTCTTTGGTAAAAGTTTAGTGGTGAAAATAAAAATGATCGAAATGAAAATATTTGAGCAAAACTGTTTTCGCTAAAAAGTGTACGTTCTTCCGCTGTTTTTGTTACTTTTTATCATTCTTCCTAACGTCTTGACCCTCGTTATCTTGTTTTCACCACTTTTCCATCAATTTTCACAAATTTCCAGTTGGGATTGCCTACTCAACACCGAAATGCCATCTCCAGAAGACGTTCCGATGGAGGAGGTGCCAGCTGACGCGAACGGCGATGCGGTACGTGTTTTTACCACGAAGTGCCCTGAAATTGCGATATTTTCCATCAAAAACCTTAAATTTTTTTCAGTCGGACCCTCGACGCGATGAGCTGTGTCGGCTGATCCGCGAGACGGAAGCCTCGTCGCTTCGTGCCGATGACACGTGGTTTCTCGTCAGTCAGAAATGGTGGAAGTCCGTTCTGAAGGCCGCCCGGGACGGATTTGCCGAAGACGTCGGCGCGATCGATAATGCAGCCATATCCGAGTGTAAGTTTGGGCAGGAAAAGAGTTATTGTGAGAATTGATGTCTCTGCGAAAAATTACAATGATTTCATGAAAAAATGACAAGTTTCGATAAAAATTTAGCAATTTGCAGTCCGCGGCGGCTCGTTCTACCTGAGACCGCGACTCGCCGAACAAGTGGACTACACACCCCTTCCCGAAAAAGTGTTCAAACAGTTTGAGAAGATTTACGGGGTGGAAGACGACCGCCGCGACTACATTCCACGTGTTGTGGTCCACAAAAACGGATCTCTGGCCGTCGAAGTGTATCCGCTCATCATTCAGGTCAGTTCTCAACCAATTGTGACAAAAAAAACAAACAATTTTCATCATTGCAGGTCTCTTTAGCGCGCAACCGTGAGGTCAAAGTTGATATTCAGCTCAAACCTGATGACACTATGGGTATTTCGCTTTATTTTTCTCGGAAATTGATAGTTTTGTGCAGAATCGCTGAGTGCTCGTGTGATGGAGAATCTCTCGTTGGCGGTCACCGACAAGATCCGCTTCTATGTGATGAACGGAGAGAATCCCGAGTTGATCGACACGAGTCAGCCCGTCGAATCGTACTTTGACACTGCGCAAAAGGTTGTTGTGGACGTGGAAGAGGACGGCGAGTTCTTCTACAAAGCGAAGGCGAACGTTCAGCCCCAGTCAAAATCGCTTTTCGGCCAGCAAAATTCGTCGTAAGTCGGAAAATACTATGTTTTGTTTCGTGTTTTGTCTCGATTTTCACATGTTCACATTTGCACATTATTCCTTGTCCTTTCTCTTTCTCTCTCTCTCTCCATTGGCCGTTACCACCACCATCATCTGAAAAAGAAGAAGCGGAACTCGCGAATCTATTCCCTTTTCATTTTCGTACAGAGACGAGGAGCGCGCTTCGACGTCGTTGTCTTCCGAAGAGGAGGAGGAGAACGGCGGGCCGGCGATCCGTCGGATCCGATCGTCGTGGATCCCACGCCGGATGCTCGCCGCCTCGTCGCAAGTGCTCTGGCCGCTGTGGACGCTCTGGCTGACGGTGCACGATGCGTGGTGGCAGTTTAGTCAGATTTGGCCGGAAGACGTGCGACACGCCGTCGCGTGGCTCTTTGGATGGTGGATTCTGCGGCCGCCCAGCTATAGCTATTTGAGGTTGTTAGAGAGTTGTTGGTTATGAGAAAGAGCATCCCCGCCATCACTTCCACCACCAACCACCACCACCACCATCAACACTACCTTCTTCTTCTTCTTCTTCTTCTTCTTCTCCTTCTCTACCTTCCATCTCTTCTGATTCTGAAGAAATGTGTGCATCTTCAGAGAATTGAGACACTACATTTGAGCGTTGGAAAATAGAGTAATTTTCCGTTCAAGTTCTTTTCCGTTATAACGCTCATTTTAGCAGTTTAGGATAGTTTTCTATGAATTTTCTGTTCTTCAGGCTAGGATTAACTTCTTCAATTCTTTCCTTAGAAACCAATTAGCTTCCTTTGATTTAGCCGATTATCTTGCTTCAACGCTTTGATCAACACACCACGCAGATATCATTTACGGGTTAGATCAGAAATTTGTGTTTTCATCGGAAATTAAACGAAACTGGGCTCTAATTGTCAGCTTCTCGATTACTCGATTTTCCACGTGACACTATTTTTTTTTTCTCTAACTATTATCATAATCCACACACGAACACCTCTTTGACGCCGTCTCTCCAATTGAATGGATCACCAGAAGACGTGGCTCATTTGTCAGATCATCCGTTATCACTGGAATCTGACGAAAGTGTATTTGTCGGAACTCGTCTTCTGGATAGGATGGTAACGTTTTTAATGGACGTTTTTCACTTTTTAGACACTTAAAAACTGATAGTATTGTGACGTGTGTAATTCGTTTCTCAATGTTTCGTATTTTGATTTGATTTGACTATTCATTTTACAATACACTACACACTTCTCTCTCTCTCTCGTGTGACGATGTTGAGTGTTGATGGCCGGTGGAGATGATGATGATGATGATGTCCTTTTCTTGTGAAAATTGAAGCTTGCTTTTTCAGTCAAAACTCGCCATTTTTCAGCAACAGAATAACCGGAAACGGAACGTTCGCCGGCGCCGCCTCCTACTCGTCAGTCGTCAGCGGAAACAGCGCAAGCGGCGGTATCTCGTCGTCAGTGTCCGGATCGCGGAACCTTCAACCGGGCCAGTGCGGACTCTCCAACCTGGGAAACACGTGTTTCATGGCGTCGGCCCTCCAGTGTCTCTCGAATACGCCGCCGCTGAGAGAGTACTTCCTTTCGGGCGCCTACGAACAGGATTTGAATGAGGATAACCCGTTGGGCACGCAGGGACACTTGGCATTGGTAACCGCTCAGTTTTTGTGTTGAAAACAGTCTTTCTCGAAAATAATAAACAAAATTTGAACTACATTTTGGCGCGAATCATTAAAGGGCTTATTCGGTCAGGTAAATAACAGGAAAACGACCATCAGAACGGCTTACGCAAATAAATAAGCCGATCATTTATTTCCGCCAAAATGCAGTTCAAATTTTGATAATTTATCGATAAATACGGTTTTCCAAACAATTACTGACAATGATTCAATGTTCATAAGTGGCTTTGTTGAAACAGAAACAAATTTGTCGATAAATGCATGCAATTTGAACAGTTTGAGATGAAATTTAGTTCTACGACTTTTTCCAACTTGATAATAATAAGAATTTTGCAGGCGGTCGGCGAGCTGTTCAAAGGGATGTGGTGCGGCGAGTTCCCGTCGATAAACCCGCGCAAGTTCAAGGGAATCATCGGACAGTTCGCGCCGCGCTTCAACGGATACTCGCAGCAGGACTCGCACGAGCTGATGGCCTACGTCCTGGACGGACTGCACGAGGATCTGAACCGCATAAAAAAGAAGCCGTACATTGCCGACAACGACGAGTTCTCGAAGCTGCCGGAGGCGGAGCACGCGGCCAAGTCGTGGGAAGTGTACAAGATGCGCAACGATTCGATCATCGTCGACACGCTGCACGGACAGCTCAAATCGACGCTCATCTGTCCGGTGTGCGAGAAGATTTCGATCAAGTTCGATCCGTTCGGCTACCTCTCGCTGCCGCTCCCGCCGAAAGAGCAGATTGTGAAGCAGACGGTCATTGTGATGTTCCTCGTGCGGAAGTGGGCCAAGTTCACGTTGGGCATCACGGATCACACGACGGTCGCGCAGGCCGAGGATCTGATGCTCGCCAAGTTGCAGCCCGAGCAGACGCACCATGTGAGCACGCGGGAAATTGATATTTTTAGAGCAAAATTATTTGCAGTTTGTGTTCTTCCACATCGCCAGCCAATACTCCGACGACATTACGATGCTACGTCCGAACGAGCGAGTCCGTCAGCAGGGAAGAGAGGTCTACGTGGCGGAAGTGGAGCACGATCTGACGATTAAGGGAACACGGCTCGTCGTCGCATAGTGAGCTAGTTTTTTCCAGAGAAGACTAAAAAAAAATTGGAAAAAGTAAACCAGAGAAACCCCGTTTCCTTGCAGCAACCGCACGAAAATCGTCCGCTCGTGCTCGCTGCCGATGATCTACTCGGTGGCACCGGGCGTCCCACTGACGTGCCAATTCCTGAACGAGCACGTCTTCTCGGTGACGAAGCACTTCTTCATCAACCCGAAGGCGCTCGAGCAGCTCGACGACGACGACTCGATGAGCGGCAGTTCGAGCGCGGAGGAGCTTCCGTATAAACTGTTCAGCCTGCCGACGGGCCCCAATACGACGCTGCTGCCGCTGGCGCAAACGAACGATCAGCCGATTGCGTGCGTCGAGGGCGGCGACATCTACCGCAACTATGTGCAGATTGTGTTCCAGTACAAGGATATGAAGTTATTCAACCAGTACAAGGGCGCCGACCTCATAGAGCGCGAGATGACGGTTTCGACGCGACGGAAGGTCGAACTCCTGGAGACGCTGGACTGGTTCACGACGAAGGAGCAGCTCGGCGAGCAGGACTCGTGGTACTGTCCGCAGTGCAAAAAGCACGAGCGGGCGACGAAGCAGCTGGACTTGTGGAAACTGCCCGAGATCCTCATCCTGCACCTGAAGCGGTTCCAGTACACAAAGTGGTCGCGCGAGAAGCTCACGTGGGAAGTGGTCATTCCGGTGCGCGGACTCGATCTCACGCACAAGGTGGCGAATCCGAACCACGAAAAGGCCGTCTACGACCTGATCGCCGTCTCGCGGCACTACGGATCACTCAGTGGCGGACACTACACGGCCATTGGATACAATGACAAGATTCACAAGTGGTACGTGAGGGGGTTGCGAGAAGATGTTTTCTGACTGTTTTTTGCCTAATTTTGGAAGCATAGACTGTTACATAGTTACTGAAAACCTAGGAAACCTGAAAAGTTGAAAAGTTGAGCGTTTTTAGTGAGGTCTCATGATTAAATTGATATTTTGTGCAGGATCGACTTCAACGACTCGTGCACGCACCAGATCGCGAGTCCGTCCGAACCCTACGAATCGTCAGATCCGTACATGCTCGTGTACAGACGGCGGAAGCTGGACGCGAACGGACAGCCCATCGAGAGCACCATGGATACTCGTACGTACAATTTTTTGAAAGTTTTTTGGAACTTACGACCAATGACGGATTCAAATGCCTCTTATTTTGCAGCGATCCAAGCGTCAGACTACATTGGCCGCGCGAAACGGCCGCAATCTCATCACGTCGACGAGAATATGGAGATGGAGGAAGATTGAAGGCGTCCGCCGACGAAAATGTCCAAATTTTCAACATGACATTGACGCGCACAGCTTTTCGATTGACTTTTATTCGAAGCTCTCGCACTGAAAATTTGGACATTTTCGTCGGGTAGGAAACGATTCGCGGCGGTGTTCTTTCCTCGCTTCTCTCCGTTTTTACACCCAAAATGAGCATAATTTTCGATGTTTTCCCCCCTCATTTTTAGCTCATTTGCTCTACACCGCCCCCTTTTTCTACAGCTATTATCCAATTTTTGTGTCTTTCTCTTTCCCTCCTGCTCCTCTAAAAGCGCCCTAAAATAAAGTATTTGGAGTTTTTAAGGTTTGGATTTGAACGGGAACATGCTTCCCTTTAAAATTCCCGAACGTTCGTGTGTTTTTCATGCTTATTCGCCTCTGTGATTGTAACTTTTCGCCCTATCCGTTATTTTTCCTCCTCTTTTTCTTCTTCTTCTAATTGAATACGGTGTTTGTGTAGGATTTCAACTCTTTCTCCGGCTTAACTCGATGTTTTAACCCCCGTCTCCTTGGCTTTTATTCTATTTATCCCCTAATTTCTTGAGCAAGAACCTACCTATTTTCCCAAGAATTTCGTGTCCCTTTCGCCCGTTTCGCCCCCACCAACCCACCCAGCTATTCGTCGTATCGTCATCACAAAATGTATGTGCTCCACGCGCCCTTTTTATTTATTTTTTTTTCACTTGCTCCGTTTTTGAAGCAATGAATTGTGTGTGCTTGAAAATTAGACTTGTTTGGAACATGTTTTCGAATCGAAAATTTTGACGATTTTGACGATTTTTTGAAGATCTGGGGAACACAACTGACGATTTTTCAGAAAAATGTTCGCCACGTGGCTGGCACGCCGTCTCTATTCGCAATTCGATGCGGATCGAATTTTCGAAGAAATGGACAAAATCCAGCTGGAGACGCGGATTCTGGAGCACGAAGACGTCGAGGAGGAAGAGGATTCTGGAGCCGCCACGTGGATTCTGACGACGTCGGCGATTGTTTGCGTGGGCGGAATTACGGTCGCCTTTCAAACTTTGGAAATGAGGACTTTGGCCGGAGTTGTTGCAGGTGCTTCGAAAATTGACAGAATGTATATGGAAAATTGAATGATTTTTGTAGGACTTACGGTAGTTGGTGGTACGGTAGCACTTGGCGCCACGTGGCATCTGAAACGGAAAATACGGGCGGTGCGGAACACGATCGCACAGATGGAGGCGACGAAAATGGCGTTGAAGCGGCGGAAGCAGGTCTTTTTTAGGTACGGACAATACGCCAAAAAAGTCTGTTGTGGCCGTAGTCAGAAATCATTTTTAGGGGCAGTCTCTAGCAATACAGTTCATAACTCGAAAACGAAATTTTTTAAAGATATACGATGAACTAGAAAGTCATTTACGAGATGATTTGGGTCAACTTTCCAGTTGACCACTTTTCAAACGGACTCCTGGTTCTTGAGATAAAGAAGATGGACTTACGAGAAAACGTTCCTTTTTTTTCCGATTCAGCATCTCGATGCGGGTTCCACGGCCACGCAATCCGCTCGTCTGCCGAGCTTGCCGTCTCACAGTCACCGCAATCGAAGTGCTCAATTCGGAAACGCTCAAAATGGCGGACGCCACGTGGCAAGACCTCTACACTCGGGAAATACGGGCGATAACGGAGAGGAGCCGCGGAAATGCGGAAAAATTGCAAATCGAAGAGGAAAACGGGGAAAATGAGGGAGAGGATGTGGATTTCGAGACGGTTTTTGAGGTAAGTTGGGGGGCAGGGCTGACCGGCCCAGGCTTCTGGAGGCCTGGACCTTTGACCTACTCGCAATGATCCGATCGGGCCCAAACTTTACAGGCTTCTTGGGATTGTATTGAAGTATATTGAGCCCAAGTTTCAGACCGATCGGATCATCCGGTCCCGAGAATCTCGGGCCGAAATATAATTCTCTGAATCTTGCAGACCCTCATCGCCGTCTTCAAACTGCACGCCAGCGAGTATTGTCGCGTTCTACTATCGACGGTGTTGGAAAAATTTGAATTTAAGCAATTCCGAACCTTTTTGATCATTTGTGAACGTTTACAAGACATTTCGCACAAATTGAACGGTAAATTATTGGAAACAAGCGCTCAGAAAGCGAGAATTTTTCTCATTTAGCAATTGAGAAAGCGGCTCTGAAAGGCGACGGACAACGAACGAAAAACGGGGAAAAACGAGAAAAGGCGGCTGGAAGTGTGCCGGAAATCGGCTGGAAACAACAGACGGAAATGGCATTGGAGGCCGTTTTGGACGGGTAGTTTTCTGCAAAATTTGAACACGAGAATCTAAAACTTTCAGCCTGGAATCTGGACATTTGAGCCGATCCGAAGTCGAATTGGCGCTCCGCAGGACCCTTGTCATCTTGGGAACCGAACCGATTCGGACGGAAATTCCGGAAAATTCTGGAAAAATCGATCTGAAATTGGCCGAGAATGCGCCGACGCAAGCGAAAATGTTTGAGAGAACAGAAAATACCGATGAGGATATGGTGGGTATTTTTTTAGATTGACATCGTTTGATTCTTTACTAATTCACCCATTTTGTGCAGGTCTTCGAAGGGATTCCCCTCTCGGAAGCGGACAAATTGGCGTCGCGGAGTGCGGTGGCGCGTGACGTCCTTCTCGACGGATCGGAGGGCCGGAAACACGAGGCCAACCTGTTCGGAGAGTTAAAAATGGTGCTCGAGCCGAGACGGACCGATTTTGCGAAAAGGGAACGGAAGGCGCTGGCCGCGTTTTATGGAATCGACGAAAAAGAGTTGGAAGAAAAGGAGAAAGAAGAGGAGGAGGTGTTTTCGAATGAATCTCTCCCCGGAAAACGACAATTGTCTTGCAGAGTTTGTTCGAAGGCGTCGGAATGGGCGAAAGCGTCGACGCGGAGCCGTACGACTGGCGGAAAGACGCAGAAAACAGTGCCGGAATCCATCAGCACACCGAAAATGACACGTTTTTGAGTGCATTGGCCGCGCGGCGGGTTCACGACAATGTTATTGAATAGATGCTTTGATGCACCACCTTTTTTTCTGAATAAAAATGTTATTATGACTGTTCACTAGAAAAGGTGGCGCCGCATTCGTTTTCGCTAAAATTATTTTTCTGGCCGACGGAGGTATTCCGAAAGCCGCGTCCAAAGTCTCGGAAAAACCGCAGGTTTTTCTACAATCTAATTAGAAAACTTTGCAATCTAATACGAACTCGTTTGAAATAGAATTTGCTTCAATTAGATTGCAATCGAGTTCCCAGAGGTCAGAAATGGCCAGATTGCACTGAAATGAGCATTAGCCATTGGGGAGACAGTGAGATGTGAAAAATGAGCAGATGAAGAAGGACTAGTTGTTTTTTACTTTTTTCCGATTCTCTGAACATCAATAAAGATGCTTTTCTGCTGAATTTTCCATTCTTCTCGTTTGAAAACTTTCTCGGCCATACGCAAAAGTTCGGCCGTGTACTCCTCTCGGACAACTCGTGAAACTTGAAAATCCAGCGGAAAATCATCAAAAATGCGCGAAATCCGACGATATTTGTTGTGGATCGGCTACGACGGATCGAAATTTCCGGAAATGGCCGTTGGCGGCACCGGATTCGGAGTTATGGACCTTTTGAAGCAGGTTTAGACACTTAACCCTATAAAAACTTGATTTCCTAATTTTCAGACAATTTCCGAGTCACTTTTCGGGCCTCGAAGCGATCGGACCGACGTAGAGCCGGAGCAGAAACTGAAATTCTCGCCGAGCAGCCGAACAGACGCGAAAGTTCATGCGATCAAGAATTCTGTCATTTGTCAGGTTTTCCCCTGAACTTCTCGCTAAAATGCTATCAATTTCCGCTTGCAGATTCCTCTGGAACTCGCGGAAATCGATAAAACGCCGGAAATCAAGCGGAACTATCTGGAAAAATGGCAAACCACTATAGAAAATGTGAATCCGGGTTCGCTGAAAATTCGAGACGTTCATTTGGTTTCAGCTGGCTTTTGCGTACGCAGAAATGTCTCTTATCGGTGAGTTTTCTTTTTTTCCGGTTATTCTGCGTCTCTTTTCCACTTGGTTTCCCTTGGCAACCAACCAATTCGAGTTTCCGTGCTCCTTTCCTTCAGAAACAGAGAAAAGCGAGACTTTATTAATTTTCACGCAAAATTTGCAAATTTTCAGAAAATACACGTATCGATTAGCTGTTTGCCGCTCTTGGAAACTATGGGAATCGATTCGGGAGGAGCCGACGATCGCGTGCTTCTCCGAAAAAGAGTACTCGTGGAGAATACCGCCCGGATTCTCGCCACAACGATTTTTAGCGGCGGCGCAGATTTTTGAAGGTATTTTTAATCGAAAAAAAAATTGAGAATTCATTTTTCTAGGCGAACAAGTGATGGGCTCGTTTTTCAAGCACACCGCCCGTGCGAAACGTCTCGAACCGCTGAGTCCGTCCGCTTTGAAGCACATTTTGCACGTGGGAATCACGAAAGGAGAGGCGTACTCGATGCCCAACGACATTTATGACTGTTTCAATGTCACTATTGTCGCCAACAGTTTTGTCAGAGAACAAGTCGCTTTTATTCCCAAAAAAATATTTGAATTTTGTTTTGCAGATCCGTCGAATGATGTCGTGTCTGGTGAACCATTCATACGACCGCATGCCGTTGTCGACCATCAAATGGCTGCTCCGCAATCCGATTAGCTCCAATTTTCAAGATCTCGGCATTCCGATCGCCCCGCCGCAAGGCCTTTTTCTCACGGAAGTCGTCTACGATCCGAGAATGTTCCAGAATCCCGTTCCCTACCATTATCACTCGTGGGATTATGACTAGAAGTGATAAAATCGTTCTTGTTTCTCTGTAAGCGCTGAAATTTTTGCGAAAAATCTGCAAAAACAACATCTTTCGGTCAAAATCCGTCGCCAACACATTTACCGAGCAACAAGTGATTTCTCGGGCGGCCCAACGCAAAAATCGATACACTTATGTGAAATTGCAGTGTAACATTAGTCGCCGAACGCATTTTTCCGACGATTTTCCGCAAAACATTGGCGATTTTCCGTCGGAAAACGGGCGCCGACAAGTGTCGGAATACACTGCGCGTCGTCCGAGAGGAGTACACGGCGGCCGAACGGAGGCGGGTCTCGGCACGATTTGCTGACGCCGCGCAATACCGTACCCCCTGCAGTTTAAATTTCGGACCGCTCGCCGCCAAGGGGGCGTTTTCGGCTTTTTTGGCGCTTCACGTCCCCGTTTTATGAGTTTTCCGCGAATTTCGCTGAAATTATTGATTATCGGACTGTTGGCAACCTTTTCGAAACGATTTTATCCTGTGAAAGTTCCCCAGACGGTCAGGAAAATTAATTTTAGGCCTAGCCGATTTTTCTTCATATGCTCAATTTTGCCTTCTAAAATTCTTGTAAAATTTTCTAATTTTTCAGGGTATTTTCTAGATAGTCTTAACGGCTACATTTTTTATTTCCAAGGCTTTTTTATCCGGCTTTTTATAACTTTTATTGTTCTTTTCTGGTTCAGTAAAGTAAAGTGAGTTTATCTTCCGTTTCAGATCCATTAAAATCAAACTTTTTTGCAGATAGTAGTAAAAATGGAAGCTCCAGATAACAAGATTAACGGTAACGCCTCTGAGACTATCAAGGAAAATGGGCACTCGACGAAGGGCAACGAGGACAAGTGAGTATATTGAACCGATTGTTTTGCCCAAAATGCTAGGATAGCTTACGTTGCAGAAAGATTTTTGTTGGTGGAATCTCCCCGGAAGTCAACAACGAAGATTTGAGCACGCACTTCACCCAATTCGGAGAAGTTGCTCAGGCTCAGGTCAAGTACGACCGAACCAACGGCCGCTCCAGAGGATTCGCATTTGTCGAATTCACCACTGGTGAGGGATGCAAATTGGCCCTCGGAGCCCGTGAGCAGACCATCAAGGGAAAGTCCGTGAGTTTTTCTACTGTTTTTTGAAATACAAGCTTTGACAAATATCAAAAACGCATAGTTTGTTGTAGGTCGAGGTGAAGCCGGCAAAATCTCGGGAAAACAAGAAGGTATTCGTCGGAGGACTCCCCTCCGACTACAGCGAGCAAGATCTTCGCTCTCACTTTGAGCAGTTCGGAAAGGTCGACGACATCGAATGGCCTTTCGACAAGCAGACGAAGACGCGCCGCAACTTTGCGTTCATCGTCTTCGAAGAGGAAGAGTCGGCCGACAAGGCCTCCTCGCAGACGAAGCAGACCTTCGGAACTCGCGAATGCGACGTGAAAAAGGCCGTTCCACAGGGCAAGCGATTCGCCGGAGCCGGTGGACGGATTCCCGGAGGACGAGGAATGTACGGTGGACGCGGAGCCAACAACAACTCCGGATGGTACGCCGGATGGGGACAGATCGGAGCCATGCCATATGGAGCCGGCGGATGGGGAGACTGGTACGGAAACAGCAACTATTACGGAGCCCAGCAAGGACATCACAATCAAAGCGGTTCCTCACAGGGATACGGCGGCAGCGGATACCAGAGTGAGTGAATTTACGGAAAAATTAGTTTGAATAATTGCACTTTGAGCTTTTTTCCGGCTTCGAGCAACGTTTTACCCGTACTAGGCTTTTTAGGAGGCAACAACAGCGGCTTCGAATTCCCGCAAGGAGCCCAAGGCGGAGCCAGACTGAACCCCGGTGCCCAGCAGCAGCGTTTCCAGCAACAAACTGCTCAGGCTCAAAACTTCTAAAACGTGCCTTCAACAACATCATCATCGCCCTTCCTGTTCTTTTCCTGTCCCACTCCTAATCGTTCCCGTCAAAAAATTTCTTTTTCCTCTTCCCTAATGCTCTTTTGTCCTCACCGCGCAATCAAAAGCAGTTCAAAATCGACCCTATTAACGCGTTTTTCCCCCACCATCCCGAATTTCTTGGCAAATCGACAAATCGAGATCTGATTGTTTTGTTTTTTCTGATTCTCTCCAACCCAAAATCAAATCGCCCTCTTTAGGGACTGATTCTGATAACCCCCAGGAATAATAATAACACTTTTGTTGTTTTAGATGACGTTCTGTGAACAAGTCTCTCCGGTACCTAATAGATGTGTAGAAGTCTGTTTTGTTTTTATTTTCGTTGTTAAAATTTTATTGTTGCACCCACCCACTTTCCACCTCTGGCACTATAATTTCTTGTTGTTTCCGTCCCGGTTTCTACGTCTGTCAGTGTGTGTGCTTTGACAATGAAAAAGACACAAAATTGAAACAGAACACAACGCTGACTTCTTTCCTATCCTTTCCCTTTCCTCTGTATGCTTCTCCCTATCACAAAGTCGTTTAGTTGTTGTTATGGTGCTCTTTTCGCATCAATTAGACTGTATTCTCGAGGAGAAAGCTCTGAAAAACGTTCAGAAATTTGTCCGAAAAGTTCGCAGTTAGTTGTTATCTCCTCCACATACTATCTCCAGTCTCTGAAGTGTATCTGATGAATAGTCAGGTGTCCCATCCGCCCCCGTCCGTCTAATCTCAAACAAAAGTCACCCCCAGCTATCGAAATGTCCCCTTTTCTTTTTTTGTCCCCCCTGCCAGTCTCACACCGTAAAAACTTCGCCCCCGATTCTAACTGCCCTCATTTTGTTTGACTCGTAATGATTCTTTCGTGTCCGATCCACCAAAGCGTGTATGATAAGTTTCGTGTCAAACTGATGTTGATAAGCTGAGAATAAAAAAGTTTGAGGAGAGAATTGAAGCGGGGATGCTTTTTTTGTAGAAAGGGTAAGTTTGCCGCGAACAATATTTGAAATTCATTTTTGGGAAATCTGGATTGTGGAGAAATTGCGGGGTTTTTTTTAGTATCTATAAGAAATGACGTCTTCGCTGGAGTCGTATATGAATCGAATGGTGAACGTGGTCACCGGAGATGGAAGAATAATCATCGGGCTGCTCAAGGTATGGAAAAATGAAAATATTCCCAACTTTTGCCGAAAAATTCAAAAAACCAGTTTTTTCCACTCTTTACCTAAAAAATCGATAAACCCCTTATTTTCCCCGATGTTATTTGTTTTTTTGCAGGGATTCGACCAACTGATCAATTTGGTGATCGAGGACGCCCACGAGCGGGCCTATTCGGAGACGGAGGGCGTCATTACCACTCCGTTGGGCCTCTACATCATTCGCGGCGAAAATGTGTTCGTTTCACTCGAAAATTTGACTGAAAATGCGAAACAAAAGAACGCAATTCTTCCCGAAAATTCCGATCTCCATCGAGCTCAACCTATCACTTTTCGGCGACCAACTGACCGCTTGGGCCGATCACCTATTTATCCGTTTGCGCCCGGCTCGCCGAGCGACAATAGCTTTTTGATCGGCCAATTGAGAAACCGGGCACCAATCATCAAGAGAAATGCAAATTTTCGGCAGAATTTCACCGGGAAACTGGTGAAATAATTTGAAGAGAGATGCAAAGTTTTTCGCACCCAATATGAACCCGATGTTTTCATGGTCTAAACTATGCGACCCGTCCTGTTGACACAAATATTTACCACCAGCTTCATCTCTGTTTTGTTCCTCGAGGTCTATTTACACCGCCGAGTCGCCAGACGGTGCTGTTCTCTCTTCTGTTCGTTTGAAAAAGTGTCAAAACATCATCGGAGCAGTGATCGACAACTTTGGCGCGCCGAAAACGGTCATGTTTACACGGAATTCTATACAATTTATGCACTGGAACCTTTTTGAACGCGGAGCGGAGAACAGAGATCGACGACGTTTTGGGCATTGGGACACATTTTTCCTCGAATTTCTCTTGCGGCTTACGTTTTCCCCAAATTTTTATGGTCCAGAGAGCAGTTTTAGGCGCTTTGCCGTTGCTTGACATAAAAATGAGTTGAAATCTACTTTACAACTATTCCGTCACGTTCGCCTTTGAATTGTTGGTCAAGACGAGAAATTCGAATTCTCCGCCTTCGCTCCCTCATATCTGCCAACGTCATCTGCGCCCCACTGCACACTTTGCCCTTCCACATTCAATCGACCCTTCCTCTTCCTCCGTTTTCTTCTCCGTCTGCAGTCTCCTCCCTCTCTCCCTCCCTTCTCCGTTTGACCGCTCTTCTTTTCGAATAACCCCCGCGCGGAGGGGACCAACAAATTGCTGTTTTATCGATTTTCGATGCTTTCCATTGTTTTTCGCAATCAGAAGGTGTTTGATAGGATTGACCTAATTCGCACGTCTCCACAAATCACTTGGTTCGGTGAGAAACTGACAATTCGCTGTTCAAACAGTCTTTTTTGTGCCAAGACCGATCCGTTACGTTGTCGGTGACTCATTTCCCACTCGTTCCGCTATTGTTCACTCGTTCGTTTCTATCTTTTTCTGCTCGGCGGCTTCAAACCAGCCCTGAGCATAGAAACACGGATTTTTCCGTGTTTCCGCGCGCGCGCGGGAATCTTTGCGGTCCGGAAGGAGAAAATGAGCACCCACTTCACACATCAATAACAACCGTTTTTCGAGCGATTTTCTGTGTCAAATGCTCGGAATTCGCTAGAATCTTCCTCCATTCTTCTCTAATTGACCACCGCTCGTTCTGTTTTGTTTGTACGCGGGCGGAGGAGAAGGAGGTGGAAAAGTTATACGACGGGCGGTACGAAACTAGACGGAAAGACTATCCGATTTGAATGATTGGCCTGGGTATCCGTTTACGTTCCACTCGATTTTTGCTGAGTTTTTAGGCCACAAATAGTTGCTCCGAGACAATCGTGGTCATAAATTTCTCTTTCCGCTTCTCTTATCACTATTATCAGCGTGTTTCGGTCGCTGACTCTTTCCGCTCATCGCTTGTGATTAGATTTTTTCAATGTTTATGATCGTCATAGTGCGCATAGGTTACTATCGACGTGGATATACGGTTCTGACCGTCTTTTCGATCTTTTTCCGGTCCAAAATTGCTCCGAACACAAACACACTCGAAATGTCAAGAGCGATATTGGCGAAGAGTGCGATTGTTTCGAAATTCTCGTCCTTCATTGATTTTCTATATTCTTCGACACTTTTTTTTTGTCCGACATGTCTGTGAAAGTGTAAAATTGCGTCGTTGTGAACTTCTAACAAATTTCACACTTTTCCGATCGTTTTTCGTGTGTTTTCGATGCGAGAAAAAGGTTTTCGGGGGGAAAAACGTGTCGGCGAACCGGTTCTCGCAACGCCCGCATTTTCCGCGTTAGGGGTTCTGGAATTTTCGAGGATTTCTCTGGATTTTCGCAAATCTCTTTTGGACATTTCGTCAGCCGCTCGGCGTTGGCTCAATTTTCCAAAATTACCAAAAAAAACCCTCGTTTTGCAGAGCCATAATCGGCGAAATCGACGAGGAACTGGACAGACGCGTGGATCTGGAGAACGTTAAAGCGGCTCCGTTGGCGCCGATCTGGATTCCGCAGTGAATCGATCGATCGATTATTCCCCTCTTTTTCTCCCTAATGTTCCGCGGCTCTCTTGATGACGCTGATCTCCTTGTCATTTTCTTTAAAAAATGTTGTAATAATCCCCTCTCTTCTCATATAAATTATTTATTCAAATTTTCAGGAAATTTGAGTGTTGAAGTACTTGGTGTTCATTTTCGCCCGTTGTTATCTCTCTGCTTTGTGGACATTGCTTTCTTTTGTTAATCATTGTTTTTTGCAGAGTTTTGCGAATTTTTCAAAAATTGTTGGAAATTGAGCAAACTGAGACAAGCCACAGCAACATCAGCAATGGGCAGTGTTAATAGAGTGAGTTTCTTTTACCTTTTCAAAAGTAAAATGCTATTCCTCTTGCAGAATCGCATGGACGAGCGTCGCCCGGCCGGCCACCATCGAGATCACACCCGCGGAGACAACCGTCCGCACCAGCCATCGCATCAGAACCCGGCCCATTTCCCGTCGCAGCGTCGGACGATTTCACCGCCACGAGGCAGATCTCCGCCACGTCATCATCATCATCAGAATGCGCATCGGGAGAACAACGAGAAGAGACCAGTGGTTAGCAAGTTTTGTGGACGCCTTCATTCATTCATTTGGGCTCTGATGAGAATAATAGAGAAAAGTGCAAAAAGGGTGTGTGTGCCCGAGAGAATTTTGTGTGTGAAAATGTGGAATAATCGGATCACTTCTTCTTCTTCTTCTTCTTCCTCTTCTTGGAGATCCATCGTCACTCTCTCTAGGCCTCGACGCACTCGAATTCGATGGGAACGACGACTTCTTTTGGCGGAGGCGGCAGCGGTGGAGGAGGCGGAGGAGTCAGACGGAGAGAATCGGACGGAGAACGACGCAGAGACGCGGGGAACGGCGGAAAGGAACCACTGGCGACGGAGGACCGAAAAAAGGAACGACATGGGGAACCGGTAAGGTCTTGGAGGGTTTAGAGACTTTTTCCGCAATCAAACTCTATTAAAAAAAAATGTTTAGGAACGCCGGAACAAGTCCCCGTTGACTCGGCCGCGTGACCGCGTCAAATCGCCGCCATCCGCCGACAAGGACCACCGAAATGTGGCCGCCCGTATTCAGGCCCCGGTGATTCCACGTCAGCACCACGGAAAAGATCGAAAGAAGCCGATGCCGGTGAGTTGCGAAAATCCCTGAATGTTTCCTTCGTTTTTCCCATTCTTGAAGAAGTTTTATGTGAAGTGTAAATATGCAACAAAACGCTGCCAAACAATATTCGAATACATTCGCGAATGCCGTCATCGGTGATAAAATCGGCGGAAAGTGATAAAAACGGAGGGAGAGAGTGCTGAAAATGCGAGAAACGCAGAGAGCACACTTTGTGATTGATTGCCCTCCTTCCCTTCCAAATTCGGACGCGAAAGGGGCGGAGTCGGACGTTTGCACAGAGAAAATTGAGTTTGATTAGAATTCACGAGGAACAGTTCAAAAATTGTCTTGTTACAGTTTTTTTAAACTTATTCATCAAACCCCTTTTTCTATGCAAAATTCGACACAATCACAGTTCCAGTGCAACTATCGAGTACTTTCTGCGTGTGATAAGCGGATTAGCGCACTCAAACCGTCATTTCAAGACACGGAGATTAGCCTTAAGAAGTGTCCAAACCCCTCTTTTCTTCCTATTCTCATCCTAAACACCCTAAATTTCGCTAGTTTCACAGTCCGCTTCTAATTTACGACAAGTTCCAGAAGCGTCAAATGGATTTCCGTCCGAAGACGTACGCGACGGGCGTCTCCGCGCCGCCACCGCCACGGGACTCCCGTCCGAATCGTGATCGGAAAGACAACGCGCCGCCGCCGCCACGTCATCAGAAACCGTACTCGTCGGATGCGCAGAAAAGAGGCGAAAATCGGAAAGAGCCGGTCAGAAGACGTGAGAATGTGGAGGAAAAGAAGAGAGGAAGAAGCGAGCGGAAAGAGGAGCGCAAGGGGAAGTCGGAGGAGCGAATTGTGGACGAGAACCGGAAGGAGGACGAGGACGTCGCCCTGCAGGGACTCGAGGAGGTCGATTGTTGTAAGTTGGCGTTGGGGAAACTTCTGAAAATGATTGGAATTTATCTAACTCCTGCTCTATTTCAGGCGAAGGCGACGAACCGAATACTGAAATTGCACAAAAATCCGAGGAGAAGGAGTCTGCGGAAAAACCAGCTGAGAAGACGTCTTCGAGTGCTTCAGCGTACGATTTCCGTCACAATTTTCTTCGAAAAACTAACAGTTTGCCCAGTTTCAGTAACTCTGACAGTGAGGAAGAATTGGATTACGAAGAAGACGATATCGACGTGGATCTGGACGACGACATCGACGTGGAAACGATGAAATTGGCGGCGCGCGGCGATTTGATAATAGAAGCGGCGACAGATGAGGAGGAGGAGGAGCGGAAGAAAGACGAAGAAGAGGATGAGATTGCGGAGGAGAAGAAAGAGGAAGACGTAGAGGAAAGAGATGGAGAGCCGCAGAAGAAGAGAGTGCGCACCGAGGAGAAGGAGAAGATCAAGGAACGACGGACGGCACGTGGTACGACAAATGGGACTGGTTTACTAACAATTGTTGGAAGTTTGCACGGAAAATTGAAAACCAACAACAGGCCAAAAATTTGGAGAATCCGCATCGGAAACCGTGTTTTACCCCTTCTTTCTGTCCTCCAGCAGTTTGCACTTCCCCACCCCTGCCCCAACCACCGTTAAAACGGTTTTCCTCATCTCAAACCGTTTTTGGGCAGAACATCTCGAAAATATACCCGAAATGTTGCACCCCTCTGGAACCAAAACTCTTGAAAGAAGCTGAAAACCCGTATTCTTGCACACTTCTCTCACGCCCTGTCCAAAAACAGCTCACCGAGCACCAAAAGCTTCAGCACCAACAGATTTTAGAGAATTATGGAACAACTAAAAAAAAGAAGACCACTATACTAACAAAGGTGTCCCATGTTCCATGAAAACCCGCGGAAAATAATTCAGTCACCCAAAAGTCGAGCCCCTGGAAAATCCCCAACCCGAAAAGTCCTTCCCAAAGTTCCCCAAATCCCGTAACTAAAAAGTCCCCCCAAAGACCCCGAGCCCCACAATATCCGTTCCCTTAGGAACCACCACCACCAACGCCTCGTCTTCGTCCACATCGAAACGTCGTTCGGAAGCGACCAGGAGGGATCGTCGTTCGCCGGATCGCAAGGATCGTCGTCACGGATCGGGAGCAGGAGGAAGCGTTCGGCCACCACGCGAAGGAGCCGAGCGGCGCATTGCGAAACGGACGGAAAGAGGCGGAACATTGGGAGCAGATCACAACGCAGCAGGTACAGATGATGACGTTAAAATGGTGACGCCGCCGATGATACCGTCGCTGCTGACGATGCGGATAGAGAGGCCGTTTAGTGTTGAGGCTTTGGTAGAAAAGAGACGCTGGTGTCAGTGCGCATGTCAGTTCCCCTCGACGTCGTCGGGCTCCCTGGAAGCGTCGCCCTCTTCGTCGACGTCTTCTGCTTCTTCTTCTTCTACTTCTTCGGCCGCAGGATCTTCCGTCAGCAGCAGCAGAAGCAGCTCCTCAAACTGCCCAGCTGCGATTCCGTCGCTGATGTCTCTGCGGACCACTAATGCCATCTTTTTAGCCACAAGACGGAGCCACCAGCATCCACAGCCACATCCACATCAGCACGGGGATCCGGCGAGGATCGCAGGACCCAGAAGATCCGTCGAAGGACCGTTCCGACGAGCAAGGACACCGCCGGAACGACGCCCACGCGAGGAGAGACGAATGGAGTTTATGGCGGCCAGGAAGAGTTTTGGAGCGGGAGTAGGAGGAGGAGGAGGTGCGCCCGGAGGATTCAGAAATGGAGGAGTGGGCGATCAGGGACCGAGGGTGAGCAATCGCTATTTTGGACATTTTGATTATAGTTGTGATTTTACGACTTCTGAGCTGGTTTTTTGGATTTTTCTTCTAATTCCTCCCATTTTCAGCGTCGTTCTCCGTTCCATCGTCGTCCATCACCGCCACATGGCAAGCCGGGAGAGCGCGTCGTTCACTCGTACCGGAACGGAATCTAAACTCCCTTTTTCTGGAAAATCTCTTTTGAATCACACATACACCCAAAATACGGTCAAAAAAGCTGTATAAGTTATTCGTGTTTTTCATACTCTTTCTTTTTTGTAATACCCATCGTCGTTTTATTCGCCTTTTTTTCCGAATTTTCACAAATTTGTGTGACTTCTTCTGTTTGCCGTCATAAAATTATTACATTCGGACTTTTGTCTGTAAATGTTTGAACGAAAAGAGTGAGTTTCGATCTCTGATTTCTCAAATACTTATTGATTTTTCGGGAAAGCGCGCGCGCCGGGCGCGAGAATCGGATTAGAAATCTGCGGAGCAAACAGAAATAGGAGAAGTTTTGGAAAAATGGAGAAGCCCACAATATTCACTGATTTTCTTGAAAAAAAACGGTCCAGTTTTACACAAAATAAGGGAAAAGTCCGATTTTTTTTATAGAAATATGCTTCCGATACGCCTACGCACTTTTCTCATCGTTTAAAATGTGCATTTTCTATTGTAATGGCAGCTTTGGCTCATTGATGTAGTTTCGGTTTTATACACTTTGTGAAAAAAGCCTGTGGTGGACTTCATCATGTTCATTTGGGATAAAATAAAAGACGATTGGTTTATATACAAGAGGGGGTTCTTATATGATTTCCTTTCGAATAGCCTACAAGTAACGACACAATTTTGTGAGTCAGAAAAGTTGTTCGAACACGAATTCATATTCGGGCCCCGTCCAACGCAGCCAATTCTCAACGTATTGCGCGGTTGCGTAGCCGATGTCAGCGGCCATCGTTGAGCAAGTGTTGAGGTCGTTGATAATGCCGTTGTCCATACATTTTCAATCCGATTACACTTACGCACCTTGTATTTCTAGTTTTTCCAGTGAAATGGCGGAAATCAACGAGAGAGCGTCGACTTCGTCGCCGCCGGTGCCGTCGACGCCAGCGCCAGTGCCACACATCCGACAGTTGGCGGACAATATGACCGACAAAGTCGGACAGTTCTTCCAGCATCAAATCGAGGGTACGTACCTTTTTACGAACTTTGTGATGGGTTTTTGACCTCTGAAATGCCTTTCTCTCGTTGTTCCTTCAAAACTCCCAAGAGACGTTCAAAAACGGTTCTGACACGCAATTCTATTTGCTGCCAGAACAGAGAATTTTTTTCCGAATTAATAGAAAATAGTATTGTTTAGGATCGATCGAAGAGTACAAACTTCTGGAGAACATGAACACGGCGACGGCGCAGAGATACGTGGATATGAAGGTGGTGGCGGAGAAGTTGGCCGGAAAGCTGGACAATTTGAATCAGAAATGTACGTTTTTTGTAGCGTTTTTTTGAACATCGATCTTAAAAGATTTTTCTAGACAAAAAGCTCACTTTGAGCAGGTAAAATGACAGAATTTGTTGTGGAAATTCAAAAAATGTTGCAGACGAGACCCTCCGTCCGTACTTGACCCAAATCGACGCGATGGACGAGAGCACCCGGCGATTGGAGGAGGCCACTGCTGTTTTGGAGAATTATGTCGCCCAACTTGGTCGGTTTTTGTGGAAAGAGGATTCTTTCAAATCGTTTTTTTTTTGTTGCAGAATCCAAATTGACCAACATCCAGCAAAGCCCATAGAATATCGACGGCCCACTTTTTCTTTGTGTGATTTTCTCACATTCCCCCTCCTACTAGTCAGCCACACATAATTTCAGCAATTTTCAGTATTCTCTGGCCTAAAAACTCTTTTATTTCGCTCCTAATTGTACGATACGATAAAGCGTCTTTTTGAAACCCTATTTGAAAAATGTATTGAAGGAAGGATTCGCCTGATTAATTTCCGATTAAAAAAAAAGTAAATTTTATTCATACAAAGAAGCGATGGTTTTACCCTGAACCGCAAAACTTTTGGCGTCTTTGAAGTCGAAAGTGATGAAAATGTGGGCGGGGTCTAATTTCAGATGCTCGCGGAGCACCAGAGTCAGTTTTTTCGCGTACAAATCGTTTTCCGATTGGGAAGACGGGCGGGTCGTTTGAAGCTGAAAAAATGACAATTTTTGAGATAGAAATCAGGAAAAACGACCTGAAATGATGGAAAATGCGCCAAAATTTGATTTTAAAAAGTTTCTTCGCTTTCAAATTTGGCGCGCTGCTCTCGTGAATTTCGGGGGCTACTAAGACTGCAAACTACAAATTTTGGGCGCTACAAACTACACATATATTTAGACGTTTTTCTGTTTCTTTTAAAACTCACACTAACAACCGCCACAGGGGTCTCTTTGCTGCCAAATCCGAGGCTCATTCTGGCTGCCGCCTCCACGATTATCACAAATTTTTCGGCCGGAAGATCCATGGCACTCGACAAGCTGTAGCTGATGTCTTGCTGAACAATTTCGAGATCTTTACAGTAGATTTTACACGATTTACCTCGAATTTCTCGGAAATGTCGCCATTCCGAATGTTTGTCTGAATCCGCACGATTTGCATTTCTATCCTGAAATTTCCAAAAAAAGGCTGCGTTTCGCAACAAAATAGCGGCGAAAAAGTGAAAAAGTGTTCGAGTCAGCTGAGAAAACACATTGCGTTTCGGCGCGAGAGTCTGTTTTTTCGTGTCCTCGCGACACTCGACACAACACAAACATTTGCGAGTGAATGTACGGAAAAGGCGGGCGGGAACGGGGCGAGAACCTCAATTATTATAGGGGCACCGCACAGAAATGGCGCTCTGTTGAGAAACTCGTTTTGCAGTGCAAATTGAGCGACCTCGGGGCCGAGTTTGAAAAGTTAGGCCACGTTTTCAGTGGAAAAATAATTCGCGGCCTAGAAATTCGGCCAGATTGCGAACAGCGCGCCCTTTCTGTCCGGTGCCTCAATAATACGATGCAGCGATGAATGCGAACGTTCGAGAACGCAGAAATTTGGAGCTTTGGAGACAACAATTTGGAGAAAACGATTTTTTTTCCGTTGCAACTACATTTTCCCTATTCAGAACTGCCATTGTCATTGTCTACTTGATAACCGGTCAATTTTCCATTAATTTTCGACAATTTATTCAACTCGCCACTTTGCTTTTTCATTTTCGTCTAAAAAATGCGTTTGGAGACGTGAATGTAAAAAGCAAAATGCCGAGGGCAGTGGAGCGCGTTTCCTTAGCCAAATACACTGATTTTTTGCAGTAATCGCCGTTCAAATCGTGGTTTTTCCGGAATACGTTGCCAAACTCGAATGGCACTCCGATGAGGTGTTGGAGAAGGAAAATAGAGAACGCGAGGAGGCTGAGAGGAAGCGGAAGTGAAATCAACTCTGTAGTGCTTAAATCTGTGATAATTTTGACTCTAATTGATTATTACTGCTGAATAAGAAAAGGTTCGACATTCTAATCAGAGATGGCAGCGAGCCAAGGACACGCCCCCCAAACAGCGTGCGGCAGTTGCAGTGAAAACTATTTGGGGAGCGAGTCCTTGGCTCGCTGCCAACTCCGATTCGAATGTCGAACCTTTTTTTTTCAACAGTAATCGTAAAATTGATCTCGTATATTTAAATTGTTTCTATCTCTCTCCCTCTCTCTCTCTCTGTCTTTTTTGGTAATTCACATCGTGCCTCCAAATCTCCTAATTTTCAGTCTCTTCGCGCAACGGCAAAACGCGGCGGGAAGTCAGGAATTGGTGGACGAGACGACGGACATCGACAAGTGGGCGCAGGAGGTGGACCCAACGTCGAGCACTAGTTAGTTTTTTGGGGATTTACCTAGTAAAAATCGCTTGAAATAGTGCAGGAGGGTCCTAACTTCCGCCTTCCGCTTTCCCTGCCGCCAAAAAAAAAATTTTATTCCGCTTCTTGAACCTCGAAGGTTTCATCATCATTTTGCCTTCCTTCTAATGTTTTTTTGTCAAATTGTCCAAAAAGAACCAAAGAAAGTTCATCAGTCTCATGTCATCACTGTTTGACCTTTTGGTCACTAACTCGCCCTGAAGCACACGACCAAAATGCGTACTTTTTTTTATGTCCTCTGTGTTTTTCATCGTTCCGAACACCGTGTGACGATGGCGCATGGTCACGTGGTGTTCTACTGGAGTGAGACATGAAAAACACGGTCTGTTATCCACGAATCTTGTGAAGCATGTTAATTTCGAGCAAAATTTTGTCTCAGTGACAGATGCGGCAATGCTGTAACCTGTGCAAGTTCCCAATGAGACCAAATTGTTTGGCTAACACTGTGAAATACTTGAAGATTCTAGAAAACTCAATCACATTCCAAAAGTTCCGTTTTATCGTAAATCATCAGTTGCGAATAGTTTTAAACACCCTGTAAGATGTATATCCGAGAAAACGCGTTCAATTTCAACCAGGAACCTACATGATTCATACTCGAGTTCATCACATTCTGCCGGCGAGTCACGTGGTGTTAGCAGCGGCGTCACACCAGTCACGTTGCCCTCCTCCCTCAATAGTTCTGTCTGCTTTCCGGCCCGAAGAAGAAGAGGAAAAAGCACGTGGTGTCAAGTCCAAGTGTCCGCATGTTGTATACAAAGAAGACGGAAAATGCCCGGAGGACAGAGACGGAAAACAAAAAAGAGAAAGCGGGGAATGCGGAGACGCAGGGGGCGAAAGCATGGAAACTGAAGGGAAAGGAGGGACGGGCGGACACAGTGGCGCGATCCCCCCCTGCCCCCTGCCCCATTCACTTGTTTCGTCTGATTAGAGATTGGGATCGGTTCGAGTTACCTAGCTTATTCATTTTTCTTAGAAATTCTTAGAAAGCCCACAAATTGCAGCAAAGAAAGCATTTTTTAAAGAGCAATTTTGAAGTGTTCGTTAAAAGAATTAATAGAAATTGTTTGTTAGCGCATAAATTACAACCCTATTGAAACACTGATTTTTCTCACAAACCATCTAACATTTTTCAAAGCTCAGAGAAATTGTTTCGTCTACTTAGACTGCTAATTCACTTTCACAATGCAAAATTTGCAAACTAAACTGATAAATCTCTAAATTGATTCGGAATTCAGCGAAAGCGAAAGCCTAGATAGATTCAGAACTCGGTTCAGATTACGATGTTTTCTAACTAAATCGAAAACGATTACTTTGAGTGAACAGCTTAGTATTCACCAATTTCCGATTCAAAGTGTTCTTATCTAGTTTAGCTTGTTTTAATTTTGTACCCGAAACATGAACGCATTGCAAGCCCTTTTATCTCTTTTCTCTTCTTTTCCCTTCGTTTTTTGAAGTTTCGGTTCGTTCTGTGATCCGCCGAAAAGAGCGTAAACATCGCAGAGACGGCCCAGAGTGAAAGTTTCGTCGTTTATCAGTTCTCTCACTTTTGCAGTTATCACGTTTTCAGTTCTTTCCCGCTTAAATTAAACTTTTCAACTTATGTTTCAGTAAAAAAAAAAAGAGTTTCACATTGTTGATGAACAAAGTTTTTTTTGCAGTTTCAATACGTTTGCAAATGAAATGCTGTATTTCGTTTATCACTCTCTAAATTTCTTCTCTACAAAATAAAACATCGCTTTCGTTCAGATGTCGACGACGGTAACTTTCCGTTCCACACTGCCTCTTCTCCGTCGAAACCATCCCGTCGCAGTGGAGTTCACGACAGAAAGACCCTTTTTTAGCAGTTCACATACTCGAGGTATATTTTTTATCCTTAAAAGATCAAACATCATCTGGGCTAACTCAAATCCTATAAAAATTATTTTGGAAACCTTCTAGAGCACAATAAATTCCGAAGAATTAACAAATAAACAGCGATGATTTATCAATGCACAAGTTTCTACACAAATTTGATAACTTTTTGAAAACTACATCTATTCATTATTTTCTCGGTACAGGCGGTGCAAGTACTCCCCCGGGCACCACGTCCACCTCGACAGTGTCCGCGTCGCCGGCAGTTCCGACCAGTTATGGATACATTTCCGACATGTTCAAGAATTTTGTCGCCAAAGTTGAAGTACGACATTTGTTTGTAATCGCTAGCAATAAAAAAAATTGATTTTTCAGAACCCCCTGAACTATTTGAACGTCGGCACATCGAAAACAACGACGTCGGCGCCGACAGCTGTTGAATCGAAGTCACAGTAAGATGCACACAACTTTATATAGATTTTCAAGAAAACAACATTTACAGAATAATCCTAAAATCGAACGAAAATCGAGTATCGCGCTCGGAAGTCACCTCGAAAACGCGGGCGCTCGTCAAAAAAGTGATGTTGTCGGAGACGTCGCAGTCGAGATTGACACGAGTTCGCGACCTCTCGGAGCACATAATGCAGTACCCGCCGACGCGAATCATTGCCGCACAGGAACAGAGGCTCGTCGCCGAGCTGCTCGATATGGTCATGTACGGACACACGGACACGTTGAAGGAGGAGGCGAGACAGTGTCTCACACTCATCGGAGTACATCCGTTTCCCAAGGGAAGAGGTAAGCGAGTTTGAGGAGCAGAATTTTAAGCAAAAAGTTGGGAAAATCGATTGGAAAAGCTTCACCCGAAAATTGAGCATTTTCAGGTGTGAACGTGCTCTCGATCGACGGCGGTGGCACGCGCGGAATGATGGGATTGGAGGTGCTCGAGAAAATTGAAAAATTGTCCGGTAAAAAGGTACTTTTATCGCTATTCGTAGACTTTCGATCTATTTTCTGGTGCATCGCCACGTTTTCAATGGGGAAACTGAAAATTTTTCAGATTTGCGAGCTGTTCGACATGATTTGCGGAGTGAGCACGGGCGGAATCATCGCCGCACTCCTCACTGTAAAAGGGTACACGGTCAAAGAATGTCGGGAAGCGTACATGGATGTATCCAAGAGGTTCGCACACGTTTTTACAGCAAAAAAAAAACGGGAAACGTTCAGATTATTCACACAAGGCAAGTTCCAAGGCGGAATGGGACTGATTCTGAAGCACTCCTACTACAACACCAACCTATGGATCAGCATTCTCAAACAAGTAGCATTCTAGAAGTGTCAAATTTTGTTTTATTTTGAATGAATTCAGATGATCGGAGAAGACGTGACACTGATCAACACCTCGCGGAAATTGCACACGCCTCGATTGGCGATTGTCGCGTCGATTGTGAATTTGAAGACGTTACAGGTTGAAACTTTGGAACTGTCTTTATTTTAGCTTATTAAGCTTTTTAGTAAAGCGCTTCCTATAAGACCCCAATTTCTACTTTGCAGCCGTACATCTTCCGCAACTACGACCATCCGGCGGGCCGTGACTCGCACTACCGCGGCGGCTGCGATCATCCGTTGTGGACGGCGATTCAGGCATCCGCGGCCGCGCCCCTCTACTTTTCGGAAGTGAAACTGGGCAATCTGTTGCTGCAGGACGGCGGAGTGTACGCGAACAACCCCACGGCGATCGCCTACCACGAGACGAAGCTGCTGTGGCCGAACGAGGCGGTGAACTGTGTGGTGTCGGTGGGCAACGGACGGACGGTCATGTCGCCCGAGGCTACGCCCACCATGTTCTCCACTTCGATCCAGGACAAACTGCTGCGGATCATCGACAGCGCGACGGACACGGAAGGAGTGCATATGAATGTGCACGACATGCTCCCCGAATCCGTGTATTATCGCTTCAATCCATACATGACCTACTCGTACGGACTGGACGAAATCGACGAGGAACGGCTCGAGCAGATGGCCTGCGACGCCGAGTTTTATGTGAGAAGGAACTCGAGCAAACTGGAGGACGCCGCCGAGAAATTGTGCTTGGTAAGGCACGAGATTTAGATTTTAACAAATTTCGCTACTTTTCAGCAACCAAATCTGCAACAACGCGCCCGCCGACGCATCAAAGAGTACCTGGACTTGAAGGGATTCTACAAACCCGCTTAAACACACTTTTTCGCCCAACTTTTTGTATTTTTTTCCGACTCATTTTTCTGTACATTCATTTTTGTTTTTCTCCCCCGTGCCTTTAGGTATTTCTACTGCTTCCACAAACGTTTCTATGTAATAGATGCCGATTGTTTGTTAGGTGTCTTGCAAGACTTGCTTCTGCCGACGCCCCGCCCCGTTTGGCTCCCTTCGAGGGTGGGCGGAGCCTGGTGCCGAGAGCCCCGGCTTTTCGTTTTTCCTCCTCTTCCTCTCTTTCTTTCACGATTTCTTCAGCGGCAATTTGTGCAGAGAAACGTTTCCAGACGAATCCGGAACTGTTTTTGCCGACGACGTCGCCATTTCCCCCTCCCGTTCCCTCCATTCCATCCGCCCTGGATGCGGTCGGGCGGCACACGATGCGACGTCGCAACTCTCCACCGCCCACGCACTTTCCTCATCTTTCTCCTGTTTCTGGTGGGATGCGTACAGGTTTGCACCTCTTTTTTTTTGGGCGGGAATCAAAGGAGCAGAGAACCCTGTGTCTGTCCGAGTCTCGTGGCCTAGGAGTTTTCTAGGCCACGGCCACAACTTTGAAAAACTCGGACGGTTCCCTGCTTCTTCAACTTCATCTATTACCCATCCTCCCAGCCATTTTCAGCCTTCGACGCCTCTGACGTGTCTCACGTGCATGTACACCTCCTCGACGACCCAATTGGACAATTTCCGAGTGTCGACGCGTCTCGCCCGACCGCAATGCGCAATGGAGCCGATAAAGTGCGATCGCGATCAGGACGTGTGTGTTACGATCACAATGCACGTCGGTACGGCTTTTATTAAGATGCAAATATGTATATATATACGCATTCGTTGCGTTTTTTTCTCGAGTAGAACATAAGAGAGAACACAACAAAAATATGAGAGAAAAAATAAATGGGCGAAAATTTGCATTGATATTGGCATTTTCTTTTTTCGTGGAATCGTGGCGACTAGTAGTGGGCTAGTAGAACCTGGAAAATATATGAATTTGCAGGCGGTGGCGATTATTGGATGGGCGCCGGTTGCGATCGTCGCATCAATTTCCAGCACATGAGCTGTCAGAATGTGCGCACCATGTCCAGAAATGTGCAATTAGGTAGGAATCGAGCAAGAATCGCAATGATGGCCCAAAATCCCTCAAAAACCAGTTCAAACTATCAAAAAATTCGGCACAAAAACTCTGAATTTGAGAGTTTCAACTCGTTTTTGATGAATTTCTCTGAAACTTCAACAAAAAGTCAGTAAAAACCTCCGAGGATTTTTTGCAGGATACGTACAGGAACGTCGCGCAATGCAACGAGTGTGCGTATGTGCCCGTGACTTGTGCAACTTCTCGACCCACCCGCATATTCCTCTACTCTTCCTGATTCTCCTACTCGCATTCCGATCATAGCCCGACATTTCCTCCTCGTTTCCATCATCACCCCAGTTTCCGCCGCGAAAATTGTGAGTTTTCGTTTTCGTACGCAATAGCTTGTTGGTGGTTCGAATCAAAAAGATTGTGGTGGCAGAAAAACAACAAGTTCTCCTTCTTCTTCCACTTCTTGTTCCTTGTCAATTGAGATCTCTCTCTCTCTCTCTCTCTCTCTCTCACATATCAGTCATCCCGGAGCTCGCGGAGCCCAGTGGTCAGCAGAAAAAAAGAAAGAGACGCAGAGACCGAGAATAGTACAACCGCGTTCCAGCACTATGATTTCAAAGAAATTCACTCGCGCTGACCAGATTAGCCTTATTTGCTCCCGAAATTTCGTGCTTCGCGGCGAGGCGACAAAACGATGAAAAAGAAGAAGGAGAAGAAGAAGAAGAAGCGAAAAGGGGAGCGACGACGGGTAAATCTCATTTTGCACATCATCGCATCCTACTAAGGCCGGGGGTCAGAGCCGTGATGTGTGTGCGTGGACAGATGAGAAGAAATTGGCAAGTATTTCTAAAAAAAATAGAGGGGGTGGGGGGCGGTTTTTGATAGGAAAATCGAGTTATTCACTAAGAATTGGAAGCAAACCGTAGAAATATGGTAGGCGCCCATTTTTCCATAGATCTCGAATAGGTTCTACAGAATTTCGGGTCTTTGAGCACAAAATTGAGCGGAACCGTGTAAAAGCGGTAAAGTGGAACAGATTCCGTAGATTTCTTGAGAAACTTGACAAGTTTTACAGGAAATCCAACTTTTATAGCTTTCCAGTCTTACTTTGGCCATTTCAGACGCTTTGAAGCTGCTAGACTATCACACCTCATCTGATTCAAGGAAGAACGGCTTTTGGAACCCACTGTTCCAATTTTTGTCGTTTCAGAGCCTCGGAAGCTTCTAAGCCTTGAAATCTAGCTTCGGAAGGCTTTTGGAACCTTTTTTCTAATTTTTGAAGCTTCGAATACTTTCAGGAGAACCGTGAAGCTCAAAAGATGCTCATTCCACTAAAAAACGACCACTTTTCCGAAGTGCCTTCTCTTAAAAGAATGGGTTTTTCAACTTTAAGCCGCCCGCAAAAGTATCAGTCATAAATCTCAAAAGTGGCACTTGCAGGGTGCGGCAGCTCTGCATTACTTTAATTTGGGGCGCTCCGAACCTTTGAGAGCATTAAAATGTGTGCTCCAAAGAAAACCCATTAGAGTTCAGAGACTTTCAAACTTTTTCCGCTCTTTCTCTCTCTCTCTCTCTCTCCGCCTCTCTCGGTGCTCTTTTTGCGGCTCTCCTCAACTTGAGCTCTTTCTCAAGAAAATTTCAAATTTCACATGCTCCCGCACTGCGCCTCGGGGGACCGCCCGAGTCCAAATGGAATATGAATTCAGAAAAAGAGTCTCTTTTTTCTTCGGATAGAAAAGCAAGGGGATCATCATCGTCTGCACTCGATTTATTACATTTTCGAGTGCTCAACTCGACAAAACGGTGGAGAAACATTAATTTCGAGGCACGGATGGGAAATATGGGCAAAAAGTGATGTCATTGGCCTAAAATCGAGAAAGTGATGTCATTGGCCTAAAATCGTTTAATTTCAGGATCTCAACCCAATCGCCCATTCCGAACCGCTTTCCTCTAGTGTGACCAACCAAAAAGTGCCAAAAACCTACACAAAATGGCTCCTTCTACCATTCTCCGTCGAGGTGAGGTCCCGGAAATTGTGGCTTCGTCTGTTTCGTCCGGGGTGCGCTGAAAAAGGGGCGGGTTTGGAAATGAGGCTGGAATTACTCGAGGATACTGTATTGGAAATCGCTACAAACCCCCCGAAAACGCACCTTTTCTTCATTCCGCCTTTTCTGGAGTTGTTCAACGAGGCCAACATGGCCTTCTCCTCCTCCATCTCGATGCGCCTGTGCTGCCCGAGCGTAAGCCGTTTCATGTCGGCCCGTTCCTTTTCCTCCCGCTCCTTCTCCTCGCTCCACTTCTGCTGCAGACCGTCGTCGTCGATGTTGACCGTCTTCAGTGCCGGTTTGTTCTGTTTTCCCCTGACCATCAGAGTGACTCTCGTCTGTTTCGGACGCCCGCTCGCCGCCAATCCCTGATCTTCGTCGTAGTCGACCGAAGGATCCGTCGGCGGGTAGCTGGCGGTCGGCGACGTGTTCCACACCTCTTCTTTCGTGTCCTCGGCTGAAAATGTGTCGATGTTAGCGATTATTAGGTCCGGAATCATAAAATGAAGTCATTTTCATTTTGGGTGAAATTTAAGCTTGAGGCTATCGATTTTACCGGATTTGCGACAGTTAGAACAATTTTTTCTGTACTTTCAAGTCAAAAGCGATAGTTTCAAGGTTTCTGGAGGCTTCCGATCCGGATAGTACCCTTGACCGCTTTGTTATCATCAAATCCTATCTATAATTCATTGCAAATATATCTTCCGCCCTCCTTTCCCTCAATTTTCTACCTGCCTCATTCAAAATGCAACTTTTTCGTTCCAAAATCTTTCCCAACACAATCACTCAAAAACCCAATTTGGTCCGGTCTTTTCTTCCTTCTCGAATCTTCGGGAAATGCGAATCTGCATATCGGCCATTGTGAAGGGCATTTCCAACTTTTTCTCTCTTCACAACTTTTGAAATTGTCGTCGGCGCCGAAAAAGAAGACGAAAAAGAGGGAGAATGCGAACGAAATTCAATAAACGTCGTCTCCTCCTCCTCCTCCTCCTCGTCCGGCGTTGCCCGTCGTTTCCATCTTCTCGGGGGGGTCAACTTGTTGTCTTGTTGCTCCGTGAGCCTATTGTGCGAGAAACTCTGAGTGCTTTTTCTTGGGTAAAGGATCTCAAAGAATACTCGCTATTCTCGTGAAAAAAGGGATCTTCCTTCGAAATCCTCATTTGGAGCACAGCGTCGAGAGCTTCTCGGAATGATAGAGAATCTCACAAATATTACTACGAAACACGCGTCTTTCTTGTCATGTCTCTTCTTGCCGTGAGTGGGGCAAAAATGATCGACGAAATGATTGAAATTCGAGACGAACATGACACCCGGCGAGACATGTTGAAAAGTGCTCACGACGACCGACGACAAATCATTGCGACAACAATAACTTTCGGGGCGAAACTATGAGGGGTCTGGAAAAATGTGCACTTTGCCAGGTTGGTGGAACTCGAAGATAATAGTTTCTAGAATCGCACTTCTTGACTGAAAACTGGAATAAGTCGGCTTTTGAAGAAGATAGAATTTCCTATGGTGCTTGTGACCTAGACATTTGCCGTTTTAGGCCTGAGCGGAAATATTTGAATCAATAATAGCTATTCTACTTGAAGACTATTGGAAATCGTCGAAACCACCTGGAAACTAAAATTTCAAGCTTTCGAGACTATCTTCAAACTATAACTTTCCTAGGAGGCCCTCTACTTCCGTTTTCGCTTCAATCTCGTCCGGTCTCATAAAAAATGGATGGAAAAGGGTGTGCAGACTGCCCGAGTCACCTAGGGCGCAAATCCGATTGTTGTTGTTTTTGTTTTCCGTCCGTGTCGAGCCTTCTGGAGCAGCAGCGAAGGATACGTTCCGAGAACTGAACACACTACCAAAATCAATCAAGCCTTGTGCTCCGCGGCGTTAATCAAATTCGTCTCCCCCACTCTCTCACTAGCCTATTTTGTTGGCATTGTGTCAGGGGGTTTATCACGGAAAAACCACAATAAAACCGCCTTCTGCGAGGGGAGAAGGGAGTGTGGACTTTCTTTTTGAGAAAAAACTTTAAAAAATCATAAAAGTTTGCAGTGTTTTTACGGCCGAACATTCTGAAAACTCCTACGAGCGTCGTCGAGTATTCCAGTGGTAATTCAATCCGTTTCGTGCCAGCCAGAGAGTCCCTCCTCAATCCTCTCTTTTCCCATGTGCAATATAGTGAATACATTGGCATTGTGTGCGTGAGAGAGAGAGAGAGAAAGATCAAGGTGTTGGGCGGAAATTCGAGAAGGACCACCTAAATGTGTCGTCGAAATACGAGAAGGTGTGTGTCGTGTGCGGACGAAATTGAGCCGAACGAAACCGGGTGTGAAGACGCATTTTTGATGATTGTCCGTGAGGAACATGCGGAAGGTGTGGAAAACAATGAAAAAAGGGGTCAGGAACCACAAATCATACTGGATACTTGCAAAATATTGAAAACATGGAACAACGGTATCCAGCATTCCCTTTAAGACCCTATTAGCTGGATTTGAACAATTTGAAGCCTAAGACGGCCCATAAAAGCTACAGTAACCCTTTCAACCTTAATTTTAATTGTTTGAAGCAAAACTGCAAAAATGATAAAAACTTACCAAATTTGATGGATCTGGCGAAGCGATTCTTGGCGGCGGCCGGAAGAGTCACATCGTACGTTTGAGCAGCCGCTACTGGCGCCTAAAAATTCAACTGTCAACGGTGTTTCGGTGTGATTTCAAAACTCACCGGATTTCTGAATCCCTCGCCCATCATCCGATCCAATTCGCGCTGAAAATCGTCCTCTTCCTCTTTCGTGACAATGTTCGCCTCCAAAAAGTCGTTTTTCTTGCGCTCCTCCTCCGAATCCTCGTCTTCCAGCTCACTTTGCGAGTCTCTGAGCGGGAAAATGTTTAACAACTTCGAATCTTTCAGACAAAACCAACTCCATCTTCTTTCTACACAAAAACACATCATGTCGCCAAAATGATTCCAAACGCTTTTATTATTAAAAATCTACTCGCCCGCATTTTCCTAGACTGTTTTCCGTGATTTTCTGTGATATTTTTAAGTGAATAAATCAATTTTTTCCGCATTTTTCATGGAACTTTACAGATTTTGAGTGCTCACCTGGCCTCCTCCTCTTCCTCCTCGTCATCCTCCTCGATTGCCATCAAATCCTTCCTTCCCACGTCATCTACGTCGCTCCGATCGCCATTGAGCTCTTTTAGCTGGAAAATTTGAAGAGTTCATCTAAAATAGCCAATTTTCGATAAACTACCTGTGGCTTGAACCGTTTCTCGATCATCTCCACAGATTCTTGGGCTTCTTCCAATGATTTCGGCCATCGAAGGATTCCCGCCTTTTTGGAGCGACGGTAATGACGGCACACGTCCGAATAGGCCGTCTCCACTTCGTACGGGAATCTGAAAAGAGGAAAACGTTTTCAAATATTTCAAAAAAGTCCGACCTGCTCTGCACATTTTCCAAGTTCACTTCCAGTCCGTTCTGTGCCTCACTGGCTCGTTCCATAATCTCTCGATTCCACGTGTCGCGTTTCGTATAGTAAAACCGATGGAAATACAGGAGGAAGAACTTCATTTTCACGCGTCCCGGACCGTTTTTGAAGAACTCGCGCACGATTTCGAGCATTGCGCACACGATCCGAATGCGATGCAGATCTTTCCACGCGGTTTCCGACGTCTCCGGATAGGAGATCAACTGGTACAGCACCTGCATTATCAGGTCCTCGTCGCACAGCTCGAAAATGTAGGCCTCGGCTAGGAAGACCGCGGCGGAGTGGGCCAATTGATTGAAAGTGCCCGGATTTTCGAGCGAGATTCGGATCGTCTCGATCGACGCGTCGATGACGGCCATTCCGATCCATTCGAGATGGGCGAGGCCACAAAGTCCCGAGATTGCGGAGGCGACGAACTCGAGGTTCTCGATGGGAAGGAGCCACGTGGACGAGAGGTAGCGGATCGCGTAATCGGAAATCTCCGGGTTGCTCCACTCGAGACGACGCAGACACTTGAGATGAACGTCGATGTTCTGCTTGTTGATATCGAGGATGATGTGGCGGATGAACTTCTTCATCGGAGTGTCCTCCTCGTCGAGCTTCAGACGCAGACGTTCTTCTTTCGAGTCTTCCGGGGGCAAGCACGTGAAGTACGCGTTGTCGATCAGCATCTGAAAATGTTGGAATAGCTATTTTTAGCAGCTCTAGTGTGAGAATTCGCTCAATTCTTGCTCACCGCCTGTCGCTGGTCCTTCATGCGGTCCCTCTTCGCCTTCACCACCTCGAGCAGCCGCTTCATTTTCGCGTGCGAATCCGTGTGTCTGTACAGGTACAATCCGGCCGATTCCATGACGGTCGCCGTCATTTCGACGGCGTGTCCGCGCAGATCGTACACCAATTGACGGAGGCACGAGAGTCCCTCGGCACGCGAAATCACTCCGAACTTCATCAGTTCGGCGATCATCATCACACACACCATCTTCACTTCCACCTGTAACAGGAAAAAGTAAGTTTCCGGATACATCATCTAATTTTCTCAAAATTTACTTTGACTCGATCTCCTCCAGCGGTCGGCTTTCCCTGAATGAATCCGCGGAATCGTTCGAGCAGTTGGGTCACAATTTCCGTCGTCAAATCGGGCATCACATTCTCGAGGGTGGCGACGAGGCGGGCGTAGAACGGAAGAACGTCCATTCGCGACGACGCCGGCTCGATCATCAACTTTATCAGACGCTTTCGACAGCCCTGCAATTGTTTTAACCTAAATTGGGTAAATTCCCTCAGATTCTCACCTTATTATTGAGGTTGGACACAAAATAGATGGCCGCCTGGTCGGTGGAGTACTTGCTCACAAGATGGTCGAGGTCGAGCGCGAAGCTCTGCCACTTGCTGAGTCCCCTCTCCTCGGCCGCGTCGACCGCCTCTTTGAGCAGTGCGTGCAGCTGCTCGTCCGCCGGCGACGTCTCCCTCTCCGAGTCGCCCCTCTGCACTGTTTGGCGCCGTCCGTCCATCTGTCCCGACTCGTTCACATTCTCCACGTCCACGTCCTCGATCCGCTCCGCCATCGCCGCCTTTCCGAGTGTCCTCTGCTCCGAATCCTTGTACAGATCCTTGGGGACCATCTGTCGAAGGTCGATGAGGTCCTCGTAGAACGCCTTCGTCTCCTCATCGTTCCACAATTGGACGGCTCCTTCCGCCAGACGTCGTCCCATCTGGAATTTGGCGGATTTCGGGTGAATTTCGGGTATGATTTTCATGGGAATTTCTGTGAAAACGTACTAAAAATTAGGTCATTTCTTCTGAATTTTCATGTAAAACACCTCAAAACTGTCTCTATTACCTCTAAATTGGCGGCTTCGTCCTCCTCATCGTCGCTAGCTTCCTCTTTGAGAGCCTTCATCTGAACTCCAATGGCACACGCCAGTTCGTTGGTCTGAAACGCGGGAGGAATTTTTGTGGAAATCTGTCTATTTTTCACATCAGGAAAAACCAACAAAAAAAAGCTCACAATCTTCCTGAGAGCGTCCAATTCGGTCTGCAGAGTGCTCAGAGTGTTCTTGTCCTCGTCGGCGGCGTCTCCTCGGCTTCTCTCCTGTCTTTTCACCTTTTTCATCGCTTTGTTCCGTGCCGAGCACGTTTTTTCGGTCTTCGCGTACAGCGCGTCGTAGTACGACTTGAACAGCTCGCGGATCGTCTTCTTCTGCTCCGGAGACAAGGCGGAAGACGTCGGGAGCGAGTCTGGAATGTTTCTGAGTGAAATAGGAACACATTTCCGAATTTTCCCAAAAATCACCTTCATTGACGTCGACGGTGTCCGCATCTTCGAGTGCCGCCGGAAGGGGCACAATCCGAGCAATCTGCCATCCGACCGCCCGGGATACGGTAGTCAGAAGACCCACGTTCACGAATTCGGCCTTGTCCGTCTGAATCAGGTAGCTGAGCACCGCGCCGAGCACCTGCAGGCCCTCTTTCTCGTTGAAAACTCCGCAGAGACACAATTCCGTCAAAAAACTGAAATAAACTCGTTTTTGCTCTGAAATCTCTGAAGTCAAGCTAACATAATATCGACTCGTAATTTGGCCATATTTCCAATTTTATCGCTCTTTTTGATCGGCAACACTTTTTTGAATTCGCCCGCCATTTGCTCGCTAAAATTCGAGTATTTGGCCGAAATTGCGAGACAAAGTTCGGCCACTTTCGGAATATCCGAGATTTTCAGCTTCGTTTCGATGATTCCCTGCAAACATTGAATTGAATTGAAACTCGGAAAAACCGCTTCCGCAAACTGACCGAAGCCATTTCCTCGACGAATTTCGACAGATTCAGTTTGGAGAGCTCCTCGATGAGCTGCGGAACTCCCGCGGCGCTTAGCACTTTGATCTTCTTCATGAAACTCGTCGTTTTTTTCAGCGTCGAGTCCAAACTTCGCAATTCTTTCTCGTTATCCAGCACGTTCTCGCGAATTTCCACCATTTTCAGGCGGTTTGTTTCCTGGCAATTTTTTGGAATTTTTTTTCGATTTTTCTTTCAAATGCTTACCTGATATTCCACTCGCTTTTTCAGTTCTTCCAGCCATGATTTTTCTACTGTTCGACTCATCAAAGTTCTAATTAATAGAAATTTTAATAAGAGTTATTATCCAAGTCAGATAAATAAATAAAATGTTGAAACACATTCAAAACATTAAAAATAAACATTCTTCTCATCTTCACAATGCATTTCTGTTTTTTTCTAATCGAATAGAAACAGCAAACCAAAAACATTGGAAATTTTTACAATTTTTCAAAAGCAGGAAACATTTGGTACTTTTTTAAAATAGAGAGATAAGGGCAGGAACAAGATCATCGATTTTTTGATATTTGAGTGAAATAATAGAGAGATAATCTGAGCATATTTTTTGCGGGAAATGCCAAAATTGTAGTAAAAAAAGACGAGGAGGCATGAATAGAAATGGGGGTTGGGGGAAATTAGGAACTTGAAGCTTGAAAATTCAAAAAAAAAAAAACTCAAGAAAATTCCATCGAATAAATAAGCGAAAAGGGATCAGATCAGTGGAAAGAACAGGGAAATGGAGGAGGTAAAACATGGATTTTTGCGAGAAAAATCGGGGAAAATTGGAGAATTTTCGACAAAAAACGGGGCGCTAATACCCTCCGCCTCCTCGCTGATCTCCAGCTCCCCATCCACCATAGGCTCCTTGTGCCTGCGTCCACGAAGATCCCGAGTCTCTCGGCTCTCTCTGTCTATCGTATCCTGCTCCGCCGCCTACACCACCGTATCCGCCACGTGGAGCTCCGCCCCCAGATCCGTACGATTCCCATCCTCCGTTGTGGCCGCCTCCGTATCCTGCAAAATTGCATTGAAAATTCGAACAGTTTAATTTTTGCTTTGAAAAGTGAAATTTTGCCGATTCTCCTTGATTCTCTTACCCTGATCGTATCCGCCGTGAACTGGGGCCGCCTGTGCAGCACCTCCGTATCCGCCCCACGGCTCTGCCCGCGGCGTCGACCGTGGAGCTCGTCCGCCTCTCATTCCTCCACCTCCTTCGTATCCCCTCTGAGTTTGCGGTCTCTGCGGTCCCCAGGCGTCCCGTGGCGGTGCCCCTCCGCTTCGGTACGAGTCCCCTCCTCGGGGCGCCGGCGGTGGACCCCCTCCCCGTCGACCGGAAAGAACCGGGTCAGGGATGGGCGCCGCTGATTGGTTCGGACCGCTCGTTTCCCGCCAAAGAAGACGCTTCATTGGGCCAGGGGCGTCGCGCGTGTAGAACAGCTCCACGTATCTGAAAAAAGGGGGGAATTTAGTGGAGAAGCATGTGAGAAAGCCGCAAAGGATTTGTTTTACAAATTTGTTGGAAAAGTGCTCATTTTAATTCGGAATTGATAGAAAATGCAAGGACTTAAGAAATTTTTCGCGCTTTGCCCTACCTCCGTCCCATTCTCTGATTGTTGCGCGCCATTCCGGCGACCATGTCGTTGTAGTTGTCGAATTCGGCGATGGCGTCGCCGGACGGACGTCCCGTGTCGTTGATGCCCAATTTGACCGACGAGCAGCGGATCGGCGAGAAGAACGCCTCGATTGCGTGGGCGTCGGCGTCGTACGGCAGGCCGCGCATGTAAATCTGCAGGAAATTGGGGAAACTTAGTTAAAATATACAAGCTTTCGCATTTTCTCACTCGGAACGGATCGCTTCCACCTCCATAATCGCCTCCGTAGTGATCATAGCCTCCTCCACCACCACCGTATCCTCCCTGACTACCGTAATCCTGCCCTCCTCCGTATCGCTGATCCTCATATCCGCCGCCGCCTCCGCTACCGTACCCTCTGTTACCGTAACCGCCGGAAGCACCGTAACCAGTGTCCGAACGGTCCAAACTCATCAGAGGACGTATTCCGGTGCGTTCGTAGGACGATGGAGGTCCGGAATCTAGAGAAATCATTTGAATTTGAAATTTTGGAATTGTAATGCTTACTGGTATGTCCTTTCGAGCGATTCAACTCGACCATTGTCGATTGGAAAACTTCGACATATCTGCAATGCGAAATTTTGAAATTTTCGCGAAAAGTGCGAGGAAAATCCAGCATTTCCAACAGTTTTGAACTATTTTCGCCTCATTTCCGACCCACCTCGATCCCAAATGCCTCTTATTGTACTCCATTGCTTTCTGAGACGCCTCGCCCGTCGAAAATCGTACGAAAGCCTCCCCCGATGGTCGTGGATTCGGCCCACCCGTCCCGCCGATCACAATTTCCGCCGGTGGTGGTTCTAGCCCTGGAGAAGAGGAAACTAGGGCCCGTAGGAGCTAATTTGGGGGAAGAGGGTAAAATTCACATTTTAGCGCAAAATGCCCAGATTTTCGGGTTTTTTTTCGGACTCACCATCGAAGAAGTTGCGAATATCGTCTTCTGTGCACGACCACGGAATTCCACGCAGACGTACCACGTGGTTTTCGTCTTGAGACCCGGCCGGGTCGGGTCTCATTGCGAATTCGGCCTCGCTGGCGGCGGCGGAGAAGACTGAGAGCAAAAACATTAGAACATTTCCCAGTTTTTAAGCACTTACGCTCTATATAGCGTTTGTTTATTTCCTTGCGATCGTATCCCATCGCCACGGTGGCATCCTCGCGGCTCTTGAACTCCACGTAGGCCTCTCCGTTCGGCCGCCCGTGCACAACCACAAATTTCACCTTCTCTACGGGCAAATCGTCGAAAAACTCTTTGACATCCTTTTCGGTGGCGTTGAACGGAAGTCCGCGCATTCGAACGAACGCGCTTTGAGCCGGTGGAATCGCCGAAACATGAGTGGGCACGTTTTCCTCGACGTTTTCTGTAATTTCTACAGTTATTCGCAACATTTTCATTTTCTCACCTTTCACTTCGGGTTCAGTCGCCTGCAGCTCTTCTGCGACTTTCACTTCGGCTTGGACCTCGGCTTCCGGCTCATCCGGAGGCGTATTTGGCACTTCATCCGACATTTCGCTGAAAATTAAATTTGCCGAGTTTTACGCTGATTTTTCAGGGGAAAATCAATGAGAATAAACGGAAAATACGGAAAATGAGTTTATTTTACAATTTTCAACAAAACTTATGTGGAAAATTAAAAGAAAAGTTGAGAAAAATGCGAGGAAACTGGCGCTCGAGAAGAGGAAAAAATTTGAAAAGGAAACGAGTGCAATGGAGCGCGCTTGCACACTGCACACTAGACACGACATTTGACGCCCGATTGCAGACTCAGTCCTTTTATGGATCATCGGCGCGGAAAAGCATGATGTAGTGATAAAGATCAGAAAACAAATGGAAATTGATAAGCAAATCGGGTTCTCACTGTTTTTTGCGACCTTTCGCCGCAGTTTACGCTGAATCGAATCGAATAGCGACGCGAATTGCGGATCGGATGTTTTAGGCGGCGAAACTGTAGAAAAAGTTGAGGATATAAAAGCGAATGGGTTGGAATTGGAAAAGGGGTCTTGTTCTTCAGCGATGGAGGTCGAAACTCGCGTCAAAGCTTACCGATTCGTGGCCTACGCCGCCGTCACGTTCAGTGTTGTCGCCGTTCTTTCGGTTCGTTTTACCGGCAAATTTTTAAGCTAAAAAAAAACACTTTGTAGGTGTGCATAACGCTTCCGATGGTCTACAACTACGTGCGCCACGTGAAACAATCCATTCACCACGAGATCCGCTACTGCAAGGGATCCGCCAAGGACATCCTCTCCGAGGTGTCGGCGGTCCGTTCCAACCGTACCGCCCGTCAGGCGAATTACGGAGACGCCGGAGTCGCTGGTGCCGCAGCCGGAGCAGGCGGCTCTTGCTCTGGATGTTGTCTGCCAGGACCATCGGGACCCGCAGGATCTCCTGGAAAGCCCGGAAGGCCAGGAAAGCCCGGAGTCGCCGGACTGCCTGGAAATCCTGGAAGACCGCCACAAGCCCCTTGTGAGCCGATTACGCCGCCACCGTGCAAACCGTGCCCACAAGGACCGCCAGGAGAGCAGGGACCAGCCGGACCACCCGGAGACGCTGGACTCGACGGACAGCCAGGAGGACCAGGACAAGACGGTCAGCCGGGACAGGCAGGACCAAAAGGACCACCGGGAATCAACGGACAACCAGGAGCACCGGGACAGGACGGAAATCCGGGACAGGATGCGCCGTCGGAGCCGCTTATTCCAGGAGAGCCGGGAGCACCGGGAGAAGCTGGACCACAAGGACCGCCCGGACAACCAGGAGTGCCCGGACAGGATGGTCAACCAGGACAGCCGGGACCAAAGGGACCACCCGGACAGCCGGGACAACCGGGAGCCGATGGAAATCCAGGACCAGCTGGAGAGGCAGGACAGGCTGGAAGCGCCGGCGAGAAGGGAATCTGTCCAAAGTACTGCGCCATCGACGGAGGCATCTTTTTCGAGGACGGAACCCGTCGTTAATGAGTATTGTACTTCTGTCTTTTGTTTGTATAAAGCAATAAAGCTAACGTTATCAATAACTGCTTTACAGTAACAAGAAGGCTGATAAATATTATTATCGATTTGTAAACAATGCAGAGTGCCGGACACTCTTTTTATAGCGTTCGTTAACGTTGTGTCAGCCAGTGTTGAATTCCGTCTGCCGTCTTCCGTGATTTCTTTTTTTTCCTATTTTTTGGACCCGTTTCTCTTCTTGCCGATGACTTTTCGGCTTCCAATTCAAACCACCGCCAATTTCCCCTCAGTCCAATGGAGCGCACTTGTATACCCTCTATGTTTGCCACGCGTTCTCACATGTATTTCCCCCGTCAATTTTCAGCAAATTTTAGCGCAACTTTTCGGTCAAAAATTGCATAATCGCGTTAACATTGTTAAATTTATTGATTTTCAGCAGAAAACGCTACAAAATGGGTACACCTCATGGCCAGACGGCCATGTTTCACTCCTCCAACACGTTTTCCATCGACGAATCCAAGTTGTGCTTCAACAAGACTCATTTCAATCGCGAGGATTTCAACGTGGAACGATTCATGAACCTGGCGAGACAGTGAGTTATCGATTATTCTGATTAAATTTAAAAGTTCTGCGGAAAAACGCGTTTTTTGTCAACAAAGTAGCAAATAAATTTGCAGAAAGGCGGATTTGAAAACAATTCAACAAGACTTGCGGCTCTATCTGAAAAGTGTACAAAATTCGATGATCGAGCTCATCAACGACGACTACGCCGATTTTGTGCACTTGTCCTCGAATCTGGTCAGTCTTCAGGAGTCGCTCAACAAAATCGAGACGGATATCAATGTGAGTACCTTGAAAAATCGATTTTTCCATCGGAATCCATTAAAAACTAGCTATTTTCAGCGAATTTGGAGTGATTTTGAAGAGTCGACAAAGGAATCGGTCGGAATGGCCGAGCGAATCGAGCAAAAGTGCGAAGAGCTGTCGTCAAACCGCGAAAAACAGTCGGAATTACGCGATCGTATCGCTTTTCTGTGCGCCATTGAAAAACTAGGCGAAATGCTCAAGAAACCGCCGCAAAAGTGCTCTGTTTTATGGTTTGGTTTGCAAATTTCGCTTGAAAAACTGATTCAAAATGTCTAGGCTCCAAAAAGCGGCTTCATTCGTGGTGGAACTCAAAGCATCGGCCCGTCTCGTGCATTCTGACGAGGAAAAACGCGCCCAGCAAGTGATTCTGACCAAATTGGAGTCGGTTTTGTGCGTGGAAGGCGTGCGAAGTGCCGCGACGGACTGCAAAACGCTTCCGCTCATTCTGTCGATATTATCCATCACCGAAAGTGCGCATTCGCTCACTGCTCACTTGGTTTCTGATCTGCTCTACGCGAAATTTGTGGACGAAAACGAGGAAAAGGAGGCGGATCAGTTGAAGAGATTGGAGCAGGTGTACGCGAGTGTTAAAAAGGTACTTTTTCAAACAAAAAAAAAGAATTGAAAGAAAAACCATAGAGCGTTTTTCCGCCTTCAGATGCGCGAAAAATGGGCCGACACCCTTGGAACACAACATTTTCGTGGAAAAATTCGAGGATTTCTGGATGAGACTCTACTCACCTTCGTGCTCACTTTCATTGATAAGGTGAGCAAGGATGACTAGAAATTCTGGAAAATACGCAATTGTTTGCAGTGCATGGGCACAGTGGCGGTCCCGTCGGACACGCGGCTCTTCCACAAGTGTTTCTCGGTGACACAACAGTTCATTGACACGTGGCCATCCGCCCGCGCGTGTCGGACGATGCTCAAATCGATCAGAGACAAATTCAACCTCCTCGTCTACTTTAAACTTGAAACTCATCGATTCTCCAAGGAAATTGACAGTTTGATGGTTCCGGAGCAGTTTTCAGTGGAGCAGGATGAGGCTGAAGAGGTAAATGACATTCTTGAACCTAAAACTTGAAATTTCCGTTCCAGGAATTGCATTGCAAAGCCTCGCGAGCAGTTTTCAGTGCGATCGAGCACGTTTGGAGCGACGACGTCTACATCGCCGCGATTGTCGATAAATTGTGGGATTTCACCCTCCGGCTCCTTCTCAAACACCATTCCTGGACGAAAACTATGCAAGAGTACGCTTTTTCACTGAGTTTTCTGTAAACAATGCATTTTTTTCAGATATTTAGTGGAGGAGAAGCGTGACTGGACGGCGATGCTCCAAATACGAATGGACGCCGAGAATCTGCACCAGAAGATTTTCGATTTTGCACTGGAAGAGATTTGGGGGAAGTTGAAGTAGGTTTTGAGAGGTTTAGAAAGAGACTTTTTTCCCTCAACTTTTTGCAGAGACCTCTCGGTAGACACCTCTCAATTCGGTCAATGTCTCACGAAACACGGCCGTTCCGTGGACGCCCTCAGCCAAAAAATGGATAACGATATTGTCGTTCTTTTCGCGGACGTCCTCCACCGGGAACTCGCGCAAGTGTCCGACGTGCCCAAACAGTACAGATGGACGAAAAAGGCGCCGCCCACGAGCCATTCGAACTACGCCACAGCGGCTGTCCAACTGATTGACGAGTTTCGGAAGCGCATTCTGTACGTCTTCTCCTTTTTTGTTGCTGAAACCCGTGTCTTAGGTAAATTCTGTAATTTTTGCAGAAAAGACGAGCATCCGGATGTGGAGAAAATGGTGAAAAGTGTCGGGCTCTCGGCGTTTACCTATTTTGCTGCGAAAGCCAAGGAAGTGAGTTGTTTCGAAATGTTTACGAGAATTCCTGATAAAATACGAAACGATAATGACTTCCTGTTGAATGTTGTTTCAATTTAACCAAATTTGCAGGTGCAAGACGGCGTAGAAGCCACCGGATCGTCGCTCTCCCGATTCAAACGCAAAACAGCCGCGGATTCTGGAGCCACAGTGACGGACGACGATAAAATCAAGCGACAAATCCACCACGACGCGGTTTTCCTCCTCCAAAACGCGGAAAACCTGGGAATTTCGGAAGTTGGAGGCCTCCAAGAGGTCGCCGATCGATTTTCGGATATTGTAGCGCCGATGATTTTGAAGAACAATAACGAAAGTGTACAAGAGGAGGAGGAGCCGAATAATATTAACTCCTAATTTTTCTCTGGTTTTTTCTGTGATTTCTAACGAAATGTTTACACAAATGGGTCTCAAAGTAACGCGATGATTAGGGTGCGAGAATAATATGCAAATAAAATTGAGTTTCGAGATTCTTTGAAATGTTTTGAAAGGTTACGAGGCCTTTTTTGTATTTATCATGATTTTTTGTTCAATTTCAAAACAATTTAACAGATGACGAGCTGGGCGGACATTCAAAAATTGGCATCCGATTTGCAAAGAGTCCAGCTCTCGCAATCATCGAAAAAGTTAGTTTTTAAAGGAAAAGGCCGGCTCAGGCTTATCGGACTTTTGACCGACTTGCAAGGCCCCGATCGGGCCCAAACTTTGCAGGCTTCTTGGGATTGGATTGAAGTATATTGGGCCCGAGTTTCAGACCGATCCGATCAACTGGTCCCGAGATATATTGGTTTTTGCGAAAATTGCGATCTTTTCGGGGCCGGATGATCCGATCGATCTGAAACTCGGACCCAATATACTGCAATCCAAGTTGAAAATGCCTGCAAAGTTTGGGCCCGATCGGATCATTGCAAGTGGGTCAAAGGTCGCCTCGGCAGGCCCTCAAAAAGCCTGGACGGCGTTTTGCCCAGCCTTAAAAGCATTCGAATCGTTTTGCAGACTATCCGAAGTGAATTGCGTGGAAGTGCTCCAAAAATTGATTGCCTCTCAGCAAATCGAAGTGGTTTTCACGCGAGACGGACATTCGTACGTCACCAAAAAACATTTGGAGACTGAGGTGATTGTCTAGAATTTAAAAGTTGAAAAAAAGAATGTTTATGCACAAAATTGCGTAACAGATCAAAGTTTGGTGTTTTTCTGGAAAAGTCCATTGTGAAATGGCACGTTGAACGGCAGCCACCACTCTTTTCCACGTGGCTTATCGTCCGTCGGCGGATTAAGACTTTCGTGCTGAAATTCCAAATGATTAGCGATTCTCCACTCAAAATTACCGATTTCTCTACATTTCTCACGCCAGAAATGCTTTTAGACGGCTGCGAATGAATAAGCAATGTCGGATTCGGATGCGGCATTTTTTTAGACGAAAACAATCAAAAATGACTATTATTCGTCCGCCAAATCCCGCCCCCCTTCAATTTTACGCCCTTGTTGACGGAGAAAAACGCACAAAGTTGCACTTTTGTTGTTTCTCACTTTTTGCACGTACAGAAAGTGCTGGAACGTCAGGAAAACATGTGATTTTGCGGAACGTTTATTTGAAAAGATCACATTTGAAATGTCAGATAAAAAACGAGTGCATCGGTGCGGGCGGGCGTGCGCCATTGACGGACATCGCCGTCGCCCTCAACATCGATTTCGATCACATCGAACGGACCGCCCGTCTCATTGTGGCCAACGACGACGAGTTCACGCTCTCCAACGCCGAACTATTCGCCACGTAAGTGAAAGGATCTCGAAAAAGCACTCCGCGAAATGTTTGCAAGTTTTGCAGTGAATACGTGCACCGCCTACGCAATGAACTGCGCGAGCTGCTCGAGGAGCACGGATACCAGACGACTTCGGCCCTCTGCAAGCACTGGAATCTCTCCCCGGAACTGCTGCAGTCCCTTCTGATCGAGAAACTGCCGGCCGACTTCCAAGGGCTCGTCGACGGAGACACCATTTATACGAGCTCCTTCTTGACATCGAGGGAACTCGTTCTTCGCGCCGTTCTCGTTGCCATCACAAAGTATGCGATTTTTTGCACAAAAAAAGCGACAAAGTTCGAGGCAACTCAATCGCCAATCGTTTAGAGTCACCCCGATATCGTACATCCAAAAACGTGTGGGCCTGACGCCAAAACGCTTCTGGATCGCCTTCGAACACCTGCAAACGATCGGAGAAGTGCCCGGCTATATCGTCGGTTCGCGCACCTCGCCCGCCTGTTCGTACCGCCCCAAAATGTACGATTTTCTCGTCAAATCGTGCGTTCTCAACCAATTCCGCCAAAACGAATACCTTCGTGAGTTGTTTGTCGAATTGTTTGAGCACAAAACCATTTTGCAGAAATTTCGACGCTCAAAACGTTGGGAGTGGAGGCGAAAGCGTCGCTCGAAGAGATTCTGGGAGCCGGAGAAGTGAAACAGCTGACGAATTTGGGATCGATGTACGTGACGAAGGGGCTGTTGGAGCAGTGTGTGCAGGCTGTGCAGGGTGAGGAGCTAGCGAAAAATCTGATTTTTGAATGTATAATTTTCTAATTTTTGCAGAAGACCTACAAAAATCGGGAATCTCTGAGGTGCGACTCGCCCTCCAACCACTGGGACTGCCTCTGGACACGTCGGACGAGGATGCGATCGGCGAGAGAGTGGCGGACGCGGAGAAAGAGGCGAACTTTGCCGAAGGATTCGTGTTCCGAGCGGCCATCCTCACAGAAGCACTCAAATCGATCGATGCGCAGATTGAGAAAAGAGCGCATTCGGAAGTGGATCGACTTGAAAAAGAGAAGAAACAGGGCGGAGGTGCCGGGAAACAGACGGCAAAAGCAACCGAAGAGGTGGGGGTTTACAGACATTTAAAAATCTATCAATTTTTACAGACCGACGACTGGGGAGACATCAAAAAAGGCGGAAAAGGTGGAAAGAAGGGTGGAAAAGGCGGTGCGAAAGGGAAAACATCTTCTGCCGCCCCCGCCACGTCATCCACCGCGTCGGGAGCCATCCACGTGTCGGAAGAAGAGCTGGGAGGATGGCTCCGTGAGAGCAAGAGCGTTCCCGAAGAGATCCTGCCGGTTGCCGTCGAGAAATTGACGAATGAGGCGACGACGGCGCTCCGCAAGAAGATCCAGGAGATCCAGGCTCTGCAGCTGGCCTCCAGTGCCGCCAGCTCGAAAAAGAGTCTCGTGGCGATGGGCGACAAGTGCCGACAGCTCTACGACTCGTTCAACACCTTCGAAGCAGCGACCACCTCGTTTGCCGGTCAGTTTTCAGAAAACATTTCTGGAAATAAGGCTGAACATGCTTGTTTTCAGACCCGCTCGGCTCGGACCTCCGCCAATACCTGCTCAAATCGGTGGGCTCCGAACTCGCCCTCGCCCTGCTCTCTTATGCCACCGGCGTCGATAACGCCCATCAATTGAAAGAAAAGCAGCGGGACGAGACGATCGAATCGCTGCCGGAAGTGCTTCGCGAGCCTCTCCGCGCCCTCTTCGCCTCGCTCAAATCAACGGACGACGGAGCGCTCGACGCGTTCCACGATGCCATCCACGACTGCTCGGTCCCCTCAGCCACCTCGCTCGCTCTCCGCAAAACGGACAAGAAGGGAAGGGCGGAGATCGGAGCGATCGTGTGCACGGAGCTCCGCAAGCAGCTGGAGAAGCAAGAGGAACCGGCCACCGCACTTCTCGTAGCCGTTCTGTACCTTCTCGCTCAGTCCGGACGCCCGACTACTGCCAGCGGACGATTTGTGGCACAACTCGTCGCGCAGATCAAGGATTCGTGCTCGGATGTACGGGAAATCTTTTGGCTTATTAAAAATCATTTTTCATTTTCAGACGGTGTTCGAATTGCTGCAATCGTGCCAGAAAGGAGTGGTGACTTGCATCAAGAACAAGGACGACGAAGTGGCGAAGGAACTGCTCCGTGAGGACATTGCCAAGCTCAAGACGGCTGTTCTTCAGTGATTTATTGTTAAATGCGCCATTTCATGTAAACCAATTAAAGCATATTTGCCAAGTTCAGTCAAATCAATGGCTCCTGGTGCGTTGTTTATTCATTTTTCAAAACGTTTACGCTCGAAACAAACTTCTGGTTTCACCTCAATTGCCGCGAAATAGCGTCCAACTTTTTTTGAAATTTTCCGAAAGTAAATCTGCTCGTGCGCATCGAAACTGTCGTTTTTCAGTGCTAATTACTGAAAGTGTAAGTAAATTGTCAATTCCGAACGAATTTGCACCGTTCGGCGCTCGAATCGAAGCTTTCAACTTGGCTAATCACCGCCCGTGTCTGTAGAAACAAAAGTCTCGTTTGCGCTTTGAAAGGTTTGCAAACAAATAAATAAGCAGTGAGATATAGAATAGTAAAATGACACGTGGAGTTATCAAAAAACAGTGTCATCAGATGCGAAACTGTCGGAAGACGTGCTCGAACGCCTGACAAGTCTTCTCGGAGCACACAATCTCGGGCAGCTTCCTCGCCGTGTCCGTCTCGTAGAACATTCCAGCGGGCAAGGGTTGGCGGGCGGCACGGACCAGATTGGCGCCGGCGTCTTCGAGCGAAGTGATGAACGGGCGGGCGAGACGGATGTAGAGTTGCTGGCGAGCCGGCAGGTTCGACATAATGTTCGTGTAGACGGTCCCCGGATGCACGGAAGTCGCCGTCACATTCGGAAGCGCCAGACGCGAGATTTGGGTGGAGAGCGTGGCGAGTCCGATCTTCGAGACCGCGTACTTTCCGACGCCCGACACTTCCGAAGGCACCAGACACTGTTCCCAGTCGGAGATCTTCTCCGGGTTGAAGTAGCGACGGCCGAACGGGGTAGCACTGTGGAATCTGGAAATGCAAAGGATGGTACTGTTGAAAAAAAAAAGTTTCGACATTGGAATCGAAGCTGGCAGCGTGCCAAGGCCCGGCCTCCCAAACGCATATGCTGCGCGCCATTGTTGCAACATTGCCGCACGCTTTATTGCTCTTCGTTTTTGTCTTTATTTTTCGGTTAAAAATCAGCAGAAACTTCGGTTTTTCCCATTTTTTACCCGTATTTATTCATTTCAATCGTCTTTTGCTATAAAAAATCAACTTTGAAAACAGATTTATCGATTTTTAGCTTGAATTTTCGAACATTTCTCGATTTCTGTTTTTCTCCTTTCGATTTCGCTGAATTTTGAGAATTTTCAGGATTTCCACCTACGGAAAAGTCGAAAAAGCAACAAAAGGGCATGGATTTCTTCTTTTCGTGTTAGTTTTTGACGTAACAATAATTTTCTCTCCGATCAGCGTTTACAGACTCCACTCCTCCGCCGTCTTCTCCACTCCGCCGTCAGCACACAAGTGAAGGTTGAAGAAGCATCTCCCGCTGCAGCGGGCTGGATGAATTGGCACTAATCACAATTATTTTAGATGTATTTATTACGTTTTCCAATAAATTAAATGACAAGACAAGTGTAAGAATTTTATTATCAGTGATATTCTATTTTCTTCTCCTTTTTTCCGGATTGAAGCGTCCACGGACTCTGAAAATACGGTCGGAGAGAAATAATTTTCGTTCTTCAAGCTAACACGACAGCATTTTGTATTCCGTTGTTGTTTGTTGCTTTTTCGACTTTTCCGTAGGTGGAAATCCTGAAAATTCTCAAAATTCAGCGAAATCGAAAGGAGAAAAACAGAAATCGAGAAATGTTCGAAAATTCAAGCTAAAAATCGATAAATCTGTTTTCAAAGTTGATTTTTTATAGCAAAAGACGATTGAAATGAATAAATACGGGTAAAAAATGGGAAAAACCGAAGTTTCTGCTGATTTTTAACCGAAAAATAAAGACAAAAACGAAGAACAATAAAGCGTGCGGCAATGTTGCAACAATGGCGCGCAGCATATGCGTTTGGGAGGCCGGGCCTTGGCACGCTGCCAGCTTCGATTCCAATGTCGAAACTTTTTTTTTTCAACAGTAACTCGAAACAAACGTTCTAGGACACCAACTTGATAAGAATGGAAGTGCTGAACACGAAATGGATGGGGCGTTGCTCGTCGCGTCGGCTCTCGAGCATCTTGTGAGCGATCACGTACGACGAGATCAGGTTCGTCATCATTGTCGCCTCGCGGTCCTCGGCAGTCCGCGCCGGCTTCGGCATTATCACGCCGGCGTTCAGGATACAAGCGTCACTGCAAACATCATAGAGATGTGCTTTTCTAGCCGGCACAGCCTTCGGTGCACTTTGCAGAAAACGACGGCATTTTGAACTGGTAACTCACAATTGCTCCTCGGCGATTTGCGCGGCAAACTTGTGGATTTCGGACTCGAGCGACAGATCCGTCTTGATGAAGCGTGGCGTGTTATTCTGCAAATTTACTGTTTCAGCTAGTGCAAAAATCGATGGTATCTCAGTTGTCAATCAATAGTCACTTTTCCGCTATTTTTGTGTTTGATATCGACGAAAGAAGAGCACATTAAAGAGAGAAAACATTGAAATTTTCGTGAAAACGCCGCGTTTGAGACGTTTTTGGCATATTTCGCAATAGGCTCTCCGCGGCCAATCGCCGCCGCAATTTCGGAATTTTCATACCGGCCGATGTGGATAGTTTTGAGACGAAGTGAGTGTCGGAAGTGATTAAGCACTTTAATACAAGTATTTTAAGCGTTCAAACGGCAAAAAGTATCGGCAAATGACTGAAATTCGCGCATTTTCAGCACAAAACTTGAAAATCGATTCAATTGATTCATTTCTGAATGAAACCTGCTCGTTTTAAGCTTAAAAGTATCAACCGTACGCCAACCGTAACTCACATAGTGTTTCTGGCAGTGCTCAATGACATCTTGTGCCTTCCGAGCATCGCGTCCCGAAAAGACGACGTCGTTGTTGGCGGCGGCCAGACGGACGGCCGCCTCTTTTCCGATTCCGTCCGTTCCGCCGGTGATGAGCACACGTGGCATGTTGTTTCCGATTGTAGAAGAGATGGATGAGAGTGATCTGTTCGTCGGATGTCTTCCGACGTCTCCGATCGTCGCCACAGACGCTGCCCACTTTTCGAGAGGCTCCGCCCATTTTGTGGTGTGACGAGCGAGAAGACGAGACATTTGACGAGACGAAAACGAGGAGAAATGAGCGGAAAATGGAGAAGATTGAGGGGATTTTTGGATTTTTGGCGGCTCCTTGTCTTGATCTACCCCAGCGAATGATGGTAGATCAAAACTTTTAGAAAAAATTGAAACGGAAAACTGAAAAGCCAGTATCGATTTGCGAAAGAAAGCGAAAGTGCGGCGCCTAGTAAAATGTACAAAATATCTTTTAAAAAATATAATGGATAGTTTCTGAAAAAGTTTCAACTTTGAAACTTTGCATGATCAAAAAGAAATTACATGAAAAACCATTGTAAAAAGTACACTGAAATGAATTGACCTTGGCCAAACGGTTGAACTATATATTGCACTGTTAGACGGAAAAATGAATAATAAAGAAAAAATAGTGATCACATGAAAAGTTGTGACACTCAAAAAGAGCCAATGAAACTGCGGAAAACTATACATTTTCCATTGTACAGGGAAAATTCAAGAAAAGTCCCCCTTCCCAAAAATAGTTGGTCCTTAGAGGTACCCACACATTAAGTTGCGAACTATGAAAATAAAATTTCAGCAATACGAATCAATTTCATAGCCAAAAACGAACCAACACAATTATGTGTGTTTCTTCATTTTTTCGTAAATTTTCAGCGCAAAGACGTCCTTCTCGTTTTCACGCACAACGAATTCTGAAATACTTAATGTTTCACATTTCATGATTTTTCTGAAATTCAGGCAAAAAAGCATCGAAAACGGGTGAAAAAACGATCATAACGACGAAAAAACGACCAAAAACAACTTGCTTTCGTATTTGACCGCCCGAATTATGGTACACTGTTCCGATGTATCCTTTTTTTGAATATACCCGAAATAGTGATCACATGAAAAGTTGTGACACTCAAAAAGAGCCAATAAAACTGCGGAAAAATAAATTTTCCATTTACAGTTTCAGATGGTTCTAATAACTACTGGAGGTTTTGTACTCGCACTGAATACTCATAAATCAAATGATCAGCCGATACATTTTTCCTATTTGTTTTCAAGACATTTAAAAAAAAGTACACAGTGTTGAAAGTATAGGACAGTTTAAGTATATTGCACTTTTGAGCGGAACAACGAGAGAGAGAAAAAGATGATGATATGCAATAGAAGGGCGAAGAATTGCCCGTGCGGTTGTGGATACAGTTTGTCATTTTGTTTCAGCCCAGTTTTCAAGTGTTAACGCTGAAATTCACTAATTGAAATGGTAAAGTTTTGTGGAAGCAAAATTCATAAAACAATAGTGTTTTCTGACATATTCACCGTTTCTCTTATTATCAGAAGTGAAAATTGCAAAGTGGATGTTTCAACACTTTCAAAGACGACTCAAAAAGTGATATATATATGAAAAAAGACACACGTTTCATTAGCACTTGTTCGATATTTCGAATCAATGGATGACAATATACATATAAAAGGGGAAGGGGTTTTGGCAATTTGGAAAGGGCAGTCCAAAAGATATGACTCGCTCAGAGATGAGATTGAATGAAAAGTGACACGTGGCAGTCATATGTACAAGTTGAAAACAAACAAACAAACAAAAAAACAAAAAAACAGTAAAATGATAGAGAAATGGTTAGTTTTTTGGCGCGTACCGGATCGTCACACTCTCCACAGTGCTCATTGGTGGAACTTTCGATGTCGGGTACGATCGGACACCTCCGGAAGGTCTCAAAGGGGTAAATGTGATCGAGACGTGGGCGGCGTCTTCGATTTGAGCGTGGATCGAGTTCTGAAAAAGCAACAAACGTCTTCCAAAGAGCTAGAGGAGCACAAAAACTGACCGCGATGGCCTTGTACAACTGCTCGTCCTCCTCCTTAATCGTCACCTTCCCGCTCGTACTCGGCGCATCGTCGAAATCCTCTCTCTCGAGCAGTTCCTCGACCGTCTTCTTCTTCAAAATCACAAGATTGCCACCCTGCTGCACCTCGAACCCCTCGATCTCCTGCTCCAACTCGCCCCACACACTCCGCAATCCCGAATCGCTCGCAATTTCGGCCGCCGTCAAGTTCTTTCGGTTGTCCGGTCGACTCATGCGCGCCTTCGAATGCGCGGTGATGACTGCGGGCGTGAAATCGGAATCCGGTCGCACGTCCGACTCCTCGTCGAACGATTCGTAGAAGAAGCTGAGGTGAAGCGCGTCGCGGATTTCCCGGCTCTCAGATCGACTCGGTTGGAATTCGGAACGGTGCAGCGAGGTGCGGATGAACAGCAAATCGTACTTGTCGTAGAATTCTTGAGCATCGACCAGACTGCAATATACGGATGATTTGAGCCTAATATTGCATTGTTTTGCATTTGTGCTTTCAAACAAATGTATCTCTATTTTCCATAGAGATATAGTTTATTTAATGAACGTCTGTTCCTTCTCCAAATCGATTATATTGTTAAAGGTGGTGTCCAACGTGACATACAACATATTTTTAAAATAAACTTCGAAGTGGGGCATTCACTTTCCCAAAGTCCCGAATTACGAAAAAAATTTCCCGATTTTTAAGATTTTTTCAAAAAAGTTAATGGTACCGAGAGAAGTACACGGCGAAATGGAAGAGCTGGCCTAGATGTTTCTAGTCCCCGGATGAAATTCCCCTTTCTTTCGATTTTTTTTCCGTTTTCGTGCAATTTTCTTAAATTTTCAATCGTTTTTTCACTGAACACACTTATTTGCAATATTTAAAAACATTTATGATGTTTTCTGTGCCGTGACGCCAAAAAATCGATAATCTGAAACTTTCAAAATTCAGCAAAAAAAAACAAATGAAAATAAGAAGTTTTGGATTTTTCGCATTACTTTGAAAAAGAGAACTTTCTGTAACTCGCACACTTTGAGCCATCTCTTTCTATTTGTTTTTCAGCGCGCAAACCGAAGATTGAGCGAAAAACCCGGAAAAACAAAAAAAAAGTTTCAGATTATCGATTTAAAATTTAAGCTTTAAGTTAAAATCGATTAGTTAATTATATTGAATGAAAAGAATTCATGAGAAGTTAAGGCAACTTGAAGAAACCGCAAACATTTTCCGAAAAAAGCGTACCTTCGATCAGCCGGATCTTCGGGTCCCGTGTTCAAATGAATGAAGCAAACACTTCCGGAAAGGGCGGCATTGATTGACGCCGTTTTGCACGGAATATCCACGTTGTGTTTGGTCAGAAGCTCGTCGAGAATCGTCTTCAGAGCGGATTCGTTGGCTGGAAAGAGAGAATAGTAACATGGAGGTAAACAGCGAAACTCGGAAGATTGGGTGTTCGAATTGAAATGGAAGCGTTGAAACTGTAACTAACTAAAGCTAGAAATCAGAAAATTATAATAATGTCTGCTAGCTCCCTCAAAACTGGGCCCATTTTCAAGTGCGGACCTCCCAGACACCCCTGTAACTCTTACCAACATCGCGTTCAAACGATTGGATCGCTTTCCACATGGCCACCGCCACTGAAATCAGCGCAAATTGTCCGGACAAATTGTTCGCCTTCGACACCTTAAACTCGTACATCTTTTGCACGTGGAGCTCGGTGAGCAGTTCGCGAATGATTTGAAACGGCTTGCCGCCGTCCGAGTGGTCCGGAATTTCAATAGAGTCCTGTGCTCCGGGCATCCGGTCGCCGACGACTTGGCACTCGACAAAACAGTGCCGATTGACTGCCTACAAACGAAATGGGGGGAGATGAAAAGAGTCGTGGTCAGGGGTGTGCGGAAAATTTTTTTCGGAAAATTTCGGAAAATCGGTTTTTCCGAATTTTTTTTTTCGGAAAATTTCGGAAAATCGGGTTTTCCGAATTTATTTTTTCGGAAAATTTCAGAAAAATCGGAAAAATCGGAAAACTCACTTGTTCATTGGTTCAATAAAGTGTTTAAGCAACGTTCTAATACAAAAAAATGCTTATTATGATTTGAAATCACTTGAGTGGGCGGAAGCGAAGCAATGGAATATTTCGAAAGAAATTGCGTAAAATTTAAAAATCAAATTTAAAAAGACGCTCGCTGCTAGACCCTTCCAAAAATTTTGTGATGCGCCTTTAAAAAGCATACGGTGGTTTCGGACAAATTGACCTTGAATCCACACTAATTTTCCGAAAATTTCTCGGAAAATCGGAAAATTTCAGAAAATCGAAATATTTTCCGCACACCCCTGGTCGTGGTTCGAAAAAGGGGAGCTCGTAATGGTATTACCATAACGCCGGACGCCATGAACGTGACCAAGTGCGGTGCGACGCCGAACACGGAATGGACGAGACGTCGGAGCGGCGGCCACGGAAAACTGGGCTCCGGCACCGCGCTCTCGCTGCTCCGCCACACCGTCATCGCAAATTTTTCCGACTCCTCCATCGTTTCGTTTCATGAACCTACAATAGCGCGAAAATGTGCGAATGAGACGGAGAATGGGGATTAAACAGACGGAGAGTTTTGCAAATTTCCGAAAAGGATGGCCCCTATTCGGAGATGGATGTGCATACGGAGGCTGAACATGGAAGAGCTGAAATGTGAGTGCTTTTGTGAGTTTATATCGTTTATTTTGCGTGTATGCGTGATGTGGTGTGAACGAGAGAAGAATAGACATGCACGGTAGACGATTTATTGATTGAAATGAACAGCGATTCAATTAATTTTATACACTTTGTACTTTAAGGCGATGTATCTCAGCTGTGGGTGAAGATATCGAAAAGTTGTCAACTGATAAAATGTTCATTAAGAAATTGTGCACATTTTATCTGTTGACAACTTTTTTATATCTCTACGCTGCATTCTTCTCTGCCGAAAAGAACACAGAAGTGGACGAACGTTTGCACTTGAGTTTTTTAGGCCATCAGTCTAACATCAATAATAGTTGCGTCACGCCACCAGAATCGGAGAGCGAGACGGGTCTAATTGACAGTCTTCCCAGAAGGGGGGGGGGTCTGGTCAGCGGGAACGCATTTTTGTGCGGAGAGCCTCTGGACCTAGTTTTTTTTTAAAGGAAAAATTGAAAAATTGAAGGGTTTCAAGCTTTTTTCAGGTACGAAACGGTCTACAGAACCTTGACAGATCTCTAAAATTGATAAAGACTTCAGTGTTATCAGTGCTCTGGAAGGCACTATCCGATCCGGTGGATCCACAAATGTTTCATCGGCCAAAGCTCGAATCTTAGACCGTCTGGTCGTGAAACTGTAACGTAACAACATTGTTTTTCGGAAATTTCCGAAAATCTCACGAAAACCTTCAACTTTAAGGGTCAGTGAGCTGCCGGACCACTGTCCCCACTATCCTTGACGTGTTTTAGAGGTCTAGACCGTCTAAGGATGCCGTTTGGAAATGGATAATCGCGCTTTTTGAAAGATTATCAGTTATTAGCACATGATAGCACTTACAACCACGAAAATCGGCATCCCGGTCCGTGGTTATGGTAGAATCGGCGGTGAGACCGAGAAAAACGGGCGTCGAGGCTTCGAAACACACAATTATAGACGTAGATTACGGTAAGGTAGAGACGGACGGAACGCAAATGAGCGCGCAGGGTACGGAGACCCCTCGATCGATCCATTTTTCCGAGTGCACTACGGTACGGCCGAGTATTTGCCGGGACGTCGACGAGAGCGAGGTCAAATGGAGGAGCGAGAGAGTGAGAGAGAGAGGAGAGGGAGTACGGTAGGCGAGGAGAAATGCGACGAACCGAGGAGCAGATGGACGCGTTGAGGAGAACGGGACGACGAGTGAACGGTATCATGGACAGACACACGAATTGATGATAACGTTCTATTGAAACTGCTTGAAAAGTTGGGTTTGTAATTCTCAAAACCGTCTATTCAAAGCACTGTATCTCGGCTGTTTGTGCAGATATTAAAAAGTTGTCAACTAGCGAATTGATCTACATAAAATTGTGCACATTTTCTCAATTGACACCTTTTTTGTATCTCTACCGGCAACTGAGATATATGCATTTGAATAAACTGTGTGTGTGTGATGATGACGTCGTTGAACATTATTAGTCCGTGTTAACATTTTTAACCACCTATTTTTTTTCTGTCTACTCACAAATTCATTTGCGAAGAAAATCACGGTTTCAAACAGAGCAGTTTACGAAATTTGAAGTTTGACAAGTGCTGGCCGAGGATTTTCCTAGGCCACCAGGTAAATCGAGTGCGGAGAAGCGCGCGCTTTCCGGTTTTTTTTTGGGAATTGAAGAATAAAACATCATTAACATTGCGTTCCGTTCATCTTCCGTCCGATTCTCTAAAAAAAGAGCACATTGTTGAGAGAACACGACAATATCAAAACTTGCAAAGTTCTCGTTCATTTTGATTTCGGAGACTTGTAGGCGGAGAGAATCGGATAATAATTCGTTTGATATCACGTTGGCATCAGAGTTGAGAGGAAATGGAATTTTGAAATCCGGAAGACAGTAGACGGCAGACGGAAGAATATTTTTTTTACGGAACACGGAAAACGGAAGATGGAAGGACATTTTTCTCACGGAAGACGGAAGAAAACTTTTTTCCCGAAATACGGCAGACGGAAGACGGAACAAAAAATCCACGGAAGACGGAAGACGGAAGACGGAATTCTGCTCAACTCTGGTTGGCCTCCAAAAGCGACCGACACGAACATCCGAACCAATTGTGAAATTTGTGAGTGCGATGAAAGTTCGCTCCATCGAACAAACGTGAATTTTCAGTTAACAAAAAGTTATGGTCTACTTGCTGAACACGAAAAACCAAAAACGATCGATGCACCTTACGTTTGAATAAATCTACTGTTGAAAAAAAAAAGTTTCGACATTGGAATCGAAGCTGGCAGCGTGCCAAGGCCCGGCCTCCCAAACGCATATGCTGCGCGCCATTGTTGCAACATTGCCGCACGCTTTATTGTTCTTCGTTTTTGTCTTTATTTTTCGGCTAAAAATCAGCAGAAATTTGGTTTTTTCCCATTTTTTACCACTATTTATTCATTTCAATCGGCTTTTGCTATAAAAAATCAACTTCGAAAACAGATTTATCGATTTTTAGCTTGAATTTTCGAACATTTCTTGATTTTGTGTTTTTCTCCCTTCGATTTCGTTGAATTTGAGAATTTTCAGGATTTCCACCTACGGAAAAGTCGAACAAGCAACAAAAGGGCATGGATTTCTTCTTTTCGTGTTAGTTTTTGACGTAACAATAATTTTCTCTCCGATCAACGTTTACAGACTCCACTCCTCCGCCGTCTTCTCCACTCCGCCGTCAGCACACAACGGTATACAAAAACTTGTCGTATTAGTTTGAAGAGGAACGAAGATATTTTCTCTCCGACCGTTTTTCCAAAGTCCGTGGACGCTTCAAACCGGAAAAAAGGAGAAGAAAATTGAATATCATTGATAATACCATTCTTACACTTGTCATGTCATTTAATTTATTGGAGAACGTTATAAATACATCTAAAATAAGTGTTATTAGTGCCAATCATCCAACGGGAGAATTCTTCAACTTTCCGTTGTGTGCTGACGGCGGAGTGGAGAAGACGGCGGAGGAGTGGAGTCTGTAAACGTTGATCGGAGAGAAAATTATTGTTACGTCAAAAACTAACACGAAAAGAAGAAATCCATGCCCTTTTGTTGCTTGTTCGACTTTTCCGTAGGTGGAAATCCTGAAAATTCTCAAATTCACCGAAATCGAAAGGAGAAAAACACAAAATCAAGAAATGTTCGAAAATTCAAGCTAAAAATCGATAAATCTGTTTTCGAAGTTGATTTTTTATAGCAAAAGCCGATTGAAATGAATAAATAGTGGTAAAAAATGGGAAAAAACCAAATTTCTGCTGATTTTTAGCCGAAAAATAAAGACAAAAACGAAGAACAATAAAGCGTGCGGCAATGTTGCAACAATGGCGCGCAGCATATGCGTTTGGGAGGCCGGGCCTTGGCACGCTGCCAGCTTCGATTCCAATGTCGAAACTTTTTTTTTTCAACAGTACATGTTTTTTTTTGAACACTCGCGGACTGGGGGACTAGAAAATTCTTCTTCCAGAGCTTACGACACCTTTATTCAGAAGACAGTTCAAAATCTATAATTCCAAGTCATATTCGCATTTGGATAGTAGTAATCATGGTGCATCGGCTGGGGAGCTTCAGTAGATTGATACGTTTGCGGATATCCAGTTGGGTCCATGGTCCATGGTCCCGCCGGTTGTCGCTGCGAATCATAGTCCAAAGGCTGAACAGACGGGACCACTGGGACCCGCTTTTTGCCGGTTCTCGTCCAAGGCGTGTACTTGTTCATGTTCCCTTTCAGTTTTCCCATTTGTTCGTTCTGAAAAATGAAACTGGCTGGTGATATGGTCCAGAGATGTTGGGAATAAAAATTTTACTCTACGGAACACGGAACACGGAAAACGGAACATTTTTTTTTTACGGAACACGGAACACGGAAAAGGGAAAAAGCTTATTTCTACGGAACACGGAACACGGAACACGGAAAAAATATTGCAAAAAAACGCGGAACACGGAACACGGAACACGGAAATTTTTTTTTTACGGAACACGGAACACGGAAAAAATATTGCAAAAAAACGCGGAACACGGAACACGGAACACGGAAATTTTTACGGAACACGGAACACGGAAAAAAAATATTGCAAAAAAACGCGGAACACGGAACACGGAACACGGAATACGGAACACGGAACACGGAAGAAATATTGCAAAAAAACGCGGAACACGGAACACGGAACACGGAACACGGAATTCCCAACATCTCTGATATGGTCCCTAAGAGTTCGCTCGCTCGTACCTTGTAAGATGTCACTGGTAAAAACTCCAAAACCTTGAAAACAAACTCGTTTTTCGCCACTTTCCGATACCATTCTCCGTTTTTCACGACTTTTGTCACACACACAATTGGCGCGTACTTGAATCCGGTGAGCACGAGCACCTGCAAGTGATATTGTGAATGTACGCTTTTTTGCAGAATGCCCCCCCACCGTATTCTCGTCCTTGGCTTTCGGATTATTGGTCAGTTTGATCGAAAACTCGACTCCATTCCTCATCAGTTCTTCGGCTGTTCGCACACTTTTATGGACAACCGGATCCGCGTCCGCTTCGTCGAGTTCCGATTCGATTTCTCTCCAATTATTGCTCGCCGCACACCATTTGAACCTGAAAAATCGTCGTAAAATTGGAAAACAACACTGCGAAAATGTCGCGCCTCGTCTGTCCGCCGGTGCGCTTGAATTTCATTGATACAATGTAGGAGAAGTTGGTGTCCAAGTCGAAAAACGAAAAATTCGGCGCTGGCATCATTGGTTTACCATCGCCACTCACAATTTGTTCCAGCGTTAACGATTCGAACGGATAGTAGTCCGAATCGTTGGAGAGCATTATTTTAGGAGCAATGCTCATTTTTTTAGAGAGTTGTGAAAGGATAAATGAATTTGAACAAACGATACAGTAATCCATGTGGGCGGGCTTGAAAGTATACTGTATGGTATACTTTTCAGTATACTGTACCTTCAAGACATTGTATCTCAGTTGCGGGTGGAGATATCAAAAAATTGTCAACTGATAAAATGTTTTTTTCTGAAGAGAGAAAGTATTTATTATCATTCAATTCCTTCCGACAACTCCCAAAATGTGAAAGAACATGGTGAGAATGTCGACGAAGACGTGTGTGGCGGCGAAAATGTACTCTTCCGGAGAGATTTCGACACGACGACCGCCCATTATCATCTGAATGAGCATTACTGTAGCGTTTCCAGGGTTACTGTACTTGCCTGCACATCAATCGCCAAGTAGAACATGCATAAAAGTGCGCCAAGGGCCGAGTAGACAATATTCAGAAAGTACCACTGTAAAACGACGACAAAAATGATCGTCATCAATCCGAACATGATCAGACACATTCCGAGGATGAATGCGATTCCGAGACATCTACAAGGGGTTACTGTAGCGGGTTACGGTAGTACGTGGACACCTACGAAGTCAGGTCTTTGCTGGTTGTGGCCGCGAAAACGATGATAGACGCACTGCAGAGCGTGGTGATCAGCAGCGCGATCATTACCGATTCGACCGAGTAGTGCGCCGTTATGAACATGGTCATTGTGGCGGCCGAGAGCGTCTGGGCGAGGAAAAATGCATGAGAATCGTGCGCAAAAATGGACGAAAACGCGACTTACGAAGACGGTGAGCACGATGAGATTGCACGGAAAGCAGCGACGGATCGATTGGCAGCAGACTAGCGTCAGGTAGAACACAAAGTAGACCGCCCTGGAAGGTAGCGAACGGGTCGAGCACAAACACTTTCATGCCGCGTCCAAAGTCTCGGAAACGCCGCAAATCTCGCGGATTTTGCAGTCCAAAGTCGGCAGAAATTTACGGGAAATCCGGGGTGCGCACAGCTGAACGAGTGTTACCGTACACCATAAAACTACGGTATTTTTTGAAAAAATTTAAATTTCTCGAGAATATTTGAAAATTTTCAAATTTCTTGGGTAAATTTTCAACGGTATTTTTTGCAAAAATTTAAATTTCTCGCGAGAATATTTGAAAATTTTCAAATTTCTTGGGTAAATTTTCAACGGTATTTTTTGAAAAAATTTAAATTTCTCGCGAGAATATTTGAAAATTTTCAAATTTCTTGGGTAAATTTTCAACGGTATTTTTTGAAAAAATTTAAAAGGCAATGTCTGAGAAGTTCAAATACTGCAGGTCACTAAAAATTCAGAATGCTTCAATTTGTCCCATATTATACCCAATGGGTACTTACATAACAGTCATACATCAGACAAGTTTTGGTCCGGCTCCGTGGTCCCTAGTCCGATCACGGTCACAAACAAGGTCAAACCTGTAACTAATTTCAAAAAAATACTAGCGTCTCAAACTCAACGCCATTGGATTCTTCGCATCTTTTTGAGTATATTTCATGTTGGCACCAAAAATTTGGCACCCCTCCTTTATGGAGAACAAAATTGGTTTGTGACATTTTTCAGAAAATGTTTCAGTTTTCTGCTCGTCCTGAAAAATTTTAACACTACATAGCCATGATTTTATTGCTGATTCTGAATCTAGACGTTATTGTGCTTCTGCAAAAAAAAAGTTCACCCCGATCCCGATTGACATCAAGGGGTTTTTTGGCCGAAATTCGCAAAATTTAGAGTACTTTTGCATGGAAAAATGTTCGCGAACTTGAGAAAAGTGCGTTTTTCTCAATTTTTCAAAGGGGCCTGATCGCGATATTTGTTGTTTTTCGTATACTTTTTAGGCATTCTTGATTTTTTTGAAGCATTTCGAAAATTAATTTTTTTCTCGAAAATTTTTGTCATGACCCCCGGGTCGACGACTTGGTCTAATTTTTTTATTAATTTTTCAAAAATGCTTCCAAAAAAATCGAGAATGCCTAAAAGTATACGAAAAACAACAAAAATCGCAATCAGACCCCTTAGAAAAATTGAGAAAACGCACTTTTCTCAAGTTCGCGAACATTTTTTTCCATGCAAAAAGTACTACGAATTTTGTGAACTTCGGCCTAAAAACCCCTTGATGTCAATCAGGATCGGGGTGAACTTTTTTTTTGCCGAAGCACAATAACGTCTAGATTCAGAATCAGCAATAAAATCATGGCTATGTAGTGTTAAAATTTTTCAGGACGAGCAGAAAACTGAAAAATGTTCTGAAAAATGTCATAAAACAATTTTTTTCTCCATGAAGGAGAGGTGCTAAATTTTTGGTGCCAACATGAAAAATGCTTAAAAAGATGCGAGAAATCGAATGGTGTTGAGTCTGAGACGCTAGAATTTTTTTGAAATTAGTTACAGTTTTTACCTCTTTTGGGATCGTGATCGGACTAGGGACCACGGAGCCGGACCAAAACTTGTCTGATGTATGACTGTTATGTAAGTACCCATTGGGTATAATATGGGACAAATTGAAGCATTCTGAATTTTTAGTGACCTGGTGTAATTAGCGAATTTCGAGGTTCTCAGACATTGCCTTTTAAATTTCTCGAGAGAATATTTGAAATTTTTCCCATTTCTTGGGTAAATTTTCAACGATATTTTTTTAAAAAATTTAAATTTCTCGCGAGAATATTTGAAAATTTTCAAATTTCTTGGGTAAATTTTCAACGGTATTTTTTGAAAAAATTTAAATTTCTCGAGAGAATATTTGAAATTTTTCCCATTTCTTGGGTAAATTTTCAAAAAATACCGTGGTTTTATGGTGTACGGTAACACTCGTTCAGCTGTGCGCACCCCGGATTTCCCGCAAATTTCTGCCGACTTTGGACTGCAAAATCCGCGGGATTTGCGGGTTTTCCGAGACTTTGAACGCGGCATCAGGAATGTCAAATAATGATGAGAATTGGTGCTCACATGGACACGTAGGTCAGCCACCAGTACTCGTGACACCACTCTGCAAAATCTTTGCTGATGATCGGAACCGACGAGAAGCCGGCGGTGACTGCGAACTGAAAATTGGGGACCGTCCAAACCAAGTGGTTTCGCGTGCGCATACCATAAGAGTGACGAGTGCGAACACTTTTCGGATGAAGCCCGCACGCACACTTTGATCGCTGAACGCGTTCTCTTATGAATGGCTCAATCGGGTGCGGCACTCACTCGAAACTCAGCCGATGCACCATCACAATCTGCACCGCCGCCGCCTCCTCCTGCTCTTCCGGATCGCTTTTCCGCTGATTCCGCCGACTCGTCTCGCTTTTCTTCTCCTCCTCCTCCTCCTCCTCATCTACTCCGGAAGCGAAGCGGTACGGTGTTGCTTGGAAAAAATCGTCCATTTTTGTGAGATTTTTGTTGTTAGTGTCGGTTAGAATCCGCGAGAAATGAGTGCGTGCGGGAATCGAATTAGGCGAGTGGGGCGTTTGAAAAGCGGGGATACGGGGGCACGTGGCTAAATTTGAGAAAAAAATGGTTTCTTTTTTTTTTGCACAGTCTGCTAGGCGCTGCTGCGCCACCCGTGCTACCTATCAATCTCAACACCAAAGTTCGATCCCGCCCGTGGTCATTTCTCTTTTGCCAACGTTTGTCAGCTGTCCTCGTTTTTTTCCGGGCCTCGGAGTCCTGAGGACCGCTCAAAAACAAGCGAAGAGTGTTCGTCTCTGCGTCTCCGTGTGCACTTGCCCTCTGCGTCTCTGAAACGAGGAATCCATCAGCCGTGCGGGGCGAATAAATATCTGTCGTTTTTTCGTTTTTTCGCTTCTCTCTCTCTCTCTCGCTTTTCCGCTCGATTCTTTTCATGTTTTGCCTTCCTCTTTCCCCGCCAACCAACTGACCGTGAGACGGGCGGCTCCTCAATGTTTTTAACGGAGTTTTGGAATTCTGAGAAACCTAAACTATTGAGCATTTAAATTTGATGTCAAAACCATTTTTTTCCGTCCGCACGGTCTCCAGAGCTGACAATGGGCGCAATAGAGCGATACATTGGCGCGAAATTCAAATTTTAACAGCAAAATTTGTGTTTTTTGCCAGATTAGCCACGAAAAACCGATAATTTCTCATTTTTCTCTCGATAGACCGATTGTATAGGCTATTACGAATTTTTTAAGCGCAAAAGCGTTAAATTTGGTCAAGTCGCAAATCACATTTGTCCGTTTGAAGGTTTTTGGCTAAAACTGCGTGAATTGAAATTTGCTTTTCGGTAATTTTCGCGGTTCGAGCGCTCAAAATGCTTGTATTTACGTGATTTATCATTCTGAAAACCAATTCTGTGTGAAAACGATCAAGAAAGCGCAAAATGAGAAGTGCGGTTTTTAAGCGGCGAAGGCGAAAAAGCAAAGTCCGCGAAAAATGCGCCAAAACGTCATTAATTCTGAGAATTAGTGTGTTTTCATGTCGAACAATCATTTTTCATCGCCTTTGACCACAAAAATCAGAGAAAACCTGCTCAATCCATGAAAACACCATTTGACCGAGGCCACGCTCATATTGTCAGCTCTGAAGACCGTGATGAGCATTTAAATTTGATGTCAAAATCATTTTTTTTCCGTCCAAATACGCGCCCGCATTGAAATCGACGTTTTTTCAAGTGTTTACAGTTTCGTATACATTTCTAGTAGATCAATGCATCTCGATGTATCATTGGAAATCGTTTTTCCTTTTTTTCCACTAATTTTTCATTTCCCAGAACTAGCAATTCGATCGAAATGTCGACTCCAGTGCAACCGTCCTCTCCGCCAAGTACGCCCACAAAAAAAAGCGCCCGCTCGTTCTCGGGCCAAACGACCGCCGCGAACACTGCGTGCATCTGCGGAAATGTTCCGATTGGTAATCGACTCAAAAATTGTGATATTGACCATTTCGAGCGGGTTTCTTTTCAGCACTTTCTGCGAACACTCTTGCGGACACGCTCAAAGTTTCGCCGCTTTACAAGCAACAAGAGTGAGTTTTCAACGGATCATTCTTTCTCACAAACATCGTCTTGTTCATCATCATTTCACGGAACCCCAGCCCCTTCCAATAAGAAATTCCCTTGGCGCAATTCACGTGCGCTAAACAAGGCGCGTAACGCGTAATTTCGGAGCGTCGTTGTAGAGTTTCTCATTTCAATTTTCCCTTTTTTTGCATTATCCCCATCTTTTCAGAACCAATCAGTGTCAAAACTTATGATAATGATTAGAAATGAATAAAAATAAAATTTTAACTGCTTCGTCATCAATTTCGAAACGTTTTATGTGAAAATTACAGAATTTTTTTCCTGTTGGAATCGAAAATTTGCCTCAATTATCTCAATTCTGTATATTTTTCGACGGTTGAGCGCTTAAAAGATGCGCAATAAACTCCTTGTTGACTGGACGGTTCGAATGCCAGTGTCCGAACTCGATTCGGCAAATAATCGTTAAAACTCCGTTTTCTTTTCCGTAGTTTTCGACAAAATCCCTCAATTTGGTCAATTCTGAACGAATCTGCTCCGTTTCGCTCTTAAATCGATGCTTTTAACTCACACAATCGCCCCACGGTTCGCAAAGAACAAAATTTGAGTGTTTATTAAGAGAAAAACGAAAGAATTCTGGGTTTCAATTGAAAAAAGAAACTCCGAGCCGACGGTGGATGCAAGCGCGCCCCATTGACAACTTGTTTGCGCATTGGAATGCTGGGGTTCCGTACATTTTTCTTCTGCTCTACTAGAATTATAAACAAAACAATGTTTACTATATTTCAGTTCGGCGCGATGGAACGCGGCCGCCCAAGTGTACCGCACTTCGCGGGCCGTCTCGCCGACTTTGGAAGAAAAGGAAAAGTTTGCGTTCGATGTGACCAACACGTATATTAATCAGATGATCAGCCCGAAAATGTCCATTCCCAAGTGAGCGTGCGGCTGATTTTGTCCCATTTTTTGATTTTTTACAGAACACCGATTTCGCTGGAAGAAATTGCGGATATGAATAGAAAGCGGCACGAAGTGGTGGGTCACTTTACTCAAAACGATTTATCTCAGCAGCGGGTTGAGATATCAAATAGTTGTCAACTAATGAAATGTTCATCAGGAAATTTTGTACATTTTTTCTGTTGACCACATTTCGATATCTCTACAAACAGCTGAGATACAAACACACACGTTTATTGTCAAATTTCCAGGAGGGGGGAGTGATTTCTCCGCGCGGAGGCGTCGGTCCCTTGGAGTTGGAGGCTATTGCGGCCGTGCACGAGTTGGCGCATGAAGTGCAGGACATAAGTGTGTCCGAGATGCTTCCGAGGACCAGTGATCTCATTTTTGTGAACGTCAAAACGCAGGAAGGTCAGCTCTAGTCGCTTTTTCATTTTTCTGCTCACCAATAGTTTTGCGAAGAGGTCTGTAATGGTTTTTCTGTTGCAACTAGACGATAAACACAGTTTGAAACGAGTTTTCGATGAGATTTCGCTATGATCGATGATGAAAAGTATCCTGCAGGCTCCCCGTACACCCTGGAGTTGACGATGAAGGGCTGGCGAATCGCCTCCTCGCACACGGACTGTATGAACGGCGATTATACCAAAGTACGTTTCTGTTCTCTGTTGAAAATCTGAAAATCGTGTCAAACCAGGTCCAAATAACGTTTTTTCAGATCTCTCTGCACACAAAGTACTACCGTAACGCCCGCGAACTGCTCAAATTCATCTCGCCGGACCACACGACTCGTTTCAATGAATGCGTCGCCGAAAAGTTGAATAGACTCGCTCAGGTACCGTAATCTCATGTCTAATCGCTTTTAAAGACTGATTTTCAGGTTGCTCAGTAGATAAATGCTCGGCGGAGATGGTTTTTAGCTTGACACGCATATGAATGTGCCTTTGTAATGTAAGGAATGGGTGTGTTCGGTTAAATTCAAAATAAATGCTCAAGTTTTGTGTTCTCTTCTCGGTTTTCTCGATTTTCTTCAAAACCCGCTCTCCACCCACTACTATCGGAACGTTTGGAGCAGACTTGCCAGATTACGGGCCGGGCCGGGCCGAAAATTTGCTGGCCCGGCCCGGACGGCCCGGCTCAAAAGGCGCGAATTCAAATTTTTGGGGGAAATCTATTTTTTCGTTTTTTTTTTGCGGGAATCAAAATTAAAACTTTTGCTTTTAATAATAACTCATTTATTCTCTTCAGCCACCTAGGAATAAAATTACAACAAAAAAGAAAGAAGAGAAAAAAAGAGGGGGAATGTGGGTGGGGAAGGAACAATGGCTTGACATGACCATTGGCCGGCAGTAGCCAGAGGTCAGTTAGAATACAAAAAGCTAGGGGGGATCTTCTCGATGCGCGCCGCGAAGGCCTCAGAGGACAGTCTTTCGGGAAACAACTTGGCCACTCGGTTCCAAAGGGCAAGATGGGTATGTAAGAAAGAGTCATGGGGTAGGCCAAGGGAGGATAGAAGGTACGGGTGACGGGGGGAGACGCCGGGTTTGTGCGAGATTATGTTGTGGAATGTTCTGAGAATAAGAAGAACCCTTCTGTGGAGTATCGATTTTGAATTAGATTGACTGAGACGGTCGCTATAGGAGGAGAACCGCATGTTACATCTTTGGAAGACTCTTCTACTGAAAAATCTAAGGGGAGACTCTAATTTGCTGGAGAGGGATGTCGATGAGGGATGGAAAAGTTCACAGCCGTACTCGAGAATGGGTCTGACGTAAACGTTGAAAAGTTTAAAGTAGAGACTGGGGTTCGAGGAGCGAAAGGCTTTCAGAATTTGTTTGCATTTCAAGAGGGCGGTATTGCTAACTATTGTGATATGCTTATCGAATTTGAGCTTGTCGTCTATCCAGATGCCGAGGTCCTTAACGGAATCTTTTGATTCGATTTCGATGCCATTTGATGCCAATAAAAACTATGTTTGAGAACTACATTTCTTTTTTATGCTCGATACTTGCAATATTCGTTAGTTCTACGAAAAACAAACATTTTATTTAATCAATAGTTCAAAATTTGGATTCCCGCTTTTTGAACCGGGCCGACCGGGCCGGAGTTTTGAAAATTTTGGCCCGGCCCGTGGCAACTCTGGTTTGGAGCGGAAGAACTCAATAACACGAGAGAATTTTTATCTTTTTTAGAAAATTTTTTCATGGAATGTGATCAACTGACGAAATGTATAGCAAAGTGAACTGTGCTCATAGAAAAATAATTGTGAATTTAGCTTTTCATACAAAAAAGATATTCGAGTTGTTCCGTGAATAAAGGGCAAACGAATAACAACTCGCGTAACTTTTTTGTATGAAAAGCTAAATTTACAATTATTTTTTTATGAGCACAGTTCATTTTGCTATACATTTCGTCAGTTGAGCACATTTCATGAAAAAATTTTCTAAAAAAGATAAAAATTGTTGAGTTCTTGCGCTCAACTCTGATCCTCACCCCAGAAGGGCGCTTAACTATTGTATGTCGAGCCAAACAAAACGTAGATTGACAATACATCGACACGACAAGTTTATAAACGTACAAAAAGAGTATGACAAGAAGGGTACAATTGAGAGATCGAATGGTATTCCTGCAAGTTTCCCACTACGTCCTCGATCCAGCGAGAATTTCTTCTTCTCCTCCTCCAAAAAGAGGTTCAAAGCGCCTCAATACGCCTAACCGTATTGTAAACTTCGTTCAAAAGCCGCATATAAGTGCCGCAAAGCTCGCCGGTGCCCGTTTTGAGTCCATTCGACAGATATGTGATGGCGAGTCCCGATTGCGAGTCCATGTGCACGAATTGGCCGCCGTAGCCCGGATGGCCGAATGTGAACGATCCCTGCAGGGGGGGCATCATGAGGATTGCGACAATATTTGAGCAAGTTTTGCTCTATTTGTTTGTAGCGTTTCTCGGAGAGCGGTCACCACGACACTAGACGGAACTTTGTAGCCGTGTTGGTATAGTTTTGGTCGAAAGTTCACATTTTTTAGAGGAGCAATGTATCTCAGCTGCCGTTGGAGATATCAAAAAGTTGTCAACTAAGAAAATGTACAAAATATCCCGATGAACATTTTCGCAGTTGACAACATTTTGCAATCTCCACTCGCCGCTGAGATACGTTGTCTTGAAGTCCAAACGTGATTTTTCGAGAAAAAGTCCAAAAACCAACCGGTACAAGTGGATGTTTCTCGTAAAAGAAGCCGTGTCCCTTCATCACCGGCCATATTGTCACTTTTTCGAGATGCCAGCTGTTGAGGGTCGGTGTGGAGAGTTGCGAGAGTGTTGTGTTCGAGATTAGTTCCTGGAAATGGATTCGGATCTTGGATGGGTAAATTTACAAAAAAAAAACGAGGATATTTGAACAATATTTGAGACAACAGACCTTTTCCACAATCATCGACAATAGTCGTGAGACGTCTCGCGCGTTTGCGACTGCTGTAACGGCCGGAAGGTTCAGTGACACGATTTCCGGATCGTTCAGCACCATCGTGTCCTGATTTCATCAAAACTATTCGAAAAACGGGCTAAAACTACTCACATAATTGACCTGAAGCCAATCGGGATTCGATCTCATCTTCTCCAAAACCGAATCGAACCGAACGTACATAAAAAAGAGCATGACGAGAATTTTCGGGTCCTTGATGATGTCGCGCGTGAACTCCCACAACGACGGCATCGTCAATCGCGCCAGAAACGGCGCCTCGGGCTTTCGGGCTCCGATTTGAATGTCGAGGCCGTGCGGCGCCGCGATTTCCTCCTCGAAGAACGTGCGAATGTCTCTGCCACGCGCATCGACTTTTCGCACGAGCCCGTCGAGGATGAAGCCGAAAGTGACGGCGTGGTAGCCGGAAGCGGTGCCCGGCGTCCACGCTGGCACCGAGTTCTCCACTTTCTGCATCATTTTCATGCCGTTCTTCACGTCCGATATGGAAATGCGCTCGGAAAGGTAGGGAAGACCGGCCTAGAACTTGTTCTGTTGCAAAGAAATTGCACTATCACGGCGACCAAAAGTGTAGAAAGGGGCGTGGCCTAATCTGAGACGCGTTTTCTGAAAATTGCCGCAATTCCAGCACTTTTCCGATATTTTTATGTTTGATATCGACGTAAGAGGACATTAATGTGAGAAAACATTGAAATTTTCGTGAAAACGCCGCGTTTGAGACGTTTTTGGCATATTTCGCAATACGCTCTCCGCGGCCAATCGCCGCCGTAATTTCGGAATTTTCATACCGGCCGATGTGGATAGTTTTGAGACGAAGTGAGTGTCGAAAGTGATTAAGCACGTTAATACAAGTATTTTAAGCGTTCAAACGGCAAAAAGTATCGGCGAATGACTGAAATTCGCGCATTTTCAGCACAAAACTTGAAAATCGATTCAATTGATTCATTTCCGAATGAAACCTGCTGGTTTTAAGCTCAAAAAGTGCGCTATGATTAGTTTAACAAAGTTATGCAATTACATCGTCGAAATCGTACAAAATTTGGGTAATTTTTGACGAAAAACGTGAAAAATGGGGTTAAATTTCGAATTTCGCGCCAAAATGGTGATAAACCGTGCACGTTAGGCCCCACGCCCTTTTCTACGTTTTTGGTCGCCGTAGCTATATCTATTTTCCGATTACCTTATGGCTCAACACATCCTCGACAGTCGTCGCGTTTTTTCCGTACCGCCCGTATTCGGGCCAGTAATCGACGACGCGGTCCGCGTAGCTCAACATTCCACGATCGACGAGCACCGCGATCACTATTGAGCTGATAGCCTAGGAAAAGCAGACTTGCGAAATTACGGGCCGGCTCAAAAGGCGCGAATTCAAATTTTTTCGTTTTTTTTTTGCGGGGATCAAAATTTAAAAAAAAACTACGACACTCCGACATTACGGTCGCGCGCGCTCTTTAGCCATTTTTTTCCAACTTTCGGATTATTATACTGAATTTTTATATAAAAATTTTATCGAATTTGCCAATAAAAACTATTTTTGAGAACTACATTTCTTTTTTATGCTCGATACTTGCAAAATTCGTTAGTTCTACAAAAAAACAAACATTTTATTTAATCAATAGTTAAAAATTTGGATTCCCGCTTTTTGAACCGGGACGGGCCGGGCCGGAGTTTTGAAAATTTCGGGCCGGCCCGGAGCGCGCGGCTCCGAAAACGTGTGTTTCGACTCACTTTTGAGGCGGAGAACATGACCGACTTTGTGTCTTGCTGCCATCGTCTTCGGGACTCTTTATCCGCGTAGCCACCCCACACATTCACCACCTCTCTTCCTTTGTAGAAGACGGCGAACGCGGCACCCTCGCGCTCCTCGCCTTGTCCGAAATTTCGTCTGAAACTTGAACTACTTGAACGAGTCACAGTCATGATGAATGAACGCACCGAAACGCGTCCAAAACGTTTCGAAAGCGCTCGTCGACGTATCCGCTCACATCGTCGTCGTTCACGTACGGAGTGAGCCAACACGAGAGGAACGGCTGCACAACGAACGGAATCGCGATCAGGTACAAACAGCCGAGCGTGTCGAAATCGAAACGCATGCTGAAAGTGTTCAAATGTCTACGAGAAAGAGGCGAACTAGTTGGACAACAAGAAAACCGATAAAATCAATTCTTTGTAGTCTTTGAGAGGTGGGGGGTCAAAAAGGGCGGCGCTTGAAAATTGTGTGTGTGTGTAGTAGCAAACAATTGGAAGGTAGCCAAATAACAGCGAGAATACAAAAATGTTGTGTAGAAACGGAAAGAGCCTTGGGGGGGAGAGGACGAACCGAACTTTTGGCTGATAAGATTGTGTTTGGGTAAGGAAATAGAAAGACGAGGAGAAAGTGCAAGAGAGAAACGAGTAGTGGAGCATGTGACCGATCATAGGATGGTTCATTTTTTCTAAAAAAAAAATGGTTTCGGACGTTCATCAAAGTAGGGAGTAATCAAGGCGATTTGAAAAAGCCGTTTCTGTTTCAAAATGTACATTTATCAGCACTCAATGAACCTTTTGCTAGTGCTCCTACTGAAACACTATCACGGTCGATTATATTATCAATTGGATTCGAGACACCGGGACTCACTGTTCTTTCCTCTCAACACAACGTCATTTCGTTATCATTTTCGAGTAGACTTCCAGATAAAATGCGTGATTTGAGGCATAAATTAGGTTGGGTGAATGTTATTTTCCAGCTCTCGTCACAGACTGTAGGCGAACGCTTATGCCGCGTCCAAAGTTTCGGAAACGCCGCAAATCACGCGGATTTTGCAGCCAAAAGTCGGCAGAAATTTGCGGGAAATCCGGGGTGCGCACAGCTGAACGAGTGTTACCGTACACCATAAAACTACGGTATTTTTTTGAAAAAAATTTAAATTTCTCGAGAGAATAATTGAAATTTTTTTCAAATTTTTTGGGTAAATTTTTCAACGGCATTTTTTTGAAAAAAATTTAAATTTCTCGAGAATATTTGCAATTTTTTTCAAATTTCTTGAGTAAAGTTTCAACGGTATTTTTTTGAAAAAAATTTAAATTTCTCGAGAGAATATTTGAAAAATTTTTCAAATTTCTTGGGTAAATTTTTCAACGGCATTTTTTTGAAAAAAATTTAAATTTCTCAAGAGAATATTTGAAAAATTTTTCAAATTTCTTGGGTAAATTTTTCAACGGTATTTTTTTGAAAAAAAATTTAAATTTCTCAAGAGAATATTTGAAAATTTTCAAATTTCTTGGGTAAATTTTTCAAAAATACCGTAGTTTTTATGGTGTACGGTAACACTCGTTCAGCTGTGCGCACCCCGGATTTCCCGCAAATTTCTGCCGATTTTGGACTGCAAAATCCGCGAGATTTGCGGGTTTTCCGAGACTTTGGGCGCGGCATTAGGATCTAGTTATATGGTTTTTGAAGCACAGAATGTTGAATCGAAAAGATTCACAATAGCGAGTGGAATTCGCGCTTTATACAAAACCAGTGTCACGAGTTTTGGCAGGCAACAACTAAAGTTCTTTGTTATCGTGTGACACGGTTTCTTTTCAACTTTGCCACGTGGCTTTCAGTTTCTACAAAGTGTCAATTTGATTGAATGCGGATAAATTTGTTTCAAAATGCGTCTCGTCTCTGAAGGTTGAATAGTAAAATAAAATTATTTAAACTAAACTAAAATCACACTTGGCTGAAACTGAACTTTTCCAAACAAAAAAACAAAAAAACAAAGAGTACTGTAGCACGTGGAAGTTCGGAAGAGCATGCGCACTCAAAATTGTGGGTACCACTGATCATTAGTTTAATGAGGCAATTTCATTTCTATATAAATATATATCGAAGACTTGAAACTGATATTCTTCAATGCCTTCCTTCTTTTTGATACAGGCAAAACATGTGATACCGAACTTTGTGTGCATTGTTAAAGTTCAGAAAGACCCGATGCATCATGGGATGTTTTGTAGGGCCAACAATCATAAGACCGGGAAGAGTTTGCTGGAAATTGTAGCAACTTGTTCTGTTTCAGCAGGACCACAATATAATCTGAAATGGGTTTTCAAAGTTTCTGTTAAGAAAACTTTTTAGGCAACGTATAGAGTTGAGCGGAAATGGAATTTTGAACTCTGGAAGACGGCAGACGGAAGACGGAAGAACATTTATTTTACGGAACACGGAAAACGCAAGACGGAAGAACATTTATTTTACGGAACACGGAAAACGGAAGACGGAAGAACATTTATTTTACGGAACACGGAAGACGGAAGACGGAAGAACATTTATTTTACGGAAGACGGAAAACGGAAGACGGAAGAACATTTATTTTACGGAACACGGCAGACGGAAGACGGAAGAACACAAGACGGAACAAAAAAATCGTCAATACAGAACCTTTTTCTGCGTTTAAAAAAAAACACAGCAACAAAAATTTTGAAAACTATTACTCTTTGAAAAAAGCCAAAAAAAAATATATATATATAGAAGAAAAAATCCCGAAAGACGGAAGACGGAAGACGGAAGACGGAATTCCAATCAACACTGATCAACAGGGATAAAATGAAGAAATGAGACAAAAAGTGTGTCGAGCTAGATAGAAACTTCCGGCTTTCCCCCCTTCTCTTCATTCATACGTCCCTCAATTTTCACTCATCCAATATGACGCTCTACGTTTTCTCATTGAACTTTTGAAACTGATCTCATGAATATTCTCACATTTTCCCAACTCTCTGAACCGAAAAATCTTTGAAAACGTTGCACACAGGATCAAACATCGACGGCGGCCTCACCGGATTTGTTATGGACCGAGGCTTTTCGCGGATTATCCGCGTAACTTTGACACTTTTTCGATTCTAAAAACGTTTGAAGATGGACGATTGGATCGACACGACGACGGGCGATCTACCTTTGGTACGTTTTTGAAAAAAATATGTGTATTGGAACTTGTTTTGAAACTATTGTAGACGCTTCAATGTGTTTTGAAACTGACAACCGATTTTTTGAATATATATTGAAAAAATCCGAAAAACCTAGCTTTTGACGAGTCATTTCGCTTCATTTATGCCCTCATCCTTCTTTTTGTCCATGTCTAGACACTTTATGCTCAATAAGAACTCGGTGAAAGAGAGGAAGAAGTTCTTTCTCTTCTTCTTCTTCTTCTTCTTCTTCTCTCTCTCTCTCCCTTCTCTTTCTCATCTCCATAATTACACATTCGTGTGAGCCATTCGCTTTTTAAGTGTGTTACGTAAGAAATTAGCGCTCTTTTTGCACTTTTGCACACAAATATATGTGAAAGTGAGGAAATAGCGGCGAATCCATTATTCTGCCAGGTGGATAATATCCGATTTCACAAAAAAAGGTGCTTGGACCCGCATAGAACTTTCATATTATGAATTTATCCCGCCTAATCCGCCATTTCGCCTTATTTTCCTCTCGCTTTTTCACACAAAAATCGAGAAGAAGACCTTCCTTATGCGCCTGACACCCTTCTTGCTAATGACATCAGCCTTCTCTCAATTAATGGCCACTTTTGTGATGAATATTCTATGGACCGGCAAAGGCGTGACTCGTTGTTTTTCGACTGTTTCGAACGCTTTATCGTGGGCAAAAGAAAAAAAAAACGGCTAATGGGTTTCACGCGTGCCGCCGCGCCTGCTCCCTGCTGCGCCACACGCATCAACCGTGCTTTCGTCGCGGAGGGCAGTGATAAAAGTGCGTGTGCGCGCACTTTTCCAGAAAAATTTCCTAGAAAAAGAAAACTAATTTCGCGCTGAAATTGCGTTTCGTTCTCATTTTCGTTTTTCCGGCCCGCCCCCCTCGTCACAAACACCCTCGGGGCCGCCTCTCCTCTCATTTTTCTTCTGATTTTCGCACTTTTGACCTAAAACGTGCAAGCTATAGAGAAAGAAATATGCGCATCATTCGACGACTATCCGCGTTATGATTAACTTGCGGCTTCCTGTGTGGTGGTGTCAGCCATCTCAATCAACTCTGATTGCATTTGGAGCACCGGAAATGCGTGGAAAATGCGCGGTGCGTAACTTCTTGTTTGTCACCGCCCCTCAAAAATCGCTTCCGCCATCGGTTCCGAGGTATTCAGTTCTGAAAACCTGAGAATTCCAGCGTGGAATTTTGTTCGAAAAAGTTAAATACTTCGATTTTTCTCCGTTCAAAACACGCGCAGGGCGCCGCTTTTGCCATCGCCATGGGAGCGGACTTTTTTGCTCTAAACTCGCTTCTTCTCCATTCGTTTTCAGTCGAATAACCCAATAATACCACGTCGTCAACCCGATTCTGACATCTTTGTGCACCTGTTCTCAGAATATCCAATCAGTCGTTCCGCTTTACCACGACGTACTCCTCCACTCCAATCTCATCCACTTTCTCTGGTCTTTTCTCATTTCCAGACTTCCCCCACCCCTCTGCCCGGCATCACACATCTTATTTTTGCGAATTCTCGCCGAAATCAGGTGGTGCGTTATTTCTGGACACTTTTTTTTTCCCCACTTTTTTTCCAGCTATTTTCGTCGCCAAACCTTGTGATTTTGCTGCTGGAATTTCTCTTTGAAAATCAGGGTGACGACACAAACCATAACAAGTTGTGCAAACTTTGCAAAATCCTCATTTCTCATGAATTAATTGGGTGTCACGCACACAGGAGGAAGCACCCCAAAGGAAGAAGAAGATCACTTCCAAACGCTATTGTAGGCTTAGAAGCTTGGTCGTACAAAAAAGTTGTCAAGTGAAAAAATAAAGTGTTAGACATGTCGATTACACTCAAAACGTTTTCAGAGCTCTCTGACGCTTTGGGTGCTCAATCAATCGGATTGAGCAAAGATCAAACTCCGTCGTTTCTCTGCTCTCACCCGAAAGTAATTCAACTCCAACCCCATACACTCCCTTCTAATTAGGACTTCTATTCATTCGCCTTCTTCTCCAACTTCTTATAAACTCGCTTCCCTTTTCATATCTCGCCGTTTCCCATGAAAAGTGAGAAAGAGTGTGAGTGTGAGTGTGAGTGTGAGTGCGTGCGAATTTCCAACTAGAACATTCCTAGAATTTTCATCTGGAAAACACCAAAAAGTCATCTTTCTCCTGAACCAGTGATCCGATCGATCGGTTTGAAACTTGTAGCCAAGTCTGAGAAGCTTGGGTCCAAAATTCAAATTGAAAATTCAAATTCACGTTTTTCACCCAGCCACTGCTACGTGAGCGGCGTTAAAAACGCGCGAAAATCCGATCTGAAAAGTAGCCTAATGAGGTGAGCTATACATAGTTTGTGACCCATTCTGCAGTTGCGCAACAACAATTCGAGACAGCCGGCATTCGTGGAATGTGCACCAGAGTTGAGCGGAAGAACTCAACGGAAGAACACGGAAGAATTTTTATCTTTTTTAGAAAATTTTTTCATGGAATGTGATCAACTGACGAAATGTATAGCAAAGTCAACTCTGCTCGTAGAAAAATAATTGTAAATTTAGCTTTTTATACAAAAAAGTTATTCGAGTTGTTCCGTGAAAAAAGGGCCAACGGAAAAACTCGAATAACTTTTTTGTATGAAATGTTAAATTTACAATTATTTTTCTATGAGCAGAGTTCACTTTGCTATACATTTCGTCAGTTGATCGCATTTCATGAAAAAATTTTCTAAAAAAGATAAAAAAAATTCTTCCGTGTTCTTCCGTTGAGTTCTTCCGCTGATGTGCACTCTTGACTAATTCAGTTCGGAATAGTCTTCAATCATTTTCTGTTTCATAAACTTTTTGAATATTGAAAATGTGACTATTCGCACGTTTAACTTCAATTTTGATCATTTGAGATTGTGATCCGGCTATCTTAAACAAATTTTTGATTTTTTTGTGAAAATTTTAAGTGTCTGTTTGAATTGACTCTTATTGTCTCATACACTGGTGAAATGCTGACTCTCACAGAAATGCCAATGAACGAAACGGCGTGCAGTTGAAGTTGTGGCCGTGGCCTAGGAAACTCCGGTGTGAAAACTCTTCCCTGTGAGCGGTTTGATGCTCTTGCACTATTATGCATGCTGATGCGGATTTGTGAGAATGTTTTGCAACGTATGAAGATTGTGCCGAACGCAAAAAGATCACACGGCCTAGAACTTTTCTCGGCCACGGCCACAACTTTATCCATGCGCGTACAAGGTTCCGTTTCACATTGAATCACTTCTCTCGACGATGACGTGGCTTTCCCACCTCTTTTTCCATTCAAAACCAATCATTTTCTGCGAATTCTGAAATTTCCCCCCCTCTACAATTAGAGGGAGAGGGGGCGGCTCTCGACGATGAGAGCAAGCTGAGCCGAGCTTTGATGACACAGAGCTCCGCTTACTTGAAGCTTATTTTTAGGCCGCTATGGTGCATTTACCTTCCCTTCAAACCAGGATCTTTTTCGATTTTCTCTCACTCTCTAGACTCAATTATCCCACTCACCTGCTGATTATTCAGAGATCTTTGAGTGAGCACTGCTCTGCCAAAAATCGCTTAGTTTTGTAGTTGACACCTTTTTCGTACGATCGCTTCGAAGCCCACACTAGCGGTTTGTCGTTGTGAGACCGAGAGCTATTTTAGACGTTGGAGTGGTGCTAGAAACACGTTGTCAACTACGAAAATCGAGTAAAAGGTGTGTAGATTACAGCCAACATCTTTCAGCTCAAAGTCCAATTGTTGAAGTCCGCTTCACCTTCAGAATACTAATCCACGTTGAAAAACGTCCCGCCGGCCGCACAAAAGTCCAACCGCATAAATTGCTCGCTGCTGGCCCCCCGAAAACAATGCCATTTTTCATTTTCAATGCATTTCGTGATGTGACATGTAACCCGAATTTCCGGGGCGCCCGAAAAATGAGTAAATCTCTGTGGGAACTCGTTTTCACTCGTTTTCGTGATTCTTTTCTGTCTGGACGATGTTCAGCCTCCTCGGCTCGTCAATCTTTCGCGTCCATTGACCAAAAAACCAATTTCGTTTTTTTATCGATTTTTTACAACATTTCACTTTTTGCAGCCCTTCAAAAGTGTCGCCAATCGATCAATGGCGTCTTCTTCCGATTCGAGGTCAGTTTTTTTTCATTTCGCAACCAGAGATCGCATTCGAGAGAGAGAGAGAGAGAGAGACGGAAACGCAGAGAAATGTATAATTACGGCAAAAGGAGCGGGACGGAATTTAATTTCTGCTCACAAGTCATATGGACCCGATGGACATTTCCTTTCTCTTTTTTTTTTTGGAACAAATTTTCCGGTACTGTTTTCTGATAAAAATGCTTACATAACGGATGCAATTTGATTACTTTTTCAAAAGTTTGATAATTTCCGTCAATTTGCGAAAAATGGCGAAAAAGATTTTTTAGAGTTGAGTGCAATTGAGCCGAAAGCAGAAGAATGGGGATTAGTTAAGGGCAGAATTGGAGGGATTATGAAGGATTGGCAACGCAGAAAAATTGGGGAACACCTTTTTTTTTTGGAAAAATGGGTACTTCTGCGCCCACGCGTTTCGCAACCGATTCACAAAGAACTGACTTTTTAAAAAAATCTTTTTAGCGAATAAGTGAAGTCGCTGAAACAGTTTTCATCAAATTGACTCTAAATTTGCAAAAACACCGGAACAACACCTGTGCTAAGACGCGTTTTCGGCACTTTTTCGCTATTTGTGATAAAAATCGATAAAAGAAGAGATTTGGGTCCTTCGAAGAGAAAACATTGAAATGCTCGTAAAAACGCAAACGCCAAGACATTTTTCACAGATTTACGGCCCAAAACTAGTGTCGGAAATTATAAAACACGTAAATAAGTACAGGCATTTTGAGCGTTCGAACAGCAAAAGCGAATTCAAAGATCCCGGAAAAAACTTGTCGTTTTCCTTATTTTTCACTTGTTTCACATTGAAATGCATCCCAAATCCGGGGCTCTTCCTCCCCCTAAATCGGCTTCCCGCTCGATTGATATCACCTTCCTGTTTTTCACATTTTAGCCATCTCTCAAAAAAAATCGGCCAAATTCTAAAAGGTTCCAAACAAGTTTTCCGAAAATTACCTGTCACCCTCTATATCACCACCCTGGGAGCGGCGGCGCGGAAGTGCGTCGCGTGGCGCGGTGCTTGTGTTTTGCATTTGTACGCTGTTTGTGCTCGCGGGTTCGAACCCGGCCACCTGAAATTTTCCATTGCGTTTCTGGATCTCATAGATTTCACTGAGGTCTAGCCGTCTAGACACTAGATGATCAGTTTTCCTTTAAAAATTCCAAGAAATTTATGGTTTCTACGACTTTTTCGACGGTTTTTTTCGAACTTTTGACAGCTATCGCCGAATTTCAGTTGGAAAACTGGAATTGACGTTCTCGTTATTCGAATTTAAACTTCATTTCGTCCTACCTACAGTATACCTTTTGAAAAATGTTCTCAAAAATAAGGCACCAGACACCCACTCCCACTTTTGGTGTTTATGAAATTTTCACTAATAGGGCTTCGTCATAAGTGGATTAATGGTTGGCTCGATTGATTTCAAACTTTTTGCCTCATTTCTAATATTCGGTTTCCACTTTCCTCCGCTGCCCTACGCTCCAAACTACCGTAATCCATTTTTGTGCTTTCACCTGCTCCAAAACGCCTTCGGAAAATGTGAAATGTGTGACACATTGAAAGTGATTTTAGATGGCATTTCAATTATTTTCGCCCATTTTCACCTGGAGACGTAGAAAGTGCGTGGGCGCGGAAGGGAAATGCGGAAGTGGACCAATTTTGACACTGTGCACTCTCTGGAGTGAGAGAAAATCCATTTATTCCAGTTTCATGAAACTCACATGTTTAGATTCTTAACTTATAAACTTTGCTATGTAAATAATGGAAAATCGCGGTCAATTTCCAATACAATTTTGAGGAACACTTTCTACGTGTCGGCCATGTCCACCGAATGATCGGAAAATGAATTGTCTACAAGTTCTGAGAACGCAAAAGAAAATTGCACGCGGTGGGATCCGAACCCGAGACAGAAACTAGTTCACAAATGCAAAACGCAACCACAGCGCCGCGCAACACAGTACGCACGGCGCAGCCAGGCGTAGTAACATACTATCGGTGCCAAACAAAACTGGATTCGTTCATGAAGCCGCTGGCTTTCTGAAATTTGTTCAAATACTTTTGAAAGTATTGAAACTGAAAAAATGATCGATTTGTCGAATGTTTCACTCGGAAAACTGCTTTTTTTGATTCAAATTGGCCATCACAAGTCGACTTGCCGCGTTTGAAAAGGCTTGCTCAATGAATTTCAATGAAAGTAAGCAGTTTTCCGAGTTTTTATGGGGCTATTCAGCGTATGTTTGTTTTCCGTTCTTTTTTCGTTTTTTTACACCGCTGAACCGGGTTTTTTGACGTAAAAAAACGAAAAAAAAACGGAAAAAAAATCATTTTTTTTTCACCCCATTACCAAAAAATTTTCAAATTCTCGAAAATTCCACTCAAAATATATCGTTTTTATGAGCTTTTCCTTCAAAAATTACAAATTTTCCGCCGTCCGATCGTTCTCACGCAGTCTCTTTTTCTCTCGGTGTTGCCTCGTTAAGCGAGCAAAAGTGGGCGGAGTCCCGGGAGCACGCCCCCCTCTTTCTGCTCATTTCGCGCCCACATCACTCTCTTGCGCCGGTTGACTTCAAACTCTTCAAAAAATGCCGACCACCTCGTCGACGACGCTAGTAGCGCCCTATTTACTATTGTCAATGGTTCAAAATGTGTCGACTAGCACCGAGAGCGCCAGTGAAAAACTGGTGCAAAGTGTCGAAAAGCCGACGTTTCTGCACATGGACGCGGCGACCGAAGTGCAAATATATCAGAGGCATTACAGTCGGCTCATGTCCTCGATCGACACGGACGCGTGCATTCCGCAACACGACGGCATCCTCTTCTGCCCGAATCACACCGGCGGCGCCGTCTGGGTTCGCAACGTCTATCCGCCGATTCAGGTCAGTCTTTGAACTCTTTTCAACGTTTCTGCATGGTCGTTCCAAGCGTGTGAACGTGTCAATCCGGCTGTTTTTCGGTGCCAGTACTCATGACCTATTCATCACGGTTCTCGGAACCGCACAGAATCTGATAATGCCTCACAGCCGATGTGTGTATGGGTGTCGCGTGAAACCGGAAATTGAAACAAAGTGTCCGTCGTCCGCTTTCTGTTTCGTCTAAAATTTGAATTTAAAAAAAAAATAAAATCATCATGAAACACGCGCCTAAATGAATCACATCCGTTACGTAGCGCCCGTCGTAATCGAATCTCATTCTGGGATTCAAGTGCATTTTCATTTCGCATTCTCCCAAAGCTCGAAAAGTGCACCAAAACGATGTTTTCTAGACGCGAGGGGAAATTGAGCCTCACCCATTTTTCATATTTCTCTCACACACACAGCATCGAGAGATCATGGGCTCACGAAGAAGAGGCGATGACGTGGCTCCTCGTAAAACGTACAGAATTAAAATAATATTTTTGAAATAGAAACCCTATAGAGTTCGGCGAATTTTCTCAATTTTTGCCAAAACGCACGCATTCTTTTTTTCTTCAGACGGCGTGATGTTTGAGTTGAATATTTAGGTATAAAATGGGATTCTTTCCCTTCCGCCCGTCCGCAAGCAGATTTCCCCCGATTTATTGGGTAATTAAATCCATCCGCTTTTTGCGATTTCTCAGATTACATCTGTGTGTGTGTGTGTGTGTGTGTGCAAAATGTTCGTGAGGAAACGAAAATAATTTAATTCCGCTAGCGTTTTTTTTTTTTTTCAAATTTCATTTTCGTGCCTCTGCGGGGGTTATTGAGGAGCGGAAAAGCGAAAAAATGACGAAAAAGCGCGAGAAATAATTACGATAATTGTAGGCTCGTTTCCAATTTTGTGACGGCGGCACCGAAACATTTTCAATTAAATTTTTTTCCGTTTCGTCGCCACGAAGGAAGAGGCGTTGAAATTGATGAAAAGTTGCGGGGCTGTGCAAAAGGCCGGCCCAGGCCTGGTCTTGGACTTTTGTTGGGACCAAGACGATCCGATGGGTCTGCAACTTGGACCCAACAAGAAGCCTGCAAAATTTGGGCAACAGACGCCATTTTTTGCTGGAAAAACATGAAACTCACCATATTATTTGCCCAAAAACGGGGGCTCTTAATGAAAAAGTGAAGCGGCGTTAAATTTGATTAAAATCCCACACACACACACACATACTTTTCTATTTTCGATTTCATCCACCGAAAAGCAAGTGTTTTCCGTGTCAATACGAACGGATATAATCGGTATGGACAAAAAATTGGAGCAGGAAATGGTTGAGGGAAAAACAAACGGCGTGTTGCGGCTTTTCGCATGTCAAAAAGCATCGTTTTTGCAGGAACTCCAACCGAAAGTACTCATTGTCGTCGTGGTTTTTGTGCTATGCTTCATTGTGGGCGTATGCGGAAACTCATCGATCATCACCATCATTCGAGGAGTTGTCGAGGATCGCCGAAAAAGGTATTCAGGAGACGAATCGTATGCCGAATGCCAAGCCCGTCTCATTTTCCAGAATGAAACGTCACGGCGACAACGCGATTCTGTACATCGGAGCGCTTTGTGTGTGCGATTTTGTGATGTCGCTCTCACTGCCGCCGGCGATTCTCGACTCGGTCATCGGGTTTTGGATATTCGGTACGTGACACAAAGTATCGGGGTGCTCAAAATTGTCACATTTGCAACAACTTTTCGAAATGATTACCGCTTCTCGAGATTTGGGTAACACGGTCTCCAGAGCTGACAATATGGGCGTGGCCTCGGCGGCCAAATGGCGTTTTCATGAATTGAGCAGGTTTTCTCTGATTTTTGTGGTCAACAGCGATGAAAAATAATTGTTCGACATGAAAACACACTAATTCTCAGAATTAATGACGTTTTGGCGCATTTTTCGCGAACTTTGCTTTTTCGCTTTCGCCGCACTTCTCATTTTGCGCTTTCTTGACCGTTTTCCGACAGAATTGGTTTTAATAATAACAATAAACGTAAATACAAGCATTTTAAGCGCTCGAACCGCGAAAATTACCGAAAAGCAACTGAAATTCACGCAGTTTTAGGCAAAAACCTTCAAACGGATAAATTTGATTTGCGACTTGACCAAATTTAACGCTCTTACGCTTAAAAAATTCGTAATAGCCTATACAATCGGTCTATCGAGAGACAAATGAGAAATTATCGGTTTTTCGTGGCTAATCTGGCAAAAAAACACAAATTTTGCTGTTAAAATTTGAATTTCGCGCCAATGTTGCGCTCTACTGGGCGGGGCGCACTTGCGCCCATTGTCAGCTCTGGAGACCGTGGTGCGTAAAAGAATGTGTTGCACACTTTTCGAGCACTCCTCATGAGCCGTTTTCCAGGCACGACAATGTGCAAAGTGCACCACGTGTTCGGTTCCGTCGGCCGCATCGCCTCCACGTTCCTCATCACGGCCATGTCGTTCGACCGCTATGTGGCCGTCTGCTACCCGCATCAGCACCGCCTACGCAGCCGCACCTTCGTCATCTCCACAATCGTCTGTCTCTCCGGAATCGCGTTCGTTCTCCTGCTGCCGATGCTCACGTACGCGAAAGCCAAGGAGATGGTGCTGCACGAGCTCAAGGCGCATGATAGCATCAATATCACGAGGGTGCGGGTGTTCAAGTGTTCGGATATGATGCCCGGACCCATTTTCTATTGGTTCACCTCCACGTGAGTTTGGTTTTGACGTTCGACAACCGATCGATTTGTGTTCCAGAACGTTCATCCTCGGCTACGTGGTCCCGCTCATCCTCATCGTCTACTTCAACGTCAAACTGATCAACAAACTCTACGCGCACAAGCGAGTCCTTCCCCGCTCGGCAATCCCGGTCCGTCGCGTCGTCGTCTACACGGTCCTCATCGCGGCGGTCTACTTTGTCTGCTGGACGCCCTACTGGTTCTCGGTCCTCTACGCGATCATCATGTCGCTGCTCGGTCTGCCGGCCACCAACTCCGAATGGGTCCTCTTCGCCATCTACTGCGTCCACCTGCTTCCATACTTTGGCTCCTCCAGCAATTGGATTCTGTACGGCTTGTTGAACACGCAGTTGCAGATGAAGAACGATATTGGCGACGACGGTCAGAGCATTATGACCACCAACGGAGGTCCCGAATGTCCTAGAAGGTACTGACTGTTCTCTAGCAACATGTTGAAAAAAAAAGATCATCGCTCTTTACAGATCCAACTCCAGGAGCATTTGCGACGGAGCGCCCTCGTCTGCCCGTTCGGCGATCAACGGAAGCGCCCAGCAGTGGCAGGTCTCGCCGTTGACGCGAGGAAACTCCGACACGAGTATGGTGTTCTATCAGGACACCGAACAAACTCATCTTTAAACAGTTTTGTTCTGCTGCCATGTCTCCTTTTCCTCTCTTTGTCTCTCTCTCTCTGTCCTTTCTAGCCCCTGTTTTGTGATCTCGTCAGTTTTTCCCTTCTGATCTCTGCCACCCGCTTGGATCTGTCGCGTCGCGCCGCATAATCATCAAATCCAAATAAAATATTTTGAAAACGTGACCGTTTATTCTCAATCTCGCGCAACGTATCATTGCAATCAAAATGGACGGTCCCCAATCGCGAACCTTCATCAAGTTTATCAAAGACTTTGCGAAGTGGAAACATCGAAAACAAATTCACTTTGTTCTCTGTGAGGTTGACGGCACGAAATGGTGAGAACAATTTTAGACGGACCTCAGCCGGACGATAAGGATTACAGTAAAATAAGAATGCGTAAAAATTGTGTTGCGAATGGAGAAGAGCTGCACGCGAAGATCTGCTATCAGACCAGCGATTGGGTGAAACGCGTCGACGGAGAGGCCTCAATGACCGTTTTGACGAAAAGTAGTGTCAAGGATGAGAAGCGCACCGAGTCGTTGTGTTTGGAGCCGTTCAAATGGCACGACTTCAAGTGCATTGCACTTGTCAACGAAGATTCGACCGAACGAAATGAGTATTTGACGGACGGAGGGTTGTTCGTGAAAGTGGAGATTCGAATCGATGAGGTTGTACCAGAGATAAAAGAGTTGATTCGAGGTGAGCTTCCGTTTCTGTAATGCCGCGTCCAAAGTCTCGGAAACGCCGCAAATCTCGCGGATTTTGCAGTCCAAAGTCGGCAGAAATTTGCGGGAAATCCGGGGTGCGCACAGCTGAACGAGTGTTAAAAATTTACCCAAGAAATTTGAAAAATTGCCAATATTCTCGAGAATTTTTAAATTTTTTTCAAAAAAATACCGTTGAAAATTTCCCCAAGAAATAGGAAAAAAATTTCAAATATTCTCGAGAAATTTAAATTTTTTTCAAAAAAATACCGTTGAAAAATTTACCCAAGAAATTTGAAAAAAATTGCCAATATTCTCGAGAATTTTTAAATTTTTTTCAAAAAAAATACCGTTGAAAAATTTACCCAAGAAATTTGAAAAATTTTTCAAATATTCTCTCGAGAAATTTAAATTTTTTTCAAAAAAATACCGTTGAAAAATTTACCGAAGAAATTTGAAAAAAATTTCAAATATTCTCGAGAAATTTAAATTTTTTTCAAAAAAATTTCGTTGAAAAATTTACCCAAGAAATTGGAAAAAAATTGCCAATATTCTCGAGAAATTACAATTTTTTTCAAAAAAATACCGTTGAAAAATTTACCAAAGAAATTTTCAAATTTTTCAAATATTCTCTCGAGAAATTTTTAATTTTTTTCAAAAAAAATACCGTTGAAAAATTAACCCAAGAAATAGGAAAAAAATTTCAAATATTCTCGAGAAATTTAAATTTTTTTCAAAAAAAATACCGTTGAAAATTTACCCAAGAAATTTGAAAAAAATTTCAAATATTCTCGCGAGAAATTTAAATTTTTTTCAAAAAAATACCGTAGTTTTTATGGTGTACGGTAACACTCGTTCAGCTGTGCGCACCCCGGATTTCCCGCAAATTTCTGCCGACTTTGGACTGCAAAATCCACGAGATTTGCGGGTTTTGCGAGACTTTGGACGCGGCATAATACCACAACTAATATCACTGCCTTCCAGGAGCCTGTGCTTTTGACATATCGATTGAGAACTTTCGCAAAAAAGACAAAGCGCGCCTGGATATTGGAAAAGTTGCGAATCGTCATTGGTTAGCGCTCCAGATCCGTTCTCTTTTCCAACCAATTCAATTTAGGAGAGTCGTACTCGTTGCGTATCCTAGCCCTTACCCAACCAGGTTCGAAGTATATATACATATACCCTTTTACACTAGTAAGCATGCTCTTTGCCTGACCACCTTCGTGCTACGTATTCTTAATGCCTCTCGTGCGCGCTCGATAACGCTCAAAGAGGTCTTTTTAATGCGACAAGAAACAGCGGGACAGCGATTCTTAATTCCTCATGACGTCATGTTCAAGAATAACAGTGGATTTCTGACTGACCAAGGAGCTTTGGAGGTTGAAATTGAGATTCGTGTCAATGCAATTCAGCAAGAGGACGGGAAAACGTTGCTTTTCAATTTGTATGATCCCTATTTCGAGGATAGTTTTGTCTTTATAGGCAACACTGAAAAGATGTACGTCAGCAAAACGGTTGGTTGATTCTTTTCCGGCCTTGCCCATCTCGTTTTCTTTGTCCAGCTTCTCGCCTTTCATTCTCCAGTTTTAGCCGCAAGAATTGAGTCAGGTCAACAATCGCTTGGTTTCAACAATTGCCAACGCAGTGCTTGGAAGACCATACTTCAACTTGTTCACGGCGTCCGACTCAATATCAATTGTCAGTTGGAACGATGGTGGCAAACACGAAGTAGTAGATATTTCAGCCAAAAAGTACGAACAAATACTCGAAATCGCCGATCGCTATCAGATAATGACGGTCATTAGGTATTGTGAAGGACAAATTCTCTATTTCAAGAGGGGATTTATGAAGAGCTCGCGAGCTGCTGCGCTTGAGTTCGCAGAAAAGTACAAGATGCGCTCGCTTTTGGTAAGCACCAAACGCCTCGAAAATGCAATGGAATTTCATTTCAGAAGTGTCTGCTGAAAGGGAATGAAACCCCATAGAACTCGAACTATTGCATTTCCATCCGAATGTCATCATAATTTATTAGCCGAAAAAAGAAAGACAATATGCACAAAAAAACCGGCGACTACACGACACAACTGTCCGCGCGCTAATCACTCTCGTCGGTGTCGATCGACAGGTTGAGATGATCCTCGTCTCCGAGCAACTGGCACACCTCCTGCAGTCGTTCTTTCCACCGCGGCACCTCGGACAACTGCTTCTCGAGCTGCTGCTTCTCCTCGGAATAGCTGAGCCGCTCGCCGATTGTCTTCTCGTTCAGGCCCGTCACTTTGTAGCCGCCCTCGCCGTCGTATTGCAAGAGATGTGTGTGGAATTTCCTGGAAATTGTGTGGGTGTGGCTTTAGTTTCACGGCGACCAAAAGGGTAGAAAGGGGCGTGGCCTAATCTGAGACGGGTTTTCTGAAAATTGCCGCAATTTCAGCACTTTTCCGCTATTTTTTTGTTGATATCGACGAAAGAAGAGCACATTAAAGAGAGAAAACATTGAAATTTTCGTGAAAACGCCGCGTTTGAGACGTTTTTGGCATTTTTCGCAATACGCGCTCTCCGCGGCCAATCGCCGCCGCATTTTCGGAATTTTCATACCGGCCGATGTGGATAGTTTTGAGACGAAGTGAGTGTCGGAAGTGATTAAGCACGTTAATACAAGTATTTTAAGCGTTCAAACGGCAAAAAGTATCGGCGAATGACTGAAATTCGCGCATTTTCAGCACAAAACTTAATACTATGTTTTTCGTTGACAAACGGAGAAAAAGGCGCGCGCGGCGACCGAAAGTTAAAGGCGCAGAGACTTTTGAGGTGGCGCGGGTCTCGAAGCAAAATGAAAGAACGGTCGCGGCAGGCGGGATTTTAATTCGAAATGTCATTCTACGGAAAACTTATGGGGCTATTCAGCGAATGTTTGTTTTCCGTTTTTTTCGTTTTTTTACACCGCTGAATTGGGTTTTTTGACGTAAAAAAACGAAAAAAACAGAAAACAATCATTTTTTTCACAGCCTGAATAACCCCATTATTACCGAAACACCTACTTGTTGAATGAAGGCTGCAATACATATGAAACTTTCCTTTTTCGAAGTGAGGAATCAGAAAAACATATTCTCTAGAAGCGCAGCGAAAAGAGAAAATCGATTCAATCGATTCATTTCTGAATGAAACCTTCTCGTTTTAAGCTCAAAAAGTGCGCGCGATGATTAGTTTAACAAAGTTATTATGCAATCACATCGCCGAAACCCGTACAAAATTTGGGTAATTTTTGACGAGAAACATGAAAAATGGGGTTAAATTTCGAATTTCGCGCCAAAATGGTGATAAACCGTGCACGCTAGGCGCCACGCCCCTTTCTACGTTTTTGGCCGCCGTGCTAGTTTGAAGAAAGGAGACGTTTTGCAAACTGACCACAAACTCGGGCGATGTGTGACTGTGAGCAGAGTGATTCCGGCGTCCTTGATCGCCTGATAGATGCTTCCTTCCACGTCGATCGACACTGCAGAGGTGCACTCGTCGAGCAACGCGTATTTTGGTCTGAAACGTGAGAGTACGTACAACAAGTACCCCCCGCTTCCGGCGCACTTATGATAGAACACCCGCGCCATGCCCATTCTCTGCTTCTCGCCTCCGCTCAGCACGTCCATCCAATCGTTGCGCGCATCCCAACCGCCCTCCCTCTCCACAATATGCTCCAAGTGCACAATTCGCAGCATCACCATCAGGTCGTGATCCGATATTCCTCGCCTTCGCATCTGAATCGTCGTGTCCGGATAGATGACCTGATCTCGAAGGGTGCCGAGCGTCATGTACGGTCGCTGAGGGATGTAGTACATGCGGTCCGATGTTGGTTTTTCGAGTTGACCACTGAATCATCAAAAAATGTTCACACCGCACACGAACGGTTGTTTGGAGCCTAAAAACTGACCGATAAACCGGCCAAAGTCCTCCGAGAATTCTGAACAATGAGCTCTTTCCGCATCCATTCGGTCCCGTGATCAGAACGTGCATTCCTGTCGTTATCTGACGATGTAAACTTGAATTTTAAGCAAAAAGTTACAGATTTACAGTTAGCGTCATGTTTTTCACGACGACATCTCCGTTTGGCGTCACAATTGGCACGTTGTTCAGGACAATCGAATCGGTTTCCGAGTCGGTGATTAGGCCTGCAAGTAGAAGCAACTTTGAGTAGATGTATCTCAGTTGTCTATAGAGATAGAAAATAGTTGTCAACTGATAAAATGTACAAAATTTCTCAATTAACATTTTATCAGTTGACAACTATTTGATATCTCCACCGACAGCTGACATATAGCGTTTTGAATAAACAGATCTTACCCTCAATTCTCGACGTATCGAATCGTTCTCCTCTGGCCGCTTGTTCGGTTACTGTCAATCTCTGATAGATGCCCTTTTTGGCGTCGTCAAACACGCGGAACATCTCGTGAACTCTTCCCGTGTACCCTGCCAACTCTGTGATCTCCTTGTAGCTCGTCATCAGTCTCTCGACGGCGTCGGCCGAATTGAACAGAAGGGTCTTGGCGGTCGCGTATCCACGTGTTCGTTCCGAGACTCCGTGATCCGGAAGGTCTTCCAGCTTTGTCGCTTCTAAAAGCATTGAAACAGTGTTTTTCTCACGTCCTTACTCACTCTCATCGTCGGCATACTCGGCGGCAAGAATCGGCAGTGCAATCATGACCATTCCAGTGCCGGACCACACGTACTTCATAAGGAACTGCTCGATCATAATGTACGGAATGCGCTTCTTGAATATCGTCATCATCTGCTCGTAGAGTGAGTTGTACGCACCGTCCAACTGTTTGTACTCGGCCTGATGACCGCCGTAGAATGCGATCTCCTCCGAGTTGGTGATGATTCGCGAGTGCAGGTAGCGTAGGTGTCCCTTCCGACGGGCTTCCTCGGCGACCATGTGTCCGAATCGGGGACTCACCGCTTTCAGAATCTTGGCAGTCGTCGAGACGGCGATTATCGCGAGGCAGGAGGGGAGGAATGTGGATTGACCTGTTCCGCGCTGAACTGCCAGTCTCACAAGGGTGAATCTGAACGTACCTTCTTCATTGAAGACGATGTATCTCAGCTGCTCTTAGAGATAATAAAAAGTTGTCAACTAACCAAATGCTCATTAGAAAATTGTGCATATTTTATCAGTTGACAATTTTTTAATATCTCTTCAAGCAACTGAAATACATTGTCATGTCTACTATTTGCTAAAACCGCCGAAAAACTCACGTGATAAGGGCAATATCAAGTACCGGTTTTGTCAAATGCGAGTACAAATGGGCGACACTCTGCGAGAACATTGTAATGTCCTCGGTCAGACACTGATCGGCGTTCTGGAGTCGGGTGTCGAGGTTCGAGACGGCGTAGTACGTTTGATCCTGAAATCCGGTGCGATGTCTGTTCTCAGTTTCACATTTCCCATATTTTCATCAACTTTTCACACTCTTTACTATATTACTCGTAGAACAATTTTCGTGAAACTCACCGAAAAGTACTGTTTGTACGCGTGTTTCGTGAGCCGGGTCCGGAACGCCAAGCCGAGATACGATTCGAAGAATCGGATCATCGAATTGACGAATGTGGCGGGAATGGCGACGAGAATCCATTTGACGAGGTGCAGAACGAATTGAAGAACATCCTAGATCATCGGGATTACTGTAGGGATACTACTGTAGCACCTACTTTCTCCACAATCGCTTGTACCATTGATCCTTCCAACTGTGCCACGTATATTGTGAGGAAGGTTCGGCAGATCAGAATGATCGAGTGCATTCCTGTATGAAAAATGATGGATTTTCAACAAATTCCAATTATTCTAGTGCTTCTACAACAGCTATTCGCTTTTTCAGCAAAAACGTCCGAATTTGCGCAGTTTTTCTATAATATTCCAGAAATTCTCATCAAACACGCACGGCGACCAAAAACGTAGAAAGGGGCGTGGCCTAGCGTGTACGGTTTATCACCATTTTGGCGCGAAGATTCGAAATTTAACCCAATTTTTCATGTTTTTCGTCAAAAATTACCCAAATTTTGTACGGGTTTCGGCGATGTGATTGCATAACTTTGTTAAACTAATCATCGCGCATTTTTTGAGCTTAAAACGAGCAGGTTTCATTCAGAGAATGAATCAATTGAATCGATTTTCAAGTTTTGTGCTGAAAATGCGCGAATTTCAGTCATTCGCCGATACTTTTTGCCGTTTGAACGCTTAAAATACTTGTATTAACGTGCTTAATCACTTCCGACACTCACATCGGCCGGTATGAAAATTCCGAAATTGCGGCGGCGATTGGCCGCGGAGCGCGTATTGCGAAATACGCCAAAAACGTCTGAAACGCGGCGTTTTCACGAAAATTTCGATGTTTTCTCTCTTTAATGTGCTCTTCTTTCATCGATATCAAACATAAAAATATCGGAAAAGTGCTGAAATTGCGGCAATTTTCAGAAAACGCGTCTCAGATTAAGCCACGCCCCTTTCTACACTTTTGGTCGCCGTGACACGCCAATCAACTCACCAATAATGCCGGCCTCTCTGCTGAACACTCCGGGCACCATAATCTTGACCAATTCCCTCAACTGCCTTAAAAACTGCGGATCGAACGCCTTCTTCTTGACCGTTTTGGGCGTTCCGTCCGAAGAGACACTCTCCTCCTTCTCCAGCCGTTTTCCGTGCTTCCGCGCTCTCGTCACAGTCATCCAATGAGCCACTGCCAGTGAAGCGACGCCGCCGACGGCCAGCAGAAGCGCTCGCCGCCGTTTCTCGGGGTCTATCGCCGTCTCGAGCAGCTTTGATTGGACTGACATTTCTGGAAATTATAATTAATAGTAAGTATGGTGCCTAGAACAAAAAAAACCGAATGAAATCAGAGACACAAATGGAAGTGGAAGTTGTGAAACTGTAAAATTATTTACAGCTTCTCAATTATCATAAGGTTGGTAATAGTAATAAAAAATAACAAAAATACTAACATGCAACAACAATGGGTTTTATTCATAACTCGTTTCGAAAGTGGCCAAAGTACATGTTTTGGTGATGAAACGGCGAGTCCGTGACAAAAGATCGGAAAAAAATGACAAAACGTCGGAAAAAATGCCAAAAGATCGGAAAAAAAACCAAAAGATCGGAAAAAAAAACCAAAAGATCGGAAAAAAATGACAAAATGTCTGAAAAAATGCCAAAAGGTCGGAAAAAATGCCAAAAGGTCGGAAAAAAAATTACAAAAAGTCAAAAAACAGGTATTTTAGCAGTTTTTCCGACATTTTGGCATTTTTTCCGACATTTTAGCGTTTTTTTCCGACCTTTTGTCACTTTTTTCCGACGTTTTGTCATTTTTTTCCGATCTTTTGGCATTTTTTTCCAACCTTTTGGCATTTTTTTCCAACCTTTTGTCACTTTTTTCCGACCTTTTGTCACTTTTTTCCGAAATTTTGTCACTTTTTCCGAAATTTTGTCATTTTTTTCCGACCTTTTGGCTTCCGACCTTTTTGGTTTTCCGACCTCTTGTCACGGACTTGAAACGGCACTTATCCAAAATTGACAATCTTACGGGTTTCATCTTGACCTGCTATCTATATCACTTCAAAACTAATCACAACGCGATACATGAATCCGGTGTGAAACTGACATTTTCAGCCGAAAAAAAAGTTGCATTCCAGAGGCTGCAAAAAGTGAGACGCCGATAAGAAAAAGAGGTTTTACGGGGGGAAAAAGTACATAATTTTACGGAGCCATATGAATTGAAAACTTATTCAGCTTGAGGAAGGATATGTTGAAATTGAAACACTAAATAAGTGTCATTTCTCTTGAAATCCATGATTAGGGTAGTGGTTACTGTTGAGAAACTAGGCCATAACTCAAAAATAACAAGTTTTGAGGTAAAATGCTCAAGTACAAAGTTGTAGAGCACAAAATTTGCTACAAGTTTATAGTGGACCGCTTTTTGAAATAATTATTGTTTCGCAAGATATACGTGTGCAAAGATGAGGATTTTGCTCTATCCCTGCTCGATTACGCTCTATCCAATCAAAAACAATGCCCTGTTCAAATTAGACGCTAAAACTGATCCGAAAAACTCAAAAAGCTGATGAAAATGTGTAGACGAGGTTGAAAAAGAAAGAATGAGCAGAATATGATAGTTTGGTGGGCGATAGTGTTTGTGTTTGATAACAGACCGATATACTAGACTCCGCAGTCGAAAGATGCACCATGATACGGTGTGGAGAGAACAGAACGAACTGTTTCTTTGTGACCGACTTTCTGACAGTTTTTTGTACTTTTTCTACGTGACGATGATGATGGGCTCACTAGTGTGGAAAAAGTCGACAATTTCGGGCCAATAGTTTGAATTTTAGGTCGAAACACTAAAAAAAAGGTCTGAACACTTCAAAACACTTCAAATTCTTATCATTGTGGAAAAACAGACGTGAATACTATGGCGTAGTGGTTGTTGACACCGAAAAGGACACAATTTCAGTCGGTGATTGGTAAAAACGAACAAAAAGGAAGAGAAGAGAAGAGACGAGTGATAAAAGTGTAATCTTGACGAGATGAAACACGAATGACTGTGAATACAATTGGACGGGCGACGAAAGTGTGTAATATGGATGTAGCGACTATTCGAGAATCAGTGTGTTACTGTTTCATGAACATTACAACCGAGAGACTGATGAAAAAAGAAAGACGTTGGCTTAACTGTTGTTTTTCGAAAAGAGTTCACGTCAAACTCGAAATGTACCACTACTCTGGCAATTCGATATTAATCTAATTAGAAAGTTACTGATCTAAACGCGCCCTAATTAGATTCGACTGTTTTTTTTTGGCGCAATCGAGATTTGAGCCAGCAGACGGTTGGCGTGAAACTTGATTTGAGCACTTATTAATCTAACTAGAAGATTTATTAATCTAATTAGGTGTCATATCAATCTTTTTAGGCCGCCGTTAGATTAATAACGAAAAGCCAGAGTTTTCGACAAACTCTCAAGTCAACACGACACTCTATTCCTCGTTTCTTTTCTCTTTTTTCCGCTTAAAGATGTGCTAGACATCACTATTTCATCGCAAAATTGCATTTTCCGCGTTTGCTATCGATTTTTACCTCTTTCAGCAACGTTTCATCAGCTAGAAACATCGACAGAAATCCAATTTTTTGCCGGATTCAATAAAACCGTGGGTCAGTGTGTGTTCTTCATTAAATTTCGTGTTTTTTTTTCTGTTTTTCCATGACATCCGTGCCTTTTTATCACCGAAAAACCTAACAATTCGACTTTTTTGACATCTTTGAGCCAGATCGATCGCGACGGTCCTTTTCTCACAGAATTGCAGAAAATCGATTGGACAGGCGCGCCGTCGACGGAGCTCGATGAAACATTTTGGGGGAACAATCGATGTCTTCGTATTCAGTGAGTTTTCTCTTCTAAAAATGGTTCCGCTTCGTTTGTATGACTCACTGTGTACCCCACGTGCCCGTCGTGTGAGTCGCACGCCTTTCTACGAATTTCCAGCTCGATCGAGGTCAAAACGATCAACTGGAATTCATAGAAAGGTGACCGAGAGGGTAAATTATAAAATGCTTCATGTAAATAAATGAGAAATTTCTGCAGATTTATCGAAAATTGGCTCTCGCTAAAAGCGCCATCATTTCGCTCTGAACTGATCACTTTCCACCGGTTCGCGAAGAGTTTTTTTTTAGTTTCAGAAACCCCCTAAGTTTTTAAGGAATTTCTCAACAACGTTTCTCCCTCTCTTCTCATTTCATCGCGTCGCATGACTTTTCGAATTCGCAAATGAGAAATCTGTGCAAAAAATGAGCAATTTCCGGGCCGCGCGCGGATGACATTTGTTGATCGAATACGCATTCCTGCGATTTTTTCGCGATTCTCAATTTAATTAAAACTTTTAGGCGTCAATGCTGTCCAATTCGATGGAAGAAACGAGTGAAAATGGCAAGGAGAATGCGCATTATTCTGGTGAAAGTAATGGAAAAAGCGGCCGAGAAAAAGATGGATTAGAACGTCTGGCTCTACTTTTGTTCGATTTCTTTTCACCATTATTAGCGTCTTTTAGCTTTTCGATGCAAAAATGCACACTGATCTTTGATGAGCCCACAAAAAGAGAAAATGGAAACTTTTTGAGCCGAAAAGTTGTGTTCATTCGGTATTCTGTCAGGTGACAAAGGGACAAAGGGCAATCGCGCTCTTCAAAACTCGTCTTCTTTCTTCTATGTAACTTCACTGATTTCCAATATCAAAAGTACCCTGTTTTTCCCCATTTCCCTCCTACAAAATGTCATCAAATCCTTTCCTTTTCCTCGCCATCACCCCAACAATCCGTCCTCTTTTGTGTTCACCCGAATCCGTGCTCTCTGCTCACTCAAATATCGCATGTTTTCGTCTGCTTAACCGAAATTCGCCGAATTCCACACACACACACACGTGATAATCACCATTATCCGCGCCACTTTTCGTACTGCACACCTATAATTTTGTCAAATTTCAGGTTTCACCCCAAGCGAGCCACGCCCAATTAATTGGCTCCAACGAGAAGCGTGCTCGAAGTTTTCGATTCATTTTGCTCGCATTTCGTGCAACACCATGAATTCAAGCGGAAATTCGAACGAAACCCACGATTCACCGCCCATTATTGCGCCGCTTTTGAGTCTGGACACTTTTGCGGTGAGGCCGACAAAATAGCATTAAATTTTCATGAACTTGGCTCATTTTTTGGCGAAAAACCACAAATATCATCGATTTTGACAATTTTTCTTTCGAGCGTACAATCACAAAGCGATTATTTGCAGAGAATAATGTTCCACGTGGCATCCAACTCGACCGTATCCACTGCATCATCCTCTTCCGATTCCGACGACGATGACCCGCTCCAGGAGCTCATCGACCGGATCAACCGGGCTCAGATGGAAGAGTGCGACCGTCTGGCGAACTCGTGCGAGAACCGTCCGCTGTACACGTGGCTCGTCGGCTACGGCTTCATCTTCGTCTTCCTCCTCGCCCTCTTCGGCAACTTTGTGAATCTGATGATCTACAACTCGGACCACATCAAATACTACATCGCCATCCGCATGCTCTGCACCCGACTGGTCAGTTTTCAAAAGGCTTCACTGATATTTTAAGTTTTGAAGCTCATGAACTCGCTGACGTTGATCTGTATGCTTCCGCAAGCGCTGCGCATCGTTTCCGCGTGGGAGCCCGGCTCGGACATTGACAAAATCTACTGGAACTATTATCCGTATCAGATCTACTTTGTCAACCTCTTCGGATTCTGTGCAATGTGGTGAGTGGCACAAACTCTAATTGTTGGGCGGCTGACATGATTCATGAACTTTGTGAAACTGAAAAAGTGCATAGCACGGCTCATTGCTCATGTTTCCAGGCTAACGGTCCTAATGACCGCCGAATGCTACCTGCACGTCTTCTTCCCGTCCCACTCGAAATCGTTGTGCACCAAGCGGAACTTGTCGCGCAGCTACTTGATCATTCTCTCGATTGGAGCATTATTGGCGCTGATGTATAAATTCAATCGGAGTGTGACGCTTACCACTCACTGCAATCGGGTCATTCCGAGCATTCACGCGTCTGAAGGTACTTTCTCTCTGTTTCACCTCCATTACATTTGTGCTCGAACCCAATTTTCAGACTTTATAATGGTTTGTCTGGAAAAAGTGCACACGTTCGCCAACCTCCTCTTCGCTATCGTCGTTCCGATGGGTTTGCTCCTCTTCATGGCCATCTCGATTCTCTGGAAGCTCGTGCTGAAACGAACCGATTTCGTGTCCCATTTCACGTACGCCCGCGCCCAATCCATCATCCACAGTAACCCGCTTTTTTTAGAGCCGAAAAGCGTTGTGTGACCCGAATCACTCTGATAACCACTGGTCTCCAACTGATCGCCGAACTCCCACCGATCCCTGTCTTCTTGTACGCAACCATCTTCGGACCGGCTGTCACCAACGAGCCTGCGATTTGTGTGTGGAACACCATTGGTAAGGCCCAGTACGCATGAAGGCCGATGTACATAGTTTCGCTGTTTCAGCCGTCTTCCTGGGCCTCTGCAACGTCTCCTTGTCCTTCTTCGTCTACCTGGTCTTCTCGGATAAATTCCGTGAAATGGTCAAGACGTGGGTGCCAGAACAAGTCAAAAAACCACAAAGATTTCTGATCACTTGCCCTGGAAACTAGCAATTTGGGTAGACAGGCACAGACAACAGAGCAATTATGCGATGCGTGGGCTTTTCTGATGATCAGTGGGCGATCGGAATGCGTCGGCGGGTTCTTGACGTGTGCAAACACGAATATTGTTGACTCATAGGTTTCGAAATCCTAATGGCGTTTGTACCAGAGTTGAGCGGAAGAACTCAACGCAAGAACACGGAAGAATTTTTATCTTTTTTAGAAAATTTTTTCATGAAATGTGATCAACTGACGAAATGTAGAGCAAAGTGAACTCTGCTCATAAAAAAATTATTGTAAATTTAACTTTTTATACAAAAAAGTTATTCGAGTTCTTATTCGTTTGCCCTTTTTTCACGGAACAACTCGCGTAACTTTTTTGTATGAAAAGCTAAATTTACAATTATTTTTCTATGAGCAGAGTTCACTTTGCTATACATTTCGTCAGTTGATCACATTTCATGAAAAAATTTTCTAAAAAAGATAAAAATTCTTCCGTGTTCTTCCGTTGAGTTCTTCCGTTCAACTCTGGTTTGTACGTTCTCCTTAGAAATTTACCGACCCGTTAAAACTGTTAGGATAGATAATATTGACAGCTCGATACATACAGTAGTACCGCTTCCAGCCGACTCTCGGAACTGCTGCCGTGTGTCTCGTCTCCTCGCTCCCTCGTCCACTATTCCAATGATTCGTGCGACCCGAAACTCCGCACCAACCTCCTGGCTCGTGAGCAAATCAAAATGAAGCAGCCGGAGACCGAATGTAAGGATTTTCATTCGTACAAAAAAAGTGATCGTCGGATTTTTTTTTTGTGAATGACTAATTTTTGCAGCGTCCGTGTGCACTGAAACCTACCTGCTCAACGAGAAATCCTCGGCCAACGATGACTCGTTCTTGTGAAATACTGTGTGATCCGGGGCTGGGCAATTGGCCGGCCCGCGCTTTTCGTTGACTTTTGACCCACTCACGGCGACCAAAAACGTAGAAAGGGGCGTGGCCTAGCGCGGTTTTTCACCATTTTGGCGTGAATTTCGAAATTTAACCCCATTTTTCATGATTTTCGTCAAAAATTACCCAAATTTAACTTTGTTAAACACGTTTCATTCAGAAATTAATCAATTAAATCGATTTTCAAGTTTTGTGCTGAAAATGCGCGAATTTCAGTCATTCGCCAATACTTTTTGCCGTTTGAACGCTTAAAATACTTGTATTAACGTGAAAAACGTCTCAAACGCGGCGTTTTCACGAAAATTTCAATGTTTTCTCTCTTTAATGTGCTCTTCTTTCGTCGATATCAAACATAAAAATAGCGGAAAAGTGTGCTGGAATTGCGGCAATTTTGTAGGCCACGCCCCTTTCTACACTTTTGGTCGCCGTGGCCACTTGAAATATTCCGATCGGACCCAAACTTTGCAAGATTGTTGGACTTGGATTGAGGGCCATTGGGACCAAGTTTCAGCCCGATCGGATCGTCGGGGGCCCGAGATATGTGGATCATTGGCCGATTTTTTTCCAAAAAGCCCGGGCTTCCGGCCAATTTCGGGCATATCTCGGGACCAGATGATCCGATCGGGCTGAAACTTGGTCTCAGTATGCTTCAACCCATGTCCAAGAAGCCTGCAAATTTTGGGACCGATTGAAATATTGCAAGTGGTTCAAAGGCGCAGCCCTGGTACGATCTCAAAAAAGTTGTCTTGCTTAATAAATTATTTGGCTCAACGACTTATTTTTGTTGTCAAAAAGTACAGATTGGATGCATCAATGCATAAATCATCAGCTCGGTGACCAAAGGCTGAAAGTCAACGAACAGTTCTCCAGAATCAGTGTGAAGTATCGCAATGGAATGGGGAACGGCTGAATGTACTCATCGTTGACCATATCCAACACCAACTCGCTGTAACTGTTCGGAGGTCCTGTCACAATTTTTGCGGTCCGGTTCGGGAAGTACTGTAAGATAGTATTTCAATTGTATTTCGGGAGACAAAGCACAGGAGCTCACATTGCTAAACCCAATCGAAGTTAGAGTTATTTGGTTAGAATTGACGCTCACAAACTCCACCGCTTTCTTTGAGTTCATCGCATCAATCGTGACTCGATGAATAGCCTTCAATGAGCTCTCCGCCCTCAGAGCATCGAACTTGACGGCTTCTGACAGAGGATTCAGAACGATTGCAAAGTCCAAAACGGTTTTATCCAATCCGAGAAGCGTGATGTTATTCGTAGTCGTCACAAAGGAAGCGTCCACGAATTCCGAGAGTCTATGGATCGAAACGGGTGTGTTGAAGTCTCCGTCAATCACGAAATAGTTGTCAAAGATTGTGGCCGGCCAGTTGGCCTGAGCAAGCGAGAGATGGATCTGAAACGGAAAGTTGTAGTGGGAGAGAAGCAGTTGGGCCACAATGTGTACCGGTTCTTTAGAGTACAGTGTCTGCGGGTTGTAATAATTGGGAACTTGCAGTTTTCTCAGCGAATAATAATTCATAACTTCGTACTTTTGAAGAGGGAACGCATACGGAGCAAACACTGAAAAACTGATGTTCAGACTTGCAACGGGCCGGGCCGGACCAAAATTGGAAATTTTCCGGCCCGGTCGGCCCGGGAGGATGCACCTAAAAATTCAAAGCGAACTAGAACTTCGAAACGAACATAATTTTATAGACTTAAAATTTTATAGACTTAAAAAGGCAATGTTATAGCATAAAAACCTGCTAAAAAATAGAAATTGCTGTTTAAAGTCGCAAAATTTTCACAAAAATTACGAAAATTTTCTCAAGAGTGGGCGGAGCGATTGATTGCAACTCTGGCACGCCATTTTAGCAATTTTGCCGCACGCGTTTTCCTCTTCCTTCATATTTTTTTTGCATATTTTTTTTGAGGTCTAACTTCCGGGCCGACGATTTGCTGGCCCGGCCCGGGATTTGACAAGTCTGCTGATTTTCAGGCCATCTCCCAAGATAATAATTACTTTTCTCGTAGTCGATATCGATGAGGAATCGAGAGTACATGTTCACACTTTTTGTGGTCACTTGCACACTTGCCGTCGTGTTTGGGAAGACGTAAAAAGTGAGAGAGTAGGAGGAACGGCTGAAAAGAGTTGGGACCACTACGATTCGTTATTCAAATTGATATATCTCAGCTATCGATAAAGATATCAAAAAGTTGTCAACTGATAAAATGTTCATCAAGACATTGTGTACATTTTATCAGTTGACCACATTTCGATATCTCTACAAACAGCCGAGATACATTGCTTTGAATACGGTACCTCGTGACAGTAGTCCGTTTCCCGAATCCTTCATCCACAATGATAAAATCGTTGCTTCCGAGTAAGCCATTTGTGAGAGTAATTGTGGCGTATTGCATTTCGAACACTTTTATCTGTAAAAAAAAGAATAATAGACTTTCTTGAAAGTGTAACAAGTTTACCAGATAAGTACAGTTGAAATTAGGCGGTAGAAACGCTGGAGCTGGCGAGTTCAACGGCAGAACCACATGATATCCGTTTTTGATTGCCGAATCCGGGATTTGAGTGCAATCTGCGTTCAAAACGACGTTTTCGCAACGTTTTTGTGAACACTATAATACCTAGACCATGCGTGACGCCGATGATGGAAAAAAGCAGAAAGATGAATAAATTCCGGTTCATTTGGAAGAGACTGAAACTGAAGTTACTCGTCTTTTTCTCTTTTTAACCCCCTTTTTATCAATTTGATGTGTTGGGCGCACGAAAAGTGATGTCACGGGCTGGTCCTGGCATCAGATTGGACAGAATTTCGCATTTTTCTGACTTTCAACTTTTCAGCACGCAAACTTCATTATCCACTATATTAAACTGAGGCAGAGAGCAGGGAAAAGTTCACAGAACAGTCTTGGACAATAATTGCAAAGGATTTTTGGCTCAGAACATATGGAAAGTCGGTGATGTTGGTGAAATCCGCAAGTACTTTGGAAGAAGTCGATAGTGGAGAAGTTACCGCTTCGACTGAGCAGGATGTCTGCAATGTAAGGTATCTCAGTTGTTTGTAGAGATATCGAAATGTGGTCAACTGATAAAATGTAGAAAATCGCTTATTGAACATTTGTTTAGTTGACCACTTTTTGATATCTCCAACGGCAGCGGAGATATAGCGTTTTGAAAAAAGAGTATGCCCATACACAAGAGCTCAAAATTTCCCAGCCCCTACCCCGTTAAATGCAGCAGAATTGAAGACAACTCCATTGGTATCCTTCGAAATGACAGTCACCGCCTTCCTCTTTCCGACCGCGTCGATTGTCAGCTTCTGCTCTTCGAAATAGGCGGTGAATCCGGTGAAATCGTCGAATTTCTGCACTTCCGACGCCGGCGAGAATATCAACGAGCTCTCCGAAACGAGATTATCCAAGCCGACGACGGTCAAATTGTTGCCCGAACTGATAAAGTTGCGACGGATGAAGTTGGAAACGTGGTAGACGGCGCGGGAAGTCTCGAAGTTTCCGTCGATCACGTAGTAGGCGGCAAAGTTATCCGCCGGCCATTGCGATTCGGCGATCGTTAGGACGATCTGGAAGCAGATTGACTTTTTGATCGTCAAGTCCCTAAACATGGGCCGAACCTTTTCAGTCCCCTGCACGTTCTGCGGTGGTTTGTTCGAGTTCACTTGCAAATCGTTCAACAGAACATAGCTCAAACCGTCGTTTCCAACTTGAGAAACCACGGGAACAGGCACTGTAAGAACAGCAACAAAAACACGTCTTCAAAATGCACTTTTACCACCGACTTTTCTGATAGAACACGGCCATTCGGAACTTGGAGCCCATCTCCACACTTTTTGTGAGCACTTGGAATGTGGACGTGGTGTTGGCGAAGACGTAGAAGTCAAGAACCGATGGCGAACGGCTAAACGTTGTTGTTTTTAGAAGTCGATAATATCCGGGGGGCAAAACCTGGAAACAAGTGTCCGCATTGCCAACTCGTCTCTGACTGTGATCATGTCATTTCCGCCCTTCAACTGGTTAAACAGTGTCACGTGGACGTACATCAGTTCTGGCGCTTTTATCTGCAAATTTATCCATAAACTTTTCAATGGCTCTGTGATACTCACGCTATAAGTGCACTCAAAGTTGGCCGGAAGAGCCACTGGCTCTTTGGCTCCATCCGGAACGTACACACGCGTTCCCGCCTTGATGGAACTGTCAGGGATCTGAACGCAATCTAAAGGCACATGACGATTATGGGATCAACTTCGAACCGACTCACCAAGCGCCAAGGATCCGCCGATCAGCACTGTAAGCAGCAGAATCCGCATGATTTTCAGATGTCAAAAGTTGGAGGGGGGGCGAAGTTTTATAGTGCCAGTTTCTTATCAATCTGGAGTGTTGTCGCACTCAGAACTATCTATTCTTATCGTCAATGTCAATAAGGAAAAGGAAAAGAGTGAAATCATTTGCCTGTGATCATTTTGATTAAATTTAGGTGCAAAAAGACAGAGTTTAGAGCAATATTTGATGACCACAACGTGGCAAACCGGAAGCATTTTCACGGACTTTCCGATAGCCTAGTATCAGTCTCATTACATTGGTTTTCTGAAGAGTTGGCGCTGACTGATAGGAGCAAACAACGAAAAAGGTCGGGTTTTGGATGCTCTGATCGTCTTTGCGAGCTCGAAATCTTACAGAATACAATGAAATTGGTGCTAGTTCTAGGAATAGTACTATGCACATTTCAAACGACGATCCAAGGTGACCGAGACTTTGTCACGAATCGTGTTAATTTCAGAAAGTTGTTTTCAGAAAACGTCATCGCGCAGACGGTCAGAGATCTATCGACTCTTTCGCGGCTCATGAATGGAATTGCGATCCAGACGGCACTGGCGAGGAATCCGGACAAATTTTACGCGATAGTCGCCGAACTGCTGGACATTGGATCCGAGAAGACGTTCCGGAACATTCTCGAGTTCGACGTGAACGACGTCTCCGGCAAACTCGACGGACTTGTGACGGAGAGTAAGAAGTTGCCGCAGAGTGTCACGAAGAACATCTCAAGGATCGGCGAGGCGTTCGGAGTTCTCGGCTTGGCGGGAGTGGCCGAATTGGAGAGTGCCATCAAGCTCAATCTCAAAGAGCAACAGGACAAGTGGAATAAGGCTGCAAAAGTTGATTTGCGCTTTTTGGTGGATCCCGTTTTTGAAAACGTTCCGACAAAGTTAAGATACGTTCTTGAGACGCCAATAACGGAAAACGGAATAGCGAACACAAACATACTCAGTGAAAAGAATGCAAAGATCAATTGTTCTTTGATTCGAAACTTTTATTTTTGCGTAGGTGTTCATAAATCTATTAGGTTGTTCGGAAAGTTCCAGTCATTTTTGGGTTCAGAAAAATTTATTGTGAAACAAGTTATCCGATTAATTAGACATATTGCCCATGTTTTTCGATGACTGTATGCCAACGTGTCACCAACTTGTGGATACCTTCCTTCCAGAACTCCTGCGGCTGGGGGCCAGGTCTGGGCTGTACGGTGGGTGAGACAAGATTGTCCAGCCGTATCCAGCGAGTTCAGCGTTGGCCTTTCTGGCGACATGGGGACGAGCGTTATCATGTTGAATGTAAACTTTCGCATTTTTCCCCCAATGGAGATCCACATAGAGTCTGAGTTTTCTCAGCTGACCAGTGTAGACATCGGCCGTAATAGTGATGCCGTCATCAAGCAGCTCCCAATATTCAACTCCACGGACAGACCATCATATTGATAACATTACCTTTTTTTCGTGTATTTCATGTTTTGGCCCGTCAACTGGCTGAGCGTCTTTGTCAACCCACTCGGCACGTCGCTCGGTAGTTCGAGTGGGTGCATCTTTGTTGTAAACCTCCGTTGAACGGCGATCAATGTCGGCAATTTTCAGGTCAGATAGAAATAGAAATAAGATTATATTTCGGAAATGTAAGTTGTTAGGGACAAAAACGTTCGGCATATCTCACTACTCGGGAACAGGAAAATGATATCCGTTGCTGTGTTAACACTTCAATACCCTACCAACATACTGATAAAACGACAACTAACGTGCTAGCTTCCCGATAGAAAAAACAATCTTCAAAAACATATTATGAAAAATGACTGGAACTTTCCGAACAACCTAATAGTTATTGCGGAGCTGAAGATTTGGTGGCCGAGCGAGTGGTATTGCTTTTCACAACGCTCGATTTGGTGGTGTGAGTAGTAGTGGCGGCAGCAGTCGACTTCATCTCCAAAATGAAGGCGCAGAACTCGTTCATCGACATAATCGTACATTTCTCTCTCGGGAATTTGGCGAAAACTCCAGCAATATCGTCCACTGACTGAAAAAAGACTAGATTCTTTTGTGTATGAGAACAGGTCTCACCGGGGTGTCGTATACAACGAAATTCGGTTTCAAATTTGGATGGTGATATGCTGGTTTTAGATCATACGCAAAAGACGAGGAAACTCCACCACTTATGGGCTGAAGGGTTTCCACAAAGTCGAGAACTTTTGCATCTTGAGGAGTTTGTGCCAGTTTTGAGTTGTTCGCGTAAACCACGGCGATACCAGTGAGAAAAGGCATACCCTGAAACGAGATGAAATAGAGAAAGTCAGCGTTACTCGGAACTCACTCGACCGCGAGCCGACATCTTCATTTTGTCGACAGTCTCGTAAACTTTTCCGTTAAATCTGACTTTAGTGACTCGATGGTCATAGTCCTTGTGAAAGTTCGAACGACTCTTCACACATACATCCAACCAGGACTTCTTGACGAGCACGGCCGGACTGCAACAAGAACTAGTGAAAGAATTCTGCGAGAGTGCCAACCTCGTAATGTTGGTCATGAAGTCCTTCAAACTGTGACCGCTCTTCTCGAAATTGTAAGCGTCGTCCTGATCCACATCCACCACGATGTGACTTGTTTTCGGTCCGAGCACATCGTCGCACACTTGATTCGGCCATTTGGTTGAGAAATGAGCCATTCCTCCTGGATTCGTGAGCACTACAGCGAAAGATTTTGAAGGATAGAGTTCCGGAACTCCTGTAAACCAACAATTTGTGTTTCATTCAGAACAAGAACTCACGTTGGCGAAATTTTTTCCCTTCGTACTTTGCAAAAACATACGCGACTTCCAGAAATGCGTGTATCTTTGCTGCATCGTTTTCTTCCATGATCAATTTCTCCAGTAACTGCTCAGGTGTTTCCTTCTCTTCATTCAGTGCCAATCGATCTGCGCCATTCCTAATAAGCAAATCTGCGAACTTTTCATGGCCTTTTTCAACTGCCAAGTGGAGGTTTGTCGTATTCAACTCTGCAACGGATTGTTATAGAATTTTTGAAGATTCTGCACTAGAGCAATCGAACCATATCTGTTGACATTAAATCCTTTCTTCAGCAACTTTTCGACATCTTTCAAGTTGTTGTAGCAGAGGTCAGCCCTCAAACATGTCATGTCGTGTTCGTCGGACAATTCTTCACGAAGAAACTGGAAGAAATTTGTTTTAAACATTTTTCATTTCAAGACCAACCGTGTATATCCAGTACCGTTCCCTGTTCTTCCACCGATACTTTTGAACGATCCAATCGTGACCGAAGTATCCGACTGCAACGAGTATGATTGCGATGACAAGAATTCCGGCGGCGCCGATGGCAATAATCTTGATGGGCGGACCGTCCGATCCATCCGATCCGACCGATCCGTCCGATCCGTCCGATCCGTCCGATCCGTCCGATCCGTCCGATCCGTCCGATCCGTCCGATCCGTCCGATCTGAAACACTTGACTGAGGAATTGAGGAAAGACGTAAACTGACGGTGCGGAGGAGCTGGTGAACAAGTCGCTGAAAAAGTCGTTGAAGAAGGAGTGGATGGACGGAAGAGTCAGCGAGGCAGCACTCAAATCCGACCGTTTCTGTTTGGCGTAATCCAGTTGGAGGTGGCTCAACTCATCGAAAATTTTCGCCGACGCCTGCACTTTCGGATCCGGATGACTGGCCAGCTCGATTGAGATGGGATCCTTGAAGAGTCTCGCATCGATCGGAGCGCCGGAGATCTTCTGAGCCTCTTCAAACAGTGTCCACGTTGTCTTCAGGTCCTTGTTCCCGTTCTTTGTGACGAACTGATTGAACGTCTCGACTTGACTCACCAACGCCTTCATCGAACTCCTCGTACCACTCGTCCACACGTTCTGAGCGTTCGGAATCGATGCGACGGCCGCGTCGACGTCTGCTCCAGACTCTGCCAACAACTTCACCTTCTCTCCGTTCTCGTACACTTGGCCCATCTCCCTCAGAACTTGCACTCCTCTCCCCAAGTCGTGCGCCAACTTCTCCGCGTCCGCCAACTTCAGCATCTCGTCCGATTCGCTGCTCCGTCGTCTCCGTCTTCTCTTGCTCTTCATGCCGTCCGCCGCGCTCTTCGCCGCTTTTCCCTTCTCGATCACTTCTTTCAGATCCTTCAAGTACTCCTTCGCATCGCTCGCTTTCGATTGGCTTCCGAGTGCTCGGATACTTTTTTCCAACTCGGCGAATGCGGTTACGGCAGTCGAGTCGATCTGTTTGTTTGCGAGGCACTTGAGAGTCTCGACGAATTCGGTCCCTTCGAAACTTTTTTGAATGGAATTCACTTGATTCCACCGAGTCATATTTTTCGCAAACTCTTTGATATAAGTACTCCCGATTGTCTTGAACTTCGGCATTGTATCGTTGAGGTATACACGAATCTCATTGATGCTTTCTACTGCTTTCAACTTGTTCACTTCCGCCTCAATTTCATCATTTGACATCGACTTCTTTATACTGAGCTGGACATCTTTCAAAGCCAAAATTTTCTTGGGGTAGTCAGCAATTTCGTCCATCAAAGTCCGAAGTTTGGAAAGTTTTGTGTCAAACTCATCCAATCCGTTGATGAGTTCTTCAAAGTCTTCATATTGAGCTACGGCTTTAATCGGCTTCAGCTTCTCCACACACGCAGCTCCGTCGTCCAACTTGGCCGACAGACTGGTGTCATCAACGAGAGACGTCTTCCGTAGCATGACAGCAATGTCCCTGAAAGCCTGTCGTGCCGCAGAATCCTCTTGAAGTTTGGCCAATGGAGTCTTGATCGGTTCCAGCTTGCTCGGCAGGCTCCTCAGTGGTTGCAGAGCGATGGCCAGCTTCTTCATGTCCTTTCCGCCGGCGATCTTGTCTCGGAGCCACGAGCCATCCAGATCGGTGGAAATCGCACTGAGGTCGCCCAATCCGTTCGGCAGCCCGGCAGTCGTGTTCCTCTCGAACGAAGACTTCGCGATCCCGCTGGCCACTTCCGACAGATGCGCCGTCTTCTCGATGTCCCTGCATATCTTCATCACCGCGGCAAGATGATCGACATCCGTTTTCATGGACTTCATATCAACTGATAAGGAACTGAACGTACTTTTCATATCTTCGTACTTTCGAGCCGCCACAGAGACAATCAACAGTTTCCCGAGCTCCGACTTCGCTCCACTCACTGCCCACAATTCAGTTAATTTTGACATGTCATCAAAAGACTTCAGAGCGTCAGTGAAGAAATTGAGATCATTATAAAGAATTTTCAAAGCAGGAAGTATGTTTGTGTTCGCTACTCCGTTTTCCGTTATTGGCGTCTCAAGAACGTATCTTAACTTTGTCGGAACGTTTTCAAAAACGGGATCCACCAAAAAGCGCAAATCAACTTTTGCAGCCTTATTCCACTTGTCCTCTTGCTCTTTGAGATTGAGCTTGATGGCACTCTCCAATTCGGCCACTCCGGCCAAGCCGAGAACTCCGAACGCCTCGCCGATCCTTGAGATGTTCTTCGTGACACTCTGCGGCAACTTCTTACTCTCCGTCACAAGTCCGTCGAGTTTTCCGGAGACGTCGTTCACATCGAACTCGAGAATGTTCCGGAACGTCTTCTCGGATCCAATGTCCAGCAGTTCGGCGACTATCGCGTAAAACTTGTCCGGATTCCTCGCCAGTGCCGTCTGGATCGCAATTCCATTCATGAGCCGCGAAAGAGTCGATAGATCTCTGACCGTCTGCGCGATGACGTTTTCTGAAAACAACTTTCTGAAATTAACACGATTCGTGACAAAGTCTCGGTCACCTTGGATCGTCGTTTGAAATGTGCATAGTACTATTCCTAGAACTAGCACCAATTTCATTGTATTCTGTAAGATTACGAGCTCAAAAGACGATCAGAGCATCCAAAACCGACCTTTTTCGTTGTTTGCTCCTATCAGTCAGCGCCAACTCTTCAGAGAACCAATGTAATGAAACTGATACTAGGCTATCGGAAAGTCCGTGAAAGGTCAACGGGTCAGCCGTTCCAATGCTTCCGGTTTGCCACGTTGTGGATGTCTGTTTGACAACGCGTTTTCTGTAATTTTCACATAAAACGTTCCGAAATTGATGACGAAGCAGTTAAAAGTTTATTTTTTATTCATTTCTAATCATTATCATAAGTTTTGACACTGATTAGTTCTGAAAAGATGGAGATAATGCAAAAAAAGGGAAAATTGAAATGAGAAACTCTACAACGACGCTCCGGAATTACGCGTACGCGCCTTGTTTAGCGCGCTTGAATTGCGCCTAGGGAATTTTTTATTGGAAGGGGCTGGGGTTTTCTTTTTTACAACGTATTTATTTAAATAACGAAAATGGATAATCAACAAGAAGTGGAAAGAATAGAGGACAGTTTGAGCAAATTTAATTACAATAGACAAAGAAGGAAACGGGAACTTTTTCTGATATTTTTTCTGTTTTTGTCAATCAATCAATGTTTACGGGAACAGGGAGGAAGGCACATGCACACACACACACACAAATAAATATTATCGAGCTTGTTCAGAGCAACACAATCACAGAAGTATAGCTATTATGAAAAAAGGATGAAAGGGACACCGAAAACACACGAATAAGTAGCTCATTTTGTAACGAAAAAAGAGAGGGGGGCGCGTAGAAGTCAGGAGAAGAACAAAAGCGTGGCGAGGTAGATCAGAATGGGCGGAAGTGAGAACAAAGCGATGACGAGTTGGTTTTCAGCGAAAAGCGGTTGATAAAGTGCGGCGCGCATTCTCGAAATCTCGGCTTCCACCCTCATTTCTTCCATCATCGAATCGATCGTCAATTGCACGTCTTCCACTTTTCCTTCTGGATGAGGGTCTTCAGGCCACGTGGTGGTGATGACGTGCGATGATGCTTCTGTCCTTTTGCCTTCTCCTCCCGCCACGTCATCACCCAACCAGTCTATTGCTGATTGTCGCCCCGACGTGGCCCTCCTCTCGAGCCCCCCGATGATGATGGTCCCGATGCGGCGGTGGATCCGCCGGCGGCGCCCGTACCACCGGGACCCGGGTAACGAACCGCTCTCGGTGGTTGATACGTCTGAAAAATGGGCATTGGAATTGGCTATTGTCAGTTCCGAGCTACCTCTCTGGTCGGCGCTTTCGCACTCGTCCGCTTGAACGCCTGCCGATCCCGGTCCACCTCGACATCCTCCAATCGTTGCGTCAACGAGAGCTTCTGCTGAATCGCCAACCGCAGCAGCTGGTTCAACGTCTTCTTCTCCTCCTCGTTGGCCTTCAACTCGGCGCTCAACTCCTCCACTTGCGACTTCAGCTCCTCGCCTCTCGCCGTGAACATGGCTCGATGACTCGCGAACGTCGCCGCGTCCTCCTTCAACTGCTTCAGCTCCCTTCTCATCTTCTCGGTTATGTCCATCTGCATCTTCTTCTCCGACTCGAACTTCTCGCGCATCGAACTCAACGCGCTCTCCGCCGTCAACTTGTTCGACTTGAGAACGGTGCGGAGTGTCGAGATCTGGTCGCGCTTTGTGCTCAACAGACTTCTCAACTTCATATTCTGCATCTCGATCTCATTCTCGGCGCCTGACGCCATAACAGCCTGATTGAATGCCTGTTCGCACGTCCGCTTCACCACTCCGACCATCTTTTTGAGCGAATCTGTCGTTTGGGATATCGCGTTTCCTTCCGTGAGAATTCGCTGACGGAGGTCCGTTTCGGTGAGCACGTCTCCAATTTTACAGCTCGTCAATCTTCTTTCAATTTCTTTTCCAAAGCTCGGCGCGATCACGAGACGATCCGAGTTGAGTGGAATGGATCTGGAGGCGTTCACATCCGTCTCCGTGCCACTTTCGACGCCTTCTTCGGCCAGAGACACTCTCGGCACGTCTTCTGCGTTCTCGCGAGCCAACACTCGCAGTTTGTTGACTATCTGGAAGAGGTTTTTGATGTTTTGGAGGGGTTTTAAAGTTGACAACTGGCCTCTTGGACGTTCTTCTCTGTGGAAATCCCCTGGTTCTGGGTCATCTGGTGATAGAACTGGTACAATTGATCCGATACTTGAATCATGGCGTCCTGAAGAGTTCCGTTTCATCCTTTTCATTTCATCCTTCAACTTTTCCGCTCTCTTACCTGTGCAGCCGCCAATTGAGCGCTCTTCTCTCCGGCGAGCAGCATCAGAGTCCTCAGGTCGGCCTTCACCACTCCCGATCTCTTCTCCTCGCCTTCCCGCTCATGCCGATCCGTCTCACGGCTCATCTGCTGAATCTTCTCGAGCACAACGTCCTTTTGCTGACGAGCGTGCATGTAGTCGAGCTCATCTGGAACGTATTTGCTTGAAGAAAATGGCGTCGTGTACTTGTGCACTCACCGGTCGGCCTATGAATGTTGAGTGTGTTGGCCAATCCGGTCACAAACTCGATGAACACCTTCTCGCGGTTCTTCAACTCCTCCTGCAGTCCCTCTTTGGCCGCCTCGAGCTCGCGCACCTTCACATCACTCGATCCCTGCAGCTCGCTGAACAAATCGCTGGCTCCGGGTTGTGGCGCCGGCAGTTCGCCGTCCTCGCCGAGTCTCTCCAGTCCATAGAGCATGTCGTTGAGACTGCTGATGTGCTCCGCGTTCCTCGTCTGCTCCAGCTCTCGCTTCATCGCCAATCGCTGATCGCGTTCCTGTTGGGCCGTGAGCAGCGCCTCTTCCAGTTGTTTGTCGGCGATCACTCGGAGCACTTCGCTCTCCTCCGCCGCCATTTTCAGCAACTCAATCGTCTCCTCCAATCGATTCATATCTATTTTGAGGGCCTCGTACTCGACCTGGCTGCCTCTCAGGTTCGCCACCGTCTTCTGCAGTCCGATGTTCTCCTCTTCGAGCTCTCCGTTCTCCGCCAGCAGTCTCTGCTCCCGTTCTTTTGTGTCTTTGAGCTCGGCTCTCAGTTTGCGGCGCTCGTCTTCAAACGCCGCTTTCGAGTTCATCTCCGCCGTGTGACTTTTCTCGATTCTCTCCAGTTCTTCTTTCTTTTCCGACAATTCCTTCTCCTTTTTCTTCAGATCCTCTTCCAGTTTGGCGATTCTTTGAAGGTACTCCTCTTCTTTCGCAGAACTCTCTTCCAGCAGCGATTCTTCATTTTCCAACTCGCTTTGTGTCGTCCTCTGATGTTTCGAACGATGATCGGCGAGTGTCTGGAAAAACGTCTGTTTCAGTTTTGGAATTTCAGATCAGAATTTTTTTTTTCAATTTATATGTTGCCTCTTTGGTTTCAGCCACCAAACAGAGGCGAGAAACGCGTGCGGCGGACTTGCAACCGGGGAGAAAACAGGGCAACTTTGAAGGGGCGTAACTCGGGATGTACCCAAAAATTTTGGAAAAAAAAATTGGGAGCGTACTCATATAGAGTAGGGGAACACATTCCAACAAAAATTTTATGGAAATTCGGAGTTTCGTGAAACCCGTTGCGGTACCTATCAATTTATAGCGTCAAAATGATAGATTCTAGAGCCGACCTGATTAGCTCTATCGACTTCGACCTTTGCAAGATCCAACTCCGCCTGCATCGCCTTCAACTTCCGCTCCAACTCGTCCTTCTGCTGGATCAGAGTCAGTCCTGCCTGTGCGGCCGCCTGCAAGTTCTCCTCCGCCCGCTCCAACTGCTCCGAAAGGCTTGCCGCTTCCGCGCGCAGCCTTTCCAGTTCATCAGCCATGTTTCTGAAAGGCTTTATTGTGAGAGATTTGTTAAGAGAGTTAACGCTTTTGCGATTGCTAAAGGATTGTGTGTTAGTGAGGTAGTCTATCTCCAATTTCAAAGAGTGCAAAGAGACTTTGAAGACCAATCCTTGCTAGATTATTGGTTTAGAGTGTCTATCTTGAAAGTTTCAGACAGATCGGACCATCTTAAACTCTGGCATTTCGTTATTTATCTAATCGCAGTTTACTCGAGTTATACGGCGGCCTAATAAGATTGATATGGCACCTAATTAGATTAATAACTCTTCTAGCTAGATTAAAAAATCTTCTAGCTAGATTAATAAGTATTCTAGCTAGAATAATAAATCTTCTAGCTAGATTAATAAATCTTCTAGCTAGATTAATAAATATTCTAGCTAGAATAATAAATCTTCTAGATAGATTAATAAATCTTCTAGCTAGATTAATAAGTGCACAAATCAAGTTTCACGCCAACCGTCTGCTGGCTCAAATCTCGATTGCGTCAAGAAAAAACAGTCGAATCTAATTAGGTCGCGTTTAGATCAGTAACTTTCTAATTAGATTAATATCGAATTGCCAGAGAAGGAAACGTAGAAGAAATCCAAAAAAAATAGTGCAAAATTTGGATCCGCTGCTATTATTCATAGTTGCCACGGGCCGGGCCGAAATTTCCAAAACTCCGGCCCGGCCCGGCCCGACCCGGCCCGGCCCGGTCGGCCCGGTTCAAAAAGCGGGAATTCAAAATTTGAATTATTGATCGCATGAAGCCATTTTTTGTAGAATTAGGGGTTTTTTTGCAAGCATCGAACATTGAAAAAAACAAATGTATTTCTCATAAAAAAATTCATAATAGCAAGAAAAACAAAGAAGAAACACTAAAACTTTAGTTCGAAAAATTTTTTTGTAATAACGGAAAAAAATTTCCGCGAAAATTTGAATTCCCGCCTTTTTGAACCGGGCCGACCGGGCCGGGCCGAGCCGGCACTTCACCGACCCGGCCCGGCCCGGGCCGGCACTTTACCGGCCCGGCCCGGCCCGGCCAGGCCGACCCGGGCCGGCCCGCATGGCCGGCCCGAAATCTGGCAAGTCTGCTATTATTCTCTAGTCGATCCAAGATGCGGAAGCCTATTTCTGGCAAAAAAAAATGCAAACGAGAGGTATTGGGTACGGCACTCGGCCGGGCACACTCTAATTGTATATTCATAAGGTTGTTTCGATCGAAATCGCCCGCCGAAAATAGTGTGTAGGGAGAGAGAGAGAGAGAACGCTTTTTCAGAGCAAATTTGGCAATCTTAGGGGAAAAAAGGTAGGACGATTTGACTGGAAAAGTTGAGAAAAATTGAGGTGAGGAATAGAGAAAGTGAGATGAAAAGCAAACAATAAAAGGCGGGGGGGGGGAGGAGAGAGGTGAGCGGCCGGCAGAAATGACACAAATATTGAGTGGTTGGCCGGTCGTTTCGTTTTCGTTTTCGGCCCGGAACATTTACATTGTGTGTGTGTGTGTGTGCATTTGTTCCAGTCGAAATAGAGAAACGCCCACGCATCGAGTTGGAAAAGTGGAAAAGACAAAACCGAATGTCTGCTCTGTTTCAAAAATGTTCGAAAAATTTGAGAACTATTTGAAACGGAGCACAAATTTGTTTGCACTTTCACCACCTCGATTACTGATACCGTTGACTGTCCGTCCAAGGAAAATTGTACAAAAATGTCCGATATGCAAGTGCGCTCTACCGCACTTTTGACGGCGAATTCAAGTTTTAGCTAATTTTCAGCGGAAAAAAGGCGGACTTTGTTTAGAAATCACTAAATTCAACGGATTTGGGTGAAACTCTTCAATTTCGCTCATTTTTTAAACTATTCTCGTGCGATCAAGCCAAAAAGCGATCAAAAAGAACGGTTTTAGTCCTTCTGCGCCCAAATTGTTCGAATTTCAGTCTTCGAGCTCTCGAACTAGACAATTTGCGAAAAAAAAACCGTCGAAAATGGCAATGAGACTCGTTTACTATCATTTTTCAGCAAAAAAACACAAAAATTCCAAGTTTCTGATTCGGCTCAAAAAGAAGTGTGTTTCAAACGTGTCCGATAACAATTTGCTCAATTTTCCATTTGCTCAATTAATTCAATTCCTTCAAATTCGCCGCTCAACAATATCAATTCACAATGTTTTCGAACACAAAAAGCGAGCACAGTGGAAAAAGAAGTGGGACGGACGGACGGAAGAAGAAGAAGAAGCGATGTGCAATTCGAAACCCAGCAGAGTGTGTGCCCCTTGGAAACCAAAGAGAGAGAGAGAGAGAGAGCGATTGGCGAAAAGATTTCCGCACTTTTCTCTGTGCTCTCTTGCTCTCCGAGAGCGGCGCTTCAACAGCATAACACTTGGGCTCACACTCACACTTCTGATTGGCGAAAATCTCGGCAAATTTAGTGAAATTGGGGGCGAAATGAGTCAATTCACCGCCCTAAACGATCATTGACCTTGATGTGGATCGGCGGGAGGAATGACCTCTGTTTTTGCGCAAAAAACGGACGGAAAATGTGGCCATACTGCTCTAAAGACTATTTTTCTCGCTTTTTGGACCTACAAGGCGGTCGCAAGTATTTAGAAATGTGCCGTTTCAAAAAGTCCACAAGAATTGAGTCATTTGTGCAAAAACTTGAAAAAGTAATCACATTTAGTGAAGAAAGCGAAGAAATTGCCAAAGTTGTTGTTTAGTGCAAAATGAAACTGTAAGTAGTGTGAACACTGTCCATTCAAAACGAGTTTTCTTAGCTGAGGGTAGAGATATGAAAAAGTTGTCAACTAATAAAATATTCGTTAGGAAATTTTGTACATTTTACCAGTTGACAACTTTTTGGTATCTCTACCGGCAACTGAGATAAACGGTTTCAGTTCTACGACAAGCATGATGACACCACTGAAGACAAAATATATTGTCGCTTTCTTTTTCCATCACAACCTCCGTTTAGGGGATGATCGGGAGGGGAACGTCGGAGCGGACCGAGTGAGTCAACAATAGAATCGCCGATTGTGAACGGAAAATGGATGAGGACGAACAAACTGGCCACGTACAAACGCGAGAGGCAAAGGAAAGAGCAGAGAGAAGAAGTGCTGATAACACACACACTTTCGGAAAGGTTTTAAAATGTTTTGAAGCTGCGCGCATGTCCACGATTTGACTGAAAATATTCAAAAAGCCGCGCTGAAACACACACAAACTTTTGGTTGTTGTCTAGCACAGCACGATTGGAAAATTTCGGCGGTAGGCTGGTTGCGGCGGCGGGAAGGCAAAGAACCTTCCGGACAAACGGGAGAAGCGAGAAAGAGAGAGAGAAAGAGAGAAAGAGAGAGAGAACGGTAGAGACGGAGACGGAGAGAGAGAGAAAGAGAGAGAGCGGGAGGACACTCTCCTCTCTCTCTCCCTCTCGGGGACGGGACGGGAAGAGGAGAGAGGCGCCCGGCGGACACTCTCTCGCTTCTCTGCGCTTTGACTGTATACGACGAATGTGTGTGTGTGTGTGCGTGTGTGTGTACATTTATATATGTACGTATTATGTATAATGAGTGAACGGAAGAAGAGAATGGACGGTTTTGGTGTCGACCGCAATTGTAGGATTCTGGACCGCAATTGTAGGATTCTTACAATGGGCGCAAGTGCGCCCCGCCCAATAGAGCGATACATTGGCGCGAAATTCAAATTTTAACAGCAAAATTTGTGTTTTTTGTCAGATTAGCCCCTAAAAATCGATAATTTCTCATTTGTCTCTCGATAAACCGATTATATAGGCTATTACGAATTTTTTAAGCGTAAGAGCGTTAAATTTGGTCAAGTTTGAAGGTTTTTGGCTAAAACTGCGTGAATTTCAGTTGAAATTTCGCGGTTCGAGCGCTCAAAATGCTTGTATTTACGTGATTTATCATTCTCAAAATCAGTTCTGTCTGAAAACGGTCAAGAAAGCGCAAAATGAAAAGTGCGGTTTTTAGGCGGCGATCGGCGGCGAAGGCGAAAAAGCAAAGTGTGCGAAAAATGCGCCAAAACGTCATTAATTCTGAGAATTAGTGTGTTTTCATGTCGAACAATCATTTTTCATCGCCGTTGACCACAAAAATCAGAGAAAACCTGCTCAATTCATGAAAACGCCATTTGGCCGCCGAGGCCACGCCCATATTGTCAGCTCTGGAGACCTTGATATATAATTAAACATGTAATATTATTAGAAAATCATTTGACTTGGCCTTTCTTAAAAGAATGAGATGTTTATGTAACAAATAACAGAGATAATTAAAATCACAAGCTATGCATGACATCCTTTACAATTTCCTCAAAAACCGGCTCGAACTTTCGGATGGCGGGTGCCGTGAAGTGTACGGTATTGTCGACGTAGGCGAGCATCGAGTCTCGATCGAATGTCAGGTACTTATTCGCATCGAGCAACACGTGACTCACCTCGAAAACCTTTAATTAGAAATAAAAGTGTTGTTTGGGTGTTTTTTTTTGGGGGGAACTCACTCGACACTTTCGGCAAGTGTTCTGAAGCAGTACGAATCGTTTCCTGGCATGCTTTATCCCGATGTCTGTCCGTTTTTTATCAAGATGAAGGGATTCGAGCTCGTCGGGTTTGCTGGTGATCAAATGCAGAAAGCGGTTGAGGAAACTCAGACCGTACATGGGTTGCGGTCCCAGGATGTAGATCTTTTTGACAAATCTGGAAAATGTTCAAGTACCTTTCATAAAGCCGCGTCCAAAGTCTCGGAAAACCCGCAAATCTCGCGTATTTTGCAGTCCAAAGTCGGCAGAAATTTGCGGGAAGTCCGGGGTGCGCACAGCTGAACGAGTGTTACCGTACACCATAAAACTACGGTATTTTCTGAAAATTTACCCAAGAAATTTGAAAAATTTCAAATAATCTCGAGGAATTTAAATTTTTTCAAAAAATATCGTTGAAAAATTACCCAAGAATTTTGAAAAATTGCAAATATTCTCTCGAGAAATTTAAATTTTTTCAAAAAATACCGTTGAAAATTTGCCCAAGAAATTGGAAAAATTTAAAATATTCTCTCGAGAAATTTAAATTTTTTTCAAAAAATACCGTAGTTTTATGGTGTACGGTAACACTCGTTCAGCTGTGCGCACCCCGGATTTCCCGCAAATTTCTGCCGACTTTGGAGTGCAAAGTCCGCGAGATTTGCGGCGTTTCCGAGACTTTGGACGCGGCATAAAGCGCTATGTTCAAATTATACGACTTTTCGATTCAGAGCACACTGCATTGTATGTATGTACCTTTCATAAAGCTCTATACTTTCGCTCATCTCTCGAACAAGTGCGTCGTCATCTGTTATAGGCTCGTTTAAGCGTTCCGAGTACCTGAAAACTGAAAGTCATACTTGTCTAATTGAACACTTCTATTCCCTGGCCACAATAAAAAGAACATCGGGTTTGTGCTTGGCCACCTCGTTCCAACTCATTTCCAAAGCGATTCTAGAAGCGGAGCTCACTGAATGAGTGCCGAGGTTTGCTGAATGCTCACTATTAAATAACAAATCGAATAATTCATTGCGGCAAACACGTACACAATATCGCATAAGACCTGTAATCCGAGTAGTTGTTGTGAAAATGAGCTCGGATTGGATCGTCAAAGTTTTGAACGTAACTATTTCCCATCATCATAATTGACACGTTTCCAAGGCCTTTCGGATAGTGGCAATAGGCTAACACATCGATGTTCGGGTACTCTAGTTTGTCTCCAATGCACGTATCATCTCGGACCGACCATGACCGCTCAAGAAGTCGCATGTTTCGATCGACAATATCTTGAACGTCTTTGGTGTATTTTGGCTTCCAAAAAGTGTGCGCTCGGACACTGAACTGAAGAAAGAGGTTGGCAGTGAAAAGGGCGAGAATGAGAAGGATGATAGGTCGGGTGCCTAGTCTTGTTAGGTAATGTTTCTCGAACAAATGATGTAGGAGGATCGATGATATCAGGGCGGTCACTGAATAGTTTGTAGATACCGTAAAGACGAGAATACTTACCCACACAGAAAAACTGATTCCTGAGAGCGGTGCCAGTGTAGATTACGATAATCGGCCAGTGGACCAGGTAGACGACATACGAAATGTTTCCCAAGAATACTAGAGGATAGCATTGTAGAAACTGAACCGTTTTCTATTATCTTGACCTATTTCATGTACCGGTCTAAACCCTTCAAGGTCCCGATAAATTGTGTTAAAAGCTCAGATATTGTCTTTTTCTCATAGCCACGGCGACCAAAAACGTAGAAAGGGGCGTGGCCTAGCGTTATCACCATTTTGGCGCGAAATTCGAAATTTAACCCAATTTTTCATGTTTTTTTTCAAAAATTACCCGCATTTTGAACGATTTCGACGATGTAATTGCATATTAACTTTGTTAAACTAATCATCGCGCGCATTTCTTGAGCTTAAAACGAGCAGGTTTCATTCAGAAATCAATCGATTGAATCGATTTTCAAGTTTTGTGCTGAAAATGCGCGAATTTCAGTCATTCGCCGACACTTTTTGCCGTTTGAACGCTTAAAATACTTGTATTACCAGTGCTTAATCACTTCCGACACTCACTTCGTCTCAAAACTATCCACATCGGCCGGTCTCCCACGGCGCGAATGATTTCAATGGGGCGCACTTGCAACAGGCGGGCTGTGTCGATTTACGCGGCGGTCGATAAATTAATTTTCAACAGGAGTTCGCGTTCTATACAATACACCTATTTTTTTGTACGCTTGGAACCTGTATTCGAATAATTCGAGCACTAGCTACGTTTTGGTATCAGAAATCTCGCATATCGTTGAGAATTAGCCGAGTTATTTCGATTTGAAGGTTTTGGCCTGGATTTTGATGTTTTTCGAATAGTTTTCGAAAACTGCTCAAGAAAACTAACCGCCGGAACCTGAATTTTGTGAAGAAAGATTCAGCGAACATTTTTATCGTTCGTTGGGCTCATGAAATGCAAAATGAGCTGAAATATAAAGGTTTGAAGTTTTGACGAAATGCGAAAAAGACGCTAAAAACATGAAAAACTCTAAATTCTGTAGAGAACGGTTTCCAATCAGTAAAATATTGTTTTCTAGACGTTTTTCAAGTCAAAAAGATAGAAATAATGGTCGTAAACTCGAATTGAACTGCATTTTTAGACCTGAAAATTTTCAAAAGTTACAACGACACTCCGCAATTTACGAGCGCACTGTGTTTAGCATTAGCGCCCTGGGAGACCGTGGATCGGCCGGTATGAAAATTCGGAAATTGCGGCGGCGATTGGCCGCGGAGAGCGTATTGCGAAATATGCCAAAAACGTCTCAAACGCGGCGTTTTCACGAAAATTTCAATGTTTTCTCTCTTTAATGTGCTCTTCTTTCGTCGATATCAAACACAAAAATATCGAAAGTGCTGGAATTGCGGCAATTTTCAGAAAACGCGTCTCAGATTAGGCCACGCCCCTCTTTCTACACTTTTGGTCGCCGTGGCATCGATCAAAACCTTGTTCTTGTCTCTCTCCTCGGCTCTACTAGCCACGATGAAAGCGGTGGAAAAAGTGACAAGCGGGCGAAGGATGAGAACATTAATCTCGGTTGGAATCATGCAAAGTGCTATGACAGACAGCGCGACAATAATCAGATCGTCGTGATGTCGGATTGTGACACGTGGCAAATACAACGCCATGAATCCGGCGGAGAACTGCCAGAAGCGAAGGAGCATAAAGTTGAAGGCGAATTGTGGATTGAGGAGGGTGGAGAATGCGCATCCGATAATAGTTGTGAGGGTTATAACCACTTTTTTGTTCTCCAAGAATTGTAGGCCATAGAAAACGAGCGGAGCAAGGAAGTAAAATTGCATTTCGACCGACAACGACCATAGATGAATGAAAGCGTTGAGCGACGATCCGTCAGTCAGAAACTGCAGTCGGTCAGTTCGTTTCCAGTCCATCACACCACTTATGTACAAACCTCATTAAAATAGTTGCCACTGTCGGAAATGATCAAATGATTGGTGACGAGGAAGAGGGAAGACAGGGAGTATCGTTGGTTGGAAAACCACCAACATTCGGGCAGTGAGAGGTGGACAAGCATTGTAGAAATGAGGATTATCAGGTAGTAGAGGGGCACGATCCGTTTGGAGCGTTTGTAGTAGAACTCGACAATGTCTTTCAGACGTTTTATCTTTTTGCGAGACAAGTTTCGAGCCATTAGGTAGCCGGAGATTACGAAAAAACTGAAAAAAAAGTCAAGGTAGTGTGGTCGTAGACGTCGCAGAATTGCAGAAGCCTACACATCAACTCCAAGAAATCCGTTGACGAAAAAAGTTGGATACAAGTGATAGATGAACACCAGAAAGATGGCAATGCCACGTAAGCACTGAATATCTTCGCGCATTGATTTGATGCTTTTCTGCTAATTGTAAGCAACTGTTTCCAGAGACCACCTTCTTTTATATTCACTATTATCGTTTTTCATCTTCCATTCAAGGGTGTGGTTCATTTTCATAGGATCAAGGAAGATTCAGCGGACAGATGAATGGATGGCTAGGTTCCGGGATTTCTTTCTTGTCCGAGAGAAGTCCGAGCGGCGGTGACCGAGAATCGATCGGTACTGCTTGTGGATTCTGCTGAGAAAATTGAATACACTAGATGAATATGGCCAAAAAACATTGTAATTTTCCGGAGAATTACTCATTTTTAAGCAATTTTTACCGGGTTTCTTTGATTTCGCATACCTTACGTACATTGTGAAGCCGTCTCTGACCCGACTAGGACCAGTCTAATTGAAGAATAGCTTTTTTCCACGATTTAAATATTGTTCAACGTTTTCAACTAGACATCGGAATCACAGTATTTTTGGGGAAGGAGGCGGAATAGATGGAACTCTAATAAATACTGTCTCGTTGAAAAAAAACAATGCTTTTTGGACAGAAAAACTGAGAAATATGGTGTACAAATGGGGGAGGAGGGCCAGAAATTCCAGAAGAATACTAGATGGCGTCACTGGGCGGTTGCGGCAGGACCATGTTGTAAAAGTGGTCGATGCTCCAGAAACTGGCCGGTTTCCACGCGCACCATCCTTTCGAAACGATCGTTTTGATGTCTTCCGAGCCGGTGTAATGCGGGTCCAGGATCAGGAATCTGCAGAATGTTTTCTTCGTGATGAATGAGAAAACTGCTCACTTGGCCTCTCCGGTGTTATCGTTGAAATCGACGCCTAGAATGGTGTGCGCGAGCATGTTCCCTCCGATCATGACGGGCGTTCCGGCCGTTTCAAAGTGCCGCGCCAGTTCCCGCACTCGCTCCACCACTTCCGCACCCGAATTCGTGGCGATGAAGCGGCATTCGAGTTCTGGAAACAAAGCGTTTTCTTTCAAAAAAAAAAAGGCGAACGCTTACGGAGCAACTCATTGAGAACAAAACTGATTTCGGTGCTTCCGATCCATTGTCTCGAGCCGATGAACTTCTGTTCCTTGTCTCCGATGCGCACGAGCGTCTGGAAATCCATTTTTATCTAACTTTTATCCAACTACTTCAAGAAGGCTTCGAAGAGCGATGCGAAAAAACACTAGAGCACAAAAACACTATTTCTATTCGCCATCATCAATAAACTAGCAAGGTTTTTCGATAATTTCTGAGACATTAACATTTGGAAAAGGGCACAAACCTCCTGGATCTGTCGATGCGTCGGAACGGGCCGATCGGTGTACCCGTTGAGAATGAACCAACTCCAGATGGTCTGGAAGCTTCGGTAGGCGCATCCCCAGCCGTTGTCGTCGATTCCGTCCTGCATGTAGTGATGGTAGTTGTACGCCCCGCTCACAGTCGTCACTTCTCCCACCGGTTGGTCTGAGCAAATAGACAATGTTCAGGGAAGAAAAAAAACATCTGGAAAACAAAAGCTCACAATTGGTGATGGCCAAATGTGGTTCTCGGATCAATTTCTTGTTGATAAGCTTCAGGCTATCCGAGAAAAGAGGCAGTGATTGGCTGAGACGGAGCACCGGTTTCGAGGAGGGCAAGTTGAACAGTTTGTGCAGGCGTAGACGGTAGTTTCCTGCAAAAAACGAATTCCTTTCTCAATTAGCAAAAATGACATTTGTTCACTTGGCCATTAGAAATGATCTCTGTGAAACAGAAAATGTTTCAACAACAAAAAAAAAGTACAAACTCTGTTCATTTTCAGTCCATCCCATCGGAAGTTGGATGTGGAGAAGAGAGGCCCATCCCTGCGGCAGATACGTGGCAGAGGTGGTCGTGTGAAGCCCGCGCTGCAAGAACAGTTGAAAACTCTCGGAGAATCGCACGCAAAGAAGCGTACCCCGGCGCGAATTCCGTTCACAATGACCATCATGGCGTTGGCGGCGCGTCGGTTGAGTGCCAAACGAGCTCTTTTGTACAAATCGAGCGACGAATCGCCGAAGAACGCCGGGAAAACGACGTCGACGAAGAGGGTCAGGCGGGAGAAGTGCTTGTTGTCTGCAAGTTTCACTACAAAGTTTAAAGTGGTGGGATTCATGCTTCCAAAGTCTCCTGGCCCAGGCTTAAAGGCTTTTCGAGGCTTGGAATTGGATTGAAGTATCATGGGACCAAGGTTCAGACCACTCGGATCATCTGGTCCCGAGATATATGGATCGGAGGCCGATAAGGCTACAATTTTTGCAGAAGCTACGCCAAGCCAGTATATTTCGGGACCAGATGATCCGATCGGTCTGGATCCAAGTTCAAGAAGCCTGCAAAGTTTGGGTTCAATTGGAACAAGGGCCGGTCAATTGCCGAGCCCTGGTTTGTATACAAAATTGCAAAAAAGTACCTCTGGTCACTTTGACCGTCGGCACAAGTTTCTGGTCCTCCGTGTCGTTGGAGGTGTCACGAGTGAGCGATTGCAGTCCGGTAAACTCCATTACATCCTAAACATTAATATTTGTTCAATAAACTGTTTTGTCTCACCTTATAAGGGACGGCGCCTTTGGAGAATTGATCCATATACTTTTGGGTGGCTGCTTCCGGTTTTTGCTCTCTGATCACCAGTCCGTGCTCTTGATTAATGTACGAAAAACGGAAGGAGGCCATCGAGAGACGTTCCGACGCCGACTTGACGTCTTCTTGTTCGCGGCCCGCACGCAGCGACCAATCGAAGCCTACCTGAATTTATTTCTTTCTTATTTTTTTCAATTTCGATCACATCCGAGGTAGACTAAGGTTCATTTTTCCACAATAATTTGACCAGAAAAAGGGTGTGCTGACCTTGCTGACGAGGCTCATGCCCTCCATGAGCACGTGCTCGTTGTTCATCATCGGATTCAGGTCCAGAAAGTCGCTGATGCTCCGATTTTCGAGCATTTGCGACGTCAATTGGAGGGTGAGAAGGGCGTCGCCGATCAGATGCGACTGGCCGTCAATATTCACGTTTCCCACCAGTTCGATGTCTGCAACATCATCTAATGCTAATACAAGACTTCTTACAATACGGCGCCTTTTCGTCTCACATCAATCTCATTCTGATTTTCAAGGAACAAATGAAACCGTACCAGCCGACAGAGAGCTTTCCAAAAACTGCAAATTCGAGTCGGTCAGGTCTTCGGCGTAGGCGAAAAAGACGTGGACGACCTGCAAAGCGCATTTCTCCAAACGTTTCCCAAATTTGCCCGCATTATCCGTACCTGTTTTCGGGATTTCCGTCCAAACACGAGTCCTCCGATTGTCGTTTGCGCTTCGGTTTTCGCAAACGAGCGAAGATTCGCATAGTTCTGCAAAAGTTTACACGTGTTTTGTTAGATTGACATGAAATTGTGTCCGTGTGCACTGAAAGGGTCCCTTAACCCATTCCGAAGGGGGTATAGGCTGAAAATCTCTCTCGCAATTCTCATCAGTGTTCAGGCTCACGCAGTTTTCAGCCAAACTAGACACTTGTTCGTTAATTCTCACAAATTCACCTGAAACATGGCTTGGACGTCGACAAACCAGAGCTCCTTGACGGGTTGAATCGGCTGAGCCATCTGCGACGAACCGATTATTTGCACATTTTTGCTCATTTTTGCCTTAACAATACACGAAAATTATTGGATTTTACCACCACAAAGAGTACAATCGAATTGAGCAAAAGGGAATTCGCATAAATATGTCATTTATCAGCAGGGAGTTGGGATAGAAAAAGACACCAAGAAGAATATTCGAGTCCGGGAAATTTCAGGAATACTGAAGTTCATTTTTTTGTGCGGAGCGTAAAACGTGTATCACATAGACAATGAACGAAAAAGAGATTATTGAGACGAATGGGCGACGGGCAGGCGGGAAATCGATTTTTTTTTGGTCTGAAAAACGGGTAAATATTACGTTTTGTGGGGTGTCTCAGGGGGGGGAGGGGGGATTTGGTTGCCATTGGAAACCGGCAGGTGATGGCGACGAATTCAATTGAATTTCCGACGGATAACGGGGTGGAGAGACGCAGAATCCACTTGCCTGGTGGCTATTTTTGGTGAACTAAAGGTTGTTCGAAAAAAATCGGTTTCAAACACTTCACTTATTTTTCGCCTACTTTTTGTTAACCAATAACCTGACATTCGCAATAGCACAAAAAATGCGCACAAACCTAACGGGACTCGATGAATGCATTGACGCGGTTGAAAATGGCGCGTCCGCTGCGGTAGGCCAAGTATCCGAGCGATCCGTAGATCACGAGACGCACTGACGTGGCGAACACCTGCAAAAATAGGAGGATTTTGATAGACAAAACGTGGATGACCCTCCCGATTGCCTAAATTTTAGGGCCTAAAAGTAACACTAATCGAAATTACAGCTTCAAGCGGTTCTCAGAAAGTACTTCCCAACTTCCATAAACTTCCGGATACCTTAGTGCCAAAACTCGGGGGCGGAATGACGGTCAACGGGTCGAAGTCGATGTCGGTATTCCATTTGGCGGTGATTCCGGGCGTGTGTCCGATTCCGACGACGGCGACGATGCTCAGCGGCTGGAACGGCACTCCGGTCGTTCCCCTCAGCCAGTGCGCCCTCTTCTCGACGGCGTTTCTGCTGACCAGGGTGTGGAGTGCGTGGGTCATGTACGCGTCGCGCTCCTCCACGAATATCTGCGACAGTTGCGGAAAGTCGTCGGCCATCTCGGCGAGCAACTGCTCCAGCAGGTCCTTTTGTTTGCACCGCTCCACCTCTTCCGCCGTGATTTTCTCGCGGTGCGAGAATGCCACGTGGATGAAGAAACGCAGCTTTTGCCAGATCGACAGGGACGCCAGAGCGCGTTGAAGGGTGATTTGGATCGGACGGTCCCCGAGCACCACACGACAGTTCTGCAATCATTTTCAGTTTGAATTTAGATTTAGATTGTGAGCATTTCTTTTTCTGACTGTTCTTTGTACTCACCTGAGTAGCGACGGCGGCTCTGTGCGCGGCACGGAATTCGCCTCCCGGAGCCATCGAGAGCTGCCGGGTGACGTGGGCGGACATGGAGAGAAGGAGCACGTGCAGAATGCCCTGGATCGCGCCGTTCTGGAAATAAAATTGAAATTCTGCGATTTCTTGGTTAATTCAGTCTTTCAAGCAACAACGCACCTGTTTAATGGTCTGAATGATTTTCTGTGAGTTCAAATCGCTGGCCTCCTGCAGAAGACGTGCCTCGTCCATCGAAATGATCGAAATGCGCGAGGGACACAGCTCGAGCATCACAAAGTCGGGCTGAACGGCGCGGATCGTGTTCGACACGTCCTCCTGCGACTCTTTCGAGAAGTGGGCGGTGCCGATGAGGTAGACGGTCGCCTCCTGCAAGGACCGCTTCCATTCCTCGTCCGAATCGCTCAGCACCGGATTGCGCGGCGGGATCGGGATGTTCGACGGCCATTTCAGCACCGTCACTGAAAAAAGGAGGATTTTCGTTGAATTTTTACAAAAATAGAGGGAGAAAATGTGAGAAAAATACTGTTTCAAAAAACTGTAATCAAACTGATTTCTGTTTTGGGAGGTTTTTTGCTCGAAATACGTCTAAATTCCCGCTTACCAGTGTTAGAATTGGGCACAAACGCCAAATCCCTCTTTTTGGCAAAATGGAACGGTCCGGCGACCGGGTCCACGCCCGGATCGGAGCCCTCCGGCGCCTGCTCGAGCTCGTAGTCCAGTTCGGTGTCGTCGCCGACGTGTTCGTCAAAGTTCGACGTGGAATCCGCCAGCGAGATTATCGATTGTTCGGCTGTTTCGCTCGCCCCGCCCGCAACTGAAATTGTGGATGTTAAGCGGTCTTTTTGAAATTCAACACTAGATTTTGGAACTTACGTCCTTTTTTTGAGTTGATTGTGAGAGAGCGCATGCGGAAGAGGTCCTGAACATGAGTTTTACATTTATTTATCAAAATCCTTTTTAATTATCGAACCTCCTCGGTCAACTGGTCCTCAGACGGCGGCGGAATGTCGTTGGGGTCCGGGAACTCGGTTCCGTCTGGGTTCAGGTTGGAAGAACTCATCTGCAACACTTTTTGTCTCATTTTTTCACTTTTAGGCACAACAACACTTCAAATTCATTTTTTCATTCATATAAATGTGTAAACAACAAAAATTCGAGCTGAAAAGCTGAAATTCCCGGCATTTCCTTATTGAGAAACAAAAAAAAACAACAAGGAGTGCGGTGGAGCTCGGTTGCAACATCTCTGCGTCTATCGCCTCGGCACACTGTCTCGGATAAAACCGTGCGGCACTTTGCCAAATGCAACCCTGGCACGCTTTCGTTTCGTAAATGTCCCCCGACCTTTTTACAGCGTTTCTTGTCTGCAAATCCTCAATTCCACCTAAGTTTAATGACTCTTTACTTGAAAAATGTCGAAAACCTGTTTTAAAATTACTTTTTCATCGATTTTCCCCTAAAAATTGCTCAAAAACCACTATTCTTTGAATTTTAGGAGAGCTGAATACAAAATTAGGTTGAAAAAATGGAAAACTTGTAGATATGACTACGGGCAACTTACAAATAGCCATCTATGGATTCACAGCGCCAGTCAAAAATTATGAGCCAGCTGGAATCATTTATGAGGTATTTTTCGCCGGTTTGCTTTTTTGCTAAGAAGAATTGATTTCAGACTCGTTTAATCCGCGACAAGATAACTCTTGGACACTGTACTCTTCCGATTTACAAGAATTCGCCAGTCGCCGCGCCAAAAACCGAAAACGGACGGAAAAAGTCGAGTGAGGAGCCGGTGGAGCTGAGAAAAGAGCTCTTCGATGCGGACAATGAGAAATATGAAAAGTATTTGATGAAATTGGACCCGAACGATTGCAAAAACCAAGATCACTACAAGGTTTTGGGATTGTCGAAGCTCAGATGGCAGGCGACCGCCGACGAGATTCGTTTTTGCTGTAAGTTTCAATGTTTTACAATAAAATCTCAATTTTTTATATCAGACCGTCAAAAAGTGCTGAAACATCATCCGGACAAGAAGAAGCATCGCGGAATCATCATGGAGAAGGAGGAGTACTTCACGTGTATCACAAAGGCCTATGAGCAAGTCGGAATGTCGGATGCGAAGCGGCAGGCGTTCGATTCGGTCGACCACAAGTTCAACGACGCGATTCCCAACGAGAAATCGATAAATCACGACAATTTTTTCAACGAATTGGCTCCGATTTTCCAGCTCAACTCGCGCTGGTCCAACACGAAACCGGTGCCAACTTTAGGCAAAAACGAGGCGACGCGCGAGGAGGTCGAGAATTTCTACGATTTCTGGTTCAATTTCTCGTCGTGGCGCGAGTTTTCCTACCTGGACGAGGAGGATAAGGAGCGCGGAGAGGACAGGTACGAGCGGAGGGAGATGGAGAAGCAGAACAAGGCGGAGAGGGAGCGGCGACGCAAGGAGGAGGCCAAGAGAATCCGCAAGTTGGTCGATATGGCCTACTCGAAGGATCCGCGCATTGTCAGGTTCAAGAAGGAGGAACAGGCGGTCAGTTTTGCCTTTTTGTTTGAGCTTTGCCAAAAAAAACCACTATTAGTGTGCGCATTGAAATCAAATAAATTTTTAGAAAAAAGACAAGGCAAAGGAGGACCGTCAACGTGCGATTCGTGAGAAGCAGGAGGCGATTGAGCGCGAAAAACGCGAGAAGGAAGAGGCGGAGGCGAAGAAAAAGGAGGAAGAGGATCGCAGAGCCAAGGAGGAGAGGGTACGGTACTTTTAAGAATTGCTCTACAATGTTGTCGTAAAACTTTAAAAATTGATATAAAAACCATATTTCTTGCAGGAAAAGGAGAAAAAAGAGCGTGAAATCGCGAAAAAAGCAATGTCTCAGCAGCGGAAGCGGCTGAAGAGAATGGCCGAGGAGGGCGGGCACTGGACGGAGAACCCGCGCGACAAACTGACCGAAATGGAGAGAATCGAACGGATCTGCATCGGATTCAGCATCGATCAGCTGCGCGAGCTGTGCGATAAAATGGAGACGTTGACGTGCGGCGAGCAGATTCAGAAGACGTTGACGGAGGCGGAACGACTGAAAAAGGAGGCGGCGGGCGCGAAAGTGACGATTAATGAGGAGAAGAACAAGGAGAACGAGAAGACGGCCGAGAAGGAGACGTGGACTTCCGAGGAGATTCAGCTCCTTGTCAAGGTACGCGCATTTCGGGCATTTTTTCCTAGTTTTTAACTTTTCAATGAAAATTGGAAGCTCTGGAAATCCTCTATTTTCAGGCTTCAAACACGTTCCCGCCGGGCACAGTCGACAGATGGATTCAAATTTCCGATTATATTAATGAGCACCGCAAAGACGCGAAGGGATTGCCGCCTAAAACTGAGAAACAAGTCATCAAGCAGGTAAATTGGCAGACAATATAGTTTTCAGGTCTAAAATTGCGTTTTTCAGTGCAAAGCAGTACAAACGATGAACGTGAAGCTGCCGGCGACGACGCAGAATCAGTTGGGAACGGCGCTTCCGGACGAGGATGTTTGGTCGGCGAACGAGCAGAAATGTCTCGAGGATGCGATCAAGAAACACAAGGCCAGTGATCCGGAACGATGGGAAAAGGTACGGGGTAAAATCGCAAATGTTTGCAAAAGGTGCAACAATTGCAGATCTCGACGGAAGTGGGAACGAAATCGAAAAAGGCGTGCATTCGTCGATTCAAATATCTCGTTCAGATGGTCAAAAACAAGAAATAATCGGTGCGAATCGACTCGAAAATCTCCTAAATCTCAATTTTGTCATTTGTTTTCATCTTTGTTCTTTTTTGTCTTTTTCACATCACAGTCTTCACTCCTAGCTCGTTTTGTTCTTATTTTTAGTCGCCTTTCCTACTTTTTCCCCACTTTTTTGTTACTTTCCCCAATTTTTTGTACTTGTTCCTCTTTTTTTTGTCTTTTTTGCAGCCAGTTTCAGTCCTACCGTAGTACTATGTACTCTTTGGCCCGTTTTTTTTCAGGCCACGTCCACTTTATCCCCCCGCACCATTTTTGTAAAAGCCTGAGAGTAAAATTGGAAAATTACAGTTTCAGAAAACTGTAATATTTTCGGAACACTTTTACATCACAATCTATACGCGCATGCTAGTGAAAAAGCGACCTCGAAAGTTTTATCACAAATTTCTTCATAGTTATCCACGTCGTCAACAATGATGATGGTGGTGACGATGATGATGGTATCCGTCCATGTAGATCACTTCCGGTTGGGTATAGATAACCGGGGTGGCAGTCGGATAAACGAGCGGCTGGACGTTCGGGTACATCGGCTGCACCATCGGTTGGACGACCGGGACCACTTGCGGCGGCGGAACTATCATCGGAGGGGGCGGTGCTTGAGCCACAATCACTGGGGTCGGAGCCACTCCGAGACCGACTTCGACTCCTGGAAACCGGGCGATTTTTAGGTTAGTTTATATTTTCTGTTTTCCGTTGATTTTGAGCCAAAAAATTACTTTCAAGCACTTTCAGTTTCAAAGTCTATTTGTTAACCGATCAAGCGCTTAAAATCGAAGAGTAATGCTAAAAAAGACTAATTTTGCAAAAAGAAATCTTCCGTTTCAAAGTCTTGTCATACACATTTTCCTAAAGTTGAGAACGATAATTTTTATTGACACAAATTCTAAACGTACCTCCTCCGTTGTGATGTTTGAAGTTTTCAAAGTGAATTTTGGAGATGCGGAGGTCGCCGCGGACCGTCAGCGCCACGATCTTCTTCGGGCACTTGTGGTGGTGGTAGTGGCCAATGTGGTGGCCGTCCACGTGCACCTACAGAATTGTCGGTTTCAAATGGATCACATCAACTCATGGCTCTTTTTTTTTGCATACTTCTCGGATACCGTTGACGCGTTGAGTTTCTCACTGTCAACTGTATACTGTCAGAGCAATAATAACGAGCCCGAGCATGTTCGCATTCCGATGGGGCGCGCTTGCATCCACCGTCGACTCAGAGTTTCTTTTTTCAATTGAAAACCAGAATTCTTTCGTTTTTCTCTTAATAAACACTCAAATTTTGTTTTTTGCGAACCTTAAAGCGATTGTCTGAGTTAAAAGCATCGATTTAAGCGCGAAACGGAGCAGATTCGTTCAGAATTGACCAAATTGAGGGATTTTGTCGAAAACTACTGAAAAAAAAACGGAGTTTTAACGATTATTTGCCGAATCGAGTTCGGACACTGGCATTCGAACCGTCCAGTCAACAAGGAGTTTATTGCGCATCTTTTAAGCGCTCAACCGTCGAAAAATATACAGAATTGAGATAATTGAGGCAAATTTTCGATACCAAAAGGAAAAAAATTCTGTAATTTTCTCAAACGTTTCGAAATTGATGACGAAGCAGTTAAAATTTAATTTTTTATTCATTTTTAATCATTATCATAAGTTTTGACACTGATTGGTTCTGAAAAGATGGGGATAATGCAAAAAAATGGGAAAATTGAAATGAGAAACTCTACAACGACGCTCCGAAATTACGCGTTACGCGCCTTGTTTAGCGCACGTGAATTGCGCCAAGGGAATTTTTTATTGGAAGGGGCTGGGTTTCCGTGACATATGTTACCAGAATGCTCTTATTTGTTCAAATCTCTCACCGAATACTTGCGATGCTCGTTGTGGATCTTCATGCAGAACGGTCTTCCGAAGTGGATATTATTGTGATGATGTTCCTCGCGATGCCATCTTCCCTTCTCCAAATGATTGAACACGATCACGTTTTGTCCGTAAAGGCCCATTCGGACGGAAATGTGAAACGCCACTCCGTTTTTCGTCGCAAATTCCACTGTGAAGCCGCTTAAACAAGACAATGCGTAGACGTAATGACGTGAAACTTCAAACGCATATCCAAAAGGATACGGTATTTTAAAGGCGCAGCACGGAAACTGACCCCTGTGGTCCCTGATAGACGTCCCCGTAGATTTCCACGGACGAATTCGCCTTCATTCCCTCGTAAATCGGCGTTGCCAGTGGAATTGGCTGAATTACACTTTTTGAGGAGGACATTTGCGAATGAAACCTACCGGATTCTCAATGATATGCACCATTGCTCACTTGAAAACCGGAAACTGCTGCTGAAAGTCAAAAAGTTCGATTTGAAAGCAGTGTGAAACCCGAAAGTTTTGTCATTTTATGGGCTCGTTTCGAAATCAGAGCGGAAAGAATGATAAGAAAAACGGGAAAAGTGACGATGATACGGCGAGATGAATCAGGCGATAAAAATGAAAGTGTTTGTCATGGTCAAGAGGTGCGTTTCGGGTTTCTGAACTGGAAATGCACACAGTATTTGAGGGGCATTGAAAATAAAGTTTATACATTTCTGGGCAAAAATTTGAAAAGCGCAACGGCGTTAAGGAGCTAGTAAATTGTCAGAAAATCCAAGATTGTATATAGGTTTTGTGAAACTAAACATTAAAAAGTGCCATCTTTCTAGTGATATTCCAACTAAAGATGAGTAGCAGAAGTCACAATTTGCCTCTTCCAGGTGACCTTTTTCCCGTTTTGTCAACTCTCAAAGTTCACGAATCCATAGTCCTTTGAATTTGTTGCATTAAATCCAATTGTTCACTGCACAAACGGAGGACGTCCGAATCGAACTGCAAAATGTATTATTGTAGGATTGCGGTAGTTCCGGGGTTCCTAACCGACAGAAAAGTGTCGTCTGGTGTTTGAAGTCTGCAAAAAGAGGCCTCAATTATCGTTTCAAGACCCCGACGTACAGTAACTCGGCGGCCAACACTGCGTCTCTCATCTTCCGAATCGCCGATATCATTTCAATGTCCTTCTTCTCAATCCGGCTCTCGTTGATTTCGATCATAACAAAGTGATGAGTGAGTGCAATCGAGATCATTGCCGCCAGGATCCAGTACGGATACGACTCCCAGCTCTCGTGGCGTTTGTACGTGACTATGAATCGATTGGATAGTGTTGTGCGGAAGAAAACTCACTGGGTCTCACCACGAACTGCTCGAAATCATCGCTGCCTTTGCTGGCTTTCTTCAAAACTTGATATTGTTTCGTATCGATTCGCAGTTTTGGATTTCCACTGAACTTTGCATACTTTTGACCCTAAAAACGTTCGGTTTTGCATCATCTCACTTTTTTTCAGAGTTGCCACGGGCCGGGCCGGCCCGGTTCAAAAAGCGGGAATCCAAATTTTGAACTATTGATTGAATAAAATGTTTGTTTTTCGTAGAACTAACGAATTTTGCAAGTATCGAGCATAAAAAAAAATGTAGTTTTCAAAAATAGTTATTATTGGCATCAAAGCAAAAGTAACAATTAAAAAAGAAGAAAATAATAACTTTTCCCAATAAATTTCTTACAGTTCGAAACGCTTTTTCAACGAGTTCCGTTTTTTTAAAATTTGATCCCCGCAAAAAAAACGAAAAAATAGATTTCCCCGAAAAATTTGAATTCGCGCCTTTTGAGCCGGGCCGACCGGGCAGGGCCAGCAAATTTTCGGCCCGGCCCGTAATTTGGCAAGCCTGCTTTTTTTAGGACCTACCGGGCTTTTGGCGATGACTTTCACTCTGCGAAGTCGAAATTGAACGAGTAATGGATTATTGTGAACGGAAATCACTGCCGGAAACTGTTTGGAATCCGATGATTTGAAGCCAATCTTCAGAAGATGTGGCACTCCGAATGCGACAATGGTAGTGTTCCGAAGCACCAGATTGCCCTGGATTTGTTTGATGTCGAGGAAAGACTGAAAGACAACATTGGAGAGTTGACAAAACGGGAAAAAGTGAATATATAGCAGACTTGCCAAATCCCGGGCCGGGCCAGCAAATCGTCGGCCCGGCCCGGAAGTTAGACCTCAAAAAAAATATGCAAAAAAAATATGAAGGAAGAGGAAAACGCGTGCGGCAAAATTGCTAAAATGGCGTGCCAGAGTTGCAATCAATCGCTCCGCCCACTCTTGAGAAAATTTTCGTAATTTTTGTGAAAATTTTGCGACTTTAAACAGCAATTTCTATTTTTTAACAGGTTTTTATGCTATAACATTGCCTTTTTCGTCTTTTTTTCTATTTCTGCTGGTTTTTACAATGAATCTTCGAAATTGAAGCAAAACGACGATAACGTAGGCCGTTTTCAAAGTTTGGTGGGTAAAAATGGACGAAGACAAAGTGCTTGAAGAAAACGGCGGTCAACTTGATTTTTTAGGTGCATCCTCCCCGGCCGACCGGGCCGGGCCGGAAAATTTCCAATTTTGGCCCGGCCCGTTGCAAGTCTGATATATAGTGTGGTCACCTGGAAGAGGTTCGCGTCGTAGTCGTTCTCGAGCAGCACGTCTCCTTTTATGTGGTCGCAGTCGGTCGTGCCTCTCGCGAACGTCTTCTTGTCGCGCCACAAACAGCACTCTGCAACACACACACATAAACAATCCGAAAGAGTTCAAAAAATTGCCGACTTGGCCATCGGAATGTCTCGTCGCACAGCTGCCAATCCTGCTCGAACATCAGCGGCGCCTTGCGGTAATTCTCTGCAAATGTCTGTGTGTGTTTTTCTCAAATGTCTGTTACCGGTTCGGAAACGAGTCGACGCGTCGAACATCATCCGATAGATCATTGCTCTTTCTGTCGAGTTTGGAAACTTGCGGGGTGGAGGAGAAGTCGATGATATCGACAGAGTTGCACTAGTTGTGGAGGATGTTGACGTGGCGGAAGTTCGGAACGCCATCAGGAGAAGGAGCAACATTGTTGGAAACGAAAACGGGGAAACAAGAGTGAAAAGTTGGCAAATTGTGACTGAAGGTCACGAGGAAATTCTGAATATCACTAGAAAGATAAAACTTTTAATAGTTCAGTTTCACAAAACCTTTATACAATCTTGGATTTTCTGACAATTTACTAGCTCCTTACCGCCGTTGCGGTTTTCAAATTTTCCAACGACACGGAGGACCAGAAACTTGTGCCGACGGTCAAAGTAACCAGGGGTACTTTTTTGCGATTTTTTATACAAACCAGGGCTCGGCAATTGACCGGCCCTTGTTCCAATTGGACCCAAACTTTGCAGGCTTCTTGAACTTGGATTCAGACCGATCGGATCATCTGGTCCCGAAATATACTGGCTTGGCGTAGCTTCTGCAAAAATTGTAGACTTATCGGCCTCCGATCCACATATCTCGGAAGCGGAACAATGAAATCATTCGAATTAGATAATATTTAAAGTGTTTCAAGTTTTTCAAAAATATCAAAGAAACCCCAAGCATCAAGAAAAATGAGATTTGTTTATTGAAAATTTTAATAAAGACATTTTTTGATATAATCCTCTTGAAACGCATTTTTAACGACTCAATTGAAGTTCACGGGAAAGAGCATGAGATTAGTGATGAGGACGCCGGCAATCTTTTCGAATGAAGGCTGTATGATGAACCTTTTTCGAAGTGAGGAAGCAAAAAAAAAACATATTCTCTCGAAGCGCAGAGAAGAGAGAATGAAGATTTCTGAAGATTGGCCCGAATTTAAAATTTCTGAAAAAGTTTTCGACTTTTCACATATATCAGTCAACCCAAATATCTTATTGAACTGCTGCACTGGAGTAAGACTACCAAGATTGTCATAATAGTTTGTCTCGTGGTGGCCGCCTGCACATGGCCTAGAAAACTCCACGCTGCAAATCTTCGGCCGCCTCCCCGAAATCGCCATTTCTCGAGCTATTTCCGCCGAAACTCGCACATTTTTTGAGGATTTTGATGGAATTAAATGGATTCATTCACTTTTCAGAAAATGTTCCGATCTACGGGTCGGATAGCACTGGCAAAACTGCTGAATCGACGCGTCCACTCGAATGGACTAATTGTTAGTAAAATATCGCATTTCTCCCTCTCTTCCCTGAATAAAATCGATAAAAACAGGTGCGGCCGGTACAAAAGCAGCAAAAACGACAAATTCTGTTCAAAATGGGCAACGCGACGCCGCCGCGCGTCGTCGGCTATTATGTTGTGTGAGTTTTCGACGAAAAATTATTTCTGCGCGAAAAATCGAATAAGTTCACTGAAAACCGTGTTCAGATTTCCCGTAATTCCCGAAGAGACGGTGGAGAACAATTGTTTCATGTACAATATCGCGAAAAATGAAGATTGGCCCAAATTGGCGACCGCCGAGCCACGCGAAATGTACGAGGGCACAGTCCGAATGCTCATGGACTACGGAGCGACTGTTATGGAGCACATGGAGCATCTCGCTACGTGTTAGTCTTTGAAAATCTTGAAAAAAGTAAAAATCTCGAAAAAATGCGAACATTCTACTCAAAAGCACAAAAATGCTGGATAAAGTGTTCAAGAGCGTCTAAAAGTTTACATGTGTTGTGAATCATCAAAATGTACCGAAAATTGCTCAAAAATCAAAAGTTAAGTAAAAATCTGGAAAAAAAAATTTCCAGTACCAGCAGAGGAGCGAAAATTCGAGACGGTCGTGGATCCGCTTCTGACCGAGGAGTACGACGTCAATTTTGCATTCCAAACGCTCGTTTTGAAAATGCTCACCGATTGGCCGGATTGCAACCGGAAACTATTCGACGCCGACCTTCATCATGTACTTTTCAATCGGTTTTCTTTGCAACTTTCTCAAAATTTCAATTTTCAGATTAAAATCATGTGCGCCCGTGATCAAATGGAAAAATTGACGAATATCGACTTTCAAAACGCAATAAAACAGTTGTACGAGGGGAAAGAGGGTCTGACCGAGTGGCAATCACGTCTTCTCGAGTGGTATCTCCTCGAGGTACGCATGTTTGCAAAGCATATGCAGAAAAATGGATGGCGTTTTCAATCAACTTTCAATTTTTCTTGCAAAAACCGCTCAGAAATCCCAAATATTGCAGATCAAAGCCAGCGGACTGGACAAACACGACGAGAAGACGCGGAAAGTGCTCGGCTCGTGGAGCAGATTCATCGATGAGTACAGGAGCAAGTACATGTACGGTGTTAGCCATTTTGTAGTGAAGAGTGCCAAAAATGGCTTGCATTTCTAGAATTCTTCAGAAAACTATAGATTTTTCGCCACTTGTTCAGCCAAAAAACTGATTTTCTGTTATTTTCAGCACCGGAGTAATGTCGACGAACGATCAGCAGACATTTGTAATCAACGATCCGAAAGTGATCAAAGATGCTCCGCCCCATGTCCTTCAGAAGCTCGCCGTCGATGAGTTAGTGGGAAAAAAACCGAATCTTCTACACTTTTCCATGAAAAACTAATTTTATGACAAACGGTCAAAGCGCCAATTTGTCATCAATTTTTCAGCGAAAAATAGTTATTTTTGCTGATAAAGATCGGGTTTGCAGGCAATCGTGGGAATCGGGACCGTGGCGTGGACGTATGACTCCCCACACCATTTATCCGTTCATGCAGTACTGCGGAGACCGCCAGTTGAGGGCGACCGCCTGGGAAAAGTGGACCAGCAAGGTTGGGCCCTTTTTAATGCGAAAATTGAGCGAAAAAGCTTTCAGGCCGGATTCGACCACGATTTCTACAACAATTCGATCAACATCGAAGAGCTCCGACACAACAAGTACGCGTTTTCTCAAAAGTTATCTAAAACTGTCAATTTTGCAGCGAAGGACTCGCCAAAACGCTCGGATATTCGTCGCCGGCCGAGCACCGACTCGCCAACAAAATGGCCGCCTCTCCAGACACTGTACGCAGTTTCATCAATGCGTAAGTATACCTCTTTATGCTATTTCTACGCCTATTTTTTTAGACTGACCCGTCGCATCCGTCCGGTGGTTATCGATCGGATGGAATCGTGGACTGCGTGGGCGGCCCGTTGTGAAATGATCACCGGAGAGCTGCAGGCCTACGACATGCCCTACGTGTGCAGAAAAGAGGCCGAACAACACTACGAGTACATTTTTGAACAAAAAAGTGATATAAATGCTCTTTGTTTGCAGTGTGAACCCGCTTGACCTGATGAATCACTTCCCGTTCTGGCCGACATTCCAGAATATTATCCGACTCGTCGGACACATTTTCAACCTCGAATTCAAAGACATTTCCGATAGAGGCCTCGAAAAAGCGCACCCGGACGCGCGGATCTACTCGGTCGGCGACAAATTCTCGGGACAACACTACGGACGGCTCTACATTGATCCGTACGATCGACAGAACAAACGGGGCGGCTGGAGTGCCATCCTTGCCAGGCGTGAGTTTAGATATAGTAGTGATTTAGAGCCGGTCTTTACGGTTCTAAATCACTATAAATCCGGATCTGAAACTTTCAAAATAGATACACAAAACCAAGACTGATGATTGTGCAAAGTTTTGGTGCGATTGAATAACTCCAACAGGGTCAAAAGTTCAAGCTCTCTAAAAAGCGCTATGATTTTGCAGCCGAATCGAAGGAGCGAGGTCTCGACAAGATCGTCTACTTCATCGGATCGGCCATCGCGCCGACTGCCAACGGACCGTCTCTTCTCCATTATCAACAACTCCAACAACTTCTTTTTCATGTAAACTTATAGTTGTTTCTACCTACGTTCATCCGAATTCACTTTTTCTCAGTTTGGCCGCTCGGTGCAATTGCTCCTCTCTCAGTCGCCGTACCGTGACATCGCGATCCCGTGGTCTCCGTTCTACGCGAGCGACTGGGACGCCGCCGACATGTTCCCCACTTTCCTGCAGATGTTCGTCACAAAACCGAACCTCCTCGCCAACCTCGCCAGTCCGCATCAGGTACGAAGTCTGCAAAGTTTGGACCCGATTCGAATATTGCAAGTGGGCCAAAAGCTCAGGCCCGATATTTTGCCTAAAACCCTCTCTAAATTCCCTTTTTCCAGATCACAAAGCAGGCGTTGTCGGAGGAGCAGGCGAACAGCGTGGCGCTGGCGATCTCGCGTGCCTCGCTCTGGGACACGTACCGTACGCTCTTCTGGTCCGACTACGATCTGTCGATTTACGAGCTCGAGGACCGCAAACAAAAGTTCTGGCTGGATTTGTACAAGCAAATGTACACCGAGTACTTTCCGTTCAAACGCGCCAAAAACGACTATCAGCCGTGCTCGTTCACCCCGATTTTCGCTCTGCAGCCGCACATGAGCATGTACTACCGCAAATTGTGGGCCGAGGTGAAAAAATGGCATGAAAGCGGCGCAATCAATTTTCAACTTTTTCCCGTTCCAGATGCTCGCCCTGGACATTCACGAGACATTTGACGAGGAGGACAACGAGGTGCAGACTGGAGAACGCCTCAAGACGAGCGTGTTGCACAGGGGAAGCGGGGACGTCGCCAAGGAGCTCTTCAAACGATTCCAGGCATGTGAACGATTTATTTTGTAGCCGTTTTGTAAGGGCCAGAAGATGTTGAAAGCTTTTGCAGGGTCGAAATCCATCAGTGGGACCGATTTGTGACTACTACGCGCCGCCGTTGGCCATTGTGGAAGAGGAGGAGGCCAGCGAAAATGAGCGACGATGAAATTGCACTTGTTGAAACATTTTTTCTCTTTTTCTGTCCCTTTTCGGGTTCATTTAATTGTAGCTTGATTTTCCCTTTGCTTTTTGTTAATGTTTTGTATAAATTCCTAGTTGATAGGGTCGAATTTTTAGCCTGTTTTTGTTATTTTTCAATGAATTTTTTTTTCTCGTAGTTTTACATCAAAGTGTTGAGATTATGGTTGAGTTATGGTAATTTCACCATGAAAATATCGTAAAACAATGTTTGTGAACTGTTTTATTGAATGTTTTAGCAGATGTCACAGGGCGCCAGCTCATCCGGAGGCCAACAGGAGACGACGGTGGTGGACGAGATTCCAGAATCTCTGAATCGCATTCTGCTAATGATTCTGAAGAATTTCTATTCACACGTGCGCATTTTTTCAAACGATCAAACGAAACAAAACGCAATTTCAGGAGCAATTTCTGATCGTCTACTATATAATGCGAGCGCAGTGTATTCGAGAGGAAAATCTCAAAAATCGTCTACTGATCGACCAGAAAACTCTGCGACAAGTAAATACGCGTCAATTTTCCAGAAATCGAGAGACTCATCGTTTTTCAGCAATTGGCAGGGCTAAAACAGGAGAAATTGGTGAAGGAGCGGTTGTTCTCGCAAAAAAACGACCATAATAACCGGACCACTTCTATCATTTTCTATTTCATCAACTATCGAGCCGTTCTCAACGTTATCCGCTACAAAATCGATCATATGCGGTGCGATTGTGCCGAGTAGAACATTTTGTTTGTAACAGCACTTTTTCAGGCAAAAACTGGAGGCACGTGAGCAAATGAGCACCAATCAGAATCACTACAAGTGCAACTCGTGCGGATGCAGTTATAATGTTCGGTTTTCGGTTTTTAGACATGTCAAAGCAGTTAATTGTATTTTATGTGCACAATTTCTTCAATTTGTTCTAATGTTCCCGTCCGATTTTTCCTCTAAAATTGCCGAAATTTCAAAGAAAGATTGCAGGCGCTCGACATCACAATGATCATAGATCCGGAACATCCGGATCGGCTGACGTGTTGGCGGTGTCGTGGAGAAGTGACTCCCGATGAGAGTATGGCCCCCTCACAGGCCACCAGGTACCTTTTTCTGGAAAAAAAAATCCGATGTTCTGACCTTATTCCAGGGCTGGGCTGGCCCAGTCTTTTCGAATGCCTGGATCTATGGCCCCGCATGCAATATTTCGATAGGCCAAAATTTTGACAGTCACTTGGACTTTCAGACCGATCGGATTATCTGGTACCGAGATCGTTAGTGCTGAAAAACCCGGGGGTTTTCTCGGGACTAGATAGTCTTGTCGGCCTGAAACGTGGTCCCTTTCCAAGTCTAGAAAACCTGTAAAGTTAGAGTCCGATCGGATGATTGGAAGTGGGTAAAAAGTGCATAGAACGACACAGAACACAGGGAGGGAAAGAACGAAACGAGAAGGCAGACTTGAATTTTGTTGTTCAATTTCAGGACGGCAGTTGCCCGTTTCAACGAGCAAATGACTCCGCTGTACTCGCAAATCGCGGCGCTCGGCGGGATCCAACTGGCGCCGCACCTCCTGGAACCGGACATTTCCAAGTATTTGGAGGACGACAAGGCGCGCGAACTGCAACTCCAGCAGCAGCTCGACTTCACCTCCGGCGGCGGCGGAAATCGCATTCAGTTGGGGGGAACCGCCCACTCGTTCCACAACGCGGCCACCATCAACTACCAGCACGGGGACCAGGTCACCGTCGATCTCAACGCCGACATCAACAAGTGCGTATTTACTTGGGTTTTTAAGGGGATTTTCAGAAGATTGTTGTCGAAAGTTGAGCAAATTTGAACTGACTGAGCATGCTTTGCCAAATTTTAAGAGTCTCGTTTGGATTCAAAAGTCCTAAGGGGCCCGGTGATTCTTTGCGAGGGTGCAGTGAGGAGAGGGAGAAAGTTCGGCCCCTAAATGAACCAGAATTTTCCTCGTCACCCTCGCAAAAAATCACCGTGAGGGGAATAGTGCCTGTGCGCGCGCAGCGAAGACCTTTGTACTCATTTTTCTGCACATTTTTGAGTAAATATCACCGGAAAAGTCACTTTTTTGCAGTCGTCCGGTGGAGGAGGCGAAACAAGTGCCGTTGTGGTTGCAGGACAATGCGATTGGCGGAGAAGCCGTCTCGCACAACGAGCAGATACTCAGCCAAGTGTGAGTCTCCGAACAGTTTGATTTTGTTGCCGATTTTTGAAGTGTTTCCCGATCGAAATTCATTCAATTCTTTTCCAGTAACGACGAAGAAGACGACGTGGCGACGACGACGAGTATCACGGCGAAACGCTCGAAAAACGACGGAATAACGATGAAATTCCTGAAGGAAATCGAGTTTTCCGACGAGACCTCGACGTCGAAAGAGCCGCAAGCAAAGCGGATGAAATTGGACGGCGAAAACGGCGAGAATGCGATGGAGACGGACGAAAAAGAGGGAGAGGAAGAAGAGGAAGAAGAAGAAGAGGAAATGATATGCGTGGGCGGACGGACGGTCCCGTTGAGTCAGGTGACCGCCCGAATGGTCGAAGAGGAGATGGACGCCGCCGAGCAACAGCACTACACTCAAGTCGTCCAGGAGCTTTTCGCCTATTGATTTTTGAAATTCATATTTCAGTGATAGTGTACGATGCTCCGAAACACGCGCATTTTTTGCGAAATTTTGGACAAATTCTCCAAAATTCATCGGAATTCCAGAGCATCGTGCACCTCCCCGTTTTTAAGATCATTCCCCATCATTTCCTCGTTTTCGCAACTTTGTATTCGTTCTGTGGTCGTTCTTTTCTCCCAAATTTCTTTCAATTTCATTATTATTATAAATTCAGACATTCTTCTTCAGCTCGAGTTCCACTTCTAGGCCACGCTCTCATTTGGCCCTTACAAATTCTCTTTTCCGTCGTGATGAACCGGACGGGAACGGAGGCGCCACGAGAGCTCGAAAGTGACCTCCTGACCCGGTTTTACCTTATATCTCTGCGGATGTTTTCGGATAATATCCACAATTTGGTGGGCTGTCTCCTGCAACCGAAATAGTGAGGCCATCGTCGCAGGGAAACCTAGTCCCCCACCTCCTGCACAGTTCCCTTCACATCAATGTACTTGGTGTGATCGTAATTCGCATAGTGACACGAGATCGCTTTGCGGAAACCTAAAAATGCATAGAGCGTGATTGGCGGAGCCTCGTACTGACCGTCGGATCGATTGGCGCCGGATCCGTGGAAGAGGTTCGGATGGAAGAAGACCGTGTCGCCGGCGTCCATCTCGACGTACTCGCGCGGCAGAGACAGGTCGTAGTCCTTGATCGCGTAGTACGCCTTGTTCACTCCACCCTTCAATTTTGAGCAATTTTGAGCAATTTTGCGGGGCAGCAAGTGCGCTTCTCCGAAATTTGCGCGTTTGTGTATTAGCGAAATTCGCAAATTCTCGCTCAAAAAGTTTCTGAAGAAGCACAAAAAGCTAAATAGTGCGATTGCGGGCAATTTTTACATCGAAAAAAGATACCTGCCAATCGGGATATGCGTGCTGCTTGAGCCCTTGCACTTGTGATCCGGGCACCACTTGCAGACACCCGTTCACTTTGGTGATCTTCTCCATGGCCGTCCACGCACAGATCGTCAGATCCTCGGGTCGCCACGGGAAGTAGATGAGGTCCTGATGCATTGGATGGCGGGAGGTCAGGGCGCCCGTGTCCGGCGGTTTGTTGATGAGCATCGTGTGCATCGCCTGCAAACGCGTCGACGGACAGCCGATCAGATCGCGCACGACGTCGGTGACACGTGGATGCTTGCAGTAGGAGAAGAGCTCCGGCTCCTCGGCGAAGTCTTGCACTTTTGTGATCGTGTCGATGCCTGCAAATTTTCACATGAAGACAAAAAAAAACGCATTTTCTCCTCAATGTGGCTTTGAAATTTTGTCTTATCAATGGAGCGCGTTTGCTGGAAAACTAACTGTCAGGAGTGACTTTCTTCGCAATCGAAACGTCCTTCATCACGAGCATACTCGCCGGCGGCTTCACTTTTCGCTCGCAAATCTCCTGAAATTTCGATAATTTTGATAACTATTCACATTTCCCGGCCGCACATTGAATCGACGCTCGTATCGCTTCAAATCGTCGCGTCCGACACAGTTGCGGACGAGCAGGAAACCGTTTTTCTGGTAGAACTGCTTCTGCTCCACACTGAGCACTTTTCCCGGCGAACTCCAATCGACGACCGGCTCTGCGCGAGGAATTATCGATGTTTTTCTAGAAAAATGGAAAAGGACAAACTGCTCGAAAAGCGACGAGCCGAGAAGACGAGTAAGTTGAGCCGCTTTTGCATTTTGTTGGAAAAAAACAATGATTTTTGTTTTAAGCCCACTTTTTTGAACTTTTTCGAACTTGTCAAGGTGGAACACGTTTATTTTACAAAAGAAGGTTTACAATATGAAACAGATTCACAAAAATCGGAGAAAAAATTTACAAATTGGATCTGTGTCCGTTGACCTCACGCGCGCGGACTCTCCAAATGTCCGCAAAGTCGAGGCTGACCGTGCTCGTGTCCAAACCGTACTTCTTCATTCGCTTCTTCGCAATTTCGATGATTTCCTCGGCCAGGGTCTCCTGAGTCGTGCCCTCGACGTTCACGTATCGGCAGATGTCGTCGTTCGCGTAGTGACACGAAATTGCCTTGCGAAAACCTGAAAATTTAATTGACTTTCTCCTAAAAAGTGTCACAATTTTTTTCAGTGAAATTCTGGGTAGAAACTCTCAAACGACGCTCCACTTTTGCGCTTTTACGATACCTTCGGTTCTGTTGGCGCCGGATCCGTGGATGAGGATCGGATGGAAGAAGACGGTGTCGCCGGCCTCCATTTCCACGTGGATGCGCGGCATCGACGCGTCGTAGTTCTGGATTCCGTGGTAGGCTTTGTTCACGCCGCCCTGCAAAAAATGATAATGATAGAGAATTTTACAGTTTTTCGTCAGAAAACACACGAAAACATGGCCTAATTTTTTCTATGCAGAAAATGCTCTCTTCAAACTGCACCGAGCTCGATGACCTGACTTTCCCCACTTGTGATCCTAGGCCACACTCTCACCTCCCATTTCGGATACTCATGAGGCAACAGAACTCCTTTGTGAGTGCCCGGCACGACGACCAAACATCCGTTCGCCCGGTTGATCTTCTCCATCGCAGTCCACGCGCAACAGATGAAATCGGCGGGACGGAATGGGAAATACTGGAGGTCCTGGTGCATCGGATGACGCGATGTTAGCTTTCCTGGTAAGTTTTTTGATGTATCATTGTAGAAGTGGTAAAACGAAAGGTACCGTTGTCTGGCGGCTTGTTGATGAGCATCGTGTGCATGGCCATCAAATTCGATTTCGGATCTCCGATGAGATCCTTGACGACGTCGACGACGCCCGGATACTTGCAGTATTCGAAGAGGACCGGATCGTCGGCAAAGTCCTGGATCTTCGTGATCGCCTTCTCGCCGTCTTTGAACTCGGACTTTGCGATCGAAATGTCCTTCATCACCGTCATATTCTCCGGCGCCTTCACTTTCTTCTCGCAAATGTCCTGGAATCGCTGCCGAAAGCGGTCCAGTTCGTATTTGGGCACGCAGTTCCGGATCAGGAGGTATCCGTTCGTCTCGTAGAAGCGACGTTGTTCGGCGCTGAGGATCGAACCCTCGCGGTTGTAGTCAATCACACCGCCCGTCAGCATTTTGGATGGAGAACTGGAAAGAGAATTATTTTGAAGCGGGAAAAAAATGATGATCGATTTCGTCGAAAATCGATTATGTCACGAGTGACACTGTGAAAAATTGAATGTAACATGAAAATGATTATAATGAAACAGATGAATGTTATTATGAAAAACGAGGTTATAAATGATGCGATGATGATAGCGACAACAGCTACAAACGGATCAAAATAGAATCCATTAATCGTCACGAACACGCCAGAAGGGGAAAGAAGAAGAAAATAGAGGCATTTCCGTCTTATCACCGCTTCCTTTCTCTATTCCTCCCCTTTCTTTTTGGCGTATATCAGTGTCATTGCCACACTGTACCGTTATCGTACACAACTGATATTGTGGCGACGTCGCAGAACACGCAGAGAGGTTCTTCCGAATCGGCACGTCGTGTTTGTGTGGAGAAGAATAGCGAAGGGATGATGGGTTTTCATCACGATCTCCAGAGCTGACAATATGGGCGTGGCCTCGGCCAAATGGCGTTCTCATGAATTGAGCAGGTTTTTTCTGATTTTTTTGGTCAAAGGCGACGAAAAATGATTGTTCGACATGAAAGCACACTAATTCTCAGAATTAATGACGTTTTGGCGCATTTTTCGCGGACTTTGCTTTTTCGCCTTCGCCGCCGAGCGTCGCCTAAAAACAGCACTTCTCATTTTGCGCTTTCTTGACCGTTTTCGGACAGAATTGGTTTCGAGAATGATAAATCACGTAAATACAAGCATTCTGAGCGCTCGAACCGCGAAAACTACCGAAAAGCAACTGAAATTCACGCAGTTTTAGCCAAAAACCTTCAAACGGACAAATGTGATTTGCGACTTGACCAAATTTAACGCTCTTGCGCTTAAAAAATTCGTAATGGCCTATACAATCGGTCTATCGAGAGAAAAATGAGAAATTATCGGTTTTTCGTGGCTAATCTGGCAAAAAACACAAATTTTACTGTTAAAATTTGAATTTCGCGCCAATGTATCGCTCTATTGGGCGGGGCACACTTGCTCCCATTGTCAGCTCTGGAGACCGTGTTCATCAAAAAGAGCACATCTGAAAATAATAACTGTCTGCTTCGCCGACCAAATTTGCCGATTCCCGATTGATTCTCGCAGGTTAGCGCCAATTTGTTCGTGTCTTTTGTAATTTTTAGTTCGCAAAACAAAACAAAAAATTCAGAGGTGTCTTCTGATGCTATTCGAAGTTATTCGGATCATTTGCAACCTCAAAATGTCATTGAAAAGCTCTGAAAGAGTGGGGAAATTATGAGCAGTTAGTGGAGAATTTCAATTGCCAGATCTGGCGGTTGAAACTTTCCCAATATTCGCGTGACCTCCGGCGACGTGACCTTGCCTTGCCACGCTCTTCAAATTCTCCGTTTGTCACTTTTCAAAATGCTGGATTTCCTGGACGTTGCACAAAACGGATTCGCCATCACCATCGCCATTCTGGTGATTCTCAAAGCCGTCAAGTATCTGAAGAGTGGTCCCAAGCTTATCAAAATTCAAACGGAGGGCATTGTTCCCGAGCATTCCGAAAAGGTAATTTTGCAAAGTTTGGAAAAAAACGAAATATTCCGTTTTTTGCAGATCGATCTCCTGGACACCATCGACGATATTTGCGAGATGAACCGGTGGATCGGACGTCGGAAACGTCAGAGGAACAAGAAGTCGTTGCGAGTGCTCGAGAAGTGGGTGGCGAAGAAGTGATGAAGGACGGAGCCAAGAGACAACATTCTTCATAATTTATGATTACTTTTTTCCAATCTTTAATAAAGTTTATTGATTGGCACGGCGACCAAAAATGTAGAAAGGGGCGTGGGGCCTAGCGTGCACGGTTTATCACCATTTTGGCGCGAAATTCGAAATTTAACCCCATTTTTCAAGTTTTTCGTCAAAAATTACCCAAATTTTGTACGGGTTTCGGCGATGTAATTGCATAATAACTTTGTTAAACTAATCATCGCGCACACTTTTTGAGCTTAAAACGAGCAGGTTTCATTCAGAAATGAATCAATTGAATCGATTTTCAAGTTTTGTGCTGAAAATGCGCGAATTTCAGTCATTCGCCGATACTTTTTGCCGTTTGAACGCTTAAAATACTTGTATTAACGTGCTTAATCACTTCCGACACTCACTTCGTCTCAAAACTATCCAGATCGGCCGGTATGAAAATTCCGAAATTGCGGCGGCGATTGGCCGCGGAGAGCGTATTGCGAAATATGCCAAAAACGTCTCAAACGCGGCTTTTTCACGAAAATTTCAATGTTTTATCTCTTTAGTGTGCTCTTCTTTCGTCGATATCAAACACAAAAATAGCGGAAAAGTGCTGAAATTGCGGCAATTTTCAGAAAACGCGTCTCAGATTAGGCCACGCCCCTTTCTACACTTTTGGTCGCCGTGATTGGTCAACGCAATTTTCGTCCAATTCACGCAACAGAATCTCACGTTTCACAGCCGATCAGGACAGTTTGGTTGCTAAACGTCCTTTGGTTGCAAAATGTCTATTAGTTGCAAAATGTGCGAACAGTTTAAAATGACGAAAAGACAATGGTGGTTGAGAGTTTGTCGAGGAACTTGCAGAGCGTTGACCTCTTTACGTTTCGCAACAGATCTAATACAGTAAGCAGTTTAATTTTTCAGTTGCAAAACGTCGCTTGTTTGCAAAGTGTCCATGATCAGATGACGTGAACCCGATCGCCTCCGTAATCGATTGCCGCCCTTGCCGCCCCGTTTTCGGAGGTGCCGATTCCACTAGAGCTCAATGGGGTTATCGCCGAGATTTTCGGACGCCAAACGCGGAACGATCGGAAGATATCTGAAGAGGTCGACAATATTTCAATTTCCAGAACTCACCTACCAATCAACGAGTCGCGATAACTTTTGATAATGAAAAAGTTGGGAAGCGGGTCGACGGCCGGATAAAGAGTGATCGTGGAGGCGACGAATTCGCTGGCAAAGTCAAAGTCCAAGTCGAGCATCGGACAGAGAAAGTAGACGGTGATCGGGATGTGCATCAGCACCAGAGGGATCGCCGTCTGGAGCACCAGCGCGTAGAATAACTGTTTTTGGAGATTGTTGGCGGCTGCCGAGACGATCGAGAGTTGGTCCGATAGACGTATGTAGCACATGGTCCCGAAGCCGAACACGCATGACATTGAGGAGATCTGCAAAGCTTATGGTAATTCGATCATTATTTTTTCAATGAAAACTACTGCACGGGCTGGCAATGGGCGCAAGTGCGCCCCGCCCAATAGAGCGATACATTGGCGCGAAATTTAAATTTTAACTGCAAAATTTGTGTTTTTTGCCAGATTAGCCACGAAAAACCGATAATTTCTGATTTGTCTCTCGATAGACCGATTGTATAGGCCATTACGAATTTTTTAAGCGCAATAGCGTTAAATTTGGTCAAGTCGCAAATCACATTTATCCGTTTGACGGTTTTTGGCTAAAACTGCGTAAATTTCAGTTGCTTTTCGGTAATTTACGCGGTTCGAGCGCTTAGAATGCTTGTATTTACGTGATTTATCATTCTCAAAACCAATTCTGTCTGAAAACGGTCAAGAAAGCGCAAAATGAGAAGTGCGGTTTTTAGGCGGCGATCGGCGGCGAAGGCGAAAAAGCAAAGTCCGCGAAAAATGCGCCAAAACGTCATTAATTCTGTGAATTAGTGTGTTTTCATGTCGAACAATCATTTTTCATCGCCGTTGACCACAAAAATCAAAGAAAACCTGCTCAATTCATGAAAACGCCATTTGGCCGCCGAGGCCACGCCCATATTGTCAGCTCTGGAGACCGTGTACTATGAATATGTACTTTAATATAAGTTCATAATAATAATAAACGGTACTGGGTGTCTTTCTATAACGTCACTTTTCTAGTTGTCTCGGTTCTCACCACCATGAACAACATCTGAACGACTCCGAGCCACGCGTCCCGGTTCAAATGTTGAGTTCCATCCGCAAGAGTATCGTAGAATTTTGCGCCGATATAGCTGATGTTCCGCATCTCCAAACCCACTTTTTCCATTATTAGATCCCTGAAAAAATGTTTAGATATGGTGCGTCGAGCCATTTTGACACTCACTTCGTATACTCGTCCATGTCCGGGTTCTTCCAGAACCAAAGGCGCACGACGGATCCCCACCAGAGACTGTAGACGAGCGGGATCACGAAGAGCAGCCAGAACTTGGCGCCGTACACGAAACGTTTACCGAATGAGCTGAAAAATCTCGTTATCGTCTACAACAGTAACCCTATTCCTCAAACCAACCAATCAATCGATCCGTATCGATAGAGAAAATGAGCGGCAAAGATGGCCATAGAAGCGCCGAAGATCGCCGTATACACGAGAATCATGAACGAGGAGAAGGCCGGTGAGAACCACGAATCCATGTAGTCGATGCGGAAAACAATGAAGGCACAACGCACCGAATGAGCAATCTGTGAGGACTAACGGTGACGAATTTCACACGCTTTGAAAATGTACAATAGCTGCGGGCAGATCGAACGCGCCCCAGAAGATTTCAAAGCACGCGGTGAAGACCATCAGGTAACGATAGTTGCCGGTTTGCGCTGGCGATTTCGACCAGATCAGGTGGATGAGAATCGAGTTGAGGAGGACGGAGATTAGAGTGCAAATCAGTTGGTACGTCATTTCTCAGACTGGAAATTGCGATATAGTGGATATGTATAGCAATGTAGGGGGTTGTGTACGCTTTTGTGTAAACTTTAAAATGAGGGGGTTGTTAAGAAGAACTGAAAAAAGCAGAATCTCCAGGGAAACTGTGGGGGAAAAAAACGTAATGTAGGCACCCAACTTGGGTGCCGGTGACGCGCTTTTTTTGGCAATACACCTCCGCGCCAGAGTTGAGCGGAAATGGAATTTTGAAATCCGGAAGACGGAAGAAAACTTTTTTCCCGGAAGACGGAAAACGGAAGACGGAACAAAAAATCGTCAATGCAGAGCCTTTTTCTCCGGTTTTTTTTTTTGAAAAAAGCCCGTGGAAATTCGCGTTCTTCGGGACTAGTAAATAGCTTCTGAAAAGCTATTACTGTTTTACGGAAAGAAGAAAAAATCCCGGAAGACGGAACAAAAAAATCCGCGGAAGACGGAAGACGGAATTCCGCTCAACACTGCCCGCTATACGCATATTTCTGACGTGTCTAGCCGGCGGAAAGCGTCGAAATAAAGGGGTTGGACGTGGTTGCCATGTCTGCTGATTTATAAGTACACCTTACCGAACGATGAACTTTCGTTCATTTCATTTCAAAATCACTTTATTCCTTCCATTCTACCCGTTGCCTAGAACACAAAAACCGGGCAAATTTCGTGGGCCGTCAATATTTTCGTGCGATTTTTGGCGTCCAACTGGAACGTGATCGATCCGGCGGTCGTGTAGAGCTCGTCTTTGTAGTGCAACAGCAGGAATTCCTCGTAGTCGAATTTGAACTTGCCGCCGTCCAAACTGATCACCTTCTCGTTTTTCGGCGACGGCAGCAAAAAGTGCTACAATAGTTCTTAATCGATTCTTAATGAATGCGTGAAACCCGACAAACCTTGCTCTTGTAGATCTTTTGAAGAGTCAGATCCTCCTCCAAATACTTGCGCAACTCTTTCTTGCCACCACGAGCTTCGCACCAGTTGAACGAGAAGTTTTCGGCGTGGAGAGCGAGAAATTTGGTAAAGTTGCGGCTCAAGAACGCCTCGTCGATGCTCTCGACAATGTTGTTGGCGGCCTGAAGCGGCTGGCTGTTCAGAGAGTTGAAGAGCGCCAGCGAGAGTCCGACGAGCGTCAGAAGCAGCAGAAACTTCTGGATGAGCATCGCGTTGGGATGAGAAACGATCAGAATGGAGGAGATCGGAAGGCGAAGAAGGAGAGAGGGGGGAGGTCAGAAAGGTCACGGTTAGTAGGTTAGTAGGTCACGCTTTCAATCGTCTCGTCACTCTTTTTGTATAGAGCTGGCTTGATCACTTGGCAACCGGACGTTTTGCAACCATTCTCCAACTTCAACTGGGCGATCAGATCAAAGACAACAACAACTTTTCTACACAACCAAATCGGGACGGTTTGCAACCAGTATTCTCTTTATTCATCAACACAACACATCAGAACATTTTCCATCCTAGAACACCACGACCGGACACGGTTCGTAGCTCGAAATGATCCGAATGGCCGAGGAAGTGACCTGTAAAGGGGGGGGGGGGACTAGAATCCGACACGCCGAAAAATTAGGCCACCTCGAACAGAATGGTCCCTTGCGTTTGAAGCAGTTTGTACGAGGAGAGCAGCAGATTTTTCTGGTACGCGACGCTCGAGATGTTGTGGTGGCCGAGCGGCGAGCCGATTTGCGTGTGCTGCAAACTTTCGGAGGTCTTGACGCAATTTCAGTGCCCAGGCGCATTCCCTTACCTTGCTCTTCCAGACTTGCCACAGCTGCAAATCGTTCACCAAATAGCTTTTAAACTGTTCCCGCGTGGTGCCGCTCGAATCACACACGTGGAACGTGAAATCGTCGGCGTGAAGTGCCAGGAACGGCTCGAAGTTATGACTGATCAGGGCCTGGTCCCACGTGCTCAGAATAGTCCCCGCCGCCGCTTCAGCCCCGCTTTCCCGAGCTCGGACGATGGTGCAAAGGATCGGAAGGATCAGAAGGATCTTCATCTCTCGGAGCAATGATCGGCGACAGTTCTAAAAGTCCCGGGAAGGTCAAGGTCAAGGTCACGCACAAAATTGAACAATTTATTATTTCAAATTGTTAACACCAAATCTGTTCTTGTCCCGAACAATCTCCAACTGGGCCTAAAAAGCGAATGGCCTAGAAGCTTGCTCTTCCACACTCACCACTCCCTTCTGCTCGCTCAACTCGTACAACTGCTGCCCGCTGTTCGCCATCTCGTTGATGATCTTCTCAATGTGTTTCTGAAATTTCGGAAACTTTCTCTTTTTCTAGACCCCCCCTCCCCAACCGTTCTGTTTTGCTTCGTCTTTCGAGTCACCCGCGGCATCACTTCTTCGATCTGATAACGAATGCCGCCCTGAAAACCAAAACAAAACGTTTAAAAAAAAACTAAAAAAAAAAACGCGGAGTACTTTCGGCGGATATCCGGGAGGAATTCGATGCGCAGGCGTCACTGTCCTTTTCGTTTTTCGGTCGAACACTTTGAGAACGATGATAATGAGGAGAAGTGCGTAGACGGATGGATAGAGCATTTCGAAGAGAAATGTTGGAGGAAAACGTTGTGGGATGGGGAATTGTAAAGGTCACGTCAGCCGGTTGGACAGATTCTTTTTAGGCGTAGACGACCTGGCTTGACCCAAATTTCGCTCTCAACAAATCACAATGCGTTTGGCAGTATCTATCATAATAATGACTATTATTATTGTGAATGAGTGGTGAGCTATAATAACATTCTATAGCCGGGTAACCTATCGACGAGGAGCTCCCCGAGGACGGTCCCTCTCCGATCCACCCTCAATTATTACTTTCGATGGAGGCTTACGGCTGGTTCTTGACCACGCAGGCCGTCCAATGGATCTGCCTCCTTCTTTCCCTCTTCGTCAACGTCCTCCTCCTGCTCATGATCAACATGAACAGCCCGGCAAACATTGGACAATATCGATATCTCATGATTTCATTCTCACTTTTCTGCCTCTTTTTCTCAATGATTTCCGCGCTCGGACATCCGGTAACTGGTAGCCCGTTCTTGTTTCGTTTTTCAACAATAAACCGTTTTAGACGATAATAGCGCGAGGAACTTGTTTTATAGTGTTCAGCGCCATCGAGAAGGACACTTTGACGGCGCCATTGAGATGGTTTCTCATCAGTGAGCCATATGAGTTCCGACCTTTATAAATGTATATTATAGTAATGTTTTTAACCGTCTGTGCCGTCTCCATTTGCCTCATCGCCATTCAGTTCGTCTATCGCTATTTTGTCATGTGCCGGTGAGTTTCTAGAGACATTTTTCAACCAAACGATGATAACTATGTACTAAACGAAATAAAATGCCCAGAATCACGGTCTCCAGAGCTGACAATGGGCGCAAGTGCGCACCGCGCAATAGAGCGATACATTGGCGCGAAATTCAAATTTTAACAGCAAAATTTGTGTTTTTTGTCAGATTAGCCACGAAAAACCGATAATTTCTCATTTGTCTCTCGATAGACCGATTGTATAGGCTATTACGAATTTTTTAAGCGCAAAAGCGTTAAATTTAGTCAAGTCGCAAATCACATTTATCCGTTTGAGGGTTTTTGGCTAAAACTGCGTGAATTTCAATTGCTTTTCGGTAATTTTCGCTGTTCGAGCGCTCAAAATGCTTGTATTTACGTGATTTATCATTCTCAAAACCAATTCTGTCGGAAAACGGTCAAGAAAACGCAAAATGAAAAGTGCGGTTTTTAGGGGGAAAAAAAGACAAAATTTCGAAAAAGCGTAATCCGCGAAAAATGCGCCAAAACGTCATTAATTCCAAGAATTAGTGTGTTTTAATGTCGAACATGCATTTTTCATCGCATTTGACCACAAAAATCAGAGAGAAAACCTGCTCAATTTATCGAAAAAAAAAATCGAAATGATAGTCTCAGAATTTAAATTTTTGTCGAGAAATTCAAATTAGCTAAACTTCCCCCCAACCGGCCCATCCGCAAGTCCTCAGACCTTCGTCACTCCGTCACTTCTCGGGCCGCCGTCTCCGCTACTGGTACCTGGGCATCCTGTTGGTTCTCGTCGATTGGATAGCTCTATGCGTCGGTCCGGCTCGAAGACGCGCCGAGAACACCGAGTTCATGCGAGATACGCTGCTCACCGGTCTCGGCATCAAAATCGAGGACGTCGAGTATTTGGGTGTGAATTTCATTCGGATTGACGAGTTCGGAGTGGAAGTTTACAATCGTGAAGCCGTCGTGTTGACAGTCAACGTATTGATTGTTCTGGTAAGTCTATCGTTAGCACACATCGCATTCGGCCTCACGACGTTTAGGCAATCGTAACGTGCATCAGCGTCTATTGTGGCGTCAAAACCTATCGAAAATCGTTGCAAATCGCTGTCGACGCCTTCAACAATCAGATATTCTACGCGTTGATCGCCCAAACGTCCATCCCGTTCGTCTTCATGTTCCTTCCGATTCTCATCATCGTCTGTGCTCCCCTACTGAACATCGACGCCGGAGTTCTCATCGATTTCTGCACAATGAGCATGGCCGTTTATCCGATTTTGGATCCGTTGGCCGTACTTTTGATTGTGAGAAAACTACCGGAAAAGTCTAGTTCGTAAGTTTTCGGAAAATGCAAAAAAAAACGTCTAATCTGGTGATTTCAGCAATGTTGAAACTCAACAAATGGCGAAAAATTGTAAAGAGAAAACTGATGGCGAGCAATCACATTACTGTTGAAACCATCGATTTAGACATTCTTTGAGCACACAATAATAAAATCAGAAAAGCTTCATTATTTTCGACGCCTTCTTGTTGTGGCCCTTCAGATTTGGCTTCACGTTCGGGTTGATGCCGAGCCGGAGGAGCACTTCTGTCAAGTGATTGTCGGCGAAATCGTGGTATTTCGACACTTCTCCGGCAAACTGAAAAAAGTGTACTCTTCTAGAGGTTCAATTCTCACTCAATAATCTGGCCCAAACGTATATACCGCACACTTTTTCGCAACATTGCCGCACGCTTCATCATTTCCGTTTTTCGTTTTATTCCAGACTTGCCAAATCCCGGGCCGGCCCGCCAGCAAATCGTCGGCCCGGAAGTTAGACCTCAAAAAAAATATGCAAAAAAATATGAAGGAAGAGGAAAACGCGTGCGGCAAAATTGCTAAAATGGCGTGCCAGAGTTGCAATCAATCGCTCCGCCCACTCTTGAGCAAATGTTCGTAATTTTTGTGAAAATTTTGCGACTTTAATCAGCAATTTTTTTTAGGTGCATCCTCCCGGGCCGACCGGGCCGGGCCGGGCCGGAAAATTTCCAATTTTGGCCCGGCCCGGCCCGGCCCGTTGCAAGTCTGTTTTATTCTTTGAACGAAAATCAGCAAAAATTACGTTTCTCATTCGTTTTTCCTCATGTTTTCTTCGCATTCATTCATTTTAATTGTCTTTTGCTATAGAAAGTCAACTCTGAAAACAGATTTCTCGCTTTTTATAATGAAATTTCGAAGATTTCTCGATTTCTGTTTTTCTCAGCTCGATTGCAGTTAATTTGAGTCTTTTCAGGGTTTTCATCGTCGGAACAGTCAAATAATCAACAGAGCTACACGTATTCAGCGATTTTCGTGTTATAACACTATAGTTTCCGACGAAACTATCGTTTTTCTCTCCAACAAACATTTACAGATTCTTCTCCACTTCGTCGCCGCCGTCAGCATGCAGAGGAACAAAAAAGGTTGTTGCGTTAGTTTAAAGATGAACAAAACCCGTTTCTCTCCGCCCATAATTTCAGAATCCGTGCTCCAAACGCTTCTGCATGCCGGCGGCGAGAAATCCGACATTTTATTTTAAAAAAATAGATAAATCTGTTTTCGGATTTTCCCGCGGATTTTGCATCAAATCTCACGACACTAAAAACAACGCTTCTCGAACCTTGAGCAGTTCCTTCTGATGCAGCGACGCCTCCATGGGCACCTCGTCGAGCGACGCCTGCACCTCGTTGCCCTTCCGGTTGAACGCCTTGATCATCCGATGGTACGCGTCGCCGCGCGTCTTCACTTCGTTCGTCGTCTGCGCGTGCTTCAGTAGATGTCGCGTCTCGTCGATGCCGTGCAGCAGGTCGTTCAGTTGTTTCACGTTGTCGTTCAGCTCGAAACTCTCGTCGCCAGTGTACATTCGCATTTTTCTGATGTACTGGGCTCGTGCTGTAAATTGCGTGGGTGTTAGAATTTGGGTTAGTCTCTGAGAGAATTCAATTTGGCATTTTTGACCCATTGATCATTTTCGTCTCGAGAGCTCACTCTGGTTAGACTTACTCTTCTTCTGCACATGAATCTCCTTTTGTGCAATCTTTCCGCACGCGTGGCTGTACTTCTGGAGCATCAGCGCGTCGTGGCCTTCGAAGTGGAACATTGTCATGTAGTGAAACCAGCCGCCGAGCATTTCCCATAGATTCTCGCCCTCCGGGCTCACCACTTTTTGCATCGCTGTTACTGATGGATTGACCTGTAGAAGAAGGGGTTTTAGATTTACAAAAAAGTGCTAGGTGTACCTGAATTTGCAGTTCTATTGAATCGACGATATTGTAAATTGTGTTGTGATACGAAATCAGTTTGTTTATATTGCTCTGAAAGTGATGATGATATGCCGACGTTTCACGTCAACCGCCACGTCTACTTTAACAGTTCAACAATTTATCGCAAAGTAGTTCGCGTTAGATGCAAAAGTGTCCCGCCTACCTGAAACTTTGGCTCCAACTTTGTCTGCTCGACAATGCCGATGCGCTGTCCGAATTGCACGAGAGCCGTTTTGAAGTATCCGGCGCTTGCGGCCTTCTGCGCCGCCTCCTCCGTCTCTTTTCTTTGCTCATCCGGTAAACTGCTTTTTTCTGTAAATGTGTAAATGTGTTTCGGTAAAAGTCTCGGCGGTCTTCTCACTTTTGTCCATTATGCACTTTGTCAAAGGAGTAATTGATTGTTATTGCGAAATGACTTGACTGAACAACGTTTCGTAAGGAAGAGGGTTCACGTAAACGATTTTATTTGTACAAAGAAAAATAGAATAAAAGAGGGAATAGGGGGAAACGTGTGGATTATAGATAGATACGATCATTATTCAGAATTCGGAATCCGACTAAACGCTCTAATGCTTAATGTTTGGCGCCTGGCTCGGCACGTACATCATCGAGAGCTTGCGCTCGGCGCCCTCCAAACACACGGTTCTCACGATGGCGCCAGTGACGGTGTACGGATCGCAGTTGGACGACGGACGACGGTCCTCGAAGTAGCCGTAGCCGTCGTCGTCGGTGGAGCGCGGGATGCGGATCGACGAGGCGCGCGACGCCACTCCGTACGAGAACTGATTGATCGAGGCGGTCTCGTGGAGTCCCGTCAGACGACGTTCGTTGTCCTTTCCTCCGTGCGGATCGTAATAGGCGATGTGTTGCGGGTGCACCAGCGAGAGCTTGTTGATGGCCGACGTGATCTCGCTGCAAATTCACGGTGTGGCACAAAGAAAGTCCCAAAATACTACAAGTTTACCACGAAAACCGTAAAAATGAACCAAGCCCTTTATATCGGCGAGCCAACTCACTTGATGCCTCCCGGGTTTCTCATCTTCTCGGTGGAGAAGTTGGTGTGGCATCCGGCGCCGTTCCAGTCTCCCTTGATCGGTTTGCAATCGAACGAGGCGATCACTCCGAACTCTTCGGCGACGCGTTGAAGCAGATAACGGGCGACCCAGAGCTGGTCTCCCATCTCGATTCCCTCGCACGGTCCCACCTGGAACTCCCACTGACCGGGCATCACCTCGGCGTTCGTGCCGGAGATGTTGATGCCGGCGTAGAGACACGCGCGGTAGTGCGCCTCGACAATGTCGCGGCCGTAGACCTTGTTGGCGCCGACGCCGCAGTAGTACGGTCCCTGCGGTCCTGGGAATCCGTTCTTCGGCCATCCGAACGGATGTCCGTCAATGTCGAGGAGCGTGTACTCCTGCTCCATTCCGAACCACGGATGCTGGTCGGCGGCCTTCTCCATCACCTGGATGCATCGTTGACGGTTGTTGGTGGCTGCAAATGAGCGCAAGTTCATTCCATTTCATTATCTTCTCTCAACCCCCAATGTTGACCCAACCGATTATAGCCATTTTATCATCAGCCCCCTATTGCGAGTCAGTGTACGGGGGAGGGAGGGAAGAGAAGAGCAAACGGTGGTCCGATTAGTCGGAGCACTAGGAGTCAGAGTACGCGGGTGGCGAGCAGAAAGCGCACGAAATTCTGATGCCGAAGTGTCTAGTTTACACTGCATCCGCCGAAATCATTAGTTACCCAAAACACAAGACCAGTATCGTGCAACTAGCCTACTGTTTCAGTGTAAACAAATAACAAATAAAAATCTGGAGGACACCTGACTCGCCACCAATATCCTCTCTCATTCACGTGTCTTCATTCCTTCCCACATCAAACGATCATCATCAACTCTTACCGGTCGGTTTCTTCTTGTTATCGTACGTCTCGCACATCACCAACTTGTTCTTGCCCTGCCTGAACGGGTCCGGATAGATGGCGACCGGCTTCAGGTACACATCCGAGTCGGCGCCCTCGGCCTGGCCGGTCGACGATCCGTCAAAGTTCCAGATTGGGAGCTCTGAAATGTGCGATGCGATTGATTACGGGATTGACGGGCTGCGACAGCCGACTCACTCTCCGGATCGGTCGGCTCAAAGTCAAAGGTTCTGGTCTTGGCGCGAAGGTTCTCGCCGGATCCGTCGATCCAGATGTAGAGCGCCTGATATCTGCCCTTCTGGTCCAAATTCAAAAACTTTTGAAGGACCGACTTGTCGGTGGCGAATTGCGAACGCAGCGATTGAGCCATACCTGAAAATGTGCGTGTATAGATTCGAGAGCGGAAAGTGCGTACTCGACATGATCGAGGAGGGCAGGACGACAGAGTGTGTGCGACTGATCGCTTATCGATTTTCGATATTTATAGTGACAAAAAGGCGCTTACGGCTTACAGATAGTAGTATACTCTGACAATGTGCTTTGGTGATAAGGTGCGTCAAGAGTTGGACGCACAAAATTGGCTTTATGAATTGAAAGTTCTTTGACAAGAAGAAGAAGAAGACTCCGCCTATCACGTGGGCAACTAGGACAAGATTTGTGTTGATTTCGATGCCAAAATGATTGATAACAAGGGGAGTGTTGTGTACGTGTATGCAAATGATGGAAGGCAGGTGATTAGATTGATTGGTGGTTTGGGCTAGACGTTTGAACTTGGGACCCTAGACGATTCGAGCGCTCCCAACTCAAAGCGCCTCGAAAAAGTGGCCTCACAATCTCTTCTCTCAACTTTCTTACAGCCGGCCACTGGTGCACTTTGACATGTCGCCGAGCAGCACGGCATCGGCGTCAGTGTAACACGGTGGGGTCATTTCGGGCTGGCCAACGGCGCCGGCGCCACATCCCGTTCACGTGACTTTTATCAATGATCGCGCTGATTTTCATTTCTTCGACAGCCGCACAGAATGTGGTGATAAGGAAGAGGGGAGAAGGTGAAGAAGTTGGACTTTGGACACCGCTGTTAGGGAACTGATAAAGTAAGTGACTTGGTGACTTTTGCCACCTCTCTTTTATATTGCCCCGAACATTCGGAGGAAGAGAGTGGGAGGGATCGGTTTGTGTCTCGACTCCGCCCCTCCACTTTTCATCGCTATCACCAACACACACAAACACGAAATGGAAGGGAAGAAGAAGAAGAAGAAGAAGAAAAAGTGGTGATAACTTTTCGTAGTCTTCATTAGATCTTTGCCCAAAATAGTCGAAACCGATATTGTCAAGTTAGACGGCCCGGCCAGTTGGCTCGAAAACGTTGGCAGAAGGTCTAAATGAGATAGCGGCGGGAAGGAAAGCGTAAAAATAAACAATTTGCGTGCCCCTCGCTCCCCGGCCCGCAACACACACACAAACATTTCTGTTGTTGACGTCGTGTTAGATTTCTAATAGAAAAAAACCGATGGACGGAAATAAGTGTATGTTATTGACATGCAAAGTGGGACGACGTCTAGACCATCAGGGTAGACTGCCTTAACAATGAGAAAACAGGGAATCGGAGAGGAGAACGGCGGAAGATTATAGCACAGGAACAATCAAGATGTGTATCACTTACCAATAAAACTTGGAGAAACAGGGAGACGACGGTCAGAGTTGAGCGGAATTCCGTCTTCCGTCTTCCGTGGTTTTTTGTTTCGTCTTCCGTCTTCCGTCTTCCGTGGATTTTTTGTTCCGTCTTCCGTCTTCCGTGGATTTTTTGTTCCGTCTTCCGTCTTCCGTGGATTTTTTGTTCTGTCGTCCGTCTTCCGTGGATTTTTTGTTCCGTCTTCCGTCTTCCGTGGATTTTTTGTTCCGTCTTCCGTCTTCCGTGGATTTTTTGTTCCGTCTTCCGTCTTCCGTGGATTTTTTGTTCTGTCGTCCGTCTTCCGTGGATTTTTTGTTCCGTCTTCCGTCTTCCGTGGATTTTTTGTTCCGTCTTCCGTCTTCCGTGGATTTTTTGTTCTGTCGTCCGTCTTCCGTGGATTTTTTGTTCCGTCTTCCGTCTTCCGTGGATTTTTTCTTCTTACCGTAAAAGAGTAATATCTCTTCAGAAGCCATTTACTAGTTCCGAAGAACCAAAATTTTTGTTGCTTTAGTTAAAAAAAAACCGGAGGAAAAGGTTCTGCATTGACGATTTTTTTGTTCCGTCTTCCGGGAAAAACGTTTTCTTGTTCCGTCTTCCGTTTTCCGTGTTCCGTTAAAAAAATTCCATTTCCGCTGACATGAATTTTGCGGATGCGTGTACGGGAAGAAAATCGATATTATTATTATTATTATTATGCTGGTTGTGCGGCACGGCTCTTCTTCTCCTCCGATGCACCATGTGTTTTGGTCGCGCTAACACCAAGGCCACGTGGTAGAGTAGAACGTCAATATTAAACGCCAAACTCCGTACAAAGGGGCTGAAAAATGGATGACTGACACAGTTCATTGACCGCTTCAAAAGTGCACAAATACCTGAGACCATGTGGCGAGTAATCAAAGATCATCCCGTTGGCCTTTGCCTAATCAGTCTATCAAACACGCTCTCCTTCTCTCGCCAATCTCGCCGTTTCGAGTGCTCTCTGTCCACGTGGCGCCATTCCATTTTCCGAGACGACGGGAGACACTTTGTGGTCGTTGATCGCGCATTCACGCAATTCGCTTTTTTCTCTCGTCCTCCTCATCTTTTTGATATCGGTTCAGCGCATCTTTTTGTAGTCTCGGACACACAAAAGTTACACTCGGAAAGCGATAAGCGTTAGTTATTGCGTCGCGTGGCGAAATTGAGAAGAAACCCGATGATAGCGGAAAAACGAGTTGAAGTTTTACGCGTCTTTGTTTAAGATTTCATCCTGGTCAGCGCCAAAGTAGAGTGAATGGCACAGAGAAGTGCTCTACATGGTGCATCGACCGCAACGATCTATCTCGACGTCCGAATCAACACATTAACGACCAATTTTCAGCAGAATCTGCCAGAAGACCTGAAAACCGGATTCGTTTATATGGTGCATCGACCGGTCGTCGCTGCATGGTGCATCGACCAAAAACCGTCGTCGGCGGCGGGCAGCCAGGATGCGCGGCCTTGAAGTACACCGAACTGACCTCGCATTTCATCGACATCTCCTTTATCACTTTGTTTTGTGTTACACAATCACACAATTTCTCTTTTTTTTTCTTCCGATCAACATCACACATCTCCCTCTCTCGATCCGTTTTTCGTGTTTCAATCGGACCGAAACAGTCGAAAGGGAGACTGAGAGAAACCGAAAAATCATTGATAAAATGTAAAGTGGTAAACAGAAACAGTCACATTTCGTACTTATCAAAAAAAAAAGCGGAAGAATTTGTGATCGATTTGAATGATTCGATTTTCCGCTTGAAATCAGTTAGACACACACAAATTAGCGAGTATAATATATATATTGTAGTTGAGGTTTAGGAGTCGTCCGCGGCCGACTTCTCCTCGTTCTCCTCGCTCTTCTTCTTCTTCTGCTTCATCTGCGACACCAGAATCGTCAGTTCTTCGATGGCTTTTGCCTGGAAAAGTCGACAGTTTCAACATTTTTCTCTAGAACCACTGTTTGAAGAGCTACACAGTAGTATCTTTGGAAGTGATCGACTACAAAAGTACAGTACCCCTGGATGCCCTGGATTTCACACACACACACACAACATTTCAGAATCATCAAAGTCACCAAAACTTGAAACTTATGCCAGATATTGTTTGGGCTACCGTACCTGCATAATAATGTGATTCTTCGCCAGAAGCAATGTGGCAATTTTCGAGAGCTTCCTGACGGATCCGCCGTGCGCATAGGGGATGACGGCGCGAAGATCGTCGAGCGCCTCGTTCAGATCATGCATTCGACATCTGAAAGTGAACGTTTGCTGATGTTCAAATGGTTCAAAAGGACATTGAAATTTCCGGTTTTTGATCTCTTCGTAATCTCAAAGATCCGTTTTCTCGAAAATCAATTATTTATCTCTTTTATTGCCTTCTTCTTCTTCTTCTTCTTGATCTATTCGCAGTTCTCTTCTCTTTTTTCTTATCAATGAAAAATGATAAGGCTAGAGAGAGAAATGACGCCAACTAGCGATCGGAAGACAAAAATCGGGACCAAAGGTCGGCAGATTGGAGGTTGAGTTGAAAAAAGTGTACAGTAACCGGTAAGCGAGCGCTACTGTCCATTCAAAGCAATGTATCTCGGCTGCCGCTAGAGATATCGAAAAGTTGTCAACTGATGAATTGCTCAGAAAGACATTGGGCACATTTTATCTGTTAACAACTTTTTTGTATTCCTTTCAGCAACTGAGCAACATTGTCCCGAATGTAGATATGCCTTACCTTTCTCTCAAATTAATCGAAAGCCGCACGCCCGGCTCGGCGAACGCAGACGCCGACATTTTTTCGCTCAACTGCTCCATTTTTGTGCTCCAATGAAATTTTTCGAGAAAGCTCCGCCCCTTTTTCTCTCTACAGTAGTCCTGGAAGCTCTCGAGGGAGTGGAGAGAATTGAAAAGAGGGTGAAAAATGAGTGAAAGAGAATGGCGGGTCGGGTAATGCAAAGTGACAAGTCTTGTGGGGGTATATGGCAGGGAAGTGTATAATATTAAGTAAGAGAGCATGTAATTATGATGTTGGAATTCATGAACATTCATGAAGAGCTCTATGAATATTCATAGGTACCGTAGATTGCAGCTCGGAGCTTTTAAGTTGAGGTATGATGCATTCTCCTTTCAAACCGATATATTTCTGCCGCCGGTAAAGCTATCAAAAAGTTGTCAACTAATATATTGTTCATTAAGAAATTCGGTACATTTTGTTAGTTGACTATATTTTGATATCTCCACAAACAGCTGAGATACACAGTTTTGAATAGACATGTTACACGGGTTGACAAAATTCCTTATGGAAACTGGCAAAAGTAAGGTAAAATTTTAAGAATACGGAATGTTTATAGCATACACTCAAATTTTTGTGCTCGATGGGCTCGAAAGCTTCTGCTCTCCACCCAAAATGAGCCGGGCCGCTTGCTTTTGTGCTCTTTGACAGATTTCGAGCAACAGATGTGCTGTTCCGAGAGAGAGAGAGAACAAAGCGATATTATGGATGTGCCAATTGAGATTTTATCGCGATTCTTCGAAGACGGAAGCGGAAGTGTTTATTGGTTTGGAAACTACAATATTCATAGTTTTCACGAGCCGCGCACGGTCTCCAGAGCTGACAATATGGGCGTGGCCTCGGCCAAACGGCGTTTTCATGAATTCAGCAGGTTTTCTCTGATTTTTGTGGTCAACAGCGATGAAAAATGATTGTTCGGCATGAAAACACACTAATTCTCAGAATTAATGACGTTTTGGAGATTTCGCTTTTTTGAAATTTTGTTTTTTTTCCCCTAAAAACCGCACTTCTCATTTTGCGATTTCTTGACCGTTTCCCGACAGAATTGGTTTTGAGAATGATAAATCACGTAAATACAAGCACTTTGAGCGCTCGAACCGCGAAAACTACCGAAAAGCAACAGAAATTCACGCAGTTTTAGCCAAAAACCTTCAAACTTGACCAAATTTGACGCTCTAGCGCTTAAAAAATTCGTAATAGCCTATACAATCGGTCTATCGAGAGACAAATGAGAAATTATCGGTTTATCGTGGCTAATCTGGCAAAAAACACTAATTTTGCTGTTAAAATTTGAATTTCGCGCCAATGTATCGCTCTATTGGGCGGGGCGCACTTGCGCCCATTGTCAGCTCTGGAGACCGTGCTAGCCGTACTAAAGTTTCGACTTTCAAATACTTTCAAACATTCTCAACTCAAAAACGAGATTTAGGTCCCTCAAAAAGTGGAATCCAACAGTGGATGACGTCGGAAATCAAACAGAATACGTGTAATCGAGTGTGCTCTCTCCAACTGTGCCCCGTACCCTCTAATTATAGACCTCGGCGGCCGCCAAACTCAAATATTTGATCCCTCCGGCTAGATTTCCCCGGAATTCGCGGGGGCTTCAGCCGGGGCGCTCCGTCGCAGGTGCGAGCATTTCCACACACGCACATGAGTCGCGCCACTTATACACACAAATGAGCCAAAGGCCAGAAGGTACCCATCTGCATTTGCCATCTGAATCCGATCGCGATATTCAGAGAGACACATCTGGCGCACCGAAACTGCCTCCAGAAGTGTCCCGGGAAGCGCGTTTTTTCGTCGTTTCTGCATCAAAATGTTTTTTGGAATTTTCGTGCGAAATGGGCGCGCCTAACGCGTGTTTGTATACGCCGTCAGCGTGGCGGTGCCGGCCGTGGTCCTGTGGTGTAGTGGTTATCACGTCTGCTTCACACGCAGAAGGTCGCCGGTTCGAACCCGGCCAGGACCTATTTTAGAGTATTATCCTCTTGCACTAGTTTTTACTATTGTCTTATTGTTCTTGACCTACCGTATCCCTTCCTCTAATCTACTCATTTGCCTAATCCTATAGGTAACTTCGGCATTCGACCCCTTTTCAAGAAACAAAATATAAAAAGCCAGAAAACAGGACGATTCGATTCAAATCTACACACATCCGGGAGAACAGCTGTTTGCAGATGATAGGCCTGTATAACCCGCAGGTGTACACTTCTTCTTCTTCTTCTTCATCTTCTTTTTCGCTTCTGTTTCACTCGTTGACACCTGTGTTTCCGCAAAAAATCTCGATACGCATCAAATTGCATGCGAAAAGACGGTCAACTTGGGCATCCGAATGAGGATTTGCCGGGAAATTATCGAAATGTGATCATCTGACCTGGAAAACGTTTGAAACTGCAGGAAAAATTCCAGAAATGTATGTTGGGGTGTCATCGAAAAATAGACTTATTGTACTTTCAATTCGCTTTCTGAACCTTTCTAATGCAAAAACTGCGAAAATCTCACCCAGAAACCACTAGAAAACCAGTTTCTTCGTCTGAAATCCATGTCACACTTGTCAACTGCCGAGCGCCGACCGCCGTCGATCAGCGCCTTTATAACCGCCCCGAAAGCGCCGCACTTTCGGCCTGCTTAGTATAGTGGTTAGTACTCCACGTTGTGGCCGTGGCGACGCTGGTTCGATTCCAGCAGCAGGCATGGTTCTTTTGCCGCACCCGCTTCGCCATGTGTGACCAGATGGAGCGCTGTTTTGGCGCCTTTCGTGTGTGTGTGTGACATGTCGGGCCTTTCTCTCATCTCTGTGAAAGGTTGACGGATGTGTGTGTGTGTGTGTCTGTGCGATACCTCCTCATTTGGGTGTTGCGTAATGGAAAATAAATCGGTGGGGGAGGGCCCGGGCTTCCAGGTGCAGGTGGTGTTAGAGCGAAGAAGAAGAAGAAGAGGAAGAAGAAGAAGATGTTGTTGCCAATCCGTCGTGTTCAGGTGGCCAAAATATCATTAGAGACAAGACGACCGGGTGTTCAGTGCACACACCTGGACACGTCAGAAACAGCCGTTTGATGGGATCGACAAAATACGGATCGCGGACGGACGAACAAATGTTTGAATTTCGAACGACGCTACTATTGTCGCTTTTTGCCACGTGTTTTCAATTTGCGGGTTCCCATGCGATTCAGATTCCCATGACAGCCACCTGGGGCGTAGGCGACGGCGGCATGTGAAAAGAACACAAAACAGAAAAGCACACACCTGGTTTCTCATCCGCCCGCTTCCATGTTCCGTTCTCGGAAACCAGTACATCGCCCCTTTTTATGGGGTGTCGCGTCGGGATTCTTTGAAAAGTGCCGCCCGCCCGCCGGCCCGCAGCCGGAGCCGCTTGGGGGCTCTTCTCTGAAGACGAAAGAGAGAGAGAGCAGCTGATGGACCGTCTGGTGTACACCTGGAACACCAGCCGTCCCACCACCGATCCCACCAGACCCACGAACCTTCTGGACGGGAGGGAGATCGAGAAGAAAACAGAGAGAGAGAGAGAGCGCGCTATTAACATATGCTCTTTTGCAGATGATCTGGTGGCAATGATCCAATTGAGAGCAGATGATGATGAGCAGCACGAAGAAGAAGAAGAAGAAGAAGAAAAAGAAGAAGGAAAAGAACAGCCGGTGTGTGTTTGAGCACTATTTTTGACATGATAATAAGCAAATGGGTGTGTGTGCTTGGTGGCAGAATGAGATTGCAATCGGCTGAAAACGCGCACAGAACAGGTGGTTATTGACACAACAACACTGATTTTTGCTGGAAGTTTAAAGCGCTGGAGTAGAAACCATCCACAGTTAATCAATTTTTTTTTTCAATTAAAAAAAAAAATTTTTGTAAAATTTTTTTGTGCCTGTTCGAATTGTCTCTTATTGTCTCATTCACTGGTGGTGAAATGCTGACTCTCACAGAAATGCCAATGAACGAAACGGCGTGCAGTTGAAGTTGTGGCCGTGGCCTAGGAAACTCCGGTGTGAAAACTCTTCCCTGTGAGCGGTTTGATGCTCTTGCGCTATTATGTATGCTGTTGCTGATTTGTGTGAATGTTTTGCAACGTATGAAGCAGAGTTGAGCGGAACAACTCAACGGAAGAACACAGAATAATTTTTATATTTTTTACAAAATTTTTTCATGAAATGTGATCAACTGACGAAATGTAGAGCAAAGTGAACTGTGCTCATAGAAAAATAATTGTAAATTTAGCTTTTCATACAAAAAAGTTAGGGCTAACAGAAGACGGAAGGACATTTTCACGGAACAACTCGAATAACTTTTTTGTATGAAAAGTTAAATTTACAAATATTTTTCTATGAGCAGAGTTCGCTTTGCTATACATTTCGTCAGTTGATCACATTCCATGAAAAAATTTTCTAAAAAAAGATAAAAATTCTTCCGTGTTCTTCCGTTGAGTTCTTCCGCTCAACTCTGGTATGAAGATTGAGCCGAACGCAAAAAAAATCCGAAAAAGATGACAAGGCCTAGAACTTTTCTGGGCCACGGCCACAACTTTGACTAAGCGCTGGGGCTCGGACAGTGAATGTGGCAATAAAAAGCAATTCAGTCAGACACATAAACTCGCAGGCGCTGGAATAGAGAAACCATCCGTCAACTGTCACTGACTTTTGGCCACAGTTTATAGCGAGCCGAGTGAGTAATTAATGGCAAGGTTCCATACAAAACGGGGACAATAATAAGTTGACCTCTTTGTCCCACAGGTGTGCAGGCAGTCACACACAAGTAGTCCATAAATCTGTGTGGCCTCGAGTATCGAATATCTTTATTCGCTGGCTGAAGCCACTCTCATCAACATTGCGCAACTCGTCCATTTGACCCTTGTACCGATTGACGAACTCTTTCGGAGCCCACCTGGCTCCGGAAAACGATCGGATAGTCTTTGTGCACCTGGAGCCCCGCGCGGGGCCCCCAGCGGAGAGCTCCATGAGCACACAACTAACTCCCAGGTGTTTAGCTGTGCGCATTCATCACACAGGTGTGTGTGTGTGTGTGGGCTTTTTCATGAATATTTTTGTTTTCCAGCTTCTCTCGTTCGTAGAATTTCGATGATTCGTTCTCAGAGAGCACACAAGTTCCAAGAGGCACTCATCTATTTAATTTAATCCCAGCCGGCCCAAGCCGCTGAATTCACAAATTCACAGACGGCGCTGCTTCCGCTCGATCATCGTGGTCCCCCCTCCCCTTCTTCCCCCAGAGCCGTTGGCAATTAGATTCTCGAGCCAGCTGCCACATATGGCCCCAACGGCTTTAGAAGAAGCCAGCCGCGTCGCCCTCACTTCAGAAACCGAACAGACGGAAACTTTATGCGTGTGGAGTATAGGATTTATTGAAAAGCTCTGATGAAGAGTACTGACCAGGCACACGTATCACCTGGGCAATACGCTATAGTATACGCGATTTTCAATTGATTGCCAATGCCCAAGGCGCCAAGGACAGCACACGGTGAGACGTTTTGTAGCTTAACAAAGATTTATTCTTGTTTGCAACAAGTATATATATTATATATACACACAGAAGGTGAGAGACCCGCGAATGGCATGGAAGAAGAAGAAGAAGAAGAAGAAAAAGTACTAGAAAAAGTTCTATGGAAGAAACGGGAAAGAAACTTATGGCGAAGGGCGAGTTGAAGACGTGACCGATTCGGACGACGAGTCCGGGGATTCGGGTCGCGACGACGACGGGCTGACTGACGTCGAAACGGAGAAGTACTGCTCGAATCCCGACGGCAACGAGTTCTCCTTTCCATTCAGCTGCGCCTGGAGCTCTCGGATGTGCGCGATTGTGGCCATCACGAGCTGATACTGATCGGCGTCCTCGTCGGCGTCGACGAGTTGGCGGAGACGGTTCGTCACCTGGAAAGAGGCAATTGTTTAGCTATCTCAGTGCCATTGGAATCCATCTTACATATCAAAAAAAAAAAATGTTAAAAATGTTACTAACCTTCTCCTTTTCGCGTCGTTCCGTCGACGTTTCCTTGCGGATTTTGCGCGATTTCGGCGAGACGTGCGAGATGACATCGCGTGGCGAACGCACAGACGAGCTCTTCATTTCTAGTGAATCGAGGTGGTCGGTGGCTAGAAGACGGACAAAGAATGGAAATGAGTGTGTCTGTGTGGTGTGGGTGTGAGCGAAGGCGGAGCCTGAAGACGGACCGACGACGACGACGACGCAGCTGCCGTGCGTCTTGTTGACCACGCCCCGCTCTTTATGCACAGGTGCGCGCGCGCGCGCGCGGCGGGATATGGAGAGAGAAGAAATGCCGATGTCATGTGGGAGGACTGGGAATGTAGTAAATAAATAGACTGTGGAGTGTGTCTTCCCTTTGATGGGAGGGCCGGAAATGACGTGCCAAAGGTCTTGAAAATTGAGAAAATCCGTTAAAGCCAAGAAAAACGAATGCAAAAAAGGTTTGGCGGCCCGCTGCAAGTCTACTCGAAAAACCGCAAAATAAAACGAGCCAAAGAAATTCGAAATGTACATACATACATATTTCATCCCGCGGACCCTTCTTCTTCCTCACAGTTGTACACTTTCGCGCAAGCTGACGGGCTCTTTGCGAAGCGACCGGGCGAGAGTAAAATGAGAATGAAAATGCGCAGCTGTTCTAAAGCTTCAACTTCTTCTTCTTCTTCCTCCTCTTCTGCTCCGTCTTCGGACAAGCTCTCGGGGGAGTTGAGGCTCCGCGATTTCAGGTGAAAAAACAAGTACAGCTGTCCCAGGGTTTTACCGTACAAACGAATATGAAGGGCCGGGAGGAAGCGCGCAAAAACACATGGTATACGTATGTTGACCATATGACACGCATCAGAAGAGAACTAGTTGCAGCTTTTTGAAACGAACATGTGCACCCGGCACATGTTCTTCTTCTTCAATTTGAATACTCGATACTCTCTCTCTCTCACAAGAGAAGTTGTGTGACCGTACTATAGAGTTTCCAGATGGCGCCACGTGTCAAGCTCCTCCAATCATATGTGAGAGAAGAAAACGCGAAAAATAAATTGGTTCAAGCTGGACGCACACCTGTGTGTGTGTGTGTGTGTGTCAGGTCTCCTCCACCAACGCCACGAATACAGAATTTCTTATGTGAGCATCTGGCCGCCAGAAGGATGCCAGATTGTAGTGTCGTCTTCTTCTTCTTCTTCTTCTTCGTCGATCTCAATCAACCTATAGGCCCGAGAAGAACAATGAGGGTACGCCGATGGTTTTGAAAACTTTTGATGGGAGGGCGGAAATGACGTACGAAGGGTCCTGAAAACTTAAATATTCAGTTTTAAGCATGAAAAGATTGTTGCATATACTCGGCAAAGGCGCGCCACTTTTGCGCAAACTTTGCGCAGCTTTTGCGGCAAGTTGAGCGGAATTCCGTCTTCCGTCTTCCGTCTTCCGTGGTTTTTTGTTCCGTCTTCCGTCTTCCGTGGTTTTTTTGTTCCGTCTTCCGTCTTCCGTGGTTTTTTTGTTCCGTCTTCCGTCTTCCGTGGTTTTTTTGTTCCGTCTTCCGTCTTCCGTGGTTTTTTTGTTCCGTCTTCCGTCTTCCGTGGTTTTTTTGTTCCGTCTTCCGTCTTCCGTCTTCCGTGGATTTTTTGTTCCGTCTTCCGTCTTCCGTGCTTTTTTTGTTCCTTCTTCCGTCGTTTTTTGGTTCCGTCTTCCGTCTTCCGTGCTTTTTTTGTTCCGTTTTCCGTCTTCCGTGGATTTTTTGTTCCGTCTTCCATCTTCCGTGGATTTTTTGTTCCGTCTTCCGTCTTCCGTGCTTTTTTTGTTCCCCTTTCCGTCTTCCGTGGATTTTTTGTTCCGTCTTCTGTCTTCCGTCTTCCGTGGTTTTTTTGTGCCGTCTTCCGTGGATTTTTTGTTCCGTCTTCCGTCATCCGTGGATTTTTTTGTTCCGTCTTCCGTCTTCCGTGGTTTTTTTGTTCCGTCTTCCGTCTTCCGTGGATTTTTTGTTCCGTCTTCCGCGCAAAAGCTGCGAAAATCCTTAAAGGTTGCGCAAAAGCTGCGAAAATCCTTAAAGTTTGCGCAAAAGCTGCGAAAATCCTTAAAGTTTGCGCAAAAGCTGCGAAAATCCTTAAAGTTTGCGCAAAAGCTGCGAAAATCCTTAAAGTTTGCGCAAAAGCTGCGAAAATCCTTAAAGTTTGCGCAAAAGCTGCGAAAATCCTTAAAGTTTGCGCAAAAGCTGCGAAAATCCTTAGTTTGCGCAAAAGCTGCGAAAATCCTTAAAGTTTGCGCAAAAGCTGCGAAAATCCTCAAAGTTTGCGCAAAAGCTGCGAAAATCCTCAAAGTTTGCGCAAAAGCTGCGAAAATCCTCAAAGTTTGCGCAAAAGTTGCGAAAATCCTTAAAGTTTGCGCAAAAGTTGCGAAAATCCTTAAAGTTTGCGCAAAAGTTGCGAAAATCCTTAAAGTTTGCCCAAAAACTGCGAAAGTGGCGCGCCTTTGCCGAGTATAGCAATATGGTCCAAAAAAGAGTGAGAGAGATGGTTAGGACATAATTTAATTAACGTTGTACTTGGTTTATATAATGACAGTGAAATCCCGCCCACTCGGTCGTGCTCCACCGCCACCACGCCCCTGTTAATGACGATCACGAAAGTGGAAGAGGCGGGACCGCAAAAATTTAAAATATGGCCAGGCAGACGTACTATGGTTGTCCTGAAAAGGATTATCTTATCTGATAAGGCCTGAGAAAGCCCTGAAAAAGGCCCGGAAGGTTGTCCTGAAAAGGATTATCTTATCTGACAAGGGTCCCTCTCAGACCTCCAGGAAAAACAAGAATTCCCTAAAATAAAGAATGATCCCCTCAGAAAAACAAGGGTTCCTGGTCGGACTTCTTGAGAATAGATGATAAAAACCGCTCTAAACAAGTCTGAGAAGTGTCTTTGGCGGCTAGACCAATGTCCAAGAGAATGTGAAAATCTAGCTGAATTTCAGCATCAACGTCGAAGAACCGCTACGTACTTGAGGAGTTTGTTAAGGGGAAATTGAAGGTTGACTTCTTGCAGGCGGGTAACTCGGTCAGAAGCTAGAAGTTCTAAGAGCAACCCTGGGCCAAGGAGCTTCGGTTTGGGCAGACGCTCAGGTTGGAGCATCTCTGCAGACCACTGCCAGCAACCACTTAAACCAGTGGTTTTGCGGGTGGAAAATTGTGTAGAAGGTGTTTTCATTGAGCTAAAACCAATAAAAGCCTCAATTTTCCCCTAACGAACTGCCCAAGTACGTATAGTGGTGCTTCGACGAAGGTACCCCCAGGCTCGGCTCCATGTTGTAGCCGTGGCGACCGACGCTGGTTCGATTCCAGCAGCGGGCATCGCTCTTTTTGCACAGATGGCTGCTCTTCTGACGTCAATGTAATTCTCACCTCACACGTGTTTGTTGGAAGGGAACAACGTAACATAAGACGGCTGAACGGAGAAGCAGATTGTTGGTTTGTTGCGCAACGCTCAATTTAGGTTTGAAATCTCAAATGTTCTCAATTGCTCTACGCCCTCAAAACTCATTTCGGCGATTTTTAAAGTCGCGTGTCTGTTTCCGTGACAGCCGTATGGTTGGTGACGGAGCCACGTGCTCCAGAGTCATTCGATCCGTTTACCTGACCCCGCGGATAGTTGCATTGCATAACAAACACCACTGTGACATCATCCGCTGACCAAATAATCCTTTGATTGTCCTCTTCCCCCCACATTTCCTCAGATTTCAATCCATACACACACGCAGACACACACCTAAGCTCTAATTGTCCGCCAATAATTGTGGCTTATAGACTTTTGTTGCGTTCCCATTCACGCAATTTGAAAGTTGTGTTGCGATCTCGAATGTGACCAAATGTTCTGACGGTTTTTGGAGGTCCCCAGCCTAATATTGATAACCGCGCGACGATGGCGTCAGGCGCCCATTCATCAACACTGACCTAAATAGTGACGGGGAATGGCGGGCGGCGTTTTTGCATTTCATAAGGGGGCGGGGGGGAAGAGAATGAAAAAGTCACCTTGAACGATTAATTTTGATTGGATTACGAACACTATTGTCGGCGGAATCGAATGCAATCGAAACGGACGGAGAGACAGCCGAATCGTTTGTCGGCTCATTCTCCTCAAGGCTTTCGGCGCCATACCGGTTCAAGGTAATAGCATTACGGTAGAAGACAGTTGGATGGGGATGCGTTCTAGAATGTTAATCCTTTGAAGGATACGGTATAGTATACGAGTAACGGGGATTGTTAAATAAAAAATAGCTTTGTGTACTTTTACAATATATCTGTGATCTCGGTTCCCTTCCTCTCTTTCTCAGCATTCCCATAATAGTAAAGAAAACGAAGACAAAGCATTTTCTCATGCATGTTCTTTGAAGCGATGCCGCTTTCTGAGTTTACGGTAGCCACCACGCAACACACCGCACAGATATCGCAACGTGCGCAACCAAAACATTTATGTATTTTTCTTGCTTGCGCCACATCTTCTCATCTTTCCCGACCGTTTATGGCTTGATTAGAGTGTTGCGAGTACAGAATAAACGAAAAAGGCAACGAATATCATTTCCCCCGGTTTCGACAGCGAAAAGAAGGTTTTCTCTCATTCCGTTTCACATCATCACTAATTATTCAGAGGGCGTGCGAGCGCGCGCGCGGCTTCAGCCCATTCGCCACCAACAAAGCAAATGATGTTGCATGGCATTCCATCCGGCGCGGTAATAAACAATGAAATGCGGTAATCGAGCCGCCCCGTCTTCGTCGTCGGCGTGTTTGGATAACTGGCGACCACCTGCCAGAAACGGCAAAGAGCGAAAAGAGAAGCCGCCGGCGGCGAAACGGGCGGCACATTTGTAGCCGATCGTTTATTCACACCTGCGGGAATTTCGCGTGCGAAACCGATTTGGCACAATTTTGCGCGTGTTTTGTGACGCCGGATTTGCCGTGCGCGCAATTTGCTCAATTCTGAACGAATCTGCTCCGTTTCGCGCTTAAATCGATGCTTTTAACTCAGACAATCGCCATACGGCTCGCAAAGAACAAAATTTGAGTGTTTATAATTTTTATTAAGAGAACAACTTTTTTTTAAAATTTATTATTATTTTAAGAGAAAGTTTATTAAGAGAAAAAAAAAAGAATTCTGGTTTTCAATTGAAAAACGAAACTCCGAGCCGACGGTGGATGCAAGCGCGCCCCATTGACAACTCGCTTGCGCATTGGAATTCTGGGCTTCCGTGGTGCGCATTCCAATTTCAGACGAAAATTGGTAGTTTCATAAAGCGTTATGCGCCTTTAAATTCACAGACACCCGCCGAACGCTTTGACTGCGAATTCCGCTCACTTTGCCGTGTCACAAAACGATTTCAGGCCAAAAAAAAAGTGCGCTCAACGAAAGTGATGCGTTTTTCACACACCTGTTACGGTAATTACTCGCCCATCGCCCCTCTCTTACAGATAATTATCAGTAAATGCAATTTTCGGCATCGCCCTTTTGAACTGTCAATCATTCGCTCCGTCAATGTGTTTGTGTCACCGGATAGTCTCGAATCGAATCGAATCGAAAGTTGCTGGCTCGTTTTGTTCAGTTCAGTTCGGATAGGCAACGATTCGATTCAAAATCAATGTCTCAAAAGGAAACAAAGGTCCGAGTTTTCAGTGTACAATACCCGAGATTACATCGTTGTGACATTCCTCCTAAATTAGGGGGGGTTCCTTGTTTAGTGTGTAAGTGACCCATCGATATTATCGCCCGCTCTCCACAGACAACGACGTCCTTGGCTGTTAGTGCGAGACAGGTGTCTCTTTTCTCCATAAAACTTTTAGGTTCCTCCATTTCACTTTGTGACTTTTTCTTTTTTTTGAAAAGAGGGAGGATGGCGAATTTCAAAATTTTCGGGAAAAAAGTTGTCAAACCGGTCAGCTTTTTGTGTGGCCAATAATTGTGTGGCGGTTGCGGTTGGGCGAGCGAGCGAGAGACGAAGATTAATGTGAAAATCGTCGTGAAGACAAGGCAACTGTCTTGGCGAACAACACACTTTTTGTGTGGACAGGAAGGTGCCGTTCTCTGCGGGAGATTTGTGTGCAAAGTATTCGAGTATTCGAGTATACAAACATTCTCACACTCTCTCTCTCTGTCACCACTAACAAGATGGTCAAACACACCTGAGGTCTATGGCTCAAGGACTATGGAACACTCGTGTGTAGATCTACATAAATTTATTAATTGCAAAGTACCCGTTTGGCTTTGGATAAGAGGATCACAGATTTGGAGGGAGGCGGATTAGGAGAAAAAATAAGTGACACGATTCATCGCTTCTTCTCCACAGACCGTCTTGGCTTCTTGTTGGCACCGGTGGTCGTTCTCCGATTTCTAGCGGCAACGTAGGCTGGCGGCAGGTTGTTGAGGGCTTCTGGAAATGCAGAGATTGTGATTTTAAGCTAGCTAAGCAAATTATCTTTGGGATTTAGTTTCAATCAATCTTGAACTCACAAAGAACTAAGAATGAAGGCCATGGAAACTAAGCTAGGGACTAGGGACTAGCTAGGGACTAGCTAGGGACTAGCTAGGGACAAGCTAGGGACTAGCTAGGGACAAGCTAGGGACAAAAAAAGTAATGACTAACCGACTGGAAGTGTGCCGTTCTTGACTCTCGCCTGCACTGTGGCCACCAACTGGTCAATGTAGGTGGCGGCGCGGAGCACAACATCCGACGCGTCGCAGTTGCTCGGCGAAGAGCTCGGAAGCATCGCGGCGAGTTTACGCAGCTCCGCGCGTTCCTCTCCGTTCAACGACGGATGTTGCTCGCTTGACGTGGGTGCGCCTGAAAAATGGTTCGCGTTTTTTTTGTCGGATTCAACTATATAGACTTACCATGCGATTTCTTGGCGACTGCTGACGCGCTGACGAGGCTCGCGATCTTCTTTGGTCCGATTTTGGGGCAGGGAGCCATTTTTGGTGGTGGAAATGGTTCTGAAGAGTGGATAGTGGATAGGAATGGAATGGAATGGGATGAGACACACACGGACGGACGGACGGGAGGAGGAGGAGGACGAGAGGAAAGGGGGGTGTGGCAGGGACGGTTGGTTGTGTGGGTGGGCGGGGCCAGTAGACCGGATAGGTTACCTGTAGAGGGGAGATAGCTGCACAGAGAAACTCGTGGCAATTTTGCGAACCGGAGACTATGGATTACCTTAAGATATTTTGTGCGTTTGGGTTACACCCTCCTATAAAAAATTAGCATAACAGTTCAGTTCAGTTAGGTCTCCCCCCGATTTAGGTCGTAAATTATGCGAAACCGGTCGTGTGTACAAATTTGAAATTAGGACATTATCGTCTCGAAGACGGTTCACTTCTCAAATGTCCGCGCATGTCCAAATTACCCATGATTGTTGGTTGCAATCATTTTCCAAAGAGACTACAAAATAACAGACTTGCAACAGGCCGGGCCGGGCCGGGCGGGCCAAAATTGGAAATTTTCCGGCCCGGCCCGGCTCGGCCCAGGGAGGATGCACCTAAAAATTCAAAGCGAACTAGAACTTCGAAACGAACATAATTTTCATTGTAAAAACCAGCAGAAATAGAAAAAAAGACGAAAAAGCCAATGTTATAGCATAAAAACCTGTTAAAAAATAGAAATTGCTGTTTAAAGTCGCAAAATTTTCACAAAAATTACGAAAATTTTCTTTTTTTTTGCATATTTTTTTTGAGGTCTAACTTCCGGGCCGACCGGGCCGGGCCGGGCCGACGATTTGCTGGCCCGGCCCGGGATTTGGCAAGTCTGCAAAATAAAATATGCTACAGTAATCTACAGCCCTCGGGTTAAGTAACTTTCGGATAATTTATGAGCACCTAGTAATTGGAAAGTCCCGAGGAGACGCAGAGATTATGGGCGAGATAAGGGCCGCCCGTAAAGATAATCTCTTTCGAGTCGAGTATTGACTCGGAGACGGAAAAGGTCATAGTCGGGTCGTTATCATCTCCGAAACACTGACAGTGGTTAGCAAGTACTCCACTCTGGTTCGAGTCTAAATCGAAATGGAACTTGTCGTCGCTCGCACATGTCGTGTATAAGCGAGTAGCGTCCGGTCGTGCTCTTGCCGACAACTGTTCATCATATGTGGGTGCCATGTGGCACGCACCACTGGTTGAGAGCTCCTGAGCGCAACGCCAAGTGGTGTTTCCTGGCCTGCTGGTCCTTCGCGGCGGCACGATCATTTTGTACAAGTATTATATGTTTGTGCAGGTCGGCGCTCCTTTTTGGGAACATGTTTGTCAGTTCTCACCTCTCATGGAAAATGTGCGAGTGGCTGAGAGACGAGGCTGGTGACATACGGAATGGAACATCCTCCACTGTTCGCCGTTAATGGAGCATGTCTTCCGGTTGCGTCACAAATACACACTATTACATGCGTCTTCATTTTCCTCCTCAATTTCCGGTCCACTGGATCACTTCGTCTCCGCCACGTGCTCTTCGAGTAATCGAAGAAAGCGTACGGTTGGCTAATTAGGCGAAAAAGTCAGGGACACGCACAATAGCTGCGAAGAAGAAGACAAAAAGTTTGACGGAACAAGTGATGGGTGAACACACGCCATGAGCGATGGGAAAGGTCATTTCGTCTGCGCGCACAGCACCGATTTGTTATGCGGTTTTTGGGTGTCGATTTGATGCAAAAATGATGGGAACGACGGAAAAGTTGATGGTTTTGCAGGAATTTCAGCGGAAACCGGTTTTTCAGAATTTTCAGCCATTCGTGAGAATTACGGTATGCAGTGGCGGTGTGCGCAGACTTTGCGCGGGAAAAAATAAATTCGACCTGGAAGACAAACCCTTTTCAGACATTTTTCTACATTTTCTTCAATTTTTTTGCTCTTCTATTGCTGAAATCATGTAAATAATACTCTTTTTAGTGTTTACGCTGTAAAACGAAAAAATTGCTGTCAATAATCAAGTAATTTCGAATTTTTCTTACTTTAAAATTTCTCTTCGTTTCTCTTCTGCATTCGTTGAGTTTCCGAGCAAGTGAACGTAGTTTCGCTCTTTCTAATGTCTGATATCTCGAAAATCCTCTAACTTTTCAGCGATTCAGCGAATCTCACCGAATCGGCCAATTTTAGCGACAGATCACTCAAAACGCCAAATTTCACAAAAAATTCCATAAAATCTGTGTAAAAACATCTGAAAAACATCGATTCCCTCCTGAATTTTGCTCAAAACCCCAAATTTCTCTTCAAAATTCCCAAAAACTCGACCAGACTCGCGATTTCAGAAGCCAATTTTCACATATTTGAGCATTTCCGACAGTATTTCTTCTCTTGCCGTTCTAACAACCAGAAAACGTCTATTGTATCATATTTGCGCTCAAATCCGCCATTCCGCAACCGGAAGTCTGGGCACCCAGTGTGGAGGGTCACCAATATTTTTCGCCCTTTCGATGTTTGCTCTCACAGTACCTATTGTGCCAACATTCCTTACTAATATCCATCACAAGTTGTAAGTAAGTACTACACACTTGTGTTTGCCACCCAATTGTGACGCAATATAATGTATTTCTGTTGTGTAACTCACCTGGGTGCAGCTTCGAGGGGATTTGTGATTTGATTTGCATAATAATATGCAAATCATTAGCATCATCATCGTCATGATCACTTCAATCACGTAATATTGGGTGGCTCGCCACGGGGTGTAGTGCCCCACATGACATATTCGACTTGACAGCTTCTTGATGAAGAGCTCAGCTCATGCTGTGAAATGAGCTCCAGAGCTCAAACCTAGAACCTCTAGTGATTTATTCGTTGTTAATTTTGTGATTTCCCACACCGGGGATGTTCAGTTTCCCACCAACTCGGCCAGGTGTGAAGAATCATCGGTTCCCGGCCCAACCAGCAAAAAAACGGCGTTGGAAATCATCTGAGTGATTCGGCCGAATCTGCATGCGAAAGGGCAGGCAGGTGTCCCCAATTTATGACTGATATTCAATGGCGTGTAGAGGATGGGGATGGGAATCGGAAAGAAAAGTTCTCCAAGGCGAGGAGGACAATGTCAATGGTGTCATCCTATTCCGCTCTTGTACATAGTAAAAGTACTCGGCGGGAGTACTGTAATTACACGGACGGAAGAAGAGTGAGATGAATGACCTGGTCGGTACTTTTTATGCCGAAAAGGCATTGGGCACCGCAATTTCGCGCATTCTCATTCTCATCTATTGTAATTGGGCCGGGGGGGCCTATTTACTTTTTGGGGGAGCGCGATAGAAGAAAAGATGCGTACGATACGATAGGAAGAAGCATTTAGAAGCAAAAAGCAGGTTTGAGATCACATTTAATTGTTTTTCAGTTCCCCGTTTTTCTCCATTATGCCACGTTCTCACATTCTCATTCTCATAGGCTCTTGTGCCAGGTGTGACCACCATAATTGCAGTATTATGAGCTCTCCTATCACCATGGGAAAACTTTTAATAGCTCGTGTAGGCACGCTGGCTCTCCCAGCCACATCACCCCTCGTCAGGTCATTTCAGTCGGTGAAAGGGCAAGACCTCATGCTGTTGGGAAGAGAGAATCGTGGTCGTGCGCATAAATCATTTATTTTTTCAAAGTTTTCTGTCAGAAGATGATTCTCTTCTCATTGCCAGCTACTTTGTCATTGTCAGAATGCACCTGTTCTCACTTCCAGACACGCGTCTTTATGTCTGCCAACTCGCATTCTAATCGGATTAGAGCCTAAACTTGTAGTCGGTGGGTGTAATAAAGAAAGAATAACAATCTGAGAGAGTTGCTTATCTCCTCTACACAATTCTCCAACGCCTGTCTTCTCTCTAATTGGTTCTTCTTTTGTACAGAGCGAAGGGACGTTCCGATTTGGGTCAAGTCACACTGGTACACACGCACACACACACAAAGAGCGTTTTACGGATTATAAGTTGCCGCCAGCAGCGGGTCGATTCGCATCGTTTGACGTCTATGGGAACTTGTCGGAACGGATTAATAATCGGCCCGCACAAGGCCGCCTACGCGCTCTTCTTCCGGTAGGTGGTAATGGACTGACCGCTATCTCTATGGGAAAGTGACAGACAACTTCCGTCCAGATATGTGGTACTGATTGTGCATATAGACTTCCAAAAAAGTGCCGCTTCCGCCGAGAGATGACATCTGGGCAAGCATACCTCAAGAGTCTTTGGTGGTCTTTTGTTGGTGCAACACATCAAAAAAACGAGCACGAGCACCCGGGGGAGCTCAAGATAGATCCACTTGTCGTCACGGTGATGATGGGTCAATTAATTTGTCAAGTACACCGACAAATATGTGTACACTCGTCTAACGGTATTTGATTCGGATGAGAAGAGGAGAAGCACTTCATCAGGGGGCTGGCTGGTTGGAAAAAAAACGTCTGTCAGTTGCGAAACGTTCTTGTCTAAAGCATGTTTGTCGTTGCAATGTTTCTGGAAACACCTTGGTCGCTAACTGTGTTCTTTGAAAGCTGTTGAGTTGCGAAACGCCCGAATTTTGTCAAATTCCCCAGCTCGAAACTGCTGAAAAGACGAATTACTAGTTCTCAAATATCGTTTTCAAATACTCCTAGACGAGATGAAAGATTGAACACGTCGTGGTAACTTCCTCTATTATGTCAAATCTGGGTCGTCCTAGCCTTCCTCCATTGTTCCTCAAGCTCATCCAAAAAGCTCATACCGACCAATTAGTGTCGGGCATCCCGCTGCGAAAACTTGCATCCTTTTCTATTGAGCAACACTCGTTTACCGGGTCATCTTCCAACGGACACCGCCAATTTTCTCTTTGCCACCTAGAGAAGAAGCGTCACCTCTGCGCTTCTCTCGGACGGCTTTCATAAAAAAGAACAGTAACGGGGCAGACGGGAGTGTCAACAAAAGATGAGAAGACAGCTGGCATCTTTTTTGAGAAGAGCGGAGCACAAAAGAAGACATTCCTTTGATTAGACGCCCTCCCTCCCGTCATATGATCTGCCGGGACCAAACACGGTGATATCCGATATGATGACACACAGATGTACCTGGTTCCTCTGCTGTTGACCGGCTAATCTAAATGACCCCACCTTTCCTGGGTGGCGGCGCGGCTTTGGGTAGAATTACGTTGCGCAATTTTTATTGGATCAACAAACAAGCAGGTGCCTAGAGATCCTATTGAAACAGTGGCAAGACACTATAATTTGTACGGGATTATCTCTTTGAGCACCTCCGACACCCCGACCGCCGAAAATACACACCTGAAGGTGTTATAATTGAGGGGGTTTACACCCGATAATCAAATCAAAGAATTGGGAGAAAAAAGAGGAAAAGGTTGGCAGGGGGAGAAAGTTGAATGTTGTTTTCCATCGCAAACACTTTTTTTCCCTCTCACGAGACACATTGATACACAAACATTACTATTTTCCGGTGTGAAAGGTAGAAGAAAAACTTTTTTTTCGCCGTTCGCCTTCCGTTCTCATCAGCTCATGGGTTTTGGCACGAAAATAAGAGAAAGAAAACTAGGTCACGATATCATAGTAGCTGTTTTTGTGAGTCGCTCCGGTAATGTTGAATGTAAATTTCACCGTTTTGCTGACTGTCAGCTTCTCCCGTCAGATAACCTGGTTTCGTTTCAGATGCTGATGCTATGGTTTCTTCTCGTAACACTACTCACCGTCTCGAGCTTTAGCGACGAAAATGTGACGTCCATCACCCCATCCATCAATGAAATAAAGACACTCGAAACATTCACTCTTCCGACGATCCGCCCGAACGCCAGTCTGACCGCGGCGCCTCCGGTGATTGTGGTCAACGGCACAGAAGACGTGGCGTCGAACGTGAGCGCGACCATCGGATCTCTGGAGGAGACGACGTTGCAAGAGCTGGACTTGTCGCAAATTCAGCAGGAATCGGACGACGCCGACGGTGATAATCCGACGAAGATCGAGACGGGCGCCGCCGAGGAAAGCGCGCCGAAGATGGTGGCGAAGAATCGAACCGCGGACTCGTCGGAGAACAAGATTCCGATCGTTGAGGTGTACAATCCGGACGAGGATTCCGAGGAGGACGACGAAGATGGCGACGATTACGAAGTCTCGACGACGTCAGCCTACCAGAACGTGTTCGAGAAGGAAAATCAGGACGGAGTGCCGCTTTCCACTGACTCGGACGTGTTTACCGATGAGAGAATCAACAATGGTGAGCTGAATTTTGCAGAACTCTCAACTTTGTGTAATTTACAGACACGAGCACCTACGAGGACACTCCGCAGCCGTTCTGGGATCGATCCGTCGTTTTCGTCAATCGATTCGCGGAAAATTTCCCGAAGACGAGTATTCTGACACTCGCCGTCCTGTTCTCCGTGCTCGTGCTTCTCATGTTCCTCGTTTTCCGCGAGTGCTGTAAAGGGAGACGAAAGTAGGCTTTTTGGGGGGCTGAAATTTTGGTTTTTTATACGAAAACCTGGGAAATTTTCAGGTTGAAAAATCGTTTATTTTTGCCTAAAAATTGCTAAATTTTTGCAGCTCCGCACACCGTCGCCCGGCGCCCACCTCGATCACGGCCGATCTGTACAACACGTCGACGTGCTCGCACCGCTACACAAAAGTAACGCTTCCCGATCAGAAGGAAGTGACAATGCAGCTGATGTCAGCCGATTGTTCGTCGGAAACGCTTTGAGCAACTAATCAAATACTTAAAATCATGCCCTTTTTCTCTTCGTTTTTCACACTCTGTCCCATTTGTTTTTCGTTTTTCGTTCATTTTGATCACTAGTGTTGTTCTCTGTTAAATATCCTTATATTCATCTGCCGCTCCCCATCCAAACACCGGTTTCCAGTTTTTTTTTGGGTCCCGCCACGACAATTGATCTGTTTTATGACGAATCTCCCCCCGTTTCCGATTGCTTTTACTTAGCCCACAGAAGAATACAATAGAATAGTTTTGCTCCCCTCTTTTTCTTGTTTGATCTCTTCGGTCTCGGTATCGCCAATGATATCATGTATCTATTACGCAAAACGCGACGAGAGCCACTTGAAAGTGTGTGCTCCGCCGAACAAAGAGAAATGAGATGACAAGTAGCGGTACTTGTTGAAATGTTGGACACGAAAAAGCTCACAAAGACTTGGTCTTGCATCACTTTGGCCGCTCGCCTAATTTTTTCTAGCTGAAATTGTAAATTTCTCTGTTCTCGAAAGCTCCACTCTTGTGTGCAAATTTTCCACTTTTATATCAATTTTTCTAGAAACGTTTTCAGTAGGGAAAACTGCAAAAAGTTTACTCGGAGAAACTGATTTTTAACCGAAATTTTAGCAACGTGGTGCGTCGTCCAAATGTTCTCATGATTCACAGCAAAAAAAGAGTGCTTTTTCTGTCAGAAATGTCAAAAATGTTCCGGGTTTTGATCAATTCGGCCTAACAAACCGCGGATTTCGACAAATGTTTCCAGTAATATCGCAGAACTTTCACATGGCGCATCGTCCGTTTCAAAAATGTTGAACCCGGGCCGACTTGCCGAGCTGGGCCAGGTCATCGGCACAACATGGTACATCGGCCAAATCCGCCATTTCCTTGTCGGGTTCTTTGCTCATCCGCCCACGCCCACTCCTTGCAAAAAAAAAAATGCATCGGCTCTGCAAAGTTCAATCAAAAAGCACTCGACAATCTGAAGTTCATGTCCTTTCTCTGTGCAGACAAGGAATTTTTCAATTTCTTTCCGCTTTTCTTCCTAACAATATTACAATAGCTCGTTTTATCAATGAATGGATGAATAAAGAATAAAGAAGGAATGCTGCGTGCTTGAGTGGGGGTACTTTGAAAAAAATCAACAGACGGCGCTGACCTTGATTCCACATTTTATTGGCCTCTAAAACCGATAAAATGTGAATGAATGCTGGCTCGTACCGCCCGGTATCACAATAATATCCAGTTCTCGATTATTGTCCATCCGTCAAAATGTCATCTGACCGGACCGATTGACCCGGAAATTTTTGATATTTCAACTGAGTGTTTGAGCCTTGCATCATTTTCCTATCCAGTCACGTACTATTCAGATTAGCGCATTTTGGAGTTGAAGTCTAGCCACTTCTTTCGCATTTTTCCGTTGAAAAAAAGTGGGCGGAGCCTTGGAAAGACGGGCGAGAGGACTATAAAATGATGGGCGGCATTTTAACAGCCATCTGAACTTTTTTATCAGTCTTCCCTTCCTTTTCTACTTATATCATACAGTTTGGCACAGCGACATTGCACATTGATATTGCTTTTTTCCAAGTTTTCTTCGAGTCTACTTATTAAACTTAACAAGCTGGAATCGTTCAGAAGATGAGTTGTCTTCACATTTTCTGCAATCTAGGCCTTCAAAAACATTAGAACGTTTATATTATCCGTTTGAAGTAGATGGTATTCGCTTCTTTTAGAAACCTCATTCAAAATTTGACATATTCATTAATATCTCTCTAAATTGCTTGGAAGTTCTTCAGTTTTCCAAATTTTCTACCGGAAAACATTAGAAATTCACAAAATCTTCACCAGAACTGATAATCTTCAATTTTCTAGCAACTTTTCCTCAAAAAACAGCGATAAAACGCATTTTCCACTGAAAAGCTCAGAACTCGGACTCCGAATCTCGGAGAAAACTAGTCCGCGCACCAGCGGATATCTCGGCCAGCGGCTCGCTTTTCTGCGCAAATTTTAAACACGATATACTCGTTTCTTTTCGTGTAAATATTCTGGGCTTTTGGACAATGTTCTCTAAAAGAAGCATTGTTTTGTATTAAAAATTTCTCAACAACAAAAAGTGCAGCAAAAGAGAGAAATTATATCTTTTCTTCTTCCTCCTCTTCTACTTTCCCTTGCTTTTTCTCAAAACCACAAAGATATCGATACTTGTCACTCTAAGCATATCCTTCATCAATTTTCCGCAAAACCGCCCTTTTTTCAGCTGGAAAATGACCGGTCCGTCGCAGTTGGAAGCGGTGCTGTCACTGCCGCAAGTACGCGTCAAAGACATCAAGGCGACGTGCGACAAACTGCAAAAGTTCGTGGCGGGCGGCGCCGATCAGCTGATGGTCATCTCCGACTTTGACTTCACGCTCTCCCGCTTCGCCGACAAGTCCGGCTCCCGCTGCTCCTCGTGCTATTGCGTTTTCGACAACGCCGTCGGCACGAACAACCCCGAGTGGTGCCGCAAATTCGTCGGACTCTACCACAAATACGGTCCCGTCGAGCACGATCATTCGCTGTCGATTGAGGAGAAAGTGCCGTTCATGGAGGCGTGGTGGCAGCAATCACACGAGCTCATCATTAAGGGCGGCTTCAATCGGCAGGCCATCGATGATTACGTCGCACATTGCAATATTCAGTTGAGGTACGCACGCTTGGGACCTTTCTTCACATTTTTCATGAACATTTATCATTCAGAGACAACGCGGACATAATGATGAAGAAGATGTCACTGCACGCGGTGCCGTTCATCATCTTCTCGGCGGGCATCGGCACGATCATCGAGATGTACCTGAAGCACAAGTTCGGCCGCGTCGAGCCGAACACGCACATCGTCTCGAACATGATGGGCTTCGACGAGAACGGCTTCGTCAACGCGTTCTCAGAGCCGCTCATCCACGTCTTCTGCAAGAACTCGTCGGTTCTGCCCGCCGATTTGACGTTCTCCGAGCAGATTCACGGCCGCAAAAATGTGATTCTGATGGGCGACAGTGTCGGCGACGCATTCATGGACGTCGGCGTCGAGGAGGAGCAGCTCTCGCTCAAAATCGGATTCGTAAATCATGATGTAAGTGCGCACTGTTGATAAATCATGGGAAAATTCTGGGATTTTTGCTGAAAACTTCACAATTTACTATTCTTTTTGCAGGTAGACAAGCTCGTCGACAAGTACCTAAACTACTTTGACATCGTGCTCGTCGACGACCAATCGATGGACGTTCCCAACCGAATTCTGGAGGCGATCTACGCTAAATCCTACTGATTTTTTCCTAATTTCTGTCCCATTTCGCTGATTTTCTTATTAACACCTTGTTTCCCCCATGTTTTGCCCCAATTGTTTTTTTCTATCCCAGATGATTCATTTATTCACATTCAGATCAGCTTTAACACCTGAAAATGATTACTATGCATAACTTCTTTCCTCTATTCTTCATCCAACCATTTCCTCAATAAAATTGATTTTTCACCAGGCAACCCCTGAAAACTCGTGTTTTTCGGTTTCTCTCTGCGCCCTCCCCACATCATTTTCACATTTTCGACATGATCTTTTTCCGATCCGATGGGCACCAGCTGTTGTTGCAAACACCCACCCCGGGTCAACATATTTTCCCCGTCATTTCATCTTTTTCTCTTTTTTATGAGAGCTCCGGGCTCACTTTTTGCAACCTTTCCCCTCGAAAATCCGGTGTCGAATTTCCAGATTTTTTGCGAGAAGATTTGGAGATCAGAATGCTTGCGATGGCCAGGAAAAAGTTGAGCATTCGCCGGTGAGTGCGCTCCATTGACAATTCGGTGCTCGGTAGAACGAATAAAAAATTGCAATTTTCCTTATAAACCATCGAAATTTTGGTGTTTTGTGTGCAGAAAAAACGTCGTCGGTTTTTGCTCGGCCGCGCCCGTAATCCGATAGTTTTCCGGGGCTCATTCTCACCTCCGCGACCTCATTTTCACCCTCAAAATCATCTATTGTTACGCGTTTTCTTCTTTCGATTTTTGAAAGAAAAATGATGAAAATAAGCGGCTTTGGCAAAAAATTGTCGGCGAAACAGTTGCGGCAGAAATTCGAACGGCAAAACGAGATCAACGACTCGTTTTTCGACGAATTGTAAGTTTGCAAACACTCTATCGAACTTTGCGCGGAAATTCAAAAAAAAATCGCCTGGTAACAGTTCACTTTTTACAGAAAAGAGTCGCGAAAATGGCGAGAGCCGCCGGAAAAAGCGTTGCGATTCGAAAATGTGATAATTCAAGACACGAACTTGGCGTTGGAGCAGATTGAAGAATCGAAAAAGATGCTCGGCGACGCGCTTCAATTGTGTGGCATCGAAAACGAGATTGCGAGCTACATGAAGCGAAAATTCGATGCTTTATACGGTAGGCAAGATCTTGCCACGAAATCCAAACAAAAACAGTACAATTTCAGGCGGTCACTGGCAGTGCATTGTCGGCCGCAACTTTGGCAGCCACTTGGACCCGGTGCAGTTCATCCATTTCACAGTTTCGAGAATTTCCGTCATTCTTTTCCGATGATGTCTCGTTGTACTCGTTGCAAATGTTCACTGAATCGCTGCAAAAAGTTTGTAAATAAACATTTGTTCGAAAAAGTTCTTACCCGATGTCTCCGCTTCGCCGACTCGATTCTCCGCAAAAGGTCCCGTATATCCAATTTGCGTTTCTCGATACTTCGGCCCAAATTCTCAAATTCCTCCGACATCATCCGCGGGATCAACTCGGGCGTTTTCCGCGTGAAATTGAACGTCGTCGGAACGGACGGAAAGGCAGGAAGAGATGAAGGGCGGGACGGTCCTAAAACGGAAAAATTTGGACTTTTCGGAAGTTTTATGAACCTGAAGATTCCGAAAAGTCATCTTCAGATGCCGAAGGTATCGGGTCAGTCAGAAGAACTTCTGATGAAACGCACGATGACGTGGATTTCGGTGAGCCTTGTGGCGTCGTTGATTCCGATACTTCAAGACGATCTTCTGGTGGTTCAAAAGATGTCAGTACGAATTTTGAATAGCACTTCTGCAATTCTTGGCTCTTCACAGGTTCGCAAGAATGATTTAGCAGCCGTGTTCCTAAGGAATTCGAAGATTCTGCTTCTGAAGGCTTTCCCGAATATTCGAGAAGGTGTGTGTTGAGTTTGACGTCTTCAGAATCATCAACTGGGGCTTCTTGACATGTTCCATTCGGAATGAGCTTCTGATTGAGAGCTTCTTCGTCGAGTTTCGATTGGGTCACCTATAAATCTTGGGCTTAAGGCGCCACAAATAGGCTTCACTTGTTCTGTTTCTCAACAGAGCGCTCTTGCCACTGACCTTCTCCTCCTGCTCCTCTCGTTTTTGCTCCTTCCTCACTGGCGCCGCCTCTATTCCTGTTGTTGTTGTCGTTGTTGACTCGCCATGACTCACCATTCGCCAGCCGAACCAGAAGAGCATCCACAAAAGTGTGAGAATGAACAGTAGCACGACGACGAGCATGGTCATGTGTCGATTATGATAAAAAAGAGGAGCATCTGGCGGCGGCGGCGGCGACGGAAGGACAAAATGCTCATGAATGCATTTTGGAGTGCCCGTGGCAGAAGGACCGAGAGAAGGAGGAGGAGGAGGAAGAGGAAGTCGTTGTGCTCCGGAGAGCACACACATGTACATTGCGGGCTCCATGCCCTCGGAGCAAAAGGGAATTGAGAGAGAGAGGCATCATTTGTCATCAGGAAACGAGGAGGCGGTCGTCGAAAGGGGTAAATTGAATATCGAATAATATAATTGGCCTATAGCTCTATTACACCAAATTGAATGGTGTGCCACTTTCAATTTGACTCCGAGAGGAAACACAATATTGATAATCGGAAATCCAATTCATCAAATATTGTCAAGAGTATCCTCGGGCGCGTAGTCCTCCGCGTTCTTCGACGACGACGTCGTATCGCCGCGATCCTCGGTGAGCACACTCTCGTCGACCTCGTTGACCGTGTCGGCGCCTCCGTTCCGCTCCGCCGCCTCCCGATCCGATTTCTCGTTGGTGTTGTTCTCGTCGAGCGCCGATTTGTTCAGATTCCATTCGAACGGGTCCGTCCTGCAAATTTAGAAAAGTTAGTTAGCAGCATTGAGGAAAGGGCACGCACATTTTGACTCCTTTCGGAAGGTCCGATTTGAGTTTCTCCATAAATTGGCCGTACGGTGGAGTGTCTTGATACTTGAGCTTTCGAAGGGTCATCGCGATATCCATAAACGATTTTGGACAGTTCTAAACAATATACACGGTCTCCAGAGCTGACAATATGGGCGTGGCCTTGGCCAAATGGCGTTTTCATGAATTCAGCAGGTTTTCTCTGATTTTTGTGGTCAACAGCGATGAAAAATGATTGTTCGACATGAAAACACACTAATTCTCAGAATTAATGACGTTTTGGAGCATTTTTCGCGGAATTTGCTTTTTCGCCTTCGCCGCCGATCGCCGCCTAAAAACCGCACTTCTCATTTTGCGCTTTCTTGACCGTTTTCCGACAGAATTGGTTTTGAGAATGATAAATCACGTAAATACAAGCATTTTGAGCGCTCAAACTGCTAAAACTACCGAAAAGCAACTGAAATTCACGCAGTTTTAGCCAAAAACCTTCAAACGGATAAATGTGATTTGCGACTTGACCAAATTTAACGCTCTTGCGCTTAAAAAATTCGTAATAGCCTATACAATCGGTCTATCGAGAGAAAAATGAGAAATTATCGGTTTTTCGTGGCTAATCTGACATAAAACACAAATTTTGCTGTTAAAATTTGAATTTCGCGCCAATGTATCGTTCTATTGGGCGGGGCGCACTTGCGCCCATTGTCAGCTCTGGAGACCGTGTAACAAGTAATTTGACTGAATGGTGGTCTCGGCACGAACCTTGCACAACTGCTGATCGCTCGTCTTCTCCTTCAGCGCCGCACTGTCCTTCTTCGGTTTGCCCTTCCACGGCAGCGTCGACGTGACCGTCTCGATCATCGCGTACAGTGCGCCGTACAAATCGTCGTGCCGCCCCTGCTCCTTGTGCTGATGCACGTTCAGACTGCAGTAGCGGACGGTCCCCCGAAAGACTGACTTGGCGCGCGGCTCGCGAAGTTTCAGCTTTCCCGTCGCGTCGGGCAACATGATCTGGCGCGAGAGACCAAAGTCGAAAACGTAGACAACTTGCTCGTTTTTGACGCCCAACGCCATGTTGCTCGGTTTGACGTCGCGATGCACGAAGCCCGCCTCGTGCATGTCCTGCAGCGCGCGCACGAGTTGGATGAAGATGCGAAGGGTGGAGGGGAACGACATTTTGCGGCCTGGCAGACGACGTCGAATGTCGCCAATCTCGCGGCCGAGCAGACTCATCACCATGTACGTGTACGTCTCCGATTTCCCGGAACCGAGCAGGCGGCACACGTGGCGAGAGCTGTGAACAGAAGTTATCGGGTTGTCGTGGCGAAAAACCAACTCACTGCTGCAACTTTTTCAGCGCGTACACCTCCATCTTGAGAATCTCGTCGTCTTTGCTCTTCATCAGCGGCTCCACCTTCATCGCCGCCCGTCCTTTGCCGCCCTGAAGCAGTTCGACGAGGAACACTTGTCCGCACGCGCCTTCTCCCAGCTTTTTTTTGACCACAAATTGATCTTTGATCTTGTCCCCTGCGTTGATCTTCACCGGTGCCATCGGAGTTCCCATCGTGACTACCAAACTTTGAAATGATTCGTTCGAATTGAGAAATGCAAATGTTTTGTTCCTCTCTCTCTCTCTCGCTTTTTTTCTAAAGATATAGTAGGGCAGGTCAGGCTAGCTCGTCGCGATTGCAATGAGAACCCGGATTTTTTCGATCCACTTCGCCGTTTTTCACTTAAAATTTATTCATACTATTTGTAGCACAAGTAAATGAGTTCAATTCACGCCTTCATTTGCTTCTTCACCCACAACAATCCGTCGAAGAGTCCCTGTCCGGTGTGTGCGTTCGTTCCGCAGATGAACCATTCGCGGTTCTTGATGGACGCCAGGTCGAGCAATTCCGTCAGTTCGGCGGGCGTCTTTGCATTCGGCATGTCTTGTTTGTTGGCGAAGACGAGCAGATGGGTTTTGGCGAGTTCCGGCTCGTCGAGCAATCCGAACAGCTCCTTTTTCGCATCTTGGATTCGCTCCACATCCGAGCTATCCACCACGAACACGAGGGTCTGAATTGCAAAATAGTCAATAGTCAATGGCCACGTGGCACTCACCGTGGTATTCGGGAAGTAGTACTTCCAGAGCGGACGGATCTTCTGCTGACCGCCGACGTCCCAGACGGTAAGGGTGATCTTCTGGAAAGTGACCGTCTCGACGTTAAAGCCTGAAAACGGACCGAATGCATTCCACGTCATTCTGTCTGAGCCTCACCGATCGTCGGAATCGTGTTGACCGTCTCGTTGAGCTTCAGTTTGTACAGAATCGTCGTCTTGCCGGCACCGTCCAATCCGAGCATCAGAGTGCGGCATTCGACGTTCGGAAACATGTAGGAGACGAATTTCGAAACGAATTGACCCATTTTGAGTAGAGAATCCTCGGAGATATCGCCAATGAGCTCGCCGTTTTCTTTTATTCATTTCCATGGCTCCACGTGTTCGCAAGTGAGTTGGCCGCGTGTTCTCATTCTGGGCGGAGGTCTTTCGAAATATTTGTCTTTGGTTTCACAACACCTCCACCTAACACTAGTTAGTGCGACGTCGACTTGACATTTTCGCCTAAAAAATTTTATTAGAAGTAACATAAATACGAAGCAAGAGAGTAGAGGAAAAATATTTTAGATAATCTTTACGAACAAAAAATGCTGCAGAGCTGACAATATGGGCGTGGCCTCGGCCAAATGGCGTTTTCATGAATTAAGCAGGTTTTCTCTGATTTTTGTGGCCAAAGGCGATGAAAAATAATTGTTCGACATGAAAACACACTAATTCTCAGAATTAATGGCGTTTTGGCGCATTTTTCGCGGGCTTTGCTGTTTCGCCTTCGCCGCCGATCGCCGCCTAAAAACCGCACTTCTCATTTTGCGCTTTCTTGACCGTTTTCCGACAGAATTGGTTTCGAGAATGATAAATCACGTAAATACAAGCATTTTGAGCGCTCGAACCGCGAAGACTACCGAAAAGCAACTGAAATTCACGCAGTTTTACACGCAGTGGCTAATCTGGCAAAAAACACAAATTTTGCTGTTAAAATTTGAATTTCGCGCCAATGTATCGCTCTATTGGGCGGGGCGCACTTGCGCCCATTGTCAGCTCTGGAGACCGTGGCTAAGAGATTCATGAATACGATTTTATGCAATATCGACTTGCTGATGACGGCACTCTTCGAAGCGAAAAAAAAAACGGCGAAAAGACCCCCCTTTCCCATTCTATCCGCCAAAGTCACACTCATGCTCCGTCGAGCTCGACCACCAACTGTTAATGAGCCAAAAGATACCGCAAAAAACACCTGACTTCTGGTTCTGCTGGCGCTAGTTGTAAACTCATAATACTTGTAAGTTCCCCGGCTCTTTGTGCACACGCCGCCGGCATGATTCGGAACCGCCTGTTCTGTCGACGTGTGTGTGTGTGTGTGTATGTGTGTGGTGGTGGTAACGCAATAATCGGTGCGTGTGCGTGGCAGACGGTCTCATTCTCTCTAGTGTGTGCGCGCAAAACTTGCGCAACTTCTTTGAATCGCACCGCCGTCCGTTTGATTTTTTTCGGTTCGCGTACGCACAAATTTGAATATTTGGTTCGCGTCTCGCAGTCAAATCGGTTGATTACACGTGTGTCGTATATTCAAACTCGCTCCAATTGAACTGAACTAAAAAAATTTCACGTGGCACATCGACCTCGGGTGATGGCCGTATATAAAAGGGGAGAAATGAGTGGAAAGTTTCAAATTGTATTATACAGCGTTCAAACGGATCGAAGATCGATGTTTGCACAAGTGAGTTTTTGCCGCCACGTGGCTCTTCAAGGCGATGGAGCTCTCATTTGACCGTTTCAGATCTTGCTGCCGTTGATCGTCAACTCCGCGCTCCTCGCCGTCTTCTTCGTCAATTGCGGCGGCAAGAAGAAGGGCGCGACGTCGACATCGGCCCCCGCGGCGCCGAAGAGCGACTCGAAAATGGGAGCGCCGCCGCCCGCGCCGGGCTCCAAAATGGACAAGCCGCCGACGTCCGAGAAGAAGGAGGAGAAGAAGGAGGAGAAGGCCGACGACGGCAACTACGAAGAACTCGCCGTGCCGCAGTAGTGTGGGCTCGCGCCGATCGAGCACTGAACAATATGGAAGCACTCATTTAACCGATCGTTTTTGTCGATTCTTCGAATAAATCGGATCAAGTTTTGAGCTTTTCTTTGTTTTTTCTGCTACCAAAGTGTTTGCCTCTTTCTAATCGCAAAATGGCGCTATAAAAGTTTAGAACTCGAAAAGGAATAGACCGATTACGAATTAGAACTCCTCACAGATTTTTCAGCTGAATTTTCGGCGAGCGAACAATATTTCCGTCCGTTCTCGCTCGTCATTGTCCGTCCGCAGCTCGTTATGTCTTCAGTACATCTCTTTGCGGTACGTTATCCAAGTCTCGACGCAACCGGTTGCGCCACCGCCCATCAAATACGAGCCGCCCGTCTGTCTCTTCGTTCGTTCGTTCGTTCGTTGCCAAGCAGGACCACTTCCGTGGATGGCCACGCCCACTCGGCTATTTGCACAGGTTCCCGCCGACGACTCTTCTTGTTTTGCCTTTTTCTTTCATAACTCTTATGTCACTTTTTTTCATTTTCGCCTAAATTATGCACTTTTCAGCGGGTTTCAGCGAGAAAAATGGCGACCGAATTTCAACAACAGCTTGCCGCCGGAGGCTTGTGCAACGCAGAATCGATAAAGGCGTTCAACCAAATGTACAATACACCCGGATTCTATGATAAGGTTTGAAAGTTTTTGAAAAGAGGAAAATAATTTAAAATTCCAGAACATTCAGCAAACGTACCCAATGTTCCCGTTCATGCCGCACTTTGCCACCTACCCGACCACCGGCACTTCTTCGTTTTCTCCCTCCGCATCGTCCACGTCGTCAACGTCTTCCACAACGAATCCGTCAAAGAAGAAGCCGGTTCCGGTGCCCGAGAAGGATAAAGACAACGTAGGATTCACTCTAGTTTCGAAATAACCCTCTAATTATTATCAGACCTATTACGAGCGCCGCCGACGGAACAACGAGGCCGCCCGGAAGTCGCGGGAGCAGCGGCGGAAGCAGGATTTGGACAACGAGGTGAAAGTACGCCATCTCATGGATGTAAGCGAACTTTTTTTCAAGTTTGGACGGTCAGAAGTTGTATTACACGCTCTAGAACGTGTTATTCAAGAAAATATATCTCATCTGCTGGTAGATTCATCAAAAAGTTGTCAACTACACGGTCTCCAGAGCTGACAATGGGCGCAAGTGCGCCCCGCCCAATAGAGCGTAGAACATTGGCGCGAAATTCAAATTTTAACAGCAAAATTTGTGTTTTTTGCCAAATTAGCCACGAAAAACCGATAATTTCTCATTTGTCCCTCGATAGACCGATTGTATAGGCTATTACGAATTTTTTAAGCGCAAGAGCGTTAAATTTGGTCAAGTCGCAAATCGCATTTATCCGTTTGAAGGTTTTTGGCTAAAACTGCGTGAATTTCAGTTGCTTTTCGGTAGTTTTCGCTATTCGAGCGCTCAAAATGCTTGTAGTTACGTGATTTATCATTCTCAAAACCAATTCTGTCGGAAAACGGTCGAGAAAGCGCAAAATGAGAAGTGCGGTTTTTAGGCGGCGATCGGCGGCGAAGGCGAAAAAGCAAATTCCGCGAAAAATGCTCCAAAACGTCATTAATTCTGAGAATTAGTGCGTTTTCATGCCGAACAATCATTTTTCATCGCCGTTGACCACAAAAATCAGAGAAAACCTGCTCAATTCATGAAAACGCCATTTGACCGAGGCCACGCCCATATTGTCAACTCTGGAGACCGTGTAACTGATGAAATGTTCATTGAGAAATTGTGCATATTTTATCAGTTGACCACTTTTTTATATCTCAACCGACAACTGAAATAGACCGCTTGGAAGAAACGGACCGTCCATAGACAGTTTTTACGGGTTCCTGCTGCGCGTTTAAGCTAACCTACAGTAACCAAAATGTTCAAATTGTACGGTGGAGCGTGTACGCCCACGCAACTCGCTAATCCTTTAATTCGGCAGCCCGACAAACGGTTCGAAAAGAGTTGCATCAGAGTTTCGGCAAAAACGAGACCGGCTGAGCGATAATTGATGACGTCATCAGTTAATAGTATCATAAGTACATGTGTTGTCGGTCTCGACACGAAAATTTGATTTTCAGGAAAACGCGAAGCTCCTCGCGTTTGTGCATCAATTGACAATGGAGAACAACAATATGAAGTATCAGCTGGCGCAGCAGTCGATGCAATTATCGCAAGTCAATTCGGTCGATCAGACTCATGTTAACATTCCCACTTTTTAACGAAAATTTGTGCTGAAAGCATTTATCATTATTTTACGGTTCCAATTGTCTTTCCAACGCCCACTCGACCGAAATTCCCCGAGAAAACGCCTCAAAGATTAGCGATTAGTGTCCAGTCGCCGATTTGTTTCGAATTTCACTCCCTCATCCACCCCCCATCTCTTCTTCTGCATTTCATCGCGTCATCTCGTCTTTTTTGTGCATAAATTTATTTCAATTCGATCGAATTCTACGATGTCCCGTCCGTTTTTATAGTTTTTCGGGCACTCGATCAAACTCGGCGTCAATTTTTTTCGCCGGGGGGCTACGGTAGAAATTGGAGAATGTGAACACCGCCGGCCGAAATCACGTCGGAATGCACACTTTCTCACTTTGAAAATTGTTCGATATTCGCTTTACCGCGCGATTCTCTGCTTTTTTCTCGAGTTTTTCACGATTCTTTCCTGTAAAATGATCAAAATCCGTTTTCCGACAATTTTTTCAACAAAAAATTACAAAAATTGCTCCGTGTCATAAAACCGACCGCCGCCGTCGATTTCGAGCGTTTTTCAAGGGAAAAACGCGGGCAGCGGCCGTTTCTCTTCTTTTCTCGTTTCTCCCCAAATATATGGTTAGTCGGCACGCGATGGGAGCCGGCGGCCAAACGCAACGTCGCCCGTCTCACGCGTCGCGGCCGTCGCTTTTTCGAATTTGGCACCGATTTCGCAATCGTTTTCCGCTAGAATTCACTCGAAAATCGCTCGTATTTTCACAGTTTCTGCTTTAAAATTGAGCGGAGCGGAATTGACGGGTTTGATAATGTTTGAACAACCTTTCGTTATCGGAGAATTTTTCGCTGTGCTATCAATTTCTTTTCCATCGAATTTTCTGGAAAATTCTCTCCACTTTCTGATTCACATTTCCCTTGAGCGTTGCTCGTTTTCCTATATATTTTTGAATGATATCACCCACTTTTTTTTTCGAAAAATTGTTATTAGATTACGTGTCGTGTTGCATCGGTTGGCGATGAACAATAATGTTGCCAAAATATCGCGAATGACGAAATCCCGCGTATAAATACGAAGAAGAAGGCGTTTTGGTAGATAAGAAAGCAGCAAGAAACCCGATCGTCGTCGTCCGCATATTCTTCTACTACTATTTCGTAAATTTTCATGGTTCCCCTGATGACGTCGTGAGCTTTTCTTTTTCTGCAGCCTTCCGTCCTTCCATCACATCTGCTTTATCTGAGAACCGCGTCGTTCCGGCGTGTTTTATGCGTTGTGAAATTACAAAGGACGAAATGGCGGAGCCGGGCTAGAATTTATGGCCCCGGAAGGTGCCGGAAAAAGTGAATTGTTCCTCGTTTCTTCACGGGTCTAACGACATTCTGCGGGGCTCGTGCCATTTTTTTCAATGAAAAGAGAGATTCTGTGTGTTTGATTTTAATTCTGCGAAAGATGCCGCCATTTTACCGGGATTTCTGCAATCTCTGCTCTGCGAAGTTCGATGATTAATTTTTAAAAGTCGCGAGAAGTCAGCAGACGTTCCCCTCCCCCCGTCCGATCCCTTTTCATCTTCGTCATTATCACCCTTTCCTCCCCTCTTCGGCGCATGTCATTTTCCGTTCGATTGCCGTCCGTCCGTCGTAATGCTTGGCCGTTTCGCGCTGGCCCGGGAGAGAGAGAGAGAGAGTTGCGAGATATGACAACAAACACAATTTATTATGCGGAAACGCTCCTCCCGTTTCGTTTCCTGGGCCTCGAAGCGAACGGATCATCATCTCCGTCGTCGTCGTCGTCGTCGTCAGAAGACCGACTAATCTCTAGTAATTGCTGTTGAAATCGCTCTTCGTGTTGCCTTTCTAAAGTTTTAAGTTTGACTAGCAATAATAGCTGGCGACGAAGAAGAAGTTGTGTTTGCTTTTGGTCAGCTGGCTCATCTAGATCTCCCCAATCATCACATGGCACTCAGACACGCACACACAAAGATCATTTCAGTGCCACGATTTCGAAACCACATTGTTTTGAAAATTGTGAACTTCTGTCTGGCTTCAGTAGTTTTTGTGTGTGCGTGTGTGTTGCAACAACCCCCGACGCTCTTTTTTCTACCGCCTCTGCTACATGGCAATCGGTCGTAGTCGGCGCGAACAAAACTAATCGCCTCCCCTCTGATTTCTTCTTTTACGGACACAAGAGAACGATGTCCTTGACAACCAGGTTGTGTGTGTGCGTCTGTCCGATTTGTCGTTCCAAACGTTTCTGTACATGTACAATTAGACGGCGCCTCCAGAAATTCAAATACGACGACGATCTTTTGGGGAGTGACGTGGAAGCACGAAATTTTCTGAAGTTGCTCGTTGGATCCCTCTGTTTCCTCTCTCTTCGTTGGCTATCCAATACACACACACATACACAACAAAATTGAACTAATGATGTCTCTTTTGGTGGCGCTGGTGTCGTACCCTTCTCTTCTTCTTCTTCCTTCTCCTCGATTTCCCTTCAAAAAATTGGCTTTTGGTAGGCGGCGGGTAGCACTCGCTGCTGGACTATTTATTAGTCGGTTGGCTAGTAGCGTGTTTTGGAATAAGAAGAAGAAGATGGAGAAGATGAAGAGAGGAGATGGCCCTTTTGCCGAGTAATTTGCATTCATACGCATCTTATATATTGTATATGTATATGGAAGAGAAAAAGGGTCATATCTTTCCGCTTTGCCTCCCTTCCTTTTCATCTTCTCTTATTTCTCGAAGATGTGGACTATAAAATGATGAAGAGAAGGAGAAGCCAAACAGAAGACGGCGAAAACGCTTCGATTTCAAGAGCTCTTTCGCCAATTTGGTCCCCGATGCTTGTTCTTGTAATTGTTGTTGTTGTTGGTGATGGTCGTAGTAGTGTAGTTAGTTACCAGTTACCGAGAAAGCTCACTGAAAACAAGCTGTTCGAAAACTCCGCCCATTTTGCTCTGAAAATGAGAGAATTCATTCCTCTTTCCATGTGTGTGTATGTCTGCTCCAGATGCATTTGCTCTACCAGCAACATAAGAAGCTGTTGGAGCCTGGAGCACGACACATTACATTATTTTGTGTTGGAGCACACACACACACACACACACACACGGCTCCTCTCTTTCGAAACCGCATCGTCTTTTTCGGAGGCTCTATGACCGGAAATTGAGTTTCCACACACATTGGCCAAGAAGAAGTAGAGGGAGAAAAACGACGGAAAACCCCTTTTGTTTAGTTCTCCTCACACAACACTCGGGAGGATTCTATATCGATAGTTGGGTTGATAACGGGGGGATATATGACTGTCGCTACTCTCGTCTCCCACTCGCACACTCATCAATAAGACAGTCTTCTTCGAGACGAGACAACTGAGAAGGCAGCTTTTCGTTCTCTGTGTCTGCAGCTCTCACTCACACGGAAAATACTTTTGCTCATTGTGTGTGTGTGTGTGTTGACTCTTTTCTTTGCCCCTCATCTTCCCTTGATTCGTTTTGGGGGAGGTCTCATCATCAACGGTTCTATGGCTCCTATCATCAAACGTCTACTACTACTGCCTACCGCTACTACTGTCTAACGTCATTTTTTAGCGTCATCGGTTGTTTCTGCTGAATTTCGCACAGTTTGAGAGCGCGCAAAATTTGCACAGAGAGTGGGAAAAGATGAAGAAGAGACCGGTTTCGGATGGTTGGCAGGCCGGTGGTGGTGGTGTGTATGCACACGTTTACCCAGCCGCTTGTAATCACCTCTATCCGCTTTTTTCCACGCTCTTACTCTCTCACTCACTTTCTCCCCTCTTTCTGTCTGTCCCGTGTGACGTGGCAACAAAAGTGTAGTGGGAGAACGGGGAAAACGAAGAAGAAAAGCGAAAGATTCAATATTTTTCTAGTCTGTGCTATCCCATCGATTAGCGACATTGTGAAACAATCGTAGAAGATTTCGAAACTGCCACGTCATTTGAGACCCCTCGAACAGTATACATCATTCGAAGAACGGCCGGGAGACGTGCATACACACATTCGTCACAGATTGATTTGTATCATCTCCTTCTTCTTCTTTATGTCCTTTCGCATCAGCATTGTCTCCATCTTTTCTGAAGGCCACCACCATCACCCCGCCGCCGCCACATCGCTCCTCGCTTTCTCTTTCCCTGAAGGTGGTGTCGCATGCCAATGGGTGTCCGCTGCCCTTTATTTTCTCTTTTCCCCCCTGGTTCATGGCGCTGGGGGTGCCCGGGCGCGCGGCACAATCGATTGTTTTGTTTTGCCCGTGTGCGCTCGCGCGCGCGCGCCCGCTCGCTCTGCGTCTATGCTTTGCGCGCGGCAGTGTCTGTGCGTTTGTCTGCTCTCACGCGCTCTCCATCTTCTAGTGGTAGCCTAACGACCCGTGAGCGGGAGCGCGGTTCAACGAGACGACGGAGAGTGCTGTGAGTGAGCGGAGTGAGTGTGTGGTGAGCGTTTCTCGGCGTCCCTCCGCCCGACGCACTCTCTCGAGCGCCGTTCTGACCGTCTCGCCTCTAGCCGCCCCAACGACGCAACCGACGTCCCCATTCAACACACACACCGCCCCATTATTGTTTTTTTGTTAGTCTTGGCCAATAGTAGCAGCAACTCTGTCTCAATTTTTTTGTTGTACGACGACGTCTCCTTTCAAACAAGTTCACTTTTTTTGTACTTCTACCCCCTCACCACTGTTCCCCATTTTTTATCGGACCTGTTGACGTTTTATGTGTTTTTCAAAGTTCTAGAACGTTCGGTTGCCGTTTTCTTCGAAGATTACATAAAAATTGCGAAATCTGATCTGATATGAGTCATAACCAATATCAGAAGAAACTTTTCCGAATCGTTGTCGATAGTTTTTAGATGTCATAGGCTAAAATATCCTAGAATATCATCGTCATCCCATTCGTCGACGTCGTCGTCATCGTCATCTTTTCACTATCCAGCATCCCCTCGCTCATCTCGCTTTCTTCTCTCCTCCTGACTCGCAATAGAGATGTGGAGAGGCGAAAAAAAACGGAGAGGGAGGGAGAGAGGGTGGCATGCTTCACTTTTGAATTAGATTGGCACACTAGGGGCCGCGGCGCCGCGGTCGCCTCCTCTCTCCGTGCTGCCTGCTCTCTCTCTCGCGGCGTCCCATCGTCGCGCTGTCGTCGTCGAGGTCTTCTTCTTCTTCTTCTTCTCTGTCGTCGCTGCTGCCTAGTCCCAACAGAAGAGAGAAGAGAAGGGGGCAGTAGAAGAAGAAGAAGGCGACGCGTGTGGCGGTGGTGGTGTATGGGCTCTCTTTCTCTCTTGGTCTCCGCGGGCAGGCGGCGAGCGGAGAGAGCTCATACACAGAGCCGCTCGTCGTGTCTGCCGTCTCCGTTAGCCCATTCCTCAACACACACACATCTATCTATGGGGCTCAAATGGGAAGAAGAAGAGGGCTCGATGAGTTCTCTCTTTCCTCTTTTCTCCCTTCCCCGGCTTTCCTACTCTTCGTTCTTTCTGTTGGAGCACTCGTTTGGTCGGTTTCTTGTTGAAAAACAGTTTGAAATCATCGATTTCACATGTTTGTCGAGTTTTCGGCTCGAAACCGGCAAAAATTGCACTGAACATTTGTAAAACCGACGTTTTCCCGTTCTTTTCTCACCTGGATACCAATCTCAATTTCCGTCGTTCTGTGTCCCATGATGAGTCATCATCGTGTCTAATCGATTTCTGTATGTTGTATACTAGTGGGCGACCGAGCGAGACGCACGTCCTCTTCCTCTGAGTCATCCGCCTGAAACGAACACAAAATGTTTCTTCTTCACTTCCTTCCCTTCTATTTCTACCCTAAATCGTATCGTCCGTCAGTTTTCCGTCTTCTGCTCTTTATTTTACTTTCTGATCCATTTTTTTACAGGGTTCTACGGGTGTTCCCTCTCGTTTCCTTCTAGATAGATGGCTGCGATTAGAAAGAAGGTGAGTCGTGTAGTTTGATGATAAGCACGCTATTTTTGGCGCGACAAAATTGATGTATAATAAGCGGTGTGAAAATGGGAGAGAAAGCCTTCAATTACCGACCAAAACAATAATTGCAGCTGGTGATCGTCGGTGACGGAGCGTGCGGTAAAACGTGCCTGCTCATCGTGTTCAGCAAGGATCAGTTCCCAGACGTGTACGTGCCGACCGTCTTCGAGAACTATGTGGCCGACATTGAAGTCGACGGCAAACAGGTAAGATTTGTAGCGTTTTGAGTCAAAATCCTGCCATTTCGCTGTTTCTATGCCAAATTTCACTAGAAAAACAACGATGTTTACCACAAGTTTACAGGTCGAACTCGCGTTGTGGGATACAGCCGGACAGGAGGACTACGACCGTCTCCGTCCGCTCTCCTACCCGGACACCGACGTTATTCTCATGTGCTTCTCGATCGACTCGCCAGACTCGCTGGAGAACATTCCGGAGAAGTGGACGCCAGAAGTGAGGCATTTCTGCCCGAACGTGCCAATCATTTTGGTCGGCAATAAGCGGGATCTGCGCAGCGACCCACAGACGGTCAGAGAGCTCGCCAAGATGAAGCAGGAGCCGGTGAAGCCGGAGCAGGGAAGAGCAATCGCCGAGCAGATTGGCGCGTTCGCCTACCTTGAGTGCTCCGCCAAGACCAAGGACGGCATTCGTGAGGTAATCAACGCATTGAAAAAAGAGCTTCGAATTTTAAATCTCTGATTTGCAGGTGTTCGAGAAGGCCACACAGGCAGCTCTTCAGCAGAAAAAGAAGAAGAAGAGCAAGTGCATGATTCTCTAGATCATTCTCAACTTCAAGAACCGAGGCGTCTACACAAGCACACCCACACAGCTCTTCTCGATGCTTTTTCTGTTTCTCTTTCGCACTCTTCTTCTTCATTGTTTTTGATTGAAAATCCCCCGACCCCCCCCAAAAAAATAATGCTGATTTCCCCAATTTTTTTATTCCAAAACACCCACACAAGCACATTTCCTACATTTTTTTGCGCCCATCCACCACTATAGCTTCCCATTCGTTTTCTTCTCAAAACTGTGTTATTCGACGCTCCTCCTCTTTTTATTCCTCTTTTTTTCGGCTAAATTCAAATAAACCCCACTAATTTCACACACACGCCACACATTCTCCTTTTTTCCCATCGTTACTTTCCTATCTTAGCGCGCGCTTTTTCTTTTTCGAATTTTTGTCAATGTAACTGGTTTTACACCCATCCGAATGTTATTGGGGCTCTTGTGATATTGTGAAAGTGTCTAGAGTCGTCCACTTTATCGCAAGAGCCTTCTACTTACACGCTCCGAGACGTGCCGTCTTTCCGCTGAAATTCCAGAATATCGCGGAAAAATTGAGCTCTACTTTTCAAATCACACACACCGCCCAAATTTTTTTATATTATTGTACCCGTCTTCTCTTACTATTCCGTAGTGAATATCTCTGCTCCTCCTCTTCCTCCTCTGCTCGTTTCGCCCCCGTCCCCAAACCAATCACATCCTTTAATTTTTGAATGAATGACAACTTTTTCTTCTTTTTCTTCATCCCATCCCCCACATCCATTCTGTCCCTCTTTCGAAACTCTTCTCTATTTTATTTTTGTGTCTTCTTTCGCTCTTCTCTTCTTTTTTTTTTTGATGATATTATGTAAGGAGAAATGAATAATTATTGGAAGCGAAGGGCAGCAAGCATCTGCTCGTCCGCCTCGTGCGGCAGCGTGACGATCATGCCGTCGACGTGCTGCTGGGCGCGTCGGATAGCCTCCTGCGCCTTAGCGTTGCCGGACCACGAGCGCCGGGCGACTCCGTTCGGCACGTCCCAGTTGAGCATGCCTTCGGCTCGACGGGCGGCGTCAGTGGAGCCGTCGAGAACGAGACCGAAGCCGCCGTTGATCACGTCTCCCCAGCCGACGCCGCCGCCGTTGTGCAACGAGACCCACGTCGCGCCGCGGAACGAATCGCCTGAAATTGTGAAATTTGTTTTAAACAAAAAGATTCTCATCTACTTCTGGACGGCAAGTCACCTATTTTTCATCATTCTCAAAGTACATTGCTCGTGAGCTTTTGCGCAAATCGGATGAGCCTGTTTATTGAATTTCAAGAGCATCAATCACCGAGATTGGTTGGAGCTCGCCGAGCACGCAAATTTAGGAAGAGGGGATGGCGAGAATCGATAAAATTTGGGAAATTTCAGGCGAAAAGCATCGTTTTTTTTGCACCGCACCGCACAAATCGAAACTCACCGATGCAATTCTGCACGGCCATATCGGCGGTGAACGCGCTGCCGTCGTAGACGTTCGACGTCTCGCGGAACGGCGAATCGGTGCCCGAAACGTCGTGATGATCCCGGGAGATCACAATCGGCGCGCACACTTTTCCGGCGGCCACGAGTTCGTTGAACGCCGAGGCGAGGGCCACTCGACCAGCGCGGTCCGAATAGAGAATGCGGGCTTGCGAGCCGACGACGAGCTCGTTCTTTTCCGCCTCCTCGATCCATTTTCGGTTGTCCAGATATTGTTGTTTCACGTAGTCCGGCACTGCAAAACGTCTGTTGACTCGGGTCCTAACTTTGATCTTATAGTTTTATTAAAGTGTATACGGCTAAATTTAAGACCGATCGGACTATCTGATCTCGAGATATAGGCCTAAACGGCTGCAAATAGTGCGGTCTTTTCGGCCTCTGATCCACATAACTCTAGATCAAAGGGTCAATCCAAGCCTGCAAAGTTAAGTCCGTCGCAGCCACACTCACCGTCAGTTTTCAGAAGCTCGTCGATGATCCGACACGCCGTCTGATCGGTCAGTCGCAAATCGTCGGGATTTCCAGAGGTACAAACCCAACGGAACGGCCCGAAACCCATCGAGAAAATGTCTCTTTAAACAAAACATCGCATTTATTTTAAAATTTTTGTACGCTTCCGCCTACCCCATAATGTCCTGCATATAGCTCGGATAGCGGAACGTCTTATCGTCTTGCGCGTCGGCCTTTAACAGCTTGGCGCCGGCGCGCTGGCACTCGAGCAGAAACGCGTTACCGTAGTCCCAAAAGTACATTCCTTTCTCGGCGATGCGGTCGATGGCGGCGATCTGTCGGAGCAGACTGCTCTGCACGTGCTCTCTGAACTTTGACGGGTACGATATCATCATAGCGTTCGACTCTTCGAAAGTCAGGTCGGCCGGATAGAATCCGCCGAGGTAGGGGTTGTGAAGCGACGTCTGATCACTTCCCAACTCGACGATGCACTCCTCCTCGTCGGCGAGACGTTCCCTGGAAGTTGGAGTGATACGGAGGGATGGACAGATCGCGCTTCGGGGAGCCAGCCTACCACAAATCCACGACGTTCCCGAGGTATCCGATGCTGATCGCCTTTTTCTTTATTCTGTACTCTTTGATCCAATCGATGACAGTCTCGAGTTCCCTTGAAAACACATCGAGCCATCCCTGTTCGTGTCGCTTCCGAAGCGCCGTCTCATTGATCTCGGCGATGACGCCAATGCACCCGGCAATCTTGGCCGCTTTCGGTTGTGCACCACTCATTCCGCCCAGTCCTGCGGTCACGAACACTTTGCCCGCCAGCGAGTTCAGTCCCATTCGACGTCCGGCATTGAGAACGGTAATCTGAAAGTGTGTTGATCTACAAATTGTCGTCGATTCTGATTTCTACCGTAGTCCCGTGCACAATGCCTTGCGGACCGATGTAGCAGAAGCTGCCAGCAGTCATTTGTCCGTATTGGGTGACTCCCAGGGCAAAGTACTTGTCGTAGAGCGCTTTCGTCGAGTAGCTCGGGATCATCTGGAAGGGATCCAGTATGATCTAAATGGATTACGGTCAAACGTACCATTCCATTAGTGACCGTCATTCGTGGCGAGTCCGGAGTCGACGGAAACAGTCCTAATGGATGACCAGAGTAAAGGACCAACGTTTGCGAGGTGGTCATTTGGACCAAGTAGCGAAGAACGAAACGAAACTGGATCCAATTGCTGAAGACCTGTCCGTTGCCTCCGTAGGTGACCAATTCTTGCGGGAACTGCGCCACTTTCTTGTCCAAATTGTTCAAAATCATCAGAATGATCGCGGCCGCTTGCTCGCACTTGGCTCCGATTTTCGAGATGGGCGGCGCGAAGAGGTCGAAGTTTGGCATGAAGCGAAACGCGTAAATGTGGCCGTACTTTTTGAGCTCGTCTGCGAACTCTTTCGCGAGCATCGCATGGTGCTCTTTGGGAATGTACCGAAGAGCGTTTCGGACGGCCAGCTGAAAGTTTTGCGATTTTGAAAAACAATTTTAATTGAATAACCTACAATCTTTTCGGTTTTGCTCAGTTCGCATGGTCTCTTGGGCGCGTGAGCTACATCCTTGCCACGTTGCTCCTTCGGATGCTCCAGAAGCGGCGAGAATGGATCGACGAAAAGCGAGGGAAGGTCCATGGTCGGCGGCGTGCGCGAAAGAATGACGATCAGCGGAGGCGTGTCGTTGTCTTTTCTTAACAACTTTAGATGTTCGACCTGAATCTATCGTGTCCCACGTGGTTTCTCGCCGACGACGACACTTCGGCATCGTTTCGACGACGCCATAACCATCGCGCAAACAATCATAAAATGCGTTCTGAATTCGTCGTCGCAGTCTCCGATGACCATGTTTAGTCACCCTTCGCTGTGTCCTCGGTTGTTATTGTCGGGTTTTATTAAGCAATTTGGGCAGGAGAAAGAGACGGTAGTCGGGCAGGACACGACACCAGCGTGTCTCGAGCGAAATGACCGATTAGGAATGAGGAGGAGGAGGAGATACTTAACAGATCGGGTTTCTGCAAAATGACCACGTTTGGCGTCGATTTACGGGATCAGAATCTGTCTATTTTCGACGTGTTTTTCAGAGTTTCAGAGTTTAGTTATCGCACAAAATATCATCGGTGATTACGGAAGAAATATCTGGAAATCGTTTTTTTTTGCCGACTTTATGCCGCGTTCAATGTCTCGGAAAAACCGTAAAAACCGCAGATTTTTCTGTCTAAAGTCGGCCGAAATTTGCGTGAAAAACGGGGGTGCGCACAGCTCAATCAGAGTTGAGCGGAAATGGAATTTTGAAATCCGGAAGACGGCAGACGGAAGAACATTTGTTTTACGGAACACGGAAAACGGAAGACGGAAGAAAATTTTTCTCATGGAAGACGGTAGGCGGAAGACGGAACAAAAAATCGTCAATGCAGAACCTTTTTCTCCGGTTTTTTTTTGAAAAAAATAACTAAACAACAAAAATTTTGGATCTGGGTCACTGCCCGTGGAAATTCGCGTTCTTCGGGACTAGTAAATGGCTTCTGAAAAGCTATTACTCTTTTACGGTAAGAAGAAAAAATTCCGGAAGACGGAAGAAAAATTTTTTTACGAAAGACGAAAGAAAACCTTTCTCCCGGAAGACGGCGGACGGAAGACGGAACAAAAAAAACCACGGAAGACGGAAAACGGCAGACGGAATTCCGCTCAACACTGAGCTCAATGAATGTAACCGTACCCCCAAAACTACGGTATTTTTTGAAAATTTGTTAATTTCTTGAGGATATTTGAAAATATTCAAATTTCTTGTGCAAATTTTCAAAAATACCGTAGTACGGTTACATTCATTCAGCTGTGCGCACCCCCGTTTTTCACGCAAATTTTGGCCGACTTTGGACAGAAAAACCTGCGGTTTTCCGGTTTTTCCGAGACATTGGACGCGGCATAAAATACAAGTTTATCACGAGAACACTTATTATAATACCAAAGAGTTTTAATTCATCAAGTCCACAATCGGTTCGTCCTTTTCCCCTTCTTCTTCTCCTTTTTCTTCGTGCTCCGGCTCCACGAGCTGCTCATCCGAAAAATCAATGAGGTCCGTCGTCTCGATCCGATTCTGTAGATCCATAATATCCGTATCCTCGATCGCCGTCCTCAAGTCGTCCGCGTCATCCTCGGCCCACACATCCGCAAATTCGTATTCGTCTCCGTCGACGTCCGCCTCTTGAATGCACTTTTCCACCAAAAGACAAAACGTTTGAATGCTCGGGAACTTGGCCATCACTCGCACCGACTGAAAGTACAGACTTTGACAGAAACTACACAATTCTGTCCAATTTTTATGGAAAGTCGTACATTTCCCATTCCCCATATCACGGCCAAAGTGTTCCCGGGCCTCACGGGACTCCGCCTCATCTGTCTAGTAACAACAGAAGGTCGCTGGTTTGATTCTAGCAGCATGAGGCACCCAAATTTTTTTGTTACCAACCTTCGAGTATCCAAAAATCTGCGACAGCTTCGCCAGCAACTCGTCCTTCCGCTTCTGCGCCGCTTCCGCCTGCTTCCGCTTCTCCTCGTCTCGCCGCGCCTCTTCAATCAGCTGCGCGTTCAGCGAACGAGCCACGTCTTCGTCCACGTCTGTTCCGGAGCACACATTCTGCAAAAAAAAAAAAACTATTTTTCGGTCAGCTCTTCGAGTAAACTTTGCTCACCACAGCTTCTCCTCCGATGCCGGCAGATCCGCTCGACTGCGTGCTCGCCGTCGATTCGACCGAATCGGTCGTCGCCGAATGTTTCGATCGATACGTGGCGCTTCCGTTGCCGTTGCCAGTGGGCCCATAGCGGAGAATGAGGCGCGTCGGCGAGTGATGACGTCGTCCACGATTCTGGTGGTCATTCTGATTCTGATGGTGCGGGTGGTGATGATGAAAACGTCGCGACGGGGACCCGGATCCGGTGGTCAGATGACGATGACGATTCATAATTTGGTACTGTTGATGGGGGTTTGGCAGGTGGTGTGCAAAGTTGCCGGAGTTGGAGATCGGAACAGCAGAATGAGGTGGAAGAGGATCGTCGACGAGCGGCGGAACGATCGAAGAGTTGGAACACGTCGGAGCAGTCGAGTTCCGATTGAATGGATTCTCGAGAGGAGCCAACGGAGGACTCGGTATCATGGGCGGTCTGAAAACAAAAACTTGCAAAAATGTCGCTTCTTTCCGCCCACTCATTCACATAAAGTCCCTCATTGCTGGCGGAGGCCATGTCGCCGCCGGCCTGAATAATCTGCACCATCCGGGTCCACGCCACCTTCTCCGGCACCAACAACGCCAACTTTTCGAGCCAATGCCGCTGATCCGAGAGGAGCAACTGGTGCTCCGAGCACGCCCGCCAGTCCGTCGAGCCCTGCTCGCACTCGAGAGTCTGCTTCAGGCTCGGTCCGTTTCGGCCGAGCGGCCCGTCGATCGGAAACATTATGTCGTCGCCGTTGAACGTCGGCATCAGCAGTCTGCAAGATTTTTACAAATTTCCAGGGCTTGGCACATTTCGGCGCACGCTTTTCGTAGGCGCCACGGTCTCCAGAGCTGACAATATGGGCGTGGCCTCGGCCAAATGGCGTTTTCATGAATTGAGCAGGTTTTCTCTGATTTTTGTGGTCAAAGGCAATGAAAAATGATTGTTCGACATGAAAACACACTAATTCTCACAATTAATGACGTTTTGGCGCATTTTTCGCGGACTTTGCTTTTTCGCGTTCGCCGCCAATCGCCGCCTCAAAACCGCACTTCTCATTTTGCGATTTCTCGACCGTTTTCCGACAGAATTGGTTTTGAGAATGATACATCACGTAAATACAAGCATTTTGAGCGCTCGAACCGCGAAAACTATCGAAAAGCAACTGAAATTCACGCAGTTTTAGCGAAAAACCTTCAAACGGATAAATGTGATTTGCGACTTGACCAAATTTAACGCTCTTGCGCTAAAAAAATTCGTAATAGCCTATACAATCGGTCTATCGAGAGAAAAATGAGAAATTATCGGTTTTTCGTGGCTAATCTGGCAAAAAACACAAATTTTGCTGTTAAAATTTGAATTTCGCGCCAATGTTCTACGCTCTGGAGACCGTGAGGTCTACAAAATGCTCTTTCAAATCGTTTTTGAACATTTCTAAAAATCTCCCTCACAAACCTCTGCTCGACGACGTCGATCAGGTGCGTCTTGTTGTCGGTGATTCCCTGCATTTGGCTGCGCGCGACGAGACAACCGCCCGTCTCGTACGCCCGATTCACCATAATCCGATTGACTTCGGCGTACTTTTCGCTGCCGTAGCCCGGCGTGAACTCGATCAGATTAAGCCGGTAGAGCATCATGAGCTCCGAGTAGCGCGACGATTTCTCCGCGTAGTTCTTGAAGCAGTAGGGCAGGAGGGCGATCGCCTGGTGTCCGCGGCAGATAAAGTGCCACAGGGCGATCGTCACGCCGCGCACGTTCAGCTTTTTGTCGCGGTCGCAGTGCGCGTATCTGCAAAAAATCATCGTTTTTCGCTCAATTTTTTCCCCTAAAAACACTGAATTTTGCAAAAACTCACGAGTAGCCGACCTCGACGGCGTTCATAAAAACGGGTCTGAAAAGAGTGACGCCCTGGCGTTGCCGGGCGGTCCGCATCTGCTCGTTGGCCTGCATTGATAAGCTGCTCTCCCATCCATAACTATTATTATTGTCCAAATTCATTGTGCGCACAATTTATTTTGAGAAAATGCGGAGTTGATCAAGAAATGGCGCGCCAACTTTCGCATTTTTGACCTTCCACACTTTTCTAATCATCCCAGAATTGTTTTTTTTTCTTGGAAAAAAGGTTGCCACGATTATATTCGGCATCTTATTCGTCCTGACGGCGGGGGGTCATACTTGAACGCTTCTGTTCAACAATCGCCCCCCGGCAATGCAAAAAAGGGGGGGGGGGGCTATTCTTTAAGAACTAGGTATTCTTAGAGAAAAGCCCCCACCCCCCTTCTTTTCAGCAGAGGACATATTAAATATTAGTCCCCCACCATTAAAATACAGCCCCACACTTAGAAAAGCTGACCGCCCAAATTATGGTACATTGTTCCGATTCAATAACAGCCCCCTGCCCCCTGGTGGGGGGTCTTTCTTAAGATGATATTGGGGGGTTTTTAATATTCGGCATTTTATTCCCTTTCTTTTTGGGCACATTTTGGAGCTAGAAGCGCGGCTCGCCCGACAACAGAGATTTCTGATGATGGTGATGATACGGGGATGTATCATAGAGGAATTGCAACAAAAATTAAAGGCAATGCTAGACGGGGGGTTAAGAGAGGGGGGTTTGCGTTTTTTTGGAGTGTCTATCGGAAAATGGGGAGAGTAACTATGTAGGAGGAGGAGTGAATGTAAATGGCCAAACTTTTTTTCGACAGGGGGACGAAAAAGAGCAGAGATCTTCATCAACTACAGTACTCGGGGGGAATAGAGGGCGGGGAAGATTATAAAAAAGTTGGGAGATGGAGAAAAACGCTGAACACTTTCTCTCTGCTGTTTCCGGACTTAGAGACAAAACGATGAAAAATGTGGGGCGAAAAAAACAACAATTCAATTACGCTTTTTCTTTTTCAACTGGGTCATATAAGGGCCTGGGGAGGGACATCTACTGGTGGATAAGAGAAACTTTTGAAAAGAGATAGAATTGGACCGAATTTGTGTGATGAGACAATATTTGAATGATTTTTGGAAAGGGGGAGATGAGAATCTTTGAAAGGAATTTCGAATCGAGTTAAATTGCATTTGGTTTAATCGGGTAGGGATGGGTCCTGTTTGTGTAGATGACGTGGCAATGATGATGAATTGGCGGCGCGAAGTAGATCAGTTGTGCCAGCGAGACGGACGCGTACGGCGAGTGACAATCGAATCATCGACTGAAAAAGAGCAGAAATTTTAAGAACAAATTAAAAGTAAACTGAATTAGTACCGAGAGTCGGTCCGTTTCTGGTGGTCGATCCGGACGGTGCCGGTGGTGGTGGTGGGCGGATAGTTTCGGCCGATCTCTGGGTCGGAACCGTCGGCGGCACGATTCCGAAGACCGAGATGAGACGGTCTTGTAGCGATTGGCTGTGCGCCGGCGGCTCGTCGTCGCTGATGCTGTTTCCGGCCTCACGAGCGCGCGAACGCGTGTTCGGCGAGTCAGTCGGAGGAAGAGCGATCGAGCTGATGTCGATCGGAGCAGCGTGGGCAGAAGAGGACGACTGGCCGTCCATTGGGATCTCGGAGAGCTGAAAAGCATTCGTTTAATAGTGATTTTTTCAAGCATAAATCTTACCGATACGTTGACAGTGTTCGGTCCCTCGGTGTTCGGAATGAATCCCTGGCGCGTCGTGGTTCCGCTCGTCGACGGCTCTCCGGCCGCGGCGGCCGCCTTTCTCAGCTTGTACTGATCGATCGATAGCTTCTTCGGCGCCTTTTTCTGTTCCGGCTTCTTGTCGCCCGACTCGTCCGCCTTCTCTTCTTCCTCGTCTTTCTCCTCCGGCTCCTCCACTTTAATGGCTTTCAGTTTCGGTTCGGCAACAACTGGCTCCTCCTTTTCCTTTTCCTGTTCGAGAGCTGGAATCGGCGCTTCTGGAGCAGATGGAACTGGATTCGAAGTCGAAGACGAAGACGAGGCAACGGCAGCAGTGGAATCTTCGTCCATCGGCTCCTGCTTTACCTCCGGTTCCTTTCTCTTTCTGCCGGCGGCCTTTTCCACGGTTTTCTCTTTCTCGGTAACCGACTTCTTAACGACCGTCTGTAAGCGTTGCGCGGCTTTCCGATCGCTCTCTGCCTTTTCCTCCCTCTGTACATCGTCCAGTTTCCTCTTCATAGTGCGTCTCGTGGCTCTCTTCTTTTCAATCTCCGCATCATCCTTGCTTCTGCTCTCTTCCTTCAACGCCTTCGCCCACTTCGACACCTTCTCCCCGGCCGTCTTTATAAAATCGGGAAGTTTGAATTCTTCGCGCGGTCTATTGCTTATCAGAATCGCGTTCGCGTGCATCTCGTCCGTCATCTCTTTCACCAAAAACTTCTCCGCCGGCTCCGGCCGCTGCTTTTTCACGGGCGGAGTCGAAGTCTGCGTCGTCGACAATCTCTTCTGGGCGCCATTATTCGAGCCAACAGTCGAGGCGCGTGGCTTTTTGATCTCCGCGGTCGCAGTAATGCTGTTTTTCTTCTTGGCTCCGCGCGGGGTTGGTTCACGAGAAGAGGAAGAAAGAAGACGACGTTCCGTGGATTCGCTTTTCCTCGTCTGGCTCTTCTCGATCGATGTGGAACGTCTAGCGGAAGAAGGTCCTGGTGTACCCGACTTTTCACGTTCGGCACGCTCCGCAGCCTTCGCTTTCTGCGCTTCCTTTCGTTTTAGGTCCTCCTCCTGGCGACGAAACCGCTTCTCGATTTGTTGAACTTTAAGCTCGTCGCGAGACTGAAAAAAGACGATTTTTAGAATGTTTGAGTTAAATTTTTTTTAAACCAATTTCTGCGGTTCAGCCGAAGATCTGGCCTCCGAATAACGTTGTTTCTCCTTGTCCTTGTTTGTCTCCTCGGAAGCGGCCTTCTTCTCCGCGTCGCGCTTCTTCTTCTCCTCCCGCTCCTTCGCCTTCCTTTCCTTTTCCTTTCGCTCCTCCTCCAACCGTTCCTGCTCTGCTTCCTCGTCCATCTTGCGCACCTTCTCGGCCCGCTCGCGTCTCACCTCGTCCTCCATCCGACGTCTTTCCTCCGCGGCGGCTCTCTCCTCCTCCATTTTCTTTCGTTTTATCTCATCAGCCGCCTGTTTCTCCTTGTTGCGCGAGTTGTAATAGGCCTCTCTTTGCTTCTCGAACGGACAGTCCCTGATGTTGTGCATGTGATCGGCGCACTCGAGCGGAACATCGCTGTAGCCCCAATCGAGGTCGAACGGAAGAGTAATCTCCACGTTGTACTGGATCTCCTTGGTGGCCACGATCATGATGCCGAGTGTCGCGTTCGATCCGAGCACGTGCTTGAGCACACAGTTTGGCTGGCACGACCTTCTCGTGTACTTCGAGTCGTTTCCCTTTCTTCTCGTGTCCACACACACTAGCTCCTGCACATCGCCCATGTCCTCGCCGGAGGTGCCTTTCATGAGTCCGTCGTACATGAAGATGTATCCACCGCCGCCCGCCTGTCGCTTGATCTCGTGGTGCATCGTGACGTGTCCGTTGACCTCCAGAACCACCGAACGAGTTGGTATCATTTCCATGGCGACGAGCGCCGGCACATTCTGCTCCACGTAGAGTCGCTTAGCCTTTTGCTGCGCTCGGGCTTCTGCCAGAAGCGTGTCCGCTCCGGCGGTCTGTCCCATCGTCGCGAGAAGAGTGGAGCAAGCTTTGGAATAGTCGTTGAGTTGCGCGACGCGTGGAACCGGTGGCGGAAAGGCTTGCGGCATCGATCTCCTCGCCGACGACGACAGTTGAGCGTTCTTTTTGAGCGTCTCCGCCGGCTCGCTCTTTCTCTTTTTCTTCTTCTCCTCCAACGCCGCCTTCTTCATTCTAGCGAGCTCTTTCCTCTGAATGCGGATTGCGTCGTGCTTCGTGACGAGCAGACGTCTCGGCTGGCACAGTTCGCACTTGTATCCGTCCAAATTCGTGCCAGGCTTCTCGCCCATACAGTAGATGTGCTGCCACTTTTTGCACTGCTCGCACTCGACCGTCTCTCCGTCGCCGTGCTTCATTCCGCAATGGCATCGCATCTCCCAGTCGTCGACCGTCTCGTTCTCCGAGTCCGAATTGTCCTCCTCGACGACTCCGTTGCGGGCCGGAGCAGCTTGTTGGCGCGGCGGAAGAGTTCTGGCACCGCCCACACGGTGCGGAGCCACAGGTTCTTGTCCGGACGACCAACGATTTCTCTGCGGGCCAGTGCTTCCCTTCGGACGTCCTCGCGGGCGATGCGGCGGATCCATGAGATTCTGTCCGAGGAGCGGAACTTGCGCCTGCACGTGTGGATGCTGCTGATGCTGCTGAAGTTGCGGATGTTGTTGGTGCATCGAAGATGATCCTTGTTGCGAGAGATCGTATCGCTGGAACGGATTATGTCCTCCTCCACTACCGGCGCTCATTCCACTGTCATTTCGGCGTCTCGCCCCATCTGGAACCTTTTTCGTTTCGTATTTCTCAGCCGAAAAACGCAAATTCTCCGCGATTTGCGAGATTATTTCCTTTTCTCTCGGCGTGTTCGGAAGATTGTTGCCTTTCGATGGATTGTCAAAAACGTGCTGAATCGTGGCGAGCGTGTCATCCGGATGTCCTGCACGCACTGGAATCTGGCCCGACGAGGACGGACCATCGACCGACAAAAGCGATTGAACCGGAATTGCAGCCGGCAAAGCATTGAGCAGTGGAATATGAGATTTTTCCTGAAAATCGTTTGGTTTCTGAGGTCGAAAAACTTAGAAATCCGAACCTTTTCAGCCATAACTCTGGCCAAATGCGCGTTCTTCTCCTCCTGCGTCAGACGATGCGGCGGCGTCGGCTTCGTGACGATTCCTTGCGGTTTCATCGGCGAAACATGACGGTTTGGCGACGAGATCTCCTCAATATTGACAGGCACCTGCTGTTGCTCTTGCACCGGCTCCGTAGTTGGAATCGTGGCGCTGTTCGGCTCACTGGACGAGCTGGTGGTCGGCTCCTCGGGCGGATCCTCGGTGAGTTGAGCCGGCAGCTGATCGCTGGCCTTCTGGATCGGAGCAGAGTACGTGTCTGTCACTTTGAGCTGGAACTTTCTCGTCTGCGACTGTGGCGCGTCGACTAGTGGTTCGACCGGTCTTTGCGGCTCCCGGAGCAGTTCCTCGGCTCCCGGAGCTCTTCCTCTCACGAGAACTCCGGCCCCGGTCGGCTGCTGCTGTTGCTGTCCTCTGACGATCATTCTACCAGCTCCCGGACCTCCACGAATCTGCATGGCGACTCCAGTTGGCTGCTGCTGATGCTCGGCAATCGCGAAATGCGGAGCGGGACGTCCGCGGACCATCTGCAGCTGCTCCTGTCTCTGCTCCTGCGTCATTCTGTGCGGTGCCACGTCGGCGATGCGTCGAGCTGGCGGGGCGGCGGGCGGCGGCTGAGCCTGAAGCGGATGCGGGTGCTCCACAAACTCTCTCTCGTGCATATCCAGTGGTCTCGTGATCTGCACCGGACGAAGAGCCGTCGCCTGACGATTCGGGCCCAGAAGTGATCCTGGAGCTCTTTGCGGCATGTTCCCACGACGCAAAATGTTGCCGCCGGGCGCCGGATGCTGAATATGCTGGTAGGATCCAGGTGCGGACGACGCCATGATTCTTCTTTGCGGCGGAAGCGCTCCTCCGACTCGGGAGAGTCCCATCGGGTGCTGCGGCGACTGGTAGATCGCCTGATGGCCGCCCGGTATTTCTCTTCCACCACGGATTACGGCAGAAGCCGGCAGACGTGGATTGACAATCGTGGCGCGTGGCAATACACCGTTTCCGTAGTCGTTAACCATGCGGTATTGTTGTGAAGGCTCTCCGCGTCTGTAACATGAAAAACATGAATTTTTGGTAGATTTTCGCGCAAAACTAACCCAACAGGATGCACAACTCTGTGATAGTCGACCTGAGTGCCTCCGATCGAGTACGGCTGCACTGGACGCGTTGGCAATCCGACGTGGCCTTGACGATGCGGTGGCATCAGATGATGTTGAAGTTGCGAAATGTGTGCGTGGTGCTGTTGCGGCTGCATCGAGGTCGGAGACTCCGGAACTGGTTCTTCCTGCAGATCGGAAGTGTCGGGCATCCATTGATTCACGATATTTCCGGCTGAAAATGTTAAATTTTCACTTTTTTCTCCAATAAATTCGATGTACCTTCGTCAAGCCCTCCTATGACCGGGAATGTTCCCTCCTGTGGGTGAGTCACACGATCCGTGGGATCCGCACAATCGTAGTTATGATCCTGAAAAGATATATTTCCATATTTTCACTAGAAAAACGGGTACTTACACTGTAGGAAAGAAAGAAGTTCTGCTTCAGAATCACCTCCTCCGTGTCGTCATTCGAGTCGGAATCAATCCAGATGGTCTTTTCAGTAGCGTCGTGCGCCGAATTAGCGGCCACCGTGTTCCCTCTCTCATTAGTGTCGCGCGGCAGAGCATTATCTGGTTGTGACAAGCCGTCCCTGTCGCCAATGTGCTCTTCGTCGTCGTTCGGGCCACGTGCTGGGTCGTCGGCAGTCGGTTGCTGCTCCACATATTCATAGTTTCTGTTCGAATGGTCGCTGAACGGCTGGAAGTACTGTCCGGCGAGCGGCTGCTCGATCTGGTGCTCCGGCTCGTCGTAATAGTGCTGTGCGTCCTGCTGCTCCTGCTCGTAAAGCGGCACATTGTTGATGGGCTGCGCGTGGCCGATGAACGGAATCACTTCTGGAGCCGGCTGCGCGCTTCCGATGAACGGAATCACTTCTGGCTCGACTAGCGGCTCTTCGGCTACGGTTCCTATTTGTTCTGGTTCTGAGATCTCGACTTTTTTACAGAATTTGCCACAATTTTCTCACCTTGAACTGCTTCAACAAGTTCTTCGTTTAAAATTTGATCATTTTGCTGTTCAATTTGAGCCTGCCCAACTGGAAATTGAACGTCTTGCTGCTGATCGACGAGAGATCCAACGAGCGGCGGGTGTTGTTGCTGGAGAAGCTCCTCTTCAGCAGGAAGTGGTTGCTCACCTTCGGCCATCTTCCGTTCTCTACTTTTTACGGCTTTCTGGCATGCAAGCGTGTACAAAACCTGAAAGAAACATTATTGGAATAGTTTTAAGAGTAAAATTGGCAGAATAGCAAGCAAATAGGAATATTTGAGAAGGCATGCGTTCAATATGTATAGAAACATCAATAGAACACAGGGAATACAAGCCTAGAATTAATTACGAATTTTTTTAAAGCGACAAAAATCGATTTTCGGAAAATAAATATCGGATTGTTGGAATGAATAGAAAACTAGTTGCGAGTAACTCAAAATAGTGTAACAAAAAATCAGAGCGTGAAAATAGAGTGAAGAAAGCAACATATGCGGAAAAAATGACGGAAAGAAAATGAAGGTGGCAAATAAATTAGAAATCAAGTTTAGGTTGAAATTTTTGCAGAATGCTAGTGTGAATTTAGCAGATATTAATCGTTTTGACATTTTTAACACAAGAAACGGACAGAAAATCGATCGGAAATTTTTTTCTAGACTTCAAACGTTACTTTTGGATCGCTGTCGTGCAATTCGAGTTTCCAATGTTCTACCCGCCCCTAGAATAATTCCAAAGCGCTAAATCGCCATAAAATGTTCAAATCAACAGTAAAAGTCGAAAAAAAATTGAAAAAATCAGTGTGAATTCGGCTAGAAACTGATAAAAATTCAAACGTCGAGCCTCGCCGTAAATCGAAAACACTGACCGCGACGCGAGCCTCACGCGCAGTGGTTCACTTGGCACGCAGCCAACTGCGGGTCTCGCAGCGACAGACGAAAAGTCTGCTGACTCGCCGCAATGTGTCGTCGTCGTGTTTGCATAATTTTGCGCACCGTACCTCACCGAAAATATTAAAATCCACTGAAAGCCTCATTTTTCGCTGAAAAATCAAACATTTTGTTTAAATTTGGTATTTTTCAAGTAAAAAAATTTTTTTCAGTAATGTCGACGGCTCATGAAGTTTTGCGCAACTTTGCCGCGCGCGCCCTCAAGTCCTGGAGTGGATATCAGCTGGCACTCGACAACTCGTGTGGCGGCGATGAAACGAAGGAGAAAGACAAGGTTTTCCAAAAATTTTTGAGCGGTAAAGCTGTGAAAACTTGTTTCCAGTGGTTCCAGGAGGTGTTGTGCGAGTACGTGGCGACGACGCGCGGCCTGAAGAGCGAAGATCTCGAGGAATGGCTCACCAACATTCTCTACCACGATTTCGATCTGATTCTGGAGGACGACAGCGTCTATCAGATCGCTTTTTTTCTTCTCGAAGGCTACGGCTACGTCAAGAACAACAATGAGGCCGGATTGCAGCAGTTGTTGGCCAGTAAGTTCTAGAATTTTAGAAAAATTGACTGTTTCCCTTTTCAGAACTTCCATCGGACGAGGAGTTGGCGAAAGTCAAGCGGGAAAGTGTGGCGGGAGCGGCGGACAGCTCCGACGACGAGTGCGAAGATATGGATATTCCGGAAGAAGACGGCGACGACGAAGAAGAAGAAAAAGACGGAGAAGGACCTTCGGAGCCACGTGGACCTCAGCGCCAGCGCGTCGTCGACGATGACGGATGGACGACAATTGTGAAGCGACAATAACTTCGAAGTTCACTTTTTCTCCTCCGTTCTTGTTCGTTTTGTTCGTTGTTTTCGCCAGCCCCCTTTGCTTTTCAGATATGAAAAATTTGTTGGAAGCACGAAAACAGGAGCCTCCCCTGAGCTCATCGGAAATGCATTCGGGGTGCTTTTTTCACTTTTCCGCTACCCCAAAGGTCAGCGAAGGGGTGATTTTCCTACGATAATTCTTTGTTTTTCACAGTTTATTCAAAAATTTATTGGAATCGACATTTCGCAACCAAATCTGAAACTTTTCCGGTTGCGAAACGTCCCAGAAACTCAATTCTAATCCCATTCCGAGCAATTCTAATTATTCTCAGAATCCCCTTTTTCCCGATGGGATATGCTTTTCTATTCTAGTCCATTCTATGCGTTTAATCAAAAGCACGTGATCCCAATTTTCAAGACAGAACAGACTAGACGAACTTTCTGAAAATCTGGGCCCTCGTGCTACCAGATTCAGCGCCTAAATCAGATTATTTTCCTCTTTCTATATTGGTGCCTCAGAGGATTTAGTCGGATTTGGATTCGGTTCCATCCAAGCTCATAATATATCACGTAGACTGATCTTACATACGATTTTGGCACACTTTGCACTGTTCATTTACAAAAAACTGAAGTCCTGAGCGGATGCTGAAAAGTTCGCAGTTTAAGCGGAAAACCGGAACTTTAGCATCTCGGGGGACCGGTCTGAAAGTCGGACCCAAGGTTCGGGCCGTCCATTCGTCCCAATGTTTCCTCTCTCCCTCTCTTTTGTTGCGATCACAAAGGCGATCCGCTCATTTCATTTCCAGCCCGTTTCGCTCCGTTTTCCTTTTTCTCGTCGCTCACGTAGTCAGTCACGCATTCACCCGAGAGAATATTAGAAAGAGAAAGCGAGAGAGGGAGCTCTCTGAAATTCCATTACTATTTCTCTCCCCCCCGCACACATATTTTCTTTCCAGTGGATAACAAATTAGGCAGCCTCCTCTCGACCAACACAACAACATCTTCTTCTTCTTCTTCTTCTTCTTTCCTCTTCTTTCCACGTGAAAAAGTGGGCGTGGCTTCGAAGAGAAAAAAAAGAGAGAGAGAGAGAGAGAGAAGAAGCACCTGCGTCTCGTTTATATTTGATCGTCAAAGCACCCCAGAGAGCTGTGTGTGTGTCCCCCCACCCCACTTTCTTATCGTCGCAGCGGAGCGGTGTGTGTGTGTGTAAAACTCTCTCTTTTCCTCTCACTCCAACTTCCTCTCCTTCTCATTAGTTTTGAGCTCTCTCTCTCTTTCTCTCTCTTACTTACTTGCTTTTTCTTCTTCTTCTTCTTTTCGAAATTAGTTTTCATTTTCCTTCTCTCCATTTTCGCTCTGTAGCCTTGTTTCGATGATGTGAAACAGAGCGAGGGAGAGAAGGAATTTGATTATAGAAAAAAGTTTCCGAGAAGTTCAAACAACCACATTATTTCCGGCGCCATAGCAACCAAGCTCTCTACTTCCTCTCTCTCTCTCTCTCTCTCTCTCTCTCTCTCTCTTTTTCGTATGTTGTCATTTTCTGAAAAAAGTATGGGTAAACTACATTTTAGACCAGGTGGAAGCACAGCTGACTCTTTTGATAACTTTATGATATCGAATTCTTTTGTACCGAAATTTCGCAATTTCGTGTCCGCAACTTTCCAATTCTTAACAGAATAATAGCGTTTTTTTTTCTTTCTCAGCTCAGCTGGCTGCATTAGAAGGGCGCCCGAATATTGTCCATTCAAGAGAATGCATCTCACTTGGCTGTACAGATATCAAAAAGTGGTCAACTAATAAAATGTGCACAAGGTTTCAACGAACAATTCATCAGTTGACCAATGTTTGATATTTCTACTGACAGCTGAGATATATTGTCTTGAACAAACGGTTTAAGGTAACCATACTATCTACTTCTTCTCTTCATCCGTTTGCAAGTTCCTGATGTACTCTGATAACTTTATAATATCAATTTCGTCTCTTTTCCCCTCTTCATCCTTTTTGACTGAAACTTAAGCAAAAACTTTTTAAAACTTCCAGAAACCTAAGTATAGCAACAAAATTATTGAATTTTCTCTCTTTCTCAATTGGATTTTTCGATAAATTTATTATATTTACTTCTTCTTCTTCTCTCTCTCTCTCTCTCTCTTTCTTCCCACATATCTTCATCCTTTTCTGCTGAAAAATTCGGAATTCATCAAGCACCTAACTAGCTGAACTAGTTGATAGCTCGATAATATTTACTACTACTTCTTCTTCTTCTTCTTCTTCTTCTTCTCCATTTCTCCCTGTGTCCGAACTTTGATAGCTTTATAATAGTGACACTTTCAGACGCACGCAAAGTACACTGTGCAAGTACAAATGATGGGCTCATCGTCGCAAGACCTGCAGCAAGCGCTGACCGAAGTCTCGAAGCAGTGTCACCATTTGTGGGAGGAGAACAAGGATCTGCAGGGTCGTTTTGTGAACGAGCTCGGCGAGCTGCAACGCATTCAGTTGGCGATCACGCAGCTGGAGGCCGATCGCCGTGCCGATCAGCTGACGCACGCGAAGAACTCGCTGGCCGAGATGCAGCGGAGAGCGACGAGCCTGTACGAGATGCTCAAGCAGAAGCGCAGCGAGCTCGTGGTGAAGCTCAACGAGGGCGCCAACTATGCGAGCATGCTGCAGGCTCAACTCATCACCGAGAAGCTGTTCACGTGGAAAAACGCGCAGAAGCTGGCGCAAATCGGAATGCCGTTCGACGACCGCGAGCAAATGCTCGACGAGATTCAGATGGAGTTCGAGTTTCTCGCCGAGCAGAACTGGCAACTCAACATGTTCACGTGCTGGATGATCGATTTGCTCCGTCGTGCTCCGCAGCTCAACGACGGCAATTCGCAGACGACGCAGAGCAAGTTGACGGCGATCAGCGAGCAACTGAACAAGCTGCTCTTCATGCTCGTCTCGCAGAGCTTCATAGTCTCCGTGCAGCCGGAGCCGGTGCTCAAGACCCAGCACAAGTTCGTCACGGAGGTTCGTCTGCTGATCGGCGACAAGTTGGGCATCCGTCAGCACCTCATGAACACCAACGTGACCGTCAAAATTATCGCTGAGGACGAGGCGAAACAGATGAGCGTCGATTACGATGCGCACAAGGAAATGTAAGTTGGAATTGAAGGCGCTCGGGACTAACCCCTTCCACAGTTACAGAAGGAACAACAAGACGGTGGGCACCATTTCGAACGAGTTCGAGAAGCTGACGATGGACGAGCGCGGACACCTCGCCGCCAAGTTCAACAACTCGAAGCTCACTCGGATCGCGCATCGGAAGCCGCCGCCGAAGGGCGCGTCGGACATGAAGTGCGCGGCGAATATGCAGGCGGCGACCGATCAAAAATACGCACTCCTCTTCTACATTACCCCCTTTCAAATGGGCAATTTGAGCAAGGTGGGTGACCGTGCTCCATTGTCATTTTTGGCCTGGCTGGACCGTTGACTTTCGATTAGACACAAAACGAAAAACCGTTTGGAAATGTGAGAATGATGCATAAAATGTTTACGTTGGCTTGAGTGCTGCGGTAAGAGAGCACAAATTAGTTTGCAAGTAATAAGCAAGTGGGTCTCTGCAAAATATGCTCATTAAAAAGTGTGCACGTTAGGTCAAAGTTTGTTGACAGCTCAGCGAGTTTCGTTTCATCGTAGTTCTGCAACCGGTCATTTTGCAAACAGGTACAAAACTAGAACTGACGTAAATACTGTAAAAGAAGAGCAGCACAATACGGTCCATTGTACACAATGTTTCAGTGAACATTTTTTATCATGGTCTCCAGAGCTGACAATGGGCGCAAGTGCGCCTCGCCCAATTGAGCGATACATTGGCGCGAAATTCAAATTTTAACAGCAAAATTTGTGTTTTTTGCCAGATTAGCCACGAAAAACCGATAATTTCTGATTTTTCTCTCGATAGACCGATTTTATAGGTCATTAAGAATTTTTTAAGCGCAAGAGCGTCAAATTTGGTCAAGTCGCAAATCACATTTATCCGTTTGAAGGTTTTTGGCTAAAACTGCGTGAATTTCAGTTGCTTTTCTGTAATTTTCGCGGTTCGAGCGCTCAAAATGCTTGTATTTACGTGATTTATCATTCTCAAAACCAATTCTGTCTGAAAACGATCAAGAAAGCGCAAAATGAGAAGTGTGGTTTTGAGGCGGCGAAGGCGAAAAAGCAAAGTCCGCGAAAAATGCGCCAAAACGTCATTAATTCTGAGAATTAGTGTGTTTTCATGTCGAACAATCATTTTTCATCGCCGTTGACCAAAAAAATCAGAGAAAACCTGCTCATTTCATGAAAACGCCATTTGGCCTCAGCCACGCCCATATTGTCAGCTCTGGAGACCGTTGACAACTTTTTTTGTGTATCACAAACATTCAGGAGGAGCAGTTCGACGTGTGGACCCTCTCGCTTCCGATCATGGTGACAGTGCACGGATCGCAGGACTGTGACGCGCAAGTGGCGATTCTGTGGCACCGCGCGTTCGCCTCGATCAGCCGCAACCCGACGGCGACGGACGTGACCGCCGTCACCTGGGAGAACCTGGCGCACATGCTCCGCAACAAATTCTCGCTGTTCACCGGCGCCCGCCGGCCTCTCTCCGACACTGATCTCGCCTACCTCAGCGAAAAGATGCTGACGCCGAACGTGGCCGACCAGAAGCCGATCACTTTTCACCGGTTCGCGAAGCAGGCGATGCGCGACGACCTGCCCTTCTCCTTCTGGGAATGGTTCTTCTCGATCATGCAACTCATCAAACAGAAACTGCTCAAGTTCTGGGACGAGGGCTGGTGCATCGGATTCATCTCGAAGCAGGACGCCTCGCAGTCGATGATCATGTGCCCGCATCCGTCGTTCCTGCTCCGCTTCTCGGACAGTCAGACCGGCGCCGTGTCGATCGGATTCGTGTGCGAGGAGGAGGACGGGCAGAAGATCCCGTTCCATCTGGCTCCCTTCACCATCAAGGACCTGGATCAGTTGTCGTTGGCGAATCGCATCGCCTCGTGTCCACAATTGAAGGATATCCGGTACATGTACCCGAACATTGACAAGGAAGAAATGCTGCGCTATTTCGACGCCGAGGAACGTCATCGCGTCGGCGGCGGGGACAGTCCCACCGGTTACATTCAATCGGAGATTGTGATGGTCGCCAAGACCAGCGGGTGAGTTTCAAACTCCCAAATCGTTTGTATCTTCTTGTTGCTGTTCCAGAAACTTCCGAAGAATGTCGAATGCGCCGTCGATGTTCGGCGCCGACTCGCCGTCTCCGTTGTCGATTCAGAGCAAACTCGACTGGTCGCCCGGCGAGATTCATCAGAATCACATGATGGAGATGTTAGTTGTGTAGTACCTACAAACGTTTATTACAAAATTCCTCCAGGAGCGAAGACCTCAGCTCGATCCTGACCGTGTCTGGCCTCGAGTCGATGTCCGGCGACGTCGAGACGCTTCTGGGCCCGGCGTTCAAGAACACCGTAAACAATTTCCATCCGCACGACGCTCATCAAGTACAGAACAACCACAATCTTCATTTTGTGGACATGTCGCACGGCGGAATGATGCCGCCCCCGCATCACAATCAGTTCTACCCTTCCTAGACTGTTAGATTACAAACATCCTTCCGAGCTCGCACAATATTACCTCATAATTCGTTCCAGAAAAACCAAAACCCTCCCCCCAGTCATTTTCATCCTATTAGCATCATATCCCACAGTCGGTCACATCGAAAAATCATGAACCATCACAACAGTGATCTCAGTTATTTGTTCGAAAGTATAATATAAGTTCTTGTTCTCAATCACCACTGTAAAATTGACAACCAAAACCTGCAATTCAATAAATTATATGCTATCCCAACACAAACACTTATTCGTCGAGATTCAGCCCACCAGAGTTGAGCGGAATTCCGTCTGCCGTGTTCCGTCTTCCGTCTTCCGTGGATTTTTTTGTTCCGTCTTCCGTCTGCCGTCTTCCGGGAAAAAAGTTATCTTCCGTCTTCCGTCTGCCGTCTTCCGGGAGAAAAATTTTCTTCCGTCTTCCGTTTTCCGTGTTCCGTAAAAACATTTTCTTCCGTCTGCCGTCTGCCGTCTTTCGGATTTCAAAATTCCATTTCCGCTCAACTCTGCAGCCCACCTATGAAAACCTTCTCTCCGCCGACTATCAAAAACGAAAGGAAACCAATTTTCTAGGTCTAAACTGTGGTCTTCTGCTCAATTGTTCAAGAGACAAACTCCCCGTTTCTTTTCTATTTTTCTCTCTTAAAAATCTGTCCGACAACACAATTTGATCGCAGAATTTCATTTTCCGTGTTTGCTATCGATTTTTACCTCTTTCAGCAACTTTTCATCAGTGATATTGGCAAGAAACATCGACAGAAATCCAATTTTTCGCAGAATCGCAGAATTCAATAAAACCGTGAGTCAGTGTGTGTTCTCCATTTTTACTATTGTTTTCCGTGGCATATCTGCTTGTTTATCACCGAAATTTCGCGCGCGAAAAACTGAACAATTCGACGTTTCTTACCGTTACGTCTTTTCTTCGAGATCAAACTTTCCTTTTCACGAAATTGCAGAAAATCGATTGGAGAAGCACGCCGTCCGCGCTCGATGGAGTTGATAGTTTCGAAACGAAACATTCTGGAAAAACGATCGATTCCCCTGTATTCAGTGAGTTTTTTCTTCTAAAAATGCTTCTGTTCCGTTTGTATGACTCACTGTGTACCCCACGTGCCCGTCGTGTGAGTCGCACGCCTTTCTATGAATTTCCAGCCGGATCGAAGTCATAACGATCATCTGGAATTGATAGAAAGGTGACCGAGAGGGTTATTCTTCGCTAAATCTGTTTCAAATCAGTTAATTTGTTGCTCTAAATGTCAAAACACACAATGCGTGCCAGTGGAACCTGTCAAACTTTCCAAAATCCACTTCTAAATGACATCACATCATCAAAGGAATTCTCGAATTCTTCCATTTTAGCACAAAAAAACGGGGGAGAAGATGCGTTGGCGATAGCGAGATGGATGGAAAAGGCGCGAATAAATCATATGCAGATAAGGGTGTTCCGTGAATTTCTGCGGACCAAAAAAGCGGCGAAAAATCGTTTCGGAAAGTGCGGCGCCGGTCGGTGAAAGTCCGTCACTTTCTCCGTCCACTTTCAATTTAGGCCACGCCCCGTTTCGGCGGGGAGATATTTTTCCGAGACGGGCGGTATTATTCGTCTCTTCGTGCCCGACCAGGAAGAGGGTCAAGTCATTCGGTCTAATCCTTTAATTTTAGTGTGAGAATGAAACTTTCCCTCCGATTCCATTTCGTTTTTTCAGGATTTTGTGCTGTAACACTTTTTTTTTCCAGATTTCTTCCGTATGTTGTGAACGGAAAAATGTTAACCCGATTTCTTATATTAGCCTGTTGTAAGTTCACGTTTTTTTTGTTTTTTAACTGAAAAATTGGTTCAGATGTGTACGTTCTCGGCGAAAGTTTGGCAAAGACGCCGGAAGAGACGGGCAACGAGATTGAGCAGTTTTTGGAGGAAAACGCAAAGAAAGGTGAGGATTTTCGAGGAAATTTTGACCGTCTGGGGCTCAAGCTTTCTGCTTTATATAACAGTATTTAAGGCGCCTAGGACACCATAGATCAGCGACCAATTTGTTTTGCGTTGCCGCAATTTTCTGCGTCAACGCAATTCTGCCGTTCCGAGAAGCTTTTAGTCTTCAGTGTCGACGTAGTTTTCTGCGTTAACGTCATCGGGCCGCTACTAGACATCATTTAACGCCTCAGGACATCGCTTCAAGCACGCAAGTTGCAAATTTCGAGTAATTGCGCATGTAACTTTCTCAAATCTTCATGAAATATATCGTCTTGAATTGCGATGACTTTTTACGGCAGCCGTTCCCCGAATCCTTACAGGGTATTAATACGAAAATAGTTCATTGACGCAATTCCAGTGCCTTAGTCCCTTTTGACCTCTTACTTCATCTTCTCTCCCCGGTTGACCATGTTTCTTTCATAACTTCATAACACTTTTCAAATCTCTGGGAGAAATGTCAAGTACGTCGCCTATTTGCAGATAACGCAGTTCGGAAAGAGGGCGGAAAGAAGACGGACAAGTTTATGGAGGATTTGATTGAAGTGCAGCGGACGTACCGAAATTTGAAGCAGAAATGGCAGCGGATAATGGAGGAAAAGGGCGAAGTGATGCGTGTGACCAGGTGAGAAACACAAAAAGGAAGACGTTTCGCAACCCGATTGCAAAGTGTCCGTGTGTACTAACACGACTAACCATAGTCTCTTTTCAGTTCGACGTCTTCAACCACAACGACGACGACGACGACGTCATCATCCTTGGAAGTTCAAGAGATCGATGTGGACGTGTTCGAGTCGCCCGACAAGTTCCAGGATATTTCGGAGACAAATTCCGCCTTCGATGACTCTGATTTCGTCGATATTTCCGCGACGAGTACGGAAAAGCCGTTGTCACAATTGGACGAGATTCAGAAGGCGATCAAGGAGGCGTTCGCTCCAGAATCTTCTGTGACGCTTTCCGATATTGTCGCTGCAACCACCGGCACCACTAAAAAGCGAAGTTTGGCGCTGGAGCAAATGGACGGTTCGCCCACACACATCCAACTTGCACAAACGACACCTTTGCCAGTGGCGCCAGCAGCGACAAATCAAAAATCGCTATTATCGACGTTTGGAAATGAAGAGCAAGTGGAAGTGGAAGTTGGAGTCAAGCCGAGGAGGCCATCGGTCAGGACCAGAGTGGCGACAGAGTGGCGGAGGAAGTTGACGGCGTCGGAGGAACAAGAAGAGGAGGAGGATCAGGACCAAGAAGATCCTTTCGAGACACCAACCAGTGCTTCAACTCCAGAGACCACTACGATTCCTTCAACCACAAGTACCACAACTTCTGCCCCAACTTCCACTACCACCACTCTACCCCTTCACGTCCTTCCTCAATCAACATTCCACTCTCTGGGCTCCAATCCCGACGCCCTCCCGGCTACGAACCTCTTCCGATACCCGTCTCAAGTACAAATTCCGTTCTATGGAACGTCGATGCCAAAACCTGAAGCCTCTGCTCGAAGGGTTGTGAGACCGACGACGCCGGAACCGCCAAGAACTGAAGAGGTGGAAGAAGCAGAAGAAGAGGAAGAAGTTGAAGTTCCGATGGATGAGAATGAAGATTCTGAATCTGAAGTGGACTACGATGTCTCCACGCCGACAGCTCTAGCATTATCAGCCACCACAACTACAGTAATACCGATCGAGAAGAACGAGGACTACGTGGAGGAGACGTTCAGTCGGGAGACCAATTCTGGGCTTCAGACTTTTGTTCCGGGTCAGGATGTCAAACCGCCGGGGACAGAACAAGTTCCCGCTTCTTTTGGAATCGGAAAAGCTCCAGAAGATTTTGGATCCTTCGGAAGCCCTCCAGGTTTTCGATCTGATGCTCCAAAAGCACTTTCCGAGCCAACTTTCGACACTTCAGGGGCATTTGGAATTGGAAAAGCGTTAGAAGACTTTTTCGGAGGTCCTTCAGAAGGTCCTGGAGGCTTCGGAAGTCGTAAAGGAGCGAAAACTGCTCCAACACCTCCGGAATCCAGCTCCTTTGAAAGCTTTGGAACCCCTCCGACTGGCTCCGAGCCTTCAAGCCCTTCAGAGCCCTCAACCTCAACTTTCGCATCTTCTGGCATCGGTAGAGCTCCACCAGGATCTGCGTTTGGCACCAAGAACGCTCCGAGAAGTGCTCTGTTCCCAACTCTCGTCGATCAAGTCGAAAACGTTTTCAATGAGGACACCAGTGCTCTCGGCTCATTCGGCTCGGCCGAAATGGGAGTTACTCCGAAAGTGCTGGCCAATTTGGAAGTGGATCAACATTTAGAGATCCTGGACGACGCACCAAGAGCTCCTCCGAAGTCATATAAGAATCTCGCACCGATCGGAATCTTTGACACAAAGCTGGCGGCGATCAACGGGCGCGCCTACAAACCGCCCATGTTTCCGTCGCCGATGAGCTCGTTGGCGATTCAGATGGCGCCGCCGAAGAATCCGTTCGTCCAGAGGACAACGGTGCCGCCCATCGGTCCCCATGGGCTCGCCGAACCGGAACGGATCACCAGTGTCAATATGGAGTTGCCGGCGTGGGGCACCACGAAGTTAGTGTTGGTGGCTGGGACTAATCTGGCGTTCAGTCTCAGGCCCACAGACGTTATTCAACCCTTCAACTTTCAGAGACCGCGGAATTATGAACAAGGCGCGTCGGGAGTACCAGAAAGAGTTCGAGCAGCAAATCCGCGATGTGCGAATGATCGACGAGGAGATCGCGAAGATCTCCCAGATGAACGACGACGGAAGATCAAAAAGCGGACAGAGGTGTTCAAAAGTGTACGCCCACACTCTGGTAACTACAGTAATGCTTCTTGAACAATCTACTCTTTCCGATTGCAGAGCCTTCCACAAATCCAGAAAATGTCCTCATCTCTCGGCCTTTCCGACGTCGCCGCCGTTCTTCAGAAGGCCTCGGATTTGAGCAGAAACATTGAGGAGATTGAGGTTTCTTTTGTGAATTGGTGAAGCTTCACGACCTACAAATGTTCAGATTTCACGACTCGAAGTGGAGCTAGAGGAGAAGCGAAAACTGATTGCCAAAGTGGAGATCCTGCTCTCGCTGGCCGAATCGCGTGCTCTTCTGTTCGATTTGCTGAAAGAGCAGAAGAAAATTGTGGAGAAGATGGAGAATCAGGCCCTGGACATGCTTCAAAAGACGAATCTGCCGCCGGTGACGCCGAGCTCTTTCTCGGCCGCCAACGACATTTCCGAGCTCTCTTCTGCGGTCAAGCAAGTGCTCGGCTCCGTCAGCTCGACGGTTCCCAACCCGACCAAAGGATGGTCCCAGAAGAGTCGGAAGAGCAACAAGAAGAAGGCGTTGCTCGCGGAGCCGATGATGAGTCCGCACAAAAAGACGGGACATTTGCAGGAGACCGCCGAGATTGTCGAGCCGGTTCTTCAGGCGCAAAACGACCAATTCGGTCGGCAACCGGTTGTGATGGTACATCGGCGGCCGCTTCCGTTGGCTCCGCCCACCATGTCTCCGTTGAGTTTCAATTTTGGTGAGTTTTTGACTCAAAGTCATTGCAAAATGTGGGTCACCATATAAGAAAAAAGTAGAACTTGTACTTTTCACTTAGAATATTTATTAACTGTAGTAGAATTACTTGAATAAGAAATAAGACGAATAATGCATACAAGGTAGCGGTATATATAGTGGTTGTATATAATAGGTGTCAGTCAGTGCCCGTGAATCATAACTAATATGTTAGATTAATAATAGAACTGGCGTATGAATAAATGACTAATATGTTAGATTAATTTGAAACGGTTCTTTTTCACCCTGAAGGGTGACAGACACTTCGCAACCAACATTCACTATTAGTATCAGTTGCGAAACGTCTCCAATTTCAGCCCAAAAAGCGCGAGCCGCCCATCATCTAACTGCTCAAACCCCGTTGGCTCCGCCTTTTTTCCGACCGCCGACCGACGTGGAAGTGACTGAAAGCGAAACGGTCCATGAGCTCATCGACATGCTCCACGAGGATATTGTCAAACTGTAAGTCTTCGGGGCTCCAGACTACTGTCGCCTACCGTAATCCGTAAATATTAATACTGCAGTCGGGCGTCACAAAAAGAAATCCGGTACTCCAGAATCAGGTCATTTTTTGAACAATTTCTAATCCCGACTAACTGGGGCGGAATTTCTAACACTTTTTGGGCCAAAAACGTGAAAAGCAAAAACATTTGGCAATTTACAGACCGGAAGAGCAAGAGGAACAAGTTTGCCGGCAAGTTCAATGCGATTTTGAGAAAGGTTTTCCTTTTTCTGTTTTTTGAAGCCTTTTCTGACTTCCAACACGAATTTGCAGCGGATCTGTGCAATTTCGAGTCTTCGCACGACGAGACCACTCGCCGACGCCTTCAGAAATTGCGGAAAAGGGACCGGCGCTCGACGGTGCTCGGCGACGATTTGCTCGCGGAGCAGTCCTCGATCGCCGACGACCTGCTGCCGTACACGTTCCGCGCGTGGAGCATCTGGGCCGGACGGCGGGCGGATCGTCAAAAGCAGATCGATATCGGACGTGAGTGATTCGACTCGAAACTTTTCTGTAAAAAAACTGTAAAAATCAGAGTTTCGTTGACAACATTTGCAGCTCAATTCGATAAATGAATTTGCAGCCTCCTTCTCCTCGTCGAACCGTCACTTCTCGGCGGTGTTCCTCGAGCCGCAGCAGGCGGGCATCCTCTCGGTTCCGCTGATCCTCTCGGGAACCTCCACGCGGATCCGTCTCCGTTTGTTCGAGGGCACACGCGGAATGCGTCTGCGCGTCTGCTGCGATCGTTGGTGTCCGATGGAGACGGAGCCGGGCGTCTATCGGGGCCATCGGATGTGGCTCCAGAAGACGGTGACGTGTCCTGCGAATACGCAAACAGTAAGGGGAAAAATTTGGGTTGCAGAAGAACAGGCGTTCGAAATCGCCTGTTTCGCATGTTCAATGTGGCGGTTTTTCAAAACAGGCGATTTCAGGCGCCTGTTCTGCAACCCTAGAAAGCATTCTGAAAAATTTAAAAATAGGTAAATTTGCAGCTCTCCTTCGAGTGCCTGAACGATGGTCCGGATCGCGGAGCTTGTGGAGTCGACGACGTTTTCGTCGATTCCTCCAGATGTCGTCACTTGTTCGACGGGCCGGATCAATCCTAAAATAATAAATAGACAACAAGGGGATTTTCTAAACGGGTCTAGGCGCTAATGACTTTTTTTTGTTGTTCTTCCTAATAAATTGCAAATTTCTCTCGCACAAGTGTCTTGTATTTTTCAGCAAAGTTCAAGTTCAACTAGCAAAAAAATATGCACGGGGGAGGATGGGGGTACAATAAAGAAAACGACAAAACTAACAGACAAAACGGGCGGATAACAAGTGAAAAGGAGAGAAAAAAAAGAGAGTATTTCGAGTGCGGGTGTCATGATTTAATAGTCATCTCCACGGGAGACGACCTCCTTCACAGTCGGACGCATCAGAATGGTGTGCTCCCATTGCGCCGTGTAGCAGCCTTTCACGTCGCACAACGGCGGATACGCGTCCACGATTCCCTGCAAAATATTGACATATTATAGGAACTTCAACGTAAAGAGGTAAATTTGATGATTCCTATTTTCTTTTCGCGCACAGAAGGTGCGTAATAAATAATAATAATAATAATTTTCCCTCACCTTGTCGCAAAGATCCTTGAGCGCCATGAGATATTTCGTCTCTCCGAGACGGTCGATCCAACGGCGACAGAATGCGAGCGTGCTGAAGTTCTTGTCGATGAGATTGAGCAGTCCCTTCGACTTTTGCAGTCGGAGCGGGATCTTCTCGTCGGCCAACTCGAAGTTCTTCATGTAATGCGAGCACTCCATGTCGTCGTGCACCAATCCCTTTCCAGTGGAGCCGAACGTCTCGATCGCGTAGATTTCGTTCTCCTCCATCTTCGTCTGCTCACCGCCCTTCACAATCGGCACCGTCTTGCCGGCGTGGATGCGGTACTGGGCGATTGAGTGGCCGTTCAGGTTGCGGATCGGCTTCACCACGTACGTCTTTCCCTCCAACTCGACCTCGTGCGACGTCATCACCTCCTCGACGACTTCGCCGACGTCGCAGAGACGCACGTCGATGCCCGACTCGCGGATTCCGGCGTTCGTCGCCTCGCGCACCGCCTCCACGAGCGGATCGAACTTCGGGTCGAAGTGAACGGTGAACGCCGAGTCGATGAGACGCCCACGCACGTGGATTCCGTAGTCGATCTGAATAATAATTGGTAGAAAAATTAAGTTGGGGACGTTTTGCAACAGAATTTGCTCAAGAAACCCGTTTTTTTGCAACAAGAGCAACAAATAGGTGCGCGAGAAGGCGAAAAGACGAAAATTGAAAATATCGCTTTTTTCCTCATTTCCCCCCAAGTTCCTACCTTGCAGACGTCTCCGTACTGCAAAACAGTGGTGTCTCCGGCGTTCGGGGTATAATGGGCGGCGCAGTGATTCAGAGAGCATCCGGTCGGGAAGGCGAGTCCCGCCTCGAGTCCGTTCTCTTTGATGAGACGGCGAGAAGTCGTTTCGAGACGTTCGCTGTAAAAAGGTTATTCTGATAAGAAAACTAACATAATTTGTTGGAAACGGTTGATTAAAGATTTTAAGGGATCGAAGGGATGGTTTTTGCCAGTTAGGAACATAATTTAAGTGTGTTCAGATATAAACACTCAAACTATGCGGTTTTCCGAATATCCCACTTTTTCTACTAGAAAATGTTGAAAACGAACCAGATATCGATCATGCTCATGCCCGGCTTGATCCACGACTTGACGTACTGTCTGACCTGCCGATGCGCCTCGGCGGAACGGCGGTAATCCTGCCACGTCTCTTCGTAGCTCGCGTCCAACGCCTTTTTTTCCTCGTTGCTCTCACGGTCCGTCGCCACGCGTCCGTCCTTTCCCTTCAGGTAGTACGGCGTCTCGTCCTTGCTGTGCGGGAACTTTCCGTCGGCAAACTGCTCGTCGATCGGAGTCATCGCCGCGATTTCCGCCTGCCACGCTTGCTTGGCGGCTGCTGGCGCGACGGCGGCCGGCGAATCCGACTCCGAAGAGCCGGCGCCTGCAGAATTGCACTTGGAATTTGAAAAGGCGAAGTTTTCACTATTTCCCTTTTAAAAAGCGATTCAGAGCTCAGTCTCGTTCAAATTGTAACCATTTGAGTTCCATTTGAGAGAAATAGTAAGTGAAATGAAACTTTTCAGAGCTTCTTCAAATCATCATTGCTCTGCTGAATCGTACTCGTGAACCTCCGCCTCCAATTGGAGGCGGAGGGTTGCGAGATTGTTTAAATTGTTCCTTTTTTTCAGTCGACCACCCTGTCCATTGTTCACCCCCTTCGCCTCAGTTTTATACCTTTTTTGCCCTGAGCGGTCTTCTTTTTCGTAACCTCCTTGGCGGCCGCCTTCGCGTCGGCCATGTTCAATTCAGCGAGAATCGCATCGAAATCCTCATCGGGAGCAGCTGAAAAACGGAGTTTCCGGAATGAACCTACGTGGAATTGATTTGAAAACAATTCAGAAAAGAAATTAAGAAAACAAAAAACCTCGATAATTGAAATGCGCGTGTTTCATGAAACGAGTATGTTTGAAACTTATCGGGCGGTAACGAATGCGCTTCACTGTCAAAAATTTACAATTTTCAGTGGAATTTCAAAATATCAATATTTTTCAAAGCTTACCAGCCTTCGAGGGTCCGCCCTTCTTTCCGGTTTTCTTAGCGTGCGCTGGTGGCATTTTCGGATGAGATTCTACAAAATTGGGTTAATTTCTGGAAATTTCCAGAAAAATCACAGAAAATATGGCAAACGGTGTCGAACGACCAGAAATAATCGAAGAGATTGGGCAGAAAGTGGGAAATTTCAAAACTTATTTCAGATTTAGCGCAAAAAGGAGCAGAAACGGAAAAGTGATCATGCAATAGAACAGAAAGAAGAGTTAACCCGGGGAAATGGATGGAGAACACAGAAAAAGCTACCGGAGGGGGCAAATATGAGCGGAATCTGAACGTTTTACAGAAAAAATCAGCAAAACTACACTGAACACACAATTGTCACGGCGATCGACGAAAAATGGCAAAGCTAGCTATTTTAAGGAAAAACAAGCTAATTATCAACAAATTTCACTACAAACTGGGTCGATGGAACGCGGAAGTCATCAAGTCGATATAAGATTGGGCGGCCGCCTGGAAATTGATATTTCGCACGTAATTGGCTCCCAATTGTGCCATTTGCTGCTGGAGTCTTTCCGGAGCCGCTTTTTCTTCTTCTTCTTCCTCTTCGTACCATTCTACTTCTTCTTCATCCCAATATTCTTCATCCTCTACTTCTTCCTGATTTTCCACCTTTTCCGTCTGACTCTCCGCATCCACAATCACTTTTTCGTCGTCTCCATTTTCCGTTTGCGTCTCAATCTCGCCAATCTTCGAATCCTCGATCCGAATCTGATGATTTAGCCACGCATTCTGCTCCGCCAGTCGGCGCTTGTACATCTCCACACGATTCTTGTACACTTGTGGAGGATCTCGTTGGGGAACCTGAAATGTTAAATAAGGGTATGAATTTTCGGAGAAATCCACTGGTTCTGAGCTCGAAAATGTGATTGTTAAAGCTCAAAAGCCTTTAAAAAAAATCTTAGCACAAAGCTGACCACTGGCCCGATCCTTCTCGTCTCTCCGTCCTTCTGCTCGCTGCGCTTTTCCTCGAACTGCCGTCTGACCCTCTGCTTGTACTCCTCCCAGCTAGTCTCCCGAATCTCCACCCGCGCCGTCGTCCTCCCGCTTGCCACCAGCTCCACCCGTTCGGCCTCCCGCTTCGCCTTCCGCTCCTCCACCACTTTCTTCCGATCCTCCTTCTCTTTTCGTCGCTGTCGCCGCAGTTGCTCGCTGACCGAGCACCGCATGCTCGGATCCAACACCCACGGCTCTTCGGAGGTGTCCCACTTGCCCTTCACGTACTCGAGCCACGTTTCCCGCGAGTGCTTCATCTGCACTTCGATCATTTTAAAGCGCGAATAACGAATCACTCTCGTCTTCTCTTTGTTATTCCTATTTTTCGCGGATTTTTTCGACAATCTCGTCGCCTCCACTGGGGTTTCCAGTTTTTCGGGCTCCTGAGCCACTGGTTCCTTCGGGAACGCGTCTTTGAACGGTTCTTGGCTCAAATCGAACTTTGATTCGGCATAGTTTCGCCATTGTGCGTCGGTAAAGGCGTCACGAATGTGCTGCAGCTCTCCACGCATATAATATTTCTTTTTGGCTATTGTTCGTGTCGGAACGAACCTAAAATTAGTGCATTTTATTGAACATTGAACAAAAACGCAAAAACTCACTTAAATTTGACGGGCTTCTCCGCCTTCTTCTCCTCATTCTTAACTCCCTTTTTCTGTGCGTTTTCCACCTTTTTCGCCTCAATATTCGCCTTCAACTCTGCCAATCGTTCTTTGAACGTCTTCTTCTCCACCACCACTTCCTCCTTTTCTTCTTCTTGATCCCCAGCTCCGTTCTCTCCGTTCTCTCCGTTCTCTTTGTCGCTTCCACTTGGAGACGTCACTTTTGACGTTTCTAAAGCTTCTGAAGCTTCTGACGACGTCGCTTTCATCGCCATCATCGAGTTTCTGTCATATTTGAAGGTCACCACGTCTCCGTTCCCAGAAGCGGCACGTGCCTTCTGCAGCGATTCTATAGCCGTTTTCCGATCCGGAACCTTTTCCAAATCGTTGGTAGCCTCCCTTTTGACAGATTTATCGAACTGAAAGCGAGAAATTTCGATAAAAACCGGGGAAGATCGCCACTTACATCGATGAAAAACGGCAGTTGGTCCCAAAAATCAGTGTTTTTCGGCAAATCCTGAGGCAACTCCTCGAGCCGTGCCCGTTTCGTCGTCACTTTTCCGCGATAGGCCAGCGCTGTAAAACATCTCATCGCCTTCTCGTCTTCCAAAAGAGTGATGGCTGCTCCGTGGGCTCCGAAGCGAGCCGCCCGTCCAATCCGATGGAAATAGGTCTCTTCGTTCGCCGCCGCGTCGATGTTCACCACCAGATTCACGTTTTCGGCGTCGATTCCGCGAGCGGTCAAATCGGAAGACACCAGAATTTTCACACGTTTCATCCGCAATTGATCCACAGCCAATTGACGATCCTTCTGTGACATGGCGCTCGAGACGAACGTCACGTCGAGACCTTCGGACTTTAGATGAGCCGCGATCGGTTCGCATCTGAAAAAATTAAAAATGTTGCTTTTTCTTTACAAAAAAACCCGGTTACTTTGCAATTTGATCGCAAAAAACGAGCGCCTGAACGTAGCGAATCGATTTGAGAACGCTGGTCAACTTTTCGAGCATTGGCGTGCACTTTGTGATGACGTACTGCTTGATTCCGACGAGTTGAACGTCATCTGAACGGAAAAGTTGAAGTTTGAAAATCGAGGAAAACAAAGGAAAAAAAGCGCACCTGCGTTGAATCGGACAAGTGCCGCGTCTCGCAGGAACGTCGACAACAATTGGTCCAAGTTCCGGGGATATGTGGCCGAAAACACGGCCACTTGACGAACCGGCGGCAGCGCGTTTATTAGATAACTGCAAAAATTGCGAATTTCGGAGTAAAGGCTGGATTCCAACTTGATATCATCCTTGAAAATGTCGTCCATCAGCTTATCGGCCTCGTCGAGCACGAAAAAATCGACGCGCGAAATGTCCATGGCGCCCATTTTGAGCAATTGACAAATTCGACCGGTTGTACCGATTACAATCTGCGGATCTGTTAATTTTCCAGATTCTTGCAAAAATTTCAGCGGAAGTTTGACTTACGAGTGGTCTGCAAATCGTAGACGTTCTGTTTGTGTGGACAACCGCCGACAAAGACGCTGAAAAGTATAAAATTTTAAAGAACAAAAATAAAAAGAACTCACGCAGTTCTGGAGCCTGTCGGCGAGACTTTCCGCACAGTTTCACGGATTTGAACGGCTATCTCTCGCGTGGGCGTCACTATCACTTTCTGAATGTACGAGGCGCGAACGTCCAGATTTTCGACGGCCAGCACCGAAAAAACTAGAGTTTTACCGGTTCCCGACTTCGCCTGCACTAGCATATCTGTAAAATTATTAATAATTGCACATTTCCATTATGAAATGCTCTAACCTCTACCCAGAAGTCCGATCGGAATGGCTTTAGCCTGAACAGGCGACGGCCTTTCGAAATTCGCGTTTCTCAGTCGCTCCAACGTCTTTTTGCCGATCATGAGCGACTCGAAAGTGCAGTCGGATTGCACATCGATCGAACTGCCGCGGTCTAATATCTCAATCACTTCCGAGAATTCCATTTTTAAATCCTAAAAATTGAAGTGACTTTTTGAAATGCTACCGAAAACACTCTATTTTCAGCGTTATTTTGAAACGAGAACGTGAAAAATCAAAACTCCAAATGTCTGTTCAACTTTTCTGAAATGTAAAATTTTTTTTCCACTTGAAAAATATTGAATCTAAGGTTGAAAACTGGTTGCAAATGTGACTTGAATTTTTTCGATTTTGTGTGCCGCACGGTTTTATGGGCGGAGTTTACCACTTGCAATTCTGCCGCACGCGTTTACTTACGCTTCTTAAATAAGACAACGCGTTCCGATGCATCATCAGCGGTTCAAATGCGATGCATCGGCAGTGCAATGGCGACTAAAAAATGAATACAACTATTCCATGGAATACTTCCATGGAATGACTGTTTTTGTGTGTGTCCGTTTCTGCCAACACAGAAAATAATTTTATTGCACTATCAAAAACGAAAGAAAACCAATTTTCTAAGTATAAACTGTGGTCTTCTGCTTAATTGTTCGAGAGACGAAAAATTTTGCGAAAGTTAATTGAAAGAAACGGACAAAATGCTCATATAAATACACAAAAACAGTTATATTATGTCGCGGTTCTATTGTGTCGCGCGGTTCTATTCTTCGCAGTTCTATTCTACCCGGTTCTATTATGTCGCAGTTCTATTATGTCGCGGTTCTATTCTGCCCAGTTCTATTATGTTGGACCGCCGGAAAGTCAGTGGAAATAAGGGTTGCTAAACAGTGCGCGCAACGACGCTCCGCCCGTAGGCTCGGCGTCGCCATTGCATCTCGCGAGATATCTCGCATGCATCGCATTTGTTACCACCGATACATCGCAAACCGTTGTCTGAGTACCTCGTGGTTTTTCAAGCTCGATTTCCAAATTCATGCTGTTTTTGTTTATTTTTCGATGAAACTTGATCTATTTTCAGCGTTTTCCATGAGAAAATTCGTCGAGAAAGACATTTTAAACTTCAAAGTAAAAAATGTTCCGTTACTTTCGTCATACGCTGAAAATTTTGATATTTCAATTTTCTAGCGATTTCTTGCCGTTTCTCTGTAATTTTTCTGCTTCTTATGAAAAGCAACGTCTTCTTTGCGAATTTCGAAATATTGGCACTCTGACACTTATCGATTTCCAATCGTTCCCATCCTCAAAATGCAATACTTTTAGTCCAAAAATGACCGACCGTAACGAGAAAGCGGTGAAAGCGATGATCGAACTGTTCAACGAACTCAACCAAGAGCTGCCGGGCCGAACGGCCGAAGGCCTGGCCGAAATTGAGAAGCTCGACCAGGAAACAAAAGAAAAAACTGAGGAATTGCATAAACGAAGAATTTATTATATGAAACGGCATAAGGACCTGACGCCCGAGCAACTTGAAGGCGGATTTCAGTATATCCAGGTGAGAAAAATGAAAAATTTTTGTAAAAATCCAGAATTTTCCAGGATGCAATGGCAAAATTAGTGAAAATTGGCGACAAAAAGTTGCAAATCGCCGCCGGAATCCGCAAACGAATGTGCGATGTTCTGAAGACGTACGACGAGACCGACAAGAACTTTATCGAGAACTGGGAGGTAGAGGAAGAAGAGCCAGTGCCGGAGAAGCCTGTGGAGCCGAAGGACCCTCCGAAGACGGCGAAAAGCGGAAGAAAGTCGAAGATCGCGGAGAAGGAGGAGGAAGTGGAAGCGCCGGAGGAGAAGAAGAAGGTGAAGCGGGGAAGAAAGAGAAAGAACGAAGTGGTAAAGGAAAAGGAGGAGGAGGAAGATGACGACGGAGAAGAGAAAGAGGAAGAAGGAGGAGAGGAAGCGGCGGCGGCAGATGACGACGGCCGACGGTGGTGCTGGTGCAAAATGGTAAGCGAATGGAAGATGTTGAGCATCTTTGAAGAGTTCTCACATTTTTCTCAATGTTTGCTCAAAAAATGTTTTCCTCTTATTTCTCAAGCGCTTCTCTAAAGAAAGCAGGAGTTACAGAACAAAGATGGCGAAGACATGGTGTGCTGCGACAACGACGTCTGCCCGCTCGCCTGGTTCCACTTCTCGTGCATAGGCATCACTCGGGCGCCCGCCGGACGCTGGTTCTGCTGTACGGCGTGCAAGGAACTCGGCGACGAGCAGGAACGACTGAGAACCGAGGAGAAGCAGAAGAAGCAGCAGCAGCGTGGAATCAAGAGAAAGAAGTGACTTATCGGCGATTTTTTATAATTTTTTCTGAACAACTTACCTTCTTCATCCCATTACTAAACAAAATAATGATTTTCCATAATTTCCATGAGAAACCGCTTACTTTCGAACTCAATCATTCTATCTGATCGGTATTTTGTCTGTAACAACCCATCACAATTCCCGCTTTTCCATTTACTCCTCTCGAATGAATACCGATTATTCTGCGCTTTTTCGTTGTATTTAGCAGGATATCCTTGTGAATACTATATTTATCATGGATTTTTGTGATTTGCCAATAAAATTTGCGAAAAATAGATGGAATCATCGCCGTCAGCAAGCCAAGAGCATCCGATAGAGTCCGAAAAAGTTGTTGAGCAGGAGAAAAGGTGGTGGCATTTTGAAAAGAAAATTGCGTCATTTTAGCATTTCAGAAGTTCGGTGCTATTGAAAACCGTCCAGTGTCCGTACAATACAGAGCACCAGGTAGAAAATCGGGAAAGAAAAAATAATTTTTAGGCCATTTTTTCCAGGTCCCACTTCAAAATTTCAACGAGCACGTCTGGCAGTGCCGTTTCGAACGCATGTCGTTTTATCCGCACGCCCTCGAACTCAAAAGGTACACGGCAGTTGTGAAACTGTGCGAACCATACTTGCAACCGGCCCGAGCCCGACCCGAAAATCGGGAAAAATTAGGAAATTTAAACTGAAAACCCGATTGTGTACCCGGCGCCAAATCTCATGACACTTTGTTGCAGATGCAAGTACGATATTCGCCATTTCCTTCCGAAAGAGGAGCTCGAATTTCACGAACTTTACTGCCGACAGGAGGCGGAAGAAACGTTGAAATTGCTGAAAACCGAGCCAATCGAGCTGGATGTCGGCCGATTTTTGGCGTTGCAAAAAGAGCGGAACCGGCTGGAGGGCCAATGGGACGACGACGATTCGAACAGCGATTCGGACGACGATGACGGCGATCGGAAGAAGAAGAAGAAGGAGAAGGAGGTGACGTCGGAGATCGAGGATTCCGACCTGGACGAGGAGGACCGCGACGAGACCATCAAACGCCTCGTGTACTTGGATCTGATCAAAAAAATTAACAATGCGGAGATGAAATGATTTGTTTTTATTGTTTTATCGCTTTTTTTCCAGGAATAAAGTAATGATCACTATGGAAAATTGCTGAGAAATCTATAAATGTCCAATTTTCTGCAAACCTGATGCAAACCGCGCATTTTCTGATAAATTTTCCCATCATATTTTTGAAGTATGCAAAATTTACAGGAAATCCGAAGAAAAATGAGTGAAGCTGCTGGTTATTGGACTATTCCGGTCAGATAATTGTCAAAAATCAATGGAACGCAAAGGTTAGGCTTTTTGAATTAAGGCATATCAAAAATAAGTGAAAATCGTGCTAAGATCCCTGATATTGGCTTAAGAACAGTACAATTCGCAATAATTGCTGATTATCATCGAGAAAGTGCAAAATTTCCGAAAATGCTTGCAAAAACAGCGAAAAGCGCAAAATCTAAATAGAGCGCACTTTCCTCCGGCCCTCCAATCAAATAAGTAAATAATCCCACATCGGGCTTGCTCTTCATGCTCATTTCCCTAATTAGCGCGCGTCCCGCCCGAAATTCCTCTAATCCCTCATTTTCCTTCCAATTTCCTCCTCCAAAAGAGAGGTCCGGAAAGGAAATTGGTCGCGCCCGCCCAAATACTTCTTCTTTTTCTCCTTCTTCATTGAGAAAAGAAGAAAAGTTGCAATAGACTTGGACGCACTTCTTGGAGCTATACGAATTCTCTGAGATTTTGGGTGCGTCGAAAAGAGAAAGAGCAACAAGTGTTCCCCCGGGGACACTTTTTGCATAATATCAAGATTCTTGTTGTCTTTTTGATTTATCTATTGTCCTTTTCCTCTTCCTTATATTCTACTCCCTTTGTTCTACTCCCTTCCCCGTCTTTTCGAGTACTTCTTGGCCTGTCGGTGCCTTCTTTTCGGCCAGTACATTGGTCTGTGCGGGCACTTGTCCTCCACTTCAAACCAAGGAACACGAGAAGGCTTCTTTTGGATTTAGGTCGGGCCAGATGGTTTGCGCATCGTTCTGTCCGAAATTCCGCTTTTTTCTTGAAAGTTCTCGTCAATTGGTGCGCCGCAATATCGGAGCGTCGTTGTTGCGCGCGCGCGGGAAGATCACTTTTCGTCGGAAAGAGGACAGTGTCGCTCAGCTTTGTTTTGCAAACTTCTGCGCTTTTTGGCAGGCCGCGAATTTTCTCACCGAATATTCCGAACATTTGAAGAGCCGTTTCTTTTTTAATTCTCTGGAAATCTCGATAAAACCAACCAAAAAGAGACAGTGCTTTGAACTTCCGCTAGGGACACTTTGCAACCAATACTGTTTTTCGACTAGTCAAGGCGTGTCAGGTCGCGTTGCTGGAGCTGTTAAGTGAAATTTTTTGTTTGATTGCAAAGTATCTTGATCTTGTTACAGACCATCTTCAATTAAATTTTGAGTTTCGTTTGCACTAAAAAAACGTTGGTTTTTCCACCTTTTCCGCTCGAAAAAAATTATTTTTCCCCAATTTCTCCATCTATTCCTCTTCCTCCTCGGCCGTCGTCTTCGCGTTTTCCGCCGCCGCCGTGTGCCCTACTTATCGATCCCTCCGCCCCTCTTCTCGCGTGGAGCTTCTGCCCATGTGTGAGCATGTGTGTGTGCCAAAGTGTGTGCTCCAAATGCTCGGCCGTCCGTCCGCGTCGAGAGGAGCTTTCAAACTTATTCATGTTCATTTCATGTTGTCCCCCTTTTCTTTCTCCTCTAAAAGGAAGTGGCCCCCGAGCTTTGGTCCTTTGCCTAAAATTTCCGAGCATTTGCATACATTTATCAGTTTTCTCTGCCTGCTTAATCCTCTTTTTCTCTCTTTTTTCTATTATGAATGTCTGAAAATCTCAATGAAATTGTTGAGCTTTGTTCTGTTTGTCGCTAACTTTTCGGTTCCTCTTTTTCCGTGTTTCCCCAAAAAACGAACAGATAGAATTGCAAATTAGGCTCCTCTCTCTGCTCCAAAAAATGTGCACTTTTTCGGGTGAAGAGCAGTCGACCATGAATAATCAAATTAGGCGGCTTCTCTCTTCTCTTTTCGTCCTTTGTTCTTCCACTCACTTTTCGTGTTTCTCCATCCCGATTTCTCGATTTACATGCGGAAATCACAGAAAAAAGAGTAAAAGAAACACTGACGGATCGGACCGTTTATTCAGGATTTTATTTCCAAAGTTCTATACAATTCTCCTTCTTCTCCGTCGTCGTTTTCTTTCATTTTTTTCTGCGGCTCTGCTCCGAATTCTCCGACGTGCCGTTCCGCTTGCCGCAACAGTACGAGAAGGCGATGACGATCCAGGCGACGACGAAAAGTGCGCCGATGACGATGAGCACGATAATCCAGATGTGGAACTGTCCGTCGTTGTTCTTGTTGCTATCGTCCAATCCCATTGTGTCCAACGCGCCGTCCAGCCAACTCATTTATTGGAAAAATTATTCGGCAAGAACTTTTTCGTCCGACAAATTTGCTTTTTCGAAACAGATTCTTATCAGTTTCACGTGAAAAACTCATGATTTCCGGAATGTTCAGCGAAAATTTGCGAAAAGTTCGTTTCCTCAATATTTTTGTGAAAACGCGCTCTACCGCACTTGTTTGCTCAACATTTTCGTCGTTCTACTATTTTCTTACGTTTTTCAGCAAAAAGGCAGCAAAAAATCGTCATTTTTCTTGTCGCTAGTGAAAGTTCTGGTGCAAATGCACTCCATCGCATTTTCTGTTAATAATGCGGAATATTTCGGATTTTCCGCCAAATTTCCGCGAAATTCAATCGACTCCAAGAAGCGCAAGTATTTCACGATAAAAAGTAATTTTTGTCATTTGCCCATCGTTTTCTCGTCATTCGTTCCGTTTCTATCGAACGACCATCAGATTGTTGCCTTGTGTCCGCTGTTCCGTTTGCGCATAAAGTAGAAGAATCCGGTGGCGGCGCATCCGGACGCGGCTTATTGTCACTTTTGGAACGATGATAGTGAAGAGGAAAATGAGCAGCCACAGCATCTTTCGCGAAGAGTATTGTAGGTGTTTGAAAAGTTGGTTTTTAGATTGAAAGTGAAAAGTGAAGTCGAAAGGATGGAAAAGCGTCATCTTTATTGGTCACATTTCACTTGGTTCAAATTCGAACTTGTCACTAACGAGTCAACTCCAAATTTTCCTGACTTCTCCGCCTACGCACCGAAAAGTAGAGGTAGACACAGGATCCGATGAAGCAATAAAACGCGACGATAGTTAACATGGTAAGGATGATCAGGGCAATTTCGCGTTGCTCTGGCGTCAGCTTTTGAGTCATTTTTGGAAATGAGTTAGTCGGAATCAAGTTAGATTAAGAAAAGGTCAACTCGCGCCCACTTTTTGTTTGAATCATTTATTGGCAGCGAGTTTAGTTTTCATTCGTTTCTTCCGATTCGATCCGATCCATTAACGACTCATGCAGTCCAAACTCTCTTGACTCGTCCTCCTACGCAACAGACAGTAAAGAAAGACGCCGGCGAGCACGAGACCATCCACTGCGATCGATACCAGCACAATCAGAATGTAGTAGACGATTTTCTGCTCCTCGCTTGTCAGACGGCGTTGCATTCTTTTTTGAAAGAAATATGGAATAGAGTTCGCCCACGCATGCGCTAGAAGGCCACGTAGACGGGCCTTACAGTTTCCAACCGGCTTGTCTCTAAGTAAACGCGCTACACTGCACTCTGCACCTTTTCATTTTTGTTTCCAAGCGCGCCAGAGGTCATCTTCAGGTTTTCCAGCTCTAGGTAGACAGAAACGGGCAAATGTCGAAATTTATTCAAAAAAAAAAAATGTCAATTTGTGTCCTCGGATTCTTCTACCGAATGACCATCACCTGGTCTCCGCCACTGTTCCGTTTCCGCATGAAATAGAAGAATCCGGCGGCGGCCATTCCCGACACGCACAGCGCTCCGATGATAATGACGACGATGATCCAGACGGCGATGACTCCTCTCTGCTGCTCCGGCGATAGATCGTTGTAGTCGGCGGAGCCAAGGGGAAGAAGTGCGGCGGCGATGAGAAGAATGAAGAGAAGCGCCTTGCTCATAGTCGCTCCGATTTGAAGAGTACTGTAGTTGTTCGAAAAACCTCTTAAACTGAGCTCAACTCGACTTTTGGGTCTTTTTATAGACATGACGCTTATCGAGAGAGGTCATCTTCACGGAGGAAAACTAACTTTTTTGAATTTCGGCGTGATTTTGTGATTTACATGATAGAATGGACTAGAATTTGTAGATTTCTAGGCCAAAAGCTTCATTCCATTCAGTCCCCGTATCCGTTGTCGCTCCAGATTATCCAAAAAACGGCCCGTCGTATATTGTCCGTTCCTTCCATCTCTTGTCACGACTTTTCGACAATGTGTGGTCAGTTTTCAGGCACACGTGCGAATTCAATTTCTATTTCCAACAAGAGCTGACAACAAAACACCAAAAATATTTATTCAAAACGAATATAGCCTTGTTGATCCCACGCTCGATCCGATCGTCCGATTCTTCTACCGTACGACCATCACTTGATCTCCGCCACTGTTCCGTTTCCGCATAAAGTAGAAGGCTCCGGCGGCGGCGATGGATCCCGAAATGCACAAAGGGACGAGGACGATGAGGATGATGAGCCAGACGGCCATTCCTTTCTGTTCATCGGTCAAATTATTCCATTGCTCGTTGTTGTCATTGTAATAAGCCGTGGTCGCCGAGATAAGCACGAGGAGGCTGAGAGTCCAAACGAGACGTTTCGAGGCGCTCATAGTTGCTCTTATTCGAAGAGTACTGTAGTTGTTCCGAAAAAGATTGTCCGTTGAGGGACTAATGTCGAAACTTTGAACTTTTATAGGCGAATGCAATCAGCTTATCAACTTATCTCTAATTCACGTAAGGGCCAACGTTAACTGATATGATCTTTGTAACAACAAAACAATTATCTTTATTAGAAGACTCTTGGGGGACTAGTTTCGCGCCTAGGTGGCCCCACTTTTCGCGAATAAGTCAAGCACTCCACTTCATCCGCGCTAATCTCTCATTCGTTCGCCATTGCGCAAAGCGGGAACACCACATCATTTACCAACTACTTAGCACTCTTTCTCTCTCTCTTTCTCTCTCTCTTTCTCTCTCTCTTTCTCTCTTCCACATTGCCTAATAATGACAGATTAGCCAGATGTGTGGACCGAACGAGCTCTCATAATCTATTCTGACATGCACTTGAAATGGCAACCTCAATTACAATTACACACTTTTCCACCCTCAACTCCTGGTTGTTCACTTTTACCCCCCAGACTCCTAGACACCCCCCTCTCCCCCCAACCCATTTATATCATTAATTTGTCAATGAACTGGAAAAGAGCATGTGGCCGTGCTCATCACAAATGCGCGCCCGTTCGTCGCCGCTTCAAACGTGTTCGAATCTGATGCTCCAATTGGATTGGCACACGTTAATTGCCTTTTTTGTAAAGGCCGTGGCCTAGAAATACAAATTTTTGTAGCCCGGAACAGTTAATTGTCTCATTAATGACACCTTTTGCATCCGTTTCGTCTTTTTCCGTTTTTTTGATGACAGTGGCCTAGAAAGTCTGTTTTTTAAAGTGATTTTTAGCGACGGAAACGTAGCGCATCTGCAGCTGTTATGCGCCTTTAAACTCCTCGTGTCATTTCCCGAAAATCTCGACAAATAATCTGTTGCCGTACTCTTTCGTCCTTCGGGGGATGCCCTTGGGCTTCCGCCCAATGCTACTCTTCCGAAATTGTTTGTTTAATTAAAATTTGCTATGTGTGACACACACACACACACACATACACACACAAACACGAAGAAGAAGAAGGGGAAAATGCAGTGCTCTAAGCATGTATACATGTACTTGAGAAGCCATGTGCCTTTGCTCTTTGCCACCATCATCCAACAAGACCCCCTCCCCCCCACCACAAATAACTTTTTTTCGTTTTTTTCATTTCGAAGATGGGTGGTGCTGGTGGTGCATCGGCCGGCCCGCTGGTTGGATTAGTTTGTCCTCGACTCGCCAACGAAATTTCGGAAAAAGTGTACCGCTTCTTCTTTTGAAAAGCTAATAATATAGAAACCCCCAAATTAATCCATCCGCCCTAAAAATGCGGAAAACGTCAGGGTTCGTCTCATGTTTCACATCTTCCATCCACATTTTCGACTGAAGCCTAAAGCTCTTTCTCTCACTCACTCTCTCTCTCGTACTCTTCAATTACTATACACCGCCTAGACACCCCCACAGGGACTTGACCACCTGTTCAGAAGCTTGGATATGCGGTTTTTTTTGTGAATGCAGTCGCCTAGGTTTTCTGGAATCGTTCTTCTTGGTATGTCATGTAAGTTTGATTTCTCGGCCTTCCTCTTATGAAACCACTTCTGCAACTCTTTCTAAAGGTTTTTCTAAACTTTACTTATTCCATTTCTCTCCCCGTGGCCTAACTTTCCCCTAGTTTCTAGGCCACCCACTTTCCCAATTTTATTGCTTCCTCTTCCTTTTCACAAATTATTTTACGAGCCGTCAGAGAGGGCTTCTCTTTTGCGCCTCAGGGCTCCTCTCCGGTCACACCGACGCCCGGCGCTTTTATTGAATTTATGCCGCCTGTGATTCGAGAGCACTCTCGACAGAGAACAGCCGAAAGAAATATGTTGAGGAGGCGAGGGAGAAGCAGGGCGACCATTCGAAATCTGATTTCCGATCCGGGAGGACTCAGGCGCCAGCAGTCGTTTTTCTCTCGTTGAACTATATAGTAGTGTAAAGTGGGCGAGGTCTAGGTTTTTCAAATATTGGGAAGTTGGGCCACTTCCTCGATCGTCAACTTTCCTTATTCTTATTGTATTTTAACTGTGAACTAACTTTTCCTAGGCCCCTACTACTCGAACCTCTCAAACTCGTGTACACTCTGTGGTCTTGTGATAGTCTAACTTTTTACCTCATTTGGCCGTGGCCTAACATTCCTCTAAGCCTTCTCCTCTAGGTTTTCACTTTATCTTTAATGCTTCGGCCTAGGTGCTTTTTATAGGCGCCACGGTCTCCAGAGCTGACAATATAGGCGTGGCCTCGGCGAAATGGCGTTTTCATGAATTGAGCAGGTTTTCTCGTATTTTTGTGGTCAACGACGATGAAAAATGATTGTTCGACATGAAAACACACTAATTCTCAGAATTAATGACGTTTTGGCGCATTTTTCGCGGACTTTGCTTTTTCGCCTTCGCCGCCGATCGCCGCTTAAAAACCGCACTTCTCATTTTGCGCTTTCTTGACCGTTTTCCGACAGAATTGGTTTTGAGAATGACAAATCACGTAAATACAAGCATTCTGAGCGCTCGAACCGCGAAAACTACCGAAAAGCAACTGAAATTCACGCAGTTTTAGCGAAAAACCTTCAAACGGATAAATGTGATTTGCGACTTGACCAAATTTAACGCTCTTGCGCTTAAAAAATTTGTAATAGCCTATACAATCGGTCTAGCGAGAGACAAATGAGAAATTATCGGTTTTTCGTGGCTAATTTGGCGAAAAACACAAATTTTGCTGATAAAATTTGAATTTCGCGCTAATGTATCGCTCTATTACGCGGGGCGCACTTGCGCCCATTGTAAGCTCTGGAGACCGTGTAGGCCGAATCACTTGAAATTCTTCAAACTTCTGGCCTTACTTTTTCACCCAATCAGTTTCCATGCATGCTTCTCTCGTTCCCCATTCCCATAGCCGTTTTTTCCCGTTTTTTTTCCCCGCTTTCCCAGATTCCATTGCAACACACACACACCTGCAGGTGTCCCCCCTTTCCGCCCTCGCAATATTTTTGCCCCGAAAAAAAAATGTTCCACACACCCGCTCGCTCTTTCTCTTTCTATCTCTCTCCGTTTCGGAGTTCGCTTTGCCTCGCCTCTTCTCGCTCATTTTTCATCCGCCACCACAAATTTTGATTCGAATTGTCACATCTGTCGATGATTTCGGATGTGTGTACACTTCGCACCAATGAATCTCCCATTTTCATTATAATTTACCATACACGAGTGCCCTCCTAACCCAAAAAAAGTCATTGATCATCGTTTCCACTAAATCCTCTTCCTTACACTTTCGGAGAGCAAGAGAGGAAGAGAAAGCACAATTCATCTTGCTCAAATCAAAAATGTGTGTGTGTGTGTCCGTCGTTTTTTGTCTTCCTAACGCCTCGTTATGCACACTTTGTGATCTTTTTGCGATCGCCGCGGCCATCACTTTTCTCTTACCAACTTCTATGAAGAGCGGATCATCTTGAAATGCTCTGTCTTTAATTTTTACCGACTGCCGTGCTTCTCGACCGTGACCTAGAAAAAACCTCTTCCATCTCTTCCACCACTTCACACTTTAATATTTACAGATGATGTCGTCGGGGTGGATGCAAGAGATGGAGCCGATTCCCGAAGAAGGGACCGAGGCGGATGGGTCCGAGTGGGGCGCCACCTCGGAATCGGGCACCGCGCGGCGGACCATGCGGAAGAAGGAGATCTACACCTCCGAACAGATCAACACTCTCGTCAGGTTTGTGCTTGGTGGCCTAGCAATTTTCTAGGCCATGTGATATTGAAACTGTGAAAGCGTTCTTTAGGACAGTCCTCACGATCCGCGGCCTAGAAAAAGTAAGGCCAGCGCTCCTCGCTTCACTTGTTATTATTATTATTTCCGAATTACCATTACATAGCCGCCGAAACCGTTGTGTTATGTGCCCGCAAGGTTGCTTGCATTAATGAGAACGATAAACAAGGAGAAAGAGTGGGATGCCACGTAGACGCAGACAATCGGACACGGGCGGGATGCCAATACGGGCGTAAGCTAATCCGTCCACGCAAATGGTGCAAAGCCGACGAACGGAAACGCACAGTTCAATTTCGGGTTAGCCGATAATATTTCGGTCTAGGTGTTGGTGGTCTAACTCATACAGTTTATGACCTAGAAAACTTTAGTGAAAATGCTAGGCCATCGCCAGTTTTGAACCGGGTCTACTAACTTTTTGATCGGGTTTCCTACGTCACATTCATTTTCATAGTATCAAAGGTTTTCACCCTTTCGACACAAGAAAGGTTGTGCTAGAGCAGTGTGGCCTAAAATTTTCCATTTGTTGGGTTTCTAGGTCATGGGATATTTTAGTAGGTCCCAACAGCCACCAGTGTCCGATCAGATCACACACATGTTTGACCCGTTCCGTTAGGAAAAGCGAAAAGAGAGAGAAAGAGAGAGAGAAAGTAAACATTTCTTTGGGGTCACTATCAAATCGGAGCTCTTCCATTCGACGGAACCACCATAAAATGTATGATTGAGACTGTGTACAGAAGAGAGAGAGAGAGAAAGAGAGAGAGAGAGAAGAAAATGCCAATGCCAATGCACACACATTGTTTTATGTGTTGTTTGCTCGCTTGTGCACAATGAATCACTCGTTTCTTTTTGGCACCTTGCCAAAGTGTCCAACGGTCCGAAACTGCGCAAAAAAGAAGAAGAAGAAGAATAATGACTAGTTGGTGTGAAGGAAGAGAGAGAGAGAATGTGTGAAATCAAATTAAATGTCCTCTTCCTCCTCCTCTTTCGCCTACTCGTTCGTTTCGTTCGTTTCGCAGCGGTTCTTCTCCTTCTTCTTTCTCTCTTTCTCCATTGTTCATGTTTGCTTACCTTTCGATTCCATTTCGCCCATTCCCTTTTCATTTTTTGCTTCCATCTCAGAGCTAGTGGCCTAGATAATTCAAAAAAGCCAAAGTTTGGCCATCATTCGTTTTCCAGTTTGGGCTCACCCTCCAGATAGACTCGAAAGCAAACATTCCAAGTATTTACACCTAGGACATTCTCTTGTCCACTTGCGAATTTCGAAATTTCGGAATTCGAATCAAAACCGTCCAATTTCCCATTCCCCAAGCTCCAACAAGTGTTGGCGGTCAGGTTCTCTCTTGACCATTCGTCGAAATCCGCACTTTTCGCTCCACTCCCACCACTTTTCGATCGGTCCGCGCGGACAGGTCGGAAGAACACGAATCATGGTGAAAGTGTGAGGAGTGTCCCTTTGAGGAACACTTGACAACCCGTCAAATGACTTTTTACAAAGGAAGAGTGATAAATAGGTGAATTATGTAAAAGTCGATGCGAACGCGTTTTCTAAAATAATTCGACTGAAAGTTGGTTAGCTCGCCGCCGCCGCGGCCTCAAAGATCACAGTGTCTCGCTAATGCAATTCGTTTCCGCCCAAAAAAATAGAAAAAAGTTTAGTTTCCCATCATTGCACATGCTCGCCGCGAGCACAACTTGACCCCTTTCCACTCTTTTTTCTCATCGGCGAGCGCGAATTTCCGGAGAAAGCACTTGTTCCGCAGTGCGGCTCATCTCTCTCTCTCTCTCTTTCGCTATTACACAATAATTCCGGCCTTTTCATAGATCTCAATGATTCACGTACATTTCATTTCTGATAAGACGCCAATAGCAAACATGTGTCGTCCGTGTCCCCAACCCCCACCGAGACACTTTTCCCCTTTCACCTTTGATGTGACCCAAGTACTCTATTGAAAATGTTTGTGGTCCGGAACTAACTAGATTTTCTGAGAATCTCGTCTAGAAATGAATTTATTGTTTGCAGCACAGTTCCCAAAGAGGCGGTTCCGCAAGAGTGGCTCGTCGAGAATCAGGTCGTCGATCCAGAGTGAGTTTTTTGAAATTTTTGAGAACAATTGCGCACATTTCTTCATTTCCCGACAAAAAATGCGATTGTTTATCGATTGGACGTTTCGCAACCGTGTTTTCCCCGATTTTTGACTCAGGTATCGGAGCGAACCTGCAATTTCGATTTTCTTGAAGCCGCTCGCAAAAATTTAACCTTTGAGCTCCTCGGAAATTGGTATTTTGGAGAAAAATTCAAAATTTTAGAAGCAAACTTTGTGTTTTTTGCAAACGTCGAGCTTTTTCGAAGCTAATATTGAAGTGTATATAGTTAGCCGCAAAGATTTGTCGAAATGCGATTGACCCGAAACCAGATGTTCGGTGCCCAGCTGCGCCCTGCCGCGGGGCTTCCAAAAACAAGACACAGAGTCGCATTTCTTGTTTTTGTCAGCAAATAGGGTCTCGCCACGAAAATAAAAAATCAATCCAATATTTATGTTGCAGAATGGCCACTTCGTACCTGACCGAATCGCTGGCGGGGCCCACAAGTGCGAGGGGGTCTTCGTATTCCTACTCGTACGAATCACACTACGACAATCCGCCGGAAGAGGAGTATGAGCATTTTACGAACGAGGACGGAGTGCATCAAATGCAAAAAGTGAGTGGTGACCTAGCTTTTTCTCTTCCACCGGCCTCAAAGGGGCGGGGGGGTGGGGCTAATCCGTTATCAAAGGGAAAACGGAAAAGAAAATCGAAGAAAATGATAATAGAGGATGACCCTGATGTCGCTCTCTTTCTCTTTTTCTATCATATCAACACGAAAAAGGGTCAATCAATCCTTTCGCTGTGTGTTTTCATTCTCTTTCCATTTTTCTTCTCAAAACAATCGCTCCCTACACACACACACACACACACAAACATACAATATCATTCAGGTGACACGAGTGACAAAAGTGACGACGACCCGCTCGGTCCGTCAGATTCCCGTCCAGTCACCCTACTCCAACATCGACTTCGACTCATCGGGCCTTCCGACGCCGTCGCCCGTCATCGAACGCGACTCGAGCATCGAAATGATGGCCAGATTGGGTGGACACGACGCGGAGGACCGCGCCGCGCCGCCGCCTGCACCGCCAAACCGATTCGCCCATGAGGGTAAGTGCGCTCCGCGCTGAATTTAAACAAATATCCTTTCTTGTGGCCTAGAAAACTCTTTCTCTTCCAGACAGCGGAATCCCGTCGGCGCCAGGAGTTCCGGATATCATCGACACGGGAATCGGCGAGGTGACGGTCGCGTGGAGTGCTCCGTTGGCGCGAAATGGCGACGGAGGCATCCGCGGATACCAACTCCAAATGAGGGAACTTCCGGACGGAGAATGGGAGGATATGGGCGTCGATCAACTGATTAAGGATACTTCTTGTCGAGGTGAAAGATACAGACAATATTTGCCCAGATTCTGACTCACTTTCTGTTTTGCTACTATGTTTTGTCGAATTCTGACTCACTTCTTCATCAACTTCTTCCCGTTACGTTTTCTCGGCTCCTGAAACACCTCCGAGTATAACATTCGTCTGGAACCCTTTCGTTTTTGTTCGTTGGCGATGATTCCCTTCCGATTGACCTTCGTCGGCACCTCTTTCCCGCTGTGAAGGCATCGAAAAGAACATGCCCCCTGAAGACGTCCTTCTAGTGTTCAGCGTACTGGTAATGAAAGATTTGTATCTTTTCACCGCCCAATTTCCACTTTTTTACTTTGATTTCCACCTACTTTCAGCCAATCACGCTGCAAAATTAACTTCGAAGTGTGTCATGTACCTTTAAAGTTACAGAAATCTTAACGGGTTTATTTTACTAAATTTTCAAAAGATTAACAGATTTTTGAGCTGAATTTTCTAGCGATCTAGTTAAATTCTATGCCACAATTGCTGTTTTTCAGTTGTTTTGCCATAAGTTCCAAGAAATAACTTGTTAAAAATAAGTGCTGTACCTTTAAATCTACAGTGACCTGTTCGGCGCGAATTTGTAAACTCAGAGCGTTTTCCCGCTCTTTCAACGCGATTTCCTTCAGTTTTCTCGTTGCAACACCATTTCCCTGTCGACCTTTCAGCGATAATCTTTCCGACGCCATCTTGTTTATAACATAACACATCCAGAATGCATCGAAAGTGCGCGAAACCTCCGGGGCTCGCGATAACCATCTCGTGGCGGTACCTTCCGACCTCTTTCCTTCCTTTCAACATATTCCTACGTTTCGCACACCAAATTTCTGCTAAAATGATTATAAAATTCTCGAAAACTGTGGAAGACCATCAGAGTTTCGCAGAAGTTGATGAAGAAGGTTCGAGTTTGGGGGCATATTCGCTTTATTGCTAAGAAAAAAACAAAACATCTATCAATAATTTGAGCTTCCTTCATTGCAGTTACGAATCTAACATCGCACGAAGTGCAATTCCGAGTGTCCGCCTACGGAAGAACCGGATTTGGACCGTCGTCGAATCCGTCGTTACCCGTCAAAATTCCGATCAGTGAGGAGGATCTTGCCACGTGTAAGTTCCGGATTCTAGGCCACCTTTATAATAATAGGGTGTTGGGGGCCACAATTCGATTGATTTATTGCCTGCAATTTGGCAGTGTTGTTAGCTGGCGCCTTTAAACTTAACTGCCAGCTAACAAAGCTAAAAGGCGGATAACCTATTAATATTTGCAGCTGCCGAAGGGCCTCTCGCTCCCGGCAGACCGTCGGTCATTGCCGTCGACGGCCAGGGCGTGCTTCTCGAATGGACGGCGCCGGTGGCCGACGTGACCGCCTCGCCCCCACAAGGATACCAGGTCGAGTACCGGGTGTACGGCAGCCGTGACTGGCTGATCGCCAACGAGCTGCTCGTCCATGACACCATGTTCACGGTCGAAAACCTGCGGCCGAACGGCGTCTACGAGTTCCAGGTGCGCGGAAAGAATCAGGACGGCTTCGGGCGGCCTAGTCTCTCGTCGGGAGCGGTCGCCATCCGACCCGCCGCTCCGCAGCGGTCCCTGCCGAACCGAAGGGTTTCGGAGAGTGTCTCGCCGGCCGGACAGCCCCAGATGGTCGAGGCGGGCGATGATTGGGTGAAGCTCGAGTGGGCGCCGGCCGCCGAAAACGCCGGATATGTGGTCGAGTACCGGGAGGTCGGCGATCCCACGTGGCACACGGCCAACTACGATCCGATCGTGCAGAATGGAATACAAGGTGAGCACGTTTTTCTAGGTCACGGTCGGAAGAAACAAGAAACTTCCCAAAAAAGGTGCGCAATCCTAGAAAATGTGATAAATTGCTGGAATCCGACAACCGAAATACGAGTTCAATAACCGAACAGTACTTGTTTGCCCACAATCCAATCATTTTCTTGCAGTGGAAGGCCTCCGCCGCAACTCGACCTACGAATTCTGCGTGATTTCGATCGTCGACGGCGTCTCGTCGCACCCCTCCGACACTTCTGATATCATCCATTTGCGGCCGATGGGACGAGCTTCTTCGTTGCGAGTCGTTCCCGAAATGGCCGACGCGCCCGAGTTTCTCGACATTGACGGCGACAAAATCACCATTTGTTGGCTGCCGGCGCATAGTACACTTCCGGTTACGGTAGGCGCGGACTAGAAATCGCACGGCCACCGCCACCACTTCCTTTTCAGGGCTATGATGTGGAATTCCGCGATTTGCAACAAGACGATCGGTGGTACAAGGTGAACGATCAGCCGGTGTTTGCGTGCAAAATGACGGTCGGCGATCTGATTCTCGAGCACGACTACCAATTCCGAGTGCTCGCGCACAATGCCTCCGGATGCTCGCAACCATCGCCGCCCTCGCAATTTGTGCACATCGAGCCGAGCAGCAGTAAGAAAAAGAGTCATCGATGAGTCATTTCCCTTATCACTTCTTCTTCCAGACCGCCTCTCCTCGCTGGAATCGCCACACTTGGGTCATCACGACGTGGTCAAGTACGTTGAAGCCGAACGATTCGGAGCTGTGCCGTTGCTCCAGGAGGAGATGGTCCGAGAGTCGCCGCCGCTGCCCGAGAGGGACGATTCGCCGCCGCCGCTTCGTAGAGCCAATAGCAATAGTGAGTCATGTGGCGCTCTACCGCACAAGTGATGGTGCAATTTCGTCTTTGCCGAATTTCTAGGCCAGAAGTTCCCAGCAATGGGAAAATTTCGATTTTATCTGTTTTAAAAAAAAAAACATGAATCTCTCTATTTTCAGTCCAATGGCGAGATCCGTCGCTGAAAGAAGTGGTCGAGTACCTGTCGTCGGCCGACAAGGACAAGCAACTCAACGCGAGCGGATACCTCCAACATCTGATGTACACGGACAATAGCCTCAAAGAAGAGGTCCGGGAGCACGGAGGAATCCCCCGACTGATTGCCCTGCTGAAAAGCGACGTGCCGCGGATTCAGAAAAACGCATGCGCGTGCATCAAGAACGTGTGCTTCGGAAAAACGAACGACGCGAACAAGATGGCGGTGATGGAGGCGGACGGAGTGCGACATTTGGCCGAAGTGCTCCGAACCACCCACGACGCTTCGGTCAAGGAAGAGGCGACGGCGGCTCTCTGGAACCTGAGCTCGGCGGATCCGCTGAAGCCGGTGATCCTCGATGCGGCCACGGAGATTCTGAGTCAGCAGGTCATCGCGCCGATCTACCATAGCGCATCGAACGGTGGAACTTCGAACGGATCTTCCGTTGATCCCTCCCGACACTTTGCCTCCACTCTTTTCAAGAATTCTACCGGAATCCTTCGCAACGTCTCCGCGGCTTCTCAACAGGCGCGACGACGTCTTCGCGATGTTCCCAATCTCATCGAAGGCCTCGTTTACTTCCTGACGCACGCGATTCAAAAGAGTCAGGTGGACACGCCGACTGTCGAAAACGCGGTGTGTCTGCTCAGGAATTTGAGTTATAGGATTCAGGAAGTGGTCGATCCGAACTACGACCCGGCGTCCGCTCATCTGAATGCGAAGAATGTGAAGCATGCGCCGTCGCCGAAGCCGAAGAAGAAGGAAAAGGAGAAGAAGAAGGATCAGAAGAACCCGAAGAACATTGTCTCCGGAGCGGCACTTCTCTGGCAGCCGAACGTCGTCAAACTGTATCTGAAGCTACTCCAGGACAGCTCGAACATCGAGACGCTCGAAGCGTCGGCGGGCGCCATTCAGAACCTCGCCGCATGTCAATTCCCGCCCTCTGCGGAAGTGCGTGCGGCCGTCCGCGTTGAAAAAGGTCTTCCAGTGCTCGTGGAGCTCATCCGATTGCCAGAGGACTTTGTCGTGTGTGCGGTCTCCACCGCTCTCCGAAATCTGTCGATTGATCCCAGGAATCGAGAGCTTATCGGTAAAAAAAAAAGATTTACAATTGTTCTCTACGATTTTTCGCAAAGCTTCAGGAAAATACGCGCTCCGCGACTTGCTCGAGAAGCTCCCGGAAGCGGGAAGTGCTCGCCGTGCGGCCGTCTCCGATCAGACCATCGGCGCCGTGCTCGGCATTCTTTTCGAGATTGTTCGCAGCAGTGCCGCCTACACAAAAGACGTGCACGAGCTCAAAGGTACTGCGTGTTTCAATCATTTTTGCAAATCTCTTTTTGACTTCAGGCACCGACAAGCTGCGCGCACTGTCTCGTTCGTATCCGACGTACTCGCATCGGGTGTGCAAGTACGCAAGTCAGGTGCTCTACGTGATGTGGCAGCACAAAGAACTGCACGATGGATTTAAGAGAAGCGGGCTCAAAGAGGCCGACTTCTACTCGGGAACTGCCCGCAGGTTTGTGAAAAATCAGCAAATCTAAGACCCCGACGTTTCGGAACCCGACATTTCGAAACCACGACGTTTCGCAGCTAACGTGAACAACTGAACTTATCGATAAAAGTTTACGTGAGCACGCGAGACGGCGCGGTATCGTAACGTTCGGTTGCAAAACGTCGGGAAGCAATTTGTTTACGGTTTTCACAGAAAATGTAGTTTGAAAGGAGCAGAACCCTTGATAAATTGCACATTTTCGTTCAAACCCATCTAATTTCCAGAGGCGACTCCTCGACCCTGGCGCGTCCGATCTCTTCGCAAGGCCGCGAACGCCCGTCTATGCACAACCTGGACGAGACGCTTTCTAGCGGCGGCGGCTACGGAACGATGATGTCCGACGGTCGAGCCGGTTCGGCGCACCGCCCGCCCTCCGCCACGTCACAAACTATTCAGCGGCGGTACGATCAAGTGCCGCGCGAGCCCGTCTACGCGGCCGTTCACAAGCAACCGTCGCCACGTGGCGGCGTAGATGATAGTTGGGTATAAATATATGTTTATAGTCTTTCAAATCCCCCCTTTGCAATTCTTTCACTTTTTTGTGTGCTCAATTCCCCCCAATTTATGCAAAAATTTCCCGTCCGATTCTTCTCGAAATACCGGTACCGCCCCCCATTAACCAAGACTTCTTCTTATTATTCGTTCGATGTATTTTATTTGCACTTTCTCACTTGCTCGCTCTGTGGAATGAAGTTTATTGTTTCGAATTTTAAAATTAAGTTGTCACCGAATTGTCAGAGAACAAATGGATATGTTCCGATCGGGGCGGAATGGAAATGGAATGGCACGATGATATGGCGAATTCTCGGCCGAAATGGGCGAGAGATCAGTTGTGGATGACACGCGTGCCCGGGCGGTGCGGACCGAAGAAACCGTAGAGGTACGGGTTGACGACCGAGTTGAAGATGATTAGTTGCTGACAGAAATGGACCTGAACGCAAGGATACGGTAGTTTTGCTCATTTAGTGGCGGGACCCTACGTGTTTAAGGTAGGAGGAGAAGAAGTCGCGGTCGAGAAATTGGATGAGGCTTATGAGGTTGTAGGGCAGCCAGCAGACGATGTAGGCAACGACCAGAAGGAACGAGACCCGCAGCGCACGACTTCTGCAAACACGCTGTGTTGAGACGGAAAAGCTGGGCCGGCTTTTTTTCGTCTAACCTGTTCAAATTGGCATTGTACGATGTGCTCGTGTGCACGCCATTCCTCATCACAGCCGACGCCTCGGACGGCGAGATGGATGGCCTCTGCGTCAACGGAACCTCTGTCTCGTCGGAGACCACAATGCGCGGCGTCGCTGAAATCGGATGATCATCGTCAAAAATCAGTCAGCTGATGATGTCGGCTCACTCATCGCCTTCTCGGGTTCCTTGATGTTGACGTGGCGTGAGAACGTCTTCAAAGGATTCCATTCGGAGGCGCGCGTGAGCACAGTGTCTACCGTATCGCAGCCGGTGTGAAACGAGAACGAATTGGACGCCTGACGCATCGACGGACGCGAGTTGATCCAAACCCACGAGATGACGATGATGTAGCTGAGCTGAAAACAAAACGGACGTTACTTGGAAGTACGGCATATTCGAGTCACCATGATAATGATACAGGGTATCCAGAAAACGAGACTAATGTGCAGAATACTGTACCAGAATTCGGCGTTGAAGTCGGACGGTGTCGGCACTTTTCCGTAGTGCTGCGCGCTTTGATTCTCGATCCGCGCAATCTCCCAGATTTGCAAACACTGACTCCAGTTGTATTCGGGAAGCGCCAGATAGGCCCTCCAGATGAAGAGCTGAGGGCAGCTGATGACGAGCGCCACGATCCACGCGACGATCAACATCATCTTGGTGCGTTTGAGCGCTTTGTTCGGGCTGTGATGCGATGGCGAGAGGACGGAGAGGAGACGATCCACGGCGATGCACACGATCACGTTCGAGGAGGACTGGAATGCAGGGCGCAGTTGGAAAGTGCGTAAAGAGTTGTTTTTCGAACAAAACATCTCATTCAACAATTTTCCGTATCTTATAAAACTTATATCTTAAAGGACCAGGGAACCCAAAAATGTTTTGATTTTTTTGTGAAATGTTTTTGTGACTGTTTGAATTGTCTCTTATTGCCTCTCTTATGGCATGCAGTTGAAGTTGTGGCCGTGGCCTAGCGCCAATGGCCGAAAAATATATAAAAATATATGCGCTTCTCGGCCATTTTATTTTTTCCGCTTTTTTACAGGTTTTTTTCCAAAAATTAACGGTTTCTCCCATTTTTCAGTTGATTGACATTTGTTCGGCACTTACTTATTTTTTCACTGCTAAAAAATTGTTTTCATTCAGTCGATATGAAAAGCCAAAATGGGAGAAACCGTGAATTTTTGGAAAAAACCGGTAAAAAAGCGGAAAAAATAAAATTGCCGAGAAGCGCATATATTTTTATATATTTTTCGGCCATTGGCGCTAGGCCACGGCCACAACTTCAACTGCATGCCGTTTCGTTCATTGGCATTTTTGAGAGGCAGCATTTCACCAGTGTATGAGGCAATAGAAGACAATTCAAACGGTCACAAAAAAATTTCACAAAGAAATCAAAAAATTTTGGGTTCCCTGGTCCTTTAAGAACCATTGACTGTTTCAAAAAGATGCCCAAAATATTGTGCTACGAAATGCCTCATTCTCAAGTTAAGCTCTTTGAAAATCCCTTTGCTCGCTCATTGCTCTTGTTTCGGTTCGTCTAGCCAAGTACTTCTCCTTAAGAACAGTTGTCATAAATGTTTTGAATCTCGATAATCTTAGCTTAAGATTTTCCTCTCTCCCTTCATCTTGTTCTCCTTTTAAATCCGATCTTTGAGCGCCAGAATGTCACCTTTTCACTGCTCAATGCTCATTTTCCTTTGTTCTCCTTACCTGAAAAGCGAATGTGTGCAACATTTTGACAATCTTGCACAACGCGTCGCCGCCTCTCCAGTCGTAGGTCAGAAGCCAGCAGGCGCGCGAGGGAACGTAGATGAAGAGAACGAGCAGGTCCGAGTAGTTGAGCGAACGTTTCAGCAGGTCCAGACGCGTCGATGTCGGACGTTCGCTCAGCTGAAATGCCAAAATTATTAGAATACGAAGGAGCACAGTTTCCTTATGCCGCGTCCAATGTTTCGGAAAAACCGTAAAAACCGCAGATTTTTCTGTCGAAAGTCGGCCGAAATTTGCGTGAAAAACGGGGGTGCGCACAGCTGAATGAATGTAACCGTACCTCTAAAACTACGGTATTTTTTGAAAATTTGTTAATTTCTTGAGGATATTTAAAAATATTCAAGTTTCTTGCGCAAGGTATTTTTTGAAAATTTGTTAATTTCTTGAGGATATTTAAAAATATTCAAATTTCTTGCGCAAATTTTCAAAAAATACCGTAGATTTATTATAGGGGCACCGAAAGGGCGCTCTATTGAGAAACTTTTTTGCACTGCAAATTGAGTGAGCTCGGGGCCGAGTTTGAAAAGTTAGGCCACGTTTTCAGTGGAAAATTACTTCGCGGACTAGAAATTCGGCCAGATTGCGAACAGAGCGCCCTTCCTATTCTGTGCCCCTATAATAGGGATACGGTTACATTCATTAAGCTGTGCGCACCCCCGTTTTTCACGCAAATTTCGGCCGACTTTGGACAGAAAAACCTTGGGTTTTTACGGTTTTTCCGAGACATTGGACGCGGCATTAGTTAGTCTACAATATTAAACGGCATAAAAACGACATATCTCAGCTGCTGGTAGAGACGTCAAAAAGTTGTCGTTTAGTAAAATGTACGCAATGCAATTATGAACGCTTTTTCAGTTGACAACTTTTTGATATCTCCACCGACAGCCGAACTATATCGTGTTGAATAAACGGCCAACTTCTCAGAACCACATTTTGATAGTACAACATCTTACTACAGTACTCTTTTACAGTAACCCAATCACACAGTAATCTCATCTCACGTACCTGTGTATAAGCAGCCAGATTCAACGGCGCTCCAACGATAAAGTTGAGGACGAGCGTGAACATCTCTACATAGTCGGAAATGATGGGTTCCGGCGGTTTTCCGGGATCGTCCAGTTCGTAAATATCCGTAAAATCCGCTCCGGACACTGTAGACGGAGAGAGGGTCGTAGAGTTGGGAAGCAGAAGCATCTAGAAAGGGACAGACGTAAAGTTGAAGGGAAAGACGGAAGTAGTGAAATCATAAACAGGTTTAGAATGTTATTGAAGCGAGGGAAAGTTTAAAGATATTCAAAAATGAGCACATAAAGCTCAAAAGCTGATTTGAGTCATGCGAAAAGATCAAGAAGAGAATCTCTTAAAGTTCTAGAAATAACAAACTCTGGAAACATCTTTCTCCTCGAAAATGCTTGCTCTTTTCTTTTGTTTTCCACTAATTTAACTTCTGAAGCGGAAACTTTTTCCCCTCTCTTTTTCTAACAAAGTATCCTTCAGGCGCCGCCCATAAAAAGCGCGTTTTTCGACGAAAAAAAAACAAGAAAAACAAAAGTGGAAAAGTGCACGAGATTGATGACGTGGAACGAACGAACGGAATTAGTTTAGAAATGGAGTGGAGTGTGTGGGAAAACAAGAAAAGTGAGTTGAGATCACAAGACGGAAATAGTTTGGATATTTTGGGCGGGCAGAATAAGAAAAAAGAAGAGGAGGAAGGAGAGAGGCGCCGAATGAATTATTCACTGAGGAAATTGGACTTGTGTCGATTAGAAGGAGAGCGTTTCGAGCTCAAGTCAGGATTGGCAAGCACAAAGAGCAGAAAAAAGTGGCGAGGCACTGAGAAGGACTCTAGAAAGCGCCGATACGATCCCTTGGCAACAATCGGGAAGAATCGACGTCAGCACATTCAGGGGAGAACTTATTTTGTCTAGAACAAGACAAGATGTCGCGGGTACAGTCGGAAATGTCCAGAGTGCTGCCCCTTGAGGACATTTCCGACTCTCGGGCTCGTAGCAAGTGTTCTCGTGCACATCTATCATTATATCTCTCGGAGGGGGAGGCCTTATTCATTGAGAGAAGAAGCCAAAATGTGTCATCTCTCTCTCTCTTTTTAATCTCTTCCGAAGTCTGATTCGATTTCGACGCCTTGCTAATCGTCATCGAAACATTTTCTATTGAAACTTTTATATGGGGGTGTAAATATAAGAAGCGAAGAGCCGCTCCGAAAGTGCCAACTTCCTCCTCTGCTCGATGATCTCCACACACAAACACTCACAAACACCCCCAGAAACGGGAAAAGGGCAATTTAGAGCGTGGAGCAGTGGTTCCCCTCGTTTTTCAACATTTCAGTAGGTACCTGAAACCGCACAAAGCGCTCGAGAAACGAAGGGAGGAAGCCGGAATAACCGAGTTACTACCACCAACCATTCTGGGAATTACACGTTCGTTTACCGCGCATAATATAACAAATTCAAGTGAAACTCGGTTAGAGATAGATTTCCGGGAAACGCGTAAGGTTCTGCTGGAAGTTAGTTATGTGTCGCCCAAGTTTCAGACAAATCGGACATTGGCCTACTACAACGTCACACGCCACACCCCAAAAAACCGAGAAACAACAACAACATGCCGTATAATTATGTACCGTACCTGTTTTTGTTCGACTCGCTCATGGACTCTGATCTCAGGAGAAATGGAAAAGATTCAAAGGTCGAATGGGGGGAAAACAAAAACATTGGAAATGAGAAATAATTAAAATAATGGGGGGTGAAGTTCTAATTATGGATATGGCGTCTGGCACGGACTATGAACGTTTGGACGAGTGCTTTGGATAGAGAGACGAAAAATGAAAAGGCGAAAAAAAGGAACACAATTTAATTATAGCTGGCTCTCGTTCGGTTTGGAGAGGAACGCACAGAACATGAAGAATTTTTGGTGTGGACTTTGGGACCTCTTTTCCCCCAGTACCGTCTATTCAAAACGATTTATCTCAGCTTGTGGTAAAGATATTAAAAAGTTGTCAACTGATAAAATATGTACAATATCTTAAGGAATAATGTATCAGTTGACAACTTTTCGATATCTCCACAAGCAGCCGAGATATATCGTTTTGAGTACACGGACCAGGTTTTTGCTGTATTGTGGGTCCGTGATGCGCTAAAGCCAATGTTTTCCAGTTCGTGGAAATTCGCATTGTGCACTGATACAATTCTGTCGAGTTTCTGAAGTTTTTTGACCATTGAATTTCTGCATTTCCAGTTTTGTGTGCGAAAGCATCAATAACTAATTGCTTTGAGACTTTCAGCCGCCTATTCGCCAACTATTGAAATGAGTTTTCTGCGGAGAAGGACGCACATAAACATCCGGCCAAAAGAGAGAGAGAGAGAGAGAGGGAGGAGCGGCTTTTGCAAGGGCAAGGAAATGATGATGATGATGATGATGATGATCACAGATTTTCAGGAAAAAGGATCACAAGGAATGGTGGATCTTGGGAAATGCTCTTTGAACGGATCGTGCACAGAACTTGCGAAAAGAATAGGTTAAAGTGGCTACTGTTATAAACTTCTTTGACAAAACTGTTGCTAAGACGTAAGACAAGGGGTTTTATTAACAACTTCTAAATTAACAACTTATCACGGCGCGGCTTTTGCGACGTTAACCAAACGTTTGATCCTCAGTCTGTGCATTTTGGCATGCCGGTGTTGCTCTGCGTACAGTGCATTTTATGTTACGCGCAAAGTTCATTTTTTTAGTTTTTGATGAATTTTCTCCAAATATTCATCTCTTTAAAGCGTTTTTCTCTGCTTTCTACATCAATTAGACCTTTTTACTAATTCCAGATGAAGTAATACGCGAAGAAAAGTCGATGCGATGAAGAGAAACGCGTAAGTAAATGGAAGTAATGTTTTATTCAGAAAATATACGATTTCTCGAAAAACGTCCCTAGATCGTCTAATCGAGAAATCGTATATTTTCTGAAATCTGTAAAAAGGTCTAATTGAGGTAGAAAGTAGAGAAAAACGCTTTAAGGAGATGAATATTTGAAGAAAATTCATCAAAAACGAAAAAAAAAGAACTTTGCGCGTAACATAAAATGCACTGTACGCAGCGCAACACCGGAGTGCCAAAATGCACAGACTGAGGATTAAACGTTTGGTGAACGTCGCAAAAGCCGCGTCGTGGCACAAGGCAAGTGAAATTCGAAGCAGGGTTCTCGAAAATTAACAACTTTTCCCGTCACTTTTCCAGAATCAAAAGCACCTGTTCTGCCATCACTTTTCAAACCTTCACGCCCAAAAACATCTGAAACGTTTGGCGCATTCGATTTGGCAACATGTTTGCTAAATGAATAATATCGAGTTAACACGCCACACACTAATTCAACTTTTGAGCTCTGCTAGCCGATGCTCGAGAGCAAAGGTTGGTGTGCAATCGAAAGGGAGCTCATAAATCTCTTTAGTGCTCTCGAAAAGTGGAAAGAGGATTCGGTTGCTCGCATGAATATTCCAAGTTTGCATGACTCGCTCAGAATTCATTTCCATCGCATGATGATGACTCAAAACTCAAATCAAAATCGTCGACAAAAACAGAAGTTGATCGGCTTTGAGATGGGAAAAGTTGAAGGAAAAGTTGTGTTGGTTTGCTCAATGAGCACATTGGGCAGTGGTCCACAAAGGACGGAATATGTGACGGACGTCGGACGGAAGACGAAGACGAAGACGAAGAAGAAGAAGAAGAAGAAGAAGCGAGTGACGTTCTCTCAGTGTTCGGCACTTTTGTTTGGTTCGAAATAGTTTACAGAGACAAGTTTTGAGGCAATTCTAATTAGAATAATAGAAGACGACAAAAAGCAAATCCCATTCAGATGTCCCGAAAAGCTTCGAAAACAGAAAACGAAGAGCCGAAGGTCATTCAAGTTTGTCTCAACAAACCTTGTCACTTCTCGATTGGCTCTATTTTCCCGCTCTTTTTCTCTACACACACACACACACATTTTCTCTGAAAAATAGAAATAAAAATGAAAACGGACAAGTTTGAATGCTATGCAACTACCGGAAATGAGTAGGAGGGGGGCTTCATCAAAAATAAAACTTGTCGACTGACGTGGCTATTAATTATGCTGGCTAATAAGCATCTCGAGCAAGTGAGCAGATGAATAGAGCAACTATATACATATATGAAATTTAGCAGAATTGATTGGAATTGAAGAGTGTACATATACACACTTTTCCGGGTGGTTTTTGAGCTTCTTCAAGGTTTCAGGAGCTTCCGCGCCGGAAAATGGCTGCAAATTTGTTATTGCAACTTCGGAGGGAGTGACGTGAATCGTCTAGAAGACGAAAAAATGTTCGATGAAGGATCACGGTTGACAAGATGAAGGCTGTCTTTTGGACGGATGTGAAAGTGATGAAATGTCAAGAAAGAAGGGGGGGTAAATGTAGAATAGAGAAAAGTTAGAGGTAGGCAATAGAAGAAGACTTTTTGAGGCCTGGACCCTATTCTTTGTGGTTTGGCCTTCGAAACGCCTGGGCCGGCCTTTTGCCTCTGGCAATTCGATATTAATCTAATTAGAAAGTTACTGATCTAAACGCGACCTAATTAGATTCGACTGTTTTTTTTTTGGCGCAATCGAGATTTGACAATTTATTAATCTAGCTAGACAATTTATTAATCTAGTTAGAAGATTTATTAATCTAGTTAGAAGATTTATTAATCTAGCTAGAAGATTTATTAATCTAGCTAGACGATTTATTAATCTAATTAGGTGTCATATCAATCTTATTGGACCGCCGTAGAATTAATAACGAAATGCCAGAGGCCTGGACATATTGCAACTACCGTAATCTTAAAAACATACGCCGAAGGTGTGTAAATGGAAGGAGTGAGTAGAATAAGAGAAAGCCGAAAGACAGGTGAAACAACTCCCATGCTATAAACGTTTATTTCTGGATTCCATGATGTTTCTCTTTCTCTCTCAATTTCATATAACGAGCGCATTTCAACCCGGCTTCACCTGACCAACTTGGCGAGTTCATTAGAGCGAACTTACATAAGCCCAAGGTAAGAGGGATAGAAGAGGGAAAGCCAAAAAAAAATGTGTGTGTGTGTGGCCGCACAAATATCAGATAAAAACAACTGGTTTGGCGGCTCCGGGAAGTGTGTCTTTCAGTCTTTTTCCAGCATTCGGGATGTTTGTGTGTGTGTGTGTGTGTGTGGTGGACATGAAAACCTATTCTGGAGGGCGATTCGGAAAAGTCGTTATTTTCTGGAGCGTACATATATTGTGAAAACATTGAGGGTGACGGAATTCACAATAAATCCTTCTGGAGAACATTATCCTAGGAAAAAGTGATGGATCTTCAGAAAAAAAGCAGTGTGAAGGAAGGAGAAGAAGAAGAAGAAAAAGAAGGGACAGGAGGAGAAGGAGAAGGAGCAAAATCGAATTATATCCACTTGGATGCATATTTATAAGGGACGGATGTCTCAGAATGAGGAGAAGAAGGAGAAGAAGAAGAAGAAGAAGAAGAAGGCAAAGAACAATGGTCAAGAGTTATGAAAATAAGGGCAAGAACTGCTTGGTCTTCCTGTCTACTTTCTACAGGAAAATTGTTGATGCCGTTCTTTCAACACAATTTATCTCAGCTCCTGGTAGAGATATATAAAAGTTGTCAACTGATGAAATGTACAAAATGTTACAGTGAACAATGTTTTAGTTGACAACTTTTTGATATCTCTACAAGCAGCTGAGATATATTGTCTTGAATGAACGTTCGGCTACTGTGAATGAGCGCAGTAAAAGATGTACCAAACTTTCAACTAGCACAGCTCAGAAAAAAGAAACGGAAAGAGAGAAGTGATTCATCATGTTCAATAGAAGGTCAAAAACCGAATCATTTGTAAACGCGCTTTGCGCGTAATCCATCACGGCACGAAAAGTGCGTCAAGGCACTGAGAAGACGCCAAGCGGAATGTGGATCTTAGTGTCAGGCTTTTGCAAGTAGAAATATGTCAAGGCGTCAGAAAAGTGACACTAGCTGAAACACTAGAAAAGCGCTAGGGCACTCGAAAAGCGTCTGCCCTTTTTATACTGCTCACTGCTTCACTCTTAACTCCCTTACTAATCAAATGAGAAAGCGCCGCAGAAAAAAAAAACCTAATTTATTTTCTGATCTCGCTCATTAGAAACGAACTAATCCTGGCGAGGAGACGTGCAAATCCAGAGAAAATGCAATTTTATTTTATTTATTTGCTACCACCATTCATTTTGATGATGAGCAAGAAGAAAGGAACAAGGAAATGAAAGTGCAAAGAGATTCGCGGCTTCTGATTCCGAAATCTGAACCAAGACTAATCTCAAGGGAGCATGGCGAGCACAACAAGAAACAAACAAAAAAAAATGAAAAAAGAGAGGCGTCCGTGCGGAGAAGAGCACGAAACACAGCAGGTATCCATCAGTTTTGAGCGGGAAACGAGAAGGAACACGAACATGGAGGAGAAGATATAAAAACAAAAAGGCCCAGAATATGTGTATGGACCAGAGATGTTGGGAATACAAATTTTACTCTACGGAACACGGAACACGGAAAAAATATTGCAAAAAAACGCGGAACACGGAACACGGAATTCCCAACATCTCTGGTATGGACAATTAGTCTGTGAAGCCGAAAAGGACATTGGCAAGCGACATTCATGTCATTTTTTGGGAGATTCTAGGCTATAAGTTGAGATGATTCTAGGCCACAAGTTTGAGAACCTGAAACCAATGCAAATGTACACAGAATCTACCTAAAGTTTTAGTTCCACACCGGTGAGTTTAGGGTTCTAGGTTTTTGCAAAACAAGAATGAATTGTGTGCTCCAGCCGACACATTTGTGATAGTGACCCCATGATCTCGATGCCATCTATCGGGGGACCAGCAGGAGCAGAACTTTGATGTGCGAACTCTCAAACGTCTCTTTCACACTTTGCTCCTTCTCTTTTTTTGCTCCCCGCTCGTCACAAATTCTGACCGCATTTTCCCCTGTGATTTCACTCGGAATTCAATTAAAAACGCAGAAGACAGTGAGTGACTTGATGAGAAACAAAAAAAGGAAAAGGGAAAGGGAAAGAAGAAAAGATCGAAAAAGTGTGGAGCAACATAGGAATTGATGATGAGTGCATCATTTTTCCACTGATCAAAGATGGCTTTTGGCTTTGAGCTTCCCGAGTCAAGTTGCTCAGCTCTATTTCGACTAGATTAGGGGGTCAAAATATGCAAGACCGGAAGAGAGAGAGAGAGAGAGAGAAAGAGGCTAGGATATTGAGGAAATGATGCGATGAGAGCATTTTTGGGGGAGCATTTTCGGATCCGTGACGATGCCGTCCGCGAGATTCAGTTTCGCTTCGTGCTCCAAAATGTTTGCCGTCTGGAAAAGGAATAGTGCAGACACAGCTGCCCAAATCGATGCAGATTTTGCATAAAATTCATCATAGCGGGCGATCCGACCAACAAATGGCGCAATTTTCTTCGGGATTTCGCGCCCGATCGATCGATCGTCATAATCGGAGTATCCGGTGACTGCTTTCTCGTCGGAAGACGTCGAAATCACCAGAAACTGTCCGGAGTTCTCATCTTCGACGAACGCGTTCCCCGGCGCGTCCAGGATAACGTTCTCGTTCTCCAGAAGTCGCGTCTCCGCCTCCACTCCAAGCACTTTTAAGCTTTAAGGTGATCGACTTTTTGCATTGCAATAACGATCAGATCTTACAAATCTTACGGAATTTACGGATTTTACGTCTTCTTGAAACCGTAAATTTGGGTTTTTTTCGGATCCGTAAAAATAAAATTTTACGACGCCCCGCCCTGACGGTAATCCCAAACGGTTGGCCACGCCCACAAGGTCGGATCTGCCCTGGCGTGGCTTTCCGCGAAGGTATATAAGGTCGTCGAAACATGACATTTGCACCGTCTCGTACGGTCTTGGGAGAGCTCTGAAAAAGGCCCGGAAGGTTGTCCTGAAAAGGATTATCTTATCTGATAAGGCCTGAGACAGCCCTGAAAAAGGCCCGGAAGGTTGTCCTGAAAAGGATTATCTTATCTGATAAGGCCTGAGAGAGCCCTGAAAAAGGCCCGGAAGGTTGTCCTGAAAAGGATTCTCTTATCTGATAAGGCCTGAGAGAGCCCTGAAAAAGGCCCGGAAGGTTGTCCTGAAAAGGATTATCTTATCTGATAAGGCCTGAGAGAGCCCTGAAAAAATTAATGTTGATATTGACAAAAAGAAGTGAAACGAACAATAATAGCCATTTTTTTTTTGAAAAAGAAGGGGAGGCACAATATTTGTTATGGCCATAAATATTATTAACAACAAAAATATGTACTGGACAAATTCGCAGATGAATAGGGCGACGTGTGATATGTGAGATCTTCCAGAGAAGAATTCACACAAAGAAACCGGTAACGGAACGGAGAGAGAGAGAGAGAGAGAGAGAGAGAGAGAGAGAGAGAAATTCAAAGGAAAAATATAATAATGCCTGACTATGTAGTGAGCAAGCTGGTTTTTGAGAAAAAGTACAATATCTATAGTGAAAGAATCGAAACGTGGGCATCGGTGTGAGACATGGGGGGGTTTGGGGGTACCCGTAACGACGCAAAAAACAATACAATATCTAGGCGGTCTCCTCGTCTTTCTCCGAGTCGAACATCGAGCGGAGCATGAGAAAAGTGTGCAGTTGATCGGGGCTCACGGACGCACATCTCGCGTCGAAATGCGTTTTCGGCGCGATGGCCGGCGTGCAGAGGGTCCGACGAGCCAGGGCGCTGAGCGTTGGGAACTGGGTGTGACCGGTGACCGACCAGAATGTGATGACGTCTCTGAAAAGAGTTCTGATTGCTCTCTATCCGACAAAATCTTCCATAGCAACAAAGTACAATGTTTTTCAAAGTTCGCCGTGATGCTCAAAAACTCACTTGGTCTGATGTGGACCGTACTGTGATCTCAGATAGCACTCCAGCTCGTCGACCGCCTGATCGTCCTCCAACGACGACAAGAACATGCGTCGCTTTCTGAAAAAACCACACCGGCACTCATAAAATATCGCCAACAGTTTGCGAGCACAAACATTTCCCACCTGTGCGGCTCTCCATCGCACGAGCTTCCGCGGCTCAGCGGCTGTTTCGGATTGCGAAAGTTGCAGATTGAGCGGATTTTCTCGCACGCCGTGATCTTTTCCGCCTCCGTCAGTATCATGCCCAACTTGCGAAGGAGTCGCGGGTTGAGGATCGCCGCGATTCGGTGCTCATCGCTCAGAATATTGTCTTTTTCCGCTAGCAGAACCCGGGTGGCGATCTCCTTGAGCTCTCGGAGCAAGACGTTCGGCTCGTCGTTCTGCACCTGACACTCGTGCTGAAGCGCGAGCCATTCGGGAAGCACTTTGTGAAAGTTCGGATGCTCGGAGGTGAGGCTCTCGATGGTCTCGCGGAACGGAAGAATGAACATCTCGAGGTCGCGCATGTGCTGCGGATTCATCTTCTTGAAGTCGTCGAGCAGATTCGGAGTCTTCGACGCGATGATCTGCTCCATCTGTCCCCACTGATCATTCCACTCGGCCAAAAGGTGATGCACGTCGAAAATGTCCTCGCGTGGCTCTGTGGCGAATGGAAGACGCACGTCCATTTCCACAAGCACTTTTGTGAGTCGATCGATTCCTTCGAGCATCTTCGTCACTTCGAGCGTGCAGGCGGAGAGGATCGTGAAGAGAATGTCTTTCAGTTTCGCCTTAATGTCGAGGAAGTATTTGACCGACTCGTCGAGGTCGTTGGTCTTGTTGGGTACGGTTATGCGGAGCAGCGATTTGTTGAGTTCGTAGTTGTGGATCACCAAGTTTACCATCTCTTTCAGCGATTCCGTTTCTTTGCCTTTGAACACTCTGAAATGTGGCAAATGTTTGAATGACTTGGCTGACTCTTGGCTGGCTCTTACCCCAAAATATTGCTCCGCCACTTCCAATCCGGACTGATCCGAGATCCATGAATGACACGATAGTCTCTGCCCGAGTAGGTCATCGTCTCGATCGCCAATCGACATCCCTGTGTCGTCCGTGACAGCTCGTTTTTTAGATCGTCCTGACAGAAGCGGAGGTGCGTTTGCATCGCGTTCCGCACAGTTTGAATGTCGGGAAAACCTTCGACGGGCGCCTCGGACACTCGCTTCGACACGTGGCTCAGCTGTTTGAGCAGCCCACGAAATCCTTTGCCGCTGAACACGATCGGATCGATGAGATCGAGGGCGCAACACTTGACGATCGCGTCCGTCAACACCTCGCGATCCACGTCGCCGATAGTGTTCTGGAACATCTAGAACCGTCGCGAGAGCGCATTGACAAACTGAAACGGGCTCGAACGTACCTCTCCAGAGTGCTGCGTGAGGAGCGGAAGCGACGCGGAGCCACCGGAGCCGGATGCGGAGCCGCCCGAGGAGGCGCCGCCGACGCCTTCAGCCATGTTGATCGAGAGCGCCGAGCGAGAGAGCGCTTCGCCGGCCGCCCGTGCCGAAGGTGTCGAGTCGAACGAGCCGCCGCCCGGCTCGACCGTCTCCGTCGAGGAGGCGTGCGTGCTCGAGCGGTAGCTGGCTCCGATCGGACACCGATGACGTGTCATGTTGCCGGTGCCGCCGCCCGTGTCCGTGTAGAGCACTTTGCACGCGTAACAGGCGACGTAGGGCAGACGCACTTGTGTCACGTTGTCCATTACCTGAAAGAGAAAAAGGGCGGTTATTAGAGTGTCTGATGGTGAGCAACAGTGTTGAGCGGAAGAACACGGAAGAATTTTTATCTTTTTTAGAAATTTTTTTCATGGAATGTGATCAACTGACAAAATGTAGAGCAACATGAACTCTGCTCATAAAAAAATAATTGTAAATTTAGCTTTTCATACAAAACAGTTATTCAAGTTGTTCCGTGAAGAAAGGGCAAACGGAAGACGGAAGGACAACAACTCGAATAACTTTTTTGTATGAAAAGTTAAATTTACAATTATTTTTCTATGAGCAGAGTTCACTTTTCTACACATTTCGTCAGTTGATCACATTCCATGAAAAAATTTTCTAAAAAAGATAAAAATTCTTCTGTGTTCTTTCGTTGTGTTCTTCCGCTCAACTCTGGTGAGCAAGCTTCTGAGCACGCTGGAGCATCGTGCCAAATTGGAGCTCAGCTACAAGTGGAGTGCTTTGAAATGTGTGATTTTCAACCAAACAAATGATCAAATTCGCACTTGAAAAAACTCGACGCCACACCCCCCTTTTTGGCTGCTGCTTTTTAATTTGTCACCTCCTTCCGTACCTGTCCAAACAAGTTCCAAACTTCGGATCGTCCGCGCTTTCGGACAAGTGCGAACCGGCCGTTTCCGGCGCGAATATCGTCCTGAATGATCGATTTGGGCGGCATTTGAGCGAGCAGCTCCGCAGTCGCCTGGCTGATCGTATGCGTGCCCTGTAATACTATCCGTTTCCTGGAAACTTGGCATACAAACCTGATCGAAGGAAGATTGAGCACTTGTCATTATTTCAAAGCTTCCAGAAGCCATCGTCTCGAATGAGCCGCCCGTCGAGCAGTCCATTTGCTATAAATCAAAAGTGGTAAGTACCACCAGTAACACCTTTTTTTTTAGAATAATATATCTCAGCTGTCGGTAGAGATATCAAAAAACTGCCAACTGATACTTTTCTCAGAAAGACATTGTGCATATTTTATTAGTTGACAGTATTTTGAAACCTCTATCAGCAGCCGAGATACATAGTTTTGAATGATTATCGAACCTCAACTTTCGGCAACTGTCCAATGTTCATTTTGAGGTCGTCCAGGAGCGGAGAAGCGATGCCGATTGGGCGGTTTATTGCGGCCGACAACTGACTAATGAGGTTCGGGCTCAAAGTGAGCTGGGTCAGAAAATCGGTCGAGTTGGCCGCGCCTTTCGGGGATTCGCCTGCAAATTCTCAAGGTTTTCTCGCAAATTCTCGCAAATTCTCGCAAATTCTCGCAAATTATTAGTTTGCTTGTTAGTCTTCAATCTTCAAACGAAATTAATTAATCCAATAGATTTTTCCAATGCAAACCAAAATAAAACTGAAAAAGTGGAAGAGGACGTACACGAAAAGGACCGATGGTTATCGACGACGGGACTTTTGCGGAAATCCGACGGCGACGGCACAGTCAGCAATCGATTGTCGGTGGCGGCGGGCGGTGGTTCGAGCTTCAAAATGGGGGGCAAAAGTTAGTGTGGAAAGTGGGAGGCGGAGGCTTAGGCTTAGTACCTGAAGGGGTGACAGGGGAGATTGGACGAGAAGACGGGGCACTTCAACCGGAGAGAACGCCGAACGGCCGGCGTCGAACGAGCCCGGACGGAACGGCGCTGAGCACAAATATGGTTAGTGGTTAAAGGACGTTTTGCAACGACACTTTGGAACCCCAGTTGTTGCAAAACGTTCATGTTCTAAACTGCCGGCAACCAAGCGCCAGTTCAAAAATGTGATTAGTTGCAAAACGTCCCCGGAACTTGAAGCGAACACTTGGCAACCGACATTCGAACAGCTAGATAAAGTGGTTGCGAAACGTTTGCTTCTAAACTCCTTCCGCTTCAGAACTTGAAGCGAAGCTGACACTTTGCAACCGGGGCACACGTAGCGTCTGGTTGTGAAACATTCAAATCTCTCACCTGGAGACAATTTGGGCACGGCCGAAACGGCTGCCACGTCAAAACTGGCGGCTCTACGTGGCTCGGGGGCCGCGGAGCTCGTGGTGGGCGGCGCCAAATGATGCTGGAGCGAGGTGTTGTGGAACGGATGCACCTGAAGCGGATGCGGATGCGTCGAGGTGATCTGATGGTGCTGGTGCTGGTGTTGTTGTAGATGGTGTTGATGGTGCTGATGATGAGTGGTCGGATCGTCATCCTGCACCGCCGGCGACTTTTTGAGCGAACGGTTGCGTTGACGCGCGCCGACCCGCGCCGAATCCGCCTCCGACGACGACAGTTTGCTGGAAGAACAACACGGTTGATGGTGATGATGAAAACGGGTGTGGGCGCATGTCTGAAGACGTCAAGACGACGTCGACATGCATGCAAATAATCAAACATTCAGACGAAAACTCTAGCCGGAAGAGTGAGAGAGAGAGAGAGAGAGAGAGAGAGAGAGAGATGAAGGTACGGCCGGAAAAGCGACACGAATTTCAAGAAAAACGAGCGAGGGTTGACAGATTGACAAGTGACACGAGAAGGGCATTTTATGGAGGAGGAGGAGGACGTGGGGCCGGGGGTTAGCAGCAACAGTAAGGCCTCGAAGCTTTCGGTGTATGCACCGTGACGAAAACTTGCACACAAGCCTAGCTACAGTAACCCCAATCAAATTTCCGACGTCAGAAGCTTGCAGGAGACCACCGCGCATGTAACGCACTTTATCGAATCATACGATCATGAGCACACCACCTCATTCACTTCTGAGAAGCTCAAATAGGAGCGTCGTCGTGCGCACCACACACTAATCGCGCTTTTTTGATTTGATTAGTCCCCACACACACACACACACACAAATACGGAAAACCCGCCTTTAATAGGCTTATAGCCCTTTGGTTTTTCCCCGGAAAATACAAAGGTGCACGTGAATCCCCGGACATGCTCTTTTTCGCGCGCCAGAATGTCAATGAGCCTAATTCAATTTGGCATCAACCAATACCGAGAATGACACAATTATGAGAAAAAGAACAATATATATATGGCTTCGCCACTCACTCCGTCATCATAGGAGGAATGGCAAAAGTTTGAGAAGCGAGGCACACACACACACACACCAGGAAATGTGTTTCCGGGAACTCTTTTTTCAAAGTTTTGAAAAAAAATGTGTATGAGGAAGAAGAGCAGGTGGAAAATGGGTGTGGCCGAACTTTTTGCAAGAGTGGCCTAGGAACCCAACGCCGCCACAAAACACACAAAAGAAGCGTAGAGTTACGGTAAATGAGGATGGCCGTGGCCTAACTTTCTCAAACATCGCCTAGTCACCGACACACTCTTGGCGGCCGAACTTTCGGCGCCCGAATGGCCTAGAAACCCCCCTCGAAAAAGCGTCGCGATGACTCGAAATCGAGTTGGTCTCGAGCGTGGTGTTGGGGACCGCCGAAGGGTTGTGCTCGACGAGTGAGTCCAGAAATTTTTCCGAGCCGCTTTCTCTTTCTCTTTTTTTGCCATCTTCTTTTTTCTTCTTCTCCTTTCGCTTCTGCTTCTTCTTCTTCTTCTTCTTCTTCTTCTCCGTCTCCTCCACCCATTTTCTCTCTCTCTCTCTCTCTCTCTCTCTCTCTCTCTTTCTCTCACGAGGGAGCGAGAGGGAGGCAGAAAACACATTGACATGCACACAAAAAGCGGCCCGAGAGAGAGAGAGAAAAATGGGAAAATGGAATGGGGGTCTCGGCGGCGCTCGCGATGGATTGAGCTGTTGTGCTTGTGCTCTCTTCAATCGTTCTAGAGCAGGAGGCGGAGCAGGAAGACGCGTCTTGTGTTTTGGCTCAAAAGAGACGCGGAAAAGCTGAGAGGCTTTGTGGAATAGGAGGGATGAGCAGCACAAAAGTGGATTAAGAGGAGCAAAACACGATGAGAGAGAGAGAGATAGGTTCTTGAAATGAGTGAAAAAGTGCAAGCAGGACAAAGTAGGTCAACGCCCCCCTAGCCTCAAAACTTTTAGGTGGCGGCAGAGCGAGAGGACCGAGCAGAGAATCAAATCAATAAAACGCGTGACCTTTGGAAAATGTAGGTCAACCAACTTGACACAATATCTAGTAGATCAGAGTATCCAGTGAGTCTAAATATTGAAATGAGAGCAATTTGAAGCAACGAACAAAAGTGAAAAGTAGGTCAAAACTGAAGAGCAATTTACCTACATGTCCTGTACTAACCTAACTAAAGTTCGCCGCAAAATGTAGTTGGTCTCGTGATCCTGCTGCTGCAGCTTGTCGTCCACGAACCGCACTTTTCTCCACTGCCGTGATTCTATATGCGCTTGCTGCTGCTGCTGCTGCTGCGGCGGTTGTGACGTCGAGCTAGAAGAAACTTCGTCTCGGATTAGGAATTGAGCTGCTGCTGCTGCTCTGCCGCTGACGTTCGAGTCAAAGAAGTTTGACGTGGCACCGCTACACAGTCTAGATAGATGCCTTTCGCATTTTTCATTTCAGCAGCTCTAGCCGATTTGACAAACGCTTTTCCGTCAATATGACGTGGCCCAGATCCATCAAAAACGCAATTATAAAAGCTGAGGAAGCGGCGGCGGTGGGGTGAGTGATGTGATTGAAAAAATGAAGAAGTGAAACGAAGACGGGGAAGAAGAGGAAGAAGAAGAAGAAGAAGAAGAAGAAGAAGACGTGCAGCATCCAATTTGAATTTGACGAATTGGCGCCTCCTTTCGAATTGCCAATTGCCAATTGGCGAATTGTTTTCCCGCGCGCTCTTTTTTTGCTGTGCCCCCCCGGTGAAAATAAGTGACGTGATGGGTGGAACAGAGATGTTCCTTTGACCTACTACAGTACTCTATGGATCATCAAGACAGCACGTCAATTCTGAATCCTAATTCACTGTGTGTGTCTCAAAAACGGGGCTTCTTCACTAACGAATCAGAGACCGAGAGCACCGAGCAAAAAAAAAAAGAAGCCCAAGTTCCAGATAGGAATCCACGCCATCATTGAAATCTTTGATCTATGTATAGTCTCGAATTCATTTTATACCCATTAAAATTTGCGTAATCAGAGCCAAGCGCCGCCAGGAACAAACTGGACAAACATCGGATTACTCGGATCCCCAGAAAGTTGGAACCCCCGCTCCAAATCAAAATCGCGCGCGCGAAGTCTTCTGCTCGTGTGTTGTTATTGTCGGCGGCGGCGGCCAAACTTATATTGTAGGTACAAAACGGATGGCGGAAGCGGCGGAATCGTAGCGTCGCAAGTTTTCTTCTGGCAGAATGTGATTTGTCACGTCATCAGACTAACATGACTTGGATTTTCCCGGGAAGACGATAGTGTTGAAAGTTTCGATTGTAAGAACTGAGGGGGGCTTAGATAGGCTTACGTTCTTAGCATTTGGCTCCAGTTAGTCTCATGGATCTTTGGTACTAGAGGAGTAGGAACTGAAGCCGTCACCGCCTACTTTCACGGATTACGGTAGATTGGAGCCACAAGTATTGTTGTTATGCCAATTTCCGGTGACCTACATGACAACATCCTGTTGTTGTCAGATCATTGTGGAGTTTGTGCTCAAGTTGAGTTCATAGTCAGGTTCATTTACAGGGTCATACGGTCATATTATAGGGGCACCGAATAGAAAGGGCGCTCTGTTCGCAATCTGGCCGAATTTCTAGTCCGCGAAGTAATTTTCCACTGAAAACGTGGCCTAACTTTTCAAATTCGGCCCCGAGCTAGCTCACTCAATTTGCACTGCAAAAAAGTTTCTCAATAGAGCGCCCTTTCTGTTCGGTGCCCCTATAATAGCTGAATTCGTGGTCCACGATGATCTTTCCTAAATCCCCCCCCCCAAGTCCTCCTCGTAATCCTGCCTTCCTCGGTGGTGCAAACTGCTGATCAGCCTAGAGTTTGTAGCCACCACAACTCCAATTTTTGGCTCTCTCTCTCTCTTTCTCTTTCCGCTTGACTTGTACCAGACTGGCCGGCCAGACACTCGGACTCAACCCGATCGGAACCTGACTAATCATCTCTGATTCAAGCATATATATCAAGCACACACTGGCTCTCTTTTTCTCATTTCTCAACACTGCTTGTTAGTCATAGTTCATCATCGGCAAAAGTGTTGGAAGAAGCAGCAGCAGGTGATGAGAATGAAATGAAAAATTGGAGGAATCAATTAAAAACAGGTGAAAATGATGAATTGATGTCTGGTTTTTGTTCGAGTTCAGCAGTTCAATTCAGGGCGAGAATGAGAGGTCAGTCAGTGTACGTGGCGGCACACTTTTGATAAGTGTACAATATAGGAAAGATAAGAAACGGAAATTGTGTTGCCTCAAATAGAGAGAGAGAGAGAGAGCGTACATACCTCCTGCTCCGTTGTTGCTTCGGAGGCGGCGGGAATCCGGGCGGGAGGTTCATATCAGTCGGTAGAAGAAGAAGAAGAAATAGTTGGATGAATAATATCAAATGTCCGCGGGTTGTGGTGAAGGTGGCGACAAGCGGAAGGAAAGAAACGAGGGCAACTGGAAGATAATGAGGCCGAGAGCCAAAACTGGGCGGCGCCTAGACTCCTAGGCAATCTCTGGACGGGCTCATATGCGGCGGGCGAGAGCAAAATGTGGGCGGGCTCGTCGGCGAGGAAGAAGCGAAAGAAGAAGAAGAAGAAGCACAATATATATCCGATTGTAGACGAGGTTTTCGAGTTGGCACTTCGACGTGGCAACTGTACGAGTACGGTCAATCAGTTGGCGGACCAATGACCAGAACACTTTACTTTTTCCACCCAGAAATGACGGTACGGAAGATGATTAATGTTATCGGGGGGGGAACAAGTTTCTTGGCGTGTGCGTCAAACCAATTGGAACTGCGTCAGTCCCGGTTCTTATCGCGCTTCGAGTTCGACTGATTTCCAGACAAATGCGATTCATATTGGAAGCTACAATATAATTTCGAAATCGCCTCCAGACACCCTGCCCTTTTTTGTGTGTTGGCCGAAAAAGAGAGTGGGTAGGCGGTAGATGACGTGGCAAGATGGATTGTAGTATCAAATAAAACGAATGCGATCGCATCAATCTTGGTGACGTGGCAAAAAATTGAGCAACAACGACAGCACCGTCGTTTTGGAGTTTCCTCTGACTATACAGATTCTTGGGAGAAGCGATGAGGTTTGCTGGGAAAAATATTTCAGGCGCAACTTTGACCAAACGCGTTTTAGTCAGTTTTGACGATTTTTCAAAAGTTAAACACGAAAATGAAAGCTCGAAACATGCGCTCAAAGTTTGTAGTTGTACACTTTTTTCGAGCAATCACTTGAACCGCTAAAATTTTAACATTTCAAGGTATTAGCCGACGCACCATATCTCTGTCAATTCAAAACATTTTTGCATGGTCAAAACGGCAAATGAGCGCTCTTTTTATACACTTTAACGCTTCCGTAAGTTGTGATTTTGATGATCTTGCACCAAAATTAAGATAGCACGGTTTGATTCTTGGCAAAGATCCAAGAGAAGCCGAAAGGAAGTAACAATGAAAATCGTGAGACCGATAATAGTTGGTCAAAAAAGTGTTGAATACTAAATAAAAGAAGAGATCACGGGTCGAGGAGACCCATAAAAAGTCTCGTTCTTTTTTCTCTTCTTCTCTCCTTTCGCAACAACATCAAAACACACTTCTCATTTATGATCTGATCATTTTTCGGTCTGTGTCTTGTGTTTTTCTCTTCTATGACTAATCGTTTCAAGTGAGACCTATTAGGACGAAAGAAGAAACATTGGGGAAAAAAGTGAAGAAGAAGAAGAAGACAGATAAATGAGTGATTTAATCGAATCAAATCAACAAATCACACACACACACACACACGAGAGACTGCTGACCATATCACTCGTTTTTATCAGTTTCTCTCTCTCTACCCACTCTTTCTCTCACTTTTCCGATGGAATTTCTTGAGAGACAAGTAACATCAAGCACCATTCGAAGCGAGGGTTTTGGCGAACATTGATTGAGAAGAAAAGACCAGTAGCAAAAAAGTTGGTATCGAAAATGAACTGTATCAACACTAGACCTGAGTAGGTTCACTTCAACTCACATTTTCACTACTTGAAGCACATTTTTGTGAGAGCCGTTTAACGGTGAACTTGTAGAGCATGTCTAGAGCTTCCATTTCCTTTTTTAACTCTTTAAAAATGTCTAAAACTCACCGAGATACGGTGGCGCCAAGTTGACCGCCTTCTTTTTACCCGCTTTTTAGTTAAACGACAATATCAGGTGCGTGCGTGCAGAATCGGAAAAAGTGATCAACTACAATGTTGTAGAGCAGAACTGGGTCTTTCAATTCGTTTTTTAGCGTGTACAAAAATATTGAGAATTAACTGAGATATATTGAAGTAAAGTAAATTGGTCCAAAGGTTTCAATCTAATGGAACATCATCAAGAAAATGAGATCAAAACATCAGGCCGATCGGCAGAAATGGACAATATTATCTTATTTCGAAACGGTGTCGAAAAACGCGCGGATTTAACGCTTTGACGCACCAAAAAGAGCTCAACTTTTGGGCTCCGAGCTCCGGAAACGGCGAAAAGAAGAGCGATTTCGAAATCGGAAAAAGTGAGCGAGTAAACTGCGCTCGAGATTGGTTGTTGAGCAGCATTTCGGGTGTCCGGCACCAGAAAGAGCTCATTGCACATTTATAAGGTTCATGACGTGGAAGGGGCGCGTCTGGATCATAACCAATGATCCCCCAACCCACTGGATCCTGGTCTTTAACTCAACCGGGCCTGATAGTAACTTTCAGACTTGTATTTTCCGCAAAATGTCAAATGTCGGCTATAATTCTAGATAACCGCCTAGCAATTCAACCCTGGGATTCTTAGACCAACTGTGGGATGGCCTAGAATTCCAATTCTAGGCCACCAAGCGATTCTAGCTCGATTCTGGGCTCAAACCCGCAGCCGATCTCTGCTCGCCAATTCCAATTACCCAACTGGTTGTTTCTAGGTCAGAACCAGTTGTGGTCACATGATTTGGACCCGCCTACAAAAATGGCGATTCGAATTGCCTAGGAGCTTAGGGCGGTCTCGTGTAATCTGACTACCAACACAACAACACGGCAATTTTAGGATTTAGAAGTTCAATTTCGATAATAAGATTGTGTGAGTCAACGAGATCATATGAGTCGGGGACCAGGACCGAAGCGAAGAAAAACAGAAAGCGAATGGGGATTCCGGGAAAAAAAAATGGGTGGGGGCTGTACCGATACCGAAAACAGGGAAAAGAGAATGTGTGAGGAATACAAAATAATAGAAATTGTGTACTTCGATTCACATCAAAAGAGAACCGCGTTTTTTCGTTTTCGGCGCCAAACCTAGGCCCAAAATGTGTGATTCATCGTTCAGACATCCCTTCATCTCTCTCTCTTTCTCTCTCTTTTCGCTTTTTTGCCCATCCTATTCCTTTTTTCGTTAGTGTTTTACGCCTCTCTCTCTCTCTTTCTCTCTCTTTCGAAAGAGGGTTGCAGTGGGGGGAGAGTAGATCAGTGAGCGGGTTGTGACCCGAAATGGACGAATGCGCAAAAAAGGGATTGAATTGCGAAATGCGAAATTCGAGAGCGCCTCCTAGAAGTTTCATGAAATGCACTTTGAACTTGTGTTGTGGCAACAAGGAAACGGCAAAAATGTTTTGAGTCGCACGGGGATCGAACCCGCGCCGAAGTTCTGGCAGCCAAAAGAGTTAACCGACACTCCATCCGGTATTGCGTGGCGCGGCGGCTAAGGGCAGTGATAAGCGTGTGGCAGTTGGAAATTTTTTCAAAAAAAGCTTCTCGCGAAAGAAACGTTTTTATGAGTCATTGGCAATCGAAAAGTCCATTATCTCGCCATATTTTTTATTATTTTCAATGAGGAAACAGCAACGCAGCTCGTTTTTAATTGCCGTCGCTCGTCGTTTCGCACGAGAAGGGATCCCGACGAGAAAAATGGGTGAAAAAGTTGAATTCAGTTTGAAAACGAGAAAGTAGTTGTTTCGTTTATCATGCTCTAAAGTCCTTAGACTAAGCGCTACAAATTTTCGAATCGACTATAGTCTCTTCCGGAAATCCGCCCCCGCCGGCCCGAAAAAGACCAAACAACACAACATAATTGAGTTATATTGTGTGGGACCACAGAACGGGCGACGCTTCTGAAAAGGAAATTGAGGAAAAGAAGGAGATTCAATTAAAGAAATGAGAGAGAGAAAGAGAGAGAGAGAGAGAGAGAGAGAGAGAGAGAGAGAGAGAGAGAGAGAGAGAGAAAGAGTACCCGATGAATCTGATCTGGATGAGCACAGATTAGTGCTCTACTTTAAGATGAATTGCACACTGATTTCCTTTTCGTTTCATAATCCCTCAAGCTCCGTTCTCTCCACTATTTTCGGCTCTTTTTTTCGGGGTTTTCTACTTTGGGGACATGGTTTGCGACTGAAAATTGTTTGGTTGCGAAATGTCCAAGCGCGCGCGGTTAAATGCACCCTCGAAATCTGTCGAGACTCATTGAATCTCGTGAGCACCAGAGATGTTGGGAATAAAAATTTTACTCTACGGAACACGGAACACGGAAAACGGAAATTTTTTTTTTTACGGAACACGGAACACGGAAAACGGAAAAAACTTATTTCTACGGAACACGGAACATGGAACACGGAAATTTTTTTTTACGGAACACGGAACACGGAACACGGAAATTTTTTTTTTTTACGGAACACGGAACACGGAAAAAATATTGCAAAAAAACGCGGAACACGGAACACGGAACACGGAATTCCCAACATCTCTGGTGAGCACATGTTCCGCACGTGAACCACCGGTCTAGAACAAGAGAAAAAATCGCGAAATGTGCAAAAACGAAACGATTTGATCCCATCACAATAATATGCCATCATGAGCTCCGCCGCGGAAACAGCAATTAAAGTGACGCAAGTCGTTCGACGCAAAAATAAATAAAACGGAAAAAAAAACGAGATGATGTGATTCAGAAACAGAGAAAAAATGACGGGTCACGCTTTTTTTTTTGGCCAACATCAGTTAGATGGAAGATTATTAGGAGGGAGGGTGGGGAAGTGATAAGAAAATTCGAGTCTATTTTGGTCTTTCAAAATTTGAGAGCTCATTTTGTGATCCGACCAAATTTAGATGTTCTTTTGCCGGAGCAATTGTGGTGATTAGAGATAATCCTTCAAAGGACTTCATTCTGGGAATTATTAGTCAGTGCCCGAAATTGGATTTTGTGTGAGTGCACTTTCGTCTCTTTTTGGAGCATCTAATTTTGGCGACAATTTGGCACGGAAATAGATTGAATTCCAACTTTGCGTGGACATTTCAACGCCTCGAGACATGCTATATTGTTCTGAAACGTTTCGTGTGAAATCTTGACCTCTAGTACTGCACTTTTGTAGGAGATCACTCACTTTTGGCAACGAGCATTCCGAAGATCACTGTGGCTCTTGGAAGTTGTCCCAACATGTGCGGGGCTACTGCGAAAATGAAGTGAACGATGACAAGATTTCACAACAAAAAAATGTCAAGATTTCACATTTTTCATGTGTGCTGAAAATGAGCCCAGACAATTTCAGTTCTTCCCAAAAAAAAAGAAGTGGGCGGAGCTTCTCTTCCAACCCAATTATGATGACATCCACGCCGAAAATAACCGCTTCCCACGTCATTTTTCCTCTATTTTCGGGTTGAATCCCACTCGGCTGCAGGCGTTTTTTTCCGTCTTCATCGGGTGCAGAAAAGGCGGGAAGCAGACACAGGGACACAATTAATATTATCCGACACTGAATTTCCCGATCAAATCCAACTATATTGTCAATTATCAGTCAGTTAGGCAATGTTCACTTTCGACGGAAAATCTTGTTCGCAAACCGTCTCCACCCACTCGATTTGCTCTTTTCCGTCTTTTGCTCGTCCTTCCTTCCTTCGGCTTCTAATCTATTCTCCGTTTGCTCTTCGGCTTCTGGAATCGGCGAGCACTTCGGAGACTCTTCATGAGAAGTCGTCGTCGTGGTTGACACAGAAGTGGTGGAAGACGTCGGCGGCGAGACGCTCCTTCTCTTGTTCCTCTTCTCCTTCTCCGCCCGCTTCCGATCCTTCTCCTTCTCCCGCTCTTCCGATTTGCGAACTTTCCGCAACAGTTTCTGCTTCCGAGTCTCCTTTTCCTTGCGTTTTCGGTTGGCCGCCTGACGACGATGACGGATTCTGAAAAGTCAGATGATGTTGACGATTGGGAAGGTCTAGAAGTCACCTTTCCGGAGCATTGACGAAGAGTTCCGCCGATTTCGGCGGCGGATTTCCAAAGTAGGAGCCGGTGAAGATGGGAATGCCCTGAACGACGACCAGGTAGGTGAACGGCGAGTCGATGCGCGCCGCATACATTTTGTGTTTTTCATAGAGCGATTCTCCAGAGATCCGGCCATGACACACTTGTTCCAGAGCCTGGAAATCAAAGAAATGGCGCTTCAACTTTGAATAGTACAACATACAACTTGGCCTAGCATTCTTCTCATGCAAAAGTTAGTCCCCGACTCACTTTCTGCGAAGCCGTTGTCTTTCCTCCTGCCTTGGCCGCTTGCAGCCCACTGATCCCTTCACTTCCGACCGTCATACTGGCCCAATGCCAGAGAGAGGCCATGGGCGGTGCCTTCTGACTCTGTCCGAGGTCCGGCTGCACTCCGTGTCTCATCAGATTCTTCCACAGATCGTGCGTACAGGATGCGCTGAATTGCGGCAGCAGAAGACGTCCCTGAATCCACGGCGACGCCTGAATATCCGCAACCATTTTTGTGAGCGTCTCGGTGGTCAGTTGACGGTTCGCGTAGGGCAGATGACCCAGGAAGTGGGGCCGCAGCACGAGGAGGCTCCCGAAATGAGTGCAACGGTCGGTTTGGAACGGCACTTCGATGGCCTGCAAAACAGAGAATACGGCCACTTTTAACATGTCTCCTGACACGCTCCCATGTCCTCCGGGTTCAATTCCCAACGTTTTTCGTCCCCTCACTTACCTCAAACTGTTCCATCGTGATTCTCCGGAATCCGGTGCGAATCTCGAAGAACGGCTCCATCTTCTTCTTGTGATAACTGCACGCGAACCGATGGAGGCCCGCTTTCCGCGTGTTTCCGATCCATTTGGCGTTGAGGCCCGTCGACGCGTAGCCATTTGTGGTGAGCAAGGGCGGACGGCTCAAAGTGACCGGTGAAAAAGTGAGCGTGTTCAGGTACTTGACGACTCGGGACGGACGAATCGAGGCGAACACTTGCTGGCCGGAGACGTCCGTGCTTTTGCTCATCAGCTCCTTGCTCACAGTCGTCGTGCGCTCTTCGTCGACGAGAAAACGGACGAAATAGTAGAAGACGCCCTGAGCACGGAGCTCTTGGAGCTTCTTGCTCATTTCACGAATGTCTAAAAGACAAAGTCGAGAAATTAAATGAAGGAATGAAGAAGGAAAGTTTGCAAAAAAAATAATAAAACCGTCAATATCGTCGTCGGTGAGCTCAAAAAGTCGTTGTAATGTCTTCGTCATCGAGTTCTCCGACGACAACGTCACGACGACGAACATCAGAAGCGACGGCGCGGGGCTGTAGATCATGTTGAATTGCGGATTTCTCGAGAAGATCGGACAGGTCGTGTTGAGACAAGCGGCCGTCCATCTGCAACAGATTATCCGTGGAGCGCACTTTCACCTTCACCTTCCACCGCACCTGAAAATGACCGCATCGCCGTCCGAATGGCTGGTGCTCGTCGAAGAAGTGTTCTCTTGGCGTCCGGTCACAATCGAAATCATTCGGCGGAACGGATTCCAGCCGCCTCCTCCATTACCCCGACTTCCACGATGTTTGCTTCGAGATTCTGAGGAAACCTTCGGGGAGATACGTGCGCGGACGGTGCTTACCAGAACTCTTTGAAGTGTCAGACATTGTTAGAAAATTAGGAAAATGCGCTTTTGAAAATGCGACAAGATGGCGTTTCCTGGGACGAAATCGGAGCAGAGGGATGAGTGGGAGGAGGGGGGCGACACGCGTTTAAATATGCAAATTGGTAATATCGTAAAGTTTTAGATGGATGTGAGAGAGCATGATTCATGCAATGGTTTTTGATGTCTTGGCTGGCTGGAAATGGGTCAGACAAGGAGTACTTTTCACAAATTTTTGAAGCAAGATGCTAAGCGAGCCGCTGGAACCTGCTAATTTTCTAGAAAGTTCCACTCAAGGTTCACTCCTCGTGTGTTCATTTTTCAAAGTCTTGATGAAGAGCTGCGAAACCCTTGAGTCACTTTGAAAACCAAACTACATACATCCGAATACAATCCATCTAGGTTGTCTCCCTCAATTTCCAATCTTTCCCTCTCTCTCTCTCTCTCGCAATCGCTCGAAGTAGTTGCCAAAGTGATGTGGTTCGTCTCGAGATGATGATGATATCTAAAAGTGCCAAGAACATGTTATGTGTTTTGTATGTCGTAAAGTAAAGTCCGTTTATTATTGACGTACTGAAAATTGAGAAATGAACGAACGAAACACGTTTAGGCCGTGTTAGTTTAAGTTTGAAACGAAATCTTCGCAGAAGACTTTGAATCATCAAAGTATGTCTCTAAACGAAACTTGTTTACCTACTACCAAAATATCAACTGTCACTGACAGATGGTTCGATTCAGAAATCAGGCGGGACGGAGGAGGAGGTGGAGGAGGAGGAGGTGGCCTTGTGGTTAACTGACAAAACAATCTACTTCTTTTCAACTTTTTCGAATTTCACTGTCACCCACTCCAAAAAAACCCGTTCCCTTCCTCTCGTTTCTGCCCTCGCTGCATGTGTTCGTCGTCACTTTTTGAGGCGACAATGACCGTTGGTGGCAGTAGAAGTTCGAGTAGAACGACGTCATCTTCGATGGCTTCCGCAGTGCTCCTGACGATGTTGGTGGTCGGCGGAGAGGCGGCCAAGTTCTTGGATACGGTATGTTCACCCACCGATTTTGTGGCGTCTGGGACTACAGCTTTGTATTTTTTTGACTTTCCCGCTCCAAAATGGCCTCCAAAAACCCAAACTTAACAGGTAGAGTGATCAAAGTGCAAGTGCTATTTTATAGCTTTGTAGTTAGTGACTTGATTGTAGATCAGGTCCAAATAGTATTTCAATTTCAATATTGAACGTGTTAAAAGTTGAAAATCATTCGATTTTCTATATTAAACATCAGAGTTGAGCGGAAGAACACGAAATAATTTTTATCTTTTTTAGAAAATTTTTTTATGGAATGTGAGCAACTGACGAAATGTATAGCAAAGTGAACTCTGCTCATAAAAAAATAATTGTAAATTTAGCTTTTTATACAAAAAAGTTAGGGCTAACGGAAGACGGAAGGACATTTTCACGGAACAACTCGAATAACTTTTTTGTATGAAAAGTTAAATTTACAATTATTTTTCTATGAGCACAGTTCACTTTGTTATACATTTCGTCAGTTGATCACATTCCATAAAAAAATTTTCTAAAAAAGATAAAAATTATTTCGTGTTCTTCCGCTCAACTCTGTTGAACATTTACTGCAAAAGTTGTAGTTGTGTGTGTGTGTGTGTGTGTGTTTGTTTTCTTTCTGTCAAGTCACAATTTGTCGGTGAGTCAATGTTCGCCAAACGTTTTGGCAGACTACAATATCAATTTCCGCACATTTCAGGTCTCAAAGCAAGCCATCTCAGTGCTGCACGGATCTCAGCGGGAGGGCGAGGTGCGACAGTGTACTTGCGATGAGATGAAGGATTGTTACGACAGCTCGAAACATCAGGCACTCGATTGTTTCGAAGTTTGTTGGAAGACCGAAATTCAACGGGTATTGTACATCCACGAACTATATTCGAACATGTTCCGTTTCAGTTCAAACTCACCGACAACCCAGAGTCATTGAAAGCATGCTTCGATGCGAAAAGACCGTTTGTGGATCAAGTGATCAATTGTTTCCAGGAGAAAGTCAAGGCGTAAGTATTCATTACTGATTTGCGAAGTTTACAGTATCATCATAGGTGCACTGAGAACGGAGAACCGGGAGTTCGCGTCAAAGAATACGACTATCGGGATATGATAAAGCGGGTTGAGGATGCGGTCAACGCGCAGGTCAACTCGTTCCTCCAGTCCATCGGAAACGATAACGTCAAGGTTGGCGCGCGCCGCATTTTCGGGGTGCCTCCACGCTCGTTTCGTTTTCAGGCTGTTGTCAATGCCGGAACCGCCATTGCGCAGTGTGTCAAAACGTGTTTTCTCGAGAAGAATAAAGACGGATTCTGTTTTAATCGCATTGGGTGAGTGACAAGACGATTAGTCTCGCTTCCGACACTTTTATACGATAACTTTTGGTAACTGCTAGTGTTTTCAAAGATTATTGACAACTACAGCAGTCGAATGACGTGGTTTAGTAGCCCAACCAACTGCCACGGTATTCCCACAGCCTTATGACGTGGCAACAAAGTATCCCGGCAATCTGAACTCTGTACACTTCCCAATTTTTTTAGCACAAGCTGTAGTCTCATTAGCTTGTGCATAAGTACCGTTTCCAGTTGCGAACCGCAAATCGTCGACAAAAACGCGCGAGTTGCAATCCGTCAGTGTTCGCGATCGGTTCAGTGGAAGAAAGAGATGGAGACGTTCTGCCATTGCTCAAGCGCCGCCGGAATCAAGTGGGTTTTTGCGGATATTATTATTATTGTTATTGTTGGTTAACATGAAAAATGAATGGGTTTCATACAATTGAGCTTGGAAGCAATGAGGTGAAATTTCAAAATTTCTTTGCAGCGGTCTCTCGAGCTATTGCGGAATGCTTCAAGTGATCGGATGAAGTGCGGACACACAACTATTGTGCTCTTTTTTGTTGTTTTTTTTTGGTTCGAAAATGTGTATAAAGTCTCAATTTTTGTGTGCGAGCTAAGAGTGAATAAAGCAAAGGGGTTTCGGGGCAAAGATACCAATAAAACTGGGGGAGGGGAAATGAACCCGAGGTATAATGGGGAGGTGATAAACTAGACAAAACTGGGGGAAAGACTATGCAAATTAACAGGAACAAATAAACAAGTACCAGGATTTTAAAGATTACAATGTTGAAAGAAAGATAGAGCAAAAGTGATTAGGATTTTGAGCGTTTCGCGTTCGGCTCTCCTCCTTCCGTTTTTTTCGTTTTCCGCCTGCACGCCGCTTTCTGCTGCCTCTTCCGCTTCTGCCTCGACTCAAGTGCTCTTTGCTCGGCGGGCAGCATGTACGGGGAACCGTCACGCGAACTGTCGAGGGTGTACGGGAGAATGACGCGAGCTTCACGCCCGCTCCGCACGATCTTCGGGATCTTTCCGTCGGGGAACGCCTGCAAAATCGAGTCATGACAACTGTAAGTTTAGAGAGCAATAGTACTACAGTAACCCGACGACAAAGTATACACTCACCGATGCCAGGTCCAAATGAGCAAACTCTTGCGAATTGCACATTCTCACAAACTGTTCGACCATCCGTAATTTGACTCTCAATTTTCGGGAGGCCGTCTCCAGATCCCCTTTCGCATCCTTCACCGCTTTGGCGTAACTTTTGACTTCATCCTCCGTGAAAGTTACTTCCTCGGCCTCTTCGGCGCCGTGCTGTTCGAACGAGGACTCTGCGCATCGGCAGAAGACAATGTGCGGGAAGATGTGCGGCTGGAGTTGCTCGGCGACACGTTGGCCACGCTTCTCGAGCTCCGCCTCGGTCAGCGAGCCCTTGTGGCGGCGGTTCGAGATCTTCAGATCCTTCTCGTTGAGCATCGCATTCTCCTCGAGCGTCGTGATGTTCTGGAGCCATCTCTCCGTCTTCTTCTCGCTCGACATCTTCTCGTACTCCTCCCGCTCGATCGTCTTCTCCGCTTCCTGCTCCATCGCCTTCCACTCGTCAATTTTCTGCATTTCATCATCGCTGAACACCGGATTCTCGGCTGGTCGATCTTTTTCGCTGATGTCTCGGTAGGTCTCACAAATCAGGCAACGCTTCTCCGGATCGGCGGCCGGACGGATGTTTCGTGTGCAGTTACCGCACGCCCATCGCGGCTCGAAGTACATTCGCCTGTACAGAAAGTCGTCGCAATTGCAGCCGCCTCCGTATCGGTCAATGTACTTTGTGAATCGTCGGAATTGGTACAAAATCTGCTGCACTTCTCCGAGATGATAGTTGCGGAGCTGAAAATGTGCAAGTTTACATTAATTTGACAGAGTGTTTTCTGTTAAAACTAACCGCATTCTCCTGCAAATATCGTCGGGAGTTCTTTCCCGAATCGGCCGCCTTATTGAGAGCCTTAAACTGCGCCATACAGATCGGCTTGAGCGCCTGCGGCAGCTCCTTCAGCTTCTGATCAATCGTTTCTAAGGCTTCGAGCTGATCGTAGTTACACTGCATCAGATGCTGAAGGATCGTCTCCATCGGAATGTGACCCTCGAATTGCTGGAAGACAGCTCGTCGATATTCATCGATTTCGAGTGACCGCTCCTTCGGCTGCTCCCACATCAGCTCGTCTCGATCGTCATCCTTCGCCGGCTTTCTCAACGGATACTCGGAAATGTCCGCCTGCGAATTCAGGCCAATTTTGACGGATCCATTACTGGATTTGAGGAACGACTCCTCCTGCTTATCCTCGTCGTCTTCTTCCGTCGGTTCCGATGTTTGTCGTCGAGTTGGTTTTTTGGAGGAGGAGGAGGAGGCGGAGGTGGAAGGCTCTTCGACGGGAAATCCTTGGGAGAGGGGACCGGCTTTGGCGAACACTGGCTTCATGTCGATCTTGAGGGAGTCTTTGACTCTGTCCTGAGCCTGCTCTTTGAATTGGAACGCAGAGCGCTTCAGACCTTTCGGCACTTGTGTTCCGCGGTCTGAAAAGATATGATTCTAGATTAAGGCTACAGTAATCCAGAAGTCTCTAAAATAGTTCGAAAGCATCTACAGTATTCCTGATGCCGCTACAGTAACCCTCAAGCCCCTACAGCAAACTCACTCAAGACTCCCAGTCCATTGTGAAAGTTGGCGATGAGCTCGTCATCGACCGCCTGGTAGCCGTCGCGGTTGATCCGCCTACTCTTTCGCACCGCTGGTCCTTGCACTTTCTTCGACCGTTTTTGGCCGCGCGTCGCTTGCTTCGGCTCCTCATTTTCCTGTGCCGGCGGCTTCTCCTTGCCCTCTTCTTCTTCTTCTTGCTCTGGCGTTTTTTCGGCGAATTCGAATGGAGGCGAGGGATCCGGCTCAACTTCGGCTTCTTTGGCTGGTTCAGGAGTGGGTGTGAGAGTGAAAGTGCTCGGCTCGAGCTGACACTGTTCTACTGGAGATGGAGCTGGTGTCAATGAAGTTGTCGGCTCTGATTCCGGCACCTGTTCCTGTTCTGGCTCCGTCGCTTGCTCCGGTTCTAACTCCCTCGTTGGCTCCTTCTCTAGTTCATTTTCTGAGTCCTTCGCTGGCTCTGGGTCCTTCGCTGGCTCCGGCTCCTTCGCTGGCTCTAGGTCCTTCGCTGGCTCCGGCTCCTTCGCTGGCTCCGGCTCCTTCGCTGGCTCTAGGTCCTTCGCTGGCTCTGGCTCATTCGCTGGCTCCGGCTCTTTTGCTGGCTCCGGCTCATTCACTGGCTCCGGCTCCTTCGTTGGCTCCGGCTCCTCTGCTGGCTCCGGCTCCTCTGCTGGCTCCGGCTTCTTTGCTGGCTCCGGTTCGTTCGCTGGCTCTGGCTCCAACTCCGACTTCTTCTCAACCACCGGCTCTGCATCTACTTCCACTGTCACTTGAGCCTCACTCCTTGATTCCACGAGCTTCTCCGTTTCCTCCTCTTCATCCGACGACAAGTAGATGACGTCGCCAATGATCCTTCTCGGCGGCGGAGTTGGCTTTCGGTAAGGCGATTCGTCATCGATTATGATGTAATCGACTTGATTCGCTTCTCCACCAGAAGACTGCACTGCCGAAGTGCTCGTAGACGACGACGCCGAGGACGTCGAGGCGCTGGACGAGGAGGCGGGCGGATGGCGCCGCCTTTTGGCCGCCGACGGATTGCGCCGGACTGTTAGCAGCGCCATCGCTAGCGGGCCCGCAAGTTCCGTCGTGTACGGCTCGTCGTCACTCGGGTGGTCCGACTCGTCACCCGACAATCGACGCATCTCACCCGACAATCGCTGCACTGATGCCATCTTTCGACTTTTCCGATTGTCTTGTTGAGGGCGTGCTCCCTGGAAAACAACGTGTTTGTGGTTTGGATTTTGAGTGAGGTTATGATGTTATGACGTGGCAAACGTGAAAACAGATGAGGAAAAGTGGGCAATAGAGGCGTGAAGTGCCCAGAGAACCGCTTGATAAGACTAAGACTAAAACTTTCGAAAAACTTCAAGGACGATGTCTAAATCTGTCACAACCTTGTTCTAGATATCGATCGCATGACTCAAAATGTTATTACGTGGCCTCGATTGCGCCATCTTGCCGAGAGTGGAAGAGGATGACCCAACACCCACCGCCAGTGGCGGGAAATTCAAAAACCGTTCGGGCGAGCGGGTCTGTGCACGTCTGCGTTTCCGTTCATATCACTTTCACACTTTCAACACTCTGCACCTTTTCTGATATTATTGTGTTGCGAAAGTGTCGTCCATGATGATGACGACGCGTGGTACGCGCGCGCGCGCGCCAGACGGCTAGAGGATTGTCCTTTTTGTATGTACACAAGAGAGAGGGACAGAGAGAGAGAGAGGGGCGCCGCGGAATGAAAAAAAAAGCGAACGGAAGCGGCAGCGGCGGAGAGCGAGAGAAGGATGGATGGATGGATGGATGAAGAAGAAGAAGAAGAAGATGAAGGCAAAAAAAAATGAAGGAACGAGACGAAAACGAGAGGAGCGCGGCACACGTTGACCCGGGGGAGGTGGGTGTGTGTAACTGGACAAGAGTGCACATACCCCGAAGGTCCGTCCGCACACTAATGACTCATGTCTCTTCACCGCCCCGGTTACCCGCAACGCCAATTAAGGGCGGGATTACAAATCGAAGAAAAATGGGCGGGCCCTATTGCTAGGTGATAACATGATGCTTGTGAACTTGTTTCTAATAATATCACACATTGAGTCAAGAAAAGGTGAAATCCTCCGGTTCTAAACTGAAGCTTCTAGAAGATCTCGGCAAATGTGCATAAAGGTAGCGCAAAAGTTGCAGACAACCTTAAATTTTTCCCGAAAGTTACAGAGCTTTGCCGAGAGCGCCGCGCCAATTTCTAATTAAAAATTTCAAAAAAGGATTTGGGGATCAGATTGTTTCATGTTACGCACCGGCACATCTGCCAAAGAGAGCAATTTTCCTAGTAATTAGTGTGGATTAAGTCCCCAGGTGCTAATTTGACTATTCAAATATGGCAAATGAGCAAAAAAGAGCCTGACGTCTTCTCACTCCGTTCTGATGACGTGCAAGTGGCGTTCCCCGGTGATCAGCGGATTATCAGTCGGCTCTAGCGGTTAAACTGAAACTCAGCGAGAGAGAAAATATTCAATTCAAACGTGTTGACACTTTGCGGGCAGGGCAACAAGTTTAATCAGAGTCCCAAACACACATTTGGCTGCAAACAATTTAAGAAAAGAGCTCCGACAACCCGACAAAAAAGAAACCAACTATCATGCGACTTGGAGAAACGGAGGAGCTGTCTTCTCCTTCTTTTTCTTCTTCTTCTTCTTCTTCTTCTTCTACAATCTTATCAGGAAGAAGACACGAGAAAATGATAAGAGGAACGTACAATAAAGAAACAAATGTACTAGTTGCTCTCTCCGAACCTAATTGTCTGTCGTCCACTTAATTTCACACCTGGGGACAATCCGTTACATAGCTGTCAGACACATCAAATGACGCGAACCTGGGGTGCTCAATGGGAAGAGAGAGAGAGAAAAAGAAAGAGACTGCGAACAGACGACAATAAGTGCGAACTTTCAATTTTGGACGACGACGACTGAGAAGGTTTTATCGATGCCGACGTCGACGTTTGCGGCGAAATGCGTTTGATCTTCCCTTCTCACACACGGAAAGGTTTAGCGATTAACGACATCGACTGGATGAGAATATGAACTTGGGGAACCCTGTCCGAACAAGTCGTTTCGAACCGTTCCCTTTTCAGTCCGACGATTACTAAAAAGTGTGCTGGAACAAGCGAAGCCCTCAATTTTAGCAGGTACAAAAACTTGAGAAGGTCAACCTCAAGTAGTGTTGTAAAAAAATTTGTACGGAACGTTCATAAAATAGTCTTGTATTGTCAACACATCTAACCATAAAATTTCAGATGAAATGTACAAATGGCTGCCGAAAAACATCTCATTGAAGTTTTGCTCGTACTGATAAATATTGTGTAACTCTGCACAGAAATTTCAGCTCAAAATTGAAGGAACTATTGCCGTGGCAGATGACAAAGACACTCTCGGAGAGTCTTCTGAAAATTATAGCTTGAAATGTGTCCAAATAACAGAAAAATAGCTCGGCAAACTTTGCTTTTAATAAGTAGTTTTTGGTAGAGCTGTAATTTCAGCCCGACATGAAATTTTAGAAAACTGGCTGTGACAGTGGTCACTAAAAGTCTTGAAGATTGTTTTCAGAAAATTTCAGCTCTGTCCATCAACTGACCACTGAGAAACAGTGTTTCGCGAAATTGCACCAAATGTTACATTTTCCAGGCTGTAATATCAGAAAATCTAATATCAATATTCAAAAGTTATGCATATTATGAGTTAGCCAGGGACTCTTAGACTATCTTCTGAAAGTTTCAGCCCAATTCATCGAAAGATGGCTGAGATTTCGAGTTTTCCAAGTTGAGACTTAAAAACGTCAAAATTGGAGAAAGTGCAAACTAATCAATATTTTATAAGATGAGGTCAGCATTTTGAAGTTTCGTGATAAATGTTCGGCATGTGTGCCAAGAGTGTTGATTTACAAGTTTCACTGCGAACGAGCTCTAATTGGCTGAAATTTTCAGTGACAAACTTTTGAGGCTGACAAAATTGAGATGCTTCTCGAAATCTTTCCAGTTTTTCAGATTTTCGTGCTCTAAACATGTTGCAATGACGGAGGAACCCGGCTAAAAGTGTTTACAGGTGGAATTTCAGCTGTTTTTTAAGAACTTTTGATTCTGAAGTACGTTAACTGAAACACGTCATAACTCTGCTCAGAATCGAGATTTTAGCTTCGAACTTTGTATGGGGCTTCTTGAGGCTCTCCTCTAGGCCCTTGCAACATAAATTTTCAGAAAATTCGAGTAGTTTCAGATTTTCAGACCGAAAACAAGACTGTCGAATTTCGGCTTTAAAGTTATACCGTTAGTTTGGGAATTCCGTGACGAATCGTCGGGTGGCACTGGTTTCAGTCCGATTTTTGTATAGCGATGAACAATGGGGCGTGGGAACTTTTCGAGAAAACGGCCGATAGGAATTAGGTGGCCTGGGGGGCGAGCGAGCGGGCGACGAGGGGACGTGTGAGTGGAGGGGGGAGGACGGGCGGAATGACGCAGACGAACAAGACAGTGCGGAGCAGAGAGGTCGGTGGCCCGCGAGGCAGCGCACGGATCGACGAGGCGTCGGGCGAGAGAGCACGTGATGGCGAGAGACGCGAGAGACGGACGGTGCGGGCGGCGAGAGAGGATGGACACAAGCGGCCGTCTACCGTACTCGCCGCGTCCCCGCCTCCCGCCCGCTATCGATTTTTGAGGGGTTGGCCGCTTTTCGCCTATTGGATGGGCGCACACGGCGGGCAAATGACAGCGGACGAGCGCGGGAATGCGCGCAAATGGTTTTTAGGAATGATGGATGGTCGTTAAAGATGTTAAAGGCGTCGGGAGCTTCGGAAGCGTCGGAAGAGCCGGAAGAGCAGAGAATTACTAATTTTAGAAATTACACTTTTTAGGTAAACTTTCTGAACAAAAATGGCGGAAAGCGGAGCAGCGTGAATCACAGAGGAAATTACAGAATTGTTTGCTTTTCCGATTCCAATTCACTTCGCCATTCTCGCTCAAATTCTCGTTTCCGGAAAAGAAGAAAATGCCAAAAAGTTTGAGCGATTCTTCGTCTCTCTCTCTCTCTTCAAAAAGGGAATTCTGTTCCGCCCGTGTTCTTCTCTTGTTCTCTCGCTTCTTTGATAATTACATATTTATGCACGCGTGACCAGGCTAACCCGTCATCGAACGAAAGAGAATTCGAGGAGAGAAAGAGAGATGCGTATTGACATCTCTTCACTTTTTCAAGGTGATCTGACTTCCATTCTAGACATAGTTGGTGAAATCAAAATCCGGAATTTTTGGAAAATGCTTTGGAATACTCACAAAAAGTCACATTACTTATCTATCAGATTTGAGCTTTTCTGGGTCAGGAATCGGCAAATGTGCACGTTCGAAAAAAAATTCGGTCAGAACCCATGTGCCCGGCCCGTTGCAATAATGAATCTAGAGCTAGACACCAAGCCAAATCAACTGCTTACTGCCTTCGCCGGCGAACTTCAGAACCACCGACAGGGTGGCCCCGCGAAAAAAGCAAACAGTACAGTTGTTCTCCGCCAGCCGGCTGTCACTTTCGCTCTTTCTTCTATCTTTGTCAGTGTGCGTCCCGCTTTTTATTGTTGGAAAAAGGAAGACGCAAAAATTGTTTCCAATGCGATTGCGCTTGCAGTTTTACGATTCTGCTGACGAACACAACGACGACGATTTTACTTTACAGGAGCCTGCGCGAACGCTTTTCGCAATATTCAAAATTTAGGGGCAATTTCCGAAACTTCGCGGCAAATCTCCAAGCACAAAGCAGAAAGCACGGGCTTGGTGAACAACAATGCCTAAAACAGCACAAATTTACTTCAAACTATTGTTTTCGGATCATTTTCCAGCTAAACTCAATTCATCTCTGTTGCCCCTTAGTTTTTCCGCTCAAGCCAAAATTTCTGAAATTAAGCTTGAGACCGCCGTGGCGCTGGAGATCAAAAATGGAAATTTTACAATTTTGCAGCTTCTGTTCACGTTTTCTGTTGAATTTCTCAGTTTACCACGTGATAAATCTCCGAAAATTGAAGAGAAAATCGATAATTACCCAAAAAACAGACGTCGAAACAGTGCGATTGCGCAGCGAAAGGGTGCCGGCGACGGTCGGAGTGCTTTTCGGTTTCTGCCAACTCATCTCGAATTCGAATCACCTGAAACAATAAAATTATTGGAAAAGTGTCCGAAAACATGTGGTGAAAACAAGTGTCAAAAGTGGGTGGATGTGAATGGAATTATTAGGAGAGCTCAGGGCGGCAAAGAAAAAGCGTGCAGATCTCTCGAGGTGGCGGCGTGCATGATTAATGGGATTTCGATGCGAACTAGTGCAGATTAAAAGTCCAGCTTGATCGAACTGATTCGGAAATTTCCGCAAAATGTGTCGAAGAAAAGTTGAAAATAATACAATTTTCAGCGGAACTTTTTTGTTTTCCAGACAGATTTCCGGCAATTTCCAACGGAGCGCTGTAACTCTGAAATTATTGCGAAATCGGCCACTGAAAATCGGAAACGCTCGAAACATTCACGTTTTCTGGAATGGCGACAGCGAAAAAGATGGTAAAAGTGAGATTTTAGGAGTCGATCGGCACGCGAACAATGCTTTTCGAGTGTGGGAAAAGTCTTTTTGACAAAATGTCGAAGATCAGACAAAGAAAACAACATTTGGAGAGTATCGATTGAAAAGAGCTAAACGACATCTGTATTGATATTACAAAGTTTTCGGATAAATAACAAATCGCGGCGAGACCCAGCTGGCACCAGGATCCGCGGAAGATCGAACATTATCGGACTGGCTCGAGCGAGATTCGCTCGGATTCTCGTCAGGGCGAATGTGCACTGGATGCGACTTTCAGCTTTCCACGACGCCAAAACAATCAATTATTACTTGTCGGCTTTCGGGCAGCCGGTTGCCCGGGGGGATGTCATTAGAGTGTGAAACGAGTTGATAAAGGTTTGAAAGAAATGATGGGAAAAGAAAATGTGCTGGAAAAGAGTGGTGATGGAGGAGGAGAAGAAGAAGTGAGCGAGAAGAACAACAAAAATACGAATACGTTTTGGGTTTTCGATATTTTAGATTTGCCGCGCGGAGTACAACGACGCGTACAAAAAGTGACATTTTACAACAAACCGATTTGTTCGACCAAAAAAAAATAGTGTTCCGACACGAGTATGCAAAGTGTAACGTGTTCATGCATAATTGTGTATTAATTTATTTATTCAAGCAAAGAGTGGAGTTTTTTGCTCGGAGCGGATGACCAAATTCATTGCAAAAAAAATGGGGGGAAAAAATAATATAACTGACAGCGTAAGAGAAAATAAACCTTTAAAATCCCTAACTTAACTTTTTATTCGTCGTTTTATTGAGCTTGACACTTGTGAGGCTGTGAAAGAACATTGTTTAAAAAAAAACAGTTTTGTCTATTCGAGGCACAACAAAAAATGCTGGCAAATGTGAAATGTTTGCGTCGCTCATCACAGCAAAAGTTTTTGAACCTAAGCAACAAGGTTTGGTGCAGGAGACGTCTGTAACATCTGAAAATGGTGTACAGCTTCACAGCTTCCAGTGCCCTTTTTGTGTTGACCGTCTGTAAAATCGTGAGCATCCTGAAAGTAATTTCGATTTGATTACAACTGTGCACATGTAGTCCTCCTTCTTCCTTTCTCTCTTTCTCGCTCACTTTTCCCTCAAATGTTCGTCATCATCGCCACCATCAACACCACAGAACAAACAGAGAAAGAGAGGCACGCACACGCCAGTGGGGGAGGCCTCCCGGCGGCAACTTTCCGAGAGCAGCAAAAAGAGAGAAATGAGTCATTCGGCCAGAGAGAGAGAGAGAGAGCCACCATTCTTTATGTACTTCTTCTTCTTCTTCTTCTTCGTCTTCCCCTTCTTCTTCTTCTTCTTCTTCTTCTTCTTCTTCTTCTTCTTCTATACAAAAGAGGAACAAAGACAATTGGAAATAAGGAACCGATTGGATTGGCAAGGCATCAGTCAGTTCTAGAGATTGATAACGAAAGAAGAAGGGGGAAGACGGAATGTGATGATAACAAATTGACACATAAGTTATCGAGAGTTGAAAAATGAATCAAAAGTTGAGTGAAGTCTACGAGGGATTGGAATTCGTGAAGCTGCAACTTCTCACAGAAACCTTACAGTTTCTGGCATATTTTGAAGAGCGGAATACAATGGAGCTATAATGTTCGATTTCTAGACGCATGTACAAAACATCGGGTCGTGAACAGCTTAGAGCAAGGGGTACGGTACCTTTAGTCATCTGAAAACTTATGAACACTCATCTAGTCAAGGAAATGTTCTGAAGTGAACAAATGATTAAGTGTCGAACTATTTTGAAAAATATGAGTCACTACGTACTTGTTGTCAACTATCAGATGTATCTGAAAACTTGTAGTGTATCTATCACAACATACTCGTGATGTTTTAAAATACAAAACAAGTATCAAGTACCGGTTAGCTGGAAGGGGGAAGATTCCAGAAATGTGGGCATAACTTTGACTTGAAAATGTACTCGGCCCCCAACCTGAAAAAGAATCACGCACTGAGTTCAGCTCTAACTTTTCCCAATATCATTACAATGTCTGTGTACACACCCTTACTGGTTTTCAATAGTTTATATCAGTTGCTGTCAGGGCCATACTCCATAGTTGAACACTCCAAAGAAGAACCCAAATGCAATTCGCTCATTTCTTTTACACAAAGTCCAGTTTTCAGACCACATTAAGCCGGTCAGATGGATGCGATTGCGATTAGCAGTTCGGAACGTTTCCTGACGAAACCCTCCAATTTGTTCGGGCCCAATGACATGAAGACGAAAGAGGAGGCAGAGAGGAGGGCGGATTCGATATATTTGTGTGGTTGTTTACGAGACAGGACATTGGGAACGAGATGGAGTAGCTAAACAAGGGTATGGGAGAAATGAGATGAGAGGCAGGCGATTATTATAATTGGAAAAGTTCCGATAGTCCAGCTAAATCGAGGATCTTCATGTTCACCTAGAACTTTCGGACCAGACAAGTTTCTAAAACTCTCTTGTTGTTTCAGTGATCAATGACTCAGTTAGCATTAGCAAAGGATCAATTCTGATTAGTAATGTCTAGTACTTGTGAAGCAGATATTGCAGAAACCTGGAACTTTCAGAAATCTTCATAAGACCGCTATTCTAGATTCTTCCGAACAGAAACTAGGCCATAATGGCTAGTTTTGTAGTAAAGTTGTCTTATTGTTAGTGACAGCCGTTCTTCAACTTCCGAGAAAGTTAAGACATCCTGACTAGGCAAGCACTTTTGTAATTGGTTAGGATGATTTCCTAAGAAAAGCAGGTTGATACAGTAGACTGCCCTGAGTGGAAACGTGTTGTCAAAAGTTTACATAGTTTCACTTGATTCCAGACTGATGATTTACAAAAAAAGCCAATTGCTGAAACGTTTCATTGGATACCCCAAAAACACGAACTAATCAAAGCTTCAGCTCCCAAACTCGCATCATAAACGATTGTTTTGATTTATAATTTGCGAGCATTAATTTTAAACTCTCTCCTTCGTCTGGTCACTCCCAGTTGGCTTTGATCTCAATGATCTCGGTTTGTCAACAATCCTAATGCGTGCGATTTTGACCCGTTCTCAAAAATGAATCGAAAAAAAGCGAAGGGGGGAAGAAGTTGTCATAGCGTAATTACGGGTTTTCAAGTTTTGAAAGTGCATAGGCACTTTACTCCAAGATTTCCATTGGCCTGTGTAAAGATGACGCAGTTAGAGGACAGCTCTTTAGCTATATTGTAGGATTCCAGGACATCCACAACGACTCGCCGTGAACTACTTAGCGTTTAATTGGACTGTTAAAGCTCGCGTGGGTTACGAAACGTCGTGGAGCAATATCTGAATGACAAGCGTTCATACTTTCAACTTCAGCTCCAGCTCCAGAACTCAACCGACAGTAGAGACCTTCCAGACCCTTGTCACTTTTCCATTCCTCTACAATATCATCGGTCCTTGTGAGTCGTGGCGATTTTCGCGCTCACGCTCACTCACAAAACGCTCACTCAAACACATCTATGCGGCAAAAAACTCTGTTTCTCTCTCTCTCTCTCTCTCTCTCTGTTTCTCTCTTTGCCTTATTTTCTTTTCGAGGCCGCGGCCCGGACGGAGGCAAACGAGAGGGAGAGAGAGAGAGAGAGAGAGAGAGAGAGCCTTCCTCCTCACTTTGTTTCCTCTCTCCAATCCTTCTCGTTCCACGCCTTTTGCCGGCGTCTCTCTCTCTCTGAACTGCCCGCTCTCTCCACTGCCCTCTCTCTGACACACTCTCCATTTCACGTGCTCTCTCGCCGTCGGCTCATCTGTGTCTCGGATCTCAAGACGAGAAGAGAGAGAGAGAGAGAGAAGAAGCAGGCAGCCCCGTTTCCATCGGCCGTCCTCCTCGCCGCCTACAGTAGATATGACCGCCCAATTTGCGAATACGAAATGGAGGGATGGAATCGAAAGGCTAGGGACCGACGGACCGGGCAAGCGTGCAAATTGAATGGGAATTTTGTGAAATTCATATGATAGAATCGAATCGGTATCACGGACTGATCTGGAAAGTCCGGAAAAGATCGGAACACTTTGAAGTGCATTGGGCTCCGGGGGAGTTGTGAAGAGTTCTGGAGTCTGAAACTCAAGTTCTTTGACCTTTATAATAGTCGTAAATATCAGACAAACAGACTGGCGCCACGTAACCTGAAGACTGGAACAACACACGGTTTGGACGCGATGTTTGATACTGATTTTTATAGGCGAAAATGGACACTTGAAATGGTGCTCACAAAAACTAACCGAGAACGTGCATTACGGTATTAGTTTCTATGGGAAACATGATGTCAGCTCACAAGTTTACAGAAAACAAAGTTACCGTATGAAAAGTTGCGATAATTGGGGAGTACCAGAGTTGAGCGGAAGAACTCAATGGAAGAACACGGAAGAATTTTTATCTTTTTTAGAAAATTTTTGCATAAAATTTGATCAACTGACGAAATGTAGAGCAAAGTGAAGTCTGCTCATAGAAAAATATTTGTAAATTTAACACTTCATACAAAAAAGTTATTCCTTCCGTCTTCCGTTCGCCCCCTTTTTTCACGGAACAACTCGAATAGCTTTTTTGTATGAAAAGTTAAATTTACAATTATTTTTCTATGAGCACAGTTCACTTTGCTATACATTTCGTCAGTTGATCACATTCCATGAAAAAATTTTCTAAAAAAGATAAAAATTCTCTGGGGAGTACATTGAATAGTTCCAAACAGCCTGGAACTCGAAAGTGAACAACTATGATAGCGTTTACAGATTGGTTCGGTCTGAATGTGAAAATAGCGAAACTGTTAAGTTTGGCGCGCCAGACTTTGAAAAGTTGTATTTCAACCAAACCTTAGCGTTTCATTTCCAAATCTTCATTAATGGTCCCATTTGCTTCCCTCGTAATGTACGCCGCTGCGCACTAATTGCCTCATTAACGGTGTGCAAATGAATTGAGAAGCAATCAACAATACCCATTCAATTAGTGAAAAAGTCGATGCTAAACATTTGATCACTTGTTCCTCCTCCCATCATTGTCCTCGGCGGTGATTCCGTACACAATGAGTCCGATCAGTTTGAAGTCCTGCAAATCATTTGTTGTTGTTGTTGTTCTAGAACCCCTTGCAAATCATATAAAGCGAGAGTGCGTAGGCTTTGGCTTGTTTTTGTCTTCTCCTGGTCAGCCGCCCATCAGGTGGTCAACAAACAAGACGACGGGCGGTGGACAGAAAGAGAATGATGTGTGTGTGACTGGTTTCAAAGGGAAATGCGCATGGACATGGACTTGAAGTGCTTGAGATTGGGTACGATTCGTTTCTTTTTTCACAAAAATGATCATATATCGTTTTGAGCAAATCATTGGAACTCAAAACATGTTCAACTACAGCTTACATACAATTAGAATGTCACAAAAAGAATGCGATATTGTAAAGTTCCAATTTTCAAGTTGCTAGAAAATCTAAAGTATCCATTGTCCAAATTTGAACTCAATCAGTCGATTTTCCGTCAAGTTACAGCTTCTTAAAGTTGACATAACTCAAGAGACCAACAAGAACTAGTCGGCAAAGGCTCGGCCTAAAAACTTAGGATTATGACAAGCGAAAATCACCCGACAATCACCAAACATTTTCAAACACGATTTATTCGAATAGACATGACAGGTAAATCTTTTTTGGGGGAGGGGGCTCAAAAAAACAAGCATTACTGGGAGAAGAAGCGGCAGAAATGGAAATCATCGAAGCGATTATGGAGTGGTTAGAGAGAACATGTGGTAAAAGGAGAAGGGGGGAAAATGAACAAAATGGTAGAAGCGGACAATAACGGCGACACGCGACAAAAAAGTTTTTGTGATCACTGTGAGCTATAACTCCTTAGCGGCAAGCTCGTAGGACAAATGCATAGCTTCTCCTACCAGGATCATGATCGAGGTGACGAAGAAGACGACGAGCGAGAAGACGATGAGAAGGACACGGTCCAGCACCGACGCCAGGTACTCCCATTCCAGAGCGTATCTGCAAATAGGTGGAAGTGGTCTGGGGTTTTGAACGCCCGGAAAGTTGGTCTCAGGCCTCTCAAATCGGCAAAGTCTGCAAGGGTACAAGAGAGTGAAAGATCGGTTGTAACCTTGACCTAAAAGTTGCTAGGGCCTTCCCACCTCCTCTTCAACTTGCTCTCCAAAATGGTCGAGTCGCCGGTGACTGAGAACGCTGAGATGGCCGACGCGCTGAGCATCAGAGGCCCTGGCTCTCCGTGCGGAACCGAAATCGCCGCGGGCGCATTCTTCTTCCGCGCCGCTTGCCGCAACTGTCCGCGTTCCCCTCCGCCTGGATCTGAAAGTAGCGGACGTCTCTGGAAAAAACGGGCAATCTAATACTTTTAGCGTTGCATCCTCCGTTCTGATTCGCCTTATTCGCGTTGATCTTCCGCACGAGCCTTCGCCAATTCCGTCTCGCCGCTTCTCGTTTCATATCGTCCATGCTTCTGAAGTCAGCATTCGATTCGGGTCTTGTACTTTTCCGAGACTTACATGTAAGACCTGGCACTAATTGGAGCCGCCAGTGGAGCCATTCCACTTCCGGAAGACCTTAAAAGATTCAAGCCCGAGGAGGAGGATGTCACTTTCGGAAGACTTTTGATCTTCTGATCTGTTCGTTTCGGTTTCTTGATGGCTTTTCCGAAAGTTACACCCGTTTCATTCCACAATTCCAGCAACATTGTCGGCGGACGCATTCGCAGCCAGTGGGCAATCTTCAAAAGTGCAATGTTGAGATTTATAATGTTCGCACTGCACTACAAACCCTTCCGAAGAAAATGTACGAGATGATGGGCGAAACGGGTTTCGAGTACATCTTCTGGAGGTGTACGTTGAGGATGAAGGCGGTGAAGAGGGTTCCTATGAAGATGATAAATATGATGGAGAGGTAGAAGATTCCGAAGAGCGGCACGAAATCGGACGACGTCGGCATTTGTTCCGACACCATCATCATCAGAATCGACATGGCGAGCAGGGAGTCGATGCCCAGCGAGAGCTTTTCTCGCCTGAACAAAATCGTTTTTCGTGGCGAGACCCACAACCGTACCTTTCCGAACTGGTCGAAGCGGCTGTGAAGAAGCCGGTGACGGCGACGAGGGTGATCACAGAAGTGGGAATGACCAGATTCACAATATAATACAACGGCTTCCTCCGCACCACGAGCACCGCTTCGAGAAGAACCCACGGCTCCGGACAGCACACAAACTTCTCCTCGATGCGTTTAATGTTGAAACTGACGACGACCCACTCTTCGTTCGGCAAAAAGTTGTCCATATTGACGGATTCGTACTCGGGCTCGTAGTTTATGTCGGATTTCGATGAGGTCCACGAGGAGATGGTCAGTTTGCACGCTTGTTGGTCGTACGGAAAGAATCTGTGTTTTATATGTGTAAAATCTGTGTATCACCCATTCAAAACGATGTATCTCAGCTGGCAATAGAGATATCAGAAAGTTGCCAATTGGTAAATTATGCGGAATGTCTTCTTAAGCAATGCATTAGTTGACTACCTTTTAACCGAGCCACGGTCTCCAGAGCTGACAATATGGGCGTGGCCTCGGCGGCCAAATGGCGTTTTCATGAATTGAGCAGGTTTCCTCTGATTTTTGTGGTCAAAGGCGATGAAAAATGCATGTTCGACATGAAAACACACTAATTCTCACAATTAATGATGTTTTGGCGCATTATTCGCGGACTTTGCTTTTTCGCCTTCGCCGCCGATCGCCGCCTTAAAACCGCACTTCTCATTTTGCGCTTTCTTGACCGTTTTCCGACAGAATTGGTTTTGAGAATGATAAATCACGTAAATACAAGCATTTTGAGCGCTCGAACCGCGAAAACAACCGAAAAGCAACTGAAATTCACGCAGTTTTAGCGAAAAACCTTCAAACGGATAAATGTGATTTGCGACTTGACCAAATTTAACGCTCTTGCGCTTAAAAAATTCGTAATAGCCTATACAATCGGTCTATCGAGAGATAAATGAGAAATTATCGGTTTTTCGTGGCTAATCTGGCAAAAAACACAAATTTTGCTGTTAAAATGTGAATTTCGCGCCAATGTATCGCTCTATTGGGCGGGGCGCACTTGCGCCCATTGTAAGCTCTGGAGACCGTGGCGCTGAAAAACACCTTTTTGAATATAGTCGGTACTGAGGTGCCCTTCTACATATTTCCAGTAGGTAAATCTTGCAAAAATGTTTCAAAACCAACCTGATGTCCAACAAACAGCTCGTCCGATACAACGCCGGATACATGAATTTCACCTCGGCGCCCTTCTCACCCTTCCAATAGTTGGTCGTCACGACCACATTGATATAACGTTCCGTCTCCTCGCGATTCATCACGACGCTAGAAAAAGGCGATAATTGCAGTCGGGGCGCCATCGAAAAAATAATAATGCGGCGAGCGAACCTATTGTATAGATAAGTGTCGGGCAGCCAAATCGCGTCGAACGGAAGTATTGTCGTGTTGATCATTCCGTAAAGATAGGGGTTCCAGCCGAGAAAATCGTCGTTCCACTTTTGAATCGCCCACACGTTCAAATCCACATTTTGCTGCTTTTCATTCTGAACTCTCTCTCTCTTTTTGAGAAAAATCGAAAAACTAGCTCGCTCACAATAGACAAAATCTGGTACAAACTCATCGAGAACGAGACGGTCGTCGGTTTCGAGTGATTCATCACCGGCCGCACTCGACTGTCGTACCTAAATTGCATTGTTTCAACTTCCGCGTCTTTACTGTTTGCCGAACCTTCTCGGGTCCATCAGGTCTTTGGCGAGTCGAATGTGCGGCAGAAACTCGCCGTAATCATCCATCAATGCTTCTCCTGGAAACAAAAAACCACCCTCACTTTCTCATTGGATATTTATTTATTGATGGAAGCGGCGACCCAATGAATTCTAAATTTCAAATCCGATTTCGCGAAAATCTCGTCATTCGGGTTGTGACTGCATCGGCAGAAAACATAGAATGAGCAATTAGATTTAAAAAGGTCTGATCTTTGCGCTTGTCTGGTTTAGAGAATGGGCATTATTTGAGATTTCAACTAGGGAATTAATTATGTTCGTTTAGGCTTCAAAAAGTCTACGAAAATGCTAGTCTTGGTGAGGTATGTGCAAGAAACTGAAAAATCAACATTACAACACCGAGCTCTATTTTAAGTGAGATAAAGTTCACCATTTTCTAATGGGGCTATTCAGCGTATGTTTGTTTTTTTACATCGCTGAATTGGGTTTTTTGACGTAAAAAAACGAAAAAAACGGAAAAAAATCATTTTTTTCACAGCCTGAAAAACCCCATAAAGCTACAAACTGTTCTAGAAACAGTAATCATCACTAAACAATGTTGGCTCTAATAATTTTCTACACAATTTGTTCGGGAAAGTTTCAAACTCACTAGCTGCTGTACTCGTTCCGACCATCATCATCATCATCATCATCATCATTGTCATCCTCAACACCATATTCGCACACTTCCATCGTTCCTCCGGCCTCTTGCACATTCTGTTCTTTTCGTTCAAACACCGAAAAATAATCGGGGATCAGTGGGAGCGCAATGTTCAATTATTCGTCGTGCAGCAGATAGACATGAACATTGAGGCGTGAAAAGGGGAGAGCACAAGGTTGGGGAGGGCGAAAGTTTTGGAGTGGTTGAAGGAGAGGCGGGTAACGAGATGACCTAATGAGCTCGGAATGGGGGGATAATGGAAGTGGGAGCAACGGAAATTGAGTAGGGATGGATGCGTTTGTTGCTCTTTTCGTGCTCCCCCTTGTTGGAGAACTAAAAGGGTAGTATGAAGTTGAAAAGGATGCTGTGGCATTGCGGAAACTTGAAGCAAATGCAGGGGCAAATGGCTTCGGACCCAAAAAATTTTCCGGTTTTTTAAAAATTATTTCAATCAAAGTCTACAAGCGGGTCAAAAGTTCAGGTCTCAAAAGCCCGCACCGATCTTTTGCCCATCCATGAGCGAATGTGAAAGTGTGAAGAAGTTCGGAATGCGGAACTATAATATTCGAGTGAGCAAAAACTAACAAAAGACTATGAATACGTTCTGCAAAACTTTAATTGTCTTGTTTGGCGGAGACACTTCAGACGCTCTCTCCGGGAACTTTTGTTTTCCTGGTGTGCGTCCAGAGCACTTCTAACTTCATTACAACGTTAATTCTGCAATATTTAGTTCTCTGTGAGTTTCGCTCACTTTTGATCACTGAAACTCCCTTCTAGACACCGTCAAACTGACGAATATCTTCAGGGACCTGCTCTTGTTAGTAGAAAGAGGGTGTGGTCTCAAAAAGCAAAAAAAAAAAGGGAAAGTGTTGCAGGAGAGCACACACACACACAAACATCTGGAATTGGAAGCGGAACGGAGACGTCAAACATCTACTTCTTGTTTTTTTTTTGGAAGTGAAATGGAGCAAGAGAGGTGGAGACGTATGTACATTTCCGGAATTAAAAAAAGGAAACGACTTTCTCAAAATAGGATCTATAGTATTTTTCGACAAATCTGTTGGTTTCCAAACATGGGCCTTTAGGCCACTATTCGAACTTTCACCAACAGGCTAAGATGGCCTAGAATTTGCGAACAAAACTGGAAATTCTAGGCCAGCAAGATGGGATCATCAATTCTTCCAAAATTTAGAAAAACTAGGCCACGATTTCCAGGACAACGACTTATAATAAACGACCTGGCGTTCAGAGTTGAGCGGAAGTGGAATTTTGAAATACGGAAGACGGCAGACGGCAGACGGAAGAAAATTTTTCTTACGGAACACGGAAAACGGAAGACGGAAGAAAATTTTTCTCACGGAAGATGGCAGACGGAAGACGGAAGAAAACTTTTTTCCCGGAAGACGGCAGACGGAATACGGAACAAAAAATCGTCAATTCAGAGCCTTTTTTTCCGGTTTTTTTGAAAAAAATAACTAATGCAACAAAAACTTTTGGATCTGGGTACTGCCCGTGGAAATTCGCGTTCTTCGGGACTAGTAAATGGCTCTTGAAAAGCTAATACTCTTTTACGGTAAGAAAAAAAAAATCCCGGAAGACGGCAGACGGCAGACGGAAGAAACATTCTTTTACGGAAGACGGCAGACGGAAGACGGAAGAAAACTTTTCTCACGGAAGATGGCAGACGGAAGACGGAACAAAAAAAACCACGGAAGACGGAAGACGGAAGACGGCAGACGGAATTCCGCTCAACACTGCTGGCGTTTAGTGATCAGGCCTAACTAATTTGGACCAACTTTTTGGTGTCTAGTCGAAAAACCGAGCTCGGCTATGGCCTAGAATTCAGCCTACAGCAAAACTAGGCCGAATCGGGAAAGAAACGCACTTACAACCCGAGAGTCTATAGGTTAAAAGCGTGTGGATTTGTGCATGGGTGAGCAGGTACGAACAAAGTGGGCCCACATTTCTTCTCTATAATAAAATTGGTGTGCTCTGCTCCTTTCCGAGAAAGAATGAGGAAATGAGCGACGCGGGGTGAAATGTCGAAAAAGTTTAATTTGGAGTAGGGAGGGGGGAGAGAGAGCAGTCGACCGAGTGGCGGTATAATAGCTTGAGAGAGCAGAAGCCCCCCTAAAGTTTGCCACGTCATCATTACAGCGAAAAAAGAGAAAAGCAAGAAGAAGTGGAAAAGCGTCTATAAAATTGAATATCCGACTGAAGTTAAGCTCCGAACGTTCCCCCCTGGGGACCACTCGATGAAGCCGACGAACGCTCGAAAATGCGTCAGAGCTGGCGCCCAAACTTGTGTGAAAGTTGACAAACACACAATCTCGGCTCGAAAATGTTCATGCTCCATTACACAGCTCTTTCGAGGTGAGTTTTTCGTAAGAACCATGGGTTTTGGTGGCTGGAAAAAGTCGGTATTGAGGGTCGTGTAGAGGGGTAGGGGGGACCTCTAATTTATTCATTGCGAAAATTGTGTACGCCCCCCTCTCGTCCCTTTTCCTCTATTTCTGCTTCTGGTTCCCGCTACCTGCATTGAGGGGTCGATGTGGATCGCGTGTCATTTTCGAACACAAACGTGACATGGCAGTTTTGGCAGAACGAGGTTTTATGCAAACAATCTTGCAGCAAAACGTTGATCAGCGCCCGATCGAGTCGAAATTAGATGGAAAGCGTTTTAAATTTTCCAGAAGCTTTTAACAAAAATTTCAGCCAGATCGGCCGATTTGAGGGCACCACACGACAATCTAAATAATAATTTGAACATAAAAAACATATAAAACAGCAAAATGAATCAATAATACATCAAAACGACGGGATCACTGGGACGAAGAAGCTCCACCGGCGGTTCCGCCTCCCTTTGTTTCCTTGTACCACTGCCGTACTTGCTCGTGTCCCTCCTCGTTCACGACCACCAGCTTCTGCCGATTATCCGCCCACAAAAGGATCTTCTTCTCTTGGGCAAAGTCACGAACGCCGAAATACTCTTCTTCGGACTCGAAATGCGAGTACATGTACGAGTCTTTCAGGTCCATTCGCCGACGTTCGTCCTCCCACAGACGGATCTGATCGGCCACCTGTGATGAAAAACGTAAAAAGTTGTGCTACAAGTGATTGCGGTTGAATACCGTAATTGGAAGACAGTTGACTGTTCCCGACGTCGAAATGCACTGCTCGTGGGCGTTTGCGCGTAGGAAAGAGATGATCTGGGCGGCGGTGATGCCGTGCTGAAGAGCGCCGCGCACCGATTCGCGGGTGATCATGCCGACGCACATGTCTTGAAATCTGAACGGATTATGTGAAAATTACAAAACCAGACATTCCAAAGAGAACCTATAAGTCATTTCAGTGAACAGGGCAATAATGGCCAGCTGAAGAAGTGACGAGGTGTAGGCGTACACGCGGAAGTTGGTCTCCACAATTATTTTTCCGTTCGACACCTTCTCAACAGACGAGTCGTCGACAGTTTCGTTCGTCGCCAGATGCGTCAGAAGCTTCGTCAAAAAGAAGACGCCGTCTTTGCGTTTGCGAATGAAAATGACGCCGAGCTCGCGCAGATGGTTGAGCAGCTCTTGCTGACACTGCGACCAGTTCGCGTCGATCTGGTAGCACTCCTTTTCGGCTTTGAATCCTGTAACTTGGACTGACGGGGGTGAGCGGGTGTTCGCTGCGCTTCAGGTTTACCTCGATTCGCGAGCAGCACGATTTGGATGAGCGGCTCGATCACCTCGACGATATCCTGTTTTTGGCCAATCTCCAGCTTCAGATACTCGATCACATACGTCCACATTTGCTTTACGGGGCTGAGCAGGAGGAACTGGAAGCCGGTGGTGGTGATTTCGATGCGGGACTCTCCGCTTGTGAAGTTCGCCTTTTTGAACAGATTCCGTGTGGTTTCCGAGACGGCCTGCGTGTTCTCCTCGGACGGAAGGGCCAGATATCTGAAATTTAAGCTTTCTAAAGATTTTAGAGCACTTTCCTGACCTAAGAATACAATCCCATCGTTCGGAGGCTTTCGAATTCACGTCCCGTCCCCGCCGTTTCTCCTCGTTCGTCTCGAGCACCAAACTGGAAATTTGGGCGGAGCCGAGCATCGCTGCGTACATGTACGAGCGCTTGTAATCCGGCTGAAAACTCCGAACTTTTTTAAAGAAATTTTTAGAGCAGTACATCAATATCAAGTTTATCCTGTGCATCACGGTGGACAAGTCCCAGGTCCTCGAGCAATTTCACCTGGCTCTCAATCGAACGGGTCAGCTCCACGTCATCGGCTTTTCTGAAATTACAAGTTCGGTGTAGCGCGTTTGCAGAATTTTAATTACGGGAAATTTCCCTTCCAAATCAGCTGAATTGTGATTTGTTGGGCGATCGGCGGCAGCATGCGATAGATGAAGAAACCTGCAAATTTTCGAGGTTTCTTAGAAGCAAATACGCAATTCTCACAGCACGACGGCTTCTGGAGCATCCGCTGACGGTCTTCGCGTGCGACGGTAATGAGAAAATCCAGAAAGAGACACGAGCCGGCCGAGCTGTCCGCGGCGGAAGACGTGGAAGCCATCTGAAAAGGAACATGAAAGAAAACTTGGAAAAAGTGAGGTAATAGACAGAATTTCGGGTCCAACAACTATTGAGCTAACATAAAGGCATAGTTTGAAAAATGCGTGACAAAACATCGTTTACTATATTGAGCCGTACATAAATAGCTGCCTTGTATAAAAACCAATGAATATAAAACATTTCACACACAAAACGAGGAGGGGGACTTAGGCTGAAGCCTGAGATGACGTGGCGGAAGGAGAACGGAAAAAAAATCGCCTGAACCCGGGCGGCTTCTAGCAAAGGAAGGACACTTCTTTAAACAATAAAATAGGTATCGCGTATAATCACAATAGCCACTAATGTGGCCCCTTTTCCCCATTGTGGAGTAAGAATAGGAATAGACAGAGAAATTGTGATGAAGACCAATAAAACAAAATAGAGAATGGGAAATGCGAAAAAATTATTCCTCTTGCTTGACTTCCTTCTTTTGCGGAGTCGCCGACGCCGTACTCGGAGCGGAAACAGCGGTGAAAAGGCCTTCCATGGTGACAATTGGCGACGAGGAGGACGTCGGCTTCGTGCCCGGGCTCGAACTGGCTGAGGTGATCTTCCGCGTCGCCTGGATCAGCGCGTTCGTGTTTTTCTTCATCGATTTGTAGGAGGCGGTCGAGAGCACCACTTTGCGCGACGTCTGCTTGATCACTGCCGATCCGCACCGGTTGACGACCGTCGTCGTCGTCGTCGTTGATGTGGCGTTCGTGGTGACGGACGTGGTGCGATGGGCGGGCGCTTGTGGCGGCTCGGCAAGCGGCTTTCCGTTCTCGATGTCCTTGATCAGTTTGTAGAGCGCCGTGCATTCACGGTTCTCTGTGTGTTTCAGAGCGAACGGCTTCGCGTCGGTGGCGATTTCCTGAAGAAATACAACGGTTCAAAATTGAAAAAGCATAAGCTTTTACCTCAACAGTAATGAGATTCTCCCGGAGCAGCTTCTTCACCAACATCGCTCCCAGCCGGATCGTCCGCTGATTCTCGCTCTCGTCGCACGTCTTGATCGTGAACCGAACGTAGCGAAGGATCGCGTCCTGGTGGTCCTTCGTGATCCGTTTGTGCTCGGTGAACTCTTTCGCCAACTTGAGGACGGTTTCGAGTGCCTGCACGTACGAGGGCATCTTCTCGGCGAGCCGAATGTATCGTTTGAACAGTTCGCACGTGCCGTTCGTCTCCGCCAACGCGTTGCGTACCAGGAACGGTTGCGCCAATTTTCCGTTGGTTTTCGCGAAGAGCATGATGAAGTCGTCGTGCGAGGACTCGTTGAGGAGGCGTTGATATTGTGGATGGGAGAGTTGGCAGTTGCGCACGAACAACGTCATCATTTCCGTCTTGGAAGTGCTGGAAAATAGTTGTTTAGGGAGGTTTTTTTTATCTTCCAGAGTCTTTAAACATACTCCAGAATTCCCAACTCACGTTAACGAAGTGCCGGCGAGAATGCGATCGACGCATCCCTCGATGGTCTTCTCGTTGAAATCGAGCGACGCGACGGCGTTCATCGCTTCGAACTCCGCCTTTGCGAGTCGTTCGTCGTCCGATTCCTCGTCACTTTCCGTCTCGACGTCGGAGATTTCCGACTCCGACCACTCTTCCTTCAGCGCTATTTCCCGCTGAGCCTCTGCTTCTGAAAATGAGGAATTTACGTTGCTTCGATGAGGAATTGGGTGGAAAACGGACGTTCGGCTGGAGTCATAGCGGACAAAACTTCTCCCTGATACTCGTCGACGGCTGAAAATGAAAAATTGTCACATTCAAAGTTCACTTTTGAAAATACTCTGTCCCAGGTCCTGGAACGCCACGCGCAGATCGTCCTGAATGTCGTCGCCGGCGGTTTCCGAATAGAGCACGCTCGTCATCTTTGCCTTGTGCTCGGGCTGTGTCATTCTGATCGAACGGTACGCGTGCAATGCTTTCCCCTGCAAAAAAGCATAATTTTTCTGAAAATGAAAATATTTTTGCGTTACGCGTACCTCCGCTTCGAGAGGCTGCATTCTCGGCGGGAGAAGCGTGGGTGGATTGTGAACAAGCGGGTAGAACGCCTCGGCCATTCCAGCCTCGTACTCTTTCCGATCGCACCCGATCTCCTTCATCGCCTTTGAAATCGGCACAAATTCCTCGCTCATCTCGGGCCAGTGCTCCGTGTTCTCCTCCTCCCACTTCTCAAACGCCTCGCGATCCACCTCGAATCCTTTGAAAGTCTGGAACTTGCCAAGGAAATCCGGCGCCGTTAGCTTCTCGATGACGCCCACGTTGTTCGTGACAATGATTCGCGCGATCATCGACTCGGCCTCCCGCTCCAACTGCTCGGCGTAGAAAAGGAACGTCGAGAATGGGTGCGAATAGACGTCGTTCATGTTTTTCTGCGGCTTCGTTCGAAGTTCGGGCTCGATCTCGGGCAACCTCCACACGATGTAGATGATATTCAGTCTTCTGATCACGTCGTCGCGCTCGTCCGAATCCGGGTCGAAGACGGAGAGCAGGGCGTGCAGAATGGCCAGCGAGCAACGTCCCGTGAATTTTTCGACGATTGTATTGCCGAGGGAGTTAAACGATTTGTTTGTGGTGCGTATAAAACTGAAATATTGGCATTTTCCGGGAGAACTTGACAAAAATTATCAAATTGTATTTTGCGAAAAATTTCAGAATTCAATAGGAATCAGCTTACTTGGACAAATTTGCTATATCGCTTTCCGAAATGTACAAATCCTCATCTCTTTTGATGTCCTCCAACATGTCGAGCTCATCCGCTTTTTTCGCCGGCTCTGGTGCCGCGCCAGCCGTCGTCGATGGCTTTTTCGGCGCTTTTGAGACCTTCTTCTTAGTCATTTTAGCTGAAAAACGCGGAAAGTACACAAAAACTGATCGCAAATGAGATAAAATTGACGGAAAATTCGATCGAAACAAATTTGGACATGACCGAAGTCGCCCAAATTTCTAGGCCAGCGACTGCGGAAACTAGTCCGCGGGACGCGATTCTCAGATTTCTGCTTTTTTCGACGCAATTTCGTGCTAAAATTGTGCTCAAAATGTATTTTGTAGGTTAGCAAATGTGTTAAAAACCTCGTCTAGTTTCTCTGCTTTACATTTGCCTGCAAATTTATCTATTTTTTGTATTTTTCACTTCAAATTATCACATGATCTGTCTACGCACTTTTTCTTATCACTATCCATGCTACACGGTTCATTTTCAGTTCACATCATGTCCGCCCTGCTACGATTGGCGATGAACGCGCCGAAAATCAGTCGATTCGTGGCGGAGACACAAAAACGCACCATCTTCCCGCAAGTTCGACACTTTACAATGACGGCGGTTCGGAAAACCGGCGATTTCGAGTATGAGGTGAGCGAAAAAACAAAGTCTTTGAGTAAAAAGCAAGTTTAGGACCCGAAGAGCGAGGACGAGGTGGTGAACATCACATATGTGTTGCGAGACGGAACAGAGAAGAAGATTCGCGGCAAAGTCGGCGACAATGTCATGTTCTTGGCGCACAGGTGGAATTTTTGTTCAAAATCGTTCAATTTCAAAAAATTTTAAACAACAAACATCTACTCTCTAGTCCAGCTACCGTAATGCATCAAAAGCTGGTAGGCTAGAATCCGAACGCATTTCCTTTTCCAGATACGACATCGAAATGGAGGGCGCGTGCGAAGGCTCTCTGGCGTGTTCAACGTGCCACGTATACGTCGATCAGACGCACTATGACAAACTGCCCGAACCACTGGAAGAGGAGGACGATATGCTCGACATGGCAAGTTGGCCACACTGATAATCTGTCTGAAAGTTGATGAATTTCAGGCGCCCGCCCTACGCGACAACTCCCGGCTCGGCTGCCAAATAATCCTGACGAAAGAGCTCGACGGAATGACCGTAACACTACCGACAATGACGCGCAACTTCTACGTCGACGGACACGTGCCGAAGCCTCACTAGTCACACTTTCCGGTTGCTTCCAGATGGTTTTCACTATAAATTTGCTCAATTTTTCCGCTTTGTTTTATTTATTTTAACCTTTCCACGGCGGTCCAACATAATAGGACTGGGCAGAGAAAAGTTCTATTATGTCGCGGTTCTATTCTGCCCAGTTCTATTATGTTGGAATGCCCTTTCCACCCGCACACCAGATACTTGCGAATGTTTTGTGTAAAATGTCTGAGCCCTCCGCGATCTTAACATTTTCTCGTCGCCAGCACAACGCCAGATGCTCCGATGGGTCACTCGTTGTTCTTTTTCTGCAAAGCACCCACTATGATTCCACTGTTACTATCGATTTTTCTCCTATTTTGCCACGTGGCTTCTGCCGAACAGCCGGAAAAGCGTGTCACATTCGAGGACTATTATCAGTTTGGCAAAAATGAGTACACGGAGAGAAATTGGCCCGATTGCGTCGCTTTTATGCGAAGAGCCGTCGACGATTTTAAGTATGTTAGCAACGCAGCACAGTAGAGAAACATTTTTTATTTTTCAGACAATACCAAGACGACACAGCTTCATGTCGGAGAAAATGCGATAGAATTGTGAAACCAGCGGCAATGTTTCACAAAATTTCAAGTTATCATGAGACGAGCGAAATTGCGCTCTGCCTTCTTCGCTGCCGAAAAGACACGTTTGGCGGTAATTCAAACTTGTCACAATAGAGCGAATGAGCGAATTTTTAGACCATGAAACGGTACGAAAAATGAGCACGTACTTTGATTTGGCCGAACGCAAACCCTATCAATATCTGCACATTTGTTATCATCGACAGGGCGAGTTCGCGATGGCCGTTCAGTCGGCGTACACGTTTTTGGTGGCCAATCCGCAGGATAAGGACATTTTGGCCAGTTTGGAGTGGTACATGAAGCAACCCGAGTACTCGGAAAACATGTTGATTGATATGGAACGCAGGGATTATGAGGTATTTCGAGTTTCCACTTTTACGCTCCAAAACTGAACAAACTCTTGTTTCTTGAACGATTTCTGTAACTTTCCTAGTTTACGAGATATTGCACTTTGAACTTTTGGAGCGCATGTGTACACCTTTTCCCCTCTCAGATCAAGTTTATAAACGGCGTGGATGCGTACGATCAGCAAGATTGGTCGCGTTGCGTGCACGAATTCGAAGCGTCTCTGGAAAAAGCGATGAAACAAGACGAGAAGTGTCGCATTTTGTGCCACGATAAAATCGATTGGAGTGTGGTGGACGGAAATCCGGAGATTGATATCCTTCTCGCGAGTATCCGGGCTTCAGTGGTCAGATGCGAACACAACTGTCTCTACAGACTGGCCAATATTAACGGGCATTATGTCGGACACCTTTTGGCCGCCCATTTCGAGTATCTCCACTATTGCCACTTTAAAAGTAAGTTGTCGGTCGAACTTCTGCTGAACGACTTCGAGGCCATCCATTTCAGTGCAACGTGGCGCCGAAGCATCTCAAGCTGTTGCCAACTATCTGTTGTTTGATGATAATCCGTTGATGAGAAGAAATCGTTATTTCTACTTGAAGCAGTACAAAAAAGAGGAACTTTTCCGGCCATCTCAAGAGATTCTCGCGATTTATGAGAGAAGAGAACTGGAATCGAGATATTTGACATTTATGGAAAAGCGATTCGCTATTCAGAATGATGAGGTAACTTGGCTAAGAATCAAACGCGCTCCATTGAGAATTTCAGTTGCCGACCGAACAAGCCGACGATCACAACCCGCTTCCGCTCGATATGCACATCGAAGACAGTTTTCCGTACAATGAGGTTCAGCACCTGATTACGGATATCGAGTGCAGGTTGCTCCGATCTGCGTTCGATGTATCGGAAAGGGATGCGTTCGTAAAGGAACTCGAGAAAAGGGTTCAGGTGAGAAACTAGAAAGTTTTTGTGTAGTTTTGCACGAAATCGATGCATGACGTATTCTATTCGATATAGTTTTCTGCGCTGAGTTTTCTTTGAAGGTCTTTCCTAAGTGTTGCAACAGTGCAGTCTTTCAGAAGCTGTGGAGCGGCGCCGAGTTCTCCTCAATCTCCTGCGGATCCGATGTCCGAGAGGCGAATTGCTCTAGAGCCATAGTTTTCAGCGCGGAGCCGACAGACTGCGGCGAGTGGCTCGGCAAGTGGTTCACCGGATGTGTCGTCGTTTTTTGCGATAACAAGGCTTCAGACTAACTTTTTTGATATCCCTAACTTATATTGTTGAACTATTTTTATTATTCCTCAAAAAATTCATCAGTTAGAACATGTTTTCATGACGACAAGATGGAAGAAAATGAAGAAGAAGCAAGAGAACAGTTACACGTAGCACGAGTATTGTGTGACCAAAAAACATTCGAAATCTGTATAGAGCGCACTTCATTATGCGCTTGGGAAGACCGGGGCAAAAGTTCAAGACGCGTACTGGTTCTGAAAGTTGGGCGCCGCGTGGGCGGGGTACATGTACTCGGGATAGGTACCGTACTCCTGGTACTGCACATTCTGACCGTACTCCTCTTGAGACTGCGTCTGGGGGTACTGTAGTGGCGGATACTGGGGCTGTTGGTACAACTGCGGATAGTTCACGTTCGGGGTGTAGCCGGCGTTGAGCGGAGGATATCCGGGAGGTGGCGGGAAGTCGTACGAGGTTCCGGGCGGTTGTTGGGAGTAACTGGAGCACGAGGGGTACGGTCGACGCGTCGGCGGTATATTAGGTGCTTGGAAGTTGCGGCTGGAAGTGTCGGAGCTCAGTGTCGAGCTGGAGCATTGTTGAGATTGCTGTGAAGTCGAAACCGGTGGAGCCACAATAGTCGAAGCATCATAATTCAGGCCCGTCAGATGATTCTCGGCGTGATTGTTCTGAAATTTCGCAAGTTCTCACTAACAAGTTGCCTAGGTACCATGGGTGAACAGTGGGTGGGAACAGTGGTGCTGGGGTGATAATACTCGTCGGGGGAGGATAAGGAAACGGACTCTGGCGCCTGGAACTATTCGACTATGCTGACAAAGGGAAAGAGACATGCAATAGTGAACTAGAAAAAAACCGTCACAAAACAAATGCTCACCCTTAAATCATCAAGCATTTCCGTGATGTAAAAGTTCTCGGGAGGTTGGAGGAGACGGAAGTTTTGACGGGCCGGCTCTTCGCTTTCGTCCATAGTCGCCGCTCTTTTCTGCAAAAGAAAGAAGATATTGTGATAGAGCTTTTTGAATACATTCGTCTCTTAAGGATTGTCTCTAGCTCTTTCAGTTTCCAAAAAAAAATTATCTTGAACTAACAACTCTTACCAAAAGCGCCCTGGGCGGAGGAACCCGATCCGTCTGCGTGGACATCTCCTTCTTCTCGGCCGCCTTTTCCAAATTCATCGCCGCCAACTCGTCGACTTCCTTGAAGAATGGCTCGACGGTGAAGCATCCGAACAGATCGGTCAGCAGCGGAATCTCGCCCTGATTCGAGAAGGTCTGCGCGAATTGGAGGTTCTCGCTCATCGCGTTTGCCAGCTCGGATACGGTAGCCAGGGAGAGAAGGATGTGGCCGAAACAGACATTCGGAGTCGGGCTCAGACGAACTTCCTTGACAATCGAAAAGAGACAGTCGGCGATTCGATTGCGAAGATCTACGATCTTTTCAAAGAGACTGTCGGAGACGTCTTTGGCCACTGCAAAATGAATGGGTCAGAGCAAAAACCTACCTAACACGAAAACTTACACGGATTCAGACAGATCATGGCATTGACACAAACGATTTCCTCCTCTCTCATCCCGTATTCTCTGTACACAGCCACCAACTCGTTCAGCGCTCTTTCCACGAGACCATTTCCGAGGTGACTGAAAATGTGTTTGTACTATTTTTACCTAATTGATGATTCACTAAGTATCCTCGTACAACTTTGAAATGTTTCTGGGCACATAGGCAAAGTTGCAGAGGCACAGCACGTTCGGATCTTGGCAAGCTTCTGCCGTGCGTGCGCAGAAATTGAAGACCATGAGGGGAGCGAATGAGGATTTGATGAGGGCGATCTGAAAATTGTACAATATTCGTGGTTATAAGAATATTTAAGGGTACCTTATCCTCGACCGTTAAATGTCCGAGCAAAGGTGACAAACTCTCGACCCAATCGATGGCCGCAATCAATCGACGATAGGCAATGGCACACAGCTCATCGTTGGCAGCCATCCGATACGGTTCATACCGCATTTCGGTCCGCTTCCCCTTCAGATACGTCGGGTTTTCGATGATGTCCCTCAGTTTGTCGATGCCGTCCAGCGGATACAACTTGGACGCGTGCTGCTGCGTGTCTCCCTTCAGCACCTTCGTCTCGATGTTCAGCAGTGTCATCAGCGTCGTTCTCATCTCCACCGTCATCTTTTTCATCCACTCCTCACGGGTCTTTGTGGTTCGTCCTTTGTCCGTCAGATCACAATTCACCACTGGCGCCGGTTTTCTTGGCTTTGGCGGCGCGTCACGGTTTGGGCGCACGACTGGAATTTTGAATTGAATTCGGACATGATGACAAAGCAGCTAATTAAAAAACTCACAAGCCGGGTTCATTCCCTCCTTCAAACACTTGTTGAACCGACAACTCCTACACTGGATCTTTTCTGAAAACGTGTTCAACTGTGTTTGCGCTCAACGCAGTTAGTGTATCTATTGTAGAACTCACGCAAAACACTAACTGTACACTCTCCATGGGAAGCACACTCCAACTGATCCGCTTTCAGTAGCGCTCGCCGGAAGAATCCTTTGCATCCGACACAGCTGAGGGCTCCGTAGTGGTGAGCCGCTTTTTCGGCTCCACACACCTGCAATTTAGGATTTCAGATTATAATTTAGAGCTGCAGGCAACTATTCAGAAGCTTCTAGACCATAATCACGGGGAGTCGACTATGAATTAGGCCTGTAGACCATACTTCAGTAGAGCGAATTTGCACATTAAACTTGCTTTTTGATTTTTGACATTCTACAGAACACGGTCACAACACAAACACTCGAGTTTGTGATTCGTTGGAACTGACCCAAATCGGATTACAATTTCATGAATGCATTGTCCACGTGTCACCACAAAACTGGACCTACCCTGCACAGAATCAACGAAGACGTGCTCGAACTCCCGCTCCCTGTCCCAATGCCGTTTGCGGACGGATTCGCCTCCTCGGGCTCATCATCCGAATCTGGAAACGCAATGCTTTGAGCCGGGCAAGTTGTGGCGAGCCATACAAATTACCGTTTATCGTGATCACATTTCGAGCCGCGTCCATTTGTGAAAGACTTTAACGGAAATTGTGTGATATGGAGTTTGAAATCTGGAATGATGACGGTTTTAGCAATAAAAGAGAAGAAAAGAGAAGCCGAAATTTTGAAGAGAAAGAATGAATATGTTGTACTTTTTCGCCAGAACCAGAACTTAGGACAGTTTAGAGGTTATTCAGGTACAATGTAACAAGAGTTCAATGGGATTCTGATTGTAACAAAAAAGTGAAAGTCTCTTCTGAAATTCGCAAAAAAAGGCGGCAGCAGTGATGGAATAGATAGTGAGAAGAACCTCGCAAACAAGTCGTTTTTGTCAAGTACGGTCATGCGCCTCTCTCTCTCTCTCTCTCTCTCTCTCTCTCTCTCTCTTCCTCCCGTTTTAACCGAAACGATCATGATGGGGGCTACTACTACTCTTTTTCTCTCGCCCACGCACTCTTTCTCTTTCTCTTTCTCCGGCTAGCCTGTATACAGTTTGCAAGCGCTCGAGACGGAAAAGAGAGAGAGACAAACTGTCTTTGAACTTGACGCCGTGATTCTTCCGATTTCGAAATGAGGAGATTGATGGGATCGGAGAAGAAGAAGAAGAAGAAGAAGAAGAAGAAGAAGAAGAAGGCAAGGTTGGATACCCTCCAACTTTAAAAAAATAGTACAAAGTCCAGAAGGATCTAGCACAAGTATTGTACATCAACAATATTATCGGTCTACATTTTTTATCTTTGATTCTATTCGTTTTATCAGAAATCTCTCAAAGTCACGTTGCAAGAGAAAAGAGAAGAAAAAGAAGAAGAAGAAAACGATGATAGATGGGATCAGAGTACCCCTTCAATTAGTGGGCCAAAGAAGTTGTTTTGGGAGGAAATTCGATGGGAACAGGAAGAAGAAAAGTTGATGTATGTCAGCTGAATGTAGAGATATGAAAAAGTGACCAACTGACAAAACGTACAAATGTGTTGATGAACATGATGTTAGTTGACAATTTTGCCATATCTCCACTGACAGCTGAGATTTATTGTTTTGAAACCGAATGAGAAGTAGAGAGCAGAATGTTGCGAGATCATGTGTTCTACTTCCCTAGACACAGAGTGAATGGAATTGTTTCATTAAAAAACTGGAAAATCAAGTCTCAACACACTGTCGCTGTTGATAGGGAACTATTTGATGGTGGGAAAAAGTGAGAAGAGGATGATTTTCTCTTTTGACCATACTGTTGTTTAATAGCGTCGTTCTGTCAGTTGGGTAATGTTTCTGATCTCTGAGATCCCTCAAAGTTGATAGAACCAGAGGATTTTTCGATGTTGAAACCCTTTAGATGAAAAATGACGTGACAAAAGTTCTGGAGTACCGTTAGATCTAGAAGGTGTAGGAAATAGTACAAAAGTTTACATGACCATTCAGTTTTCACAAACTACAGAAAGCATTGTACAAAAAATCTCGTCAACTAGAGTCACAAAAACACTCAAACTATCTATTTGACTATACAAAGATCCTGCAAATGACCCAAAAATCGCAAATTTCTTAAGATAAACAGATATCAAGGCCGGTTAGTCGATCAAAGTTGGAAGTTCGAAAAGTTCAACGATCGGAGATAGATGTGCGAAAATAGAAGTCATCAGACTTGCAACGGGCCGGGCCGGGCGTCATGCCGGAATTTTTTGATGTTATAATCTAAATTTCGGAAGTTAACTCTCAGAAACTTTTATGAAAACGGTACCGTCCATGCGACGCAACCGACGTCTTCTTTTCATTTTCAGCTCCATCTTCCTCACTCGAATGAGCACGTTTTATCCGCATTTTGCATCTTTCTTCGACATATCGTCGCAAATGGATCCCGTCGGCTGCCGTCAGACACGTGTAACACTGGGCGCACACCACTCGTCCGGTGTCTTCAAATTCAAAAGCGACTCGCTCTTTGAAAATGACAATTTTTCACTGTTCCCTGCGAAACGAATCGCCCTGGAAAAAAGTCTTCACAAATGACAATAATTCTGGTCACTCACCAGCATCACACTGTCGTCCTTTTTCTTCAGCAGTTCGACGAGCTTTCTATCCATTTTCGAGTTTGAAACTGTTCGCGAAGCCATCTTTATCACTCGAAAACGTCTCCTCGCGCTTCTTTCATCGAAAACTCCGGAAAAATCGTGGAAAAAAACGGAACAGAAATATTCGCTAAACAAGGAGAGAAGGCGTATTTCCGGAGTGTCGTTGAAACTTGAACGCGCGCGTAAAATGTTTAAAAATTAAAAACATTTACACATTTTTTGTGACGGCCCGAGCGGAGATGAGACATGAGAATCCGAATTCGGCTCTATCACAAACTTTTGCATCACTGAACCCCACCCTTCTATACCCGACGGAAAGTATTCCAAAAAACGAACAAGACGACGACCTTAAAGTCATGTGAACAGACAGTAGTATTGCTTTTAATTATTCAAAAGGGTGAGTGGGTAAGAGTATCACAATTGTGGATCATCGAAACATTGAAAAAGTTGATGTTCAGTATCAATAATTCTGTGATGATCAATAAAGTTTCCACCTGGTGGCGGTTGACAGAAAGTATTAGATGAAGTGAGAGAGAGCGCAGAGACGCAGAGAGAGAGAGACTGGTTTCGGGAAGAGTGCCGACGATATAATCTGTGATGGGGCAAAGAGACTGATAACACAGTCCGTCCGTCCGATTCTTCTCCCACTTTCACACAATTTGATCATACTCCACTCTTTTCCTCCCTATTTTTTTTCAAACCAAGTTTTATCCAATACGAGGAGTACAAAAAGAAGCGGATCAAAGAAGAGAGCGCACATACATATAAGAACGGAAGGCACTGACAATATGTACGCAATGTGTGTGTGTGTGTGTGTGTGGGAGAAACATGTACAAACAAGAATCATTATTATCAATCATCATTTTCAATTATCATCGGGAGTCGTCGAGTGTGAGCGAGCGCATTTCAGTCGAGAGACGCGTGCGGCGACTGTAATAAGAATAAGAATTTTGATCTACTCGGACCTGCGACCTCTCGGTTACCTTCTTGTCGGCTGTTCCCCACTGCTACTCGTCCTCATCCTACTCTCTTCTTCTTCTTCTTCTCCGACCGTCGCGCTGGGTCTTCGGCTGCTGCTACTCGGGACCATCAAGCCTTGGCCACTGGAGCCGGTCCCTGGTAGCACATGGTTTTGCATGAAGAATGTGGAGCATTGCCACGGAATCTGAACAACTGTCAGCTGCCGGTGGAGATATCAAAAAGTTGTCAACTAAAACATTGTTCATCAAAACTTTGTGTCCATTTTGTCAGTTGACAACTTTTTTATATGTTTAGCAGTAAATTAGATACCCCCATCTCAAATAGACTGTGTCGGTGCGCTCTTCTATTACAATATTCACGGTACCTGCTGAAGCGATCTTTCCAAAAACATTGATGCCATGTCGGTGTAATTATCGCACTCCAACCGGGTCTTTGTGGCGTTCACAAACTGGAAATATGTACTAACTTAAAAGTTTTTCGCTTCTCAAATACCTGCAGGTTGTCCCGTTCGCTCTTCCTTCCCTGGAACTCCAATCGTTTTCCCGCATTGCCCATCCGTTCGATCTCGTCCAATCCTTCACAACCGACCCCGATAAAAACGATTGAAATCGGGGCTTTCGACGCGAAAATCGCCGCCTGCACAGTCTCCTTCAGATCGTCAATGCTTCCACGTGTGACGACAAAAAGCACATAGTAATTGGCGTTGTCCGGCTCTCGGTTGAAAGTGTTCTGCGCCTGTTTGGCCAGATGATAGATGATTTGAGCGAACTTTGCGGATGGCAACGGCTGAACCCTCTGATAGCACTTTGCGAACGCATTCAGCACTCCGTTCACTCCTTGACACGTGGCTTCGACGTCCAGCGACAGGCAAAAGTTGTTGGAGTCTCGGTATTGCGGTGGGATCTTGGCGCCGAATCCGTAGGACAGAAACGAGTTGGTCGGGTTGAAGGGCTCCAGAGTCTCGCCGAGGCATCGCACGACGAACTCGATGTCGTTGGAGTACTGGAGATGATCCTCGTGGGATAAGTTCTGAGGTTCACGCGCCGAGAAGTCAATGGCGACTGCAAATCGGAGGGAAGTGCCCGAGCGGATGTAGTCGAGGAAGGAGCAGATGCGCAGGTGCTGGCAACGCGTCGCACGCAGCTCTCCGATCGGTTTGCGGCCTTGTTTGTAGGTTTCGTTGAAGAGCTGGAAGTCGTTTTTGTGAAGAACTTTTTTTGAGATGAGACAGCCAATGTTATTATCAACTTTAGAGTGATGGGACTTGGTTGAAACTTGACTAAAACTCACCGAAATCGGTTCCATCGACTTGACGACCTCTGTGCTCACAACTGCGTGCCCGATGACACCCTCACGATCGTCATCGCTCACCAAACAAATCTCGATTTGACCACTGAAACTAATCAATCTCCTCCCTCCACTTGCCCTCGACAAAAATGCACGTACCCCTCCCCATCGCCTCCATAAAAGTCGTCGGATTGTACTGTGAACGGTTTCCATGTCAATTTCGGCTGTTTCGTCACCTCACTTCGCCACAACATCTTTTTCTGATCGTCCATTTTGTAGATTTCAAGAAAGAGCTGGAAAGAACAGAGGAGCCGTATTTGATAGCCTGTAAGTATTCGGATTATGCGTTACATTTGAGTTAGAGGATGCGAATTTGGTTGAGATGTTTTTGGCTTCAAGTTGAAGAATGATTGGTTGAGAGCGCTCGCGGACTTGGCTCCAGATCTCCACTTCGCTCAGACGGTAGCCGGATTGGTCACTGAAAAGTTATTGTTACTTGGTTTCCAATTGGATCTTACAAACTTACACTAGCTGTAGTGTCACTTGTCCTAAACAGACTTGAGCCGTATTGAACACATCCGCCGCTCTTACCACTTTTCCTCCATTTTCCGTGGATTCAGATCTGAAACCGATGAATTTGTAGTTGATGATGACCCGGAAGAATTCATTTACATCTCTAAACGGAGCCATTGAAGACGTTCAAAACAGAATTCGATGGCGAAAAGATCGTCAAGCACGGCCACGTCATTCACGTTCAGACGGTCGCTTTCAGTGATCTGTTGTTGAACTTGTCAATTCCGGGAAAGGCGCTAGAATATGCATGACACACACACACACACACTTCTACGCACTTTTCTTCTCTCTTTTGTTCCCAGAAAACTAAAATATCTCACCAGGCTCCACGGGCCCTCCAACGAGTCCTGACTTTCGTAGAGGTGCACGTAGAAGGCGTTCGAAGCGAGGCGTTCCGGAGCGCGTGTTGACACGCGGAAGCTCAGGTCGATGACGTCTTTCACGCCGCGACGATCCGACGCTTCCGAGCCTTCTCTGCAAATGATCAGAAGTTAGAAGACTAGAGACTAGTGCACTTATGTGTGTACTAGAGTTCTAACAAAAGTTCCACTATCAGTCTGAACCAGACTTGCAACGGGCCGGGCCAAAATTGGAAATTTTCCGGCCCGGCCCGGCCCGGTCGGCCCGGGAGGATGCAGCTAAAAATTCAAAGCGAACTAGAACTTCGAAAAAAAATAGAAATTGCTGTTTAAAGTCGCAAAATTTTCACAAAAATTACGAAAATTTTCTCAAGAGTGGGCGGAGCGATTGATTGCAACTCTGGCACGCCATTTTAGCAATTTTGCCGCACGCGTTTTCCTCTTCCTTCATATTTTTTTTTGCATATTTTTTTTGAGGTCTAACTTCCGGGCCGACCGGGCCGGGCCGGGCCAAAACCGGGCCGGCCCGGGATTTGGCAAGTCTGGTCTGAACATGCCAATGTTTTTGTTGATGAATCCTCAACTCACTTTCTCAGTTTGGGCGGCAGCAGTGGCGGCGCTTTACACGCCCTCCGCATCTCCATTATATGCCGAATCCGAACCATATTCATCTTTAACGCGTTGTTGTTGTTTCGCAATGATCACGAGACTTTTGTGCTGCAAACAGCGAAATTGTGAAAGACGTGAAACAATAGAGCAAAAGTCGGAAGATGAAAACGGGGAGAAGGAGAAGGAGAAGGAGAACGTTATGCATTTCTGAGTGCATGATCTTACTTTTCGGCTGTGATGATGTGGCTCGGTGATGGCTTTTTCTCTTTCTATGGGATGTTTTTGGGTAGGGTGGGTGGGCCGCCTTTTTGCCTTAAAACGTGTATCAATTATGGATGGGTTACGCTCTGAAGCCCTTTTCACGTTCGAGAAACGAAACGAAATGAAAACAATAACAAAATGCTGAAAAGGCGGGTTTTCAGAGCTCACAGCTTCCACACACACACACACAAATTAGATTCTCTCCGGGGTCTTGTTCACAATTAGTTCACGAGGTGGTTTCGTGAGAAAACGGGACTAAAAAAAGGAAGAGCTCATTGACTAATAGCTCTTCACTTTCCACGGGAAAGTTTAAGAGGAAAAGTGGAAAAAGGGAATTTGCAAAACGCCCGGACACACACACAAAAAGTGCGACAGCGGTTCCAGAAACTTCTCAACTTCTGCATCCGAGCAGATTCCAACTGCATAGGCGCTGAAAATTCACAAAGAACACGTGTTTGTTTGTGCTGTACTGGGGAAATTTCAAGAGGCCAAGCGTTCCAGGAGTTGCTACAAATATTCTAGTTGTGCCAACCAAACAAGACGAAATAAATGCGCTGAGTTGGTTCAAAACCATAGATAGGCACTGAAAAAAGTAAAGAATGTACAGAAAATCATACAAACCGTAAATACTCACCTGATCTTGTTCTGTGTGTGTGTGTGTGTGTGTGTGTGTGTGTATCAGAGTTGAGCGGAAGAACTCAACGGAAGAACACGGAAGAATTTTTATATTTTTTAGAAAATTTTTTCATGGAATGTGATCAACTGATGAAATGTATAGCAAAGTGAATTCTGCTCATAAAAAAATAATTGTAAATTTAGCTTTTCATACAAAAAAGTTATTCGAGTTGTTCCGTGAAAATGTCCTTCCGTCTTCCGTTAGCCCTAACTTTTTTGTATGAAATGTTAAATTTACAATTATTTTTCTATGAGCAGAGTTCACTTTTCTCTACATTTCGTCAGTTGATGACATTTCATGAAAAAATTTTCTAAAAAAGATAAAAATTCTTCCGTGTTCTTCCGCTCAACTCTGGTGTGTATGTGTGACAAATGACCATGGAAGAAGAAGAAAGTCTCGGATTTCCTCAAGTAGGAAAGGCCTAGAATCTAGGGGCTCTCATGAGTCGTCAGGTTTCTATTTTTGACCCGAAAATATGGAAATGAGTAGAAATGGAAACACCACAACAGGTGAACAATGTTATTGTGCGCAAGAGAGGAGCGGCTTACGAAATCTGATACACGTATATATATATATATATTTGAGTAACCAAAAAAGAGACCTTTGTACCTTATGCGGATACGGTTGCTTACCGGCCAACAACAAACTAAACTTTTGCTCAACGAACTTGTGGGGGAACTCTTCCGGGTCTTTTTCCGGTTATCCGTCTCAAAAAGTTGGTGAATTATTCATGAGGCAAGCAGATCGCTTTTCGAGTTTTCGGCAGCCTTTACGAGCACTCAAAGTACACGAACAACACAGAAATTTGGAGAGCCGAATGAAAATGAGCGAATTTCCGTGAAATCTGCCGTTTTATAGGCCATTTTGGATGGAGCCGTGGAGCCGAGATGCCGAAAGGGGCGGAGCCAGACAAAAGTCGGCGGGGAATGAAAAAATACATAAAACATATTTTTTTTTTTTGAGCTCTTAGTGCTTTACATCGAATTGACAAGATTTTTTGGACCGATTGGACTGCTTGCCACTTTAAAAAGTATGCAATGTTTGAAGGGTGTATCTCGAGAACCAATAATGTTTTCGAAAAGTCGTCAGCTAAAAAATTGTTGCAAAATTTATGCTCAACACCTTTTTAGTTGATCATTTTGTTTCAAACTGTTTTGTTCTTGAGTTATGCGGTCGGAGACAAATTGGAATTCCAACACCACACATCAGCTCTTTTTCTACTGAAAAGCTGCTCTGAAAAGCCTGAAAGTCTATCAATTTTCGGGGAAAACAGCCACATTTCACCTGCCTTTGGCCAGAAATCATTTGACATACACACATTTTCGAGGAAAGCAGGAAAAGCAATGAAATATGAGGGACACAGAAAAAAATGAGGAAGGCGAGCCGGAGAATTAGCTTCCGGATGGCTGAAACGGCGAAGAAACGAGCTCGGAGAGATGATATTTAGCTTGTCATTTTCTAGATTAACAAATGTACGTACTTAATGACGAAGGAGACCTGGGTGAGCAACTAGGATTACGGTAGTGTTGTGCCATCTAGACAACTTGGAACTTTTCCGTTCCACATCGTCTGCGTCATTGTGGGTCGCGGGGCGGTGATCCGCTCAAAAACAATGGAAAAACAGGCGGTCGCCGGCAGCCATAACTCATTTGGCATGTGCCCTAATGTGTATTCATATGCACACACATACACAAGCCCGAAAATGATGTTTTTAATGTGCAAAACTGCTGCTGTGAGCCGCCCGACGACGAAAAACGGGACAACCATACATTTTTGATGGAGCAATAGCGGATAGGATCGATCAAAAGGGGAGAAGCGGTTTGAGGGTTGTGACAGGGGGACCTAAAAAAGTCGGAGGCTGGAAGAGTGCGAACTTCTGAACATTTAAATGGAAGAACTTTTTGAAGTGTTGCAACCTAGGCCACGGAGAGTTTGAGCAAGAAAAAGACTCTTGAATCAATTCTAGAAAGTTCGGGGGAAGCGAGAACTTTGCGGCAGGGGTGGGGTACGACAGAATTTGACTCTACGCGAAAAGTTGGACGAACTTTTAAAATGATGAACCTGAGCCGCTTCGAGAGCTTGTCAGGGCAGAAAGTTAGGTCAATTGTAGGAAGAGAGACGTATCCTTGGAGCCTAGGCTATCAACCTCGAGGAGACACATCGAATGGAAGAACTATCGTCTAGAGAAAACTAGGCCACACCTAGCTCTCTCGACAAAAAGTCACTCGAGTTGTGGTGGCGGAGCACTGAAATTCTATGCACCCCGCTTCGCCGCCCTGAAATTCAATCCGCAAAAAAGGCGGCTCAAAACGAGCTGCACACGGACCCGAAAGCTTCCGCAAAAGTGGAAAAGGAATTGGAAATGTACATGCCCTTTGGCCTTGTTTCCGTCCCGTGTTTCTTCCCGGTCTCCCCGGGTTACCAAAGTGTTTTTTTGCTGCGCGTTTTCGTCATTATATCATGACCCCCCCCGCGCGCGCAAAGAAGGAAGAAACGATGAAATGAAAAGCGTGGCGGGCGCCTAGGAGCCCAAGAAGAAGAAGAAAAAGGAGGCGTCGCCCCCCGACACCACGAATAATCGACGGCTTCCGCAAGTGGAAACGAAACCTACGGAACTTGTTCAACGGAAAAAAGGGCCTAGAAGAGCACTTGGAGTTTGAGCATTGACACGTCACAATCATACTGTATTTGAATTGGTATCTCACGAGTTTCAACCAAGTATATACCCTCTTCCTTGCCCTCCGCCTGAAAAAAAGCGTTGGAGATCATTGGAACCGGCTCCTTCCACGCCGAAATAGACTTTCAAATTCTATGAATAACCTAGTGGTCCGTGACGTGGCAATATGAAAGGGCCAAAGGTTTCAAGTGTCAAAAAGTGATTTAGAACTTGTAATTATAACTTTTTCTGAAACAAAGTTAGCCTCTGGCCTATATGCAAAACTAGAAACACCACAAAGACACGTGACTGCCCCACCTCTCTTGCTTGAGCTCATCCGAATGCTCTCGAATATCTCCAATGACGTGGCACATGTTTGTTCGAAGCTTTTCCACAAATCGTGGAGCGGAAAACGCGAAAACCCACTAAAAATTCATGTCGAAATGGAGAAAAACGAGGGACAATGAGATTTTTTAATTATTTTTAGTTCGTTTTCGAAGATTATTTCCGATCCTCCTCCAACGAGGCAGACAAGCCGAAGGATTTTGTGGACGGCGAGTGTGGTGACGATGGATGCACCATGTTGAGCACTTTGTGGAATTTGTCCCTGGCCGAAGAGGTGATCGCCGACGGTGTGGCGCGTGTTTTCCGACTGAAAATTATTTGTGTTGTATTAAGATTGTAGAATGTTGAACTATCGTCCATTCAAACAAGATATCACACGGAACCCCAACATTCCAATGCGCAAGCGAGTTGTCAATGGGGCGCGCTTGCATCCACTGTCGACTCGACGTTTCTTTTTTCAATTGAAAACCAGAATTCGTTCATTTTTCTCTTAATAAACACTCAAATTTTGTTCTTTGCGAACCGTAGGGCGATTGTCTGAGTTAAAAGCATCGATTCAAGCGCGAAACTGAGCAGATTCGTTCAGAATTGACCAAATTGAGGGATTTTGTCGAAAACTACTGAAAAAAAACGGAGTTTTCACGATTATTTGCCGAATCGAGTTCGGACACTGGCATTCGAACCGTCCAGTCAACAAGGAGTTTATTGCGCATCTTTTAAGCGCTCAACCGTCGAAAAATATACAGAATTGAGATAATTGAGGCAAATTTTCGATTCCAAAAGGAAAAAATTCTGTAGTTTTCACATAAAGCGTTTCGAAATTGATGACGAAGCAGTTAACATTTCATTTTTTTTTATTTCTAATCATTATCATAAGTTTTGACACTGATTGGTTCTGAAAAGATGGGGATAATGCAAAAAAAGGGAAAATTGAAATGAGAAACTCTACAACGACGCTCCGGAATTACGCGTTACGCGCCTTGTTTAGCGCACGTGAATTGCGCCAAGGGAATTTTTTATTGGAAGGGGCTGGGGTTCCGTGTATATCAAAAAGTTATCAACTGATAAAATGTGTAAAATGTCTTTTTGAGCAATTCATCAGTTGACAACTTTTTGATATCTCTATTGGCAGCTAACCTATTACAGTAATCACAGTACCTGCACCAGAACATGGTCCTATCGTCGGGTTCGTCAAGCTTCAGAATAGGGCAAGAGTCGTGGCACGTGTCGACAATTTCCATTCCGGTTGACATGTTCTTGTCAATCAAAAAGTTGCACTCAAAGTCGTCGTCGTCTTCGCCAAGTGGGTTGAGCAGGGCTTCGGCTACCTGTAACACAGAAGACTTGCCGACTTTTTCGTGCCACCCTCCGTACCTTCATCCATCCGACGAAGAAGATAAACTGCAGAATAGTCATGATCGGAAAGATTGATGGCGCTTCAGAAGCCGGCGCGGTCAGCAGATATTGTCTGGAGATGAGACAAATCAAAAAGTACACTCGGACCGCCAAGAACACAACCTGGAAAGTACGTAAAAGCGGTGAAATTTGAAGGGAAAAAAAGCGTGGTACCTGAGGATAGGCGATCGGAATTGGTACCCAGTCATATTTACACAGCATTTCCATGGATTGACGGAACTCTTTGATATTCTAAACGGGCAGCTGACTTTTTAGAGCGAGCTTGACAAACTCACGCATAGAATCGCGTTCATACTCTGCACAGAATCCACATTTTTCATCTCCGAAAAACCCTTGTAGACGAGCTGATTGGCCCAGTGTACGGGCAGCCAGTACTTGTTGTAGACCGTCTCGCACTCGTACATCTTCTCCAATTCGTCTTTGTAGACAAAGCCGGCGGTGACGAGCGATTCCATCGACGGAAATCGGCGACGGACGCGTATCGAGATGTCGCGGAGCACGAGCACTTGTGATAGCACCAAATAACGGATTATTGTGCGTCGGAGCACTTTTGCCGCTTGATCTCTGCCGTGAACAAGGGTTCCGATGGAGAGCGCCGCGCTCAAATTGTAATTGGAATTGTAAAGTATGATGTACACATACTTTTCAATAAATCCAATATTTGTGAAAACTGATCTCCACCTATCCACCACAATTGTTACAAAGAATCCGAGCATGAAGGTGAGCGGGATGTGGACGAGACGGATGTTCAGGTGGATCGCTGCGTGCTCGAAGAATCTAAAATGGAATGAGTACTGATGGTCTCTCAAAAGACCAACTTTTCATTCCCTAGTTAGAATGTGCTCAGTCTCAACCCCCCCTCCACAAACCTTTGCTGCTCGGAAGTCATGAAGCAGCGGTACACAGCTTGCACGGCCGCGAACGCCACACACCACATACTCAATTCCCATCGGACCGACTTCAAAATAGAGCCACGCCATCTGAAAATATCACTTTCATTTAGGAGGAAAACTACTAAAAACGAGGTCGACGACCTCATTAACAGCTTCACAAAAGTGAACGAATTGACAGAGGACACCTCCTGATTGTAGTTGACCGTCATCGCCGAGAGACGTGGTTTCTGTAGTGAACACTGTTTTGCCATTTCAACATTTGAAAACGGGTCCTAATTGATCATCATAATTGAAAAACACACTCACCGGATTCGGCATTGGTATCGTCGTCTTCGTCGTGACGGTCGGCCCGACGGCAGAAGTCATCTTTTGCGACAAAGTTGACGGAGATGGAGTAGAAGATGAATTTGAAGAAAAAAAAAGGACTGGCAGAGATCATCAGGTTGTTGATGAAGTCGGGATGATCTGATGAATAATGCGTGCGACTCGAGTATTCTGGCGTCAACTTCATCACTCGTCGTTGATTTGAATGGGTAAGTTGAAGAGGATTTTGGAAAGGTTGTAGAGCTTGAAAGACCAAAGTTCTTCTCGATCTGTCTGCGCACGTTTCCAGACATGTTTTCTAATTGGCTGGGAATTCCCAGAAGACCGTATCCGGCCGTCTGTTATTCCATTCCGCTCATTTCACGACTATACTAATATTGATAGTCTCGTCACTTCTTTTTTCATTATTTCTCTCGAACATGGCGTCTTCTGAAGCCAGCGTCGATGTGGTTCAAGAAGGAACCGAGCACAGCGCCCGTGTGGCCGCTTGGCTCCAAGTTGCCGTCTGCTTTGACCTCGTCACCTTTTTCCTAGCCATGACTATCAACGGAATCCTTCTGAATCTCATCAAAACCGAGTCGCCGAAACATTTCGGAAATTATGTGTATTTGATGATGTCATTCGCAATCAACAGCCTCATTTTCGCGGCAATTCATGCGTTCATTCAGCCGGTGAGTTCATCTTTACGAAAGACGTTTTACCCGCGTGACATGGCTCAGAATAGATAAAACAAGTAGCAAAAGAAAATAAGGCTTCCTACAGTTTTTTTAAAGGCGCATGGAACATTTTGTGCTGACAGGTCTCGACCAGACTGGCTAAAAGCCTCATTTCCTGGGGTGGAACGGTTGCAAAAGGCAAATTTTCAGTTTTTTCAAGATAGTTCGGACAGTTTTCAAGGTATCATCACGAAAATCACCAAACACACGTAACTTTGTGCCCTGAATCCGATTTTGAAGTCGCCGGATCGTAAAAATTTTCGAGCGCCACGTGGCAGTGCCAAACGGGGGTGGCCTTATAAACTTGCACCGCACTGTATAATTGCTGTGGCTCTTCGAAAGTTCGTTAGATTTCACAAAAGAATAACAACAATTCAGTTCCTTGTCTCCTCAAACTGTGTATAATTGAACGAAAACAGATAATCTCAACGGAGAAGTATGTCGTGTTTGTGTTCACTTCCACCAATTACCTGGAGCTACCGAGAACGTTCATGCGAGGACTTTTGGGTATGTACCTAAATGTTCAACTGGCCATTCATTCTGAATTTCAGCCATCTACGGCACGTCCTACAGCCAGACGCTCGTCTTCATCGCCGTTCAGTTCGTCTACAGATGTTTTTCGATATCGAGACGAAAATATTTGCACTATTTCAAAGGGAAATGGCTCGCCGTCTGGTACATACTCGTTGCGACGTGCGGCCTCGATTGGGGCCTTTGCATCTTTTTCATTGCCAAAGACACCCGCGAAATCGATCGAATACTTCGGTAAGTGTGTAGAGAAACCCGTTGCCCAACTTTCCAATACTCGTTAAGGCCGGTGATGCTCTCAACTTTCAATTTGAACATGTCCGACGTGTATTACGTGGCAGCCAGCTATGAGACGGATGGCGGAAAATCGTTGAACTTGGCCGTGATATTGATGGTCATCAATTTCGCGTTTCTTTTGGTAAGCATTTAGAAAATGACAGTGTTCAAGTGACCTAGCGACTTACCACTAATTCTGCTTTTCAGGGCGTCTCGATGGCAGTGATAGTACTGTGCGTGTACTTTATCAACAACAGAATGCAACGCGTCTCGTATTCGAAAGTCTACGAAGCTCTCCAGAAACAACTATTCCGCGCCCTGATGTCTCAGATGGTGATCCCAATGATCCTCATCTACCTGCCCATCATCTGCGTCCTCATCCTTCCGATCTTCCACGTCAAAAACGACGCGTCGATCTCGCTGACCTCGATCCTTGTCTCCATGTACCCCGTCCTGGACCCATTCGCTGTCATCATGATAATATCGGTCTACCGTGAGGGCTTCTACAGCATGTTCTCCTCGAAACCGCGCAATCGAGTGGCCCACTTTGAAAAGAGCTTTTAGTGAAACTGAGATTGATCAATAAAGCGGGTAATCAGCGACTACAAAGCAAGACAAGAAAACATGTGTTTGCAGAATTCGACGCGACGTTTTCCGATTATCACAAAGATGTTTCCGAACTAAAAAGCCGAACAGACAAGGCTCGTTGTCATTCAAAGCCAGATGATGAAAGTTCCGGCTTTTGATCACGAGAAACTGAAATAATAATAATAATTGATTGTTAAACCTGCTATTTCCGCCTCTCAACCTAAACAGATTTGGAACAAACGGAGAAATTGAGCATATATAATGAAAAGATGAAAAGACCTTTTTCGACGAGGCTTCTGTGATTTGAATTGAAGCCTGTTGGCGCCAAAGTTTCAGACTGATCGGATGATTTACTCTGCAGTTGTGTGAATAAGAAGCCGAAAGACCGAAATTTTGCTGAAAGTTCGAAAATCCTGGCTCCTTCCGAATCCTCAGAAGATGCATTTCTTTCCAGAACACTTCCTAAATTTGAATATTCTGAGAAATCTCACTCCGAACGTCATTCCTCCGCGTGTGAGTGATTCTCGAGTCTCCGTTTCTGCACGAATAGACTGACAGCCTGAAGGATATTCTCTATGAACAAACGGTTTGGGAAATGGGTACGGAACAACATTAGAGTTTCACTTACAAGAAAATGAGTGATGCTCCGCGTTTCAAACTGATTTGAATGTGTTGAATGCTTTCATTCGAAATCGGAAATCGGAAATCCTTCAATTCCTTATCACTCTTTTTCCGAATCCTCTTGGCACGATGCCATGACGTTTCGAAATCCCAATCGTTCTTTCCCATCAGAGTCCTTTGTCGGCGTCCTTATCACTAATCTCCCCCCCGGAAATTAAGTCCGTTGCTTTGAAATTTGCCACAATTCCGCTTGAAGCTGAAATGAAATTCCCACACGTGCGGTCTTGATTACCGGGGGGAGATTAGTGATAAGGACGTCGACAAAGAGCTCTGATCGGAAAGTACGATTGGGATTTCGAAACGTCATGGCACCGTGCCAAGAGGATTCCATCGATCCGATCTGCTTGAGAACTCCGTTGTAGCGACAGATTGCGGCGCCTCCAACGAGAGATTCCGCGATCGTTTTCGATCCATGAGCGAACAGCTGGGCGACATCGACGACGACGATCTCTTTCTGTTCAGACTCTCCATCATTCGCTCCCACAAATGACTTCTTCTCTGCAAAAAACGACTGAAATCTCGGAATTTCGTCCACGTTTTAGAGCCAATTTCACAATTGGGACGAAGTCAAATTGTTCTGATTGATATTTTCTATCAAACTTCAATACAAAATCTTGAAAAGCATTGATATACTTCTCATCTGTAGTCGGAAGACGTTGGAGAGGCTCAGCGCGAAGAGCAACTGTTTTCCAGAGCATTTCTCTCGGAATGTGAGCGGAATAGATTGAACTCTTCCTCCTTATCGACGATGTGGCAAAGCAAAGCCTATTAAAGTGATAAGAGCAACAGATAATCAGCTTTATTTAGGTCATAAGGACAAGAAGAACACAGTATCAAATTGAATGGTGATGGACAGTTTTATGAGTACTAACTTACTCTTGTCAAAATGGCCAACCAGCTTGATCGTTGGTCAACTAATCATCCTTCTTCTCGCCGATCGAAGTGATCGTCGGACGTCTGGCGGTCTTCTCACGGTTTCGAACTTCGCTCGTCAGCAGGGCCTGGAACAGATTTCACAGTGGTTTTTCAAACCATGACCTTTATACACTGAGATCCATGAGGTTTCCTCCGTCTTGCATCGCAACGCGCTGCTTCTCAATGCTCTGGAGGGTCATGTTGACACTTTCAATCCGATCGACAATAGAGAACACCGACTCTTGCATCTGATCAACACGACGATTCAGGCTAAAAATGTTATATTATCTAGAAGGATCCAGCTGAAAATCGACTTCGCATAATCTCTGTGGTTCTCCATGTAGCTCCTCTTCTGCTGCGTCTGTCTGGCCACCTCGTCGGCAATATCCTCGGCCATCTTTTCCGGAATGTGCTCTCGCAGTTCGGTCACATTGAACCGCGTGAACGCCTCGTTGATGTCCTTCTCGGCGTATCCGGCACGGTAGAGCATAATCTTGTAGTCCTCGTACGTGGCATCCTCGGAGCTCGGAGCATCCGGACGCTTTCCGCGCCTTGTCAAACCGCGGACTTTCTGAATTGAAATTGAAAAGTGTTCAGTTAGAGCACTGGAAAGCTTACGTTCATAAACCAATCCAAAATGCCCTCTCCATCTTTCTTGCGAGCCAACTCCGCTTTCACTTCAACGTACGAGTCATTGATGATGGCCAGGAACATGTTGAGAAGAATAAAGAAGACGAAGAAGACGTAGGCGATGAAGAAGGCGGGACCGAAGAAGCGGTTGCAGTCCTCGAGAGCCGAGAAGTTGAAGTCGCCGAGAATCAGACGGAGTAAGGCGAACACCGAGTTGTACAGGTTCGAGTAGTCGGCGATCTGAGTTCCGAAGCAGAGGTATCCGAATTGAGCGAACGCAAAGAAGAACACGGCGAACATAACCGCGAATCCTCCGATGTCCTTCGCGGATCGGGTGAGTGTCGAGGACAGTTGCGACATGGTCTTGTTCACCGAAATGAACTTGAACACTTTGACCCAGGCGATGAAAACCACGCACGATTTGATGTTGAGGAAGGCGTTCTCGGCAGACGTGACGTCATCGAACGGAGCATTCGTGAGCCCGTTCTCCATCACCGAGTTCACTCGATTTGTGGCGATCTTTGTTCGATGAATGGAGAGGATGATGGTGGCGACGGAGAAGCCGAGCAGACAGACGTCGACAAGGTTCCAGAAGGCTCCGAGATATCGAAGACGTTGACGGGCTATAGCGAAAAGCTCCTCGAAGATAAAGAAGAGCACGAATCCGCAGAAGATGCCCTCGAACACTATCATCCGGGTGCCGGTGGATCCTTGATACGTAATCAGGTTGTACGTCATCAGTTTGGGTATGGTGAGCACTCCGCCAGAGGCTGGCAGCTCGAAGAGTAACTTCACAACACAGAACAGGTTGATATTCGCGTTGTACACGGCAAAGTCGACAATGATCGCTCGAGTTCCGCGGTCGATCCATCGGTTCGCTTTCAACGTGGCAATCGCCGATTGAGCCTCCGTTGAGCCCGAAACAGGAAGTTTTTGCACAAAACCGCCGCCCCCGTACGTGGCAATATTCCCGTCCGTATCCTCGTTTTCTAGCTCTTTCGCGGTACGGTAAACGAACCTAAACTTGTTGCTGATACTATCAAATTCTCCCCTCGAAAATCCGCTTACGCATCCACACTCCCGTCGGAAACGATCGTCTTGTCCTCGTACTTTTTCTTGTAGTTCGCGAAACATTCTTTGATTTCTCTTTGGAAACTCTTCATAACCGTACACGAATCGTTGGTGACCTAGAAAACTAAAACTAGGCCACGATATTTCCGTTCTGATTCGGACCTTTAACATTCGTATCCTGGGCTCGCCGAGCAAACGATTCTCATAGTAAATCATGTTCTCGTTGTCTGTCGAATTCGAATTCTCCGTCCAATAGATTCCGGGGATGAGCACCTGCGAGAACCACTGAAAAAAACGGTACTTTGGCAAAAAAGGGTGCTGGATGAGACTAACATCCCAAATATTGTCCATCGAAGTGCAAGAGCCGAAAGCCGGAGCTCCACTGGCGCCGGTGCTCGACACGAACAGGTCCGTCATCACCTTTGTGTAGTAGTACGATTGGATGCTGTTCTGGGCAAAAGCCACTGAAATGGGAAGCACTAAGGGGTAGGAAGAAGAAGAAGAAGAAGAAAAAACTCACCATAAACGAGCACAATCAAGAACACGGCGTACGATCCGACCTCCATGAACGAGCTGGCGGTTAACTTGATCTTTCCGTCCGACTTCTCATGCCCGGAAGCCATGAGTGCTTGCGAGAACGAGATGCCCTGTTTCGGCGGCGGATTCTTCTTCCGATCGTGCTCGTACTCCTCGCTGACCATCGAATGATCGAACATCGGAGCGGCGGCCGGTTGTTCGGCGGCCACTGGTTGCGGTGGATTCGCCCACCGATCATCCGCCGCGTCGTAGTTCATCCTTCAGCAGTTTTTCGAGGTAGAAGTTCTACGAGCTGAACGAATCGACTAAAATGCAGAGGAAGAAGAAGTGAAATGAAAGTGGCTCCGCTCGGCGCATCGCTCCGAATCCACGTCCCCGTAGCTGTTGGCGACCGAGCATCGCTAAGAAACTCCGTCCGGCTCCCGGGGATTCCGAAATTTTATGGCGTTTTCGTTTTTTCGTTTTTTTTTTTGCTGAGCTTTCCCCTTTTTCATGGAATCCTTATGGCCGACATGTGCGAGACAAAACACGGAACTGCGTATTTCCGCACTGAAAACTAAAAGAGTTGAGAGGGAAATTGAAAAATTGGAAACAGATGTGCTGGAATTCCGAATCCGGATACTTACGTAAACAACGCAAGAGTGCTGACGTCTGCAACGGCGGGGAATGGCAACTGAAAATGGAAAACGGGCGGGATCTGCAGAGAGGAATGGTTCGAACACCGTGTTCAATTTGATCTGAAATAAAAAATGATTATAAAAAATGATGTCCGGTTTTCTCTTTATTTTGCGATCGTGTTCCAGTTTTATCTGAAGCGAGCTACATTTAATTTGCTTAACATTTTGGATACCAATTTCATGAGTCCGCGCATTCCGAAGAGAATTGTCTGCAACTCAGCCGACCCGTTTTTCTTGAATTTTCCCGTTTTCTCCTAATTGTATCTGGAAGTCAATGAGATTACTTCAATTCCGTTTTTTTTTCTTCTTACCTCTGCCTCCCTCGTCCATTCAGGAATTTCCATTAAATTCGAATCGATTGTCAAATTGTGATAAATCCGCTTCTTCTGATACTTCCATTGCTGATATTTCTTCGGAATTAGCACTCATCACGGTCTCCCAGGGCGCTAATGCTAAACACAGTGCGCTCGTAAATTGCGGAGTGTCGTTGTAACTTTTGAAAATTTGCAGGTCTAAAAATGCAGTTCAATTCGAGTTTACGACTTTTATTTCTATCTTTTTGACTTGAAAAACGTCTAGAAAACAATATTTTACTGATTGGAAACCGTTCTTTACAGAATTTAGAGTTTTCATGTTTTAGCGTCTTTTTCGCATTTCGTCAAAACTTCAAACCTTTATATTTCAGCTCATTTTGCATTTCATGAGCCCAACGAACGATAAAAATGTTCGCTGAATCTTTCTTCACAAAAATCAGGTTCCGGCGGTTAGTTTTCTTGAGCAGTTTTCGAAAACTATTCGAAAAACATCAAAATCCAGGCAAAAACCTTCAAATCGAAATAACTCGGCTAATTCTCAACGATATGCGAGATTTCTGTTACCAAAACGAAGCTAGTGCTCTAATTATTCGAATCCAGGTTCCAGGCGTACAAAAAAATAGGTGTATTGTACAGAAAACATGGAAAGAATGCGAACTCCCGTTGAAAATTAATTAATCGGCCGCCGCCGCGTAAATCGACACAGCCTGCCTGTTGCAAGTGCGCCCCATAGAAATCGTTCGCGCCGTGGGAGACCGTGCGCCGCGTTAAAACGGAGTATCGTTGAAAACAAAAGTGCTTTGGCAATTTCGTTTCGCATGTTCTCGAAAGTGCGAAAGTTACAACGAACCGTTCGTTGAGATTCGCGTGCCACTCGTTGTAACTTGCGAAACGCAATCGCCAGAGCAGCAGAGTCGGTCGGAGATTTCTGGATTTTTTCCAAACGCCCGAAAATTCCTGCGAAAATGATAACTTTTTGACCTTCTCCATGTCCGTGACACAAATGAGTCACTCCTTCTTCCCCTTCCCTTCCGCTGACTCATTCATCACTTGACCCATTAGCTCTCGCCACTTTTCCACATAAACAAACGATCCGATGTCACAATAACAAACTCATTCGGGAACCGAAATCAAAAAGACAAAATCTCACAGGCGCCGCCCCCCGTAAAGTAAGAGGGTGAGCAGAGAAAAAGAGGCGCAAAGTATAAAAGCGCTCTCGGGCGGCGGGCCCAACACACTCTCGACGACGACGAAAACGACAATAGCTGTCGGGTTGAGAAGAGAAAAGATCAACACAAAATGAGGTGTTCTTTTCTGATTTTCGTGTCTTCTATTCTTGTACTCTCGCAGGTAAATACAATGTTTACAAACACTTTTTGCGGCTTGTTCAAACGTAGACCCACTAGGACAACTGAACTTTTAAGTACCAAAATGGTTGCTGACATGGCAACTGACACCTTGAGACTAGCTTCCGGGGGACTATGCCTAGATATAATTGAAAAACCTAAAAGTTACATGTCACCCACTAGATCTGTGGATCGAATTGACTTGAAGTTTGGCACGTACCCCTCAAAAATCATCGAGATGTTCATCTCTCACCTATCTTCTTCTTCTTCTTCTTCTTCTTTTTCTTCTTCATAGTTGATGAAAGACCCCAACGTCAATAATTTGTTTTGTGTAAAACGTGTGTGTGTGTATCTTCCTCTTCTTCTCATCTTCTCACAATAAGTGGATAGGCTGACAGTTGGTGTTTTCGATTAAAAAACCACCGAGCGATCGAAAGTGAATGTGAAAATAACTGGGGGAAACGAAGAATCTCTATTGTTTAGGTTAGAGATTAGTGTGCTCGGCGAGCATCTTTTTTTTTAGCAGTTTCGAGCGTTTGTTGGGTTGAAATCGGACATTTTGTCTTGAGACTTCAGTGGAAAATGGTCTTGTAGTCTTAATTTAAACTTTTTTGATACGTAGGTGCATCAAAGTTAGTGTCAATGCCACTAAAATCGAGTACTTCGTTACATCACCTACAGTGTTCTTAATTTCCAGGCGGCAGTGCGTCGTGACGCATCCGGACCCACTTTGGTCCTCCGTGACAATTGCAAGATCATCCCGTCCGGTGGCTGCTCGTGTGACGTGAAAGAAGGAAACGACGAGGTGGTGATCCGTGAGTACGAGAGCGTCGACCAGTGCAAAAAGTCGGTGGAGCTCCAAACCGCCGAGAACAAGAAGGCGGTGAATGCGGAGATCAAGGAGAAGTACGGCGATTTCAAGGAGAACTGCTTCCCGAAGCCGTCCGGAGGATGCAAGTGCAACGTGGACTTGGGACAAGGCGAGACTGTCGCCGAGTTCACCTCGGACGCCGACTGCAAAAAGTCGGTGGAGCAAGTGACCGCCGACAACAAGAAGGAGCTGAACGCGGAGATCAAGGAGAAGTTCGGATCGTTCAAGGAGAACTGCTTCCCGAAACCGTCGGGCGGATGCAAGTGCAACGAGAAGGACGCGAATGGAAACGAGGTGGTGACCGCCTACAACAATCCGGAGCAGTGCAAGGTCGCGCGAGCCAAGAGAGACGTCGGAGCCACCGTTCAGAGACAGCCGTCCAACGTGGCGAGAGCCAACGTCAAGGATGTGAAGCAGGCAGAGCCGAACTACGATGTCCGGGATCCGGTTAGGTAAGATCCTTCTATCTTGTTTTTATAAAAAGTTGATCCTGATCTTTGATCGTTAAGAGAGCGCGCCCAGGCCAACTACGCGGCGGTCGTCGATGAGCTCAAGAACAAGTTCAAGGGGCTCAAGGAAGGATGCTTTCCGCGCCCGAAAGGATGTCTTTGCGTCGTCGGAAAGACTCCAGAAGGCCGTGACATCACCGAGAGACGCATGAAGGACGTGGACTGCAAGTGCAAGGAAGGCGAGAAGGGACCCGAGTGCCCGGTTAACTAAACTTGAAGTTCGAGATTCAAGAATTCTCATCTTGCCATCTTATGACATTCTTCATTGTGTATTCTGTATTCTGCAAACAAATTGAAGTGCAACACTCATCCTAATAAACTTGTGAATCTATATGTAAAACAAATGTGGACTTTTTTGGCCCCCCAGTATGTCAATGTCAGTCACATGTAAATTGCCTAATTCTGCCCCCCAATAGCCGGTTTCCGGCACCAAATGGAGACAGATAATGTTTTAGTGTGAGCTAGGGATGGACATTAGATGAGCGCAGTTAATGAAGCCAATTTCTGGTTGGTTTTAGTATACTCATTTCATTTTGCGAACGAAGAGGGACACCGCCCATCTGCTCTGTCTTCCTTTCCTTTCCGGCCGCGCGACAACGATTCGAAATGCATTTGCATGCGGCTGGGCTCTCCGTCCCCGACTGACTGACAAAAACATCAATATTTCGGCGGAGACGTCAGAGACACAGCGACGAGCGCGCAGAAGGCTTCGTCGTCTGGCTGTCTGCGCCCGAGCACTCACGTCCTACTTCTACCGCTCAAAGCTCTCTCTCTCTTTCGTTTCCACCCATTCTTTCTGGCTTTCACTCATTCTGGAGCACACCAGGAATAATTAAAATTCCCGAACTTTCACTGAAGAATGTGGAGGAGTCGTACTATCATTTAAAGGAAAAACGAAGAGGAAGAAGCTTGCCATTTTCCAATTTATTTCCTCCTCATTATCATCTGATCCGCCGCTAAGCTCATTTACTCGAGCTTTTCGGACAAAGCCAGCGATAAGCCGCCAATGCTTTGGTAAGTTTTTTGCACTTTTTCGGCTTTTCGGTTCCTTTTTCCCATTTTTCGTTCTGGAGCGTGTGTTGACACAAGAAGAGAGTGAAGGAGAGAGAAAGAGAGACGGACTTGATTAGTTGGTGGGATGAATGTTTGGCCGTTTGGAAAACTGAAAAATGAGACTTCCCTAGCCGAGAAATCTGCAATTTCTAATGAGTTAATTCTGTTTGATTGAGGCTTGCTCAACTTCTTTCTGTTTGACCTAGCGATTTGACGTGAATTTCTGAAAACCGACTATACATTTCCCCATATTTTGCGTCTCCAGGTGTCTTCAACTGCTCTTCGCCACTTCTTCGGTCCTCGCCCAACAATGCTCCGATCAGGAATACGAGTTCACCTACACCAATTGCGACGAGAATGGCGAACGATGGCGAGTAGCGGTGCCACGTGGCGGCGTCCAGTGCTCCAACCTGCCCAAACCGCAAAAAGGACTTAATTGCTGTGAGCGAGTTTGCGCTTCTTTTTTTTGTCAACGCGTAATCGCAACGTTTTTCAGCGTTCTCTTGCGAACCCGGTCACTATTTGGACCTGGACAGCCAGCATTGTCGGCCGTGTAACGCGGGCTACTTCAGTCTGGGCGGTGGCATTCGCTACGAGGAATTTGTGACGTTGCCATCGGGTTTTTCGGTGGACAACTTCGACTCGAGCCTCGATTCAAGTGCTCCGTACTCTTCTGCAAGTCAGCAGATTGAGTGTCCGAAAGAGTAAGATGTGTGGAATCCAAAAAAAACAACACCTTTCTCTTTCTCAAGATCCGGTTGGGTTGTGAAGGACGGCGAGTTGATCTATGTTCCGACGCCGTGCGTTTCAAGGCTCTCCTTTTCGGCAAATCTCGTCCGACCGGGATCAGTGGAGTTTACCTACAGGTAGGCCGGCTTCACAGAGAAAAAGTCAACTTCTGCCACCTCTCAGAATGCCCCGTAACAACCGAGCGCTCTCAATGCAAGTGGACATTCGAAACGAGCAGTGTCAAAGCTACAATGATGTGGCGAAATCCATGTTTTTGAAGTATACAAAGAAGGAGAAGGACGAAGAGGAGAGGAACGGAGAGTGGCGGAAACGACGGATTGAGTTGAAGAGCGGCGCGAACGTAATCTCGTGGATTATCTCGAACAATCTCGGCTATCAAGCCTCCAACCAGCCGATCCATCTCGATCGCATCGACGTTCTCGGCCTCGCGTTCACCCGCCAATGCACCGCGTGTCCGCCTGGCACCTCTTCCATCGCCGGATCCGGGGAATGCCTGCCATGCGAGCCCGGGTTTTTCTCCTCCAAAGGCTCGGCCAAATGTGGCAAGTGTCCCGAATCGCAATATTCCGGCTACAAATCCGAAAAGTGTCTGGACCGTCCGGCGTGCCGACTCTCCGACTATTATCCGGTTCGTGAGCCGTGCACGAACGGCTCGAGTCGTGCCGTCTACAAGAAAGTACTGCCGACTGTTTGTCGAGATGACCTGCCGAGCGCCACGAAGCTTCCACCGCCCACACCTTGGAAAACGTGTCCAAAGTGCAATCCGGGCATGGAGAAGAACAAGATGGGCGTGTGTGAGTTCTGCAAAAAGGATTACTTTTCCGATGGCAATTGTGAGTTAACCTGGGCTCATTTTAAATTGTTCATGTCAAAAACTTTGCAGCTTGTGCTCGCTGCCCAGTGGATACGGTGCCAAATTACGGGCTACAGTACCAGCAGTGGCAAGTGATTCCTCCGAAGTTGACGACTCGATGCGAATACATTTCGGAAGGTGAGTTTCAAAAAGCAAAGAACATCTAGTAGCATCGTTCTCAATTCATTTAGACGTGGCCAATTCGTGCAACATTGGCGACGCGTGGATTGCCTCGGGCGACTCGCTCATCTCCGCTCCATCACTGGAACTCGGAATCGCCTTCGAACTCATTCTCTCCATCGACGAAGGCTTCTGGAACCCGCTGGCCCCGAAACCGTCAAAAACCATGAAAGTTCCGGTGGCACAAGTGACGATCGTCTTTGAAACCTCGTGCGCGGACGCCTCCTGTGCCCTGTACTTTATAGAAGACGTGACTGCTGGGCAAGGTCCCTCAGCCAAAGAATCCTTCTATCACTTCTTGGCAGCGTTCAATGGCACCAATTCGAAGCGGGTCTGGAGTCACACAGTCACCAAAAACACGCCCGCCCGGTTCATGATCGCATTCCTCCGTTCGGGAGTGTCCAGCGGAGAGGATCGCATCACCGACGAAGCGCGAATCTACTCGATCAACGTGACCAACGTCGGACATCGAGGCGGTCAGGGCGGCGGAGCATCTCAGTGTCTGACTTGCCCACATACCGCCGGCGGAGAGACTTGTGTGCCGTGTCCGGCCGGAAATTACATGCACGAGACGACAAAGTTGTGTGTTCGCTGCCCGACCAACACAATCGTCAACGTGACGTCGGATCGCGTCAGCATCGAGAGTTGTATTCCGTGCGGGCAGGGGCTCGTTTCCAAGGACGGAGTCACTTGCACTGCAATCGGAAAGGTTCAGCTGACGTCCGAGAAGGAAACGGACGTCGCGTACACCTATGACTTTTCCGCGTTCGTCGGCAGGTCGTGGAACGTCTCCGGGGTCCGGGTGTTCTCTCGAGAGGGTTCCGCCTACTACCACTCGTTCAACGTCGCCCTATTCCCGCCGACGATCAAGTGTCAGGAGCAGTTCGACAACTTTGACATGATCGGACTTTTGGATGAGACGAGAGAAAATGTGGACGGGCTCGCGTGTCGGTTGACGGCTCTTCCGACTGCCAGCTCGAACCGCTCAAAGACCGCCTACGTGACACCGCTTCTACTGGCCGGAAGATTGAATTCTATCTCTCTGAACAAAACTCATGGAAATGTGAGCTTGACGGATCAAGTGTTGGAGTACGGTAAGTTAGTTTATCACGAGAACTAGACCCCTTTTCCACTTTTCCCCTTCTTTCAGACTCCCATGACAACACGTCGCTGCCGTTGGACGTCTTCTTTTGGTTTGACTCGATTCCAACCATCTCCCCCGCTTGTCCAAACGGAAATCAGCTTGTGGTGGTGGCTCGTTGTCAACCGACCAAAAAACAGATCGAGATGAGATTGCCGCATAACTGCCCCGATGGAACTTGTGACGGTTGCCTCTTCGTGATGATCATGGAAACGGCGCAAGCTTGTCCGGTCTGTGAGGCCAACGACTACGAGACGATCAACGGAGAGTGTGTCAACGGAAAACAGACCATTCATAGCATTCCCAAAAAGTTTGTAATTCCGCAATACATATATTTATCTAAACTATCGCTTCCAGACACTGCGTGATCACAGGAGTTGCTTCACAAACGAAAGAGGTGACGTGCAGCGCGTTCACCGCCTTCCAAAGGACCATTTTGTCCATTCTCGTGCTGTCCATGATCGTTTTGACGATCGGATTCGTGTTCATTTGTCGAAGGAATCGACGATTGGAGTACAAGTATACGCGGCTGATCGAGTCGCACACCGGAGAACTTCCGGCCGTCGAGACATGCGGTTTGGATGAGGACGAGGATGATGATGAGGTGAGTGGGTTCAACTAGTCGATTCTGAAGTTTGTACATCTCCACTAGACTATGAAGTTGTTGGATTACCGTGAGGTACACCAATACCATTTATTCAAGACGTTTTATCTTAGCTGCTTGTGGAGATGAATAGTTTTGAATGAACTGTATCAGGATGTTCTTCTAGTTATACGATAGTTTTACATAAAAGTTCTAAAATACTCATTTTTCAGCTGCAAGACCGTGTAATCTTCTCAAAAGGCCGTCGCTCGGCGCCATCCGCCAACTCTAGAACCACTCTACGGGACCACCGGGAGAACGACAATGCCGCTTTTATCTCGCTGGACAGTGAAGACTAACAAGGCTTTCGTTTAAAAAAATTGCCATCCTTTTCGTTTTTTTTTTGTACAATTTGTGTGATTTCTCATATCGTTTCGTTGTTTTCTGTTGCAAATCGCACACTTTTCCCCGTTTTCTCTCCAAATCAATCAACTTTTCCCCATTTCTTCTCTCTCTCTCTCTCTCTCTCTCTGTTGGGTCTCAAACGTCTGGATCTCGGCAACCAGATTCTCTCGCATGCCAAACATTCACTTTATGTCTCCTCATACTTTTTTTTTCGATGAAAAACGTTTTTCCAAACAAAAAACCGTATCAATAATCAAGTGTAGACCGGATTCATGCTTGTCGTCAGGTAGTAGGACCAGTAGACGAGGTTGAACAACGCGAACATCTGCAACGAGATGATAATATTAGGAAAACATTGGCGGAGCTTACAGTTGGAAAAAGCATGCTGGCAACTCGGTCGATTGATGCTCCGAGCTCGCTTCCTTTGGCTCGCCGAGCACTCAGCTCTACGAAGCTTCTGAAATGGATCAACTTTAAGGGACCGGGTGAGTAAGTAGGTTCCTAGCCTCCTTGCACTCGGATTGTACCCATTCGACTGCACATCGTTCCCAGTCGAACACCGCGCCTCCCGAAGTCTCTGGTCGTGCATTTTGTCATTGTACGCCACGATCGCCAGCTCAATCAACGAGAAAAAGATGAATCCGACACAGCTGAACATCCAAATGTCGATCGCCTTCACGTACGACGCCTGAAACTCTTCATTGGTCAAATTTTTGTAAGCCTAGAACACACCTTAGGCAGTGACTTGACAATATTTCCGAATTGAAACGTTAGCGCCATCAAAGAGGATACGGAAAGGGTGATGCGGGCCGGCAACGCCTTGGTGTCCATCCAGAAGGCGATCCAGGATATGAAGACGGATATGTAGGTGGGCAGGTACATTTGAAGGATGTAGAAGCCGTAGAGCCGCTCGAAATGAATCGAAACGGACAGACGATGCCAGATGCCAGCAGTGTAGACCTATAATATCTACTTTGAGGCAATGCCCCGTTTCCTAGCCCACCTCTGTAATATTTCCATAGGTAATATTGGTCATCTTGAAATCCGGAAGGTTGTAGTCATTGCGAACCGTCGAAACCGGCGACCATTCGAGCCATTGCAGTGCCACGTCGGCCGCATTGTACGAGTAACTCTCAAAGACCAGTGTGCAACGGATGCTGTCGAGCGGGAAGTTGCGCAAGTTCATCTGGCACGGCGCCTCCGAGCGGATACGGTAGTTGAGCCAGATGGTTCCGTTCGGGAAGATCATGAGCAGAATGTTGGGCTTTGGCGAGTCGTGCACTTTGGTCGCTTTCGAGTTGACGATGCACACGTTTGGCGACCACAGTTTCGGCTCCATGTCGTGGTCGAGAGAGAGGTTCTTGCGACACGGGTCCAAATGAGAGAAGGCCAGCCTGGAAATCGGACTGGCTGCATAACGTCATAAAGTCCAGACCTACCGTTTATCATTCCAGATTGCACTGATCCAGTAGTCGATCACAAAAGTGCCAGTTATAGCAGAAATGTCAGAAATGTCCTGAATTGTGATCTCGACCTCCACGCGTACTGGAGCCGGCTCCGGAAGTGCGTTCCTCGAATAGTTGGTCATCAGAATCCGTGCCAGGTCGGTTGCTTTGGCGCCAGAAGACGATGACCCACTCATGTCGTCACATGTGAAATCATCGATATGTTGAAATGTCACATCTGAATGAATATTGTTTTGGTTTTGATTTTAGATTTCCGTAAAAGTTCAGTTACCATGTATCCTAGCTGACATGAAAATCGTTTCGATGAATAGCGCCTGAAATTCAATTGCCAAAAGCAAAAGTTGAATGATCAAAGAGCAAAACGAGAAAAGCGTTTCGAAAATTTTTCGGTTTACAAGAAGCTCATCATTACTCACCTGTATACTGTAGATCATGAGAATGGCATGAATGTAGATCACAGATAAGTCATCGAGTAGATGGAAACAAAGTTGGAAAAGTTATGAATAGAGTGAGAGGACCGGACAAAAAAGAAGAGTTTTGCGAATGAAGTGGCGCGAGGAGGGTGACTTCTTCTTGACGAAATCGCCGACAGATTTGATTTGAGCGCGCAAAACGAGCGACCGACCGACGGGACCTCCCCCACGGAATGCTTTCGGAGCAGAAAACACGAGAAGAGCCACTACTTTTTGAACTATGACGGAATTGTGCGCATGCGCGTAGAAAACGATGTGTTTTGACAGGCGGTGTGGGCTAGATTGCAACTCAAAAACTTCAAACGAAACGAATTCATTGTTCAGGTTGGAATTGTGATCGCCAGCGGCGTCACCTGATACCGATGCATGCACATTTCGTTGATGAAACTGTACTCGCAACACACTCGACACGCCGGGTTCGGCTCGAAATTGAACATTCGGAAGCCTTGTCTGAAACTCTTCAAGTTCACTTTGTTCTTTTTTTTTGCGTCGTGCAGGGCTAGGCAAAACATTGGCCGGCCTTGGCCGGCCAATGGTACGGTAAGCAATTCGGTTCACTGCGCGGTGTTTGCACGCAAATAAAATTAAATGACGACAAAATCGAAGAAATTATTTTGAAAGGAGAAGAAGACAGGCTTGAAAGTAGAAAAAAGGTGAAAAGAAATTAAATGAGTTAAATTTCGATGAAATGAAAGCTGACAAATTTCGAAAATTAGCAGAAGTGAAGAGAAAAATAAGAGAACGACAGAATTAATGAAAACGAGATTCATGAGAACGAAACGAACGAAAAAAATGGATGGGAACAACGTTATGAATCGAATTCATCGAATTGAGCATTTTTCTGTGAAAATATTTGATCATGAAGTGAAAAAACGTTTTTTCTTTATTTAAAATGCTTTGTGTGCAAACACCGCTCAGTGAACCGAATTGCTTACCGTACGATTGGCCAGCCAAGGCTTTTTTTTCAGTGGAGCGCGCTTGCAACTAGCCCGTCCACGGCTTTTCATTGGCCATTTGCCCAGCCCTGGCGTCGTGGAAACCTGGAAATCTTCTGCAACATCTCCAACTGTTTTGCCGGATATCCGTGAATTTCGATGAGGATTTGACAGACGAAATAGTTTTTGAGGAACGGCTCCAGCGCTTCGTGTTCCGAACTCTCTATGTCGATTTTGAGAATTTCGATTTCTTTCGAGTCGGAGTCGATCATCATTCGGACTGAAAATAGGTCACTGTGTCAGCAAGTCAGCAGATCTTACAAAGCTTGAGAGTGTCCGGAACTCTTCCCACAAAAAGTTGGCCCCTCATCGTTTTGTACTTTTTCTGCGTCGTATCGTTCTGCTTCGCCATATCGGCTCCAACAATTTTACACCGATTCGAGGTCATCGACTGAATCTCTTCGTCGTATTGAATTTGATCATTCAGCCCCAACGACATCATTCTGCAAACATGCTGTGAGAGGTGGACGAACTTTTTCCACGCCCAGGCCGTGGCCTAACTCACGTGCACCCGTTCCTCGCCATTCTCGGATCGCAACTCACTTTGCCGCTGTCGCCGACGCCGCCGACTCGAACTTTGACAGGACAAAACGCTTCCTCTTTGAGCGCCTCATAGAATAAATGGCTCGTATTCTGGAGAGACAAAGCCTGCAACTTTTTCCTCGACACATCACAATGATTCAACGCTTCTTGACGCATTTTCTTAAGATCCGAGTGCTCCAGATCTAGGTCAGACCCTCCTGAAATAGCAATTGGCATTATAATAGTACATGAAGAGAGAACAGACTTTGAACCACTTTGGTGCGCTTGTACAACACCATAATAATCAAACATTGGCAGAAAAAGACAAAAGTGCAGAATACGGTAGTGTTGAGATCTTTTCGTTTTCTGGTGAACACCATTTTATTCATATGATATTAGTAGTTCGAAAAAGGAAACATTCAAACGTTTGAAAACGATCAATCTATTGGCTCAACTGCCCCGGGCTCAATGAGCAAACACAACAACCCGGCTACTACTATCCATTCGTGATATTGTGCGGAATTGTTATTGCGAGCGGGACCACTCCGAACTGCAACATGCAGAGTTCGTTGATGAAACTGTACTCGCAGCATCTGGAGCACAAATAGTTCTCCTCGATGTTGTAGAGTCGGAAGCCGTATCTCGCGATCTTTTGCAGCATTTCCAGGTGCTCCGGCGGCCAGCCGTGGATTTCGATCAGGATCTGAATCAGACAAATGTACGTAATTGGAGTTGTAAAGTACAAAATGTGACCTGACAAACATAGGTGTCCTTGAGCAGTGGTTCCAAACCTGTACGCTCGTCGCCTTCAATATCAATCTTCAGAACCTCAATCTGTTTTCGATGCGCCTGAACGAGCATCTCGGGAATTGTGATCTCATCTGGGATCTTTCCGGAGAACAGGCGGCCGCCCATCGCGGAGTACGCACGGGCGGTGTTCATGTTTTGTGGATCCTGAATTTGGGAAGAATTGCTAGACTTTTTCCATATGTACAAAACCTTATCAGCTCCTATAAGTTTACACTTTTCGCCGGTGATTTTGTAGATGGCCTGGTCGAATCCTACTTGATTATTCAACCCCAATGACATCAACCTGTAACTTTTATTGCATTTGGCCAGCTCCCGAACACCGTCGACTCACGTGCAATCGTCGCGAACGACGCTTGGATTGCAAACCACCTTCCCGCCGTCGCCCTTCTCGCCGATCCTCTCCGTCTTCTCACAAAACGCTTCCGGCTTCAGTTTGGTGTAAAAGTTTCTGTTATCCTTGCCGACTGCGTGTTTTAGTACTTCCGCTCGCACACTTTCAGCCATCAGAAGAGCGTTTCGTCGAAGTTCTCGAATCGGAAATTGCTCAAAAAGAGGGTAGAGCTGAGGAGCTCTGTTGGCTCCAAAAACATCCGTTTCAACTAGCCTTTTGTCTGTAAACCGACTTTCTTCGACTTCATGGCCTCACCAAAACTCACCCAAATCTTTTAACGTACTCACAAGTTGATAATAGTTGGCTATTGTGAAAATCAAGATGATAATGATGACAAAAGTGCTCAGAGAGCTCGAAAATAATGAAAAGTGCGCCATGAGCATTGGATTTGCTGCAAATACAACAGCGGAACACACTGTTTTAGTGGCCACTGATCTTTCGAAACGAATTGGGGAAAAGCAAAAACAAATACTATAGCATTGTTAGAGAATTGTGCGCTTTGATGATTGAACTCAAAACACATGTGACCAAGAAAGATACCGTTTATTAGAAATATACCGATACAAAAGAAAACAGAAAACAGAGACAAACAAAAAAGAGATCAAAATCGTTGAGGGGGAAACCTCGAAACTATTGAGACGATTCTGGCTGCGGAATGGTGATGCCGAGGGGAACGGCTCCGAATTGAAGCATGCACAGCTCGTTGATCAAGCTGTACTCGCAGCAGCTGGGGCACAACGGATTCGGGTCGACGTTGAAGATTCGGAATCCGTACCTGAACAAAAGTTGCAAATTTGAACCTAAAGATCTTTTGAGACTTGCAACGGGCCGGGCCGGGCCAAAATTGGAAATTTTTCGGCCTGGCCCGGGAGGATGCACCTAAAAATTCAAAGCGAACTAGAACTTCGAAAAAAAATAGAAATTGCTGTTTAAAGTCGCAAAATTTTCACAAAAATTACGAAAATTTTCTCAAGAGTGGGCGGAGCGATTGATTGCAACTCTGGCACGCCATTTTAGCAATTTTGCCGCACGCGCTTTCCTCTTCCTTCATATTTTTTTGCATATTTTTTTTGAGGTCTAACTTCCGGGCCGACGATTTGCTGGCCGGGCCGGCCCGGGATTTGGCAAGTCTGGATCTTTTCAGCTTACTTGGCCATGACCTGAAGCATTTTCAGATGCCTCGCCGACGGTCCGTGCACTTCTATGAAGATCTGAAGTTAGTTAGTTGGAAAGTGGAACTTTGAAACGATTCGGAAAAGGAAAAAAAAGGACCGTACCTGACAGACAAAGAAGTCCTTGATGAGTGGTTCCAATCCCGCGAACTCTCCCCCTTCGATGTCGATCTTGAGCAGCTCTACCTCGTTCCTTCCCGCTTTCTCCAGCATGCTCGGAATTGTCAGTTGGTTCGGAATCGTTCCCACAAAAAGTTGACCATTCATCTCGGCGTACGCCTTCTGCGTCTTTTCATTTTGCGCATCCTTGTCGGCTCCCAGAATCTTGCAATGTCCTCCGGTCACTTGTTGAATGTGCGTGTCGTAATCGATCTGGTTATTAAGACCCAGAGAGATCAATCTGAAAAATAGGTACATAATTGGTCAATGTCTAAAGATATCAGACACTCACGTGCACTCGTTTCCTTTTCTAACCGCCACCGGATTGCACACATACTTTCCGCCATCTCCCTTCTCTCCAATCCTTTCCATCTTTGCACAAAATGCTTCAGGCTTTACTTTTCCGTAAAACGCCTTGTTATCAAACGACTTGGAAGATCGGAGCAACTCCAGCCGATCTTGCTCCGAACTCAGCAACGCCTTCTTCCGCAATTCTTTCGATTGGCGACTGTAGACAGGAACTTGGAGTGCAGGCGGTGATGATTCAGGAGAATACTGAACCGTTTCAAGCTCCTTTTCCTGTTCTTCAACTTCCATTCGTCGCTCTGAAATTCAACTTTAAATATCAAATCAAAACAAACTACTCAAAGCGCTTACCAATTTTGCTGAAAGTAAAGTAGTTGGAGATGGCGATGAGCAGCAGAAGAAAAATGAGAAAATTGGTGACGGAAGAGCCAGAAGCCATGCCAGAGAGTCCTTAAAGTGCAAAAGTGTTGAGAAACAAAGTGACGACACTTCTATGACGATAAACGAGAACAACACAGGGGAAACAAGAAGAGCAAAAGCTTACGGATTCTTCGGATGACGCTGACTGCTGGTTTGGGAAGCAACGGAGTCCGACAAGTCAATTTTTTGTTAATCAGCATCCACGTGAATCGAATCCACATGAAATAGGAGGCTAACGGCACAATTCCGATAAGAAGTTTGTGGGGTTTCACGTGGAAAAGTAATTTCGAAGATGCGGAGGCGAGAAATGCTCAACTTTAAATGAATACTGTAGAATCAGACTTTTTTGTGATTACACCCTTTATAGAACCCGTTTAAACATGATTGTGGTGCTCTGAAATTGAAGTTGTATGTAAAAAAAAAAGAAAAATGAAAAGAGACAGGCAAAAGTGAATGTAATGTTTCGAAAAGCGACATTGGCAATGCGGTGAACATGAAATGTTGATGTTGGACACAATATTCTTCCGAAAGTCTCTTATAGCAGGAAAAGGACACAAAAAACGGACGGGAACGCTCGAGAAAGATCGGGAGCGGATAAGTTCCGGGATGAAAGAAAAAACAGGATAGAAAAGGTTGTGTAATTTGAAAATGATTGATAGGATTCGAGAAGATTCTGATCAGAAAGGTAGCCCGACAAAACGCATTTTTGGGAGTGATCGCAAAACATCTGAAAAAGACAGAGAATGGAAATCGGAACGAATTTTGAAATGTTGGGAGCGTACTGATCTCTCGTTTTATTGTATAAGAATCGGAAAATGAACAAACAACCGGATGAATGACCTACAATTATCCCAGCCCAATATGTTTTTGTCATTGATCATAACACAACTATATTGTAGTATCGTGTTTTTTGCCTAGATTCAAAACATCCTCTTTTTTCGATAATGTCAACGACTTCTTTTTCCTTGTGCTTTCTATTTGTGATGTGTTATAGATGAGTAGTCTTTATGGGCCCGTTTATTGGATTCTCACCAGAGAGAAACGAAATCAAAAACACCCCCACCCGTGTGAAAAGGCAATAAATGGGTTCAGAAAGACTACTCAACGTCCCTTATACTGTATATTCCAGAATCGAAAACCGATAGTGCGACTGAAAATTGTCCAATTCACATAACACCGAAATACACTGAACATTTGAGGATTTGCATACAAAAACAGTGTTAACCATGACTCGGAAACACCACCGTTTTCACTTCTTTCCACACACTTTTGACAATCATGGTGGTGGTGATAGATTCACGGGCCGACATGGCTCACGAGCGGATCCTCATGGCCAAACTCAAGTTGGTACCTTTCTACGATCATTTTATAGGTTTCAAACGTTTAGAAAATACCACCTGGGCGTTCTTTTTCTGTCCATCGCCGGAGTGATCCTTTTGTTATGGGCGATCATTGCCACCGCCTACAACTTCACCGGCTCCAAACACACCGAGCACGTTATCGTCGAGCCGCGCTCCAAGTCGGCCACTTTCAAGTACTCCGCAGCCGTTGCCGACTCGGGATTCTGTGCGGAAATTGCGAGGTACTAGTTGCGAAATGGTTGTGAAATGTCGAAGATGATTCCAGAAACGTTGTAATCCAAGGCGGCAACGCCGTCGACGCCGCGATAGCCGCCACGTTCTGCAACGGAGTCGTTCTACCGTATGCCACCGGAATTGGCGGAGGAGATTTCATGGTGATCTACTTAAAGTGCGCGTAACTTCATATTGAATATTTTGCCAATTCATATCTGTATGACACAGAGAAGAGAAGAAGTGTGTGTTCCTCAACTCTCGGGAAACTGCTCCAACGTCTGCGACGGAGAAAATGTACGCTGAGGACAAGGATTCCGCTCAATTCGGCTACAAATCCATTGGAATCCCCGGCGAACTTCACGGGCTTTGGACCGCCTATAAGAGTTACGGCTCAAAAGTGATTGCGTGGGCGGATCTGGTGATGCCGTCCGCCAAGTTGGCAAAAGGCTTCCCAATGCACAAGGCAATCCACAATTATTTCGATCGCATCACCAAATATGCGGGCAGAGCAGAGATAGAGCCGTTGAAGTTGGTACCATTTTCTTTTGGAAAAAGGCTTTGAAATGTGTTAAGGAACTTGTACACGTCAAAGATCACCGGCGAGTTCTACAAACTTGGTGAAATTGTTGCCAATTATCCGTTGGCAAAGCTATTGAAGGTGATCGCTCAGGCTTCGGATCCGGTCCAACTTTTCTATAATGGTAAGAATAGGTTGGTGTGGGATTACTGATAGCCTTCAATTGAAGGTTCTATCGCCGATGGAATCGTCCGCGAGATGGAGGCCAATGGAGGAGTTATCACGTTGGATGACTTGAGAAACTACGAAACTCATGTGACAGGTTTTTTAAAGGACCAGGGAACCCAAAAATTTTTTTATTTTTTTGTGAAATGTTTTTGTGACTGTTTGAATTGTCTCTTATTGCCTCATACACTGATGAAATGCTGCCTCTCAAAAATGCCAATGAACGAAACGGCATGCAGTTGAAGTTGTGGCCGTGGCCTAGCGCCAATGGCCGAAAAATATATAAAAATATATGCGCTTCTCGGCCATTTTATTTTTTCCGCTTTTTTACCGGTTTTTTTTCCAAAAATGCACGGTTTCTCCCATTTTGGCACTTCATATCGACTGAATGAAAAAATTTTTTTTTGCAGTGAAAAAGTAAGTAAGTGCCGAACAAATGTCAATCAACTGAAGAATGGGAGAAACCGTGAATTTTTGGAAAAAAAAACCGGTAAAAAAGCGTAAAAAATAAAATGGCCGAGAAGCGCATATATAAAAAAAATAAAAAAAATTTTGGGTTCCCTGGTCCTTTAATTCAAAATGTTTTGCTGTTGATTGATTGCCAAACATTTTCTGCTTCTAGAAGCCCTTTATTCGGACATTGGACACTATCGAATGTGCGGACCACCGCCGCCGTCCTCTTGGGTCATCACTCAAGCAATTCCCAGAATTCTAGAAGGTATCAGACACGCCTGCCACGTCGTAGCAACTGATATATATGATTGCAGAACAATACTACAACAAAAAGATTTTCAACGACGCGGAATTCTACCACAAACTCATCGAAGCACAGAAATTGGCATACGGACAACGAGGCAAACTTGGCGACTACCTTTTCTCGCAGGAATCTTTCGATATTGCCAAGAATCTTACGGACAGGTATCACTACTTATGTACTTTGGTTAACTTTTTTGCAAACTTTGCTAAGAAATGTGCTGAAACTGATGAGCAAGCGAATCAAGAACAAGTCGCAGGATTTGGAGTATTATCTGAATGCCGGTATTGCTCTGCAAGTTGTAGAATTTTACAATATTTTCAAAGTTTAGCCCCAGCTGTTGTGGACGCGGGAACCGCGCAAACAAGTGTGATTGACGATGATGGAAACGCCGTCTCGCTCACATCTTCTATCAATACTGCGTAAGTTTTGTGGAAAACGGCACTATTCCTAAACACGGAACCCCAGCATTCCAATGCGCAAGCAAGTTGTCAATGGGGCGCGCTTTCATCCACCGTCGGCTCGGAATTTTCACATAAACCGTTTCGAAATTGATGACGAAGCAGTTAAAATTTTATTTTTTATTCATTTCTAATCATTATCATAAGTTTTGACACTGATTGGTTCTGAAAAGATGGGAATAATGCAAAAAAAGGGAAAATTGAAATGAGAAACTCTACAACGACGCTCCGAAATTACGCGTTACGCGCCTTGTTTAGCGCACCTGAATTGCGCCAAGGGAATTTTTTATTGGAAGGCTGGGGTTCCGTGCTAAACAATGTATCTCAGCTGTCAATAGAGATGATCAAAAAGTTGTCGACTGATAAAGTGTGTGCAATGTCTTTTTGAGCAATTCATCAGTTAACAGCGTTTTGATACCTTCATCAGCAGCATTCAAATGTATCTTCTTTTCGCACAGTTTTGGCTCCAAAATGCTTTCCAAATACGGATTCATCTACAACAATCAAATGGACGACTTCTCGACGCCTGGCTTCAGAAACCATTGGGGATTCGAGCCGACCGCGGCCAACTACATCAAACCGGGAAGACGTCCGATGAGCAGCATGAGCCCCACAATTGTATTCGACGCCAAGAACGGAGATGTTCGGATGGTCACCGGCGCGACGGGCGGCTCCAAAATCATCTCGGCCACTGCTCAGACACTTGTTAGAGCACTGTTAATGGGTCAGACTGCCGCCGAGATTGGTAGGGACTATTTATTGTAAGGACTATTTTGATATTAATGTTCAATACTTTTCAGTTGAAATGCCAAGAGTACACAATCAACTAACACCCTATGTGACAGAAGTAGAGGAAGACTTCTCTGGGGTACATTATTCTTTATTTTTAGTTCCTCGAGACTGTTTTTTTCTCAGAATATCTATAAGCAATTGGAGAAGGAGTATGACCAAGAAATGGAGAGAGTCGATGAGAATCTGGCGATCGTCTACCCAATCACCCGAGACGGAGATCACTACACTGCTGCCGCCGATTATAGAAGAGCTTCTCAGAATGCACCGGCTGGATATTAATAATAATTCGATTTTATTACAATCAATACATTCTTCCTATGGTCGTATTATCGGTGCTTTTTGGCCATCACGAAAAAGTTGAGAAAGCCAATGTCGACGAGCGGTTTATTCGGAAGCAGAGGATAATTTTCGACTGCCGCTTTCAAACGCGCTTCATCGAAAAACAGTTCTATCATGTCGCAGTTCTATTATTTCACGGTTCTATTCTGCCCAGTTCTATTATGTTGGACCGCCATAGAAATAATCCGATGGGGGAGTGATCCATGGGGTGGAAATGGGGAAGAGTGGGGGAACGTAGGCAATTCCCGAGGAAAAACGTCCGGACGAACTGGTCATTATAGAAAGGGAATAATTTATATGAAATTGGGCCGAAAAACAAAATGTGAATAAGAGAAAGATGGAGGGTGCAGAGTAACAAGAAAAATTGGAACGAGATCACGATGAAATGAATTCAACGGTCTGCACACAAAAACACATATGGAGAGAACGGGAAATAAACTATCCGCGGAATGGTGGAGCGCCTCCGGGACGTGGCACTCCACGCGGTCCTCCGCGTCCGGTCGGTCTGCGGAAAGCCGTTCCGCGTCCTCTTCCGCGCTGGTCCAGTCCGCCGAGACCCATGCCGATGGCCCCTTTTTGCGCTCTTCCAATGTTTTTGAACATTGGCGCGTTCTTCAGCATGTCCGGAAGGATCATGAAGCGGATCTGAACAAGTTTTCGATTAATTTCAGTGGGAATCATGAATTTGGGTACCTTGTTTCCGCGAATGAACACATTCTCCAGCTGATGGCTTCTTCCGTCGCGAAAAGTGACGATCGTCTCGGCCAACTGGCAGTTCATGTTGTCCTCGGCCTCGACCAGCTTTCCTCTGTACACCTCGCCTGAAAAATAGGAAAATTGTGGAACTTTAGCCTGGAAAATGGCGACTTACCTGTCACGGTCTCAAGAGTGACGGTATGGCCTTCAGCCTCGTGGAGAATCTTGATTGGAACACCGACTGATGTCATCCTTCAAAGAAAATGTGTAAAAAATTGACAGAGGCATTCGAAGCGAGGGAAATGGCGGAAAAAACAACTGTCCGACTAAATCTTTCAAACGAGAAAATAGGAAAAACTTAATTGTCAGACAATCTGACGTGAAATTTGTGTAATAAACTAGTGAGGACAATTGTTCTAGCACATTTTTATCATTTTCCTACAAAGAATTCGCAAAACTCACCTGAAAACAGCGGAAAGACACCGAAACTGTTCAAAAACTGAGCAAAATAATTTCGAAAAGTGGGCTGCGACGCGGCACGCAACGCTCTCAATGGAGCGCACTTGCACCGCTCGGCATGCGGGGTTAATTTTTGGATGCGAGTGTCACAAATTACTGCTTTCGTTGCACCTGCTGCAGTGCCAGGTTGTTCTGAATGACCTGTCGGGCAGTCATTGGCGGCGGAACGGCGGGCTATTGGGTTTGCGTGAGCAGTCGTGTTGAAGATGCTGCGGAACTCGCTGCTGCTGGAAGTACTGTACAGGATGCGGGGCTTTCTGCATTTGCTGAGGGGCGTACTGCAGCTGATACTCGACGACTTTCATGCCGGCGAGACCAGCGGGTACGAAAGAGACGGCTTCGAGGGTGGCCATTGAGACGAGCTGTTGGATGGCTCTCGGCGAGTCGGCGATCATGTCACACGCGGAATCGCCCATCTCGGAGATTTGATAGAGTCATTCGAGGGTGTAGACACACATCATTATGTCCTTGACGCCGCCGACTTCGAAAATGTGACTCGGGAACAAAATTCAGTGCCGAATCGAAATTTGTTCCCGGGACAACACTGCCTGCTCTTTTTGTTTCACCACCGGGATCAACCCATTAGCTCCCTGCTTTTCGTGGTTTGCATTTATTTTCCAAATATTTCAGCTCTTTTTTTGGCCAAGAACAACGGATTTTTGCAGGAGAAGGAGCGCCGCGTCGGGAGCTGCGAGAGAGACGCTCTGAAGAAGAAGGTTGGGCGGCTCCTCTTTTTTTTTTGTACCTTTGAGAACAACGCATTTTCCAGGTGGATGAGGAAGCTCGACTCGCCGCTCGCGCAGCAAGGATCGAATTTAAGAAGAAGAACAGCTTTTTGTTAGTTTTCATCATAATGAACACGTTCCCAAAAAATCAAGTTGAATGAATCAGTATTCATCCGACGGCACGCATCTGAAGTCTCAGAACAGCCAAGAAGCGCGCGGGAGGCGGACGGCGGCACGCTGTTCAAGCCTTCTTCTGTGCGTCAAAACTTTAGATGCGTGCCGTCGGACGAGTATTTTTTATTCCGGTTCCCACGTGAGTCACGCAGCAAATGAGAACTCGCCGACGTGTCCTCTGGCAGCACTCACCTGCCACGTCATGAGACCGCCCGCCATGCATTCAGGGCAACCCGCTGACCTCACTCAGTTCCAATTCAGTTTCTGTCTCTCGAAGGCTCGATCCATCGAAACGTGAGTTTCACTCTTTCGTCCCGCCAATTGAATAATTGCATACTATTCAGAACATCGTGATGAACACTTCCGATTCTGCTGCGCCAGAAATTCTCGCCGACGGCATTCAACATCTTCGTCTCGTCGACAAGACTTCGTCCTCTGTGTTGATGACTCCGCCGCCGAGTGAGGAGAAGGCGCCCCCTTCCTCGCAAAAATCCACGTCGAACCACTCGGAAAATGAAACCAAGCAGTCCGCCGGTGACGATAAAACTGCTTACATCGAATCGTTGAAGGAGGAACGTGAGCATTTGACTCAGTACGCCGACGGCTTCAACCACGTCTTCACTCTCATCGACAAGGAGATCAAGAGAGTTGCTGCCGATGGAGATGAGAAAACTATCGTCAAGGACGCTTTGGGCATTCTCACCCAAATAATTCCGGTGCCTGTGGACTTGTATCCGACCGTATGTTTGATCCGATATGAGACCTGTAAATAAATTCGTATCAATTTCAGTACAACTTTGTCGGTCGTATCCTGGGACCACGCGGAACCACCGCCAAGCAATTGGAGGCTTCCACTGGATGCAAGGTTACCATTCTCGGTCGCAACAAAAAAGACGGAGCGGCGACGCCCGAAGGAAGCACTTCTGGAGACAACGGCCCTCTAAGAGTGCAGATTTCATGCCCTGCCGATGATCCGAATTCTGTTCAGAAGATGCAGGCTGGTTCCAGCATTATCAATGCTTTGCTCATTCCTCCAGTGAGTCTGCAAAACATTTACATTAAATAAACATCCAAAACATTGCAGGCTGATGGTCAAGATGAGTTGAAGCGTCAACAGCTGATGGTTCTGGCCAACATGAACGGAACTTATCGTCCTCGTGCTGCTGTTGCTCAGTCGCATTACACAACTGGCGCTGGAGACTACAACAATCAGTTCCAGAGTTAGTATTTTCATTTTGTACCCTATTTACCCCTCGTGATCGTTTCGTCCTTTCATGAACAGTACTGAATAAATCTATATCCGCACCCTGCTTCTTCCAGACTTGCTGCCTTACGGCTATCGTCTGCCCCTGAGGAGTCAGCATGACATGGTTCTGCACTCGTTGATGGCTAATGATCCGAATCACATACATTCGGCCAAGTCGGATTGCTTCAACCCAAAATGTTCCATGTTGAGAAGTCTCATTGAAAACAACATCCCGTTGAACAAAAATTACATGCCGTTAGTTTAGACTTGTGAATGGTTCTCAATTTTATAGTTTTTTTTTAGAAAAGTTGACGACGTTCTCAGTGCCATGCACATGTTTGAGCTAATGAACCGTATCAGACTGGCCAATTCTTCGACTTACGGAGAATCTCGTCATCACGATGATTCGATCAAGGCTCAAGAGATCGGAAATCGCATGTGCTCGGCTCTGGGCAATGTCGGACCACGCTCATCTTCTTCTAACACCCAAACTTCTCCTAACCGCCGTTTTATCAAGCGCACACCACCAAAAAAGTAATTACCCACTTTCTAATCCCTATTTCTTGTATGATAGTAAGTAGAGTGTATTTTAAATCCCCCTCTACCCCATGTCCATATTGGAGTGGAAACCTCCTGTTTTTTTTGTATCCCATCATTGTTTGTTCAAATTTCTTTCCGAAATCCGACTACCACTGGAGTATGCGTGGCCATCCACTGCTTTGTTCTTGTTTGGAATATAAAATAAAAGTGAAAAAGTAGAAACTTTTCTTTGTCTTCGACTGAATGTCTTCTGAGCTTCGTAACCGCAAGAATAGTTTAGTAGCGAAAGATCTCGACAGTGATTTCACTGATGACGACGAATTCAAAGAGATCGTCAGAGACATCGAAAGCGATCACTGGAAAGACGGACCAGTGGACGAGACTCGCTGGGCGTTTGTTTAAAATTGAATTACTGAACAAATATTTAAATATTTCAGAAAAACGAAAAGTTCTCTACGTGAATGGGGATTGTCCTGCTCGTGGCATGGGATACCTCACATGGCTCAATCTCTTTCAGTAAGAACACTTCAGTTTCATCCATCCTTTCAAACTCTATTTTCATTGTTCCACCATACTCCTCTGGTCCACCCTTCTTTGCATCAGTGCCGTTTTGTTCATCTTCCTCATCACAATCACTGTTAAACAATACTTTTCTTTTCAAAAAACTGTGAACTTGAACGTAAGTTTGAAGATTAAGTTCTGAAACTCACTATTAGACGATTTTTAGATAGGAATGGATGAGTCGAATTTCCCTTCGATCACTTTTTGCAATGCAAACCCTTACAAACTAAGTGCTGTTCAAGCTATTCCAGAATTAGAAGCATTGGTAATTGTTCTTCTTCTCCGTCCCCCTACCCCCATATTTTTTAAATTATTTCAGCTGACGGTATACTCACAAGCGTTGCAATGAATGAATCGAAACGTTTGCAAATATCAAAGAATAAATTTAACTATTTTTGAAACAAATAAAATAACGATAACAAAGTGAAAATTCTGGTGAAACAAAGAACGAATCATTATCACCTCAAGTTACAATTCAAGAAATCAACAAACATAGTTATGATCTTGGTTTTATCAGTTGTTGGGTCTTTCTTTGACATGTTCACGAATTGATGTCGCAATCGATTCAACTCAGGAAGGGTCCTTGGCTTTAGAAATTTTATCGTATTGGCGCCTTCCGAAGCTTCAGGAATCACTATATTCTGGCCACGCACCGCCGTTCGCTGGCCATTCAGAAGAACTGTTACAACATTTTGAGTTGATCGATCGAGTTCATGAAGAAAGTTTGTAGGCGCCAGAGGGACCACTTGAGTAGACTGATTTTCGGTCAGACTCGTTCCCTGAAAATAAACTTTTGCAAAAATTGATGAATTGCTGTCTATTTTCTTACATTGCAAATCCAATCAACAATTTCTTCGTCCATAATATTAGTGAATCGAGGAGATGGATGTTCTAGGTCGATAGACATGTCATCTAGGCCATCCTCGCCACTTTGGAACTGCACAGCTCTGAAAAGTAAAAACACTTGTTTTGAAATAAGGATAATACAACTTTTCCGACGTTCCTACTCGAATCTCGAACAACGGCTTCTCCCATCGGAACTTGGTGTCGGGTTTCTCGTATCTCATAAAAAGCTGCCCGATTTGCTCATTTGCATATTTCGAGCTCTCCGGCTTCCGCTCATTGAGCCATCGACATGTGCCTTCTGAAGGAGTGCATTGAATTATGCAATACGTCGTTTTGCTCATTTTGGCGGCGAGAAACAACTCGTATCGATAACCTGGAAAAAAGCGTATTTTTCGTGAATAAAATTGAATTCAAACCTTTAATATAATTTAAAGCATCACAGATAACAACTTTATTCTTCGTCAAGTTTTGTTGAACTTCTGATCGAATCCACGACCTCAAATCCTTCTCCTTGTTCGAACTATCATAGCATTCTCGGTCGAATGATCCATAGTTTTCGTCACGAACAACGAACACTTCTTTTCCTGAAAAATTTTTTGTCACAGATGACAGCTTTTTCAAATATCACCCACCCGCTGCTTCAAACTTTTCGGATAGCCTATCTACTATCGTAGATTTTCCGGAGCTTGGATGTCCCGTGACAACAATCAATGGCATTCGAAATTGTCTCCTAAAATGTTTATTTTTATCGATTTAGACATCACAAGAATAAGAATATACGAGAAGCGGCGGAGAAACATGCAATATAAAAAGGAATAAATAAAGTTATTGAACAGATAAATAATACCAGAGACGATGGAAACGAGAGGAAATTTCGAGAGAAGATTATCCTTCGTAATTGGCTGGTGGCGAGTCGGGTTCCGGAGATGAAGTAGAAGGAGATTCGTGCAGCGGAATTCCAGTGGCCGCTTCCTCATCCAAAAACATGTCGAGCTTGTCGTTGACGGGGCGGACATGAGCAGCCGGATAATCGCTATTCTGTTCCAGTATTCCGCGCACAATCTCCGCTTTCTGTTTTCCCGTGATGATGAAAGCCACGTTTTTGGCGTGATTGATGATGTTCATGGTGAGGGTGACACGGGTTGGCGGTGGCTTCGGAGAGTCAAAGACGGCAGCGACCCAGTTCAAATCGGTGCATTTCTCCAGACGATCTCCAGGGAAGATACTGGCGGTATGACCATCGGGACCAACACCGAGAAGCAGAATATCGAAGCGGGCACAAGAGTTAAACTGATCTGGAAGCAAGTACTTCCGGAGGTTCATCTCGTAGAACTCAGCAGTCATTTGGACATTCTCATATATTGGAACCGGAACTATGACATCACGAAGGTTCTCCGGGAACTTCCGAATGTACTCTCCGTGGTTGCTCTCGGGATCGCCGGTAGCCACATTCCGCTCGTCAACCATAAAAATGCGAATCTTCTTCCAGTTGAGATTTTTGATCGACAGAATAGCGTTCGAGAAAATTGTGATCATGGACCCGCCGGAGACGCCTATTCCAATAGTTCCATTCTGCTCCGAGAGATAGCTTATTCTTTCCGCCAGATATTGCTGCACATTAGCGGTTAATTCAGATTCATCTTTCGAAACATGAACTTTCGGTTTCATCTGGAACAAGAGAAACGGTTAAAGAAACCTAATTGAGTTATTACATTGAGAGAGCCTGTTAAGAGACACATCGTACGTACAGTTCTGTTCTCCAGTAATGTGCTCGAGCTAAAAAAAAAGTCAAAGAAAAAATGAAAGCTGAAAAACATGCTTAAAAGCGGAAAAGAGCAGAAGTTGATTCAAAATTTTTCAAGCAACAATGATTTTTACGACACTTTTTTTCAGGAAGAGATGTTGTATCATCATTTATTAACCTTTTTTTTTTTCTTCCAGTGTATGGAACCTGTGCATGAAAAGTGAAAAAGAAAAAGAGAAAAGGTCAATAAATGATGATAAAACATCTCTTCCTGAAACAAAAGAATACGACGACGCACGAAACGCGAATTATCGAAGCACTCAAAAACATTTTACGACACTCCACTATTACGGCGTCGCCCTTTTTAGCGCGGCGAGAGCGACGAGAGACAGTAGAAAACAGAGACGCAGGAATCCATCTGTGCTTCACACAGAACAAACTGGCATTTTCGGCGCAAAGTCCACAAATTCATCGATTCTATCGCTGAAATGACAGCAAAGATCTTTCAATTTGCTCAAAAACGATGGATTTCGTCGACCACATCCACTTCAAGCATGTACGACTCGCGAGTATTCAGGGAACCAGTTTCTGACATTCAGGAGGTGAGTTTTTCAAGTCTTCCTGTTAAAAGTTTTGAAAGTGTCACGTTTCAGCTTCGTAAACCGCTTGATGCCGACGATGAGCGTAACTTCTTATTTGTCAAAGCTATGAAGAGCGACGCAACGCCGGTTTTTTACAGAGATCAAGTGGTTGGTCATCAGTTCTCGCAAGTTTTTAACTGCAGTTCATGAACTTTTAATTTTCAGATCGATAAACTGATTCGTGTATGCATAAAAGATGGCCAAAAAGAAACTTCTCGCAAGAATGTGCTGAGCGCTCTCGAAACCATCAAAAGACGACAATACAAAGCGTGGGCAAAGGCGACAGATGAAGAGAAGAAGAAAATCGAGCTGGATCCGTTCGCGGTTGCCAGAAAAGGCATTAAAAATTGCCATCCTCTAATGAAACTGCTAGGAGTGACGCGTGGAGGAACCACCTATCAAGTGCCATTTCCAATTGAAGAGCCCGAAGCCGAATTCCGTGCTATGAAAATGATGCGAGACATTTGTAGGCAACGAGCAAAAAAGGGGGAGACACACTTCAAGTGAGTGATTTATCTTACATCTAAAAATAATTCAAAATTGGGCATGCAATTGCTTCCTTGATTCATTCCATAAAGCACGTGTTTCCAGGGACATTCTAGCAACTGAGCTTCTCGCCGCCAGTCAAAACGAAGGAGCCACGATTCAGGCAAAACAAGAGCTGCACAAGACGTGCGAAGCGAATCGCGCCTACGCCCACTATCGTGCCTAATTATGTTTGTAGACATTATTAAGTAGCATAGATTTCCCTTATTTGTCTCCTTTTTGTTGTTGTTTGAATGAACCGCTTAATACTTGCACATTGTTAAATTAAAATTGTTTCTGAAAAGGCTAACCTTTTATTGTTTTTTCATGCTTATTTCATTTCTCATTTTCAATTCAGACTAATTATGGCTGCCAGTCAATCAGCCACAGTTGAGCAGCTCAGCGGCTTCGAGAAGCAGTACTCGTTACAGACTGCAGAGGTGAGTTCATTTCACGAAATTCCACGTGGCCTTCCCTCATTTTTTGTGTATTGCATACTATTCAGGCAGAAATATAAATTTGTGCCCCTTTTCGCAAAAGTTAACGTAGAAATAAACCTTTTTGTTTGTAATTGAACAAATACTGTTAGTTTTTTGTAGATAACTTCAAAAATTGGCCGCGTTCACACGCTTCCTGCTTCTGAGCGTGCATCCGCGGTGCAGGACATTCGAAAGAGTCTGGAAGAGGTCACCGATCTTCTGGATCAGATGGAACTCGTTGTCCGAGAGTTAGAATCGAATACGTGTGTTCCAGCTTTTTAGAAACACAACTTTTTCTTTGAACATTTAGAACTGAGCGCACAAAGTACGAACTCCGTGTTCGCAGCTATCAAAGCGACAAGAAACAACTAGACACCGAATTGGATAAGGCCATCAAGAGAGTTCGAGAAGAGGCGGATCGGGATGAACTTCTGGCGTTCGACGATCAGCTCGATGGGCACCGACAAGAAGATCAGCTGATCGCTAGCACACAGCGTCTCGAGAGAAGCACACGAAAGATCCAAGACGCACACCGCATCGTCGTAGAAACAGAGCAGGTATCAGAAACTTGTTTCAGAACAGGTTGTACACTCTCAATTTTTCAGATTGGCACTGAGATGCTCTCCAACTTGGCCAGCCAACGTGAGACCATCGGAAGATCACGTGATCGTCTTCGTCAGTCGAACGCGGATCTCGGAAGAGCCAACAAGACATTGGGCTCGATGATCCGTCGTGCCATTCAGAATCGTCTTCTTCTTCTCGTTGTAACTTTCCTGCTATCCTTCATGTTCCTCTACATTGTATACAAAGCCATCTAAGCGATCCCTGTCTCTTCCTTCCCGTGTATCAACTATTTCGCCAAATTTTTATGCTGACACGTATATTTGTATAGTTGTGATGCCTTCCTGCTAGTCACACACTTAACCCATTCCTGTCCTCACCTTCCTTTTCATTAATTTACCATAATAAGCTATGAATCCTTCGTCAACGCTTTATATATTTCCCTTGTCAACTTTATTGAGAATGTTGAATCTTCGGTTCAGATTCAAAAGGCACTAATAATAATTGCGAGGGCGTACCGTCCCGTAAGCCATGCATGTCTCATTATTCCTTTCTTTTCCTCCCATTCTACCAATACCATTTATTCCTCACACCTCATTCATTTTCCGAGAAGAAGCCAGCGGAAATGTCACCGCGCTGTCTGCGCCTCGGAAGTTTTCTGAATACTGGTTTCAGAAGCGAAGGGAAAGCGAAACGAAGGTCGTGATGATATCAGACAAATAAGACATCTGCAGATTCTGATGGAGGACTCCGAACTTGCCTTCTATGCATTCAATTGATGAGATAACCTAGCTGGAGTAACCAGTTTCTCCTGAATCCCTAATAAGTTCAAATCTCATTTATGCCGCCAATATCCGATTACAAGCCTATCCGCTCTCACTTTCTGGCACCGTTCCAAACCTTTCGCGCTTGTTCTGTTATGCCTGCCACAATCGGGATTAGCTGACCGGTCCTCCTCCTTCCGATCCCTTCGTCGTCTCCTTCTTTTCCGTCCAGTGTGTTCCACTTCGTCGAGATATTTTTGCGTTTGGCAACGAATCCGCCTCGTTGTAAAATTGACATGAAGACCCCCGCAGTTTTGGCGCTATTTTACGGTTCGTAAACCCTTACTTTCTCTCCCGCTTCTTCTCATTCTTTTGTTTTTCTTTATTCGTTTCCCGCTAACCAGAATTCATGAATTGGATGTGAGTCATAAGCGTTTCCCCAAACCGTACGGTCACGTCATTTTAGTTGCATTCACGGACAGAAAAGGCGCGCTGTTCGCAATCTGGCCGAATTTCTAGGCCGCGAAGTAATTTCCCACTGAAAACGTGGCCTAACTTTTCAAACTCGGCCCCGAGGTCGCTCAATTTGCACTGCAAAAAGAGTTTCTCAACAGAGCGCCATTTCTGTGCGGTGCCCCTATAATATTTGCGTAAAAGCGCGCTTCTGAAAGTGCTGTCTCGAGGACTTTCTGTTCATTGGTTACCGAAGCTGAACGTTCACATTTACCAGGTCATTCACATTCACCTTTCTATGAAACACTCAGAATCGCGAAATGGCATAACACAGTGTCGAGATTATTATCTCTTTTTCCATCTAATTTCGACGCAACAAGAAGAGGAAGAAGCCGTCGCTTGATCGAAAAAAACAGTGAAAGATTGAGAAAGAGCGAGAAGCGCAGAGGCACGAGATTCGCACTTTTTTGGCGAGAGAGAAAGTGGCAGATATTAATTAGTGATCGTTTGAATGAGTTTGAGGACACACAAACCGTGCGAAATTTCTAGATTTTTTTTTCGAAAAGCGAAGCCAGTGAAGAAGGACACACAGACATTCCAGTTGTTCAGTTTGTTTGAAATTTTGGCTGGCTATCAAAGTTGATCATTTCAAGTAAAACTTGGTCTTACTTTATCCATCCCAGAGCATTGGAAGTTAAATACTTTACAGTGAAATTTGAAAAAAATACAAATCCTTCTTTGGGTAAACAACCGTCTCGTCTCGGTCTTTTTGTAACAACCCGCCCTTACTAGATATGAGAATGTTTGTCTCCATGCACTTCATTCATTCATTTCTCCGAAACATTCTTTTTCTTCACTTTCTTCTCTCTTTTTTCTAGCCTTGTTAGCCTAGCCCACCTCTTAAACTGTTTGGTCATAGCTTCCCTTGCCACGTCATCAGCTTGTGCTGTAATTTGTCCTTTGAAACGAAATGCCCTTCTCTTCTCGTCTCGTTTCGTTCCAACACAATACCTGTTCATCGAATAATAATAATTTCTCGAATGTGACTCACCTTCTCGGCCCATTATTACAGCATGGGGGGAGAACAATGGGCTGTCCAAAGGTACTTCTTCTCCTTTTAAATCTTGCCTCCTCTTCGTTCCTCTTATCATTTTTCCTCTTCTGTTTCTAGACGACAAATGCGGGGAAGGCGTCCCATTTTTCTGCTGCTCTTGCTAGTCGGCACCGTCCGTTCTCAGCTGTCCTGTCATCGAATACCGACTTCTTTCTGCTGTACTTCAAGGATTCGCGATCAGTGTCCCGAGCAGTGTGCTACTGTTCAATGCGGATCGGAGTTCATTCACAATTGTAAGCTTCTAAAATATCCATTTATCCTCAACGCTGGTTTGTCTTTACAGTATTCTCCACGGATGGCGCCCGAAAGCCGATCTCGGCAGCTCGTGACGGAAATGCAAATCTAGGTCACGGTGCCTCGTCTCCCGGTCAGTTCGAAACAGTGTTATGTTGTCTGAATGTCTTTAACCTACTCATTTCTCTAGATTCGAATTCGAATTCAGATATGCCCGAAACAGTCGAAAAACCAGACGAATCTCCTCCAGTCCCCTCGTTTTCCTTTCAAACTGCAAACAGTAATGGCGACGCATCCTGGAGTTTGCCGCCGTCCAATTCAGGAGACGCCCGTGTTGGAGGACAGACCACAACTATGGCGTCTTCCGGCGGATTCCCAACGCTCATTCCGTTCTCAAGTGAATCCAACCTCTGGTCTACCGTAACCCAACAACAAACAAACCTTCCGTTGGCTCCTGCTCCTGCTCCTGCTCCTGCTCCGACTCCGATTTCGGAAATTCCACAGGCGCCACGCAGAGATGTATTCAGTTCCGCTTCCTCTCAACCACTAATACTCTCTGCTTTCAGGGACATCGTCGGCGAACCACTCCCGATCCTAGAATAATAAGGCCGCCCGAGTCTTTGGTCGTCATTGGAGACTACGATGAGGATGAGCCTCCGTCCGAGAATGCAGTGGTTGACTCACCTCGTACGTCTTGTTCAGTTTCATTTCAAATTCACCCTCTTCTTTTCTCAACTTTCTCCAACTGAATAGTGCAAATTTTCAGTGCCAATTCCAATTCCAACAACAACACCAGCTCCAGTGATAAGCAATAGCGGAGATGTTTTTGCTCGATCCCGGAAGGAAATCAGTTCAGTTCCAGATGTTGAGCCATCAGGAACGGCTTCTGCGTTGAGGTACGGATTACTGTAGACTTAGAGAAAGGGGTATGAGGAATCATTCGTTGAGTCGGAAAGTGAGTAAATACCTAAATGAAATCGCAGAGACTCTACCGTCTTTTCGCGCCGTTTCGGAGTCTCTCGTAGCTCCGCATTTGCTCATTCTCGAGCGCACAACCGGCTAATCTGCCGCCTCACAACTCCAGGAAGACTCATTTGCAACCGTCCGTCGCCACGTCGGCGCTTCGTCGCGGCGCCACGTCTCTGGCGATCCGATGTTCGCAAGAAGAGCCCGAGGAATCGGAAAAACTTTGCGACGACGAGAATACATATAACTCCGTTTATGGGAGAGTTGGCCAGAAAAAGAAGGAAACTAGATAGGTTCGGATAAGAGCATGAGCACGAGGAAATGCATGGGATACGGTAGCACGGAAAGGCCGCATGACTATTATTAACACTGGCACTACTTGCCCTGCGCTAACTGGTGCTGTCTCTTTTCAGCGGCTCCTCTTCACACGAATGGAAAGTGTCGATTATTCCACGTGGACAGAACAAGCAACCAAATGTCAACTCGATTCCTCCGTTCACAATTGACGGCAAGTCGGACGAACGGTTCAACAAGTTTTATAGAAGTAAAAAGAACGATTATATAGACGAGGTTGAACTGAAAACATTTAGCAATTGACAAAGTGATCAACAAATTAGAATTGACGCCGGGAGGTGGGCTACAAGTGAGAGAAGGTGAACCGCAAATCCGGTTGGAGGTGAGTGGAGAATGAGAAAGTAAAAGTTATCAAGTACGCATTTAGGGAAGCACTAAGGACCTCTCTGCTGTCGATTCGTCAGCGGTGGTCATTGTCTCGCGGACTACTGTAGCTCCGGGAACCACCAACAAAGTGAGTGTGATTCCATTCCGCCCACTACACTTCACTGCTCCTCCTGCTGCTTCTCCTCCTCGAGCTCCTGCCACATCAGGACAATGTGGCGTGGCTCCTGACTTCACGCCATGTGTTAGCAACGACATCGCAAGCAAGTCACTTTTGGAATGCTGTCAGAGAAAGAAACTGCCTCCGGGATGTCAACAACTGTGTCGTTATGATATAACACAAACTGAAGTGAGCTACAGACGACGTCTTCATTTCTTTTCAATTCGTGCATTTCTGCAGATTCGCGCAGCTATGGATCGAGGTCAGTGCGGAATCTTCAACGTGGCACCATTCTTAGAATGCGCTTCACAGGGAAAAGACAATTCGGAATGTTGCAGACATCGAGGAATTGTTCAGAAGACGTGAGCAACTTCAATATTATTCGTTTCGAAGAAACTCTTTTCTTTTCAGCGGGCCGCAATGCGAACAGTTCTGCCGGCCGACTCAAGGGCTCTCGGCTCTCGGAGTTCAGCACATTGTATGCGGAAATGCCGTTGGAGACATGCTTCACTGCCATCATTCGGGTGTTCGAGTGTGATTATCTTAAAACTATGCCACTTTTCTGTAAATTTGCCCCAAACTGTTCTGCCATAATTTGCTCTTTTTTTACATTTCCCCCTCAAGAATCTAGTCAGGTATTTGTTATTTTCGTACTGCTTCCATTATAAGTGTGATCTCATAAAATGCATAAATACTTTACAAATGTATGTTCTCGGTTTTTGTATAAATAGTAATTGAAAATGTGTGCATTTTCTCAAGAAATTCCCGGTGCTATGGAAACGTGCCGTCACGCCCACGAAGGTATATAAAGTCGAAACGACATTTGCACCGTCTCGTGCGGCCTTGAGAGAGCCCTGAAAAAGGCTCGAAAGGTTGTCCTGAAAAGGATTATCTTATCTGATAAGGCCTGAGAGAGCCCTGAAAAAGGCTCGGAAGGTTGTCCTGAAAAGGATTATCTTATCTGATAAGGCCTGAGAGAGCCCTGAAAAACGCTCGGAAGGTTGTCCTGAAAAGGATTATCTTATCTGATAAGGCCTGAGAGAGCCCTGAAAAAGGCCCGGAAGGTTGTCCTGAAAAGGATTATCTTATCTGATAAGGCCTGAGAGAGCCCTGAAAAACGCTCGGAAGGTTGTCCTGAAAAGGATAATCTTATCTGATAAGGCCTGAGAGAGCCCTGAAAAACGCTCGGAAGGTTGTCCTGAAAAGGATTATCTTATCTGATAAGGCCTGAGAGAGCCCTGAAAAAGGCTCGGAAGGTTGTCCTGAAAAGGATAATCTTATCTGATAAGGCCTGAGAGAGCCCTGAAAAAGGCTCGGAAGGTTGTCCTGAAAAGGATTATCTTATCTGATAAGGCCTGAGAGAGCCCTGAAAAAGGCTCGAAAGGTTGTCCTGAAAAGGATAATCTTATCTGATAAGGCCTGAGAGAGCCCTGAAAAAGGCTCGGAAGGTTGTCCTGAAAAGGATTATCTTATCTGATAAGGCCTGAGAGAGCCCTGAAAAAGGCTCGAAAGGTTGTCCTGAAAAGGATTATCTTATCTGATAAGGCCTGAGAGAGCCCTGAAAAACGCTCGGAAGGTTGTCCTGAAAAGGATTATCTTATCTGATAAGGCCTGAGAGAGCCCTGAAAAACGCTCGGAAGGTTGTCCTGAAAAGGATTATCTTATCTGATAAGGCCTGAGAGAGCCCTGAAAAACGCTCGGAAGGTTGTCCTGAAAAGGATAATCTTATCTGATAAGGCCTGAGAGAGCCCTGAAAAACGCTCGGAAGGTTGTCCTGAAAAGGATAATCTTATCTGATAAGGCCTGAGAGAGCCCTGAAAAACGCTCGGAAGGTTGTCCTGAAAAGGATAATCTTATCTGATAAGGCCTGAGAGAGCCCTGAAAAACGCTCGGAAGGTTGTCCTGAAAAGGATTATCTTATCTGATAAGGCCTGAGAGAGCCCTGAAAAAGGCCCGGAAGGTTGTCCTGAAAAGGATTATCTTATCTGATAAGGCCTGAGAGAGCCCTGAAAAACGCTCGGAAGGTTGTCCTGAAAAGGATTATCTTATCTGATAAGGCCTGAGAGAGCCCTGAAAAACGCTCGGAAGGTTGTCCTGAAAAGGATTATCTTATCTGATAAGGCCTGAGAGAGCCCTGAAAAACGCTCGGAAGGTTGTCCTGAAAAGGATAATCTTATCTGATAAGGCCTGAGAGAGCCCTGAAAAACGCTCGGAAGGTTGTCCTGAAAAGGATAATCTTATCTGATAAGGCCTGAGAGAGCCCTGAAAAAAAACGCTCGGAAGGTTGTCCTGAAAAGGATAATCTTATCTGATAAGGCCTGAGAGAGCCCTGAAAAAAACGCTCGGAAGGTTGTCCTGAAAAAGGATTATCTTATCTGATAAGGCCTGAGAGAGCCCTGAAAAAAAGGCCCGGAAGGTTGTCCTGAAAAAGGATTATCTTATCTGATAAGGCCTGAGAGAGCCCTGAAAAACGCTCGGAAGGTTGCCCTGAAAAGGATTATCTTATCTGATAAGGCCTGAGAGAGCCCTGAAAAACGCTCGGAAGGTTGTCCTGAAAAGGATTATCTTATCTGATAAGGCCTGAGAGAGCCCTGAAAAACGCTCGGAAGGTTGTCCTGAAAAGGATAATCTTATCTGATAAGGCCTGAGAGAGCCCTGAAAAACGCTCGGAAGGTTGTCCTGAAAAGGATTATCTTATCTGATAAGGCCTGAGAGAGCCCTGAAAAACGCTCGGAAGGTTGTCCTGAAAAGGATTATCTTATCTGATAAGGCCTGAGAGAGCCCTGAAAAAGGCTCGGAAGGTTGTCCTGAAAAGGATAATCTTATCTGATAAGGCCTGAGAGAGCCCTGAAAAACGCTCGGAAGGTTGTCCTGAAAAGGATTATCTTATCTGATAAGGCCTGAGAGAGCCCTGAAAAACGCTCGGAAGGTTGTCCTGAAAAGGATTATCTTATCTGATAAGGCCTGAGAGAGCCCTGAAAAAGGCCCGGAAGGTTGTCCTGAAAAGGATTATCTTATCTGATAAGGCCTGAGAGAGCCCTGAAAAAAACGCTCGGAAGGTTGTCCTGAAAAAGGATTATCTTATCTGATAAGGCCTGAGAGAGCCCTGAAAAAAACGCTCGGAAGGTTGTCCTGAAAAGGATAATCTTATCTGATAAGGCCTGAGAGAGCCCTGAAAAACGCTCGGAAGGTTGTCCTGAAAAGGATTATCTTATCTGATAAGGCCTGAGAGAGCCCTGAAAAAGGCCCGGAAGGTTGTCCTGAAAAGGATTATCTTATCTGATAAGGCCTGAGAGAGCCCTGAAAAACGCTCGGAAGGTTGTCCTGAAAAGGATTATCTTATCTGATAAGGCCTGAGAGAGCCCTGAAAAAAAGGCTCGGAAGGTTGCCCTGAAAAAGGATTATCTTATCTGATAAGGCCTGAGAGAGCCCTGAAAAAAACGCTCGGAAGGTTGTCCTGAAAAGGATTATCTTATCTGATAAGGCCTGAGAGAGCCCTGAAAAAAACGCTCGGAAGGTTGTCCTGAAAAGGATAATCTTATCTGATAAGGCCTGAGAGAGCCCTGAAAAACGCTCGGAAGGTTGTCCTGAAAAGGATTATCTTATCTGATAAGGCCTGAGAGAGCCCTGAAAAAGGCTCGGAAGGTTGCCCTGAAAAGGATTATCTTATCTGATAAGGCCTGAGAGAGCCCTGAAAAAGGCCCGGAAGGTTGTCCTGAAAAGGATTATCTTATCTGATAAGGCCTGAGAGAGCCCTGAAAAACGCTCGGAAGGTTGTCCTGAAAAGGATTATCTTATCTGATAAGGCCTGAGAGAGCCCTGAAAAAAAGGCTCGGAAGGTTGCCCTGAAAAAGGATTATCTTATCTGATAAGGCCTGAGAGAGCCCTGAAAAAAAGGCCCGGAAGGTTGTCCTGAAAAAGGATAATCTTATCTGATAAGGCCTGAGAGAGCCCTGAAAAAAACGCTCGGAAGGTTGTCCTGAAAAGGATTATCTTATCTGATAAGGCCTGAGAGAGCCCTGAAAAAAAGGCTCGGAAGGTTGCCCTGAAAAGGATTATCTTATCTGATAAGGCCTGAGAGAGCCCTGAAAAAAACGCTCGGAAGGTTGTCCTGAAAAGGATTATCTTATCTGATAAGGCCTGAGAGAGCCCTGAAAAAGGCCCGGAAGGTTGTCCTGAAAAGGATAATCTTATCTGATAAGGCCTGAGAGAGCCCTGAAAAAGGCCCGGAAGGTTGTCCTGAAAAGGATAATCTTATCTGATAAGGCCTGAGAGAGCCCTGAAAAAGGCCCGGAAGGTTGTCCTGAAAAGGATAATCTTATCTGATAAGGCCTGAGAGAGCCCTGAAAAACGCTCGGAAGGTTGTCCTGAAAAGGATTATCTTATCTGATAAGGCCTGAGAGAGCCCTGAAAAACGCTCGGAAGGTTGCCCTGAAAAGGATTATCTTATCTGATAAGGCCTGAGAGAGCCCTGAAAAACGCTCGGAAGGTTGTCCTGAAAAGGATTATCTTATCTGATAAGGCCTGAGAGAGCCCTGAAAAAGGCCCGGAAGGTTGTCCTGAAAAGGATAATCTTATCTGATAAGGCCTGAGAGAGCCCTGAAAAAGGCCCGGAAGGTTGTCCTGAAAAGGATAATCTTATCTGATAAGGCCTGAGAGAGCCCTGAAAAAGGCCCGGAAGGTTGTCCTGAAAAGGATAATCTTATCTGATAAGGCCTGAGAGAGCCCTGAAAAACGCTCGGAAGGTTGTCCTGAAAAGGATTATCTTATCTGATAAGGCCTGAGAGAGCCCTGAAAAAGGCCCGGAAGGTTGTCCTGAAAAGGATAATCTTATCTGATAAGGCCTGAGAGAGCCCTGAAAAACGCTCGGAAGGTTGTCCTGAAAAGGATTATCTTATCTGATAAGGCCTGAGAGAGCCCTGAAAAAGGCCCGGAAGGTTGTCCTGAAAAGGATAATCTTATCTGATAAGGCCTGAGAGAGCCCTGAAAAAAACGCTCGGAAGGTTGTCCTGAAAAGGATTATCTTATCTGATAAGGCCTGAGAGAGCCCTGAAAAACGCTCGGAAGGTTGTCCTGAAAAGGATTATCTTATCTGATAAGGCCTGAGAGAGCCCTGAAAAAGGCTCGGAAGGTTGTCCTGAAAAGGATTATCTTATCTGATAAGGCCTGAGAGAGCCCTGAAAAACGCTCGGAAGGTTGTCCTGAAAAGGATTATCTTATCTGATAAGGCCTGAGAGAGCCCTGAAAAACGCTCGGAAGGTTGTCCTGAAAAGGATTATCTTATCTGATAAGGCCTGAGAGAGCCCTGAAAAAGGCTCGAAAGGTTGCCCTGAAAAGGATTATCTTATCTGATAAGGCCTGAGAGAGCCCTGAAAAAGGCTCGGAAGGTTGTCCTGAAAAGGATTATCTTATCTGATAAGGCCTGAGAGAGCCCTGAAAAAGGCTCGAAAGGTTGTCCTGAAAAGGATTATCTTATCTGATAAGGCCTGAGAGAGCCCTGAAAAAGGCTCGAAAGGTTGTCCTGAAAAGGATTATCTTATCTGATAAGGCCTGAGAGAGCCCTGAAAAAGGCTCGAAAGGTTGTCCTGAAAAGGATTATCTTATCTGATAAGGCCTGAGAGAGCCCTGAAAAAGGCTCGAAAGGTTGTCCTGAAAAGGATTATCTTATCTGATAAGGCCTGAGAGAGCCCTGAAAAAAAGGCTCGAAAGGTTGTCCTGAAAAAGGATTATCTTATCTGATAAGGCCTGAGAGAGCCCTGAAAAACGCTCGGAAGGTTGTCCTGAAAAGGATTATCTTATCTGATAAGGCCTGAGAGAGCCCTGAAAAAAAGGCTCGAAAGGTTGTCCTGAAAAAGGATTATCTTATCTGATAAGGCCTGAGAGAGCCCTGAAAAAAACGCTCGGAAGGTTGTCCTGAAAAGGATTATCTTATCTGATAAGGCCTGAGAGAGCCCTGAAAAAAACGCTCGGAAGGTTGTCCTGAAAAGGATTATCTTATCTGATAAGGCCTGAGAGAGCCCTGAAAAAAACGCTCGGAAGGTTGTCCTGAAAAAGGATTATCTTATCTGATAAGGCCTGAGAGAGCCCTGAAAAAAACGCTCGGAAGGTTGTCCTGAAAAGGATTATCTTATCTGATAAGGCCTGAGAGAGCCCTGAAAAAAACGCTCGGAAGGTTGTCCTGAAAAGGATTATCTTATCTGATAAGGCCTGAGAGAGCCCTGAAAAACGCTCGGAAGGTTGTCCTGAAAAGGATTATCTTATCTGATAAGGCCTGAGAGAGCCCTGAAAAACGCTCGGAAGGTTGTCCTGAAAAGGATTATCTTATCTGATAAGGCCTGAGAGAGCCCTGAAAAACGCTCGGAAGGTTGTCCTGAAAAGGATTATCTTATCTGATAAGGCCTGAGAGAGCCCTGAAAAAGGCTCGGAAGGTTGTCCTGAAAAGGATTATCTTATCTGATAAGGCCTGAGAGAGCCCTGAAAAACGCTCGGAAGGTTGTCCTGAAAAGGATTATCTTATCTGATAAGGCCTGAGAGAGCCCTGAAAAAGGCTCGGAAGGTTGTCCTGAAAAGGATTATCTTATCTGATAAGGCCTGAGAGAGCCCTGAAAAAGGCTCGGAAGGTTGTCCTGAAAAGGATTATCTTATCTGATAAGGCCTGAGAGAGCCCTGAAAAAGGCTCGGAAGGTTGTCCTGAAAAGGATTATCTTATCTGATAAGGCCTGAGAGAGCCCTGAAAAAGGCTCGGAAGGTTGTCCTGAAAAGGATTATCTTATCTGATAAGGCCTGAGAGAGCCCTGAAAAAGGCCCGGAAGGTTGTCCTGAAAAGGATTATCTTATCTGATAAGGCCTGAGAGAGCCCTGAAAAAGGCCCGGAAGGTTGTCCTGAAAAGGGTTATCTCATCTGATAAGGCCTGAGAGAGCCCTGAAAAAGGCTCGGAAGGTTGTCCTGAAAAGGATTATCTTATCTGATAAGGCCTGAGAGAGCACTGAAAAAGGAAAAAAAAATTCACTATCAGCTTAGTTCGAAAACGCTTCTTCTGCATCCGAATAATGTTCTCTCTCACGTTGATAATTTATTTTTGGTTAATTTCTGCAATATTTATTTTATCTGTCAAATATAAATTTCTATAAACTCCCAGAATTTAATTGAAAAAAAATATATTTTTTACTGCCGTGGCGCCACTTTGAGTTCAAAGGCGCATGCAGTTTCGCAGTTCGTTTTGAACTACACTCGGAAAATTGTTTCGCAGATTCTTTTCCCAAAAAGTTAATTTTCCACGCTTCTCGTACATATTTTTGCCCTTTATGCGCTATTAAATTTTTCCGCTCGAATAGATTTTGAATTTTTCCGACGACTGTTAAAAAGCAAATTTACCAATTGTGTGGCTTTTTTGAGACAGTAAATTGTGCACAATTTGTGCACAATTACTGTGGGACAATTCAATTGAGGCTTTTAACTCAAATAATATCGCAATTTAGTGTCCTAGACCGCTAATCAGAGCGGTCAAAATTTGAAATTTAAAAACTCAAGCGGAAATGTTCGTTCCGCTTTTTTGGAATCCGCGATTTTTTGGGCTTTCCGCTATTTTGTCTCCATCTCCAATTCTCTTATCGCTTTTCTCACCTTTATTGAAATTTGTACAATTCTCTCAAAGTTGCCTACCATTTTCCACCTTCATTTATGTCCTGATGCTATTAATTTAAAGTTGCTTACACATCGATTTTGTTTTCGAATATAACAGCCGAAGATTAGATTCGGCAGAATAGTTTACAATCGAAAAAAGTTTAACACTCATTATTTGTGATTAGTGAACAATCCCTGAAGTACTAGTTCACGGGCGCCGAAATATTTTTTGATTCACTTCATAATTTTTAGGGAGGCAGCTCAGGCTCAACATGGCCGACGACTATTGTACAGATCAGTTCAAAGCTACACAATTGGTAAATTCTCTTTTCACAGTCGTTCAAAAGTTTCAAAAATTGTTTTCAGTTCGACGAAATAACATGGCACTTACGAGCACACTTGCCAGTAAAAACGAACAGAAAAGATATAGTACTGACGGCGGAGCAAAGCTTCTTTGGCAAAGAGGCTCTTGAGTTTTTGATTGCCGAAATGCCGCGCATTGTGCCGGAAAAAGTGCCAACAAAGTAAGTTTTCTCTACCTCTCTAAATGTTAATTCTGATTTGCAGAGAAAACATGGAGAAGTTTCTTGATATGATGCTCGAATGGAAAGTGATTGCAGAAGCGTTTCCGAAAAAACCTCCGAGGAAGCGAGCATTCAACGAGACTAGGCTATACAAATTCGCCAAAACTCTTGATGAGCTGAAGAAGCCGAAGCCACGCTCCCGAAGATCGGCCTCATTCAGTGGCGCCAGGAAAAGCGCAAAGTGAGCCTGAAAAGTTTGTCATTGTTCATTTTTCCACGAAATCTACAGAGTTGCCCGCCCGATGTCCCCAGCAGCTACTATGCACAGAATGCCAAAGAGTTCAATGAATAGACGGTTGTCCAGATCAAATGGAAATGTGGATAAAGCTGGAGTTGAGCCGAATCCGGATCCACGTGGCGTTGAGAATCACGGCTTCGAAGACCGGAAGGAAGATCCGCCGCCACCACCACCAGTTCGCCAGAGAGCCCCGAAAATTCTGAACAGATCCCTGGAGAGCATTTGTGTCGATAATGAGCCAGAAGAAATGTCAACAAAAGAGAAAGTGTACGACTGGCTGCCTTTTTTCAAGTCAAAACGAGCTGCGCATAAGTCTCATCAGCCGACAAGAAGATCGGTTTCTCTCGACCGAAATCATTGTGTTGTGCAGCAAGAAGCGCAAGCGCTAGCTCAAGCTCAAGCTAAAGCACAACTGCAGAGCCAAGGTCTCAAGAAAGTTAACACACCGCCCACCCGAGAAGCTTCCACCGAAGTGTTCTTACATCCAAAAGGACCGTTGCAACCTGAAGTTCCCTTGAGACAATATCAAAATCACAGGAACAGCCTTGTCGCGCCGTCAATTCTTTTAGCCAGGGGAAGAATGTACGAATCGATTATGAGACGATCCTCAGTCGCACCGATAGAAGAGCGAACCGTGCACAAAAATGCTGATGTTTGGAAGAATGAATTGCTGGTACAACTGGGAAAACATTTCGATACACCACTGCCTCTAGAATGGACGGCCAAGTTGGATAGCAATGAAATTGCGTGGAATTCACAAGAGATTGACCCGAAAGACGGACTGGTCAGGTCAAAATGGACTGGGTCACAACAAGAATATCCGCCCAACATCATTCAATTCATGGACTATTTGGGACGATATCCGTTTGCAATGCCCAAGAAGAATTCATTCGTACAGGAGCCAAATGTGATTGGAATGTTCTCGACTCTAGTCAACCGGCTTGAAGATTTGCACGCTCCCCTTTATCCCGATGAATGCGTTTTGCTTGTCGAACTATTGAGCAAAGTGGACAGATTCGCAGTGATGCTGGGATCGGGAGCAGTGAGACGATGGTCACGTGTGATGTCATACGATTCGGCATCGAGCATTGAGGAGGCTGGACTCATGGCCGACGGATTCGCGCGGGAGTTGCCACAGTGCGCAGCGCGGGCCTCGAAGCATCGGAGACGCGCTCTCTCGCCGTACAATGACAGAATTAGCATTTCTATTCAAGGTAACCGCAATAGAGCGTTCAAAATAACTATGTGCGTTTTAGACGAAAAAGTATACAAGATCCGAGAGCCGTGGCTAATCGAGGCCATTCAGCTGATTCTGATTTCTCTTCCAACAGCTCGTCGCCGCAAGTTGCACAAGTTCATGCAGTTTATCAAATCAGTCGCTACGAATGAAGTGTTCGACATTGCTGACCCGTCGAACGGATCTTCCACAAATAGAGAAGCAGTCAGTCTTTCCTATTTTTCTTGTCTATAGTCCGTTTCTCATTTCAGGCGATAATCGGCCTCTGGACAGGAGTATGCGGTGGATTCCGAAAGAATGCCGGATTGTGTATTACAGCCGTGCTGTTAGCCAATCACCGGTCGTTATTCGCTGTGCCGTTCGAGCTCTCCGAACGAGTTCATTATCTTGAGCAGCGAGTGGAAGACCGATCGAGGTACGAAAAGGCCAGTCGTGGACGAAGAGGTCGCCAACAAGTGATGCCGGAAGTCTCCGAAATTCCGGTAATTCCAAAGAGAAACGAGAAGGAAAAAAAGGGACTGTTCACGAGATTGCTCCGAAAGTAACTATACATGTACTTATATATTTTATTTATCTTGTTCCCTTCTGAAATTTTCCGACGCAGATTGTACTCTAATTGCAGCAATTTCTTTGTACCATGATAAACTGCCAGTGTATTTTGTGAAAGCGTTCTGGATAAAAAACAAAATGTAGTGAATGCGGTCCTGGGCATTCCACGAGAGAGCATCAGAGAATTCTGTTCAGAATAAAAAACAATATTACAAACTGTCGGTGGCATGGGAGGGCAAGATGATTACTTTAATTTCAGGATTAGTTGGCCGGGTCCTTCCACTTGCAGTGGTTTTCCACAGTTGTTTTCCTATCTTCCGGAATGCGTGACCCCCAGCTCCCCTCCCCTTTTAATGCTTCGCCAGTTCATTCATTTCTGCGTTTATTCCTCAGTATTTGGTGAACAAGAAGAAAAAGAACGAATTGTTCTCGTCGTTGCGAAACGGAAACCACGATGGATTGTGTCAATTGCGAGTGCACTGTGAAGACGATGGACAACCTGGAAGGTGCGATCCGCGCTCTCATGCAACGTGGAAAACACGTGAATCGGATGATGGACAACGAGAAGCTCATCAGAGAGGCGAAAAAGATGGAGGAGGTGGCCGAGTTGAAGAAGACGCTTCCGACGAGCCAGATTGTCGTGGAGACTGAGCCGGAGGAGGAGTCCACTGTGGTCAACTCGGATCGCGAGAAGAAGAGACGACTCATCTACAACAAAAGACTCCGAGCCGCCGAGTCAATCGATTTCGACATTCCGTCGCTGAACTATGAGACCTCGGTGGGTTTTGGCTTCAAGAACCAGGAGAAGAGTAACATTTCAGAGCTCTTACCAACCGACCACCTCTGCGGTGATCTCTATCCCCGAGAAGACGTGCCCTTCTTCGTTGTACACCAAGTCGCACACCGTCACCACCGAGATGACTCATTCGGTAAGCATATAACCTAATCGTTGCCAGTTAAGCCAATAAATCTCAGACATACAAGAAATCGAAAAGTGGAATCCTGGCGCTCAACGATCATTACGTGGTCGACAAAGACGGAAGATCGGAGAAGTTGCCGTTGAAGGCGTACGTGAAGCAGCGCTCGGACGGATCTCTCGACGTTTCGTTAGTCTTCTTCGATGAGAACGGCGAGAAGGCCATGGAGATTTCGATGAACGCGTACGAGAAGAAGGTGCAGAATGTGTTGTTCTGTGGAAAGAGCGTCAAATCGGTCGATTGAATTATTAAGTGTTCGGCAATAAATTTGATTGAAAATAAGCCATTTCAAGTCGATGTCTGAGAAAATCAAAATACTTGTATTACTACAGGTCACTAAAAATTCAGATTGATCCTATTCGTCCCATATATACCTAATAGGTAACCCCATGGCACTGATAGCCAAGAAAAATATTAGATCCGGCTCCGCGAGCCCTGGCCTGAGCACTGGCTCCAAATGTGTCAAAACTGTAACTTTGTTCAAAAAAATCCTAGCGACTCAAACTCAACGCCATCGCATTCCGGGACCAAACATTTAGTACCCCTCCTTCATGGAGAAAAAAATTGTTTTGTGACATTTTTCAGATAATCTTTCAGTTTTCTGCTCGTCCTGAAAAATTTTAACACTACACAGCCATGATTTTATTGCTGATTCTGAATCTAGACATTATTTTGCTTCTGCAAAAAAAAAGTTCACCCCGATGCCCGATTGACGTTCGGGGGTTTTTAGGCCGAAATTCACAAAATTCGGAGTACTTTTGCAGGGAAAAATGTTCGCGAACTTGAGAAAAGCGCGTTTTCTGAATTTTCAAAGGGGTCTGATCGCGATTTTTGTTGTTTTCGTATACTTTTAGGCATTATCGATTTTTTGGAAGCATTTGCCATGGCGGACAGGGACAAATAGGATCAATCTAAATTTTTATTGACCTGGAGATTTCGAACTTCTCAGACATTGCGTTTCATAATGGGGCTATTCAGCGTATGTTTGTTTTCCGTTTTTTTTTTCGTTTTTTTACACCGCTGAATTGGGTTTTTTGACGTAAAAAAACGGAAATTTTTTTTTTTCACAGCCTGAATAACACCATAAGAAAGCAACGATTTAAGAAGTAAGCGAGCTGCTGGGCACGGAGAACACACTGAGAATCTGAAGACGTCCTGGTTTTTGAGAAGGAACTCGGGACCATTGATCGTTGAGCGTTTGGAAATAAAGGTCCTTTTCGTCTTTTCTTAGCTCCGGCAGCATCGATCCGATCCGCTTTTTCTTCTTCTCCATGTACATCATCGCCAACCAGAGAGACGACACGAGGAGAGTGTACACGGGAAAGACCTTAAACGTTTTGACCATTTCCGGTGAAAACTCCCCAGCTTCTCACATTCTGAACCATTTCGTGAAATTGTCTGATTTCCACCTCCGAATCTAATGATAAATCGATGTAATACGGAGATGCAGTATACCAGCAAAAAGCCAAAAAAGTCAAAAATGACAATGGGAGTATTAAATGTAACACCCGCAAGTTCTGATTGATTTGGAATTCAATAGCCAGCGAGTAGGACTTCCTGAAAAACTTAGACTGCCAATTTCGCACCTACACACTTTGACCTACTTTCTGAGTTTGCATTTGTTGAACAAGAGAATAAGTATTGTGTAGAGCAGGGAAAGCATGCTCAGAACGGTGAGTACGTTCATCAATTCCGTCGGGACCATGATGTGCTTATCGTAGACGCAATGAGTACAAGTTCTGTCGTAAATGTCTATCCAATGATACCACATTGAATAGAACACGGAAAATGTCACCTGGAAAGGTTTGGATTACAGTAGACAGTGGTCCAGTGTTTAGTAGAGCTTACAACAAGAAACGAAAGTAGTCGACCCAGAGATCCTCTCTGATTCTCGTAACCTCTGCCCAAGTTCCGTGTGGCGACAGTACGCTCGACCGTAATTGCAAAGAGCAAAAGTGAGAACACTGAAAGTACAGTAATCCAAATAGTGTTAGACACAATTCGAATAGCCTACTTATCACGCATGTGGTAATAATTAGCCGAAAACCAAAACACAACCGGCAGGAGATAAGAAGTTCGCAATTCTCATAGGAAAGAGCCGTCAAGATGTGATATATCTGGAAAAAGCCACGTCATCAGCACATTGTATTTGAATGAATACCTGAGCGGTGCCCAATGCAAAGCCATACATCAGAACTGCGGCGTGATACGTCTTCAGAAGAACTTTCACGTTTGGATGGAAGTAAGCTTGCTGTTGAATTGCTCGCGCGCCAATGATTAGCGAGGCGGAAGTATATGCGAAAAGGAACTGAAACAATGGATACTAGTGAGCTACTGAAATTGCTTTAGTACCTGTGCAATTTGTGTGAGTACAATCGGAGAATATCTTTGTACATATTCAATTGTATCGCAGTTGATTCCGGCCACAATTGTTCCAGTTCCATTGGCGCTTGGAATTAGAGCAGAAGTCTGCATGCAATTCTCTGAAAATGTGTTAACTAGAAGGTTGATAACAATTATAGTTATTAGCAAAGAGAACCGTTGGGAGCATCAATTCCCTTTTATTGAGAGACAGTTCAAGAAAGTACAACTGTGTGCGTCTATACTTAGAAGAGCTAGTTGACGTAGGTGTCAAACTTTCCAAGAATCTTGCGAGTCGATCTCGTTTTCGCCTCTATTGTATGTTTAAAAGAAGGAAGGAGGGTGAAGTGAGAATCAGAAAATCATCGAACACGTACGCACATTGTCGACATTTAAATTACGAGCTATTTACAAGTGCAAAATTAGAAAAAGTCTATCTGAGAGCAGCGAAACGCGTGCAACGACGGCGAATTCGCTCACGCACACTCTTTTGGTTTGTCTCCAAACTTCCGTGGTGTCCCTCAAAATAATTAAATTTCGTTCGTGCGTGTTTTCCGTGTGATCAATGCACCAGATGAGGCCGATCTGAACTTTTTGCTTCCGATTTACTCCGCCTAGATAGGGTAGAGTTGGAAATGAAATGTCAGGGCGCCATTTGAAAAGAGGGAATGAAAAGAGGGATGTGTGGGGTGTGGAAAATTGGATGTTTTGCTTTCTTGCGGTTAAAAGAGGAAGCGGTAATTTGAGGCCTTCAGAATAAATGAAACGAAAGAGGAAGAATCATTATTCGTGAAGGAATATGTGTGATATTCACAACAACTGACCCTGCGGTCGATATCAAAACAGAAAGTGAGTCACCCAATTTGAATACCAATTGAAACTCACGCGTGTCTGAGGTTTGTCTGTGCTTGGAATCGCTTAGAAATCACTTGGGAAAGTAAAGTGGCTCGCTGATCTATGCGCTAACGCTTGTTTTTCTTCCCCATTCACAGCATACGATAACTATTTATTTTTAGCGGACCGTAGCCACAGGAAATGTGAAAAAAAAACGGAAAATAATAATATTATTAGTTCTGTACAGTAAGGTTGTTATGTGAGAAGGAGAAAAATTTCAAAGTGAAGCTCACTATCAATTGACCTTGTAAAGCATACGTAGGAGTGAAAATTGTGAAGCTGTAACTTTTCTCAGAAACCTCTGACCTGGCTCATTTTGAAGAACCCAGTAAAATTGAAGTCTTATCAAAAAATCAGAGGTCCCTATGTTCGATTTTTGAAGATATATTGAAAAAACCAAAAGTCCTATGTATGAAAAGCCGGGCCGTGGCATATGAATAGCTCTAATTTCCGCAGAAAAGCCGAGCGAATCAAAAAGAGGCAGAGCTCACAAATATACATTTGTGGCACATTCCTGAACGCCATTAGAGCTACAATCCAGGCAAGGAAATGAAGGAAGAGAAAAGGCGGAAGAAGGAGCACAAATTGCTCACCAGTCCTCACTAATTGCTCCATTTTCCGGCATATTCAATGAGAGTAACTATCGTAGTGTTTGCACCAGTTTTATAGCGAAGATCAGCTTTTGTCTTTGCAGACGGTCATTCCATGTGGGGCTACTCAAACTTGTCTAAATGCAAAGAATTTACGATTTTTAAAAAATTTTTATTTTTACGAGATTGTTCGAAAAACAATCACTGAGAGGAGACAAATAAATTAGACAACGACTCTTCTGTCCCATGCCAACTTATGTTACGAAGGGAAGGGGTGGGGGGATGTGGTAAAACAAAACAAGGGGCAATTCATAAATATATGTATTCTGGGGGAAACTTAATTAGACGATTGATGGCAAACCCGATATGCGATGAGTTATTGCCCGATTCAGCTCTAATTATCGCATATTTTGTACAACCCTCTCAGGTTTCACAGAGCTGAATGGACACATCAACAAGAAATAAATAATACATCAATTAAAAGAACATGGCAGCGACTCCTCCCATCTCCTGTTGCTCCTTGACAAAGATCTCGAAGTACTGGTAGATGATGGTGACGGCAAGGAGGATTCCAGTTCCGGATCCGATGGCTCCCATGAAGTCAGCGGTGACGGAAAGGGCGCCGATGCAGAGTCCTCCGAATGCGGCGGCGGTCGGGATGTATCGGTTGAGTTCGTGGATCATGGACTTCTCACGATGTCCGCGCATGACCATCTGTTGCTCCTTTAGTTGCTTAGCGACATCCTTGGCGGAAGATCCAGACACATCAATCCAGGTCTTGGAGAAGAAGGCGCACGATCCGAGCATGAAGACGATGTAGATGATGCAGTGGATTGGGTCTTCGAAGATGTGTCCGAGAGACTCTGGTGGCGAGAGGTAGTAGCAGATTCCTGGAATCAAAATAAATAGTTATGAAAACACTACAATACTATTTACCTCCAGTTGGGTAACTTCTGTATCCTCCGTTGCTGTCAGACCAGGTTCCGAGAATGTTAATGAAGAAGTTTCCTCCGAATTTTCCGGCAAGCATCTAAAGAAATACGATTTTGCGGAGATAAAGAACAATCAAGGACAAACCTGTGAGATGACGTAGAGGTTGGACACAAGAGCGGATTGAAGGATGATCGGGATGTTCGAGGTGTAGAAGAGCTTGATTGGGTAGCTACTGTATTGTCCACGGTAGCGGGCCGACTTGATTGGGAGATCGACACGGAATCCTTGGAAGTAGATAACAACAGCGAAAACGAGGAAGGTGGCCATCAGATTCATCAAGTTCGGGAGGTTCTGGCGGTAGAAGGCTTCGCGGAGAGCACGGACCTTGTCGGAACGGGTGGCGAGGAGGTGGAAGAGAGCAATGACGGCTCCTTCGAACTCGGTTCCACGTCCGGTGTTGATGGTTGCAGGAGAGAATGCCTTCCAGACGATGGTCTCGCAGATGTTGGTGGCAATGAAGAGCGAAATTCCAGATCCCAGTCCGTATCCCTTTTGGAGGAGCTCGTCGAGAAGAAGGACGATAAGACCGGCAATAACAAGCTGAACGACGATGAGAAGACAGATTCCGGCTCCAATATCGGATGGATCTCCGTAAAGTCCAGACATCACGTAGACGATTGCTTGTCCGACAGTGATGACCATTCCGAACACTGTAAAGAATAGAGTGAAATGTCTGAAATCAATACTGGTTTAACTTACGCTTTTGGGCTCCGTTGAAGAGGGCACGATCTTTCGGCGTGTCTCCGACCTCAATGATCTTGGCTCCAGCGAGAAGTTGCATGATAAGTCCAGAGGTGACAATTGGCGAGATTCCGAGCTCCATAAGGGTTCCACGGTTGGACGCCATAATCACACGAAGCCAGTAGAACGGATCAGCAGAGTCTGTTGACATGATTCCGAAGAGCGGAATTTGACAACACACCAAGAAGACGAAGAGGGTGATGGCAGTCCAGAGCATCTTTTCACGGAATTGGATCTTTCTCTCCGGCTTCGAGACCTCCGGCACGAAGCCGCAAAACGGCTTTACAAACTCGAGAAATTTGACTGAAAAGACACAAATGTTATGGTTACTTTGAAAATTGATATGGAGCTAGTAACTAGTCCCTAGGAGCCGACAATTCGTCAATTAAACAAATCGCTTCAAAAAACTTAAGCATTTCGATAAAACCGACCAATAGCATAGCTTGACCTGAAAAGGCGAAATAAATGAAAATGTACTTACTTCCCATGATGTTACGTGGTCACGTCTCAGCAAGTGAGGGCTTGCGATAGACGGATAATATAAATGGAGGAGATAGACGGGGTAGAGACAAGAGACAAACGCCGTCGTCAATGCACACACGCGAACTGTGCCGATGAGGTTTGCAATGCTGAACGAATGTTACCGTATACCCCAGTCAATCTCTTCTGCCGGTTTTTTTGACCGAAAAATCTATTTTGAGTGGAAAACTGTAAAGTTTTACTACTTATTCGATAGCTAATTTTTTTTCTGGTTGAATCGCGCAAATTTCACATTTTCTAAAGCTGAAACAGCCAAAAAATAATCAAAAAACGCATTCGAACTGCAAGGTCTCGCCGCGATAGGCGAGTAAAGGCGCACACACTTTCGGCGGCCGACGGGTCTCGCAGCGAAACCGACCTTTTCTGCCTCTTCACACTCGCATTTTTTCTTTCTTTTGCCTAAAATTTTTCCAATTTTTCCACCAGAACCAAGGATTTTTTCGTTTTATTTCTAAAAGATTATATCAGAAAAATAGGAGACGCTCCGTTCTATTGATTTTTCACAGTTTTATCAGAAATTTTCGACGAAAAGTGTTGTTATGCTTGATTTTGTCGTTACTCTTGGCATCTTCTCTTGAATATGTCGCTTTTTCTTTTTTTCGTCAGTAATTTATTGTTCTTGCAGGGTTATCGAATCACGGCAAGATGTCGTTGATCATTCCGGAAAAGTTCCAGCACATTCATCGTGTGATGAACACCAACATCGATGGTAACCGCAAGGTTCCATTCGCCCTTACCGCCATCAAGGCAAGTTTTTTTTTCAATAAAGCGGTCATGTAATTTATTCAATTTTTAGGGAGTTGGACGTCGTTTCGCCTTCGTCTGCTGCCGCAAGGCCGACGTTGATGTCAACAAGCGCGCCGGAGAGCTCACTGAGGAGGACTTTGACAAGATTGTCACCATCATGCAAAACCCATCCCAGTACAAGATCCCGAACTGGTTCCTCAACAGACAAAAGGACATCAAGGACGGAAAGACCTCCCAGGTGAGTATTTTGTCGAAATGTATCGTTGCAAATTGCTTTCTCTTTAGCTTCTCTCCACCGCCGTCGACAACAAGCTCCGTGAGGATCTTGAGCGCATGAAGAAGATCCGCCTCCACCGTGGACTCAGACATTACTGGGGACTCCGTGTCAGAGGACAGCACACCAAGACCACCGGACGCAAGGGACGCACCGTCGGAGTGTCCAAGAAGAAGGGAGGATAAGTCTAATTGTATCTGGGATACTGTTTTTCTTGTTGCAAATATCCCGAAAATAAATGTTACTTCCAAGTTGTTACTTTTTATTAAAGTATTCAATATCAAGGCAAACATTATTAAAAAAGTAACCGAGTGTGAGAATGTGAATGAATCCGAACCCGGTGGTGAGCCTGAAAAATGCTGTCGTGTCCTTTCTCAAACTGTTGAACTTACGGGAAAGCACTGATGTTTCCTGAGAATGCATCGAGAAGTCCTTCAACAACAACGTTGTGGAAAATAGTTTCTCCAACTCCTTCCTGTCCGAGAAAAAAGAAAACGCCGAAGATTCCAGGTGTTACGGTCAGGAGCATTAAAGTGGCACTTATTCTTCTACAGCAATTCTCTCCCAGTATTGCTCTGATTTGTTGGATTTTGGGCAGCTTCCACAACTGATATCCGACTCGTTCAACAATCAACTCAGTTGCAGAAAGGGTCACCCAAAAAATGTAATGCCTTCTTGTACCGTGCCAAGCCAAAACCACTCCAAATACTGCGCACAGTGCTCCAATATTTCTGAGAATCGATAAAATAATTGGGAGTGGTTTTCTCATGACTGGAATGTAGACTTGATGCTTGAGAAACTGGTAAAGTCCATTATCAAAAGATCGCCACATTCTGGAGTAAAGCGAGACTCTTGAGATGCATATTGGCGGTGGAGGGGGCCGCATTCCATCTAGATGGGCGAAGAAAGCGGGAACTCCAAAGATGACGACGTATTTTATATGGAAGAACTGACCAGCCACGTAGGCTACAGCACAAACTGAAAATTTGATACTTTAGATGATGATTCAGGTCAACATGCCTTCATAAACATTCAGACTGTTGACTATTGAGGATGGAGAGTTGAATAGAGCATTGACGTGGATAAAATGAAGAAGCAGCTCAAAAATGTAGTACCAGAAGACGAGACGTGCTCCGAAAAATATGGGCGACTTCAAGTTTTGCCAATCAATCTCTTTCTTTTGCAGCCACGTTTCGAATTGCGAAGTGAACTCTTCAAAAGTAACGATGAGCGTCATGGAATACGGAAGATAGGCGTAGTAGAGAAGGCTGGGAACGAGGAGATCTCTCTTTTCGGGGTTGGAGCAGAGATGGAGACAAGAGTTGAGAATCTTGATGGATCCGTATAAATAGATGTTGAATTCACGATAGAAAATGTGGGTTCCAGAGGAGAACGGCACGAATTGAGTGGCTTTTGCGATGAAAGTGATGCACAGAATCCAGGGAACGAGTTTGAATCGGAACGAAAGTGTGGAGAGCGTGACGACGGCGGCGAACGAATAAAGGACGAGCACGCATTGGAAACTGAATAGAAACGGGGAATATTATGAACAACAGTTGTCAATTGTATACCTGCTCATGTGGATTTGTACTAGAAATCCAACGGCAATGATGACGTAGTGAGAAATCGGAGTGGAAAGGTACTTTTTGGCGAGAAAGATTCCCAGACTATGAACTGCGTAATCGAGAAGCAAATGCAACAAAGTTTGCCGATAATATGCCCATTCTGCGTCGGATAAATCCATTTTCCAGTCCATCACATAACTGAAATTCCAGTTTAGTCCGTTTTCGCGGCGAGACCCTCGTACCTGCTGTCCTGCATCCAGTGCTTGATCCATGGCTTCGCCTTACCGTTCGAAACCCAATAGGCGATGACGAAGGCGAAAAACGAGTGAAATATCCAGATGGACCAGGCTAAAACGCGTTCCGCTTTCGGCAAAGGACCCGGAATTGAGAACGGTGCGCTGGCGGTGGTCATGTGTAGACGTACACGAATATTATCATTGCTTTCGGAAAAGCTCTCTGAACGAGGAACGATGTTTATGACTGTTTGCAAAGAAGGTGTTTGAATGGAAAACGTACAGATATATTATATGAAAAGCGAAATTGATTGAAGTTAAAGCGAATGAGTCACTTTGCTCCCGTTAAAGTTGTGTAGAACGCAAGTAATCTGGTTTCGAATGTTTGTCGAGTTGGGGGGCACAGCAGAGAACTGTGTGAAAGAATCGGCGCGTACTTGTGTGAAAAGGGCGGCGGACACTCAGGGACACTCACTCGCATACGTACATATTCACAATGACCTCCGTCCGAATCGCCACGGTGACCGAGCACGGCTGCGGAGATGCGGAGACGAGGAGGCGAAGGCGCCGAGCGATTATGAAGCGGCGGAGAGGATGGATGACCTACTCTGGAGGATCACGCTTTTCCGGACGCGATTTCGATTGTTTTCATGTCTTTGAATCTTCTGGATCATATGACAGAACTGTACAAATCTTTATTTTGATATAGTGGCACTCATAATATTCCGCTTTCTTCAACTGTGTTCCTCAACTGATGTCAATGAGTGACAACTCCTCCGTCGGCGAATCGGATCCCAGAAGCCGTTGTGAAGTGTCACCCCAACTGTCACTTCGTGGCAAACAAACTTTTGTCTCAAGATCGTCCAACTCTAAAAGGTCTCCCTCTAACGGATCATCGTGGATCACCGGAACAGCCTCCTCCGCCACTTCGACACTTCCGCTCTGTCTGGAGCTCACGCTCAGATTCAATTGCTCCAGGTCTATTTCGATTGGAACGTCGATTCGGTCTTTCAGAATATCCGCGCAATCTTGTTGACACTTCGCCATCGTCTTTGCGAATGTTGCCAGGTGTTGGGCAATGTCTCTAACGTGTTTCTGATCCAAAAGTTCTATTTTGACCATGACGTCGTCTCGCATTTTCATGAATCTTTGACGGCATTCTTGACGACACCGCAGCATCATTCTGAGGGAATATGATTAAAAAAAAAGCAAAAAATAGTGCTCACAAACCTGTACTCATAATTTCCGGTCTCCACCCTATAAAGTGGTTCCTGGATGGCAATGAACTCCGTTTCCTCATCATCCATTTCCTTGAGCTTCAGACAGTACGAAAGGTACTCGTATTTCACATCCAAATACTTTTTAATAGTCAATCTCGTGTCAGGCACCACATGATCAATATAGACCTGAAGATCCGATACCATCTTCTGAAGCGGGATCGCTGATTCCGCCTGCTTCTTCGCAATCATCCGATGTTTGTCGCCAAATGCGCTGAATGCTTCGTTGGCTGTTTGCTGCTTTTCATGGGCAGCCAGGTCGCAGAATATCGATCCAAACTCATTTTGGCATTCGGAAATCTTCTGCTGATACTGGAACATGTCACCGAAATACGCGACGAGGTGTCTGTAGAACTCCGCGTTTTCCTCCAGAATCTTTTCCTTTTCCGCTAATGGGTCATTTGTGAGGATGGCCCGTGAGAGCCCGAGCGCGTCTGCCGAGTCTTGATCCATGAATTCCACCACTTTGTGCTTCACCTTCTTTATCAATATATCCAGCGTTTTGCCCTTTGTGTTCACATCGTCCAGCTTGTTTATTGTGATCTTCAAACCGAAATTGAAAACGCTCCACGGTACTCCTCTCCTCACCTTAACTGGATTCAAACTGACTTGAATCAATTGCGCCACCGCCGACTTTCTCTCTCCTTTCACCGTAATCCCGTTCACCGCGACAATCTCGTCGCCGCATCGAATCCGTCCGTCTTTGTAAGCGGGCGACTTGTCGAAAACCTGAACGACGTAAACACACGGACAATATGGACCGCCTCCGCCTGAAAAGTAATCATGAGCTCTGCGTGCAAAAACAAGATGCGAACCTATAGAAATTCCCACTACTCCTTTCGCGTCTTTCGTCAACTCGATGGTCTCCGATTGAATTCGCATTCCAAGTCGATCTTCTTCAATCTGTAACTTTATGTGAAATGAAATGTTTTCTGAACTGATTGTGCGCTTTTTGCCCTCACCTCCATTTTAATCGATTCTTGTTGTGCTCGAGTGAAAGAAGTAGAAAAAGGGCGAGTACGCAAATTGGGGGGAAAGCGGAGACGAAAAAGGAGATGGAGAGAAAGAAAGGAGGGAGAGAGGGAAAGAGAAGCCAGAGGGAGACGGTGAGCACGGAGCACACTGGAAGAAGAGAGGGGAAACAAAGAAGAAGAAGAAGGGAGTCTCTCCTTGTTTGGTGGTACTTGTTCTGGTTTCAATGGTGCAGTGCCACAAGAGACAAATTTTGTTTTTATCAGACATGGTTCGATGTTCATTTTTGAGACTTCTCGGATGCCGCGGTCTTTTCAGACTTCTCCGATTTGTCGTCGTCAACAGTCTTCGTTTGCTCAGACGTCGCGGAAGCCGCGCTCTTCTCCGTTTTGTTCGACGGCTCAGCGCCGTCTTCCTTCTCAACATCATCGCTCTCCTCTTCTTCGTCATCTCCGCGGATTTCCTTCTGACCAACCATTTGCATGTTCACATTCTTCGATTCCTGAGCACAAACATCCGTCTAATTTCTGTTCTGAATCTGTTTACCGGAAGATACTTCCAAACAACGACCAATCCGATGGAACAAATTATCAGATTGATGATGAAAAGAAGCGGCTCGTACCAGAACTTGATAGGTTTCGTGGTGGACGCCAGAATAGTTCCGACTTTCATCAGAATGTTTGTGCATGCTCCGGCGGTGGTACGCACGTCAGTCGGCATCAATTCGGCTAGAGACAGATAGCACGTCTCCAGACAGAGCGATTGTCCTGCGTAGGCGATCATGTAGGCGACAGTATACCACCAAGACTCTTTGCTGTGTGTCCAGAGGGCCAAGAGGATGGTGATGTAGGCAAGAATCGCAATGATCTGGGAAACGTTGAACAGAAGACGGCGGCCGAACCACGGGATCTTTGGCTCCACGAGTCCAATAAGCTAAAAGTTAGGTCAGATTTTGCGTTTGTTTTTAGGGAACCCACAATCTTCGAAACTGTGAGCACCAATCCACAGAGGAACTGTCCCACGTAGAAGTTCTTGGCCATGTCGCCACTATTCAGATCAGTGATGTACACAGACATTCCCACGTAGAACCACATCCAGCAGAGAACGAGAAAGTTCCTCCGAAGGGTCGGATTCCTCCACAGTTTCATCGGAGTCACCTTTTTCAATTTTTTCAGTTCATCTCGTGGCTTCGGTTCGAATTCTTCCTGGCAAATTCTGGCGATTTTCTCGCGAGATTTGTCCGCTCGATCGAACTTTCCCTGGAAAACGGAAGCTCTCGATGCTCCATCAACTTCTCAAGTGAAACGAAATGATACCTTTTGCTCCAAAAACACGGGGCTCTCAGGCAGATACCAGATCATCGGAAGAATGGTTGTGGAGAGGGCTGCACATAAATAGGACGCCAGACGCCATTCTCCAGCCAGATACGACACTCCGACTTGCATCATTCTCGCGTTCGCCCAATTCGGGAATGTTCTCAATCGGAGTCGTCTGGTAGGAGTGATCATCTCCGATCCGTACGTCCATCCGACCGTCACAGTGCCCGCAAGGGCGAATCCGACGACGAAGCGGAAGATGTAGAAGTTGAGAACGCCGTCGATGGCAGCTGCGAGGATGAGGGCGGGAACTCCCAAGAGAATAGCAAAGATGTAGACGGGACGACGGCCAATCGTATCGGAAAGGTAGCCGAGCACTAGGTTTCCGAGCAGAGCGCCGATAAATGTGGCCGTCGAGGAAGAGAAACTGAACAGAGAATACGGTAGAAGAGCAGAAAGAAGGAGCCTACTGCTTAAGGCCGGTGCAATCCTGTTGATAGTCGAACTGGGCCGAGCGAAAGTCAACTGTCTTGGCTTCTGTGACGCATTGCTCCTACAAATGTTAACTACCATTAAAAATTTTCAGAAAAAGAGCTCACAAAGTTGGTCATGTTGTACGGACAGACTTCGCTGTCTTTGTGGCGAACAAAGTCGGTGAGACACTTGTTCTTCATGCGGTAGCAGTAATTATCGGAGGTGCAATACGTCTTTGGCATAAACTCAAGAAAGATCGTGAAGAGCATTTGAGCGGAAAAGAAGAGCGTCATCTGGTAAAGGAGCATCAGTCCGATGTCGAGACGCCATGATCCTGGAGCGAGTACGGTAGGCCGAAAAGGAAACCTGGATTACCTTGAAAACATCCCATTGTTGGTTCGAATTGGTAAAAACTGGAACTGAACTAATTGTTGGCGTTAGCCTTCCGTTGCTTTTCGGCGACATGTCCTGAGTAAGGTCACGTAAAGAGTGTTCTCCAGATCTTCCAGATAAAATTAAACTGTTCAGACATCTTGCTATTTGGAAGGTGACATTCCTGAAAAGTGCGTTTGCTCCAACCACATGCTTCTCTATACTGCTTGGATTATGACGACCACTGCGTCGTTGGGAGATCGTGGGCGCTTTGATAACTATTTGTGCCAGAGCTTCAATGTTTTCAGCAACTCTTGCCACACTTGCTCCAATCATTATCGAACTGGATACTTATCAAGACATTGTTACTATTCCGACGACTGCACCGACTGAAGGCCACTACCCCAAAGTCTACCACCAGTAAGTGCACAACCGTAAACTAATGATGAAAATTACATTCCAGAGAAGAAGCGCAAGACGTGAAAGATGTCGTCAAACGATCAGGCCGCACAAAAAGACAGGTAGCAACCAATTAAAACACACTTTGTTTTCATTGAACAGGGTGTCTTAATAGTTCGTTGTTTATTTTTGAGACTTCTCGGACACCTCCGTCTTCTCAGACTTCTCCGATTTGTCGTCGTCAACAGTCTCCGTTTGCTCAGACGTCGCGGAAGCCGCGCTCTTCTCCGTTTTGCTCGACGGCTCGGCGCCGTCTTCCTTCTCAACGTCATCGCTCTCCTCTTCCTCGTCATCTCCACTGATTTCCTCCTGACCAACCATTTGCATGTTCACATTCTTCGATTCCTGAGCACAAACATCCGTCTAATTTCTGTTCTGAATCTGTTTACCGGAAGATACTTCCAAACAACGACCAATCCGATGGAGCAAATTATCAGATTGATGATGAAAAGAAGCGGTTCGTACCAGAACTTGATAGGTTTCGTGGTGGACGCCAGAATAGTTCCGACTTTCATCAGAATGTTTGTGCATGCTCCGGCGGTGGTACGCACGTCAGTCGGCATCAATTCGGCTAGAGACAGATAGCACGTCTCCAGACAGAGCGATTGTCCTGCGTAGGCGATCATGTAGGCGACAGTATACCACCAAGACTCTTTGCTGTGTGTCCAGAGGGCCAAGAGGATGGTGATGTAGGCAAGAATCGCAATGATCTGGGAAACGTTGAACAGAAGGCGGCGGCCGAACCACGGGATCTTTGGCTCCACGAGTCCAATAAGCTAAAATTTAGGTCAGTTTTTGCGTTTGTTTTTAGGGAACCCACAATCTTGGAAACTGTGAGCACCAATCCACAGAGGAACTGTCCCACGTAGAAGTTCTTGGCCATGTCCCCACTATTCAGATCAGTGATGTACACAGACATTCCCACGTAGAACCACATCCAGCAGAGAAGGAGGAAGTTTCTCCGGAGAGTCGGGCTATTCCATAGTTTCATCGGAGTAACTTTTTTCAGCTTCTTCAGTTCATCTCGTGGCTTCGGTTCGAATTCTTCCTGGCAAATTCTGGCGATCTTCTCGCGAGCTTTGTCCGCTCGATCAAACTTTCCCTGGAAAATGGAAGCTTTTGATCCTCTACTTCCCGGACAATACGAACCTTTTGCTCCAAGAACACGGGGCTCTCAGGCAGATACCAGATCATCGGAAGAATGGTTGTGGAGAGGGCTGCACATAAATAGGAGGCAAGACGCCATTCTCCAGCCAGATACGACACTCCGACTTGCATCATTCTCGCGTTCGCCCAATTCGGGAATGTTCTCAATCGGAGTCGTCTGGTAGGAGTGATCATCTCCGATCCGTACGTCCATCCGACCGTCAGAGTACCGGCAATGGCAAATCCGACGACGAAGCGGAAGATGTAAAAGTTGAGAACGCCGTCGATGGCAGCCGCGAGAATGACGGCGGGGACTCCCAAGAGGACGGAGAATATGTACACGGGACGACGTCCGATCGTATCGGAGAGGTAGCCGAGCACTAAGTTTCCAATCAGAGTGCCGATGAATGTGGCCGTCGAGGAAGAGAAACTGAATAGAGAATACGGTAGAAGAGCAGAAAGAAGGAGCCTACTGCTTAAGGCCGGTGCAATCCTGTTGATAGTCGAACTGGGCCGAGCGAAAGTCAACTGTCTTGGCTTCTGTGACGCATTGCTCCTAGAAATGTTAACTACCATTAAAAGTTTTCAGAAAAAGAGCTCACAAAGTTGGTCATGTTGTACGGACAGACTTCGCTGTCTTTGTGGCGAACAAAGTCGGTGAGACACTTGTTCTTCATGCGGTAACAGTAATTATCAAAAGTGCAATAGGTCTTGGGCATAAACTCGAGAAAGATCACGAAAAGCATTTGAACGGAAAAGAAGAGCGTCATCTGGTAAAGGAGCATCAGTCCGATGTCGAGACGCCATGATCCTGGAGCGAGTAGGGTAGGCCGAAAAAAGAACCTGGATTACCTTGGAAACATCCCATTGTTGGTTCGAATTGACAAAAACTGGAACTGAACTAATTGTTGGCGTTAGCCTTCCGTTGCTTTTCGTCGACATTTTCTGAGTAAGGTCACGTCTTTCTGCACGAGTGTTACTGTACGTTGAGCACTCTTTCCGACCCCCTCTTTTTTTATTTGCTGTCATGAAAATAAAAAAGTTCAGCAACGAGATAAACTGTAAACCGATTTCCTCATCGATTAGGGATTACCCTCTTCCCCCCTGTATCTCATGTTCGAAACCACAGCAAAACTTTTTTCGCTTTTTCGTGGTTTCACACCCATGATCCGACCCCTTCTTCTCGCCCTTTTGGCACTTTTCCCGTCTATCCAAGCTTCTGTAATTTGTTACGAATGTTACGCCAACTCGACCGATGAGGGCAGATTTTGCTCCATTGACAAGCTTTGCAAAGGGACTTCGTGCTCTTTTCGTGAGTTAGACAAGTGAAAGTTGCTGATGAAAAAGGTTCATTTAGAGTTGAATTCGGATAATAGTTGGCAGGCGGGATGCTCGGATTCTCTTTCAACGAATACTAATATCGCTTGCTCGACGACAACGTCTTCTTCGTCAAGCTGCTCCTGCAACACAGACTTCTGCAATTCGTTGGCAAAATCTGAAAGTGCACTGAAGTCAACAGTATCCAGCTCAAAATCTTCTTGGTTTGGCTCGAGAAACAACAACAAGTTAACATAAAATTTCGTTAAATCCTATCAAAACTCTAGAACTTTCCAGAACAGCCAACGTCTCCCTGGCTCTACCCGATCGCAATCTGATTCATTGCGAAGAGTGTGGAAGTGTCACTGTGGCAAACGAAACTGTAGTCATTCCATGTGATCGGAATCATACTTGTCAGGGAAATTATTGTGTTTCAAGTGAGTTACACTATCTTTTAGTTTGATTGGAATCGCTGAATGTTTTTTAGTCCGTGGCCAGTCTCCGTATTCCTATTGCGGAGGCGTTTGGGACGAGGAAAAAGCCGTGAGTTGTCAGAGAAACTTGTTCTGGATTCAAATGATATTTCAGCCAGCTTGCTACTTGGAAGGTGACATTCCTGAAATGTGCGTTTGCTCCAATCACATGTGTAACATGCTTCTCGATCCTGCGCCGATTATGACGACCACTGCGTCGTTGGGAGATCGTGAGATTTTCAACTTTTTTTTGTTAGAGCTTCAATGTTTTCAGCAACTCTTGCCACACTTGCTCCGATCATAATCGAACTGGATACTAATCAAGACATTGTTACTATCCCGTCGACTACACCGACCGAAGGAACCACGGCGACCACCGCGAAGCCTACCACAAGTAAGTGCAAAGCTGTAAGCTACTGATGAAAATTAAATTCCAGAGAAAAAATGCAAGACGTCAAAGTTGTCACCAAACGATCAGGCCGTTTATATGGGCGAGAAGCTGAAGAATGTGATTCTCGGCGGATTCGGAAGCGACGACGGAGCCGTGCAGAACTTCGAAGACGATATCAACGATCACATTTGCAATTACTCGGACGATGAAGAGGAGTAGACCATCTTCTCTTCTGTTTTGGTGCTTGTGTTTGTCGCCTCAAATATACGTCAACTATAAAAACCAGCATTTGCTATCAAGTGCTATCATTCATCAACCGAATCCGTCATTCTTCTTCTTCTTCTTCTTCTTTATCCATTCAATACGGGCGATGGAAGTTTCGATCTTTCCTTCGCCCCCTACGCGCATTCTTCGAATTGGCAATTCAAAGTGATATGAAGAGTGGTCGACACATCCATTTCAACAACCGGTTCCTTCCCCCCCCTTCGGCCTGTGTTCAGCCGCACAGCAAACCTGGATTTTCTCTTTTTCTCTCTGGCCCCCCACTCAACCTCTTCGCGCGACCGCCTAATAAATTATGCGCATGTCTTCTTCGTCTAATCATTTGGACAAATGCCAACTGATACTGTAGGAGGGGGGAGGGGAGTGGAGGTGATGAAGAATCGGAAGAAGAAGAAGAAGAGGACACGCCTAAGTGTGTCGAGTGCTGAAGAAGTTTCAAGGATTTTAGCGGGCTTTCATGAATCGCTCGTTCTTGGCACAAGAAGTTAGTTGAGCACATGTTGAGCCACAAAATTTGTCTGGGCAATATTCTGCACATAAGTTCTCGAATTTCAGTCATTTTTGAGCTCTTGCCACAATTGCGTGGGCACTTTGCATTAGAGACTGATCGCATTATAACCTTTTAACATTCACCGACCCCAACGCGGAGCCTAACGAAGCGAACACAAAAGTGACCAACAGCGGGCGAGTAGGGCGCTCAACAAACTTAATGTCTGAGTCTCCGCACCTGTTCGTTGAGCGCCTCTGGACAAACAGTTCTGGGTGTGTCCGTGCGTCTCGCGTCTCTTCAGAAGCTTCACTCTCTGGCTCCGCAACGCATATCCTTGCGTCTGCGTGCCTTACGGTACGGGTGCAGAGGCCGCTTCCCTTCTCGCGCTGTTCGGGGACTGCGCGGCGGCCGCGCGGCCCTTTTGCGCTCTTCGAATCATCATCATATACACACTGACCACTTTGCGACCCGTAGACTGTTTTCTTATTTTCTTCTTCTTCTTCTTCTTTCACACTCTCTCTCTCTCTCTCTTCGCCATACTTTGTATCTTTTGACTTTCTCTTCGTATTCCCTCTCGCCACAGTTATTCGTTCATCCACGTCACAAAATATTCGGTTTTCTTTTTTGAAATTTCAAGTAATATGTAAGATTTGCAATTTGATTGATGTTGAATGACGTGCTTGCCCTGAAATCATTTCCGTTTATTGAAGTGAGTAACATTTTGTTGCTGTTGTCGGGTTTTTCTTTTTCTCAAGTTTTGACGTCTTATTCTCTGAGTTACTGTAGCTTCCAAACAACTCTTCAAATCATGCTTCACAAGTAGGCAACTCCTTGGAATACTGTAGTTCATAGAAATTTTGCCATCTTAAAGGATCTACAGTGAAATCTTTGAGAGCCATCTCCTCAACGTGCTAAATACAGTAGTGGTTGAACAAAAAAGTTGTAAACTGGTAAAACTAACAAGCTCTGTTTGTAAACGCCTAGTCATTTAGTCTTGAACTCGTCTGGTCATCATCTACTTGACCCAAAAGTCCTTCAAGCCTCTGCACTTTTCCCATTCCATTTCTATTCAGCCGTCCCGCAACACCTGGAACTAGACAGAATTTCTTGTAAACCATGCGAAACGACAAGACATGTCAAGTGTCGCCGGCCGCTCTTTTTTCCTAATTGTGCCAAAAATGTTCGGCGCCGCTGCGCGGGGCCCTCCTCCGCTTTGCTCATCGTCATCCGCCGGCGTCACACAATTCCAGTCGGCTTATAATACTTGCGCGGGGCCGCACCGTCGGCATTGATTGTATTTGCTTGCTCGGCGCGAGCCAAAACAAAACAGAGCTCCAATCGAAAAGCCGCGCGCGTTCTCCCCCCTCAGAGTTTCCAACCCTCCAATTCAAGCAGAGAGAGAGAGAGAGAGAGAATGTGCTTTTGCTGATAATTCGACAAACACGCACCGTTCTCTCTCGGTTTCTGCGTCTTTCATCGGATCTCCTATCCCTTTCCCTCTCTCTCTGTACCTGAGACTGTATGTAGGTATGTACATATACAACATTTTGTACAAACAACGGCCCAAAACCCTCTCCTTCTTCTCCTTTCCCTTCTCTTTCCCCTTATGCTGCTGCCTGCTGATTCTGCCTGTCTCGTTATCGTATTATGACACTTGTTATCATTTTAATCACCGCCCACAAGCAGCCTTTCCTAAACTTTCCAACTGTATAGTGGTGTGTGTGTGTGTGTGTGTGTGGTTGGCGCTGACACGTCATCACTGCTGTTGCGTGGCTTATGACGGATTAGTCGCGGTCGGCTGATGACGTGGCATTGTTGGAAGTGGTGCCAATAATCTGAGGTACAAATAGCAGAACTAGGGGGGGCTAATGGAAACTTTTGAAGAATATTTACATCTTACTCTTTTTTCAGAAAAAAAGGCTGGAACCAGCCTGGAACCTTTGCATACGGTGATCCTATAGATAGTTTTCTAACAATCCCCACATTCTCCAAATTATTCCAGTCGTCGTAAAGCCGAAAATAGGGCGTGGAGAATGATTAGTGAAAAATAGAGCTTTTTGAAGTGATATTCTTTAAAATCAAAGCACATACGTGAACCGTATTAATTTTATAAGTTGGGAGCACAAAAATGGTATGGCTATTATTGCTGCTTCAGTTCCAAGTTAGAAGCCGTCGGGCAGCTGGGTCGGGTCGGAGAAGACACCCATCTGTCTTCTCGTGTGCGCGTGTACGTCCTTCCCACCCAATCATCTAAGAGAATTCGACCTTCGCGCAAAAGGACGGTCTCTCTCTCTCTCTCTCTCTCTCTCTCTCTCTTCTTCTCTCTCTCTCTCTCTTTCTAATAGTATAGATGGATCGGGAAGAAGAAGTTGACTGACTTACAAATTACCGCCCTCCACTGGTCTCTCCGTATTAGGCGTGGGCTATTATTGAATTGAGGTTGGAACTCGAATCTATTGGAACTTTTTTTGTCAGAAGAGAGGTCCACGGTTCTCGTAACCAGTTCTGTCTGCGTCTATCAGCGAGAGAGACCGAGATCCGATCCGCGGTTGGAAATAGAAATAATCGAAATGGAAAAGGACGGACACATACGGGGTGTAACGGCTGAATGAATTGGATTTATGATTTATCTATTAATGTTTTCTTTTCGTTCGCTTCCTGTTCCTCTTGCTCATTTCCCTATTCTTTCAATTCTATTACCCAAACGTTATGATTCAATTTTCCGTCCAGCTTCCACTGATTCGCATTCTTTTTTCTTCTCATTTTATTTTACGTTTTTGTTCGGGCTCCATCAACTTTCTCTCTTTCTTTCAGCCTTATGCCATTTGTCTGAACATCCTGAATCACAACACTTATCAAATTTCCAATAGAGAAAATGATGCGAAGAGGTGGATCGGTGGGTCCACCCACCGACCCATATCAGAGGTAAGAATTCTCATTTGATTGATTGATTAATTAGTGGGCCCTGGCCTTTCAGAAGGTGGGGTTTCGGGCGTAAAGTATCTCGATGATTATCTGTTCACCACACCTTCCACTGGGTGTGACCCGCTTCTTCAGTTTAGCATTCCGTGATTCTTTATTTTCCATTCCCATTCAACCTTGACAATTATTCCAAACGTTTTTTGGATAGTTCGAACTGAACAGTATTTGCGCATTTCGGTCGGTCATATTCCATCAAAAACAGCCCAAAACATTGACTCAACTTACAGTGATTGTTCTTATATCTGAAACTGTTTGCACACAATTTATGAACCTCTTGCCAAAGTCCCTTTAAGATGGTGTGAATGTGTATGCATGTATGTACAAATAAAATGTTGATGCTTTCCAACTGATAAATATCAAAATGTGTCGGTCGACCGGACGCGCGCGCGGGCAGTCGGGTTGCGGCGCCAGACAGAGAGCACGTACCGAAAAGAGAGACATTTGACTGCGTCTCTCACTTTCACACACACTCTATTTCGGTTGTAGAAGAAGAGGTACCCGCAATTTAACGGGTTGAGGACTGATAAGGAGCGAAAAGAAGGTGGAATTGAAGAAGAAGAAGTGAGGAGCCATTGTATGCAGACCTTTTCATCGTACAAATTCCTCAAACCCACTTCTTTCCATGACACAACTTTTCGCATAAAAATTTTGGCATTTAAGTGCGAATTTTTGGAATTTCTGGCATCGTCAATTACTCAAAATAGTCAATGACTCATTGTGATTACAGCCGCCCATCTCCCGGCTACTATTACTCGCGATCCTCGACCGCCGGCCAGCCGATTCCGTCGCCGTCGCACAGTCAACACTCCCAAGCAGCACCCCCCTCGTCACAGACTTCTTCGGCACATCAACGAGGAGCGCCAATGTCACAACCAATCGGTACGTCGTTTCTTATCACTTTTCTCTCCTTATTCTACTATCTATCCACCTCCGTCACTTTCTACTCTTCTCCACAAATTTTTCCATTCTTTTCTTGTCTTTGTTCTCGATTCGATTCTTAACTTCGGCTTGGTCTGGTTCTTCGCTAAAGGTTTTTGAGGTGTTAAGCGGTTTTTTTTTGGAAAGTTGAGGTTTAGAATCGCTCTTATCGTTGTGTTTTAATCTCAATCACAAAGTTCCTGTCAGGAACATCCACGCTTTTGGCTCTGAAGCTAAAGTCACGAAATGTTTTGTGCCAACTTTCCACTTTCAATATACAGTAGTCGTTGTTAGCCTGAAAAATGTTAAATTTTCCGATCACTCCTATATCATATCTGCTTGTACATACATATTTCTGATTCTGATTGACACGAGAGTACCCCAGATGTTATAAAAAAACTGCTTCAACGTTTCCATTTGCAGTCCGTCGATCGGCCGGCGACTACCGAAGCGGAAGCGAACAAATGACACCTCGCTCGGACCACCGTGGTCCTTCCGCCTACGCGAACAACGGAGGACTCGATCCGCGACTCGACGATGTGACGCCCTCGTACTACGTGGAACATTTGGCGACGTTTGCAGTCGGTCGGCAGTTTGGACTAACGTTCCCGGCCGACGGAATCCGCAAACTCAAGCAAATGGAGAAGAACTCTGCGATCTGGGCGCAACCGTTGATCCTTCGGTTTCGGCACAGTGCAGTGACAGTTGAGGACGAGAACGGTGAGCTCGTGGAGCAGTTCCCTCTGGAGCTCATCGAGCAGCCGACGGCTCATGTCAGCAACGACAACAGAGACACTTACAACAACATTCTGTTGTTCGTCGTGCGAGAGGACAGGAAGCGGATGAGCACTCCGACCGAAATGCACATCTTCCAGGTGACTTTTTACTGCCTCATGCATAACTTTGAATTGTTTTTTTTGCAGTGCATTCGCGTCTCGGCGACCGAAGTTGCGGACGACTTGCAAGCGTACACTCGCGGACAGTTCCGTCGTGTGCGCAACGGCCGACGAACCAACGCGCCGGCGCATCTTCAGGCTCAGCAACAGCGTAAGTTCAAAGATTCTCCTCCCTGCTTGTTCTTGGCAACATTTTTGCCTCTTTTCGTGTTTATTCTCGAGGAGACCACTGCTCTGCTCGTTATCACCATTATTGCCGCGAGAGAAGCGTGCAAACATACCGACCGAGTTTCTCCTTCGAAAGGAAACGAAATGTGAAGCTTCGTCGTGAAGCACGGGGGGAAACCGAGGGCACAAGGAGGGAAAGGCGTTTTATTGCACGTAGTAATAAAATTATGATTAGAAAAATGACGACATGCTCAGAAATAGGACGAAGTTTGATCTTTCGGGTACCAACGTCTGGAAAATTAAGACAACGTAGAAAAACGAGCCAGAAGCTTTGAAACCACTATACTATAGCTAGCTACAAATCATGGAAATATGTATTGACCACCTAGAAACATCAATGAGCGGATTACTGACTTTCTGACATTTCAATATGATAAGCGATTTATGAAATTTCACAACTATTGAACGTACATTTGAATGTTTCGATCACGTTGAGTACTTTTGACTAAGAGTTATTTTCCACATTTTTGGACACTTAATAGAAGTGACCATACTACGCTCTTCATTTTCTCTTTTTCTTGTCATACGGTTTTTTTTCGAGTAAACACTCTTCTTCTTCTTTCATTGCACAAACTGATAAAAGTAAGACGACGGGGCAAGCTAAATGGCATGGTGTCAATTGCGAATTATCTCACATTTCTCTTTCCCAACCTTTTGAGTCATACCACCACCTCCCTTCCTTCAGAAATGTTTTCTTATACTGTCACTTTACAGAAATGCCGTTCTATCCACCGGATGATGCTTCGATCAGCAGTGAGACTTCGGAAATGTTTGAGCGGGATGTGGTAAGTGGATCATTATTGAAGAAACATTATGAAATCTCTATCGCTTACAGAATACCCTTAACCGTTGCTTCGATGATATCGAGCGGTTTGTCGCGAGAATTCAGTCGGCAGCTCTGGCACAGCGCGAGATTGAGCAGCAAAACTACCGATACCGAACGGCAAACCGTCGCGACAAGAAGTCTCAGCAACCGCCAGACCCGAACGGAATCCTTTTCATGAGAGCTCAGCTCCCGATTGAATCGGAATTCGTGGATATTCTCAAAAAGTTCAAGCTTTCCTTTAACCTTTTGGCCAAGCTTAAGAACCATATCCACGAGCCAAACGCCCCGGAGCTTCTTCATTTCCTGTTCACTCCGCTGTCAGTGATTCTGGAGGCTTGTCATTGGGGTCTCGGACGGAACATTGCTCCGAGTGTTGAATCTCCGTTGCTCTCTTTGGAGGCTCGCGAGCTCATGCAGAACTGTCTGACAAGCCGTGAAAGCGACATTTGGATGAGCCTCGGAGAAGCCTGGAGAACACCACCGTAAGTTTATCAAAAACCCTGAAAAGATTTTTATCGATCTCTTTCAGAGAGGATTGGACGAAGAAACTTCCTCCACCGTACCGCCCAATTTTCCTGGACGGATTTGCACCGTACGGTGTAGCCGATCGAGTCATCACCACTCCGAACCCTCTCCATCGAGGACAATCTGCTCCGCCAGAGCATTACCGTCAGGCTCCGCGCGAGCGAAATGTCGTGGATACGGTAAGAATCCCTGTCAAATATTGTTGCTCAGCTATGTCTGCACGTGCTATTTTCTCTTGTCCATTTCTCTTTCCCTTTCATATATACCTTTCCTATCCCTTTCAGGCGCCCAACACCCCTCAATCGAGTGCACGGACTCCCAAATCTCGACCGCATCGCAACATGAGCGTCGACAATGTATGTGGCTTTCCTATCCTTTCCCGTCTATCTCTTTCCTCTGTGCTCTCGCTCTGTTCCTCACTAACTTATGTTTATGTGAAAATTATTCAAAATTATAATCGAAAGGCACTAGATATATTCGGACTCCGTTCTTGAAAATTGTCACTACATTTTGGTAGGCCGTTCTCGGAATCCCTCCGATGATATCGCCCATTATTCCAAGATGACGGGCGGTCTTGTTGAAGTTGGAGGTGTTGTAGAAGATTTTTATGGTATTCGACGATTTTTTGATCTGCGCGTCCCTTTGAAGCTCGAATACTTCCATTTTGATTTCTTGGGCTTTTTGGACTTCTTTCAAGAAGCTTTTCTTGTATCGCTTCTGAAAATTGCTATTTTTGAAGCGTCTTTTATGAAGTTTACCGGTTCCAGATATTCCAAGTTTTGTTCGCTAAAGTTTACGTTTCCTCCGAACATGTGCACTTTGCTAGTGAAGCTGCGATAGAACTTTCCACTAAAAAAATCACTTTTTGCTAAAGTCAGTCGGAATTCCTGAAAACTCACTGACTAGCCCCCTTGAACCCGTGTTTTGTCATTCCGCTCCGACTGATTTCCGGTCGAATGCACTGCCTTCCTTTCCGTATCGAGCTGCCACGCATCCAATCGTCCCAGTAGGCTTCTGGCCACGTTCTCGACAATTCTTCCCAGATTTTTCTGAAAAAATTCAAACTTTTTTTTCCTATCGGTGACTAACCGTGTTGTCATCCAGCCGAGACCTCCAAAGTAATCGGATCGGTGTAAAAGGGAGTGTGCGCCCAGGTCAATGTTTTCCACTTGTCCGTTATCATTCCATGCGCTGACGCACCACAGTGACGTGTCTTTTTGGAGCAATGGAAGAGTGGCGGAGAAGTAGGAGAAGAAGTCGGGCGAGATGTCGAGGTCATCTGAAAAAGACCAACGTTCGTCGCAAATTTTAAAAACGGATACCTTCAGTAATTATTACAAATTCATGGCAAGAATTTTCGAAAATCCAATCTAATCCGAGCTTGTAATGACGTGCAATTTTGTAATATTGTCTCAAGTACGGCTTCTGATATCTGCCGACTCTCCAATCACTGCGAAACTTTGTAAATGACACGGAGCCACGAAACTTTTCAATTTCCGAAGTGACACCATGATTATCGCACTCCTGACTGACATATATCGGAAACCGGTTGACATCCGGACGATATCTGAACATTTTTCTAGTTTTTGGTGATCTTTCCTGAAGTTTTCTCACTTTAGAAGTTTTCTAATATGTTCTCTGATCGCTTGTGACCGTCGGCATGCAAAAACAATTACGGGAATTTGAGAATTAGCACTTTCGCATCGATTTCTGGCCGAGAACTGCTCGAATCGGTGCTCGACAACAGGAAAATCTGAGGAATCCGGGAATAACTGAAAAGCGTGACTGAAAACTTTTTGTTTTGTTGTTTTTTTCAATTAAATACAGAAAACATACTGAATAGAGCGCATAATAGTTGAGAAGAAACAGTACGAAGAAGAGAGCGGAAAACTTGAAATATTTGTTTAGTAGACGTCCTCCAAGCATTCTGAAACATCTTCTAACAATTTCAGCTCGAATTCGATCGACTCACTCTGGAACGCGAACGGCTGGAATTCGAAAAAGCCAAGATTATGGAGCGAGAAAACCGTTTGAGACACGAGGAAAAGCAGATCGAGTGAGTTAATTATCATTAGAGCGCGATTTCTTTTAGACGGAAATTTTTTTTTAAATTTTATTTTAATTAGAAATGATTCAATTTTCAGGGATGAAAAACGTCGATTGAATGCCGAAAAGGATTTGATCAAGAAGGAGAACCTTACGGATGTTCTTCCACCGATCACGAAGAGATACGATCCACCAATCTCAACGTCGCCGAGCGCGACTCCGAGAAGCGGCGCCTATTCGCATGTGAAGGTTGTTGTAGATTCGGACACCTCGCCACGCCAGCAGGCGTTTATCGATGAAATAGTCGGAAGAGGAGGAAAATTGGCAGTTGTCACTTACGACAGAAGCGGTCAGAATCCGAAAGAATTGACTGTTCACAAGGGGGAGTACCTTGAGGTGAGCAGAAAATAAAAATGTTATTTGGATAGACAATAATACCGACTTGTTATTGCAGGTTCTGTTCGACGAGAGAAATTGGTGGGAGTGTAAGAACATGCACCAGCGGGTTGGCTACGTGCCACACACCATTCTGTCCATGGTTCCGTTCGAACAGCAGCAATACGCGGTAAGTTGGCATTAGAGCACACTACACACCTGGAGCAACTCTAACTTTCATCTTTACAGTCTCCGAACCACAACAACTCTTCCTCCTCGTACCCTCCGATGCTGAACAATGGTCAACAGCACCTTCAGGGCCCAGGTATGCTCCCCGAAGACGCGCCATCGTATGTGAAAGAGCGGCAAGGCAGACGCGGCGAATTCCGTTACTTTTAAGAGCCGTGATCCTCGCTTTGATATATAAATTATAAACTTTTTTCCATACCGAACCCGTTTAGTGCCATTGTAATTATGTTATTCTCTTCCCCTTTCCGCCAATGCATGTTCCTGTTCTTCGTACTCATTTGCTCAACGAAAATCCCCCTTTCTTCCCTTTCAAGTGTGATGTTTTTGTGTAAGTTCTTGTCTTTGTTTCAGTTCCTCCTTCCACTCTCTCTCTCTCTCCCTCTTATTCTCGATTTATTCAAATTATTAATTTCAAAATTCTTCGAAGCATGACCGATTCTTCATTCTCCCATACACACCCGCTTTGTTCGCTTCGAAAATTTGATACCCTAATTATCTAATTCATATGTGTGTTTATTAATTAAATATTTTTATTTATAAATATATATATATTTATATATTCAATCCAAATTTCTATACTAGATGCGATGCTTATGATATCACAGAAAGAGAGTAAATTATTTGAATTCTTACCTTTGTTTGTGACACGTCATCAATACACACACGAAACGGCGCTTCGGCGAACCGAAAGAGAGCGTCTTGATATTCCAGTCATACTAACCGTGCTCGTACTAACACTCTTACAGTTAACCTCTATCAACGTCCGCCTCAGCTGGTTTCGGACGCCGGAGTGCAAGTGGAGATCCGTCAGGAGCACGTCGCCCCGCCACCGCTACCCATAATCATCCCGCCGCCACCACCACAGCAGGCGCCGACTCTCGCCGAAATGCTCAAAGTTCAAAGTGAGAAGAAGGTGCGTGCAATTGTAGTTGAGCTGATAAATAAAATAGTGAAACAATTTTGAAGAGAAGCGCCCAAGTCCAAGAAGTTTTGTATCAACCACAACCTCGTCCAGGATTGGAGGTTCAGAGAAGAACGCAGCGTAGGCATACATTTTGTTTAATTCCATTAAAGGGCCATTCAGACCCTCAACTGGTCGAAGATTTGACTAATACACTTGGAAAGAACGCGGGCGAGATTCTGAGACCGTCGGGAAACAGAAGTAGTCGAGTAGCGATCAATGAAAAGTCTTCTCCGGAAGACGTGACTCGTTGGCTTCAGGAGAAAGGATTCTCACCGAGAGTTATTGAACTTTTGGATGGTCAAGACGGTGCGAACCTTTTCTCCCTTTCCAAACTCCACCTTCAGCAAGCTTGCGGCCGTGACGAGGGAGGCTATCTTTACAGTCAATTGTTGGTTCAGAAGAAGAGAAGTGGAGTAAGTGACCTAGCTTCTGCTCTTTTAATCTTTTTGAGTTTCAGTTCCGAACGCACACTGGCGACGAGCTGAAAGCGATTCTGAATCACCGACGAACACACGTGGAACTTTCGAATGAGGCGCCGGCCGACGAGCCCGTCTTCACTATTAACCCCATTCATTAGGCTCATTTATGAATTTTCTCGTCCCTTATTCCCCCTCCCTCCCCCCAAAAAAAGCTACAATCCCGTTTCTTTTCTAGATTTCCTATCCAAATCTTTCATTTTCTGCACTTTCGGTGTTTGCTTATTATAGGGGCACCGCACAGAAATGGCGCTCTGTTGAGAAGCTCTTTTTGCAGTGCAAATTGAGCCACTTCGGGGCCGAGTTTGAAAAGTTAGGCCACGTTTTCAGTGGAAAATTACTTCGCGGCCTAGAAATTCGGCCAGATTGCGAACAGCGCGCCATTTCTGTCCGGCGCCCCTATAATAAATGCCGTCGAATACGATGCCGTGTGCGCAAACACCACAAAATACTGCACACAAGAAAGATAAACTTTTATGTACTGTCTGTTTATCAGAAAATTATTATATCCTTCCAAAAGGTAATAAAAGTTGTTCTTTCTCCTTTATTTCCTTCCGTGCAATTCGTTGTGTGCTTGATGAACGAGCAGGCGAATCTGAAAAATGAATTTGAAAAGTGTTGGCCTACAATGTTACAAAGATCACAAAATATCAGTACCCATTCGATTGGAAAGGCTTCCCTCCGGGAGATCAGACGAGCCATTTCATCATCTATTATGGCCACGCCTCTTTTTTGAAACATTTTGTTGGCTTCCTCCATTTTCAGTGACGAAAGTCCTTTGCTGGAAAAACGTGGATTTTTGTTTGTACCTGGTGTGCCAAACCTTCCAGTTCGAACGATACAAGTGAGGAATCCATGTTTGGAGGCGTCTTTCAGTGTATGCATCACACAAATATCATAGGCCAGACCGCAACCGATCACCGCGTTGATGTCGTTTTTACGTAGCAACATCTCGAGCTCACTTCTGAATAGTTTACTTTTTTCAGAAATCATCCCGTCGCCCAAGTAACTCACTGTTTAATTCCACAATTATCACTGAACGCACTATACGCATCCACATAAACATCGGCGCCTTTCTTGATGTAATGTGCTCCGTCGACCCGTTCCAGACCGAGATGAAGCTGTGAACCCCATCCGCCTTGTATGCAATGACTCGGATAAAGCACTTGAATCGTGGAAACTGGCTTCACAAAACGGACAATATCGAACGGACGCAACTTGCGGCTCTTGTCCTCTGGCGCCAGCTCGCGGTCCGGGTTTCGCGCGTGCTCGAAAAAGGAAATGTGGTTGGAGGGGTGCCAATCTTGCGTGTAAACTATCATGTTCCAGTTCACATCCTGGAGAAGATGGTTCACATGGGGCAGTGCTTCCAAAGGATCTTCTTCTGCATCTCCTTCCTCAAAACTTGAACTAGTTCTACAGGAACTTCACCAAATTTGCGTACCTTAATACTCAAACTTCCTGACACAAAATCATTTTGAAAATCCACGACGAGCAATGATGTTCTCAACGTTTTGAAAGGTTTTAGAACGATTCGGGTAAACAGCTCCTGGGTATCCTCATTCCACGTTTTGTTCTAGAACACAGAAGACACTTTGTTGTGAGGATGTGCTGAGTGAGACCTCACCTCAATGAAATCATCGAGCAACTGATCAAGCTCCGGAATCAGATCAATCTCGTGCACCAACGAGGACAGCTCATTTTTCAGTTCGGCTCGGATTGCCTGCTCCGTGAGCACGATTCCCATGCTGCGCGAGGCGCGTGACAACTTGTGAACTAGGCGGAAAATTTTGAAATGAAGGTGGTAAAGAGCGAAACTTGACTTCTGAATCTTGTGGCGTTTCCGGTATTTTGACGAGGCGGAGCTCTCCGACTCTGAGAATCAGGTCACGGATGACTGGAAGTGGTTGACGTAACGAAAATGTTATTGTGGAAAAGGGAGAGAGTTTTAGCTGAGGTTTGAAGTTAGTATTAAAAAAGGGCACTACGAGGAGAAAAACTTGAAAATATTATAGATTTTTCAAGTTGTTATCCAGCGGGCTTTCCACAAATATAACCTCGGATTGCGAAATAGCCTCCGGAACGGTAGTTACATCTAGAAAAAACGATTTGTATAGAAATTACGGTTGCGAGGCGTCCAATTTCTTACTCAGTATCATCCACAAGTCCGGAAAGATTCGCTTGCGGTGACTGTGTCCACATTTGAATGCAATTTTGGAAACTGCCAGTGCCATTCACTCCATCCGGCGTGTTTGGAGCCCATTGGAATCCGGCCATAGTTGTCAAGTACTGGTCGGTAAATTCGAAAGCCTTGATGTTGCTCTTTTTTTGTTTTTGAACACTTCATTTTGGGCTTACATTAGTTCCATTGCATTCTGGAGTTTTCGCCTTCACGAGAGTGTAACAAGACTTTTTCCGCGTGCCCGATATCCAGAATCCAGCAGCCGTGTAAGCACTGTCAGCGTTATCAATGACGACGCCTTTACCTGTAAGCCGTTCATTGAAGCACAGTCACCTTACAATAACAAACTTTCACAGAATAACCTCTCTTCCGAGCTTTCAAATCCAGCCAATGTCGCATTTTGAGTTGCACACAGATTGGTTGCTTCTGTTTGGTTATACGTTTTCGCGTAATTTCCAAACAGTTGGAGACAAAAGTCGCCTTTCGGTCGAGTAAACTTTTGCCAGTCGGGTGGACAGGAACGGCTTACTATAAAGGTACAATTTGTGTTTTTTGTGGGTCAGAATCAAGTACAGCGATACCATTATAAACGAAGAACCATTGGTCATTTGAATACGTTATTGTGTAACTGAATAAGGTATACTGAAAATCCGGGTCAGTGAATGTGACTTGCGAAGTGTCAGAAGGCAAAACTGGACAAGAACTCTGTGTAGTACTAGTCTAGAAAGATGTTCTGATATCTGAAACGATATTAGTGACCCACTTTCAGAGCCACCATAAGATTGCTGCTGGAAGTGAGCTTCTCAATTTCATAAACGCTTCCAAAGTTGAAGATTGTACACGAAGCATCGTTTCCAAATGCCAAGACACAGTACAAAGATTTATAGCAATAGGAGACGCAACTGGACCAAGATCCGACTGAAACTGTCAGTGGATCCGATGAGTTGGTAGGTCGACCCCAAATCACTATCATTGAAGGATCACTGCCCTGTTGAAATTGAAACGTTCTGGCGGCCGTTCAGAACATCCCAACTACCTACCACTAGACCGATTTCAATAAGGAAGATCGCGGAAGAGAACGAAAAAAACATGATTTTGTGCAAAAGTGCGAAGCGTGCTCTCAAGACATTCACGAGACATGCAGCACCATTTGTGGTCATGGCAATTGGTGCCGACGAGAAAAAAGAGGAAAGAATAATGAGGGTGTTTTGGGAATAATATGTATGTGCCTTGATCGGGTGGTTTTTCAGCGGACACAAAAAAAACGACGAAAGTTGATCACAAAATGATTAAGTGTGTCTTGATCTATCTATGGCTGCATAAAATAAAGCACAAAAACATAATTTATTAGGTCTTGTGATTATCCTTTTCGATGGAGAGAACCCTGTGTCTGCAATAACACTTAGTAAAAAATAAAACCTAATCCGTCATGACATAGGTATTCTATTCATCTAGGTTGGGTATATAAACTCCAAGCTAGACACTAGATTGGCCCCAAAAACAGCTCTAAACATCATCAAAGTGATATCAGGTAACAATGAATCGTCTTCTGCAGTACGGTTCCGTCGATGCGATTCCCTTCCACAACTGTAGCTGGAAGTCTGAATCCGAGTGGTGGGAGACTGGAGTTCAACGCCCGTTGCTCGGTATTCCCATTGCCACTTTCGGAGTTTTCATTGAGCTTCTCTACGTTCCAATCGTATTCATAATCTTCAAAACGCGTCTAATTCGCCATGCTTGCTACAAAATAATTGTGCTGTTGGCCGTGGCGGATATGAATGCGATTGGTACGTGATTCGATTCGCTGTTGTACCATAATCGCCAGTTTCAGCTTGTAGTTGCATAATAAGTGGAATCCTCTACACTCAGGGCGCCGTCTTCTGCACTTATCCGACTTTTATCTATATAACCGGATGTTTTGCTCTGAGCACTTGGTGCATGGCGTGTGCCATTACCGTATCTCTTTTCTTTAACCGTATTGCGAGCATTAGCTTTCAAGACTACGCGGATCGTGTCGAGAAGCGAATGGCCTACATTTCGATGGTCGTTTGTCTCGCCTACATGTGCTACTTCACCTTTTTCACTTCGCCGGCGTTCTTCAACTCTAAAATCATGGCTTGGATCTCTGACCCACTTTCTGAGCAGGAACTCAGTCAAGAGGCGTCTGATATGGTACGTCTAGACACATTCACTAAGAGCGTCTTTGTAGAGAGGTTCATTTATTTTGCCGATGATTAATATCTATTCAGTATCGGAATAACTCTCAAACATGGAACAATGCCTTATTTGTCGCCTGCATTTTCATCCTATTCACCGTCTATTGCGCAATGGTCAACAAGCTCGCCCGGGGACAAAAGTCGAAGGCTGCGAGGGCGGTGAGCTCTAGTCCTGTTAAAATTCGTCATCAAAAGCCTTCGAGATCTTCATCCAATGCTCCGTCATCTGTTTCTTCAACACCGTCACCGCACTCATCTACAACGCGCTCGCCATCGTGACTCCGGCTCCGTGGATTCTGGTTTTCGGCCAGTTGTGCTGGTCAATCAACCACGGCTGTCCGGCGATCATCTACGTGACAATGAACGACACGATCAGGCGCGAATTCATAAAACTCGTGTTGCGTACTGCGTCACAGGTGATAGTGATGACTAATTGATTGAAATGTGTTGGTTACCTTCAGAAAGTTGAGGACTCGAGCATGGGCACCGTCACCAACAATACGAAATCGCGAATTTGATAATTGTAGCCGTGTCCACTGAAAGGATCTTGTGTTTGTGTTCTTTGAAGTGTCGCTCTACTACTGCACTGAAGAGAATGAATTATATAATTTTTTTTTACAAGTGTGCTTGTTTTCTTCAAAATCACATCACCAGAATAGAATTTAAGAAACATGCAATTCTTTGAAAAGTTGTGTGAAATGATATTGGCTCGGATTTAGAAGAGAACTGTAGCTCATTGAAGTGGTGACTAACAGAAGGCGCTGCAAAAATTCCGGTGTTAATCTTTCCTTTATCCTTCCCCTTTTACTGTTCCTTCTTTTGAATAATTCCTGGCCGCTCGGATCCGATGAAGGTATTCTGAAACCAAAGAACATTCCTTAACTCTTTGGCATTAAATGTGAAAAGCCAGGATATAATGCAGCATTTAGACTTTTGTCTCTAAGAAGTTGAAAATAACGACACTCCTCCCAATTCTTTTGAATATACGTAACAACTGACATATGATAACTGAGAACAAGCTACGCCCCTTTTTTCCTTAACAATTCCGTGCTTATCAGTTGCTGTGCTCCCCGTGGACGAGACTCAGTTGATCTCGATGGAACGCTTGATCCGTTACGGAAGTGTCGACTCTATTCCCTTCTACAACTGCAGCTGGAAGTCGTCGGACGAATGGACGAAGAACGGATTACGCCGTCCGTTTCTCGGATGGTTGTTGCTTGTGTTCGGAGTGTCTGTCGAGGTCAGTTCGAATTGGAAATGTGCTCTGATGCCATCCTGAATTCAGTTCCTGTACCTGCCAATCCTCTACATAATCTTCAAAACTCGTCTAATCCGTTACGCGTGCTATAAACTCATCATCCTGCTTGCCGTAACTGACATGAGCGCAACAAGTACTTACTTGCCCGATCTTTCCTCTCTTTTCATCATAACTAAATCCTTATTCTTCGTTTTCCAGTGTGCGCCTCCATCTTCAGCGGTTTCCTTTACATCCAAGGAGCCGTGTTTTGCACGTACCCAACATTTGAGTACATTTCCGGTGGATTCGCAATAAGTAGCATTACCCGCTATTCAGCCCATTCCGGCTCATGATCTATACTTTCAGACACGTGGTGCATGGCGTGTGCCATTACCATCTCATTGTTCGCCAACCGCGTGTGCAGCATTGCCTTCCGCGAGTACGCGGACGTCATCGAGGGCAAACTCACCTACACTTCGATGTTCTTTTCCGTACTTTACGGCGGATACATTTTGTTCTTCACGCCCATCATCTGCTTCAACAGTGTCGCGATGGCGTGGTTGCCGGAGCCATTGTCCGAAGAGCGCGAGAGTCCGGAAGCCGACGCGTTCTACAACAACGATTGGCAGTCGTGGAACAACTGGCTCTTTGTGCTACTCATGTTCATCCTCTACACTACCTATTGCCTTCTCGTCAAGAAGCTGGCTCAGGGACAAAAGTCGAAGGCGTCGAAAGCTGTAAACAGATTTAGGATTTTGGGTGATAGGGGGGAAATTAGTCAGAGAACAGAAATGAGTAGGGTTTCGTGAATGGCCACCAAGTGCTCTTTCAGATCTTCTTTCAATGCGCAGTCATCTGCGTTTTCAACACCGTCACCGCACTCGTCTACAATGCGCTCTCCATAGTCACTCCTGATCCGTGGATCGTCCTGCTCGGCCAACTCGCGTGGTCCATCAACCACGGATGTCCGGCCATAATTTATTTGACAATGAACGACACTATTAACAGAGAGTTTCGCAAACTTGTTTTCAGACAGATCCCAACGGTACTGTTTTTGGGAGAGTCTGGATAAAATTACATCATTGCAGAAAGTGGATGACACCACCAGCAATGTTCAAACTGTGGCAACTACTAATAAAGCTCAAGTGCTTCTACTATAAGTGATCCGATGGATTGGTCGGACGAATAGACATTATCATTGGAATTCTCGATCTGTAATAAAAGCTTGAAAACACTATTGTGATCTCAATAATCTTGTAGGTTGGGTAAACCTCTAAGAACTTATATTGGAAAAGGTTATTGCATTTGAGTAACGGCTCTAGATAACAAAGAACACAATGGGAGTACTGGAAGCTAAAAATCACTGAAAACGAACGTCTGAAAGTGCTTTTCAGGTTTATTTGAGTTGAACTTTGTCAAAAATTTTTGGCCGGGCTAAAACTTTTAGAGTACAGAACTTGGCAAAGTTTCAGAAAATTCACAGAACCAATTGTAGGTTCCTTGTGAGAATGTGAATCGAAAAAGACTACAAAATAGACTTTGCAGACTGATCACTGTTTTGTTGAATAAAAAACTTCACAGATCTCACGTTATATTGAAAACCGAAAACCCACGATAACTAGTCGTTGAATTGAGTTGTTGACTAGCTTCTAATTTACGATATTCATCTGAAAAATCATTACCAGAACGCTGGCATCGACAAAAAAGGAAAGAGGAAGAGATATCACTGATCAGAGCACATCGGAGCATATAAAAGCGCATGTTCCTTCCTTTCTCGCCATTTTCTTTTTCATTAGAATGAATCGTCTGCTCGAGTACGGTTCCGTCGAGTCGATTCCCTTCTACAACTGCAGCTGGAAGACCCAATCCGAGTGGTTCGAGACAGGATTACGACGCCCGTGGCTCGGATATTCCACTATACCGTTCGGCGTACTCATTGAAATGATATATATTCTAGTTGTGTACATTATTTTCAAAACCAAACTGATCCGTTACCCTTGCTACAAGATTATTGTCCTACTGGCAATTGTGGACATGACTGCTACAGGTTTCCAATATCTGTTGAAAGTGAGATTAAAGTAGACGTTTCAGTGTGCAGTTGTCTAATCAGTGGGCCGCTTTACATCCAAGGCGCCGTTTTCTGCTCTTATCCCACTTTTCTGTACATGATCGGAACGATTGCTCTTGGTTTGTATTCACGGCTTTTTCATTCCGGCATTCTTTTCCTTTACAGCCGTGTGGTGCACCTCTTGTGCGTGCACCTTTTGCCTCTTCCTAAACCGTATCGTCAACATCACACTTCCGCAATACTCGGACGTGATCGAAGCGAAACTCGCGTACGCCTCCATTCTCGCCTGCATCTTTTATTTTTTCTACCTGGTCGTGTTCACCCCCACAGTCTGCTTCAACTCGCTCATAATGGCCTGGTTGCCGGATCCGTTTTCCGAACGAGAGCAGAGTGAGGCAGCCGCCGACTACTACCGTAATACCATTCAAGCGTGGAACAACTGGATCTTCGTTAGCAGCATGATTGTATTCTATGGCATTTACTTTGTAAAGGTCAAGAAAATAGCGAGAGGACAAAATTCTAAAGCTTCAATGGCGGTAATCAGAGGGGAGTCTAGACTCATTTGAAAACAATAATATCATCCAGATCTTCGTCCAATGCGCCATAATCTGCTTCTTCAACACCATCTGTGCTCTCGTCTACAATTCGTTCACTCTGATCACTCCTGCTCCGTGGATTTTGCTTGTTGGCCAAGTATTTTGGAGTATTAATCATGGATGTCCGGCTCTCATTTATATAACTATGAATGAGACAATTAAAAAAGAGTTCAAACGATTGGTGTTTGGCATTGCTTATACTCGCAAGATTGAGGATACCAATTCTACTACAAACCCAACGAGATCGAAGATTTGAATTTTGTTTGAAATACTAATAATCATTACCTAATAATCATAAATATTGTAAACCTAAACATTTTTGTCTTTTTCCTTTTCTTTCTGCTTCTCAACCTCCGCGCTTCGCTTCAAGTTGATCTCTCTGAAGTGACTCAAACATTATCATGGTACGGTACTGAACGCGAAGCTCACTTTTTGACAAACTTGCGAATTCTCCGCCACACCTCTTTGCAGTTCTCAATGTTATCATGAGCTGCTTCGGGAATCCATTCCGGAGCCACTTTCGTGACGGCCCTCTCGCACAGCAGCTCTCCGTGCGCAATCGGGATCATCCTGTCTTCCTTTCCATGGATTATAAGAATCGGAATTTGGATTTCGTGGATCTGACAGAGAAGAGGTTTAAAAAGGGAAAAGTTAAGTCACAATCACCTTATCAATTGTGGTAAATCGATCGATGCAACACGTGGGCTTATCCAAATGGTTCTTCCTTCCGAGCATACCTCCGATCACTCTGAGGATTGAAGTTGGCGGGGCTTGCAGGATGACTCCCGCCGGTTTCCGTTCCTGTTCGTGACGGAGCAGCTCTACAGTGGCAGCTGACCCGATCGAGAATCCCAGAAGAACTAGGCTCTTCGGATCGACGCGCTTCTCAATTGTGATGTACTAAATGAAAACTCAATTGATTTCATTCCATGGACGGGATCTCACATCATAGATCGCGCGAATGTCCGCGTACATGTTCGTCTCCGATGGCGTTCCACCGCTGATACCGTATCCCGAGTAGTCGTAACTGTACACTTCGCATCTGTAGAACCTTGCCACGTCGACCAGAGATGGCACGCCGATCAGGTGATCCGAGAGATCGGAGCCGTTCGGATGCGAGTACAGGAGAGTGAAACGAGGACGGCCTTCCGGGCAGGCGATGTGCACGCAGGCGATTCTCTGCAAAAAAGCAAAAAAATCGTAAAGACATCTCATCTGAATCTATCAATCGTTTGACCTACATTCTTCTTGGCCGTCTTCAGTGTGAATCCCTCCACGTGTTTGACATCGTCGGCGCACGGATGGTTCAGTCCGAACCGATATCTCTCGCCGAGCACACACTTCCGCGCTCTCCTCAATTTCTTCAATCGCTTCTTTCTCGCCTTCATTTTTACAGCGTCACTCTCGGTTTCCACGTCGATTTGCACGTCTCCGACGGGCGGTTTGAAGAAGTAATAGTCGCGTGGTGGAGGCCAGAATGCCACCTGCAACATTTAAAGAACATCATCGAGGGATTCTCTCGAACTGACTCTCGGAACAATGCAGCAGCACGGAGGACAGCACGCGACGAACACGATCCGTTTGAAGCGTTTCCAGTGGGCGCGGAACGCGTCGGCAGTGTCGGTGACTTTGTAACAACGGGTCAGAGGACACACACAGATTCTTTGCAGTCTCTTCTGCCTAAAAAGTCTCGTTCTCAGTGGGTGAAGCGCTTCGGTGCAGCTCACTTGCACTTTTCAATCTTATCTAAAAACCAGTCCTCATCCCGCAATGTTTTATCATTGTTCACCGTATCCGCATCAATGTTCACCGCCTCTTCGTCGAGCTCATTTTCTGCAAGCAATCCCCAACTTGATTCGCACATTTCACCCACTTTTGTACTTGACTCTCCTCGTCGAGTAGCTCGACAGAATCACAAATTTGCTTTGGCTTCTCTTGCTCTTCACCGATCCGTTTTCCTTCCGATCAAGAAGGTATTCCGGTGACGCTGTTCTTCTGGACCTTTCCGATCTTTGTGTTTTATCCAGTTGAAGTTCTTCACATCTTCTGCTCTTCCGGGGGCTCCGTTGAGCTGAAAGGAAGTGACGAGGTTTAAAAACTTTCGAAAAAGCGAGCTCACAATTGACTTCTTCATTTTTCGTTAGCATTCTGTCAATCGCTTGGCTTCTGATCTTCTTTTGATTTAGAAATTTTTATAGAGAAATATGGAATTGTGAAAAAAGTTTATTCATGACGCATGATGTCTGATGTTAAACGGTCACGTAGACGTGCTCAACTACCGTAATCCAGTTCAATGGAAACCCCTACATGATCTTAGGCTTACGGTTTAGCTATTATTCATTCTTCAAGCCAAGGAAATCTGATTCAACCTAATCCCGCTAAGGCGAAGAATGATATAGAACAAAACAGAAAGACGTCAATAGAATACCTAAAAAAAGCAATCAAATGTCAATATAAAAGGGGTTCTCATCTCAAAATACATCCTCTCATTCCTTCAATGAATCGTCTCATCTCGCACGGTAATGTCGAGGCGATTCCGTTCTACAACTGCTCGCGGAGGAGCCACGACGAGTGGATGGCGATGGGAACGAAACGACCGTGGCTCGGATACCCGCTCATTGTGTTCGGCATTCTCATCGAAATGCTCTACGTGCCCATCATTTATATCATCTTCAAAACCAAACTGATTCGCCATTCCTGCTACAAAATCATCATCCTTCTTGCGTGCATCGACATGAGTGCCACGTGTTGCAGCTGTCTGATCACCGGACCGCTGCTTGTGATGGGCGCCGTGTTCTGTGCCTACCCAACTTTTATTTACATCGCTGGAGGATTTGTTTTGAGTGAGTAGGGATTACTAAAGTTATTATTCTCTTTTTTGTTGTAGTTACTGGGCTACTGTAGCACTTTTGCACAACCTTTTTAGCTACCGTTCCCCTTTTCAGACACGTGGGTGATGGCGTGCGCAACCACGATCTGCCTCTTCCTCAACCGCATCGTCAGCATCGCATTCAACAAGTACGCCGACGTCGTCGAGAAGAAGATGGCGTACGCCTCGATCGTCTTCTGCCTCTCCTACGGCTTCTATTTCATCTTCTTCACTCCGACCCTCTGCTTCAACTCGACCATCATGGCCTGGCTCCCGGATCCGTTGGCCGAGAAAGTGCCGAGTCCACAGGCCGCTGATTATGTACCATAATCGAAGGAATTTTTTGATTTCAAGTATACATTTTTCAGTACAAAAACACACCCCAAGCGTGGAACAATTGGATTTTCGTTGGCTCAATGGTCGTTTTGTTCAGCACGTACTATGTTTTGATCAAAAAGATTGCGATGGGTCAAAAGTCAAAGGCTTCCAAGGCTGTGAGTTTGGGTTCTAATCGGTTTTTCGGTGACTACACTAATGGTTTTGTGAGTGTTGTGATCCTTTATGTTCTCCGTTCCCAAATAGTTTGTCCAAATTCCCAGATATTCATCCAATGCGTCATCATTTGCTTCTTCAACACCAATATCGCTCTTATCTACAACGCCCTCCCGTTTGTCACTCCCGCTCACTGGATCCTTCTCGTTGCTCAGCTCGCCTGGGCCATTAACCACGGATGTCCGGCGCTCATCTACGTCACAATGAACGAGACGATCAGAAGAGAGTTTCAGCGCCTCGTGTTCCGGACGGTTTCAAGGGTGAGCCCGCCTATTTCGGAGCATGTTCGATTGAAACTCTTGCAGAAAGTCGTCGATAACTCTTCCTCGGCGATTCAAACAGCAACCAATCGTTCGCGTATTTGAACACTTACCGTATCTAATAAATCTTCTGTAATTGTCAAAAATTTGCTAAAGAAACTGTTGAAGCTAGGTCGAGTCCATATAGATTACGACTAGAACGAAGAGAAGAGCTAGAGAATGACTAGGAAATGCGCTCGAAATGTTCCTAGCGAGTCAAAATCAAATTTCATTCCCAATGTGGGGGAATTTTGAACAGAAGATGTGTTGGGAGAAGGGAGAGGGGAATCCAATACCTGTCCAGCTAAGGAATCGATTCCGTATCGACGCAAGGTGTTAGAGGACAGAAAGTTTAGAGTTTCAGAATGTTAAAGAGAGAAACAAAAGGCAAAGTGTATGTCATTAATAAAACATTACGAGAAAGGGAAGGAGGGAAAGAAAGAGACGGGAAAATAGTAAAGTTTCTACGGTTCTAGAGAAGAGAGATTCCACGGTGGACGGTAAAGAATTACAAGATTGAAATCGAAAATCGGGGAGAACTGGAGAGGGTGAAAAAGTGAAAATGTTACAAATATAATGAAGAAAATGTTCAGGTAGAAAGATTAGAAGGCATCAGAGAAAGAAGTTTAGGTCAGAAAGAGGGTAGGAAGAAAGTTATTTAACGTGGCGCAAATTGAGGGGGAGGGTAGGGGAACTGCGGGGGCGGCAGTTGAGTCGGCGGTGGCACGGACATTTGCTGCTGGTGGAACATCAACAAATGCGGAGGGACCGATCGGAGCGGAGGAGGTGGCGCCGTGAAATTTGGCGGTGGTACCGTCTGAAAATAACAACTCTTTCGTCGCATTTATTCAAGACACTCTTTACCACATCGATCGGGAAGACCGGCATAACTGGCGGTGGTCTGATCTGCACCGGCGGCATTACAACCATCGGCGGCGGCTGCGAAACGAGTAGCGGCGACGGCTGTGCTGCCATCGGGTTGATGAGCGCCTGCGGCGGAACACTCGTCGGAGTCATCAGCTCTTTGGACGGGTACCCGAAGCGTGGCGAGTTCGTGCTTGCACTGAACGACGAGCGTCCTCCGGAAGAGAGCGCCGAGGAAGGACCTCCCATGTCGAACGACTTTCGTGGCAACGAGGTGTTCAGGGTCAGTGGTTGCTGAAATACACATTGTCTAGAAGGATGAGAAGCTGAAAGCGCAAACCGAGACTTCGACCTTCGTCTGGACAGGTGGGAACGAGAAGTTACTCTGCTTCTTCACAACCGGAGACGGCTGAGCCGAAGTGACCTGCGGTTTCGGAGTGGTGATCTTGACTGGCGGAAGGATGATCGTGGCCTGCTGCTGCTGAACAATTGGCGGCTTCACATTGAAAGGCGTAGTCACAGGCGCGGGGACCGGATTCGAGACCGAAGGAGAGGAAAGCGCGTTTCCAGAGTTTCCGGACGAGAAGGTGGTGTGGGTGATCGTCATGGGACGAGGCGAGGGCTGTGAATGTCCTCCGTACTGGTTGCCTCCGGATGGTGGACCACTTGTCGACGGTCTATTGAATTGCGGCTGGTAGTGCTCGTTGTGATAGTTTCCTCGATTATTTCCTCCGTGCCCGTGCGAGTGATATCCACCGCCTCCACGTCTTCTTCCCGGAACCACTAACCACGAACGGCACTCGTAGTTCATTTTGGCGACGCGATCGAACGCCCATTGCTCGTTTGGCGGTGGCGGATCAATGAAGATCACCTCTTCGCAAGGCTCACCGACTTCAACGGTCGGCAGCGACATGGCCGCTTTGTGCTGCATCAACGCGTCCGTATCCAGCTTTTCGTTTTCCGCGTGTTCCTGTCTGAGAAGTCGCTTCTGATGCACATCCTCCTCGGGCACAAACACCATACACTTCCGATTGAACTCCTCGAACGCCATCAGTTTGCGTTTTCTTTTATCTGCCATACAGTTGGTCATGTCCAGAATGTAGTTCTTTCGACGACGCGGAGCCAGCAGAATGAGCCGAGCCATCGACTTTCCGATGATTCCGCGCAGGAAATCGGGACGTTTGAGGGACGGAAGGCGTATTCGGGACACTCCGTTCACTTTCATCGCGTCCATCACCATGTCGGCGCTGATGAGAGTCCAGTGCTCATGCGGATGCTCGGCCAAATAACGACGAACCCAAGTAGTCTTTCCGACTCCCGGAAGTCCGACAGTCATCAGGACGGTACAGTCTTTTTTGGCCCCTGGGGCGACGTGAGAGCGGACGAGATGAGAACGATCCATTTCAGTGATGAACATCCAGTCACGATCTTCATTGATACTCCACTTTTCATCAGACAAATCTTGTCCCAAATTCACATTAATATTCGAGTTCTTCGTGCAAATCGTCGGGAAAATGACGTCTCCCTCTCTGAACTGAATTTTGTCGTACGGAGTTCCGACCTCCTTTCCATTGATCAAATACGAAATTGATCCTTGCACAAGGTCCAAGATGCAAGTGACAACGTCTCCAATGTCGAAAGTATGGCCAAAGTCGTAAAAGTGATTGTTGGTGGCACGCTTTCCCGACGCCGTGATGCACCAGGAGCCCGTGTACTCTCCGAGTACAATTGGAGCGCTTCCGAGCGAGAATCCGATCCGAACGTCCCCTCCGTCATGCATAAACTCGGTGGGAAGATGTTGAATCGATTGAAAAGCTTCGATTTGAATCTGGAATCCGAGTTTCGACGCCTTGTCCTTGTCGGTTTTGACAAATGGAAGGGTGATTCCGAAGTTGGAACGAACTCCTCCCCACATGAGAGCCAATCCATCCTGACAGAACGGCTCGATCTGCCATATATTCTTATCGGCGCTCTTCACGTGTATATCCGCGTTATCTGCAAATTCCAGAATACTCTATCGCTCTTTTCCAATGCACAAACTCACAGTAATCCAGCTCAATGGTCTCCACATCTGCTGGAAGTCTCTCTTCGTCAGGAACCTGCACCAACGGCTTCTTGTCTTTCTTCTTCGGCTTGATACCAGCTGCAATCTCGTATAGCTCGTTCTCATCCACTTCTGGCACCGGCTCTCCATGATAATACACTTCTTCCGGCTTCTCTTCATCGTGTCTTTTGAGCAGAGATTCCATCGGAATATCATTCTCTATCTGTGCATACTGATCCTTTCTTGCTTCTGCAGCAGTCGACAGAGCGTCGAGAACAGGAAGGATCTTGAGAAGGTCTCTAGCATCGTTGAACGCCATCGGACCATCATCCTCTTTGTCCTCATCATCTTTCGGCTCTTCCGCACTTTCGGACTCTTCCTCCTGCTCTTCCTCTTCATCTCCAGCTGCTTCTTCGTCTTCTTCATCTTCCGCTTCGTCCATTTCTTCATCATCCATCTCGTCGACTTCTCCTATGTCTTCCGCATTCGACGGACGATAATCATAGACCAAAGTGGATTCCTCATCGGCTCCAGCTTCCATCGGATCGTATTCTCCCTCTCCGAGCTCCATGGCTCTCCGGCGTCTCTCCTCATTAATCGCGGCTTTCTTCTTGAGCTCCTCGGCCTTGTTGATCGCCTTCGGAGCCGGTTCCTCGTACATTCCGTTGGTCTCTGCAGTCTGCGGCGCTTCAATGGGTCGCTGCTCCAGCTTGATCATCTTCGCAGCTGGCTCCGAGCTCTCTATAACCGTATCTCGGATGACGAACTCCTCGTCGCCATCTTCATCCTCATCCTCCTGCAACTCTTCCTTCACCAACGGACGCTTCACAGAAACTTCAACAGGCTTGAGCCTTGGCGGTGGCGGCGGAGGCGGGGGTGAGATGTTTTTTTGGGCTGCAGGAGGAGGGGCAGTCGGAGGAGCGAAAACAACAGGCACTGGCGATGAAGATTCTCCAGCGAACAGTTCTTGGACTCTCTGAAACGGAAAAAAAATAGTTTTAATGAGAAGGAAGCGGAATTACTCACTCTTTGCAAATCGGTTGTAGTCGAGGAAACAGCGGGAGGCGCTAGAATTGGAGGTCTCGGTGGCGGCGGCGGGATTCCGTCTGTTCGTTTCGGCGGGGGCGGCGGTGGCGGCGAAGATCGTCTTGAGATCTGTATGGCGGTGGTGAGAGTTGGCGGAGGAGCATTCTATAATATGGAATGGGTTAGACGGGGAGCCGGGGAGGAACGGAAAAGGATGAAATACTTGAAATATGGTAAAAGTTCGGAATATGGATATCCGTGTCAGTAGAATAAAAAAGAACAAAGAGTGGAAAAGAAGGGAAAGCGGGAGCCGTCAGTGTTTTGACAGCCGGGGAGAGGGCAAATCGAACAATTTATTGTCTTCTGTGATATTATCCGTTACGAACTCACCGCCTTCGCATAAAACTGAGGGGGAAAGTCGACGGGAGGCTGATCGAATCTCGACCGACGCCTCGGAGCGACTCCGAGCATTGGTGGAGGTGGTGGTGGAGGGAGCATCGTGGAGAACACTTGAGGTTTCGTCTGAGCGACAGGTGGATTGAAGAACGAAATCGTCGGATATTGGAGCGGTTTTGGATGCGGAGAGAGTAGTGGGGCACCTTGTGCGACTGCCTTCTGCACAAATCCGTGACTGTACTCGGTGGCAGTGGCATCAGATCCACCGCCAACTCTTGGGACATCCACCGATGGTTCTGAAAAAAAAACAACGAATATAACTAAAACAATAGAGCTCATGTGGTCCGTACTCTTCTCAACTTTCTCCTTCTCCGCAATAGTCGACGACATGAGCGCGGCAATCGTATCCAAAGAGCCACCGCCGTCTTGCTTCTTTTTCTTCACAACTTGTTCACCTTTCGGCTTTCCCTCATTTTTTTTCTCCGCAACAGGAGCAGCAGATGGCTGCTTCGCCTCTTCCTTCTTCTTGTGCTCAGCCATTTTGGCAGCCCACTGAACCTGCCAATCCGACTGCTTTGGCTTTGGCGGTGGGACTGGCGCGCAATTCGTCGAGTGTCGGATTTTCTTCACTTTGTCGGACTTCTCCACTTTCCGTTGATGATGATAATTATAGCTGTCGGAGCTCTCCGCATGATCTTTATGCTTAGAAGGGCGGTTCACTTGGAAGTCAGGATCGGAAGATGAAGTGGAAGAAGCGGCTTTTCCGATTTTGCCACAACTATCGTCTGAATCCACTTCCTCCTTCACTCTCACCAACTTCTTCTCCTTTTCCTTCGGTTTTACAATAACCTCTTCTTGCTGCGCCGTGTCTGGCTCCTCCAATTTTATGCTCCGGATCGTCGGAGACTCCTGCGCAACAGCCGGTTCTTCTTCGGCTGCCATTTCTTCATCCTCAGTAGTTGGCTCTTCGTCCACTTCCATTTGCTCAGAGGCCAAAAGTCTCGCGCTCTTCCGCCTGGATCTCTTCTCATCGCCGGCCGCAGTTACGTCAAAACCGTTTTGCTCCGTGGCAGCGACGGCAGATGAAGAGGGTCCATCAGAAGACGTCGCACCAGCATCTCCATCTGCATCTTCATCTTCCGGCTCCGTTTTGACAGTCACCGGCCTTCTTTTGGGTTTGACAGCCTGTAACTCCTTTCAAAATACATTAGTTGATTCTCTGTATTTATCTGCTTACCGGAGTAGCATTCTCCTTATTCTGTTTTTTGGAATTTCGTCGATTTGGCTGAACTGGCTCCGAAGGCTCAGCTTCCGCCTCTTCCTCATTGACGACTGGCTCTTCTTTAACAGAAATAGGCGGTGCCGCAGTTGAAGAGGTCGGAACTTCTGCTGCTGCTTCTTCTTGCTCTTCAGCCTCCTCGACAACTTCTGACTCCTCTTCTTCGTCCACTTCCTCTGTCTTCACCGTCTTTCCCTTTGTGGCTTTTTTTTTAGCTTTTGGGGTCGACTTTGCAGGCTTTGGAGTTTTCGGTGTCGCAGCTGGAGTCTTTTTAACAGACGGCTTCTTCTGAAATTCAAAAATGTTCAACTGAAAATCGTTATGATGACATACTGCTGGTGTGACTGGTTTTGCTTCAGGAGCAGACGTGGATGCTGTTGGCACAACGATGCCATCCAAAAAGCCGAGGAGACGTTCCGCGAGATCCGGTTGAGTTCCGCTAGTATCTAGACCACGCTCATGCAGCTCCTAGGAAAAATGTCGTTCATAAATTCAAAGTTCTATATTTCATTACCTTTACAAGACGCTTTTTGTCCCATAACGGAATTGTACATCTGTTTAGTTGGTTGGTATTACCGGCACTTCTCCGCGAGGACCTCGACGACATTGCTGAGAAGCCTTCAAAAAATATATTGATCTTAGGCTTATCTCGCGATAAAAATTAATTTTTAGGTAAGAAAGTAGGTGAATAGTTCAATAGCATCCGTGCACATCATTTTGCGTTTGGCCGAAAAATCGATAATTGGGCCGCGGCTCGTCGTACAACAGCGAGTGTACGAGTGATGGCCGTCCGAATTTCATAATTAGTTGCGAAATGCGCCCGCAAATCGACATTTCATAAAGACTATTTTGTGCTCAACAAAATACTTAAATTTTCTAGATTATTCACTCAAAAAAGCGCGAAAACCTGCGGTCGATTTTCGAAAAACTGGTCGAAAATTGAATCACGCGAAAAAAGAATGAAGGCGCATAACTTGTGCTCATGGATGACGCACTTTTTGATCCAGGTTGACGCATTTTACGTGCGTTTGAATATTTTGGTGGGAACGTGAAAAAAGACTTACCGTCAGTTTTCCAGCCGAATTTTCCATGCAACAACGTTTTATAGGATTTTCAGACATTTTCAGATAAAAAATTATTTATTGAAATTGTTTCCGAAAAATTTTCGAACACACCTGCAAGACAATGAACTCCGGCTCTTAACATATCCGGACAGTCAGTTTTAGTTCCAGTACGTCTCCAGATTGTGAAACCTCCATTTTTGAAAAATGAGAACATTTTCTGAATACAATAAATCTTTATTTAACACCGAAAAATCATGTATACACATGAGCAAGATATATGGTCAGAACGAAGCTATTAGATTTTGTTGAAGGCAACGATGTCGACGGACTGGACGTGATCCTCGAAGTCCCCCTGGATTCTCTCGATGAGGTCGTCGACGGAAACCTTCAGATCCTCGATGACGGTGATGATCTGGAGCTTCTTGATTCCTGAAAATGGAATAATTTTGATTGAATTAGGAGTGGTTTCTAACCGTATCCGATGGCAATGAGCTTGCCTCCTCCCCAGACGAGTCCGTCCATCTCGATGGAGCGGACGAGCTTTTCCATCTCGGCGAGATCAGTCTCATCGTCCCACGGCTTCACGTCGAGGATGACCGACGACTTGGCGATCGGACCAGCCTTCTTGGACTTCTTCTCGGCGTACGCGGCGAGTCTCTCCTCAACTATCTTCTTCTTCTCTGCGTCCTCCTCCTCATCGTCAGACCCGAAAAGATCGAAGTCATCGTCGGCAGCTTCGGTAGCAGCCGGGGTGGCAGCAGCGGCTGGGGATGCGGCCTGAAAATGAAATTTTTAGATTGAAAGATACTCTGGCTCTGACGGACCCTGATACACTGTCACTATTGCACTATTCTGCTAAATTTTATGGTGAAACAAAAAGAAAATCAACAAAACAAGGGTTGACCCGTACGTCTGTCTTCTGAATCCAACTTTCAAGTCAAAAATATTGGCAGACGTCTGGAGACGATCTGCTCGACAATTTGAACTCGCAATTCTTCATGCACTCGTCCACAGGCCTCTCGGCCCATCGGAAGATCGATTCCTTGCCAAATTATCCTGTAGATTCTATTGGGAAGACGCGGCTCCGGGCAAATTGACCGCAAAGCTTCTACTTCAATAATCTGAGCCAGACAGCTTCCGCCGAGTTCCTTTAAAAGCTGAAGTGCTGTTTTCTCTCCAGTTTCTTCGTCTTCTTTGAACAGGAAAGACAGATCTTGAGTGTAAAACGGTCGATAGTAGTTGAAGATGGCTTTTTTCGTCAGCTCCCGGTGAAGTTTGAAGTCGTTCAGAGTCTTTCCTTGATTATCGCATCTCTTGAAAACGAGGGTCAACGCTTCTCGAGTATTGAACCCTTTCAGCGTCTCCTTGTAACCGGAAGACTTGTACAACTCGAACTGCTTAGTTTCAAAAACTGCGGCCGAGTCTAACAGGAATCCTTCCTCCGCGCCGATATAGATGGCTTGCCAGGAGTCTTTTTTGTGCAACGGAAGCTCGTCAATCCATTCTTCGCTAATTTTGTCGATTCCAGACTGACCAGTAGCTAAACTTAACCGGAATTCCGCGTCGAAACTCATAATGGAACAGAGGCTTTTGAAGATTGCCGCGAGCAAAATCTTACTCTTCCTGAGGTTGGTCTTGCCGCCAGGATGCGGAAAGTTCATTATGACAGTGGAAAACTTTGACTTCCAGCGAGCAGGCAAGGCGGTGGCGTCGACTCCGAAAAGCAGAACTACATTTTCCAAACTTTGAAGAGCGTCCAAGGTTTCCTGTGCTTCATATTTTTGCAAAAATGCATCTCTCGAATCAAATACGGTGGCGAAGAAGATAGTGCGCGGGTCCGACAGAGCAATGGCCAACGAGAACGAGAGGTTCCCATCGCCGAGAATCAAAACGGTTCGATTTACCTTTCCTTGGCGAAGAGTGGAGATTTCGAGCCTGAGCTCATCAACAAGATTGGCCAAAAGCTCAACCTTCTTGACCAAGGCTTCGTGGTTCTCCTTGAGTGCTTCGACGTCGCCGGATCCGGACTCTTAAAAAATCTCCTTATTTTTAATAATGCGATCGCATTGCTTACCGCTCTTTCCACTCTTGTTTCTCAAGGCGTGCTTGGCAACATCCTTGGCTCCGTGAATAGCGGCCTTGAGGTCGTTCTTGCCTGCCTTTCCGTGCCTTCCTTTAAAAGCTTGTGAACGTTGCGTCATCTGACAAAGTCACAATTCTTACCGTCCTTCTTGTCGGTCTTGTGCTCGGAAGAAGTTCCTGGCTTCACGTCGGAGAAGACACGCTTTCCTCCGTAGACGAGTTGTTCGCCAACAGCGAGCTCGAGACGATGGGCGCTGAAGTGCTTGATTTCGGTGAGAAGAGCTTCGACGGACATGTTTTACCTGCAAAGTAAGAAATAGCCTTCAACAATCGAGCGGAAAAAAATAAATAGCAAACAAAACGCGAAAAATATGTACCAGAAGCGTGGAGAATTAACTTTTTGGGAAAAGAATCTGCGAAACGATTGTCCGAGTGTAGTCCAAAGCGACATCGTGGCGAGACCAACAAACTGCAAAATTGAATGCGCCTTTAAACTCAAAATGGTGCCACGACATGTCGCGACAGAAAGAAGGATGTTTTTGTTTTGTTCAACTCTGAGAGTGCTTTTTATCTATGACAGAGAAAATGAAGAGAAATTAACCAAAAGTTAATTATCAACGTCAGAGGCTTGAAAAGCAGAGAACACGCGTTGTCAAATAAATTTAAGTTATTTTCGATTATAAACTGTTCTGACAAATTTTTACATGTTATAATTGAAAATAAATTGAAATCGATTCAAAACGGTTTACCAAAGGGGAATTACAATATCGGCATTTCGGTGCAAAGTGTAAGACACGTTTAATTAACAGTAGCATGACATAAATAAAGGGAGAAAATGAGAGTCAACTTTGAGAGAATTGTACAAATTTACGATCTAATGAATGGAGGTTAGAAAAGCGATAGGAGAACCGCGGCAGTGTTATTCTGGATGTCTTCATAGAACCGTCGGATTCTGATAATTTAGGAAAGTCGAGGAAATCAGGGCGGTCCAAGGTAATAGAACCGCGAAATAATAGAACTGCGACACAATAGAACCGCGACATAATATAACTGTTTGGAGCGCCTTTTAAACCTTCCTGTAGAATAATTGTTTCGTAGAAAAATATAATTTTTAAATCTCGTGATCGATTTATTGCATTCATTAGTTTCACTTCCGTCGTGATCCCTCTCCTCTACGGTAACGAAAACCCACAGAAAATAATTTTATTGTACTATCGAAAACGGAAGGATACCAATTTTCTAGGTATAAACTGTGGTCTTCTGCTTAATTGTTCGAGAGACGAAAAATTTTGCGAAAGTTAATTGAAAGGAACGGACAAAATGCTCATATAAATACACAAAAACAGTTCTATTAATAATAAACTATTATGTCGCGGTTCTATTCTGCGCAGTTCTATTATTTCGCGGTTCTATTCTGCCCAGTTCTATTCTGCCCAGTTCTATTATGTTGGACCGCCGTAATCAGTTTGAGAAGGCAATTATATAGCTGACGGACAATTTCTATGAACTTGTTCATAACGGATTGAGAAAGTTTTTCCTGAGAGTTAACCACGCTTCCAGTTGGACTTTTTCTGAATATTCGTCATTTAAATGAATTTGGATAAAATCGTTGTAAAGCTTTGAGCCAGGACAAAAATAAAGAAAAAAGTCGATAAGGATCTCACTAATAGTAAGCTATTCGCTTCCATTGAGAATAGGGTAAAATAAAAATCAAACATGATTCGAGTTCCAGTTATTATAGGGGCACCGCACAGAAATGGCGCTCTATTCAGAAACTCTTTTTGCAGTGCAAATTGAGCGACCTCGGGGCCGAGTTTGAAAAGTTAGGCCACGTTTTCAGTGGAAAAACACTTCGCGGCCTGAAGTTCGGCCAGATTGCGAACAGAGCGTCATTTCTGTGAGATGCCCCTATAATAAGCATTAAGCAGTGAGCAAGAAAAGCTGGAAATGTAGAAACTGTTTGAGAATAAAAAACGTCTTGCGACGGATGTTTAATGTACGGATACGTCTGCTATTATAGGGGCACCGGACAGAAAGGGCGCGCTATTGAGAAGAGCCCGCGAAAACCTGGGGGACTCTAAATTTGAATGGTGTGAGAAGAGAAAGTTAGTCCGCGGCCACGTAGGCTGCTGCAGAAATTTTTGTTTTCCTTCTGTTTTCCGTTTTCTTTTTAATAAATCGATTGTGTTCTCACCTTTTTCGCAGTGAATTTAATTAGTTTTTTCTTTTTCATGTTCGAAATATGCGTTTCTAAACAGATTCAATCAACATTTTGCGGAAAATAAGAGAAAACACTGACGACGTGCACCATTTTTCGACTGCGATAGCTTTTTATAGAAATTCTATACATGAAAAAGAAAAAATTAATTAAATTCACTACGAAAAAGGTGAGAACACAATCGATTTATTAAAAAGAAAACGGAAAACAGAAGGAAAACAAAAATTTCTGCAGCAGCCTACGTGGCCGCGGACTAACTTTCTCTTCTCACACCATTCAAATTTAGAGTCCCCCAGGTTTTCGCGGGCTCTTCTCAATACACAGGAAAAACGGGAACAGCGAAGAATCACTGAAGGATTAGACACGCTAACCACTGAGCGTGGAACAATCGGTTACTGAACTCCCGTTTCGCCGATTACTGATTCCTCACTGATTCCTCACTGCCCAGCGTTCGCTTCCCGCTCTTCCCCTCCGTTCACTGATCCGTCGCTGATTCCTCACTTCCCCGCGTTCGCTTCCCTCTGTTCCCGTTCACTTCGCTCATTGTTTCCCGTTTTACTCGAGTCTTTGCCTTTTTTCACTTGGACTAAGGGGGAAGAGTATTTCGATGTGATGGTTCAAATAAAAATTATCGGAAAATTGAGAACAAGTCCAAGTAGTCAAAGGACACGAATGATATCGTTTTTTGCCTTTGCAGTCAGCAAAAAGTCACCCAGTTGAATTTATATGCATTTTCGCTCCAAGTTAAAAAATTTACAAACAAACTGTTTGTCGCTTTCTTCTTTACACACTTTAAGTGTGCCTTACCGAAATTTTTTTTACCGAAAGAAGTGAATTTCGGTAAATTTTCGGTAAAAACGTTTTTACCGAGCTCGTTCTTTTTTTGACAAGGGAAGTGACTGATGTGACCAATTTAGAACATTCTGAACAACATCCCAAACATCAGGAACACGCTGAACAGTCGCCTCAATGTTCCGTTCTCAAAATTGACACGAGCGTTCGAACTGTTACGCGCATGCAAGCGCGCCCTACCGAACATCGTCGGCGTCTCTTCAATCTCGCACTCTCTAATTTGAATAAATAAACAGCTGGCCTAAAATTTGCGTAGTATCTGGTGCCAAGTACGCAAAATATCTAGAACGGTGTTTGCACAGGGGCGACACGCAGCCAATGGGCGTACGCCGGCGTAAAGGCGGCAAACGAAAATTTTGAATCGGTGCGTAGCGCCCTTCGAAAATAAATTCAAATTTTTATGGCGGGAGTTCTGAATGAACACACGTGAATTGAAAATTGTTTCGAAAAAGTACCCATTTACCGATAAAATTTACCGAAACTTTTACCGATAAAATTTACCGAAACTTTTACCGAAATAGTTTCGGTAAATTTACCGGTAAATTTATCGGTAAATTTTCGGTAAACTTTCGGTAAATTGTTTCGAAAATTTACCGAAACTCTTTCGGTAAAAAAAAAGTTTTACCGAAAATTTACCGACAATTTACCGAAATTTTTACCGGTAAATTTACCGGTAAATTTACCGAAACCCTTTCGGTAAGGCACACTGCACACTTATGGGGTTATTCAGGCTGTGAAAAAAAAGATTGTTTTCCGTTTTTTTCGTTTTTTTTTACGTCAAAAAATATAATTCAGCGATGTAAAAAAAACGGAAAACAAACAGACGCTGAATAGCCCCATTACATGAAAAATTGAACAAAGTGCAAAAAAATCGACGAACAGTTCGAGTGAAGAAATTTTTAAACTTCGAAGGCAAAACTTTGCGACAGCGGAAAAAAATCTCAGAGTAACACAGAAAAAAAATCATAATTACAAAAAAAGCAAGTTACCGCTTCCAACATGATACTTATAAATGCTAACAAGGGCATATTGTCAGGACTTGTAAATTTTTAGAGTGTGGGCAAGACGGCAACACTAGACTAATCCTAGAGTGATCCCGTTTCAAGAGTGATCCTACACTAACTTCTCAGTGATCCCGTTTTGTTCAGTAGCTCCTCACTAATCTTTCGCTCATCGCGTTTCACTCATGCTTCGCTAATTCCTCACTGCGCTCCTCAGTAATCGGACAGTGATTCCTCACTGCTTAGCGTCCCCTTCAGTGGCTGTTCACTGGCCGATTACTGATTTCTGGCTAATCAGCGTCTACTCGGTGATCGCTCAGTAATCCCCGAGTGTTCCCGTTTTTCCTGTGTAGCGCGCCCTTTCTGTCCGGTGCCCCTATAATAGAGCATCTGTCTTCTCCTTTTCTCTCTCTATCCCCCTTTCTCATCGGAGTTCATCGACATTAGAGTGCATTACACCGAGGACATCCAGAATTCTGTAAGCAAAATTGCAAAATATAATTCATTTTTTGAATAAAACAACATTTTTAGTCTTCTTCGTCCGATTCCGGCGAGCTCTCCCTTTCCTCCAGTATGATTTCGCCCTGGAAAACAAGAAATTTGATTACTTTGGCACAGAGTTCCGAGGCTCACATCAATGCTTCGGCTTTTCACGAGTCCAACGGTGAACGCATTCAAACATTCGTTTTTGACCATCGCCGAGTGAATGACACGAAGACAATTCTCACTTTCGGCGCGCAATTCCGGAAATTTCTTGAGCAAATGCACACATTTGTTTGTTTTCGCGTAATTTCCAATGCTCTGCAGCACGCGATTTCCCTGTTGAACCGCCGAGAGAATCTTATCGACTCGCTTCGTAATCGCATCGAAATTCGTCCCTTTCGTGATATTATCCATCAAATAAATGAAGGAACTGCGTTTCGACACTGTTATCAGGAACTGCTTGCCTTCGCGGACGGCCGTGGTGAGCACCGCCGTCGTCCGAATCTTGTTCACTCGGAGCAGAAGGCAGAGGATCAGGAAGCACGAGGAGGCGGTCTCCCAGCTCTCCAGCGTCTCCTCGTCGTCGATTCCTCCATTCTTGGCAGCCGTCGCAGACATGTCGTGCTTGAGCACTCGTGCGTTAAGCCCAGAAAATATCGTTTTGAAGACCACTCCGAACGTGCCTTTGTTGATGCAATAGAACGTCGCCTTCTGATCGTCCTTCTCCAGCAGATCGTCGTCCGATTGTTGCGAGAACACACAGGATTTCCGTTTGTCGTCCTCCGGCACTAACTGCACCACCTTGTTCGTCAGGATCCATTGAATCGCCGCCAGTTGATCTCGCTCACGTCGGAGCCGAATGTAATGAGTGAGAATGTCACGGACGGCCGCGTTCAGTTTGGTGCCTTTGCTCCAGATCTCGTCCACTTTGCTCCAATCCTTTTTCAGGTAGGCCAGAGCGAATTTGGCTGCAAATTAAGGTTGACTTTTCACAAATTCGATGCTCCCTTACCCATTGTCTTTCGAACATCCGCTTCGCCATCAGGATCCAATCGCAAATCCTCAAAAACGTCCAAAATGCTCACAGCAACGGCGGGCGACGGTGCAAATTCCGCCATTTTCGCCAGATACTTTCCGACGTCCCGTCTCGCCGATTCTACGTCATTTGAAAGAAGCTCCGCCCCCTTCATCTTCTTCTCCATGATTCTTACGAGTATCGACTTTTTCTCCGTTTTCTCCGTCGCCGAGAGCTTCTCCTCACTTCCATAGAGCTCCCCCGTCAGAATTGTGTGCAAAAGGTGTAGACTTTTGTGGCCTAAATCTTCCAAATCCTTTTGAACTTTCGGATTCGCCTCCTGACTCGCGTCGGGCAGTTCGGAAAAGTAGTCGAAGACGAGCTCAACGATGCTCCACACCTGCTCCACCGCTTTTTTGACGCAAAACCAGACGGTGGTGAAGTCGCCGTGGTAGAGTTTTGTGGACGAAGCTTGAGATTGAGTCGAGGCACGGGCGGCGAGCATCGGAGAGCTCTTTTTGCGCATTTTTACAATGGCTTCGAGCACAGTTTGCAACTCGTCACACAGGTAGATCAGGCAGCTTCTCTTTGCTTTCGCGAGCTTCATCAGATGCGCAATTGGGCGGAGTTTCAGTTGAACATATTGGATTTTCAGTTGAGTTGTGATCGTGGCATTCGGATTCTTCACCTCATCCGCATCTTCTTCGTCTCCATTCATCGTCACTTCTTCCGCCTCAGTTTCCACCATCGTCTCATCGCTTTTCCGCTTCTTCGGCCTTCCTCTCCCGCTCTTTTTCTCCGCATTTGCCACCATAATCACGTCCTCTTTCTTCTCGAATTTCACATTCGGAACTTTCCAACTGCCTGCGCCTTGTGAAGTCGTCAAAAGAGCGGCCAGCTTCTTCTCAGAATCCATCATCAAATAAAACAGTTTCGTGGAAATCTTCGAGACTTGTTCGGAGCTCAAAAAGTCCAAAGAGCTTTGAGCCAAGAATCCATTCAGTATAGTTCGGCTCCATTGAATGAGAAAGAAGAGATGGTCTAGCTTTTCGGATCTAATGTCATCACAATCCAAAGATACAACGGCTTCGAATGCAAAGTTCAGATCTTTGATGACACAGACGTCGTAGCTCGACGCCACCGCATCATCATCCTCGTTCCAACGCAATTTCAGTACAAGGAGCTCTTTGATCAGATTGAACATGGGCGAAACTTCCGGAAGTCGGTCCTGTCGTGGCTTCAGAACCAATTGCGAAGACGTCTCCTCTTCCATCGTCTCTTCCGTATTTTCCTCGAAGAAGTCCTCTTTGAATCGCTTCATCAGCTGCTCCGTCCATTCCAAAATGTATCGGATCTCTTCTCCCCGCTTGTGAGCCTCCACAACTTGTGCCATGTGCTCGTAGAATGCTCCACGAAGCCGTGACGATGTCTTCACCGCCTCTTCGATTCTTTCGACGCCTTCACGGATGGCTTTCTCTTGATTTTCACAATGTCTGCAAAAATGAATAATCGTTTTGATAAAAATATGGGCTTTCCGCTTACTTTTTATTCATCTCCACTTGCACCTTCATCAGAATCGCCAGAATTCCCAGAAACTTCTCTCGTTCGCTCACAGATATCAAGAACCGATTGATGATCTCGTCGATTTCGAACTTTTTGCTTCCTTTGCTGGCGGCGGACATCATAAGCATCACTTGGAAAAGTCTCTTGATGTTCGAAATGCTCAGGTTGTGGATCACTTCGATGCATTTCTGCAATTTTTGACAATTTTCCGGATTTTCCTCCGATTTGCCCAGTTTATGAGTGTAATTTGACGTGACCACGGCAGAGTCCGCAAACACCCTACGACACTTCGACGTGTTTTAGTACTAATTTCTGTGTTGTCATTTGACTCTCTCAAGTTGCGAAATGGCTTATATCGATAAAGGTAAGATTCTGAGCCTTTAGAAATTGAAATGGAATCTGATTTTCAGACGGAAATGTTCTTGAAAAGAAGCAGAGGGGAATTATCGAGATTATTCTCTCGTTTTTCGCGTTCATCTATTTATTGTGAGATTTTTGCTAAATCATCGATTTTTGAAAATTTTTGAATGTTTCAGCTTCCGCTCGTTGCTCGGCTTCAGCTCTCCGAACCCACGCAACAGCAACGCCCAAGACTATAGAAATATTGTGCGCGGTGGCGGAGTGGGCGGCTCCGGCGGAGGCGGCAATCCGTACAGACGGAATGGAGACGGAAACGGAGGCGGAAGAGACATCGGAAGGCTTACGAGTGCGTCCGGAATCGCGCCGCCACCAATGGGAGGCGGATGCTGTGGCGGCGGTGGATGCGGATAATTTTTGTGTAAAAGAGAAGAAATAGTTCTTGCCTTGTAAAAGCTTTGTAAATAAATGAACGCCATAATTTGATGTGGGGGAAAATCTGAAATTTCTCACCTGAACTTGCTCAGAATACTCTAAAATGACTTGAGCGTTCGACTTGATGACTTTGGAGAAGACATCGAGAACGGCTTCGCACTCCAGCTCTCCATGCGTGAAATGTTTCATGAGCTCCTCGAACACCTTGCTCCGATCCTTCTTCTCCATTCCGACGAACAACTGCTTCCAGATGCTCACTCCCATTTGGCGAACATTCGGGTCTGGACTCCAAACCGAATGGCGTGCCACGTGGATCAATGAGCTCAGATGGGCGGACGCGAACTTTTTGAACGAGATGATCAGGTCGATGAGCTTCAGAAACTTCGAAGAGACTGCTGACGGAAGGTTGAGCATTCTGGAGTTGACGACGGTGACGAACGACTGTGGACACGTGTCGGAAGCGGAGAGAAGCGAGAGAATGAGCATGGTCTCGAAGGAGTTCATCCACTTGGCAGATTCCGATTCCTCGTTCTCCTGGTCTTCTGGAGCGTCTTCTGCAGCATCCGCCACTTCTTCTTTCACATTTACATCCTTTTTGTTTCGGTTGATATACGATGTTACATGCTTCCATCCCTTCTTCTCCAACTGTAGAAACTTCGAAAAATGCGCGTAAATCTCAAAGACCAGAGTGTCCACTTTTCCAGTCTTTTTTCGAATCACTTCCACTTTCAGCGTCTTCGCCATTTCCCGCAGCATTTCATGGAAGTTTCTTTCTTCTTCATCACTTTTAGAGGAGCCCGTGAGCAGGCTGTGAAGCGAGAATGCGACGAGCGAGGGCAGGCAAGAGACGTCGAGATCCGCGCACATTCGGACGAGATGCATTCGGATCTGTCGCCCGATCGCCGGGTCTATTCGGAGCAATCGGAGCGTCTCGACGATCGTCAGTTGGAAGGAAGGAAGGTCCAGAATGTTCTGTGTCTCGTGGATCTCTTCGTCCAAACGGATCGCCGTCGCTTGTTGGAGACTATGCTCGATGAAGATCTGAATAAAAAAAAAATTGAACGAGACTCGAATTTTCCGACGGATCAACCTCAGGCAACGCCGAAATAAGATCATTCCGAACTTCCGCGCCCCATAATCGGAAGGGAAACTCGAAGATTGTGTTGAAAACGGCCAGCGGCTCGAAAAGTCGATTCAAATATCGCATGTGTGCCACGCACGTTTGAGCCAGAAACTGCTCTGATTGCTCGGTTTTCCGCGCGTGCACATTCAGTTTTTGGAGTAACAGGTCGAACGCTCTGGTTTGAGTGGCCCGAATTTGCAGAAACGCTCGGAAGATTGTGTCCTGCTGACCCAATTTCCTGCACAAAAGACGAGTTTGAAAATAAGAAAGCATAAATTGTGCGCTCACGATTTGGACGGACTCAGATAAAGAGAGAAATTATTTGAATCATGACACGCGGCCACGAAATCGTCGAACAAATTGCGGTTTTTTGTGAGCCGTTTCTCCAAATTTCGCGTAAACTCCTCGTGATTCAGATTTTGGCCTACAAAAACAACAATTTCTTTAATTTTGATGGTATTCCGCACCAAAGACCACAAATTTCTCGTAGCTCTCTGTGTCGTTGGCAATGCGAACGTGCTCGTCTTTCATGATTTCTTCGAATCGGTTTCTCGGCTCCACATAATCGTTCGTGTCGTAATCCACGTGGCTCACCGCTCCACGAGCCTGTGTTCCGTACAATTTCTGAGTCATCGCCATCGATAGATCACGTCGTTGCTCTCTATTCTCTTCGTCATCTTCAAAGAATGTTGAAAACTATATATTCTCAGGAAAAAAAAGGCGCCGGCGTCTTTTTTCCTGAGTTGATAAAAGCAATTGAATAGAAAATTACCATCATCGGGCTGGACGGACGTCTCCGGAGCCGTATCTTCCCCAAAATCAAAACTGTCAAATTCGGCATCTGACATTTTCAGATTTCAACGATTTTTTCGCTGAAATATATTTTCATTGGAAATTGTTTGAAATTCAAAACAGTTTCTCAACGACACTCCGAAATACCGCCAGTTTTACTCGGGAAACTCGCCGGTCCAACAAAATAGAACTGGGCAGAATAGAACCGCGACATAATAGAACTACGCATAAAAAACTGCGCAGAATAGAACTGCGGCACAATAGAACCGCGACATAATAGAATTGTTTGGAGCGCCGTTTAAACCTTTCTGTAGAATAGTCTTCTGCTTAATTGTTCGAGAGACGAAAAATTTTGCGAGAGTTAATTGAAAGGAACGGACAAAATGCTCATACAAATACACAAAAACAGTTCGATTATGTCGCGGTTCTATTATGACGCGGTTCTATTGTGTCGCGGTTCTATTCTGCGCAGTTCTATTATGTTGGACCGCCGGAAACTCTAATGTTTAAATTTCTTGGTCAACTTTACAACTTCAGAATTCCCAGAAAATACATTTATTTCTGTAAAAAAAGAGAAAAGAAAAAGGAGTCAATTCAAATCACTGTGGGGGCGGGCATCAGAAGCATCTTCATTCAGAAGAGGTCGTACGAGTTTCGGAGGGTTCAAACGGATATTACGAAAAGAGTCCCAAATAATTTCGGTTAGAGCTGGAAAAACGTCGGTTAAATCGATATGATCTATTAAAAAAAGAGAAGGGATGCAATAAATATGGAGAATGGGAATGATTGATGAATTAGTCATTTCAGCAGAGGTGCGTGGCTTATTTGCTGTAGTACACACGATAGTAAAGCGTCTTTGATCTCCACAAAGAGTACGAATTGTCGAACTTGAGCAGGTAGACTCCGCGTCCCGGATAGCGATGGCTTCCTGCGTACACCTCCTCGTGGCAATCTCTTCTGTACACCGGAATGATCTCGTCCTGACGTGGCTTGTTTGGATCGACTCGTCTACAAAACACAGATTTTGCGAAAGAGTATATACACACGAAAGATTACAATACCCACGAAAGAGTAGAATACCTGGTCTGAATGTTTCCACCGCTCTCCACGTCTCCTCCGGCCGCCGGTGCTCCTTCTCCTTCGATCGCTTCGTCGTAGTCCTCCTCGTCGTCCGACTCGCTGACATGCACCGATACTTGATTGGTGTCGGCGACGGTCCACTCGAAGTAGACGCCGAATCCAATGTCGTAGTGATCGGTGGCGAACTCCCAGAACAGACAAGATCCATTCTCGTGCGTCGGCACACGGACAGTCACAGTCTCGCCGTGTCCCACTTTTATGATTCCCTCGTTTCCGTCCTTCTTAATGTTCGTTTTGAACTCGTTTATATCCTGTCGATTCCAGAGCGATGCAGGCGAGATTGCAGGATTGGCTACAATGGGATTTTTTTCGGGAGAAAGAGGGCCAGTTATATAAAAGGCCATTGAAAAGCTGAGCGGGCTGGCGACGCAGTATTATTCGCATGCAAAGGTGTACCACGTCACTCATTATATTATCATGCTCGAATAACAAAAGAAAAGATGCTTCGAACAATTTTAAAGCTCAAACACCACGAGAGAAAGAGCAAGCTGGGGAAGAGAAAACAGCAATGAAAAGGGATGCAGTTTGTTGTTTTGGTGGTGAAACATACAGTGACAGAAGAGGCCCATATTTGCGTGAATCGAAGACACTACAAAGAGAAATGAAACACAAAATTGTTGTGTTAGGGAGTGTGAATAGGGTGTGAGTGAGAGAGAGAGAGAGGAAGGAGGAAAAGAAGAGAGAAGTGAACTGAAGGGGGTTTTAGTAGTGGTAGAAGAAGAAGAGCTTCTTAGAAACCTACAACTTACAAGGAAGATCTTCCCCAGCCTCATCGTCCGACACATCAGAATCGTCGTCGCGTCGGATCTGCTGCTGATGCTGCTCTTCGGCGCTCAACTCGCCATTCGGGTTGGTCGCTTGCTGAGCGTATACCTGAGCACACTTTATGAATATTACACTATCACGCAATGCGAAACCTGCGACATGTATTGCTGATAGTGTTGCTCTTGGAGCTGCCGAATGAGAGTTGCTTGTTGCTCCGGTTGGTCGGGGAATTGCTGTTGAGCGTAGGCGGAGAACTGCTGGAACGTCTGCGCGTTCAGTGCTTCTTGGATCTGCTTCCTGGAAGAGCACAATTTGAGAAGGGACTGTTTAAAAATATCAAAACCTTTGATCCTCAAAAAGACGCTGATCGACTTGCTGAAGCGACGGCGGTCGAGCGCTTTGTTCTGTCACCTGCGGCGCGAATTCTTTTAATTCCGCGTCTTTTCTGAAAAGAAAAAAGTGCAAATGGGGGCTCGTAAAAGAGCTGCGAGAGCCTAGTAGCCATGGTTATGTGAGGCAACGAGCACATTGGAAGGCGAGGAAGAGGAGGAGCTTTCGCCAGTGGAAAATGTGAGGGGAAACGAGAGTTATTTGTGTGCCCGTGAGTGATCAATAGAGAATGAAAGAGGCATGAGCCATGGCGAAACAGAGAAAAAGAGAGGGAGAGGGAGACGAAGAGCTGCTCTTGGAGCATTCCAATATATATGGAAGGAAGATGGAGAGGGTGCTCGTTTTCAATTAAAACCGACGGAAAACGACTAGGAAGAAGAGCGAGGCCCTAGGATATTTCGGGTCGAAATGAGTCAGCCAACACGTTTTTAATTTAGTACTTCTAGTGCCACTCACTCTGTCGAAAAGGGAGACCGGTCATTGTAAAATGGGCATAATACATGAGGGAATATTTGGAAATCGAGTCAACAAAACGAGCTGTTTTTGGAGGACGGCCTCCTTCTCGAATATATACGTCAATTGCGTTTGTGGTCACAAAAGGACGGAGGAATAATTTAAGTGTGACTCACATCGCTCTTTTGTCGGCAATGAATCCTTTGAACGGCGGACAGACACGGTCGACGAGGAAGACGAACGAGGCCATCGCTTCGTCGCGGGACACCGAACCGAGCTCGCGCCAAGCTTTGCTGAAATATACGTTTTGATAACTATGGGGTTGGAGATAGTTATTTTTAGAAAGGTGAGAATAATCTGAGCGAAACAGTTTTGAATAGAAAATTCAAGCGTGCCTCAGGTATTTGAGATAATCGAGGCAAAGCTAAGAAAGGAGGAGCAGTTAGCTGCTTTTACTTCGAACAAATATTGTTCATTGCACAAATGAGAATTTGATGATCATTGGCTGAGAAGATCGAGTCTCCAACAAAGAATGTCTGATCAGTATGAATGGCTTCTAGTGAGAAGAACATCCGAATATTAGTGTCTCGCCTAAATGTTTTTCGAAAAGTACATCAGCATCAAAACTTCTCCAAGCTTTTCCTCTACATCTGTCAATTATACATTCTATTCAAGAAGCATGACCACATCCGAGCAAGGAAAAGAAACGATTAAAGAGGAGCTGAATATTGTAGAACCTGTGGAAGAAGAAATTCTAGCAAAGCCGATCAGAAAACGAACAACAACCACAGCGAATGAAAAACCGTTAGCTGGGCAGGGATTTTCAGGAAGATTAGAGAATGAGAGACAGCCTCTCTTGGGCTCCTTGGGCTAACACGCAAGACGAAATGACGAATGGCTCGGTGGAAAGAGCGAGAACATTTGTTTTCCAGATGAACCCGGATTGGATAATAGGTTTTCGAAGACTGGACTTTCTCAACATGTTAGAAAAAAAAGCCTGTAATTTTAACGATAGAAAGTCCATACGAAGACTAATAATTGTGCAAAATTAGGTTCAATTATGGCAACAGAGTCAACAATTCAAAACTTCTCGCCGCGCCTGGTTCTTCAGAGCATCCAAGAGAAAGACATGAAAAGGAGAAGCCAATTTCCTAGATTGAACTCCTCAGAAAGTGTATTTTGTGGAGGAGGAGTGACAGACAAGGAGTCATCAAACCACAATATTCCGACTGACACAAAATAGCGAACAGAGCATGAGGGAATGGGACGGAAAAGCTGCTCAGAGCCATAAATCAGAACAATGGACTTTTATAGCCATCCAATTATTCGTTTTCGTTCAGATTCTACCGTAATCCAGGAGAGAAACGTCACTCAGTTCTTCCAAAAACATTTGAGGGAATTGAAGGGAAAAGGCGGCGCAGGACGACGACGAAGACAGCGCACACATACAACGCCATCATCTTATTAGCATTCCTCTCTTCTTTTCGACAGAAGCAGTCAGCCCTTGTCACTTCTTCTTCTTGTGCTTGTTAAGTTAGAAGATTTTGGGTAAGGCACACACAAATTCGATTTTGGGAGAAGAAGAAGCATGAAGACGTCCCTTCTTCTTCTTTTTTTTCGCTGTTTACTTTCGTACAGGAAAGGAATCTTCGGGAAGCCGGGCCGCGCCGAAATTTGATTTAGCTTCGAATTGTCAAACACTATTGGATGTTTAATTGAAGAGGAAGAAGAGGAAGAACAAAGATTGTACGAAGTGTTGGCTCGAAGAGTGTGTAGTGCTTCGTGTGAAACAAACGAAGAAATATAGGAAATCCTCGTGGGAAAACCGGATAACAAGGAGCAGAGGTGACCGAGGATGGATGACGTGGTAGGGCTTCTTATCGAAAAGCTATAATCTAGCAACTTTTTTCACTTTGGAAAAGGTCACGAAAAAAAAACTGATCACGGGAACCTAGAATTCAGATGACGTGCTTTCAGAGACGAACGACAAGGAGGGAAGAGAAGGAGGAGAAGTAGTTCATTTCTGAACTTTTTGCGAGTAATGAAAACGAAAAGCAGCAAACACGCGACCATAACCACCCAAAAAAGATTACCACAACAATGTAACAAGTTGTGCGGTGAGAGGAGGCGAGAAAGAGAGAGGAAGAAGAATAACTTTTCGCTCCTAAACTCTTCCGTCCGGTCGCCTATTCTCCAGAGATTTCGGGAGTTTCTCGGTGTGACAAGAACCCCAAGCTTCCTGTCGACACGACAGAGTGAAAAGTGTGCGGCGCATAAATTTGTGTCATCTTCTTCATGTGAAGGATGAATGATGATGTGCCTTATCTTCTTCTTTTCATCGGAAGCGGAAGGAGAAAAAAGTGTATGATGAATAACATTCTAATTACATTTCCTTCGGATTACTACTTGGGTACTACTGTAGTTCTTCTGATGGAGCACACAAGAAAAGAAGAGCTGGAAGTTAGAAGTCTATAGAAAAAAAAGAAAACGAAACAGAATCGAATTCGAATTCGATGCCAATTGTCAACATGTGTGAAAAGGAACAATAATAGCGGGGTTAGTGGAAAAGAAAAAGACGAAGAAAGCGACGACGGCGAAAGAAGATTCAAGAACTTTTTCCAAAACATATGTATAAACGTCCCAAAGAGATTAGAAGAACGAGTTGGTTGTAGTGGAAAAAGTAGGATTTCTTTTGAGCCGAGGAGCCATTGCCGTTGTTCTTCGGCGACACATCAAATTGTTACAAAATGAAATTTGGAGCATTTGGAGCCGGAGAATGGGGAGGAGCGTCTTTCGATTTACTGCTCTCCTTTCGGAATCGAATTTATGAAGGAAATTGGGCAGCGGACCCCGCTTCACCGTGTTTTTCTTCTTATTTCTCCCAAACTGAGTGTGTGTGTTCAAGGTCATTGCCGGAGGGAGCGGAAAAATTAGAAAATATACACAAATACAAATATATTCCTAAGGTTTGTAGCCGGAATATTTTTGAGTGATGAATGGAATGAGAACTCACTTCACATCGTTTCCGGTGATATCCAGCCAGCCGGCGTTGTCGTTTTCAGAAGAGAACGGACCATTTTGCACCTGAAAATCGCTTTTCGCAATGAAAAACACTGGAAAATAGTACCTGTTTGCTCAGCGCCAGCAATTTGATACGGTCATCGTAGGTCACCGGCTCTTGCTTTCCGACGTGTTCTACAGAAATTTTAATTAAGAGCTGGCAATGAGAACATTATTTTCAATCCCACGAACCTTTCTTGTAATATTGAACGGCAAGTTTGTAGCAATCCTCCAGCGGATGACCGAATTCCGAGGAGACCAGTTGGACTTCACTGAGACGAACGTGGTTATCGTCGCTCATTGGCACAAACCCTGAAAATTCAATATACTCGCCTTTTGAGAGACTAGAAAGCAAGAGAGTATTGTGGAAAATATTGCGGAAAGATCAGATATGAGCTGGCAAAAGATGACACCGGTTCTGCAGCACCTCGACACAAAAACCTTGAAAAAAACAATGTTTCATGCTACTTTTGAAGGATTTGATTAAAAAATAAGTTTTTCTGAGTCTTCGAAGATTTTTACGTTAGAAAACTTAGAAATATCTCAATCTTAATTGATTTGAGAAGCGTATAAAATATGCAAAATAAACGTGGATCGCTGGCACTTCATTTTCGCCAAAAAGTGTGCAAACACCGCGACGATAAAATTCACACTTTTGCAGTTTTCACATTTCAACTCGAAGCCTATTTTCAATCTTCTCATTTTGAATCGGTGATTTTTTATGGAATTTCAGCTATTTAATGTTAATCTGTTAATTCAATTAATATACTTCAATCACCGTTACATCTAAATCTTTTCGCCAAAGTTTATGCTACCACGAATGACGTTTTCAGGGTAAAAATGGCTACCAAAGAAGACCTCATTTGGTTAGGCTTGTCAGAGTCGAAAGCCGCGGAAACGCTAAAGAACACAAAGCTAACGGAGACCATCGGCACGGTCATCAAGACTGCGAGAGAGGCGGGAGCCGGTGGAGAGATTTCCAAGCAAAAAGGAACTCTTCTGTACCAACTGGCAACGAAACTAAAACCGCAAGTGGCCGCCAATGCTCCGCTCGTCGTCAAATACATCGTCATAGAGGGAATCAAGACGGAGACCCAGGTAGATCGATAAGAAAGCGCCCGCTGTTATTATTATTATGTTTCGACTTGCAGGTGTCCGCCGCTATCGAGTATCTGCTCTCTAACGCCGTGAACGGCTTCGAAGTGGCCGCTTTCGAGAAAGCCTCCGGTGTCGGCGTTGAGGTGACGATCGACGAGATCGAGGATCTGGTCACGAAGGTTCTCGCCAAGTACACCGAGCAAATAAAGGCAGAGCGGTACGGATTCCCTGTCGGAAAGCTACTCGGCGAGCTCAGAACCGCGCTTCCATGGGCTGATGGAGCCGTCACGAAGAGGGAAGTGGACGTGCGATTCTTGGAGTTGCTTGGACCGAAGACCGCCGAAGATTTGGCTCCGAAGAAGAAGGAGAAGAAGCCGGAAGCTGCTTCAAAGACTCCGAAAGCTTCTGGAAATCAGGAAAAGAGAAAGAAGGAGAGTGCTCCGAGTCAGCAAGAAGAGGAGGAGTTCGCCGACGGAGCGGAGACGATGGACGAGCTGCTGCGCACGCGTGCTCATTTCCACAAGGTCGGCGAGAATTTCAAGACCGACGGATATGTGACCACTGACAAGACCGCCGAGCTTCTAAAGGCCCACGTCGCCAAAGTCGGAGGAAAGGTGGTGACTCGCTTCCCGCCGGAGCCGAACGGTGTGCTCCACATCGGGCACGCCAAGGCCATCAACATCAACTTTGGATACGCGAAGGCGATGGGCGGAGTGTGCAATTTGCGCTTCGACGACACGAATCCAGAGAAAGAGGAGGAAAAGTTCTTCACCGCCATCGAAGACATTGTCAATTGGCTAGGATACACTCCCGCCAGAGTCACCCACTCTTCTGATAACTTCCAGCAACTCTATCTGTGGGCTGTGAAGCTCATCGAGAAGGGTCTCGCCTATGTTTGCCACCAGAAGGTCGAGGAGATGCGTGGATTCGAAGTGCAGTTAAGCCCTTGGCGGGAGCGTCCGATCCAGGAATCTCTTCTATTGTTCGAGGATATGAAGCACGGAAAGTTTGACGAGGGAGAAGCCACTCTCCGTCTGAAACTCACGCTGGAAGAGGGAAAAGTAGATCCCGTCGCCTATCGCATCAAGTTCGTGCCACATCACCGATCGGGCAACGAGTGGTGCATCTACCCGACGTACGATTACACCCACTGCCTCTGCGATTCGATCGAGAACATCACTCACTCGTTGTGCACGAAAGAGTTCCAGTCCCGACGCAGCAGTTATTACTGGCTTTGCAACGCGCTGGACATTTATTGCCCGGTGCAGTGGGAGTACGGACGTCTCAACGTCAACTATACCGTCGTCTCGAAGCGAAAGATTCTGAAACTGATCACGACTAAGACCGTCAGCGATTGGGACGATCCGCGGCTTTTCACTCTCACAGCTCTCAGAAGACGTGGAATTCCATCGGAGGCGATCAATCGGTTCGTGGCCAAACTCGGACTGACAATGTCCCAAATGGTCATTGATCCTCACGTGCTCGATGCCACTGTTCGTGACTATCTGAACGTGCACGCGTCGAGAACGATGGCAGTTCTGGACGGACTGAAGCTCACGATTGAGAACTTCGACGAACTGAACCTTCCGTCGACGTTCGAAGTGCCCGACTTCCCATCCGAACCGTCGGATCCGCGCAAGCACAACGTCGCCGTCGACAAGCAAATCTACATCGAGAAGACGGATTACAAGCCGGACGAGAACGACAAGTCGTTTAGACGGCTCACTCCAAAGCAGGTGGTCGGACTGAAGCACATCGGATTGGTGCTGCGATTTGTGAAGGAGATCAAGGACGCCGCGGGACACGTGTTGGAGGTTGTGGTGCACGCGACGAAGCTCACGGAGCAGAACAAGCCGAAGGCGTTCATTCACTGGGTCGCCAAACCAGTTTCCGCGGAAGTGCGGCTCTACGAAAGATTGTTCAAGAGCAAGAATCCGGAGGATGCGGCAGCTGTTCCAGGCGGATTCCTGACGGATATCAATCCGGATTCGCTCACGGTTCTCTACAACGCTCTCATCGATCAGTCCGTTGCAAAGTCGAAGATTTATGACAGGTAAGGCGCCTTCAATTTTAATTTTGCAAAAAAGTTTGTGTTCAGATTCCAATTCGAACGTATTGGATTCTTCTGCGTCGACCGCGACTCGACCGCCGCGAAGCTCGTCTTCAACCGAACCGTCATGCTGAAAGATGGCGCCGGAAAGAATTGATTTTGATTAATTTATTGCATTATTTTATAGACTTGCTCTTGTTCTTTTTTTGTCATTAAAAGTCATTTAAAAGATATATCAAAGTTTTATGTCAGCCCAAACATTGAAAAGTGTCGAATAAAAGGGCTTTATCGATTGTTTTGTTAACAACAATATGAACATGTGATATTTATCAACAGATGATGAAAGTCTACTTGTTTTTATTGGAAATCCGTTCGAAGCACGGCTTCGTCCACACGTAGGCCCAGATAAAGAAGAGAGTGGTCAGCGAGATGGGGATGGCGACGATTCCGAGGCTGACGACGCCCGCCTGGAGAGTGAGCACGGCGCCGGCGATGGCTCCGCTCGCCGCGCTTCCGAGGCCGATCCCGAGAAAGACCGAGTCTCCGCAGGCGAGCATCGCCGACGCGCAGCCCGTCACCCGCTTTGCCTCGTTCAGCCGTTTGTACCTTTCCAATTCGGCCTAAAAATTAACATTTCTCGTTGCTCATGCTTTTCAAGTTCACTTGACCTATACACGTTTTGTCGGCAAAATATTAAGAACTTGCGTACTTTTAAGACAGGAAATATGTAAAGGTCACGTTGTTTTCTAAATTGTGATTTGCAAACTCACATTGATATCCTCCTGCAACTTCTCCAACAACTGACTCCGCACGTCCTTCGACCCGATCTTCGGACACTTGTCGTAGATGTTCAGAGCGGTGATTCCGTGCTTGATGTGCGCCTCCAGCAGCTTCTTTTCCGACATCATCCGCGTTCCGTACGTCGACCGGTCCATTCCCCGGCAATAATTCACTTTCGCCTCGTGCGCCGCCTCGATACAAATGAGCTTCGCGTTGGCGTTCAGAATGCTCTGCGGCTGCGGGAGCGTTTCGCCGTCGAACGAGGCGGCGTACTCTTTGAAGTACTGCATCATCTTCCGGCATGTCACCGTCTTCCCGTTCACCACTTTCGGCTTCAGCAGGCGCGGATCGAGCAGACTTGCCACCATCTTTTTGAGCTCTTCTCGGAAAAGCGGGCGTAGGTCCTTGACATGTCCCCGGAAACTTTGACGTTCAGCCACTTTGTAGCCGGGATGGGGCAGCAGAAAACACTGAATGTTCTCGAAGTAATCACGGAGCTGCTCTCTGACCGCTCGAAGCTCTTCCGGTTGGTCCGGATTCGTCTGGAGCACTCCTTCCAGGAAAACCGATCCGGCGTCTTCTTCGTGCTGCTTGTACTCTTCCTGGTTTTTGAAGTCACGAACGCAGAAGACAAGGCTCTGAAAGATTTTTGATCTCACTAAAGTATTGTAGCCAATCTAGAAAACCTGAAAAGGTTTGCCAAAGTTGTTCGGCTGCTCCATCGCCATTCTACCGTACTCGACGAACAGCGAGAGGTGTTGAAGGGCGTCCTCCTGGATGTTATCCACTACGTTATAAATCTGAAGCTGTCTACCGTAATTTGAATCTACAGTAACCCAATACTACCTGCATACTACTAACTATTGTGGAAAGTGCAAAAACCGTCATACATTGTTGATATGTCGAATTGTTGTCGAATGTTCCTTGTGTATCCATCTAGATTTTTGCCGATATTGTAAGTATTCTCCATTATTCTTTAGACTTACTAAAACCACCGCGAACATTTCTCCCGTCGATGTTTCGATCATTATGGGTTCTCCCCATAACCAAATTCCTAAAAAGAAAAGGAAAAGTTAAAAAAGGTCTGAATAGGAAAACGGCTCCTACCTACAGTATCCCTTTTGGCTCCGGCTCGCCAGTGGAAACCGTGAATTTGGCATTCGTCGACGAGCCAATCGGCTTGGGCGTCACTCTGTTGAGCCTTGTGAAGATTGTAGAGATACTCGAGGAAAAAGTTGAGAAGAAAGCTTTTTCCTTTTCGAAACGCGCCCGCCACGCTGATAATCACTACCTGAAATTGAATCAAGTACTTTTTTCTTCCGATTTTTTTGTGATCCGACTTTGTTCACCAATGATGATTGAGAGATATGAACACAGTCAATGGGGGGCAACACCCTCCGCTTCTATACCTGTTCTTCTTCCCTCTTCTCTTCTCCTTCTTCTTTTCCGCGCGCGTCGGTCGGTCGACACCCTGAACTTTCTAAGGGCCGAGAGAGTGTTCCGCGCGCGGAGAGATCGGCGCTGGGACTGGCTAAGAAGCCGGCTCGGCACCCGCATCCCGTGCCCGTATAAAAGGCGCGGAATGCGGCCGATAAGACGGTCTGTCTTTAGCCTCTTTTAGATAGCCATGGACATCGATTCGAAGATTAAGGCGTACCGCTTCGTCGGTTATGCCGCCGTTTGCTTCTCCGCCATGGCCGTTCTTTCGGTAAGCGCAGCACCCAGTCTGCATAAATCATCATAATAATTGTAGGTGTGCATCACTCTGCCAATGGTGTACAACTACGTGCAGCACGTGCGCACCCAGATGCACCAGGAGCTCTACCAGTGCAAGGGGTCCGCCAAGGACGTCTGGAACTCGGTGTACTCGATCCGCGAGCTCCCGCTCGGCGCCAACCGTACCGCCCGTTCGACCTACAACGAGCAGTGCGCCGGATGCTGCCTGCCAGGACCACAGGGTCCACAGGGTACTCCAGGAAAGCCTGGAAAGCCAGGAAAGCCGGGAGCGCCAGGACAACCGGGAACGCCGGGACGTCCGCCACAGCAGCCTTGCGAGCCAACCACCCCACCACCATGCCAGCCATGCCCACAGGGACCACCCGGACCACCAGGACCACCAGGAATCCCAGGAGATAACGGACAGTCCGGAGAGCCAGGACCAAAGGGGCCAGACGCCGCGCCAGGAGAGCCAGGACCAAAGGGACCACCAGGACCACCAGGACCACCAGGACAAGCCGGAGCACCAGGAGAGCCAGGAATCCCAGCCAAGTCGGAGCCAGTCGTACCAGGACCACCAGGACCACCAGGACAGCCAGGACAGCAGGGACCACCAGGACCACCGGGATCCAACGGAATCGACGGAGCTCCAGGAGCCCCAGGAGCCAAGGGAGAGCCAGGAACTCCGGGAGACGCCGGAAAGGACGGAGAGCCAGGAAAGCCGGGAACTCCAGGAACCGACGGAACCCCAGGAGAGAAGGGAATCTGTCCAAAGTACGTTTTATCCCAAAACGCGAACAAAAATAATAGCTTGACGTTTTCAGGTACTGCGCTCTGGACGGAGGTATCTTCTTCGAGGATGGAACCCGCCGTTAAGCACTTTTGCTTCAACACCACTATTTATTTTCGATTCTTTCAACTCAAACAAAGATTCATCCACAAAATCACGTGTTCATACATTCACAATCCAACTCACTTTTTTGTTCGCGCATGCCGAATGGCCGAGCACCGAGTTTAGAGCACTCTCGTTGAGGCGAAACTTGCCCGGTTGTGTGCTTGACGGGGCGATGATCTGCAAGTTTGAAAGTGCGCTCTACCGCAAGATGACGTGGCTTCCTCACCTGAACAGGTCTAACTTTATGCCGATGCTCGTGCTGATCCCGAGTTGTGAACGCAGTCTGGAACGGTGCGGTCAGATCGAAGTCGAACGACATTTTTGACCGTCGCGCAGGCGACTGCTGCAACAATATTGTCGGATTCACAAAAAAGGTGTCATACTGGAAAAGATAAGAAAATGAAACACTAATGTGACGACGGAAAGTAGGAGTCGGATGTGTATAAATGTGAGAGAAGCCATATTTGGTGAAAAAATTATATTTCTGTGGCATCACAAATCTCGGCGGGCAATCGGAAACCACTGAAAAGAAAGGGAGGGAAAACAGGAAATGTTCTAACTAGGGTAGTTATAACTCTACAATATTTGCTCGTGCCAAAGACGGTAAATATGACTTACCTTTACCGAATTTTTGAAAACTTCAACTGTTTCACTTTATAAAATGTCACAGACTTTGGTTTCTGCGCCCTGCTTTAATTTAATAGAAATTGTCAGAAAAATGAGCTTAGAATGCTGTCATACAATTGAACGGCACAGAGTAAATACGGTAAACTGACTGTTGTATTGAGAAATATCTGAGTCATGGAGTAAAAGAGTACATAACTGGCCAAATCAAGTTTACGTCGGGGGTGGGGAGGGGAAGGGGTGAACTCTAAAGAGAGAGAGAGAAAGAGGAAGCCGAGGGATGAGTGCTCGGCACCTCATTATCCTCACTCCACTTGCTTTAGAAGTGCACAAGCCTCTTTTGTCCAGTCTTCAATTTTTTCGGAAATTCTACTCAACCGCGCTTTTTGCTTGGTTGGCGGATAATAATTGAAATTTGAGAACCACCCGGCTCGCCTTTTCTTCGTCGATTTCATCCGCTTCTTCTATTATGTGTGTGTGTGTGCCAATTGACCCCGCCCACTTTTCCAAAAGAGACTATTCCGCTTTTTGCGCCGCCACCAATCCTTCATCGTTCATTATTCACACACACACATAGAACAGAAAAGAAGAGAATTGCGTGTGTTGATAGTGAAGGCGGATGGGGGTGGTTGGGACGCTCTGAAGTGAAGAGGATGTCAAAGTTAGGGGCAGAAGAAGAAGAAGAAGAAGAAGAAGACGACGACGACGACGAAGAAGAAGAAGGGGGAGAAAAAGAGAAAACAAAAGGGATTTGGACAGAGCAAAGTAGTGGGGCGGTGACGAAAGGAAGCGACGAAATTGAACGATAATGAAGAGGCCCCTCCCCCCTTTTCCACCACATTCGCCCCGTTTTCCTCGGAAGGCACCGAATGAATGAAGAAGTGAAGGAGAGGAGTGTAACATGCCACTTTCACTCCTCCCGTGACCACGAAAATTGACGAAAGAACGTGATTTGATTATTTTTCCCGAGAAGAAGTTCATCTATTCGAGAGAGAGATGGGGCTCCTTAGGGACCTGGCGGAGGTGTGAATGGAAAAAAAACTGATTTGGCTAGGCGCACAGATTACTGTAGCTCTGACTTGCGAAAATCTCAGTCAGAAACCGTAATACCATCTCGTGTAAACATTATTTTTGAAATGGCCAGACGTTTTGCAACCTAGCGTAAGATTCGAATTTGGTTGCAACATGTCTGTAAGCACTTCGCAATCGCACCAAACGGAACAGTTTCGATTGAAAAACAAGAAAATTTACAAACTAGTTGCCTTCAATTTATAAGTGAGCAAAAATTGTAAAAGAAAAAAGTTGCTCACTCGGCAGCTCATTACTACTTTTCAGCCCATCATCATCAGCATTACTCTTCACATTTCATATAATTTTTGTCGTCGAAAAGAGCGATGAAATATCTATCGTGCCGCATCCGGACCCACACACACACATTTCTCATTTTCAATTTCTCTGCCAATTCCATTCAAAACACATAAACATCTTCCGTTCTCTCTCTCTCTCTCTCTCTCTCTCTCTATTTTCCTCTCCTAATTTCTTTTATTTTGTGCTCATTACAAACAAAAACTCTGGCTTTAGTATCTAGCACTTTGGCACCACTGACAGCCGGCTAACCGACTCAACAACAGCGCCTAGGGCTAATTAATACAATTTCGGAGACAAATTCACTGGGGAGTTTTCATTAGTTAATCAATTCCAAAAACAAAAATGGCGAAAACAATGGGCAAGATTTTGGAAAAGAGGGAAACGCTTTGTTGAAATTGTGCAAATCGGCGAATGTGTGCGAAAAATTATTCCGATTAGATTTGCATCTTATTAAAAGCTTCGTGGGACTTTTTCTTACCTTTTTTCCACAAGATTTCCGAGCGGAAAGCTGTTTTTAAAGCGGAGATTTGCATATTTTACCAAATTCATTTTGCGTTCCCGCTAACTTGCCCGGCGGCCGTTCTTTTGCAAAACTTCGGCTGCCGCAGAATTGCTCTTCCATCCCACTTTTTCTCAATTTTCACTGAATTTTCCATTGTTTTTCTGCATGAAAACAGTGAGTTTGACATATTTTTTGCAAGTTTGCATCTTCAAAACACTTGCTGCATGAAAGATTGATTCGCTTATCAAATGCAAACATTCCGGGCGGTCAGCCGGCCGATAAGGCTTGTGCAAACAAAAATAAGCATGCACACCTTGATTTCCTCCGCAAATGTTCTAATCTCACGCACTTTTTATCCTCGAAATAGGCTTCTGGTAATTCTAAGTATTATGTAAACACATCACCTCGGAAAATCAATGAGCGAAAGTGGGAAAAGAGGAAAACAAGTTTGGAATGATGGAAAAAGACCACTTTCAGGCTTTACTCGTCCGAAAACTGCTAAAACAAGCAGAGAAACAAGGCCTGAAACACATGGCGGGAGTCCTGCACACGCACAAATTATGCGGATAATCCGTGTGTGAGCCATCCTCCACATCCTATCCGAAAAGTGAAAATAAGCGGTGGCTCTGCCTGTGTGCTTCCCGCGCCACCCACCCAATCCGCGCTCTTTGCCTCGGGTCGACCTCGGTTATTGTTTGTATATCGTATCGCCGCCGCCGCTTTTTCATTGCTTTCCCTCTCCGAGCTCAAGCCACTTCAACACGGCTCCATCAGTCTGTGTTTGTGTTGTTATTCGGGCTCTCTCGGTAATTTATGCACATTTTCTCAGTTCCCACGCTGATTTTGCCAAAAAAAAAAACAGTTGAATTTCAGTGATTAAAGCCTTCATGCGACGGTTATGGCCACATTCATCTTTCGTGCCCGTCAGATCCTTGTCATTGCCGCGCTGTGCATTTCCGTCTACTTTCTCATCGGCTCATTGAAAGTCAGCTCGAACGGCCCGACGTTCCAGAGCCGAGCCGAGCGGTATGAGGAGTTCAATGAGGTTCGGATTCTTTGAAATACTCAGGAAAATACACGAAAGCACGTTTTTATAGGTGCCGGTCAAAGTGAAAACAGTGCATAGCGATCGAGATCGAGGGAAAGAAAATGATAGCGAAAAAGGAAAAGCGCAATCGTCGTCATATTTGCTTCAGAATCAGAAATGCAACATTCCGAAACTGGACATAAATGGAAGTGAAGTCATCCATTTCTTCGAGAAGCACGCTCCGCTCGAGTGCCAAAAGAAACACAGTTCGATCGAGGATAATTGGGTTTTTGTGAACGACGACGGATTCATTCGATTCACGGAGAAACGGGCGAAGGCCAAGTGTAAAGTGCAATACTTTTCGCGAGTCGACGATAACAAGAATTCGTACGCGGAGCCGGTCGAGATTCGCGACGGCGAACGGCTGAACGGCAGTGATTACGCGACTGTCTCGTGTATTCAGGGCTTCCAGAAGTGGAATTCGGTCCTTTGGAGTGTGAATGATGCGGAGGAGATTCACGAGAAAGCTCGGCAGTTTATTAGGCCGGAAACTGTGAATTCAGAGACCAAGCCGTACAATGTCTACTTTTTGGGGTAAAAACTCCATTCCTTCCTAGCTTTATTAAATCGTTTCAGATTTGACTCCCTCTCGCAGATGTCTTTCCGTCGAAAACTGCCAAAAACTGTGAAATTCCTCGAGGAGACCCTTGGAAGTACGGTTCTGAACGGCTACAACATTGTCGGTGACGGCACTCCGCAAGCTTTCATTCCCATTTTGACTGCTCAAACCGAGACGGAGCTCCCGTTAACCCGGAAACGGTACAAGGAGGCCAACTACGTGGATGACGTGTATCCGTTCGTCTGGAAGAATTATTCGGACGCTGGATATGTGACCATGTACGCCGAGGATGCGTTCAATATTGGGACGTTCACGTACCGACTGAAAGGATTCCGGAATCAACCGACTGATCATTACACGAGAACTTTGTTCGAAGAAGTGGAGAAGTTGAACAACAGGAATTGCATTGGATCCATTCCTTTGCACAGAGTGAGTTCATTATGTGGCATCATGAAATTAATTATAAAAATTATAAAAATTTGAACGCTAGAATTCTAAACTACACAATTTTTCAGATGTGGTTCCAAAACGGTCGCCAATTCATGAAGACCTATCACGACGTCCCTCGTTTCTTGCTCATGCACCAGAGTCTCCTTTCCCACGACGACATCAACCAGGTGGACGTGGAGGACGAGGATCTGTCGGCCCATCTGAAGCACATGAACGACGAGGGGATGTTCGACGACTCGCTGGTGATTGTGATGGCGGATCACGGACACCGATTCGCGAAGCTTCGTGAGACGCACCAGGGCCAACTCGAGGAAAGAATGCCGTTCTTCTCGATCGCACTTCCGAAACAGTTGAGAGAGACGACGAAGGGTGCCGAGATGGAGAGGAATCTGAGGGAGAACAAGGAGAAACTGACGAGTCCGTTCGACATTCACGCCTCCCTTCTCGACATTCTCCAGCTGTCCGAGTTGAAGAAGGAGCAAGTGGGTCAGATGCAGGACGCGAAGACGACACGATCATTGTCAGTGTTCCGACCGATTCCTGCCGACAGAACGTGCGCGCAGGCGGGTATCGAAGCCCATTGGTGCACGTGTCTTTCGTGGCAGGATGCCATGCAGACTCAGGAGGATCGCAAGTTGACCAGGAGGTAATGATGGAAAAGGGGACGAGTTCTGATTTCTATATTCAGAATCGCCAACGCTGTCGTCCGGGAGATCAATACTGAGATCGCCGCTGAGAAAGATTTGTGTGCACCGCTGGCGCTCGCCAAGATCATTGATGCAAAAAAGTAAAGCCGACGTTGACTGATCTTTCATTCTATTAAACATTTCCATTTCAGATTATTGCCCGACAAGGAACTGCTGGCTTATAAAAACGTGAAGGACGCCGACGGCTTCGTGCCCGATCTGTCCGGCTCCACAAAAGCGGCGTTTGCCCACTATCAGCTGAAACTGCAGACGTCGCCCGGTGTGGCCATCTACGAAGTGACGCTGTTCTACGACATTGTCAACGACGAGCTGCAGCTGGACTTTGGAGCGATGAGCCACGTGAACAAGTTCGGAGACGCCCCGCACTGCATCATCGATAAAAACTACTACCTCGCGACGTTCTGCGTGTGCTACGACAGAGTGTGATCGCTTTTCCTTTGTTTTGCTCTTAACGTTCCCATTTACGGTTTTTCTTTGTACATTATTTCCGGATCTGCGGTGCTTTTTAACAATACCTTGCCTTACTTAATGAACTGATGAGATTTCGATGACCTGGGAATGACCTGGGAATGGCCTTTAGGTTTCTGTGTTTCTAGTACAGGCTGAAACTTGGCAATGTCTAGAGAACTTGTCGTACAGAAAAAACTATATTTTTTAAAAGGTGAGTCGCTTCTCCGCAAAACGTTGAGCAAAACTTCCGGTCTAAAGTAAATAGGAAATTCAAATAGTTTACAGCTCCGATAGCACTCTTAGATAGCACCCCGTCCGTAACATTTCGTATTCCACCTTTCTTCCACCTTTCTTCCTCCCTTCAGATGGCAGTTCTATATTATCATTGGAAACGAATGACCCTTCTCATTTGTATCATTTTTGCGCTCATTTTCCTCTTCTCCTTTCGTTCGTCATTCCCCAAAAAGCGAATTGTACGGAGAGATGGACCGATAAGTGCTCAAGTATTACACAGTGATCGGGATCGGCAAATGAGAGCGCCAGGAGCTGGAGATCCGGGGAAACAGAACGAAAAAGAAAAGGACTCACTTCAGAATCAGGTATTATTTGTCACGAGCTCGGTAAATCTCTGTAACCTTTGCGAAAACTTTAACAAACTTTTGTGCAGACTTATGGCTACATGCGCAAGTTGTACGTGCCATCTGAAGCTTCGTAACCTTTGCGAAAAACTTACAGAGGTTTGTCGAGATAAGCTTTGAAATTACTGGAATCATTCTTCTTATTAGTAAAAAATCTTCACGGGTTTGTCTGTTTGTTTTTCATTTCTCCGAAGGACCATCACCACTTTTTCATTTTTAACAAAAGTATTGCGACTGATAGGGTTGCAGAACAGGCGCCTGTTTTCGCCTGTTTTGCAAAATTACCACGTTAAAATTGCAAAACAGGCGAAAACTCTGACGAAGAAATTAAAAAATGAACACTTGAACTATCGAACAAGCGGCCTAGCAGCTTCCGAGCGCCAGCTCGCCCACCTAGTACCGTTTATTCAAGACGATATATCTCAGCTGCTGATGGGCATACCAAAAAGTTGTCAACTAATAAATTTCTTATTCAAACATTTTGAAAATTTTATAAGTTTGCAATTTTTCGATATTTTCACAAGCAGCTAAGATACATCGTCTTTAATGGAAGGTTTCCAAACCCAACTTTTCAGAAGTGCAAAATTCCGAAACTCGACATCAACGGCACCGAAGTCATTAATTTCTTCGAGAAACACGAACCACTGGAATGCCAATTAAAGGGACAAATCGAACCGAATTGGGTATTTGTGGACGAGCACAGCGTCATTCGATTCACGCAGAAACGGAAGAGCGCAAAATGCCAGATTCAGTACTTTCGGAGAGTGACCGACCATGAAAATGAATACGGAGAGAAGTTGGATGTGAAAGGTACGGGAGCTAAATTGAAGTATTCAATTTTTGTTATTGTTGTTACAGATGGCGATAAATTCAACGGAGGGGACTTTGCGATTGTCACTTGCTGGCACGGATTCTCCAAATGGGATCATCTTCTCTGGCACGTGAATCGCAATGAAAAAGCGTATGCAAGAGCAAAAACCAAAAGACATGAGAATGCACAGAACCCGAAGAGGAAATCGTATAATATCTACTTTTTGGGGTAACGTTTCCAATCATTACAAAGTTTACAAGATTCTGTTCAGATTTGACTCGCTCTCGCAGATGTCATTCCGTCGAAAACTGCCAAAAACTGTGAAATTCCTCGAGGAGACCCTTGGAAGTACGGTTCTGAACGGCTACAACATTGTCGGCGACGGCACTCCGCAAGCTTTCATTCCCATTCTGACGGGCAAAACCGAAGAGGAGCTTCCGTTGACTCGGAAACGATTCTCGGAAGCCAGCTACTTGGACGAGGTGTATCCGCTGATCTGGCAAAACTTTTCGGACTTCGGATATGTGACCATGTTTGGAGAAGATATGTATATGTACTGTAGGTTTCACATAGTCAGCAGGCAACTATCATAATTGAAGTTGTAGCGACGTTTTGCTATCGGCTCACAGGATTCCGGTATCAACCGACAGACCATTATCCGAGGACGTTCTTCTATGATGTGGAACAAACTTTCGGCTATCCTGCCAGGTGTCTCAATGCTGAGCCTCTTCATAATGTAATTCCGATTTTCCCAACTTCTTGAACTATACAGCCTTTAGGTTTGGCTTCGAAACTGTAAACAGTTCATGAAGACTTATGAAGATGTTCCTCGCTTTCTTCTGATGCACCAAGGCCTTCTCTCCCACGACGACATTAATCTGGTAGACGTGGAGGACGAGGATCTGTCGGCCCATCTGAAGCACATGAACGACGAGGGGATGTTCGACGACTCGCTGGTGATTGTGATGGCGGATCACGGACACCGATTCGCGAAGCTTCGGGAGACGCACCAGGGCCAACTCGAGGAAAGAATGCCGTTCTTTTCGATCGCACTTCCGAAACAGTTGAGAGAAACGGCGAAGGGTGCCGAGATGGAGAGGAATCTGAGGGAGAACAAGGAGAAACTGACGAGTCCGTTCGACATTCACGCCTCCCTTCTCGACATTCTCCAGCTGTCCGAGTTGAAGAAGGAGCAAGTGGGTCAGATGCAGGACGCGAAGACGACACGATCATTGTCAGTGTTCCGACCGATTCCGGCCGACAGAACGTGCGCGCAGGCGGGCATCGAAGCCCATTGGTGCACGTGTCTTTCGTGGCAGGATGCCATGCAGACTCAGGAGGATCGCAAGTTGACCAGGAGGTAATGATGGAAAATGGGACGAGTTCTGATTTCTATATTCAGAATCGCCAACGCCGTCGTCCGTGAGATCAACAAGGAGCTGGAAGTGGAGAAAGAGTTGTGTGCCAGACTTTCCCTCGCTAACGTCATCAATGCCAAAATGTGAGTGGTGCATCTGGACATGGAATTCCCCAAGAACACAACGTCAGGTTACTTCCCGACAAGACCGTCCTGGCCTACAAAAACGTGATGGACACTGACGGTTTCGTTCCTGATCTCTCCGGCTCAACCGAGTCCGCGTTCGCTCACTACCAGCTCAAGTTCTCCACCTCCCCGGGAAATGCGATCTACGAAGTAACGCTGTTCTACGACGCGGTTCGGAACGAAATCAAACTGGACTTTGGCGCCATCAGCCACGTCAACCGATACGGAGACCTGCCGCATTGCGTCATGGATAATAACTTTTATATTGCCACGTTTTGTGTGTGCTATGATAAGATTGAGGTCAAGGACGGAGCGGAATGGAAATGAGAACAGGTTACTTGTTACTATTTGGTAGATCTCGTTTGTTTACATAATTAAAGTTTATTTGTTGGGCCACCACACATGCGAATCGACACGTTTCTCAAAGTTTTGTCCGATTTGTTCGTTAACTTTCACGTTGTTCAAATCGGACCACTTGACGATGAGCGGCGCGATTGTCGGAAGAGCGACCGGGTTTCCGGGCTTGATAGACTTTGCGGGGGCTGCAAGTTTTTGAGGCGACATGGAAATATTGAAATAGTGAAAAGTACCTAGAAGTGGATGTTGAACGAGCGCCACGTCAGATCCGAACCAATCTTTTGCGTAGTTGTTCTGAAAGCATACAATACTTTTGAATATGAATATGAAACAGATCACTTACATTTTTGAACGGAATGTCTACAGCCTTAAAAACATAGGGAGAGAACTCTAAATCCGCGGCATTGTCCTGAGCAAATGCTACAGAAATCAAGGAAAATAAAATGAATTTGGTCAACATCCTTTTCTTTAGGTAGAAGAAGTGTGAATGAATGAGAAGTTAGAGAAGACGGTTAGAAAAGTGTAACATGAAGATGAATGGCATCTGATGAAACCTGTTCTAAACAGGTGATTGATTTGGTTCATTGTAAAGATGTCCAGATCCCAAAACCAAAAATGAAAACTAGCCTGAATCTCTTTTGACAAGTGAAAAGTGCTGCTCGTTACATGTCAACAGCCTGCGCTTCTGCTCCTCGTCATCCACACTTTGCAAACTTTTCCAAAATTTGTGAAAGTGAACATGTCCAATTCCATTTTTCTGCTATTTTGTTTACTTTTCATCTCGGTTCTAGCCGATTTTTCAATGATAGTAGTGTACGGAAAACCGAAATCGTTCAAAAGCGTACAAACGAACTCGAGTGTCTCGTGGGATGATTGTGTGAAATTGTGCTGGAGCAATTCTAGCTGTGTGGTCAGTTTTGTAAATGATTTTCGCTTTACAAAACATTTTGAGTTGGCCTATGATAAAAATAACACTTGTCAATGGTTTAAGTACGGAAACATCAGCACAGTTACTCAGACAACTAAGACTCAAGGGTTTAAGGTTGCTTTCAAGGTACACCTTAAACATAAATTGTTAGAAGAATGTAATGTTCACAGATTAACATAACATCCGCAACGTGTCCAACTGGAACCAATCCACCAACTTTCAACAATAAAACCGCGTCGGTTTCGCTGGAAACTCCAGATGAAGTGACGCAGATTCCTATACGAGTGAATTATACTATAAAACTGGTCAATGGAACTTGGACGTTCACCTTTGTTGGTAAGTAGACGCACATTTTGGAAAGTTTAGAAACTCCAAAGTTCAGTTAAAAACGCGTGTCCCTTACCGCAATATTCGTTCACTCGGCGCCCATCAATGGATTGGTGTCTTCTGCCGTTGTACACGAATATCTCGCAGAGTTATGATGATGCCGTAGCCGGATGCGCAACCCAGGGATGCATTCTGACTGGGGCTTCGAATGCCGACGAAGTCGAGTATCTTGTTGGTCAGTCCCTTTGCGAAAATTAGCAAAATCGCAAAATATTTTAGTGAGTGCAAAGTTGATCCGTACTTACACTATTTCAAGAAACATCTATCTACGAATTGATGGAGTCAGATCGACAAAATGTCAATCAACCCCAAAAACTGCTGCTTGCAAGACATCAAGTGTAAGTTGCACATAATATATCAAAGCTTGAAACTTATATCATCAGGGCTTTACATACGGCGACTCGAGCTCCAAAACTATTGACTATTATAATTGGGTGACCAACGCTGGCGCTCAAGCGAGTACCGGAGACAATTGTCTTGTGGTACGGGCTAATGGAACGAGTTCTATACTTGAGGATGTTCGGAGGTATGTAATAGGCTTCAAGCAACACAACATAATGGTAATTTCAGCTGTACCAGCACAACTGCTCTACCCGTTTATGGCTTTGTTTGCGGAAGGCAAGCTTGGGTTTGGTGACTAATACATACATACTTCAGCTTTTTCTTTCTAACATTGTGATTTTGGAGCATAAAGCATTTATTTAAAAAAGTGTATTTTAATCTAAGCCTAAAACAAACTCAACGGTAGACTTCTCGTCGAAATCGAAACATGACTAGTCTCCACAGCCGCATTCACCCTTTTTGGATGACCAAAGCAGAAATTCCAGTAGGGTGGAAGGAAGAGAATGTAGCTCATTGGAGAGATGTTTGTTGTGAAAGTGAAGAGAATGGAAGTGATGAACTGAACATTTATGGGATCTACGATTGAGAAGTGCATTAGGAGGAAAATGAAAATGCCGAGAAGTATGCTTAAGGGGATAGCAGACTGGAAATGCGCCGTCTGAAAATATGGATTGTACGTTTGGTTCTAAACATTGACTTCTCCAATACCTTTACAAGTTGGTTATTTAAAATCACCGCAGTTCTCGATAGCCTTGGCGTGTTTTTATTCAAAAACTTGATCAAATTATACACAATCCATAGATAAAATAGAAAAACCACAGCCGATGAAATGGCCAACTGGCTTAAAATCACTTGAATTGACTGATGAATCACCCATCCGGCCATCACAATATCATCGGGTTTCGAGAAAAGTTTGGGAGCGAACTGATCTATCGAGTACTCGGAATAGGAGTTGATCCATAACAAAGAATTGATTAAAGAGGGTGCATAACAGGCAAGAGTTGTGAACACGAAGGTTTTGACAGAGGGTTTACGGTAGTGGAGGATATAATAGCGAAATAGGTAGGAGATAATTAGCCAGACCAAGTTCTGTTGGAGGAAGCTGATGAACATCATGTGGCCTGAGAAACAGGAGATCCGAGTGTAGCAGGGTCCTTTGGAGATTATGAACACCAGAGATCCAGTGCTGATTATTCTGAAAATCGCTCTAGTTTCAGATGAATTTCCACTTTTGAAAAAGCTGAAAACTCCCTCTCGATCACAAACAAATTTGTTATCGCCGCCAGCACGTCCGTTACGGATTTGATGACAATTATAATACAACAATTCCTCATAATCGGTGGACTCTTTTTCAACGCCATATAGATCAATAGACAGTTCAAGAAACAAGCGGATGAGGATAAAATGGACTGGCAATACACGTATCGCATTGATATTATAGATTCTAGCAGTAGTATTCGTGTGGTGTCATCATAATAACTAGAATCAATGTGATATGCACCTTGGCATTACCGGAAATTAAGAACGCACAAAAATACATTGATATTTTGTGTTTTCCCAGTATTAATCAAATTACGATAGACACTTTACTTTTCGTGCACTTGCCTGTTTGACAGCAAATGGGAAAAACCGAATGAATAAATGGAATTTCCGTTTTCAGAGAATCCGTTAGGAATACTAACGAATTCAGCATAATAGATGAAAAACAATCCGTAAATGGCACACTTTTTAGTGTCTAGTACCACTCCATTTTTGAATGGATTATATAAACTGCGATCGTACGTCACACTAACCACAGTGATCCTTGAACATTATTTAGACCCCGTGAATTTGAAAATTATCTCCTTTTCATGTCAAGTAACAAGATCTTTGAGTGTCGCCACCAAACTCTAGACCCCTTTCGAATGTGTCACTCCTCTATTGTCCGTTTCTGTCACAAACCTCAATACTTTCTAATCACCGCCCATTCATGAACCCGGACGGGATGCGTATAAAAGGAGAAGCGGAGGAGGTGCCGACGATGTGATCGAATACTGTAACGTCACACTTTTTTTCGCACCTCTGTCCTCATTTGTTTAATTGAAAAGTAGCAAGACTGATTTCCGGTACCACTTTTTCGACACGTATTTGATACAGGTCATAACTACTTCACAACCACTCGAGCTCCAACGCATTCTAGAAAAACGATGGAGTTCGGGATCTATCAATTGCTCCACGCGGCACTTTCCCTTTTCGGTATTGCCATCAATGTCTTCTTGCTATTTCTGGCCGTCTCAAAGTCGCCGAAGATTATGCGTCCATGTTCCGCACTCATTACTAACAAGTCACTCACTGACATCATGTCGTCACTGGCCAACTTTTTTGTGATGCAAAGGTAGGGCTCGAGTGTGGAATCTACTTTGAAAAGAGTTCAGAATCATCACTGACGGCTCCTCGGTTACCATAATCCCGACGGGCCCTTGCACTGACTTTGGCCCGGTCGCCTGCTACGCCGGCCACATGTTCATGAGCAGTTTCCTGGAGCACAATCTGATCTGGCTGATCGCCTGTTATCTCTTCCGCTACTATATCCTCTACGTCCGCGATCCGTCCATCAAAAGCATTATCTTTGCCGCGTTCCTGGTCTACATCCCTTCGCTCGTTCACATGGCCGTTTGGATCGACTTTTTCGCGTCGGAACAAAAGGAAATCGCTCTGGAAGCAGGAAATTGGACCACTTTCAATGGTACTGACGAGAATGAGATGATTCTAACTGGCTCGGTGGTATACTGGTCTTCAATTGTGATTTTCGTCCAACTGGTCATCACCTCTTTTCTCGTTGTCATTGCCTATCTTTGGATTCGTAACGTTCTTCTCAACTTCATTCTGAGCATGGGCGCCGACCTCTCGAAGGATGTCAAGATTCTCAATAAACAATTGGTCAAGGTGAATCTCAACTCTCAACTTTGTGAACAGAATTCCACAACTTTGATCCATCTTCAGATCCTGACGTTCCAAGTGTGCATTCCCATCTGGATCTTCCTCGGCGTCCTCTTCTTCCTGGCCATGTACACCGGAACCTTCCGTCCGGATTACCTCCAATACGGAATCACGATCGCTTTCATGCTCGCCCCCGTCATTTCCCCATTTTCTTACATCCTTTTCGTCCCCCATTATTGGAAGTTTTGTACAGGAAAACCATTAAGGAACTCGTCGTCCGCTTGCATCACTTCTTCCAATGCCGGAAGTGCTGAGAAGAGTGCCTCTTAAATGTCGAACTTTTGATACTAATTCTGTTGATTGATTCTGAATTTTTTCCTTTTGGAATCGAAAATTTGCCTCAATTGTCTCAATTATGTATATATTTTTTGACGGTTGAGCGTTTAAAAGATGCGCAATAAACTCCTTGTTGACTGGACGGTTCGAATGCCAGTGTCCGAACTCGATTCGGCAAATAATCGTTAAAACTCCGTTTTTTCAGTAGTTTTCGACAAAATCCCTCAATTTGGTCAATTCTGAACGAATCTGCTCCGTTTTGCGCTTAAATCGATTCCTTTATCTCAGACGGTTAGCAAAGAACAAAATTTGCGTGTTTATTAAGAGAAAAACGAACGAATTCTGGTTTTCAATTGAAAAAAGAAACTCTGAGTCGACGGTGGATGCATGCGCGCCCCATTGACAACTCGCTTGCGCATTGGAATGCTGGGGTTCCGTGTAAATTTTGTATTGTTTGCAGTTATTTGTAATGTGGGATCTTTTTATAACTCATTTATTCGATACGACCAATTTCTTTGTTTATAAAGTTCAAGTGAACATAACATTCATTCAGCACCTAATTCAGAAAAACGGCGGCGGCTGCAGAATGCTGTGCTCCCACGCATACTTTTCCACTGCTGGCACTTGATTCAAAATTTTTCCAGCCTACAAAAATTTGGATATACATCATGTATGATCAGCCAAGTTCAGCCAAGTTTACTCACCTTCTGAACGGCCATCTCGAACTTCCTCCCGTGATTCTTCTCAAATTCCATCACACAATACACGTCTTTGCAAAGCGCCAAGTCTTTAGATAGAGATTCGACCTGGAACAATGAAAATTTAGAAAAATACGTTTAGCTCAAGTGGGGGTACCATAGCCAGAAGTTTGTACTCGTACTTTTGGTCAAAGCTAAGAATGAGTTCGTTGATGTTGGACAAGAAGTTGGCAGTTGATTCGACGCTCTAAAGTCGAGTTTTAAAGAGAAAAAATAGCATGGGCGGTACCATCTGACAAGTGTATTCGTGCTTCTGGCAGGTTGCGATGAGCAAAGTGAGCACTTTCCCCGGGTGATCTGTGCAAATGAATTTTGTACTGTCTTTTCTCAAAAAAGAAATGAATACCTCGACTAAGATCCAATTTGTCCATCTCCATTGCAGCACGGACTGGGCAAAGGAAATGTGAAAGGAAAATTGCGAGGAACAATTTAGGGGTCATTTTATAAAAGTCAAATGAAGTGAATGAAAGTGAGAATATGTTTATATTCATTTGATATCAAAGTGAAAGTTGTTATTTGATATGTGTAAACTTTCATAAGCATACCATATATTTGTTTATTATCATTCTACTTCAACTCATATATTTGAAGCCAAACATTCGTTCAAGTGTTCAAGATGGGGGACAAGATGGGGGACGTCAATGCTACTTCCTTTTCGGCAAACCTATAATAATCTTTTGCCACTCTCAATGATAATCACCATGTCTAAGCACATCCCAAAGTGTGGTCGAATGACATTCACACTTCGCATCAGACTTGTTTTCATGCTTGAAAAGGTTTGTGATCAAAAACCATTGTGAAAGTTCAAATTGAACTGGAAAATGTTGGATTAGTATTTATTTGCACAAAATTGAAAACGGCAACCAGCTACTGAAAAGTAAAGTGCACCGGAACTAACTACAAGGATATTATGAGGACGGGAAAGGGGGAGTATCATGAGGTAGGGGGAGTAAATGTTGAGATAGAGGGAAAGAGGAGGGAATAAAACAAAAAAGTTAGATTAGACTACATTGTACCGGACGAAGCCTTCGGTTGACTGCTTCTCTTTTTGGTGCCTCTGTTCGAAGCCCGCGGCGTTTGTTGCTCTCTTCTCTTCTCACTGCTCCGCTCCACGTCATCCCAAATTTTTGACAACACGTGAAAGTGCTTCTCACTCGAATGCATTGGAAGTGGCTCCTGACCGACTCTTCTGGACTTGGAATTCTTTTTGAATTTCTCACTGATAACCGCTTCAATCGCCCATTTCCAAGCGACGGGGATCAACAGGACGTACACGGGGAATGACTGAATTTTGAAATGTTCAATATATACTCAATTTACCGCTCTTGCCCCCTCGGTGTTTGCAGACTCAAGCCTAATTTCAGGAAATTTTGGCTTGAGTCTGCAAACACCGAGGGGCAATAGCGATGAATTGAGTTTAATTGCAGAAACAAGAAAGTGTTCTCACGTTAGCAAGGTCGTATAATATCGCATCATTTTTGTCTTGCATCAAACTATACAGTGACAATGCCGAAAACCACAAGTAGCATATGACATGGATAATCATGTTCGGAAACATGACGCGAAAAGTTCTTCGCAAATCTTTCACGGCTAGCGGTTTTTCAAGACAGTATTTGATTCTGAATGTGCAATATTATGAGAAATCTACATTGTAGGTTCTACAACTAGCCGGCAACTCACTTGGGATTGTTCAGAGTGCTTTTCATATATGCGTATAGCAGGAAAGCTAAGAAAACGATGAAGACGTCGGATCCAACGAAGAGCTTGAAACATCGAAATTTAAAATAAAATAATGAACGTTATAAACCCACCATAACAATGATCTTAATTGAATCTTTCGATTTGTTCTCAAACGAAGAGCAATTGATCATATAAGCATCAGAGGCTAAGTCATTGAAAAATGATTTTCCGATGTTTAAAATTGGGCCGATAATCTGGAAATTAGTCTTTTATCTAAACCGAAATTAGTTTTTCTCAAACCGTTGCTGTTGCCACGATATAGAAGAGCCGTTCATTCTCACGATAACATCTGAATCGAGAAGCCATCCATTTATCTATCAGTATTCCGGCTGTGAAGTAGTGGAAGACTGTAAAAGTGAGCAAATAAGGATATAAATTAAAATATTGTATTTATACTTACAGACTGTCGACCACGACTGACTGATTCTCGAGAAGATGCAATACTTGGCAGCCGTCAGAAGTTCACAATCTTTGTATAGAACTCTTGAGGCAAAGTGGTAGATCTGAATATGCACTTGATTGAACTTGATCTTAAATAATGGAGCTTACCTGTGTTCCAACGAAAAAGATTACATAGTTCCAGAGAGCGAACGTGTGCATGTAGAAGAGCACCTGAAAAAGGTTCAGTTTTAAAAACATATACAAATAGAATATGAAGATTCTCACCTTAGTGCTCCATGGCGTGTAAATCTTAGAAATCAAGTTCATATTGGTTCGAGAGATACAGAGACCAGCAAAACAGCACAATGCTTGAAATATTTTCAGGATTGTTGCCCAGAAAGACATCGAGGACTGGATGTACTCGCGAAGTTCATCAGTGCACACGCCTTCGAACATTCTGGATTGAATATAAATTGGTTTGATCGGTCTAACGAGACGAAGTGAAGTGAGGGAAAAGCAGAATAGGACTATAATTGAGCCAAATTATAGGTGCTGGTGAGAGAAGTGTGTGCAATAATTGTCAGTTTTTGGTGCCATGTTCTCGTGCTGTGTTCTTCTAGGATGAATACTAGTTTTTTGAAAGTGAATATTCAATGGGAACTTCAGAAAGTTATAGAATTTATTCAAATAACTGCAAACAATACAAAATATGTACAAAACCAGACATGCAAATTAAATTAAACCAGACGAAAATTTGCTACACTGCTGAACCTCGGCAAAAAATATGATTTCTATGAACGATTTTTTCCAAAAAATGCGTATTTGCTATCTGTTATAGTCTGCCTAATTTTGAAGGCACACTTGGAAAAATTAGTCGAAAAGCCCGGGCTTTCGGGCAATGTCGGCCTATGATCCACATATCTCGGGATCGGATAGTCCAATCGAGCTGAAACTTGGCGTCAGTATTCTTCGATCCAAGTCCAAAAACTTCTCCGCAACTTTTGGGTGTTCGATAGTTTTCATTGTTGCTGATTCTTCAAATTTTCAAGTTAAAAAAATAGAAGTCATGAAATTCACCTTTCATGGACCAATTTCGGTCCGAATCTCGTAGACGGCACACACAACTGTTTCCAAGAACCTGATGTATTCGAGCATTTTTTGTTCCGAACAGATCGAAGCTTGAGGTAGCTGAAAATAATACAACAGTTACGGTGAAATAATTGAAAAATCACATGAAAAAACGTTAGAAACATAGAATAGACCAAAAAAGTTAAAGAAATGAGTGACTCATAGTCAGCGATTTTAAATGAGGAAACAGCGTATGCCAGCGCTTTGAATCCATTTTTTGGTTTTTATGAAATACAAGCTAACAAGCGAAAAAAACAGAAAATGCATAGCATGCAGCATGCTTCGTAAAGACCGATTTTGTTCCAAAAACAGTCGGCTCTTGTCAGTTTCACATTTTCTATGATATCTTGTTTCTATTTCCAATTAGACATGCCAACATTAGGTTTATTCTTTCCGAACAACAAACGAGTGTGTTTAGCGGCCAAAACTACGCTTTCGAGAACAGTTACACATTTCGACAAAAATCGCCTCTAAAAATTGGCGTACATACAGTACGGCATGTCTCCGTCCGCTGGCGTACATACGCAGCATGTATGCCGCGCCCCTCTCCCATGTGAGCAATGAAGTTAAACTCACTTGGTTGTTATAGTGTCAGCAGTTGAAGAATGAAGATGTGGACCCTGGATGGAAGTTGAAAACATAGAAAATGCGAAATTTCAAGAATTAAAGTATAAATGCGAATTAACGCTGTTGAGGACATGAATAAGACAAGTAAAGCAACTTTTTTTTCAAGTTTGAATACGAGGTAATGATTAGGCTGAAGAAGTAGTTAGGTATGAGATATCAGGTAGACAGATTATGAAAATGTGAAAGACGCATAAACGAAAATTAAGACATAGAAAGGAGAAACGAATAACAATAACAATAGCAACAATAATTCGAGATAAAAAGCAATGAATTGCAACACAAAATCAACAAACTACTGAATCTCTGAGAATGGCCTGTTCAAAGCGGGTCCTACGTCAATTTGAAATAAACTGCTGACAATCGGCTGTACCTGAACTTGTGCTGATGATCGGACTCGGATGAACCCGATGTCCGTCTCCGCTTGAACGGAACTCCGCACCGTCGGCGGTCTCCTAGACATTTGATTCTTAAAAATGATAAATGCAATTGGACGCAATAACAAGTATAATGGGATAGACTGAAAGACATGATAATAGTTTGAAACTTTCTGTTTGTGCTTACATTGGTTATTGATAATTTGTCTCCATCAAGGCGTCTGTGGAGTAGAAGCAAAACTAAGGGTCCGCCAGAGAACCATAAGAACGTGATAATCTTGAGGATTAAATCCAAGAAAGCAAAATCTAGGGAATAACGCAAATCTTTAGCGTTCTGATGCTTACTAATGCTGAGTTTTAGACTGAAAATGTTTAACGTCAGAACTGACTTGTAGCTACAAATAAACGTACACGGGATCCGTGAATAGGCGACGCTTGAGGCAGAGAGAGACTATTAGCACCATTATATTGATAAATTCCAGTATGATATATGACTGAAATTACAAAGTGCTCAGTTATTCTCATTATTTATAAAACTGACCCCGTATGTGATTGTAGCTTCGGTCTCGCTGAGACTTTCCAACAAGGTCCTATTGAACAGTGGTGCTCCTTCGTTGAACATTTTGTATACCGGAAGGGTACACATCCCAATTGAAAACAATAACTGAATGGTTGAGGATACATTATCAATTAGAACATTCGAAAGATTAGAACGTTGCTCACCGTAATAAAACCTAGAAAACATGGACCCGATCTGTGTTGTCTATAAACCTTCCATTGTGAAATTAAAAAAAAGTTCAATAAAACAACAGTGATACTAATGGACATATCTGAAAAATATGATTTGGCAATGTAGTTCTATGTAGTTAGACTTGTTTCAACTTACAATTAATAGTCATCAATTGGCCGATCCCTAGCCAGAACCACCAAGTGCCAGATGGTGGAACGAACCACCCGTCCGGAAAAAGGATCCGATAAATATTTGAACCCTGTAGGAAAATCACTGTTTATACAGTATCTTGACACTACTTACCGTTATAAACACAAAAATGCCAGCATAAACAACAAATACCAGTAACTTCAGGACTTCAAAATTCTGAAATAATCTATTATATTTTAATAATACCTTTCTGCATTACCCTATAGCTAGAATGCAATTTTTTCATTGACTTTGTGCAATAATTTCCTAAATTGAATATAACTCCAATGATACAAAAAAAGATGGAAATGACATCCCAAATTAATATGCTTTGGGTTTGTTTGACTTCTTGATCGAGAGAATAATCGGAACAGTTGGTTGAATTCATCTGAAAACTGGAGAGTTCGATCCGGGCGGAACAGTTCATAAGTTACGAAAAACTAGTAATTTCAATAAATAAAGTTACGGAGATTTATTTTAGTAGCTAGAAACTGACACCTACTACCAACAAGACACCCCATGAAGTCCTGATCGAGCCAAGTTAAGGTTCGATCGAAACATTTCAAGTATGAATCAAGAACGCTTGAGATCTGTCACTAATCAACCGCTTCACCCAGTGTCTATTTAGTTTGGCCAACTAGGAGCCAAAGCGAACACATCGGCTCACACGCATGCATGAACACGACCCGAACGTTCTCTCATATTTGCACATTATTGATATCATTCTTCTTTTTGAGTTCTCTATGGAGTTAAAAATGGATACGACAGAGCTGAACATTTGGAGATCATCTAGATAGAAGTCACGATTAATGAAAACCCCGGAACCCCACTTGCTAGGCCACAACTTGAACATAATCGCAGCAGTAAGATCGTCGATTAGTTTCATCATGATGTCAGGTGCCGTTCCCGCTCAGTGGACAAAATCTATAGTGTTTCCCATTAAGAAAATTTCCAATCCGACTCTACCCGTTCATTTTCGCCCTATTAGTTTAACATCGGTCATCTGCCGCTCTTACGAAAGGTGTCTATTGCGTCATTTACTTCAGCACCTTCAAGAGATACAATTCTGGAGCGATAGCCAGCACGGCTTACGACCAGGCAGATCCACAACTACATGTGCTTTAGAAGCCATGAATGATTGGACCACACATTTGGAAGAGTGTCAACAGGTGGACGTGATCTATTTCGACTTCTGCAAGGCTTTCGATAGAGTACCGCACTCGCTTCTAATAGAGAAGCTAATGATGCTGAATTTTAACGTGAATCTTATTAATTGGATCAAAGCTTACCTAAATAATCGCAGCTACCAAGTTCGAATAAACAACGCACTCTCATCATTAAGGCCCGCTCCATGTGGGGTACCACAAGGTGGAGTTTTGTGGGGTTCTGTCCCCAGTTCTTTTCTGTATTTATGTCAGCGAAATTAGCAAGATCCTTCCTCCTCAGATACAATCGAAACAATATGCGGACGATCTCAAGATCTACACAAACTTCCCCAAGTTATCCCCTTCCAAAGATCTCCAGATCGCAATTGACCGTATTTCTGAATGGTCCAAGAATCACAAGCTGTCTCTTAATCTCTCTAAATCAGTTTGTATATCAATAGGTCGAAATCCCACAATAACCAAATATTATATAGACACAGCTGAGATAAAAGAGAATCAACCTGCAGAGACCTCGGATTTCTGATCTCTTCAAATTTAGATTTTGCTGACCACTGGAAGAAGACCATTCAAAAAGCAAACATAATGATAGCGAACCTTTTCAAGTTTTTTTAAACTCTCCAAACACACGCCTGATGACTCATTTATTCAAAACATTCGTACTGCCCATACTTGAAATCACATGTCCTTCTAAAAAAGCTACGATAAGAGCAATAGAACAGGTTCAGAGTAACTTCTCACGTAAACTCTGGTTACGGTAAATAGGAGCTTTCGTACCTCGAGATTCGCCAAACTACATAAATGCCAGTGAACGTCGCCGTCAATTTAACCTCGAATCACTTGAAACTCGCCGATCACATTTAGATAAAAAGTTTTTAATCAAATTGTTAGCTAACAAAGTGGACATTAATCCTGATGACTTCTTCCTACACTTAAACACTACACGGACTAGACGGAGTCACTTTTACCGATAGAAGACTCCCAAATCTAAACTAATACACAACTTCTTCACTCACAGAGTCTTATCTAAGATGAATCCGGCACAGGCATCTGTGAAATGATGATCTTTTTCCTTTTGCGCGGGCAAGTAGGTGAAGATTCCCCATTTATTCCCCTCATCTCCCCTTCATCTCCTCCCCCTCATCCATTCTCCTCTCTCTCTCTTCTCTAATCATTCCACGTTAAAAAAAATAAAAACGTAAATAAATAAATAAATAAATAAATAAATAAATAAATAAAGTTCCCGTTAGATAAAGGGTACATTTGTGCGAAAACACACTATTTGTTTTGAGAAATGAGATGGAAACTGCTCTGAAATCAGAGTAAAAATATGCAAAGTTTGTTGGTACTCTTGAACCTATTGAAGCAGACATAAGTCACCTGAAGTAACAATGAAGGAAGAAGCCGGGCGAGCAACCCGTTAGCAACCAACTTTCAAGCATCATCTCCTTTTTTTGTCATCTTCATGTTTCTCAGTTTTTCATCAAGTCTAGAAGGTTCAAATTACTCATGACTCTTCAATTTACGAAAGCAATCGGAGAAGAAAACAAGTAAACACAATGCTCTCTGTGATCAGTGCCAATTTGTGCGTCTAATTGACGTCAATGAGCCCAGAGACTTCGGGAAAGTGTTGTCATGAGTAACATTTACGCGCTGTGGGTTTATAATGACTAGGTTGCACCGCCCTCGGAAAAAGCGGGACTGGATTACGGTAACTAAGCAAGAGAAATTGAAGTAGTTGACTAAAATCTTGGAACATAGGCTGACAAAGGTGTGATAAATAAGTGTTAGAACTTTTCAGCCTTGAGCTTGAAATTGAGACCAGATACGCTAAATTCAAGTGGAAAGATAAAAAACTACAGATTTGTATGCGAAGAGGAGCTTACCAAAAACATAGAATCAGGGATCCTGACCTAACCTAAATGTCTGGATTGATGAAGAAGTTGACAAGTGTGAAAGTGCCGTGATAAAAGGATTCTAAAGGCTTAGAAGTGTTTTAACTTCTCAGCATGTACCTTAACCTTGAAAAAAGTCACTAAGCTATTCTAGAAGATGAGGCGTATAATAATCACATGCATGCAGGCATCAGGAAAATGTACTAGGTCTAGTGACTCTGAGCTCCGATTTGTAGCGGTTTTGTTGCTTGCTACTCCAACCTTCAGACAAAAAGGATTGCACGTCATAACTCGACGAAAACTGAAGCAATTAGGAAAAATACTTGAAGTGGACTTAATAATGGCTTGATACGGAAGTATTGTGAGTTTTTCGCTTCCTTGTTGTTTGGAAAAGTTATGGGCTTATTGGCCGTGTCCTCTATTACTATTCCTGGTGCCTATTGCTGCATTCTACCTCACTTGACGAATCCAAAAAATGGCGAAAGTTTCTGACGTTGTAACTTATCTCCTACCGAAGCAATTAGCAAAAATCACATAATGGGGATAGAGGGATGTCTGATGAAGCCACATTTTCAGTTTTCAGCTTCTTCTATCATTCAGACACGAGTTACGTGCCTAGAAGGCTCGACGAAGACTCTTGGAAACAACCAAGAGTTCGGACGAGGTAAACAAGTGACAGTGGATGGATGGCAGCTGCAGAAACGAATAGCCATCCTACTAACTAGTAAATTATGAGGTTTGATTTGGTGATTGGTCTTGGAGGTGAAGAGTGAAGAGAGTTACTGTAGGAAAACACGGAAGTCGTGAGGCTAACTTCGAGGCTTTGTATCTAGGCCGGAACTGAAGATGCAAACAAAAATCTTGGAATAGTTATAGACCTACCCAAAGTATGTATGTGCTATCACTTTTCAGACTTCTTCTAGAAGGAAAAAGTGAAGCTAACTTTAATGCATCGTAACAAGGTCAAAATTCAAGATTCTAGCAAAAATCATGGAATAGCCACAGAGCAACTCTAAATGAATATGTGTTAACAGTTTTTAGATTCTACCTTGAAGTACAAAAGAGTTGCTGATATGATTGTTTCTAAGCGCGGCGGATTCATTCGCACCTGATAGAAAATTTGAAAAACTAATAGCAGAATCTAAGAAGACATCTTGTTCGTATCATCATAAAGTTTTCCTTACTCCTTTTTGAAAAGAGTTGAGAAGAAGTATTGTGTTCTTAAAGGTAAGCAAGTCAAAAATCAACAATGATTCCGGATGACCGATTTTGGTTTCAACTCTCCGTACAAATGACCAACACCTAATCTTAGCGGTCAACTGTGAATAATGAAAACTTCGGGTTCATAACTCCAAGCCCAGACTTCATGGGAGCCATGTCTGTAGTTTGAACTTTTCCGCAGTCTGCAGACAGTTGGTTCCTGACCATTTCTCTCTCAAAGTGAAATAAGATAAACAACTGTGAGTCAGGTTAACATTTACCACGCACCGGATTCCCATTTCCAGTCCCGAAATAATCTTTTTCTGCCGAGCAAACGTCCCGAGAGTGCTAATTAGCCGGCCGAGACATCGCGACCACTAAATCCGATAGTTTGGACATAGAAATCGGACGCTGACTCCAACTTTGTCTGAGGAAGAACAAACAGAGAGAGAGAGAGAGAGAGAGAGAGAGAGAGGGAGAGGAAAAGTTATGATTAGAGGACTACGGTAGTCAATGGAGAGTGTGTCGCCTGCCACGTCTTCTGGACCTAATAGTTGGCACTGAGTTGAGTTACATTCAGGAAAGCAAGCAACGTTTCGGCACTAAATACGAAAACCTGTACAAACAGGAAAATATAAAAACGAAAAACTCAAATTCCTCATTGCTACGGCAGTTTGGATTCTCATTACTCGCTCGATAATGATTAGTCGATAAGTCAGATGATTTCGGAAGAGCTACTTTAAAAGTCTGTCATCTAAAGTCTAGCAGAATTTGCCCTTTTTTGTTTTGGATGACTGGTTTCAGTCATCAAATCCTTTGACATGTGTGGGATTTGAAAGGGCAAGTGGAATTAGATGTTGAAAGTGACCTTTAACTGATTGATTGCTCTGAACTCACCGTAAAGTGATGACACAGTAGCAATGTCCAGAAAAGTGAGATGGCCGTTGTTCGGTTGGCAAGGCGCTTCGACTGCCGGAATAGCGTATTTGTGAAGGTGAAAAACTTGAAATACTAGTCGAGATTCATTTCTAGATGGCATATAAGAAGTCTCAGCCAAATTGCCACTCTCGGTCCAATTTCATGATTGAAAAACAACAAACGTGTGCAAAGTTGCAAGTTTATCACTGTTGTAAGCGAGACAACCAGATAAGATGGAAGACAAGAACCCGAGGAACATGTCGAGATGACCCACAAAAAGTTTCACACTCTGAAAGGTTCACCAGGAAGCTGACAAGTTTGAGTGGTCCCAGATTGGTTCACAAGGAAGGTACAGACTAAAATCGTGGGGAGCCTGTCCAGAACCGGGTTAAGAACAAGTGTTGACAGTTTTTTCCACTAGGTCCCATCTCAAGTCGTTTTTTTTGGTTGGCTGGCAACGCGCTCGGTCCAAAATGTTTTGCATAACTCGGCGCGCAGTCACTCTGTTAGAAAAAACTTCAGAGAGCGTGTCAAGAATGGTGTGTAGATGATCTTCTCAAGTTTTTATCGCCACCGCTTCATTTTGAAAACACATAGACGCTGCTCCTTTTCGGTCAGAAGTTTCCACACACGGGTGCCCACGAAAAAAGAAAAGTTCTGCTTTCTCTCAACGGGCGGACGCACCTTTAATTAACTGATGAAGGACAGAATCAGAAGCTGGAGCAGAAGTAGAAGCAGAAGCAGAGGTAGAATCAGAAGCTGGAGCAGAGACGTCAGTCGGCCGGAACGAACAACATATGAATGAGCTGGAGCTTGGCTCAAATGAGCCGAAAAGGATGATAACAAAGCGTCTAACTCGTTTCGAAAATTTGATTTCCCTGAGGTAGCACCAAAGTCCGAAACCACGAGATGTGCTGGACACTTAGTCTGGAAGCCTGAAGTGGTTGCAAAGAGTCCAATCAGTTGCAAAACGTGTCGTTCTTATCAATAAGGAAGAACTTGGGTTTAGTCATGTCACTTTGTCGCATGCAACTCTCGTATTATTGGTGCAAATGCGAAGCAGTGTTTAGAGAGATTTTGAATTCAACATTTTTAGAACTTGAGTTATGCTGGGCCTAAAACTTGTGTTGAGTACTAGTTTGTATGGTTCCAACGCGGCTCGTACTGGAAACTTTGACTAAAAAAATCTGAGAGCTAGTCAGGAACAGTATCAAGATCATGTGGTATCAGATTTTTCCTTTTTTGTAATCTTTGTTGTTGGTTGGCAACCTGCACCTGAAATCATTATAAAATGGCATTAAAGAAGTCTGAACTGAGCTTAAATTGCTACTCTCGGTCCAATGTCATGAGCGAAAAACAGGAAACGTGGGCTAAGTTGCATGTCCCGCGTATTATGGTTCTGATTGAAGTCCAGTCACAACCTTAAGGAACATGTTCAGATGACCCACAAAACGTTACACCCTCTAAAAGGTTCACTAGGAATCTTACAAGTTTGAGTGGTCCCAGCTCGGCTCGCAAGGAAGGTACTTACGGAAAACGTTGATAGCCTATCCAGAACCGGGTTAAGAACATGTGTTGACAGGTTCTTACACTAAAGACCATCTTGAGTAGTCGTCTTTTTGGTCGGTTGGCAACGCGCTCGGTCCAAAATGTTTTGCATAACTTGGCTACAAAAAATTTTGGAGAGCGTGTCAAGAATAGTATGTAGATGATCTTCCCAAGTTTTCATTGCAATAGCTTCATTACTTTTCGAACTGGAACCTTTTGAAGATTGTATGTTTTCATTGTTTCAACTGGGTTTGTAGATTACTTTCAGGGTCACTTGGAGAAGATTTCAAGTTGAATACAAAAAAGATGTACTTGTTTATTTTACAATTTCTAAAACTTTATAGCTTTGTCTGTCACATGTCCTTCTCGCCTGCTTTTCCCTTATCAAACAACAACAGAACAAAGTTTTTGTGTCTTTGTGGTCACGTAGACTGACCATAAACAGCCAATCAAAAGTGGCAATCAACGCGACGACCCAGAATAGTGATAAGATTGTCGAGTGGTCATTACTTCAGTTCTTCTCCTTCTTCTTTGTCTTTATTACGTCTATCAGTCACGTTTATTTTTTTATTTTTTCAATCTAATTTTACTAAAAACCACCTATTTGAGCTAGAAATGTCGAAGCTTGGCGAAAAGTTCGAGCGAGATGGGTTCGCCGTCATCGAAAATGTGTTCAACGATCAGGAAATACAGGAAATGAGGGATTCAATCTCGAAAATCGTAGATGAAATGGATCTGAGCCAACACCCGAGAAGCGTTTTCTCCACATACGACGAGGACAAGGTTTGAACTCATTTTGGGCAGAACAGAATCCTAAATTATCATTTGCAGCACGCGGCCGACTCGTATTTCCTGAATAGTTCCGACAAAATCCGTTTTTTCTTCGAGGAAGGCGCCGTCGATGAAAAGGGCGATCTGAAAGTGGCCAAAGAAAAATCTCTGAACAAAATAGGCCATGGCCTTCATTTCCTAGACGCAACTTTCCGGAAAATGACATTCCATCCAAAGATTCAGGAAATCTTCATAGAGATTGGCTACGAGGAGCCTGAAGTTGTACAGAGCATGTATATTTTTAAGGTGATTTGATCGGTTTCGTGTCGAGATCCCTTTTCAACATTATTTTCAGCAACCTAAAATCGGCGGCGCTGTTACGGATCACGTGGATTCCACTTTCCTGCGTGTGGATCCAATCGATCATTTGACCGGCGTCTGGATTGCAATCGATGAAGCCAGCGTGGAGAACGGGTGTCTTTCTTTCATTCCTGGAAGTCATAAAGGTGAATGGATCAATTCTATGCTCGATGCATTACGTCGTACTTTTCAGAAACCGCAACGTCCGACTACCGCTTTGTCCGAACCCACACCCCATCCGGAGGTCCTCTTCTCAAATTCATCGGAACCCGCCCGACCTACGACCAATCGAAATTTCAACACGTTCCCATATCCAAAGGTTCGCTCATTCTCATCCACGGACTCGTTGTTCACAAAAGCGAAGCGAACACTTCCGACAAATCGCGTCACGCCTACACAATCCACGTGATGGAGAAGAAGAACACCGTGTGGAGCCGGGACAATTGGCTCCTGGAGACCGAGCAGTATAAGTTTCCCAATCTTTATAACTTTTATTGAGTGATTAACCTGAAAAGTTTGATAGTGAGTCAAATAACAAATGCATTGGACATTTTCAACGAACGTTTAGTCTGTAGCGCATGGGAAAAGAAGAGAAACCACTAGTAGCTATGAACGTTACAAATTTACAACTTTGACCAAAGCACCAGTCACGAAAACGTGAAAGGACACCAATCACAAGAATTTCATCCGAAGAGAGGGGTTCTCAAATCAGTTCAACATCTCCTACCTTTATCTCCACTTTCTCCGAGCTGCCGCCTTCTCGCTTGTCCACTCGTCCTCCGTCGTTCCACGTCACTGACGCCGCAAATAGTTCGTGGAATCCACAAAGTATTCTGACGACTTTTCGCCATCCGAAAATCTCAGCGAGAAAAAGGCGCCGTCGCCGTTTCGGAACGGCACAGCCACGGCTCAAAATAAGCGTAAATTCGGCAACACGCGTTTCAAAAAGAGTCGGCCTTCTTTTTCACCTTTTTTCACTGAGTTAGAATTATATTAAACTTTTACCCGTTCGCTACCCGTCCTCGTAGCGAATATTTAGTGAATATTTAGGGAATATTTAGGGAATAAATGGGGAATAATGAAGGGAAAAAAGAACGGAAAAGTAGGAGAAAATAGAGAGCAAAAGTAGCAAATAAAGAGAGGATAAAGAGAGAATAAAAAGGGAATTAATCGATAAACTGTAAAAACGATTCTCAGGGTTCAGACTTTTGCTTCTACTTCTGAGGAAAACAAAAACGTTCGGTGCTTACATTGCCATTGTTTATTCGACGGAAATTAACAAACGAAATACAAAAAAAGAGTTTGCATGAGAATGAGGGAGTAAAAAGGAAGATACAAAGTAACGGAAACAAAAAAGAAGAAAAGGGTGAAGGGCGGTGCTGTCTGATTCTGTCACAATACCGAGACGAGTCACCGGGGGGGGGGACAGCAGGGCCATAAACGTTCATTGTTTTCGACTGCTCCATGGGTGTTGGAATGCCACTAAACCGACTAACATGAAATAAATTAAGAGAAAACAGAAACTTTGAAAAGATGAACCGAACAATGATTGAAAAAAGCATTTCGGAAAGCTTAATAGTGAGTCAAATAACAAATGTTATCGAATTGATCGATGCCATCTTCCTCTTTTTCTTCAAAATTCCAAATCGGTCTAGAATGTATTTGCGCAGAGAATCCGAGAACAGCCATAGTAAATAAGGGTTTATGCTGGCATACAAGTCACTGAAAAATGCTTAGTGTGTGTGTGTGTGTTAAGAGTTTGTTTACGCCCTCGGGGGCCACAATTCGCCGCGTCCTCGTGTGGTTTTATAGGGGCACCTCACAGAAATGGCGCTCTGTTGAGAAACTCTTTTTGCAGTGCAAATTGAAAGACCTCGGGCCGAGTTTGAAAAGACTCTCTATTTTTGACCCTATTGCTATGCAAGAAGTCAACTCTCTCTCTCTCTCTCTTATTGACCCTATTGCTTTCACCCACGCCAGTTTGCCTGTGTGTCACATGCGAGACCCGGGTTCAGTTCCCGGCCCGGGAGAAAACTGTTTTTTCAGACTTACCTAATAGCATTGTAAACCAAATAGAATTGATCAGTGGTGAACGCCAAAATGTCGGCACCTTTGAAGATGAAGAGCAAGAGCACAACAAGCTGAACGCCCACAATTATAGTGCTCATTGTAAACAATCGGGCTTCTCTCATTTTAGCGCGTTCTTTCGTTCTTGACATGATTGTCGGGTTGGTTTGAGGATTCTGGAGACAAAAAAGTAGTGTTGATCTTCTGTATTCTACAGTAATCTGACTCACAAACTGTTTGTGTCGTTTGTGCAACACCCAGAACAAGTAGAAATAGGTGAGCGCCAGGTAGACACAATTGAGCAGTAAAAATACACCTCCTATGGCAAAGAACGCGTTGGTCATAGTTTTACTAAAATTCATTTTGTAATTCGATAATATCCAAACTCTATTTTCACTTCAAAAACTTGGGCACAATGCCATTTTTCCGGTTTCGATACAGTTGAACTTCGTTGAAAAAAGTGGCGCTTCCGATGAGGAGCCCAGAAAAATATTGGATTCCTATTGCTATCCAGAGACGATAACCTTGCCAAATCTGACACAAATGCATAGCATTGACCAAGATACAAAAGTCAAACTGACTTTATGAAAACTGGTCGGGAATAGCATCACTGATAGGCGATTCGACGCAAGAACCGATACTCCCATGGCTTGACATATTCCTGTAAGAATAACGGTTTTTGAAAATGCGTCAAGGAGTTGCTGGAGCAAAAGCAAAGGTCTAATGTTCTGTCAGATTAACACATGAAGTGCGTCAAGGCACCAAAAGTAAGCCGACTCTTTCTTCTTCATGAGCACTGTTTATGGAAACCCAAAAAACTTCATTGAAATGTTGGCGTTGTTTGTTTCGATGATACCACAAAATGTCAGAAAAGCTCGCTCACCAGTGCTCCAAGCAAAATACAAGTAGAGATGGCCATAAGGATTGCCGAGGAACAGATAAACTGACGCAAACCAGCCCCACTTTGGGAACATGGCACCGAAATAGTTGGTTAGTAGGGTCCCTGAAACAAAAAAATCAGGTCCAAAAATTGATAATAGTCTATTGAACTCACAAATATCCACTCCGGCCGTCGATAGACATAATTTGAAAAACGGAGAAGTCAACTCTTCAACTCGCCGGTTTTGAGCCTCAATCAGTGCCCAAACAATGACCACATAAATAGTAAAAGTCGTGCAGAAAAGTACAAATTGAGTCGTTTCGACAATAGTCGTCACTTTATCATCAACAGTCAGCGAATTGTTTGCCAATGGTAAATTCCAGAATTCGGGAGGAAGAGAAGACATAGACTGGGAGGAAAAGTATAGAATTGAGTAGGAGTATCGGCTGACACTCCTTCTTGTTGTGCGAATGAATAGCCAACAGGATTGGCAGTGATAATTATAGGAGAGAAGTAGGCAATTTAGACGGAGAAATAGAGAAAGGAGTTGGGAAAGGTGAGACCAAAAAGTGAGGAGTGAAGAAAGGACAACTTTTTTGCGCGGTTCGGCTTGTAATTTAACTGATCTTTGAACAGGATGGAAGAACACGATCTGGCAGCCGGAAAGTGATGAGCCGAGTCCTTTTGACGTCGTGCTGATCAGTGCATTAGTAGCAGAACTTTTGACTACGGTATATCTGGAAGTAGAACAGCTAAAATGCTCGGGAGACTTACAAAAATGAATTAGGCTGTTCGGAAAGTTCCAGTCATTTTTCATAGTATGTTTTTGGAGATTGTTTTTTCTATCGGGAAACAAGCGAGTCAGTTGTCGCTTTATCAGTATGTTGGTCAGTTATTGAAGTGTCAACACAGCAACGGATATCATTCTCCTGTTTCCGAGTAGTGAGATTGACAAAGACGCTCAGCCAGCTGACGTGCCAAAACATGAAATACACGAAAAAAAAGGTAATTTTATCAATATGATGGTCTGTCCGTGAAGTTGAATACATACACATCCTTATTCTATCTCGTTGACCAGGATTCTTGATCGTGACTATCTAATATAGTAACAGGCTAGCGGGTTTGAACAACTATCTGAAATTTCGATTTTAGTTTTGATAAGACTGTGGACCTTCTAACTCACATTTTCAGAATGAGAACACATAGTATCTTCTTATCCGGAACACAATAAAATCCGTTTTAGTGATAGTCAGAACAATTCTTGGCGATAGTAATCTTCATGGCTTTTATCAGCAGTCCTCTTCTCCCCATCTTGAAAGTATTACACAACAGTGATAACTTACCTCTGATAGCAAACTGCGAAACGCAGGATTACCGGCTCCCGGGTTTCTTGGAGAGTCACAAGAAAAGAAGAATCTCACAATTCGTACTACAGTTATTATAGGGGCACCGCACAGAAATGGCGCTCTGTTGAGAAACTCTTTTTGCAGTGCAAATTAAGCGACCTCGGGGCCGAGTTTGAAAGTTAGGCCACATTTTCAGTGGAAAATTACTTCGCGGCCTAGAAATTCGGCCAGATTGCGAACAGCGCGCCCTTTCTGTCCGGTGCCCCAATAATATTGCTATGCAAGAAGTCAAATTCTTAGCCATCTCTCTCTCTCTCTCTTTCTCTCTCCGACATTGTTGCTATGCCACGTGGCTCGAGTTTCGATTTGCTCTAAATTCGTCTCAATTTAGACCTTGTTCCTTATTTGACCTTGTTATCGAACACAATGGCCCTGCCACCCAATGTTTCGATCTACCACGCGCACAGAAAAAAGAGGTGGCCATTCGTTCCGCTGCTGTTTCCCCCCGGTGACTCGTCTCGCCATTGTGACAGAATCAGACAGCACCGCCCTTCACCCACTCGTTTTATTTCGTTTCCGTTACTTTGTATCTTCCTTTTTACTCCCTCATTCTCATGTAATCTCTTTTTTTGTAGTTCGTTTGTTAATTCCGGTGAATAAACAATGGTAATGTAAGCACCGAACGTTGTTGTTGTCCTCAGGAATAGAAGAAAAAGTCTGAACCCTGGGAAATCGTTTTTACAGTTTTTCGATTTGTTCCCTCTTTCGCTATTTTTGTTACCGATTTTTTCCCTATTTGTTCCCTTTTTCCTACTTTTCCCCTATTCCCGATTATTCGCTACTTATTCGCTAAATAATCGCTACGAGGACAAGCAACGAACGGGTAAACGGAGGACGAGTGGACAAACGAAAAGGAGGCAGCTCGGAAAAAGTGGAGATTAAGGTAGGAGAAGTTGGACTAATTGAAATTCTGGGATTTCTACGAACGATAGTGATAACTAGTCCTTCTTCTGTGAGCCGAGCTTACTGCAATTAGGAGGATGGCTAGGTAATAGTTCATTTTATGAGGAAAAGATGGGAAACCAGGTTTGTTGAAAATGTCCAAAGACTGAAATTCCGAAGCATTGAACACTTTGGAAAACAATGCCTAGATGTTGCAAGAGAGCTTTTATCAAAGTGCTCAGATAATAACATGATTCGAATTGATCGGTGTCATCTTCTTTTTCTTCACAATTCCAAACCGTTCCAGTATGTATTTGCGTAGAGAATCCGAGAATACCCATAGTAAATAGGGGTGTATGCTGGCAAACAGGTCACTGGAAAGTTTTTTCTGTCACATGAGACCTGGGAGAAAACTTTTTTTCAGACTTACCTAATAGCATTGTAAACCAGATAGAAGGAATCTGAAGTGAAGACCAGAATGCCAGTTGCTCGGAAGACGACGAAGAAGAGAACAGTGAGTTGAACCCCCACAATAATAGTGATCATTATAAACAACCGAAATTCTCTCCTACTGGTTCGATCTTTCGCTTTTGAGGCCATTGTAGGCGTACTTTGCTGAAACGGAAATATTCGTGATTTCTACCGTAATCTCAAACTGACTACAAGTTTTTGCCGTTTGTGTAACACCCAGAACAGGTACAAATAGGTGAGAACCAGGTAGATACAATTGAGAAGTAACACTACACTTCCGATGCCGAAGAATAGGTTTTTCAAGAATTGGCTGAACATTTTCGATTTGAATCTTCCACAATAACTCCTTTTTTTCACCTTGTGAACTTTGGCACGACTCCATATTTAGCGTTCCGAAAGAGATTTATGTCAATGACAAACGTAGAAGACGCCAAAATAAGTCCAGTTATCCACTGAATTCCGATGGCTATCCAAAGCCGGTAGCCCTTCCACATCTGGAAGACTCCATCAGAAACTAGGAAAAAAGTAGGACTTACGTTATGAAAACTGGTTGGGAATAGCATAACTGATAGGCGGTTTGAGGCAAGAACCGATACTCCTATGGCTTGGCAGATTACTGTAAGAAGGGTGAGCTTCAAAATGCGTCAAGGAGTGGGCTTTCACATGAAGTACGTCAATCCCTTCCTAGCCTAACTGTAACTCTTGGACGTATTGAAACTGGACATTTTGAAACCTTCGGGCATCTCTTAACTAACAGATGTTTTTATCTCTCAATACCTAATTTCGAAATGTCCGGGAGTGAATCAACTTGTTGGCACTAAAAATTATAATTTTTTCTTCTCTGTAATTGTGCTTTGCATCAGACTTTTACCGATGTTTACCCCAACACTTCTGGAAATATATCTCTCACCGGTGCTCCAAGCGAAATACATGTAGACACGAACGTAGAAAGTGCCCAAAAACAGATAGACGGGCACAAACCAGCCCCATTTTGGAAACATGGCACCGAAATAGTTGGTAAGTAGTGTCCCTGAAACGAAAAACCCGGTTCACAAGTTGATAATACTAAGTTGAACTCACAAATATCCACTCCAGCCGTCGATAGACATAATTTGAAAAACGGAGAAGTCAACTCTTCAACTCGCCGCTTTTGAGCATCTATCAGCGCCCAAATAATAACGAAATAGGTGGGCAGAGTGATACAGAATAGTACGAACTGAGTGGTTTCCACGTAGACTACGACTTTATCGTCGACCGACATTGTATCGTTTACCGGTAGCAGATTCCAGTACTCGGCGGGTAGATTCGACATATTTTTAAGTTGTTGTTTATGAAGAAAGGAGCAGTAAACGTGATATCAGATATTGCTTGGTTCAGAGTAGAGGAAATAGGGAAGTGATAATTAAGTGAGAGAAGCGGAAGGAGGGAAGGAATAGAGAAAAGAGTAAAGACTGAAGGTGTTGTGTGGTTTGGAACTGATCGTAAGGAATGTTCATTCTTTACTCAAATGATAGTGACAATCAGATGGATTCCAAAAAAGTTGAAGGTAGTCAGAAAGGATGACGACGCTTTGCACAACCCACTTTCCTCTTTTCCAACTGATAGTTTCCGATATCATTTGTTCCCCTTTATGTCACGCAATTTATATTCCAACTCGAGTCTTTTTCACGAAACGTCATCCCTTCTTTCCGTCTCATAAGTGAGTTCATCCAAAATTCAATCGTCTTACACCTGGTGTAGTCTAAATAGTGAACTCGAATCAGAGTTCACATTGCGTTCCCACAACCATTCCAACCTCACACAAATACACATTTTCATAAACAAATTTATTGGAAATCTAATGAATGACAGTGATGACTGAAGAGCTCGGCTGTTTTTGATGCTGTTTGAATCCGAACCAGATGAGAATGTGTTTTCGAAGAGAATCAGAGAAAATCCAGAGGAGATAGGGGTTGATACCCGCGTAGAGGTCACTGAATAACCGGGTTTACATGGAGAACAGCACAAAAAGGTACCTGATGCCGTTGTAGAGAAGATAGAACTTGTCCAACGAGATTACTAGTATCCCTGTGGCGTAGGAGACGAAAAGGCAAAGTGCCGCGATTTGGATGGCCACTAAAATTGGAGGACGTTGGCTGATGCACCAAGAGGCTATCACTTACCAGTAATACTACTCATTATAAACAGCTTGAATTCCCGTTTTTTGATTTGAGATCGAGCTTTTCGAAATTGAGTGTTTTTCTAAAATTCATTCACCATAGGTGAAGCTGACAAACAATTTTGAACTTACAATAGCGTTACTATTCTTGCGCAACACGTACAAAAGATAACAATAGGCAGAAATGAGGTATATACAGACAATTGTCAAAAATGCCCCGGCAACTAGAAAGAAGAATGTCACCTGTTTTTCACTGAAACGTTACTATTTCAACGTTTTTCATAACGTCAGTCTCACTCGATAAACTTTGGGACCACTCCATTTTTGTTGTTTCGATACAATTGGGTCCCGTTGAAAAGCGTGGCGAGACCCGCAAGCATTCCGGGAATAAACTGGAGCGACATGGCAATGCGTAGGCGGGTGGAGCTCCAAATCTACAGAAAAACCTTTTGTTTTCAAAAAAGGTTATGCTCGTAGGTCTCACTTACGATGTTATGTTTATTAGGAAACATTATAGCGGAAAGACGATTTGTGGCTAAGACTGAAACGCACATGGCTTGACAAATACCTGAAAGTGTAGACATTATAATGTTTCGTTTTGAGAGTTTTCCGGAATTCGAGTGGGTGATGGTCTAATTAGGTACCAGAATAAGACCAAGTAAAATTTCTACAGTATTTTCTGTGCACGTAATAGCTAAGTGATAACTATCGGATGATTTAAAGAGTTCAGAGGACTTCATGAATTTGCTGACACAATTCCGTTGCTACAACACTTAGAAACTAGAAGATTTCTGTTGCACACCCTCTAAACATTGTTCTTTCCCAACCAAACATCATTTTTTGCCTTTTCCCATGAACCAGAGATTTGTTGCAAAGCTATTATTAGCATGACATGCCACGTGTAGTTCTCACCCACAAAATCAGGTTATTTACGTAATTATAAACGAACCTGAAGTCCAGGCAAAGTACAGATAAGCGTGCGCGTAGAAGTGGTCCAGGTACAAATAGATGCCGGTACCCCAGCTCCATTTGGGGAACATCGCGCCCAGATAGTTGTTGAGAAGGGTCCCTGAAAAGTGGTTTTTATGAAAGTGGAAAATAAGTCGGAGCTTTTAAGTTGGGAATGTTTATATTAGAAAAGAATTTCCAAGTTTCATTTAGAACAAAAAATATTTGTAACTCTTATATGAGTTTTCAATGCATAGGTTAGCTACTGTACTTTTCTGTCTTCGGCACTTTTCGGTTCTTAGCCAGTGACTCAGTGTCTCCATGTGTTCTAACTCAATTTCCATGTGCTCGCGGAGCCCTGACAGACGGGAAAAACAACAATTACTAGTAATAAAAAAGAAAACTGGACTGATTGAATCTCAACAAAGGTTCACACAGTTCTCTCACTGATCTAACTCACTAATCTAAAAAAGTTTTCAGGCCACTCACAAATATCGACGACGGCAGTGGTGATGCAGAGCTTGAAGAAAGGTGTGGAGAGTTCCACGATGCCCCGTAATTGAGCATTCAACATGATATAAGTGACAAACAGGTAGAAGGGAAGTGTGAAGCAGAAAATGGAAAATTGAATAGATTCGACCACGGTCTCAAGTGTCTCATCCAACGGTTCGCCAATAACTTTCACAATTGGAAGCGAGCACAAATCGGTCACCATCTGATGGCATTAACGGAGGGATACTAGTATGCAACGGACATCGTCTAAGGTTACGAGCATGAAATCTTTTCGGAAAGTGAGTCCTATCAAAAAGCACACGAGTCCAGCTGCTTTTCTGGAGGTAAAATGTGCCGGCAACTCCAAAACAGCCGAATAAAAAAAAATGTGAGCGTGGCTAGAGTAGGGGTGAGACTGAAGAGCACGTCAGTGCGTAAATGGATTTTGGCGGAAAACCCATTTATGTATACTTTGGTGGTTGTTGGTTTCATACGTGACAATCGGCAACACAGTTTTTGTGCAATTATGAGAGAAAACCCTTTTCCTTCAAATGATTCCGAAATCACGCAGATTTATCGATGAGTACAGGAGCAAGTACATGTACGGTTTTAGCCACATTGGAGTGAAAAAAATGACCCGCGTGTCAGGCAATTCCTGATTTCTAGAATACCATATTTTCAGTCACACAGCTCTTTCCAGCGTTTTCCGTACTAACTACAGTGGTGGTGCCTGAATTCAGTGTTCTGCATCCGATTGGGGATGAGAATATCCAGAGGGTACGGATTGATGCTAGCGATCAGCTCACTGAAAAGAGCACTCTTGTACGGAAGAGAGCCAGAAGATAGATTAGGACAGATTGAAACCAATGTTCGAGCATCATTGAGCAACTTCATTTGCATTTTGCAAGTCGTGACCGTCTTATTTTGAAGTTTAGAAAGGATCCAATCAATGCGTTACAGCGCTATCGCTCATTTTGAACACTTTGATAAGAAATTTACAGAAACTGAGCAAGTGATTGCCAAAATTGTATGAAACTGTTGCAAAAGGTCAATCGAGACACTTTGCAAGTTGCAAATTGCAACCAACATGTTCTTGACAGTTACGAGTCATCTTTGTAAGGTGCACCCCAAAAGTGCTGTTTCTTATGTTTCGATTTATTTTTGTCAAAGTAAAAATTTAATGAATGACATTCATCACCGAAGAGCTTGGCTGTTTTCGATTCGTTTGGAAGCCAAACCAAATAATGATGTGTCTTCGGAGTGAATCAGAGAAAATCCAGAGGAGATAGGGGTTGATACCCGCGTAAAGGTCACTGAATAACCGGGTTTACATGGAGAACAGCACAAAAAGGTACCTGATGCCGTTGTAGAGAAGATAGAACTTGTCCAACGAGATTGCCAGTATCCCAGTGGCGTAAGAGACAAAAAGACAAAGTGCCGCGATTTGGATGGCTACTAGAATTGGAGAACGTTGGCTGATGCACCATGCTGCTGTCATTTACCGGTAATACTACTCATTATAAACAGCTTGAATTCCCTTTTTCTGATCTTCGATCGAGTTTTTCGCAATTGAGTGCTTTTCTAAAAGTCATTCGCCATAGGAGAAGCTGCCAAACAATTTTGAACTTACAATAGCGTTACTATTCTTGCGCAACACGTACAAAAGATAACAATATGCAGAAATGAGATATATACAGACAATTGTCAAAAATGCCCCGACAACTAGAAAAAAGAAGTCCGATAGCTTTTCACTGTAACATTTCACTATTTCACCGTTTTTCAAATAGTCAGTCTCACTCGATAAACTTTGGGACCACTCCATTTTTGTTGTTTCGATACAATTGGGTCCCGTTGAAAAGCGTGGCGAGACCCGCAATCATTCCGGGAATAAACTGGAGCGACATGGCAATGCGTAGGCGGGTGGAGCTCCACATCTACAGAAAAACCGTTTGTTTTCAAAAAAGGTTATGCTCGTAGGTCTCACTTACGATGTTATGTTTATTAGGAAACATTATAGCGGAAAGACGATTCGTGGCAAGGATGGAAACGCAAATGGCTTGACAGATACCTGAAAGGATTACTGTAGATTTGCAGATTCCTAATTCGTCCTTCGCGATTTCATTACGGCAATACTAGTAACATTCCTGATTTAATTCAATACTTCTCCCACTCATTTCGGACTACAACTCACCTGCCAATCAATTTTCTCCCGGCGCGCATCAAAATATATTTGGGGCGCCTGACTAGACATTATAATGATTCGTTTTGAGAGTTTTCCCGGAATTTGAGGGCGCAATGGTGTAATTAGGTACCAGAATAACTCCAAGCTAGTTTTCTAGCGTATTCTTGATACATGATATAGTTAAGTGATAACTATCGGATGATTTAAAGAGTTCAGAGGACTTCATGAATTTGCTGACACAATTCCGTTGCTACAACACTTAGAAACTCGAAGATTTCTGTTGCACACCCTCTAAACATTGTTCTTTCTTTACCAAACATCATTTTTTGCTCCTTCCTCCGACCTTTTCCCATGAACCAGAGAATTGTTGCAAAGCTTCTATTATCATGACATGCCACGTGTTGTTCTCACACACGACATCAGGTTATTTACGTAATTATAAACGAACCTAAAGCCCAGGCAAAGTACAGATAAGCGTGCGCGTAAAAGTGGTCCAGGTACAAATAGATGCCGGTACCCCAGCTCCATTTGGGGAACATCGCGCCCAGATAGTTGTTGAGAAGGCCGCCTGAAATGTACTTTGTATGAAAATGGAAAAAAAAGTCGGAGTTAAATTGCGAACGTTTATATTAGAAAAGTAATTGGGCTATCAACCTCTCTCAAGTTTAATCTCAAGTAAACCATTTCTGTGAATGTTATATGAACTTTTTCATTTCCGGAAATCTTTCTACACTTTTAGTCGCCGTGATATTTCCTAGGTTAAGTTAGCAACTATACTTTTGCTGTATTTGCCTCTTATCGAATCTTAGCCAGTGACTCAGTATGTTCAAGTGGTCTGACCCATTTTCTTCGTGCTCGAGGAGCCCTGACAAACGAAAAGAACAACAATTACTAGTAATAAAAAAGAAAACTGGACTGATTGAATCTCAACAAAGGTTCACACAGTTCTCTCACTGATCTAACTCACTAATCTAAAAAAGTTTTCAGGCCACTCACAAATATCGACGACGGCAGTGGTGATGCAGAGCTTGAAGAAAGGTGTGGAGAGTTCCACGATGCCCCGTAATTGAGCATTCAACATGATATAAGTGACAAACAGGTAGAAGGGAAGTGTGAAGCAGAAAATGGAGAATTGAATCGATTCGACCACGGTCTCAAGTGTCTCATCCAACGGTTCGCCAATAACTTTCACAATTGGAAGCGAGCGCAAATCGGTCACCATCTGATGGCATTAACGGAGGGATACTAGTATGCAACGGACATCGTCTAAGGTTACGAGCATGAAATCTTTTAGAAAGTGAGTCCTATCAAAAAGCACACGAGTCCAGCTGCTTTCCTGGAGGTGCAATGTGTCGGCAACTCTAAAACAGCCGAATAAAAAAGTTGTGGGCGTGGCTAGAGTGGGTGAGCCTGAAGAGCACGTCAGTGCGTAAATGGATTTTGGCGGAAAACCCATTTATGTATACTTTGGTGGTTGTTGGTTTCATACGTGACAATCGGCAACACAGTTTTTGTGCAATTCTAGAATTCTTCAGAAAACTATAGATTTTTCCACTTTTCCATCCAAAAATAATTTGAAATCTGATTTTCTGTAATTTTCAGGACCGGAGTAATGTCAACGAACGATCAGCAGACATTTGTGATCAACGATCAGAAAGTGGTCAAAGACGCTCCGCCCCATATCCTTCAGAAGCTCGCCGTCGATGAGTTAGTGGGAAAAAACCGAAAAAGTCTCTTAGTGTGCACTCTTAGTGTTTTTCCACACTTTTCGATGAAAAACTAAGGAATGAAGTTAACGATTTTATGACAAACGGTCAAAACGCCAAGTTGTCATCAATTTCCAGCGATAAATAGTTATTTTTGGTAAAAAGCTGATAAAAAACGGGTTTGCAGGCAATCGTGGGAGTCGCGGACCGTGTCGTGGACATATGACTCCCCACACCATTTATCCGTTCATGCACTGCAGTACTGCGGAGACCGTCAGTTGAGGGCGACCGCCTGGGAAAAGTGGACCAGCAAGGCTTGGTCCTTTTTTTATGCGAAAATTGAGCGAAAAAGCTTCCAGGCTGGATTCGATTGTTTTGGACGAAGAGCAACTATTTCTGACATAATTTTTCCATGTAATTCGATTAGGCAAAGTGTCTCGCATGAAGATGCCTCGGAAATTCGTGATTCCTAGCACTTTTACGAGTTCTTCGAGGTTGATTGGTCAATGATTTCAGGTCTTTTTCGAGTCGAATATTCTCAGATCCCCTGGATTTATCTAGCTTCGCCATTTATTATATATTTTTTTTATTTTATGCATCACCCATTTCAAAAAAAGTGTAGCGCAAAATATTACTCGTATACCCAGGCCCCCTGAAAATCAAGAAACTCGTTAACGTCAACCATTATAATACTACTTTCGATCAACATCGAAGAGCTCCGACACAATAAGTCAGACTTGCCATATCCCGGGCCGGCCCGGCCCGGTCGGCCCGGCTCCGCCCACTCTTGAGAAAATTTTCGTAATTTTTGTGAAAATTTTGCGACTTTAAACAGCAATTTCTATTTATTAACAGGTTTTTATGCTATAACATTGCCTTTTTAAGTCTATAAAATTTTAAGTCTATAAAATTATGTTCGTTTCGAAGTTCTAGTTCGCTTTGAATTTTTAGGTGCATCCTCCCGGGCCGACCGGGCCGGGCCGGGCCGGGCCGCGGGCCGGGCCGTTGCAAGTCTGCAATAAGTAAGCGTTTTTTCTCATGAGGTTTCTCATGATTTGCGAAAGTTACCTAAAATTGCCAATTTTGTAGCGAAGGACTCGCCAAAACGCTCGGATATTCGTCGCCGGCTGAGCACCGACTCGCCAACAAAATGGCCGCCTTTTAGACACTGTACGCAGTTTCATCAATGCGTAAGTATCTGTTTTAAAGCTACTTCTGCGCATATTTTTTTAGTCTGACTCGTCGCATCCGTCCGGTGGTGATCGATCGGATGGAATCATGGACTGCGTGGGCGGCCCGTTGCGAAATGATCACCGGAGAACTGCAGGCCTACGACATGCCCCCTCAGTCCTGAGGTTGAGCTTGAGTTAAGCTGATTAACCCACGAAAAAACTTGTTTGAGGACTAGATATTTGCAAAAGTTAACAGTTTTAATTGGAACACATTGTATGGTGTGAACGAGTAAAAACAATAGTGTAACCGGTTGAATTGTCTGTGGAATTACGAGATTTGTGATCAAATCTCTTTCACTCGAGTATAAAAAGAGTAGAGATGTGAGGTTCAAATCAATTGAATTACAAAACCATGACATCGTACACTTCTCAACGTAAGTTTGATTATTTGTTTCATTCAATATTCATCTTGCAGAAGCCGAAGCCGCTCTGAAACCGCACTTGGAGAAGTACATTCATGCCGCTGACAACTGCAATATCGCCAGTGTCCAATCGTTTTACCACCCAAACTCTGTAGTTGTCCATAAGGGCAAAAAATGCTACTATGGACCTGAAGGTTACCTTTTTTGCTAAAAACAATGTCTACCCAATCTCATTCAACTTCAGCCATCGGCGAGTACATGCGTAAGTTCTCCGAACTGACCGGAATGTCAGTGACCACTCTTTCGAATGCGAAGTACGAAGGAGTTGGCGACTTTCTGATCATCAGCGGCGAAATATCCGCGGAGACCGAGAAGGTCGGAGTAAAAAAGGCAAAGTTTGTGCAGATTTGGAAGAAGGACGGCGAGAAGAATTTGATCCTTCACAATGAATTCGATGTTATCGCCTAAATTTGCGAATTTAATATTTTGCTGAATAAAGTCATTACTTCAATTTCTGAAAAGTCATAAGATATAACCTACAAATTGAAAGCATTGAGAGTAGAAAGTGTGCCGCTTTTTTTTCATTTTTAGTAGTCACCGAAGTGAGGTCGAGCGAACGGTCTCTTTCCTTTCTTTCTGTCAATCTTGTGATATTTTTTGATTGCATTGTAAACACACAAATCTTTATAAACATTTTCTTTTACGTTTTCACTCGAAAATGTGTTGAAACACCTATTTCCAGTAATGGTGATTACACTCGTCATGGGAAAGTATGCCTAGGATTTGGAAACGTATAGGAACAGTGCCAAGAGAATTTGAACATGTTTTGTTTGGGCATGTTGTACATTCTTCGGTACTGGCAACAACGTTCCAAAAACTTTACAGAATGCCACTTTTATGTGCATTCTGTAAGATTATTTCATCTGGCGGCTGACAGGGGTAGTATTCCACAGAGCCAAAGTGAATAGTATTCAATGAAACACACCTTGTTGAAAATATTATCCAATTGCCAGTTTCCGATTACCGATTTCAAAAAAAATGTGTAGTTTTCGAACCCAGACGTTCCTTGTTATCTGACTCTCACATAATAGAGAGAGAGAGAGAGAGAAAGAGACGCAGGCAGTGGGAAAATTGTGAAAACTCTGTAGCGAGCGTAGTGTTTGTGACTACTGGACTACTGGACCGAGTATATAAACAAGTGCGAGATCACTTTTTGAAAAGAATTAAAACTTCAAAAACGAAATGGCCTCCTACACCGCTCAACGTAAGTTTTTGAACATTACTTGAAATTTTGTTGTGACGTGGCAACTCTTTCAGAAGCCGAAGCCGCTTTGAGACCAGACTTGGAAAGATACCTCAAGGCGGTTGATGACGAAGTGTTTGACGTCGTTGAGGAGTACTACCACCCGAACGGAGTTCTCATTCACAAGGATAAGGAGGCGTCTTATGGAAAGAAAGGTGAGAAACAAAAATATTTCAAATTACTGTTAGGCAGAAACACTAAAAATGAGAGGATATGGTTGTGTTTCTATGCTTCTATGCTTTATAGAGTTGTTTCAGCCATCGTCGAGTCGATCAAAAAGTTCGCCGAAGGATCCGGCAAGGCAGTGGCGACCATCTCAAACGCCAAGTTCGAGGGAGTCGGCGACTATCTGGTCGTGACCGCCGACTTCTCCTCGGTCACCGAGAAGATCGGAACGGTGAACGGAAAGTTCGTGCAAATCTGGAAGAAGGAGGGCGGAAAGCTGTTCGTCTACCACGATGAGTTCGAGATCACCGCCTAAATTCTGTCTGTAGTGTAATATGAATAAATGTATTGTACTCAATATGTACAGTATCACGGAAAAGAGTCACTTGACCTGGAGACCTTTGCTCGTGTCATGTCACATAACCATCACACTCCGATTCGATTTTCCACTGAAAGGACATTGAAATTGAAAAATAAAAGTGTATAAGAACAGAATAGACACAGAGAACACTTTGATTATCGTTCGCTCTCTCTCTTTTTTGGTTGTTGGTCAAATGACATGTTTGTACACAAGAATCGAAAAAGTGGGAGGAGGCAAAGAGAGCGTATAAATAAACTTTCATACTCTCTGTGTTTATGTACTCTTAAAATGTCCATTACTCCTCAGGGTAAAGTTTTCCACAGTTATGACTAGGGACCGCAACGGGTTTCGCAAAACTCCGAATTTCCATAAAATTTTTGTTGGAATGTGTTCCCCTACTCTATATGAGTACGCTTCCAATTTTTTTTTCCAAAATTTTCGGTACATCCCGAGTTACACCCGTTCAAAGTTGCCCTGTTTTCTCCCGGGTCGGCGGCTGAGGAGGGGCGTGGCCTCGCTTGCAAGTTTGCCGCACGCGTTTTTTCTCATTATCTGGTGGACCAAACCAAAGAGTCAACATTTTAAATGAACAGAAATGATGTTCTAAAAAAGCAAAACCACTTTTGAGGTCAAAAGTTTCGAACCCGACACCTCAAAATAGCCGAGCGAGCACTCTGCCACTGCGCCACCCAGGCGGAGGCGCGCCCACCGCCAATCACGTTGAAAAGCTCGGTGTGCGCGGCCCCTTACAGGGGTGAAGTAAGTGCATTTTCGCGCTGAAATTCGAAACATATCTGACTGTAACTTTTTTCGGCAACGTGGAAAATTGCCATTTTAAACGGAATTTTGTCGAGAATTTCACGCAGAATCCGATTCCGTAAAAATTAGCCGTGTGAACGGTACCTGTGACCATCAAATCCTCGAAAAACTAAAATTTCGTCTGAATAGGCGTTACTCAATCGAACACAAAAATGCTCCTAGGGTGTCTAGAGCTCTGAAAATTTATATTTGGGTTCTCAGAGAGTGTATCTATAGATTCCGAAAATAAAAAAAAGGGGTCATCGCTGAAAATTTTCCGCTAACTTTTTTGGCAGTTTGAGGATCTGTAAAAAATTTCGGCAACGTGGAAATTTAAATTTTACTTCAAAAACGGATTCCCCATCCCTTAAACTATCGGAATCACTTGAAAATAGGCGTGTGATCCCATAAACTTGGCCACACAGGCTCTCAGACTGAGTTTCATTTTCGTTTTCGCCGTTTTTTGGAAAAACGGTGCGTTTTCACGGGAAACTGAGTTGTTCATTGGATTCAGCATGGTCGATTACATAAAGTAAACCGTTTTGGGTATGGTACTTCATTTGGGGACCTCGGTACAGACCGCCAAACATGCGCGCGCGAAAATCGGGAGAAAATTCGTCAGGCCACGCCCCCTTTGTTGCGCCCCCTAGTTATGACGTGACAAAAACCAATCTGCTTCAGAAGCCGAAGCTATTCTCTCTCCCTACCTGGACAAGTACATTGAAGCGACGGAAAGTGAAAACTGGGACGTTGTCCAAGTGTTGTATCACCCGAACGGAGTCCTAGTTCACAAGAATCACGAGGCGACTTACGGAAATGAGGGTATTTTTCATTATTCTAAAGTTTTCGGTCTTCACAATGAAATAATCCATTTCAGCCATCACCGAAGAGCTGAAAAAGTTCGCTGCGAACGCCGGGAAGGTGGTCTCAGTGCTCAGCAACAAACAATTTGAGGGAGTCGGCGAATTTCTCATCGTTCGCGCCGATTTCAGCTCGGAAACCGAGAAGACTGGAAAAGTGACCGGAAAGTTTTTGCAAATCTGGAAGAAGAAGGACAATTCTCATCGCATCTATCACGACGAATTCCAACTTGATAACTAGAATTTGCAGGAAAACTCAATAAAGTTTCTATGTTATTATTGGGGCACCGCACAGAAATGGCGCTCTGTTGAGAAACTCCTTTTGCAGTGCAAATTGAGCGACCTCGGGCCCGAGTTTGAAAAGTTAGGCCACATTTTCAGTGGAAAATTCGCGGCCTAGAAATTCGGTCAGATTGCGAACAGCGCGCCCTTTCTGTCCGGTGGCCCTATAATACCTTACTATTGTCCAAGTGCGTGGCCGTGGTCTAACTTTATCTAGGCCGCACGTCTATATTTTCGAGTCTTCGTGACCAATCCGTACTTTATGTCCATCAGCCTCTTATCTCGTGTAGTCATTTGTAGTGAGAGGGTATAAAAGTTATCATTGAGGTTGTACATCAGCAATTCTTCACTATGGCTTCCTATTCTTCTCAAGGTTCGTTTTAGTGGCGTGGCAATTCACACAGTCCTTCCAGAAGTCGAAGCAGTTCTCGCTCCACTCTTTGCCAAGTACATTCAAGCGGTTGACGATGAAAAGTGGGATGTGATTGAAAAATTCTATCATCCGAACACGGTTCTTGTGCAAAAGTGCAAGGAGAATACCTATTTTTACGGAAACAAAGGTACTAGAGTTGATTTTTGGACGTTTTGCCTTTCAGTAGAGATATCAAAAAGTTGTCAACTGATAAAAATCAAAAAGATATTGTGCACATTTTACTAGTTGACCACGTTTCGATATCTTCACTGTCAACTGAGATAAATTGTTTTTTTAAAGCCGCCACCAACTTCCTACGCGGTTTCGCCGACATCACCGGAAAAGCGGTGAACTCGATCTCGAACGTAAAGTTCGAAGGAACCGGAAACTGGTTGATCATCAGCGCGAATTTCCGAACGGAGACAGAAAAGATCGGAGTGGTCACGGGAAAATTCTTGCAAATCTGGAAGAAAGAGGGCGAGAAGCTGTCCGTCTATCACGATGAATTCGAGATGGACGCTTGAACTTTTTGTACTTGTTTCTGTACGCATTAGAGGAATTTATTGACTGTAATAAAACTGAATTATTATTAATATCTAGTCGGTGCATTCTGAGAAGCTTTTCTATAGTCGGCGGCAGCTGTGTAGTGATCTCCGATCCCCTTCCTTCCCTTTTCTCTCTCTCTCCACATTTTCTCTCTTCAATCATTTTCACGTTAAGATCTATCAGATAAACAACTGATCGATGCAGTCCTTCGACATGCACACATGTTCCCTTTTCAATTTCAATTTCAATTTATTCATTTATTGAAGGGTGAAGGTTACTGATACAATAAGATTATACAAAAGAGTTGAATATTGTGAGGGTTAAGATATTGAATTTAGAAGATTATCCGTGTTTTTAAAAGTTGAAGTTCTGGCTGAAAAAAAAAGAATTTTTATCATTTATAGAAAATTTTTTGATGGAATGTGATCAACTGATGAATAGTATAGTAAATTGAACTCTGATCATAAAAAATAATTGTAAATTTAACTTTTCATACAACAAAGTTATTCGAGTTGTTCTGTGAAAAAAGGGCTACATTCATTCCTACACTTCCTCTGCCGATCTCTAAACATCGAAAATAATTTAAACACAACTCGAATCTTACATCAGAGTATGCTTGTTATTTCAATCAGACTGATCGCCACGTTTTACAGATTCTGAAATTCTTGATTCTGAAATTCGCAGTTTGATTGAGTTTCTGACACAGTGAGTTTCGAACGACACAGTGAGTTGTTCAGGCTGACACACTGACACAGTGAGTTGTTCATCGAATCCTCTCTTCGTTTCATTTCTAAATTAAAACATTTTTAATCTTCTCACTATCAACAAAATTTAAGGCATGTTTTCTATTATAGGGGCACCGGACAGAAAGCTGTTAGCAATCTGACCGAATTTCTAGGCCGCGAAGTAATTTTCCACTGAAAACGTGGCTTAATTTTTCAAACTCGGCCCGGAGGTCGCTCAATTTGCACTGCAAAAAGAGTTTTTCAGCAGAGTGCTATTTCTGTGCGGTGCCCCTATAATATCTCCTAAAAGATGGTCAAGTTTTCAATTACAGATATGCCAATTCTTTCGGCTCTAATTGCTATCAATCTTGTATCGCTTCCGCTCATAATTATTGGTTGTGGCAAGAAAGAGAATGTGAGCTCCAAATGGACAAATTGGAAAAAATCTTTACAATTTCAGGAAAACGGAAACTCGGCCGGCACTCGAGACCGTGGAAAATCCGAACAGAATGGAAATGGAACTGTGCAGATCAATTTCTCAGAGGTTAGAATAGAAGAAGGAGCTGAACGACCTGCAAGATCAACCCGAGCCGATGTTTATCATGAAGCCGCCGAGAATCTGGCTTACCCGGCTTCGATGCGATGTAAAAATCATGATGATGCTTGGAGAGTTAGTTGCTATAAATAAAATGCCTAAAGCTCGCATTGTGTTTCAGATTCTCGCTTTATATCTGGATTGCATTCGTGCAGTCAATCCGACGGAATTCAATCAGTTCAGATGTAAGAAGATTTCCATTTCAACAAAATTTTCTCAATTAATTTTCTTTTTCAGTTCTCGACGCCGCACTCGCTCTTCTTCACGATTTCAGCCATTATATTCGTACTGGACAACTTTCGAATGACGTAATCGCTTTGGCCGTCGTCTACTTTCTCGTCGACTTTCACAAGCTCAAAGTGAATTTGGGATCAGACAAGACGCCGTGGTACAAGGTTCTGTGCCGTAATGCACAATTGGAAGATCTCGAAAGAGCAAGAGCGTTCATCGAAAGCGAACTACTCGGGTTCAGGTCGGAAGAGACTGCTGTAGAGGGATTCTAATGAACTTTTGAAGCGTTTTGACTTTTAATGGAAGAAAGTTCGCCCTCAATTCTAAATGAGTATTCTGAATACGATTCATTTCTAACATTCGAGTCGCATTCGAACTTATCATCAATTTCCTCTTCGAACATTGGTGGTTCCTTCCGATCTTCGGCGACGCTTTCAGTTTTCGATTCAATATGATCGCTGTTATTCTCTTTCAAGTCAATATTCTGGTATTACTTTTCATCAAATTTCTATGAAGGGTGACTAATTCTTTTCAGACGCTCGCAATGCTCATCAATTGTTCGAGTAGGAAACGCAATGGTGATGGCGAACAGGCGGTTTCACTTGTGCAACCAGGAATGCCGAGTCCCTCTGGAAGTGCGATAAACGGTAGCAAGCCGGCGAATGACGATTTCTCAGTGTAAGTGTATTCTTCTGAGTGTTTTGTTTCGATAATCCTATTTAAAGCGGAGTACCACCGCCGCACATTCCTCTTGCCGACAAATCAGATGAGCGTACTTTGGCGTAAGGATCTCTTTTCACTATTGATCTTTTTTTTCTGCTTTTCAGAGATATTGAGTCGATTCAAAGTGAGAAAGTGCTGATAAAGGATAAGAAAGCCAAAATGGAAGCGGGCAAAGCAAAGACAACGACGTCCATTGCTAATCAGTCACCAGGCGGGAAGAATCTGAAAGCTACGTCACCAGCGTTGAACTTATGAGAGAAAATTTTGGTATTGAGAAATCATAAACAAGTGGGCAATATTTATTGTGGTGAAACGAGGGAACGAACTGATATTTGGGGAAAAGGAAAAATAGGAAATATATGGGAATGTGAAAACGCTGCAGAATAGGAGGGACAGAGGGTAAATGTATCGTCATCACGCGTCGTAGATTCTACAGAATTTGAAGCGGCACGCGTATCCTGTAAAATGTATGTTTTCTTTGTAAAGAGAAGCATGCAGATAGCCTTAATCATGCGAGATCAGTGACAAACAGCTAAAACAGTAACATAAGCCACGCAACAGTTAATGCAGAAATCTATGAGATCAAGTAAAAAAGCTCTCTATAGAAACAACTCAGATTCCAAACACCCACAGTGTTCTGTGCTCTCTGTAATCACATGCTCACTCTATGGCTACGAACCTTGCCCAATTAAACGAACCTCGCAAACCATCGCTTCTTCTCGGTCGTGTCGGGAACAACTCTTCGTTGTTCATAGAATCTATCAAAGCGGCTACCTAAAAAACGAACTATTACCCTTTTCTCTGTAACCTGCGTGAACCTCATCATTAGCTCCGTAGTATGGACGAAGTTGACGATCGTGACCTAGCATTCGGTAGAATGATACAGAGTAGGGAAAACTCTGAAAGTGCTGAAAATTAATAAGCCTAACGGCTCTGTTTGCGTCTAAACCAAAGCTGGGCAAAAGACCAACCCAGGCTTTTCGAAGGCCTGTCGAGACCTGGACTTTTAACCCACATCCCATAAGCCTACCCAAACTTCGCAGGCATTTTGGACTTGAATTTGAGTCAGGCCTGGGCGAGTTTGCGGTTCAACCGGAAAAAACCGGGGGCGAGAGAGAACCGATTTGCGTGCACCAAAAGATGGCGACGCAGACGCGAGACAGTTTCGTGTCTGTCTCTCTTTTGGCGCGCAAATCGTTTTTTTCTCGCTCCCGGTTTTTCGCTTTACAATTTCTCGGTCAACGCCAACCAGATCGCATGCCCAGGCCTGATTTGAGTATTTTTGGTCCAAGTTTCAGACCGCCCTTCCAGGCCGAAAAAAGGTTAGTGAAAATTGAGGCATTTTTGGCCTCTGATCGGCATATCTCCAGAGTAAGTCATTATATTGGCCTGAAACTCGAACCGAACATACTTTAATCCAAGTCTGCAAAGGGTCCGATCGGAAAGTTGCAAGTAGGTTAAAAGTCCAGGCCTTCGAAAAGTTTGGACCAGCCTTTTGCTCAACCCTGGTCTAAACGACTTTTGTTAGTTACCCGCAATTGACGTGTTATAATCTGCGGATTCGCGTCATCGGAAGAGGAAATTAATGTAGCTACGGAAGTGTTAATGATGGCAGACACCACGAGCAGGGAGCCCAACAGAGATGAGGCGGAATGCATCTGAAGTCTGGGTAAAGCATTGTGTCCCTCATGCTCCGAGGAATACTTATATGTATTTCTGTTGGTAGAACAAAAGAAAGACATGGTATTAGGAAAGCAGTATTATTGTTTCGGCGATGGACAGTATGAAGAAATATGAGAGCAGAAAAAGATACCGGAACAAATAAGTTACGATGACGAATTCTGCATGCACTATTCTAACGGAAAAGAGTTATGCGAACAATTTGAAAAAAAAAGAAAGTGAGCGGAGAAAGCGTTTTCGTAAAATCTTGTTTAAAAAAATTAGACAACTAATAGCATCTTTACTAACTCGCTATCTAACGTAAAATCCACTTGTATTGAACAATCCGGAAAGAAAATCGGTTCATCTAAATAAAAACGTTGTAGCCGGTAGTCTAGAATGATCCACTCTTTACCCTCCCTCCTCAGAGGGTCACGGTCCGTCGGTTCGCTTTTCAGAGTCGCTTGATGGATTGATGATCTAGCCTTTTGAAAAATGTCACTAAAAGTCTCTCCATAGCTTTCTATATCTTGTCGCTTCCTAAATTGTGTATTCCCAATGCCGCTGAACTTTTGTCGCAAAGAGCCATTTCACAAATAGTGGATTGATGATGGAATGGGTAATTATCTGGATATGACCCAGAATTTAATGAAATGTCTTTCCTGAAAGAAGAGGAAACCATTTTGGATCTAAACGGAGCCTGCATGACGTCATTGAATGTGGAATTATAATTGAATGTACAAAAGAAATGCCTTTCTTTTACAAAACAAATTATGATTTTATCCGTATCAGGATTATGAATTATATTTAGTTCAGAATACTTGACAATGATTCCCAGTCATATTTCTAACTCAAACAATCTTATCACCAATTTGTTGGTCAGTGACAGCAGTGTGTGTATGTATTCTTCTCGAGCCGTATATATATACATATAACGCACCCCATCGTCCTATTCCATCCAAATTTTCTTCTTTCTAATTTGTCCTGCTTGTTTTCGAGCTGACGTTGAAACTTGTTATTATAGGGGCACCGCACAGAAATAGCGCTCTGTTGAGAAACTCTTTTTGCAGTGCAAATTGAGCGACCTCGGGGCCGAGTTTGAAAAGTTAAGCCACGTTTTCAGTGGAAGATTACTTCGCGGCCTAGAAATTCTGCCAGATTGCGAACAGCGCGTCCTTTCTGTCCGGTGCCCCTATAATACTAGTCGTTACTGAGCGTTGCCAGGCAAAAATTAACGGTTCGCTTATTTCTTATTTTATTTCCACCTGCTGCGCATGAGCAGGTTCCCAATAAGACCCGTTGTATGCATTTTGCTTTCCTTCAACTTCGGAAACCATATTAGTAGGTCAGATGGAGATTAAGATGGATACTCAAGGTTACTGACTGAACAACCAAGCGCAGTGTCATTGTACATATTTAAACATTCCGTTATTCTGATTTATAACACCCTTTAAGAAATATTTTGATCACATGACTACTGCCGTTCATACCAAATCCAATAATGTATATTCCTCTGCCACGGTACATATCACGGGGTCATGACGGAAACATTAAAAATTAAAATTTGAATTTCTGCAAACGGTTAATTGCGTAGCGCCCCTATCTTAAAGCATTAGGCCAAAGCGAAATTTCATTAGAGCGCACTTGCGTCAGTTTACCCCGCCACGACTCTATGCACAAATATACGTATATACGGCACATCGTGGGCGTCCTTGCACATTGCCTTCGCTCTCTCGCTGCCCTCGCCGTCTGCGTCTCTGCCTGTGCTCTATCAATGCCGCATTCTCGTCATCCTTCGCCGTCTCTCTCCTTTTTACTCCTCTGTTTTCTCTCTACTCGTTCTTTTCTTCTCTTATTCACGTTCTCTGTCGGCCAGTGAATTGTAGTGAGGAAAAGGAGCGGCGGCTGCGTCACTCTCGACCACTGCCCACTCTTCCACACTGTTCAGTTCGCCTGCATAAAAACATTCTTTATTTTAAATTCGAGTTTTATTCCAGACGATGGCTTTTCGTGGATATAATAATGGCTATCATAATTACCATCGTGGCGGAGGTGGCGGAGGATATCGATTCCAAAACCAGCAACGAATAAACGAGAACGAGGTGCCGCAATCGAAGCACACGATTTTCATTCGCGGACTGCCTGGAGACTATACGACGGAAGAAATCAAGTATGAAATAAGTTGATCAACTGTAAAAGAACCGCAGCGTAGGATTGTAAGCAAAGCATTGTTCTCGAAATTTCAGCAAAAAATGTGAAAACTTCAGGAGTTTAATTCTTAAATGTTACCTTGTTACGTTGAATTCTCTGATACCCGCAGTTGTTGTTACATTCTTTTCTCTACCAAGAAAAGGCGACCAAAATGGAATGTTTACCGCGATGCCAGTTCAATTTTACAAATATTGATTGAATGCTAATACTCTAATCATCATTCGCTAATTATGCAGATAATAATAAGAATTATGATGATTATGTTGGTGGCAGTTTTGTGTTGTGAGCCGTCAAAATTCATCTTAGGATCTGTATCTCATATTCTAATTCTGTTCAGGGAATATATTGGCGAAAGAGTCGGCCAAATTTCGTTCGACTTCGTGAAAGTGGCTCAGGACAGAAGCAAGATTTTTGTGGCTGTCCGATTTGAGAAACGAGACGAAGCCAAAAAGTTCATGGAGGAGTCAGTTTCAAAACACTTCCCTTCCTATCTCTATATCGAATTTTCAGATATAAAGATCGCGAGTTCATGGGATTCCGGTGCGATCTATCGTGGTTCCGTGACATTCGACGTTATTGTGCCTACAAAAGATCGAAAGAAGTCCGTAGCAACAGCCAACGGCGTCGCCGTCGCTCAGATTCTAACGAATCTAGACCATCGTCGAGAAGATCGGCGGTTTCGTCTGGGAGAAGATCGACGTCGAGAGGGAGATCTCGCGAGAGGAGTGGGACGCGTTCTGCCGACCGTTCCCGTTCGTCTGTTCGCTCTCGTTCTTCTAATCGCTCCCGCTCTCCTGTTCGCTCTCGTTCACCGGTCCGATCCCGGTCTCCAATCCGTTCTCGCTCCCGTTCTCGTGGTTCTGATCGTTCCAGAAGCCGAAGCGCAGACAGAAAGAGCAGAAGTGTCTCCCGAAGCTCGAGAAGAAGCCGTAGGAATGAGTCGAGAAGCGGATACAATGATTCTGCCGATAAAAGTGATAATGACGAATCAAGAGGAGATCGTCGTCGTGAAAGAATCGAACGCAGTCAGAAACGACGCCGCGATCGTTCTGAATCGGAAAGCAGCTGTGTCAGCGAAAAAGATAAATACTTGAAGAGAAAGACCAAGCAAGAACTGCCTCAGATACCACTGCCTCCGAAAACTCAGAAAGCAGATGCTGCATCAACGCCAAAACCAAAGCCGCAAGTGTTCATCCCGCCGCCATCTGTCGACATGGAGCTGGACAGTCCGCGTGAAAAGTTTGAGCCAACTCCGCCACGTCCGATGAATCCATACGCTATGAGCTACCAGAAAGAGCCGAGTCCGACCAATGTGCACAACACTTTGTATGCTATGCCAATGGAGGAAGAAGCCGCTCCGAAAGTCATCATCAGGGAATCTCAAGCACCACCTCCGGTGCCGACTTATGCACCACCACCTGCCCCAGTCGCCCAGCAGGTGCCAGTTCAAGTGCATCAGAATTCGTAAGCTTCAAATCATTAAAACATTGAAATTTATTTTCATTTTTTTAAAGTTATCAACCTGCTCAGCACGTTGTGCTTCCGGCTCCGGCTGCAGCCGCTTCTGCACAGACTTCATTTGTGCCTCGTCAAATCGGAAAGATCGAGATATTGATGCCAGCCAGTCTGCCCGCTCCAATCGCACCAGTTCCAGCTCCCCCTTCTACCGAGAAGTCTCTCAATGGATCATACACTCTGGATATCGACTCAGAAGCGCTCCCAAACACGAGACAGTTAGTTTGAAAAAAAAAACTGAAACGAATCTATAATTGCAGAATGTTCGGCCATCTGAAAGCCTGGCAATCTGTTCTCGCCGGCACAATCAATTACGCAGACGTCGCTAGAAAGGTGGAAGAAGAAGGTTAACTAAACAGAGAAACTTAGAAGCTCAGTTGCTTGTTCATTTCAGAAGACCTCTCGACTGTGCGACTCTCCTCACTAGCAAACGACGAAAACAGCCACGAACTGAAGCTTCTAGAACGAGAGGAGAGGATTGCGAAGCTCAACGGCGAGCAGTTGATGCGTTTCCACATCAAGAGGAAGCAGTTCGAGGCGGTTTGTTGAAAAGCCGTCTTTCGATTCTTTTCAAATATTTCTTCAGGCTTTCCGCAATGACTGTGAGACGTATGCAGTTGTGACGCGTGCTCTTCTCTCCAAGGACGAAACTCTGCAGTTCGGCATCAAAATTGCGTTCATGGAGAACATCGAAGGCCTTTTTAAGACGATGTTGAAGCGTGTCGACGATCTTCTCGACACTCTCGTCGTTCTCAACTGAGTTCAGCCAGTTGTCATTATTTTATTCGCACTTACTGTCTCCAGTGTTTTTTATTTGAAAAAATTTAAAAATCTATAAACTACCGCTTGATTCGTTTCTCTTTGCGATCTCTCAATTCAACAATTGAAACGTCTTTTTGTGGTGTTATGTAGAGAATTTTTTCCGTTTTTCAAGACTTCGACGGAAAAAACATCCTATTTATGACCCAATCACTGTTTTTCCGATGTCATCCGCTATATCTGTAATCATCATGTTTCCGAATAAATAACACATAAAATAAGCTTTTCACAAAAACCAGACAATCTGATGACACGGTGCAAGATCACGTTGTCACATGAGCATATTCGCCCGGGCCCTGTCAATTCCAAATTTGAAAATGTCATGAATTCATGGAGTTCCGACGTCGAATTACTTAACATTTTTTCGTCTTCTTGAAAAACTTCACATCCCCTCCCTCCTCCATGTGGAGCTCCGTGAACATGTAAATTGTGATATCATGCATTTATTCAGAAAATAGGAAGCGATGTTTTTTGGGGGGGAATAAATTACACAAATACGGGGAAGATTACAAAAGGAATAGATTGGGTGAACAGGAAACGCAATTATTCTCGGGTATCACATGAGGATAGACTGGAAAGGGAAGAATAATAAATTATAGTACTTTCGCGGGAAAAAGAAGAAGCGCTGGAAAAGGGAAAGAAGATTAGGATTCAGCAGAGAATACGGGGCGAAACGCGGAAAAGGGACGAGTGATCGGGCAATTTATTCTTGATCGTTGAGAGACAGGTGGGTGATGTTGGTGAAGTCGAACTCTTTGGTGGTTCCGCGCTCGAAGAGATTGAGAACGTCCTGAACGAGATAACCTTTTTGAAAAACGAACTACACAGATAATACCTTGCAAGTAGTCTCGAAGTGAGTAGTGGCATCGTACGACCGCGAGATGAAGATCTGCGACTCCGATCCGAGATCCGACGGCTCGTACACATCAGAAATTTGGATGAACTTCTCGGCAATCGGACCGAGCAACTGAAGTCCTGGGAGAACCTCCGCCTCTGGATTGGCGGTTTCGACAGTCGTGGAGACCATGGCGAGGTACCATCCCTTTGGAGTAACCATGTTGGTGTTGGAGCAGCACGAGATGTATATGTCTGAAAAAATGTTTTATTTCAATCGAGCTTTTCAAAAAAGTAAATGTTCTTACCGTAATGCCTTCCGACTTGCTTCTGCGGAATGATGATCTGACACGACTGCGCGTCATTCGTGTTAGGAATCGGATGGTTCAAGAGGCAGATAGCACGAACGACCTGGCCGGTCTTCTTGACACGCTCCTTGGCATACGATGGGTCGCAGTAGATCTGCTTTCCACGAACGATTTCCTCTCCGCATTTAACTCCGATCGCCTTCCCGTTCTCGATGACAATCTCGTCGACTGGCTTGTCCAGCATGTAGGTTCCTCCGTAAATGGCGGAGAGGCGAGCGAATCCTTGCGGAAGCTCTCCGAGTCCGTACAGCGGGTACAAGTACGGCGACTTTCCGTAACGCGCCAAAGAGTCCGAGTAAAGACGGATCTTCTCGACAGACGGCGCGAACGGCTGGTTCTTGTGCTCGTCGTCACGGTAGAGAGCGAGAGCGTGGCCGGTGAAGTCAGCGGTGTTCTCGTCGAGTCCGAATTTCTCGTACACCTGCTGCATAGTGTTGTTGTGTGGGTCGAGTCCTTGCCAAGTATCCTTGTTGTTCTCGTCGAACTGCTGCACCCAAACAAGAAACTTTTTGAAGCGGCGCTTCTCGAACATTCCCATTAGGGAAGTAGCCAGAGCTTCCATCTCGTCGGCCGGCACCTTGTAGATCTTCCCGCCTTTCACGACGAACGATGATTCGATGGACTTGAACTCCAAGTAACGAGTGACTCCCGTGTGGATAAGGAGTTTAACGAGTGGCCCGTTAGCCATCAGGAACTTTGGAATCAGATCCACGTTCCAGTCACGTCCACGTCCCATCTCCGGCTGCGGCTTGGCGTTGGCGCCGTGGAACTTCTCGTAGAGCTGCTCCAGGGGAGTCAGCGAGGCAGATTCTCCTCCGTAGTAGTTGTTTCTGTCGATATGGAGAACCTTTTTTCCAGAGACAGAGAGCATTCCAGAAATGATGCACTCCTGAAAACAATAATATAAAATTGAATACATTTGAAAGAGATGTTACCTTGAGTCCGGTTCCGAGAACGATGGCGTCGTATTCCTCATCCATGGTGAAATCGAGCGGGTTTCAGTAGAACTGGGTCACAACCTGTCAACGTATAATTAGAAAATGAGACAAGAATATGAAAAAGTGAGATATACACGCGGATAAGCTGCATAACCGCAAAATAATAATAAAATACAAATAAAGGTTAATGATTTTGAATATTTTATTTGAGATAACTAGAAGACACAATTCCTCACTGCTTGACAGCGAGAATCGCGTAGTTGCACTGTGTCGACTCGATCCATGTCCAGTGGTTTCCGATCGGATGGAACATTAGTCCGTGTACAGCAGTGACACGACATCCAGATGTTTCCAGATGAGCAGTTAGCTCGTCGGGAGTGATGAACTTTTCCCACTCATGTACTCCGGGCGGTACAATCTTGAGCACGTTCTGAAATGGGAAAATGTTGCATGCAGCAGCGCGATACTCAATTTACCGCTCTTGCCCCCTCGGTGTTTGCATACTCAAGCCTAATTTCAGAAATTTTGGCTTGAGTCTGCAAACACCGAAGGGCAGTAGGGATGAATTGAGTTTAGAAAGCAACATAGGAGCAGTTCTAACCTCGGCAAGCCAAATCGCTGCCAATTTGCTCATCCATGTTCGATTGATGGTGGTTATGAAGATAGGCGCGGAGGGACGTGCCAATTCAGCCAGAGAGGCGACGAAACCACCCAAATCGGCCACGTGCTCCACAATTTCAGAAGCCACAACTGCGTCATAACCTGGAAGAATAGAATGAGAAGTGAAGAGAAAATGAAAAATGAAGAGAATATTTTTCATGTTTTCGGAATTCAAAAATAGCAATCGATCTAGTTCGTGTATGGGCCGTGTTTGTTGGCGTGCATTCATTAATAAGAAAAAAGAACTTTCTGCCCGAGGGATTTGTCATCTAAATACTAATGCTTGAATTCAAATCACTCTCTACAGACACGTGGCACAACTATCGATGCATTGGAGAGAAGACTCTACCTTAACGGGCAAGTACGCGGTTAGAGAGGACGACGGGTTCGCGTGTTTGTTAGGACGGCGGCCGGTCGCTGTGTGAGTGTGTGCGCTGCGGTGAGCGAATTTGAGCGGAATGAGCGTCCAAAATGGACTGATGCGACCAGCAGCAGCTGAATCGGGAAGACGAAAGTGCCCGATCCAGTCAGAGAGGCGAGAAAGGGGCGCAGCGAGAGAAAGCATGGAAGAGAGAGAGACAAGGAGACGAACACGCACACAAACAAGAGTGGTAGAGGTGGAAAAGACGAAGAGACGAGACTTGCCCACCCCCCACGAAGACAAAAATCGATGAGAAGCTGTGGAGTAAGTGAAAATGTCAAAGAGTTGACGTACTTGAAGATAAATAATTCTCAGTTCGAAAGAAGCTACAGAGGGTAAACTGCGAGCCAAATTGGGGACGGTAACACAGCTGTTAGAAACTAACTTTAACAAGGCTGTTGGAAACTACTCGGAAGCTGTGAAAGTGACCCAAGATTGATGATCATTGTGTGAACTAAGCGCGTATTAGCAACAACTTCTGCGATCAAAATATCCCACACTTGAGGCCCAGACATTTCACAGCACATCGGAACAACTTCTGTTGGACCCGACCTGCATGTTGGAAGTGTGGTATATACAAATTTGTTAGTCATCAGCAATAGGACAAAATTATTTGCGTTGTAATCCGCCGATGATTACCGACTATATATTACCGTTCAGTTCGACGACGAATCGAAACCGACAAGCAAGGAAACACACGACAAAAGAGGGAAAAGAGCTGAGCACACATGTCGCCTCCCTCACTTGGTTAGTAGCGCTGATGAGCGCCGATCCCAGTGGAATCGATATTTTGGCGCGCGAGAAAACAGCACAACATCTGAAAAGAATGGAGCTTCGTCACAAGAGAGGACGCAGAGAAGTACTAGGCAACTAGTTGCTCTAACTCTATGGCGGCAGCTGCCTAAACATGGGATCGAAAGCGAAAGCGGGCAGCAAACAATGTAAAGTATTCTGGCATGTCAAATTGAACCTGCAAACTTGAACATGGTTGCTAGTCAATAAAAAACATGACCAGCTATGCATTCCAAACAGGAGGAGGAACAAAGGATGAGAGTTTCAAATTCTTGGTCTTCCGACACACAATTACTCATGATTTTTGATTGATCAAATCTGACCATCTGTTCCGTCTAATTTGCCTTACCAGACTTGTTCTCTGTCTTCTGGCAAAACTCCTCTACACTTGTATGCTCGAATCGCAGCTGGTCAGCAATTCCAGAAATTTTAAACGGTTTTGCTTCTAGTGTATGTCTTGCAGCTTCTACCTGAACCTAGTTTCATGAATTATTCAAGATGACTGTTTAACCTTACAGCCTGCTTGGTCGCATCAATTCCAGTGACGTTAAAACCACTCCTCGCGAGAGGAAAAGAAAGAAGCCCGCCCCCACTACCGACGTCCACGAGACGAGGAGAGTCACCTTGCTGAACTAGCGTGCTTCGTGTTGCCGAGATATGAGGGATACCTTCTTTCTTGCCACATTATCAACAATCCAAGGAACTCGTATCCTATTCAAAGAATATAGTGCATGAAAAGAGCCTAGCTCATCTGCCCAATCTGTTGATAAGTCTCCAAACTTTTCGAGCTGAAAAGTACATTTTGAAACCAAACTTTAATCACAAAATCGCAAACCTCCTTCGAATCAATGGACGAAGCAGAAGCTGCATTGGTAGAGTGTTGTTTGACAAGTCGGAGTCTCTGTACAACTCCTAAGCTTCGTGAAGTTTTAAGCATTCTGAAAGGGTTCGGTGAAGATCCTTCCTTTGAAAAAGGGATAGGGAAGTATCCAATGAAAGCATTAAACTTTAAACTGTTACAATTAACTACTACATCTTCTTTCTCTGAAAGTTTATTTGTTCTGTTTCTACTACACATGTCGGTGAAGAGGGAGTTTACAATCAGGCGAAAAGACAGAAATGTAGGAGCTAAAATAAGAAGATGACACCGAAGCATCTTTACTCCTTTCCGTTGAGGAACTTTGACAGGAAGTCTTTCGGCTTGGCTTCGACGTTTTCGGCGAACAAGTAGTTGCGAACGTGATCGGGGTTGTAAAACGCGTAGCGAATAGACTTCATGTGCTAAAAAAAAGCGTTAAATTTGGAATTTTGGAATTATATCGCTCACTTGATGCGTCTCCCCAACAAGTCGGTCGATGACGCGAACATCAGTCAGATTTCCATTCTTGGTGAACTGCTTCTTGATGACTGCGCGAAACACTCCGAGTGGCATATCATGGAGACCGAAGTCCCACCAGAACTTGGGAGTCAAGCGTTGGCTGCAAAATAATATCATTCTTATTAATAAAAGTCTTGAGGAGCCTGTCCCTTTGTTTACTTATTTGTTTTTTTTTTGTTTCTTGCAAGGTTTGTCCGCATACGTTTCACTTCTAAAACGGAAAACGTTGTGACGGACAAAATTAGAAATCAACACGTGAATTTTCGAACGGTTAGAAGAAAAAACTAGCGGCCAAGCTGCTTCCGAGTGTCAGCTCGGTCCGCGCAGCGGACCCACGTTGATATCTTGCTTATCAAAAAAGTAGTGCATATAAAGAAGATATAATGTTTTCGAAAAGCGTACAACTCCTTGTAGGTCTGAAGAACGGCCATTCTGGCTTCGGATGCGCTGTTAGACTTGATTGGAGCAACAGCGCGAATAGCATGATGTCCGGTACGGACAACTCTTCCAGCAGTTGAAGTCATGGCTACGAGAGAGTGTCTCCTTTCGTAACGCGAGCTTCCAGAAATTCAACCTTTCGTTCCAAAAGGTTTATTTTATCGTTCAGCGTCGCTAGTTTGCTGCGACACGAGAGCTCTGAAAAAGTTTTCAATCGTTCAGTGCTAAATTGGGAAAGGCCACGGTCACGGCCGGGTTTTTACGTGGGATGGTGGTAGAGCGACATTGCCAGACTCGTGAGGTGCTAATATAGAAATTTTAAGTGAACCGAAAGCTGCTTCCTACTAATCAAGCACCATTTTCATCACACCGACGTTTTTTTGTTAGAAAGAGTTAGAAACGAACCGAACGTTGATAAGAAGTTAGCGATGCTCTTGACGCTGTCAGCAATCACCTGAAAGTTAGCGAAGTTAGCGAACACAGACAGTTTAGCTTTGGTATTTGAGGTTCGCACATGCAACCCTTTCAAGTCTTCTCCCCACTCACTTGTTCAAACTCGCGGTTGTTCCAATCGTCTCTGAGTTGTCGTTGAACGGCTTCTGACGCGCTCATTCAACTATCTGAACTGAAGAACCGGGCGAAGCGGACGTCGCGAGCGGCGAAAATCGATCGCGTGCGGCGACCACTCGTCGCGGGTCGTGGCGAGACCTGCCGACAAAAATGCATGCGCCTTTAAGTTCGATCATTCGATTGGCTCCTTTTCACGTTCGCCCCTTGAGAGTTTGCTGTTTTTTTCTGTTTTTCTTATGTTTTTCTATCTTCTGTCTTTCTTCTGTTTCTTCTGTTTTTTCTTCTGTTTTTCTATCATTCCATCGATGTTTGATGACTCATAATGTGCCATGTGATTGTGTTCTGTGTCGAGAGAAATCTATATTTCTGTTTTCATTCTAATCGATTGTCGAATGTAACATTTTTCGTGTTCCTCTCTCCAGTTTTGGCTTTCCATTATCAGAATTTGTTTTTCCAATAACAAAGGAAGTTGTGTATTGCGTGTCAACAGTTGATAAGAAAATGAAATTCCATTTGTTTAGTAATCTTCCTTATTACTTCTCGTTAATAAAACAGCTTATTCCATTCGGGCTGCGTGAATCAAAATTTATTCTGAAAAGGATACAAAATTAATCGATTTTTTCTGGTTCCTTCCCTTTCCTAAATTGATCATTGTTTTGCGCCCTGTTTTGATCCTTCGCGAGGTCCCGATTTTTTTCTATCTCTCGGTGGCCACTTGGTTTTCTTTCACTCTCCTTCTATTTTCAGAAAAAAAAAACTAAATCACAATCCGCTTTCAAGATGATGGCCATGGTGAATAAAGTGCTCGACTGGATTCGCAGTCTTTTCTGGAAGGAGGAGATGGAACTGACTCTAGTCGGTCTTCAGAATTCTGGAAAGACCACTTTCGTCAATGTGATTGCTGTATGTTTTTAAAAGCTAGAAGAATACTGAAAGATTACTAAAATGTTTTGCAGAGCGGCCAATTCACCGAGGATATGATTCCTACTGTCGGCTTCAACATGAGAAAGATTACGAAAGGTAACGTTACTATCAAGTTGTGGGATATCGGAGGCCAACCTCGTTTCCGTTCGATGTGGGAGAGATATTGTCGCGGTGTGAACGCCATTGTCTTCATGGTCGATGCGGCCGACGAGGAGAAGCTGGAGCCGTCTCGTAACGAGCTGATGCAGCTTCTCGACAAGCCGCAGCTCGATGCAATCCCGGTGTTGGTGCTGGGAAATAAGAAGGACTTGCCAGGAGCGTTGGACGAAAGACAGCTTATCGAGAGAATGAACCTTTCCTCGATCCAAAACCGCGAGATCTGCTGCTACTCAATTTCATGCAAAGAAAAAGAGAATATTGGTAGGGCTTTGTTTCTTTCTAGCAATTTATTTATGATTTGCAGACATTACTCTTCAATGGCTTATCGATCACTCGAAGTCTCAGCGCTAAGCTCTTAGGAATCGGAACTTCTTCGTTTGTCAACCCTCCAATTAAAAGCGTCTCTGACGACCTACTTCAAACATGTGTTTTATTCAAAATAACCCATCCCCAATAGGCCCTTCCATTCTGTAGATACTATTTATTACTTCCTCGATATTCTATTGCTTTCTGAAAATAGTCATCTTTAGCTATTGCAAACCACTTCACTCTCTGTTCCATTCGGTAGCATTCTCTTCTCAATTTGTTGAGCATTCTCAATCATAATTCTGAGCTCCCAGTAAAAAGTTGTGAAAACTCCCATTAACTTCTTTATGTACATGTTGTGTATTTGTCAGTGCAACAATTTCTGGTCGTTCTAACCTTCTCTTCTCCTAACCCAACTAATGCTAACTAATGCTTCATTCGTCCTTTTTCTTTATCCTTTATCACCGAATATGAGCTACATGCTTAATAAAAACATTAAAATTGAAACTCGTTTTAGAATCTGCTTTTCCTTCATGCCATTAATGTTTTGGTCTCACGGCAATCGTCAGCGTCAGCATCCTAACATCAAAAAGAAGATTAATCGCAGCTCTTAAAGTTCTGAATCTTTCGCACTCTGGTCTTCTCAATCTTACAGTTCACTAAATATTTTCCCCGTAGACATTTGCGCTTTCGGAAGTCTGCTGTTCTTTCGCAAGCTTTTCCCCACGCAACATCACGCCTATCCGTTGAATTTTATTAACAGTCGCATTTGTTTGTCTAGACGCGAAAATTTGAAATTCTGTTTGCATCTGGCATGAGCTGGTTATGGTAATCCGACTCTTTCCCCACTTTGATTCTATCCAGTTCATGTTACAGTTTGGATATCATCGGATTTATTTGAAAATTATCATCGGTCTCCTTGCAGTAGCTTCACTTTATCTTAACTTTTATACAAAATACTTTATCGATAAGAACACCACAAAAAGCAGGTTAGTTTTGGCGTTTGAGGTCTGCAAATTGAAAAAAGAGCATACCTCTGGAGAACGAGCTCATCCGTACTTCAAATGAACTTATTGGTTCGGAAATGTTTATGCGGTAGAGCACGGTTTCCAATGTTTCGCATTAAACATCAGCGAATGGGTCACGTAAATTTAATGTTTTTTTTATTTAGAAGTCCAGTAGGCTTCCAATGCCACGTGGAAGACTGGAATAAAGTGCATAATAACCGAGTGCCGTTTGAGAATTTACACTTAGAATGGGTGAAAGAGAATGTTTCCCGCAGAGACAACATCATGGGATCCGAAATTCGGTTGCTGACAGCATTTGTCTACGAAAGCTACATTTCGATTACCACTACCTCGCAGCGGTCTTTTGGGTTAGACTCCTCGAAAAAGAAACTGAACTTGGAACAATCAGAAAAAGTTTTAATTCAGACAACCGATATTTTGCCGGTATTATGATTGCAAGCGAGAGGAGATTCCCTCTTCCGCCTATTCCTCATTCTTTTTCCCAATGAATGTGGTGCAATGTCCGAGAAGAGTTGGCGTCATGTACGTGTCAATCAGCAATTCCCTATCAGAAACGCCACAAGATCCCATTCCGCTCATTTTCCGAGTGTACCCTAGTAAGTGTTCATTCAATGCTTCAATCATAAAGCTCTCAAACTCTAGCACCAGTACATGAGATATCAGTGTGTGTTGGTCCAATGTACGGGGACGAAAATAAGTGGTTAGAGGTGGCAGAATTTGTGGAGCACTACAAGCTACTCGGAGTTCGGCATTTTTACTTTACCATCTTCAATATGAAAGAGTACAGTCGTAAGATCATGGACGAGTATTTGAGAACCGGAGAGATCGAACTGACAGTCATTCAGTCGGAATATGCTAATGTGGATTGGCAGTTTCATCTTCTGCAAATTAATGTGAGTTTTTTAATGTTTCAAGCTTCAGAATTCAGTTAGAACTGTGATTTTCAGGAGTGCCATCAGAGAAGTAAGTATCACTCGAAATGGGTCATCAACGTGGATGTCGATGAGAGATTGATTATGTTGAATGGAACCATCCAGGATGTTATCAGAGGGTACAATGAATCTGTAAGTGAAGCAGGATTCGCAGTTCAAAGAATTCAAAAGACTGGTAATCTTCCAGAAAAGTATATAAACGATGAGCAGGTAAGTTCCTACCTAGTTCTCTTCAACTATCCGAGTTTAGATTACAAGCGAGATGGAATTTCTCAAGTACAACTTGTCTGCCAAAGTTTCATGGGCGGCCTATAAAAGCATGTATCGACCTGAAAAAACAGCTGCGATGTATTTCCACTGGGCCTATAAACGGTATCCCAATAATGTTGTGGCGTACGTGAAAGACACAACGAGTTATATAAGGTAGTACTCACTGGATATCGGCAGCAGCAGTATCTCGAACATTTTCAGACACTACCGTACCATCGAGAACAAAGGTCTTGGAATCGGTTGGGTAGACGATTACGGAAACTTCACTGTGGTGCCGGCAGAGGCAGAGTTTGCTGGTAAACTGAAACAAAATGTGTTGCAGAAGATAAAATATGTGTACGATCAACGTGTTCTGAATTGCGAAGAGATTCCCGAGGAAGCGTACAATGAGTACAAAAAGTTCGGGCATGAACTTTTCCACTGCAAATTCCGGAATGAAACAAATACGTAATCATCATCTCCTTGAGAATAAATTATTCATTGTTTAACCAGAAACAGAGTAACAAGGGCGTTTCCAACTTGAAATATGACTAATAGAATTAGGTCAAGTCTATCGAAAAACTTGACGTAGGTGAGCTCCCGAAAGTAATCTCTGTCCTCCTCTTTAATATACTCCCGGATAGAGGTCAGCGATTCATCCAAATTTCGGAATAGTTGAGCTCTGAAACTACTTTATCCAGAATGCGTGGTTGTAATGTCACTAGTTCACCCCTCTCCAGTGTAGTTTATCCGATCCGCCTTGCTGCTTTTATGCCGGATTTTAGTGATGTTTCTGGAGAGAAACTGCCGCGAGCCGCTCATTCTCAGAATCCAGAGCATCCACGGCGGCGGCCTCCACTCTCTCGTATGCGCTCTTTGATGCATGGTCAGAACGAAAACGGCGAAAAGGACTCCGATGGCCACAACGAATATTTCGGCAAGAATAAAGTTTCCTGGAAACGAATAAAATCGAATGAGATGACGTTAGTGTGACGCACGCAAAATTTACCTAACAACGGAAGCTCCGACGTTTTGGGCATGGCGTTTGCAACAATTTGCAAAATAACAGCGGAAGAGAGAAGAGTTGTGATACCAAGATTAACCCTTTCCTCTCTTAATCCGTGATTGGCAGTTGGCGTGAAAAGACCAAAAATGCAAACGACTGTGATGATGTAGGTGGGTATGAGAAGTACCCAAACGTAGAATTGAGGACGGCGCTTCACAGTGAGCTACAAGTAAAGCAATTGGATTCGGAGAATGTTTGAACAGTTACTTACACTAAAATGAACTTCTGAGAATGTAAAGTTGACATCTGGATCCTCCGTTTGCCCTATCGAACTTATTATTCCCTCGAAATCCCATTCACTGTTACCCTACAATATCTAAATAATTTTGCACCAGTTCGATATTGTCAGTACCGTAAAATAAGTTTCGTTAGCTTCAATGTCAGGGCCAGCGACACAACTGACTTCCTCCAGGGTATAAGACCAGGGGCCCATTCGAATCAGACACGTCTGCTTGTCATACGGGAACTTGTCAACATTCATATCGCAGAGATTCGTGAACACTGCGTAAATGCTCTGTCGGACTGTTCCATCGTATTTCAGATTGATGTATCGTTCACTTGAGTCAATAAGATAGTTGGTGTCGATGCTCGTGGCGACTGTGGTATCTGGCACCCAGAGATAGGATTCTTTGAGTTTAAGCCAAGTTATGTTGTATTCAGAACGGTTCCAGCTAAGGAACTCGTCTCGCCATTGAAGAATAAACTCCGACGAGAAACTGACAGTTTCTTCGGCCGGATCGAGTACGAGGACTGACATGGAATTCAGGAATATGTTGACGATCAAGCTGTCCTTCTCATTTATAACTGGACGGATAGTGTTGTCATAGTCTGAACTAATAACGGTTTATTTTCCTTTTTCTCATCGTACCTTTTATGAGAACGTTCTTCAGCTCTTCGGCAACTGTGATTCCTTGAACTAGATTATAATGGAATAGTAGTAGTAATAATATTGTTCTCATCGCAAAAACGAGCGACCTCTGTCTATGTCATAAGAGCCGTGTGACTTGGGTGTGATGACCTGCATCTTTTTATTGAAATTCAACCCGTCTTTCGTACATTTTATGAGAATGTTCATTAGCTATTCTGTGGGCTCAAGTTTTGCATACCTTGAACTAAAACTAGATTGACTCAGAATTTTCAATCTGATCCCTCGGTTACAGTATTATGTACATCTTGCAGGTAACATTGTTCTCTGTACATAGTGTGATCAAACAGTAGCCGAACAACACACCTTGCGGATCCCATTACGACCTTTGCTCTCACTTTTTGCATTCGCATTTGTTCCTTTGATTCTTTTGCCCCGCAAAAGTGTGCTCGACGTGCACAAATGATGTAGAAGTATAATATTCAGCATAATATTATTTGATCTCTGGGTATGCGCGTACCTCTCCGCAGGGTACTTTGCTCCCGATGAAATGCATGAACGTGCCAAATTCAATCTCTATTTCACCAGCCGACCATCTGCAGAGCAGATTCAAGATTAACTTGCACACGCAAGTGGATTGTGCTTTGATATAATCCGCCCAGGTGCTATTACTCTCTATGATTCTGATTCCTAGAATATCGGAAGTATATTTTTGTTTTCGTTTTCTGAGTGCATGTACCGGATTCCTCCCGATTCTGTTTGTCTTTCCGTTGGAACTGATCTTTGTAAAGAATACAAAATGCTCCAGTAAAATCTCGTGTTTGATCTTGCACAGCATCCCCTAGCCCAATATCCAAACAAATGGTGGCGACAATTCCGAATTTGAGAATTTCAAAGAGCATATTGTCTGTGCTCAATACCATATTTGCAAAGTTTAGACTGCAAGACCAGCAATCCTTTTTCTGCATACGGTAGCGACCTTCTTGTAAACATACAATACCCAGTCCAAAACAATAACTAACATGATCTCTTAGCAACTTTTTCCACTTGGTTCACTGAACTTTGCAATAAATATTCATGATGAGTCCAATCCTTCCCCCTCCAGGGTCTTGTAATTCTATTCACAAGTTGAGATCTTTGTAATATTCATTTGTATGCCCCCTTTTCAATTCACATCACACATCATCTACACGAACAAACAGAAGGTACACTCTCCGCTCTCGAAAAACCAAACAGACACAATGGTATTGGCGACAATATTCATTTTGAACTCTGTGACCTGAGTGGTGTGTGTGTGCCCGTGTGCTACAATGTATTTCGGATGTATGTTCTGGCCCTCTTGAATACAGACAATTGTCTCCAGGACTGTTCAATGAAACAAATCCCCACATACTTTTCGTTCGTTCAATGAACTTTGCATAAGCAATCAAGTATGTCTGTTCACGGACTGCTTATACAGGGCATCAAATACACACTAAAAACATTGGTTTCCTGCTGTTGGCTGGAAATGCATAAAGATTCGAATCAAAAATATTAACGGAAAATTGGTGAGAAGGAGGTGAAGGAAGGAGAAGGACAACTTTTTGCACTGTTCAAAAGATGCCGATCTAGATTAGAGTGGTTGTGAAACTTTTTGTTGTTTGTAACTGATCTGTGATATGAGTTGTGTGAGTCACAAATGTACGATGAAAAAGCCGAAATTCATCCAGATAACAGGTAAAATTTCAAACCAAAAAGCGTTTCCAAGACTTTTTCAAACTTTGTGAAGCACTCAAAACTTTTCCAAGACTTTAAAACTTTTTCAAGAACTTTTTGAATTTTTCCAAGCCGAAATTATTTCAAACTTTCTGAAACTTTTCTGAGCAATTCTGAAACTTTCTCAAGAAAAGTTTTAAAGAGGAATTCCTAGGCCACGAAGTTTTTGGACTCCTCGTGGAATCCAGTTTTTCCTGCAAAATTTTAAGTGTTTTTCTCAATTTTTATCGTTGTTTATATGCTTCTTTGCATTTTTCGGTCTTGTTGTGCTCATGATTTCATTGTTTAATTGTTTTCAATAGCTTTTAACGAATTAAGCGGCAAAAAAAAGAAGTTCCAAAAAAAAATTGTAGAATAGGCCTACAAATTCATTTTTAAGAAATTTCTAATTTTTACCGCGTTTTCTGCATTTCTTAAAATGAATTAACTGGTGTGTTTTCAGTCTCTTTTTCAGTTTCTCTTTTGTCCGTGAGTAGCACCAATTGAGCAGTGCACTGAATCGGACCTAATTTTGAGCAAAAATAAAACAAAATAATGACGCTCTTCTTTGTATGCTTCACAGTTCTCAACCGCGTCAACGAACAAAGTTAAATTTTCAGTGACCTTTTGCGAAAAAACAGGCCTTTCAGGCAGATTAAACGATTCTTGCATAAAAAGTCACGTAAAAAGATGTTTGCAACTATTGCTGAAAACTTTCGCAATCATTAAGATTGCAACTGAACAAATGCTGCGATATTCAATATTTCGAGAACGAGCAATTTCTGAAATTTTATGACCTTATAATTTCAGTAATTGAGTGTGAACGCATCCCAGTTTTGTCACAAACCACGAATGCGTACGCTGCATCAACTGTTTGCTCTACCATGTGCAAATCTTGCAGTTTCCATTCTTTTTTTTTCATTTTCCCATTGAAACGTAGGATGAATGGCTATATTCTGAGATCTGGATCATAAATGTCCTCCCAACTTTTTTTCAAATAAGATCTCGTTCGCCATTCTTCACGATAACATCAGTTCTAGAAACCCTAAAGTTGTTGGTCAATGACGAACATTTCGAACTTTTCTTTCCTCGTTGCCTTTGCCGAAAACGTTTCTGAATACTCTTGTGACGTCACAACTTTCTGTTCGCTCCCTTCTAGGTCTCTGTACATAACGAGAAAGAACAAGAAGAAGACAGTTGGTGGTTTGATCTAGTGAACTTTGATTACACGGATTGAATTTTATCACAATTTACACGCCGGCACAAAGGTGTATTAGAGACGCCGACGGTGAATGTGTGGAGGAGTACTGTATACGCGTTTTAGTTGTTTGGTTTTTTGTGTGCCGCCTTAGGTACAAAATGTATTGAATGAATGATGAAATGATGTTTGATGAAGAAGTAGACGGAGCACATTGACAAGATAAGGGACAGATAGCTGACCGGGCGGACCGATAGATCAGAAAGTTACCGTAGTCTACTCCTTTTTTCTTCTTTTCCTAATAAAAAAATCAATCCATCGACCACAAAACACATTTAATCGCCCCTATTCTTATTTTTGTAATCGATAATGTTTAGAAACTTTCGAAAAACACAATTGATTTTTTGGTCACTTCAACTTTATGATACCGTAGCCTGCAAGTTACTTGCAAGAATCGGAGTACCACAGAAAAGACGCATTCAAAGATTTCTTACGATAAGTTGAACTCAATGCGGAAAGATGTCCGAATCCTTTTTGGGGCTATTCCGATTCGGATCAAGATTTTTGAGAATTAGAGATCTTATCGGCTCCTTCAGATTGGTAAAGATGTTTGTGTACTGGTTTAATTTTGTTTCAAACTATTCTGTTTCATGGAAATATAGATTCTGAAAACCGTATTCACTTTTCAAGACGGTGGCAGTTCGTTCCTGTTCTGAAAAGTGAGATTCTCGTCCAATGAGAGTTTACTCAGTTCACATTTTTAGCCTAGATACTTATAAAATTACAAAATCAGTCCTGGAAGTTTCAGAACGAAATATATTTAAGAAGGTCCGACTGTGTCAAGTAAAACGATCATTTTCACGAATCTCGATTCTTTTGTGTTCCTTCTTTCTGCACTTGTTTGCCCTTGTCTGTCGGAGATAAGTTTATGCTTGGCCTTCTCCGAATAGGGTCGATTTTTGTTTTTACCTTGATCTTGGTGCTGATCTTTGAACATTTTAATACCAAATTTTGCACAAAAACGTGGAAGAGAAGGCAGTTTTTGCAAAAAGAGAGTGTGTTTCGGTGTCGGTTTAGATGTCATTGCATGAGATTATGGGCTTCCGAGCTTTCATATGAATAATCAAAAGCTTTTAATCTTGTGGATCAGGAAGTGTAGCTATTTGAGCTGTATGTTGCTAATTCTAATATTCCTCAAATGCCAGATGTTAGAATTACATCCTTCATTTTCTGATTCTTCTTTCTTCCGTTCTGAAAGCAGCCTGTTCTTATCGAGTGCGATCTGAGGACGTTTGAAAATGTTTCGGAACGAAGGATCGCATTGTAGATCAAGAAAATCATCAGAGATCATGAGATGAGATACTGCTCACCATCCAGAAGACTTCGGAAGATTTCAGCCGATCTTTCGGATGAAATCGAGCGGAGAGCTGTATTTAATTTTCCAACAACTTCCCGTTTGTCATATTCCTGTTGAAAAAATTGGTATGCCTAAACGTGTTTTTTTTTTGGTTTTTTTCTCAGACGATCAGAAAAGAAGACTCCAGAAGTTCAAACATTCAGATGATTCACTGAATTTTATCTCTCGTCGAAAGGTTTGTGTAATAGGATTAAAGATTAGATGTTAAAAAACGACACCAACTTTGTGTACAGCCTGAACTGGCACGACTTTTTGAATGTTCCTATTGCCAGCCCCTCGTGACATAAATGGCTGATTCTTTTGGCGCATTACATAGATGATTAGAACATTATTCGTTCCGTGGCAAAAATCCTTCACGGAGGGGTTAGGGATGGTGGAGAATTGTGATTGCAGTGGAAGTTATGTGTCATCCCTAGTCTGTGTAAAGTCCCGATACAAAGTAACAAAAGTATATTTCTTGAGAGTTCAACAAACCCAAGTTTATCGATAAAAGTAGCCACTCACTATTTACTTGCACTCGCCCCGATTTACTTAAGCGAAGTATTATCTTTTTCCGATCTTTTCCCAAAACAGCACGTCAACGCTTTTCGAGAACCGTCCTCATCTCGCTTCCGTAAACCGCAACAAATTCTGCATGGAATCAATAGGTCAACTACATTCACTCTTTCCCCTCTTTCTCGCATGCATAATACCCCCATCGGAGAAGAGGGGTTTGCATTTAAACACTATTCCCGCGGGTTTCCCGTCGGTTTTCCCCCGCAACACTTTCTGGTCTCTTGATCTTTCAAGAGTTCAAACTAAACACCACCTCGGCCGATCCACTCACTGTTTGCACTACCGCACGCACTAACTTAAACACCAGCATCAGCACCATTCAGTTCGTTGCGTTCCTTTTCGATCTATCGTAATTTGGACTTAAGCTTTTGGTCTCTCATTAAGGGAACCTCATAATTCTTGATGAACCTGACAGCTGCTTGGCAAACGGCTAAAATCTTGGTAAAAGCAGTGTTCAGTGCCAATTATTGCTCATTGTAGCACTACTCGGTAAACCTCTGCAACTTTTGAGCAGAACTTCGGCAACTTTTGCCCCAAATCTGCTCAGAAGTTCCTGAAATGTTGTTCAAAAGCTGCTATCTCCCCAAAGTTTGCCCAAAAGATGCCGACATTTACCGAGTAGGTATTACTTTCTACCAATCAGTTTTCCCACCCTGAGTATGATTCTTCCGGGATGAAAATGTGAAAAGTGCTCATTTTTTCGCGGAAGAGGGTGTGTGTGTGTTTCGTTGATTCCCTGCACCTATAGAATAGTGTAATAGAAGAAAAGGAGGAAGAATTAATTGGAAATGTCACGCAATGAACTTTTGAACTCGCTTTGGTGCATCAGCCGGTAGCTTTATTGTTGACACCTATATCCACTCACGATCTTTCTCGGAAACTGCGTATTTTTGATTTTCTTCTAATTCCCTTTCTGGATTCAAACTGACAAGTATCTTGTAGGTAAAAATTGATTGTGGACAACAGTACGTTCAAGACAGGTTCAATCCATTTATGATCTCTGCTGTCACAAATTTTGTAGGGCACACACTTTTCCCGCACATACGCACACAATACATCGGTTCCACGTGTTTGAATGTGCATCCAATATGTTTACACTCTTTGCTCAGCTTTTGCTCTTCGATGGTTACGGTACGGCTGCGGAGCTCCTTGTGCTCTTTTGGTCATCCTCATGGATGTTTGGTTTTTAATCTGCAAGTCGAGTCCTCACGAATACCGTATCCGGCGTGGAACCTTGTTGACTCAGGTTGCGATCATTATGTTGCGTTGCAGCCGAGAGATATAAATAGAGGGAGAGAAAGACAGAGAAAGAAAGAAAGAGAGAGAGAGAGCGGCGCTCACTTTCTGTGACTGGTCTCTTGAACTGTGCGTCACTTTTCGTAGTCAAAGGTACACGGCGCAACAGGGGCCAGATGACAAGTCTTTTGTGACATGGAGTATGTAGAGAGCGAATTGTATTAGCCGAACTTTACCACAAACTTCACAAACCCGCCGCCTAATTTGAGCGACGTCAAATTATCTAGAAAACCCACTGTCCTCCTCCAGTTTGCCTTCAGATGTCATCACATCACTATGGGAATCAGATGTATAGTACAGTTGGTAATGACGTACCTTTTATTTGAACTTTTCTAAGTGATCAGATTGTTTTCCGTCTGGTTGTTATCACATATAAAGCGATGTTGCAACGCCGTTCTACCCAGTTTCCTTTTTGTTTGCGGCCACAGTTCAAGATACGGCGTAGTTTGTAGGCGAACTTCTGAACTCTACTTTTCTTCTCTTCTCTTCTTATTTTTCTCTTCCTATTCTTCTTCCTACTCCGCCTCCCGCGCGGGCAAAAGTGTGTATACTCTTTCTCCCGCGTCTCCATATTTTGCACTAATTCCTCAAAGTCTTCCCCGATGTCTTCTTCTCACTCCCGCCCCTTATCATGAGACGCAGACACTCATTGACAACAGTTGTGAAAGAAGAGATCAATTAGTTTTGTTGGTGGTTTGAACTTGATGATATGTATGATTTTTTTTGTTGCTTTCTATTTCCGATCAGCCTCTTTCTTTTCTCTTTCCCTCGTCTTCTTCAACAGTATCACTAGAAATCTAGTTTGACTGTTCATTGATGCCTGGTACTTTCTGATGGTCATAGCTCATGTTTACTGTTTATTATTGTCCCAGCCTCCCTTTCCTCTTTCCCCTCTCCTCCAACCCTCCCCCCACATTCTGATTTTCACGATCCTTTATGCTGCCGCTTTAATACAATTTCATTCCGGTCACATTTTGATCACAACGATTCTGGATGTGAAAGTTTTGCAATGTCTTCCCGCGCAGAAAAGACGAATAAGAAGAAAGCTTTGTCATCTTTATTTGCCTCCACTTATTGTGTGTTTCGTCGGTCTCTTCTCCCTTCTATCCTTCCGATCATTTGTCATCGCTAGAAGAACCCTTTTGTAGTCGGAACCGGACCGCCCGCGTTGTCACAATCGAGTACCGTAGTCTGACCCGCTTTCGCGTCGCATCGAAAACCAAAAAGTGTTGCATGACAACTGTGTTTATCAATTGTTGGCCGGTCTGCTTGAACCAGACATCATCTGCTTCGAAGCTCCTCCTCCTTCTAGTAATCTTTCCGCAAAATGATCCGATCAATCATCACCTTCTTCATCTTCTACATAAAATTTAATGCAAATCGGGGCGGCGTGAAGAGACCTGTTGTTTTGAAAGACTTTGGACTTCTGGTCTTTGAGAAACAGTGCAGAGAGACTCAATCTCACGTGGTAATACTAGAAGACAACAGACCAACCGATCATCGTCAGAAACTCCCCGCGTCACTATTTCTCGTGTACATAAACAAGGCCAACAAATTCTGATGGGCCTTCGAATGTGTGTGTTATCCTTCTGCAGGTTTACGTATCTTTTCATGTTTCTTCCTTACTGTTGCTGATGTTGTTTCAAAGATGAAGAGATCATTTTAGGGAAGAATTAAAAATAAAATGACTGCAAGTGCAACATACACAAAGATAGATGCAGCAGTGACTTATTTGCGCGTCGTCACATTCTTCTCTATCTTTCTATCGCCGTCAGCTGTAAAGGGTTGATAAGACCAGTCTCCTCTCTTTGAAGATATTGTGAAGGAATTCGTAAGAATGGCTACGAGGACGGATTTGATCTGATCTGGTGTTGATATTTTGATCCGTACTGTTTCGTTTGCAGTACCAAATTGTGGCGCGCAGAAACTTGATAGCGATTAACCGTAGTCTGACTTCTCTATTCGCACGTAGTGAATCAAGCAATCAATCCAAGGTTCAAAGATCTAAAATATTGATTTGACGAAGCTATGAGATATTTTGTGTGTCTCGAACCTTGCCGATGTAGGCTCCAACATTAGCTAACAGAATACAACATTCATCTATGTGCGGGTTCCGGTTCCTCCTCATTATTATGGTGATAAGATCTTTAAAGATGTATCCCAATGTCAAGTCTCACCACAGAACAATCAGAATCAGATTCGTAAACAGTTCGCTTTAGTCTTCTCCTTCTTTTCATATTCCCTCTCTTCTCCGTCTGACCCCGTCCCCCAATCCGATCTATAGAAGTTCAGAAGATCATACTCATTCTACCATAATCATTTCCACCTCTCTCTCTCTCTCGATCTCCGATTTATCGCGGTGTCGATGTCGCTGATCAGTTCTAGTTAGTCAACGTGTCCCACTGGCCATCGGGGAAACCTCCTTTTACAGTCTCCGCCCGTCAGTCTTTCGCCTTCTTATTCAAACAGATGTAGTCCTGGTGCAATTCGATAGAAGCCTTTGTTGATAATAATGATCTTTGCAATCTTTCTACGTGTATTTTTGCACTCGTTCTAGTTCAAAACACACCTTGCCGACGCTGCTTTCGATGCGATTAGAACGAGGAAATGAGTGAAACTAAAAGCCAGACAAGTTTCGGGGCAATGAGCACATTCCTATCGTATTATTTTGTTATCACCTTTATCTGATTCTTGACCTTTTCGAACGCTTGAACAAGATTAGAGGCTCAACAAATTCCGGGAAAGTTGGGTACATTTCCTGAAAGGCGACGCACTTGCGGGCGGTCTTTGGAAATGGAAAAATAGAACGGGACGCTTATTTCTTTTTTCATTTTCTAGCGAAAGCGTCCCGTATTTGATCCTGCAGATTTTGAAGTGAATGAAAAGAGATGGAAATTTTACGCACCTATCTTTGTTACGGATCTTCTCCAGGATCAAGGTATCACAGCTTCTTCTCACTCACTTCCCGGTCCGATTTCGATCCATTTCATTGTCTTTTCGTTCACAATCGTTTTCGATATTCATCTTTCGCTTTCTAGACTTTTAATCCCGCCCATGGATGCACTCCCGAATTCTATTTCCATTCTTTCCTTCTGTAGTCGTCCTCTCTGTTGTCGGCTAACGAATCGTTTACCACGGGACCATACGGTATTCCCCCGTCCGACTACTTACACCAACCTTTGCGCAAGCACACATGATCAAAAATAATTATATTAGGAAGTTTTGAAATGTACATAAATTCGCGCAATCATGCATGCAACCGCACAATCATGCAACCCTACAACAAAAATTTTCAAAAATCACGCGCTTCTCTCTTTCTTATTATTTCCTGTTGGCTTCTTCACTTCCGACTCATACAATCTCAGCTTTCAGATTGGTCAATCTCCTTGCTCGAGATCAAAAAGAAGCCCGTCTGGAGCCGCCGAGCTCAACAATTGAAAAGTGTTGCTGGTCTTCGGTAAGTCCATTGTCCTCTAGCTGGAGGGGTTGTTTCTGTTGCCAAACATTGTCTGGCTCTTTTCCCACCTCAATTAGTCAAGAGCTTGATGTTTGTTCCGTTTTTCCGTCACTGCCGCCCGGAAGATCCGTGGAAAATCTCTTGGCTCCGAACTTTTTACGTGTCTCTAGAATGTGCTCTCCTACTGATTCTGGTTATCCTACGGACACCCACTTCTTCGTAATACGACGAGACCTTTTCTATTATTCTCTTCTCCCCTTCTTCCATTTCCAGACAACCCAAATTATGAAAACCATCTCCATTTCATGTACTCCTCAAAGTGTCTGGACTCGCTCGGCATCTTTCTCTAAAGTGTCGAACAGGCTGTGCCAAAGTTTCCAGAGAAACTCACTAAGGCTCTGAGGCTGTTTGCTCTCTATCTTGTATTCTGTGAGACTACATATTTGCGCGTCCAACCCCATTTTTTCTATCCTTGTGGCCAACTTATACTCGTTTGTCACTCAGTCATTTTGGACGAGGCTTCACCGAGACTGTCTCGAGTCTCTAAGTACATCCAATTGATGGTTCCCGCAGTATCACAAACTTTTTGTTGTTATGTCGGTCTGGTCTTTTGCAGTCCGGTCCACTGCATACACTGCTGTTCTCTGTTCGTTCCTTTTTTCTTTTGATCGCCACCCCAACTAATTCGCCACACTCGCTTCCTTGTTTTTCAAAAGTCGAAGCTTTGCCAGTTTTTCCTCTACACTTCTTTTTGTCCTGGTTTTTTGAGCACCATAGAGCAATCTCAACTACGATCACAGTCTGCGCGGAGTTCTCGTAGTTTCTGGCGCGATCTGCGTTTGTTTGTCACTTTTCGACCTCTTTCTTTTGTGCTTCTAGTGTTTGGTTTCGTCTCGGAGCATGATTGGGGTCAAATTCGCAAATCACTGGTGAACTTGCGGTACTTTGTACTTTTCCGTAGAGTTTTAATAATGGTTGAAGATGAATTACGTTTCGACAGTTGGACATGGATGCATTTGTGCAGCCTTTCCTGACTTTAACAATGTGCCCAGCTTCAAGACGTTGGTCACTGACCATTGAACACTTCCTGCTTATTTTTTCTGTTATCATTGCTACTGCAACCCAATTGCTTTCTCATTTCCGTGTTCTGTTTTGTGTTTATCTGTCTGCTTTTTCTTCTTCTTCTTCTTCTAAAATTGGTCTCCGATCACATTTTTTGTGCGGGCCCGCTTGTTTTTCTTCCCTTCGCTCGCTCCCTCCATTTTTTGAGCCCGCCGAGCTTCTGCGTCTCCTCAGGGGTCTCCTAGACGTGATCTTCGAACACCCCTATGATGATTGAACCACTAGCTTTCAGCTTAGAAACGAGGAAGCAAACGAACGAAAGGGGGAGTGTGTTTTTTCGTGTTCAGTTGGAAAAAGCAAAATACACGAGAAGCGATGGGGGAAAACCCTTGGAAAATTACATATTTTTGCCCGGTCTCTCCCTTTATCTTCCGCCTCCTGCCTTGCCGTTATTTCGCTCAGAAGACCATTTACTCGTTTTCCCATGCTATAACCAACAAAATTTCAGTAAAATGAGCCCGCACTTCATGACTGCTGTGACCACCGACGACGAGAACCGCAACGAAAACTGCTCTCCAGCTTCCCAAGAAATGCATTCACCGAAGCCGAAAGGGAGGGTATTGTATTGCCGAAAATGCGAGGGACATGGCGAGAAGGTCATCCTCAAGAATCATTCACCCCAATGCCCGTACATTTTGTGCAATTGTAAATCTGTGAGTTTCATTATTGAAAAGATTACGGTAGCATCAATACGAGCTTTCAGTGCGAAAAGCTGAACTACAAACGGCTGAAGTCGTTCAACAAACGGAATAAGGAAAAGATCGAGTTGGCTGCTGCCCTGAATGCCAAACGACACGCCACCGAGAGCAGTTCAAGTGTTGATGAGGAGGATGGTACGGTGCATTTTTCTGAATTGTGTTGCTCCGCGGATCGTTAGAGTCTTAGCGCTAGAGTTCATCCTTACGAGTAATTGTTGTTTTGAACGGTTCTCCTATTCATTCCACCCTAATAACTTTTTCTTTTCGTTGCTGTTCCGTTGATCGAACATCTAGAATGAGTAACCCTTCGCGGCCAGACAGCCAAACAATTCTGCGAACATTCCGCCCGCAGACACACACGCACACACAAAATGGAACGAAGACCAATGAAAGATCAGTTAATAACTGAAATAGAACGAAAGGGCATTAGAGACACTTTTTACCAGAACATAAATGTTATTGATTGGGGAGAAGAGAGACGCGGCCGTTCAACCTCTAATCGTTCAAAAATCGAGACAGAAGAAGAGTGTTTACATTCAAAAAGTGCAAGATTCTGAATGAGATGCACATTCTTCTCTGTCGCTGCAATGTCATCATAATCGGTCACTTGTTTTCGTCTTTCGCTCGCCTGGAGTGCATTTCTTCCTCTGCGTTTTAATCTCAACAGTTCGGAATTCGAATTTTACAGTTTATCCAATCATCTTCTTTTAATTTTAATTTTAGCAAAGGCATTAATCGACGTCCCTCTGAGTACTGATTTTAAGTTAGTTCTAGATCACTCGGGAAGAGGCGTCCGCTTGTTTTCGACATTGCCCTCTAGGAGTGATCGAAGCGGACCCATCTTTTGCTGCTAAGGGCTGCCCTTCTTGTTTTGCTCTCGTGTTGTTTTTAGTACATTCCAGCCGACCAACTGCGATGCCCTCTCCTCTCTCTCTCCCTCTCTGCGTTCTTCTCTGGACCGAAAAAAGGGCCTTCGTGCGCTCGCGCGCACTCTCTATCTCGCATGCCATCATACTCACTGCGCTTCTCTTTTGGTCTGTCTGATTTTCGACTACTACCTCTTCTCGTTCTTCTCCTCGTCTCTCGTCTCGTTGCCACGCACTTTCAGTACACAATCTGTGTGCCCAGCCAACCCCTCCCCCTCCTATTTCACTTGTTGTCGTTCTTCTAGGCCCCTTCGTGTTTTCCCATTTTTCCATCACTCGGTCGCATTTTCTCTTTCCCAGACACTTTTCATTTGTCTCCTAATGCTAGTCACCATGCCTTTCAGTATGTCATCATTAATTTCCTCCATTCCGCAATGTGACCAAATAACGATCAGTTATGTTTTGGTCCAGACTCTGACATTCGATCATTTGATCCGTGTTCACTGCGCATTGTTCTTGTTTTTGGTAACAGATAAGTGAAAACAAAAAAAATAGCAGAAGCTGTCGCTAGCTCAATTTCTGTCTCACCCAATGTTCTTAGAATCGTTGTCTGCTCTGATTCGAACGTGTGATCTCTTAGGTCGTCCACCTCTCCCACTACTTTCACAGACACGTGTTATCAGCTGTCTGATAACTGATAACATCTAATCACTTTCCCTTTCCCAATATTGCAGCAATGTTTCCCCGATGGTCTTTGTGTTACGAAAGAATTCTGGTTGAATAGTCGGTGCATGGCAAACATGTAACATACAAATCCCCGCCTCATCCGTCCTACGACGTAATCGTTGAAACATAAAAAGCGTAGCAGTGATGCGTAATCCTTCAGCCACACTTCATTAGTAGAAGAGATGGATCATGTGAGCCGAGTCCTGTGAATAATACCGATTCTCTACTCAAACGTGTGCGCGCTGACGTCCAAACTAGACTCTCACTCTCTCTTTCCTGCTGCTGCTACCGAATGCATTCAAAACCAGCACGTCTGTGTACACCGATGAGACTCAAACATCATTATGTCCACGACCACACTAACGCGGATCCACCACCTCCGCCGGCGCAGTCTGATCTTTATCCGGATACCGGTACCCTCCGTTCTGTCCTACATCCCTTCCACGACCACCACTAGTCCCGTATTTGATCGCCTCTAGTGATCTCTTTAAAAAGGGTGCAAGTCTCTGGCTGCATCGCGGACTATGTGTATACGCGGTTTTTCTCCTCATTTTGCCGCATCTATTCGCTTTTCTCGTTCTCATGTTACCCTTTTCAGGATTCTCCCGTCGCTCATCGTTCTGCTCGAAAACTTCAACTCCAGGCATGGACACTGATAACTCATCGGTACGTGTTTTCGTCTGAATTCGTACAAAGAGACGTGTTTGACTATGAGACGTAGAGAGAAATTCTGAACTTTTGACTTATAATCTCTACGCTCGCTGAGCTCATGTCAGAAAAGGCTGGGCAGGAGCGAGGGCCACCGCTCATAAGCACATTCTTCTTCATTTGAGCCTCAGTGTCTAGTTTGGCCACTTTCAGAACACTCCGGTCGCTCTTGCGAGCCCAGCAGTCGTTGCCAGCACTACCAGCAATTCTTCTTCGGCGTCCGTGAACACGTCAACGGCTGGATTGGAAGGAAGAAGCATGTCGCTCGGATCAATGACCGTCATGTCCTATGATATTTGGAAGGCGAAGTGTGCCTCCGAGAAGAAAAGACTGGAAGAAGAGCGCGCCAAGAAAAGTGAGTTTTTTCTATAATTTGCTTCAAGTGCAACTTCTGTTCCTTTTTAGCTTCCGGCGATCCGTTCACCCGTTCTCCGTCTCCCACTCCAGTTAGGAAGCGTGCTCATACCTTTGTCGCTCAGCCAATGGTGAGTTATTGTCCAGACGCTTCTTTTCACTCAATTGGCGTCATTCTCCACTGACTCAACAATGTTTTTCTCTTTGCAGAACCGCGCCGAGGACATTCCAGTGGTTGCACCAAAGAAAATGTCCGTAGACGAGAAAGGAAAAGGGAAATACATCCTCTTGCCGACGATTCCTGCCATGCGAATCTTCGTGAATGAGACCGAGGAGGAGAAGCCCGTACCTGTTTCTCCAGTTATGATTGCTCCGCAGCCGGTGACTGTCTCCGTTATTGACATTCCATCCACATCCACCAATATCCGCCCGTTCCAAATCCCTGTGACGACTGCGCCAATGCTTCCCCTTCCTCGTCCAGCTCCAGTCATCGTTCCTCATCCGGTGCATCATCAAATGTCTCCATTCAAGCCGGTCTCTGTTCCTCAGCTGCCTGCTCCCTCTCCAGTTATTTCGACCACGTCAGCCCCCATGATGAACAGCATGTCCACCGAGCAGATCATCAGCTCGCTCACCCTACACAACACTGTGCTCCAGCAGCAGCAGAACAGCCAGATGATGCAGGAGCTCCTCCAGAACCTCGGAAACCCAAATCCCCAGCCACAGCCGCAAGTCGACATGCTCTCATTGCTCCGTCTTCAGCAACAAGCTGCTGCTCTTGCCGCTGCTCTCCAGGCCGCCGGAGTTCAAGTCCCAATCACCTCAGCCCCCGCTCTTCCAATTCTCGCCGCTCCCAAACCAATTCCAACTACTCCGTCCCTCTTGAATCCATTCCTCCAAGCTCCTCTCTACACAAACTCGGTTTAATATTACTCTCGAAAAAATTATTCATCTTCTTCACCTCTCTCATAATACAAAAGCTATAGTTGTCTGACTAGTCGTTTCCCTATCCAAAACCCCTCTCCCACTTCTACGGTATCCTCGGCCATCTCTCCATTTCCCTCCCATTTATCATCTATCCACGCTTCTCCCGAAAATGCTCTCAGGCTGTTTGAATGTGTGTGATATTCACACCCTTTTTTTTGTACATACAACATTAAATAATAATTATTTTCCATCTGGCCACGTCACGATGTAATAAAATGTCATGTGTGCCTTCGTTTTCGGACCATGATGAATTCTAGAAGCGAGCCGCAACCAGGAAATTGAATTTATGATCAGAAGTCTTCAGATTATAAAGAGTAGAACGCACGAGAAAGTCCGTGTATATACGTGTCTTGAAATAGAGAAGAAGATATGTTTTTCCTAGAAAGGTTATAATTATGGAATTCCCCTCTTATGAACCCACTTTAGTACGTACACGAGCTCTTTCCAATAACAAACTTTCTATTTATGTACATAGTATTCCAAAGAGATGAGAAACGGGTGTATGCGGTTTTGAATGTGCTATTTGAGCTGCAGCTTAGACCATTAGCCTCGAATGTGTGACACCTTTCCGAGTGTTGTTGACCTGACTCATAGGCGGTATAAAAGAGAACTCGAACTTTGAAAGACCCTTCTGGACATCATCGTCATGTTCGTCTTTTTCTTTTTCCCAGTGTTCACTTTTGCTGCCATCCTGATACCAAATATTCCAATCGGAACGACCGTACCTGCAGTGGCAAGTGATCCCACACCTACCGTATCCTCGAATAACAATTCTGAATCTGTTAAAGTGCAAATACCTGATGCTTTCAACGCAAAAATAGCCCAGAGATTGCCATTTCTCAAAGGTATAAATTGGTCGGAATCTAGCCTATAATCGTCACCCAGTCTAGGTACCGATGAACTAAATCGTCAAGAGTTCTTCGCTATTATTCAAGACGAAAAACTGAGCAAAGCCGAGATTTGGGAAAAAGTTGAAAAGTGGGCTGAGCAGCAATCGGGGAGCGTTCAGGTCTGTTCAGATTCAGTACAATATATAAGTTATGACATCCCCGACTCTTTGACATTCATTCAATTTCTGTACTTTCAGGGCGGCATTCTGGAATTTCACCAGAGACTTTCTCAGCATGTGGAAAACTCAAAGAGTCGTGTGGAACGAATAATCAAAAACCTGCCAGACGCCCTGCGAAAACTCTCCGAAATAGTCCAGGACATTGATATCACACGATTGCAGGTGGGAACATTCTTACGAGATAATCTAATATGGGATAAGCAAGTCACCTGCTTCACCGTCCACTTTTTCAGGAGAAAAATCGGATAACCAATTTGTACACTTCCTTAGACGAAGATGTTTCGAAGACTTTACAGTGGATTGTACAGCTGGTTTCGTACGAAAAGAACGAGGGACGGACTCTGGAACGGCGGAGCAAACTACGGAAACTGAAGAAAAGTGGCATATGGAAGGGCAGTGTGCAGGCAACCAACATCATCTAATCAATTATTTATTCACCGCGAAGAAAAGAAAGAAAATGTGGCATTTTAATGAAGAAGTAATGAACCCCGTAGTAGATTGACAGACTGGAAAGTGTAGAAGACAAAAAAGGAAACAAAAAAGTTCACGTTCAGTCGATGCAGTTGTTCTCCTCGTTCCGCGGTTTCCGAGTAAAACTGGAAAGTCGAACCATTGGAGTGATGCTTCTCCGCTTTGAACGATTAATCTGATCTACACGATTGAATCTGGCCGCTGCTTCTGGAGTGGTGGATTCCGCTTGATTGTTCTGATTTTGATCTGGCGGCGTTTGAGTGTGTGACAGCAGTCGGGATTCTCTCTAAAGTCAATTCAATTCGTAATTTCTAGCTGTGCAATAACATGCGCTCACTTTGAAAGCTTCTCTCCGGAAATGCTCCTGTTTGGCCGTCTCAATTCTAACCCAATGCGGCACATCCGGCACCAGTATGTCAATGATCATCTTTGACGCAAGTATGACGTGCTCGAGCACAACAACAATAAGTATCTGACCACCCCAGGATAAGTCTGGCCATATTCTCTGCACGAGACCTGACTGTCCGATGAGAACGCAATTGACAATTACTCCGAGTATTCCGAGAAGCTGGAGGAACGTTTCTTTACGATCTAGTGCACGTAATGACAACGCTTACCTCCATTGCTTTTTGCCATGCGCCAATATCCTTTACCCGTCTACCAAAAGGCCGTTGGACTGTGTTACACAGTTTGAACGCGTCGACTCTTATTTCGATGAGGTTGTTGACAAGAGCGCAGACTGCGGCCAATGGAAACGCCGGGGAGAACAAAAGGACGTAGCCGAACTGGATGAACATCTCAAGGAAGTCGTCTAGCGGACGCGCGTAAACAGACATAACACTCTCTAATTCGGCCTGTGTCAGTTCGGGACTGGAATCATGAGAAGGCTTGAATTCAGGCAGAGGAAGACGTTCCGTTTTGAGGGAGAAGTCTTCGCGAAAAATGGAAGAGAGAGTTCTGAGCTGGTTCATGTCTGTTGGCTGGGGCAGTTCATCTTTCTTTCGGTGTCTAACTTCTTGATCTCCCGGCGGAGTTCCCACTGTGAAAAGGGAGCCGGAGCCGTTCGGGCTCTGATCACTCTCCACACTGTTCTGCCTTCTGTTTCTCACGTTCTCCACGTGTCTTCTCAATGTTCCATCGCTCATGCTTCTAGTCATTTTGTAGGTCAAACTGCTCAACTTCAGTTTCTCAAGCAAAAACGGAACCACAGTTTCCATAATGTTCTGAGTAACCTGACGGGTAATAAGCAGGGTAGCAAGTGTCTGAGAGAAAAGAATCTAATGGGAATCGATTTTGAAATTTGCAGTTTACTTCTTGGAGACGCTTCATATCTCGAAGCACAAAAGCAATGTAGAAAAGAGATCCGAAGGCAGTGACAAATTGGAAAAGGACAATTTTGGTGATGAGAAAATCTTCGTACTCATCATCAGTTCGATAGTTTTCTGTAGAAATATTTGTTTAAAAGATTAAAAGCAATAGCACCTAAGTCGTTGAGAAGTAGAGCAAGCCTTCTGTAGATTTTGTCACTGATCACAATCATGAGAGCATAGATAACCATCGGAAGATAACATACCCAAGAAAGAATGACAATATCCGAGAAGTAACTGGAAAATAAAAGAAACTCGAAAGTAGTATAGGTATGAGGGATTATAATACCATTTTTGATATTTCTTCATTTTCAACATTATTTCATTCTAGAGAGAGAGAATATTCTCTGATGTCAGAGAATCACCTCATTTACAGCATTTTTTTTTCAAATTTCTCTGAAATGAGTGAATTTTTGAAGCGCTCAAAAGCGCTTATTCTCAATAATTTTTATGCATTTTCAATCAATTTTTTGTTGAGATGTTGATTTCATTTCATACTCTCAAATTTATGCACAAATTATATATTTTTTCAAAAAACCTCTTACAAATCTTGACTTTCTCAATCTTGTAGAAAAGCTAGGAATCAAGAATTTCCGAGGCATCTTCATGAGAGACACTTTGCCTAATCGAATTAAAGAAAAAGAAGTTGGTATTGTAAATTTCAACATCTCAACAAAAAATTGATTGAAAATGCATAAAAATTATTGAGAATAAGCGCTTTTGAGCGCTTCAAAAATTCACTAATTTCAGAGAAATTTGAAAGAAAATGTTGTAAATGGGGTGATTATCTGACACCAGAGAATGAAATAATGTTGAAAATGAAGAAATATCAAAAATGGTATTATAAATTTATAATCCCTCATACCTATACTACTCTCGAAGAAAGCGCCGAATGAAAACTCACTAATCCGCCAAGTCTTGGATTGTGAAGATAGCTAACATGGTCAAAAACATTCCAACCACACATAGGAATGTGATAGGGTATGTAATCACTGAAAGAAAATCAAGAAAATTGTGAAACGGCGTGGGAAAGTTACCATATCGGACAAGCGTATGCTTCCAGGCCGGATAGAATGGCTCCATTCTTCCAGAAACAGGATTGGGAGCCAGATAATCACCCTGGAAAGCTGGTCTCGGATCCTGGAGGTACGAGTCTTGAGTGGAATCGTAAGTGCCCCATTTGAATGCCAGTTCAGCTTGAACTCTCTTCCACCATTCCAGATAAATAGTTGACCAGATGCAGTTGAAAAAGGCAAACAGCACAAAACAAATGTCGGATATTAGCTGAACTATCGACATGCTTAAGCTTCGGAGAATGTTCTCACCTGATACAAGTCTTGCTTATCCCCCGGATTGTTCTTGTACTTGAATCCTCCAAGAAACCACATCAGGATACCCAGTAGCGACGGAAACCAGAGTGCTGTTGTCATGTGCCCCAACCACGCAAAGTACATAGCGATTTCAGTTCCAAAATAGTCTTTGACCTGATCAATCGGTTGCTCATCGATAGAGAACACCCATTTCTTCTGAAGATGCTTCAGAAATTCTGTGTTGTGAAGGGCTGACACGTGTTGGACCACATTCATCGATATTAGTCTTGGAACGATCGCAGTCCCTTCGGTTAAAGTGATAGTCCGCGAGGGAAGCTTCAGAGACAATCCTCCCTTTCCTGCTCGCATCATATCCATCATCTGCTTCACAATAATCGTTCTTTCCATCGGCGACAAAAAAGTGTTCTTCCCCTCGACTCCGGCGAAAAACTGTGCTTCCTCGAATGAAAAGTCTCTCATTCCACCACCGAACTTCGTTTTGATTGCCTTCTTGATATGACACAGTTCTGCTCCTTTCAAAAGGCTAAAAATATTATTAATCAGACGTTCGGTCTCCTCGGATTTGTCATTCAAAACTATTACCTCTTGTAATCAGCAGTCAGGTAAATTGCGTAGCAACTGTTCAGTCTGTGATATCGAACTTCGATTCGTAGATTTGGTTCGTGCTCCCGCATCTGCTGCACCAGCCACATTACAGACGCCTTATTTTCCACGTCATCTTTCGAGAATTGCATAGTTATAAGCAGATCGCAGTGGGTAGAAGTGGATGCATATCTGAAAATTGCAAATTAAGTTTAGACTTCCTTTTTTGTCAGAAACCTCCACAGATCGGAACTGAGGAACAATCGTTGGCCCTCGACGATTCCATCTTGGATAATTGCTCCAAATTTGTTGTGAAGAGTTGCCATGACACCTGAAAAGGGCCAAGAAATAGAGTAAAGAGGAATGGTCTGGAGGAAGAGGAAAGAAGGAATCCCATGATGTGGTGGGAATCGAATGTGATGATAAAGTCGTAAAAGTTCGGAATACTTATGCGGCGCCCACTCAGAATGGGAATGGGCTCTTAGTCTTGTGACACCAGAAGACTCGAAAATCGATAGACACAGCTTCTTGGACTCACTGGCATTCTCTTGTATCTATTATTAACATGCCTTTTTTGTTTCTCGCGGCCAATAGAGAACAAATATTATATGGCAATACAATTCCGATATTTACAGTGGCCATATTTGGACATTGAATCGATTCATCGCGCGTATTTTGAAGGGGCGACTGCCGGCGCAACAATTAAGAGCATCATGAAAAGGCGACTGAGAAGGCAGCGTGGAGTGAAGCGGACACGCAGATAGCAGAAGCGACATCATCTGCCTTTGGATGAGTATTCACTCCGGAAATTTAGATGTATTCATAGGTTTCCACATCAGTAACGTAGTGTTTTTGTGGAAAACTAATCAGAGATTATTCTGCACTCCGCCTGGAATTAGTCCGATTTGAGATGGATGCCACGTGAAATCGTCGGGAGTCTCCGGAGATTTCGTTTCAAGAAAAACTACTGTTATACTTGTAGTCAACGAGAAATTTGCTTTTGAATGATATACACCAAGGTCGCACTTGAAACTAGAAAATACTTCTGATTCTGAAGTGCAGCTTCCAAAGCTTCATTTCACAGAAAGCCACGTCATAAGAAATAGAGAAAAAAGGTCGTCACGTCGTTATTTACACATTCCAATCGCAGATTTATTTTTTTCATGTTTGCCAAATTCTTTCATGAAAAAGAGGTGGTTCACAATACAGCCATGTAATTTCCGACGTTTCAGAACATATTTCAATTTTCATAGTGCAGCAAGAGAACTGCACATTCACAGGAGCTTTCATTCCGTTTATTTTTCTTTAGTTTGGGCAACATTGAAATTCGATATGACTCACCCGTTCCTCCGATTTTTATCTCCTGCTGCTCTTCTCTTTCGTCATCTGCTTCTGACCAAACGTCTTGGCACGGCGCCAACTTTTCGCCATCCACGTCATCGTCGTAATCGAAGCAGGCATCGAAAACAATCGGAGAACCGGAGAATGAAACAGACCTCTGTCTGCGAAGCATCATCGGGAACCTTCTCGATAATTGCTTCCTCCAGTCATTTCCCACCAACTGTGCTTTTTCTTCTTCTTTCTCTCTTTTCCCGCTCTTTCTCTCGCTCGTTTTCTTCTTGCTTCATCAAAGATCGGCCCAACAAAGTTTGTTTTCAATGAGATTTTCTGAGAATTTTGTTTTATTCTTTTTTCTTGTGGACCTTTATAAGGAAGAAACAACAAAGGAACAAGGAAATAAATCTGACATGGTACAGATCGATCGACAACTCATAGTGAGTCGATTTTAGTGAGGGAAAAGTTAATAGTCAAATTAAAAAAGATAGAAGAGTGAATTGTGATATAAAGCTCAAAAATAAGGAAACTAGAACTTATCAATGGGCGTTCAAAAGCACATGTCGCACCTGGATTCGATTCAGGATATATTAGAGTCGTGTAATGGGAATTAGGGGACTAGAAGGAAATGGTGACACGTCTTTAAATGGTCCGGATCGCTCCGGCAGCTCCTTGGACGTTCACTTCGTCGGCATCGTCCCTTGGAGACTCTCCGTGGCGCGTTAGAAGCGAGATTTCAAGCTGTAATCAAGATTTTTACAACTTTTCAGACTGAATTCTATGGCTTACCACTCTCAGGCCTCGCTCCATCGGATTCCTGATGTGGAAGCCGACATGATGATATATCTCTCGATTTTCGCGGTCAAGAAACTCTTGCAACTCGTCCAACTTTTTTCTATATGTCGACTTGGAAATTCCGTAGGAGGCGTAGCATGTGAAACATCCTAGCAATGTTTCGAAGACTGTCGGTGCCGTGATCTGAAATGATGAATGAGCCATTTTTAAAGTGGAAGATGACTATACCGCTTCAGCATCTGCAAATATTCTATTAATCCGAACAATTGTGTTTTCCCAGACGTCACGAGAGACCTGAAAACAGTGCATATCAGTGATTTTGACTACAAAGTAAACAATTTACCTTTTCAGTGAGTCTTGCAGGGTATTCTGCCTCGAACTGAACATCAAGGCCTTTCGAGTAGTCCCTTTGGATGAAAATCTGACCATTTAACTAACGAAGTTAAGATTTTTACGTAAAAAACGGCGATTTACCTTTCTACACTGATTGAGAATTATTATCTCAGTCTCATATTGCTGCTGCGCTCTAGCTGATGCTCCGTTTCGGACTTGAACAGCTGTCTGTTGTGTTTTCAGAGACATAGTATGTCTGAAAACAATATTTAATTGGAAAATGTACTTGAGAGTTGGAACAGGAGCTGAAAGTGAAAGCACAGAAAAGTATTGGCGAAAATGTGTGCATTCGCACGTGGCCGTGTTTGCACTCTATGTACTTGACGACCATATACCTCCCAAATTCAGTCGAAAAATAAGTTTTTATTCATCAAAGCGATGCTTTTTCTTGTATTCTCTACGGAGAAAAGCATTGTTTCTATTCATTTGCTGTTTTCTCATATACATTTCTTCTAAATTATCGATTTTCCTCCAACTTTCTACGCCGCGGCTCGTCAGAATTCCTTAAATTAGGTATTCGTTTTTCAGGTAATCATGGGCAAGATTATGAAGCCAGGAAAGGTCGTCCTCGTCCTCAGAGGAAAATATGCTGGTCGCAAGGCTGTCGTCGTCAAGGCGCACGATGAAGGAGCATCGGATAGAACCTACCCGCATGCCATCATCGCCGGAATCGATAGATACCCGCTGAAAGTAAATAAAAATTGTCCAGAAACAAGCCAGTTAAGTGAATTTCTGTTCTTAGGTCACTAAAGACATGGGAAAGAAAAAGATCGAGAAGAGAAACAAGCTGAAGCCGTTCCTGAAAGTCGTCTCCTACACTCACTTGTTGCCTACTCGTTACTCGGTCGATGTCACCTTCGACAAGACTAACATCAACAAGGTTTGTCGACTTCACCCAGTTCAGTAGCATAAACAGCTAAGAATTTCAGGAGAACCTGAAGGCGCCAAGCAAGAAGAGAAAGGCTCTCGTCGAAGTGAAGTCCAAGTTCGAGGAGCGTTACAAGACCGGAAAGAACAAGTGGTTCTTCACTAAGCTGCGGTTCTAAATGACTGCTCCTCTTATTCTAAATAAATGTTGTTACATGTGGAGTCCACATTGTGGCTTCGAATTTGAACAATGTTCTTGAGTGTCAACTATAATTCCCCAGAGTCGGAACTCGTGAGCGCAGCGCCTATTCAAATTCCATATTCTCGCTTTCAAATCAATATTCATGCCTTTTCTATCCTTCTTCTCCTCCTTTGGCCCGAGCTTCCTCCGAGCACCTGGCAGCCCGTTCCTCTTCGCAGCCTGCGTCTCACCAGCTTCTAAGTCTCCATGACAACTCGAATGACACCTTCAGTGCTCCGTCCTCAATCGCTTTTCGTTCGTTCGTATATTGCAATGAGTGAGCTCTTATCCAAGTGGCTTTCTCCAACCTATTTACGAACTCTTCTATTAGATCCAGTCAAATCCAAATCGACATGCATTCAAATAGCACGTTTCGTAGCCGCCTATTACCTCGATTACATTCTGTACCTGCCCTCCGATGACAAGGATCTTCCCTCTTTATACATTTGGGGGACTATGACGGAAAAAGGTTTCATTTCCCGAGATATTTCAGAATCACATGTCATTTTCAGGTCTCACACCCACGGATGTGATATTAGACCGTGTGAAAGTGAGTGCAATGCTCCCCGTGGAATACTCTCCGGCTCTTCCGGCTCTTTTACTGGTCAAATGTCATTGTTTAATAGAAGCAATAAGTTATGTTGATCACTTTGATGATCGGAGAACAAGTCTCATTCTCCGACTTTTGGCTGATTCGCTTCACGAGTAAGAGTCAAGTATGATGAAATCTCAAGTTATTCCCTATTCAGAAAAGAGCTAACAATTGAATACATCCAATCAATGATAATCGACAATCTTTCGCAACAAATTGAAGAATGCTCCAAAAACGATTCCATATTAAAATTTGCTCATACCTTCACAGAATCCATACTCCAACTTGACGTGGCAATGCAAAACAACCTGGTTATATTCCTTGAGCAGCATCTAATCTCTTCTGCGGAATTCATATATTCGGAGCTTCCATTGGAGTCAGAAGAAGTACTTCCGAATCCAGTTTACGAGAGTCCTGGAAGATTGGATACGGAAGAAGCAAAGTCGTTCGCTGAGATTTACGGGTACATTCAAGTATTACTGAATTCGTTCGCAAGATCAAATCGGATTGTGGATCAACTTAACTTCACCGTGAAATTGGTTTCAGATGAAGCTGTAGGTTGACTATCCCACGTTGCAGAAACTATTTTTCTTTTTAGCGTAAGATTCGGGTTAATTCCAATTACACCCTGCACCGTATTCTTCTTTTGATGCTCCGAATAACTTATCGTCATCTGTTCAGTGTGGCACTTCGCGAAAATGACAGAAACACGGCAAGAATTGCGGAGAGATACAAGAAATTGCTCGGCGGAGAAGATGAGGAGCACGTACTGCTTCAGGAATGGTACTCGTCTGCAGAAGATGATGACGTCGAACGAGTTCAAAGCTTTCTTGACCTGATTCAGAATAACTATCATCAAGTGTGTAGTCTCATTGACCCAGAACATTATCTTATATCTTTTAGACATCTACTCTACCACCCTTAAACTCTACAACTCGGGAGCTCTGGTTACGAAGGATTGTTCTGAACAGCACCACAAATCATAGAGACGTCCGACAGGAAAAGACTCTGGACTGGTTCAGGTCTGTCTTTCAACCTGAACACAGAGTGAGAACAGATTTTTGGTCATAGAAATGTCAACGTGAACTTTTGAAGGTGTGCGACGTCGTAGTCTCCCAAATGCTCTTCATCAACTCGCAATGGACAAGTCCGGGCTTCACATTCATCCAACCGGGATGTTTGGCTCTCCGATTGTCGATTCATCCTCACGATCTTTGCATCGGATCAACAGCTTCTTCAGTCAACTTTTCGGTCTCGGCGAGGGATATCTTGTACAGTGCTAGGTCTAATGGGAGCAAGAAGGATAATCGGCTTGAGGATAGACTTTTCACACCGAGAAATAAAGCGCCGGGCAGCCCTGATCTGATTACCAAGTACGCTAAGAAACATCGCGAAATGCAGAAGTACATTTCACAAACGGCTCGGAACTTCAGTCCATTTGAAGAGCAGATGAGGGTGTTTTCAAGACAACAAGATGAGCTTCAGCTCGAATTGGAGAGAGAAAGGGAATTCCTGAGCCGATCTGGACAATATAATGAGCCGGAAGTAATTGATAAAGTGTTAGAACCATTCAAGGCAATGATGGATGAAGCTCTGAAGAAGCATATGAACATGGTGAACGAGATGTTGGAGGCAGACATCAAGAGTAGATCGGAAGAGAAGAATAGGTCAATGTACATTCGAGAAGACGATGAAGAGTCGGAGATATCTGAGATTCCATTGAATTACGACGAAGCTCAAGTGCCTGAGGGTACTCCAACTATCGAGAAATTGGATTTGGGACTACTATCTTCACGAACTCCGGCACCGACAAGTCCGGGACCAAAAGCCAGCAATTCCATTCCAAGCTATCTCAACTTTCCTGGCTTTGAACCACATAATCATGGGTTTGAAGATCTTTCCACTGCAAAATCATTCACCAATCCACTATTTGCCAGTTTCTCAATGAAGAGTAGCGGCAACCAGGTACCTGTCGAGTGGATGAAGCTGCTCCCATTGGCACCTGGAAGCGAACGGTTCACCGATAATTTGCTTATGCACAATTCTGATGAGACAACGCCGAGAGCTCAGCAACCGATTTCGTCTCGGAAAGTTGTGAGTGAACGTGGAGTGCAGACTGGAACGGGAGGAAGCAAGACAAAGATCGGAGAGACTCAGACGGACAGTGTATTTCTGGATGACAATGGTGCGAAGACGAAAAAGATGGATGTGAAGTCGATCAGGAATATGAGTCAGGACGACATTCAAATGGTTTTGGATAGGATCAACAAGTGATTGAGTGTTTGAATAAATATAATTATGAGAATCTTCTTTGTTTTGTATTCCGAACATCCTGAAAAGGCTCTTGAAGATCACTCAAGTTGAGAGGGTCAATCGGAACGGTTCGGAAGGAATGCTGATTGTTTTCGATAAACCAGAAAGAGTTATGTATTAAGTTTCCCCTCATACTTTCCCTAATTTAATTAATTTTTTGACCCCCTAAAATTTCCGTTTTTCCGCCTCGAATCGCACGTACAGACCACCATTATGCGAACACTCAAGGACGAGTGCACCCCTCCATGACGGGCGAGACACAGATTCGCAGATGTATCAGAATCAGGCTGACGCGCACTAAAACTATTGCTGTCCGGGGTCGGGGTGTACTCTACTCGCATATATCTACATTTTCGTCAATTGGTCTCACCGTTTCTAACCGTCAATTCAACGCCTCGAATTCCGGTTTCTGTTGACGTCTTTATCACCTCTTGCAAACCATGAAGATCGCCCTCTATGAATTCGACACTTTCTTTCTTCATTTCCTCATTCTGTTCTGTTCCGTTTCGAGATTTCTTTGAAAATGCTTTTGACCACTATGCGCTTCGGAAACCTGTATTATTCACAAAGAGAACACATTAGTAGTCAAAAACACAATTAACTTGTGAAGTAGTGAGTGTGGACTAATACAGCTATTGTCGTGTCGCCGCGTCTCGCCACCACATTCTCGATGCCCTTCTTATAAAAACTTCGGAGATTTTATCGCAACTTTAGCATCTTTCCGGGTGAAACATTTTCTAGGCGATGGCGGAAAGTTCAATGCGATTGAGTTCTTGTTATTTTCAATTAGACTTTGCTATACTCGATTGAGACGTTTTTCTGAAAGAGTTCTTCTGAAGCCCGTAAACGATTCTGAGAAAAACTAGTATTCTCTGCAATCACTTCAACCTTTTCTCTCGCTACGCATACTATTCCGGTCACCTATTGATTCGGGAAACGAGGTCGTTTTCCGAAACAGCGACTAATCTCTCCATTTTCCCCTGTTGTTCATCACTCTATTATGTGAATCATTCCAGTTTTTTCTTTCTTTCGCTTTGAAAACTGTTCAGAAATCTCCAAGCATCCAAAAAAAATAAAACAACATTTTGCAGTAATGGCCAAAAGAGACGGCTGTTCCGTCCAAAACATGGTGAGGACTGCGTGGTCTAGCACGGAATCCGCCCTTTATAAACTCCTATTCAACAGGGTCACCTTAATATTATTCTACGCGTTTTGGTTCATTTTCGGCGTCCTTGTCCTCCGAAAAACCCAAAATGCGATTGCGGCAGTCCGCTATGTGAAGGCGAATAGCGAGTCGGTTTCGCTGTCTTCGCTCGAGAACTCGCGAGAGTTTGCCGATCTCATTTCAACTCTCAATCAGAAGTTTTCTCGTCCACCTGCAATTTTCCTACTCAACCAGTATGCTCTCAACATGACTGACAACTTCTTGTGCAACACTGCCACGTTGACGGGGGTACATGAGCGGTTCATTTTTGTGACTCTGGATACAATCTCGAGAGATACCATCAAGAAGAGATGGCCTGAAATTCAGCAGTTCCACTGGCCAACTCCTTCTCTTTATGTAAAACTTCAATTTGTGACTGAAGTCGTACCTCAAAATCCTCAATTCAGAAACCGTTCTCTTTTGCTGAAGGAGCCTATCAAACTATCTACTTACTGCGATCTAATTTAGCACTTGCGCTCATCAAAAAGTAAGAAGTTTCAGCAAACTCTCAATAAACCACTATTTTTTCAGGGGAAAGTCTTTCTGGATGATGCAACAGGACACTTTCTGGAGGAAGAACATCTTCGAAATGAACTACGAAGACGACATGTCCTACGATGCAATTTTCGATCAGCTTGGCAGTGAAGAAGCAGATTCGATGCGCAAGGAATGGGTGAACGGAGCCAATTTCTTCATTCGAGCCAACAACGACACGCAGTATTTCTTTGAGAGAATGTCTGAAAAACTTGCTCACTGGTACACCCCAGATATGGGCATTATGATTCATCAGTGCCACACATGGGAGCGTCCAATTTGCGCTTACATTCCACATAAGTGAGTGTCCAAGCTGATTTGAATGTCAAATTGGAATGACTTAAGTGTTGTGTACTCGTGGGAGTGGATGTTCACAGAACAAAAAGATCCTCCTTATCTGATGCAGTTGGATTGCGAAACCGATGGAGGTTCCAAACTGATGCAATTGGGTCGGTATGGATTCCACTTTGTCAATCCAGACGGTACTTGTAATGATGGACAGGTAACAAATACTTTGAAATTGAAGTTGACGAGAAATGATACTTTTCAGGTCGCTACCGCTAAAGCAAAAATGGAGAACGGCACAATAGAAGTGAAAATGACCAGCAAGCTGCCCTCATGGGGAAGGATTCAGTTCAAGGCGTACTGGTACATTGTAGACTACATGCTGTGGACTCCGATTATTGGAGAATATTTGAAACCGTACCTGGCTTTAGTCGGTTTCATTCTGATGATCACAATCTAGTTCAACTCTATTTTTGTTCTGTTTCCTTCCAACGGGTTGTCTCCTGATTGCTCTTGTGATAATGAATTGAATTCTTTGATGTAAAAGAAGGAAAAGTAATAAAGGGGCTTTCACTTCTCTTTCTTTTGTTCTTCTTTTCCATACCTATAAATGCTTGCGCTCCAGAAACGTATGCCGAAATGCTTCTGATTATTTTTCTGTTTCCTTTGGTCACTTTGGCCCAATGGGGAACTCCCCCACCAATTGTCACCAACGAACAGTGCCAACAGGAGTTTCAGCTCATTGTGAATTGTTCAAAGGTCCGTAAAAATCAGAGTGCACCACATTTAATCATGAATTCCCAGTATCTCCAGTATTTTTCCGATATTGAAAACTCTCCTAAATTTGATTTTACGTGGGATCAAGCTATTATTGATGATATCGAGTTTGTACTAGGCTGCTCAGGTAAACTATCCTGCAACAGCTCCCGAATCTATCAATCTTGGCTCTACAATCAGAAATGGATTCTAAAGCAAATACATGGAAATTTGTCTTTATGTGTTGGAATCGACACGTGGGATGAGATGAGAATTTGCCGAGTGGAAGTGGAACTTCTACCAGATCTGGAAGGAGTTCCAGATGCGGTGAAGCTCATCTGCAACAGAATTGATTCCGCGTTTCCGTGTGCTTGGGGGATTGTCGAGAAACTAGAACATTGCAACTATCAGGAAAGAAATCTGTTCAAAAAGGTTTGGAGAGCATTCCGATCAAGCTGTGCAATGTGGAATCAATTTCTCGTAGAAGCAAATCATTATAATGTCTCTATTGCCTGATTTCTTTTGAACTTGTGAAACAATACAAATTGAATAGTCAAAATATTTACGTGGTCTTTCTAGTTAGTTTTGCGATTTTATTCATTCATTTGAAGTTCCATTTCAAACACGTGGATCTCTATCCCACAACAATCATGAAACGCGGAATGGTACGACTTTTCAGATTACCTGTTTAGAATCCTTAATTTCAGGTTTGTGATCTGATTCTCCTGCATCTAGTAGTTTTGCTCCAACTCGGGGTTGCTACAAACGCTTATAAAACAAGTTAGCCAACGCATTTCAGTGAACCTACGTCACTTTTTTTCAGCGAATCCTGACCCAATTGTGTGCAGTATGAGAAACATGTCCCTGGTTGAGAAGGACACCAAAACGATCAGCTACGAGTGGCCGGAGGAATGCGAAGTTTTCCGAGGAATCTTGCACTTGCATCTGATCGACTTGTCCTCTGCAAGCTTCATTAACTTGGTAAGAAAGCAGAAAAGTTTGATTGATACCATTTGAAATTGCAGCGGAAAATTGAGGGAAGACTGTTAGTCATCAGCACTGATCTGCAAGCGCTTCCCAGAATGCCAAATTTGACGACGATTGAGTCGATCAGTGGATTGCCGGGTGTGACGATTCTGAACAATGGACAGTTGCGAGACATTAGGGGTCTGGTGAACTATCAAAAGGAAGTGAGGGTCTACGGATCGGCGATGCCAGTGTTTATCTCTGGTAATCCTTTCCTGGACACTATTAATTACCCGAAACTGTTCCACAAACCGATATCTCCAATTTCTTGTGAAAAGCGATTGACTCCCAATTACAACATTGTATTTGCTGAAGGTACAGTAACCTTCTCCTTATTTCCTTTCCAATGGATTCCGGTATTACAGCACAGTCCTTGGGTGTTGTCATCCTCACTCTTCTTCTTTCCATTACCACCTTCCTGTATCCATTGAGTATGGGAAATGCGGTAAACACAATTCACATTCTGACTCGAAACATATTGCTTCCAGAACATCTACTTCGTTCCCGGCTATCACAAAGCGTAACCCTCCTATTTTTGACGTCTTAAAACAACCCACGCTTCACAATTGAATCTACGTGTAATAAGACATTCGTGTTCTCTTTTCCAATAAAAATTTATTTATTTACTTTCGAAAACGGCTCGGAAATGGACATGAAAAAGATGCATAGTACGGTAACATCGTCTATGCAAACACCTTGAAATAACCTTCAGCTCATTATCCATTGGGATTCCGTAAAATCGACATTGTCGTCTCTACGACTTCGACGCATGCCAAAAGGACTTTTCGCATCAGAACAGTTGCCAATGTCCAGTGGGAGATTGAAATGAATGTGACGGAAAGCCGAGATGTGAAGAAATTGCTTGTCACGCTGAGCACGACGTCGCTGAAACTGCCCACCGAAACTGTCGATTTGACCTACGAAATGTATCTAAAGAATAAGATAAACGCTCGAGATGATATCAAGAAGTACGGCGAGAAGCAATTCAGCAAAAACGATGTTAATATTCAATTTGAACTGGACCACTTCGACAAGATTCTCGAGGAGAAAAACGGGTTCAGTATCAACAAACAGATGACTTTCGAGTTCTTCGTCACAGTGAAAGGCACCAGGATTGTTGATTGTGTCGAGTTGATGGATTTGTACACCCGGGATCCGATGATCAACGATTCGGAAGTGATTGTGAATGGAATAACTTTGTACATTTCCAAACCGGTGGCCTAATTTTTGAGAATGATTAACATCGGCTGTTTTCAGTTCCTTTCGCTTCAATCTTCCGAGCTCAAACAACGTATCGAATCTGAAAATTCACACGAAGAAAAAGTTCAGTGGGACATGACGAAGTACGCTTTCGAAAGCGTGTATGACTTCCTGCAGATTGCACATGGTGTCGACTTGTGCTTGGATGGTAAATTGAAACGTTTTTGAATGCTAAAATATTAAATTCAGGAGATAATTTCAATACAATTGTCGACCTTGCTGCGTATTTCCATGCACCGCGAATCACCGAGTATTGCAAAAATAACCTGATTAAATCGAAAGAGTGGAACGTCAACAAGAAGTATGACATTTCCGAAAAGCACAAGTTCTGGGATGTGATTGTGAGTTTCATGGCTTCAACATGCTCCATTGAGAAGCTCCGTATTTTCAGCCCACTCTCTTGACAAACGCAAAAAGTTTGGCAGATGTCAAAAAACAAAATTGGCATCTTGCACTTTTTCCGGATGAAATAATAACGTTGGTGACTCGCAGAATCTTTGCTCTCACCAAAAATAATTGATCCTGATGTGATAAAATTTTGGAAACTCGTGAATGTTTTGTAAAAAAATGTATATGTGAAAATGATCATGATTCCTCTGGGTCACTGACAATCTTTCCTCAAAAACTATACGAATGTTTTGAAATGATTCACTCTACTATATATTATTAAGTTGGTATAAAAGGGAGGGTTAACCTGCTGAAAAAATCATAGCTTCAAAATGTTCCGACTTTTTTTCCTCTGCTCTCTTCTCGTGTCAGCCTTCGGCAGATTGTCTGAAAACGACTACATCACCAAAATCAACGAGGATGAGGATTCTGAACAGTGCAAGGAGGAAGTGACTCATTTCAAAGGATGCTTCAAAGATTTCAACGATGATGTCGACAAAATTGGCACTGTTGTAGAATCGTGGACCGAAGCAACGGCTTCAGGGAATTGTTGAATTTCTTATGTTAACATAAAGTAGCATGCAACACGGCCATTCAGGCATACAGTAACACAAGAGACTGGACAATTCGGATAGAAGGAAAATAAATGTGTTGTACAAAAAACAATTATTTATGCTAATTTAACGTTTCTAGATATGATTAAAGATTGTATGAATTTTTTACGTTAACACAAAAGAGGCGTTGACTTGACCTTTGAATTTGAGAGAAATGTTAGAAAATGCCGATCATATCATTTCATACAAATTCCATCCGATTCAGTAAGAAATTTGTAAGCTTCATAGATCTAGAGACAATTTTCAGAAAATTGCGATATAGGAGATGTTCAATACTACTTTTCTCATCGTCATTCTCGTGCTCATGACCTATTCACTAGCTCAAAACTCGCGATCATGCTCGGAAGAGTCACTAATGCTGTCCGAATGTGTCGACCCGTATCAGGGGTACATTACTTCTCTGAAAGATGTGACCGGAAAAAAGATTGTGGATCTTCTGTTCATGAGAAAGTTTGTGAACTTCACTGACACAATGGTTCAGTGCATCGGAGTTGTGAACTGTGAAACTCCTCGACATTACCTTTTCTTCCTGAATGGACTCAATTATATCGGGAAGGTGGTCTATGGAAAAGAAGCTTTTGATTGCTTCAAAAACGTTAGTTCGAACACAGGTGTAGAGAAAGAATTATTCACGTTTAGGTGAAGACCATACTCATCAGTTGTTTCAAAGATCTTAACACTGATTATGATGAGATTCGTCGTGGCGGAAAAAGACGTGAGAAGGTTTCAAAGCTCGTCGAATGTTGGGTGAAAAAAGCAGCGAACGAGCCGTCTCCTTCCAATTGTTCCCAAAAATTGATCAACCCATTGACAAACGCTGCAAAAACCGCCATTTATTTGTGGAAACAGTACGTGGATTACAAGGACGGAAAAATGAGACCAACTACGTTCACAGAGCAGAAAATAGAAGATTACCTTGAATAAACGAATGATTTCATTTTGTTTCCTGGGAACAAATTCAATCATAGAGATGTTGTGATATGTTTCTGTTGTATAAAAGCGAGCTGGGAGAAGACGATTCGACACAGAAATGATGCTGAATCATATCACTCTCTGTCTTCTTCTTCTTCCTACTCTGGCCCTTGCCGACGTCCTCGATCATCTCTTGAGAACGAAAGGATCTTTCAATGCAGAATGCCGTCAAGAATACGATACCGTCCTGGAGTGTATGAAGCCGCATATGGTAAGCAAGATGCGTTAAATAAAAAATTTACCGTTTTTAGGCGCTTTATCAGAAAGTTGCTGATTACAACGAGACTGCCTTTCTCTACAATCCTGCAATCATGCGGAAAGCGCTTCAGATCTTCGAGGACGTCTCTGAGTGTGTTGGAGACCTTCAATGCAAGGATCTCAAGCACGCTAAGTACTTCCTCGAGGGATTCATTTTTGTTGGCGAGCGAGTGTACGGTGATGCCTTCCATTGTTTCAGCAACGTGAGCTTCTTCCTTTCTAAAACATTCAAGAATTTTGATTTAGGTCCAATTTGTGGAAACTTTCGAACACTGCGCCGACACTCACAAACCGTCACACTCGATTCTCATTGAAATTCTCGCCGACAGAAGCATTTTCGACCAAGCATTGAAGCCTGTCGTCGATTGTATTGCTGAGAAGATGTTTCTGATCCCCGCGACGTGCTCTGTTGACCGCATCGTCACATTGTACAAGGCTGGCAGAGCTAGCGCCGACCTGTTCTACACTGCCTTGAAATTGAATGGCGGGCTTTCCGCGAGCAACGAATTCAACGCTTCGGAATACTGTGATTGATATGCTTTCAATGAACTTATTTATATTTTACCCATGAGTTGAAATGGAAAGATACGTCGCAGAAAAAAGGAAGAGAGAGAGAGAGAGAGAGTTACAAATTTATACGGCTGAAGAGTGGAAGGGCCAAGACGAATCCAAAGGATGAATGGGTCGCCGAACGAGGACGGACTCCATGTCCAATATGATATCCGTTATCCGGGGCGACACCTCCTCCGATCTCTGGTGGATGATGATTCATGACGACTCCCTGACCGATTCCGGGTTCTGGGCCGTTGCAGAAGTCGCGATGATGACAAGTGGTGCAATAGGCGCCGTCCGAGTGAGTTAGAGATTCACATGAGTGAGCGCATCCCTTTGCGAGAACTGAAAAGTACTAATGAGAATGAAGGTACAGAAATGAATGAAAATACTGAATCCACTAACGTTCTTGCCCATGACGCTTCGTTAACGTGTAACATTTTGAGTGGGGAGGACAATTGACAGGAAACGGTCGGTTGCAGCTCAGGAAGCTGTCACAGCTTTCGCATTGAAGAGAACTTACTAGAAATGGAATCTTTAATGTCTTCTTCAATTTGAGAGTAAAACAGACCGACAGCCACGAGAGCAGCAGCTGTTAGCAGCACTCTGATCATGTTTGGCAGGCCTCTGAAGAGCAAGAAAGTGTTGATTTTGTGAGTGAATCAAAGAGTGAGTGTGACAACATGAGAATGACGTGTCGGCGCGATAAGAAGAAATTGGAAAAGCAAAGTGGACCAAATCAAATTTTTCATGCTTCCTGACCCCTCTCTAGAAGCCATCTGTTCCAGCCGTTGGACCCATGGGACTTGAAAACAAGTAGATAAGAAGCATTTCGAAGAGTGAAAAGGGAGAAGAAGAAGTGAGGAACCGAGGATTCTAAGAAGACAAATGGACGATTATATTGTGCAGAAGTTATTCAAGTGACGATAATAGGATGGATGGAGGAAATTGAATTGCATTTTGAGTAGTATTCAATAGAAAATAATGAAGATAATTGAAGTAGATGAACCTGGAAAGCTGAAAAGCAAGCGGGAATGCTTTCTATCAAGAAAGCAACCATCTCTTTTTATAGTTCTTATCTGTCTTTCCGGTCGTTTCCGTCCTTTTATAGATATTCAAAAGAATGACTCATTTATTGGGGGATTCGGCTGATTGACCACCGAGGAAAACGAATCTTATGTTTATTTAGCCAAGTTATTCAGTATAATTCATTCGTCCTTATCTTTCTCCTGCTTCCCGTCTTCGTCGTTCTGCAACGTCTTCGGCGTTCCCTGATCTTTTTTGTTATCTTCTTTCGATTGTGACTCTTTTCTGATGACCAAAGGTGTCGAATTCTTCGACTGTGACGACTTCTTAACCTTCGACTTGTTTAGTCTCCTTCTCTTTTTCGTTCGAGCCGATCTCTAAAACAATTTAGTCGGGAGACCGCACTTTCCGCTTTCCGCTTTACGTCTTTTTCAAGTGCGTCGAGTTTCATGCACATTTCTTTGTACTTTGCGCGATCTTCATTTCGCAGTTTGATGATGTCTACATAGATGTCGCGAATCTGTCCGATAACATTCTTGATGACGTCTCTGTCATCTTGAGGAGCGCCCGCCATTCTCGTATGCAAAAAGAGAAATGATGATGATTAGTTTATTATTTTTCTTCAAGTGACCGTAAGGAATTATACATTTTTGCGTAACCTGATGTACAAACAATATCACAACTTTTTTGAAGGGAATGATAACCGTAAAGGGACAAAACAAAACAAATACTGTGGAACATATGAAAGATCTCTACGCTTTGGGTTTTTATAATCAAAACTGTGAAAAACAGTAAATTGGATGGGTGGACACCATGCGGGTTAGTTCTAAAGGTACATGGGATCGTCAAACGCAGAGACAGTAATAGAAGCTGATCCAACAGAGCTCCCGTGCTGATCCGTTAGCTGCAGGGTCGTGTCTCTGTTTTCGTTGTCAATCAGAGCAATTATAACAGAATGAGCTAGAAGTTGGTCCCGACACATTTTACGATCCTCCCAAATCTCTAGCTTATATTGCTGACGGTCTTTAGATCTGTGAAAAAAAGAATTGTACACACCGAGAAATGTATGAAGTTCACTCACTTGTGAAAAACGAACTCTTCTTCCCAGTTTACTGACTTCTCACCAGCTGATGATTTTGTTCGCAGAGACTTCTTCGAATCTTTCACTATTGCGTACACATTATGACTGCTAGCGGCAGAGTTGAAAGTGACTCCGTGTAGTGTGAGCCGAGTAACACTGTGAGCAGATTTACATCCTAACATCCCCAGCTTCGGGGCGTGCTGAAAGCTAGGCAATTCAAATTGTCGATAAGATTGAACTAAACCTTCGTGAGAGCTGTGAAATGAATGTGTTGATCTGAATATACTCTGAGCATGAACAGAGCCTGTTCTTTGGGTGCGAATGTCGTCGGCACAAGAAGGTATCTGCCACGTGTAAGTGACTGCAGGTGTAAGTAAACGGATCTTCCAGAAGCGTAGTCGGACGTGGCAATCGGATGCATAGCCTGATGAACACGATGCTGACGATTATTCTCCACTTTCATCACGTGCATTCCGATAGTCACAAACGGATCTCGCTTTTTGAGCCCTTCGCTAGGATCATTTTGGGTCAAGGCAAACATGACGGAGCAGTTAGGAGAGGGTATGTCGAAGACATACTGGGGATTGTTGCAGAACGTAGCTTGGAAGTTTAGACATCCTCCGGCGCGGTCGTCCGGAGCGCCACTCTTCTTTCCGTTCGTAGTCCACTCGGAGAAAATTATTTGTTCGTCGTATCGCTTTGAAAAGGAAAATACGCTCGTGTTGAAGAGCTGACAAAGCGAGATATCGGTAAAATACTGCACAAAAGACTCCCACGGCATCCAGAAGTCGCCGTCATTATTGTCCAATTTGCCTCTTTGCACTCCCATTGCGTTCAACTGACTATCCGACACATTCTGCCATTCAGAACTATCATCCGACCACGCACCGTTCCATTCTTTTTCTCCCCATGGATTTTGAAGTCGGATCAGATTTTGTTTCTGCTTTGAGCCCATGATGTACGATCTGAAGACCATAGTGTGCTTAAAAATGAAGAAAAAAATGTTACGTCAAGCTTTTTTGCGTCGGATTGATGATATCAATAGTGTAGACTGCACTGACAGCATAGGCATGTCCTTTCACGAGCCCACAATCCAGAGACTCTTCTATCTCTTCCTTAGTCCGTGCAGCAATTGCAGCAACAATTAGAGCTCCTTTGTCGAAAGCCGTTTTCAGGTCGTTGAACAGTTTCAGCTCACTATCACTGGGATCCTGAACTAATAAAACAGTTTTCAGAAAGTAGGATTTCGATGTCACATCTTTCAAGAATTTCTTGACATGAAGAGTTTCTGCAACACCTCCGGAAACATCTTGAAGAGCATCCGAAAGGTGCCCTCCCACCAGGTTTTCGTAACACCCGTACAGCTTGGCGAACGCCTTCTCCAAAAGGGCTGACCAGAACTCGTTGGGCGTCTTTGATCTTGCGAACAGAAGTTTCCCGTCCCTGCAAACAAAAAAACCACAATACTCACAATGTCTGTCGGATTTAGATTTATCAATCACCTTGTAGGCAGCAAGTCATCAATCACAACTTCGACCCATTTGCCGAACCGCCAGAACCGGAAACGAAATATTCCAGCGTATGAGTGTTTCGGTGACCATTCTTGATAGTCAGCATCCGGAATGACTTGAGCCAGTAACTTCAGATTATGGGTCAAGGCGGAGCATGCCGACACAAACCAGCAGTTGCCCAGAATACCTTGGGTAACATCGTTCGGAGACGCGCCTTCCACGAAAAGATGCGGATCAGAATGGAGTTCCGCTGGTCGCTTCCATACAATATCGGAACTTCGCCCTTGTTCAAGGAATAACGACTGATTAGTGGGCGGGAACAGTGTATCGACGAAAGGTTGCTTCTTTTTGACGCACAGCTTTTTGAGCTTTTCGTAATTCTGATTGCCGAAGTGGCGGAGTGCTCTCTCCGACCTCGTCATCAGCAATCACTGAAAAAAGTGAACATCAGGAATAGGAAAGGAAGCGAGAAAAAGGAAAAGACATGGTAAGTCCAAAGAACAAACACTGATCTACAGCTTTTGTAAGGTCTTTGCGCGAATATTCGGAGTGAGGTTGAGCGATAAAGCATACACGTGTCGCCCAACTTCTTTTTCATTTTGGTTCACTGCGTTTTGACGCAACAACGCAGTTGGAATGAAGAGAGACAGAGATATGATAATGTGTAAATGGGTATAGACGGTGTAGAAGAGGTCGGAGACGCAGAAAACGAAACATTTGATGTTATGGAGGTTGACGAAAGGCCGATGGGCATCCCATACAAACCGTCGATATGTGGGAGAATGAGAAGAAAAATGAAGGAGAATATAGGATGTGATTGAATGTTTGCGTATCTCTCTCTCTCTCCTTTCATAATTGCGTCGTATTGGAATTGTCAAAAACGTTTTTTTTTTCACGAGTAGGAACAGGAAATAGAAAGTCAAGAGGACGAAGGATGGAAGGATGAATGCAGAAGACATAATTGGATTATAGTAGACATTGGAGAAGAGGATACGATCGCATCTTCTCTTCCATTCAAGACACAAATGGAACTGGTTTCTGGCTAGAGCATTTTTTAAGGTGCTTCTAAGCTTCTAAATTCGCACGGTCTGATAAGGTGGCGAGTGCACGTCACTGGATTGTGATTTTTCTTCGTGACTGTCATGTAATATGTAGCAAGAAGAATGCGATGAATTCGTAGGCGGATGTTTCCGGTGTGCCTCGCCAATGCAACGACTCAATGTATGAGCACAGTGTGAATCACTTTTGCAAGCAAACATTCCTTTCAAAAACATGAAAACAAATATGCAGTGGAGAGTGAAAACGAGTTAAACTTTAATCTACTTTCAGATGCCCCCTCTTTCCCACGTGGGAAGATTGCCACGTCAGTGACTTTTCATCGAACCCCTCCCATAACCCAAACATACACACCGACTTTTAATGCCATTTTGCCAATTTGCTCTCGCCTCGATAAGGATTTTTATGTGTCCGTCTGATAAAAGCGCCACGATTCTTCGTTTCTATAGGACGCCGCTACACTCCTAGTTTTAACGAAATATGCGTGCTTTACTGGTATTTGGTTGGTCCTTTTTGCATCGAACTCTACTTTTAAAAACATTAATGTTTCTAGCCGGACTTTTGGTAACTGCCCTAGCACAGGATTTGACGTGTGTCGATGCCAAGTTCCAAGCATGTCAATACAATATGGCACAACAACTCGGACTGAATGATACTGTATCGGCTCAGCTGTTCAAGGACTATACCATCATGTACAACTATTTCTTGTACATGTTCGGAAGAACTCCGGGAAGCACTGCTGACATGGTGACTGTTTGCAAGTGGGAAATTAAATGACAAACAAAACGTTAACAAGTGAAACTTTTTACAGTAGCTTGGAAACGTTCAACCTTTGTATGCATGGAAATCGGGGATGCTTGGATATCTTTAACTTGATCAAGAAGACTGACATCAACAATGTAAGTTGAGAAAAAAACAACTAGGCCATCCGAAATACTTTCAAATATACACGAGTGGATTGCACCCTGAAATTATAGGCTTACGCTGTAGAGGCCACATACAGGCAGTACTCGTCTTTCAACTGCGGCCCCGGAATCAACAGTATGTTTTCGAAATAATGACGGATTACGCGACATTTATTTGCAGCCTTGGAGCACGAAGGACTTAGCTGCCCTCAGAGAGTTTTGAATACCAGCTCAACAGTTTTCACAGGATGTGTCAAGACCTACATTACTAATGTTGCCAATGATGCTACTAATGGATGCAAGTATGATCCTGCTCTCAGTAAACCTTTCACAAGCTCTTTTCTAGATACGGTCAGGACTTGATGAACTGTTGGTCTGCTCCGTTCCAAACTGCTCCGTGCCGCCGAGAAGACGGAGTTGCCACGTGGTGGGCTTGTGAGCAGAATAAAGTCTTTGTCAAAACGACTTTCCCAAGTTGTCCGCTTTCTTGCGATGAGAAATTCGGACCATTCTTCGGAGCTAGTGCTACATATCTTGATACTCACCACAAAGTTGTCGACGGAGAACATTGGTTCAAAATGCCGGATCTCGTGGAGAAACACGACGGAGAGCTGGTGACCGTGGATGGAGTTTGGCTTAAATGAATTACTTTTTTAAAATGAACATTTTAATTCGGAAAGCGTGATTATTGCGATGATGTCGATTTAGTAAATTGTGAATTTATGTATTTTCAACGATTTGTCAAACATGCATTTCATTTTTTTCCCATTCACGAATGTTCGTGTTTGAAAAATCGCCACTTTTTGTACGCTAAACCGAGAGAAAGCGGAGTATCGTTGCGAGTATTAAAGGCGCAGACACATTTGTTCATTGCGTCTCGCATGGAAGAGCCGCACCGTCGAAGTTTTTTACTGGCCCTTTTTTCAGCTTTTTCTTTTCAGATAATACATTTTGGAAAATCAAAAACTTTGTTTCAAGACGTTGCTTAATTGTCACAAAACATGTCTTCTTTACGCCACTTTGTTTTCACTCGCGTCTTGTCGTCGACTGCCTCATTCCAATGTATTTCTGTTCATTCTACTAATTTCAGGTAATATGTCGCTCTCCAGAACGACCCAGCTGCCTTTCGCTAAAAGTCAATTCTTCCAAGTTTTAGCTAGAGGTTACAGTACTACTCAAGGTAATTATTTCATGGAAATTAAACCGATTTCGCGTATTCTTCTTTCAGATGCCGATCTTGTCGTCATCGGAGGTGGTCCTGGAGGATATGTGGCTGCTATCAAGGCTGCTCAACTTGGAATGAAGACCGTGTGCATTGAGAAGAACGTGACACTCGGAGGAACGTGCTTGAATGTGGGGTGCATCCCGTCAAAGGCTCTCCTGAACAACTCCCACTATCTTCACATGGCTCAGCACGATTTTGCCGCTAGAGGTTTTGCTGAAACGTTATTAATTCAACCTTTCTTTTAATTTAGGAATCGACTGCACTGCTTCCCTCAACTTGTCGAAAATGATGGAGGCTAAGGCCAGCTCTGTCAAGCAGTTGACTGGCGGAATCAAGCAACTTTTCAAAGCCAACAAGGTTGGACACGTCGAGGGATTCGGAAGCATTGTTGGACCAAACACTGTGAGTCTTTCCTGATGTTTTTAAACTTTTGTCTCGTTAAAATTTCTCTAGGTTCAAGCCAAGAAGAACGACGGATCTGTTGAAACAATCAACGCCAGAAATATTTTGATTGCTTCTGGGTCAGAGGTTACTCCGTTCCCAGGAATTACTATCGATGAGCAGTCTATTGTTTCGTCGACGGGGGCTCTTTCTCTTGCTCAGGTTCCGAAGAAGATGGTTGTCATTGGAGCTGGAGTCATTGGACTTGAATTGGTAAGGAATTAATTAATAAAAAGAAAATAGGCGTACATCGAGAAATATTCAGGGATCCGTCTGGCAACGTCTTGGAGCTGAAGTGACTGCTGTAGAGTTCCTCGGACACGTCGGAGGAATGGGAATTGACGGAGAAGTCTCGAAGACCTTCCAGAGAACTCTCACGAAGCAAGGATTCAAGTTCCTGCTCAACACCAAAGTTCTCGGAGCAAGCAAGAACGGATCTTCTATTTCCGTTGAAGTTGAGGGAGCTAAGGATGGAAAGAAGCAGACTGTAAGCTTTTTATCAGTAGTGTTATTGCCAAAACTGATTTTATTCATAGGTGTTTTGAGTTGAGCGCCGGTAGTTCGAGACAGGCGAGTGGGAGGGGCCTAATTCGAAAAAAAATTGGCAGCGATAAGGCTGCCAAATTTACCCGGACTCTAACAGGTTGTCAAGTTGTTCTAGCTGTCTGAATTACTTCTACGGATCATATTCGTTCAGTTTCCACTCATTTGAATCCTCTAGGATACCTGGTACGAGCACTAGAATCACTAATGACCAGATTACAGGAATGTCCTTACGGCGCTGCGATCTATGTAGTCATTTCTGACTCTACCTGAACTGTAACAGGTTGTCAGGATGCCCCAAGTGTCTCTATTACTTCTATGGGCTATGATCTTCTAGTTTCGTCTTAATTGGATACACAAGAACACTTGGTACGAGCGCAACAGTCGGAAATGTTCAAATTGCTCGAATGTTCTCAAGGAGCAGCAATCTGGACATTTCCGACTTTACCGCGACTGTAGCAGGTTGTTAGGTCCTTCTCACTGTCTGAATATCTTCCTATTGCCATTGTCCTTCACTTTTAACTCAATTGAAGCTACCAGACTTGCAACGGGCCGGGCCAAAATTGGAAATTTTCTGGCCCGGCCCGGCCCGGTCGGCCCGGGAGGATGCACCTAAAAATTCAAAGCGAACTAGAACTTCGAAACGAACATAATTTTCATTGTAAAAACCAGCAGAAATAGAAAAAAAGACGAAAAAGGCAATGTTATAGCATAAAACCTGTTAAAAAATAGAAATTGCTGTTTAAAGTCGCAAAATTTCATATTTTTTTTGCATATTTTTTTTGAGGTCTAACTTCCGGGCCGACCGGGCCGGGCCGGGCCGGCCCGGAAGTTAGACCGCAATTCTGGAAGCTACTAGAATACCTGTACCGAGCCCGAGAGTCGGTAATGTCCAGATTGCTGGAATGTCCTTGCGGGGCAGCAGTCTGGACATTTCCGGCTTTACCGCGACTGTAACAGGTTGCCATGTTTCTTCAACTGTCTAAATAATTTCAATTTTTTGGCGTTTCTCAAACATCCCGCACCTATAATTTTATTTTCAGCTCGAATGCGACACTCTTCTGGTCTCTGTTGGACGCCGGCCATACACAGAGGGACTCGGACTTCCCAACGTGCAAATCGATCTGGACAACCGTGGAAGAATTCCAGTCAACGAGAGATTCCAGACTAAGGTGCCGTCGATCTTCGCCATCGGAGACGTCATCGAAGGACCTATGCTCGCACATAAGGCTGAAGACGAGGGAATCCTCGCCGTTGAGGGAATTGCCGGAGGACCAGTTCACATCGACTATAACTGCATTCCATCGGTTGTGTACACTCATCCAGAAGTCGCCTGGGTTGGAAAGGCTGAAGAACAGCTCAAGACAGAGGTATTAATTCTAGAAAGTTAAAAAAAATAATAAAGGTTTTAGGGAGTTGCCTACAAAATTGGAAAATTCCCGTTCGTCGCCAACTCTCGTGCCAAGACCAACAACGATCAGGAAGGATTTGTCAAGGTTTTGGCTGATAAGCAGACCGACAGAATGCTCGGAGTTCACATAATTGGACCGGTTAGTACGAAACCCAAAGATATTTGTCCAATGAGTGGTTTCAGAATGCAGGAGAGATGATTGCAGAAGCCACGTTGGCTCTTGAATACGGAGCATCGGCAGAAGACGTCGCCCGAGTATGCCACCCACATCCGGTTAGTTTTCTTTCCCATTTTGATAAAAAGTCTACGCAACCGGATCAATGATTCAATTAGTGTATCAATGATCTCGCTCTTGGTTTTCAAATAACTCAATTACGAACTGATTGATAGTAGGAAGAACTGCGCGCGAAATTGATGCAATTTTGTGATGAGTGATTGTTTAATTTCTGTTTTCAGACATTGTCCGAGGCGTTCAGAGAAGCGAATCTGGCTGCTTACTGTGGAAAGGCCATTAACTCCATCTAAATGTGCTCTACTTCTTTTCGCTTCAATTACTTCCTCCTTTCGTATAATTTATCACCCCGTTCTCTTCGATAAATGTAGTCTTAAAAATTCTAGATTTCTTGACGTCTCTTTCCGATGTATTTGTAGGTAATGAATCGAAACTTTAGTGCCTCTCTTCCTTTTTCCTATTCAGTGTACTCTTACTCTATTGGTTTCCTCGTGATGAAAAATCACTGAAAAATGTGGGCGGCGACCCGGCATTTTCTGATCTGATTTTGTCGCATCCTCCCGCTATCTCTTTCAGATCGACTTGACCTTCTTCATCTACGACGTCAATAACGAGAAATTGCTTATGCAGTTTCGGATAACAACTGAAACGTTGATTTGATAAGTACATTGTTCTCGATTGTTTTCTCCCACTTACAAAAGTTTAACTATGACGTGACACTCCCTCGTTTTTCGATCTCGTATTCGCTCGATAATGACTGAAAAGTCTTGAACAGGCTGACGAAAACCGGACCTTTCGAATGGAAAACTGCTGCTGTCTTGTCAGCCAGTCGCTCAATTGGTCAAGGTTTTAATTCGATTCTATTTACACTCAGTCTCGCCACTCTTTCTCACCAATTTAACATTTCGTTTCTTCGGCAGTTTTAGCATTTTTCCTTCTCTCAAGGTTACTGTACTTAGTGATCACGCGACGGAATCGAACACAATTTCTTCCCATTTTCACTCGCGAGGAAATACGAGAGTAATGCATCACCTTGGTCTTCTTGAGGCTTCACGTGAAACTTGTAACTAAATGTCTCAGAACTACGCCCGATTCCTTTTCCTTTCTTCCTTCCTTCTTTCCTAATAGCCATCAATTTATCACTCGGACAGCACGCTCTGGTCACTTTTGTATTAGTTTGCCTCTAGTTTCTCTTCCCCAATCATTCTTCGATTCTCTTAAGACGGAGACCACTCACTCCTACTTATTCTTCCATTCAGATCAACAGATCTTCAAATGTCCATCGCCTTGAAAACAGTTTTTCTTTTAATTCATGTAGTAATTATTAATTCGATATATATCAACAGGTGAGATATCAATCATATTCCCCCTTTTTCAAAACTTCTCAAACCAGTACCGAGTGCGGACGCACAAAGATGTGCCTTTTCCGACCTCTCGGATGCGATCCAAACCTCGACTGCACCATCGGAGTGGCTCTCTCGATCATCGGTCCAAACCAAATGAAAGTTCAGATGGTTGCTGCGGTAAGACTTTTCACGACTTCCTGCAACCCGAAAAAGTCGACCTTGATTGTTTTGTTTTTTCTCTGCAGACTATCGTTCCGCCCGTACAACAACAATATGTCGCCATCGCGTTTTCGCATGATACCTACATGGTGAGTTTGCGACCAGCAACCAGAAAGTTGAACGAAATTACCGGATTGGAACGACTGAAATTGACGTGCCCGTGGTCTTTTGCCTGCGGTAGTCTGTTTCATTTCAAGCTGCATTAAGACATTATAGTTTCCGCAAGATAGGGGATACTTTAAAAGTATAAAGTTCCGTGACCTGTAACTGGACATATTACATCCGAACTGTTGAACTTTATCTATCATCTTTCCAGGGTAACGATTCAGTCAGTGAATGCGTTATCAGTAACATGGGAGAATTCGTTGGCTACGAACCGGAAGTATATCTTTCCTACAACAAAGGTGAGTCTCTCGCATTATTTAAGTAGATTAGAACACAAAAGGAATGGAAGTATATAGTGTTCCCAGGAAAGTCGAACGATCGCGTTTTCCTGAACGACGATGAGCACGCGGAGCTGTTCACGGAACTGGCCGGTCAAGTAGTTGACAGCCGACTCGTCTGCGAGTTTAATCAACAAATCATGCCCCAGATTGATAATAAGAATGGCCTCGTATGGAATCTAAACTCTCCGTTCTTCCTGATGGCTGCAACTGGTTCAGCTCAACCGGACGGTACTTGAAAATCCTATAACAACGTTCTACTTCATATTTTCCTTTCTAGAAGTGAACGTCCATGAGCTTAATCGTGAATCACACTCTTTCCCGATAATTTCCACAGAAAAATTCAATCCAGTCGTCTTTGCCAATAATGTAAGTGTTTGCCCTTTCAAGTATTTTGAAGTTTTCAAAATCATTTCTTTTTAGTTCTCCCATCCAACCGGATTTGTCCCCAAGATCAACACCAACCGAGTGGAGAAACGAGTACTCCGACCGACAGTACCTTCAAAATCAGCCACATCTCTTCTACCTCTTCTCACTTTTGCCCTCACATTGCTTGTCGTTCCAGTCTAATAGAACATATCAAAGAAGGAAACAGAAGAAGGAAAGAATAATTGTTCAAATGTTTCATCATACGGGTTTCAGAGTAATGAAATGAAAATAAAATGCAAGTATGTTATGTATCATGGCAACTGACATTGTGACGTTCAGAAAATGAGCAAAATGAGAAATGTTACGTAAGGATGAAGAAATTTAAATATCCGAAACCTCCTCTTCCGTTTGAATTTGATCCGACGCGTTATTGTTGTTCTCCTCGACGGCCAACATCTTCCGAGTCTGCTTTTGTTCCATCAACTTGAAATGAACACGGCAGTAGAGATCCCCACTCTTCGAGCAACGATGTGCTTTTTCCACTCTGAACTTCTACGGTCCAACGAAAAACGTATGCAGAATGCTCACCTTAAAGCCTGCTTACAGTCGACGCATCGGAAGCAGTTGACGTGGTAGAGAAGACCGAAGCATTGGAATTGTTCAGCGCGGTACACATTCTTAGTGCACAGAGAGCACTTGTCCTGTGGAGGAAGCGAGAATCTCTGGAAAAGGATTAGTTATGCACACATGTTAAGAAAAAATCCACGGCAAACAAAGTTAAAGAGTTAGAAAAAGAAGAGGTTAGTGGGGCTGAGGCAGAGAAAGTTAGAAGCAAGAGTATGAGAAGTCTCAGCAGAAAAATATTTGTGGATTAGATCAATCTAGATTCTGACACAGCAAAGATTGTTCTGTTCTAGAACTGTGGTAACTTTTTCATTGTTTTTCAAAATTTATTGAAATGGATTCAACTTGGATTGCACAGACAAAGTCACGACTAGAAGGCAATAAATACGGGGTGTAGGAGGATACAATTGGGGGAAGGAAGAGATAGTGCTGGTTTGTTTCACTGAGCCCGGATAGGATCCGAATAAGACCATCAGCAAAGATTTGAATTGAAACGCCCAAAAGCACCAGAACCGCTCGAAAATCATACCGCGCCCGTCTTCTTGTCCGGCATCTTGCTCTTCTCGGCCTTCTTGGCTTCCTTCTGCTGGATCTTCTCCCATTTCGCAGCCATCTTCGAAGCATGGTCCGCCTTGATGGCCACCTCCTCATCTCTGGCCTCGTTACCTTGAGCAACAGTTGCTTCGGCCAGTCTCTCTTCTTCCAACCTTCTTTGAGCCTCTTCACGCTCTTCTGAAGAAATATCGCAATTGAAGTCAAACGGATAAACTACTTACTCTTCAGAGCCTCAAACTCTTCCTCCATCTGTTGCCGCTTGACCTCTACAGCTGCCGCGTCCGCATCAGCCTCTCCGCCACCCTCAAACTTGGCTTTGAAGTCTTTGGCGGCAGTTTTCAATGCTTCCAACTCTGCTCTATGCTCAGTGTTAGCTTTAGCTGACTGGCCACCAGATTCTCCGATGCTCTTGAACTTATTCATCAAGTTCTTCACATCAAATGCATCTTCCTGTTCTGGCACGTCATCATCCTCCACCACTTTCCTGTTTATCACCTCCGTAACTGGTTTGTCATCCTTCTTATCCCATTTGCTGGGTTCCGCAGCCTTCTTTTGCTGTGGAGCAACGGGGGCGGCTCCAGAAGCATCAATTTGACGGAACTTTTCACGGGCTTTTCCGGCCATCTTGATTTCGACATCTAATTGCTTCTGTCCAGCATTAGCCGAATCTCCAGTCTCAGCGGCTTCTTCTTGAGCCTTGAGAGCAGCAGCCTTTCTGGCCAGCTTGTACCTCTCGAACTCGGCTTCAATTTCTCGCTTCTTGAGCTCGGCACGGTCCTCAGTAGTCATTTCGGACTCGTCAACAGTTCCCTTCTCGAAGGTAGCCTTGATGTTTCCAAGTTGGACGCCTTCTCCAAGATCCACAGTAGTCTTCTGCACTTCCACGCTCTCTTCTCCTTTCTCAAATCGGTCCTTGAACCCTTTGAGTTGAGCAAATTTGAGTTCGTCCAGATCTTTCGCAGATTTCTCAACTGGAGCAGCAGAATCGTAAGCACTTCCAGCCATGAAAGACTTTCTAGCTTCCGCAGCAGCTGAAACACATAATCACGATTGCTTTCAGCTTGCCATGGAGAAGAGAACCTCGTAGTTTCCAAGTCTTTGTAGTAATGTATTGACTTCTCACACACGTGAGAAGTGCTCGAATTGCATCATCTCCATCGTTTTTCACTACTTCAATTTCAGAAAGTACTTTTTTTCAAACTATTTGAACAGGTCACGAACAAAACGTGTATAGTGGATAGACGGAGACCATGGTGATGATACATTCGTAAAAGTTCCCAAACACTCACCGGAAGTACTAAGCTCATCTTTATTCCAGCTTCTTTCCACAACTTTCTCATCCTTCTCAATGCGTTCTTTGAATCGGTCCTTAACCGAAACACCACCCTATAACTTTTCAATTCAACGGAGCATGAATATTCATTCTACCTTGAGAGCCTCCAGCTCTTTTCTTTCGGCGGCTTCCTTGGCTTCTGCGGTCTCCACATTTCCCTCCTTCCACTTGTTTTTGATGTCTCCCACATTCTCGAAGTTCAGCTCCATTTTCGAGGCCTTCTTGCTCCCTCTGATGATGTTCGGATCTCTCTCAGTACTTTCACTCTCGTCATCACTGTTCTCCAGAGCTGCTCCAGACACGAATCTTTCGGCGTTGGCCTTCACTTTACCAGCACCCAACAGTTCTTTCTCAATCTGCAAACGAATGTCGTTAGATACAAATCTATTCGCGTTCTCTCGAAACCAATCAGAATGCTAGTGTAACTAGCTACCAGTACGCCATAAACCATGTTTTGTTCTGCCTCATAAAACCTAAACAAAAAGATGGCAGTACAATAAAGGTGTCCGCCAGTAAAGCGGCAAATATTAGTCATTTGTGTGGGTATGAATGAATGTAATGTAAACAATACTAAGACTTTAGTTGGACCCCATTCAACTTAGAGCTGTCATTAGTTTCGCTTGAAGTTCGGTTTTGTAATTAGATATAATTTTCTAATTCTACAGTGATTCTGGCAGTCAACAAAAATTGTATCATCTACATACTTTTGATCACTACTAAATCCACAGTGTACCTACAGTAGCTTACTCACCTGAGTGCGCTTCTCGACGTTGTCCACTTCTTTGCATGATGATTCGAAATCACCCTTCTTCTCCTTGAGCGACTTGAGTTGTGCCAGCTCGTCGTGAACAGCAGTGGCCCCAGCTGAAACCATGATGCTGTTCGGTACAGTCAAGGTATGAATTCGATTGCCCGGATAGTCTTTTCGTGTTGGCAGTCAATAGATCGTATAGATGATATAAGTATGATGTGGTGTGAACTGGCGAACGCACAAGTGAGTGACTGCGCGACGCCCAGCGCAGCGACTACGGAATTAGGCGGGCCGCGTCCATCTCTTCCCTTCTCCAACCGGGGAGATGGAGAAGGGAGCATTGAGAGACTCAGAGAGACAATGCCTCGCATACACCCTCGATGCATTATTATTGTTATTATTATAAACATTTAGAACATGTGCGAGCGCGGTAGGTTACGCGCAGAGGAAGAGAGGATCATCGACAGCATCACTTTCTCAGAGGGGCGATCACATCTAATGGGGCTGTTGAGGAGGAACACTTGCCGATCACTACCTACTGTATAATTGCGTTTTTTGGAAATTAAATAGAATCTTGTACATTGCAGAAAAGTTTGAAAAATCAGCTCTAGTAAGTATCTTTTTTCTGAAGAAATATTTACCACGGTAAATACCCTCAATGGCTTTGGATCCTATGCTTTGGACTATGAATACCTGTTCTGATAATCATCAAAATGTCACTTTGCATAATAACAATAATGAGGACTGATCATACGTATGATACGACCCGCGTAGACACCTCCGAATAAATGACCCGAATTTAAAACCCTTCTTTTCGAAGCTTTCCCCGATGTGAATTAAATGGACAAACTTACACTTGACTACACCCTGAAGCTGTTTCGGTTTGCTGGACACTGCGAACTCTTCCTCATCAGAAGCGGTGCGCTCGTCTTCTTAAAATAAAAATAAAAACTCTCTTGAAAGGACTCAAACTTGTCTTTCATATATTTGTCAATGTGCTTGATTGCTACAATTTGGTTGCTCTCACTTGAGACGAGCAAACAATATGGGAACATTGAATTCAGGCGGTCAAGACAGACATCTGGTCGCGAACGGGAGGGAGAAGAACTTTCTATTACACCACTCACCTTCAGTGTTGGCCGGGTCCATCGACTTGGCGAGTTCCGGATGGAACACTTCCAACATGTGCACTTTACACAGAAGCTTGCCTTCGTGCGAGTTAAAGTTGGTCGACCTGCAATTCATTTGGCAATGTGTGCGAAATTTTGTAACATCTCAACATACGTCAGTTTCTTGGCACACTTGCAACACTTGAAGCATTGAACATGGTAGAGGTTCTTGTTGGCAACCACCTTCTCCACCGGATAGACAACTTTGTCACAAATACAGCAGTTCTTCTTCTCAACTTCTTTGGTTTCTTGGAAAGCGGCTTTCATCTTAGACAGATCGGCGCTACGTTCGATATCGACAATGCTCTTCTCCACAACAATATCGCTCTCGCCTTTCTCGAATCTAAAAATAACAAAAAACATCTTCGTCTACAACAAAGAGCCTTCTCACCTTTCTTTTGCGGAAGCCAGCGTTTCCTTGCCGAGTCCGCCGATTTGCTCTTTCTGCAAACGCTTTAGTTTCTGCTCCAGATCTTCTTCCATTGTCGCGTCAATGTTCTCGAACTTTGTCTTGAACTTGGAATACTTTTCTTTTCCAATTTCAGTGAGTTTCTGTCTCTCTTCCAATCTGGCAATTCTTGTATCTTCATCTTCATTCTCAATGTTGTGAACGGCTCCAGACTCAAATTCCTGTAGAGAAAATACTTTCCCTTATGATTTTTTGCTAACAAATTATTTCCACCTACTTCTTTCATCTTCTTCAGCTCATTTCCCTGCTTCAACGCTGCCAACTCCTCCTCTCTTGCCTCATCTTTGACCAGACCTTTGTTTTCAAAGAGGGCTGATTTCTGGAAGGAGAAAGTGTCAATATCATATTATCAGCTGTCGTTAATGGTTAGTAGGAAAAGATGAAGTGGGTGATAAGACTGGATTCTTAATTCGAGGTAATTAGGATAGAGATGTGTGCGTTTCCCGGGGGTAAATAGTGGAAATGTATTGAGAAGTGGAAAATGAGAAAAAATAGCAAAGATGATCTGCAAAAATGGTAGTCAAACGAACCGTCTGATCGCTGAGAGCTTCTCGCTAAAATGTAGTTTCATTATGATCTTTTCGTTTTTTGATAAGAAGGTGCTTCCTAAGTACGTTTGAAAATTGCCCGTATTCGGGCACATGAGCATCTGTCGGCCAGACTTTTTCCCCCAGTTTTTATGAAATTCTCGAGAGGCGTTCACACGACTCACCAACTGTTTCAAATCTCCGCTTCTTCCCTCGATCGTGATTGGCTTTCGTGGAGCTTCATCTTCCGATTCGGACGACGAAAGTGCGTACGGATCCTCCTCCTCTGCCATTTTTGAAAATAGGGTAAAGTTCTGAAATGGATCGGAGGATTTGATTGAACTGAATTGAAATGAATATAACCACTGACGAAACGAAATGAGTGGGAAAGAAGAGCAGACGAGTGAGAAAACCGGAGGTGATAAAGAACAGCTGTCGGTGGCATCGTCCATCAGGAGACATTCAACAGAAGGATTTCACAAATTGTTGCGAAATAAAACAGATTTCATGACAAATCAGCCGAGAATGAGTCAGCTGGAGAAGCTCGAAAGTAGGTATGATGTGGGCGAGATAAGTGAGGGCAAAAGGGATGAAGGAAGAAGAGCGAGTATATTCCAAAGACTGGTTCAATCCCCCGGAGCTCCCCCGTCCTGCCAAGAGTGCTCAACGATCAGTGAGACGCAGAGGGCGACTTCGAGATCGGCGCAGCACCGGGAGGCTTTACACTCTGCTGTGTCTCTCTGCGATCCGACCCTCTTTCTTCCCGAACACATTCTCCCTCTTCCCGCCGAGATAGATCCACCCCCGAGCAGAGCCCCGACAAACATCAATTATTCGCGCAACAGAAAAAGCAGAAAGACATTTCGCTTTTAAACTTTTGTGGCAACCCATCGGCTTCCCGGGGTTGGAGGATATTTGAACAGTCAACAAATCAGTTTTTACACTTTTGAATGAACGGCAGAGTCATCTCTCTGGTTGCGAGATAATGTGAACCAATCTGCTAGCACCGGGTAAGGCCGCCGCAGAGTGTAATCTATCATGATTTTTTTCGGGTGAAGCGATTAGAGATATGATGAGTGGCTCAAGCGAAAGATCCTTGATTGATTGCTGCCTCATGCCATATCGTTTCTAATGGACAGGTTTTTTTTATTTTTCCAGAAAAAAACAATAACAGAAACATAAACGATCAAACGGCAAAACCTGAGAAGTGGCGTGAAAATAATTGTCTGCTTTCGGCCGTCACGTCGCCATTTTCTCCATAGTTCTCCTCTTCAAATCCTTTTTGAAGTCCACCTCACACATCTCTACTATAGCCTTCAAATCACAAATTTTCCTACAAACTGTCTCCTTTTTGCCGTTTTTTTCTATCTAAGAACACCCACGTTCCATTGAGATACTTGACGGCGTCGTAGGCATGAACAGATCGTTTGAAAGTGACGAATGCGAATCCGGGCGGCCTTTTGGCCATCCAAATGCTCTTGATTGGCCCCATTACGGAAAATACTTTCCGAATCTGATAACAAGTCAGAGTTTATTAGAACGCACAAAAAATAATACACCTCTTCTTCAGTTGCGTCAAACGGCAAGTTGCCAACATACACTTGAGTCTTCTCACGGTTTCTTCGACGTTTTCTGGATGCGACTGCGGACATTTTTGTTCAATAAAAGTAGTAAAGCCATCAAGAGGGCAAAATCGGTGTTTTTCATGACAGTTGTTCAAACATTTATTCATGGGAAAGTCACCAAACATGTAAAATCAGTTAACTCGATTAGCCAAACTGGGATAAATTGATGAATATGCTGGCGGAGTCTCTTCGGCGATTGCTGGAGCTGATGGCGCTGTCATGGCATGAGAGTTGGAGGGCTGAATGCTCAAATTAGAAATGTTGTATTGTTAAACTGCTTCTTCACCTCGAATCCTTGCACTTGAGCTGAGTAGCCATGATTCTGATAGACGTTATTGGGATAGAACTGTAGTGGTAGTGCCAACTGAGACGAAATCCCTCCGTCCGATGAGCTTGGAGCGGAAATAATAGTAGATTGCCTTCGAAATGTACACTGTTGGCCTGGAGGTTGAGTCATCGGAGTATGGCTTATGAGCATCGTTGATCTTGTCAAATAGACGGGCTGTCCAGAAACTCCTGCTCCCATTTTATCTGAAAATACCTATCGAAATGAGTGCATGACGTATCAAAGGAGGAAAACAAAGTGGTTGCTGTGACAATAAGACAACACCGCCTTTTTCTCATAATATCACTGCTTAAAAACATCTGCTCGTTTGTTTTGCATAAGAATATGAGTAAACCTGCTAGTTTTCTAGTTTTCTGTATGGGGCATTGGAGATACCTGTGACGTGTCTGACGAGTTGGGAAGGCACGGGAAGTAGCTGAGGCGATATATGTGGAAACCTGGATTGGCAGGACACGCAAAAGTTTTTTGAAAGGCTTCTGAGCAATGCGAAATTGGTTTCCCGCAGTCGTCATGGAGACTCTCGGAAGCCCAATGGCCAGGTTGAGCTTGTTCATTTTTAGGTTGTGACGTACACATTGTCATTGAGTGTTTGAACTTAAACATTTTTCCGTCCAGGAATAGCAAGAGACTCAAATTTAAATAGAAATCAGAATCGTATAGTAGAGAATTATTCATCATTTTTCCTTATCAGTATGGCTGGCTGACCCCCTTCACAGTATATAAACTGAAACATTGGGTGGGGTGTCCCGTGTGCATGTGTGTTTGTCTTCATTTTCGCTCGCCTTTACTTTTTTACCCACAACGCGTTCTATTTGATTAAGACAATTTTCCGAATGACGTGAAGTTATTGAAATATTGAGATTGTTAGATAGTTTTGAATAGAGTTGAACATCAGTCTTGGTGCTCGAAGCCTTCCAGTTCGCCGAGTTCAAATTCAACTTCTTTTCCCATGAAACACCATTGAGCAACCAACGAAACGCAGCATGACGTGGCGCTGTCTCGACTGTTCTCGATCTATCGAGAGTGCGGATTTATCTGGGGAAGATCCAAACAATCATGATGATCGAAGTAATTGCGATGGTGCGCGGTCTGCTGCTCGGCGCACTCTTTTCGTATCGAATTGCTTATCTGCTTTGCACACAACCGAGCCCAACACACTCTGTGCTCACAAAGGCGACGACAAACCATCTCTTTCTCTCACCTATTCCATTCATCAAATCAACAAATAGAAGCAGGTGTAAAAATCGTCGCAGGAGTAGAAGGAGAGGAAGAAGAACCAACGGTCTGACCGCTTTGTTCTCTCTCTCTCTCTCCCTTTTCTTTTCCTTGTCTAATTCTCTCTGTCATTCCTCCATTCTTTTTTTTCACTTCCTGTTGTGATTCACTTCTATTTCTGAGCCTTCCTGACATTTGTTTCATTTTTCAGATGCTTCCCTTTTTTGTTGCTTCAGCAACGCTCTTCATTCTTTCGACTTCATCTTTGAAATGTTACGAAGGTAACCCCTCCAACTAAACTATGTCTGTTACCTAACAGTTAAGGCTCTCGAGGAGTAGTCAACGGTGAAGACTCAACTAACTTTGTTGAGAATCTCTGCGATGACAACATGACGTACTGTTTTGAGTCTTACAATTCCAACCTGACCGAAGTCACAGCAAGTTGTCAGAGCATGGGTACCGACCAGAAACTATTAGAAGTCTGTAAAGTACGTACTAGTTCAACAGATAACAAACGGACGGAAATTATACCGATAGTTGTTTTCAGATGAATGGAAAGTGCAAGGAAAGAAATGACATTGACGTCACAGTGTGCTGTTGCAATTCAGACCTCTGTAACCTCCAGGACGATTTAAAGCCGACGCCTGAACTACCTGTTGATCTTCCAGAAGACAACAATTCCACGCTTTCAACGACCGATCGGTTTGTGAAAGTGAACGAGACAATGGGGTTAGAGTTAGAACTGAATGCGACTATGGGTCTCTAGGAATTCGATCAATTTCTTTGAATCGTGTCTTTATCATTTCAATGTGTTGTATGTCGTATCTCTGTTCGGGTTTACACCTAGTTTAATCTGTTTTGTTTTCAATTTGATTTGACCAATTCCGGGTAATGAATTTATTTTCTTAAGTTCAAAGGAGTTTTAGAAATACTACTGAAAAGGTCTTCTGATGACTAGTTTCTTCTGTATGTCCAGAAGGTTGCCAATGACATCATACAAAGTGTGATAGGCCTCCACAACTTCACTGGTCAGTTGGTCTCCAAATGTTCTACTGAGCACGTTGTCAATTCCTTCCAGCATATTCTAAACAGATTCCCTAGTGAGCTTTTAATTCTTATTGTCTACCGTAATGTGGTACTTGTTGATGTTCCATTTTACGTGGCTACGAGCAATTCTTGCCATAAAATAGGTCAGCTTTTCTTCGTCATCCATAACTTCCACAATTTCCTGTAAACAAACGAGAATCTTCAGCATCCCGTAATCTTTCTACTTCCTTCTGACCGGAAATTCGAATATTTTCAATTTTTCCTTTTTCTCTTCTATGCGAGCGACTTACTCACTTTCAAACCGCTCATGTAAACAGAGCAATGATTGGCAAGCTGATTAGAAGCCAGCAGAGCACTGTCTTGAAGATTACGGAACTGAGGCCAAATGTTCTTATAATGTGGATGCTCGGAGAAGTATCTGGAATAGAAAAAAGATATTTATACAAGGATCTGGTTAAACTTGGCAAAAAGAACAAGACCATTGTGCCTGAAGTCTTTGTAAATTTCTGGAAATGTCTCTTTGAATATTTGCTTCTGTTTCTCGGTAAGACGCTCCATTTCTTGACGCATTTTAAGTTTCGCTTCCGGGTTATTCAAATCTGAAACTGGGTATAACAATTTCGAGTATCCCCTTGTAAAACGGCATAGAAATCGACAAACGTGGCTCACCGAACACCGGAGATTGAAGCGGTGGCTGAGAATCTACAGACCCAGCCGAGTTGAAAGCTGAAATGAAAGAAACAACGCTAACGAAAAAAGAATAAAAGCTTACGGCAACCTGAGGGCATCTTGAAGTAGGAAGAATAACGTTTCAAAGATTTTCGGAAACTAATATACCAAAATGACGGAGAAGAGTGCCGGAAATACAAGCTACGTCTAATGTGATGATTGGATAACACGTGAGACGACATGAGGCTCTTTGGGGACGCTGAAGCACCTAACCAAATATCCGAGATCAAATACGTCACGCGAAAAATCTTTTCCATCTTTAACGTGAAAGGAAATGTCAAGATTGATACTTTTTCAACTTTATTTGTTCAAAAGAAAACTAGAAACAAGAAAGCTTAGACTGATGTTGTCCACGGGGTGTAAGTTCCTTCTTCTGGAAGTTCTGGCACATGAGAAGTCACAAAGTCTTCACAAGCCATTCTAATTCTTTCAGGTGTTGAAGGGGAATGGAAGACAAAATAGTCCTATAAAACAAAGTTTTCATGATCTTTTGAAACAGAACTTACAGAGTGTCCATTCTGAATTCTATAAGCTCTGACAGCTTCTCGAATGGAAAAGAAAGCACAGCTTCCAAGGAAGAGCGGGGGTTCTCCAATCGCCTTCGAAGAGAAAATGCCCATCTTGTTACTGCTATTCCCCAGCAGAGAAACATTGAAATGGCGTGGAGCATCATCCGCAGACGGAATTTTGTATGTTCCCGGACCACGAGTGAGCCTGATTCCATCTGGACGGATCTTTACTTCTTCCATTGTGAAAAGACCGTAACCCTGGATGAAGGCTCCTTCAATTTGGCCAATATCGATTGCAGGGTTCAGAGACTCTCCGACATCCATCACGATGTCCGTTCGGAGAAGATGATGATCTCCGGTCAAGCAGTCCACCTCCACTTCACAGCAGGCTGTTCCGTAAACTGAATATCCGAATAGTTCAGCTCCCTTTCCATTGAAAAAGTCTACTGGCTCGTGGTGAATTCTGTCAATCGCACACTTTCGGACTCTGTAGGAAACGAAATAACTCACATTCCGAATCCGGATGCAGATAGGGAGACCCTGTCGACGTATGCAGCACGCACCCAATCTTCCCATTCTCCATTTGGATTCGCTTTTTTGAACGGGGCCAGTCTTTTCATGATTTGACGGCAAGCATCTTGAACTGCCAATCCGTTCATATCACTTCCGACAGAAGCAGCGGTGGCGGAAGCATTGGGTACTTTGTCGGTGGAAGTGTCGTTTATGTGAATTTTCTCAATGGGAATTTCAAGGCAACGAGCAGCGATCTGTAGAGATTCTATGTTCAGTCAAAATATTTTGATTTTTGTTACCTGCAAGATTTTTGTGTGTAGTCCCTGACCCATTTCCATTCCTCCGTGGGAAACTAGGACGCTTCCATCTGTGTAGACAAGGACAAGAGACCCCGCTTGATTGAGCTGCTTCAATCCAAATCCGATTCCGAATCTTGTAGGCGTCAGATAGATTCCTCGTTTGCGGTATTTGTTATTCCTGTAAACGGAAACATCTTATTTCACGCAGTCAGTTCAGCCTACTTATTGAACTCCTGTACTGCTGCCAACCGTTTGTCATATTCACTGCTGGCTCTGCACTCTTCCCAAGTTCTAATGACATTGCATTGATTCAAATGCATACCGAACGGAGTGCAATCTCCTTCCTGATAGAAATTTTTCTCCCTGATCTCATCATGATCCCATCCAAATTTCTCAGCCACATGCTTCACCATAATTTCGGTTCCGAACATTCCTTGTGGTCCACCAAATCCTCGAAAAGCTGTGTTGGAAGCCAAGTTTGTTTTACACATTTTTCCAATAATATCGGCATTTCCAAACTTGTACACGTTGTCTGCATGGACCATGGCTCTTTCTAAAAAGATGAGAGCTTGAAATCCTTTTAGAAACTCTTTGAAGAGAACAGTTCTACTCACGCATGACTCCCATAGACAAGTCGATGGTATGCCCACTGTTTGAGAGAGCTGTGTAGGCCAAATCTAGAAATTTTCCGTTCTCATCAACTGCCAGCTTGTATTGAAGAGTGAACGGATGTCTGGTACCGGTGATAGCCATGTCATCAAATCGCTCGAATTTCACCTTAATTGGCTTGTTGAATTTTCTGGCAGCCAATGATGCGGGAACTGCCAAAATAGCTCCAGTGGATTCTTTCCCTCCAAATCCTCCTCCGATTCTTTTCACCTTCGTTGTGATTTTGTGCTGTGCTATGCCAACACATTTCGCAACTTCAATCTGGAATATCATTGTTTATGACGGCCCAAAGAGAATGAGAAGCCCTACTTGAACATCATTGACACACTGATTGGAGATAATGATTTCAAGTTCGTCTTCTTCGTGCGGTATGACTATGCATTGCTGTGTCTCCAGGTAAAAATGTTCTTGACCTCCCATGTCAATGGATCCCTCAACGACTCTCTCGTACTTCGACCAGTCGTTTTGCACAACATTCTCATTTTCGTTCAACGATGAATGAATGTAAAAGTGCTTGAATACAAATGATTCTGCTTCCAAAGCTTGCTGAATTTAATCAATCGTAATTTCAATGCCCTAATTTTGTCCTACTTTGATGGTGACGATAGGCTTCGCGGCGGAAGTGTCCAACTTGACAAGAAATGCCGCCTTCCGTGCAATCTCATGATCTGTCGCCACGATTGCAGCGATCGGCTGTCCATGGTATGTAATTCTGTCCTTCACAAAAACTGGCGTATCGTTGTGGTGACCCATTTGTGCCCCGGTGTAAACGTCGGAAGCATCAAGGTATCCGACGACACCATCCACCTCCAATGCCGCCGTATAGTCAACCGAGTTCAATGTTCCATGAGCGATTGGCGCCATGACGAATGCTATATGAAGGGAGTCAGCCACATTGATGTCATCACAGTAAACAGCTTCTCCAGTCGTGTGTTTGTCCCCAGAAACATGCTTTAAAGGCCTTCCCAGTGGGTCATCCGGTCTCTGGTTCTCATTAACTTCTTGATACGCTTGTGTTGCGTACAAATTTTTCGAAACGTTTTGTCCGATTTTCAATGTGTGACCCACGTCAACGATCTCTGTGAGGTTTAGTTTTCTGGACACTTTTAAGAAAAATTTGAAGAAGAATGAGAGAGCAAGAGAAAGTCGGTACTGAGACATTCCGCCGGGAACTCCCGCTGGAAGCTTCATCTCTTCGCTGAGAAGAGTGAGAGCCTTGTCGAGCAGAGCTTGACCCCATTTTTGACCCTTCAACTGGGACATGGTGTTCAGAGCGAGCTTGGTAGTTGGAGCCATTCCTCCGAAAGCCATTCTGATGTTTTCAACTTCAAGCGTAATTGGGTTCACTTTGGCCAGAAAAGCTCCAGTCACAATTGCGATATCATCCTCTCTTCGCTGAGCTTGCTTGTAAGCAGCGAAGTGCTCATTCTTTTCGGTCAGAGGAATCACAACAGCTTTGATTATCTCATCTTGCTGGATTACAGTTTTTCTGTAACCGAGGAAGAACTCCTCGTCGATGTGAACTCGTTTTTCTCCACGAGCATCCGAATCAAGGACAACAAGAGCATTGGCAGCCATCCAGATAGGATTGAGGTCCGAGATTGGAGAAGCAGTGGCAATGTTTCCCGCCACAGACTGAAAAAAGGTGATTTTTTATGAAAACAGATGTGTGTGGACTAACAGCAACATTTCTGACGTGGATTCCAGCAAACCAATGTAGCATCTCATGAACATGTTTAAGAATCCCAATGTGTTCTTGAAAACGAAGATTTTCATTGTACCAAATCAATGCTTTGTTACCTTTCGGGAGTTGCTTCATTAGTTCGACAGCATAGACATCTATGTCTGTGAGAGACATTCCAGTTCCCACATAAACTCCATTTTTCTCTACATTTCGGACATGAAGCTCCTTCACTTGTGTGGGATTTATTACTGCTGGAAGGTCAATGAAACGGAACTTCAGTTCGATTGCAAGCTCAGAGTTTCCAGAAATCAGGCGAGCGTGAGGCAGCTCACGTTTCAATGCAAGAAGGTCGCTGCAGAAATAGAAATCAAACATTCAATGAACTTTTGAACTCACTCGTATCTGATAGGTTGATACCATTTTGTGTGGTGATGATCGTAGGCAAATGACATTGCCTCATATCCGTGACATTTCAGCTCTGGAGGGAAAATGAGCTCTTGAGTTGGGTCATATGGTTTGCAGTCAGACAAGTCACTCAGTTGAAACTTCTGAAAAAATGCCATAAATCTTTTTTTGCTAAGATCTGTTTTGACTAACTCTTTTCCTTTCTCCTCCTGTGTATCCTGGAGTCACTTCTTCTGCAGTGCATCCGTACGCTTTTTTCAGTTTGCAACAATTCTCTCCCATTCCACAACCGTTCTCTTCGGTGACCTTCAAAGTTCCACTTTCATCTACTGCAAAACTGTAGAAAGCTTCAAGAATTGGACGGTATCCAGTGCAACGACACAAATTTCCTTGAAGGCCAAGATTGATATCATCTACAGTCGGTTTGGGATTGTTCCGAAGAAGTGCATACATGGCCATAACGAATCCAGGTGTGCAGAATCCACACTGAGAGCCGTGTGCTCTAAATGGTTTGTCTTTTACATAGGTTATTTGGTGAGGTCTGACTTCGCCAATCGCTCCTGGACAGGATGAAGTCGATTTTTAGCCACACTTCCTATTCCTTCAACAGTTGTAACAGCTTTTCCAAACACTCCGCAAATGGGCATCAGACATGAATTTGCTGAGAAGTGCCTGAACAATCTGGTAAACATAAAATGTTCTCTCATCAACATACTTGATTTCCCCATTTTCAACTTGACTAATCATTATGGTACATGCTCCACATCCACCCTCATTGCATCCGATCTTTGTTCCGGTTAGTTTCACTTAAAATGCTATTTTAATTTATAGAAAGAAAACAAGTAAAACTTACGTTGATCCCGCAAATAAGCTGCCAATGTCATCTTGGGATCCACATTTTTTTCTTCGATTCGTTTTCCATTGACATAGAAGACGAGATTCGTAGCATCATAAGATGAAATATCGGTTACGTCTCGCATTAGTCTGCAACTATGACTGTCTGAGTGAGTGGCGAAATAATACAGAAACGAGCAGTCATGCATATCGAATTGACAGTTCGTGTGACAAAAATGGAATTAAAAGATCAAAAAGCAACGCCGTTGGTAATATTCTTCGAAAACGTTGACATATTCAATTTTTATAAAAGTTGACCACTCATAGCAAAACTTTTCTATGATTGAAAAATTGGATGAGAATGATTATAAATGAGGGAAAAGGAGTTTCAGGACTTAGTGGACGCAGAAATCAGAATTATGACGCTGATAAACACTCGCATGTGCTCATGAGCCCGTATTATTTCTGATATTGTAGCACGTTGTTATCTGCGTCTCCATACTGACAATAGTCTTCAGACCACCTCTTATCTAATCTAGAACCGTAAACGTGCTGCGTTTTGTTTTATCATAAGCCCGCAAGAAATTTAAAAAAAGAACATTTATTCGATAACACATATACTGGCAGGTGAATGACATAGAGATCATCGGCGAGAGGAGGGAATGGAAAAGGGAATGATAATGCAAATGCGTGAAACTCGTAACTGGCAGAGAGGAATACTGTGTCAAACAGTCGTCTCGTCCTGACTGATTTTTGAGGAATCTTTCATGAAGAGATTCAACCTAACTTCTGCATCCTGAGCATAAGAAGACGCAGAATCATGGATCTCGTTCTCCAGAATTGTCGATGAACCAACAGAACGATCAACCTGAAATTGAAAGCTAAATTTTAGGGAAAAGTTTTTTCTCACCTCATCAGGAATCACATTGAGCAATCTGCGATTAACTAGCGAATGTTGGGAAATGCTTGTCAGTGGCCGGCGGGACGTATCATTCTTGATGTTGCTGGCGCTTGAAGAAACAGAAACCAAAGATTCGGGACGATCAAAGATCTGTTGAGCTGCTGAAGGTCCTCCAGACATTCCCCGGAAAGATAGATTTGTGATTGACTTTTGTTTTGCTGCGAACGTATTGAGCGCAATCTCTGGCGGGGACGGGAGGTCGTCAGAACTGGAAAACAAGTCAGTAAACTGAAAACACATGAGTTCATTTTACTCACTCGTCATAACATGGATTAACGGCATATGCTCCTCGTTCTTCTAGTTTTGGGGGAAGCATGGCTGAAAGCCTGGGAGCTTGAATCTCGGGTTCTTCTACTTTACACGACCCAACACTCTCCTTCGAAAGATCAATTCCGAACTCGCGAATGCTCTTGGGTTTTGGTGGAATAACTGGAGGAGGGGGGAGGAATGCAGTTTTGATAAACTTCTCTCTTTCTTCCTTCTCAATCAAAGTTCTTTCACGAATTCTAAACAAATGAATATCTCTCGGGTCTCCTTCTTCGTTATATGACGATGGTCTCTTTGCCACGTCATCTATAACTGTGGTCTTTTGACTTTTTGAGACTGGAATTGATTGAGAGGACCCATTAACTGGCATCAGAGTCTTCTGGAGCATTTTTTGATTGTGTTCAGAGTCAGTAGTGCTCAGTGTTGAATTAGACAGTCTGTTGTTCCGAACACTCTTTGGCTCCAAATAGTCTTCTCCCGGGATGGTTTCGTAGACTTCGTCGTAAGGATGATTAGGACGAGTTGGAGTTCTGAAGTTCCCTTTCTGATGATGAAGTCGAATAAAAAACGAACCTAGACCCTAAGAAGCTTGATACCCCAATTGTTGAATCGCAATACTCGTAATAAGTGTTGACAGCAGGCTCCGGTGGAGGGAAGTCACGTCGAGTTTGAGTGGGAGTTTTCAATGCGGATTTCAGTGGTTTATGGGAAGAGCTAGGAAACCCTGACACCGCAGCAGGAGCTGTCTGGGTAGTGTCTCTCGTCTGTTGGGTATTCATAGTGATGTTGGATCCAAAGTGGGAAATTTCAGTGATGTTGGAAGTGGAAGAGAAGAAATCAGTTCCAGATTGTTGTCGCATCGAGCGTCGAGATTTTCGGTTGTGTTTTGAGAAATTTGGCACTGATGCAGTCCTTTTGAAGTTCTGAAGATTAACAGTTCTGATTTTACACCAAAGCTCAATGCTTACTTGTTCCACGCCTCCTTTCTCTATGACATTTTTGAGATAGGACTTCTCCCACTGTCGCAGTGCCGATGAATCAACCTTGTAGACAGCTGAGAAAGATCTTTTGAAGTTTTGCCCATTTGAAGACAACAGCTCGGAACCATCGCCGTTTTCCACAAGCTGCAAATAAAACAGTATTTCAGAATGCTCACTTTTAAAATTTACCTCAATAGAAACAAGCTCCGATCTGCTCTTGCCGGTGGAAATAGAAGTCACGCAGCAGCCCATAATGGAACAGAAGCCAAGAAGCAAAGATCCGAGTAAATGGCAATAGAATGCCCACCCCAACACTTGCTCGTATGTCTCGTTCTCTTCTTCTTCCTTGATAACTTTATTGTCTTGAGTGTTTCCCCAGAAGTAGAAGATTGCATTACCCAAAAGCGAAAGCATCACTGGATAAAAAAAACGGATTACATGAAACATGGACTAGAGACTTACTGGCGATAGTAATGATTACGGTACATGCAACGATGAAAGTTCTGTGACAGAATGCGCAGATTCCCATTAGAACAGCACAACCAGCAAATATGACTCCGACTCCAACTCCCACTAGAGCTGCTATTTTCCAACCTGAAACAGACAATACATTATAGTCGCTAAAATTCGTTAGTCTACCCAGGAATAAATGTTGGTAGGCGTCGTTCTGAATGCGGTTCTCGTCATGGTTATGATCGTAGAGATCTTCTTGGTCTATGTAATAGTCAAATTTGTAGACACACTGAAGTTGGGGCAAGAAAAAAGCCCAGAAAGGAGAACCCTGCATATCTCTTCTGTAAAAATTTCAAAAGTTTTTGCGGAGGGATTGATGAATATGAGAACCTGTATAAAGTTTCATAGTAATCTCGAGATCTTCCATAATCATGTGAATAGTCTCTTTTACAATCCAGCCACAGACCGTGATGATGTTCAGTGCGGCCGTTCTCCAAGTTGACTTCATGCCATGATGGAGAGATCAGAGCTAACAGGCAGAGTAGAAATGCGATGAGCGAAAGTGTGAAGTGAATGGCGAGTGCAGTCTTCCGACTACATTTTCCGGGTGATCCATTATCAATCATCCCATTGGCTCTTAAATTGAATTTTTAAAATGTCGAATAAATGAGAATTGAAAATGAGAAGAAACAGGTTTTTTAAAAGATGGGAGAAGAAAACAGCAGCAGATGATACAGTAGAAACGAGTATGGGAACAAAATGAGGAGACGTTTATGGGTGTTGGATGGTAGGGTGTGTGTATGGTGTGGTGAACGTTTTCAGGGTCATTCGATTGAATTCGGAAAGCAGCAGCAAGAGACGGCGGACGCAGGAGGTTCACTCGCCACCAAAACAGGCGAAAGTCGGCCATTTGCATAACGGAGATGTCAAGCGCTTCCGAGGAGACGCAGAACGGACGGGAACAATAACTGTTAGGACGAATACACTTGATGTGTATATTGAAAGCAGAGACTAACTTGAACATTGAACTGGTGGAAAGGAGTGTGTTGAAGGGGTGGCCAACCGAGGGATTATATTTTTGAACTGCAGGTATTTGAAAACAGTAAAGTAACTGATATCATGATTATGAATTAAAATAGAACATAAATGCAGTCGAGCTAGGGAACCTATCATAAGGATTTCTCTAAACAGAAGTCCTGAATAGAATTTGAATAATGAAAATGGAGACCAATTAATGTCCGATTATGAATCACGGCCGATTAGCCGAGGGCTGTAAACACCGTGAATAGAAGTGGATGATTCATCGAAATCGGGAGGAAAGTGAGGGAACAGGTAGGTCACCGGACGTCTTCTCGTTAAGCAATTCCATTCGCACCAATCCAACAACTGATGTTTATCCGGAAGAATGAGAAGACACCTTCCAGTGGCCCTTAAGATTACCATATTTATACTAACTTTTCGGATTCACAAGATATAGTGTACGTTGGTTTTCATTCAAATTATACAGAGGACGAACAAAATACAGAGGACGAACAAAATATAGACCTATAGCCAGTATAATGGCGTCGCGCGTCCATTTTCACAAATGGGCGCAACCGACTGGCGAGATGTTGCCGATGGGCGGTAAGTGATAAGGAGGTGTCAGTTGGGAAAATATTATGGTGATCAAGGCAATAGAGTAGAACGAAACGAAGGTCGCTATCACTACTCGCGGATTCTTTTGGCGGTCTTCTATTCAGACGAAAGACGGGAGCTAGTCAAGGTCGATCACAGAGAAAGAAACTGAGATGGATTGAGAGGAGGGGCAGTCACAGATGAATTTTCGATTGTTTTCGGGCTAAGGGAAAATGAGTATAGTTCGAAGGAAAGTGCAATGACGCTCAAATAAATGGGACAAGGAGGAAAAAAGTAGGTGAATTACACTGTGAAAAATGGAGGAATGGTACAACTTATTTTAGGGTACAACTTCATCGATTTCAAGGTACAATTTATTTTTAATACACGTTAAGGTACAACAATTCGAGGGCACAACAATTTTAGGGTACAATTGTTGCATAATTTTTGGACACAACTTCGTGCAATTTTGGGGCGCAACAATTTTTTTGTATTCTTTCGCATTTTTTTGCATTTTACGAACAATCCATGGTGTTTTATATCAACATTTCCCTGATTTTTGACTTCTACGCCTTGTCTCTTGTAAGAGGACGTATCTTTCGACTTATGCATTTTCCGGCAGAAGCAGTTCAGAACAGTTTTAAAGAAAACGTGAGCATATTTTGTGGCTTATTCAAAACCTTTGGAAAATTGTCTTACTAGGCGTGCGAAGAAGTGACACGGTTAGCCCAGTTCGAAGACTGGCTGACACGAGTCACAACGAGTGTGTGTTATCGAAAAAAATTTCTCGAGAAATTTCTATTTTTCCATGCACTTTTTAAATGTGAATGGTTGTCATAAGTAACAACCCTGGGAAGTGTCACGGACGGTCTACTTATAAATTTCGAAACGGAAAAATGTACGAGTTTTGCAGGCATCCTCAGAGAAAACTGCCGAAGAAGGTGTCGTTTACGACGAGCGCAGTCATTGTCAGGATGGAGAAAGTAACAAAGGAATTCATTGAGGGATCGAAAGTGTTCGCGAAGCCACATTTCGACACGGCGAAGCTCGCTCTGCAGGATTTGAATGTGCCCGGACGTCGACACGTGATCCGCAAGGCGAAACAATATGGAGTCCAGAAGACCGATTGGGATTAAACGATCCCGAAATTTGTATAAGTTCCTATTTTGTAAATGACTAACACATTAACATATTGCATCATCGGAAAAAGTGAAAATTGGGGAAAAGTTTAGGATTGTTCGCATGACACTGGAGCGAATTTGAATGTCACGTTCTCGTGAAAAAACGTATTTCCACGGGAAAAAATGAGCTCGGGGCGGAAACGTGGTGTTCAAATACTTCCAGTCGTTTACTGTTCTGCGAGTTTATAGTATCTAGTTCTGTCTTCAAACGGTTAGTGGTCACAGTTTTTGCTCTTAGGAGCTTTCTCAAGACAAAAAACGTGTATCTGCGAGTGAGCGTTTTTCTACACTCAATTTGCAAGGCGTATGATTGTCCAACTTTTGAATTTTAATCACAACTTGCAACAAGTTTGAGACCACATTATAACTATCATTTTGTTGTTTTGTCCGTTTTGTGAATCTGCGCGCTTTTGCATGCTTTCTGAACATTAACTTCTTCGGGTACAATTGCTGTTTATCTAACACATTTCACCTCATTCTTATTTAAATTTTGTCCCCAATAACGTGGGGTGAAAGTGTATAAGCCTTGGAACCAACCCCCCACACTTTTCCCTCTCTAAATTTGAAGCAATCATTCGCAGGATCTCGTCTGCGCGTCGGCCTCTTTTCCCAGTGTTTCGCGTTCAAAACCAGTTCGACAGGCAGCCGACTTTCTCTCATCCAGTGCTTTTCAATGTCGTTTTCCATACAAATCAATCCGTCGCAGATGCCATCGCCCGTCTATCTCACCATTATCGTTCACTCTTCTTTCCGTTTTTTGTGTGTTTCCACCACTGATCTGATGCTACCACAAAGTTCTGGTTTAGACTATAAACGAATTTATCATTATAAATTGCGCAATTATGATACTTTCAGAGGTTTTCTAGTTTAACTTTTCTCAAGGATAGTAACGTCTTTCCGAACAGTTCCTGGCTGTCTTTCCGAACCCACCTCTTAAAGACTCTAGTTTCTCGACATCGTGTTTCCTACTTAATGTCTAGCTTTTGCCACCTAAACAAAGCAAAACACGTTTTCCTCTGTATCTCTAGCCTTCTTCTGCGAAATTTCGTTGTTCTTTTTATCATCCTTTTGTCTTTTCCTTGCGCAACTTCTCCGGATTACAGATGCGGAAGCGTTGCGTCAACTGCCATTTGAAAGACGTGTGCCACAATCACGAAAGATATAGGCTGGTGAGCAAGTGAGTTCATGAGATGAGTGTGTTTGTGTTGCAACTGAGCTAGAAATTTGAAGGCATAAGCTGGACAAGACTCTCTGGCAAAATGATTACGTGATAAATCACTATCGTCCACCGGCCATGACCAAAAAAATGTGCGCCATAAGGTACGATCCTTTTTCCTATAGAAAAACAATCCGTTCCATATTCTCAGTGCATTCCATATCAATAATGAGACAATCAATATTTGGAGTCATCTTCTCGGCTTCATTTACTTCACGTATCAACAGTATCACACGAATTACGTAGTTCTGCCGTCGGTTGGCTCCCATTCGGCCGATCATTTCGTTTTTTCTCTCTCAATTCTTGGAATGCAGATCTGCATGCTTTTGTCCGTCAGTTATCACACTTTCGGCTGTACTAGCATTAAAATGAGGCAGAAATGGTTAAAAATGGACATCTTCGGGATATCAGCCGGACTGCTTGGAATGTATTTGAATGGAATCTACACCGCATTCTTCTGTTTCCAGGTTAGACCTTAAGATCTTTTCTGGCAAAAACTTCGATTGGTTTAGGATCATTTAACATCGTACATTTACATTCTCCTCGGTATTTTCCTAATTACCGCCTATGTACCAACACGACAAGACTTTTTCGAACGGAAAATCGTCGGTTAGTAATTGGAAATTGTGACAAGTTGAAGGTTAACTTGGTTTAGGCTCGAGAGTTGGACTACTTCACATCATCTACTGTATCATCATCACTTTCGGAATATGTCCTACAGTTCACTGGGTGGTTCTGCACGGAGGATTTGAGAATGATCATGTTACTGTGAATCAAAAGTGACCTTCAATAAAAATAAACCTAATTCTTTCAGAAATGGTTCCCAAACGTCATCGTTCTTTATTCTTTGATCGCCGCTGCGTTCATGTTCTATGTCACAATGGTTCCCGAGCGGCTATGGCCAGGTTACATATCGATTATAATCTTGATATCAATCAAAAGTTTAGGAAAATTTGATGTTGTTGGATGCTCGCATCAATGGTGGCATATCTTCATTCTTGGAGCAATGATCTACTGGCAGCAATCTGGCAACATGCTTCTCACGGAATACCGATCCATGACAGACAGCTGCCACAGATTCATTCCCGAAGGGAACAGTTTCCCCACTCTTTCCAACTATTCTAATTCTAACCCTTCATTTAGCCATAATTCATTGTAGGAAACTATACTTCACGTAGAATAGTTATAATTCTTTATTTATTAAGCTTATAGTTAGAGTTGCTGTTCGATCTCAAAGGTTAAATTTGTTCGATTAAGCCGAAACCCATTTCAATGTCTGCTTTCATTCTTTTCTGATTACAATTGCAGTTGGCTCTAAAACGAGGTTACCGGTGGGTGCCACCGAAGTGAAATTTCGAGTTTTCGTAGTTTTGTTTGAACACATCAAAAGGTTTTCTGAGAAGGGGGAGGGGTGAACACGTATCAGTAAAATGCTAGAGACGGTTTAGATGACTTCCGGCGGCGGGGAATGCAGGAACCTAAACACGAACTCAATTATGTACATCCCTTGTTGTGGGAAATACTCACGTTGGAAAGCGTCTCCAGTAATCGAACCGACTTGCTGGCCACATCTTTATTCGAATGATTGGTTAGTTGTCTGGCCTGTGCCTCCAACTCTTCTCTCCCTTTGGGGCCATAAAGTGAAAAGAAAAGAGTGTGAGAGGGGTTGTGAAATGGGTCCTAAATGAAGAAGCAATCAACGAGATTGGGGGAGGGGCGCAAAACTGCTCACCAAGTTGTGAGGAGCGATTCGATCATATGTCAGATGAAGAGCATCGACCGCAGAAGTTGTACACAGTATCCATGTGATCGCACGTATCAAGACTTCTTCTCGGTCAGTGTCCAATATTCGTAGAAGGCCAGATACCGATTTGTTACCAAGTAGGTAGGGAACCATGTCAGGACAGCAAGACAGATTGACGAGCAGTCGGAGGGCGTTCAGATTCACTTCTCCTCGAAGCCACAATCTACTGAGGCAGTGAGGAATCACTGGCACAAATTTTGGAATTTGTTCCTTCCGAATGTTGATCGACAAGTTGGTGAGAGCTTGCATTGCCACCACCACTTCCATTTCATCTTCTGAACTTAGACGGCTGACGATGTGATTCAAAGCGTGCTTTATAACATCCTAAAGTAAAAAAAAGAGCAGTTTTGTGAAAACACTGGTCCGGAGCTCACCATGTTCTCAGAAGAAACTGCCATGTTTGCGATACATTGCAGAAGAATGACTCTTGTAGATCTTGGCCAGTTCTTCGAATCAGGAAGCATCTCAACTATACGATTTGTTAACCGAAACTCTCTCATCAGCAGCTGATTTGATGGAAAAGCTGTGGCATTCGATAAAACTGTGAGAAGAGGGAGAAGAAGCTCTGCGGTAGGATCCATACATTGCAGAGCTGATAAAATCTGCAATCAACCACAATTCAACGAAAAATTATCATTGCAGCACACCTGCTTCGCATCAAAGTCTGTTAGCAGCTTCTGATGGTGGTAGAGCCTATCTATGAGGGTCCGCAGCCTCGGGGAGCCAACTAATTCGGCCGCAGGATTTACCGTAATCCTCCATTCAGGATTTGACTCGTCCGGGTCTTTTTGAGGGACTGCCTGCAAATGTTCTCGTTCTCGCTCTGCGCTATTTCCAATTTGGGCTCATGATGAGAGCCAAATTTCCTATTCCCATTTTTCTTCGAGGTACTCACTAGAGAAAATGAAAAAAAAAAAGAAGATGGGCGCAAAAGAGATATGAGAAACGAATGGAGGACGTGAGATTTTGTATTGTTTCCCCGAGAGTGAAACAAAATAGAAGACCATCTCTAACTACATTTAGGCAAATGAAAAACAGTGGAATCGCTTACCTGGAACCGTCCGAGACGTGGACTTGCAATTTCCACTACAAATCCAGAGTTCTGCTGGCCCATGCGGGAGAGTTAGGCTCTGGAATGCGAAAAAGTAGTTTTGACTTTAGAGAAGAAACAAAAAATAGAAAGCGGGTCGACGATAAAGAAAAATCGAAGCAGCAACAAAAGGGTGGCGCGGTGGCGTCCCCGCCTTGGCAAAGTATGGGAGGATGTTGTGTGCTCGTGTGTGCTGCTCAAATAAATTCTAAATTCAAGCAAGCGGCGTCCACGGAGCAACCAACGTCAAACACAGAAGGAGTAAAAGGAAAGCGAAGGGAAGGCCTGGAGGACGGGAGAGAGAGAGCGCGCGAGTAGATCGATGAGATGTGCCGCTGCACCATGCTGTTGAAGGAGGGTTGCTGGCCGCGAAAAGAAAGAAACAGAGACAATTTTGGAGTAGAGAGAAAGCGGCAAGGAACGAGAGGAGCCCTCTCCGCAAAGGGTGTTGACATGCAATCTCGAGGCGGACTGAGTCCCGAATCGCCATCGTTGAGGTGCTGATTGATACGCCTCTCAACGTTCCGAACGAGTGAGACATAAAGGCATTGAGAACGTCTGCCTTTATGCCTGCGATACTTTTTGAATGTGTTAACTAGAATCAATGAAAAAGTGATGAATTTTATTGCACTTCCAAAGATGACCATCATAAAACTATAAAATCACACATTTAGAAGGAAAATTTGGAAAATAGCAAAGTTTTTGAGTACCATAGACGTAGAAGATGCCTTTTTCGTTGCCTAATGAGAAATGCACTTTGCTGGTCGGAATCGCATACATGTAATGGCGTTGCTGAGAAAATGTTTAATGATGAATATGGCGTGAGCCAACGCATAAATTACCCTAATCACTCGGCACACTCCCATGCATTTCTGAAGATGTTGAACACAAAACTGCTTCGACATATTGTTCACGTCTTCTTGTGGATATCTGCTCACAGGTAGCACCTATAATGTTATTCAGTTTGTTTTAGAGGAATAAAAAGCAAATAAACTGACGTAGTCTTGTTCTTCTTCAAAAATTCGTTTGCCTTCTGCTTGAAAAAGCAGCTTCTCAGGAATCTCGGATTCTGTGTAGTGTTCTGACTTCTCTACTTTGCTGAAACAAGTTTTTGCTAGTCTACTGACATTATTCAACTTACAAGTACACTTTAATTCTCGTGTAATTCCTCACAGATCCCGTTCCGGAACATGAAGTGCACGGTTTCTTTCCACCTCCTTTGCAGTGATGGCACTCTTTGATGCCTCTTCCGTGACACATATAGCATAGGTCATGAGTTCCTATTCCAGGCGGAGGAACTCCTGTCTTTGACATAAAATGCATTGGTGTTCCGATTCCATAACTGTTACTTCCTTAAACGATGATAGAGAGCAAAAGTGAACAATGAACACAAAAGCAGAAACAAAAGAGGCTTACCACTTCCAGACCCACCATGTCGGACCATAGCTGTAGATGAAGAAGCGTAGCCGCGGGACAGATCAGCATGAGGGAAAGTGGCTATCATAGGATGGGTGTAAACTGCCGGATGGGCGACTCCAGACTTCATTCCGGTTCCTCTGAAATTCTTGACATTCAAAATACTTCTTGAGAACACTTGAACCTGCAGAAAGAACATTTATCAGTTCCATATCCTCGGCAATGAAAGCAATGAATGGTACCGTCTGAATTGCACGCAGAGCAAGGATTGATTTGGCTAGATCCAGGCATCTCAAAGACACGCACCTGAGCCAGGTTATGATTTACAAAAATTCAACTTCAGTAGGTACCTGGTCTACAAAGAGCTGATTAGGAAGAACTTCAAAATCCCAGGGACTCAAGGGCGCACTTAAGGAAGAAGAAGCTTCACTCATGACTGCAAAGTTGGCGGCTTCTGTGGCATCAGAAGTTGATCGAGCTTCCGTGAAGGACTCCAGGGTATAGTGAATGCTTGTGGATGTTTCTATGCGGTCGAAGTTCATCTTCTTAACAGTCTTGCTTTTCCAGTATCGATGTCGTTTTACTTCCCGTTCCAGAGCTTCTCGGCATTCGAATTCACCGAAAGGAATGATGTCGTCAAAGTACTGCATTTTAGATGCTCCAGCTGAAATGTAGATACTGGTTTTTTAACTTAACATAATTCTCAATTATACACTAACCCACTGAAACGTACCCTTTGAATAATCAGGCGGCTCAGAAAAGAATGAACTAACAGTGAACATTCAGAATCAGGCCGCGGGCGCACACTTTATGTTCTCTATCACATTTGTATCATGAGATCCGATGGGCGTATCAGCTGCCGTTTGTCGGACCCTCAGCTCGGAGATGAGATAGAGAGCAGAGAGTTCATCCGTCAAATTTTTAACCAAATGCTCCTCTGGGAGCATGTTTCTTTTTAGTTTTTCTTGAGGGACTTTCAAAAAATGCATTGGTTTTGAAGCCGTAATGAAAGAAAAAAATAAGAAGGAGAACAAGATATTTTTGCAATTCCCACGATCTTTTTTCAGTGTCTCCTCTAATTGCTTAACATGAGAGTAATACCAACTTACTTGAGAACTTTTTATGTTTCTCCAAGTCTTCCTCTGGAGGCAATAAACTGTTGAAGACGTCCGTCATTTCTCGAACTGAAAAACTAACGTTTTGCTTTGTTTTGCTGCTTTCTTCGTTGAAACAACGAATAGAAACGCCGAAATTCTAGTGAAAAACGATACTTTGAGGGATATTGAGAGCAGATGGGGAACGTTGTGGACAATCATTGGGCAAAGCTGACGAAAAACGAGAATTGTGTAATTCCGTAGCTGAGAATTGTGGTTATAACGCAATGGAAGGAAAAGTGCAGTTGGCAATTGAATTTCTGAGCACAAAAAAGAAGAGTGCGTAGAGCTTCTAAGTACGTGAAAAGAAACGTTTCCCATGAACCTGAGAGCTCTTCTCATTTATTGAAATGAAAAAAGGAGAAGGGAAAGATGAGGCGTCACTTTTTGAGCCGCCTAGAAATGCAAATCAAATCCTCTTTGCATAGAAAATAGCGTAGCCCCACTGCCGGGATGAGGACGTAATTGGAAATGAAATACGGTAGGCGCTGAGACTCTTGAATTTTTACGAATGTTCTGGACAGGTCTTGAAATCTAATTTCAATGAGTAGACGTGTGAATGAGAATTGGAAAGAGGAAAAGCCACGGTAAACAAAACCCCGAGGATGTTCAGAAGATTATTCACGAATTAGCTGAAGAAGTGAAAAGACTAAAGACTCCTGACGTTTTTGAATTTCTGATGTCATGCTAAGATTTCCACAAAAAGAGGATCGCATGTCTACACTCCAAAAGGAATTATGGGGTTTCATGTACATGAATCATCTAGATAAACTATAATTACAGCAGACCTTCGGCACATTCCCAAAAAAACCGCGAAAACAATGATAAGCAAACACAAAAGTTAAAAAAACTGACTAATACAGCTGTAAAAAGAGCATTTCCCAACCGGATATAACGGCAAACAATATATGACCTGAGAACCTTTTTGCCAAAAGCGAGGAGTCATGAGCTCGCCGTGCCACGCCTATTTTACGAGAAAAAAGATAGAAAAGAGCACAAAACAGTGAGGGAGAGCAGCGAGTCCGCGGGCTCAATAAGTTGATGGCATAGTGGCTGCGTCTTAACCGACTCTCACACTATTTCGTTGTTTTAGTGTCTGCGCGACGGAACAAAATGCACGAAAGCTCGCTGGTTCTTTGCATTCATTCAACTTGGCAGACGAATCGAATTAATTCCGAAATTTAAGATGTGATCAACGGCATGAAGTAATACATTCATAAGACGGATAGTTTCCCCATTAAATATTCCTCATCGCGTCATAGATATACTTTAGTGTTTTTTTCAATGTGAGCTATTATATCAATTTTCACCAGTTAAACTTTCCCTCGCTGAAAAAAAGACTATTGCGTTTAACTATTAAGGGGATAATCCGCTATGTTCGCAGTAGATACCACTACATTCCATTTCATTATAACATCACAACATTACTCAATATGCTGCGTTTCTCTCATGTTTCCCAGTTTCTCTTGTTATTTTCTATAGTGAATGCGCAAAGTGTGACATCAGACATAGAACTCGGTTTTTCTACTTCCGGTAAGCTGGCTTGTTATTTTGCAAATATTTGAGTGTGATAACAGAATCACCAATACTGGAATCAATGGTGGACACTCCTGCATTCCTGAAAGCAGCCACAGATAGCCAGCGGAAAGAATACGTTGAGCTGGAAGGAAACCCCAATCTGACGATGGATATGAAAGAGAAAGCTCTCTTCAACTGGGCACTAAGATGCGGGAATCCTGTGAATGTGAGGCACTGAACGTATTCTGCCCAGTGTTTTTATGTGTTTCCTTGTCAGGACCTTTTCACAATGTACATGTCGGAAAAACAAACGATGCAATTTCAAGAAGACGCCAGAATGTCCGTAATTGTTGCTCATCTGTCGCCTGAAGCTCAAGAAGCTGATAAGAATGTTCGCGGTCCGTTTTTCGTCGTGCTTTCGCCAGTTTTTTTTCTGTATTTCAGCTATAACAAGAAACATGAACCAAACCAGGAAAGAAATGGATACTAACGTGGCGAAGCAATTGAATAAGCTACCCAAGAAAGTGTATTACGAACTCACGTTTGCCACCCAATAAACATTTTATTGCCTATGAGAAGTGTTAAAAAATCAGTAGAACTGAGCGATGGAAGTTACATTTGTCATCGCTGTGCCTTGATAAGTTCCGTCAAAATAGCCAGTTTGAGGGTTGCAAGTGAAGTAGAACTTGTAGAATTGTCCGTTTGTTCCTGTGGTTCCGTTGTAGAACTTTACTGCAGTGCACGTGCCTCCGGAGTTCACTACGCCGACACTCGTGTAGTAGGTTCCATCAGTATCAGCTGTGTAGAACACATAACGGAAGTTGGAAGCTTCCAGCACGAACATAGATTGGCATTGTGAGCCCAAATTGACGGGCGTGCGGACACTGAACGGAGTTAAAGAAGGAAGAGCAGTACTGCACGGGTTAGAATCTGTTGTGATTACTGAAATGGCCGAACACGGACAAGCTGTAAAACGGTGAGTTTCAGTTGATTACTGCCCTAATGGGTCTCCCCCCACTATATTTAGTCTCCACTGAATCTCCTGTACACGCGCAACTGTATCCTCCCGACAAACATGTTCTGCTGCGGGTCCACTGCAAAATTTATGTTCAGAAAATATTGTCCATTAGATCTTACCGCAATTTGATCCGTTAATTTTTGCCATGCAGACCACGTCGCCCAATATCCACCAGTTGGACAGCAAGTAAGATTATAGTTGGCCGAAAGAGGTCCACAATGATACCAATTATTGATAACCATGGGAGTTCCAACGCAACAAGTAGTTCCTGAAGCATCAGCACGTGGCCAGTTACAAGCTTGAGTATTGCAGACTGTAGTGTTGGTGGATGCGCCTCTGTAAAAGGTTTATTAACAGGGAATTATTTTTGTACACTTACGTGCAAGCACAACCCATAGCAGTAGACAAGCATGTTCTGGTGAAGGTAACTGTGGAACATGCTCCACAAGTCGTAGCACAGGATTGAGTAGTCGTCCATTCGGACCAAAGACCTCCAACAGGACACACATCGGATGAACAATTCTGTGAGTTTACAGAAACCACGTGAAAAGCAAGCAGGAACCAAATTGCCATCATCATCCTGTAACCTGCGAACCTGTCACAATAGAGAATTTCAAAAAGGACTAGATTATATGTGAGAGCTGAAATTTGAATAACAATAAACATCTATTTCAGCCAACACGACATCAAGACAACAATAGCTACAGTATGCTTTATTCTTTTTACAAACACAATAGTTACATCTCATCCAGCGTTGGTTGAGTCTTTGCAAAATAGAGCGATCTTAGTATTGTTAAACTGCCAGGGAACTTGTTATTCGGGGAACTTGTTATTAATCTAGCTAGCTAATTTATAACCGGCCCTAATTAGATTGCTAATTTACTGCGATTAGATTGAAAATTTTTCTAGCTAGACTTGACGTAACACATAATTTTCTCTCCGATCAACGTTTACAGACTCCACTCCTCCGCCGTCAGCACTCAACGGAAAGCTGAAGAAGCATCTCCCAATGGATGAATTGGCACTAATAACAATTATTTTAGATGTATTTATTACGTTTTCCAATAAATTAAATGACATGACAAGTGTAAGAATTTTATTATCAGTGATATTCAATTGTCTTCTTCTTTTTCCGGATTGAAGCGTCCACGGATTTTAAAAAAACGGTCCGAGAGAAAATAATTTCGTTCTTCTTCAAACTAATACGACAGGTTTTTGTATTCCGTTGTGTGCTGACTGCCGAGGAGTGAAGTCTGTAAACGTTGATCGGAGAGAAAATTATTGTTACGTCAAAAACTAACACGAAAAGAAGAAATCCATGCCCTTGTTGCTTGTTCGACTTTTCCGAAGGTGCACGGTCTCCAGAGCTGACAATATGGGCGTGACCTCGGCCAAATGGCGTTTTCATGAGTTGAGCAGGTTTTCACTGATTTTTGTGGATGAAAAATGATTGTTCGACATAAAAACACACTAACTCTCAGAATTAATGACGTTTTGGCGCATTTTTCGCGGACTTTGCTTTTTCGCCGATCGCCGGCAATCGCCGCCTAAAAACCGCACTTTTCATTTTCCGCTTTCTTGACCGTTTTCAGACAGAATTAATTTTGAGAATGATGAATCACGTAAGTACAAGCATTTTGAGCACTCGAACCGCGAAAACTACCGAAAAGCAACTGAAATTCACGCAGTTTTAGCCAATAACCTTCAAACGGATAAATGTGATTTGCGACTTGACCAAATTTAGCGCTCTTGCGCTTAAAAAATTTGTAATAGCCTATACAATCGGTCTATCGAGAGGCAAATGAGAAATTATCGGTTTTTCGTGGCTAATCTGGCAAAAAACACAAATTTTGCTGTTAAAATTTGAATTTCGCGCCAATGTATCGCTCTATTGGGCGGGGCGCACTTGCGCCCATTGTCAGCTCAGGAGACCGTGATATGGAAAACCTGAAAATTCTCAAATTCAGCAAAATCGAAAGGAGAAAAACAGAAATCGAGAAATGTTCGAACATTCAAGCTAAAAGTCGATAAATCTGTTTTCAAAGTTGATTTTTTAACACACGAACTAAATAGAGTGAAACTCGGAGAACAAAGTCTCTGCACCTCACTATATATTTCTTCTTCAAATCCTAATATATTATTGGGGCACCGGACAGAAAGGGCGCGCTGTTCGCAATCTGGCCGAATTTCTAGGCCGCGAAGTAATTTTTCACTGAAAATGTGGCCTAACTTTTCAAACTCGGCCCCGATGTCGCTCAATTTGCACTGCAAAAAGAGTTTCTCAACAGAGCGCCATTTCTGTGCGGTGCCCCTATAATACCAGAACCCGAATACCAAAGCGAACATGTTAATGCACTTTTTCAAAATAGTGTCTACCTTTCAACGTGCTATTCAGAATGATCATCGGCCTTTTGATCTCGGATGACTCTGTGCACTCTCATTCGTCTTTGTGCAATGCTCAAAGAGCATTTCTTGTCGTGTCATTGTTCTTGAACTTATATTTCCTCTCAACCTGAATAAAATGTCACCTCTCCTATTTTGTGTCAATTTTTATTCCAGCGGGCCATTCTTTATTGAAAATAACCAAAAACCAATCGATTCGTGCCGTTTTCTTTCATTTGTAACAAAAGATGTCAACGTGTTTCTGGCTGGTTTTCCAATATTTGAAGTCAGTAAAGTGTGGGAGGAAAACACAAACACGCCACAGTTCATAGTCCTGTAGAGAAATGCCGATTCTGGCCAATGCATAACCTCAGTATCCCACGCCCGGTGCATTAAAACGACACGATTCATCCATCGGTACAAAGATTACATTGCGTTCATCTAACTTTTATAAAACATTTAATATCAATATTTTCGCTGTTAACTGCTCTTAAGCTTCTACTAATTCGTGTTATCGAATCAATCAAACATCGCTTATCTTCGAAGAAAAACATCCTTCTATGAGTCTATGACTCACATGCTTCTTATCTTTTTAGTTCAGATTCTAGAATTTTAGAGGTTTGGTGCGCTCCTAGTATCCGTTATCATCCCTTGACGTCGTTGATGATTGGAATATTGTCAATTAAATACAAATTTTGCAAGAAAAAGCAGCTTAGAACCCCGTCTTTATTAATTGTGCACATCATTTAGTAGTGATATCTATGCCCATCTCTCTTCCTCCCAGGCTTTCATCTCTCAAGAAAACGCTTCTTCAGATCTTCTTGTCTCCCCACACATCAATTTATCATGAATTCATGCCTAAAGGACATTCAGGGCCGCGGGGAGGAGACGAAAAAGCGAGAGATCCATGTGAATATCGCATAAATATAGACTCAGAAGAAGGCGATAGGAAAGAAAAGGAGAGCGAGGCGAGCGCGAGCAACTAGAAGAAGAAGAATAAGAAAAAGAAGAAGAAGAAGAAGAAGGAGAAGAAGAAAACTCACGCGAGCTCGCACGCACGCATGCACAGAGCACAGCACAAGAGCGTCGTTCGACATCGATTGCTTCTTCGAAGCTGTCCATCGGGAGACGCTTTTTTTTCTGACTTTTCACTCTTTCCTTCCGCTTCTCCGATCTTATTCTGATCCACAGTCTTATTCCTGAACTTCAAATAAAACTCACTGTCTGTGTGCACTCCTCTGGCTCGACGATCTCTGATCACCGCTAATACTCAGCTGTTTTTGTTTTTTCTAATGTTATTGTTTTGTTTTTGTCTGTCTCTCGCTCTCATCGATGGTGGTCTCGCGGTAGTAGTCTGCGTCACTAGTGTCGTCACCCTCTCTAACCACGTTCGCAGTCGGACGAGATTCAGACTGAAAAATTCGAGCCGTTTTTACTCCCATTGTCACCTATCAACATGGTTCTTTGTTTTGACGCGTTTTAGTAACTGAGTTACCTTTTAAGAAGATAGTTCATGCGATATATGAAACTATTTGCGGAACTCGAGTTGAATTTTTAGTGAACCTAGTTTCGTCTCGAGTTATTGAAGCTCACTTTTTGAAAGATTCTATGCTTCAGATGATATCTGGTGATATGTTTATCAGAATTATTTTACACTTTCGAGTGGCCCGGGTTAGATAAAAGTCCATTTAACTTGCATTCACAACTCGAATGGATCCCAATATTTACCAAGGAAGACCAGTTAGTTGGTCGGGCGGTCTGTTTGTGTGCCTATGTTTTGCGTTTGAGCTCCCAGCCGGTCAATCGGCAACTAAATATTTGTGCTGCTCGCCGCGAGACCTTCTGTTTCGCGCACTCTCTATTCATACATGCCACGGCGTGTCACCGTCCGTCCACGACGCACCTCCACCAACAGTTTTGAGTAGCTCTCGGCTTTCGGCACTTTTTTTGGTCTCAAAAAACGTTCGAAACGTTTCTTCTCGTTGCCATTTTCTGTCATTTTGCCTTTTTGTGTCTTGACTCTCGTTTTGTGTGTCTCTAGAAAAAAAAGATGAGACGAGCAGAATAACAAATGCATCAGGCAAGCTTTTTCATCTTATTCAATTTTCAAGAACCAGATACTGCGGTTAGTGAACACATCTCGGTCGGCGCACTCGTCTCCATAATTCGAGCCAATAACTATTCTCGCTTTCCGTTCAACAGATTATTTTCCTTTTTGTTTTCTCCTCTATCTACTTCTTTTACTACTGTTTTGTAGATTGTGCGAACGCTTTATTTCTCATGGGGAAAAATTTGTAGAATAGATCATACTTTCGGGTTGCTTGAATGTGGAATGCAATTTGCTTTAAAGTACGCATACTTTTCACCACTTCTGATGCACCATTTTCGTGAGCTTTCTCCTCTTCTCCCTCTTTGGCTCCATCCCCTCCCCTCCACACTATTTTCTCCTTGATTTCATGCTTGCCGAGCAACACGTCAAACTTTTCTCGCCAACAAACTACTCCCTGCTTCAGCTGCTTTTTCTTTTGCGCAAAGCTGCCTCAGTAGGAGCCACATACACACGTGCCCATTGAACATTGTCGTGTTCTTGTAAAAGGATTTGCATGATCTATGATTGTGCGTGTGTGTGTGTAACTACTTCTTTCAATTCAATATTGCGTTTACTTGCAAGAACTTGGCTTATTTGGTGTCTATTTTTTGGTTAGAACAGGTCGTTTCAGTAAAAAATGAGCTCGTGGCGAAGGTCTCAAAGCTTGCCTTATTAAAGTTTTGCTTTTCAAAGAGCTTTTCGAAAAGCCAGACAGCTTCAGCAAGAAGGAATGTCAGGGCTCTTTTACTTCTTCTTCTTTCCTTCCCACTTCCCAATTTGTTTCAGAAGACGGTTCACAAACTGAACGTCTTAATTCTTTTCTGTTTATATTTTCTCTCTTTCTCTCTCTCTATGTTTCTCTTTTTCTCGCTATGCCTCTCTATCTCTCTCTCTATCTCTCTCTCTCTCTCTCTCTTTCTCTTTCTCACTCTCTTTATCTATCTCATAATGTATTTTCAGAGAAAATTTTTGGTTCCCGTTAAATTATGCCTGTTTCATGAGATGCAAGTTTACTTGCTCCTTCTGTTCTGCTTCGCTGGCCGTGCAGTACGCACCGAGCCATACAATTCGTCCTCGTTGGCCAATGACGTCGTTCCGGCTCTTAGCGGTGATTTCCTGCTTGCTTCCGAAGAAACGCCAACACGGGCTCCTCGGCCTGTGACTAAACAAGGGCACCAAACTCCTCAGCCGTCGGAAGATGCATTGTTTCTAACCGATTGTTCCGAGCCTCTCAACAAAGATATTGCCTGCTCAGTGCACATTGGTGAGTTTACGTCCTTAAAAGCACTTTGATTCTGATCTCTGGAATGTTTTCATTCTCACTATAAGAGTGAAGTGCCGACTTGAGAGTTTGTCGAAAAGTCGATAAAAGTCGGCAAAACTGAAGTCGTCATTATCGACAAAAGTAATGTCGATCAACAAAAAATGCGCGGACTGTCGATATTATAGGGGCACCGCACAGAAATGGCGCTCTGTTGAGAAACTCCTTTTGCAGTGCAAATTGAGCGACCTCGGGGCCGAGTTTGAAAGTTAGGCCACATTTTCAGTGGAAAATTACCTAGAAATTCGGCCAGATTGCGAACAGCGCGCCCTTTCTGTCCGGTGCCCCTATAATAAGTGATCGATCGACAACACTTATCGACTTCACTTATCGATTTTTCTTGTATTATAGGGGCACCGGACAGAAATGGCGCGCTGTTCGCAATCCCCTAAATAGCCATTCTTGTAAGATTTGTACTTCTTGAGAAACTGCGACATTGCCTTGAATGCCTTGCGATTGTTCTTGTAACTTGACCCAAAATTGTGTCGATTAGCGTGTCGACACGTCACTTTACTCACTATACGACCACTATTCACTTTATTTCAGTTGGGTGCTCTGCTCCTATTTTCGATTATGTTGAATCTGGGAAAGAACCTCCAGGAGCACATGACGTCAGAATTGCGCCTACGACCAAAGTGATTGGATCTAATCGTATTGACAAGAGGAAGCATCGACTGCACGTTGACGTGTCGTGGCAAATTCCTCAATTAGACTCTTCGAATAATTTGCGAGCTTTCAAACTGCTTGTCAACGGGCCTGATGAAAAAAGCACCTGTTTTGTATTTAACGTGACTCATTCTCAACAAGAAGAGAATGTTTCGGTAAGGCAAAAATTAACCTTGATCGGTAATTACGATTCATTTTAGCCTAGATACCGTTTCTCATCTAACTCTCTCTTCGAGTTTGGTCGCAACTACACTGTTACCATTGTCAGTCTTCCTGTGTCACGATCCAAATCACCAAAGGTCATTGCGACCAGCCTGATGCCAGATGACCCGGACGAAGCTCCAAAATATGTCAAAACACACGAAGAGATTTGCGCGGCTAAATGTAATAATAATGTTTCGTAATCCAGACGTCAAAATTCTATGTTTTTAGCTAACCCGCAAGCTTCCAAGTGGGCAGCTAGCTTCCGAAAAATTTTCCTTTTTAGTGCCATCAGAATGATACAAATTGAGTTCCTGGCAGCTCCGCCACAATATTGCTTTGAGGAGTATGAGGTTTGAAAATCAATCCCAATCCGGAAGTATGATGAATATTATAGGTTCGATTGCTTGACAGCTCCGGAATTGTGATGCTTCAATCAGCAGTGATATCCATGGAAGATCTAAAAACTGAGCTGATCAATGGCCGACCAGTGCAGTTCGGAGAATACAACTTTACGGACATTGAACTCGACACTGATCTCATTCCATCAGTCATTCCCATAGAGACCGGTCGAGATGGGAGATGTTTGTGCGAAACGGAGAACGGTTGCAGCTGTCTGGCAGCTGATTGGAAGCCGGTCAAGCTCACAAGTAAAAAAATTACAGTAAAGTATCGGGTGATAAATCCCTCCGTTTTTCCAGAAATCGAAAAACCGCCGTCCACAAACAATCGGACACTTGAGAGCGACAGCAAAACAGAAAAAGGTTCACACATAACAGGACCATTTCATTGGTAAAAATTAGGAAATTCAAAAAGTTGTTGAATGGAAAGTTTTCAGGCATTCCTTCGCTATTGTAGGAGTTAGTTGTCTAGCGATATTGTTTGGCATTCTGTTATGTTTCGGCCTCAAGTGCTACAGACACGTTCACAAAAACAAAAAATCATCAAACATTCACCTGTTGAACGAGAATCCGAATTTCACACAACCCGGGTCGATTCCTTTAATTATGAAACGTAAGTATGCGTACTAGGCTGGTCGAACAGGCGCCTGAAAAAAACAAGCGCCTGATTTTCAGGCGCCTGTTCGACCAGCCTAATGCGTACTTTTAAGAAAGCAAACCCAGTTTTCAGAATCGATGTCAATCCTGATTTTGTACAGCCATGATTCTGCACAGCACGAGGCTGCTGTTTTAGCGTTTGCAGAGCTTTTGCGGGATGTCTATCACTTGAATGTTCACGTAAGAGAAGGCACCACGCTTAAAAAAATAGTATTGAAACAATTTCAGTTGGACGTATGGGACGAAGAAGATATCGAGGCTAACAGAGCGGAGTACATCAATTCTAGCATTGTCCGAGCTGGAAAAGTAATCATCATCAATTCGATCGGAGCATATTTCCGAACGATTGCCCGGCACAGGAAAAAAGCCGCATTGGAGCGGATTGTAGCAGGAAGGAATGATGCACTCTTCGGAGTTCAAATTGATCTGGCACTACAGTAAGACTTTTGCACTGAAAATCTCATGAATCCCTGCTTTTCAGGCATCCGTGTGTCATTTCCTGTCACTTCAACTACACAAACCCTAAATACGTCCTTTTCCCGGTTAGTCGTCTCCTTCAATACAACATTCCTGAAAACTTGATGACATTGACTACGGCCATCATGGGTCAATCTGCAAGGGCAGAGCATTTGGCTGGTTTCAACTCTGTCTATGCAAGACTTCAAGCAGCTCTTTCTCGAAAAACGCATTACATTGCAAATGAACCACAGTGGTTTGAGAATACGCATCATAGAGTGGCTAGTGCGCCGAGAGACCTGGTCGAGCCTGAACCGATCCCATTGCCGTTGAGCTTGGCATTTAGAGAAGACTTGTTCGAACAACAAGAAACACTTCCAATTGCTGATTTGGAAGACCTGCTACCGACAAGATTCAAGCATGAAGCTGTGATGGAAGATAGTTCTGCTAAGGACGAGGAGGAAGAAGAACTTATAGACGATGACTCTATCGTTTACGAAGAAGATTTAGATCAAACTGCAAGTTTAGAGGAACTTCCACGACTAATGGTTCACAAAGATCCGCTTGACTCTGGAAATCTGGACTCTGCTTACGTCAGTGGATCTGATTTCTCTACGGAAATTCATACAGAGGTGAGATTTTATTCAGAGTTTTTAATTCAATTTTTTCACATTTAGGTCCTAGATAAGCCGCGATTAGCATCCGAAGAAGACTGTCATTCCGTGAAGCGTAAACGAGACGTCACTGTCGATTCAGCTTTTCATGATGACGTCATTGGCGTACATTAATTAACTTTCTCTCATCCTTTTTCTATCTCGATCTCTGGATTTTATCCGTAACCGGGTTCATTTTGATTGTTCTCTGCATTGCGTTATTATTCTTAATTATTCGAAGGTTCCAACGGGTCATCAACTCTCTCTCAGCATTAGTAGGCAAGTTCACCCGGTGAAACTATTGACAGTGTCTACATATTAAATTTGTTTTATTCTTTAAAATTGGAAGTAATGAATTTTCTAAATGAAAATTAGTCGCATACACCTGTATAAATAGAAAAGTATTATGGCGAAGAAAGCAGTAGGAAGAAGAAAATGAAACACACTCGGTTTTCGATAGGTTGGTTAGTACTGAAGCTGAAAATGAGATTCTCTGTGCACAAGAAAGGACACGTGGGACGACGAAGACAGTGAATTGTCGTCTATCTTCTCTTCATCCTCCATTCCCAGTCTTCCGGAAGGTCTCCTCGGTTTGCTACGTTGTTGGGATCTAGCATTTCGACTTGGCACGTAGGACCAAGCCACCCAGGAGAACAACTGCATTGCCCACTGAAAAAATAATTGTTTTTATTCGTTTATAAGTAGGGATGCAAAACAGGCGATTTTAGCCGCCTGCGAAAACAGGCGTTTTTGCGTTGAAAAACAGGCGCCTGAAAAAACAGGTGCCTGAAAAACAGGCGCCTGTTCTGCATCCCTATTTATAAGCTTTGAACTCACGTCTTTGGATCACAAGATGCTCCATTGAAGCACTGACATTTGTGATCACATGATTCTCCGTATCTTCCGGCTCTACACTCTTCTTCACAGAGAGTACCGTGCCTACCAACTGGACAGATGCATTTTCCGTCTACTGGATCACACTTGAATTGTCCACAATTGCACTTCTGACTGCAAGCAGGTCCGTACGTATGCTCCGAACATCGCTGTTCACACTTGTCCCCTTGGAAGCCAGCAGGGCACAAGCAACGGCCGTCGGCTCCGTCACAGTGTGCTCCGTTCTGACAAGAGCACGACTGCGAGCAGTACCATCCGTAGAAACCATTAGGACAAGCAAATTGACATCGACTTCCATAGCGTCCAGGAGGACAATCGCAACAGCCTTGTACGGGATCACATCTTGCTTGTCCGTGGCATTCACAATCCAGAGTACAGTTCAGACCATATTTTCCAGATGGGCACGACTGCTCACAGCTAGGTCCAGTGAATCCGAGATTGCACTTGCACTCTCCAGTGGCTGGGTTGCAGTGGCCGTTTGCACAACGGCACTTTTCTTTACATCCCGCACCGTACTTTCCATCCGGGCAAACTTGATTACAAGTCATTCCAGTGAATCCAGGTAAGCATCTGCACTGCCCCGTCAATCGGTCACATGTTCCTCCATTCTCACATATGCAAATTTTTTCACATCTGAAAGAAAAGACTAAAAAAATCTCAGTTTTAAAACTCACGTGGGTCCGTATCGATTCACGTGGCAAGCAGTCTCACACTTCGTACCAATGTACCCGGGTGGGCAGACGCATGTTCCTGACGATGAATCGCATACACCTCCATTCTCACATGTGCACAGCTCACTACAGTCTGTGCCGAATCTTCCCTGTACGCAGCCACTCTTACAGTCGGGACCACTGTGCCCAGGCTTGCAGAAACATTTGCCAGAAATGGCGTCACAAAGTGAGTTTTCTCCACAATCACACTTATTTGAGCAGTTCTCTCCGAAGGTTCCATCTGGACAAAGTTCAGTACAGGAATGACCTGCATATCCCTTCGGACACTGGCATCTCCCGGAGATGTGATCACAAGACTTGCTATTAGCACATCGACAGCTTTGTGAGCAATGCTTTCCGTAATAGCCCTTGAGACAAGCTGAAACTCAAGCTGATATCAAGCTAAACATTTATTTAAAACATACGTCTATTGCATTTTTTGCCTCTCCACCCAGACTGGCAGGAACAATAACCACTGATTGCATCGCAAATTGCTCCATTCTCGCACTCGCAGGTTTCTTCACACTTGGGACCCCAATGACCACTGGAACATGGCTTCTCACAACTTTCTCCGCTCCATCCCGGTAGGCACTCGCATTTTCCCGTTTTTCTATCGCAACTTGCCCCATTTTTGCAGTTGCATTTGTGAGCACATTTTCTCCCAAACTGGCCAAACGGACACACTGTAAACGGGGTTTTCCTGTAATTTTTCTACGAGCAACTTACAGAATTCGCAGGATGGGCCTGTCCAGCCATCGATGCACTCGCACTCTCCGGTCTCCTTGTTGCATTCTCCGCCATGCATACAAAGGCAGTGTTTCATACAGTTAGATCCCCAAAGTCCAGCTGGGCATTCTGTTTCACATTTCTTTCCCATGAAGCCAGATGGACAATCGCAGAACCCAGTCACTCGATCGCAGGATGCTTCATTTGAGCATTTACAGGAATGTCGACATCCCTCCCCGTATCTACCCATCGGACATGGAGTCTGACAGTCTGGCCCCGTCCAACCGGCAGGGCATCGACACTCGCCCGTTACATGATCACATCTCGCAACAAACGGATTATAGAACGTGGTATCATCTTAAATTACGTTGTTTTGTTGAAACGAATCTTAGAACTTACTTGATGTTGTGCAGTCGCAAATTGCGTTGCAACCTTCTCCAAAACGTCCGTCTGGGCATGGCCGATCACACTTCCTTCCTCTCCATCCCGGTTTACACTTGCAGTATCCGGTCACAGATTCACATGAGCCTCCATTCTGGCACGAGCATAGCCCTTTGCAGCCAGCACCAAAAAATCCGTTCTCGCAGACATCTTCACATCTGTGGCCTTTTTTTCCGGGAGGACAGATACATTCTCCGTCAGAAGGATCACAGTGCATTCCAGCAGCACAGTCACATTTTCTAGAGCAGTCTTTCCCAAAAGTGCCCGGAGCACAAGCTTTCTCGCACTTCTTGCCGCTCCAGCCAGGAGCACATTCGCAGTTTCCGTCTTTAGGATCACAAATCGCTCCGTTTTGGCATTTGCAGAGTTGCATACAGTCTACACCGAATCGGCCAGTTGGACAAACTGAGAAAAATTCGTTGAAAGTAGGGATGCAAAACAGGCGATTTTAGTTTTTCAGGCGCCTGTTTTTTCAACAGGCGACTCCATTTTTGCGTTGAAAAAGAAGCGCCTGAAAAAACAGGCGCCTGCTCTGTGTTCCTAGTTGTAAGCAAATATTATTGTCGTTCTGAACCTTCACTGCATGAGGCGCCATAGAATCCCGGAGTACAGTGGCATGAGCCGTCATTCTCATCACATCGAGCTCCGTTAATACATGAGCAAGTGTAAGCACAGTTTGGGCCATACGTGTTCGGAGGGCACGCTGTAATATCCTAATTGTTGTAGAAAAATGTAGAAAACTTTGTTGAGCGCTGCTCTACAACAGAATGCACAAACATTGATCACATAATGGGCCTGTCTTCCCAGGCAGACAAGTGCAAGTTCCAGTCACATGATGACAAATCTTTGGTCGGTGTGGCTCCATGTCCGGACATTTGCACTGATGCTCGCAATCATAGCCGTAGAATCCGGCAGGACAAGCTGAAATGGATTTGTGCTCCTACATCTAGAAAGTGACTGGAATCAGTGTCTTTTCACAAGCAAAGATCCGACTCCGCAAGCTGTTCTGCATTAGTAATCACAACACTTACGTTGATCGCAAAGATCTCCTTTATAACCCGCTGGGCATTTCTTAGTGCAATAGCCGTTTATGGGATCACATCGAATGCCGGGCGGGCAGGAGCACTTTCGAGCGCATCCTACACCAAAAAGGCCTGGTGAGCACATTCTTTTACAGTGGTGTCCATAGTATCCGGGTTTGCAGCGACATTTTCCAGTCTGTTATATTACTAGTTATCTCCACAAAAAAAAAAACGTACAATGGTATCACAGCCATCTGCATGCTCTCTGGCACATTTGCATGGGAAGCGACAGTTCTTTCCAAACGTAAAGTTTGGACATTTCTTATCGCAATCTTGTCCATAAAGTCCATCGGGACATGTACAGTATCCAAAAACTGGATCACATTTTCCATTTGGACACTCCATTCGACATTTTAGGTTACACTGTGATCCGTAAAAACCTGAAATTGTTTCATTAGATAGCAAGATCAAGCTTAACAAACCATCAGGACATGGTCCGTCCGAACACTTTTCCGGGTCTTCACATCGGCATGAGCCTGTTGTTGGGTCACACAACTTGCAGGAACACTTGTGAGTACAGTCAATTCCCCAGAATCCTTCCGGACAGATTAATTCGCATCGCTCTCCGGAAAATCCAGCCGGGCAGTCGCATTTGGAAAGTAATCCTGCCCCCCGCATCGAGCACTTTCCACCATTCTGACAATCTGAGCATGTCAGCTGACACGACGTTCCGAAATGGTCATTCGGACAATCTGAAATGAGACACTGCTGCTACTTTCATTAGAGATTCTCACACCATGGCGAACAAAACAATGCTCAGATAACTCGGCAGTGTTGGTGAGAATTTGCGCAAACTTTCCGCAATTCTACTCGAACTTTTCGCAAACATTGCTTAAAGTTTGCGCTAAAATTGTGGGGACCCTCAAAGTCTGCGCAAAAACTACCTAACGTTTGCGCTAAAATTGCATAAGCGAAAAGTTCTAGTAGAAATTGCGTAAAGTTTGCGAAAACTCTGACCAAGACTGCCGAGAAGCTTCAAACCTGTGGCATGCCTCCTTCTTCCAAAAACTAAGAGCTTAGCACCATATCTCTCATCAGCTGGATAATTCTCGATAGAAGAAATGACATCATCTATAGATTGATCTTCTAAGCCGTTTTCCGAAACAACATCAAACTGTTTAGCGTAGTCATAGATATCTAAAAACGCGTCAAAACTAAGAAAGCAACAAGAAGCCACAAAACACATCACTAAGAAAAAGAAAATAGCTCACCGTTTCTCAAAACTTCCACATTTTCTGGTGCTGCTGAAAAGCTTAGTCACAATTAAGGTTAAATAGTTCACATAGGCTACAACTAACCAATGCAAGACTTTTCGTCATGTGCTAAGACGTATCCCGCAAAGCACTGGCATTTTCGAGAGCCCTTTTTGTTCTTACACAACTGAGAGCATCCTCCGTTGTTCACCAGACACTCATTAATGTCGTGACAGCTGTGTCTGTCTTCTGACAGCTCGAAGCCAGGCTCACATGAACACATGTATCCTCCCTGTTCGTTTTTGCAAATTTGCTCGCATCCTCCATTGTTCGTAGAGCATTCACTGACATCTGAACGCAAAACAATGTATTCTCCATTTTTTTAAACCAGACCTTCGCAAGTTCTTCCGTCCGGCGATAGTTTAAATCCTGGCTTGCACTGGCATTCATAGGAGCCTGCCAGGTTGACGCAAATTTGATCACACTCTCCATTGTTGTTGTTGCATTCGTTGATGTCTGAAAGTATGGCGCAATCATTTCAAATCCAGAACTAGATAACTAAACGTTTATGAATCTATCACTAGAACTGATTAAACAATTTTTCAAAGATTGCGTTGTGTTGAAAACAAAGGATACCCCTATCGGGTCTACCTAGTTACCCCTGCATGTTTTAAAGTCAATCAGCTGGTAGCCATCTTCGCAGAAACACTGAATATGACCCGAATCCAAGTGCATACAAAGCTTATGGCATTTTAAATCAGTAGGTGTTACACAGGTTACAGTTTCGTAGGCGTCCCAAAGTCTGGGAACCCTAGGAGCGCTGTGCAAATTGATTGGCTTTATGGAATCTTGAACGGATGTATCTTTGATGTCGTGATTATTCTAACTTACCCTGGCAATGCATTTGATCTTCTGCGAGTGTGTACCCGCTTCTACATTTGCAAATGTGCCCCCCGTCGGGTTGATCATAGCAATCATGCTGACATCCACCGTTTCCAACTTGGCAGCCACCCAACATTTCTTCACAAGTCCTGCCGTCTCTTCCAAGTTGATAGCCTTCTCTACATTTACATCGGTAGGCTCCTTTCACGTTTTCGCAAAAGTGTTCGCATCCATTTCTCTTCGCACATTCGTCAATGTCTGAAACGAGCGCACTTGTGAAAATGAAGAAAGTTACTTAAGAAGCTCACCAACACAAGACGTCCGGTCATAGGATAAGTGGAAACCTGGATAACACTGGCATTGAGCTCGACCATGATTGTTTGTACAATGGTGCTGACAACCTCCTTTATTGTCCAAGCAGGGGTCTATAGCTAAAAAGTAAATGGGTGTTTTTTCTTGGAATTATTTCGATCTGAACCTTGACATGATCTCTTGTTCTCTGCCAATCTGAATCCGCTTCTACACCTGCATCTGTAGAATTCTTCATTTGCATCATTCTCACATTCTTGATCACATCCTCCATTGTCCACAGCGCACGAAGTAACTTCTAGAAAAAGTTCAATAATTTTATAGTTCAACACATCCCCAGCAGACTTCCGCAAGTTCTTCCATCTGAGTGCAAGTACAAGTCAGAAGGACAGTCGCATCTGAATCCACCAGCTGTATTCACACATCGATCGGAGCATCCTCCGTTATCCGTAGCGCATTCGTCAATGTCTGAGCAAGTGTTTCCGTCTCCAGAAAGTTCGAAGCCTGGCCAACATCTACAGTAGAATGTACCAATTGTATTGACGCATTCATGCTTACAACCTCCGTTGTTCGCCATGCATTCATTCACGTCTATAATCGAAAGTACTTTTCTGTCTACTCAGAAATCCATACCGTATTGACATTTGGCTCCCGTGAACCCCGGTGGACACTCGCAAACCTGCTCATTGTCTGTCTCAGACGCAACACACGTTCCTCCGTTGTGACATAGATCCGCCGAACAATTTTCTGGAACCATGTCGCGTTTATATTGAATTACACGTGCGCCTGACTCTCGCGCGTTAATTAGTTCTGAGTTGTTCAAACACGACTCTCTGAGGTTTCCGATTCATTTGAAATTTAATAATAAATCTCCTTTGCTTACGTTCTTCTTCTTCCTTCTTTCCCACCCACCTTCTCTTGCAAACAAAATGCACTTCTGCGGACACCAAATATGTATATCATCAATTTGAGGCAAGAGTAAGTAATATAGAGGCATTGTGTGACACAAGATTGACAAAATTAAAGGACCAGGGAACCCTCAAATTTTTTGTTTTTTTTTGTGAAATTTTTTTGTGTCTGTTTGAATTGTCTCTTATTGCCTCATACACTGGTGAAATGCTGACTCTCAGAAATGCCAATGAACGAAACGGCGCGCAGTTGAAGTTGTGGCCGTGGCCTAAGAAACTTTGGTGTGAAAACTCTTTCCTGTGAGCAGTTTGATGCTCTTGCACTATGTATGGTTCATACAGTATGGATGCTGATTTGTGTGAATGTTTTGCAACGTATGAAAATTGTGCCGAACGCAAAAAAAAATCCGGAAAAGATCACAAGGCCTAGAACTTTTCTGAGCCACGGCCACAACTTTGACTAAGCGCTGTTCCATTCACAGGTATTTCTGAAAGTTGGAGCTCGGACAGTGAACGTGGCAATAAGAAGCAATTCAGTCAGACACATAAACTCGGAGGGTTCCCCGGTCCTTTAATCGTTTTTCTCCTACTTTTTGGCCCTTTCATGCTATGCGCATCTGTCGTCATATGAAATAGCCACAAGACAAAAGAGCTGACGAAGCGGCATATGGAGGATGCGTCCGACATCCCCGAGAGCAATAATTGGCCCGGTGTTCCGAACAACCTTCCCCTCGTTTACTATTCTCGATCGCCCATTGTCGAGCATTCTGTGATAATAAAAACGGAGAGACTGAGGAATCAATAATTCACTAGCCGGTACATTATTATTGCGAAAACTAAGAAGAGGCGTCAAAATTCGGAAGTCGCATAATTTTGCGCGGAATAGTGCAATCTGTTCGGAACCCTATTCAAAGGGGGCATAAAACATACGAACAAATGTCAGACGATTAACAAGATGCGCGATTTCCCTATTAGCATAATCAAAGTGGCAGATGTCCATTCGTACCTCGTTGGCAACCAGCTTCTCCTGGTCGATGAACCCATCCAGGACAGCACTCCACTACAGTATGCCTTTTCGTTCTGTTCACTTTTTTGTAGGTGTGAAAGTAGATTGTCCTGCAAACAAAAGCGTGATGAGGTCGACAGAGTGGCGACTATTGCGCAAGAGGTGCATTGAATAATTGCGGGGTGTCAGAAGGTCACGGACACACTCAACCAAAGAATGATATATCATTGAGACGGCATAACGCGATAAAAGCTAATCTTGTTAGGCTAAGTTTGCGCTCATGTGAAACGTGCTATGGTCCATAGCACGTTTAGCCTATGGATGGAAAAACGTTGTAGTACTGACTTGGGTTGTCGAACTGCACAACTCTGAAACTTTCCGTTGCATCCAGGCTTCCGACTTCTCACATATTTTGTGTAAGCTTGCACACAAGGCTGCTTCAAGGTCACGATCTCGACTTCTTCATGTGGGCATACATTTCTTCTGAAATAATAAGGGGTCTCTATAATAGTAATGTGTCTTTGCTTGTCAAGTGAGTGATAGGGCAACAGTTATCAGGAGAACACATTTATGATTCATACATCTAATAAAACCCCACAAATAAACGCTAATCCCTTTTCTGGGGTCTGAATTTCAACTGCGCCACTCTCACCTAGTTCTATTCTATTCTTCTGGTTTTCTTTTCATTTCCAAACTTTATGACCTTTTTGAGACTATGCAATCGTAAGCCAAGGCACGAAGTGCACAATGTGTTTGCACCGTAACCAATATTATATTATTTGTTTGGTTTTCCATAAGTGCTGGCCACTATTGTTGAGTGATGCTTTCGACTAGTGCATTCATATTGGTGATGAAGTGATACAAGAGACTCAAAAATTTTTTTTACTTATAATAGGGGCACAGAAAGTTTTTTACTTATTACAGGGGACAGAAAGGGCGCGCTGTTCGCAACCTGACCGAATTTTTAGACCGCGAAGTAATTTTCCACTGAAAACGTGCGCTAACTTTTCAAGCTCGGCCCCGAGGTCGCTCAATTTGCACTGCAAAAAGAGTTTCTCAACAGAGCGCCATTTCTGTGCGGTGCCCCTATGCTAATTCCTAAAAGCCAAGAAGAGTCTTTTGACAGACGGAGCATGTTTGCGAATGTTTTGGGTAACTCAATGCGCATTGATTACCAGTGGCTGTCGCAGAGCAGGTGCAAAGCATCTAGCTTGAGCTTCTGATGCAATGTGTTTGTTCTTCGCATCTCCGTTACCACCCGGAGGGAATGACAACTTTTGATTGAGCTGACTAAATTGCGCGTCTTACCCATATGGCGGTAACGTGGTACGAAAGACGATAACCCTAATTTATGAGCTTCCATCTCTTCCCTTCTCTCCATTTTCTCCCGGTTTGCTTATGTTTAGAATAAGAAGAAGTAGTAGTAGTTTATGATCCTACTGCTCTACTTGTAAAAAAATTTCCTTTTCTTGACACACAAAGCACATAATGAGGGTTTGTAATGATTTCCTGAAGTATGAGAAGGGCCCATCAAGTGTTCTTGGTCCGATGACAAATGGATGTTAACTTGAGCGATGGAATGCGGCAAAAAAATGGACTACCGACCTAAAATGTATCGGGAATAATTCATCGCAAACGTTTCTGTCTCTGACTTTTACTCTCGTCTTCCAATTGCTATTACTGTCCCCTTCGTACATGCGCATTCGACACGCTAAACCAAACGCATCAATCGTTTCTCGTAACTTTCACCCACATCTTCTTCATATTGTGCAGCATGCAAATTCGAATGTGTTTTTCTTGGCGACGCGGTCGGCGCGCGTCCTTCTCAGCCTTCTCAAACTGTTTCTGCTGATACTGAGAATACCTTTGGATTTTTTTTACGGAATGTAATGTGTAAGGTTGGGCAGGCAATTCAACAACACGTACTCTTCGTTGTAGTACGCTTTTGAAAATATGAAACATTCTCATTTAGCTCAGCGGGAAGCAAGCGCGCCACAAAGAAGAAGTGGAGTGAGTCTCGGCAGAAATCGCAGTTTGATGTGTTATGAATAATCAGGCACCAACCAAAAGGACCGGTCTGTTGCGTTGTCCCCATTGGGATTATAGAACAGCAGAAGCGAGACAAAGCCGAGTGATGGGGTCAAAAAGACATTTATATGGCTTGTGCTTTGCTTTACACTGTGGCCGATGCGAATCTCAGAAACTAATATTGGATGCACTTGAATGCTCTTGGTTTCGAAATTCTGTGAGATTTAAGTGCACTCTCTTGTCCTGTTCAAATGATTTCTGTCTAGTGATTCAGGATAATGTGTGAAAATGAAATAAATTGGATCAAAGCAATCTCATAAGTAGGGCGCGAACGCGATGAAAAAATGAAAAAACACTCACTGGCCTAGGCGGAGTTCCTGTAATTGAACGTCCACCAGTCCACCGCCATCGGATTTTCGAACGATGGCCACGAGAAGTAGAGACACAATATATTGAGACAACATCATAGGCTTGAAGAGTGTGAAGGCATCGAGGATACTGAAGGCTAAAGGTTGAAAAGAAACAACTTGTAAGTGAGAATAGCTAAGACACGTCTCAAGTGAAAAGAAATGAAAAAAGAAAAATGTGTAACCGTTCTGTTCCTTGATTTTTCTCTTTTCCATCGAGACAATGAGGGCTAGTGCCGGAGGTAAGGGCTGCGCTATGCGGGTATGTTTGTGACTCCAAATGGGCGTGGCCTCCCTCTCGGTCCGAGGAGAGGAGGACGGCGGAGGAAGAGAAGGAGGACGTGCGCTTGAGTGACCGTAAAGCCGTCGGGATGTGAAAGCTATGATTGACTCGAGGGACAGGACGCTAAAGAGTTTTTATTGTAACCAACACCTTTTCCCTTTTGTACCTTTCTTTTGTAGTGTGAGGAAGGAAGGCTATGGCCAGTTCTCAGTGACTCATTTCTCACAAAGAACAATGGCCACGGGTTTGAAACAAATGTCGGCTCGGTTCGCTGTGTGACAACATCGCACTTGGCAAAGAGTAATCGAAAAAGGTGGGTAGAGATTCTGACAGGGATCTGTTTATACTCAATTTACCGCTCTTGTCCCCTCGGTGTTTGCGTACTCGAGCCTAATTTCAGAAAATTTGGCTTGAGTCTGCAAACACCGAGGGGCAATAGCGATGAAAGACAAATTCGAAACATTTTGGAGCGATCATTCCTCTCTTTAACTTTATTCTATTTCATCTAAATATAATTCCAAAGCTCATCCTCTTGTTACGTCTCATTTGTGAGAAGGTAAGTGCATACTGCCAGTATTCCATTAACCATAAGTGAAAATTTCAGAATAACAAACAAGAGGCAATTCTGATTCTTTATTCAAGTTTCAAATTCTATTTGGATTTCAATAACCTACTGCAATTTCTAATCGTCGCGGGGCCATTCCAATATCCCTTGACAAGCCCGTGCCAATAGAGAGCGGGCATAAAATACCGCTTCATGAGATACGCCCAGTAGGAAGGTTTCGACTGGTCAAACGGAGTTGTTTCCATCGCTCCGTCCGAATTGAACTCGGCGAGGATGACTCTATTCGTGCTCACAACTAACGGACAAGAAGCATATCCGTCATACTGTAAAACGATTGTCATGCGAAAAAAGACGAATTCAAACTTACTCGCGTACAAGGCGGATTGCCATTCATAACTTGTGACAGATTACGTTCAATAGTTTTCAGATGAGAAGACACGGCGGCTGCAGTTTTGGCATTTGGAGTGTTCATGCAGTCACCAACGCCAAACACGTTTTGAAAGCGCTTTGACTGAAAATAATTTTGAAACCGACACAGAGGGTTGACTTGAACTTGCCTGCAACCATCCTGGGTCCACATCCATAAACCCGCTTTTATCGGCCAGTTCAGATGTTCGAAGCGCTTCAGGAGATGAACACGGCGGGCCAATGTGGAGAAGGGAGTACTGTAAATACTCTTGGTTAGAGATTTTTCGGAGAGCTGGTTACCTCAATTTTCTCTGTTTTTCCAGTAGGTCTGGAATCCTCGTCCATCAGTTCGAAAATAGCAATCTTTTGATTCGAATCCACTTCAATCAAGTTTCTTCGCGTTCTAACATCAATTTCCTTGTCTCGTGCCACTTCTTCTAGTGACCTCAGATAGCTTTCAATTCCAAAGAGCTGGAATCATTTCAGGCTGAAAAAATCAACAGTTCTACGAGACTCACTCTTTTCAGACTAGTCGCGTATATCATACGAGCCTTGTCTCGAACGCCTCTCTGTCGGAGAATCGAGTCAGTGATGTAACATGCTTTTTGTGGTGCTCCCGCACATTTGATAGGAGTATTCGGGAATGTAAACACTGCATTACCACCCTGAAACTTGAAATAGAGTGCTAAGTTTGGATTGGTAGACTACCTTAAAATTACTGGCTTCTCTGAAGTGTTTCTCCACATAGAAAGGAGAATAATTGGAACAAACTCCCGGAGTTTCTAATGCTTCCACTGCTCCTTTTATCTGCAAACGAGCAATTCATCTAGATGTGGTTAACTTTCACACACCATATCAAATCTCAACTGGAGTCCCACAGCGACTACCATGTAGTCGTAGAAGATCTCATCGCCTCCATTCAATTTTACTGAATTTTGTTTAGGTATAAACATACATGCTTTATCTTTAATCAACGTGGCGTTCTTTGGAATCAAATCTGATTGTTTCCGTCGGTTTGCTGCCAAAGTCATGAGTCCTCCACCGACTAAAGTAAATCCAGGCTGGTAGTAATGATTTTCCCGTGGTTCAATAACAGCCACTGATCCTGGCGGTAGTTTTCGGGCAAATTTGCTAGCGACTCCGAGTCCTCCGGCTCCTCCACCGACTACTAACAACTTGAAGTGCTGCGCTGGAAATAGTGGTTCTTTTGGAGAAAAAAAAAGAAATTGGCATCTAAAACTTACCCTGAACAACGGTGGTTCTACGCATTCTCGAGTAAAGAAGAATGTGAATGAACAAGGTGTAGGAGAATAACAAAAACCAGTCTGTAGTGAGGACGCAGAGAAACGAAACGGTATTTATATGTATACACACATCTCACAAAGTTAAATGTCTTTCATTTTCTCTAGGTAAAGTCACGTAGATCGAAATGTAACAGTTGTGTGTGTCCAAGCAGTTTTGGCGGGTTGGGAGAGCTCAAAAGTGCAGAACACTTAGTTCAATCAATGACACAGTTCGGTTTATTATGCAACTTCTTAAAAAAGAGGTAGAGATGTAAGAAAAAATTTTGTTCACTTCACAGCGTTGTCTGCTCTAGTGTGTCGGTTTGTTTCCAAATGAGAAAGTTCCTTCGCCAGTTCCAACGGTCTTCCCATTCACAATTAACTTTCTCCCTTTCCAGTCAACATTAGATTTTGATCCATGAATACTTTCAACTTTCACCGGCTTGGCTTCTTCCATCTTCGCATTGTGTCTCTGGTTCAAATCGACCAGATCAGTGTCGTGTTTGCCTCCTTCTCGGCAAAGGCGCGCCACTTTTGCGCAAACTTTACGCAGCTTTTGCGCAAAGTTAGCGCAGCTTCTGCTGGCAAGTTTCCGCAAAAGCTGCGTAAAGTCTGCGCAAAAGCTGCCAGTTTTAAAAGTTTGCGCAAAAGCTGCCTAAAGTTTGCGCTAAATGCTCATATTGTTTTCACTTCATTCCTGATAGTAGCCACTGGCCAGCCACTGGCCAGTCTACTAGCCAGTCTTGCTCCGACTGTTTGCGTTCCGATGACCTTCTGCTTGGAAGACAGTATTTTTCCGATTTCGTCACCGGAGACTGTCTCTACTCCCAGAACACTTCCGACTCCAGAATGGGAAAATCCGTTTCTCTTGGCTCTCAACTGAGTCGGGTTGAACGTGAGAATTTGCGTGACAACTGTTGCATTTGTACCGGTGATTGGTTTCTTGCCCCCATCAACCAAAGACCATCCTTTTGGAAGGTTGACACCAGAGTTGAGCGGAAATGGAATTTTGAAATCCGGAAGACGGCAGACGGCAGACGGAAGAAAATTTTTCTCACGGAAGACGGAAGAAAACTTTTTACCCGGAAGACGGCAGACGGAAGACGGAACAAACAAATCGTCAATGCAGAACCTTTTTTTCCGGTTTTTTTTTAAATAACTAAAGCAACAAAAATTTTGGATCTGGGTCACTGCCCGTGGAAATTCGAGTTCTTCGGGGCTAGTAAATGGCTTCTGAAAAGCTATTACTCTTTCACGGTAAGAAGAAAAAATTCCGGAAGACAGACGGCAGACGGGAAAAAAAATTTTTACGGAAGACGGAAGAAAACTTTTTGCCTGGAAGACGGCAGACGGAAGACGGAAGAAAAAATCCACGGAAGACGGAAGACGGAATACACTTTATTCACGAACATAAATCAAGGACAGAAGGTTGTCTCTCGTTCTTTCAGTGGTCAAGACGATTCAAGCAGAAGAATTTACACGTATTATCGAATGTAGAACCGTATTGTTAGGTTGGACATTTTGAAAAAGTCAAACAAGATACTTAACAGAAAATGATTGAATGAACTGTATCAAGCCCTTTGTCTTCATGAAACGAATCGCCTTCTGTGAACCAAAATCGGGTCATGAGAAATCTAAAAAGTATTAAAGTCAGATAAAAAATATTGATGTTTTTTGGTACATTGCCGAAAAGAGATGTGATTGTTTGCGTCACGACGATTAGAAAAAAGATAGATAGACTTACTCTGTTCCTGACATTGGGCGGTGGTCGTGCTGGCTCCTCGTCAGCTAGTTCAGGTTCACTTCCGATTTCGATCGGAATGAATTCTTTAAAATCTTCTTCCGTATTCACATTATTCGACTCGGTAGCTTCTATGAATTTATCCACTGTCTTTTCGTTTGTGTCTTAATCTCAGTGTTTTTTTTCATAATCATATAAGGACACCTCACATTTTGCCACTTGAGAAGATTGCCATTCCACCATTCCGAAGTTAACTCGAGACTTGTGTGGTTTGATCTTGAACACTCTAATACGGTTTTGTCTCTGTTTTTCATTTCTCTCAATTTCTTTTTGTGCATTGAACTTGTACTTTTCGGCCGCTAGTTCATCTTCCAGTTGACTAAGTGCCCGATTTCCGTACTCTACGGCACTGACCGGTCGCAGTTCTATAAAAAAATAATTTTCAAAAACAAAACTGACGAAAACCTGATAAGTATGCAACTTGATTTGTCGAGTAAACATGGTCATCATGCTGTAATTGTTCTCGACTAGTGGGAGATGCTGCAGGTGGTCCTCGATAAGCCGAAGTACTTGTGATGATGGGTACATGACTAATGTAGTTCTCCGCTGAAAAAATAGAATGAAGTAAAAGAGAAATAGAAAACATACTGCTAGGATTTGAATATGTTTGATACTGAGAAACACTCTGAAAAGCTGACGGTGTGATATACTGATAACTATTTTGAGGTGCGTTATATGTACTGGAAAGTTTTTGATTCGAGCAATTGGTGATGCATCTGCAAAAGTTACAACCAGAATTTCCTGAAAAATGAAAATGCGCTGAAAACTTTCAGGTGGTAGCTTACCAAAAAGAGTCCACAGGAACGAGGAACAAGATGACATCAGAAACAGAAAAATCCAAAAGCACATTTCTGAGGTCTGAGGTACGTGAATGTCAATCAGTTTGAATGAAGTCACGACGAAGAAGCATAGTATTCAGATCTTATCTGCACAAGCGAATTTTGCAAAATTGGAGGCTATAATCTTGAGAAAAAATAGCTTCCGGTAGCGAGAGACGTAAAGCAAAGCAAAAGAAGTTTCTCGGGAGTTACACTGGATTACTACTTCTACCAGAGGCGTTCGTGAATGCAAGATACAACAATTCCACGGTATCATTATCTAAAAGATGGAAACGGAGGAGAAACTTGTGTGGAATACAATTATAGATTGCTTACACTTCTTCTGTGACCACCACAATAATTGAACTATACGTGTACGGATTTCACCCTCGGAAATGTTGCCAGCCATGGGCTTTTTAGAGTGAAAGTGCGAAGATTTGTATCTTTCGAATCCCTGCCACTAATTGTCATAGAACGTGAAAATGGGAAAGATTAGAAAAACCTTCTGGAATGAAGGAAAATTTTAAAAAAATGTTTTTTTGACTGAAAAATGTCTAATTACGGCAGTCGCGCGTATCAAGCTAATAATTGTTGCCATCTTGTAGAAGTAGCTACTACATTCATTCCTAGGCGAAAATAATCTCCGAATCATTTAGAAAAGAAGCGCAAGGAATGAAAAGAAAAGGACATCGAAGAAAGTAAAATCCGAAAAAGACCGTAAAGGGAAAGTGTTCGGGGTGACTGCTTTATGAAGACATGGGTTCAAATTCGACCTCATCCCCCTTAGCTTTTGTTATGCCACGGCTTTGGTCGTTTTAACGGTCATTTGACTACGCTCGATGATGCCCGGCTTGTTCCTACTGCGTGCTTCTTCATATCTGACCGGATGCGTCCCTCTCTAGTTCTCTTCATTTTCCCGAGTACCTTCAAGAAATAGATCAGCGTCTGACGAATGAGGGTGACTTCCTCCAAGATATGTAAATTTTGCGACTAGTGACCGGTGAAAGTGCACACGGTTTGGATCAACTTTATACAGTCATGTAAATGAAATCTGAACTTGTTCTGCCGATCTCACTTCAGCGACGGCGGCCACCCGGTCCTTCGTGAGTTCACGAATCGGCTTGAACATCTGCCGTCTGACTGGAGGGAGAAGAAGGATTGGACCAGTTGCGAAGGTGATCGAGACCATGAAACGGACTGCTTGAACGCCAGTTAAATAACGGAAGATTATCCGGTAATCTCCAGTGAAGCTTGGGAATAAAGACGGTATTAAAAAAGTTAGAATTCCACCTCAAAACATTTTTTCAACTTTCTTTTTATTCTTGAAACGCTTACAAAGTTGATATACGTGAGCCAAGGTGGTAAAGAGTTGAAGTGAGAAAAACCACAAATATGTGAAATAGTTATCGTCGTTTTCTTTCCTTCTCTGGAAACAAGGAAAGGTACTGAGTACCAGAGCCTGAAATGCTTTTTTTAACAATTGGTTTGTTTATATATTTACAAGGCACAAGACACAACGACGATAACTATTGCCTACAGAGTAATGGAGCGGCAGGTACATTGCAAAACTTGCTGAAAATGAAACTGCATAGACACTGCAAAACACGCGAGACGGAATTCGTAGATTGACGAACAGAGTGGAAATAATGAGTGCAAAAATATTGAGGGAAAGTAGTTTCCTTCTGTAAGTGTCCAAGTAAGCGAATTCACAGGGTTCCGAAAACTACGTGACTGGATTGATTTAATTTTGACCCCTTGATGTATCGGCTAGTTTTTTGAATTTCTCCAATACCTTATTTTCGCAGTGACTTCAAAGCTAACTGATCTGTGTTTAGTTACAAGTAGGGAGAAATACGTGAGCATTTGAAGGTGTGCCAAGCTGAATGTATACTGTAGAGTAGTCTCAACTCGTAGAACGGCGCAGAGTGAGTAACTGAAAACTACAATATTTGACTACTCAGTCGTGCATTTGATAACCTCTGCGATGCTTCCAGTGGTTGAAAAAATGTGAACGCTACTTTGAACAGACGGAAAGGTAGGATTGGCCAGGTTATAATCACGGAAAACAAGAACGCAAATTACGAAATAAAATTAGATCTTACACAGATTTTTCACGTAAAGTCTTGTAGGTGACATGAAACTTTCCATTCTCCTGTATAAAAGCGAAAGGTGCGCCAGAAAAATTACTTCCAAGAGAACAAAGTAGCACCGATCTGGAATTGAGTCATAAAATTTGTCGGCGAACGTGTTTCTTACAGTTCCCAACCACATTGTATTCAAAATCTTCGAATGGCTCACATATGTCAATCATCTATAAAGTTTGAGAGAAATTCTAACAACTTAACTTGGTTGGGGATTTTGGTGAGCGTTTTGTTGCCATGGAGACGATCAGACAGGTTAAAATTGGTTGAAAGAACAGAAAGAATGTGAGCGAATCGTATTAAATATTCAAAATTTCATCATTATACACAGGACTCAGGAAAAAAGCCCCAATTCGGCTCCAAAAACCGAAACGGCGCCGGCGGCGTCGCTCGGCGTCAATTCGGCTGGGCGTTAGACCGGCGCCAAAACAGGCGCCAAAACCGGCGTCAAAACGGCTTCAAAAAAGCAAATCAGCGTTGGCGCCGTGCTGTAACGGCTCAACCGCGGATTTTGGAGCCGAATTGGCGCTTTTTTTTCCTGAGGAGAAGAATCAAGAATATTGAGAGAATGTGTTATTTCAAATTCCTTGTGCTCCAAAAGTATCGATCCCGAGAACAGTTTCATTCTTTTGGTGAAGCTCTTCTTCTTGGCTATCTCCGGTTTTCTTAAAATGTTCGAGAACAACAAGGTCTTCATCGTCAAGCTGAGCAGGAATTAAATTGTTTTTCAAATAAACACTTTTCTACGAACGCGTTCGGTCGAGTTCATGTGGTTGTCAACTCTTTTCGTCACATAATCCTTGGCATCAAGTTCTAGACCCTTGTCAAACTTTTCCAAGTCTGTCTTTCCAAGTGTTTCTGTATCTTCAATTGACGAGTTGAACACCTGAAAATAAAGCGTTAAAATTAAGACAATGTTTAAGAACCATGCGGCATGATTCTTAAAAGGTCCATGCCTTTTCATTAATTTCCTCAAGTTCCGATTTTTCGTTGTATGTCATTTCTTCTGAAGAGGAAGACCTCGACGAAGAGACAGATTCAGATTCCGAAGACTGCGTGGCACGTCCAGAAACCTCGTTCAGAACGAGCAGAAAGAAGGAGACGTATAGGAAATTCATCACTGCAGACTGAATAAGTGGAGTGAGTAATATCTATCAAAATAAAAAACAGAAGGATAGAAGGGAATTCTGTCGGAATGATGACCGGTTCTATGCAGATATTCTACTTTTGAATGAGATTTTCCTATTCTCTTGGTGGTTTTGTTATCCCAAGTCATGACTAGATAATTTATCAATATCAATACAGTCAAGCGAATAAAGAAATATCCCGGAATCAACACAAAAATTTCTGAACAAAAAATTTTACGAAATCAAAAAGACTTGTCAATTCAAAAATTCCCTGTAGATGCAATCTGTACCCATTTAAATAGGCACAACATACCCGGTTACCAGAATGAGGGATAATCTGCCGTGTAAACTATTTCATGAGGTTGTTGAACGTATGAATTTCGGGTCATAGTATTACTGCCAGTTTGCATGCAGTTTTCAATTTTTTTAGTTGGAGCAGCCTTGCTCGTGAACCATGTCCCAGAAGCTGTTGAAATAGGTAATAATGGTTTGAAAACATTCATTTTTTCAAGCTTTAATTTTAGTGGAGGACTATGATGGATCCGGTGATTATGTGTACTTGGAGGAGTCAGGATTGAAACAAGCACAAAACTCTACTTTTGACGGCAGTGCAGAGGAGGTCAAAATTATTCAAACCGAGTTGCCAGGAAGTGGTTTAGGAGAGCAGCCTATTCCAAGAACTTCTTCGGGCTCAAATGATGGACCTGCACTTGTTGAATTGGTTACAGGAACTCTGGAAGGATCAACGATGCCTCCTAAAGATCCGGTTGGAATGGCGGATGGTCTGACTGATGAGCCTGAAGCAGTCGACATGACCGGGCCAACAACTCCTTTTGATATCAGCTTAATGGAAACTGGATCACCAGAAGGGTCTACAAAAGAGCCGTACATGCCAAAGCCAAAGCCGAAACCAAATAAGGACAACAATGGAACTCTGACAGACTCAAGTGATTCTCCTCTAGTCACTTTGGATGTTGATGTCGTCACCGACTATCCAGAAAACCCAAGTGAGATGCCGGTTGAGAGCATTGCTCCAGTTCATTGGAAAACTACAACAACAAACAGAATTGACTACACCATCAGTCAGAAGATTGATGAGAACAGTGCGGGATACCAGAAATTGCTACACATGCTGGAAGATTTAAGCGTAAGAAGAAAAGAGGACACTACTGGCAGCAATCAGACAGAATTCTACATTTCTCGAGCATCAGTAGCGATGGACACAATCGAAAACGTACTGATAGTCTTTCAAAGGTCGGAGATAAAATATTTTGCAGACTTACACAAATTCAGCGCTGGCAAACATTACATATGCTCAGGAATATATCAAAGGATTGCTGGATGACGCTTCCGATACTGTAATCTTCAGGTTCCTCCATATTGTTGTCCACTTCTATCTTTTCAGGTTCGGCAAGGATACACTCAGATTGTGTCATTGACCAACACTCCGAGTTTCTACTACATTCCGAAAAAACAACGGTATTTAATGGTAAATGAAATCATTACTGGTCTAGGAACTTCGGGACAGGAAGAGATGATGTCTCTGAATAAACAGGCGAAGACGTATTGTCAAAATTCCAACGTCGATACACCGCCTTACAGTCTTGGAAATATACTTGGAAACAAGTTGGCAAACGGTGCGATCCTCACTAAATAAATCATGCAACATCGAAAATAAACTACTATTACTCTTATTTATCTGCGATCCATGCGTGTATTTCGAACACTTTATTATATCCGTAAGTTGATAACACAAAAGAAAAAACACAGAATTCTTGATATGTTGCTTGGCTAGAAAGTAATAGTGTCAAGCAGTGCGCTCCAGCAATTATTATAGGAATTTGGTGGAGGGAAAAAAAACGAATTATTCGAAGATTACGGGGGAAGAGTACCTAATAGGATTTGTTAAAGCACAAGGAGAAATGGAAATCAACGCGGTAAATAACTGTAATCACCGAGATTATAAATGAAAATGAATGCTATAAAGCTGTGAATTATAACTTTTTATGAGTAGAATGTCAGTACTGATTGCTGATTTCCGCGAACAAGCAGAATTGGGGGAAGTCCACGTGTCATAACTTCAAGCCATGAAAGGTACAACGAAGAGCTGACCATTCCTTTCCGTGGAACGGGTAAGGTCCTGAATAGTTATGGCTTTATACTTCGGGAATTAGAGACTCACATCACAATAAGGTCGGATTTAATAGAATGTTCTTGAAGAAGCTCTCCTGCTCTCAACTGTCGATAAGTCTTGTCCCTCTGAGCACTGAGCTCCGAGCTGGTTGTCATGCCGGCAGGAGTATTCCCGTCCGGAGCAATGAATGGATCGATCACCGACTGCCATGCGGACATAGTTTCTTGTGTTGGCCTTCTCCCAATATCAGAAACCACAGAAACGTCCGAAAAGTCGATTCTAAACTTTGACAACAATGCAGCCATTCCACGTTGCTCTTGCTCCATAGTCCGAGAACTTGTCGAAATGGTGAAGATTCTGAGCCGAGCACCTTCCAGATAACTTTTGGGAATCGTCAGAAGATGAGGAATGAGAAGAGTCAGTCCTCCGTCGTCGTAAAGCCACCAGACATCAATGACACCCTAGAGAAATACGATTGCCAAATCAAATTAAGAGGGATGTTCCTACTTTTTTCACTTTTCTCTGGAAACGAGCAATAGACGCAAGTAAAGCTTTCTGCTCCATTGTGTGTCTCCTTGATCTGTACATTCGAGTTATGTTCCCACCAAGCTCAAAACTAAACAAACCCTCGTCTTCTCAGCGAGAAGTGATGTTTCTTCTCAGTATCCTCGTTGGTGCCTTGTTCCACATCGTCATCCTTGTTTTCATCATCACATACTGACTCAACTTCTTCGTCATCGTTCTCGTTGTCTCTCTGAGAAAGAAAGCGTCAAATGCAAGAAAGTAAATAGAGGAAAGCTCACATTATGTTCCTCCTGATTCTCATCTGATACATACGTCTCGTTGATTGAAATCGACGCTGGAAAACATTGAAATCGAGTTTTTGTTTTTACTCTCCAGCTCTATCAAACAAAAACAATTACAAAAACAACGTTTTGCGAACCATTTATGTAAAAAGTATTGATCCTCTGGAACATTTCAACACTTCGTGAGCTACCACGAAAAGAAAGTCGAGCTGAATGGTATTCATGAATTGAAATGTGAGTGAGAAACGCGTGAGAAAGTGAGAAACGCACAAAAAACTTACCAGATGCATCATCCGCGGACTTCTGGCTTTCTTCAGTTCGAGTTGTCTCGTCTTTCTCAATCATACGATCAGTTCTGAAGTAAAAGGATTTGTAGACCAAATTTAGTTTAGCTTACTCGGGCGAGTTCTGCTGGGCCTCTTTTTTTTCCACAGTAGGCAATTTCAGACGATTTGTTTCCCCAATGTTTAAATTTCGCATAGCGTCCGAAAAATCAAGACCGACCTGACCATTGCGAAGCACACACATTCCCATATTACAATCGAAGACGTCTCTGAGAAAGATAACTCCATATTTTCAAGAAACTACTCGAATTCTCAACTGGATAGTCCCAAAGTATTCATTCATTTCGTTTAAGTTCGCTTCGGTCGGACCTGCCTTGTACCAGTTGGACTTGAATCCCACCAGTACGATATTTGGCTTCAGTTTCGAAATTCCAGTGAGTTGTAAAAGAGACTGGGCACCAATTCGGAGACTTGAATTTGCCACTGACTGATAGAACGCCTTCACATGACGTTTTCGAAGCCAGTCGTTGAGCTGTCGATCCAACTTTCTAATGACCGAGAACACTCGATCCGAAGGATCATACTGAACATGAAATACAATTTTTCAGTAATTTATGAGTCACTTACCGGAACAACATAACCACATATCATCAAGCTGCTTCCTTTCGTAATGTTGTTGGCAAAGTCAACGAGTGAGGGTCGAGCGGCAGGGTTTCCAGTCAAAACCAGGAATTGGGGTCGATAGTTCTTCACGTGTTCTTCCGTCGTCGACAGCTTTATCATGGACGATAGCGCGTTCTTGTAGCTGTGTGCTTGTGTAGAAGATCCCCAATTTACATCTGGAAAAATTAGACATTTTTAAGATATCAAAAACGACGCTCACCTGGTTTTCTGTGAAGAAGGTACATGAAAATGGCTGCGAAACAGAAGAAGGTTATAAGAGCTGAGAACCAGTCAATAATGAACATGACAAAAATGCACAGCATCGATCCAATCAGTGAAATCCACATATTGTAATATTTGAACCCAGGACGAAAACCTGAAATATTAGTGATAAAGGACTGTGGTTTTTGTGTAATCACCTGGAGAATCTGCAAATGATTGATCAAAACATGCGTAGTTTATGAGAGCATATGAGCACAGAAAAAAATTTGAGATGATTGGAGCGATACTGTTTAGATCACCGATTGCGATAATGCCCATGGCAAGGAAAAAGCCTAGAATGTAAGCCCGCTTCGGCTCTTCGTTCTTTCCGTACGTCTTGGCAAAGTATCCTATCTTTGGGAAAAGTCTATCTTTGCACACTGCTTGGAAAACCTTCGGAGCGCTAACCAAACTTGCAAGTGCCGAGGAAAGTGTAGCGGCAAAGATTCCAGCAATGATCAGAGCCGGCCAAAAAGATAAATCTTCGAGGATTCGGTAGTATCCAGATAGGCCATAGGGACAATCAGGAGTACAATCCGGTGGGAAGAAGTAAGTGTTATTGAATACAGCTGGCTCTGTTCCGTTGGAGAATCGGACATACGTAGCTCCTGTCATCCACACTGTTGCCAAATAGACAAGTGTAGTGAGCAGAATAGCTAGCAACGTTCCAAGAGGAATGGCTCGTTGTGGATCGGCCAAATCTCCACTTATATTAGCTCCAGCCATGATTCCGGTAGCAGCAGGGAAATAAATCGAGAACACTGAGAAGAATGTGTTCTCGTTTGTGAACTGCGGCAGGAAGTTGGATTTCAAAGTTTGCAGACTATATCCAGTGGCTCCGTGATTCATCTTTTCAAGGCTGATAGGCCAGAAACTGCCAAGTGCATAATTCAGAATTGATGCGAGAAGAATGATCAGAAGCCCCAATTGCATTTTCGATTCGAACTCCGTCCCGATAAATACGATCCCCATCAAGATGATGCACGTAACTGAGCATAATCCCTTCAAACGAATTCGAGATAGAAAAACTCACTGAATCCAATAATTCTGACATCCCACAAATCACCAATAAGCCAGGTCACTTCTAAATCTTTGAGAACATCCCGGAAGGACTCGGCGAATCCCACTACGTACATGGCAGCGCCAACTGCGTTTGCGATAGAGAATATAATTCCGATCGAACCACCGAACTCAGGGCCCAGCGATCGCGAAATCTGATAAATTCAAGTCGAAAAGCTTTTATAGAAGCTTGAATCTTACCAGGAAATAAGCCCCTCCTCCTTTCACATCTCCGTTCGTACAAATTGCACACGTGGAAAGAGCTGTGATCGTTGTGACGAGAGCAGCCAGCAAAACAATGCACGATCCAAGACCAACTCCTGCCTGACCGGCAACCCAACTGACACGAGAGTACAGCATTACACCAAAAATGTTCAGCAGGCATCGAATAAAAACACCTTGAATCCATCCGAATTTCACACGATTTTGAGCTTGTGGAGGATTTATCTTCTCCACGCGATACCCTTTCTGCTCATCGTGAATTGGGGAGTTGTTCAAATGATGGTTGTGAGCCTGAAACTTTTGAGCTCAGCTTTGAGCTTAAAAGTGATTGTTCATACGTTCAGTTCTTCAAACCCTATCTCTTCTTGGATAACTTGCTTTCCATGGATCAGTTGGGCCATTGACGGACGTATGAATATGCCTTCTGTATCTACAGAGTTACGATAAAAGTCAATTATCGGTGGATGCTCGATAGTTTTCATATTTCTGAACGAAAATGCGATTAACTGATGTAGAAAAGTGTTCTAATACCTCCAACTTTTCATGTTGAATGTAGTCTGATTTTCATGAGACATTTCTCGTTTCTTTTCATCTGTTTCGTCTGACAAGCTCCCGGAATCCTTGTCACCAACAGAAAAATGAACTCCCTTCGCTCGACTTGCAGGAGATTTCTCAACGTTCTCAACATGGGGCTCCAGTTCGTCTCGCATTTCGTTGTCTAGTTGACTTGGAATCGTGTCTGACGTGACCTTTAATTTGGCATGCTCTACCTTTTTTAAACATTATTCTGTCGGATACCATAAATCTTCCAGTTGCGCTCATTTTTCTAACTACCAAAGGGTCCGCATCCTGATTTTTGAGCGGTTGTGGAGGTTCACTGCCACTCTTCAATTTTCGAAAGTTTTCCTGGTTGTCTACATCTAGAAGAGATGTGCCGTCACCAGTTTTACTGACCTGAATGCTTAACTTTTGCTTAAACTTTAAATTTTAAGAATAAAACGCGTAAAATACCTCAAATCTATGCATTTCTTGCTGGAAAGTTGTTTCTGTCAGAAAAAAAAAGGAAAATAAACATCTAAGAAAATTCGTTGCGAGACGTGAAAAAGAAAACGAGATATGTACCTTTAAGGCAACCGTAACCAGACAATTTATAAATCTTGACAAAATCGAGCAACTTTTGCGCAAACTTTAGAAAACTTCAACCGACAGGCCACACAAAAGTTTAAACGAAAGTCTAAAATCTGCGCAAAAGTTGCGAAAACAATCCAAGTTAACTATAAAGTTGCTCATGACAGCAAATTTTGAGAAACCTGTGAGCAAAAGTTGCAGAGGTTCTCAGGCAACTCGAAAAGAATTAGCAACGAATCGATGTTACGGCTACCTTACCATATAGCAGCGTGCCAATTAGCCGACACTCGCTACAGTTTTGCCTGGATTCGCTGCAGATTGGTTTCAAACAGATTTCAAATTCGCGCTAAATTCGTTTCAGATTCGACTTTTGTTAACAGATTCGTTCTATACTCGCTAGATTAGAAACTATTTGTCTGAGTTTCCCGATAACATTTTCGAATATTGTGTGTTCGAACTCACATGGAAACGAGCAGAAGACGTACGGTTCATTTCTGAATCATCTGCACAATGAGGCAGAAGTTTTTGTGTTTCCTCGGTGCCATTTTCTCCAGTTCTACTCATCTAGCCTGAAGTTTGGAGGTTCGAATTTCAAGAAACAGATACGAATACGAGAAATCTCACATGACCACGAGCGTGAGATTATTCTGGAAATAGCGACCAATAGTCAAGAAAAATGAAACAACTTGCGCGTATCTACCCGCATTTACAACGGAAAAAAGGAGAAGTATAGAGGAGGAGCGAAAAAATTTACATGATGATTCATCCGTCAAGAACAACACAATATAGAATAATATTTTTCGATTCCTATGCTCTTGGCGTCGAATGTGATGACGGGTCATAGAATACGTCCTTGCCAAACCTTGAAGGACGCTCTGCCCGAACATCAGACCCGAGTCTTGACGTAAGAAAAAGTTTCAATAAGCAAAACGTCAACTGATAGTGACCGGAAACCATTTATCGTAATGACACTATCTACAACCATCTAGTCTTCTCACTAAGGTTAGATAGAGCCTAATGTTTTTTTTTCTGAAAACTAGCTCAGACGTTTCCTTCCCACGTCGAAGTTGACAAAGCCGATTTTGCATTACAATAGTATCACCATTACGCGGTGTCTCGCATTCGAATATTTCAATACAAACTTTAAAGTATCGTCAAGCCAAGTATACAGGATTGAGACTTCAAAAGCGGGAAAAGAACACGCTGATGAGGAGTGAACTGGATGACAGGAACAAATATTGACTTTCGGGGTGGTTTTGACGAGAAGAGATTAGGAATTGAGGCTGGCCGGTGGATAGATAAAGCAAAAGAATGTACAAAATTTCTTTGCGCGTATCAGCTCTATGAGCCATGATCAACGTATGATTTCATATGGTGAAGCGTTGAAGTCAAACAATTGAAGGTACGATACAGGTTCTTTTTAAACTCAAAACAAGTCTGTAGGAAAAAATGAGAGATCGAACAGAGAATTTGTTCTAAGAATGTCTCTTGGGACTCTTCCGTTATCCAGAAGATATACGTCTTGTCGAATAAATTTGAGGTCGCTTTATCAATCCCAGTCACGGAAATATCGTTTTGAAAGTGAGAATAAAAAAACAACTGTATAGCGAAAACGGCAACAAGCTACAAAAAGAGCCCAAATGAGTATCCAAGGGAGCACCCGAGCTCCAAGTACAAATGAATAGGGATAACAACGAGGAGACGGGCGGAAGGAAGCGGAACAAAGAGGAAAAGAAGTCAGAGATATTCATTGTGCCGAACCTTTTTGGACATTTGGAATAAGATTGACATTGTAATGAGCCCTGGCGGTCTGAGATTGACTAGAAACACAGACAGATGAAATCTTGTATTCAGTTGAATGCAGTCACAAAAGCAAAAAACTAACTTCTTGCTTTCTTTCATTGAATCTTCATAATGTGCACATTCTACTTTCTACAACAGTTCATGAAATAACCTTTGAATGGAAATGGAAAATGCGGAAATGCTTCACTGCAGAGAACAAAGCTAGTCTGTGAAAAATTTTACACACTTGGAGGAAGGAACGCAAGAACATTGGTACATACAATTCGTTCATTCGGTCAGGGTTTAATAAACGTAGGAAAAAGTATTTGGCACTTATTTAACGTTCGGAAGTTTCCAATCGAATTTCGATGTGATATAGCTTGGAAGAGTTGTGGTGTTGGCGAGATAACGCTGATGAAATGAGCACGCCGCACCCAGGCTGGTAGGCGATACGCCGAGAGAACGTGTAACGTTTGGAGAGCCGCTTGGAGCAGTTAGAGAAAGGCCAGCTGGTGGTCAGCTTCTCGCGAGGAGAAACAGGAAATGGAACCGCTTGTGAAGCCCGTTGACGACGAGTAAAGGCTCCGGAATCGGATGCGTGAAGAGTCCTCTTTAAAAACAGAATTTTTAAATATCTCACAAAGCACTCAATTCAGCTGCTGTTGTTAAATTGCTTTTTCACTTGCTTCTCGAATTATTTGCAATTTTTTTCGTTTCTCCCTAGTGAATTACCCTAATGTTTTCTTACCAGTTCAAACACTTCGAGTGGAAATTTTAGACCTAGTTCGGCAGAATCGAAATTGAGACTCCTCCCATGTTTTTTGTTTATTTGACAGAAGGTCATTGAACGAAGTTATAAGTTGATAAGAACACAATCTTATCATTCTGCCCGTTTTCCTGTCCACTCACAGTTTGTTCACACGATGCCTTGTGAATCAAAGTGTCATGGTGGGCCAGGATATGTTTCTCCTCGAGATGCTATAAATGGACCTCGTGAAAACATTCTCTTTACTACTGCTCCTCACGCAGCTGATGGTCATGATGCTATCTTTTCCATTGATGTGAACCCAAATAGTGGCACGTACTGTCAGGTGATTGTTCATTGAATTTCAAATTACTTATTTCTCGGAGAAGTTTGCATCAGCCACTGATCTTGTCGGACTGCAGGTTGTTAGCCGAGTTGATGTACCGAACATTGGCGACGAAGTGCATCATACTGGTTGGAATTCGTGCTCTTCATGCCATGACAAACCAACCGCAAAGAGGTTTTTTTATGTGTTTATTAATAACAAGATATCATGTTTGTATTTGTTAGATCGCATTTGATCTTACCGTGCCTCAATTCGGACAGAATCTACGTCATAAATGTGAAAGACGAGAGAAACATATTCCTTCAAACTACTGTTGAACCTTCAACTCTGCATGGAATGGATCTTTCGTTCCCGCATACTTCTCACTGCCTTGCTGATGGAAACATTATGATCAGCACATTGGGAAGAGCGGATGGTACTCCGTCGGGAAATTTCCTTCTCCTCGATGGAAATACTTTCAAACCAAAAGGAACATGGCCAGTGGACGGAAAGACTGTACAGTTCAATTACGACTTCTGGTATCAACCGAGACGAAATATTATGATTTCTACAGAGTGGGGATCTCCAAATAATATCAAAAAAGGATTCGATCTGTGGCATGTCGAGAAAGGTCTCTACGGAAATAGTGTACATATATTCGAATGGGATTCGAAAAAATACAAACAAAGACTCACATTACCGATGCCACATGGAGCCCTACCATTAGAAGTGAGATACCTTCATGAACCGACAAGTGAGAACGCGTTCATTGGATGCGCTCTCGGTTCTTCCATCTTCCGAATCCATACTGATTCTGAGGTGAGTTTTCATTTTTACTCTCAAAAAACCAACCATATCTCGCAGAATAACTGTCAAACAGCCAGCTTGGTATCCGCAATTCCGCCGAAAAAGGTTACTGGCTGGGTTCTACCAGAAATGCCAGCCCTCATCACAGACATTCTCATTTCAATGGACGACCTATACCTGTACGTCTCTTGCTGGTTGCATGGAGACATCCGTCAGTACGACATCTCTGATCCTGCTAACCCAAAACTTTGCTCTCAAGTCTACATTGGTGGCAGCATCCACTCCGAATCGCCAGTTACCGTAGTCGACCAAATCACAGACGTTATTCCGGCACTTTACGTTAAAGGAAGAAAAGTGGAAGGAGGACCACAGATGTTGCAACTATCTTTGGATGGCAAAAGACTCTATGTCACAACTTCTCTCTATAAGAAATGGGATGAGCAGTTCTACCCGAGCCAATTGAAGTTCGTTTGATAGTGTCAGACGACATATGCATCTAGTATTTCAGAACAGGAGCAGTGATGCTTCTTATTGACGTCGACCCCGTTAATGGAAAAATGATAGTGAACAGCGATTTCCTTGTCGATTTTGGAACCCTTCCTGGGGGGCCGTATTTGGCTCACGAAATGCGTTATCCGGGAGGAGACTGTACTTCTGACATTTGGATCTGAAGCATTTATCACAAGTTAAATAGAGATGCATCCACAAAATAATAAAAAGTTGATAATGGAAGTTACAAAGCAATTATGGTACAGAGACGGAAGTGGCTTAATGACGGTCACCCATTAGTTTCAAGTTACGCTTACTATTTGACATATAATTCAAATCGAAGAGAAGTTATAAATACTTTAAAAAGTTGAAAAATCACATAAAGCAAAACTTAAGACTCGTATCTAGCCGAAAGAGTCGAGAGCTTGTTGGCAACATCTTGATAGAAAGTGGCTTGCCGCTTCAGATAGGTCCCCATAGTTGATTTCAGATCTTCAACCTTCTCCTGAGTCTGATGCTGAATTTCAGCAATAACAGCATAGCTCATCGCGTCGAGACGTTGCTTCATTTTCTCGGCTTCGGAAGACGCGAGTCTTCCTTCGCTGTCACGGAACTTTTGAATGGCTTGCTGAAAATAAATGAATGCAGTATCGAAACCATTATGTCTATACCTTATGCACATGAATTATGTCAGGAACGTTCTGCACGGTTCCTTTGTACGAGTACAGATTCTCTAATACAGGCTCCATGTCGTTTTTAGTGTGAGCATCGAAAACTTGTCCGATTTCGTGATATTCCGAAGCGGTGTGTGCCAGAGCATCTGTCAATCGTCGACTCGCTGAAAAATAAATGTTCAGCATGTTAATTTTTCCAGTTAATTTCCCACCAGCGGTCTCGTCGATTTCAAATGATTGCTGGAGAGTTTTGAAAGCGATTCCCATTTTCTGCCAATTCTGTTTGACTGCTGGAAAACAGAAAAATCTTTGCTGCTTTTTTTGAAGTGAAACAATAAGGCTTTATCAATCTTACGTCCGGAAAACACTTTCTGAAACATGTTCATTCTTTCTTGCATGACACGCATTGCTTCTTCCGAAGTTTTGACACTGCGCTGGAATCGTTCCACTTGAAGATCACTGGAAGAAAGCAAAATTGCTTCAAAATTTTTGATTGCTTCAAAATTTTTAAAAAGTACATATTGTTCGGATCCAACTGCTGCTGTGGAACAGTGATGCAGTTCAGGAAGCTTCCACCGATATACTCGTCTTTTTCAGCCCGACGCTTTCCAGTCTTCCAATCTTTCTCATCTGTGCAACTGATGAAGTGAAGCCAGACCTTAAAGTTAGCAAAGTGAGTATTGTCTGACATATTTTACTTGCCTCGGATTTGCTAAGCACTGGATGGCGGCAAATCTTATTCACCCACAGTTGCAGAATATGCTTGCGGTGATCAATCAGATCCTCTTCATATCGGCCAGCCACTTGCTTTTCCGGTAGTGGTGGAATTGGAATGAGAACGTATTTGGCAGAGAGCTGTTCGTGAAGCCAATCGAAGTGCTTATAGCGACGAGACACCTGACACTGAAGACGTTGGAGACGTAAAGTTAGTCATTTCATTTACCTGGATGTTTGTCAAACTCGAAGTTATCGAGTAGGCGATAAAGCTCTTCAACCCTTTTAGTTTCGACTCTTTCTTTGGTTTGTCTACAATGCAGTGATAGTATTGCTGAATTGGTTTCCACTGGATGATTCCATGTTGCATCACCACTTCATGTCTCTCAGTAATTGGGGTTGAGTTTTTGCACTCTCCTATCACGTAGGCTTCCACACCAGATTTCACGAAGTTTGAGAATCTGTTGATGTTTTTGTTGACCTTGCTAGATCCACGATCACTTCCGTGTTCCGAATGACTGCGGCTGAGATCTCTTCTGGAACTGGAACCGAAAGATGCTGTGGCGGTTTTTGAGGGCTCCTGTAATTATTAAATTATAATTCAACTGTTTACGAACAGATAAGACAAATGTGGACATTTAAAAATTAACATTTGTTCATCACGGAACACGCAAACGGATGCACAATGGTAAAGTTCGGAACATACAACTGTCATGATACCCATTTCTAACCTTAATATGAACGTCACGATGAATACCCACACCAGTAGCTGACTTCTCAATACGTTTTCGGGAGTCCCGTTCTCCTCTGGACTTTTTTCTGCGCATACTTTCTTGCCTACTAAATCTTTTTGAGCCTTCGCTCCCATTGAGTTTATTCGATCCTTCTGTAAATACGCGTGAACACTGAATATAACTGCGGAAACGAAAACCTTGCTGACTGCTTCGAGTCTCATCATCAGTCGACATATCCGTTCGTGATCCACTAGCCCTTTGCGCCAGATTGTGCATTGCCAGAGAAGACGGATCGTGAACAGACAAACGATGTTCCTTGAGAGAACAATAAACGAGAGAATACGGGGCGGAATTTCTAGACAATGTGAACTAAACTTAATGCCGTGTCCAAAGTCACAAAAATCTACGAAATCTGTAGTGCTTTCACTGTCCAAAGTCGGCAGAGATTTTCTTGAAAAACACCGTAGTTTCATGGTGTACGGTCACCTTCGTTCAGCTGTGCGCACCCCGTTTTTCAAGCAAATCTCTGCCGACTTTGAACAGCGAAAAAGCATTACAGATTTCGTAGATTTTTGTGACTTTGGACACGGCATAACTGACCCATGATGGAGAAAAAGATACACTAGCGCGATGAACTCCTCGAATTTCAGCGATTGGGATAGGCTTATGGTAAAAATAAACATCAGCATCTGATTGTCGCAAACGATGCATCTAGATCTCTCAAATATCAGTTCATATAGTGTATCTAACAAAGTCTACGATCGTTTTTGAGAGGAAGCGCACACGCTCAAAAATGGACCAACGCTTCTCGAAATACGCTGAATAGACGCAATCAGTCGACGAATCTCGTACGAGAGCGCTTCCAGAAAAAGAGACCATTTCTACTGCTTAGCATAGTTTTGTCTTATTGATTTTTTATCATGAATACTTGTTTAATCAATTCTCGCGGTAGCATAAAGGGAAGCGTTCTACATATCACGGGCCGGCAACTCTGGAAACTCGATTGCAATCTAATTAGAAGAGTTTGCAATCTAATAAGAAAACGCTATATTTCGCAATCTAATCAGATTTAATTGAAGTTCCAGTAAAATCGTATTAGATTACAATATATTTTTCCTGAATTGCAATCTAATAAGAAAAAATTGCAATCTTATTAGAAAACATTGCAATCTAATTAGAAAAATTGCAGTGATTGTAATCTAATAAGAAGATTTTGCAATCTAGTTGAAGCAAATTCTATTTCAAACGAGTTCGTATTAGATTTCAAAGTTTTCTAATTAGCTTGCGATCGAGTTCCCAGAGAAAGCATACGTAGGAGTGGAAATTGTGAAGCTGTAACTTCTCTCAGAAACTTTACATCTACCCCAAACCTGGCTCATTTTGAAGAACCCAGTAAAAATGAACTCTTATAAAAAAAATCAGAGGTCCCTGTGTTCGATTTCTGGAGATATATTGAAAAAAACCGAAAGTCCTATGATGTATGAAAAGCCGGGCCGTGCATATTTTTCAAAAAAAAAAGTAAGCTGTAGTTACATTTTGAAAAGGATTTTGATTGATTTGAAGATAGTCTAATGTAATGAAACTAGCCGAGCGACCACGAGCGAATAACATTCTGAAAATCAGGGAATAGGTTGGACTGAAGACATAGAATAAATAGATGACTAGTTGCTGCGATAGCAGAGCATCAATATAAGTTGTGTTGGAAATTCTCAAGATTAGGACAATGAGATGTCGAAAAGGATTGCGAAGAGGGAGCATGTCCGGAAGCCATGTTGCGACAACTCAGTTTCCCTTGAGCTAGTCTTTTCTAAAGCGTCAAAGAGCCGAACAATTACAAGCGATAGAGAATAAAAGGAAGCATCGATACACGCAGAATACTAATAGTCAGTTGCGTCGGCGAAAATTCATAGAACTCCGAATCTAATTTATACATGCAATCAATTGCTTTCTCACCTGTTGTTCTTCATCTTCATCTGTCCATTCATCATCAAAATCGTCGTTCTGTGTATTCTTCGTGTACGCTGCACTTGTAGCTGGGACTAGAGGCTGGACTGGCTGATGTTGGGTGCTGGAAACTGGATATGCTGGTGATGTGAACGATTCTGCTCCCCAATCATCGAGTGGACAAGGAAGAGGCGGAACGGAGCTAGATGCTGTAGATACTGGCGGAGGCAATGTCTGAAATGTTCTTATTATCACTGTGTATGCCGAAAGAGTATCAACACACAGCCCTACGTTTTTAATCGACATAAGGCTGTCCGATTTTGAGGCTTCAGATGTGGTATCTTCTTCTATCAGAGCCGCGATGGCCTTCGGTTTATGAGTAGATATTTCTTGCTTAATAAGAGTACTACAAGTATGACGACGAATCATTTGTTTTCTTCGTCTGTCAAGAAGACGATGTTCATCGGAAGTCTGATTCCCTCCGGATTGAGAAGGATACATTTCTACTGCTTTTCGAAGACTAGATGTGAACAGCATGTCGTCAATTAAGAAAAACGCGGGAATAGTGGTTATTGAGCACTGGCAAGCCGGGCGATTGTTCTCTTCTTGGAGACAGAAAATGAAATAACGAAAGAAGGTGGAGCGAAATGAGTCGGAGCTGCTTACCGACAATCCGACAGGTCCCTGGGGACGGCGCCAAATTCAAACTAGTTTTTGTTCTAACGTTTCTCTTCGTTAGTTTAAGTCTACTTAAAGATCAAATTATGCAGCAGAAATTCTGTGATACCCGAGATGAATTCGAGTATGTTTAATGGAAACATGTACTATTGAAGCTCAGAAAAGCACTAGAAAATTAACGTTTCTTTTCTAATTTCGAATTCCAATTATTTTGATGTGTTTCATCTGGGCACATGTCCAATTTGGAAAATTCGGAAAACACAATCAGTTCACAATCAGGCTGGTTTCTTCCAAGAATAGATTGAGTCGGGAAAGGGAAAAGGGAAAAACGGGTTACCGGTGGCGGCCGAGCTGCTTGATATGGGGTGACATAAGTTTCGGGGAAGAGGCCGACTGAGCCACGAGCATTCCGGCCTTCCATCCAGCCCCCGTCAATATTCTGAAATAGAACCATTACGCTGCACATTGAGTTATATTCAGGGGTGCTTTTGTGTGTTTATATTATTTCTTCCACCTTATTCCACGGCGTTAAAAAGACAACTTTTCGAGCATCATTTTTTGAATTTCTCTATTAGACGGGAAGAAGGATTTACCTCTTTGATAACCGTCAGAATTTCACCAACTGTGATGCTCATCTCACCCGAGTTAGGATGAGCCTCGAAGTCATATTCAGCCTTAACTTGAGCCATTGATGAAGCTTGGCTGAAAGATTATGAAAATTGAATGTAGAAGAAGTCGGGAAATTCTTGAAAAGAGAGAAATTCATTGAAAAAGATGAGTCACTGGCATTCCTCACGCGTTTAAAAAGAAAAATGAGACGTAGAGACAGAGACACACAGAGAAAAAGACACACAGAGAAAAAAAATGAAATATGGAATAATCGCAATATCAGTATTACGTTTTAATAAACGCTTCTAGTTAGCATAAACGTTTGGCTGCATTTGAAAAACAATCACTTACTATTAGATATGTCTAACGATGACCGAGGGCATAGTTTATTTTAGCATTTCCCTATGATGTTTTTTTAAAATAAATTGTTTTCATAATTTTTATGCAAAAAAAATAAGGAAGAAACTTTTCTAGGAAACAAAAAATATGCTAGAAATGTAATTGAAGCTAAGCTGAACCTGTTAAAACATATACTCAGTTTACCGCTCTTGCCTCCTCGGTGTTTGCGTACTCGAGCCTAATTTCAGAAATTTTTGGCTTGAGTCTGCAAACACCGAGGGGCAATAGCGATGAATTGATTTTAACAAACAGGTGAACACGAAAGCGAACGCGGCATACTATTGCGAAATCGGATTGGAAAATCGCCGTTTGCGTCCTGACAAACAAACCGGCCTAAGCTTCGAATTTTTCAACCCATAGTTTGTTTTTGCTTTTTTCTCCCGTTCTCTTCATTTTTCCTATCATTCGTCGTTTCGCGGCATTTTCCTGACTGTTATTTTTGAGACCAATGTGTTCCGCTAGAGACTGAGACATCTCTAGTTTAAAGGCGCATATAGCCAGAATGTGCTGCAGGTCTCGCAACGATCAACGAATTGTCCTCGTAAACAACGTTATTTCTCTGCGTCGCTGTATTTGAGTTTATCCAGGTTCTCACGATAAAAATTCTATTCTCGCGAGTTCTGTTCTTGGCTTCCCGGAAAAAACTGACTAATTGCTAAGAATGTTGTGAAGCACGATCTTTCGCGTTCAAACATCATTTTGAACAATTTTTCTATGTCTCGTATTCAATAATTTGCGCGCATTGCCCGTCTTCGCGGGTAATCCTGAATCAGAATCAATCCGCACTGCGATGGTGTTATTAGGAACAGTTCTGATCTGGAAACGTCCTTATTTGGGGCAGCCCCGTTTTCGCGCATTATGCCCTATTTCACTCAGGGAAATCGTTATTAATCTAGCTAGCTAATTGGCGTTTATAACCGGCCCTAATTAGATTTCTAAGTTACTGCGATTAGTTTGAAAATTTTTCTAGCTAGACTGATATATTTTATAATTAAGCTGACAAAATAAAATTTGTCTGATTAGATTAACAAAGAACTGATATTAGATTTTCAATTCATATAATTAAATTCATAATTCATCTAAATAGATTAATAAGGCTATTCAGCGTATGTTTGTTTTCCGTTTTTTTTGGTTTTTTTACACCGCTGAATTGGGTTTTTTGACGTAAAAAAACGAAAAAAAACGGAAAAAAAGAATTTTTTTCACAGCCTGAATAACCACATAACACTTTGACCGACTAGCGAATCTTCCATTCGCTTGGTGAGATACATTTCCTCCAATACATAAGCTCAAAGTTGAACGGTCAAAATCGGACCACTTGACCGAAAGCGTTAATCTAATTAGATGCATTGTGAATAATATGTTCTTTATCAGTCTAATTAGACAAATTTTGTTTTGCCAATCTATTTAGAAAATGTATCCGTTTATTTAGAAGAACTTGAAATCGAATCTCAGAAAATTAGCAATCACTGCAATTTGTCTAATTAGATTGCAATTTTTTCTTATTAGATTAAAATTCAGGAAAAATTTACTGTAAGCTAATACGATTTCACTGGAACTTAAATCAAATCTTATTAGATTGCGAAATAGAGCCTTTTCTAATTAGATTGCAAACGATTACTCAGGAAAATCGTTTGTAATCTAGTTAGGAGGTTTCGAAATCTAAACCGAGTTTCGAATCTAGCTTGATTTGACCGATAGGTTAATAATCTAATTAGATGAATTTTGAATCTAATATCAATGTTTTTGCAATCTAATTAGGAAATTTTGCTTTGTCAATCTAATTAGAAAATTTATCAGTCTAGTTAGAAGAATTTGCAATCTAATCCCAGTAAATTAGCAATCGGACTAGGTCCGTTTATAATGGGGTTATTCAGGCTGTGAAAAAAAATGATTTTTTTCCCGTTTTTTTCGCTTTTTTACATCAAAAAACCCAATTCAGCGGTGTAAAAAAAACGAAAAAAAAAACGGAGAACAAACATACGCTGAATAGCCCCATTAACGCGAACTAGTTAGCTAGATTAATAACGAGCTCCCTGATCAACCGTCCTGTACTATTTCCATTTGTATTTTTTTCACGAAATTTAAGTTTTTCGGCTATTCTATTGAATGAAATTGGTGTTCTTGAAAAGCAGATGTTTGCAGATGTCTCAGTTTGGAGGTGGAAAGCCACCCGGTCAATGGCATCGTCCAGCTGCACCAGGCGGTGCTCCGCAGCTATCGGGATTCCCTGCTGTCAACTTCGGCGGCGTTCCAATGGTTGGAATGGGTGTTCCGATGGGAATGGTCAATCAGGCAGCGTTTTCTTCGCCAAATGTTCTTGGGATGCAAGGAATAATGGGTGCTGTCCCGCAACAGTCACTGGGGCAACAACAACCGGTATTTGTCAGCTAGCTGATTTTACTCACCCCAGTACAGAATTTCCAGCCACAGAATGGTCTTCAACAAAGTTCCAATCTTCAGCAGGGAGCTGGTGCCAAAAATCAAAGAACATTTGTTGGTGTTGTAACAAAAATGCTGGATACATACGGATTTGTTGATGACGACGTATTTTTTCAACATAGGTTTGTTTTTTTTCGCGGAAGTATAATTTTTCATGAAAGTGGGCTAAGCTGAAAAATTCAACGGTTAATTAAAAATCTAAAATATAAATTTTCGCATTTGCCTTTTTTAATGAAGACTTCTACAAGCAGGAAGACGATTATTTTAAACTATCGCATCGGGCTAGTCCGGCCCGCGATAAGTATGCAAGGAACTAATGAAAAAGTGAGGTTTCAGTGTTATTCGTGGAGCTCATCCTCGAGTCGGAGATAAAGTTATGGTTGAAGCCAATTACAACCCGTCAATGCCCTTCAAGTGGAACGCTTATCGAATTCAGTTACTGAATGCTGCTACTCAGCAGGAACCGCCTCGTCCTGCACAATCCCAACAACAAATGGCACCTCAACGTGGAAATGAGTAAGGAAATCAAGATAAATTCGGACGTTGAATATTCCGTGAAAGCGTAAATAGGTATTTTGAGTTGTGCGCCAGCAGGTCGCTACGGGGAAATAGATCGGGCCTAGATCGAGAAACATTTTGTCTTAGGAACTGGGCCAGCTGAGTGATAATGATATATATATATATCATGTTCTGTAGGAAGTCGATTTTTCTAATCTTCCCCGTGTAAGGTATAGTGCAAGTTAGAGCTGGAAAAATGCTACGGACTAAAAGTGTCGCAGACATTCATGCAGACTGCGGTGATTTGACATAGTAAAGATAAAGACGAAATTTTTTCAGGTCGCAACGGTGGGTAACCAGTTCTGGACCGTCGGATAGAAACGGCCGCGGTGACAGCCCGATTCATCGTGCTCAACCTGTTAGAAGGCACTCTCCACCTAGACGATCTTCTCCTAGGCGCAACAGCCCGAAAAGAGATACTAGACCGAGAGAGACTAGGGATGCAAGAGAATCCAGACGGTCTCCACCACGCCGGACATCTCCAAGAAGAGTTTCATCCCCTCCAACTCAAACCAGACCTGAAAAAAATGAGCGAAAACGCGAGAGAAGTCCGAGTGGCAGTGTTGCTCCGTCGGTTCGCCGTGAAAGCGCAAGTCCTCCCAGAAGGCGGGCAAGAATTATTCCTCGATATGAGTGCAAAGTTCAGAAACCGGTTTTGCTTTCGTAAGTCTGAAAGGACATTCATGGGATTTTAGCATCGCGTTTCAGATTGGTTGTTTCTGGTTCTGTTCTTCGTCACAGGTATCCTAAGCTTTACCTTCCATCGGACTACGTTGATTTGTCATTCGATTGGGTTCGCTCCGTTCAACTCGACCTTTCTCTTGACCTCAATAATCCGATCCAATTCCATGTTTTCAACAAAGAAGTCGAGCTTCCGCTGGAGGAAGGAAAAGTTTTGCCAGAATTAGAGCCAGAAGATGCAGATCATCGTCATCAAGTAAAAGTTTTGCTTCTGTCTCACGAAGGAAAACCCGAAATTGTGAAAAAATCTTTCTGCTTGATGGCCGACGGTACTACTGATGATCATCAAGAACCGCAAGCTCTTTACAAAAATTTGCAGTTTCTAGTTGGTACGCGGTGAATTTTTTTTTTCTCAATCTCAAGTTTGTTCCCAGGTGCTAGAGGAAAAGAGACTATGGGAATCGGAGGAAGTTGGTCGCCTTCCATGGATGGTGCGAATCCAGACTCGCCGGCAACGATGATTCGGACTGCGGTTCGCACGACAAAAGCACTGACTGGAATCGACCTGTCGGCAGTGTCGCAGTGGTAAGATCTCTTATTCCTTGAAGTTTTCTATGTGTTTTCTCAACTCTCACACCTATCCAATCTTGAACAACGAAGGATGATGTCTCCGGGATTCCATCTTTCAATCGATCGATACTCTCTCAAACATAATTTCCTCTCAATTGTTTTGCTCATTGCACAGGTTCTCAATGGTTCAAATTCGTTACTACCGATCCGACAAACAACGCGTAGATCACGTCAACCTGCTGCTTCCTGATACCCAGTCATTGGCTATCGACGACGCTACGTGGGCGATTGCCGAATCTGCGATTGGTGAACAACTCAAGGCCAAAATAGCTTTCATTGACGCGATGAAGATAGAAGAAGAGGGTGTCGAGAACGTCGAACAGGGTGGTGACGAACAAAAGAAGGAAGAGGTTGCTCCTACTGAGGAGGAGCCGAAACAAGTGGATGTCAAGGAAAGTATCGTCCTGTTACGGGTTTATTTATTTTCTCTGTATTCGCGTTCAGCAGTAACCGGCCTTTCACTCGACTTGTGATGTTCAGTGTCTTGTGTCGCTTTTTCCTAACAATCCCTATTGCATGAGATATTTATTACTCTCTCCAGTCATTTATTCTGCACAATCATCTACACCTCAGAAACCAAAACTATAAAAAGCAAAGACTGCACCATTTTCTTCAGTCAGTATTATTTACTTTATTTATCTTGAAAGTGCTTTAACTGAATTTCACGCAGGCGTTTAATTTTTTTGTTTCAGGTAGAGAATGATCCCGACCTCAGTATGGCTAGTGAAGGAGATGAAAAGTCGGAAAAAGTCGAGGATGGTCAAGGTCCTACTAACTGGAGTAAGCTCGATCCTAAAAGCATGAAGGTGGCTGAACTTCGCGTTGAGTTGGAATTGCGTGGATTAGAAACCAAAGGGATCAAGACTCTGTTGGTCCAGCGACTCCAAACTGCTTTGGACTCTGAAAAAGCCAATGAAGCTAACGTCGAAATGAAAGACGTCTCGGATGCTGCTGTCAAGCAAGAAGGAAATGAAGAGAATCCAGTAAGTGTAAAACGAACTGTTTAAAAGGAGTATCCATTTTCAGGCGGCATTCATAGCCCCATCCGTTGAAGAAACTAAAGCGAAAACTGAGGCTGAAGCAAAGAAAGAGCAGGAGGAGAATGAGAAAAAGAAAAAGAAGGAGGAGCAGTTGGAGAAAGAAAAAAAGGATAAACGGGAACTGCTAGAGAAGCATTATCAGCTTCCAAAAGACAAAAAGGTTAGTTCGGTCCACAAAGGAACAATTTCTAGCTTTTTTTTTAAGATCCTTGTCTTCCCTTCGAAAACTTTCAAATCTGGAAAGTTCGACTGTAAGGTCATGAGTCTGAATTCCCTCCTGGACTATCGAGCAGATGACAACAAAGAAAATCAATTCGAAGTTTCCTTGTTTGCTGAAGCATTCAGAGAGATGCTCGAGCGTAACTCAGCTTTCACAATTTATGAGACGTTAGTCAACTGCGGAGATCGTGACGCAGAGAAAAAACGAAGAGACGAGGCCCGTGAGAAAATCGTAGACACTCCAAAAGACGATGAAAAGAAGGACGAGAAGGAAGAAGAAAAGAAGGACGAGGAAAAGAAGGAAATTTTTGTCACGGAAAAAATTGAGCTGAAAAGTTTGGTAGCCAATCGTACAGTCTATGAAGCGTTTTCCCTTTTCGACGCCAATCTCTGTGGATATGTCAACGAGAAAGACATTGAAGAAATCCTGTATAATGGAGAGTTTGGCATCTCAAGAGGCCAGATTCAAAAACTCGCAAAGAAGTTGTCGGTCCGTGACAGAGTTAATTATCGTCATCTTACTGATGTGTTGACTGATATGGACGGTAATGTCAGACACACTCCTGGAGGAGCTGACGACGTTGTCGAAACTGACGATCTCATCAGAGGATTTGGAGTCAACTTGGCTAAGGCCTCCGAAAATCAAGACTCGACAGAGGATGACGTCTCAAAGTGCAATGATGAAGTTGTCATTATCAACGGAAGTGTTGTGAATGTTGCGCAAAAATTGAAGTTGTTGAAACAAGTCGAACATGAACGAGACACTGCAAAGTCCACAGTTAATGAACAATCTTCACTCATCGGTGATTCATTTTTTTCCTATCGCGGCGGTCCAAAGACTACGTTAGCAGACACACGTCGCGTGCGCTGCGACGCGGTTGGCGTCATGCCAAGTTTTATATTTCAATTGAAAAAGGGCGACTGAGTCGCTACCAGAGTTGAGCGGAAGAACAACGGAAGAACACGGAAGAATTTTTATCTTTTTTAGAAAAATGTTTCATGGAATGTGATCAACTGACGAAATGTATAGAAAAATGAACTCTGCTCATAGAAAATAATTGTAAGTTTAGCTTTTCATACAAAAGTTTTTCGAGTTGTTCCGTGAAAAAAGGGGCTAACGGAAGACGGAAGGACATTTTCACGGAACAACTCGAATAACTTTTTTGTATGAAAAGCTAAATTTACAGTTATTTTTCTATGAGCAGAGTTCACTTTGCTATACATTTCGTCAGTTGATCACGTTCCATGAAAAAAATTTTCTAAGAAAGATAAAAATTCTTTCGTGTTCTTCAGTTGAGTTCATCCGATCAACTCTGGTCGCTACGCAGTCAATTGCAAAAACGGCGGGAAAATTTGAATAAGTTCGGCCGCGTAGTCTTTGGAATCCCGTGATTTCTTTCGTTTGTAACAAATCGCTTTCAGACCAACTGCGTGATGCGAAATCTGAAATTGAAAAGAAAAAAAAGGACATCGAATCACACTATCACAAGTCGAACAAAAAGCTAAATGAGACCAGTTCTCAACTGAAAACCTTACAAGAGGATCATTCAGCATTGAAGCAAGCTCTTCAGGATTGCAAACGACATGCCGATCGTATCTTTAGTGTTGTTGAAAAAGCACTGCCGGCTGCTAAAAAAGAGGAGAAGAACAGAGCAAGTTTTAAATCTCAATTTTTTTTTATTTAATATGTTGTTTACAGGAGAAGGAGAAAGAACGTTCGGACAAAAAAGATGAGAAACAGGATGACAAACAAGCTTCTGCCGAGAAGGAGCCAGCTCCTCAAGAAATCTTGGAAGATTCAATTATCGATACCGACGCGTCTTCTACAGATAAAGGTTCTGGCGAGAAAGATGAGAAAAAGGCTGCTTCAGAAACGAAGGCGGAACATGTCGAAGAAATCGAAAAATAATATTTTTTCTTCTAAGTAATCAATGATCTAATTTCTCAAATCATAAGACTTTTTCTGATTTTCTTGTTGAGTTAAAATTCGTCGCTATCTATTATTTGACCGATTATGTTTTCAATAAAAGGACTCGAGGCAAACACTAGTTTAATTGTTTTGAAAATCATGGTTTTCTAATTCCATAGACCATAACTTGTAAAACGGTCGTCTAAATTTGCATTGAGATTCAGAACTTCAGAATGAGTGGTCCAAAAACAAATGAAAGATCGAGAGATGATGATAATGAAGGTAAAAAAGAGTAAAAACTTTTTTTTGACTTCAAGGCGATTTTTCCAGAAGTTTGGAAGGAACGTTGTTTTCAGTGCATCCGTTGCAATTCGATATCAGACTGTCGTCAATGTTCTGCTTGCAAAAACAACAAAACATGTGAAACTCGCCGTTGCTTCAATGCCAAAAAACTGTACGACGAAAAAAGTACGTGCGAGTGAGGCAGCTGCATGTTTTTAAATTTAAAAAAAACCGCCAAATTTTTTTTGAAAAAGGTCTAGGATAATCGCCGGTGTCTCCTTTTCTAGGTATATTTTCACAAGACTGTAAACCAGTGCTGACCGAATTCCGTTTTCCGTCTTTCCGTGGTTTTTTCTGTTCTGTCTTCCGGATTTCAAATATCCATTTCCGCTCAACTCTGTTGTGAACCTGGGCCCGCTGCGCGGGCCGAACCGACGCTCGAAAGCGGCTTCGCCGCTTGTTTGTTTCTCATAACCGTTCGAAAGGTCACGCGTTCATTTCTTGATTTTCCGTCACAATCTTTCCGTTTTATAAATCAACGTGGGGGACGGACAAACGGAGTAATCATCATTCTTATTTAAAAAAAAGCTAGCGGGGTCTGTCCGTAACTTTCTCTCTTTCTTTCTTTCTCCGTTTGTCCGAACACTTTTTCATTTCTAAAACGAAAATTGTTGTGACGGAAAATTTGAGAAATGAACACGTGAACTTTCAAACAGTTATGAGAAAGAGCTCGGCCCGCGCAGCCGTTTCAAAAGTCTTTTAAACAAACAAACAACCAGACCACGGTCTCCAGAGCTGACAATGGATGCAAGTGCGCCCCGCCCAATGGAGCGATACATTAGCGCGAAATTCAAAATTTAACAGCACAATTTGTGTTTTTTGCCAGATTAACCAGGAAAAACCGATAATTCCTTATTTGTCTCTCGATAGACCGATTGTATAGGCTATTACGAATTTTTTAAGCGCAAGAGCGTCAATTTTGGCCAAGTCCCAAATCACATTTATCCGTTTGAAGGTTTTTGGCTAAAACTGCGTGAATTTCAGTTGCTTTCCGGTAATTTTTGCGGTTCGAGCGCTCAAAATGCTTGTATTTACGTGATTTATCATTCTCAAAACCAATTCTGTCTGAAAACAGTCAAGAATTTCGAGGCGGCGAAGGCGAAAAAGCGAAGTCCGCGAAAAATGCGCCTAAACGTCATTAATTCCGAGAATTAGTGTGTTTTCATGTCGAAAAATCATTTTTCATCGCCTTTGACGACAAAAATCAGAGAAAACCTGCTCAATTCATGAAAACGCCATTTGGCCGAGGTCACGCCCATATTGTCAGCTCTGGAGACCGTGAGACTGACAAACCCGTGAAGAGTTATATTAATAAGAATGATTTGTGGCTGCCACCTGCGTGTTCCTGTTTCACTTCTCTTTCACACGCGCTGTTTTTCTCTCCCCTCTTCCTCTCTCATAGTTAGCTTCGTTGGCGCGCTTTTGAAATTCAAAATTGTTTGTACAGTCATATTAGTGACCTTCAAACCTTTTAATTTTTCTTCTCTTTTAATAATAAAGGTTTTCAGTGAAAAAACAAACGGAGGAGAATCTGAAACAAATAATGGCTAAATCCGCTGAGTTAGAAGCACAGGCTGCTGCTTCTGGAAACAACGACATGGGTAAAGAACCTGAGAAGAAGAAAAGAGGGCGAAAGAAGGGAACTATTACATCGAAAAAGATCAAGGAGAAACACATTGTAAAAAGTTTCCCTACCAGACTTCACTCTGCAGATTTGAAGAAAAAGAGGACGCAGCTCACTGTAGGATTTGAATTTTTATTTTATTTTTTAAAATCAATGATTCGGTTAAGGCGGAGCCAAACAGGCAGCCACGCCAGTGTCTCAATCCAGATTGCATCTACGAGGCTCGAGGAGAGAGTAAGTACTGCTCCAATGAGTGTGGCAAAACATTGGCAAGAATGAAACTGACTGAGATTCTTCCTGCTCGGTGCAAGGAGTACTTTTCTGTACCACGAACTCACGAAGAAGCTTTGAAACAAAAGCGAACACTTCTAAACAAAGACATGCAGAATTTGACAACGTCTGAGAAACATATGATGAGGTTTATCGAAAAACTTCATGAGTATGCCGAAAAGCTATCGAAGCTGGTGCCGCAAATAGCAGAAGAACAAGGTGATGATAATATGGTGAGAAAAAATTAACGCTACTTTTCTAATAAGCCGGTTTCCAGTTCGAAGCATGTGTGGTTTGTGGTCAGCCAGACATTCCTCTCAAAAAATACGCCAAACACATTGATCTGTGCTGGTCTCGAAGTGAAAAAGCCATTTCTTTTGGAGCACCAGAAAAAAACAATGATAATTTTTATTGCGAGAAGTTTGATCCTAGAACAAATACGTATTGTAAGAGATTGAAATCGCTGTGCCCTGAACACCGAAAGCACGGTCCAGAGCAGTGTCTGAAGATCTGCGGATATCCCAAAAAATGGGAAAACAGTCTTGGCTACGACACAAAAACTCTCGCCGAAGCCATTGAACAGGAAGAGTAAGCTCCTAAGATTTACTCCAGCCCAGTGTTTGGTTTCCAGTCCATTTGGAGAAGAAGGATGTATGACAAGGAAGGATGCCTGCTCAAAACATTACAAATGGCTGCCTTCTCTACGCGGGTCGATCGAGCTCGAGCAAGCCTGTCTGTTTCAGAAAATGTTCGAGCTCTGCCACGAGACGCATAAGCTGAATACACACGCCGAATGGACCACTAACGTACTTTCAATATTCATGCACAAACCGCCAAGTAAGTTAATAAATAGTGATCAAAGCTAATATTTGTTCTCAGACATCGTGAATCAGAAAGAGTACCTAGCATACGTGAAATCCATGAAGTCTCAGCCCATGAGCTGGTCGCCAGACCGAAGCGAAGCAGCAACCGACGATGATCCTGTGATGATAGATACTGCACAGTTTTTGGCGGGAATCTCCGTTGACCCTCAAGGTAAGGAAAATTCACAAGATTTCATGGCGTCTACCCTAGATTATAACAGTATGCATACACTCGAGCTAGAATAATTGCAGCATCCGATTCGCTAGAACCAGCTCAGTCTCAAAACGATCTACCAAGCCCATCTACATCTACCATCTTGGCTTCCAAATCAAACTTCAGTGTTTCCAGATTCCTAGAATAATCTTCCACGTCTGTCTTCCTTTATTTATGCTACTTTTCAGATCAAGTCTCAGATCGCTTGTTCGTTGACCTTTTAATTTGCATATTTTGAATGTGAAGTATTTTATCTCCATTCGTTGTTTTACTTTCTCTCCCGATCTGAAGATTCTGCTCTATATTGTGGGGTTATTCAGCGTATATTTGTTCTCTTCGTTTTTTTACATCGCTGAATTGAGTTTTTTGACGGAAAAAACGGGAAAAACTTACGCTGAATAACCCCATTAAAAGAAACTACAGGTTTACCGTGGGTGCCTCCCTCAAAGGAATGTGTCTGGTGGATGGTGACTGCGCTGTCGTACTCTTTACCGGAGATAGAAATCATTTCGGATAGGAGGTCATCGTATCCGACAGTGACTGACAGACTATTCTCGTCAATACTTGACGATTAATTCGATTATATTCTTCTTTGTTGTTTCGTTTTTTACTATATAGGTTCAACAACTTTCATTCTCACTTCTGCTCACAAATGTTTCAATAACTCGTCTTACAAAACACATTGGCACTCCTACCCTGACTGAATCGACAAAATACTTGTATCTGTTTGGCTTTCGCGTTGTCACGCCGAAGTCAGTAAAAATTATGTGAAGTTTACTGTAGAAAATAGGAACAGTTGAGAATATCTTGAAATTTTCGCAACCCATTAAGCTTATCACATCCTATGTCTTCAGTCGTTTCTCCACGAATGCCCTTTTGGTTACTCCCTTTCCCTTTCGAAAGTTGGCCTAGAAAAGGATTGGTTCGTTGAGAGAAAAGAAGGGAGCGTCCTCTTCTGATCCGAATTGTCACTTGTGGAATGTAATGTGTATAACACAGTTTCTCTTCGGGATGAGACAGGCGCAAGACGATATCTTTCGCGTTGAAAGTCGGTCAAGGCAATACGTTTTCACTGCGGAAAGATGCGGACGATCCGATCACTACAGACCGATACGCATCGCCGTATACTGCACCTGATGGAGGATTCCGCTATCTGATTTCTTTTCATTGATATTTTTGTTTCCTACAATATTCACCGATCCAGTACAGTAATCATCGTTATTTGCACATAGCATGAAATTCAGCCTTTTAAATCCAATGACTCATGCATTCCGTATATCGTTCTTCACAAGATTCCGACTTATCCAGTTTCCTCTTTGGAGAACCTGCATTATTGTCGCTTTCACTGGTCATTCAATGCAACACTTGACTTCATTTCTCGCGTGTTTCATTTTCTATCCAACCAAATCTCCCATCTTGCAACATTTATCCCCATTTATCCTTCTTCAGAATTGTTTATTTTCAGACAAATGCTGATAGTCTTATTAGTCAGCTTACTGTCGTCAGTTGAGGGAGTGTTTGAGTGCAGCTCCCATGAGACGACAGCATTCGTCCGAATCCCCCGCGCTCGTCTTGATGGAACCCCCGTCGTTATTTCCACAGCAGGTTGACCTATTTCTTATTCTAATACTCATTTATTCATTGATTTAGGACATGATTTGACCTGCGCGCAGTACTGCAGGAATAATATAGAGCCGACGACAGGAGCTCAACGTGTTTGCGCTTCTTTCAACTTCGACGGAAGAGAAACCTGTTATTTCTTTGATGACGCTGCTACTCCAGCTGGAACATCACAGCTTACCGCCAATCCATCTGCCAATAACTTCTATTACGAGAAGACTTGCATTCCTAATGTGTCTGCTCATGAAGCTTGCACTTACCGTTCCTTCTCATTCGAGCGTGCTCGCAACACTCAATTGGAAGGATTCGTTCGCAAATCTGTGAAGGTCGAGACCCGCGAACACTGCTTGTCCGCTTGTCTTAAAGAAAAGGAGTTCGTCTGCAAATCGGTCAACTTCCATTACGCCGACAATCTTTGCGAGCTCTCGGTCGAAGACAAGAGATCCAAACCTACCCATGTCCGCATGTCTGAAGGTATCGACTACTATGACAACAACTGCCTCTCTCGTCAGAACAGATGCGGACCATCTGGAGGAAACTTAGTTTTCGTGAAAACCACCAACTTTGAAATTCGTTATTATGATCATACTCAGTCTGTTGAAGCCCAAGAGTCGTATTGTCTTCAGAAGTGTTTGGATTCCTTGAACACTTTTTGCCGGTACGAAAAAAGCCTTTTGTTTGTATTAAATCGTCTTTTGCAGTTCGGTCGAATTCAACCCGAAGGAAAAAAACTGCATAGTTTCCGACGAAGATACTTTTTCACGAGCTGACCAACAAGGACAAGTTGTCGGAAAGGATTATTACGAGCCAATTTGTGTGGCAGGTAAGAAAAGAACAATTCCAATCGTGCGTATCAGCATGTGACGATGTTTACAGCCGACCTGTCCTCGTCCACATGCCGTCAACAGGCCGCTTTCGAAAGATTTATAGGATCGTCTATTGAAGGAGAAGTAGTTGCTTCTGCTCAGGGAGTCACCATCTCCGACTGCATTTCTCTCTGCTTCCAGGTACAGGCTTTCAGCGATAATTTAATATACAGTGTTTTCTTTCAGAATCTCAACTGCAAGTCAATCAACTATGACCGTACTGCTTCTTCTTGCTTCATCTACGCTGTCGGTAGACAGGATGCCAATATCAAAACCAACCCATCCATGGATTACTATGAGTTCAACTGTGAGTCTCAATTTGGAGGAATGGCTCTGTGCACTAACGAAGGAATCCGCTTCATTGTCAATACCAAAGAGCCATACACCGGAGCCATATACGCAGCTGAACGATTCTCCACTTGCTCTCAGGTCGTTGAGAATGCCAAGCAAATCTCGATCACGTTCCCACCACCAACTGTCACTTCCGACTGTGGTACTGTCATCCGTGATGGAAAGATGGAAGCTCTTGTTGTTGTCTCTCTCGACGGTGTCTTACCTCACCAAGTTACCACCGAGTGGGATCGCTTTTACCGTGTCTCTTGTGACGTTTCAATGGACAAAATGGTGAAGGAAGGATCTGTCGTAGTGACAACCATCTACGAGGCTTCTTCTCAAAACACCACCGTCTTAGATGTTGCCACTCCACCACCTGTGACCGCCGAACTTCAAATTTTGAACCAACTAGAGGAGCCATTGCACAAAGCCTCGATTGGAGACCCACTTCTTCTCGTTATCACTTCCGAACAGGCTGGGCCCCACAATATGATGGTCACCGAGTGCACAGCCACCCGTGTCGGAGGTTTCGGAGACTCCGTTCCATTCACTCTTATTGAGAACGGATGCCCACGCTATCCAGCTCTGGTTGGGCCAGTTGAACAAGATTTTGACAAGAACAGACTCAAGTCTGATCTGAGAGCCTTCCGTCTTGATGGGTCGTATGATGTGCAGATTGTTTGCTCTATTATGTTCTGCGCAGGACCAAATGGTTGCCCAGTCTCCAATTGTCTGGACTCGGGAACCAATGAACTCTTCATGTCGCACGGAAGGAAAAAGAGATCTTCGAACCCGGAAGCAGGAGAGACAGAGGAAAGACTATCTGCCATAATTCGTGTATTCGCGAAAGGAGAGGATGAAGAAGAGAACACGTTTGGAAAAAACACGACGTTCAACGGGTAATATCCTGCGATAATGAAACTGGTATTAAAAAATATATATTTCAGCTTGCAAGAAAACTCTGAAACGGTGTGCGTTGGAGAGACATGGTTCGTAGGATCAGTGGTTACAGTTTCCGTCATCTGCTTATTTTTGTCTACGCTCATCGTAGTTTGGGGATGCCACAATATTAACACCACATCAACCAAAAATATGGCATAGCTTTCTGATATATTCTCGCGCCCTTCTGATCCTCCTCGTTAATAATTTTCTGCAGTGCCAGATAATAATAATTTTCCCAAATTTTATAGTCAGATGAGTTCTGAATAAATCTCAAGAATAACCAAATTGATTTATGGGTTATTTTTTTCACTTTAAAAACGTTCACCTTTTTCCAATCTGTTTTAATGCTTAAATAATTTAAATTTTTTTATATTTGCTCGACAAATGAAATTGTACTATTTTGAAACTACGGTAATCACGTTGTTCGCATACTCGACCTGAACTGTCGTCTTCTCGGTTTTCACATTAAAATAATGATCGCATCTAAAAAAAAACAATTTATTCAATATGTTTGTGTTAACAGTACTTTTCATATTCAAAGCCGTGTAAAATAATTCCGATCGGATCATCACTTCTCGGCTGGGACTTGATTTTGAATGAAAGCGTTTGATCGAAAACTTTTAACGAGAGAGTGAGAAGTTCGTGTATCCCATTTATTGAGCTCGAATTGACAAAAAACACTTCTGCTTGGAACTTGATCAGCTGATCATTCGTCACATTTGAAGCCGATTTACTTTCGACTTCATCGGTCGTTTTCAATGGAAGCTTTTTAGCTTCTTTAATCTGATCTAGACTCGCTAGATATCCCAATCCTCCGTTATCGGCTTCTATATCTAACAGTCCGCATTTCACATAAATCGTTTTGATAATATCACTGATATATGGACTGTGTGATTGGCATCTGAAAGTCCACTTCTTACATGAAATGCCAATCGGAAGTTGTGGCGTGTTTATGAACGAAAGCTGGCAATTTTGAATGTTTCAAAAATAAATTAGGGCAACCGGGAATAATGCTAAATTATCTGATATTTACTTCCTTGCCCGATCATTTACTCAGCCCTGCTAACTGATACTGTAGAAATTTACCTTCCACACCTTTTTAAAGTTTCGCATTTTCAGATTATGGGACTTTGGGAACATGAATCCCCCACTTCTAACTTATTTTGAAAAATAAAAAAATTTGTTCCCCTGCTGCCCGACACATTTAAGTACCAAAAAAATTGAAATATGTCCTATTTCAACTAGGTTTTTGAGGACAATTTCTTCCAAGTGCTTATTGACTAATGGAGCAACATTAACTGCATCTCTCAGTGTGACTTCTTGATTTCCATCGTGTACCGTAGCTACTTGAGAAAAAGGCGTTTAAAATGTGTTTAAAAGTGCAAATCGATTTCAATGATAGCAATTGTGTTGTGATATCGCGAACCGAGAGAAGTTTGAGAATGGCTGAAAAATATTATGCATTCGTCGGAGTGTGCGACTTGAAGCTTTTATCGATAGCGGGTCTCGCACGGAGCGAAATTCTTCAAGCTAAGCCTGCGCGCTGGAATTCTGTGCCTTTAAAGTTTGAGGTGGACACGTATGCACAGGTGATTCGCGATCGGTCTATTGAGAACGTGGACCTGTGATAGACCTGTAATATGCTTATCACGAAGAAAAAGTGAACGCATTGTAGGCAATGGAGCGCACCGTTCGCGATGGGCCTATGATGGACCTGTAATAGGCCCATCGCGAAAACCGAATTCGAAGTTTTCGCCAAATTTTCGCCATGCACGGATTTTGTTTGGAATTTTCATATTCTTAACGTGTTTACTATCATTTTAACAGCGTTTATTGTATTTCCAGTTGCTTAATTTAAGTTTTCATTTGTTTCAGTATTATTTTTTGGTGTTATGTACATAGGTTTCTCTTTTTGCGTTAAGTCTATGCGGTATGCGGCATACCGTATGCCTCGATCATTGTTGAATCATTTTGCTCAATTGCAAAACTCAAAAGTGCGGTGTACTGCTAACTATTTTTCAGTCACTCTGGTAAATGGATTGCGATTTAATTAGAACTCATTCACATCTAATCTAAGGTCTGTTACCGCCTAACATGTCATTATTAGATGTGAAAATCTTCTAATTAGATGTGAAAATCTTCTAATTAGATGTGAAAACTTCCAATTAGATGTGAAAATCTTCTGATTAGATGCCAAAATTTCCTAATTAGATGTGAAAATCTTCTGATTAGATGCCAAAATTTCCTAATTAGATCCATGTTCCCCATGTTCCACAGTCGGCTTCTTCGTGTATATTGACAATGTAAAGGACAAAAAATTCATGTCGAGTGCTGACGGGAAGCATTTAAAAAAGACAATGAAACGAGTGAGGGAAATTGAAATTTTTCCGTTGTAGCGCCGGATTCCGTTGTAGCGCCGGATAGCACCTAAGCACTCGTATTCTCGTCCTTTTTCTGCTTCTGCATGCGATGACGGGCGTGACTGCTGGAAAAGTAGATTGGAACGTTGTTTTTCGCATCGACTCACAAGCAATAATCCAAGTGATGCTGGAAGAGCATCGCCACAGTGATCGCCACCTTTTCTCTGTCGCATCCGTGAATTTCGATTGCTCCACTGAGTACGGCTGCAAAAACATATCATAGCATACTAACTCAGATATAATTTATACCGATTGGAGGGTTAATGAATCGACTCGGAAGGGAAACTTGTGGTTTTTGTGGTTTCGTGCTGACAGAGAAGTTGTGGCGTAAGTTGTCCGGAATCATCTGAAAGAAATACCGTTTTGGTGTATTCGTCGTATATTCTTACCTCGGTCAGCCATTTGTTGGCGACGATCTGAACAATATGCTTCAATGAGCCTGTTTGAGCTGGAATTTCGGAAAAAATAGCGTTCACCGAAATTTCGCCTGCAATATTTATTGCTTTGTAAAGTCTCACTTGGATCTTCTCACTTGTACAATCCAAGTTTCCAACCAGAGTTTCCGGCTCCTCTAGAAACTTAGATGGTTCCAGTGTTGCCTTCATCGAAGAAGTTTCCTTTTCATTCTGCAAAAATTGAAAGAGAATTGTTCTAAAAATTAAGGCCAGCAAACGAGTGAGCATGATTAATGTTATGCGCAGAAGAGTTGTCAATGGTGCGCACTTGCAACACTGAACACACACGTGGATATTCTCAGTTGAATACAAATGCAATAAACAACAGAAGACGAGGAGAACATTTCAAAAATTGAGAAAAAAAAGTTGTTCCGCGGTGCGCAGAGATTGCATCATTTCTAATTAGATTGCATCATTTCTAATTAGATCCCAAAAACTCCTAATTAGATGTGAAAAGTCCAACTTCTAATTAGATTCGAATTTCTGTTTTCACATCTAATTAGATTCAAATTAAACCTGAAAAACTTCTAACTAGATCTAAAAATCATGCTTTCTTGAATTAGATGTGAATGAGTTCTAATTAAATCGCAATCCATTTACCAGAGCAAAATGGTAATAGCACTGAAATACTTACTTGTGAAAAGATAGCTACTTAGTGGAAAGTGTCCGAAAAGTGTGGTGGCAAAGTTCGTACACGTCCAAAAATATTACTTAATGAGAAGTTTAGCTGTCTTCTTTTCAGCCGATTATCTTTTTGGAGCCGTCGCGATTTTGGAGTCGGCGGAGGACACGAGAGTGACGAGTACGACGATGGCGCCGGACGCAGAGGAGTGGATCAGGAAAATAACGATGTCGTCGACTGTCGACTAACTCAGCCTGTTTTTTTATTAAGAATGTTTTCCCCGCCCCTAAATGTTTTTCTTTTACTCTTCTACTTTTCCTCTTCTTCTACTTTACCTGTAACCCAGCATTTTCATCTAGTACTACTGTTTTTGTAAATACATTTTTGTAATAACTTTGCGTTATTTTCATTATACTCAATTCATCGCTATTGCCCCCTCGTTGTTTGCGTACTTAAGCCTAATTTTAGAAATTTTGGCTTGAGTCTGCAAACACCGAGGGGCAATAGCGATGAATTGAGTTTATAATCATAATCTCGATATCGAACGTTCGCGATTGGTCCACAAAGGGCGTTCACGATAGGTCTATAATGCGTGAAATTTTCGTGATCGGCCTATATTTGCCTATTCAAGGACCTGCTCCGAGTTCTCTATAGACACATCCGCGAACTTGTAATAGACCGATCGCGAATCACCTGTGTGGTACGGTAGATCACTATCCTCCTCATTTTTCTGACAAACAGCCGATTTCAGACATGGGGATAATGCATTTTCGAAACAGATATGAGAATAAAAATGGAAGTCGATGAAGAATTTTTTGGAAAGTCGAAAAAAAGTTGAAGTGAACCCACAATGTTCTCAAAATCAGAAAGTTCTTATTCCAATCTGCTCATCTAATCAGGCCTCGAGGACAGCAGAGCGGAAATTACTAACATGTATTCTGTCGGTGTGAACTACGCTAACGATAGAGTCGTTGACAGTCGCAGAGAATTGGCTAATGGCTCTTGACATATTTTTTACTCGATTAAACTAATGTTCACATACAAGAATCTTACAATATCATGTTGACTGTCTAAAGTAAAAAGTACAGAACAAATCAACAGATTTTTACAACATTGTAAATATTTCTGGTCTTTATTTTTCTGGAGGTGCCTGTTTGATAAATAAGTATATTATTTCGTAAATGATAATTATCTTGAGCCATAAAATCCTCTTCAGTTTTTTTTTCCATAAATATTTACAAGCACACGCAATTGTTCGTTCGGCCAAGTCGCCTCTTTCGCTTTTCCTCTCGATAGCGCGATCCCGTATTTGCTCAAAATCGCCTACTACTCTCCAATATTCTTTTATCCACTTCATTTCCGTCATCTCGGCGTAATTGATTATTTTCAGTCTTTCAGGACCAGAATTTTAGGAGGAATAATAGTTTAGCACCATAGTTATGCAATACGACAGTAAAAGGTTTGTTAAGAGGTATCAGGAAGATCACTAATAGTAAGATAATTCGACGATAGTCTCAGGGAAATCGTTATTAATCTACCTAGCTAATTCGCGTTTATAACCGGCCCTAATTAGATTGCTAATTTACGTTTCATTTACTGGGATCAGATTGCAAATTTTTCAAAATAAACGGATACATTTTCTAATTACTCAGGTAAAATTTCAAACTTTTCTTGGCTATTTTTAAACTTTTCCAGGCGCCACCTAAGAAATTCTTGGAAAAGTTTGAGAATTGCTCAGAAAAGTTTGAGAATTTCTGGAGACAAAATTGCAATCTAATCCCAGTAAATTAGCAATCTAATGAGGGCCGGTTATAAACCCTAATTAGCTAGAGTACCCTGAGTGGTCTTATTTATAACTTCTAGATCACAAAATTTGAATCAGTCTGTGGCAAATGCAGTAAGAAGAAACTCATCTTCGGTGAAAACGTACGATGCCATTCAATTTCGCGATAAACTTATTAAAGGTAAAGTGGAAGTTTTCAACCGGATGTTGTTATTTCGAACTCGAATGATCTCAGGAGTTTCTTTAGACCAATTGAGTTCTACTGGAGTCAGTCTCTATCTCCAACCATCACGGAACCTTCAAAACCGTCAAGTTTTGTTTCCAAAGGTTTCTTGGAAACAAAATCCTGATTTCATTTTCACTCTAAAAACTGTTTAGAATCAGGCAGCGGCGAATTTCAAAAGTGTCATTCGGAAAGCTTCAAAAAATTCGAAAATGTCAAGCTTGGCGAGAGTTGCGTGGGTACGTTCTGTAGTCAGTATCAAGTTTCAACTATTCGCATCTCAAAAGTGTGGCAATGTCGCTCTACCGCTATTCCACGTGAAATCTCGACCACCGCCACGACCTTTTTCAATTTAGTACTGAATTCAGAGAGGCGGAGTGCGATTGCCAGACTTCTGCGGCTGCAATAAATGAACATTTCGCTTTCAAACAGTCGTTATTAAGAATCTGTATCTCATTGTTCACTGTTCTTGGATAAATAATAGAAACTTTGTTTGAAATGTGAAAGCATAATTTGCGTGTTTAATTCAAAGACAGTTTGCACGTATACACATCATTTTTGAAAATTTCGTCGCTTATTTCAAACAACTCAATGCGTGTATTTTTCATGTGTGAGTCATTCTTCCACTCTCAATATTTTGTCTATCACTCTATTGTATTCCCACAGTGCACAATAAAAGAGAGAAAAAATAGAGAGAGAGAGAGACAGAGAGAGAGAGAGAGAGAGGAGTGGGACGGAGAGAAGGGAGCGAGACACTACTGTCCCGTACATTGACTGTAACTGTGCAGTATGTCGACGCGACCTGGTTTAAACCACTTTTTTGCTTGTCTCGAGACTGACTCGGCCCTTTATCAAGATAAGTCGGTATGTTTCTGAGAGAAAACTGTGTTTGTATTTTCAATCCCACTTAATTATAATTTCCTCATACTATAAGAAGTACAATTTCAGCTCCGTCCCTATACAACAGATTCCTTACATGCTGCCACATTACAACGGAACTATGGTAAGCTCACTATTCTAGAACTAGAAAAATATGTGTTCCTTCTCTTTTTCATAGATGTGTTGCAGGAATTATGAACACTGATGGATGGTTGGAAGATAAAATACATGATAATCCAGTATCATCGACAGTGGGCCGAATAAGACATGGTCAAATAATTTACGATGGAAGGTATATTTTCTATCTTTCCTTTTTTCCCTGAGCTCTCGCTGTGGCACACGATGAATCATCGTTCTGAAATGTAGTCGAAAGTTGTACAAAGCGTGGGAACGGGAGCGGTTTTATGCAAGTCATTTTTAATTGTCAAGAATGAAAATAGTTCAGAACTTGAACCAACATATGCACCCCCCACCGTTTTATCTTGTAGTTTTTTCATCTCAGAATGAAACCAAGGCAATTTCAGGAACTTTTCAACACCGGAACAATCGAAAGCACAACGCTATTCAAGAAGCGAATACCATCTAATGATTCCTTGCAATGAATACACAGATTACGATACTATTCAACGCCAGGTTTCAAGTTTTTCACAAGATTATTTTCTTAGAGATAGTTGTACTTATGGACCTATTCAGCGAGGAAACAGCTGCGGAAATCGGGGAGGAACACCAGTGTTGAGCGGAATTCCGTCTGCCATCTTCCGGGAAAAAAGTTTTCTTCCGTCTTCCGGGAGAAAAATTTTTCCGTCATCCGTTTTCCGTGTTCCGTAAAAAATTTTCTTCCGTCTGCCGTCTTCCGGATTTCAAAATTCCATTTCCGCTCAACTCTGAAATTTTTTCCATGGAACACACATTCCGCGAGTGCGGTGGAGCGCACTTGCATTGCACTACTGCCAGTGGCGCCTCTTGGTCGTTTCGATAGACATGGCTTTTGAAGATCACAAAAACGTCTCGAGAGGCAAAATAATAGTCATAGAATCATAATAGTCATCTCTGCATTTGACACCGATTGGTTCAGTTTGAGCTGAACTTCACTAGTGACTTCCCGGACATAAACAATCCCCTCGACATTTGCTGCCTGAATTTTCAAAACGTTCGAAAATCATACTTCCTGTATTGAATTCCCATATTCAACACTGAAATTTCGGTAAATGCACACAGGAACTCAGGGAAATTTCAACGGAAATGAACCCGTAAATTTTTCGATTAAATTGTTCCTGTAGATTTCCAGTTTTCCAGCGGGCGCATTAAACATTCCCATGTATCCTCCAGTTTTCCAGCGGGCGCATTAAACATTCCCCTGTATTTGATGGCGGTTTTAATCGAAGAAATGTGTAGCCTTACGAGCCGTGAATCAAGCTCTTAGATTCCTTTCACTCTGAGAAACAAAGTGTCACAGTTTTTCGGGAGCGTTTTTTGCAATCCAATCTAAACTGGTCGTTCAGGCAGCCATCGGCCGCCAAGTGTTTCTCTGACACATTCAATTAAGATATTTATGTGTTCCCCGTACTGTCTTCTAAGCTTTTGTTGTAAAAATTTAGGCAAACGTTATGGGGTTATTCAGGCTGTGAAAAAAAATTGTTTTTCGTTTTTTTGCGTCCAAAAACCCAATTCAGCGATATAAAAAAAAACGAAAAACGGAAAACAAACATACCCTGAATAGAACCATTATTGTTAATCACTTAAATACTTCTTATAATTCTTGGTCTTAGCTCTCTGCTCTTTTTTTTCTCCGGTTAATCACTTTCCGTACTCATCGTTTCGCAGCTTCCCTCCTTAGTGTCGCCTCTTGTACTACAAACACGCTCGGCGATTTCCGGATTCGCCGACTGGAGAGCTCAGATGATTGGTTATAGCTTCCATTCTCCGGTTTTTTCATTCTCCGTTCGAATTTTCTTATATCAGTAGAAAGTAGTTTTGTTCTTAATCTTCCATTCACAGGTTTTTCATATTGTAAGCAATCACAGCGATGTAACCATTCTTTTTATTTAAACTCAACTCACCGCTCGTGCCCCTCGGTGTTTGCAGACTCAAGCCAAAATTTCTGAAATTAGGCTTGAGTACGCAAACACCGAGGGGGCAAGAGCGGTGAATTGAGAGTACCTTGTTGTTTCTTGTTTCAGAACGGACGATCAACTAATACACTATCAAAAATGGCACCGAGCGATGGTGTGAATGTACCGCAGAAACGAATTGAAGTGGTCTTTCAAGCATTATCGAGAGGCTTCAAGTGATTTTTTCGCTTTTTATAGCTGTTTCAAAAAGTTTCTAACAGATCGTACATATGTCAACACCAAACAGAAGCTACGCAGATCAAGATGGAAATGAATAGTGAAAAGCTGAATGGTGACAGTAAGAAATCGCTGAATGAGGTTAGTTGAAAGTTTAAGAAAAAACCAACGAGTGAAAAAAGAAGAAGAAAAAGAAGAGCGAAAGAAAGAGAGAGAGAGAGAGAGAGAGAGAGAGAGAGAGAGAGAGAGAGGCGATAGCAACTTCTGCGCTGAACTTTAGTAACTTTTGCGCGTAACATTAGCCGCTTTTGAGCAGAAATTATTTAGGTAAAACTTGCAGAAGTTCTTCTGAAAAGTTGTAGAGGTTAGTCGAGTCTATTAAAAAGGTTCTAATAAAGAATGAACACTTCTCAGAAATATATCGAGTTTCGCCGCTTAATAGCAGCTAGTGCCCGAATTGTATGCTTTTCTAAGTTCGCTAATTCACTCCCACCATTCAAACTCGCACCTGCGTCTCCTGCCGCCGTTCATACTCCCTCTCGGATGAACACCAAACATAGCTTAGAACAGCACATTTCGCATCCTTCCATACTGTTCGCTCTCTCATTTGCGAGAAGAAACTAAAATTAAATATCAACTTGGAAGACTGCTTAGGATCTTTTATTGTGCGAGGAAACATCGGAACTGTACAACGCCCGTCTTCATCGACTCAACAAACTGTATGAAAAGCACCGAATTGATAACTTTTCTCAAATGAAAGGTAATTTTCGTGAAGAACTTTCACACTAATCGGATTTTTTACAGCTAAATCATCCAGTCTCAGTGAACTTCGAGCTGCATTCAGTGGATCAAAAACACTCAACTCCACGAAGTATATTGATGTGGAGTTGACTGCTTTGATGGGAAAGGTTATGGTGGACATAAAAGCAATTGTCGGTTTTGCGCGCATTTCTCCCGGAGACGTTTTTGAAGTTTCCATTCGACATGGTTCTCAGAAGTGGAAAACGCGAGGAAAAACGTTGATTGATCGTACCCAGAAATGGGAGAAGGAACAAGTTGTTTTGACCTGCTTTCCCGACCAGTCGATTGACGTGAAAGTATCAGAATGTAGACTTTTCAAGTCTAAGTCTCTCAACGACCGATCTTTCGATCCATGCCAACTCTTCTCATCACAACCTCAACTTGTTACCATGAACCTTAACTCAATGGGAACGATAAAGTTGCAACTTGTGGTCACGTGGGTGTAAGTGTTTTCCTTATCGATAGGGTTTTTCTCAAATAGTTTTTCAGACCCCTGCAAGCACCAAAAACAACTTCCAAGAAACCCGCAGAGCCAGTTAATGATGAAACAACTCTTGAGCGAAAGCCCAGAATTATTTTGCGTGAGAAGAAACGTGGATCGGCAGCTAGAGTTGCTATGAAAGAACATTGGAGGAACTCTACGAACATGCTCGACTCCATTTATTTGGATGTCGCAAAGACAATACCGTCTGTTGAAGCGATGTCGACGCTTGATTTACGCAAAGTTCCGAATTCTTATAGCGACCAACTATATACTGGTACACTCCCTGTGCCATCAAATAAGAGAAACGGAGGGAATTTCACAAGCTATTCGCCAATGTCATCCACACTGTTAGGAAAACGAAGCCAAAGCCTTGCTCAACTTGGTGCTACTACAAATTCCGTTGGTTCTGACAATTCGCAAGACTACAACATAAAATTCACAACTAGTGAAACGGACAGTTTTCCTACCAGAAAAATCGAAAACATCGGGCTTGTAGAATTAATCGATGTCATTTTGCCAAGGGCGATAACGCTTTGTCATGAATACGATGAGTTGAAGAGCTTGGTAAATCTTCTAACACAATGGCAAGCACTTCTGAGAATTAAGAAGGTAGGGATAAAAATTAAAGGTTTTGGAAAGTATTACTTTTTATGCGCAGAGTGTGTTCACCACATCGAACAAGCAGTCTAGCAGTTCCATCTCAGTCTTTCGTCGACGTGATCCTTTGACGTCTTCCACTACATCAGATGAACTCGATGACAATGTTTTAATCACAAATGAAAATCAGTAAGTATTGCACTGTTTACAGCAAAAATTTAACAGATTGTACAGCTCGGAAAATGATAGTGGTATCGACTCTATTCGTCAAAACTATTCACCATTCATTCTGGACGGCCTTATGAAATCGTCTGAAGATTCTAGAGAGATCAGAGACCGATCACGATTCAGACAGCTAAAAGATCGGAGGAAATCTCTCGGAGCGCTGGTTGATTCTGCTGAAATGGAAAAGCTATATCTAGAAAATGATTACTTCTGGCAGACAGCAGAAAATGCGACAATGGAGCCCGGCATTACTATGACAGGAGACAGCGAAGTCGATACATGTCTGCAGTATCACTTGGAACGAGTTCAGAAATGCCTAGATGTTCCAAATAATCTCATTTGACTCAAGAAAGTTTAGCATTTCAGAACCTGGATAACATCGAAGCAAACTGTCCCCTAGTTTACACTACTTCTGAGATGTTGAAAAGATTGGAAGCTGAAACAGTAACCCTGGACGATTTGTTAAGAGTTGCGAAAAATGCCCCCGTGGTGCCGAACATTGCAAATATGCTTATTGAGATTGAAGCATGTCAGGAAGTTCAGGAAATATGGTTGTCAACCTGTTATCCGCTTAACAGTTCACTGATAGTGCCAAAAGACAAGATCAAGGCTCAAATAAAACTACAGATTGCACACATTACTGAGCAAATATATCCACATCTTGTTAGCAGAGGTAATTTTGTTTACTAAATAGAGTCACTTAAAGCAAAAACATTTCAGTTGCCGAGTCTATCATTAGAATGCTCAATGATACTGTGCAAAAACAGTATCCCTTCGTGACAGTTTTCCATTTTGTTGGAATTTTCAAAGGTAGACATTTTGAACCATATATCGAGAATATGGGTCATGATGCTTGGATGGTTGCCCTGCTCGACACGGAACAAGTCTCCAAAGTTGCCCAAGTAGTTGAACGACTGGCTAACGTACCAGTTGTCCCTCCACTAGAATCTTTGAAGCATCTGGGCGTATTGCTCACGCGTGGAAATCCGGAAATTAGAAAAAAAATAGGTTATTTTCTCAATTGGCAATTTGTGTAAGTCATTTTCACAGAGAACTACTTCCAAAGAGCTGATGGTCATCTGCTCTCCGACCTCCTCTCGTCTTATCTTTGTCTTCTTGAAGACCGCAGTACTGAAGCTCGCCTTGGTGCATTACAAGCTCTTGATATTTTTAACGTATGGTTTTTAGATACTTTTTTTTTTAATTTTGCGAAAAATACGAAATTAGCTTTCCGCCGGCGGCGGACCAGGTTTCAAAAGTCTTATTCAATATAAAAGTTTACCCTGACGACGGAAAAAAAGGTATTGCAGAACCCACGAATAGGAAAACAAATAGCGTATGTAGCAGATCACGACTCTTCAGATGAGATTAGAGAATTTGCGAATTCTCTTCTCGTAGTATGTGCAGTCCAGCTGGATGAAGTTACTAGAATTTGATGTATATATACCTCTAATATCTACTTTTCATAAACATCTACTCATTTAATCCATGACATTATTCATGTTTTCTTTGTTTTCGCAATTCCCATTCACTCAGCACATTCATTGCTAATAATGGACCTATTCATTCGGGAAAAAAAAACTATTAAAATAAGGAAAAAACTCCGGAAAAATAGGTTTTTTCTGCTCACGGAGTCGTGGTGGGGTACACTGGCGCAAGCTCTGGCAATTCGATATTAATCTAATTAGAAAGTAATTGATTTAAACGCGACCTAATTAGATTCGACTGTTTTTTCTTGGCGCAATCGAGATTTGAGCCAGCAGACGGTTGGCGTGAAACTTGATTTGAGCACTTATTAATCTAACTAAATAGAAGATTTATTAATCTAGCTAGACAATTTATTAATCTAATTAGGTGTCATATCAATCTTATTAGGCCGCCGTTAGATTAATAACGAAATGCCAGAGTTATTAATCTAACGGCGGCCTAATAAGATTGATATGACACCTAATTAGATTAATAAATTGTCTAGCTAGTGCTCAAATCAAGTTTCACGCCACACGGTCTCCCACGGCGCGAATGATTTAAATGGGGCGCGCTTGCAACAGGCGGGCTATGTCGATTTACGCGGCGGACGATTAATTAATTTTCAACGGGAGTTCGCGTTCTTTCCATGTTTTCTGTACAATATACATATTTTTTTGTACGCCTGGAACCTGGATTCGAATAATTAGAGCACTAGCTACGTTTTGGTAACAGAAATCTCGTATATCGTTGAGAATGAGCCGAGTTATTTCGATTTGAACGTTTCGGCCTGGATTTTGATGTTTTTAGAATATTTTAAAAAATGAGCTGAAATACAAAAGTTTGAAGTTTTGACGAAATGCGAAAAAGACGCTAAAAACATGAAAAACTCTAAATTCTGTAAAGAACAGTTTCCAATCAGTAAAATATTGTTTTCTAGACGTTTTTCAAGTCAAAATTAAAGAAATAAAGGTCGTAAACTCGAATTGAACTCCATTTTTAGACCTGCAAATTTTCAAAAGTTACAACGACACTCCGCAATTTACGAGCGCCCTGTGTTTAGCATTAGCGCCCTGGGAGACCGTGCGCCAACCGTCCGATGGCTCAAATCTCGATTGCGCCAAGAAAAAACAGTCGAATCTAATTAGGTCGCGTTTTATATCTAATTCAGCGATGTAAAAAAACGGAAAACAAGCATACGCTGAATAGCCTTATCAACGAAAAAAAAAAGTTTTTTTTCACAGCCTGAATAACCCCATAAACAACTCAGGCAAATCGTTTCTAATCTAACTAGCTAATTCTCGTTTCTAACCGGACCTAGTTAGATTGCTACAGATTTCTGAATCTAGCTAAATATTGCTGATTTTGCAATCTATAGCTGATTTTGCAATCTAAACATAAACTAGTAAGGTTTGACCGGAATGTTAATCTGATTAGCTAAATTTTGAATCTAATATCAGTGTTTTTGCTATCTAATTAGCTTCGCCAATCTAATTAGAAAGATTGTCAGTCTAGTTAGACGAATTTTCAATCTAATTACAGTAAATTAGCAATCTAACTAGGTCCGGTTAGAAACGCGAGTTAGCTACTAGCTAGAAACGATTTACCTGAGAATTTAAGCGACCGCCAAAAATTAACTAGCCGCCGGCGGATCTCACAACAAACTATTTTTCCGGAGTTTTTTTTCTTGTTTGAATTGAGTTTTTAGAAAAAAAACGTGTTTCTTTCCCACCTGAATAGGTCCATAAATAATTTTATTCGGTTCACTGATTGTGATGTTCATTAATAGTCGCTCTCGTGTTAATTCTGTTTAATTCACTTTTCAAGTGATCTCATAGAGTCCTATTCTTTATTTATAATTTATAATAATTATGCATGCGTGGAGATCACACTCAGGTGTTCATGAAGCGAGATAAATAAGACATTGAAAAATAAAAAATTATCACATTGAGCACATCTAGATAAAACTTTTAAAAAACTGAGGACACTTTAAAAGGTGCAAAGGCTGCGCACGGGGTAATTTTGTTGTCGTTATTTCTATGACAGGCAAATTGGTTGAGCACCATGGTTGAAACCCGAGTCAGAAGAAATGGGAAAATCCATTGTGGGAGAGTTCCCTGATGTTGATGTCGAAACTCAATTCATCGCTATTGCCCCTCGGTGTTTGCAGACTCACGCCAAAATTTCTGAAATTAGGCTCGAGTACGCAAACATCGAGGGGCAGGAGCGGTAAATTGAGTATACCACTAAAAAATTGATTTGTGGAAATGCTAAAATGGATCTCTTATACAAAGAAAAAATCACTGTGGATATAAACTTAGAGTATAAAAAGTTCTGACAAAAAGATGAAAGAAATTTAATTAATCGAAATAAACTCTCAAGTTGGCCTACAATATGCTGCTGGAACATATCCAACTTGGCCACTAGCCCGTTTAATTAAGAGCCATTCCGGATTTCCGTCGTCGTCCGTTCTTTGGAGAACTCCTATCAGTTCTCCCTCGTTAACAGCTACTTGATTTGATCCTTGCGGCAAGAAGTCATAGTCCACTTTTACTTTGCAGAGCTAAAAAATATTTTAATCAGAGAGTAAACAGTTTCACTCGTATACCACAGGACGCATTGATGACATTGGCCCAGTCGGCGCCTGGTCATAAATGGACGACATAGCAGGAGGCGAATCATATACTGAATTTTGTCTGGGTTGAGACACTGAAACGTGGCATTGGAATGATTTTTGTATTTAGAGTCTTTAGAGTCGTGGAGCTTACATTGCGGAGTTGCATCGTACATTGGTGAAATAGCAAAGGTGTCACCGGGCACAGAAGAATAAAATGGCAACTGTTGATTGGAAGATTCGTTTGGGAGTGCTGAAATACAGCACGATATCGCTACAGTAATAAAGTGATTTACATTCAGTGGGTTGCGTTTGGCGAGGAAGCACCGGATAGATGTCGTTCTTAACTTTTGGTTCTGGCCTTGAAGGAATTAGAGGTTGTGGTGAATCACTTCTGAAAATGTTAATTTTTCTATTATACTGGCTATAATTTACCTTGTGAGAACAGAAGAAGACCACACGTTTGTTGGTTGAGCGGCAGCTGATGCACTCCTCTTCTGAGTAGTTGGTGGTGCAGGTAGTTTTGTTGGAGAATCAGCGAAACTAACAGGAAACTGTATAGGAGCAGAATTCTGATCACAGTTTGATTGCGGAGGGAAACTGGCAAATTCAAATGTGTCTTTCATGAAGACTGGTAACGGCGGAGGAGCTTCGTCAGGGAGTGAGTTCGGATTGAAAAGGCCGGTTGCATAGTCAACTCCACGAAAGCCCGAAACAGGCGGCGAGCTCACTTTTTCAGTTTCGGGGTTTTCATATAAGGGCATCTCTGAAGCTGATTTGCCCCAGTCGATAGATGCGAGACCGGAAAAAAGATCACTTTCTTCCAAATTGTAATTTGCTCCATCTTTTTGCACTTGAGGTGCATTCACTGACTCGATTAAGTGTCGAAGTTGTATGGATGTTGTGGGCGGAGCTGGTGCCAATGGTAAGCTTTTTGCAGCTATATGCCAATCTAGTGTAGAGGAGCTTGTTGGTCGAAGAGGGCTAATTAAAAAATCCGAGCTCAGTGATTCCAGAGACTTTTGAGAGTTTGTAACTTGCGATGGAACTGTGCCGAATAAATCTTCCAAGTCGATTAAATTCTGGCTTTTGGGACCGGGATTTACAGATTGGGCAACCGCTGGAGCAGTTTTGAAAACGGAAACAGTCTTCGCAACATCCAATCCTAATTCGATGGAGGCGTACGGTCGGAGAATAGAACTCGGAAGCATCGCGTTGTAAAATCCATTGTAACACAGCCACATGCTTGGGACTTCTCTATTTACAGCAAGCACCAAGTCATTTTCCCGTACTAACAATAGTTTCCCTTCGGAAAGTGCAAGTTTCAACATTCCTACATCCTGTGGATAATGTGACGTAACAATAAAAATTTCGTTAAGTCTTCCTTTGGATCTTGCTTTTTCGAGAATGGTATTTCGTTCCGTTTCGTTCTGAGGTCGGAACTTGTGATCTGGTAATCTAAATGGAATGGAAGGATGCTCAGCTGTCGGTGCGTTAGACTGAACTTCTGCCCATAGATCCTTCATTTCACTTTTTGTTTCAACAGCTCCTATTGCTTTCGGTGAAGACGACGTCACTGCCTTTTCCCAAGGTGGTAAGAAATCAGTTTTATTCGTGGGAGAAGCAGATCTCGCACGTTGTTTTAAACTTTGAACTGCCTGAAAAATCAGAAGTTTCCGACTTGGCCGATATTCCCAGGGAGCAACAAAATAGAGGGCAACTGTCTCAGAGAGGGCATTTACTCAGAGGGAGCACAGATTTCAGGGGGCAAGAAAAGGGATGCTCAGAGGGGCAACCTTCCTTGCTCTTTGCAATAAACATTGTTTGAAATGTGCAAACCTTGTTGGCAATTTTCTGTAGAGGCTTCATTCTATCTTGATCATAGTGGTCTACAAAGCAAGCCGACGTTGAAGTAATCAAGGATCTGCTCAGTTTGTTCTGATCATCGGCACTTCTGCTTTTCGCTTCATTAAAAATCTTTCTCAGTGTTTCCATTAGCCTTTTATCCTGTTCGAAAACCATTCTCATAGAACATGCCAGAACCTTAAAAATTCTTAATCAGTGACAGAAAACTAACAAAGCATACCGTCGTCAAATGCTCTGTGATTTTAGGCAGCTGTTGCTTCACTTGAGTATTTAGAGCTTCATAGTCTTTCTGGATTTCAGCGAAATCTCTTTTCTGAAAGAAAATATAACGTTTTGCCTTCGGATTTTCACTGACTCTACTGCCTTTTTCTCTCGTTTTTCCTGCCTCGTAATCCATTAATTTGTCATTTCTTTTTGTTATCAATCGCTTCGGTATGTTCCGCAGAGCTTTAACAATTTCATCCCGAATTTTTAAGTTTACGTCGTTCGCCCACAATTTTATGGCATGATTGAATGGCTGTAGTTGTAAATCGATCTCACTGTTAGAAAGGTGTTTTTTCTCTGAATCCGTAAAAATGAAATTTTCAGCTAAGGCTTCGTCTTACTAGGCTCTATTAATTTTTTGTGCATTAATACTCTCGTCTCATGAAACATTTTCTTTCGATAGATCACGAGCATGTAGTTGAATCGGACCAATCTTCGTTCTGCACTGTCCAATTCGCAGACAAGTTTGTCAAAATCAGAATCTCTCAGCTGAATATTTATGTTGTTTTGAAGGAACTATCTAGTTTATTATTTACCAATTTGACAACTCCTAATGATGATCCCATGCGATATGTGAAACGATTCGATTTCTTTTTCAACGAGTGAAACGTCATTTTCGAAAGGATTTCTCCAATAGTCTGCTTATCGTCTGACATGTATTTTTGAGCTGAAAGAAAAGCATAAACCTGAAAAATTGTATTTGATTGCAACAACTTACTTAATTCTTTTCTTCTTTTCGATTCATTCATTTTTTGGCCAAGATTTGACATTTGCTTGATGGCTTCCATGAGTTTTGGATGATCCGTATGGTTCAGCTGGGTCAACTTAACAATTTAACACAATTGATAGAGCAACTCAAAAAAAATTCAGAAACCTTCACGATTTCATTCAAAAAGAGTGGGTACTTCAAGCAGCGCTGAACTGGTCTAGAAACTGATGTGGGTCCGTCGATAACCACCGCTCCACTCTCTCTCATTCTTTTTACAATATCTTGCAATACTGAGTCCATGGTTTTCTCATGCTTCTGAAATAGTGAATTTCCGGTTACTGAAGAAAAACATTACAAACAGCAGATGTGAGAAGTGTATTGATGTGCTCGATGTTTCGAAAATAGAATCCATACGTCTGAGCGAACGGTTTTCGCAACTGCAGAAAACACGTCCCAATTTGTTGAGCTTCCATGGGTTTTACTAAACGTTTTCAATTTTTGTCAAGCGTTTTGAAATATACGCACTTTGTTCACTAGTAAGAAGCTGAACGAGAGTCGAAGATAATTGCACAATTTGAGCACATCCGTTTCGCAGAATTACTTTTTGTTTTTGATTAAGAAGAGGAGAGCTCTCAACTGCCTGAAATATTGGATTCCATAAACAGACGCTAGAAAGGTCACAACCTCTGTATACGCGTTTATATCACTGATGAATTGCAACTCTGAACTAATAAGCTCTTCGATTATTCTCGCACGTTTATCCTCGTCCGACGCTACTCCATCTGATAAAGCCCCGATTTCGAAATCACTGACAGAGGTAAGAATGGTTGTGACCGCTTGAGAGGGTTGAACGGTGGATTGAATTCCAAACACAGAAGAAATGTTATCGGTTGACTGAGCGGAGAATTGCTAAAAACCGGACAATGACTGAATGAATAAAATAATCAATTGCGTACTTTTGGTGGCGGTGGTCTAGCCGGAGCAGAGCTTTTTGAAACTTGTACGGGCGCAATCCACTCTTCTCCGAATGTCGCCCAATTATGTGATGGTTTTGAGACGGAAGACTGGGATTCACTATCGAACGTGGCCCAGTCAGTATTGGAAATAGACGAAGATCCTAACCGAGAACCTATCCATTCCGAAGCGTCAGTGTTTGAAACGAACGACGCTCGATTGTTGCCCGTCTTTAATGTTCAAAACCAGGAATTGGCATTTATGAAAAGGCAAATACTCATTGACTACTGGATTTTTTTACTCCCTCACTCTTTTACTACCCCTGGATCTTTTACTACCCTTACTTATTTACAACCCCTGGATCTTTTACTACCCTCACTTATTCAGTACCCCTAATGTTTTCTACTCTCTAGATTTTTTTCTACCTTTTCTTTATAACTACCCCTAATACATTTACTGCCTAGATTTTTTTTACTAACTTTTCAAACTTACAGTAAGTTACTTACTCCCTCTAATATTCATTCCACTGAAACCTTACATTTACCTCTAACCTGGCTTATTTTGGAGAACACAATGCAATTGAACCTTTATCAAAACAGCAGAGGTCTCTATGTCCGATTTCTGGAAATACATTGTAAGAACCGTTAGTCAACCAGCCTATGCTTCTAGGGGGTAAAAACGGTAGTCTCACAGGGGAATTAGATTTGAATGTACAAATTCCCCCTTTAAGCAGCTGACAACTCTGAGCAAGTGGTTGCTCTGAGCATGTTGACCCTTATTTCGTTAACCTCTGGAAGTATCGGCCGTAAGTAATATAAGAGGTAGTAAGTAACTTACTGTAAGTTTGTAAAGTTAATTTAAAAAAATCAAGGCAGTAAATATATTAGGGGTAGTAATTAAGAAAAGGTAGTAAAAAATCTAGGGAGTAGAAAACATTAGGGATACTAAATATGTGTGGGTAGTAAAAGATCCAGCGGCAGTAAAAGATCCAGGGTAGTAAAAGATCCAGAGGTAGTAAACGATCCTGGGTACTCAGGAAAAAAGACGCAAATTCGGCTACAAAAATCGGCGTCGGAGCCGTGCCTGAACGGCTCCGGCGCCGATTTGCTTTTTTTGAGCCATTTTCGACGTCGATTTGACGCCCTTTTGCAGGGAAACCAGGGTCGAAAATCGATTTTTGTTTGTAAAAATAGCAAAAAATAGTTATTAAAAGACCTTTGCTTTATTACAAAAGAACTTCACTCAACATAAGTATCAATAAATAGACTACTATTCACAGTCACTAAGGCATCACATTATCGGTTTCAAAGTCGAAAATTTACATTAAAACGAAGGTGGTCTCGTACTCGGGTTCCGCTCGTTTACGTCTTCACTGAAACCGATGCACGACGTCTCCTTGCATTTTTCGCTGTTTTTTCAGTTCTAAAAATAGAATAAAAAATAAATGAAAGCACGGATTAGATCTATTCATTACCTTTTCCGGTATCCAACGGTCGCCGCTTGTTTCTTTTGTGCTGCTCTGAAGGTTGATCATGTTGACCTGCAAGTAAATGAGAGCAAACCAAAAAAGACTTGTAAAAAAAATGAAAAATGTGACAGTGAAAAAGAAAAGCGCCAGAGAATTGCGAGTCAGTAATGATTTTCTTGGCGTACTAGGCGCCGGCGTTGGCGCCGAAGTTGAGCCGAATTGTCGCCGCCGACGCCTTTTCGATTTTGTATGTCTCTCTCGAATTCGGAAAATGCGCCGGTGCCGAAGTAGAGCCGAAGTTGCGCCGAGCTACGTGCCGACGCCGTTTCGGTTTTTTGCGCCGAATTTGCGCCTTTTTTTCCTGAGTAGTAAAAGAGTGAGGGAGTAAAACATCCAGTAGTCAATGAGTATTTGCTTTATGAAAATGCCCTACATTAAAACAATTCGTTCCTTTGCGACTTGCTGTTTGATTATCATCGTCTTCATCGTCAAGATACACTTCTAAGAACCCAACGGGTACAATTCCAGTTTTATCATTATCTGGATCCTTGCACATCACCCACTCATCATTCACCGTCCGTAACACTCTGACCGTGTCTCCGGCTTTCACACACAATTCGTCTCCTTGTCTGCCAGTGAACGTGTATCGAACATTAGCGAAACCTATACCCTCGTTTTCAATCGTTGTGCTTCTTCTGCTTTTTGTCGTCATGGACTCATCTTCGGGTAAGTCTACGATCACTTGAACAAATGACATGGGGAAAATTCCACTCCGCGAAGATCCTATCGATCCTTCCAACCATTCGCTATCAATTTTCTTGTGAATATGTATTATCTCATCAGCGGTAAAGGAGAGCTCATTTCCAAATTCCCCTCTGAAATGATAAATTGTTGTGTGATTTATTGCTCGAAAACCTCACTGGAAGTCATACACGGCCCTAGCATATGGTGCCACTGCGTAGTTGGAAGATATGACATTGTTGCGATTAGGAGGACTACGAAATTTTACGTCTTCATCACTAAAGTCTGTTGTAAATGACGGCTTCATCAGCGTAAGCTTTGCGAGGGTTCTAGTTGAACCATCCACTCGGACCAGGTATTCTTGTGATACTCAGCTGCACAGTTCTTGCTCAGACGTTTTCCAACTTCGCAGTTGTGTTGGTTTCTGTTAAGAGTTCTACAGATAAAACGAACAATAGTTTTCAAGTGAATATAAACTAAAAAATAGCGGGAGTAACGTTTTAATAAGTAAGTTAAAGCTAAGACATTATCTGTTTGGCTTTTAATAAACTCAATTTCTGAAAATATATTGTTTTGGTTATACTTTGCAGTTCTGTCAGTGCACTGAAGCCTCAGGCAAATCGTTTGTAATCAAGTTAGGATATTTCGTAATCTAAACCGAGCTCCTAATCTAGCTACATGAAAATGGAATCTAAACTAAATCTAGCTAGATTTGACCGAAAGGATGAATTTTGAATCTCTAGTTAGATGAATTTTGAATCTAATATCAGTGTTTTTTCAATCTGATTAGAAAAATTTTGCTCTGTCAATCTAATTAGAAAATGTATCAGTCTAGTTAGAAGAATTTGCAATCTAATCGCAGTAAGTTAGCAATCTAACTAGGTCCGGTTAGAAATGCGAATCAGCTAGCTAGATTAGAAACGATTTGCTTCAGGCTATTAATTGGCTATGCGCATATAGGCCGTACGGTTGATAAATTAATGAAGGACTTGATGAGAAAATAAATAAGTGAAGCGCATTATCAAAAACAATCGAAAATTTTAAAAATCAATACGTTTCATTGAAAAAGTGTGCAAGAAGGCAATCTTTTATTCTGAAGCGCGCCCCGAAGACTACACTTCCGTTGTTGCAAACGCGCTCTACTGGTCATTAAAAGATCTCGCAGTAAACCTCAACAAAAAAAAACTATTGAAGAATATTTGGGAATGCTTATGCTTAACAAACAATATGAAAGTTTTTTTTTCGAATAAACAGCATTTTTAAGCTATTAAAGTTTATTTAGTAGCAGCTATATTAAAAAAGTCGACGATAAATACTTTAAAAAACAACAGGAAAAAGAACCACAGAGTAATCCCATAAATGGAATTCCTTTCTTTGATAGACTCTATTTACAAAAGACCAGTTTATTCAGTAAGTTTATTCAAAGCATTTCAGCGATATTAGCAAAAATCTCTAGTTGTGCATTATAGTCATTTAAAGCTTTCTTCTCTTGATGCCGCTGTCGGATGAGATGACTTCTTGCTGTCCGGAGTGGCTGATCTCGAAGTTATTCCTGACGCCACAGATGCGATCGATTGACTTCTTGTTGATGAAGCCGTGCCATCCGGAGAGATACCGGATGTTAGCGGTGTCTGTGATTTACTGGTTCCAGGGACAGAGGTCCCTTGAGCTGCAGGAACTTTTTGAGTTTGCCGGAATTTTTTCCACTGTTTCTGGTATTCCTGGTATCGGCGCCAAGCTTCTTCGCTGTATGCCTTCTTCTTTTGAGCTGCTATCTCGGCTGCAGTCAATGGGCGAGCTGGAACTCAAAATTTTTGTTAATAACAATCTTACACGATCGGTCTCTCTGGAGGCTAGTTAAATAAAAATTGTTTATTAATTATAATCTTTCCTTTGAGTCGGATACGGTAGATCACGATATTTTCTATTTTTTCTGAAAAAAAAAGCCGATTTCCCCCTATTTACAAATGTTAGCAAAATGGACTAAAAGCGATTTACGTACATTTTTCTCTTTATTACCCATGAAATTGAAGTTTCTCGTCAAAACATGGGAAAAATCATTATCTACCGTATCTGTCTCAAATCGAACGAACACTGAATAACCCCATAAAAATTATTTTATAAGAATCAGGACTTCCGTTACGTTTAGAGGGTGGTGGAGGTGGCGGAGGGGGTGGCGTTGGCTCCCTAACCAACAACTCTTCTTCAATTATCGGCTCTTCCAGACTAGTTTCTTCACGAGGAGTTGGCACCCGGATTGGACTGCTCTCCGGTGATGGTAAGATTAGCTCTGAAGTGAGAATAATGTAATGGAATGATCAGTAGGCAATTTCCCAGTGTTTAATCAAAACTCTAAACTATTGTGCAGGCAGAAAGAGTACCTTCATCTTCAGACTCTTCGGGCGAAGGCGTTGCTATTGCAAGTGATTGCTCAGATTTTTCCGGACTCATAGACCGAGCTGGAGTTTCGGTTTTTAAAGACGGTAACCTATACAAAGGCTTTGGAGATGGAAGTGGAGTTGGTGTGGGGTCTCTGATCCATTCGTTCTCTAAAGCACACTTCAAATACGCAAAAAAAAACAAGATCGAACTTCACACAAACACATTTTGTTAAAAAATTCGTAACCTGGCTCGTCAGCAAATTCAGCATCAAATTTTTCGGAGTCCGGCTCAAATGGAGGAGGGCGAAGTGTTTCTATTTCTCCTTCCTCGACTCGAATTGCTTGCTCAACAAAATTGTCCAAGTTCAGACCCTTCACAACTGTTGTTGGCAGGTTGAACTGATCTCCCAGGTTTTTCACGAGTGCTTTCATTGTTATTCTAAAGTAATAACCGATTTGTTTTTGAAATTTCTAAATTACTTCTTTCCGCCGAACCAAATAGCAACGTTTCCAACATTCTCAATTTTTCTACCAAAATAATGCAACTTCTTCAAGGCATCCGCTGCTATTTCAATTGCAATCGTGGTGAGTGCCAGACCAATAGCAATGTAGATTATTGTGATTAGCATGTAAGTTTCGCTGAAAATAAAATTCATTGGGTTTTGTAGAGTTTCACTTAAATATAACCTTCTTGGAACAATATCTCCTAAACCGATCGATGTCAAAGTGACGAAGTTGAAGTAAACGGCTTTAAAGAAGTCCATATCAGGCTCGTAGGCGGCTAACATCATTCCACCAAAGGCGATGTAAACTAAAAACAGCAGAAACAACGTGAGTGCTTCTGTCTCGGAAAGTTCTTCCTCTTCCTCTGACGTTCCCGCCGTTTCATTCTCCGCTTCTGCGTTATCAAATCCCAGAATTTCTTCTTCTACATCCGCGTTCAGAATCGGTTTGCCTCTGTTCATTTTTCGATATTTCCTACAAATTGAATGTGGCTGCCAAGCCTTTTTCAAATTTCTGAAAAATTCGATAACAGTAAACTTTTCTCGTTTTTTCCCGTTTACTTCCAAGTTCTTTTCGTGAACTGCTTTGCCAGTACAACCATCTCAGAGATGAATTTGCCAAGATCCGCAATGGCGAGAAGAGTGAATGGAATACCTAGCAAACCATAACCGATAACAAACAACCGACCTCCAAATGTTCGAGGAGCCACGTTTCCGTAACCTTAACTAATTTTTTCAGCTTTCCGAAATGGTATAAATAAAAACCGATGGTAGTAATAACGGTGAATGCAAAAAGAAGAGAGTCCATGAAGGACCACTCAACAACTTCCTCTTCCGACTCTTCCCCAACTGATTCAATTTGTTCTTTGCTATTCGTGTAAAGAACATGATTCACATGAGTTTTATGTTCGATGGCAACATGGTAGCATTCGTCCAGATTTTTTACGAAGGCTTCATCAAACCGATCCATTGAACACTCCATTGCGGACATTTTCTAAAAGGAAGACCTCAGAGAGTAAACTATTAGCGAATAGGAAATATTTGTAAGAATAGGTACCTTGATAACACTTATGACACATTTTCGACTTCTCATTATGTGAGTTGCCGCTCGTTTCTTAGGTGAGTTCCTGGATTGCATTATCATATGAATTAATGCAAAAGTATATTTTTTTAACTAACTTTCCAAAATTTTCAGTATCGTCATGAAGTCTTCTTCGTTTGTGATTGTGTTCAAGATACTTCGGTTGAATATTGCGCTCTACAATAAAATTACTTTAAAAAGTCTTCCTGTACGGTTTTACCATCAATAGGCGTCAAATGTCTTCTCTGAAAATCCTGTTTTTTATCGACTGTGGCTATGTTTCTTGACTCCAAACTTCTCATGACTAAAGCTCCAAAGATTGCATATGCTCCAACACTGACAATCATCAGGAAGTGAACGAAGAGGGGCGTGGCCTAAGAGATTCTAGTGTGCTGTTCGGAGAGCAACTGTGTATCAACCTTTTGTAAAAGATGCTCATCTCTTTGGAAAATTGATTTCTTGAGAGTGAGTTTCATGTTCGTATTTTAGTCGTAAAACGTCCAATTCGAAAACGTTTGAGAAAAAGTTAGTTCAAAAGAAGGAAAAGGCGACAATGACGACGGAGAAAAAACAGCTCGTTAAAAATCATAAAGCTTGCATAATGTTGAAGAACGAATGTTTTCAACTCCAACAGCACTGCGTTCGATTTTTTGCTTTTACTTGTTGAAGCTTATGCAGAAAATTCCAAATGTGCACTTGTCGTATTGAACGAATGTCAAGTCAGTTTCTTAAGTGGCGAAAAAATCTAGTGCAAGGATTGAGACAGAATCAAATGAATATGTAATTGATTAGTGGTCGCAAATAGAATTTGGTGGGAGAAACAGAGCTTAGTTGTCACTTGATTCTAAACATTTTCAGAGACTAGTGCCTAATTCTCTCGTCAGCCGACTCTAAGTACTGCTTTTTAGATAGATTTGGAGCAATTACAACTATTATTTTCATCAATCAAGTGAAACTGAAATAGAAGAATCGGTAGCTCTTCACAACACAAGAAAAAACGAAGTGGATTTTGAGAAGTACTCTGTTGGCACGAATAAATTTATATTTAATACTGGAGGGTTCTCTATCAACCTCTACCAGAGCAAGAACTATTATACGAGCTTCGTAGTTCAAAGAACGGAGTGAAACCATTAGAATGGGGGATTAAATAAATGGATCGAGGGAAAAAATGAAATGATATTGTGAATTGAGGACGTAAAATTGAATAAAGATGCTGAACTCTACACGACATTATCCCCAGGGAAATACAAAAAAAAAGAAAACTTCAAAAATTAATTCCATCATACCTTCTTTCCTGCTTTTTTGACCCAGTCGAGCTGCATTTTTGTTGAGTTCCTGTTTTGTTTACCAATTAGAAGATTAATTTCTTCTTGTTTTCCCTCGGTTGAATTCAAAACAAGGCGACTCTCGCTACCTCCTCCATTTCTGGAAGTTTACAATGATTAAAGTTGAGATACGCAACTCGACTATAGTCAAGTATACTTGAACGAAACAAGAATTACAACTCAACGAGCATTTCTCGTTTTTCATCCCAATAAAGTAATACAACAGAATTATATGATCCTCCGCAGTGCTTCAACTTCATGAATTATATGACGTCAGTTATTGAGTTGAAAGTGAAACTAGCTTAGACTTGTTTAAGTTTGGAGTGAAGTTTAACTTTTAGGTGATGTTATTCGTGTGTACTTGCATATGTGAACGCACTTAACACACATTCTCCGAGAAATCGGACATCCGTCCATTGACCGATGGCACATGAAAATTCAAACTGGTCCAACTTGTTTGATTTGAATATATGTTAGTACAAAACATTATATAAGAACATTAGACTAGGTACGATTAGGCTCCGCCCCCTTAAGGAGAAGCACAGGATTACTGTAGCTCTGAAAACTAGAGAAACCCAGAATTTTTCTTGCGACCCCAACTTAACGCCATCGTGTTTCTCGCATTTTTTGAGTATTTTTTGTGTTGATACTAAAAATTTAGCATCCCTCCTTCAACTTCAAAAATTGAGTTTTAGTGAAGTACCGAAATTGATGAATTTCGGCCCAGACACCAACCTCTGACCCCATATTTTTGGACGGTTTTTGGGGTGACCGATGTCAAATTTTATATAGATTTATATTCTGAAATAAAATTCCCGCACAGCAGTACATTTTTCTTTCGGAAAATTGAAAAGTTCGAGAAGATTTTGGGAATCTTCACTAAAACTCAAATTTTTGAAGTTGAAGGAGGCGTGCTAAATTTTTAGTATCAACACAAAAAATACCTAAAAAAGATGCGAGGAACGTTGAGTTTCGGTCGCTAGAAAAATTCTGGGATTTTCTAGTTTTCAGAGCTACAGTAATCCTATGCTTTTCCTTAAAGGGGCGGAGCCTAATCGTACCTAGTCTAATGTTCTTATATAATCTTGTGGACCATTTTGAATTTTCATGTGCCACTCGGTCAAGCTTTTCGGAAAATGTATGTTAATAAAGACCTAATGAGGCGCAAAAAGAACAAATATTTTTCTCTGGCGATGTAAGAGTATGCACTCTTGTTATTTAGCACGGCTTTCACCAGGACTTCGAAGAAAAGTAAATTGACTTCCTGGAGTCAAGAAAGCACACACCAACTCAAACCACTCAAAATTTGAGAACCGCTTTCTTAGATATGGAAATATTTTGGATGAAAATAATCAAACTGAAGCTGAAAGTATAGGATTTCCACTCGACAAAACCGAAAATTGAAGGTTGAAATTGTGCGAACAGAAGAGCTATAGAGCTCCCGTAAAACACGAAGGCACTATTATAAAACGGAGAAAAATGATGGTGCTCAATTCTAAAATACACATGTTCATCCATATTACACCATATAAAGTGTCCGTTTTTTTATATGGATCAAAAAAGTGAAGGAATCGGTGGAGCGGCACACGTGTTTTCTGTTCAATTACTTCCAGCTCACCAAAAATGCTTTGAATTTATACTGGATTAAATTCCTGCGTGCCATTTTTTTCACACTTTTTATGAGAATTGTATTGGACAAGCAGTTTCCATTAGGAAAAAGAGAACGATAAAGAAAGGTTGCATCTGCCATCGAAAATGAACCATCTCTGGAAACTCGATTGCAATCTAATTAGAAGAGTTTGCAATCTAATAAGAAAAAGCTCTATTTCGCAATCTAATTAGATTTAATTGAAGTTCCAGTAAAATCGTATTAGATTACAATATATTTTTCCTGAATTGCAATCTAATAAGAAAAAATTGCAATCTAATTAGAAAACATTGCAATCTAATTAGAAAAATTGCAGTGATTGTAATCTAATTAGAAGATTTTGCAATCTAATTGAAGCAAATTCTATTTCAAACGAGTTCGTATTAGATTGCAAAGTTTTCTAATTAGATTGCGATTGAGTTCCCAGAGATAAACATGTAACCAGGAGAACAGCCCTTTAACGGCAATGATAGAGTTATTCTTTCAAGAAGACGTTATAAGTTTTCATTGTTGGCGGTTTAGGAAAGAATTTCAATGAAAGGAGCTGAGATTTTTTGACAATACTCAAACACTGCTGGGTTTTTTCATGGCTATGCAAGAATTTCGCTCCGTGATTTCAAAAACGACAACCAGAGTTGAGCGGAAATGGAATTTTGAAATGCGGAAGACGGCAGACGGCAGACAGAACAAAAAAAACCACGGAAGACGGAAGATAACTTTTTTCCCGGAAGACGGCAGACGGAAGACGGAACAAAAAAATCGTCAATGCAGAACCTTTTTTTCCGGTTTTTTTTTTGAAAAAAATAACTAAAGCAACAAAAATTTAGGATCTGGGTCACAGACGGCAGACTGTAGACGGAAGAAAACTTTTTTCCCGGAAGACGGCAGACGGAAGACGGCAGACGGAATTCCGCTCAACTCTGACGACTACTCATCTTAACTACTTGTAATTCATTTACGAATAATTTCACTTGGTTATGCCTGAAATGCACTTACAATGACGAAGTATATGTAGGATTCATGACAATTTTCTGCTCGATTATCCGGATTGTCTAGATGTGTGGTGGCGTAAAAAGCGAAATTGTTTAGATGCAGTGCAAAATGAAAACCATATGAATGCACGTATCTAAGAAAGCTATTTCTCTTCTTTTGTCTACACGTAGCGACAATTTCTTCCTGGCCCCCAACATTCTGAACTTTTGAATCTTCCAATCGTAATTCATCCTGTTGAAAAGTGAAAAGTCCTAAATTCCTTTCATTGACTACTTGAGAATAGAAATTGAAATTAACTAAAGATCAGTAGTTAAACTTTTCCTCCCCAAATGACAGACAGCCGAGAAAAACAACCTATCAACTATGAGAATGCCTCATTTCCTGTTTTTATGGTATTTGAAAGAAAGACACCAATGTATCGATTGAATAAAAAATCAGTACTATTTGACACATGCGGGTAATTCACTGAGTTTGAATTACTAATGTATTGCAGGGAATTATTCAGATCTGAAATGGGACAAGCATGATATTGGTTGACCCTTGTTGCTTGATGAATACACGCACGTCATACATATAGCCCTATAGGGTTGTTCTTGATAATATCTTCAGACTGGCAACAACGAATTAATCTTGACTCAAAAAGCGACCGAACAGCTGTAAAATGGAGAACTGCACTAAAACTTATACCAATTGAAAATTCCCGAAAGACAGACTTTCTCTTGAAGCTGTTAGAAGAATTATTATATTTAAAATATGTTCTTTGATTCTATTAAACTGTGAAACAAGGCAGTATTCCACTGAAAACAGAAGAGTTGAGAAACTCTATTAATCACCTAGACCGGCTGATTGAAAACACGGTCGGACGTAGACATTGGTGCCTTCGTCCCGCCTTTCACCTTTCTCAAACGAAAGATAGGACAAATTAATCTGCCCAATCTTTGCGAAGCACACTGTCAGTACATTGGTCCACCATGATTCAACTCACTCCGAGACGGCATGAGCTGATATCGGTGTTTATGGTGTCGTTAGGTACGACATTCATGTTTTTGGGATATGACGTTCAAGCTATGATGGCTGAAAGTGTTCTGCATTCAGTTGCCACAAAAAACCCAGAAAGGATAAGTGAGTATGCTGGCTACTATGGGTAAGCACCTTTGTCTCATTCTAAATTTGGTCTTGTCGTTATAGCCAAGCTATTCATTATATTTCCTTTGCATTCTTTTCTCTTTTCACCGCAACGATACAGCACTACATATCGTCAAAGACTATGCTGGTACTCTCCTCGGTGCTCTTTGCCACCTGCTACACTGCTTATATTCATATAAACTCTTTCATATTTTATTCATCGCAACTATTATTAGGATTTGCATATGCTAGTAAGATAGAACTTACAGTGTCGAACTTTATTTCTGTTTGCAGTGTATAATAACGCAGAAGGAATGTATCTTTCTGAGCATTCATCTCGACGAACGATAGACTCGAACTCTGCGTTAGAAACGGGGCTTGGTCACACAAGTCTTCTTTTCGGAGGAGTTACAATGCTCTGCGTATTCCATTTTGTCCCACACACTTTTGATGGTCATTTCTTGAACTTCGATGAGAACGTTGTTCAAGTAATCTACATCTCTCTGATGTCGCTGACAGTCGTGTCAGTTATTCTTTTCTCCATTTTACCAACTAAACAGTTTGACTCGATTGCTCTGAACACGCCGAGAGTCACGCCAACTATCAAGTCGCAGTTCAGTAAGTTCCCACTTTGAGCAAATGTTCCAAAGAAGGTAAATTCAGAGCGGTTTGGGGAATCTTTCACCCATATGAACACTTGTCTTCTTAGCTTTACCTATGTCTACATGGGCTGTATGGTGTCTTTTATGTATGGCGTTTACCCGACATCCCTATCCTTCACTTCTGAAACTGCGTCCGACGTTTACATAATACCATTATATCTACTATCATCTGGATTGGCTGCATTTTTGAGTGAGTTTTGTACAACAGGAATCCGTTTGGTAAGAAACAGGAAATATGTTTTTCCATTCATTTGGATCAAATATGGAAAAGGAAAAGTGATGATAAGTTGATGTCATCATGAATAGATTCCGCAATGAGAATGACGTCAGATTAGTCCGAAAACCAAACCGTCATCAGTTCTAAACTGATTATTCGACATTTCTTAGAGAAATTGAAAGCAAGAGATTTGTCTACAGGTGCGATATTCATAAGGCCAATGATCAAAAGATTACACAAGTACAAGCTGATTGTACCGATGGCAATTCATTGTTCAGCTATGGTTACTGTGCTCTCACTCATATACTTTTCGGTTCCAAACGAGGCAACTCAACGACCCACAAGTAATATGGCTGTAACCATAAAGCCAAGGTAGGCAGGCTCTTGAACCAGGCAGTTCTGAATATGAGTTTTCAGCCGATATCTGTCGCTTGTTATTGGTTTCCTCCTAGGTTTTGCTGATTTTACAATAACCATGACTAGATCTGTAATCTGTCAAATTGCCGTTCCTGAATACAGGGCCGAAATTTTCAGCGTTACCCGTATTTATCAGGTTCTAGTTCTGAACAGATATGGTAATGTAATTTGAGTTTCAGTGCGTTGCTTCGTGCTCAATACTTTTTATATCGCCATATTTGACAGCAAATGTTTGGATTTCCATACTCCTCGTTGGACTTATTGCTGGCACGTCTGCAGTCTTGACAGTATTATGCAGGACACACAACAATACAGTTGCAGCGCCAATCGAGCCATTGAAGGAAGATACATTTGAAGAAGAAAAGGAGTTCGCATAAAAGAACAGATGCTCAACATTATTCTGCACGATTATTGAAGCCTTCGGCTTAAACGTCTGTCAGTTTATATATCATTTGGACAAAGATATATTATAATAATCATAATTTTTTCTGCGGGTAGATGACGAATGACTTTCCAATAATAAATTAATTGACTTAAGTTAGCGTGCAAACGGTTCTGCTACTGTGTTCTTTACCCACTCGATTCCCTGCCAAATCCTTCTCTTAGTTTTTTTCATTTTCAACTTATTTGCCTTCTAGTTTGAAAACATTGTTCACTGCGTACTTGGTTTCTTGCCAACCAAAATTTTATGGCTATCCGAAGACTGCCTGACCGAATAAACTTGAAATTTCCCAAACTATTGTCAGGAAACACTGCATGTTGGCGCACATGTTGTAGCGAAATCAGGCAAACACTGAATTACTACATGCTGAACTACTTTTTTTCTCTCAATCACTGGATCGCCTCAGTTACTATATTGCCTCAATTACTCCTTTTCGGCAAATACTGAATTATAATTAATTACTACAAAATTAATAGCTATATTTCTTAATTACTATACTGCTGAATTACTACATGCGCTTAATCACTATAGATTATTAATTAATAGTAATTACTACATCCTAGCTGAATTATATCTACTTAACTACTATAATACTGAATTACTCCACGCACAATTACTACACTTTATCCGAATCACTAAGACTCTTGGTAAACTTGATCGCTTTTCAAGCTATCAGCGCATAGAAAACTTGATGAAAAGAAAGCTATAAGCGCGTGTGTGCAGATTTTGCACTTCCCAAGTTGCTTAGTACGATAATCTATTATTTCACGGTCTCCCAGGGCGCTAATGCTAAACACAGTGCGCTCGTAAATTGCGGAGTGCCGTTGTAACTTTTGAAAATTTGCAGGTCTAATGGGGCTATTCAGCGTATGTTTGTTTTCCGTTCTTTTTTCTTTTTTTTACACCGCTGAATTTGGTTTTTTTGACGTAAAAAAAACGAAAAAAAAACGGAAAAAAATCATTTTTTTCGCAGCCTGAATAACCCCACAAAATTTTTTATTTATTTATTTAAGTTTTATTTTTAACGTGGAGAAGAGCAGTTCAATTCGAGTTTACGGCCTTTATTTCTTTCTTTTTGACTTGAAAAACGTCTAGAAAACAATATTATACTGATTCAGGGCTGGGCAATGAAAAGCCCTGGCCGGGCTAGTTGCAAGCGCGCTCCACTGCAAAAAAGCCGGGCTAGTTGCAATCGCGCTCCACTGCAAAAAAGCCGGGCTAGTTGCAAGCGCGCTCCACTGCAAAAAAGCCGGGCTAGTTGCAAGCGCGCTCCACTGCAAAAAAGCCGGGCTAGTTGCAAGCGCGCTCCACTGCAAAAAAGCCGGGCTAGTTGCAAGCGCAATCTAATCAGATTTAATTGAAGTTCCAGTAAAATCGTATTAGATTACAATATATTTTTCCTGAATTGCAATCTAATTAGAAAAATTGCAGTAATTGTAATCTAATTAGAAGATTTTGCAATCTAATTGAAGCAAATTCTATTTCAAACGAGTTCGTATTAGATTGCAATTTTTTCTTATTACATTGCAACTCTAGAAACTCGATTGCAATCTAATTAGAAGAAATTGCAATCTAATAAGAAAAAGCTCAATTTCGCAATCTAATCAGATTTAATTGAAGTTCCAGTAAAATCGTATTAGATTACAATATATTTTTCCTGAATTGCAATCTAATAAGAATAAATTGCAAACTACTTAGAAAACAGTGCAATCTAATTAGAAAAATTGCAGTGATTGTAATCTAATTAGAAGATTTTGCAATCTAATTGAAGCGAATTCTATTTCAAACGAGTTCGTATTAGATGCAAAGTTTTCTAATTAGATTGCGATTGAGTTCCCAGAGAATTCAGGAAAAATATATTGTAATCTACTCGGCAAAGGCGCGCCACTTTTGCGCAAACTTTACGCAGCTTTTGCGCAAAGTTAGCGCAGCTTCTGCTGGCAAGTTTCCGCAAAAGCTGCGTAAAGTCTGCGCAAAAGCTGCCAGTTTTAAAAGTTTGCGCAAAAGCTGCGAGGACGCTTAAAGTTTGCGCAAAATCTGCGAAAATTCTTAAAGTTTGCGCAAAAGTGGCGCGCCTTTGCCGAGTAATACGATTTTACTGGAACTTCAATTAAATCTGATTAGATTGCGAAAAAGAGCTTTTTTTTATTAGATTGCAAACTCTTCTAATTAGATTACAATCGAATTTCCAGAGTAATTAATAATCTATTGTGATTATTATAGGGGCACCGCACAGAAATGGCGCTCTGTTGAGAAACTCTTTTTGCAGTGCAAATTGAGCGACCTCGGGGCCGAGTTTGAAAGGTTAGGCCACATTTTCAGTGGAAAATTACTTCGCGGCCTAGAAATTCGGCCAGATTGCGAACAGCGCGCCCTTTCTGTCCGGTGCCCCTATAATACTCTGGCATTTCGTTATTAATCTAACGGCGGCCTAATAAGATTGATATGACACCTAATTAGATTAATAAATTGTCTAGCTAGATTAATAAATCTTCTAGCTAGATTAATAAGTGCTCAAATCAAGTTTCACGCCAACCGTCTGCTGGCTAAAATCTCGATTGCGCCAAGAAAAAACAGTCGAATCTATTATAGGGGCACCGCACAGAAATGGCGGTCTGTTGAGAAACTCTTTTTGCAGTGCAAATTGAGCGACCTCGGGGCCGAGTTTGAAAAGTTAGGCCACGTTTTCAGTGGAAAATTACTTCGCGGCCTAGAAATTCGGACAGATTGCGAACAGCGCGCCCTTTCTGTCCGGTGCCCCTATAATAAGCCTTTTTCCAGAAATTCTCAGACTTTTTCCAGAAATTCTTAAACTTTTCTAAGCAATTCTCAAACTTTTCCAAGAATTTCTTAGGTGGCGCCTGGAAAAGTTTGAAAATAGCTAAGAAAAGTTTGAAATTTTACCTGAGTTAGAAAAGAGCTATCGTAAATAGGAATGGAGCTTGTACGTGTTCCATGCACATTGGGCCACTATTATAGGGGCACCGGACAGAAAGGGCGCGCTGTTCGCAATCTGGCCGAATTTCTAGGCCGCGAAGTAATTTTCCACTGAAAATGTGGCCCAACTTTTCAAACTCGGCCCCGAGGTCGCTCAATTTGCACTGCAAAAAGAGTTTCTCAACAGAGCGCCATTTCTGTGCGGTGCCCCTATAATAATTAGGTCGCGTTTAGATCAGTAACTTTCTAATTAGATTAATATCGAATTGCCAGAGTAAGCGCATTTAGTAATTCAGCAGTATAGTAATTAAGAAATATAGTACTCTGGAAACTCGATTGCAATCTAATTAGAAGAGTTTGCAATCTAATAAGAAAAAGCTATATTTCGCAATCTAATCAGATTTAATTGAAGTTCCAGTAAAATCGTATTAGATTACAATATATTTTTCCTGAATTGCAATCTAATAAGAAAAAATTGCAATCTAATTAGAAAACATTGCAATCTAATTAGAAAAATTGCAGTGATTGTAATCTAATTAGACGATTTTGTAATCTAATTGAAGCAAATTCTATTTCAAACGAGTTCGTATTAGATTGCAAAGTGTTCTAATTAGATTGCGATCGAGTTCCCAGAGTAACTAATTTTGTAGTAATTCAGTATTTGCCCTCCTTTTCTCTCAATTACTTCACCATATCTCAACTACTTCACCATCTCAATCACTACAAAAGGCCTCTCCAATAAAAGTTAGCAATTTCCAAATTTTTTAACTATAACCCCGCGTTGATCTTCCGGCAGACAGTGATCAAAACGGCGACCCCGAAAGGCTTTGATAGTCTTGGGCCTGATGAAATGTTTAGCTGAGACTTAGACAGTATAATAATTGTAAGATAAGCAATCTAAGAGGGAAGACAGGTTTAAAAATCAATTCATTGGTGAAAAAGTAAAAGAACAGAGGTGTAAAGCGAGATGAAGAGAGACAATGAGAAAATGCGAATCATGATTCTCGCTGTGTGTACTTTTTAAAAACGCTGGAAACGCATTCAAAAGTGCACACTACTCAGGGAAGAGTTGAGATAAATAAAGCAATTGAGAAATTGTAGTAGTTGAGATATGGTGAACTAATTGAGAAATTTTGAAAATACCACGGCGTGTCAGCAGGAACATGCGCGAAGTACCGCAAATATTGCAATAAAAAGGTACCCCAATATCGTCCAGCCCCGCAATTTGCAAGTATGATTAATACTTCCGCTCCGAACTTAATAGGATGTAATGGAAGGTGCGATGAATTATTCATGAAAAAGTTCTCGACTGTTCCTTTGTGACACACTCTTACAACAATGACTTCGCGACAAACTGAACCAGAATTAATATCGCCGAAATGTCCCCCTGTTCGATTAATTTTAATGGCAATTGTGACCGCTTTAAGCAGTTCGTTCAGCTTTGGATTTCAACTTCTCATCACAAATCCAGCTCAAGATGCTTTCATTCACGTGAGCAGTGTGTCTTTTCGCTATTTCCAAAAATTATCTAGAAATTAGAAACAAAAGCCAAGCCTGGATCCCGCCATAGCTGGGTGATCAGGCTTGTTTTGCAACGTTTTGTTATGATTTTATTCGCAAGGAAGTTTTGCAGTTTTTGAATGCATCCAAGTCGTTCCATGGAACTCCTGATTTTGAGACAGCAGCTTTGGAAAATGAGTGGTCCATAATAGTGGCAGTACTATTTCTAGGATCGGCAAGTGGTGCTTTTCTAATAAGAACGAAAGCTGAAAAGTATCTATGATAAATCAAATTAATCTTTCAAGTTTATCGTTTCAGATTTGGAAGAAAGTTAGGAATCATGATTGCCATTTCTATACAAATTTTTTCATCTATTCTATCTATACTCAGCTTTTGGGTAGTTATAGGAATAGCGCAAATTATGCGCAGCTGCAATCAATGCTTTTTTGTTCTAAATATTTACTTTTAGATGGTGTGCCACACTCTCTTTACATTCGCCCGATTCTTAATGGGCGTTGGTATAACGACTTCGATGGGATTGTCAGCAATGTTTGTCACTGAATCCAGGTAAACTTCGAACGCCGATCGGTAATCAATCACTTCCGAATTATGGGGCTATTCAGCGTATGTTTTTTTTCCGTTTTTTTTCGTTTTTTACATGTCTGAATTGGATTTTCTAACGTAAAAAACAGAAAAAAAATATTAATAACCCCATTAAGGATTTTTCTTAGTCAAGGATTTTTCTTACTCTGACTTTCTAGAAACTTTTTTTTTAATTTGGTGAAAATCTGAAGAAATTATTTCAACTTTCTTTGATTTCACTCAGGCAAATCGTTTGTAATACCTTAAACTCAATTCATCGCTATTGCCCCTCGGTAGGCTGGTCGAAAAGGCGCCTGCTATTCAGGCGCCTGTTTTTTCAGGCGCCTGTTTTTCAGGCGCAGGCGCCTGAAATCGCCTGTTCGACCAGCCTAGCCCTCGGTGTTTGCAGACTTAAGCCACAATTTCAGGAAATTTTGGCTTGAGTCTGCAAACACCGAGCGGGCAAGAGTGGTAAACTGAGTACAGTTCAGTTGAAACTATGTTTGACAGAATGAGCGCATCAGAGAAGTTATTGAGTACGAAATTCACAAATTAACTGGGAGTCATTCAGTGTAGAAGTGTACTTGATAATTAATTTTCAGTCCGAACTACTGCAGAGGAAAAGTGTCGATGATTAATGGTGTTTTTCTCCAGTTTTCCCTATCTCTAGGTGCTCTGGTTGCTATGCCCATTTTCTTAGGAAACGAGGAGAAATGGTGGTATCTCTACCTAATCCAGCTTGTCATCAATGCATTTGCGATATGTTTTCTTTCATTCTTCCCTGACAGTCCTGGATATCTTGCCTCACAAAATGAGTTGACAAAGACTGTTGATTCAATCAAATATTATCATGGGATTCCGGCGAGTAGAGCTTCAATTCTAGCTGAACACCTTATAGAGTCGAGCCAGAAATCTCATAGAAATACTTCTATTTTTTCTATTTGGAAACATCCTATCAGTCGCCGTGGCACACTCATTGGAATTGTCTTGAATTTCTCAATGGCAATGTCTGGAATAACTGTCATCAACGCATTCACTTCTAAGATTCTTATGGATGTTGGACTTATTAAAGACGCTGCAGCTGTTGCGAATGTAATTGTGTGCATATTTTCGTTGGCTGGAATTATTTTCTCCACAAAAATAATAGATAACGTTGGAAGAAGACCGCTTCTTATATGTACATTAGCGGGTCTAGCAGTTGTGAACAGTGTCATAGTTACTATCATGTATGCTCATTCTTATACACAGGTATTAATAGAGTTATTTTTGTGAGATTCTTTCATTCAGAATGTTGTAATTTCTTACTTTCTCATCCCTTTCATATGTCTATTTAATTTTCTCTTTGCTATGGGACCAGGACCACTTTCAATGTTTTTATCCGGAGAACTTGTACCTCAAACCTGTCGATCGGCATCCTCAGTATGGACAAATGCATCCATGTCCGCAGTGTTAGCTGATGTCATGCAATATTAATTGTTTCATTAATACTAATTCCAGACGCTTTCTCATACTCATATCTTATATACCATTAAAAAACGAAACAGCTGAGCATACTGCTTACGCTGTCTTTTTCATCATACCTCTAGTAAGCTACAAATGAAACCCAGTCTCTCGAAGGTTTATCACGGCGAAAATTTTTGAACATAGTGTGAATTTCCCGCCCGTATTTTGTCGCTGCGTTGCGACTAAATTGTGCTGAAGGGTTATGGTTTGCGATACGGAGCGATAACAACGGGCCCGAGCATGTTCACAAATGTTATTATAGGGGCACCGCACAGAAATGGCGCTCTGTTGAGAAACTCTTTTGCAGTGCAAATTGAGCGACCTCGGGGCCGAGTTTGAAAAGTTAGGCCACATTTTCAGTGAAAAATTACTTCGCGGCCTAGAAGTTCGGCCAGATTGCGAACAGCGCGCCCTTTCTGTCCGGTGCCCCTATAATAGCCGTGTTCACTCTGGCATTTCGTTATTAATCTAACGCCGACCTAATAAGATTGATATGACACCTAATTAGATTAATAAATTGTCTATCTAGATTAATAAATCTTCTAATTCTAATTAGATTAATAAGCAGAGTTGCCACGGGCCGGGCCGGGCCAAAATTTTCAAAACTCCGGCCCGGCCCGGTCGGCCCGGTTCAAAAAGCGGGAATCCAAATTTTGAACTATTGATTATTATAGGGGCACCGCACAGAAATGGCGCTCTGTTGAGAAACTCTTTTTGCAGTGCAAATTGAGCGACCTCGGGGCCGAGTTTGAAAAGTTAGGCCACATTTTCAGTGGAAAATTACTTCGCGGCCTAGAAATTCGGCCAGATTGCGAACAGCGCGCCCTTTCTGTCCGGTGCCCCAATAGTAAATAAAATTTTTGTTTTTCGTAGAACTAACGAATTTTGCAAGTATCGAGCATAAAAAAGAAATGTAGTTCTCAAAAATAGTTTTTATTGGCATCAAAGCAAAAGTTTTAATTTTGATCCCCGCAAAAAAAACGAAAAAATAGATTTCCCCCAAAAATTTGAATTCGCGCCTTTTTAGCCGGGCCGACCGGGCCGGGCCAGCAAATTCTCGGCCCGGCCCGTAATCTGGCAAGTCTGTTAATAAGCGCTCAAATCAAGTTTCACGCCAACGGTCTGCTGGCTCAAATCTCGATTGCGCCAAAAAAAAAACAGTCGAATCTATTATAGGGGCACCGCACAGAAATGGCGCTCTGTTGAGAAACTCTTTTTGCAGTGCAAATTGAGCGACCTCGGGGCCGAGTTAGAAAAGTTAGGCCACATTTTCAGTGGAAAATTACTTCGCGGCCTAGAAATTCGGCCAGATTGCGAACAGCGCGCCCTTTCTGTCCGGTGCCCCAATAGTAGTTAGGTCGCGTTTAGATCAGTAACTTTCTAATTAGATTAATATCGAATTGCCAGAGCATCTAAAAAAAAAAAAACTTGAGCAGTCTCAAAATGTCTTATAAAATACATTTCAGATTGTGGCCGTTGCCATACTTTACACTGAAATGCCCGAAACAAAAGGGAAACACATTGAAAATACATTGCAAAATTCCGAGCAGAACATATTTATTACCTGGTAACTCCGAAGTACACAAACATATCTTAATTTTACTATTCAGAATCAAATCGCAATAAAATTTTTACACATCCACCCACTAAACATGTACAATCCCACGTGAAATTGTTCTTGTCTCTGGCATTTCGTTATAAATCTAATCGTAGTCTACTCGAGTTATACGGCGGCCTAATAAGATTGATATGACACCTAATTAGATTAACAAATTGTCTAGCTAGATTAATAAATCTTCTCAGGTAAAATTTCAAACTTTTCTTGGCTATTTTCAAACTTTTCCAGGCGCCACCTAAGAAATTCTTGGAAAAGTTTGACAATTGCTTAGAAAAGCAAGCGAATTTCTGGAAAAAGTTTGAGAAAGTCCTAGAAAAGTTTGAAAAGATCTTGGAAAAGTCTGAGATTATCTTGAAAAAGTTTGACGATGGCTCAGAAAATTGTCGGAATTTATTGGAAAACTTCTCGTCTTCCCAGGAACGATACGAATCACCTCGAAGAGGTAGTCTGCAATGAATCCATACATTACTAAGTTTACTTTTTACAATTCCCTGAATTTTCGGCCATTCAAGATGTGATCTTCATTTCCCCGGTTTCCATGATTGCGCGCAATAGTTTTACCGCCTGCGTCTCTGCTTTTTCGCACGATAATCGCCAGGGCTAGGCAATTGGCCGGCACGGGCTTTTCGTTGGCCGGCCCTTGACCTGGACTTTTGAACCACTTGCAATATTCCGATCAGACCCAAACTTTGCAGGATTGTTGGAATTGGATTGAGGGTCATTGGGACCAAGTTTCAGTCCGATCGGATTATTTGGTCCCGAGAAATGTGGGTCATTGGCCGAAATTGGAAGGAAGCCCGGGCTTTTTGAAAAAAATCGGCCAATGATCCATATATCTCGGGACCCGACGATCCGATCGGGCTGAAACTTGGTCCCAATGACCCTCAATCCAAGTCCAACAATCCTGCAAACTTTGGGTCTGATCGGAATATTGCAAGTGGTTCATTTTTTGATTTTTTTGTGAAATTTTTTTGTGTCTGTTCGAATTGTCTCTTATTGACTCATACACTGGTGAAATGCTGACTCTCAGAAATGCCAATGAACCAAACGGCGCGCAGTTGAAGTTGTGGCCGTGGCCTAAGAAACTTTTATGTGAAAACTCTTCCCTGTGAGCAGTTTGATGCTCTTGCACTATGTATGGTCCATACAGTATGGATGCTGATTTGTTTTGCAACGTATGAAGATTGTGCCGAACGCAAAAAAAGATCCGGAAAAGATCACAAGGCCTAGAACTTTTCTGAACCACGGCCACAACTTTGACTAAGCGCTGTTCCATATTTCTGAAAGTTGGGGCTCGGACAGTGAATGTGGCAATAAGAAGCAATTCAGTCAGACACATAAACTCGGAGGGTTCCCTGGTCCTTTAACCTTTTATTAGAAATGTTGAGTAAAATAAATAATTATTTACTAGCTAGTAGAAGAAATTAACATAATAAAAAAGTCCTAGAAACACATTATATACGAATGTTGAAAACATAATTGGTTATTGAATCCTCGGTAGTATCCTTGAGAAACAAGATCATTAAAAAAATCACGCGTAGATTTAGCGAAGACAGAAAGACAACTTGAGTAGACCAGATAAAATCATATAATTGATAGAAGATATATGATTTTTACACGTACTATTCGATCGAATTCGAGTATTCGAACTCTATAGACTATATAGTAAAGGGGACGGTTACGACTAAACTTGATGATGAAATCACCTGAATTGACACACCAAATCACTTTTCGTGAAGAAGTTGCGATTGAGTCAGAAATTAGAAAAAATTAGAAAGAGCAGTTTTATGGTGCATTTCTCTGAGAAGAAAAAAAAAATCGGCCCTGGAAGTCACTACTGAAAATGGTTTTCAAACAGAGCGGATTTGCAGATAAATGTAAAGTGCGGAGTGCCGTTGTAACTTTTGAAAATTTGCAGGTCTAATGGGGCTATTCAGCGTATGTATGTTTTCCGTTTTCTTTGTTTTTTACATCGCCGAAATGGATTTTTTGACGTAAGAAAAACGTAAAAAACGGAAAAAAATCGTTTTTTTTACAGCTTGAATAACCCCATAATACTATTGGGGCACCGGACAGAAAGGGCGCGCTGTTCGCAATCTGGCCGAATTTCTAGGCCGCGAAGTAATTTTCCACTGAAAATGTGGCCTAACTTTTCAAACTCGGCCCCGAGGTCGCTCAATTTGCACTGCAAAAAGAGTTTCTCAACAGAGCGCCATTTCTGTGCGGTGCCCCTATAATATGTAGATACTCAGTAAAGTACAGGATAATATGTACAAGACTTTTTGAAACTGGGCCCGCTGCGCTGTCCGAACTAATTGTTATAACGCTTGTTGGTTTCTCATGATTTTGTGCAAGTTAATTTCTCAATTTCCCCGTCACTACTTTTTCAGAAATGAAATGATTTTTTAGAAATAAACAAATAGACATACCCACCAAGAGTTATATTAATAACAATGAGAATGTATCAGAAACACTAAGCTACTCTCAAGAAAACTAGAAAAGCCAACATATAACACGGAAGTCAAAGACAATCACAGTTTCTGCTATTATAAGTCGTGATTTGAAGTGAAAACATTCGACTGAGAAAACAATTTGCGTTGGCAAGAAGTAAGTGACTGATAAGTGACATGAGAACTCGAAAAGGATGATCACAGACATAAGTTTCTGGACTTGAGAAAGGAGGATGGTATACACGGATTTAAAAAGTAAAACCACCAGAAAGATATACCCGGATGAATTTTCTTACGCGATTTGTTTCGTAAAATGGAATTTTCACACGAAAAAGAAGTAAGGCGCTCTGGAATGATGACACGAGAGCGGTTTAGGAGATATTCCGTCTAATTCAAATTATAGCACGTGGAAGATTAACCCGTGATTGGAATACAAGTTACTGCCTATTGTTTTGATTAGAACACGGAAGGATAGGAGAGGGAAGGAAAACTCTAGGTGACAAGTTAAGATAAAATTAAATGAAAAGTGATTAAATATGTACAACTGTGCGACTAGTTACCAATGCGAAGAGAGTTTAATCGCCCTCCAGTTAGCAAGTCTGTAGTTCCAAACGGATCGTAATAACGTTGACTTTCACTCGTCGAACCATCAACTGGGTTGCTGTCAGATCCAACCGAAGAAGTGACAACTCGATCACCAATAGATCCAGCATCTGAAAAAAAACTTTAGACCTTTTACTTTTACATAAGACTGACTGTTAAGCGGTGAAAGCCGTTCAGCTTGAGAATGTCCCTCTACACTCGGCGGACTTGCTGAGCCACCAGATGCACGTGAAGATGATCCACGTGCGGTTCCGATTACGGCAGAACCGCCTCTTCCACATGTACACTGGCATGTGCATCCAGATCGGCCAATGTAATTCAGTGGTAAACGACCGTACATGTCGTCTGCCTGTATCCCTATACTTGCCATATTTTTTGATATGGGAAACAGAAGAGTGTTCAGATCAGCACCCCCGATCAATGATTCGTGCACAGAGCTAATTCCACTGATCGGTCCGAGATTAGACTGACGGTTGCCCGAAGGGGTGTTCGACCAAGTGTTTGGAGAGAATAGTGGACTGGTCCACTGATCACTGCTCGTTCCACTTTGTGACAAGGAAGTTTGCGAATCCCAGGGTGCCACTGGACGGCTTGCGCTCGTCAACTGATGGGATTGCTGCATTAGCAGACTTTGTGGCCTTCCGGATGAAGCAAAGCTACCACCCATCTGAACAGACATGGTTCTTTGAATTCCACGAGGCTGTCCATATGACATTTGACGGCGATTCACATCTAGCTCCGGAAAATGCTGTTTGATAAAGGCAACGTAGTCGTAGTTTGGCAGATTTCTCCGTACTGATACATACGTGCGGTTGGGAAACAGTGCGAAAACCCAGTTGTGAGCAGTTAATAGATTCAAGAAATCTTGACGGCTGTCTCCATTATGATCGCGAACTTCTTGTGCAAGTTCTGCACCCATATAATAATCAAATAGTGACTGGATAGAAGTTGCTCCTCCGCGACGAAGCAAGAACGAAGCCAAGAGGTAAACTGCCTGGTACACAGCAGGATTCTGTGAACAAATAAAAATGATTAGACAGTTTTATCTTTGACAAAACCTGTAGAATAATGGAATCATCATTCTGAAGACGAAACAGATGAGTTCTGCGTTCCACGAATTGACGGCGTTTCAGCGAAGACGTGCCAACATAGCGAAACAGCTCATCATCTCCACAGTTAGACATCTGCGAGTGAAGGCTGAAACTCCTGAAGTTTATTTTGAGTATGTTCAATAACATCAGGAAAAGCTTTTCAATTCCGCAGACATTTCATTCTTGTTTTATAAAATCAAAGATCTCAAAGCACTTCCCCAGTTTCTCACCTGCTGAGTTGAATTTGTTGCAAACCGTGACGTTGGAAAATGGCCATGAGGGCCGGAATAGCTTTTGCTTCAAGAACTGGAGAATAAGCGTCTTTGGCGTTTGGTGGTGTGGGGCTTGCGGCTTCCAGATCCACTTCAGGAGCGTTGGCAAAAAAATGGTCAGCTTCCGGGCCGTATATTGGTTGAACGATTGTCGCAGTGTATTCGCTTGTTTCGTTGAGCGCTGCATGAAACGAAAGTGTGAATCCAACACGCAGAACAGAAGTCAAGTCATTCAACATCTGTAATACACTTATATACCGCCAGAATATGACCAGGGATCTATACTTGATCACAGAAGTCCTTGATTTGGAAGGAGATCACCATCTGATCTTTACAGGTGATGAGCCCAGCCTTGGCAGATAACCATGTCAAAACTCCGAAGCCTTGAATAGTATCGGCTTTCTGGGCGTCTGCCAATCCTGGATGTACCTGCACAGCCCCAACAAGTGGCTGTGGAGGCACAAGCTGAATATTGTGAGAATTTTGGTATTGATTCAACATGCCGAGAGCCGGCATGAATGGGACATTACTTCCAAAGGTATCTGAGGCTGCAATAACGTTAAATGTCACATTACTGTCGGCCTAGTGAACCTGCAATCGGAGGGAACTGTTGCATAGACCAGATAGACTGAGGTTGTTGTTGCTGTGGCCCGATTGCCTGATTCGCTGAGAACAGACTGTTCATTTCGTAAGCCATTCGGAAACCAGTGTGGTGTCGAACGCAACTCTTCTATGTCTTCAATGGTCCTCTCAAATTTCTAAATGCCAGATTTGGAGAAGGGGAAAAAATACTTTTAATGTAGAAAATATATAAGAAACAAGAGACAAAATTGCGGGAGGGGAGAGACCACACGGGATGTGTCTCGACGCTCACTCACAAACACTCGCCTTTACACTCATAAAACACTCTCCAGCATATGAATTCCCGAAAATGCGCTCACTAGCACTATAAGCGCAGAGACGCAGAAGTACCCGCTCACACTCTCATTCCGGCGTTTCCATACACTCACAAGCACACATCCGCACGCATAGACACATACTCTCCCACACACTCACTCACTGGTCAATACACCGCTCGTCCTCTGTAGACGAATGTGTATAGGCCGAGCGCCCCGAAAACTACGACCGTTATCGAACCGGCGGAAACTTTCGTCAAGAGCAGCAATGCCTGTAGATTTGGAATGTTGCTTAGCGTGTAAACGCCTCTTTGAAAAAATGTACTAAATGTGCTGCTCAATGGATTCAGAAACTGATGATCATTTGGACTTGCAATAATGGTAAAAACTGAACTATTTTTCTGGAACTGAAAACGTAAATACAAACAGTACACAGTTAGATTACACCTACAGAGTCACCATCATATTTAATAAGTTTTCCCGTGTTTGCCGTCCCCACTTTTTTAAATTTCAAATCGAGTTTGTGTTGGTTGTGACGGAGAAATTAACAAACCTAGTTAGATTGCTAATTGCGATTCAGGGCTGGGCAATTGCATGGCCGGCACGGGCTTTTCGTTGGCCGGCCCTTGACCTTGACTTTTGAACCACTTGGAATATTCCGATCAGACCCAAACTTTGCAGGATTGTTGGAATTGGATTGAGGGTCATTGGGACCAAGTTTCAGCCCGATCGGATCGTCGGGTCCCGAGATATATGGATCATTGGCCGATTTTTTCCGGCCAATTTCGGCCAATGATCCACATTTCTCGGGACCAAATAATCCGATCGGGCTGAAACTTGGTCCCAATATGCTTCAACCCATGTCCAAGAAGCCTGCAAAGTTTGGGTTCGATCGGAATATTGCATGTGGTTCAAAAGTCCAGGTAAGGGCCGGCCAACGAAAAGCCCGCCCAGCCCTGCTGCGATTAGAATGCAAATTCTTCTAACTAGACTGATAAATTTTCTAATTAGATTAATAGAACTGATATTAGATTCAACGTGGCCTAAACGTGGCCTAATAGATTCACGCTTTCGGTTAAAGTGTAAATCTAATTAGATGAATTATGAATTTAATTAGATGAATTGTGAATCTAATATCAGTTCTTTATAAATCTAATTAGACAAATTTTGTTTTGTCAATCTATTTAGAAAATTTATCAGTTTATTTAGAACAATTTGCAAACTAATCGCAGTAAATTAGCAATCTAATTAGGGCCGGTTATAAACGGGAATTAGCTATTATAGGGGCATCGAACAGAAATGGCGCTCTGTTGAGAAACTCTTTTTGCAGTGCAAATTGAGCGACCACGGGGCCGAGTTTGAAAAATTAGGCCACATTTTCAGTGGAAAATTACTTCGCTGCCTAGAAATTCGGCCAGATTGCGAACAGCGCGCCCTTTCTGTCCGGTACCCCTATAATAGCTAGGTTAAAGGTGGTATCCAACGTGACATACAACATATTTTTAAGATAAACTTAGAAGTGGGGCATTCACTTTCCCAAAGTCCCGAATTACGAAAAAAGTTACCCGATTTTTAAGATTTTTTTCAAAAAAGTTAATGGTACCGAGAGAAGTACACGGCGAAATGGAAGAGCTGGCCTAGATTTTTCTAGTCCCCGGATGAAATTCCCCTTTCTTCCGATTTTTTTCCGTTTCCGTGCAATTTTCTTAAATTTTCAATCGTTTTTTTACTGAACACATTTATTTGCAATATTTAAAAAAATTTATGATTTTTTCTGTGCCGTGACGCCAAAAAAATCGATAATCTGAAACTTTCAAAATTCAGCAAAATTCAGAAATTCAGCCACTTTATGTAAAACTGAAAATAGGAAGTTCTGGATTTTTCGCATTACTTTGAAAAATAGAACTTTCTGTAACTCGCAAACTTTAATTAAGACTCTGGAAATGATTGAGCGATCTCTTTCTATTTATTTTTCAGCGCGCAAACTGAAGATTGAGCGAAAAACCCAGAAAAACAAAAAAAAAGTTTCAGATTATCGATTTTTTTGGCGTCACGGCACAGAAAAAATCATAAATGTTTTTTAAATATTGCAAATAAATGTGTTTAGTGAAAAAACTATTGAAAATTTAAGAAAATTGCACGAAAACGGAAAAAAATCGGAAGAAAGGGGAATTTCATCCGGGGACTAGAAAATTCTAGGCCAGCTCTTTCATTTCGCCGTGTACTTCTCTCGGTACCATTAACTTTTTTGAAAAAATCTTAAAAATCGGGGAATTTTTTTCGTAATTCGGGACTTTGGGAAAGTGAATGCCCCATTTCGAAGTTTATTTTAAAAATATGTTGTATGTCACGTTGGACACCACCTTTAATAACGATTTCCCTGAAAAGAAAAAAGTCAATACAAGATTGTCACAACATGATCAAAGAAAATTGGCTTCGACAGGTGGCACGCTGTGTAGTCCGGTATCTCTCGGCTCATCAATTTCATCAGTCACTGAATCATTCGTTTATATTTGAAAGCTTATCTCTAGATATTAATATTTAGTGGAAACGTTTTTCAGGGTAGTTTTCATAAACAATCAACTTTTTTATGCCGAAAGTGATCAAAGAAGTGAATATATCAGTTATTGGAATCAGTGGAGTCGAAGACATCAAAGGTCCTCGAGGTGCGGGCAAATCGTTGCTGTGTAATCGTTTCGTTCGACCTGCAGCTGACGAATTTCACAGTGAACATTGCTCTGTGCTCTCTCAGGTCTGCAAAAAAAAAAGCTGAATTGATTTGGTGAGGTGATTCACGATCGGTCTATTGAGAACGTGGACCTGTGATAGGCCTATAATATGCCTATCACGAAGAAAAAATTCGCCGATGGACGCATTGTAGGCAGTGGGGCGCACCGTTCGCGATGGGCCTATGATGGACCTGTAATAGACCCATCGCGAAAACCGAATTCGAAATTTTCGCCAAATTTTCGCCGTGCACGGATTTTGTTCAGAATTTTCATATTTTTAACGTGTTTACTATCATTTTAACAGCGTTTATTGTATTTCCAGTTGCCTAATTTAGGTTTTCATTTGTTTCAGTATTATTTTTTGGTGTTCTGTACATAGGTTTCTCTTTTTGCGTTAAGTCTATGCGGTATGCGGCATACCGTATGCCTCGATCATTGTTGAATCATTTTGCTCAATTACAAAACTCAGAAGTGCGGTGTACTGCAAACTACTTTTCAGTCAAAATGGCACTGAAATACTTACTTGTGAAAAGATAGCTATTTAGTGGAAAGTGTCCGAAAAGTGTGGTGGCAAAGTTCGCACGCGTCCAAAAATATTACTTAATGAGAAGTTTAGCTGTCTTCTTTTCAGCCGATTATCTTTTTGGAGCCGTCGCGATTTTGGAGTCGGCGGAGGACACGAGAGTGACGAGTACGACGATGGCGCCGGACGCGGAGGAGTGGATCAGGAAAATAATGATGTCGTCGACTGTCGACTAACTCAGCCTGTTTTTTAATTAAAAATGTTTTCCCCGCCCCTAAATTGTTTTTATTTTCTTTTTTCTTTTCCTCTTCTTCTACTTTACCTGTAACCCAGCATTTTCATCTTGTACTATTCATCGCTATTGCCTCCTCGTTGTTTGCGTACTCAAGCCTAATTTTAGACATTTTGGCTTGAGTCTGCAAACACCGAGGGCAATAGCGATGAATTGAGTTTATAATCATAATCTCGATATCGAACGTTCGCGATTGGTCCACAATGGGCGTTCGCGATAGGTCTATAATGCGTGAAAATTTTCGTGATCGGCCTATAATGTTCCTATTCAAGGACCTGCTCCGAGTTCTCTTTAGACACATCCGCGAATTTGTAATAGACCGATCTCGAATCACCTGAATTCAGCTGAATAGTAAGCTTTTGTTCAGAACGATTTTTTTGGAAGTCCTGTTATAAACGGAGATCATTGGCTGTATTGGGGAGATCGGATAATAGAGTTGTCATTTGACGCATGCGTCCGCGTAAGAGTTCTAGAACAAACCGGTACTCCATTGAATTGATATGAACAAAAGAACGAAAGAATTTGAGAATTTCTGGATGACGAGTCATTCGAGCCCCTGGCTAAAACATCAACTTCTGAAAATTATTATCAAAGATGTTGTCGGATAAATCTGAACAGTCGTGATAAACTGATGTATATACAGAAGGTGAGATCTTTTCAAAAAACGATTCCATTTCAATTACCTTAGGAACAACTCGGCGCGGAAAGTACATTTCCTCAGCAGCAGCTGAGAGACGGAAAAATTAATGTGGACGGATTTATAATAGTTTGTGATGTGAGCAAAAACTACGAATCTCAGTTGAACCAAGTGTTGACAATTGTCGAAGAAATTGCAAAAGCAAGGAAGCCGACTGTAGTCACTTTTACGAAGTGCGATAAAGCAGTGGAAAGAACGAAACAATTGCTTCTCACTTTATTTTTGTCAACCAAAGGACTTCGACATGTTCACATGCCACCTATAGAAACATCGTCTGTGGAAAACGTCAATGTTGACATTTTATTCCGATCTCTTTGTGAACTGTGTCTTGGATCTTGTTTCACTCATCATTTTAATTATCATAAAGCATCGTCTTTAGTGCAACAGCAAAACTTAAGAGTGAAGTAAGATTCCACATTTTCTTCGAATAATAATAATTCTCAGAAATATGTATACGCAAATGTTATCTCAAGCGATACCAGGATGGTGTTGGGCAGGTAAAAGTTCAATATGGAAACGCATTGTCGCCGAAATAGACCGGAATCCAGATTTCAAAAACTTTGTATTTGTTTTTGGAAGTAGAGCTGCGTCATTGAGTTACGAAAGACATATAGAAGAAGTCGAGAAATGCTGGACTCCTAACAGGTTTGTAGTCGCAAAAGTCTGTCAACCGCGCTCTACCGAATTCCACGTGAATTCAGTGCTAAATTGAAAAAGTTCGCGGTCGCGGCCGGGTTTTCACGTGGGATTGCGGTAAAGCGACATTGCCAGACTTCTGCTGCGCTAATAATAAAAACAATCTGTTATCTTAGACTGGGACCTCTCTTGATTCGTCTGGTCACAGCATTTAGAGCTCTTTTCAATGTTGACAGTATACCAGAGTTTCATTGGAAATATGCGAGAGAAGCCATAGGAGCACATTCACTTTATACCCGTTTCTTCGATAAACCAGGTAGCTTCCTTTGACTTTTCCCAACTCAGAAAAAAAACTGAGTATGTTTCAGATTATAATTCAAACATAATGAACATGGAACTTCCGGAAAAGAAAAGAATTCCAGCGGACATCTTACTACTACCAGAAGCCAAAAATGTTTTCTACAAGTTTAGAGTGAGTAAGTTTTCATTTCTGTAATTATTCAGACAGGATGTACTCATCGCGACCCGGTGGTTTGACTTTCGAGAGATCGATTGTAGTCTTCGGAATCCCATGTGAAGTTAGATCTGTATAGTCTCATAAATGCAAGAGAGCAGGATTGTTTGTTGTACTGATGCGAGTGTAGTACTTGAGAGAGTGAATGAGCACAAACGATGTTTGCATCTCCTACTGTTAGCCATTATTTTTTTTTTAATGACAACCCTCAATTCCACACAGTTTTAATCTAACAGTGCACAGTTTAAATATCACCATAATTCTAATTTAATAAAAGACTTGAAGGGTATGTCCGTCTGTTTCTTTGTTTGTTCACAAGGCTTTCTAAAACTGGGCCCGAAGCGCTGTCCTAGCTAACGCTCGGAAGTGGATTGGCCGCTTGTCTGTTTCTCATAAGTGTCTGAAAGTTCACATGTTCATTTCGTAATTTTTTCTACTTCTTTTTCAGAAATGAGATGATTTCAGAAATGAACGTGGGGACTGACAAACAGAAATATAAACAGACGAACATACCCCCCAAAAAAAAACTTTGGCCATTTCATATATTTTTGTGTGTTGTTTTCCAATCAGCCGAGATATAAAACCTCGACCGCTGGCCGAGTCTAGCGGAGCGGGATTTTCATATTTTGCAGGGCTAATGATTGAAATCTTTTTGTGATTTACAGTCCTTTGTGGATGTGACTCGAGAGCTCGAATCCTCAAGACCTTGGAGTGGTCTTTGTGCGGATCTCTTTAAAAACATGAGTAAGAACCATTCTGGTGAAAACAAGGACCCTAGGTCAGTGACACACTTAATACCGAACTTATGAAAATGTTCTGACTACGTGCTCTGGCCAGATCTGGGAACTCGATCGCAATCTAATACGAACTCGTTTGAAATAGAATTTTCTTCAATTTGATTGCAAAATCTTCTAATTAGATTACAATCATTGCAATATTTCTAATTAGATTGCAATGTTTTCTTATTAGATTGCAATTCAGGAAAAATATATTGTAATCTAATACGATTTTACTGGAACCTCAATTAAATCTGATTAGATTGCGAAATAGGGTTTTTTCTTATTAGATTGCAAACTCTTCTAATTAGATTACAATCGAGTTTCCAGAGAATTAAATCTGATTAGATTGCGAAATAAAGCTTTTTCTTATTAGACTGCAAACTCTTCTAATGGGGTTATTCCGCGATGTAAAGAAAAAACGAAAAAAAAACGGAAAACAAACGCTGAATAGCCCCATAATTAGATTGCAATCGAGTTTCCAGAGTGCTCGCAATCTAATCAGATTTAATTGAAGTTCCAGTAAAATCGTATTAGATTACAATATATTTTTCCTGAATTGCAATCTAATAATAAAAAATTGCAATCTAATTAGAAAACATTGCAATCTAATTAGAAAAATTGCAGTGATTGCAATCTAATTAGAAGATTTTGCAATCTAATCTAAGCAAATTCTATTTCAAGCGAGTTCGTATTAGATTGCAAACTCTTCTAATTAGAAACTCGATTGCAACTGGAAACTCGATTGCAATCTAATTAGAAGAGTTTGCAATCTAATAAGAAAAAGCTCTATTTCGCAATCTAATCAGATTTAATTGAAGTTCCAGTAAAATCGTATTAGATTACAATATATTTTTCCTGAATTGCAATCTAATAAGAAAAAATTGCAATCTAATTAGAAAACATTGCAATCTAATTAGAAAAAATTGCAGTGATTGTAATCTAATTAGAAGATTTTGCAATCTAATTGAAGCGAATTCTATTTCAAACGAGTTCGTATTAGATTGCAATTTTTTCTTCTAAGTTTTCTAATTAGATTGCGATCGAGTTCCCAGAGAATGTCGCGACATGGCCTAGAAAACATCGCGTGTAGTCCGCGAGGAGAATAAATTATCATCATTTTTCGAAACATTTTTTCTGTGTTTCATTCACGTCTATCCATAGTCACCACAAAATGTCTTCCCCAACAAAAGCACTGCTGATTTACAGCGACGTTGTTGCTTGCGAGAGACTATCTTTAAGAGAAACTGTATTTCTACTTGATTCTTTAATTTCTGAAGGCAATATCTATACACAACCCGATAAAATGTGAGTGTCTTTAAGAGAGATTCCAATGAACAAAGTTCTCTCTCCAGAAAAATTACATCTGTTTTATCACAGTGCTCCTTCAAATTGCAACAAGCGGGGGCTCCACTAGCAACTCCCGAGTCTATCGACTTTTTGCCCGACTACTCAGTAGTGAAGGTGAAAAATACTTAAGTAGAAATCAACGTGAGAATCGCCTTTACAATTAGGATGCAGTTGAAGATCATGTAACAAGCTACGAGGACCTTTCTCAAGAAAAACGAAACTATGGTGAGGAGCAGTTGACAGATGAAATGAACTTCATTAATTCGCAGGAGATACAACCAAGTATCATCACAATACCTAATTTGAAAAAAAATAGTTTTTCAGATGCATCGCGTCATACACAAAATCCTTCTGCGTCGCCCTCCGCTGACTCAGTTAACCGATTGCACAGGACTACAAATTTGTTTTCTGTTTATCCACAAATGAGTGAAATGAGATCTTCACTGTCAACTGAATTCCTGACAGATTTATCTATGAAAGAAGCTTCCGTCAAAAATGACAACCGATTCGTAAGGAGAGTAACTACGTCGTTCCGACTACGGAAAAGTCTAGCCGATTCAACAATTGGAGATAAAGAAGAGAAATTTACCATAAAGACACCATCGGAATCAATTTTATCTTTCATAGAGAAGCTAGCTACAAGGTCTACACAATGTTCTCCTCGAGCTATTCGGAAAACTAGAACGCCTTCATCATTCAGTGACTTGATTGGGGTTTTTCAAGATCTTAATATGCTTTCATTTCAGATGATACGTCAGAAAAAATCTCGAACGTCTTCAATTGGTTGCCATCAAAAACTACAAAAAAAATTATCCAGAGGAAAAGTTTCATCCATGATGTAATGATTTGAAAAACAACCAAAAATTTTAATTACGAATTACAGTTGAGCAACTACTCTTCATCTTCAGGTTTTCAAAAAAAAGTATCCCGTAATCAAACTTTGGATATACTCAGCGCTGAATCTGCTAATGGGATCCCGAATTATGTCGAGCTTTGTATTCAGTTTATAGAACAAGTAAGCGCGAAATATGAAAATCAAGACTCTAAGGCCGTGTTCAAAGTTTAAACAATGTACACATTGCAATGTGTGAAGTCTGTTGGATTTTGCAACTCAAAAATTGCTGAAATTTGACAGAGAACCGCTCGGCATTTGCAGGCTAAGTTTAAGCACATCATAAACAACTTTTAATTAGAAATTGCTAAAACTTTGTTGACACTGTTCTTAAACGTTGCTGATAACTGCTGCGAAATGCCGAGCGGACAGCTGAACGAATGATACCGTACACCATTGCGCTACGGTATTTTTTGAAAATATTTACATTTTGGGGGGTGCGACTTCGAAAGTGGCTAATTCTCGGAATAGTAGTGTTTCGAAATAGAGCGTGTTTCGAAATAAATAAAACTGTTCCGAATATTTAACAAAACTCAACGAGAAATTATCAAACAGATCTCACAAATTTTTTAGATTTGAACACGGCATAAAGAAATGAGCACAATTTTTTATGAGACCCGAGTGATACAAACCCTATTTTTGGGGAACCCAGAAATGTTTCATCGGATCGGGACCATTTTTTGCACGTTTTTGAAATTTTATACGATCCGGAACTCGAAATTGAACCCATTCCAACACCAAACGTATCGTTTTTGTTTCAGAATGGTGGTTTCGAACAAGAGGGCATTTATCGCATTCCTGGGAATCAAGCTCATCTGAATGAACTAGAGAAAAACTATTTTTTGACAGTACAGCTAATTTTCTTTCAAACAATTGTGGCAACCCTCTCTCCGCTAGACTCGGCCAGCGGCCGCTGTGGAAAACTTCGGCATTTAATTCCGAGGGTACAACAATTTTGGGGCACAACAGGGTACAACCTATTTTGGGGTACAACTTTTTTAATTTTGGGGTACAACAACATGATTTTAGGGTACAACACTTTTTTTCCTCATTTTTTTTGTATTTTCTTGCATTTTACTACAAACCCATATTCTTTTTATATCAATATTTCGCTGATTTTTTTATTTCAATGACTCATCTCTTGTAAGAGAACCAGTCTTTCGACTCGTGCTTTCTGCGGCAGTTCACACATTTTGTTTTCACCAAATCGTGAGGTTATTCAAAACCTTTTATTGCAAAAAAGCATATGACAGTAACAAGTTGAGCACAAATGAACGGATCTGAAATAACGAGTAGTTAATCTACTTGTTTGAAGTTTACGTTTAAAATAAACTGAGCTGTTCACTTGCAAAAATTAAACGAATTGCAACAAGAATAGCTCGGACTGTTATGTTTTCCTTTTGCAGGACTACCCGCACGAGAAAGGCAGAAAGATCTTACAGTCCGATATATTAGAGAGTAGAATAACAATTAGAACAGTTTACATAGAAGATCATTTTGTTACTTACATTTCACTGTTTGTTTTGTCTGTTGTTTTCACTTTGTCTGTTGTTTTCTTGCAGTGCACCACAAAATATGCTCCCAAGGGAAGCCTTGACCCTATTCTCATAAACCCGCCTTATTAATAGAGCTATTTAAAACCTAGATTAACTACTCTTTATTTCAGATCCGTTCATTTGTGCTCAACTTGTTACTGTCATATGCTTTTTTGCAATAAAAGGTTTTGAATAACCTCACGATTTGGTGAAAACAAAATGTGTGAACTGCCGCAGAAAGCACGAGTCGAAAGACTGGTTCTCTTACAAGAGATGAGTCATTGAAATAAAAAAAATCAGCGAAATATTGATATAAAAAGAATATGGGTTTGTAGTAAAATGCAAGAAAATACAAAAAATGAGAAAAAAAAGTGTTGTACCCTAAAATCATGTTGTTGTGCCCCAAAATTGTAAGAAGTTGTGCCCTGAAATTATGTGCTAGTTGTGCCCTAAAAGTGTTGTACCCTAAAATACTTGACAGAAATTATTCCCTAAAATCGGGGAAGTTGTACCCCAAAATTAAAAAAGTTGTACCCCAAAATTAAAAAAGTTGTACCCCAAAATAGGTTGTACCCTGTTGTGCCCCAAAATTGTTGTACCCTCGGAATTAAATGCCAAAACTTCGGTCGCGTTTTGTTCAATGGCTGTAGCGCGGTGAACATTTTTGAACATAATTAGAATTTTCTGCTCGAATTTTGTCATTTCGTAGAGACTCATTTGCATGCTTTGGGGGTACAATATCCATAACGGAGCGGTACAAATGCGGTCGAGCATGTTCACAAACGTTAATGGGGCTATTCAGCGTATGTTTGTTTCTTTTTTCGTTTTTTTGCATCGCTGAATTGGGTTTTTTGACGTAAAAAAACGGAAAACAATCATTTTTTCACAGCCTGAATAACCCCATAAGATCTCGGCTGCTGACCGACTCTGGGAACTCGATCGCAATCTAATTAGAACACTTTGCAATCTAATACGAACTCGTTTGAAATAGAATTTGCTTCAATTAGATTGCAAAATCTTCTAATTAGATTACAATCACTGCAATTTTTCTAATTAGATTGCAATGTTTTCTAATTAGATTGCAATTTTTTCTTATTAGATTGCAATTCAGGAAAAATATATTGTAATCTAATACGATTTTACTGGAACTTCAATTAAATCTGATTAGATTGCGAAATATAGCTTTTTCTTATTAGATTGCAAACTCTTCTAATTAGATTGCAATCGAGTTTCCAGAGGAGTCTAGCGGAGCAGGATTCTCAGGCAAATCGTTTCTAATATTATAGGGGCACCGCGCAGAAATGGCGCTCTGTTGAGAAACTCCTTTTGCAGTGCAAATTGAGCGACCTCGGGGCCGAGTTCGAAAAGTTAGGCCACATTTTCAGTGGAAAATTACTTCGCGGCCTAGAAATTCGGCCAGATTGCGAACAGCGCACCCTTTCTGTCCGGTGCCCCTATAATATAACTAGCTAAGTCTCGTTTCTAACCGGACCTAGTTAGATTGCTACCGATTTCTAAATCTAGCTAGCAGAATCTAAGCATAATCTAGCTAGGTTTGCCCGAAATTTAAATCTACTTAGATAATTTTGAATCTAATGTCAGTATTTTTGCAATCTAATTAGCTTTGCCAATCTAATTAGAAAATTTATCAGTCCAGTTAGAAGGATTTGCAATCTAATCGCAGTAAATTAGCAATCTATTATAGAGGCACCGAACAGAAATGGCGCTCTGTTGAGAAACTCTTTTTGCAGTGCAAATTGAGCGACCTCGGGGCCGAGTTTGAAAAGTTAGGCCACGTTTTCAGTGGAAAATTACTTCGCGGCCTAGAAATTCGGCCAGATTGCGAACAGCGCACCCTTTCTGTCCGGTGCCCCTATAATAATTAGGTCCGGTTAGAAACGCGAATTAGCTAGCTAGATTACAAACGATTTAGCTGAGTTACCACAATTATGCGGAGCTAATAGGGATCTATTTAAAGGGACATTTCGACGTTTCTTCATTCGACGCACCAGTGCATGTTGTCACAACAGCTCTGAAAAACTTTTTATCCGGTCTTCCTGAACCACTGATACCTATCGAGCATCATTCTCGTTTCAAAGAACTCAAAATATTTAATGATAGCACAAAAGTAACTTTAGTTAATACAAATCGTAAAGTAAGCCACAAATTACAGAATGTGAAAAGCGTCAAAACTTCTATAAGTCAACTACCACAAGTTAACCGAACTGTACTACGCTACATTATTTTACATTTACAAAAAGTTGCTTGCTCAACGAAAACTTTTATGAACTCGAACAATTTGGCAAAAGTATGGTCTCCAACTATTTTTAGGTAAGACTGTTGAGTGCTTCCAATGCGCAATTGCTATTTCTTAATAGAGCGCGTTTGCATCATTTAGCGGCTCGGAATTTATTTTTGAACTGGAAATCGTTCTCAGATGTTCACCGTGAACTTCAAGATCAGTATGTTTCCAGGCCGATTTTTTGCACATACGAGGAACTATCGTCTGGAATGCCAGTTTTCCACACAACTCTCGAAATACTGATAAATAACGCGTGCTTAATATTCGAAGAATAGAAATAATAAATGTATCATCAATTTAACCAAAATATATGTATTTTCTAAATGACTAAGAAGTAAAAGTGTTCAAAAGCTGTTCACCATCGCTGTTATGACTGGTGTGAATGCCACTCCTGCTGCAATACCAAACACTAAGAAAAGAGCAGAGACTTGACCCGCTAGTTTTGAGTATTCAGGTGGACAAACTCTGAAAAAGGAAAAACAAACGTTGTTAAATTTCAGAGTCCGTACCGGGGAGAGTACATCATACCAAGCGAAGAGAAATATCCGCTTGTGAAAGCCATTATAGTGTTTCCAAAGAAAAAAATCCACTCGTTTGAGTACCATACTGGTAGCCTACGACTATCAGGAAGATAGTTTCCAAACATGAAAAATGGGATAAAGAGAAGCCTCGCCAAAGCAGGAACGATGAGAAGTCGTGGACCAGGCTATTTGTTCAAGATATTGTTATAATTAAGATTTGATAAAAACTCACAAATTTAACAAAACTTGCGCTAATGTTCCCAAGCGCGGCGAACAGATTAAAATTGAGAAACGTGGTAATTCCGTTATATAAATTTTCTGAAATGAATAATAAAGAATTAGAATGATGGTGATCGTTTGTCTGTATTTCAATGAGTTTGGTCGCGCCGTCTTGGACAAAAATCACTGCGAGTGTACAATATTGCAATTCGATGTTGTCAACCGTAACCGTCAAGCTCCTTGGCCTTTAAGAATTACCGATTTGGATGAAATCACGATTTTTGTGCTAATCATGCTGATTTCTACACGTTTTTGAGAAAAAGTATTGAATTCAAGGGCTCAGTTTGTCGGTTACGTAACGGTTACTGTTGACAACAGATCTGTGTTAGCAGGAGTTTGGAAACACCACAGTGCAAGAAAAATACCGGAATTATATTACTATCACAAAAAGCTCTGTGGCAGCAATGCATGAGCTCATGACTGAACTTACTTGGAATGACCGAATTCCATTTTCCATCTTGTGTTGGTTCAAATCCGACCAGAATAGTAGGAAATACTGACAATGTTACAAAATAAACAAAGAAAACACTGACACATTGTAACCAACACTGAAAATGATATGTTCTTACTTGTTCATGCTGCTATTTCCAAACAAAATTCTCCTACAGTAACTCGATTAACCCCACCGGGCTTTTTCAAGATTCGCCACCAAAATGGGACGAGGCTAACGGAAAACTCGTCTTAAAGTTTGAAGTTTCACTGTTTTTTAAAAGTGAAACTATTTGCAAATCAGGTTAAGTAATTCTCTCTAAAATCCTTCTCGAATTCTCTAATAATTTTCACGTTAAAAAGGTAAATAAATAATAATAATAATAATATTCTTCAACTCACATGTTTCAAAGTGCCGAGATAGAGACGGTAATCGAATCTTGTCGACGATTGTGCGGAGCGTACTTGATTTCCTTTTTCTACATAAAAGTTATAAAATTCCTGAATTAAATAACGTCGTTGAAATAAAGGATTTTTTAACCTCACCAGTTTCTTACAAAACCACCATGAAAATAGACAAATAATTAGGATGGCTAATGAAATAGCGAAGTAAATCAAAGCAACAGTCTGTGGTTTATCAGAAAAAGACACTGTTGCCACAATTGCTAGAACGCTCGTGAAAGTTCCACAAATATTTGTACCGATAACAACTGCGTTCGAATACTTTGCTGGAAAATCAGCAGCTAACCCGAAAAATGAATTCTGATATAGGCCATTCGATGCATTCATAGCCATTATAATAATCAATGAAACGACATAAAACCATCCTCGAGCTAGAATCATCTAAATTAGAAATTGGAACTTCACTGTTCTCAATGTTACCATTGTCACTAGGAGTTTGGAATATAACAAATCCTAAGATAACCACTATCAGCAAACTGTTAAAAGACAACGGAGAGATTATTCTGTATAAAAGAGGTCCTTGAATGATATTCAGAACATTGATAACAGCAACAATTAAGTTAGGTACTTGAGCTACAATTCCCATTGCCGACATAAAGTTATCCGCGTACCCGGTTTTAGTTCCGTTCACCGTAAACCAATAATCAACGTAATACTGAAATAGTTTTTAAGAGGAATGAAATCCGCGGAACCGCACTTGTGGAGCAATTGTAATGAACATGTTCCAAGGAAGCAACACGCCGATTCCATTCAGTAGAATGATTGAAAAAACAAGCCGGAACTTATCCGTTGGTCCCCTTTCATTTGTGTTCGAGACTTCTCCTGCGACAGCTATACTAGTCAATTCTTCCATTTGATTGTCCATTTGCTCAATTTTTCTAAACTTAGTGTAACGATAATATCGAGCCACTTTTTTAGAACTAGAAGAGTGATTACTATTGCAAACGGTCAGACTTTAATATTATAAAGATGATGACATGGAGCCACTGATAATGGATATTAAAACTGTTAGTCTGAAGTCAAAGAATGGGAATCCAAATAAATTTATATTCAATCTTACGTATTCAACCAGCTGGAAGCACAAAACGACAAGGAAGCAATTCCCGCGATCCCACCCTGAAAAGCCAAGCATTGACAAAGAATATAGGTCCGAAAATGCTTAATTGTAAAATAAAGAATAAAAATCGTGCTGAAAGTCATCCGCTTTACTGAAAGGCTTATCGTTTTTTTTCTTTGATTGATAAGTGCTATCAGTTCCTCCTAAAAATGAGCTGTCGTGCGAAGGCACGTATTTGATTTCTACCAATGCATTCGTTTGTGTTTGGGATTTTCACACCACGTGGTGACCGAGTATCAAATTATTGAACTTCATTGTCAGTACACCCGCAAAATCTCAGCCCGGCAAAAAAAAACAATACACTAACCCGAAACTGAACTCAACTATAGTCATCCCCGAACTCAACAACGAAATCCAACAATGGTAGAGATTATGTTCCCAGATCACCGATTTTCAATGGAAATGTGTAAGTTATCACCACTAGATTCTCTCCTGGAGCAGTTTATCCCTCTTAACACTTTGACCTCTCGTTGACCCCTGGGAGTGCCGCCCTTCCAGAATTGGTCAAATTGGGAAAACTGTGAGACTACTGTTTTCCTTATGAAACACAAGCTAGATGCCCTCTTGGTGTAATTGACACCTAGATATGAGAACATGATTCCTCTGAGCACTTTGACCCATATTTCTTTGATCCCTGGAGTATCGGTCCTAGCTATATACCCCGTCTACATGTCTCCAAATACGTTTTCCTCAGTTTGTTCATTTCTGAAAACACGCTTTGGGCAGGAAAGACAAACAACATTTTATCTCAAGATGAATCGTAAAATTTATCGTCGTTTGCATCTTCTTCGCACCATTTCCCGCCTGAGCGATGTATGTATCAAATAGAAATCGTATCAGATTCTATAATACAGGATCGCATTACTTTTCTCAAAGTTTTCCTGTGAAATAAAGGAATAGCATTTGCTTTATTCAAGCAAACTAGACTACTTTAACGGTTGAGCCGATCAGCAACACAGGATCCTCAGAGAACTGAAAGATTTCCGAGGACTCAGCAATTATGAAATGGATCCATGCTTTCGAAAGCAATTCAAAGATGTAACAACTTTCAGTAACAAAGCGAGTTTATTAGCCAAACTGACTTTTAATCAAAGTCCGTACGCGCTTCCCTCTTTCCCTACCACATTTTTATATCTCGTCCGTGTCGTCATCTGCAGTTTTATGCCTCGTAATAAACGCAAATGACAGAACACAAGTGTGCGTATCAGATGCACCTCAAACGATTTTATTGCCCATTTATGACTGAAAGCTCAAAGAGTGCGACACTGTGTAATAAATCGGGAATTTTATGAGAAATAGGAAGAGAGACAAGGTATTTATGTCTTTAAAACCATAATTTTGCTCTTACTCAACGGTTTCCTGGTTTCTAAAAATATATTCTGAACTTTTAAAAATTCCAGAGAAGTTCGTTTTTGCTTATTGTCTATCCTAAATTTTATAAATTGTAGGTCGATAGATACCCACAAATATGGTAGTGTAATGTTCACACCTACATCTTCCCGTTCATCAGACGATACATCATATCAGACGATACATCATAAATTCCTTGTCATATGTTGGTTTCTGCCGCCTGTCAAAAGACGCCCGCTGCTGTCATCCTACAACCGATTCGCTTGCCCCTCCTACTTTCTTTTGAAAGTGCCGATAACACTGGCCGACCCCGCCCACACCAGACTTTAATTTTGTTGCGGGTGTGAAGGTGTCTAAGAGAAAAACAGTGACTTCTGAAAACTCTTCTGAAATTATATAAACAATGGTTTCAACGCATTCATCTTCCCTTTACATCACTGATTTTTCACCAAAAGCGGTCAGTTTTCGAGAAGTCAACCGGTTTTCAGATCCAGACTTTTTAATTCCATTTTTTTCCCTCAATTTCTCCAATCTCGGTAAAAGCCCGCAACTTTCACGCAAAAGTAAGGGCTCACGCAACTTTTACGCAAAAGTAGGCAGCCTCGCAAAGTTTGCACAAACTTTAAAAACTCCGCAAAGTTTGCGCAAAAGAAGGGAATCGTTCGAAATTTTTTGCGTCATGCAGCATACCTGCAGTAATTTTTCATGTTTTTCTCACGTTATACGCGTAATTTTTACATTGTTCTCGCTTATTTACTGGTTTTTCGATTGTAAAGTGCATCTAAATAGAATGTCTTCTTTTTCTAGACGGGTTGACAAACGATTTTGTCTGTTCGGATTCGAAGTCGACTAATATCCGGTGTGGCAGAAAGATCTATTCTAGGGATAACTTTTCATTGCTTTCAGATTTTGGTCTTGACGCCAGCAAGGCATATCTTCCTGAAGATTTACTTTTCGGTCCATTCGACACCAACCACCCGTTCGTTCAAGCATCTCATAACGTACTTATATTGAAAGTTTTAGGTTCTTGGAAACCATTCCCTTAGAAGACAGAGAACAAGAAGCGTGCAGAAGACGGGCGTACCGGGAGACAATCAACCCCGAAGTTCATTTTGCGATTGCTCAATCGCTGTAAGTATTGCTTTTCTTTTGACTGCTCTAATAAGAAATTCAACAGGCGTAACCTTCGAACGCACCACCTCGATGTCGAGTCAGGAGAACTTGTCCCATGCACGGTGAGTACTTTCTTTCGAATGGAAAATTGTAATGATAGGTTTCAGGGAAGACTGAACTGCGTGGATCACATCCGTTGGGACGCGGCGAAACGCTATCGCAAGAGCTGCAGGTTCAAACGAATCAACGACGAAATTTCGGACGCGCACATGCTGTGGAGAAAGTACGGCTGCGTGCAATCATTTCTTCATAAGTTAATAATTTCAGACTGAACGAAGAGTGCGTGGAGCAAAGAGAGGCAGAATTTGAGGAAGAACTGGATGCTGAGGGCCAATCACCGAGCAATGACTACATTAATCACATATTCCAGAACGGAGAAGATTAAATACTTTTTCTCTCAATTGTTCCTCATAATCATAATGTTCTGTTATTGTTTTCTTATATGAACTCTTGTTTTTTTTCGTTATTTACTACATAAACGAGAAGATGAATCAGGGCAGTATTCAGGGGCATACATTTAATACACAACTTTGGCGCTAACTCTACGCAAACTTTGCGCTAACCTCACGCAACTTTAGCGCTAACTTCACGCAAAGTTTGCGCACTTTAAGAATAGACTTTGCGTGAAGTTAGCGCTAAAGTTGCGTAAGGTTAGCGTAAAAGTTGCGGGCTTCTACCGAGAATGTTATTTATTTTGTAGATGGAACCAGGCAAGTCGCCGTTAGCATTGCTAGTGAGGACGTGTGAAACGATTGGCTCCCCCGAAAGTCAACCGAAAAGAAATGTATCACACGACAAGAAGGAAGAGAAAAGAAATGAGCATCAATCGAAGCAAAAGTCTCCACGATCAACTCCAGTGATAAAGGAGGCATCACTCACGTATCCTGGGTTCCCGAAACCGCCTTTTCCGATAGGAGTGCCTCCGATGGGAATTCATTTATTCAATCCAATGATACCTTATCACATGGGATTCCCAGCATTTTCAATGATATCAAATGGCTTTATGGGATTGAATAACAGATTTCAATGCCCATTTGCGATGATGAGGCAACCATGCAGGAACCCAACGTGTGTTCAGTGCTCGAATCCGTACTTGGCTACGGCACCGCTATCTTCACAGCCATCTTCTTTAAATACTGAAATGATAGCTCATCCGCTACTTTCAATGTACGCCAACATGCTTCCAAACACATCAAGGTAATCAATAGTATTCCACGTGTTTTCGACGATGCTAGCCCAAACCAACACATTTCTGGATAAGAACTGACTGTCTCAGTCAGAACCGATTAAAACTGAAATAAGTACGGATTGGAGTCAGTTCTGATTTGGGATTGTTCCCTTTCGGACACACGGCACACGTTGAAAAAAACTCCCAACAAGCAAACCTTCAGAGAAACTACCGTACCATCACAAAATCCAGTCCTCCAGTCAAATGTAATACCAGACGAAACATCAAGCTTTACCAGTGCATCCAAGAAGCCTGCAAGTGAGCAGAAAGATACGCTTTCCCAATTTTCGTGCCACTGGGAGGAATCAGATGTGAAATGCAATAAAGTTTCCAGAGATAAAGAGGAACTCACTAACCATTTCAATGTGAGTTACAGCAATGTTCTGCAATGTTTTTTATTTATACTTGAACATTTTCAGAGTGTTCACGGTTCTTTGCAGAATTATTCGGGTAATGGGACACCTCAAAGATACGCTCCGTACGAGAAACCTGCAATGGTGAGAAAGTCGTCAACTGTTGACACGTCTATCGCGAATCCATTGGTCCTTCCTTTTTCCCTTCGAGCATTATACTCAACTCAATGATCTAGCTTTCATTGATCAAGATGCTTTGAATTACCTTTTTGTTCCAGGATATTATTCATGTTCTCGATATTTAGTACGAGTTTCTGTCTTTCAGTCATAAAGCGCATATATAGAATGAAACTTTTTGTTCCAACCAGAAAGTTCTCTTCGTGACTACTATAGTTCCATAAAATTTGTCTTCACTTATAATATTTACAATACTGGTCTCCCGACAATTGAGCAACCTAAAATAGAACGACAATCTATCATTTGTCGGTACGTTTCAAAATCGGCAAGTTCTTTTTTTTTGGAAACAATTATTCGCTCAGCAGGTTCCGGAAGGGTCTACTAGGCAGAACGTCGAGATGAATTGTTTGTTCACGCTTTCTCTTTTTTATAAGTTTGTTTAGTCATTCGCGACTGCTCGAATATGTTCGGAGAAGCATGTTGAGTCCAGAGGGAACTATCTGCTGGTGATGAAAGCAAAAACTTGTGACAAATTGGTAGAGGCACACAGACAGAAAGAGCGTTGTGCTCATTCGTCAAACGTGGCAATCGGGACCAATCGATCATCTTCCAAGAAGCGCGCACGGAGAGAAATATATATCACTGCCCATGACCAACTTTCTGATGTCCAAACACATTTATGATTGATTAGCAGCCTATTGTTGACAACATCATCATTCTTATTTTATAAATAGCTAACAGAATCAGTACCCTTCTTTTTCATTTACTCGGGACGTGTTCCAAATCAGAATTGCCCGTAATCAGAAAGGCAGAGCGTAATCAGAAAGGCAAAACTTCCCCGAACCAGAGAGTATGCGGGCCGGCCCGAGATTTTGCAGGCATTTAATTCGGAGGGTACAAAAATTAGGGGGTACAACAGGGTACAAATTGTTTTGGGGTACAAAAAGTCGAGGGTACAAAATTTTCGATTCTAGGGTACAAAAATTTACCGATTCAGTAGGCATTGATTAAGGGGTACAACTTCTATGATTTAAGGGTACAAATTTCACGATTTTGGGGTACAAAAGTTGCACGAAGCACATTTTCGAAGTTTTCATACCAGTTTTGAATTTTTGAGAGCTCACGAGACACAGTCGTGTGTAGCCATGCTTTGTTTTATGCAGTATTTTGTGTCATTTCGAGAAACAATCTTTACTTGGGTAAATTTCACACGCAACATCAGATTCTGAAATTCTGCTGTGAAATTGCAGAATTTAAAGGGGCCAAAACAGCAAAACAACTTGTAAGTAATATTATAGGGGCACCGAATAGAAAGGGCGCTCTGTTCGCAATCTCGCCGAATTTCTAGGCCGCGAAGTAATTTTCCACTGAAAATGTGGCCTAACTTTTCAAACTCGGCCCCGAGGTTGCTCAATTTGCACGGCAAAAAGAGTTTCTCAACAGAGCGCCCTTTCTGTTCGGTGCCCCTATAATCAACCTAGACTAAAAAAAAACAAAAATGAGCGCAGAAATGAACAAGGATAAATACAGAAAAGAGATCAAATAGAAGTAGTAGAATATAGAATATAGAAGAGAGATTAAATTAGAGAACACTAAAAAACAAAACAATGAAAATATTAGAAACTCTTCGTGCGAATCAAGACGGACTGAACGATCTTTTTCACTGAAAATGTCTGAAAATCACTGAAAATCACATGAAAAAATGGGAAAAAAAATTGTTGTACCCCAAAATCGTGAAATTTGTACCCTTAAATCATAAAAGTTGTACCCCTTAATCAATGCCTACTGAATCGGTAAATTTTTGTACCCTAGAATCGAAAATTTTGTACCCTCGACTTTTTGTACCCCAAAACAATTTGTACCCTGTTGTACCCCCTAATTTTTGTACCCTCCGAATTAAATGCCATTTTTTCATGGGCATCAATTCAGTGAAAAAGATCGTTCAGTCCGTCTTGATTCGCACGAAGAGTTTCTAATATTTTCATTGTTTTGTTTTTTAGTGTTCTCTAATTTAATCTCTCTTCTATATTCTATATTCTACTACTTCTATTTGATCTCTTTTCTTTATTTATCCTTGTTCATTTCTGCGCTCATTTTTGTTTTTTTTAGTCTAGGTTGATTATAGGGGCACCGAACAGAAAGGGCGCTCTGTTGAGAAACTCCTTTTGCAGTGCAAATTGAGCAATCTCGGGGCCGAGTTTGAAAAGTTAGGCTAAATTTTCAGTGGAAAATTACTTCGCGGCCTAGAAATTCGGCGAGATTGCGAACAGAGCGCCCTTTCTATTCGGTGCCCCTATAATATTACTTACAAGTTGTTTTGCTGTTTTGGCCACTTTAAATTCTGCAATTTCACAGCAGAATTTCAGAATCTGATGTTGCGTGTGAAATTTACCCAAGTAAAGATTGTTTCTCGAAATGACACAAAATACTGCATAAAACAAAGCATGGCTACACACGACTGTGTCTCGTGAGCTCTCAAAAATTCAAAACTGGTATGAAAACTTCGAAAATGTGCTTCGTGCAACTTTTGTACCCCAAAATCGTGAAATTTGTACCCTTAAATCATAAAAGTTGTACCCCTTAATCAATGCCTACTGAATCGGTAAATTTTTGTACCCCAGAATCGAAAATTTTGTACCCTCGACTTTTTGTACCCCAAAACCATGAAAGTTGTACCCCAAAACCATTTGTACCCTGTTGTACCCCCTAATTTTTGTACCCTGTTGTACCCCCTAATTTTTGTACCCTCCGAATTAAATGCCGATTTTGCAAGTATGGAAAATTGTAATCTACCGTATTCCGATCAAAATTTAAAAGCGGGCACAGATTGGGAGAGTTCTGTCATGAAAAACTGATGGTGTTCTGATTCTGTAAGCTATAAAGGAAATTCTTATTTAAAGGTTTCGTGCACTGTCGCCTAAGTAACATATTTTTAAAAGAAAGCTCAAAGTTGGGGATTTATGTTCCCAAAGTCCCAAATTCTAAAAAAATTCCCCCCAATTTTGGTGCATTTTCCAAAAACGCTAAAGAGATCACGAGAAATACACGGGATTAATAGGGCTATTCAGCGTATGTTTGTTTTCCGTTTTTTTTCGGTTTTTTTTACATCGTTGAATTTGATTTTTTTACGTAAAAAAAAAACGGAAAAAAGTGGTATTTTCAAAATTTCTCAATAAGTTCACCATATCTCAACTACTACAATTTCTCAATTGCTTTATTTATCTCAACTCTTCGAAATTCAAAAGTGCACACTACTCAGGGATCGATCCCTGAGTAGTGTGCACTTTTTAATGCGTTTTCAGCGTTTTTCAAAAGTACACACTACGTGAATCATGATTTGCATTTTCTCATTGTCTCTCCATCTCGCTTTACACCTCTGTTCGCTTTACACCTCTCTCTCGAACTATGAGAACATAAATGCCCAATTTGAACTTCACTTTAAAAATATGTTACCTTCTTGGTGCACGACAGTGACGACACCTTAAAAAAAAATTTTAACGTATTTAGATACGCTTTATCGCACTAGGCTGGTCGAACAGGCGCCTGCTTTTCAGACGCCTGAAAAACAGGCGCAGGCGCCTGAAATCGCCTGTTCGAGCAGCCTATATCACACACACGCAAACCCAAACAGATCCCAACTCCTGTGTAAACTATATTTGTTCTCATTGTTCAACGACAAACCACGCATTCCATTAAATACATCAAAAATCGAAAATTTTTTTATTTGAGGAGTGTCGAACTATTCTTGAATGAACTTAAACGTTTGTTCGAATATCTATCGTTTGTTTGACCTGTGCAATTGTTTTGTACTCGAATTGACACAAAGCGCAAAGAAAATTTTCACACCTGATAATTTCCGTGGTTTGTTTGGAGAAACTATAAGAAAGATATATTTTCTATTGACTACGGTTTTTGCTCATCGCCATTGTGTGAATGCTACAGGTTGGCACACAAGACATTCCGAGGCGACAAACAAAAGAGTACGAGTCCATTGTAACTATTCCAAAGGATATAAGTAGAAAATAATTCAGTCGAAGTTCGTATCTTACTTGAGTAATGTACAATTTCATTCTTATTGCTTTGATCTCGAGTACACGTGCGGCTCCTGTATCCGGTCCCAATTTCAACGACATTCATTACGCTCATAACTTTACACTTACATATGTGAACGATACTTTAGAAGGACTCGGAATCATTGATACATGTACAACCAATTTCAAACTGTCGGTCGATTAACTCAATTGTTTTAGATGCTGATGTGGATCAACAAATGGCAAGCAACCTGAAAGATGCTATAAACCATGCTCTTCCGGAATATCTAGGCTCGCAGTCATCCGTTTCCACTCCAGTACAATCTACTACGGTTGCAAGCTCTGCAGCTTCGGGAAGCTCAACTTCTGTGGTAAGTGTCTCGTCATAAATAGATTTCCGGGTTCTCATATACCGTAAATACTGTATTAGAAGAGGTAAGGGTCTCGTCATTTAAAAGTGTCGTGCACTATGTTCCGAATGTCCCAAATTCTGAGAAAACGAATTTTTCTGAATTATACGAAAAAAGCTCAGGAGACCACAAGAAGTACACGCAGTTATCGATTCTCCGCACAGCACTCGAATAATTCTGTCGGTGACCGGGGGACTAGCTAGAAAGCTCCACCCGGTATGTCGTGTACTCCTCGTGGTCTCCTTGGTTTTTTTGTTAAAAATTTAGCAAGAATTCGAGTATTTTCTAAAAAGAATTTGGGATTTTGGGATCGTGAAAAGAACTTCACTTTAAAAATATGTTACTTTTTTGGTGCACGACACCTTTAAGACTAATAGTCATTCCACATCTAAACGTTATTCAGCCGAGCAGAATCAAGAGAGAAGCATCAACTGCAAACTCAAGAATGAATGAATCGTCTTCATCTATGCCTAGCTCTGAAACAACAACACAGCCGTACGGAACAGATGAAGAATTCTACGGGAGAACCGACTTGATTCACTTTCATGTGGATATTTTGGATCAAGAAGGAAGTGGTACAGGAGAAAACAATAGCTAAGAATAAACGAATACACTAAAGAATGAAATTATAATTGGAACAAAAAATGATGAAATGATGGTCATAATAAACTGAAATCATTTAGAAAAATATTTATTGTTTTCACATTAATGTTTTTTTACATAGTTTCCAGGAAATATGCCAAATAATCCTGTTCGCAGAGATGTTCCTATGAACCATCCATCATCACATTTCTCGACAACGAATACAATATCATTCGGAAATAGTTGAAGTTCATCTTCTTTTTGTGGTTTATAGGGATAAATAACTCTGTGCCTGTAGTAAAATAGTCTTTCACGGAAGAAACTTTTATCTTACACTTGCGATCCTTCGGGGATTAGAGAAACTGCGTTGAAAGAAGTGTCCATTTTATTACTGTCGTGCCATGTCACCTTAGGAATGGCTTGCGGCTTGTTTTTGTCTATATCAATCCTTTTCGTCTCTAGTTTTCCTTGAACTTTGACTGGGAAAGAATCCAGCATTCTGCAAAACTTTAAATGTTTCTGAATGGAAGATAGCTGCGCACAATGTCTTTTCCGAGTCGAAATCCACACTTTTATCAGCCCATTTCAATTTAGGGACATTGTCAGTTTCACATTCCTTCTTTAAGACCTCATCGCTGATCTTGGGGGTTTTTGGTCGGACCGGTTTACGAGCATCAATTTCTGATCGTTGTTTTTGAAAAACATACTCAACATAAGTAACAGGAAAGATTCCAATAAGTCCAATTTTGTTTTTTCCTTCTAACCAATTAGTGTCGACCTCTCTTAGAATAGTCAACATTTCACCCTGAAGTACCTTTTTTTGTCTTTTGTTCTGTTTCGCAAACCTTTTTCAAACTCAGCTCATTGCTGTTTCTTGCTGTGAAAGGATAAAGTGCTCGTACTTGTTCTACGATTACATCCTCTCTACGATCTAATTGAACGTAAGACGCCGGAAATATTCCAGATCTTCCATTCCGCTCTCCTTCCATCCAATAAGCGTCGATATTTTTTATTATTTTAACAATATCTCCACGGTTAAGTGCCAGCTCCCTATGAAAAAAGTTTTTTTTATTTACGGTTTTCAAGCTTGCCTTTGACTCTTCGGATCAAACTTATAAACGGCTGTTGCTGTCGCCATAATCTGATGATTGCTTGACAGAGGTTGAGTTCGGGAATCGCTAGAAAATTCATGAAGAAGGCTGTTCAGCGTTTCCAGACTTTTTTGTAGTGTCGGAGATGCGGATGGCCTGAAACTTTTCGATCATACGTTCTGATTCGGGGTAGCCTCAACATACATGTTTGAAAATTGGTTATCAGATTTCACTGACTCGTAATCCTGGTTTTCTGTTTCCAGACGTAACAGAACTCCTTGCGTCGAATTCTCTAACTGTTGGTTATGAACCGAAATGTTTTCTTCTGTTCCTAAAACAATATTATTTGGCTGGATTTATCTGCATCAATCGGTTTAACGGTTAGCGAGCCTTTTGTTAGTAAAATCGTTGGTTGTGATTTAGACCGTTTCCAATTTTTGTCTATTTCTTTCAGAACAACGTCGAGGGTTTTTGTCGTTTCTTCAAGATTTTTTGATATTCGGATTAAGTCTGAAACCAGGATGGATAAACTGTAAACAGTTTTTGCTTTTCTCGAAATTCACCTAAACTGGTCTGTGAATGCGAATGGACGTTTTTCAGTTTCATTTCGTTTAATATATTGTCAGTCTCGTGAAAATCGGCATCTCTTCTTGGACGAGAACACATCATGCACGGTGTTCCATATTGTTTATCTTTTTTTCTCAGACAACATATTCCAGAACATCTTATTGGACGAGGGTCATCATCGCGAAAATAGTAGGTTGGTAAATGAAAATGAGTTCCTTTCGGACTGTTCCAGAAAACGCGCTTGGCACTCCATCTTGGTGAGCCTACAGGAAACCGAACAATTTATTACCCTTCTGCGTCGTCATAGCACTTACATATATCACAAATTTGCGACATCAGATTCACGTCTATAGAAATTCACCTTGAATGATTCAAGACACGTTGCGAAATAAAAAATAGAAGGGAATTCTTCCAAAACACCGAAGAGTGGAATATGAAGAGACTAAGACAAAAAAGGGAGAACGAGAGAGCTCATTCAAATATTCGAGAAACTAGCAAGAATTGTGTGGTTTTCTGCACAGACGTATATAGCTAGTGAGATTTCATGTTCCAGCTCGTTAACTAGAAACAGCTAGGGTATGGATAACCACGAAAAGATAAGTCAAAAGTTTGGTCTCATCTCGGTCTCGAGGCTCGAGAGACGCTGGAGAGTTATTCCTCTCAAATTACCAATTACCCGAAAACGAAACTTTTTGGGAAAAATGAGCATTTTAGTCTCGAGAGCTCACTTTGATTGACGCCGACCATCAAAAAAAAATTTTGAAAGAAATTCACACGAAAATAGTATTGTCGGAACTCTCCTGGACGTTTTCTTTGATATTTGCTAAGATCGCACTGCTGACCACACGTGTTTATTCAGTAGAGCGCAATCAATTTTGTTTCTGTAGACGGCAGTTTCAAGTACACACTGATTGTTTTCATGGTCTTAAGCTTCTTGGCCCACAAAATTATGTCGCGGTTCTATTGTGTCGCGGCACGGCGACCAAAAACGTAGAAAGGGGCGTGGCCTAGCGTGCACGGTTTATCAACAATAGTGATTCACCATTTTGGCGCGAAATTCGAAATTTAACTCCATTTTTCACGTTTTTCGTCAAAAATTACCCAAATTTTTTATGATTTCGACGATGTAATTGCATAACTTTGTTAAACTAATCATCGCGCACTTTTTGAGCTTAAAACGAGCAGGTTTCATTCAGAAATGAATCAATTGAATCGATTTTGAGTTTTGTGCTGAAAATGCGCGAATTTCAGTCATTCGCCGATACTTTTTGCCGTTTGAACGCTTAAAATACTTGTATTAACGTGCTTAATTATTTCCAACACTCACTTCGTCTCAGAACTATCCAGATCGCACGGTCTCCCACGGATGATTTCAATGGGGCACACTTGCAACATGCGGGCTGTGTCGATTTACGCGGCGGCCGATTAATTAAATTTCAACGGGAGGCCGCGTTCTTTCCATGTTTTCTGTTCAATAAACCTATTTTTTGTACGCCTGGAACCTGGATTTGAATAGTTAGAGCACTAGCTACGTTTTGGTAACATAAATTTCGCATATCGTTGAGAATTAGCCGAGTTATTTCAATTTGAAGGTTTTGGCCTGGGTTTTTTTAAATTTTTTAAATTTTTTAAAGTTTTATTTTAAAGTGGAATGTTTAGAGAAAAGAGAGAGAGAATGGATGAAGGGGAGGGATGAGGGGGAGATGGGGGGAATAAATGGGGAATCTTCAGCTACTTGCCCGCGCAAAAGGAAAAAGATCATCATTTCACAGATGCCTGTGCCGGATTCATCTTAGATAAGACTCTGTGAGTAAAAAAGTTGTGTCTTAGCTTAGATTTCGGAGTCTTCCATCGGTAAACGTGACTCCGTCTAGTCCGTGTAGTGTTTAAGCGTAGGAAAAAGTCATCGGGATTGATGTCGACTTTGTTAGCTAACAATTTGATTAAAAACTTCTTATCTAAATGTGATCGGCGAGTTTCAAGGGATTCGAGGTTAAATTGACGGCGACGTTCACTGGCGTTTATGTAGTTTGGCGAATCTCGAGGTACGAAAGCTCCTATTTTCCGTAACCAGAGTTTACGTGAGAAGTTACCTTGAACCTGTTCTATTGCTCTTATCGTAGCTTTTTTAGAAGGACATGTGACTATAGTGCCATATTCAAGTATGGGCCGTACGAATGTTTTGAATAAGAGAGTCATCAGGCGTGTGTTTGGAGAGTAAAATACTTGAAAAGGTTCGCTGTCATTATGTTTGCTTTTTGAATGGTCTTCTTCCAGTGGTCAGCAAAATCTCGATTTGAAGAGATAAGAAATCCGAGGTCTCTGCAGGTTGATTCTCTTTTTATCTCAGCTGTGTCTATATAATATTTGGTTATTGTGGGATTTCGACCTAGTGATATACAAACTGATTTAGAGAGATTAAGAGACAGCTTGTGATTCTTGGACCATTCAGAAATACGGTCAATTGCGATCTGGAGATCTTTGGAAGGGGATAACTTGGGGAAGTGTGTGTAGATCTTGAGATCGTCCGCATATTGTTTCGATTGTATCTGAGGAGGAAGGATCTTGCTAATTTCGCTGACATAAATACAGAAAAGAACTGGGGACAGAACCCCACAAAACCCCACCTTGTGGTACCCCACATGGAGCGGGTCTTACTGATGAGAGTGCGTTGTTTATTCGAACTTGGTAGCTGCGATTATTTAGGTAAGCTTTGATCCAATTAATAAGATTCACGTTAAAATTCAGCATCATTAGCTTCTCTATTAGAAGCGAGTGCGGTACTCTATCGAAAGCCTTGCAGAAGTCGAAATAGATCACGTCCACCTGTTGACACTCTTCCAAATGTGTGGTCCAATCATTCATGGCTTCTAAAGCACATGTAGTTGTGGATCTGCCTGGTCGTAAGCCGTGCTGGCTATCGCTCCAGAATTGTATCTCTTGAAGGTGCTGAAGTAAATGACGCAATAGACACCTTTCGTAAGAGCGGCAGATGACCGAGGTTAAACTAATAGGGCGAAAATGAACGGGTAGAGTCGGATTGGAAATTTTCTTAAGGGGAAACACTATAGATTTTGTCCACTGAGCGGGAACGGCACCTGACATCATCGAGAGATTACATAGTTGTGCCACAGGACTGGCTATAAAGGGAGATTTTGATGTTTTTCGAATAGTTTTCGAAAACTGCTCAAGAAAACTAACCTTCTGTAAAGAACGGTTTTCAATCAGTAAAATATTGTTTTCTAGACCTTTTTCAAGTCAAAAATAAATAAATAAAGGTCGTAAACTCGAATTGAACTGCATTTTTAGACCTGCAAATTTTAAAAAGTTACAACGACACTCCGCAATTTACGAGCGCACTGTGCTTAGCATTAGCGCCCTGGGAGACCGTGGATCGGCCGGTATGAAAATTCCGAAATTGCGGCGGCGATTGGCCGCGGAGAGCGTATCGCGAAATATGCCAAAAAGTTTCAAACGCGGCATTTTCACGAAAATTTCGATGTTTTCTCTCTTTAGTGTCTTCTTTCGTCGTTATCAAACACAAAAATATCGGAGAAGTGCTGGAATTGCGACAAATTTCAGAAAACGCGTCTCAGATTAGGCCACGCCCCTTTCTACACTTTTGGTAGCCGTGCGCGGTTCTATTCTGCGCAGTTCTAGTCTGCCCAATTCTATTATGTGGCGGTTCTATTCTGCTCAGTTCTATTATTATAGGGGCACCGGACAGAAAGGGCGCGCTGTTTGCAATCTGGCCGAATTTCTAGGCCGCGAAGTAATTTTCCATTTAGAACGTGGCCTATCTTTTCAAACTCGGCCCCGAGGTCGCTCAATTTGCACTGCAAAAAGAGTTTCTCAACAGAGCGCCATTTCTGTGCGGTGCCCCTATAATAGGTTGAACCGCCGAAAAAACGGCGGGAATGAGGGCCGTGGACTAGAATCTCTGGCCTGCGGAAAAACACCGTGGCCGCAAAATCTGCATTTTTGAGTCCGTGACAAAAGGTCGGAAAACCAAAAAGGTCGGAAGCCAAACCACTTTTTTCCAACCTTTTGTCACTTTTTTCCAACCTTTTGTCACTTTTTTCCAACCTTTTGTCACTTTTTTCCGACCTTTTGTCACTTTTTTCCGACCTTTTGTCACTTTTTTCCGACCTTTTGTCACTTTTTTCCGACCTTTTGTCACTTTTTTCCGACCTTTTGTCACTTTTTTCCGACCTTTTGTCACTTTTTTCCGACCTTTTGTCACTTTTTTCCGACCTTTTGTCACTTTTTTCCGACCTTTTTTCTTCCAACCTTTTTGGTTTTCCGACCTTTTGTCACGGACTCGCATTTTTAGAGGATATCGTGGTAAGCCTGGCACTAGGCTGGTCGAACAGGCGCCTATTTTTTCAGGCGCCTGTTTTTTCAACGGGCCGCCGCGTCCCTGCGTTGAGAAAACAGGCGCCTGAAATCGCCTGTTCGACCATGAAAAACAGGCGCAGGCGCAGCCTACCTGGCACATTATCCGCACGCACAGTTACGTAAAAACGCACAATTGTGCACAATTTTAAAAATTTGCGCATATATGGTACCGTCCAAAGTAAACTATCAAACAAGCGGCGCAGCCACTCCCGAGCGTAAGCTCTTCATTTTTAAATAGTCAAGAAACTCGCCTTTCACAAGACGTGGTTCTTGTAGACATTCCATCTGTTTGAAGAATTCTCTGTACCATTGCGACTTGGTTTTTTTCGGTGTGTAATCTGAGGTATTATCGGAAACAAGATTTTCTTCTTGGAATGAGGAAGGTTCACAAAACGAATCAGGCATAAATTGGTTTTGAGAAGAATGAGACAGAGAAGGAGGATCGCAGATTTCCGAACAATTACCTGAAAATATAATTTTTTTTTTAAATCAGAATTTTTAAACTTGGAATCGTGAAGGAATCGGGTAGCATTTCAGGCGCATCTACGGTTTGAGTGGGAAGGCTTCTGAAAAAACCAAGGTCTATTGTATATTTTTTCTGACAAAGACTTATTGACTGCTAGATTATTTTATATCGGGGTATTTCAAAGTAAATGCGAAAAACTATGTCGTCAGAAATGTCAAGAAAGTCGAGGAATCTTAGATTTTCAGTAGTTATTCATCAAATTTCGCATTTGCGCGGAAAGTGCAAAGTAGGCGTTAATTTTTTGGACGCGTAATGGTCGCGATACCGCCGGACGCAGAAGGCAAGAAGGTTAATTTGATAATTGGATAGAATAATTTGCTCAAAAAATGTTTCGAGTAATAATAAAAGTAAACGGCTTACCTTGTATCTTGATGATACTCTTCAAGGTGATTACTTGAAGTTAATTCTTCGTTTGAGTCTGTCTTCCTTGAAATTAAGAAGTTCTCGCTCAAATTAATCGGAACCGGTTTGTACTTTCTCCTGATAGTCCCATAATGGAAACTGGAAGCACTGGAGTACGGTATCGGGGACTTTGGTTTCATTAGAAGTTGAGAGCTTTCAAGATCCTCAGATGTTGGTAGCGAGTGCGTTATTTGGCCTTTCTCGAAGATTCCATTTCTAGAAGGCACATTTAAGGGTTTGGAAAGTGTGTCTTGGCTCTTCACAAAATCTCCCAGGCCTAATTCCGATGATATTTCTTCACCCGGAGTATCGCTACTGTTGACAGGAACGTCAGATAGGAACTGTTTTCGGTACTGTTCATACAAATCCCGTTGCTCGCCAGCAGCAGAGAACGCAGCGATTTCTGATGATTCTCCGAATGTTGAAATGCAAGAAGAGATCACAGATGCAGAGTCATCCATATCCTCTATTTGCAAACGAGGATCAAATGAATGATTGTAAGGTGTTTTGTATGAAGACTTCAAATGCACTTGTCGGTACAAAGGCAACTCCATTATGTGTCGGGACACTGGTACGACTTGACTCTGTTTCGAACGAGGAACCGGAGGTTTCGATTCACAGTTGTGCAACGTTTTGATTTGATTATAACTGGGTGGTGGGACCTGCAATTCGGTCCGACGTATATTTACAGCGGAAAATTTGGACGTACGCCTTGAAAGTATTTACTAGAATCGACTGGTCCATCTAATACCCTGCCAAAGTTATGGCTCCCGAATGGAGAGTCGATCCCATTTGGCTCATGGACGGTTATGTTACTTGTTAAGAATGGTTTAATTGGATCTGTTAAAACAATACTATTCTTACAAGTTTTTTAAAGCCTGAGTCCGCTGCGCGTGCCCAGGTCCAAAAAGTATTGTTACTCACTTGGGGCATGTTTTTCTACTGGCGTTTTCAATTCCAGACGATCTTGAATGATTTCTCGTAGAGCAGAAACATTCCCAACTGTTGGAACTTTACTGACTGAACTCAACCTGTGATAAGTCAACTGATCGGTCTCTTCTGGACACTCCTGGAAAAAATAATATACTCAGACATGCCGCCTGATTTCCAAAACTTTTGTAGCTGACTCGAATTGGCTGAAGCATCCATTGCTCATCATGTCTAAAACTGGACCTTAACAGTAGGTATTTTAAAAAACACGTGACTTGAGAAGTGCTTGAATTCAAGCTTTAAAGCATAGTTCCAACGGGACGGTGCATGGGTTCTGACTGAAATTTATTTTGAAAGCCATATTCGGAATTGAGCGATTATTTGCTTTCTAACTAATAAATGTTCCAAAAAAGGCCAATTTTTTCTGAAAACAGTGAAAACTTTCTGCAGAAACGTTTAGTTTTTTCAGAGTCTGGGCTTTTTCCAAAGAATTTTCCTAGAAGGGACGCTCAGTTTTTTTAAGGGCCCTAAGAAGTCTTGTTATGCCGCGTTCAAAATTTAAAAAAAACTCGGAAATCACGCGAACTTTGCTGGGATTTCCTTTAACTTTGGACGCGGCGCTAGTATTTATAAACTTGAACTGATGTTAACGAAGGGTTGAAAATAACATATATAAAGATTGAACCATCGTAAGACACGTAGATAATGAGAGAAAAGCTCAGAGATACGCGGCTTTACACATTCCTAATTTTTGTTAAACAAAGTATTGCCGAAATCTTCGTTTTCGAGTAGAGAATTTTCGAGTATTAGCCAGGTTTTGATCCGACCATCAGAGTTGTCACAGGGAGAAAGCTGAATTCGACTTACTCTACAACCGGGCCAGCTCACAGCGAGCAATTGCGAACACGCTCTTTAGCGCATTTCCTTGGCGATGCAAGTGATATGTGTGACGATTTTCACGCCGAATATCCTCCGACTGGTCGCAACCAAACACTCATTTCGGGTGTTAAAATTCGGATTTCAGTACTAAATTTTCATTTGCAATTTTCTTGAATTCTAGAACCATTTGGCAAGAACTGTTGGTGTAAGCTGTCGAATCATGTATGTCACGTCCCATAAGTCTACCTTACCTGAGGAGCATATCCTAGCTCGAGCAGATCTGGAAACTCGATTGCAATCTAATTAGAAGAGTTTGCAATCTAATAAGAAAAAGCTCTATTTCGCAATCTAATCATATTTTATTGAAGTTCCAGTAAAATCGTATTAGATTACATTATATTTTTCCTGAATTGCAATCTTATAAAAAAATTGCAATCTAATTAGAAGATTTTGCAATCTAATTGAAGCAAATTCTCTTTCAAACGAGTTCATATTAGATTGCAAAGTTTTCTAATTAGATTGCGATCGAGTTCTTAGAGAGTGAGCAATGCTATTTAATTTTTTTTTTGCATTTTCTTTTGCTTATCTGAGACTTGCTGAAAAACTGTCAGAAATTTTTGTGCTTCTATTCAACGCATTTTTCGTAATCCATATTGTTGATAGTCTTATTTCCTCTCAGCCTGAGGCATAATTGTGGTAACTCAGGTAAATCGTTTGTAATCTAGCTAGCTAATTCGCGTTTCTAACCGGACCTAATTAGATTGCTAATTTAATGCGATTAGATTGCAAATTCTTCTAACTGGTTTGATAAATTTTCTAATTAGATTGGCGAAGGTAATTAGATTGCAAACACACTGATATTAGATTCAAAATTTATCTAATTAGCTTAAAATTTCGGGCAAACCTAGCTAGATTACTCTGGCGTTTCGTTATTAATCTAATCGTAGTCTACTCGAGTTATACGGCGGCCTAATAAGATTGATATGACACCTAATTAGATTAATAAATTGTCTAGCTAGATTAATAAATCTTCTAATTAGATTGATATGTGCTCAAATCAAGTTTCACGCCAACCGTCTGCTGGCTCAAATCTCGATTGCGCCAAGAAAAAACAGTCCAATCTAATTAGGTCGCGTTTAGATCAGTAACTTTCTAATTAGATTAATATCGAATTGCCAGAGTATGTTTAGATTGAAAAATCAGCTAGCTAGATTCAGAAATCTGTAGCAATCTAACTAGGTCCGGTTAGAAACGAGAATTAGCTAGTTAGATTAGAAACGATTTGCCTGAGTATGTATGTCGTTTTGTATGTGCGCTGAGCTGCTGCACTGCGCTCAGTGCAGCAGAAAGATAGACAGACCGGACAAAACGGAGTGGGGACTGAACCCGGGCAGCGAACCACTCGACCACTACAGACCATGCGAGGCCGAAGGCCGATCGAGCAGATATGCAAACGGGGCCAGTCTTTTTTGCATTGTTTTTCAAAATTCAATTTTTTAAGTCAAGAAATACGTTCTGCAGCCCTCGTTCGAAGCCGTTTTCCTCGCCAACACGTGCACTTGTGAGTCTTGTTGGGTTCTATAAAGCTCGCATGTACAACAAACTGTGATTCCAGACACGACTGACGATGTGAGAAAAACCATATGCTGATTATCCTCATTGGAATAGAAATAATTTTCCGAGAATAAAACAAAAACCTGGGCTCCGCCCATTTTACTTAAAAGGACGTTTTTTCCAGACGCTTGAAATTTGCGAGATTTTCATTTACGGGACTTAAGCTGGTCGAACAGGCGATTTCAAGCGTCTGCGCCTGTTTTCTCAACGCAGGGACGCGGCGGCGCGTTGAAAAAACAGGCGCCTGTTTTTCTAAGGCGCCTGTTCGACCAGCCTAACGGGACTTGAATATTCTTAGACTTTGACAAATTTCATACAATCTGCTTTGACTCGTTCTTCCATTCAAAGCTCTCGTAGCTATATCGTCAAATGGGCTCATTCATTTGGGTAAACGAATAGTAAAATTCCTATGAAAACCTAGTTAAAAATAGGAAGTAATGTTCGGGTTTTTATCAGTTGTTACCCGAGCGAACAAGCCCATAAGCGAAGAAACATCGGAGGACAGAGGCGAAGAGAAAAGGACTCAGACAACTCAATTCGAATCTAAATAGAAAATTTTCGAAAAATTAGAAATAAAATTGGGTTTTATCGGTCGACGACAGTCGTGTTAAATGTTCCCCACGCTTTCTTTTGTTCCCTTTTGCAGCAGAACGAGCATGGTTGCTGAAAAACATACAGTTTGTTAGGAACATTTGATCAAAGAACTCACAACAAATTTGCAATGTGATGCGTGAACAACACAGATGTTGTCCTCCACGGTCGACGGATCGCAATCACTGATCTTGAGACACTTCACCAGAAGAGCTATAAAATTCATTTGTTCTTAGTTTCACTGATAAAACAGCTAACAAATTGGCTCATTGAGAAGTCGAGCTGTGAAAAATTTTTGAGGGTCCTGCGGCTTGATGCTAGTAAAATACAGCTTGCGCTCCGCATCAGGGACAACCTGAAACACATTTTTTGTAATTAAATTAGCAGGGCCGGTTTGCATTTTTCATCCAATGGTTGGCGGCCGCGTGAATGACGTGGCGAAGTGACCCGTAAAAGTCCTTCATATGTCCGAACAACTCATTGACGTTAATGGTTCCATCAGCTCGCAAGTTATCGACGTGAACGGGATCTGCAGAGAGGAATCGGGATGATTGGAACACCGTGTTCAATTTGATCTGAAATAAAAAATGATTACGGCGAGGCTTCTACATCTAGACAAGCTTGTACCGTGTCGTTGTCCAGTTTCCTCTTAATTTTGCAATCATGTTCCAGTTCCATCTGAAGCGAGCAACATTTAGTTTGCTTAAAATTTTGGATACCAATTTCATGAGTCCGCGTATTCCGAAGAGAATTTTCTGCAACTCTGCCGACCCGTTTTGAATGAGCTCGTCAATATCCGTGTAGTCAAAGTTGAGCCGGAAGGCGCAAGACCCAGACAATTGTCTCTGAAATTATGAGAACGTTCGCAGTACGAAATACTGCTTTTCGAATCTTACATCGAGAAGTGGCGTCATATCAATAGAAGTGTGCACACTTCTCACTCCGATCTCGAACGGGCAAATGCCTTTGTGAACAGAATTCGGGGCCTCTTTGTTTCCAGTCTCTCCTGAACGGTAAGTTTTCTCCTAATTGTATCTGAAAGTCAATGAGATTACTTCAATTCCGTTTCTTTTCTTCTTGCCTCTGCCTCCCTTGTCCATCCAGGAATGTCCATTAAATTCGAATCGATCGTCAAACTGTGATAAATCCGCTTCTTCTGATACTTCCATTGCTGAAATTTTTTCGGAATTTGCACTCGGTCCATCTCTTCCGATATTCTTGTTATCGTCTTCTGATTCTTCTTCACTTGTTGTCTGTCGTGCCAATTTAATTACGGGAACTGTCATTTCTTCCAGTATCGCCCGCGTCGTCAACCGTTTGTCTTTTCGACATTTCGGTCGGAATCCGTTGAATCTGGAAAGTTTTCCTGCTTAAATATTGAAAGCAAGACTGCGTAGTAAGTTCGAAACCGATCAAGGATGAAAACATTAATTTTTTAAGTTTGAAATAACAAAAGCGCGCTGTCGCGACAGAAACCAGATAAAAATCAATTCGTTTCAAATTCTTTTCCGATTTTTTCGTTTTTTTACATCGCTGAATTGAATTTTTTGACGTAAAAAAACGAAAAAAACGGAAAACAATCATTTTTTTCACAGTCTGAATAGCCCCATAATATTTCCTAATTGTATTCGAATTGAGTGGTCTGAGGAGGCTAAATTCAGAGAAGAACGACACTCCATTCAGGCCGGGTCTCGAAACGATCTCCTCTGCGCCTTTAAACAAATGGAGAAGTTTGCTTCAATTTCCTAAAAGTATTTCCTTTTTTCCAGTTTTTCTGCCGTCTTTTTGTATTTATCTTCACAAAATAGTTATTTTCTCGGTTGTTTTTACTAACACTATTTTTATTTTTAGGGTACATCTTCATACTCATTACTAAGACATGGTAAGTTAATGCTAATGCATGGAAACAATTTTCAAATTCAGGGTATTGACATCAACCATAAACACGATCGCATCGCGCGCAGAACTGCTCCAAAGAGTGAGAATCCGTACGTACGTCTCCTTTCGAAGGTGTGTTTTTACTTTCACTGGTAAAAAAAATACTGTGCATGCGTTGCCTTTTTTCATTATTGACATCGCTGAACAACCGAACAAATTTAAACAAGCTGCGAAGCCGCTTTCGATGCATAATTTTTGCATTTCTAACTGGGTTTTCGAGCAATTTTTCCGTTCTGTACCGACTTTTTAGACAGTCGTATTAATGAGATAGATAAAAAGTAATACATCTGGAAAAAAATCTCTCGTGCTTGAAAATCACAACTTTAAGGATGTCTAGGAGTCAATTTAATTTAAAATTTTAAAATGGTTTCTACTTCAGCTGTACTCCTTCCTCGCTAGACGCACTGGAGAGAAGTTCAACTCGATTGTCTTGAAGCGACTCCGTATGTCTCGTCGCCTTCGCCAGCCGCTTTCCCTTGCCAAGGTTGCTCGTGTTGCCAAGCAATCTGGAAACGAGAAAAAGACTATCGTCACTCTCTCTACTGTGACCGACGATGCTCGCCTCTACAGCGTTCCCAAGATCACTGTACGTCATTTTTTGAAAACTTGCTCTGTTGAGAAATTTTTTTTAAAGCTGACAAGTTTAACAACAGCATTCTTCACGTAATATACATGCGTAATAATAACTCAGGGATTTGAGGTGAGGAAACAGCGGCGGAAAGCGGGTGGAACGCACTTACAACCGTGTTTCGCCACAGTGCCGCCGCTGCTTCGCCAGAACTCCGCCAGAACAGTGCGTCGTTTTCCGTTGCAACGGCGTTCCGCCACCGTTTCGCCAAAGCTGCCGCCGCAGTGATCTCGCCACGATTTGAGTTTGGCGAAACAGCGTTCCGCCGCTGTTTCCTCACTTCAAATCCCTGAGAAGTTTATTGCACTGGCAATGAGACAAAGGATAGGTGGAACCGGGAAATAGATGCGTCAAATAAAGATTAGAATTGGCGTAGACAGAAAGAACTAGAACGAGAACGTATTTTGTCAGCGCTCTTGTCAAAATTGTGTTTAAAAGTGTCGTGCACTAAAAAAGTAACGTTTTTGAAAGAGAGTTCAAAGTCGAGAGTTTATGTTCCCAATGTTCTAAATTCTGAGAAAACGAATTTTTCTGAATTATACGAAAAAAGCTAAGGAGACCACAAGAAGTAAACGCAGTTATCGATTCTTCGTACAGCACTCGAAGAATTCGGTCTGGATTTCGATTCTGATCCTGAGATTCTACATTTGTAACTTTGTGGATGGCCTCGAGGATTCCGAAACGAAATTATCTTGAACTTTTTTTAAAATTTGGTGACCGGGCGACTAGCTAGAAAGCTCCACCTGTCGTGTACTACTCGTGGTCTCTAGCTTTTTTGAAAAGATCGGGGAAAATTTTTCAGAATTTAGTACTTTGGAGACATAAAAAACCCACTTTACTTGAACTTCAATTTAAAAACATGTTACTTTTTTAGTGCACGACACCTTTGAGATGTCGGGGCATAACCGGGGTTCCCTCAAAATATTTTCAAAAATATTCTTCAGGTTGCTGCTCTTCATGTTACCGAGGGAGCTCGTGCCCGAATTCTGGCTGCTGGAGGAGAAATCATCACTCTTGACCAGCTTGCGCTCAAATCCCCGAAGGGAGAGAACACCGTTTTCCTCCAGGTCTGTTTGAATTTGAAATCTATCAGCTTTCACTTCGAATAATTTTCAAATTATCGACGTACTATCGATTCGATAGTATCAATCCCGGAAAGAAGTTTTTTGAACCCTTACATATACTTAGGGGGCGTGGACTGCCGAATTTTCTCCCTGATCGCGCCCGCGCATATTATAGGGGCACCGGATAGAAAGGGCGCGCTGTTCGCAATCTAGCAGAATTTCTAGGCCGCCAAGTAATTTTCCACTGAAAACGTGGCCTAACTTTTCAAACTCGGCCCCGAGGTCGCTCAATTTGCACTGCAAAAAGAGTTTCTCAACAGAGCGCCATTTCTGTGCGATGCCTCTATAATATTTGAGTGCCTGTACGTTGAGCGGAATTCCGTCTGCCGTCTTCCGGGATTTTTTCTTCTTACCGTAAAAGAGTAATAGCTTTTCAGAAGCCATTTACTAGCCCCGAATAACGCGAATTTCCACGGGCAGTGGCCCAGATCCAAAATTTTTTTGTTGCTTAGTTATTTTTTTCACCCGGAGAAAAAGGTTCTGCATTGACGATTTTTTTCTTCCGTCTTCAGGGAAAAAAGTTTTCTTCCGTCTGCCGTCTTTCGTGAGAAAATTTTTTTCCCGTTTCCCGTGTTCCCTAAAAAAAATTTCTTCCGGATTTCAAAATTCCATTTCCGCTCAACTTTGGTGCGCACCCCGTTTTTCAAACAAATCTCTGTCAACTTTGACAGGCGGCTTTTCAGAAGTGATTCTGGCACACATTCCAGCGATGATGGCACTTTTTTATTTTTGAAATGACTAGATAAATATACATTTTCAGAGCCCTAGATCCTCTAGGAGCAGATTTGTGTTTATTTGAGTAGACCCTATTGACCGAATTTCTAGTTTTTCGATAATTTGAGGGTCACAGACAGCCAACACGCGCCTGTTTTCGACGAAATCGGATTCAGCGTGAAATTCTCTACCAAATCACCCTAATTGCCCCTTACGGGGTTTTTAAGTAGAGAATTCGGTTTTTAAAGGAGGCATCCGGGGAGCGAATTGAAAAATAATTTGGCACTGCAAAAATGTACCTTGACGTTGTTCCCTATCACTACTCGGTACTAAATACCACTCAAATTTTTTTCAGAATTTCACAATTTTTTCAGGGACCACGCTCTGCTCGCGAGGCCGAAAAGCATTTTGGACCAGCCCCAGGGGTGCCGCACTCGCACACAAAGCCATACGTCAGATCGAAGGGCCGCAAATTCGAACGCGCTCGTGGACGCAGGGCTTCCAGAGCTTATAAGAACTAAACTGTTGTTAATTTATTCACACTATTCTTTTGGAATTGTGCCGAATAAAAATGTGTCAATGTTTTGTTTCCCAATGTCCGTTTAGTAAAATGACGAACCGTTTGCGTTTTACTATAACGGTTAGCAGTCCTAAGGCTAGGATATTCAACTGTCTCGCCATATTTTTATCTTGTGGCCTTGAAAATTTATCAGCGGGAATTGCATTTTCAAATCCGGGCCGAGTCGACGGGGAGTTGTCGGCTCGGTTCGAGACAAAACATTGAAAACTTTATTTAAAAGTTCTGCATTTTTTGCCAAAGTAGACACCGCCACGCATAGAAAACCAGAGTTCTCCAATAATTTCCAGCTAAGGGCCGGAAAAAACGAAAAAAAAATGAATCACTGAATAAACCCATACACCTATACGGCGTTGGAATAGACCTGTTTTGAAATATTTTTTGAAAAGATTCCGTTTTGAGATGAGGTCCATTTCGAAGGCACATTTTAGGCAACGTCTTGGCGAACGTTGTAGCGTTATTTCGAGATAAGTTCTATATGAACACCATTTTAGCGTAGAAAGATAGGTTAATTGTGTTAAAGTTTTATCAATGTGACATTGTTGAGGAATAATGCTATGATGACTTTCTGTCAGGCCCCAATCCGTTTCATAAAAGGGAAAAACGCGAGAGTGCGTTTGTCAGCTGATGTATGTGTGGCTTACGTGGCAACGCGAGAGTGCAAAATTCGTGCATACACATCAAACAATCATAGAAATCGTTCGTATTTCGTTCTATTTACGTTATTTTATAGCATGGCACTCAGCCGGTATATTAGCCGAAGATACCATTGGTTGATACAATACTGTGGACTGATTTTTGTACTGTATCTGGTTTATTCCTATACTATCACAAGTCCTCAGGTTTCAGTCAGTAATGCTCGTTCATTAGAACCTGAAGAAGATACTCAATACGGTAAGTAACGTCAAAAACTACCATACTTGCAACGGGCCGGGCCAAATATTAAATTTCTCCGGAAAAAAGACTTGCTAATTTACTGAATTTCGCCAAACAAATAAAAAAAGAAGTTACATCAGTTACATTCGAAATTACATCAGTTACACTCATCGCTTTCAGAGAACTATAAGCAACGTCAGTCAGGTGTTTTGGATCCATTCGAAAAATATGGCGGACAAGAGAAAATAGTGAGACTGAATATTATGGCGACATTTTTTTGCAAATCCGCTCTTTTGCAAAACCATTTTCGGTAGTGATCTTGGGGGCCGTCACGAAGTAATTTTTTAGCTGTTTTCCACTTTAAAATCGGCCAAAATTTGATATTATTCTCTTCCGGGGAAACTATTCGACCCGAGACCATTGTAGTTTGCGGATGCAGAAAGAGTTTATCAACAGATCAGACTTGCATTGAAAAACCCTATAATAATACACTATTTTGGTCAATGATACTGTTCAGAAGTGGGAGGATGAAGCCGTCTATGAGCGAGAAAAGCGAAGAGAAGGCCCGGGCGAATGGGGAAGTCCTGTAAAGTTACCGAAGGATGAAAATGTTGAGAAAGAAGCGGTAACTATAGGAAATACTTAAGAGAAGTTAAACGTCAACTTTTAGCTCTCCTTGTACAAAGCTAATGGCTATAACGCTTACATCTCTGACATGATCTCACTAAATCGCTCAATTAAAGACATTCGTCACAAGGAATGCAAACAAATGTTGTATTCGGCTAAGCTCCCAACAGTTTCAGTTATTTTCCCTTTTCACGAAGAAGTGAGTACTGCATAATGCCGCGTCCAAAGTTTAAAAAAAACGCGGAAATCTGAATTTTGCAGTCCTCAGTTTGCAAAAATTTCACACAAATTCTACAGAACAGCTGAACGAATGTCACCGTACACCATCATTTGTTTTTTGTTCCTTTTTTTTTTCAACCGTAGGCTGGCCCTCGCTACAATACCGGCTCCTTTTGAAACTCGATTGCAATCTAATTAGAAGAGTTTGCAATCTAATAAGAAAAAGCTCTATTTCGCAATCTAATCAGATTTAATTGAAGTTCCAGTAAAATCGTATTAGTTAGAATTAGAAGATTTTGTAATCTAATTGAAGCAAATTCTATTTCAAACGAGTTCGTATTAGATTGTAATGTTTTCTAATTAGATTGAGATCGAGTTCCCAGAGTCTAAGGACAGCCCATATATGTTGTCACATAAGTAGAACTCATCGAGATCTACAATCTGATATGTCGTTCTACGCACAACTTTTATTTTGAAACAATTCATCAGCCGGGCCGTACCGGCCCGTTTGCAAGTATTATAGGGGCACCGCACAGAAATGGCGCTCCGTTGAGAAACTCTTTTTGCAGTGCAAATTGAGCGACCTCGGGGCCGAGTTTGAAAGGTTAGGCCACATTTTCAGTGGAAAATTACTTCGCGGCCTAGAAATTCGGCCAGATTGCGAACAGCGCGCCCTTTCTGTCCGGTGCCCCTATAATATGATGTACGTTCAAACAGACTTGCAAAAAAAGGGCCCGGGCTTGCTTTGCCAATCTAATTAGAAAATTTACCAGTCTAGTGAGAAGAATTTGCAATCTAATCGCAGCAGACTTGCAAAAAAAGGGCCCGGCCCGTCACAAAAAATGTGTGCGAATTTTCCATGATTTTTTCGGAATTTTCGATGAAAGAAGCGCGAGGAGACGTTTTCGAGTGACAGCTTCGGAAAAGAAATTATTTTTTTAAATAACATTTCTGGTTGAACGGCCCCGACGGGCCTTGTAGAGTTTTTTTAAAGCCCGGCCCGGCCAGTTGCAAGTCTGCTTTCAAAACATTTAAAAATTTTCAAAAAATACCGTAGTTTTACGGTGTGCGGTAACATTCGTTCAGCTGCGCGCGTCTCGGTTTTCTGTGCTTTGGACTGCACGTAGAATGTGCATGCGCTCTTTTGAGAAATCCTTATTTTTGGGATCTCCGGGGCCCTTCGGTAAGTATCTGTTTTCATTTGGCGCTGGGTTGGAGATTAAAATTGCAACAGAGCAATTCACTCTGAAATGCTCCGATAGTTACAGTTCAAAACAGAGCTGCTCTTCAGGTCGCAGACAAACTAACACGGGGTTCCGAAGACGACGTGAACAAGCGTGCTTTATCAAAATCATACGCGTTGCGACGCTGCGACGCTGCGACGCGGTTGGCGTCGTGCCGATGTTCAAATTTCATCTGAAAACGAAGGTTGAAATTGAAAAAATAGCGGAAAATTTTGGATTAGTTGGGTTGCATTGTCTTCGTAACCCCGTGATTAAGTCAACGATAGAATACCCTAAACTGGTAACGTTGCAGCATAATTCTACTCTTCTCCGTTCGGTTTACTCAATTATCAACAGATCACCGCCGGAATTGCTCAAAGAAATTATATTAGTTGATGATTTCAGTGAAAAACCAGCTTTGGGACAAGCATTAGAAGATTTCCTTAGAAAACACAATGTTGACCACATTGTAAAAGTTTTGAGAACAAAGTAAGTGTTTACAATTTTATTATGGGTGCATTTCAGTTCAAATCCGCTAATTTTCCAATGAGAAAATTCTGAATTATTATGGCAGCATTTGAATGCAATCGGGCTCTACCGCAATCCCATGTGAAAGCTTTCACGTGGGATTGCGGACCTTTTCCAATTTAGCACTGAATTTACGTGGTTTGCGGTAGAGCGCGATTGCAATCAAATGTACCTGTAATATTAAGAGCGTGACAATCCCGTAGAAAATTGGAAACCCGTATAGTCAAATCCCGCAGAAAAATGTCAACTCCCGTAGAAAGGGACGGGGCCTAATGCAAGGTACGCGCACACTGTTTTGGCTCATTTTTATTGCCTTTTTTCGCCCCTTTAGTAACTATTCATTTGAGACACGAAATTTTGACAGAACGATTTCGAATTTTCTACGGGATTGTAACACTCTCGTAATATTTCGAGGCGGAAAATTATTTGCAATGAAATTTCCCTATCAATATGCGAAATTTTTCCAGGATAGCGATGGGAGGATACGGTAGATCACAGTTTCCCAAATGTTTAGGAGTTGAACTAAAAACGGCTTGTCACGGTGTGTCAGCGCGAACATGTGAAACCAATTTGAATTACCCGCCGAAAAATCACCCTATTTAGCTGCGTAGCGATGCTTTCAGTGCTTTAAGAGCTTTGCGATACAGAGTTGTGCTTTTTTACGTGACTGTGCAGATTATGTGCCAGACTGTCCGGTATATCCTCTAAAAATTCAAAACTTTCTTACCGAAACATGCCGTTTGGCTCAGTGCCCGTTCGCCAGAGCGCATGTTCAAAAATGTTCGCCGTGCTTGTATACAATTTTTTCTTTATTTGCTTTTACATATGTGAAATCGGCTTGGTTTGTCTGAAAAATGGGGAAAACTGTGATCAACCGTATCCCAATCATATTTAAATGCGCAGAACTTCCGCGTGCTTCTTGAAAAACTTCGCTCGCGAGACCCGCCACCGAGAAAGGCGTCAAGTCGCACGATCCGGCGAATGCATAATACCTCACTGAATTGTTACATTTAACAGGAAGAGAGAAGGCTTGATAAGAGCTAGGCAATTGGGAGCAGTCAATGCTATTGGCGAGGTACTAATATTCCTGGACGCTCATTCGGAAGCGAATTATAATTGGCTCCCACCACTATTGGATCCAATAGCAGAAAATTACAGGTAAACTGTTTGAACGGTGTGTCAGCGTGAACATGCGAAAAATAATTGAATGTGGGTGACAGCTTGCAATTGCGATCTATCGCTATGCCCAATTTTGGACAAACTTTCGTGATTTGCAAAAAATGTTGTACCCCTTAAATAAATGTCTACTGAACTGTTTTGACAATTTTTAATAATAATTCATTTATTCACTTCGACCACCTAGGAAAAATGTTAACAGAATCTTTCGATTCGATTTGGATACCATTCAGGAAATATCTAGTTATCGGGTTTTTCTTCCCAACGTGGAAAACTGCGGACTTATTTTCTGCTAGTTTCAGTTACCAGATTTCACACCAGGATACCCTATTGTACCACCACAAGACGGTTGTTTTTCCATTTACAGAACTGTTGTTTGTCCGTTCGTTGATGTGATCGACTGCGAGACTTATGAGATCAGGCCCCAGGATGAAGGAGCAAGAGGTGCTCAAACCGTTAGTAGACTTTAAAAAAAAGTTTTTCCTAGGTTCCTTCGACTGGTCCTTCAATTACAAGCGACTGCCGCTGACTAAAAAAGATAGAGAAAATCCTACAAAACCCTTCGATTCTCCCGTTATGGCTGGCGGATATTTTGCTATTTCTGCAAAGTGGTTTTGGGAACTGGGAGGTTTGTTTTTTAATCAGATTAGTCTCGCATTTCCAAAATAAGTAGTCAGGTGAATCGTTTCTATTATAGGAGCACCGGACAGAAAGGGCGCGCTGTTCGCAATCTGGCCGAATTTCTAGGCCGCGAAGTAATTTTCCACTGAAAATGCGGCCTAACTTTTCAAACTCGACCCCGAGGTCGCTCAATTTGCACTGCAAAAGGAGTTTCTCAACAGAGCGTTATTTCTGTGCGGTGCCCCTATAATAATCTAGCTAACTAATTCGCGTTTCCAACCGGACCTAGTTAGATTGCTACCGATTTCTGAATCTAGCTAGCCGATTTTGCAATCTAAACATAATCTAGCTAGGTTTGCCCGAAATTTTAATTTAATTAGATAAATTTTGAATCTAATATCAGTGTGTTTGCAATCTAATTAGCTTCGCCAATCTAATTAGAAAATTTACCAGTCCAGTTAGAAGAATGTGCAATCTAATCGCAGTAAATTAGCAATCTAATTAGGTTCGGTTAGAAACGCGAATTAGCTAGCTAGATTACAATCGATTTACCTGAGGGTGTTCCGTGCATTTAAAAAGTCTTCGAAATTCCTATATTTTCTGATTGTCAGTCAACAAATAAGAATTTTTTTAAACTAAATAGAGCGTTTAACGCTTAGCGTCAGCTCGACCCGCGTAGTGCTCCTGCGCTTCAAAAGTCTTGTACTTGTGAATTCTATTTTTTAACAACTCAATCTAGTTGTTCCATCACAGTTCTAGAAGATTTTCAGGGTATGATGAAGGACTTGATATATGGGGAGGTGAGCAATATGAACTAAGTTTCAAAGTTTGGCAGTGTCACGGCCGGATGGTAGATGCCCCATGCTCTCGAGTCGCTCATATTTATCGTTGCAAATACGCTCCATTCAAAAATGCTGGAATGGGTGACTTTGTCTCGAGAAACTATAAAAGAGTTGCTGAAGTTTGGATGGATGAGTTCAGACACACGTTATATAAGCATCGACCAGGAGTGGAAAGTGCGGATGCCGGAGATTTGAGAGCAATGAAACAAGTGCGGGAAAAACTTCAGTGTAAATCTTTTCAATGGTTTATGAAAGAGATTGCTTTCGACCAGGACAAGTACTACCCAGCAGTGGAACCAAAGCCATCAGCTCAAGGTGAGGAAACAAGTTGTCTCAGACAACTACTTTTGCATGCATACCAGTTCGGCACAAGTTCTTCAAAATCTATCAAATCTTTTCGGAGGTTAAAAAGTTGCAAGTGAATTTTTCTAACAGGTGAAATACGTCATTTATTGTCAAATCTATGTATCGATACGCAATACAAAGAGCAGAATCAACGATTTGGTCTGCGGAGGTGCACTTCTGATAACAAAGATGAAGGTGGTGAGCAGGATATTCACTTATCCCGCTGGCACGACATTCGTCCCAAAGGTCGTAAAGTTTGTTTTGACGTGTCCCAGAGCTTTGATAAAGCGCCGGTGGCGTTATTTGACTGGTGCGTATTCCTAAATATGGTGCTTTCGGAATGTTCTGCTTCAGTCACTCTATGAAAGGTAATCAATTGTTCAAATATCGAACGGCCCAAAAGCAAATATATCATCCAATATCGGGCCAGTGTCTAACTGCTGATGAAAATGGAAAAGGCTTCTTATATATGAGCAAGTGCGACAGTCAATCCGAGAAGCAGAAATGGAAATGGCAGGTAGGCAGTTTTTATCCAACTATTCTTCTTGGGGATCTCGCAGAGGTTTCCACCGCCCGAAAATTGGACCAAACCTGCACAAGCGTTTTTTGCAAATGCGCTCCATTTACAATTTTTTTGGCGTCCAACATTTTCATGTTCTCTCACTTCTCTGGTAATTCGATATTAATCTAATTAGAAAGTTACCAATCTAACCGCAATCTAATTATTATCGCGGTATTCTTCTGCAATCGCTCTCTGTTCGCTATCTGGCCGAATTTCTAGGCGGCGAATTAATTTTCCACTGAAAATGTGGCCTAACTTTTCAAACTCGGCCCGAGGTCACTCAATTTGAGGCGATTGCTGTGAAATACCGCCATAATAGATTAGGCTGTATTTCTAGGCGCAATCGAGATTTGAGCCAGCAAAGGGTTGGGGTGAAAATTGATTTGAGCACATATTAATCTAGCTAGAAGATTTATTAATCTAACTACACGGTGATTCTTTGCGAGGGTGACGAGGAAAATTCTAGTCCATTTGGCCCGGGGTCGCAGGCCGTGGTACTAGGCCACGGTTTCCGCCGAGTCCCCCGGCTGAACAAGAAATTATTAGGCCACGCCAGAAGTTAGGCCAGGAGGCCGAACCGAAGAAACTCGGCCATGGGGAATTTTTCACGAATTTCGCGCTTGTTTCATATTTTAGCGCTTGTTCTCTGTCAATGAATGCTTGTTTTCGGCTGAGTTTTGTATTTTTTCATCTCAAACATGAAAGAACGCAGTTTATAGAAGCTTTATTATTTTTTAGTAATTGTTATCGACAGAGAAAAATTGCCAACAGCAAAAACCAATAACAGCGCTGTGTAATATTCCTGAAAAGCAGTAAGAACGTCTTCAAAATGCTGTCGGAAACAATTGCGGCTAAACAGAAAGCGCGCGCGCCAAACTTGCAAAATTGCGTGCGGCAATTGCGCAAGACCACGCCCCTTCTTTGAATGGTGGCCGAGTTCGCGGCGCGTTTCTCACTACACCCTCGCAAAGAATCACCGTGAACTAGGAGCCAGGGCTGGGCAAAACATTGGCCGGCCTTGGCTGGCCAACGGTCGGCCAAGGCTTTGGCCGGGCTAGATGCAAGCGCGCTCCACTGCAAAAAAGCCTTGGCCGGCCAATGGTACGGTAAGCAATTCGGTTCACTGAGCGGTGTTTGCACACAAAGCATTTTAAATAAAGAAAAAATCGAAGAAATTATTTTAAAATGAAAAGAAGACATGCTTGAAAGTAGAAAAAAGGTGAAAAGAAAATAAGTGAGTTAAATTTCGATGAAATGAAAGCTGACAAATTTCGAAAATTAGCAGAAGTGAAGAGAAAAATAAAAGAGAACGACAGAATTAATGAGAACGAGATGCATGAGAACGAAACGAAAGAAAAAAATGTATGGGAACAACGTTATGAATCAAATTCATAAGAATTGAGCATTTTTCTGTGAAAATATTTGATCATGAAGTGAAAAAAAACTTAGAAAAAAAAAGAAAACCCTTTCGAAAACTGGCCTCGGCCGGCCAACTCAGGGATTTGAAGTGAGGAAACAGCGGCGGAAAGCGGGTGGAACACACTTACAACCGTGTTTCGCCACAGTGCCGCCGCTGTTTCGCCAGAACTCCGCCAGAACAGTGCGTCGTTTTCCGTTGCAACGGCGTTCCGCCACCGTTTCGCCAAAGCTGCCGCCGCAGTGGTCTCGCCACGATTTGAGTTTGGCGAAACAGCGTTCCGCCGCAGTTTCCTCAAAACGCCTCTACCGCCGCTGTTTCCTCACTTCAAATCCCTGAGAAGGCTTTTTTGCAGTGGAGCGCGCTTGCAACTAGCCCGGCCAAAGCCTTGGCCGACCGCTGGCCAGCCAAGGCCGGCTAATGTTTTGCCCAGCCCTGCCCATAACTAATCCGAAAAACCTAATCTTGTCGAATGAATAGTGTAGGATGAAACCTTTTTCGAAGTGAGGAAGCAGAAAAAGATATTATCTCGAAGCGCAGAGAAAAGAGAATGAAATTTATTTTTCCTCAGACATCGCGTGTGGTCCCTATTGGCGGTGTTTCTTTACATTGTATTATTATAGGCCACCGCACAGAAATGGCGCTCTGTTGAGAAACTCTTTTTGCAGTGCAACTTGAGCGACCTCGGGGCCGAATTTGAAAAGTTAGGCCACGTTTCCAGTGGAAAATTACTTCGCGGCCTAGAAATTCGGCCAGATTGAGAACAGAGCGGAATTTCTGTGAGATGCCCCTATAATATTCGGTATTCCTAAGAATAGAATGTCAAAGAAGTTTATTTTTTGTTGAGAAAACAAATCGTACGTACTATATATCCTCCGCATAGGAGCGGAGTTGATGTATCAGCGCTGATTCGCCATAAAACTACAGAAAAACAGTTTGAATACGGTCTAATGAATATTGTTTCATATGATACATAGCGAGGGCCGTAAATTCACATGTCCCCCACCTAATCCAAAAATTGTATGAAAACACCATTTTTCTCATCCCTTCCTTTCAGAATGTGGATGTCGAGTTGTTAAGTAATCGCCAAGCTAATGAAGGGCAAGAACTCGAATAGCGGCAGTAATGGAACTATAATTCTATCCTTCCATACCTACATCCCCTTTTCATATCCAGAAACGAATCGCTAATACGGATTCCATGTGCGATAATTTATTCATTCCATTATAAGCCTACTCATAAAATAAACATCCGACTTCCTCTGCCAGCTTGAGAACCGATACGTCTTGAAGGTTACATAGAATAGCGACGCACAGCCCTGATGGAATCTCACTGCGATCCTTCCCTGGCTTAATGAGCAAAACCGATGATGCTCCAACGGCAGCGCCTGTGTGGTAAAAGTACGAGTCATTCGATCTGAAAAAACTGTTTTTGCAAATATCTGAATACCATATGTCACCTTCGGCGTTTTAACGACTGCACCTTCTTTTTGCAGACCAGGAACCAACCCAAGCCTGCCGCAACACGGGAATTCACTGATATTTGTTTTGCAAGAAACTCTCTAGCTGTTTCTTGATCCAGTAGAGCATCTCGAGACGTTGATTGGAAGCTGGAGTAAAATACGCTTCAGTCCTAATTCCGAAGCGGACAGATTGACTCAGGCAAATCGTTTCTAATCTAACTAGCTAATTCTTGTTTCTAACCGGACCTAGTTAGATTGCTCACTGAGTCACAGCGTGGACGTTTGTCATTGGAGCGCACTTGCAACGCGCGCGTGGGAGTTCAAAAATAATAATTTTTCGGTGAAAATTGCGTTATTCCCCGTGTAAAAATTGAAGGGCGTAATTATATCGTTTTTATCACAGGCCATATTGTAGCTGGGAGTTAGACGGTCATTTTGAGCACACACAGAGCCAAATCGGTGCAGCCGTCGTGTTTTCTTAGGCAAAACTGTGTAGCGATGCGAAATAATATTAAAAGTTTGAGGTTATTTTGAATTGTTTCGCAGATTTATTACGACAGCGACGCTTGAATACTGTTATATAATGGTTGGAGACGCTGTACGGGTGAAAATAATCGCAACTCAATGCAAATAGACCGATTTTAAAAAACCATGCAAGAGTAGCGTGAATTTCTGGCTGAAATACATGAAAAGCAGAAGTTTGTCAATCCTAGTAGTTGTAGAGACGAAAGAGAGCTTGATCAAACGTAGAAATGATTATGTGCGCGATTGTTACGTCGTTTTGCCGTCAGAGGTCCGGTTAGAAACGCGAATAAGCTAGCCACGGTCTCCAGAGCTTACAATGGGCGCAAGTGCACCCCGCCCAATAGAGCGAAACATTGGCGAGAAATTCAAATTCTAACAGCAAAATTTGTGTTTTTTGCCAGATTAGCCACGAAAAACCGATAATTTCTCATTCGTCTCTCGATAGACCGATTGTACAGGCTATTACAAATTTTTTAAGCACAAGAGCGTTAAATTTGGTCAAGTCGCAAATCACATTTATCCGTTTGAAGGTTTTTGGCTAAAATTGCATGAATTTCAGTTGCTTTTCGGTAGTTTTCGCGGTTCGAGCGCGCAAAATGCTTGATTTATCATTCTCAAAACCAATTCTGTCTGAAAACGGTCAAGAAAGCGCAAAATGAAAAGTGCGGGTTTTAGGCGGCGATTGGCGAAAAAGCAAAGTCCGCGGAAAATGCGCCAAAACGTCATTAATTCTGAGAATAAGTGTGTTTTCATGTCGAACAATCATTTTTCATCGCCTTTGACCACAAAAATCAGAGAAAACCTGCTCAATTCATGAAAACGCCATTTGGTCAAGGCCACGCCAATATTGTCAGCTCTGGAGACCGTGCTAGCTAGATTACAAACGATTTAACTGAGGAACTCAATATCCACAACGTATTCTAGTTTGCACGAGGCAGAGATGGGCACGGTGTGGTCGAATGCAACTTTTCCCTCGAAAGTTGTCGTCCGGCCGCCAATCGGCGCCCATCCTGGCACGTGGCCTACACGAGGGAATCAATTTTTTTCAAATTTCTTGCGCAAATTTTCAAAAAATACCGTAGTTTTAGGGGTACTGTTACATTCGTTAAGCTGTGCGCACCCCCGTTTTTCACGCAAATTTCGGCCGACCTAACATGCTTTATGCTTCTACTCTCAATTCACCGCTCTTGCCCCTCGATGTTTGCGTACTCAAGCGTAAATTCAGAAATTTTGGATTGAGTCTGCAAACACCGATTGGCAATAGCGATGAATTTAGTTTGACTTGCCTGTATAAAATCGCATTCGCGAAAATAATGAGATCGGTAACGGTGGAAACCATTCCACCGCCTGCAAACTTGTAAGAGCAATCAACTTCTGGACAGTTAACCAATTTGTTGTTGGATTCGCGTCGATAGTAGCTTTAAAACCTTGATTGTTGCGGGCAGGAACAAACAACGCACGGCGTTCTTAAGACGACGTGAACAAACGTCCTCTTCCTATTTTTTTTAAATCTCTGGGAACTCGATCGCAATCTAATTGGAAAACTTTGCAATCTAATACGAACTCGTTTGAAATAGAATTTGCTTTACAATCACTGCAATTTTTCTAATTAGATTGCAATGTTTTCTAATTAGATTGCGATTGAGTTCCCAGAGAATTCAGGAAAAATATATTGTAATCTAATACGATTTTACTGGAACTTCAATTAAATCTGATTAGAATGCGAAATAGAGCTTTTTCTTATTAGATTGCAAACTCTTCTAATTAGATTGCAATCGAGTTTCGAGAGACTTCCCTTTTCTTTTTGGAGTTCGTATACAGCCAATTATGAAAACGACGGGACAATTTGGATAAATTCTGCGGTGTAATCTTCGGGCCCCTGTGAAACGGGTAAAAATAACGTCATCATGGGAGTTCAAGCACGACGGCGGCAGAATATAATTCTAGTTCTAGCTTTAGCGTTCTAGTTGGCTTCTCGAGTATTATGGGGCTATTCAGGGTATGAAAAAATGTTTTTCTTTTCCCCGTTTTTTTTTAGTTTTGTTACGCCAAAAAACCCAGACTTGCCAAATCCCGGGCCGCGCCAGCAAATCGTCGGCCCGGCCCGGCCGGTCGGCCCGGAAGTTAGACCTCAAAAAAAATATGCTAAAAGAAATATGAAGGAAGAGGAAACCGCGTGCGGCAAAATTTCTAAAATGGCGTGCCAGAGTTGCAATCATTCGCTCCGCCCACTCTTGAGAAAATTTTCGTAATTTTTGTGAAAATTTTGCGACTTTAAACAGCAATTTCTATTTTTTAACAGGTTTTTATGCTATAACATTGCCTTTTTAAGTCTATAAAATTATGTTCGTTTCGAAGTTCTAGTTCGCTTTGAATTTTTAGGTGCATCCTCCCGGGCCGACCGGGCCGGGCCGGGCCGGAAAATTTCCAATTTTGGCCCGGCCCGGCCCGTTGCAAGTCTGAAAAAACCCATTTCAGCGACGTAAAAAAAACTTTTAAAAAAACGGAAAACAAACATACGCTGAATAGCCCCATTAATTTTTCTTTAATGATTTTACCTTGCTCTTCCGAAAAGAATTGTTTCTTTAGTGTCCAAATGTGTGCTTCTCATTCCAAGTTGATAAAATAATTGCGAAGTCAGAGCCTCGAACGTTTTTCCGGAAGCATTTTCTAGCACAACAGCAGCTAGCGTCAATGCATATGTTGTGTACGCAAAAGACGTTCCTGGCTTTACAACTAGTTCATCTTGTTTGAAAATTACAAGAGCATCGGAAGAGGTCGAATAGGACTTGTTTGATAGGAATTCGTCTGTACCGGAGTTGTTATTGCTTACATTTTCGATATCACCATTCGTTTTCTGGAAAGGTGATCTCTTTTTTAAATAAATATTTTTAGTAAAGCACAGGAAATTTCTTTCAGAAAAAAGAAGTTCGCTTCGCAGCTGAACAACTAAACTCGAGTCCGATCGGAGATCACAAATAAAGGGGTTTCTCAACAGATTGAATTTGCTTTGATATGCACCGATAATAGCAACTTATTACTAGCAAAGTCTATTCACCTCAGCAAATAGAAATTAAAGTAAATTTAAAATATTAGAAAAAAAAATAGAAGCAGGGCTTTTTTTACTAGAACCCGCGGAAAAAATTCTCGGCCATGTATGCAGAAGGTCAGCTCCCTGCACCCGGAGAGCTAATTTGAGTGCCATCTTTTTTTTTGAGCGATAGCTTTTAGAATTTTATTAGCTTTATATGAAATCCTGATATTCACTTTAAATCCTTGTTTTTGATTGCTTCTTGGACTAACGGACGCGGACTGACCCGCTACCGCGGCGGGGCCTGTGGCCGAAGAACAGTCGGCCGTAGTTCAGCAAGCGGCCTCTTTGTCATAAGACGTGTGAGATGAAAACATCACTTGTTTTTGTTCTAGTTTTCTCAACGATTTTTACTTGATTCGTGAGCTTATTTCGAAATCGAATTAACAATTTTTAAGATTTGCAATGTCACTCAAGCTGTGTGCCGCGGCAAAATCGATTCTTCACAAGCCACTTTTGTCTGCACTGACTCCGAAAGGATCACAGTATCATGAAAAGGTAATGAAACATTCCGAATTGTTTGAAACTACATTAGCCTAAGGTTATCGATCACTACGAGAACCCCCGAAATGTTGGATCCTTAGACAAAAACGATCCCAACGTTGGAACTGGGATTGTAGGCGCGCCTGCCTGTGGAGATGTTATGAAACTGCAGATAAAGGTTCCTATATACAAGAATCACTTGAAAGGTAATTCTTAGGTTAACGAAAATGGTAAAATTGTGGAAGCAAAGTTCAAAACGTTTGGATGCGGCAGTGCGATTGCATCTTCTTCACTGGCAACGGAGTGGATAAATGGAAAAACGATTGACTACGCTGCAAAAATTAAAAACGACGAAATTGCGAAAGAACTGTGTTTGCCACCGGTCAAGCTGCATTGTTCAAGTAAACTTGTTTTAAAATGAAGTTTTTCAAAACACGTTTTTCAGTGCTCGCACAAGATGCAATCCAGGCAGCTCTCAACGACTACAAAAAGAAGCAAACTTTGAAGAATGGCTAGAGGATATTTCTCTATTTTTGTTGATCCGGTCGTTAATATAAATACATAGTTTCACTCACTCCAGTTCTTTTATAGTGGCGGATACCAGATGAATGCGATAATAGCTGACGCATAGTGATATAGACTTCCTCGTCATGAAACTTCTTTGACGGAAACTCTTTTACATAGTTCTGAAATTGAAGAAAAATATTATGTAGGCGATCGTTTGGACACGTACGGCCGCTCGTCTTACTGAAAGGCTGGACATTCAATCTCTAAGAAGCTCAGAAAAGTGTTGACTTACTCTGATGTCTGTATCCAAATTCAATTTTCCATCCTGGACGTATTGCCCAGCTATCGTCGAAGTGATTGATTTACTAATGCTGCCAATTCTAAGCACAGTATCCGCTGTAGACAGAACATATTCAATGACTTCCAATTGGTGACAAATTGTCTATGGCAATGTACCTGTACATTTAGACCCATTTTCTAAATTGGAATAGCCGAATCCCTCTCTCCACAACACTTCACCGTCAACGGATACGGCTAGCGAAAGGCCGGGTATCCCATGTACGATCTGATGAAAACAAAATTGTACGCAAGTCATGGCACCTTTCTAATCTATTATAGGGGCACCGGGCAGAAAGGGCGCGCTGTTCGCAATCTGGCCGAATTTCTAGGCCGCGAAGTAATTTTCCACTGAAAACGTGGCCTAACTTTTCAAACTCGGCCCCGAGGTCGCTCAATTTGCACTGCAAAAAGAGCTTCTCAACAGAGCGCCATTTCTGTGCGGTGCCCCTATAAAAATAGTGCATTTTCGCGCTGAAATTCGAAACATATCTGACTGTAACTCTCTAGCGTGGCCTGACGAATTTTCTCCCGATTTTCGCGCGCGCGTGTTTGACGGTCTGTAGTACAGACTCTGTACCGAGGTCCCCAAATGAAGTACCATACCCAAAAAGTTTTACTTTATGTAATCGACCATGCTGAATCCAATGAACAACTCAGTTTCCCGTGAAAACGCACCGTTTTTCCAAAAAACGGCGAAAACGAAAATGGAAGTCAGTCTGAGAGCTTGTGTGGCCAAGTTTATGGCTTCACGCGCCTATTTTCAAGTGATTCCGATAGTTTAAGGGATGAGGAATCCGTTTTTGAAGTCAGATTTTGACTCCCAAGTCGCCGAAATTTTTTACAGATCCTCAAACTGCCAGAAAAGTAAGCGGAGAATTTTCAGCGATGACCCTTTTTTTTTATTTTAAGAATCTATAGTTACACTCTCTGAAAACCCAAAATGTTTTTCAGCGCGAAAATGCACTATTTTTGTAGGAGCACCGCACAGAAATGGCGCTCTGTTGAGAAGCTCTTTTTGCAGTGCAAATTGAGCGACTTCGGGGCCGAGTTTGAAAAGTTAGGCCACGTTTCCGCCCGGCTGGCGCAGTGGCGGAGTGCTCGCTCGGCTATTTTGAGGTGTCTGGTTCGAAACTTTTGACCTCAAAAGTGGTTTTGCTTTTTTAGAACATCATTTCTGTTCATTTAAAATGTTGACTTTGGTTTGGTCCACCAGACAAGGACAAAAAACGCGTGCGGCAAACTTGCTAGTGAGACTCCGCCCCCCTCCTCGGCCGAGTACGTGACAAAAGGTCGGAAAACCAAAAAGGTCGGAAGACAAAAGGTCGGAAAGCCAAAAGGTCGGAAAAAAAATTGGGAGCGTTCTAATATAGAGTGGGGGAACACATTCCATCAAAATTTTAAGGAAATTCGGAGTTTTGCGAAACCCGGTAAGAGTTATATTAATAAGTGTGATTGTGAGGAGACTAATTCACCATATAAGTCTCTACCAAACGCCTTCCTTTTGCGATAGAATCATGTGTATTTTCATGATGAGTGTTTGTCGGTTTTTGAAGTTGTAAAAGTGTACTGGCCATCGTTGGAACAGCGGCAATCGAAGCACCAATCACAGTCCGAGCGAAATATGCGTACCGCATTTAGATGCATTGAATCGGTCGAACGCACACCACAAGTTACCTTGAAACGCTGTGATATCAAAATTTAATAACGTGTTTTTTTCAGTATCTTGGCCCGCATTTTTACGCTCGCCAAACTGGCCTCGGTTTGAAAAGTCATGTCAATAAAATAAATAACCAAAGGAACAGACTTTTTATTAATAAGAATGACCGACATTATCATCATCCTTATTTTTAGCTCGAACCGCGCATGCGGACGCAGGTCCAAAAGTCTTGTACTGAACTACTAATTTCAGAAATTTAGGCTTGAGTCTGCAAACACCGAGAGGCAAGAGCGGTGAGTTGAGTTCATATATTTTTTAGAAAGTATTGAAAGTGGATGACTTTTCAAATAGTGTTGAAAATGAATTTAATCAACTTTTACTGTTCAATGATTGAACTTCAATCAATGAAATTAAAAGGGAAAAAATGAACATTAAAAAAAAACGAATTATTTAAGTGATGGTGACGGTGGCTCGATAGCTTCAATAAGGGCGCTAGCCTCTTCTGCTTCAGAAAACGTCGCCTGAAAATTACAATGTCAATGAAAAGTGGTGGAAATCTCTGAACTGATTGGACTGTTTTTTTACTTTATCAATGAGGCTTGCAGTACAGTACATCTCTGGGAACTCGATTGCAATCTAATTAGAAAAGGCTCCATTTCGCAATCTAATAAGATTTGATTGAAGTTCCAGTAAAATCTTGTTAGATTGCAATCTAATTAGAAGATGTCGCAATCTAATTAGAAAAAATAGCAATCTAATCGCAGCGATCGCAATCTAATTAGAAGATTTTGCAATCTAATTAGAAAACTTTGCAATCTAATCGCAGCGATCGCAATCTAATTAGAAGATTTTGCAATCTAATTAGAAAACTTTGCAATCTAAATAATACGAACTCGTTTGCAACATAATTAGCTTCACTTTGATTGCAACCGCTTCTAATTAGATTGCAATCGAGTTCCCAGAGATATAGGGAAAGTGCATTATGGCTGTTTCAAATAAAAAAAACTTGATGTGTTTTTATCTTTAAAAGTACTATTGCGGTATCTACTTAAATACCTTGATTAATTTGCGGAATTCTACAGTGGAAGGTTCATCAGCTAGTAGGAACAAGTGCAGTAAGCACTGTTTTGATCGGTTTCTCTCAACCAGGACAGCGTTTAGCCTGAAAATTGTTTTCGCCATCACAAAGTATTTAATAGACCGACATTCGTCAGCTGAACTTATCGTGAAGATCTCTACATTCGGATTATTTTCTGAATCTGTCTCTTGACTGTCAGTCATTCAGACTCGATAAAGCGCACATGGATTTACTTACTTTCCGAACCCATCGCGAAAAGCTGTTAGCAGAACCAGATCGAGAAGAGGTACTCGTAACCTGACAAGCTTAGTTAGCTTTGAAGAAATTCTTAGACCGTGCTTTGTGACTTCCAACCAAATCTAGAAGGCATTCACTTATTGCAGTCGCAGACTGACAATCGCGCCCTACCACTCACCAAGTTAATTCAGTTCTAAATGGGAAAAGCTCGCGGATGCGGCCGGGTTTTCACGAAGGATTGCGGTAAAGCGCGATTGCACTCAAATGGCGCCATAATACAGCCCAGATTTTTTTCTTTTCCTCAGCCCGGCTGGGCGGTGCTGAGCCGCTTCCGAGCCTGGTCATTACTCTGGCATTGCGTTATTAATCTAATCGTAGTGTACTCGAGTTCTACGGCGGCCTAATAAGATCAGACTTGCCAAATCCCGGGCCGGCCCGGCGGGCCGGGCCAGCAAATCGTCGGCCCGGCCCGGCCCGGTCGGCCCGGCTCCGCCCACTCTTGAGAAAATTTTCGTAATTTTTGTGAAAATTTTGCGACTTTAAACAGCAATTTCTATTTTTTAACAGGTTTTTATGCTATAACATTGCCTTTTTAAGTCTATAAAATTTTAAGTCTATAAAATTATGTTCGTTTCGAAGTTCTAGTTCGCTTTGAATTTTTAGGTGCATCCTCCCGGGCCGGGCCGGGCCGGAAAATTTCCAATTTTGGCCCGGCCCGGCCCGGCCCGTTGCAAGTCTGAATAAGATTGATATGACACCTAATTAGATTAAGAAATTGTCTAGCTAGATTAATAAATCTTCTAATTAGATTGATATGTGCTCAAATCAAGTTTCACGCCAACCGTCTGCTGGCTCAAATCTCGATTGCGCCAAGAAAAAACAGTCGAATCTAATTAGGTCGCGTTTAGATCAGTAACTTTCTAATTAGATTAATATCGAATTGCCAGAGTTAGTGATTCTAGTGCTCGTACTAGGTAGTCTAGTGGGTCCGATTGAGTGAAATCTGAATAAATGTGACCAAAGGATGTAACTCAGACAATTGGAACAACCTAACAACTTGCTACAGTCGCGTGCCTGAGCTTCTGCGGAAACGGTCCAGAAAAGGATTAACTTTGAGATCTTCAAGTACTGATGTTTCGGCTACAAAACTTCCAGTGATTCATGAAAAAAATGAGTAACGGCGAGAAATTAACTAAATTACAGAGCCGAAAAGATTTGTTAGTTCATAAAACCAGACTTGCCAGATTACGGGCCGAAAATTTGCTGGCCCGGCCCGGGCCAGCAAAAAAGCCGGAGAAGTGCCGGCCCGGCTCAAAAGGCGCGAATTCAAATTTTTGGGGGAAATCTACTTTTTCGTTTTTTTTTTTGCGGGGATCAAAATTAAAACTTTTGCTTTGATGCCAATAAAAACTATTTTTGAGAACTACATTTCTTTTTTATGCTCGATACTTGCAAAATTCGTTAGTTCTACGAAAAAACATTTTATTTAATCAATAGTTCAAAATTTGGATTCCCGCTATTTCAACCGGGCCGACCGGGCCGGGCCGGGCCGGAGTTTTGAAAATTTTGGCCCGGCCCGGCCCGTTGCAACTCTGCATAAAACACTACTTCTTCGTGACAGTTTGTTTTCACTTTAGACAAATATCCGACGTCGTGTACGCTTTCCAAGCGCTCAACTATTTTTTCTTCTAACGATCTGCTACAAAACCCGCCATTCAATATATTAGCCTGAAAAAAGCAACGTCTGCATCTTCGAGAACAGATCGCAAACTTCGTGAGCTCCGAAGTAAACTGCAGGAATGCAAACGCTAGCCATAGTTCACAAATACAATTGAGGTGAGCTATAGAACATAAACGCTTCCTAAAATCGCAAATACAATCATTGTCGATGGAATACTTTAGTTTGACAGAATTCTAGGCCACGGCCATTAAGAACTGTAGCGGAAATAATCACTATTCTTATCATTCTTATTTATAAATATTTAATAAAAAGCTAATGGGGTCTGTCCGTTTCTTTGTTTGTTTGTCCGGTCAAGAGTTGCAGAACAGGCGCCTAAAATCGCCTGTTCTGCAACACTAGTCCGGCCACTGTTTCACTTCTAAAACGGAAAAAGTTGTGACGGAGAAATTAAGAAATGAACACGTGAACTTTAGGATGGTTTTGCGGAGCAAGAAAAGCGGCGTAGCTACCGAGCGTAAGCTCGGCCCGCGCAGTGGGCCCCGCACGGCGAACGTATAAAGGGGCGTGGCCTAGCGTGCACGGTTTATCACCATTTTGGCGCGAAATTCGAAATTTAACCTCATCGCGCACTTTTTGAGCTTGAAACAAGCAGGTTTCATTCAGAAATGAATCAATTGAATCGATTTTAAGTTTTGTACTAAAAATGCGCGAATTTCAGTCATTCGCCGATACCTTTTGCTGTTTGAACGCTTAAAATACTTCTACCAACGTGCTTAATCACTTCCGACACTCACTTCGTCTCAAAACTATCCAGACCGGCCAGTATGAAAATTTTGAAATTGCGGCGGCGATTGGCCGCGGAGAGCGTATTGCGAAATATGCCAAAAACGTCTCAAACGCGGCATTTTCACGAATTTCTATGTTATCTCTTTAATGTCTTCTTTCGTCGATATCAAACACAAAAATATCGGAAAAGTGCTGGAATTGCGGTAACTTCAGAAAACGCGTCTCAGATTAGGCCACACCCCTTTCTACACTTTTGGTCGCCGTGCCCCTTTTTAAAAGTCTTCTAAATATCATCACTTCACCGCTCCTGCCCCCTGAGAAAAGCCCGCGAAGTTCAAATGGGGCCCCGCCTTCAGCGTTCAATTCTTGCAAGTAGCGCGCGCAGTTTTCGCAAGGCTGCCGCACACATTTCTCAGAACACCGAATTCTTGAAAATTAAAGCAGAAAATTATTTTTTTGTAATCAAAACCTATTCTGTCGCCTTGTTGCATCTTCGTTTCAGAAAAAAACACTAAAACCGACAACGAATGTTTTTTCACTTGTTTTTTCACTGTCGAACTCAAGAGCAAAATGCGTGCGGCACCGTTGCGAAAACTGCGCGCGCTACTTGCAAGAATTGAACGCTGAAGGGGCGGGGCCCCATTTAAACTTCGCGGGCTTTTCTCAGGGCGCAAGAGCGGTGAAGTGATGATAAAAAAAATAAGCAGAGCTACAGACTCCTCAAGGTATACAAAGTATTTCACGGTCTTAAAGTGAATAAAAACGCAATCCAGCGATGTAAAAAAATAACGAAAAATCTGAATAAACAAGAAAAGTTACTTACTTACGGATCGACTAAGTAAGTAAGTAACTTTTCAAACTGACTAGGGAATGATCAACAGGTAAGGAAGGGGTATACCCACTGCACCATCCAACCGACGATTTCAGTTGTTTCCGAATACTTTGATATCAAGGGAGTTCACGCGACTGTTACGAGGGGGGAAAATTGCCTAAAATACAGGATTTCAGTGAAAATTTTCCGGCGCCATTTTCTCGAAATCCAGGTGCCGGCAGCAAAAACGATCAACAGAACATTTGATCCTCTTGGTATAAGCTATCGAACTATGTCAGTCACGGCCCATAAGGCCAACTTATTATAGGGGCACCGCACAGAAATGGCGATCTGTTGAGAAACTCTTTTTGAAGTGCAAATTGAGCGACCTCGGGGCCGAGTTTGAAAAGTTAGGCCACGTTTTCAGTGGAAAATTACTTCGCGGCCTAGAAATTCGGCCAGATTGCGAACAGCGCGCCCTTTCTGTCCGGTGCCCCTATAATACATTGGCGCGAAATTCAAATTTTAATAGCAAAATTTGTGTTTTTTGCCAGACTAGCCACGAAAAACCGATAATTTCTGATTAGACCGATTGGATAGGTTATTACGAATTTTTAAAGAGCGTTCAGGGCTGGGCAATTGGCCGGCCCGGGCTTTTCGTTGGCCGACCATTGACCTGGACTTTTGAACCACTTGCAATATTCCGATCGGACCCAAACTTTGCAGGCTTCTTTGTCTTGGATTGAGGGCCATTGGGACCAAGTTTCAGCCCTATCGGATCGTCAGGTCCCGAGATATGTGGATCATTGGCCGATTTTTTCCAAAAAGGCCGGGCTTCCGGCCAATTTCGGCCAATGATCCACATATCTCGGGACCGAATGATCCGATCGAGCTGAAACTTGGTCCCAGTATGCGTCAACCCATGTCCAAGAAGCCTGCAAAATTTGGGTCCGATCGGAATATTGCAAGTGGTTCAAAAGTCCAGGTCAATGGTCGGCCAACGAAAAGCCCGGGCCGGCCAATTGCCCAGCCCTGAGAGCGTTAAATTTGGTCAAGTCGCAGATCACATTTGCGCAAAATGAGAAATGTGGTTTTTAGGCGGCGATCGGCGGCGAAAGCGAAAAAGCGAAATCCGCGAAAAATGCGCCAAAACGTCATTAATTCTGAGAATTAGTGTGATTTTATGTCGAACAATCATTTTTTATCGCCGTTGACCACAAAAATCCAAGAAAACCTGCTCAATTCATGAAAACGCCATTTGGCCGAGGCCACGCCCATATTGTCAGCTCTGGAGAGTCTCCAGTGGAGACCATGGCAACGCATAAGACGGAATAATTTATCCATAATGAATCTACATTCATTATTTTGAACACTTCGAGATTTTTTGTACAATTGAAAAATATTTGAGATGCAAATTACAAATCACATAAAGAATCTGCAACATGACTCTGTCTCATTGCATAGTTGATTTCTTTCTCAACCGAAGCATCATCGTCGTCCTCTCCAATAGGAAGAACTTCTGTGCTGCCATCGTCATCTTCTGTAAATTGCAAAATTTTTTAAATCACCATCATCATTCTTATTTAATAAAAGTGTTTTTGACAGCCACGCCACCTACCACTCAAAAACCGCTGGAAGTTGGCGAGAATAACATTGAATGCCTGGAGATGATTCCTTCGGTCATTTAGCTGCAACTGTCGATATAGTACATCGATAAAAACATAAACATACTTTTGCTTCAAGAACTTTTTGTCTCTCGTGATGTCGTAAAAGTTCATCTCCAATTTCAGTAAGTTTCCTACAAAAAACAATTTTGAAAAAGGCGGCTATCATTTGAATTTACCTAGTGGTCTCTGAACGAGAGGGCACTTCCTCAACAGCCTTTACAAGCTTCCTGTATTCTTGCCGATTCCTGTGAAATACTAAATAAGTATTGCAAAAATTTCGATAACGAACCTTTTTACAATTTTCGCACCAGCCAGCTCACTCTTAGCTTCCTTCATTTTTGTTTGAGCGAAATCAATCTGAATTTAACTTTTGCAACTTTTCCTCAGAGCAAATTTGTATATATATATATATACCTGCCTATCGATTTCAATAGCAAGTTCAGAAAATTCATTGGCCTGGACGCCGTTCATACGAGCAATATGTTTTTGCTTAAGCATTGACAGTTCCAGCAACTCAATCTGAAATAATAAAGTGCGAATGTAAAGCAACGAAATAATAAAAACTTCTGAATACGATACAGGGACCATAGCCTATGAAATCAAACTAGCTCACACCCGAAGAAAATACTTATTATTGATACCCTCATCGGGGCTGCCTACTAAATTCTTCTCGATTTTTAAAGGCTTTAGAGGAGGCATATCCGGAGAAAGCAAACGGACCTACACGGAAGTTTTCCAGGTCCTTACCTACCGACTTGGATAATTTGACAGCTTCCGACATCTTCGGATCTTCATTTTTTCTACATTCCCTGAAAAAGGCCGCAACCTGCTGCACTCGCCGATCCTCACCAATACCTTCCCCATCTGCGACAAGTTTACGCAAAAGCGTTTCTTCCTTCATCTTAATCAGGAAATTGCAGACAGCAACAGAACACTAAAAGTAACAATAACCCGGTTTTTTCTAACCAGCTTGTAAATGAAATCATAAAAATAACAGAGTTTATACGAATCAACAACAAATTAAGCCTTCGATTCCACAGACTTGACTTGACGCTTGTTATTCTTTCTTGCGAAGCGAAGATTCTTCAAGAACTTGGCGTCCACTCCCTTCATGGACAGGAAAACGTGCTTCTTCGGCTTCTTGATTCCATTACGGTGAGCCTTTTTGTCTGGAAAATTGTTCTTCCTACATTTTTTGTGACTCCATTTAGTCCGATTTTTCTCTTCGACTCTTTTTTACTGCAAGATTCCGGACCGCCCGGTTTCAGATGTTGCCAACCTGTGTCAAAACGAAGGAAAAGTGTTTTGCGCATATATTTTCAGTAATTCTCGACCTGTGGCCTAGTCAGTTTTCTAGGCAGAAGTAACCATTTTTTACTAACCAATCAAAGAGCTGGGAATTGAAGACGTACACACAAATGTTCCGTCACGGTCCCTCAGGCTTTTCTAATGTTACAGGAAGTCCCAAAAATTTTTGTGAAGTTATAAGGTTAGAAAAAATCGGGCCAGGCCGAAACATGAAATTCTCCAGCCCGGCAGGCCCCGAGCATTTGTTCGGAAACGAGCCGGAATCTTGCAAGTCCGACTTTTAATACTATTATCCAATCCGTTGTTGTACCCTTTAACTCTTGTCTCTTGGAATGGATTTTCGGTGATTAATTGGTTAAAAACTACTCATATTAAATGAAGAAAAAACATGCCAAGACCCGGGTCGGCAACTCTAACAGTCGGACCTATCCTGAATTTGACATGTCCGAAGTTTTGATTGGTAAAGACAGGAGTGCGCTTTCTAAAATATAGCCTGAGTGGAAGTGCTGGCTTTTTTCAAAATTGAAGCTCTTGGTGAGGCTTCACTAGCAACATCAAAAAGTCATGAACCTTTAATAAGTTCATAGAAACTTGTCGAGCCAAGCCGAATATGGACAAGGCAAAATATTACTCTTGCATCTACTGGGTTCTGGACACACTATGCTTTCAACTAATGATTTTCCAGGTAAGAAATTTTTAATGAAAGACTTACTCTGGTTGTGATTGGTGTGGTTCTTGGACTTGGCCATTGCAACGACAATTACCTGCAATTTTCATCGATACATCTTTGAGATTTATGGATAAACAATCACAGAGAGCTTAAAAACAGAGTTTGAATGCGATGTGATTCTAGGAAAAGCAAAAATTAATATTTGCAAAAAATGTATACAACAACAGAAAAATCTAACTTTGATATTGCAAAGATAAAACGGGAATTATAACACTAGAAAGATCGATGTAACTCAAAAACGCGTCAGAGTTGCGCTACGGATACGGTAACACTTGTTCGACTGTGCGCAATCGAGACGAGACCCTTTACATTGATGGCCGTGGTCTAGAAATTCTTCACTCGGCCACGTCCCTGCTTCCTTTTGGGGCTATTCAGCGCACGTATGTTTTTCGTTTTTTTACATCACTGAATTGGATTTTTTGAAGTGAAAAAACGAAAAAAAAGGCCCGTCGGCCCGGTTCAAAAAGCGGGAATTCAAAGTTTGAATTATTGATCGCATGAAGCCATTTTTTGTAGAATTAGGGGTTTTTTGCAAGCATCGAACATTGAAAAACAAATGTATTTCTCATAAAAAATTCATAATAGCAAAAAAACAAAGAAGAAACACTAAAACTTTAGTTCGAAAATTTTTTTTGTAATAACGAAAAAAAAAATTTCCGCGAAAATTTGAATTCCCGCATTTGAACCGGGCCGACCGGGCCGGGCCGGGCCGGCACTTCACCGACCCGGCCCGGTCGGCCCGAAATCTGGCAAGTCTGATTTTTTTTAAGCAGTGGTACTGCGAAGTATGCTGAAATTTGCAGACCAAGGGGCTAAATTGAAAAAATTCATCCGGACATTTCGATGACATTTGAAGTTCAAATGTTGAACTGAAACTTCATTCTTCTGGTGCCGACTTTGAGGAAATTAGTTTTTGAAGTGTTCTTCTTATTCATCATTTTAGAGAACACAAGCCTGACCCCCGGCTACCGCCGCGTTTCAGGCATGGCTACGGGCATTGCTGCGCAATTCGCACGGTGATGTGAACGCGAGCGGCAACAACTGCCCGTTCGCACCCGGTGGTCGACTGGTTATCACTTGCGTCACTGGTAAACCGCGATGTCCGAAGCATGGCCGAACGGTGGCGGAGCGGTATGGCCGAAGAATGATTAACGGATGGCTACACAGGTGAACTGCGATTGATCTATCGGGTGTACTCGATTAATCAATCGCGAGCCAATTATCCGTAAATATTGGTCAATCATACGTCAATCGCGAGCCATATCATTAACAATTGATAAACCAGCGAGCGGCCGTGTACAATTGATCAATCCGCGAGTGTCCGGCTCGCGGATTGATGCATCATTCGTCAACCATTGATCCCCACGTATAATTGACCAATCGCGGTTTACCTGAGTGGGGACAGACGCCACTTGTATTTGTAAGGAAGATTTATTGGAACTGAACCACATTTTGTGTTTCGCGTTCCGGGGAGCTATTATGGCGGCCTTTCCCTGCAATCTGTTCCTAATGGGGCCGAGTTCTTCCGGCGCGAAGTGATTTTTAGTGGTTTTTCACTGGAAATGTGGCCGAACTTTTTCATTTTTCAAACTCGGCCCCGAGCTCACTGCATTTTGCACTGCAGAGAGTTTCTCAACGGAGCGCGTCTGCAGTGAAATGCACCCATAATATAGTTTAGATGAGAAATGCTCAAAGGGGTGCGAGACGAGGAATAAACCGAAAACATTTCTATTTACTGTTGAAAAAAAAAAGTTTCGACATTGGAATCGAAGCTGGCAGCGTGCCAAGGCCCGGCCTCCCAAACGCATATGCTGCGCGCCATTGTTGCAACATTGCCGCACGCTTTTTTGTTCTTCGTCTTTGTCTTTATTTTTCGGCTAAAAATCAGCAGAAACTTCGGTTTTTCCCATTTTTTACCCGGATTTTTTTCATTTCATTCGTCTTTTGCTATAAAAAATCAACTTTGAAAACAGATTTATCGATTTTTAGCTTGAATTTTCGAACATTTATCGATTTCTGTTTTTCTCCTTTCGATTTCGCTGAATTTTGAGAATTTTCAGGATTTCCACCTACGGAAAAGTCGAAAAAGCAACAAAAGGGCATGGATTTCTTCTAAAAAACGAAAAAGCAACAAAAGGGCATGGATTTCTTCTTTTCGTGTTAGTTTTTGACGTAACAATAATTTTCTCTCCGACCAGCGTTTACAGACTCCACTCCTCCGCTGTCTTCTCCACTCCGCCGTCAGCACACAACGGAATACAAAAACCTGTCGTGTTAGCTTGAAGAAGAACGAAAATTATTTCTCTCCGACCGTATTTTCAGAGTCCGTGGACGCTTCAATCCGGAAAAAAGGAGAAGAAAGTAGAATATCACTGATAATAAAATTCTTACACTTGTCTTGTCATTTAATTTATTGGAAAACGTAATAAATACATCTAAAATAATTGTTATTAGTGCCAATTCATCCAGCCCGCTGCAGCGGGAGAGGCTTCTTCAACTTTCCCTTGTGTGCTGACGGCGGAGTGGAGAAGACAGCGGAGGAGTGGAGTCTGTAAACGCTGGTCGGAGAGAAAATTATTGTTACGTCAAAAACTAACACGAAAAGAAGAAATCCATGCCCTTTTGTTGCTTTTTCGACTTTTCCGTAGATGGAAACCCTGAAAATTCTCAAAATTCAGCGAAATCGAAAGGAGAAAAACAGAAATCGATAAATGTTCGAAAATTCAAGCTAAAAATCGATAAATCTGTTTTCAAAGTTGATTTTTAATAGCAAAAGACGATTGAAATGAATAAATACGGGTAAAAAATGGGAAAAACCGAAGTTTCTGCTGATTTTTAGCCGAAAAATAAAGACAAAGACGAAGAACAATAAAGCGTGCGGCAATGTTGCAACAATGGCGCGCAGCATATGCGTTTGGGAGGCCGGGCCTTGGCACGCTGCCAGCTTCGATTCCAATGTCGAAACTTTTTTTTTTCAACAGTAGCGCTCAGGAAAACCGTACTACGATAATCCAAGGGCGACGCACTCTGCCTCTCAGAAATGTGAGGAAGCACAGGCCTCTCAGAGATTGTATTTTAAGTTCAAGTCTCAAATGTTTGCTGTTAACTTTGTCAGATTAAGAAAGTTTCAAGAAACGGCTTCATCTTGAAACTGATTCATTGTCGGAGACGGAGAAAGCAACAGTGTGAATGACAAGTAAAAAATTTTTGATCAGTATGCAAATTACTTCCTTCTGTTTCCGTTAGGAGCACAGCAGATACATAGGGGCTCTCTTTTCAGAACAATGTTGAAGCCGATTATGTCGCTCTGAAACACAAAATTGGAGTAATCTATAGATCGATAAATTATCTCACATCTTCAAAGCTTTTTTTTCGCAACTGAGCAGCCATTTTACAGCATTTCTCGCAGGACCCGGTTTTGAATGAATCTTGACAGAAGCTTATCGTCGGACGTACATCTGAGCAAAGGATATAATAATTAAACTTCTCTCTGATGCTCAATAGTTACACTTTCCCAACGGTCCATAGAGTCCATAATTAGCCTCGATACTGCATGTATAGTCTGAACAGTAAAACTAATTTTTAAGGCTTTGTTAGGTATTTTTTACTGTCGTTCAGTGCCTCTGCTGGATATTGTGGAGAAGGACGATAGTAACTTGGCGAGTCGTATGCGGCATGAGCAGCCGCAAAAATAATCATTATGAAATGAAAGAGTAACATTCCAAACACAAGAAATGACAGGAAATCACAATCCATTTATATAGATCAGACCGGAAACAAGATACGCCCACAGAATCTGATGACGCTTTCGTAAATTTTCATCTTTTCACATTTATCGCATTCCAGAACTTCTTCGCTGCCCACATCAAGATTTTAAAAACTAGCAGTACCGCATTATTATTTTTGTTGTTTCCAGATTGTTGCCAACTGAGATAACATCAAAAAGGTTGTTTTTCACCATGGTATCCAGTTTCACACGCAAGTTCTTCCACAAGGTTAAACCAGGTCAAATTTCCTGTTTTCATTTTTGTGCTGCAACAAACCAATATAAAACATATCTGCGCTGTCTGCGCCTCCAACAGGCTTTGCTCCCTTTGCTGTCATTGCGCCCGTCTACTCGAATGCTCTTTCACCCAGCCATAGCAGCAACAATTCTTGCGCTTCTAGGTACTTCAAAACGTTAAATTTGAGTTTGCGACGATGTAAAGCACTAATAATGTTTTCATTGACAAGAACCCTTCCATGATGGAAAGTTCCATCCTCCATTAACAACTTCAGAACGTTCCCATTTTTGAAACTCGCGCAACAATCATCGAACTTTACTAATGAAAGTCTTCGCGGACTGTCTGTTTATTTATTTCTCTGAGACAGATAAAGAAAGAATAAAAACGTGAACTTCCAGACAAGCGGTGAAACCGCTTACGAGCGTTAGCTCAGCCCACGCGCAGGCCCAGGTACGGGAAGTCTTGTTTTGTTTTACTATTATACATGCAAAGTTACCGGGCAACGAAAAAAGAAATGGACAGACTGTTAGGTTTTTATTAAATAAGAACGATGATGATTATGATGACTTCTACCTTCGTAATTCCACGTGAACTTAAAAAGCAATGTGGAGGTTTAAGGACGGTACCTTCAGATTCCACTTTCATGCGCGCGGCACTTACAACAATCTATGCAACTCGGCGAGTTGTTCTGAGAGGTGAAATTTTCGGTGTTCACAGGATGAAATACATTTTTTCAGGTTTGCTTCTCAGGCGAGAGTGTTCAGCATTTTCTGATCGTAAGCACTACGAATGTACTTCACCAAAGCACAAAGAAGAACTCGATAAGTGTTATTCCCGCTTAGATTTGTCTTTCGAAAATACGAAGGAAGCATTCAAAGTTGCAAATAACCTATATTTCGAAAATTCTATCAATGATTATAGAGTAAGACAAATTCCGAACTTATCCGATCCTTACTTGTTCTGAAACTATGTGGAATTAAACTTCTCGTGGATCAAAACCAGATTATACTGGCAACCATGCGAAGAGTACTCGGAAAAAACTTGTTCAAGAAAACTCTCAAGAATACATTCTACGGCCACTTCGTTGCCGGAGAAACGGAAGAAGAAGTTCGACCAGTCGTAAGCAAACTACGGCAGTTCGGAGTCAAATCAATTCTTGACTACTCTGTTGAGGCCGACATAACTAGCCAAGAAGCTACGAATAAAACTGTGAAAGGAGCTTCGGAAGCAACGATAAAATCAACTGTATGTTTGAAGTTCACGATTTATAATTTTGGAAGTCAAAAAACTATGCTAGAGTTATCATTTTCATCATTCTTATTAATTAGACTGACGTGTCGACACGATAATCGACAAAATTTTGGGTCGAAACACAGCCTGAATAACCCCATAATGTCGATAGAATACTTATCGACAGTCCGCGCATTATTCGGTGATCGAAATTACTTTTGTCGACAATGTCGACTTAAGTTGGTCCGACTTTTATCGACTTTTCGACAAACTCTCAAGTCGACACTTCACTCTATTAATAAAAGTCTTGAGGAGGATATCCGTCTGAAATTAAGAAATTAAAACGTGACCTTTCGAACGGTTATGAGAACGAAACAAGCGGTGATCCGCTTTCGAGCTCGGCCCGCTTGGCGAGCCCAGGTTTCAAAAGTCTTGTACAAGATATACGAGAGTTATAGTACAGTAGGCATTTAATTCGGAGGGTACAAAAATTAGGGGGTACAAGAGGGTACAAATTGTTTTGGGGTACAAAAAGTCGAGGGTACAAAATTTTCGATTCTAGGGTACAAAAATTTACCGATTCATTAGGCATTAATTAAGGGGTACAACTTTTATGATTGAAGGGTACAAATTTCACGATTTTGGGGTACAACAATTTTTTCCCCATTTTTTCATGGGCATCAATTCAGTGAATGTTTTTAGTTGTTTCACAAAATTTTTTTACTCCCTGAATGTTTTGTACTCCGAACCGCTTGATCAGTTCCAGAGATGTTTTTTTAAAATGAGATTTCATGAGACCCTTCGAAGCGTTTTTGCTTCCGATAGACAGTGGTTCAAACGGCGACCCCGAAAGACTTCGAGCCTTGGGTCTGATGAAATGTCTAGTTGAAACTTAGACAGCATAATAATTGTAAGATAAGCGATGTGAGAGGAACAACAAGGTAGACAAATCAATTTATTGGAGAAAAACTAGCGAAAAATAACACAGTTAAAAATCAACAGAAGAGCCAATGGCAAAATGCGAACCGTGAGCCGAGCAATGTATATTTTAAGAAGATGTGAAAATCATTCGAGAAAATCATTCGAAATCATTCGAAAATCATTCGAGAAATCATTCAAAAATATTCGAAAATAATGCGATATGTATTTTCAGGGCAAGTAGATGCTAAATTGACAAGCAAAATGGAAATAGAGTGAAATTGTTGAAAATAAAAATGAAAATTCTAATATTCAATTTAAAACGAATGAAAAACTGCTGAGAACTTCAATTTCTAAAAATTCCAAATAATTTTTAGGATTGTTTGAGGGCCGCGCGAGGCTCGCGGGTCTCGCTGCGAAAAGAGAAAACTAGTCCGCGGATTGCGCGGCCACAAAAAAAAATTAATTTTTTTCCCTAAATTACAATGTTTTTACAGCGTTTTAACTCGTTTTGCTATAAAAATCCGTATTTATCTGTGTCAAATTTCAACAATTCACTTCATTTTTATGCGAATTTCGCAGCAACTTGGCCTAATTCACTAATTTCTTCTTGAAAAAAATTTGTTATGTTCCGAAATTTAAAAAAAAAACACTTTGAAGAATAGACAGACACCTTTCGTTGGTTTTCAGGGCACTCGGACAAATGACTACTCAGGCTGATAATGAAGACGGCTCAGGTGATTCAGAACAAGATCAATTCTGGATAACAGGGCCGATCTTCAAAAGTTTCAATGTGAAGCGCATTAAAAATATTGTTGAGCAGTGGTACAGCTTCGTCTCAATTCAGTTGCATCAGTTTTGATTTCAGCGTTAACCTCGTTGATCCGAAACTGTTTCAACTACCAGTTTTTGAAACCCCGTGTATCAAGTTCGCTAAGTTCTCGTTCACAGATATCGACGACAATCTGCCCTGGTGGAAAGCAGAGAATGGTAATTTCGTTACTTGAAATTTATAGACAAGAACAACTAACAAAACATTTTAGGAAAGAGGCAGAGGCCACGTCCGAGAACTGTCACGGTAGGTCTCACACAATACAAGTACTATAATTGTGTGTCTCCTTTCCTACCTGATTTTAAGAAATATGTAAGTTTTATATCAATGATTTCCCCGTAAAAGTGTGCTCACAGGTTGCTTTCGATGCCGACAAATCTTATGTTGTGTTAGTCTATCTTTCCACATCAGGAACAGTGGACTACTCGGCACTTGAAGCGTGCCGGAAGCCGAAGATAAACGGTACCGACTCCATGAGTTAACATGAGAATGACAGTATTTCCGATGTTTCAGAATTTATGAAAGTTTCGATGCATGACGCGCTGGATGGAAGAAGCGTGAGAGAAGCTCATCGTTATCTTCAAGCGCGCTCAATCAATGTGAATGAGCAACAAGTAAGATTATGAATATGATTTGTCCCAACGAATTCTTTTCCAGGTAAGAAATCAATTGAAATATCAGCCTACCGCCATAAAGTCGAAAAGAGGTAGAGGTTGTGTAACAACCCCCGAGAGTTTGGCCCAACTTAGTCATTTAGATGGAGTTTCCACTTTTACCAGTAGTCAGTTTGCTAATTTTGAAGGCTTTTGCATGAGCAATCCCAACTATACCACTCATAATTTCAGAAAAAGAGTTTTGTATAGCTTATGTCGACTTGGACTTAATCGGCGTTCTGATTAAATGTCTACCATCCGCAGAAGCGGTTGCCGTGTTTAGAGAGTCACTCACCGGATTTAATTCCTGGACCGAATCAGAGTTATCCGAATTTTGTGGTAAAACGCGTGTCAAATAATTTCAATGCGATGACATTTCAGAAAGACACGCGGCTAATGCAAACAGTGGAATCATCAAAACTATGGCCGGTCAAATTCAGATCGATAGCACATTCGACTTATCTGATATGGTTGTGACCACTATTTCAGCTGATCTCAGTTGTTATCTGTATGTTTCACTATTGAGAATATTGATTTAAAATTACCAACACTTCAGAACTAAATCGAGCGGAAAGATGAGACATTCCATGATTGCATTCATGCTAAGCCCATCAAAATGTGCGGAAAATCACGCCGAATTCGCAAGGATTTTGAATCACACGTTTATATCTTGCGATATTTCAAAACAGAAATCTGTTCCATCATTAATCACCGACGGAGAATCTGGCTTCAAAAGTTACACCAAGGTTACCCATGGTACAAATGGCATGCAATCTAAGTATACTTTTCAGATCGAATACTTTAGTGATGCGCAAATTCTGCGTTGTCTTGTTCACCGCAGAAAAAATTACGAAATAGTCAACAAAAAGTTTGCAATAACGCAGAAGGAGAAAGAGTTCGTGTTTGGAGTGGATGTCAGTGTCGTGATACAATGGGAAGCAGTATTTCATATTTTTTCAGAAAGGAGACGGTGTTGTGGAAGGAGGGATTTTTAATGAAGTTTCGCGCGAAAAAATGATCCGTCTTATCGAATCTTCGAGCATTGATAAAGAAAGAAAGAAATGGCTACTGGATAGATCCGATTCGCTCTATGAGACTAACTCATTGCAAAGCCGCCTGAGAGCAGGATTGCTTCTCAACTATTCGACAACTAATAGAACGGAATGCATTAATTCCAGATTGAAACTTGAATTCCAGAGAAAAACAGACGGTAAATCATGTGCGGAAAAGCTGATCAAGTTTATAGATGGTACCATCCTTTTTAATTTACTCGCCTAAAATCACTTTTTTATTTCTCAGCTGAAAAACGGGAGATGTGCAAGGCGATTTTAGACGACAACAGCGCAGTCATTTCGTTCGTCAACCACACCAGCTGCAGAAACGCGTCAGCTGAAAGACGAGGATGCAAACTTTTAGAGTGTGGACTCAAAAACATGTCCTTGCTGTTTATCATGGAAATTCCAAGCTCTTTTAGCACACTGTATATATATATATATATTTTGCTAGATTCTTAAAATTTACTAATGTTCTCTTGCAGTAGTCAGTGGAATAAGCGCGAAGAGTGTGTTTAAAAGGAAGGTTATCTTTGTTACTGACGAAGAAGCGGCAGTGGAAGAAGATAAATCACGATTCGTACGAGTCAAATTAGAAGATGACTGTTATAAATGTGGTGATAAGAAATGCAGTTCCAAAAGCGACAATTTATGCGTTCACATGTTTGTTATTGACTTCAAATAACCAATCAAGACGCATTATTTTTCAGTCTGGCCATTCTCATGAAAATGCCGACGAACCGTTCGAAACTCATCTACAAAAATATGGAAGACCGTATGAATCTGAGGACACGGAAAGAAATTTCCAGAGGTCTCAATGATGGAAAAGCATCGAAGAGATTTCCCGGCCGACAGTATTCTACTCAATCACATTCGAACGGGAGCCGAACTGTTCATAGGTTAGAGGGATTCTTCTCAACTTCTCGTAATGATAGTTTCAGTTTTGTGCCTTCCGCTCCTCGGCCTTCGCCTTCATCTGTCACCGATCACGCAGATAGTGACGACAGAACCATCGGAAAAACAAGTTCAGAAAAGAGCAGAGCGGATTCGGTCGCTTCCAGCGATTCAAATGAATACGCACTACTCAATACTTCTAATGCGTCGGCCGTTGTCCATCCAGAACTCTCTTTCAACGAACTTGATGCAACGCCGGATTTCGATGTGTCTCAATTATCGTCTTCGGACGTTCAACTGCATGAAACGCTTGCCTCCACCGACAGCTCCGACAGAGAAACACGTTCAAAGAGTGAAAAACGACGTGTCAAAGCGGATTCGGTCGCTTCCAGCGACTGTGAAGGATACTCGCCACTCAATTTAGAGTAAAAAAACAAAAAAATAATAACAGAATAATTTCTTTTTTTCAGAAAAAAAGACGAAAAATTGAGACGGTTTCAATCTGAACTTCGAATCGAAAAGAGTCGCGGATCGCCAGTTCAAAGGTAATATATTCAAGTTACGTACCCTCTGGTTACACATGTTCATAACGGCACAATGAGGTTGAACATTTACTGAATTGAACTCTCTTTGCAGAACTCAACGGAAACGAGTGACGAAAAGATCGTTCAGTCCGACTTGATGCACACGAAGAGTTTCTAATATTTTCATTGTTTTGTTTTTTTTAGTGTTCTCTAATTTAATCTCTCTTCTATATTGATCTCTTTTCTTTATTTATCCTTGTTCATTTCTGCGCTCATTTTTGTTTTTTTTTAGTCTAGGTTGATTCTTTGTTATTTATTACTTACAAGTTGTTTTGCTGTTTTGGCCCCTTTAAATTCTGCAATTTCACAGCAGAATTTCAGCATCTGATGTTGTGTGTGAAATTTACCCAAGTAAAGATTGTTTCTCGAAATGACACAAAATACTGCATAAAACAAAGCATGGCTACACACGACTGTGTCTCGTGAGCTCTCAAAAATTCAAAACTGGAATGAAAACTTCGAAAATGTGCTCCGTGCAACTTTTGTACCCCAAAATCGTGAAATTTGTACCCTTAAATCATAAAAGTTGTACCCCTTAATCAATGCCTACTGAATCGGTAAATTTTTGTACCCCAGAATCGAAAATTTTGTACCCTCGACTTTTTGTACCCCAAAACCATGAAATTTGTACCCCAAAACAATTTGTACCCTCTTGTACCCCCTAATTTTTGTACCCTCCGAATTAAATGCCAGTACAGTATAAGGCGGTACTTATTTCAGGCAATGACACCAATAGTAGATCCAAAGACGATCGACACAACACGGGAACGGTACACTGTACACGAACAATTTGGAGATCGGCGACAGGGAGTAGCTAGTGCCAGGTTAGTGACGCGTATGGACAACAGAATTTCGATTCCATGTCGTCACTGGATAAGCGGATTCTTATCTGTCGCAAATTCAATACAGTAACATGAATACTCTTCTTTAAATTTAGAACATATTTCTATGACGGTGAAGAGGAGTGTGACAAAAATCGGGACATCTTCAAGGATTCGATCAACGCTGTGTCGACAACGTCCAATGGTGAAGGATTTGTGGCCGTGAAAATCACTGCGTTGGGAAGACCACAACTCTTATTGAAATTATCAGAAGCAATAGTCCAAACTCAAAACTTCTTTAAGGCCCTCACAGGCGAAGGAAGTCTACAAGAAGGTAGACTGAACGAGAAACAGTTCACTAAACGACTACAGGTCTGTTGAAAGTCTGAACATTCAAATCGAAATTTTCGTTTTCAAATATTTTAATAAACAGCTAGTAAGTTGCTTTTTTAGGATCTCGGTGTCAAAACAGACTCTTTATCTGCACAAAAGTTCTTCCACGAAGTAGACTTTGACTCAGATGGAATTGTTGATTTGCACGGATGGAATCATATTCTGGATGATCATGTGAAATTGGGCCAACTGTTCCAGGTAATTAAGTAAGATCCTCAGGTAACATTTCAAACTTTCCTTAGCGCTTCTCAAGAGTTGAGTCAAGACATTCTCAAACTTCCTGAAGGAAAAAAAAACTTTTCCAAGACTTTTTCAAACTTTTCCAAGACTTTCTCAAACTTTTTCAAGAATTTCTTAAGTGGCGCCTAGAAAAGTTTGAAATTTTACCTGAAGATGCGCCTTTCTGATTAGAGAATTTTTAAAAACGAAAAACATTTTGACAGGTTCTCAATATAAAATCAGGACTTCTTGAACCACTTATCCAGAACCTTTCCAATGAAGAAGAACAAGAGTTTCGGAATATGGTTCGTAGAACACTTGACGTAGCCGAATATGCAATTTCAAAAGGAGTGCGGATAATGGTAGACGCTGAACAGACATATCTACAGCCTGCTATCTCGAAAATTACAATTGAAATGATGAAAAAGTTTTAATACCATAAATTCATTTACATGTATTAATACGGTTACAGATACAACAAAACCCAAGGCAATGTATTCAACACTTATCAAGCTTATTTGAAAAGTACTCTTCAAAATATGGAAGCGGATATGCAAGTTGCTAGAAGAGAAGGATGGCACTTTGGAGCTAAACTTGTTCGAGGAGCTTATATGGAACAGGAGAGAGCTCGGGCAAAAATAATTGGATATGAAGACCCAATCAATCCTGATTTTCAAGTTAGTCTTGAAAATAAAAACGTCTGGTTTAAGTTATTGTTTAAAAGGCAACAACCAAAATGTACGAAAATTGTCTTACGCGTATTGCTGATGAAGTAAATCGTCGTGGAAAAGGCAATGTATCGGTGATGATTGCTAGTCATAACGAAGAAACAGTTAGATTTGCCGTGAATCTCATGAAAGAGAGATGCATTGCTCCTTCTGAACGTGTCATGTGTCTAGCGCAGCTGTACGGAATGTGTGACCAGGTAATTTGATGATTATTTTTGCTTTTCATTCTATAAATTTAGGTGTCGTTCTCATTGGGACAAGCAGGATTCTCGGTTTACAAATACTTGCCTTACGGTCCAGTGGAAGAAGTTCTACCATATCTTAGTCGACGAGCGCTGGAGAATGGATCTGTTTTGAAAAAAGCAAACAAAGAGCGAGAACTACTCTGGAAAGAACTGAAACGTCGAATCTCAAATCTACACTCTAACAGCGATGCCTAATTCAAAAAAAAGAAACGCTACAAACTTTCAACTTCAATCCTTTTTCACATATCCTCCCATAGACATATTTAGTGGCCCAATGTGCATGGAACACGTACAAGCTCCATTCCTATTAGCGATAGCTCTTTTCTAATGCTTCCACGTATCAAATACCTTTCTGCATTCGAAATAAATGTTTGATTCATAATGCGGTTTTATTCATTACCATAAAAATATAAGATTGTAATTACAGATTTTATTCTTGGGGTTGGTAGTTTAAACTCAGGTAAATCGTTTGTAATCTAGCTAGCTAATTCGCGTTTCTAATCGGATTTCTAATTTACTGCGATTGGATTGCAAATTCTTCTAACTGGACTGATAAATTTTCTAATTAGATTGGCGAAGGTAATAAATAATAAGATTGCAAAAACACTGATATTAGATTCAAAATTTATCTAATTAGATTAAAACTTCGGGCAAACCTAGCTAGATTATGTTTAGATTGCAAAATCAGCTAGCTAGATTTAGAAATCGGTAGCAATCTAACTAGGTCCGGTTAGAAACGAGAATTAGCTAGTTATTATAGGGGCACCGCACAGAAATGGCGCTCTGTTGAGAAACTCCTTTTGCAGTGCAAATTGAGCGACCTCGGGGCCGAGTTTGAAAGGTTAGGCCACATTTTCAGTGGAAAATTACTTCGCGGCCTAGAAATTCGGCCAGATTGCGAACAGCGCGCCCTTTCTGTCCGGTGCCCCTATAATAGATTAGAAACGATTTGCCTGAGAAGGTGTCGTGCAGTAACACGTTTTCAAAGTGAAGTTATTCGACCCTCGATGTTTAGGAACATGAATCCACCACTTTGAACTTCATTTTGTTATGAAAAAGTTTGTTGCCACACTTAAAAACATTTTATGAAGACATTCGGTCGACGTGTAGAACAGTTTCGAAGCGGCAACCATGTCAATATGAACTACTCAACCTGCTTCGAATCTATGTTTACTCTGTGAAAAATTCTAAAGTAAATAAAGCTGCCCTACCCGTTAGAAAGGTTCTTTCAGTTAACTCCGCGAGAAATGATGGTATGTTCTCTTTTTATAGCCGAAACTCTTCTGTTATTCTGTTCCAATAGAGTACATTTACATTTACTAGGAATGTGTAAATTACGTTCTATAATAAAGTCACACGGGCCGGCAAAGCATACGGAGGAGTGGAAATTGTCAAGCTGTAACTTCTCTCAGAAACCTTACATTTTCCTCTGACCTATCTCATTTTGAAGAACCCAGTAAAATTGAACTCTTATCAAAAAATCAGAGGTCCCTATGTTCAATTTCTGGAGATATATTGAAAAAACCGAAAGTCCTATGTATGAAAAGCCGGGCCGTGAGTCATATAAAACTGCTTGTTGGTTGCTTCCCTAACCGTTATTCGCAGGAAATGGAAGCCGAACGATCAGTCGAAAGCAATCATCAGCACAAAAAAATGGACACCGTAAAGAGTCAGGTAGCTTCAGTGAAAGCGGTGAGTAGAATAACTCAGCATGTCAACGTGAGAGTTTAAGATTATGATCGAAAACGTGGATCGAATTTTGGAGCGCGGAGAGCAATTAGACCGTATCGAGCGCCGATCTGAGCAGTTGAATGAAACGGTATCTACATTGAAGATTTCAAGGGGTTCTTTATTACGGCTCTTACAAGGGGATTCCATGCGTTCTCAAAAGCTTGTTAATTAAAACAATTTCAGACTGCCAACTTTAAAATCACTTCTCGAAAAGTGCAGCGAAAGTTCTGCTTATTGAATGCAAAGTGGACCATTATTCTTACAGTTGTTATATTAATTGTTTTTGTCGTGTTTTTACTATTGATTCTTCATTGGACTGGAGTGATTGGAAAGAAAAACAAATGAATTCTTCGTTGTTCAATGTACATTGGGTTAAAGATCGTGTTGGATGATGCTTTAGCGAGTGAATGCTAGGGTCAATGACTCTATAGAGTCTAGAAAATTCGTCCGAGGCCTCGGACGACGCGTAATTTCGGAGCGTCGTTGTAGAGTTTCTCCTTCCAATTTTCCCTTTTTTTGCATTATCAACATCTTTTCAGAACCAATCAGTGTCAAAACTTATGATAATGATTAGAAATGAATAAAAAATAAAATTTTAACTGCTTCGTCATCAATTTCGAAACGTTTTATGTGAAAATTACAGAATTTTTTTCCTGTTGGAATCGAAAATTTGCCTCAATTATCTCAATTCTGTATATTTTTCGACGGTTGAGCGCATAAAAGATGCGCAATAAACTCTTTGTTGACTGGACGGTTTGAATGCCAGTGTCCGAACTCGATTCGGCAAATGATCGTTAAAACTCCGTTTTTTCAGTAGTTTTCGACAAAATCCCTCAATTTGGTCAATTCTGAACGAATCTGCTCCGTTTCGCGCTTAAATCGATGCTTTAACTCACACAATCGCCCCACGGTTCGCAAAGAACAAAATTTGAGTGTTTATTAAGAGAAAAACGAAAGAATTCTGGTTTTCAATTGAAAAAAGAAACTCCGAGCCGACGGTGGATGCAAGCGCGCCCCATTGACAACTCGCTTGCGCATTGGAATGCTGGGGTTCCGTGATATGGCCAAATCTAATTAGGAGATATTATAGGGGCACCGGACAGAAAGGGCGCGCTATTGAGAAACTCCTTTTTTTCTTTTTATTTTCTTCAACATTTTTGCCTTTAATTTATGAAATCTGTTGAATTTCAGTGAATGCTGGGCTTACCTTGTGCGCGATGGATGCGCTTAGCCTCACATGGACTCAAATTCATTGGAAAGCGGCAATTCGAGGTGAATTTTTATGCTTTATAGTTCTATTTGAAAGTTGAAAAAAATCTAAATCCGCTTCATAGGCCTACACAACCGTTCCAAAAAAGTCGGCCTATTTGGAGCATGTCGTTCTAATGTATTTTTAAATAAAATAACTGGTGTTGAAACACTTTATTCAAAATAATTTATAATTTTTAGGCTTAGGCTTAGGCTTCGGCTTCGGCGAAGGCTTAGGTTAGGCGCAGGCGTAGCCTGCGTATTTGGTATGAGCTATTAGGCTTAGGCTTAGGCGCAGTTAGGCGAAGGCGCAGTCTGCGTATTTGGTATGAGCTACGGAGGGTCATCGCTCCAAACCTAGGCTTAATATATATCATTCGATAGAGCTCGAAAAATTAGGGGGACACCCTATCTTTAGTTTTTTGATTGGACGCTCGGCTCGCGAGATATTATCGATCAAAGTGCATTTTCGAATAACTTGAAAACGTCATAACTTTGTTCATTTTCATCCTACCGCGAGCACTCTTCTCCCCCATGTGCATCATCATAGGCGGCATCTGCGAGAATTTTTCGACGAATTTTGGCCACCTACAGTAACCCGTAATTATCGATTGAAATATTTGCCACGTCATAACTTTTTTTTCCTTCAACAACTTTTTTTCTAAAAAATCACCCTCTTTTGTGTCCGCCCCGTGTATACACTCCAACTTTTTCAGTAACTTTCATATGGCCAATTTTGAGATAAAAATTAAAAAGTTTTTATTTATTTTTTATCTCGCCAGCGACTGGTTTTCGTGGTTAGGCGTGTTCTGACAAGTTGTAGTACTCGCTGACCGCGACCCGAATCACATTTTTTTAGATTTTTAAAAGTGCGTCTACGCGCACAGTACCGCTTCTTGTGAAAAGTTGAAAACTGTGCATGCAAACTTACTATTTCCGACTCCACCACAATTATCTACGCCTTTTTTTATGCCGATTCAGAAATTTTAAGAAAAATTGCCGGATTTTTTTTCGAGAAAAAAATTGTCAAAGTTTTTTTTTTTTTTTTTTAATTATTTTTTTTTATTTTATTAAAAAACATTTTTTCCTTTTATTTTTGTTTTGTAGACATGTGTAGACATGTGTAGACAGTAGACATGTAAGTAGACATGCGAGTAGATATGCGAGGCCGTAGGCCGAGCTAGTAGACGTGCGAGGCCGTAGGCCGAGCGAGTAGTCTCTTGTGCTTTTTTTCATAGTTGCCACGGGCCGGGCCGGGCCGGGCCGGGCCGGGCCGAAATTTCCAAAACTCCGGCCCGGCCCGGCCCGTCGGCCCGGCCCGGCCCGGCCCGACCCGGCCCGGCCCGGTCGGCCCGGTTCAAAAAGCGGGAATTCAAAATTTGAATTATTGATCGCATGAAGCCATTTTTTGTAGAATTAGGGGTTTTTTGCAAGCATCGAACATTGAAAAACAAATGTATTTCTCATAAAAAATTCATAATAGCAAAAAACAAAGAAGAAACACTAAAACTTTAGTTCGAAAATTTTTTTTGTAATAACGAAAAAAAAATTTCCGCGAAAATTTGAATTCCCGCCCTTTGAACCGGGCCGACCGGGCCGGGCCGGGCCGGCACTTCACCGACCCGGCCCGGCCCGGGCCGGCACTTTACCGGCCCGGCCCGGCCCGGCCCGCATGGCCGGCCCGAAATCTGGCAAGTCTGCTTTTTTTTGTTGGGCGAGGCCGTAGGCCGAGCTTTTACACTTTTGCTTAGATATATTTTTATTGCTCGTCTTCATGTTTGAGGTTGTTGCGTACATACAAACACATACACACACACACACACACACGTGTTTTTCAGTGCCTTCATCAGTGTTCCGATTCGTTGCTTTTTGATACAGTGCTGCTTCACTGGTACAAACAAACGACATGCGACACAGTCGGATGTGTGGACGTTCAGTCGCGCTCGAAAACTGCATAGCACACTCATCTTTTTTTTACGCACAACAAGCCTTTGTGGGACCTGAATGAGGCGATGCAGGAAAAATGGTGTCCCCAACGATCAAAATGCTCAAAATGTAGCGGAGTGATTATGATCCAATCGCACGTTTTCCATTCGCCTAAATACCACCTAGTTTTTGCTAATCAAAGTTAGTTTTCGCGTCCCGTCTCTTCCCCTTCTTCCTCAACACTTTTTTTTGCAGACGAAGCTCGTCTCGATTTCGATGTCTGCAGACACGTAACCATTTTCGGCCACCAATGGCGTCTTATCAGTTTTGCTGAATTTGAACGGATAGGACCAGATGGCCACTACGTTTGTTAACGACCGCTTGAGACCGGCGAATGGGTACAGGTCAGCGACCAAAGTGACAAGAAGAGGAAACCGTCAAAGAACTTGAATTTGAAAGATTATGGAGCTCTTGTTATTGTTCTTGAAAAACTATGATCCATTAATAACATTTTTTTGCCGCCGTCTCATTTTTCTTCATCCACTTCGATTCCGTTTAGACGGGTTACCGTTATCTTTTCTTTTTCTCATTTTTTGCCACTTTTTTAAACCGTCTGCTCGAAAAATAAAAAAAGGGTGGAAGGTGTTTTTTTCACTTTATTTTTTCGCATGAACCACTCATTTCTCCCCTTTTCCTAACTTTTCATTCATAGACTTAAAGAACGGGCCGCGAAGCGGCCGCCACTTTTTCTCGTTCTTTCTTCCTTTTTTGCTTTGTTTCACAGCGTGAAACAATAGACCATTTGCTCTGGTAAAATTGAAAACTTTCCTCAGCCATTTTCAAACTTTTTAAAACTTTTCGAGGCGCCACTTTAGAAATTCTAAGGAAAGTTTGAGAAAGGCTTGAAAAAGTTTAAGAAAGGCTTAAAAAGATTAAGAAAGGCTTGAAAAAGTTTAAGAATTTCTTAGAAAAGTTTTGAGCGCTTACGAAAGTTTGAGAAAGGCTTGGAAAAGTTTAAGAAGTTCTTGAAAAGTTTGAGAAATTCTTGGAAAAGTTTTGACCGCTTGAAAAAGTTTAAGAATTTCTTAGAAAAGTTTTTTGTCTTGAGAAAGTTTAGAAAAGTTTGAAAATGGCTGAGGAAAGTTTTCAATTTTACCAGAGTGGCCTTAGCACTCTTCTTCTGCTCATAGTACCTCCAGCTCATAGCACCCCACCCTCTCCTGCCCTCCAGCTCAAAGGGTAGCAGTCATGAGATTCGACTCGCTCGCTTCGCTCGCTTCGTCTGGCCGTGTTTTTCTCCGATCTTTGCAGACTTGCCAGATTTCGGGCCGGGTAAAGTGCCGGTCCGGGCCGGGCCGGGTCGGTGAAGTGCTGGTTCAAAAGGCGGGAATTCAAATTTTCGCGAATATTTTTTTTTTCGTTATTACAAAAAAAAATTTCGAACTAAAGTTTTAGTGTTTCTTCTTTGTTTTTTTGCTATTATGAATTTTTTATGAGAAATACATTTGATTTTCAATGTTCAATGCTTGCAAAAAACCCCTAATTCTACAAAAAATGGCTTCATGCGATCAATAATTCAAATTTTGAATTCCCGCTTTTTGAACCGGGCCGACCGGGCCGGGCCGGAGTTTTGGAAATTTCGGCCCGGCCCGGCCCGGTCCGGCCCGTGGCAACTATGGAGCTTTGTAAGACCAAATCCGCCCCGCACCTCACGCTTATCCTTATCGCAAAAAATTATTACGTTTTTCGTTCTACTCCTGGGTCCGACACGATAGCTGCTACAAAAGAAGCCGACATTCGCATAGTGACTTTCTTCCCATTCACCCTCCTTTCTAAAGATGTACTCTGTGCAACCTTCAGCAGCGGTTCAAGAAACCGACGATCTTGGTACGTTTTTCCACGTTTTTTTTCCTTTTTAACTTGAAACATATACTTTCTTTTTAACTTGAAACATATACTGAAACATATACTTTCAGTCTTTTCCGTTCTTTTTTCAACATTCTCTGTTCCCTCCATAGTGAGTCCCTTTTTTCCCCATGTTTTCCGATAAACATATTTTTTCCGATGAACGTGTTTTTTCCGATGAACGTATTTTTTCCGATGAACGTGTTTTTTTCGATGAACGTACGTGATAATTTGACGTTAATAATTTTTTGCGATAAGGATAAGCGTGAGGTGCGGGGCGGATTTGGTCTTACAAAGATCGGAGAAAAACACGGCCAGACGAAGCGAGCGAAGCGAGCGAGTCGAATCTCATGACTGCTACCCTTTGAGCTGGAGGGCAGGAGAGGGTGGGGTGCTATGAGCTGGAGGTACTATGAGCAGAAGAAGAGTGCTAAGGCCAAATGGTCTATTGTTTCACTCTGTGAAACAAAGCAAAAAAGGTTAGGCTTAGGCTTCGGCGAAGGCGTAAGCCTTCGTGATTTGGTCTTAGCTTCAAAATTCGGCGAAGGCGTAAGCCTTCGTCATTTGGTCTTAGCTTCAAAAAGTAAAACTCCAATACCCCTCATATCATATACCATTCGAAAGCTCGTCAAATTTCACGATTTTTCACTTTGCCAGATTTTTGATAACGGGCTCGGCTCGGGAGTTATGCTCATTTTCAGACAAATCTGGAAATCACAAAAAACGTCATAACTCGGCTCAAACTTAACCGTCAGCGAGCGGATTTCGATGGTAGGTGTGGCCAACAAAGGCGCATCCGCCCATATTTTTTCCGGAATTTTGCCACTTCACGCGACCCGACAATATCGGTTTGAAATTTTGACACGCTGCAGTTTTTTTTCCATCTGTACGTTTATTCTGAAAAAATTTGGGCGTATATTAGGCATGGTGGTGAAGTACGTGAATTTTTTTCAGACTAGGTTTCCCAACGAATATGGAAGATAAAAATTTTTTTAACTTTCAAAATTTTCTATGACGTCACACGTACGAGCTACGCGTTTGTCGTCAACTACAAATTTGTAGACCCCGTCGAGATGTATCTACACAAAACCACAAAATATTCTCCCAAGGGAAGCTGAGTCATTGAAATAAAAAAATCAGCGAAATATTGATATAAAAAGAATATGGGTTTGTAGTAAAATGCAAGAAAATACAAAACAATGAGAAAAAAAAGTGTTGTACCCTAAAATCATGTTGTTGTGCCCCAAAATTGTAAGAAGTTGTGCCCTGAAATTATGTGCTAGTTGTGCCCTAAAAGTGTTGTACCCTAAAATACTTGACAGAAATTATTCCCTAAAATCGGGGAAGTTGTACCCCAAAATTAAAAAATTTGTACCCCAAAATAGGTTGTACCCTGTTGTGCCCCAAAATTGTTGTACCCTCGGAATTAAATGCCTTTTTTGTTGGAAGGCTGGGGTTCCGTGTATTGTCGAATATTATTTAACGATTTATTGTTTCAGAATAATGGCTAATGAAAATACTACTCAGATTTGGGAACAATTTCTCGACGCCGCAAAGCGTGGGACAAAAAAGGGAGGAATTCGTGCGTACAAAACAAGCTTATGCAAGAATGCCATCAAACTGTCGGATAAATTATTGGAACATGGGCCGATATACGGAGATCGATATGATATTTGGGTGGAATACTTGGGCAAAGTTTGCACAGTTTTGGAAGCTGATGATGGCATGATCCAAAGTATGCATTTACCTTTATTTTCAAAGTTACAATAATTTTTACAGGAACTGTAAGAGAATACTTCTTGAGCCTTCATTCCGGTGAAATTGCAGAATTTGCGATCAAATTTACGGGTAATACAGTCCGTTGCAAAAGTATAGGGCCACCCCTGAAAATCACCGGCACGTCTTCCCCAGGTAGTATCATGCCTCCGCACCTTGAAAATCGGATTCAGCATGAAAAGTTACCTCTGGAAAACAATTTTGGGGCCAGTACATTGGGTGCTGAGGCCATGGTGCTGGAAAATCTGAAAAAAAAGTGGCTTCTGCAGGCGTTTCATAAGTATAGGGCCACCCCCGAAAACACTCTGGAAGCCTCTTAAACTGATAAACATGATCTTGAATGGGGTTCTTTGCACCTTTAGGATGTCCAAAAAAAGCCTTTTTGAAATCATGTGCAATGACACCGACGCCACCTAGGGCCACTCTCCCAGGTTTAGCCTAATGTTCTGTGTGGAGCTCGGGAGTGGAGCCGGGGGACTCCGAGGATCTCAAATGAGTCAAATCTTGTTTGAAACAAGTTTTTTGAGCATTTTCAAGTCAGCTTCGTTCAGACCTCTCGATTCGCTAGCACGTGATATCAGATTTTTGACCAAAATGAAGCCAGGCCCAACAAGGATCAGACTGGCTTGAGCGTCAAACTCCAGGCTGACATTGCACACTTATGGAACTTCATAAGGAAGGTTTGAAACATGGAATGTTTAAGTTTGGTGTCAATCGGGTCAGTTTCAACCGAGTTATGAGCTCCCGATTGTTGAAGTGAAGAAAACCAACATTTTTCAGTACATTTCTGTTGATTTTCTTCACTTCAACAATCGGGAGCTCATAACTCGGTTGAAACTGACCCGATTGACACCAAACTTAAACATTCCATGTTTCAAACCTTCCTTATGAAGTTCCATAAGTGTGCAATGTCAGCCTGGAGTTTGACGCTCAAGCCAGTCTGATCCTTGTTGGGTCTGGCTTCATTTTGGCCAAAAATCTGATATCACGTGCTAGCGAATCGAGAGGCCTGAACGAAGCTGACTTGAAAATGCTCAAAAAACTTGTTTCAAACAAGATTTGACTCATTTGAGATCCTCGGAGTCCCCCGGCTCCACTCCCGAGCTCCACACAGAACATTAGGCTAAACCTGGGAGAGTGGCCCTAGGTGGCGTCGGTGTCATTGCACATGATTTCAAAAAGGCTTTTTGGACATCCTAAAGGTGCAAAGAACCCCATTCAAGATCATGTTTATCAGTTTAAGAGGCTTCCAGAGTGTTTTCGGGGGGTGGCCCTATACTTATGAAACGCCTGCAGAAGCCACTTTTTCAGATTTTCCAGCACCATGGCCTCAGCACCCAATGTACTGGCCCCAAAATTGTTTTCCAGAGGTAACTTTTCATGCTGAATCCGATTTTCAAGGTGCGGAGGCATGATACTACCTGGGGAAGACGTGCCGGTGATTTTCAGGGGTGGCCCTATACTTTTGCAACGGACTGTATAAGGTTTATATCGATATAAACACTATTTGTTTTTTAAATTTTTAACACACTCATCATGTTTAAATTTATCATTTTTTAAGCTATAAAATTTTAATAAAATGGGCTATCAGATAAAGTCGACGGGACGTCAATTGGTAATATTTGCGACGTCGTCTTATCTGGACAACATCATCGATTCTATATAAAATGCCACCAAAGAGATCCGCGCTCAACATCGTTATCGATTGCTAATCGCTATAACAGTTTGAATCGACCATTCATTCAAGAGATGTATACGTACAAGGTATTCAATTGAATTAATTGAATAAAAATTAATATTTTATTACATTATAATATCTGTTTTACTTTATATTTTTAGCTCTTATCGCTGATCTGCGTCGGCGGAGAAGTTCATTTTCCACTCCCGATTACCTCACACATCAAGAAGGCATTGTACATAGCCACGGAGGAAGTCACATTTACGGTGGCAAAAAAGTTGACACTTGAAAGCGCAAATGTTAACGCTATGCTCCAAATTCACTTTCTGCAATGTATTTTACGGTTGGGAGATATTGGAACAAACGGTGGAAATTTTGGGCAAAGCGACGAAGGAAAACCTGTTATTGTGGATTTTTGGTAATTTTTGTTTTGTTAAAAATTCTAAGTAAATGTAATCTGTTTTATTTTAGGATTGTTTCCAAAGATGACTACCTGCTTTCCGACGCTGAAATTGAGGACTTCTGGGATGAACTTCAGAACTGTAATTCCCGACTGATCGCAAATGTTTTGAAAAATGTGACAAAAGAAAAGAGAAAAGGAATGGTCCAACAAGCAGTAGAAAACTGGAACTTGATGAACCGAATGGATGAAGCCAAAAATTATGTAGAAGAATATGTGATAAAAAATGGAGAAAGGATAGAGGTCACTGGTGATCTCAATCGCTACGTTCGGGATGTCAAATGTAATATTGATAAAATGATTAAGTAATTATTATGTTTTTGTATCAAAATGCACTTGTTTTATTAGTACTTCCTGCAATTGTTGTATTTTATTGATGGATTAAATAATAGATAAAACACCTGCTAATCGCGTCTAAATTCACAATTTCTACTTCTTTTTCTTTAATTTCTTGTGGTGGTAAAGTGTTTCTCATAAAGACACCTCGGAAATTCTTGATCTTTGATGTGTCTACTAATTCAATGAGATCATAATTTGTCAGAGGCTTAAGATTTTGGGAAAAGCTCATTTAATAGCAATAAAAACAATAAATACAAGTGAAAAATTGAAAGTGGGCAAAATGGTCACTGCTACGTCTAGCCCAAAAAAGTGACTTTTGAAAATGACTAATTTTCGATGAGCTTAGGCTTAGGCTTAGGCTTAGGCTTAGGCTTCGGCAAAGGCGTAAGCCTTCGTCATTTGGTCTTAGGAC